AGCAACAGATACTTGTATCTAAAAGCAATTACGTGATGGCTGCAGGCGGCTGTCGGAGTATGGGCTGCGATTTTGGCTGGCCCAGAGGGCGGTCGAGATGGGCTACAAGCGTTTCGCCATCATGTGCATGTAAGTCATCCCTCCTAAAACGACAACAAATATTCTTACAATGATACGATGATTGTGATTTTTTCCATCCCCTTTTGCTTACTTTCACTCCCCAGCAGGGCCAGTAATTCATCGCCTTATTTTCTGTCTCAGCATAAGGCAAATCGCTTTCTCAAGCACAATCCTCTCTCCTGTCAGAGTGGCCATACATGCAGCAAACCTGGCTGCTTAACTTCCCAGGCACCAAATTCGTGTCTGTCGAGGGTTTTTTTTTAATTTGAATTTAGATCTTGAATATGATGATGGCATGCAGGGGCACGTGGGCGATCAATGTGTACCTCAGAGCCATGGGCGCCAAGATCGCAAAGGAGGTCAACATCCGCTTCGGCAATATGATGCTCACCCCAGACATGCTCGACATTGCCGAAGGGTGAGGAACGCATTTCTTCATATGATGTCAGGTTAGGGGACGTGATGCAGGGTTTACGGTGCTTATATTCAATGTTGCTCCGGCTCTCACTGTTGTACTGCCCTTGCTTGCCTGAAAAGAACGTTGCGCATGTTTAAAAGCTTCTCATGCAGGGTATATAGGCATGCAGTGCTGCAAGCTTGCATATGCATGCGCAAGGCGCATTCTGAATGCGACTAAACTGGTGTTTGAAGTTAAAAATTTGCAGGGTGCACATCGGCGATACGGCCAACATTTTGACTTCCATGGCGCTGGATGCAGACCGAGTCCTCGTTGGCAAGGTTGATATCGGGCAGCAGGTGCGCTTGCCCTGCCCTAATATTAAAAACTCAAATGCAAATTTCCGACAATTGATACTTGCTGTCTTGTGACCCCTGAACCCTAATAGCTGCACCCTGAAACCCCTGGAAATGTATACGCCCCTTTTCAGCGCCCGCATCAAAGCCGTTTGCACCCTTGAGCTTTATGCGTCCCATTTGAAAATTTGAATGTAAATTTTAATGTTCAAATTTAAATTTGAATTTGGAAATGAATTTTCTTTGTTTCGTGCAGGCAATGCTGGGATTGGCGTCCGTGCTGTGCCCAGCAACTCGGGTGGGCAAGGGAGTTGTGTTGGGAGGACAGGCCTCGGCCGAACCGGGCGCTGACCTCATGGCTCAGATGCTCTACTTTGGAACACCCGCCACTGCCCTGTTCAAGACCGCCGTCCGCCTGGGGGTAAGCACCCATGCAAATCTATCAAATGGCACTACAGCTACAATGGCGTTGTGTCCTTGTATATTTTGCCCGCCGCACTCATTCCCTTGCTGCTTCAATGTCATTGCAAATCGGCAGCTCTCGGCTGGTCCTTGATTGCAGCAAATTCCTCATATCCAGATGCCCTGTGCAAGTGGCATTGCGCATGTTTTCTTCTGGAGCCTGCTTTGCAGCTTGTTCAAGGTAGCTTGTCAAGGTTCTACCAGTTACATGAGTGTGCTGCTTGCAAATGCACAGCTTTGGCTACGAACAGGTCCGGACATCCCAACACATATTCCATGAAATGAAAGGCCGGTGCGCCTGCACATGTACGCCGCCACTTCAAAATACAAACTCAATTGGCTCATGCAGAATATTTTTATCTATCTCAGGTGATGGACCCTGCGACGACTCCCGGCGAGAAGCTGCGCTTCGCGTTCGCTCCCCTGCTGCAGCCGCTGCTCGCATTCCTGGTTGTCACAATTGCAGCGCATGCTGCCTCGATTCTGGCAGCGGCCGTCGCGGCTCTGGCTTATTCTCCCAACGTGGCTCTGGCGCTCGCACCGCTTGTGTACACTGCCTTCGGGGCAGGCCAGGTGACTCATCTTTTGGTGAATACTAACCATGATTACTGGCTCTAAAAGCCTGGAAACTCTATCCTGCGTGAGCTTTGGATTTTTCGAAAGCTGCTGGGCAGGTTGAAGGAGGGCTAATCTCACCTTGTCAGTCAAAATGTTGGTTTGTCCTCTGAGAGGGATTCTCTGTCCTCTAGAGCATTGTCCAAATTGTTTTCCTGCTGCTACGGACATTGCTCACTGGCCCCGCCTTCTCACAGCCTCTATGGTTGCTGCATATCCTGCTGAAGCATTTGGATGCGCGCTTCTGATTGAGTGTATCTGTGTGCTGCAGATTCTTTTGATTGCTGGGTGCAAGGCCCTGCTGGTGGGCAAGCTGCAGCCTGGAAGGGTGTGGAAGAAAAACGAGGCCTACAATCTGCAACGCACCCTTGTGCTCATGAGCCAAATCCCCCTCAGCCACACCTTTGTAAGCATCTCTCTCCCTCGTATTTCAATCAAAATTCTTCTTTGCTTTGTGACAGTCAGTAGTGTTCAGGTTGAAAGCTCAGTCTTCTGACCCTGCTCTTTCAAAGTGGACAAGCTTATATGAGGTACAGAGAACAGCGTGCCTGTTGGCTTGCCAGAACTATTGCTAGCAGGGCTGCGTGCCTGACAGTATCGTCAATTTTCTGAGGAGGCGGCTGCACAGAAATTGATGAGTGCAGAATGCATTCTCAGATAAGGTGCTAATAAGTATGTTTGGGTAACTGCTGCAGGCTGAGGCAATCAGGGGCTCGTTCTGGCACAATGTCTCTGGCCGCATCTGGGGCATGACTGTTGGGAAAGAGGTGTTTGCAGACTCATGGTAAGCCGCCAGCAGCCTTTTGGAAATCTTCGTGTCACACACTTGCTGTGATCCTTTTTTGCATTGCAACTAGGCATGCAAGCGCCATACTTATTAGGAGGGTTACTACTGCTTTACCAATGATGACTAACCCACACTGTTCTTCTGTGCACGCAGCATGGCGCACAACGATTTTGACCTGCCCCTGGCCGAGGACGGAGTGATTGTGGGGCGCAACGCGATTGTGTTCTGCCACCTGGGAACATATCGCAAGGACGGGCAGCTCGTTATCCACCAGGACAATTCATGGTTTGGCAAAGACAGCATAATCGGAGCACGCTGCACCACGCTGCCGGGTTATGACCTGCCTGCCAGCCAGGCGCTCCCCCCCCTGCAGCTCGGCAGCGCCGGTCTGTAGGGATGGATTTGAATGCTTTTGAATTTGAGTTCGTCCAAATTTGAATTCTTCAATTCTTAATCAAATTTGCTGTTCAATAAGCTTTGTGAGCCTGGGAAGGGAACTTCCCTGCAGGCTGGTGTGTGGAAGTGGGCATGTCTCCAAGTAAATGATGATTGAATGAATGAAGTCAAATTTGCTGTTCAATAAGTTTTGTGAGCCTGCGAAGGGAACTTCCCTGCAGGCTGGTGTGTGGAAATGGGCATGTCTCCAAGTAAATGAGGATCGAATGAAAGCTTATGAGAAACAGGCTCCACAAAGGTGCACTGTAGTGGGCTTGCATGCACCACTTAGGTCAATGAGTCTCTTTAGAAGTATGCACGGACCCCAAAGCAATGCAGCCTTCCTGAGTTCTGGAGATTCGAAATGCTTTACCTGTGTACCATCGTTTCATAGCCTTGCCAGGCAGTGCCTTGAATGTCTTTCGGTTCGGAAAATGTGTCTGCGCGTACATCTGGCATCTAAGGCCGCGTGTACGTGAAGCACGGAGGCTTTTGGGGTTGCATTTGAATGCATTCGTGTCATGAGAATTCTGTTTGATGTCAAAATTTCTTTCCCGCTGCCAACGCAGCCCTTTGGTGCACTGTACATTGCATTCAGTGATGGGTGCAGAACGCTCAGCAACAATCTACTTTGATTAAAAAGAGTGTTGTGTACATCCTGAATCTAAGCTTGAAATCCCAGTGTATTTCTTAGGAGTTTCATTTTCTACCACGCCACAGCACAAGCCACATCTGAACCTGTGAATAATGCGCATGCACCAAGAAAATCTCCAAAGTGTAGATTTTTTCTGCAAACCATTGGACGTTGATAACTTTGCCCTCAGGAGCACCTCCTAATCATCACAGAACATATGATCAAAACTTTTGTACACAGTGTTTGACAATCCTGATCTCGGCAATGCTCACTCTCTCCAAGCAGTGAGGAGAAAGACACGCTCTTCACAAGCTTTCTGCCATAAGGAAACAGACTGCTGTGCATCTATGCAGAGCACTACGCGCACACGAACACAGCTCACCACCAAAGAGTTAAAGTGCCTGTGTTGTGTTGGCACTTTATTCCTCTACACCAAATGCACAAACTGAATTGAATGCAGAGGCATCAAGATCAGCTGTCTGAGATGCACAAAACACTTCTGGCAGCACAAGAAGCAGCACATGAGAGGACTGCACAAAGAAGCAAACCTGGCCAGACAATTAAGCTTCCATCACTGCAATATGCAATCTACATGAGTATCACACGCACAGTGCTGCCCATACACACTCAAAACACAAGCTTCCGCTGCTGCTGATGCATTGATGGCCCACTCTGTAGTCCACCTTCGTTCTCTACATCTCATAATGCCTCTGCAATGCGCTGCCCCTTTTCTGCTCTGGCATCTTCAAATGCTGCAACTGCAGTCAGCGGATCATTTATCAACATGTCCATTTCTGCATGCATGCGCTGATCTGCTTTGAACCAACGTGAGGCCCCACTAACCAGATCCACATTTGACTGCATCCACATTCCTAATTTGCGGGTCTCCCAATACAAATGTTGAGTTGTGCTTCAGAGGCCCTGTACAGCAATTCTGCCTTCATCACCATCTCGATGCACATGGTGCCACATCACCCGCCACCTCTGTTGCACATCTCTTTACCCCTTTCCAAACCAACCGTCATGACATGATCACATGATCATTTCAAGATCACATAAACATATCATCCTGCATCTGCCACATCACCATGTCAGCGCACAGCTTGAGGCGCATCCAGACCAGCCGCCATAAATGTAGCCCCCGACGCCACTTCAACCACCATGAAATGATCACGCGATGACATCATGATCACGTCATCCGGCGACCGCCACATCAGCGGCCACATCAATGCGCGGCCGCAGGCGCATCCACATGCCGCCCCCGGGCTGCAGCGTGAGCCGGTTGATTTCGCGCGCGTCGACGCCGGCCGGGCCGCCCATGCGCGGCGCCAGTTCAAACGTGAAGTGCGCCACCAGCCGTGCCACCGTCGTGTCGTGCATTATGCGCGCCAGCGACTGCCCGATGCACCTGCGATAAACACGTCCGATCCAGCGATCGTTTCAAGAATGTCCAGCACGGCTGGAGTTTGACGAGTGCTCTTTTAAATGACCAACTTCATTGCGTGCAACCCAAAAGCCCAGATGTGATCTTCCCTAGCCCAGAAGTAGCCTGCTTGCTCCTCCAGGCCGCTCCTCTGGAGTAGGAAGTGATCACAAGTGAGCTTGCGCTGCCTCATAAATGTCAAAATATTACATGATCCAAAGATGTCCTCACAAGCATGCTCGGTGGGTTGCATACCCACAAATAGAAGGATTGTTCCTGGTCCAACACAGATCACCTGCGAACAGACGCTGTAACACAACGACGGAAGGACGGAAAAGGGCACGGGGCGCACTGTCTGGGCCCGGTGCTGAAGGGCAGGAAGCGCTTGGGGCCGGTGGCAGCGGCGTCCTTGGCCGCCTCCGACCCGGGGGAGCCGGGCGCCACCGGAGCCCTGAGCGCAGCCGATGCGATTGGAATGTCCTTGGAGGCTGCCAGCTCAGCGGAGGGCACCGCCCACCTCTCCTGCAGCACAGCGCTCTCATGGCATACAAGGCTCCTTTTTATTTGATTTTGAACTTAGAAAGGGTTGCACGCTCTTGGTGGCCCGATAAAAATCAAGGGAAACACAGGCATAGCTGGCGGAGTGTGTTGCAGTCCATTTCGCTGCAACGTGCCAGGAAAACCCCAATCATCCCTGATTACCATCGAATCACCTTCACGCACTGCCACATCAGGGAAATAGTGCAATATCAATGCCGGTAAAATACTCTCGACCAATGCATCCACTCCGAAAACACAGATATGAGGCACTCAATGCTTCGGTGTTTTATGGACTGGTATGTTTTGGGATGCAAAAAATTGAAGGATCACTTACATCAAATCAATGTCAATGGGTGTCCAGGGACATGTGAAAATGTGCAAGGGTGGGCGCACCGGGATAAAGGCGTCGGTGTCCTGGGGCCAGTTGCCGGGGAAATGGTGGACTGCGTCAAAGGGAACGTTCAGGAGGCTGCCCTTTGGCACGTAGTAACCCCCCAGCCACATGTCCCTCTTTGCATAGCGCGTCGTACCGGTGCTCGACACCGGCCGCACCCGCATCGCCTCCTGCAGTTTTCATTGCGCAGACTCTGGGTCAGAGATTTGCTAGGCCAACATGTATCGCGGGGCCTGTGATTTTCCTTCACCTGTCCATTTTTTCGAAGCATGCGCAGTGTCAGAAATATGCCAGACCAACATGTATTGCCAGGCATGGGAATTCCTTGAGGACAAGTTCAGAACCTGCTAGAATGACAGCAAACAGCCCCCTTCACACTGCACCAAAGGGTACAGTAATGCCACCACACGCGTATCGCCTGCTGCTGTTTTGTCAAGCCTTTTTCAGTGTGAGAAACTTGACAGAGTGACGGGGACTGCCTCAAGAACGCTTGACCCTAATATCAAGCCCAAGGGGTTAGGGGCTATAGCATAGCTATAGAGGCTTGCAAGGAGCCCACAACTCACAAGCATGGGTGGGAATGAAGTGACGTTCTCTGCAGATGTGCGTGCGAATAGGCCGGACAGACAGGGACTTTCGCGCACGCCTACACCCTTCAACTTCACCAAAAGATATCCGGAAGACCACCTGTTCAGTGTATGCTGACAGCACGGATTCAGACACCATCCCAACGACAACTTCTCATTGTGGCTGATCACAATTTGCAGCAAGAGTGAGCACAGTTTGGTGCGCACCTTGCAGACCCAGGAGAGATATGTAAGCTGCCCCAGATCCGCATATTCCATCGGCCGCGGGTGCGGCCGCTCGGGGGTGACCAGCAGGCCGGCTGCATCCAGCTCCTGTGCCAGCTTCCGCTCTGCCTCCGGGTGCTGCCACAGCAGATACCTGCGCGCACATTGCACATCAGCAACAGAACTGCATTACACCTTTCTTTCAGTGAAACTCTGAAAATCAGCTGTATGCGAGAAGAAGGTCCCCCTGCAGTGGCGGCAGTTGCCTGAAGAGATTTGAGCCTGCGCAGATGGCGTCAAACCTGTCATGCCACCTCCGGCAGAACAACTGTTTGATCCTACCTTAGCATGCAAGCAGTCTAGAACACATGTGGGTGTTCTCTCGTTGGTGTATCCATCCTTCTCCTCTCAAATTTCTGACCGTCACGGACTCATCCATTTTGTGATGACTCGTTCAAGGGAAGAACCGTTCAAGGGAAGACCATCAGATCTTGTTGCATTTGATTTCCAGCACCAGGCGAAAGGGGATTGGAGCACGCACAGCGTCCATGATATGGCATTCCCGGCGCTCTCGATGCCTGCCACGAAGAAGACCCCGAACTCGCCCGCCACGAGCTTGTCCGGCAGAGGCTTCCCTGTCGCCGGGTCGCGCAGCCGCAGCAGGTGCGCTGCGATGCTGACATCCTCGTCCTTCGGCTCCCCCCGCGCTTTCACCTGATGCATGCATGGACTAGGAGTCAGTGATGAAGTAATAAGCTTTGTGACATATACCTCTTAACCAAAATCTGTGTTACACTACTTGGCGTGGATGCTGCCCCTGCCCACGCACTTGTCGATGATACTTTCTGCTGTGATACTTCACAAGTTGGGCCTTCAGTCCTCGCCTAAAACTGGACAACTATCTTGCAGAGGTCAATACTATGTCATCTGCAATGCTGCTTGCATGTCTGCCTGACAGAGATCCTGTGGCATGCATACAGCCCTGCATGCGCCCAGCCTGGTCAACAGGGGAGGCGCTTCTGGTTGAGTCTCCATGCTACATCACTTGAGGGCATCACCAAATGCGCCGCCCCATGTCAAAGAGGCTTAGAAAGGAGCAGCTGTACCATCATGCAGCCTATTTGACTGAAAGGCATGGACACTGCAAGGCTACCATGTGTAGCAGCCAACATGCGTTCTCTTTTTCTTCTTTCCGATTTTTTCTGTTGCACCGTCAGCAAATTAGGTCCCTCTTGCGGCGGAGCTGTTGTCATCGGCCCCTAAGAAGTCTTGTGCTCTCTCCAGCACAAGACCTTCTTCTAAGGGGCCTCCAGAGCAAGGCAGGTCATGGGTCATAGGGCGTTACCTCGTGCAGAAGCTGCATCATGCGCGCGCGGAAGGCTCTGAAGAGGCTCGGCGCGCGGCGAACCTCCGGCAGCCATAGCATCAGGTGACGTGCCGGGTTTGTCGCCCCGCAGTACAGCTCCCGGACCGCTGCGCGCCAATGGTTTTCATCATTATTACACGCTTTTACCTGCCAAGGTGCTTCTGCCAAAGCTGCAGTTGAAGGCTGCCGCAAACCCACCCCTTTATGACTTGCCAGATCCAAGCAAGACCCTATCTACCCTGGGTGCAGCGCTCAGTATCTGTACCGCCCCCCGCCAGCCGGGGCCATACAGATTAGAGCATTAGAGCTCAAAATATTAGATATTGTAGCACAAGATCAACCGCACCAGGTGGCCATGCTGAAGGGACTTGTTCAAAGTAGCATGGATTTGTCCCGGCTCTGTCATTGCAGTATTATAATGCCTCCATCCATAGCACATCTCTTCAACAGCCCAATAATCACCTCCTTCTCAGAGACTGCGTGCAAGGATTGCATGGTGATAGGGCAGTCGCAACTCGCTTATGCATGGCGACACACTCAAGAGCAGAAACAGCAAAAGATCTGAAGATATGGGCATTCATTGTGCCCTGGTCCAGATGCAGGCACCAGCGGCAGGCATGCATGTCAGGGGTCAATATTTGAGTTAAATTTTTGAAACTTGAAATCGAGAATTTCAAAGATTTAAATTCGAAATCAAGAACGAGGGGCGCACTGGACCGCAGGATGAAGAAGAGTTCGTCGGTGCCGGCATCACTGAAGGAGCGCGTGGTGCCGAAGTCCTTGGCAAAGCCGACCATGCCGGTGATGTCCATCGCCAGCCGCAGCGCTACATTATTAACATCCACCTCCTCCCCAGGGGGCAGCGCCATAAATTTCGCCACGACCTGGTCCAGAATCTTCACCACATCCGGGAAACCATTCCTGCGCAGAGACAAGGCCTTGTAGGAATGCTGCAGACAAGAGAAACAATCACACAATCCAGTCAGTAATACATGAAGCTCAGCTAAGGTGTGACACACCTGTGACTCAAGCTGCAGCTCAGACTCCTGCCCTGTATTTATTTAAAGAGTGAGGGGAACAATTTTATTGGCTGGAAATCATCCGGCACTTGATGGCTTGGAAATCCCCAAGGGGAGCCTAAACAAGCACTCTTTGAGGGATTCAAAAAAGTCAAGATGCCTGCAATGCCTGTGTATTTTAAATATGTCAGGAGCCACACTTGATGTTTTTGGAGATGAAGGCTGGCGCGGCGCCCTTGCGAATCAGCCGCCAGTAGGGCGAGTTGGTGTCGGCAGAGAACATGGTGCGGTGGCCGCTGTGACTCATCAGCTTGTCAGACAGGTCCGGCTCCAGCGCCTTGCACAGGCCCTCCCCATTTCCCAGCACCTGGCTCGCCAGCTCAGCGTCCACCACCACCACCATCTGCACAGGTGACACCAGCACACACTGACACAGCGTTTTGACAGCCCCCAACAGCCCCAAGGGATTGGCCAAATTGGTTCAGGGCTCAGCTAGGCTAGGGGCAAGGGCAGCCCTGGGAAAAGTTCAATTGTGGCAAAGTGATGTCAGGGCAAGACCACGAAGCTACTGAGGGGCATCATCAGACTTTTTAGGCAAACCACTTGGAGGCCAGATTCAGCAAAAGACCTGCATGCCCGTTTTGGGAGTTTCAGGGATGCCCCAAAGTTTCAGCTACTAGCGCGGCAGCGAGCAGGTGCGCAAGCCCCGCCCACCCCTGCCCTAATCAGGGGCTGGCCTAACATTTCCAAGGACCCCTGTCAAACTCTCCGCTAATGTGATTTGAGGCATGTGCGCATGCATGCAGATGATCGTGTGTCAGTCAGTGAGGCAGGAGATTTGCGGTCCTGACTCCTCCCCCAACACTCCCCTCAGATCAACAAGCATAAACACCCATCAAGAGCTGCCCTGAGACTCAATGATGTATGTTGCAACAGTGCACTCGACTCAGGGTCCAATGGAGCAAGCGTAATGATGCTGAGCTACAGGCGTGCTCGAACTGCCAGTTGGGATTACTCATGGTGCTGTTTCGCGTTTTCAAGAGCCGCACAGAGATTTTTTAGGCCAGGAATATCCGGCCACCTGGGGCGGTGGCCTTCAGAGGCTTCCAGTGACCTCCAGAGACTGTTTAAAAGACTCAAACGGTCAAATGCCCCTTCGGTTTAATTGGGCGCTCACGTGGAAGCCTGCGATGCGGATTGCGTAGATGCCTCCAAGCTGCTTGGCCCACGCGCGCAGTGACCTGTGGTGGTCTGGCCGCTGAACCGCCAGCGCCGACCCCAAGAGGATAGCTTCCTCTGGTGGGTGTGGAATCCTGCAGCACTCAATGGGTTGGTAATGACTGACACAGCAGCTACTCAGCAGATATAACTTCTTTCAAAGGTAATAAACGCGGTTCCTGCTAGCGGCAAGGTGCGTCTGCCGACAAGCTGCAGGTGACGGCTGCCACATGTCCTACCCCTTGATGGACTGGCCAGATCCAAGCAAGACCCGATCAACGATGCACAATTTTCAGCAGATTTTCACTCTGCTGAACAGTCACCATGTTCCTAAGATCAACCTGCCCCACGACCGACCTCCTGCCAGGAGCAGCTTCTCCTCATTGAAGCTTCTGAAGCCGCTCTGTACCAAGCATGGTTTTAGTGGCACCCACTTGGCAAGTTATCTCTCGTTTGTGCTAGTCAGCAAGTACCCGATCAGACACGCCCTGTCACATGCGCTCTGCGGCTCATGTGGTGGTCCTGTTGAAATTTGTGTATTGTCAAGGCAGCTTTAATCTTCGAGGCAATGGCAGGCAGCACGGATACATGGCCTCGAAATCTTGCTATACTGGGTGCGCTGTTAGCTGATAAGACTATCTCGGTGGATTGTGCTTGCGGTAGGTGCTGCTCGGGTATGCGGCAGAGATGACAAAAGCTCACTGTCTTCTTGCTGCTCCTTGGGGAACCAAAAAAGGCTGAGATTAGGTTCAGAGAGTGTACCTGAAGAGCACGATGAACCTGCGCAGCTCAGAATAAGCCTTCATGGCAGCCAGGCCAGCTGCAGCTACCAGAGCAGCTGCAGCCACGGCAAGGACACCGAAACGCACGATAGTGATCAGTAGCGTGAGATGGGGGATCATCATGATCTCACTGGCCCCTATCACGCGCATGCTTGTATTGAACATCCCTGCAGCGATGCCCCGATCGAACTCCAGCGAAAGGCTCCCGACGTGATGCCTGTGGCAGCAGCCGACCCCTTGACCCGCGCTTCAATCCATTTGATGTCGACAGCACAATTGTATAGCAAGAAAGCAATTGCGATCGGGCTGTGACCTACATTTCACTGACTTGTGCCTTGGGGTGCAGTGGTGACATGATGCATCTACGAGGGTTAACAACCCTGCCCTCGGAGGAACGTCAGCAGAGAAACAAGGTAATTCAACACATTAATCCTCATCCAGTTAGCTTAAATGAGGAAGAATTATCGGTAGAAGGGGCGCTCACGTTCGTTTAGACGCCGGCTTGCGCTGTGGCACTTCACGACTCAGGATCAGGATGTCGACCTTAATCGCCTGGTCGGACGCTGCATTAAAAGTGTAGGCTGCACTGTAAAGGACTGCAAGAAATGCACAAAATAATTATGAAAGCTTCTTTCCCGATAATGAACCCGTCAGATGACACGAGAGGACCAGACCCTGCGGTGCGCAAACCCTCTGAGCATGAGGCTGAATTTTGCTGAGTGTCACCATTTAGAGTACAATAGCATAGAGCAATCCAAGCCTCAAGTGATTCTTGCCAACTGCACGAGTCAGACTTAGCACAGAACAGTGCATGCCACTGACTCGATTGAGAAGAAGGGATTAGATAGTCTCCCAAGTTCTGAATTGGAAGGTTCTGTCTGCATGATTACATTGTGTATGAATACACTAGTACTAAGAAAGGAAAAAAATGGTCCTAGTAAATAACTGGGAATCTAGGCTTAGATTCAGGATGTACACAACACTCTGTTCAATCAGACTGGATCGTTGCTGAGCGTTCTGCATCCATCACTGAATGCAATGTACAATGCACCGAAAGGCTGCGTTTGGCAGCAGGAAAGATATTCTGACATCAAACATAACTCTCACGAAACGAATGCATTTGAATGCAATTCCAAAAGCCTCTGTGCTGCACACACACGCGGCCTCAAAATGCCAGCTGTACGCGCAGACACATTTTCCGAAGTAAAAGGCATTCAAGGCACTGCCTGGCATGGCTATGAGACGATGGTACACGGGTAAAGAATTTCAAATCTCCAGAACTCAGGAAGGCTGCTGTGCTTCGTGAGCCATGCATACTTCAAAAGAGAGTCATTGACCTAAGTGGTGCATGCAAGCCCACTAGAGTGCACTCTCGTGGAGCCAGTTTCTCATAAGCTTTCCTTTCATTCAACCCTCATTCACTTGGAGACATTGCCCACTTCCACACACCAGCCTGCAGGGAAGTGTTCTCCGCAAGCTCACAAAGCTCATTGAACTGCAATCTTGGATATAATTTTGAAAGCATTCAAATTCGAAAGAATTCAACTTCCTCCCTACAGACCGGCGCTGCCGAGTTGCAGGGGAGCGAGCACCTCGCTGGCGGGCAGGTCATAACCCGGCAGCGTGGCGCAGCGTGCTCCGATTATGCTGTCCTTGCCGAACTTTGAATTGTCCTGGTGGATTATGAGCTGCCCGTCCTTGCGATATGTTCCCAGGTGGCAGAATACAATCGCATTGCGGCCCAGAATGACTCCGTCCTCGACCAGAGGCAGGTCAAAATCATTGTGCGCCATGCTGCGCGCACAGAAGAACAGTGTGGGTTAGTCATCGTGAGTAAAGCAGTACTGACCCTCCAAGTAAGAGAGGCGCATGCATGCCTAGTGTAATGCAAAAAGTGTTGCTGAACGCGCAGCGTACACATGACAAGACGTAACCAGAGACGTTTGAAAGCACATTTGATTTTGTCAAGAGCATGCATAGTGGCAAAGCAAAGTACCATACAGGGGCTCTAACTGTTCAGGAAACCCAAAAAATTACGTCAAAGCAAGTGTGAGACAAGAAATATTTAAAAGGCTGCTGGCGGCTTACCATGTGTCTGCAAACACCTCTTTCCCAACAGTCATGCCCCAGATGCGGCCAGAGACATTATACCAGAACGAGCCCCTGACTGCCTCAGCCTGCAATATCCACAAAAAATACTAATCAGCACCTTATCTGAGAACGGATTCCTGGACACTCATCAAGTTCTGTGCAGCTGCCTCATACAAGCTTATCAACTTTGAAAGAGCAGGGTCAGAAGACTGAGCTTTCAGCCTTAACCCTTTGGACTGTCACAAAGCAAGAAGAGCATAAACTTGCATACGCAAGGGAGAGATGCTTACAAAGGTGTGGCTGAAGGGGATTTGGGCGATGAGCATGAGGGTGCGTTGCAGATTGTAGGCCTCAGTCTTCTTCCACACCCTTCCAGGCTGCAGTTTGCCCACCAGCAGGGCCTTGCACCCAGCAATCAGCAGAACCTGCAGCACACAGATACACTCAATCAGAAGCGCGCATCCAAATGCTTGAGCAGGATATGCAGCAAATCTGGAGGCTGTGAGAAGGCGGGGGCAGTGAGCAATGTCTGTAGCAGCAGGAAAACAATTTGGACAATGCTCTAGAGGACAGAGAATCCCTCTCAAAAGGCAAACCAACATTTTGACTGACAATGTGAGATTGGCCTTCCTTTAACCTACCCAACAGCTTTTAACAGTCCAAAGCTTACGCAGGTTAGTGTTTTTCAGGCTTTCAGAGCCCATAATCAATGTTAGTCATCCATCAAAAGGTGAGTCACCTGGCCTGCCCCAAAGGCAGTGTACACAAGCGGTGCGAGCGCCAGAGCCACGTTGGGAGAATAAGCCAGAGCCGCGACGGCCGCTGCCAGAATCGAGGCAGCATGCGCTGCAATTGTGACGATCAGGAATGCGAGCAGCGGCTGCAGCAGGGGAGCGAACGCGAAGCGCAGCTTCTCGCCGGGGGTTGTCGCCGGGTCCATCACCTGAGATAGATACACAATTTTCTGTGTCAGCTAGTTGAGTTTGACTTTGAAGTGCCGGCGTACATGTGCAGGCGCACCGGCCTTTCATTTCATGGATTATGTGTTGGGATGTCGGGACCGGTTCGTAGCTAAAGCTGTGCATTTGCAAGCAGCACACTCATGTAACTGGTAGAAATTTGACAAGCTACCTTGAACAAGCTGCAAAGCAAGCTCCTGAAGGAAAAGGAGCGCAATGCCGCTTGCACAGGGCATCTGGATATGAGGCAATTGCTGCAATCGAGGACCAGCCGAGAGCTGCCGATTTGCAATGACAATTTGCTGTTGAGGCAGCAAGGGAATGAGTGCGGCCGGCAATTCACACAAGGACACAACTCCGTTATAGCTGCATAGTGCAACTGGATAGGTCTGCAAGTGTGCTTACCCCCAGGCGGACGGGGGACTTGAACAGGGCAGTGGCGGGTGTTCCAAAGTAGAGCATCTGAGCCATGAGGTCAGCGCCCGGTTCAGCCGAGGCCTGTCCTCCCAACACAACTCCCTTGCCCACCCGAGTTGCCGGGCACAGCACGGACGCCAATCCCAGCATGGCCTGCATGAAAAAAAAATTCAAATCCAAGTTTAAACCCAAAAGTTCAAATGGGACGCATAAAGCTCAAGGGTGCAAACGGCTTTGATGCGGAAGCGGGCGCTGAAAAGGGGTGCACTTTGCTTGAAATAAGGGTGAGCGTATACATTTCCAGGGGTTTCAAAGTACAGCAATTAGAGTTCAGGGCAGTAAACTCCAAACAGTAAACGTCAAATGATGGATTTTTGGATTCGAGTTCAAACATTATGGTGGTGCAAGCGCACCTGCTGCCCGATATCAACCTTGCCAACGAGGACTCGGTCTGCGTCCAGCGCCATGGAAGTCAAAATGTTGGCCGTATCACCGATGTGCACCCTGCAATTTTGATTCCAAGTACCGGTTTAGTCGCACTCAGAATGCACCTTGCGCATGCACATGCAAGCTTGCAGCACTATATGCTTTTATACCCTGCATGAGAACCTTTTTTGCATGTGCAATTTTCTTTTTTGGCAAGTAAGGGCAGGGCAACAGTGAGAGCGGAAGCAATATCTAAGGTCAGCGCAGTAAACCCTGCACAACGCCCCGTAACCCTGGCATCATATGAAATAATGCGTTCCTCACCCTTCGGCAATGTCGAGCATGTCTGGGGTGAGCATCATGTTGCCGAAGCGGATGTTGACCTCCTTTGCAATCTTGGCGCCCATGGCTCTGAGGTACACATTGATCGCCCACGTGCCCCTGCATGCCATCATCATATTCAAAATCTAAATTCAAATTTAAAAAAAAACCCTCGACAGACACGAATTTGGTGCCTGGGAAGTTAAGCAGCCAGATTTGCTGCATGTATGGCTTCTCTGACAGGAGAGGGGATTGTGCTTGAGAAAGCGATTTGGCTTATGCTGAGACAGGAAATAAGGCGATGAATTACTGGCCCTGCTGGGGAGCGAAAGTTAAGCATAAGGGGATGGAAAAAATCACAATCATCGTATCATTGTAAGAATATTTGTTGTCGTTTTAGGAGGGATGACTTACATGCACATGATGGCGAAACGCTTGTAGCCCATCTCGACCGCCCTCTGGGCCAGCCAGAAACGCAGCCCATACTCCGACAGCCGCCTGCAGCCATCACGTGATTGCTTTTAGATACAAGTATCTGTTGCTTTGTTCTCGTGCGCAACACCCAGCAGAGATAACTTTCTTCTCAGAGAAGAAGCCATGCAGTGTCCTGGCAGTGTGCGGGCACAAAGACCACTGAAACTGTCTAGAGACAGGAAGCCTGAGGATAGGGCACCGGGAGTGCACCGGTGCCACCATAGCAAGCATGTATATGTAGCCCGTGCAAGTGACTTCTGCTTGAGGAGAGCGCAAGAATCCAAACCATACCCACATCATGGTAAGGTTGTACTCCCTGATCTCAGCACGAATCCTACACTTCCTTTGCAAAAACGTGCAATTTCAGGAAGTCAATGTGATGTCAGGATTCATGAGTCACTCGGGATGAAGACCCCACCTGTGAGTGCCAGGTTTGGCACGGCCCAGAGCGGCCCACTTGATGGCGACCATAGCAGCGCACAGCAGCACGCCGAAGATGACATAGGCCACCGGCACAAGGGGCACGAACAGAAGCGCCGTTGCCGGGTGAAGGAGTGCTGCCAGAGCCCCGGCCTCAGCCTGCAAAACAGCTCACAATTTTGAATTTGAATTTGTCAAGGTTTGATTTTGAATTTTTCAAGGTTATGGAAGGGTGGAGTGCAGGGATGCTGTGAGGATACGCTTACCGGCAGAGCGCCCGAGCTTTTTTTGGACGCCGCTCCCACGCAGATCAACTGAGCACTTGTCTAGATTCTGGTGTATTCGGAGACAGTGCGGACAAGAGTGTCTTGCTATAGCTGGGTCGTGAATGTCTTAAATATTCCGGGGTGCTGGCTTTGTTTGAAGCATCAATTTTATATTACTTGTAGTCGTGGTGCATTTTGCGGATTGCAACAGAGGGTCAGTGCCTAGGATGGCTGTTTCAAGGGTAGCTGGGAGCCCATGAAATGCTATTTGCTCTTCCGAATCAGCATTATTGAGGACATTGAGCTGAACCAGTATGGGCTTTAAAGGATGTACCCTAGTTCACGACCGTTGATAACATTGCAACATGGTGCTGAACAGCTGAGTCACTTACCGGCAGCGCCAGGAAGAGCATGGGGATGAAGAGCGGGGAGACCATGGCGGTCAGGGCGGCGACAGCGAAGACGGCAGGGGAAGTCATGAAGGGAAGCTGAAGTCCCAGGAACGCCATCGTGCGGGCGATGACAAACAGCGCTGAGTAGACTGCAGGCGCCGTCACCAGGGCGATGGTGTACATGCCCGCGACCTGCGCAGCACAGAACGTTGGCCGTTTCCTAACTGTGATTATCGACCATTTTCTTGCGATGAATTGCTCGGTGTTGGATCTGTGGAAAGTGCAGTGACCAGGGTCGGTGGTGCAATGCAATCTCGCAACCCGGTCAATAACAGGAGATTGCTTCAGGATGCCACATATGCCTGCCACTTTCGAAGGCCATCTCTGCAGATTGCTCATGATGGAGCGATCTAAACCGCTCTAACCTGGATCTGCGCAAGGAGTTGCAGTGCTTTGATTTTCCAATGCTCGAGGGCCCCACTCCCATTCCTCGCACCAGGTCTGGGTCAAAATGTAGCTTCAAATTAATGGAGTTTGACTTGACTCGATTTCGAGTGGAGGAATCTGACTTAATGACTCGCCTGCAGCAGGGAGTGGGCAGTCGCTGACACAGCAGGGCTCTCAATGGGAGTCAGTGACTCAGCCATATGCGGCGGCGGCTGCGCGGCGGCTGCCGATCCCTTTGCTTTCCTGACAGGGGCGGCCTTGCGAGGCTTTGTGGCGAGCGCCGGCAGCTGCTCTCCCTTGAGCAGAGTCAGCCCCGGGCCTGCCAGACTGAAAGGGTCCAGCCGGCACCCGTCCCCAATGACCACCTGCAGGTGCAAACATTTATCATGTTAGAAACAGTACTGGTAGTCTTGCGAATGGCCTTTTCTGCAAAAATGGGCAAGCTGCAGTTCAATGCTGCCAAAATCCCACCTCTGGATGAACTTGTTTTTTTTACCCGGTCGTCTGTGGGGACTGTGCTTAGTGTTTATACTGACCTTAGCAGATATTGTTCATACTATATTTAGAATTATCATTGTTATCACTGTTATTGCTACATGCTTCTCCTGCCAAGAGGGTACATCTGCAGACAAGCTGCTGTCAAACGCTTCCAAAAAATCAACATTTTGATCAACTCGCCTACTCTGAGCAAGACCCACGGTGCTTAAAACTAATACCAGCCTTTGCCAGCCGGGGCTATGGTTTCTGTGTCATCATTATTGTTATTATTCCACGCTGTTCCTGCCAGGGGCAAGGTGCGTCTGCAGACAAGACCCATGTAAAGGCTGCCACATACTTTCCCACTGTGCATGTAAGGTTCAGTGTTATTGTGAGGCATGCATCACCTCGTCAAAGTGCAAGAAGCCGCCTTTGTAGTAATGGCCCATGACGGTGGCGCCTTCACCAATCGCCACGTTGTCTCCGATGCTGATCAGGTCAAAGTCCGTCACATCCAGGGTGTCAATCACAACGTTCTCCCCAATGTGCGCACCCTACACGGCCAAAAAAAGAATTGTGAATACGAAATCTTTTTTAGCAACCTCTGAAACCCTAAAGGGAGGGATTCTAAGCTTTTGTTAGGGTATTCTATCTGGGTCAGGCTGCCGGTTGGGGCATTGCACAGCATGCTGGGCTGCAGGCTTGTTGAGGCTAGTAGTAAACCAAAGAAAGCTACAAGGCGTCAAGATAAGTTAGATTGGGTGGCATGAGTTTTCTACATGCCAGTGGCAGGAAAGCAGATGGTGGCGGTTTGTACCATCGCTCGCAGCCAGGAGACGAGGAGGCCGGTGCCGCGCAGCTGGTCGGCAAAGATCATCGTTGTGACTCCCACCATCCTGTTCACCTGCAGCAATGAACACAAATTTGAATTCATAGCTCAACAGCTGCTGCAGTGCCTCACAGCAATGCTTTACCCATAACAAGCAGATGAGCTGGGGCGTTGCCTTTAGGAGCCCTTATGCTGCCACTGCGACAACCGTTAATAATCAAATAGAGCCTGACTGCAAGATGCTGTCTTTGAAACACATCCAGCAAGCCCTTAGTGCGGTGAAAGAAACAGCACAGGGCAGCGCGACGTGCACCAGCCAGCATTGCCCAAACAGCTAGTGCACTGCAGATCATCTTCTTGAGCTAGCATGAAGGCACCAAAAAACAGAATATGGTCTTAAATTTTGAGATTGAAGTTCAAAGTTGAGCACTCACCAGCCACCAGCGAGCAAAGTCGCCGGAGAACATTTTGATGGGATGGCGGGGGGACAGTCGAGGTCCGATATTGCGCTTGGTCAGCACGCATGCAAAGCAGAGGCCGAATCCGAGCGTCAACCAGACCAGAGGAATGAGTGGCAGAGCCGCCCAGATGCCCAGTTTTGCTCCGATTCCGGCGGCAGCGGCGAAGCAGGGAACTCCCACGGACATGAGCACGGATCCTGTGACACACCCATGCGTCATAAAGTTAGTCATGCATGCAGAATTGATAGCTGCAAAATAGAAAGCGGCCACAACAGGCCTGTACCAAGCGCCGCCGGCAAAGCATGGGACTGCGGAATAACTGCTGGCATGCTAATATGTGAAAATGAGTTTTAGATCTGTGTGAATCGTAATGCAAGCTACGGTATTCTTCAAACCTCAAATTCCATGGGATCCTTGGGGCAATCCGGCGTGCAATATCACAGACATCAGCACTTTTTGACATGTGAAACAAGCACGCCATAGAACGCTATAGGCATTATCTATCATATTTTTCCAAGAATCCTGCGCAGGGTGGTTTGGGGGTACACCCACCAATGTACAGAATGCCGATGAGAGTTGAGACGGCCCACTTGGCCTCACGCTGCCAGGGGCGCTCATCGGCGGCGGCTGCGGCGGCCGCCGTTGCCGCGGCGGATTCTGGCGCAACCGCCGGGACCGGGATCTCTAAGTCAAAGGCAGAGTCCGTTGATGGGCTGCGAGCCGGCCTCTTCCCGTCGTACGCCTGCAGAAGTAAGACCAGAATTTAAATACCCAGACGATTGTGCAAGCCTGTGACGCGCAGCATTTCATTTTCGGTGTATTACTTCCTGCAGGGGATAAGCAAATCAGAAGAAATCTCTCCTTGCCGCTGTGATGCACTTGACAGCAACAGCAAGCCAGTCTTGTCGGCTAAATGACAGCTGAACAATACAATACATGCCTACTGCCAGCAAATGGGCAGTCATCGGCTGTCTTTGGATCTTGGCACCACAAGCATGCTGCCCTAGGGTGAGCTGCACTGCTGAGATGAGCCATTGCGCGTGTTGCGCATGCGTTTCGCACCTTGACTGGCTTGGCCACAACCGGAGTTGTCAGCGCAGTCGGCGATGGTGGACGGGGAATGTTGGGCAGGCTCTGGCGGTCAGGTGTGCGCGGAGCAATCTCCTCTTTCTCTAGCGGCGGGGTGCTTGGGCGTGCGTCATCAGCGGGAAGCTTCAAGGCAGCTGCCACGGCAGCTTCCTGCGGCTCCTCAGCGGCCGACGGCTCGGCCGCCTCAGCCGGCGCGGTCTTCGACTCCCCGGCCTCCTCGGCCAACTCCCTCAGGCCCGCGAGGGTCAGCGTCCCGATCTGCAACAGTCATTGAAAGGAGTCATTCACCCGTCAGTGAAACAACATAGCATAGCGCTGACTTGGACACCAACGGAAGCAGGGATAACGCTGATGCCCACTCTTGCACATCCCCCAAAGACCCACACTCTCCTAAGAAGCCTGACATCTGCAAGTACTGCGGTACTGCACAAGGCCAGAACCCACGATGCAACAATTCAACGGTGGCAGTTTTGGCAAGAAGTCTTTTCACAATTAGCAGCTCCATGAAGGGAATAATTGTATAATAATGCAGGGCTACGAGTGCATGCCTGCTCGAGCGGCAGAGGCCGTCCGATGGCGGTCTGGACCTTGGAGCGGATCTCGACCAGCTGCAGGGAATCTAGGCCCAGATCTGCCAGGCTGTCGTTCTCTCCAACTTCCCCCTCCTTCAGGCCCATCAGGTCCAGCACCGACGCCACCAGGCCCTGCCAGAATTCCAATTTATATTTTTGTACTTGCTTTTCAGATTATTTTTCCGAATTTATTTTTCTGGTTTTGTTTTCCTGGCAAATATACACGCGAGACAAGGCCTGCCAAATGCACATGTGTGGAGTCTGAGCCACACTGGACAGCTCTCTTCAAGGTCAAAATGAATTCAGGGCCCCCAGTAATGATATTTGAAAAGGGCAACTGGTCAGCGCACAGGCAGAGTATTGGAACGGAAACATACAAAAGTGAAGACATAGGAAAAAGGTAGTGTTGGGGAATTTCTTACCTTATCACTGTCGCTGCCGGTGTTGCTGTACAGCTCGTTGAGTGTGGCATTGCAGCCCTGCACGAAGCCACTCATTTTAGCTTACAGCCAACAATCATTCTAGCGCCTTCCTTTTGAAGAATTTCATCCAATCTGAACCGCAGACCTCACATTGACAATTCTGAGCTTGTTCCAATAAAAACTTTATGCTTTGGAGGCTATAAAGAAACCTTTGCATTCAGCTAAGATTCTGGAAAGAGGCAATGTGTACGTACCATCATAGATCTGATGCCGGGCCCTCCGCAGAGGTACTTGCCCAGAGCAACGAGGCAGTCCTCGATCGGCTGCGGCGGATTAATCTCAAACTTGCGTCCGATGATCTTGCCCTGATTTTCCAAGCACACAAGTGATGAAACAACAAGTGACAATCAAAATTGCTTGCTGTCATTCCGCCCACAGCAGGCTGCAGTTTCCCAGCAGATGGAAAGTGGCGCCCACATTTCAGAAACAGGCAATGAAGTCACATTCTCGCATGAAATCGCCTACTGGTTGCTTGTCTGGATGAGATCACCGTGATTCACTCCATGCCGATGCACGTATCAGGTCATCATTTTGCAAAGCCGATCAGTGCTGACAGGTCCTAGATACGCAGGTAATTGAACGTGCCGGTGCAGTGATCATGACTCACACGCAGGACCTCTTCGATGTACCCAACACCGGCCACTGCGCCCCAGGAGATGGCGAGGCCTGGCAGACCCACTCTCCTGCGCGACTCGCACAGCATCTCGCCCACCATGTTTGCCCACGCGTAGTTGCCCTGGCCTGCAGAATTTAAGAATCCGTTCAAATATAGGGCCTGCAGAATTCAAGTTCGGGGTGTCAAATTTCCCCTTTCTTCGGACTGCAGTGATTGCCAGACTGCACAAGGAGAGTAAGTCTCACAACACTCAGGAATTTATGGTAGCACCATGCCAGCAAACTGCATGCGTCCTGCCACCACTTATCGTTAAGGTCAAGTATGGAAATATCAGGCCGCAGCGGGGTTGTGTAGTGCATCACCCTTACAACAATACTTGAATAGTATATACGAGCGAATGACCATGCCTCCTTTAGCTTAGCGTAAAGGGCGCCACTTCGTCTGTCTGTCCAGGCATACTGCCGAAGTTCCACCGTCACCTAATTTGTGTTTGAATTTGAAGTTGAATTCGAAAGAGCGGCGCACCTTCGTTGCCGGCCCACGCGACCATGGAGCTGAACATGACAAAGTGCTCCAGGTGAGTCAGCCCTTGGCAGGCCATATCCAGGTGCAGCGCCCCCTGCGCCTTGCACTCCACCGCCTTCTGCCAGCTTTCGCCAGTCTGCGATTCTAGACAGACAGACTGATCAGTAAATCCCTTATGCTTTGTTCCCTGACCAGAGCGCATGCCAAACAAGCATAGTGCCTAAACCATAAAGCATCCCTGTGCCCTTGCTAATTTGCACTTGAAGCATGCAGACTTCTTTCCCGCCAGTTGGCATTCTAATTGCCCCTGCTTAGCATTCCTTTTGTCAGGTCCTGTGTACAAAACGAAGCACTTCTGTGCGCACCAGAGTGCAAGTGGTTTTATTCACTAGACCCAGCTCAAATGCTCTCCCCTCACAACCCAGGGCTTCCTGACAGTGCAAGTTTCCAAGAGCGCAACCAGGACCTTTATGATGCCTGTAGTAATCGCGGTTTAAATGACTGCACCTGGTTGGTCAGGAAGCGGTCGCTCAGAATCATGGCGAGGTGGAAAACGCCACCGACAGGAGCCTGGCCGTCTGCGAGCTTGATCAGTGCATGCGCCTCGTCAAGGTTTGCCACGTCCAAGGTTGACACCGCCACCTGCATGCATGCATTGCTCAGGCTTCACGCACGGGAAAGGTAATGCATAGGATCAATTGCATGATTTTCCCAGTTCTTAGCACTAGATACGTCAAGCAGCAACTGGATGATCTCTTCTGCAGGCTCTCCTGTTCTTGCACACCTCACCCAGACCGGATTTGCAAGACCAGTCACTATTGTTCTTACACGCTTTCCTGCCAGAAGGCAAGGTACGTCCTGCAGACTAGACAAATCGCCTCAAGAACTTGCCCCATGCAGATATTGAAAACCCCAGCCAAATGATGACATTCACACTCCCTAACTTCCCTTCTTGCGCCGACCAAGGCCCCATTTCTGCTGGACCGGAGTATTTTACATCAACATCTCATTAGCTGATGATCGATTACCTTGGCGCCAAAGCTGTCGCGCAGTCTCTGCACGCAGGCAGCCTGCTCGCCGGTGCGCATGCCTCGCTTGGAAGTCAGCACCAAACTGCGAGCGCCCTTTTCGGCCATCCAGGTCGCCGTCGCCAAGCCAAAGCCCCCCAGTCCTCCGGTGATCACATACGTCCTGTCGGGCCTGCAGCAAGAAAGCAAATTTTGCTGAGACGCTCACGAAAATTTTCTCCAAAGAGTCTCTACAGCAATGAACCGCTGTTCGCTCAGATGCTCACGCATCGTTTTGTCCGAGTCTCTGATAAGGTCTGGTCCTCCGCTATAAAACAACTGAAGGGCTGCCGGCACTCACAGGCTTTCATGCTGCACACATTTGGGGCGTCTTTGGACAGACTTTTGGGTGCTGGCAGGGAAAGCACTACCGGACAAGATCAAAGAAAAGTACACTGTCAGGACAAGGCTCTGGCAAGGAGGATTAAGACTTGCAGGAATAAGGGGCAAGATCGGTGTCTCACCTGAAGCTGATCTGAGGCACCGCGCTGAGCTCTGAAGAAGGAGCCACCTCATCTGTCCCTGGGATTGGTTGCACCAGGACCTTCCCGATGTGTGTGCCTGGGAATAAGCACACAGGGGCTTGAGCTACCTCTCCCTGACTTGCCAGGAGACTCTTTTTGGCATAATCGACAAAAACGTACAGTGTGCCCGTCATTTCTGATCGTCATGATCTCTTGCATGTGTGGCTTTATGTGCAAAGCGCATGTGGCAAACGTTTCTGCTGCAGCATAAGAAGTACTGCTAAGATTGATCAAAGATTTTGCTGTTTGCTGTTGCTATTGCCATCACTATCCCTATCCCAGACACGACTTGCAAGAATTTCTGAAAACAAGGTGCATTTGCAAGAGAGGTGTCATCTCAAGACCGTCTTGGCCTGTCATTGGGCCACATCAAGACGTACCCAGATCAAAGATCTCTGGGGACTACAAAACAAATAGAGGTGGTGACATGAGTAGTGGGCCCGCACCTGAGGCCATGTAGCGGAAGGCGGAAGGTACATCATCCGCCTTGTAGACCTTGAATGGCAGCGGCTGCACCTCGCCTGTGCGGATGCCCTCATTCAGAAGAGCGCTCAGTTCCGCCATCTGTGCAGAACAAAGCATCACACACGTTGTTGGCTCTGAGATATCATCAGGGCTGCCAAAGAATCAAACAATCCAGACTACATTTATTCATATCTTTCATTTGTATAAAGAATACTGTTATTAGTCATCTTAAAGGAAAGAGTAGGAACTGTGCAGCTGTAGACCTGTTTACAGTATTGGAGTGCAAATGCAAGAGCAGACAGCAGAGCAAAGGGCCTCTGTTCTTTTCCAATTTGCTTGACAGGTTATGGCTCAGGACCATCGTAAACTCCAGGATTTTCTCTTTTGAGTCTCCGCCATCATTGAACAGGCAAGCCAATGATTTGCAGCAGCAGGCTAATATGTTTTTGGGTTTCAGGCAAAAACCTAAATGTTTGGAATTCGTGTTTGGACTGGAGTGAGTCACCTTAGCGGGGTCTTCGCCGTCGTTGAAAACGCGGTCGAGATCAATCCCCTGGAACTCGATGTTGCGCAGCAGTGGCCGCATGGAGAGTCCGGTGCCCTTCAGGATGTCATACTTGCCGATCTCCAGCAGCTTGCCGTAGCTAGCAATGCACCGGACGCTCGCCTGCAGACAGGATTCATGGTGTTTACTCTATGACCCCTGATAATGAGGCGATTGACACACCCTACAGGAAGCGAAGCATGCAAAAAAAATCGTTGTGCAACAGTGACAAGTCTTCTCACAGCGGCAGTGTGTGCCATAGTAAAAATTTTCGCTAGCTCAAATCTTCAAGCCCCAATTTTCAAGTTAGCTCCCTAAATGCGGCTTGCGTTGCAAAAGCTTGTTGCCTGGTCATCGCCATTGCCTGGATTCTTGTCTCTTACACTGACACTGACAACTGCCAAAGTCTACAATGCCAAGTACACTTCAAGTTTCTGGAGCCACCCAGATTTGAATTCAACAAAAGTATTCATGTTTTCAAATTCCAATTATCAAATTCGAAGCGCCAGAAATCTTACCTGCAGCTTGTCGCCTGCCAGGGAGTTGAGCACCATGTGAACGCCGGCCCCCTTGGTGGCGCGCAGGACGAGTGCCTCGAAGGAAGTAGAGCGGCTGTCGCCAATGTGGTCTTCCTTGAGCGCCGGGAACCTCTCCATCAGGAATGCCTTCTTCTCTGCAGAGCCGCACGTCACAAACACCTGCATGCGGCATTACACACCCTTCAGACCTGATAAAACTGTGATATAAGGGTGCAATTATAATGCAAGTGCAAATACCTGCATGCGTCATTGGAACCCTTCAGCCCTGATGTCTGGTGCCAATATATTTTTTCCCGTCACCAAAGATCAAATGTGCAGTCTGCAACGAAACTGTGGCTGTACCAAACCACGGTAGCTAGCCAGGAATTGCAAGGGCAAAAAACATGGAAATTGTGGCAAGCTAACTCCCTATACAAGTGAAACATGCAGCTATGCGGGGATCGCTCAGCACATGTAGCACAGACTGCAGCCCCGCTCTGGCAGCTGATTTAGCCACATACAAAAATTTGGTAGATCTGACCCAGTATTGCTCACCTCGCAACCGCGGTGCAGGCAGATAGCGATGGCCGCCAATCCCACGGCGCCGCTGCCGGAGTGTATCAGCACGCGCTGGCCGGGTAGGAGCCGGCCGCGCATGACTAAGGAGTAGTATGCGGTGCAGTAAGCCACGGGCACTGTCGCGGCCTGGGCAGCGGTCCAGTCAGCTGGGTAGTCCCACAGAAGCTCGCCACGTGTTGCTAGGCGAGTGGCTATCGCGTTCTGGCCCACGCCCATCACGCGGCGTTCTCCGACTCCGACTCCGACCTGCATTGTTACTTTGGTTAGTAAACGCATGCATGCATTGCTTCTCCAATGGCAATTTGCTGCTGCACAAGACAACCCGAGGGTTGCAGATTGCGCTGTTGAGTAATCTTGGCATGGTTGCAACAGTTCAGGCTGATTTGTAACTTACAAGCTTGAAAGCCGACAAAAGCAAAGCATCAGCAGCTCTCTTTGACAAGATTTAAGTCACAGGATCTGTGAGCCTAGCAGTGAGTAGCTCTGGACTTTGCACCTTGCCGGAGAATTCGAGGCCGATGTAGTCACCCCCGCCCTGGCCGTTTTTGCCATGCGCCATCAGGTCTCGGCTCAGCTTCCCATACGCAAGCATCACGTCGCGGAAGTTGAGCGCGCCTGCGCAGCAGCTACCGCTTGTTATGACTTGCCAGTAAAGGCGCGGCAGGCATGACACTAATTTTTGACTTTCAGCTGTGAATCACATGTGTCAGACGCATGCGATGCTGTTGAGAACTGATACCTAAAATCACGGACAGGCGCTTGAAACAAAACCACCGGCCGGGGATGATTGCACGGTCACCGCGGTTGTGTTGCTACCACTGCTCTGGTTTAGGGGTCTCATGGTCAAATCTGGTCTTTAAAAATAGAAAATCCTGGACATTTAATTTATTTTCTTTGAACGCACCGTAGTCAACGTCGCAGACCACGTAGCCGTCTGCAGAGGAAGGCAGAGGCAGGTTCTGCACCCAGCGCATGGAATTGAGGTCTCCATAAGTCTGCACCTGCAGATGCGCGCCCTGCGGTGCCCCCGCCCTTGCTGAAAGCTTGTCCACTTTGTCAGCCTGCACGCAGCACCATTCAAATTCAGGTATGCGTTCAGTTTAGGGCATGGGAAACTTTGATAATTAGGCAGCCAACTCTATGCAGACTGCAGACTGAAATCTGAAAGGGGAACAGCAAAACACAACCACCCAAGAGAACGTCACATACCAAGAGGGCTTCACATCAAAGAGCCTCCCCAGCGAGGTTCAGAATTTGGCCGGGAGCTGACTCGTACGGTGGGATACCCTAGATTGATTCTGATCTTGTACTCTGGGTTCAAAATTCGAAGTCGAAATTTGTACCGGCATGGGGATGGAGCGGTAGGCGCCGTGGCGGCCATCGACAAAGACATTGAAGGTCAGGTCCAGCTGGCGGGCTTGCTCGACAAGCGGCGCCAGGTCAGCATCGCCATCGCCGACATCACCGCGCCTGTGACATCGGCAGAACCAACTCAATTGCTGCTTGCTTAAGGGGAAAGCAGAGACGCCCGAAAACTCCTGCTCCGAGCACATGGCTCACATGATTGCAGTTATGTACTGCAGGTGGGATCATTGGGATCATAACGCAACAAAACGCAGCACAGAGCATCCCTGACTCAGACTCAGTTATATTCGGAATTCTTTTGATTACCACGCCCCATCTCTGTGGTCTAAACAGAAGATAAGCAGTAGTTGTGTGCACCTGTCGCCGGTGTGCAGGCTGTACTTGGAGGAGGCATCCATAACACAGCGCAGAGCACCGCCCCGGGGCTCGGCTCTTGCGCACTTCATGAGACCAAGGATCCCTGCGTTGCTCTGCAGCGTCCCTGTCAGCCACAGCCGGCCGGCCGCCGCCGGTTCCTGCGCGCCAAAAGAAAGAATTCGAGTATGAGAATTTCTTAATTCATCTGGTTGAATGCTAGTACAAAAACACAGCCGGCGCATGCAGTGCATGCAGGATCAAGAGCATTGCCAGGTGTAATCTTCTTACAAGCCTTAATCTTTACAAACCCAAGGTCCAGGGCAGAGCTTTCAGGGCATTGGTTTTCTCCAACAACCTCTGGCAGGAAGGTCTTGAGTACCCCATTCTTGTAACCCCCGTCCCTCGTGAGCCTTGCCCACATGTGATGGATGGTGCTGACATCAGCGCTGCACAGAATTAAGACCTACACTAACCGTTAGTCATCCCTGTGATAACCAGGAGAAGTGGGATCACTCACAGCGTCGGGTGCAGGCGTTGCCTCTTCCTTGGGGCCGCCCGGAGCGGGCATCCCACGCTCTGCTCCAGCCACGCTGTCGAGTGAGTCAGTGTAGTCATGCAGCCAGGTGTCCATGGCAGCCTCTGACGCGCCGATACGTGGCGCCCTCAGGATTACGTCATTACGGGCTGCCAGGTCCGGCTTGCGGTAGAGGAACATGCACCCGCTCGCGTCAGGGCACCTGCGAACACATATTCAATCTTTGAGTATCGTTCTTGCAAGATTTCTGCAGACAAGCTGCAGGACTGGCAATATCATTTGCAGTTTAAATATACTGTAATATACTCCTGGGAACCCTCCCAAGGCAAGGGGAAATGGCATGAAACGGTACTAGCATACAAGTGCTCGGAGACCATGACAAATCAGACAGTTGCCAGCTGCGCGGCATGGCAGCAATTGTGCAATCATTTCCACTGTGCTGCAAAAGAGGGTTCGCACATCACTTGCCTGCTCCTGGCTTGGTACTCGAGCCAGGGCACTGGAATCACAACATCATTCAAAAAAAAGGCATCTTCATAACTTTATGAAAAGGTCCACATAAGATGCTTGCAAGATGGATGCACGACGAATCAAAGACTGGACCGCACAGCTTCAAGAGGGGTCTGAGAATGGTATAGGGTGAGTGATGCTGCCTGTGCATACAAAATCCAGCCAACCTTTGTGATATTTATAATTTTATGATATTATAGTTTTGATGATTATTATATTAGGATATATAAATGATGGTGGCATATTTGGAAACGCACGTGTGCTCGGAGACCATGTCAAGGCCGGCGGCTGCCAGCTGCGCGTGCCAGCGCTGGGGACTCATCCAGAGCCCGTACTCGCGCTCATCCGTAAAGTTCCAGGTCACCTTGTCCAGGCCCCAGGCAAAGGTTGCCAGCGGCCGAGTCGCCTCGTACGCCAACAGGAAGCCGCCGGGCGCCAGCTGCTCGGTGATGTTCGCCAGACCCACTGCAGTTCAAAAATAAGTTCAAAAGCACGACACTGTTAATTAAAAAGGTTGGCAGGAAGCCGCCCGCGCCAGCTGAGATGTGATGTTTGTCAGGCCCACTCCAGCTTCAAGTTGGAGTTTTGGAATCCAGAAGTTCAAACACAAAAAGTCCCGGGCATTGGGAGGTCCAAAGCCCGCTGCACATGATATATTTACGGGCTCATATGCAGAACCGGCCAAGGTATTGCCGCGGGGCAGCGCTCAGTGGATGTGGCTGCACGGCAAGGGAGGTTTCTTGTGTATTCAAACTTTTCATCTTCAAATATGCGGTCTCACGCAAGAAGCGGGGCTTGCCTGCCATGTTGTCACAGGTGTGGATTGCGTTGGATGCCAGGATGAGGTCAAAGGGGCCCTCCAGCTCTTTGCCTGCCGGCTTGTTGACATCCCAGACCTGCAATAAGGCAAACACTCAATTTAGATAGGCATGGAATTTAGTCCTTTTCATACCGCTGTTACTGGTATTGCAGGTCTCTTCCTGCGAAGAGGTCAGATGCGTCTGCAGACAAGCTGCAGCAGAAGGCTGACACAGGGGTAAAGTGCATCTGCAGACAACCTATGCAGATGAAAGTTTGTATCCCCAACAGACTGACCCAAAGATATACAGGAGACCCGAAAATGAGCTCACCTTGAACTCCAGGGCCGGGACCTTGAGGCTCTTTGTGAGAGCGGCGCCCCAGCTGGCAGACACGTCTGTGGCCACATACTTGAGCAGCTGCGAGTAGGGGCAGCGATCCAGCTCATCGATCACCTAAGCACATGACACATCCCTCCGTCAGATTGTCTCTTTGAGAACTCTGAACAACATGCAACCACAAGAATGAGGGTCTGGGCTTGACCAGCTTGCCAACGACCTGTGCAAGCACAAGGGCAGCATTCTACAAAGCTCCTTGTCTCCTGGCACCAAAGGCCGGCAGCGGAAATTGAATGCAATGCGCGCTTTTCCTCTCAAAAGAAACCATTTTGCAGCTCCATGGGATCTCCAGAGCACCTACTCCTTGCTAATTTGTCGAGGCCAGACCTAGAAACATGAATCAAACTGACCCAGAACTGGAATCTAAATATAAATCCCTGCAGGGGTAAGCACCCGTCAATGCATGACTAATGTGGGCGCTGAAACCCTGTGGGGAGAGTGATGACTCACTGCCGGGTGAATCCCCCGGTGCCGGTGCCGACCTCGGCGCATCGGAAGCCAAAGGTCAAATATTCACCCTTGAACCCTTACAGAACCCTACAAACCATCCCTGTTCAGGAGCAAAATGATTACTAACCTGTCGGGTGAATCCGCCCGTGCCGGCGCCGACCTCGGCGCAGCGGAAGCCGTCGGTGGAAAGATTCTCTCCGACGGTGTCCAGCATGACTGTCAGCACTTCCCCCTCAAAGCCCCTCGCAATGGGATCGGTGGCGTACAGATCCTTGTGCTCAGGGTGCTGCACGATCGCCATGTTGGGATCCTGCAGATGCAGATTTATGTCAAGACTTGCGTGCATTTTATGTGTTGTGAGTTCCGCTGAACAAATGCCTTCAAATTCCGAGCACGGTCCCTGTGCTCTTGAGTGCTGCACGATTGCCATGTTGGTGTCCTACGGAGTTTGCTGACTCGTCAAGCAAGCATGTGTTTGATATCTATAATATGACCCCCTGAACCTGATATTGAATGCTTTCTGACCCCGAGTGCGGTCCCTCTGCTCTGGGCAAAGCCATCAATTGCCATCTGTAATGAATCGTTTCAACGCATGCAAGCACATGCACATGCCGGACTTGAGGCACCCGGAGAATGCATCACTCTCCATGATCAGAACCCCTAGAAACACCACTGGCACCAAGTATAAAATTTCCCGGAAAAAAAAAGGAATGCAATGTGCACATACCGCCAGGGTGGCCTTGGCAGTCTCCTCGTCCTTGAACAGGTCCCTGTAGAGGCGGGCCAAGATGTGGCATGGCTCTGCCAGGAAGGCTTCCTCCTCTTCTGCGCTCGGAGGCTTATATGGCACCGCATTCACGAGCTTCAACACCTGCGCAGAAGCAGAATGAAAATGCTCAGAATTTTCTGTGTGTTTAGACGTAAGAAGGGAGACTTGCAACAAAAAGGGATGCATCTGCCAAATGACTTGCTTGCTTGCCAACTTGCTAGCTGTGGCGTGCTGACACTGGAAGAATTACTGGGAGTACTTGACAAAGAACATGAGCTGCAATGACTGATCAGCAGCAAGTCCGTGTTGCAGAGCTTGGAAGTCTTGTTTGGTCAGGAAAATTATCCCTGCTCTCGCCCAAGCAAGCTCTCCTATGCTGTGGAGGTCTCCTATGCTGTTAAGGACCTTCCAGCGGCAGGTACAGCATTTGTTTAAAATCTGATATAAAAGTAGACATTAGAAGAGCATGGGGCAAACCTTCTGCAGGTGATCAGGCAGGCCCTCCTCACTAGCTTGCATGGCGACCAGGTGGGGCCTGATGGTGGCTGCCAGGAATCCCTCGAGCTTACGGTAGTAGGCCAACCTCTCTGCGTCCTCGCTCACCTGCCAGCATCGAGGGATATCAGTTATACAACTTTATCTTCCTGCAGCACTCATGCCATTCTTACTTTCGGATGAAGAGTTACGGGAGGGTCTGCAGTGTTCAGGAAGGACAGAGAATTCACGCACAGCCTTTGGATTCCCATCCACCAAGTAGCATTCTGTTGGCAACCCTGCAAAGAGCGCTGAATCTAGTGCTGTGCTGGCCCGCAATTGCACCAGAGGGGCTTACTTGCTACTCAGTACTCACAATAATTAGTCATGAATGATGAGATGAGATCACTTCAAAGCCTGGACGCCGTAGGGCACGAATTTTACTTAAAAGTCGACTATGTTGAGGCTGGAAGTCTAGACCCCTTGAATCCCTTTGCTCTAAAGGAGAAAAAGAAGAGGTAAAAAGGGCTTGCCTGGACGCCGTAGGGCACGAATTTGACTTGGCGCTCGACGGTGTGGAAGTTGGGGGGCCTCAGGGGCGCGACGCCGAGCTCAACCCCAGAAATGTCCGCCATGGCGCAAGTTGTCAGGCCCAGCACTGAGTCAACCTCCACTGCCACTGCAGCACAGAACACAGGAACTTTCAGATTTGGGATCTGTATACGAGATATTGGAAAGAGGGTTTCGCAATTGCCTGCCGTGATCCCAGACTGGGTAGCAGCTGTGCTAAGCGCTGTCCATGGCTAGAATGGTGTTGTAGGGGCTGTCAACCTACGTGCACTGGTGAACACATCCTAATAGCGCTATTGTTTGGCAAGCCTGGCTCGAAAGAGCATGCCACACAACACTCATGTGGCGCATGTAGAGCCCAGTCCAAACAAACTCCCTGCCTACACATGAGAAGGTGCTCCAGCCCAAACAAGACTAGTTTTCTTGCAAAGCACAAACGCCATCGTGTATTTTCCGCACCTGTGCACCGCCAAAAATATGAACCCACAATAAATCCCCGTCCTGAACATGTTTTATGAACAACGAGCATCGACAGCGCGCCTTCTGAGCCGGTGATTGAGGCTGAGTTGGCATCCTTGATGAGAAGGCGGCGGATGCCTGTGGGCACTCGCAGCTGAGTGTCAGTTGCGTTCAGCGCCCCTGCCTGCAGTAGACCGTCCAGCAGGCGGATGAAGCATGCGTCCCACCTGCGCGCACATGCCGGCACATGCATCAGTACTGGTTTGCTATCGACCCCAAATTAATTGGGCACATATCCCAGAAAGAGGAGTTCTGAGCACAACTTGGGGCCAATTTCTGCGTGCTGTTTTGCTCTTAGCTGTCCATGCCTTTAGCTGTCCTGCACAGGCCGAGCAGGATAGCAGGCTTACAAGGTAATTTGGGAGTACTTCACAAAAACATAATGGATTTTGAATGAAGCAATGCAGACCTGAGGACGGCGGCTGAGCCGTCGATGGTCTTCTTGACGAGCATTTTGAAGTGGGGCCCGTAACGGATCCCGGTCCGTAGCACCTGACGGTAGAATGCGGGCGCCTCCATTGTGTCCAGCACGCCGTGGTCCCAGTCCACCTGCGCCAAATTGTAGTTCAAATTTCAAATTGCATTCTGAATTTGAACGCGGCAGCAATGTGGCGAGCAACGTGCGGCGGTGCGTTGGAAACAGTACAGATGCACACGATCAGGACAAGACCGAACATGAGCTACTGATCTGAGCTGCTCAAATGTCATTTCTTGAGAATGAAGCAATGAGGCAGGTTGTGATAACTGGAAAAAATTGATACTCTTGCCATTGATTGGTGCAAGTAAAAGTTTGCAAACGACGATGGGCTTCAGGCTTGCTGGTATTCTATTACCTCAGTTGGCTCTGCCTCGGCATCTGCGTCAGTCTCAGCTTGAGGTGTCTCCTTGGCAGCCGGCTTTTCTGGCGCTTCCTCATTCTCTGCCGCATCGGCAGCCGGCTTGGGAGCTTCCTTCTGGTGAACCACAGAGATCTTTCCCTCTGCGATCAGGTCCCCGCCTTGCGTCACCTGCGCACAGTTGTTTATCTTACCACTTGCTCACCAGAGAAGGCTGCCTCCTTCAGAGAGGGCCCAAAAATGCCAGATGTCCATGTTGACTCACAGCATCACAGCTGAAGTCTAAGATCGCAGTAGGAACTGATTTGGCAGGGTCACAGAACTGCTTGGGGCACTTCCTACCAAAACCAAACTTGAACTCGAATATAAATTCAAACTCAAACGACACAAGGGCTTGCCTGGAATCGGTGGCTTGCATCAAGCACAACTGACAAAGTCACATAGCCGCCAAAGGCAAAATGCGCTGCTTTAGCAACTGGACTCTGGGGTCAATTTCAAATTCAGATTCAAATCTAAGCAAGTGAAGGCTTGCCTGGAAGCGGTGGCTTGCGTCGAGCACAACCGAGAGAGTCACAGAGCCGCCGGGGGCAACAGGCACCGCCTGAACAATGCTGACGTCCTCAAAGAGCACGGGCAGCTCGGACATCTTCTTCTCCTGCTGCGCTGCGAGCGCCTCCCATGCTGTGACCAGGTATGACGTCGCCTGCACACATCAGCACAAATTCAGCATTATCTGCTTTCTTCCGCTTTTCTCTTCCGCCTCAGCAAGGGCACACAGTGGACGTAGGCATTTTGCAATGGTTGCCAGATGCATGGCAGGTTTCAACCCAAAGTTGCCTGCAATGTATCAATCTTGCAAATATGCACACATGCACGGTGTCAACAGTGACGTTACCGACTCCAGAATGCGAGGCAATCTTTCTGCACTCATCACGTACGTTTACAAAAGCTGCTATATGTTCTCAGCGAATGCATGCATGACATCCTGCCCAAAAAGGAATTGTGAAATCGCATGTGCCAACAACGAGGACATGGCCCAATTTCAAATTCAGAATCACCGCCTAAACAGGCATCTTAGTGGCACGAGGATGCGGCCGTCCACGTTGCGGTCTGCCGTGAGCGCCCCAAACCCTAAACCCTAATTTTTCAAACTTGAATTTGAATTTGCTGCCAAAACGAACTTCTCACCGGCATGAGGATACGGCCGTCCACATTGTGGTCTGCGATGAAGGCGTGCTCGGGGTCGTCGAGCTTGAATGTCCTGGTGAAACCAGCGGTGCCTGAGGAGAGCCATGCGTTGGGCAGGGGATATTCTCCGCTGTGGTCCCAGCTCACCAGCGCAGCCGCCACCTCAGCAGGAACTGCAGCAGTTGCAGACTCTTTCAGTATTAGTTCATTAACTTTACAACCTGAGAGATGGGACCAAACCAAAAAGGTTGCCTTGAGAATAAATATATGTGTTCTCTCACAAGTAGCGGCATCCTCCGCCACTGGAGTTTCGGAAAAACACCCAACGCCTGGTACTTGGACTACATGATTACCCCTGAAATGAGACATTTATCACTTTCTAACCAGTGCTGCTGCCACCTGTGCAGGCACTGCAGTGACGCATGCCCCTTCTTTGTGATTTTTTTAAGCCGCAAACCCAGGACCACAATCCCAAAAATATGAAGTGAAATCCGATTAAAGTCCTTTAAGTATGCAACATAGCTTGCAGACGCTAGCACAGGGTTGTTTCCGGTTTGCACGCTCGCAAAGATGGCGCCAGCAACCTTCACAGGGCAAAAGACACTAACATAGGATTCTGATGTCACTTTTCCAAGAGAAACAAGCAAGCACTCACGCTGTGTGGCCTCCTTGCTGAGTTCCTCAACCGGCCAGGAGAGGGCAGCGCCCTTGCGCCACAGCTCGCAGACCGAGTCGGGCACTGTCTGGCTCGCATCACTCCCCTTCTTGATCGTGGCCACATAGGGCACCTGCAACCAAGCACAAGAATCCATGATCACCTGTCCTGCCATGGTGCAATTCTCCTCGTGTTTCTGCTGTCAATATTTCGTCTTTTGAGTTCTTGGATGCCCTGCCGAGTGCTGAAAGTGAAGAGCAGGGTCAGGCATTGAATCACCGACAAGTTGATTAGAAAGGATGCAATGCAGAACCCTCTAAAATCTGATGGAACCCGTGCACCATTTGGATGCGCAGAAGATGCCATCTGTGCCGCCGAGACCTGTCGGACAAACATGCAGCAGGGATGTAGATGACACAGGAGTTTGGCAGAGCTGTCAAACTAAGCAGCAAGTTGAACAGAATTAATCAAGGTCTCCCGAGTGACTCACCTCGGGGCGGCACTGGCGCAGGGGTGAGCGCAACACGCCGTGAGGCCCGATCTCCAGCAGGATGGCGGCCTTGGGAACCGCGGCAGCAGCGTCTGTGAACTGCACCCGGTTGCGAAATGCGTGCACCTGCGCAGCGCAGGATATGTTGGGATCACTCTAGAAACCCTAAGAAAAAACTCAATTGACCCAAACCCTACATGTAAAGGGTGGTGGTATCGATGGGAGCGGACTGTTGTCCAGGAAAGATGCACTTTGGGCTGTATCCGCCGACCGGCTCTGAAAATTGCACAGGCTTGTGCATATTCACTACAACAAATAAGACACATCAAATTGCCAAGGCGCCAAATATTAATATTAAATCGAAGTCGGACCGCACCTGGTAAGCTGCAGAGCACAGGAGTGCGTCGGGGTCTTCGGATCCGGCAGGGAACGCAGCGGAGACCCAGCGCTCCGACCGCGGCTTGGGGGCGGGGATAAGCGCTTCCAACGCTGCACAGCACAAGCAGCAACCGTCACACAGAGGTCCATAACTATAAGGGTAGAGAATTCATGCATGAATCACCAACCCAGGATTTCCGCTAGCAAGCATTGGTTTCCGCCAGCAAGCACGCCCGGCTGATGTTGGAACCACCAGACCCACCCTTCAAGTGTGGTCTACTGACACAAAAAATCCTAATGGCAACCTAATGGAACGCCCCCTCATAACAGAACACTCAGCCTGCAGGAGCTGATGTGCACGGCGCTAACCTGCGCTGAGCTGGGGCAGCACGGGGTCGAGCAGGGGAGAGTGGTACGCCACTTCACAGGTCGACAGCGCGCGCACAAACACTCCCTCTGTCTTCAGAGCGTCCAGCAGCTGCTGCAGCTCCTCCTTGGGACCTGTGCGGAACATCACCCAATCTGCAATCGAATTCAAATTCTGATCACAAGGTAGCTATTGTAAGCTTCAGTGCTCCACTTTTGCAGGGCCCCACATATCCCACATCAAGTGCCCTCAGCAGGTGCACAGGGAATATCTGATGTTACACGTACTTCCAGGGCCGCTTCAAAGATGGACGCATCGTGTGCAACCAGCATTTTCCAATCAGCAGTGTGCTAAGGGTGACTACTTCCCAAGAGAATTACTTTCAACATAAAAGATTGGAGTAGCAACCCCTGGCAGACTTGGCAGAAAATAAATAAATGCGAATGGTGACCCTCCAAGATGTGCACAGTGTCATGCCTGTGATGCAACAACCAGACAATACTATTTTTGCTGGAGATACATTTAGGTGACACATATTAGTCAACTGTAAGGAAGGGATGAAGGTGCATGCGCGGGGCACCTGACAGCGTCATGCTACTGTGATATTGCCGCAATTATATGATATTGACATTGACCATGGAAAAGTAAAGGGCATATACAGAGAAGAAGTGTGGCGCACCTGAGAGAGTGGTGCTGGTCGGGCTGTTGTCGCATGCGACTACGCAGCTGCTTAGGCCTTCCCTCTCCAGACGCTCGGCCGCAGCCGCAGCGCTCAGCCCGGTGGCGGCCATGAGACCCCCCTCCAGACCCCCCTCCGGCCACTGCCGGGCGCGGTGGTACGCCACTAGCACTGCCTGGGGGCAGCCCACATGAAGGATCAACAGCTGCAATTAATTGTATTTCACTCACCTTGCAGCATTACTCCCCCAGAGTGCGATAAAAATGTCCGCTTCATGCATGATGACAGCAAAGACATTTGCATAGGCATCTCTTGCCAGTACCATAAGCAAGAAGACCGCGCAGTGCGGTGGATGATTCTCCAGCGTGCGCAAGAGCTGCACTGTTCCTGACTAAAAGCAAGGACAGGCATGGGCAAGTTTTGCCAGCAGCGGTGATGCAGTGTCTTCACCTCTTCACTCTGCATTTTGTTAGATCAGTAGGAGTATGGGTCTGCACCTGCTCGCGGGTGAATCCGCCGTCGGCATATCCGCAGGCGATCTCTCCGGCAGAGTGGCCCAGGAACCCGGCGGGCACAATCCCATACTCCTCTGCCAGCATGTCCGTCAGGCCAACCTGCATGCATGCATCCGGTGTTCTCAATGGGGACCTCAACAAATTTGAATCAACTGCATGCTCACAATTCTCTCAGGAGGGTGCTGCTCAGAGCACAGTGCAAGGCAGACCTGCTTTTGGGGAGGCTCTCACCTTTGCACCCGGCATTGCTTGCACATGGAATCTTGGAAAAAAACAAATGACTACCGTAAGCAGAAAAGCTACCTTGGAAAAGCTACCTTGCACTCTTACTGCAGGGTTACTTTGCAGGGAATGTGGTTATGGTGAACATGGAAAGTAACTCCCCCAAAATGGCAACGTGTCTCTTTGTCTCGCATGATTATTTGCCTTTCAGAGTAATGCAATTAAACCTATTGTACCCCTATCCATAATTGTAAAAAATCCAGGGGAAACTCTCAGGTTTCTGATGGTCGTTACCTGGAGAGCAATGAGGCCCACAGCGGCCAGGATGGGGTCTTCAGAAAATCCGGCCTCATCACTGAAAGCAGCAACGAGGTCGATGCCAAAAGGCTTCAGCGCCTCTGCGCACGCCTTGACTCCCCTGCTGTACGCTGGCGACTCGGAGAGGAGCTCCAGCCCCATCTTGGGCCACTGGCTTCCGTTGCCTGCACATTTTCAAATTCAAAACTCAAATTTGAATGCCGTGATTTGAGCTGTGAGCGGCATGCGGGCGAATCTGCAGGCAGCCCTCTGCTTGCAGAGCATCACTTGTGCCACGAAGTCGAGACAGCATGTGACTGTTCAATGTAGTGAGTTTTGCACCCCGCCACATCAGCATCGTGCCTGATTCCGAGGCAACAGCCTTCTGGGTTTGGAATCCTCCTTTCTGGTCGCAAAACAGAGGGTTGCATGAAAACAGACTGGCTCTCAAAAATCTGCTGCTAATACTGAGTGCATTTGCATTGCAGTACAGAATTGAATTTCCTAGGGGCTGCAAAGGGGCAATGATGGTCGGCCAAACTCGACAGGGCATGTAGCAGAAATACGATGCTTAATACTAAGGATTGAAGGCGCACCTGAGAAGGCGAACCAGATGGGCGCATTGGCCGAGGAAGCAGTGGCGGATTTGGCAACTCCTTTGTGAAGGGTCCCGCGCACAGTCAGCTTGGTTGAGTCAGCGCCCACGCTGTTGGCAAAGCGGCGCATCGAACCCGCCACGTCTTCAATCAGCCCTTGTATCACCAAGCAGCATAGTGAGATAGTACCAACGAATCCAGGGTAATTCTGCAGTGTCCTTGTGTTGCTGAATCAGTATACAGTAATAGATGGACATTGCAGCCTCTGGCAGAGCAAACAAATGTAGCCATGCAACTAAGCTTGCAGTTCCTTCGACCATGCAATGCAGCACCAGGGAGGCCTTGGGAGAACGCTATGGCAATCATGCTCAACATCAAAAGTCCTGCAAGGTGCAAGTTCTCAATTTTTTCAAGAGTGTGCAAGCAGAAGACAGCACCATGCATCCTCAGTCATGCCGGCACCAGCGAAATATTTGGCAGGATTTTTGCCAGTGGAATCGTGAGTTGAATATTTCAAGCTGGGCGTACCAGGGGCGGCCTGGATTGACTCGACGAGCGCATCAAATCCCTGCTGGGTTCTTGCAGCGAGGGGAATGATGCCGTTGTAGCCAGAAAACTCCTCATCTGTGTCTCCCTGTGGCACCATACCAGTACAGCTGTCAGCTTTTGCCAATTCCCAACCCATGCATGTTTGCTCCATTCCCATGCATGCATGCATGCATGCATGCATGCAGTACTGCTACACATGCATGCAATGCAATGACAACGACTCATTTATGCATTAAATTGATTGGATGATAATCCATGCATCTCCATACATGGCATAACAGCTGTTGCATGCACAGCAGCAAGGCATCCATGTCCATTGGGTCTTAATAAATGCCCGACAGCCTTTAGTATAGGTGGTTTTGCGGGACAAATGTTTACCTGGCTGTCTGAGAGCGCTGCACCCTCGCCATCGGAGACGTCAGGGGTTGAAGGAGCAAAGCCGAGAGGCAGGCTTGGCTTTGGGCCACCTTGCACCAAAAGGTGGACATTCGTGCCTGCATGCATGCACCAGAGCAATTATTAATAAAAGCTGGCACCAGAGGTCACAAGGGCTCCTATGTGCACTGTCCAAGTCTGATTCCCTCTTCTTAAGTTGTCCCAGTTGCCACCGGGAATCTGCATTACTCCCGTTTGGCATTTTACGCCCCAATATATCAAGCTGTGTCAAGGGCTGTGTACAAGCATGTTACGATGTCCAAAAATGGTGAGATTGGCGATTTTCCATTGACATTGGCACATTTGCAGGTTTTAAGACAGAATGGAAAATTCCGCTGCTCACCTCCAAAGCCAAAGTTGGACTGCGCCACAATGCCCCCCTCCCAGGGAGTCGTCTCAGTCACAACCTGTGCACAAATGCAAATCGGCACTTGGACTTCCTTATTGACAATTGCTTATAATGGAGCATGTTCACCACCTCAAATCGAAGGAAAAATTCCGTAGAAGGAATGCTCCGTGAGTTTGCAAGTTGGGTTGCCACTGTCTTATTTGCTTCATGTCACAGAGGCGTGGACCCATGTTTTCCAAGACATCTTCATTCCGCTCAATGTGTGTTCATTCCTTTCCTGCTTTATGAAAATGGATGAGTATCAGTAATGCTGGGAGGCTAATATTACCTTGATGACCCCTTCCTTGAGGGATTTATTGTTGGGGTTGGGCTCGTTGAAGTGCAGGTTGGCCGGCAACGTGCCATGCTCGAATGACATCAGCACTTTCAGCAGCCCTGTCACATGCGAGCAAACAATTTTCACAAAAATATTCGCATGCTGCACAGATTATTCAGCACCCAACAATATACGCCAATTGTTTGCGTGCTGCACAGAAAAATAAGCACCGAACAAGGAGCATGCATTTTGCAAACAGGCTGGATGACCAAATGTGTCAAGCAACCTCTCTGTACAGCACTCTTTCAACCATTTTTTCCCTGTCTGTCCGCCACATTTCTGTCATAAGCTCTCAGCTTCCTAACCATGCTTCTTCTTAACGGGCAACCACCACGTTGGTCAACCTGATCTTGACGAGAGATACGATAACCATATGGAATATTATGGTGTCTCCCTACCCCTCCTAAAGGGGTGGGAAACTGAGGGTTTGCGGGGTTGGAATATCGAGGCCAAAGGGGCGCATTGGCGAGTGCGCCATTCCGATGCAGCATTAGAACTTTGCTTTAGATATTGTCCGGGCCGGGGGAAAGAATGGAAACTCTCACTTTACTCAGTGGCAAATATTCACATCATGAGAATCTGGTGAATTTGTTTTAGTAATTTTTCCATCTTCAGAAGGTGCAATTGTCTCACCTGCCAGGCCGGAGCAGCCTTCACAGTGGCCCATGTTGGACTTGACAGACCCAATCAGCAGAGGCTCTTCCGCAGTGCGCTCCCCCTGCAAGCAAGCAAGCAAGGAGACCACACATCGAAGTCCGGATTCTCCGACTGCCAAAGGTCTCATTGCCAACAGCAAACAGTGAAAAAGACATTATTAATTCTCTCTGTCATAAGTGGGCCAGCACAGAGGTTGACGCTGTCAAAGTGATGTGAAGATCCCATCTCTTCATGAGAAGAATTCCAGGAATCGACTGAGTCAAGCATCTACGAATCCAATATATAATGTTTCGGTTATTTTTCGGCAAAGAAAGTTATGGCAAAAAATAACAGCACTGACCTTGATAGCATAGAACTCCTCGAGAGCGCCCAACTCTTGACCGTCGCCCACAACGGTCCCTGTGCCGTGCGCCTCAACATAGGCAACCTGGCTCGGCTTGACACCGGCTTGCGCGCACACCTGCAGAACATGCAAGCCTTGTTCCTTTTGAATTTGAACCTGTTCCCGGGACATTTAATGGGGTTTGGAGGTAAAGTGCAGGTAAAGAAGGGCAACATGCTACCAGCACATGCGCTTGTTTCATTCTGCGTCAAAACTCAATGGTGCATAGAGCTGGCCACCTAGGCTTCTGCATGCATACATGCACTTGAGGAGTGAAATTTCACCCCAACACTAACGCCCTTGAATTGTAACATTCCAGGGAAATCGGACCACTTCGGCGAGGGCGCGCTGCGCGGGGCCGGAGGGAAATGTGACGCCCTCTTTTGTGCGCCCGTCATTGTTAGTCGCGATTGTTAGAATATCTCCCCGGGGCGGCACCGGTGCGAACTGTGGCAGAGTGATCCCTGGCCGCGCTATCACGATTGCCACTATGCCGTCTGCCCGCGCGTAGCCGTTGGCGCTCGCGTCGAAGGACTTGCAGTGGCCCTATCAGCAAACAATCCAGTCAGGACAATCTTGAAATCAACTGTAAAGCCACAGGTCCTCAAAAATGCATTTGTGGCCCTGATAACACAAAGGCTCACACCTCAGACGCTGGCGTCTTGGAAAACAATGGAAACTGAAAACACCTTTATGGTTTTAAGCTTGAATGTATCGAACTCTAGGCCCGAAACCCTAAATATAAAGAAAATAGAGTTTGGTTGTCAGCACAAGCCACCGGCGAAGAATGTTTTTGGGATTGTGGCGAGTGTTGCTTGACATGAGCATGCATGAGCCAAACAGCACCTGCAGAAAGCTAAGACTTTTGCAGATTCAGAACTTCAAGATCTGGCTAGGAGGCAGCTTCTGAGCTCACCTCTGGCGAGAGCTTCTTGAGCTTGCCAGAGGCACAGAAGGTTCCTGGGCTCGAGACGGGATCAAAAGTTCATTATCAGCCAGAGATCTAGTAGATTTGTAACCAAGGAACCCACCTCGGGGGACAGCATGTTGAGCTTGCCGAAGGCAAGGGAGGTCTGAGGCCGCAGGATGGCGCTTGCACCTCCGACCACCGCATAGTCAATCACTCCCGCCTTGATGTCGCTAATGGCATCGTTGAGAGCCACAAACGACGACGAGCACGCTGCACGCATAGAACACAGTATTTCTTAGTCATCTTATTCATCTAAATGGTCATCTTAGTAATAGTCATCATACTAGAAATGGTTGATGCTGCAGACCAGGCATCAGGTTGCTATGAATATATGACAACTGGGGAGGCAGCTGCATGCAAATACCAGAAGACTTTGGAGGAATTGCAGCTGGGCCTTTCATCAAGGACACTCGCAAAAGGCATCAAGGGAAGCAGGTTGGCTATAAGCATGAGCGAAAGGGACCAAAGCGGGGACCCTAAACCCTAAACCCAAAAAACAATAAGTACAGCACAATCTCATGCCAGGGCTGAGCTGCGACTACAATGGCCAGTTTATGGTGGCTTTCACAGGATGTCTGAAGGACAAGAAGAGGAAGAATTGAAAGATACATCTGATTGCATTGAGGAGCAGGCTGAGCCGCACCTGTGTCGACGATCTTGGAAGGTCCTTTGAAGTTGTAGAACCAGGAGAGTCGGTTGGCAAACATGGAGGCAGCGCAGCCGGTCTGCTCATAGCCAGTCACGCTGTCAACGTCCGCCAGCCACTGCGCATGCACCTGCCCAGACAGCGTGACTGATATTCGTCATTACTGACCTCTCTGACATCAGCGCACCGTTGATTATACTTTTGAAATTTCCAAGCCGCTGTGGGTGAGGTCTGGTCACCAGTGCTTGATAATACAGGGACTTGAACTTGGACAGGTGCATTTCACGCTGAGACCATCGTTCTTGACAGGACTTGCGTTGCCAATTTTGTGTCTGCAGAAACCATCGTGCTTGACAGATACAAAGAGGCGCCTCAGCTCAGGCACTTGAGTCAAATATGGCAACTGTCTTACTGCACCGGCCCTGCTGGCTCAGGTGTCTCTGGAGAGGGCGTGAGCAGCTGACTTGAAACCTCTCAACACAGTATGTGTGCAGCTGAGATCTCAGGAGAGGGTCTGAGCATATTGTCAACATGTCTTTCAGACAATGTCAGAGCACTGTTTTACCTCTGAGCCGCAGCAGCCGATGTAGACTCCGCAGCGCTCTGAGGGCAGGTCTCCGATAATGAGGCCGCTGTGAATCAGTGCCTCGTAGGACACTTCCAGCAGCTTCCTCAGCTGGGGGTCCATTTTCTGCATACAGACACCATTTTAGTTTAAGATGTCAGATTCAAATTGATCGATGTATCCTTAGTACTGCCACTGAACTTATCAGCGCAGCAATGCATGCACAAGTTTGGGTAAATGGTGTGATCTTTTGCAAGACCCTCTGGATAAGTAAAGAATGAAAGACCGACAAAAATTAGCACGGATTCATCCAAGAAGTTACGGTAAGACATGCAGCAAAATTGTGCCTCTGGTCACACTCTAGGGGGCGTATTAGGTAAGCAGAGGCTGCAGGCCGGAGCAATGAATGCTGCAGTGCAGTGCAGACTTTGTTGACATGTCATTGTAGAGGCAAAATACAATCACCTTTTCAAGGTCTTCCTATCAAAAGCAATGGGTGCTGCTTTTCCTGCCAGGCGTGTGCATAATTAGCAGGTCAGACTGGCACCTTTGGGCACAAGGATAGAAAAAGGCAAGGGGAGACTCACGTTTGCCTGCTGGGCATGCACTGTGAAGAAGCTGGCATCAAACTTGTCATAGTCTGGCAGCTTGCCGGAACGAGGCGGTGTCTTCAGCTGCCCCACTGGCCAGCGACGGTCGTCCTGTGTCTGCATGTCGACACCTGCATTTGACACAAGACATTGTCAGTCTAGAACAATCTTGAACTCGCTGCAGAGAGTTGTGCAAGGCGTGGTGCCTTAGAAGAGCATGTAGGATAGGCGTGTTGATATCTGCTTGGCGCAAGAGGGCACATTGAGCAGGATGTGACAGATCTGGCGGAAAGGGGGCGCAGGGAGGGATTCACAGGACTTCAAACAGACATTATCAAATGGGTTGATCGTTCTCTGACAGGCACAGGCTGTTTGGGGTTGTTCCTTTGCTCAACGAGGACGCCTTTTGGGCCCATCTTGTCAAGGTCCTAAAATCCGGGTCACAGAAAACATTCAGTGTGATCCTTTCAGGCAAGGACAGGCGATCACTGAGCAAGAGCCAAGACAGCAGTTGGCCTAGCCGACATGCGATGTCAGGAGACACTGCCTCATACGCAAGAACGGCACGTTGGAACATGTACGTCTGCCTTTGAAAGGTACTGTCTCACCGGTGAGGAGGTTCTCCCAGAACTCGGATGGGCTGCCGGACTCGGGAAGACGGCAGGAGTAGCCCAGCACTTGTGCCGCAGGCTGCGCCATTGCGGGTTTGCTGTAGTTTCCGGTCATCCCGGTTGAGCAGACTGCACTGCGCAGGGAAAGCGAACAGATTGTGAGCTTGCACCTCATGGATATCAAGAGGACGGCAAAAGCCCAACCTGAGACAGAGACAGGGACAGTCACACCGCACCTCTTGGGTCAATAAGACAGCTGCAAGAACCATATGGCGCATATGGCGCACTTACAACCCCTTCTTTGCTTCAGCTTTGAAAGCTTTTGACTGTAAGCAGCACTAGAAAGCGTCTCCTGCCGTACCGAAGCTGGAGAAGAACCTGGTAAACTGCATGCATTGTCATGCATTCGGCCGTGAGAACCAACCGCTAGACTAGCATGTTGTTCCGATGTTATTCCTGCCTATCGGCCCGACGTTGTTTCTAATGCCGTGTCCAGCCTAACTTCATCTATAGATCCTGATGAGAATAAATAGTGGCGCAGGGGGCAGTGGTACTCATAATTTGACGCCACCAAAATCCCTTGCAGATATCCGCGCGCCTGAACACGGGCGGTAGGGTCAAGGTCGCTATGGTGTTCCACCTGAGCGAAGTCGGACCAATCGCCGACATCAAACAGAACGTCAAAGAGGTGATCCATTCTACCGATCGTCTAGAATTGCATCGATCCCCACCTGGGTTACACCGATCATGGTACGTCAGTTGCAGAGTACATTTCAAGCTTCCTCAAAGGCGCGGCGCGTATGCATCAGCATTGCTGTACTTCGTCATGTTGTACAACTAAGTTGTGCCTTTGCCAGGCACCAGCACACGTAACATACCTGCAGGTTCCCCTTCGACGCTCTCACCTGATGTAATCCCATCAAGGTGTACTTAGTAAGTCCGTCTGACGCCCTGTGGGTTGGCTCGTACAGGTCAAGGCGCATGTCGCCAAATTCTCCAAGCCAGATCCCTATCTGGCAATCCGGACGCTGGTCATCACTGCTGTGCTCTACGCCGGCTTCTACGCCGCCTTCCCCTACTACTCCAAGAATTGGACCCTGTGGTCGCTCGCCGTTTTCATGAGGGCGGGCCTGAACGTTCGCATCTTCATCATCTTCCACGACTGCTGCCATGGTACGGCGCAGGTCTCCCCACCCCAGAGGCACATATTGCTCTCTGCCCACACCAGTTCTCAACCGCGTCCCGTCAGATCGGAAGCAGCAGAGCCCTTGTCGGTGGCTTCGACCTTTCTTTGCATCTTGCAGCACCCGTTGCATCTTCGGAAGCTGCCAGAGGCCCTGTGTTGGGCCCTGCTGTTGTGAGGCCCCAAGCAGATAACTTGCGCTTTCTGTGTCTATACTACTGAGACAGGGCACTGAGACAGGGCACGGCCGATCTGAGTTCACTGACTGGGCTAATTTCTGCCGATGCTGTCACGGCAGGAAACTTCTTCAAGAGCAACCTGGCCAACATGCTAGTGGGGAGGCTGACTGGATCTCTGCAGTTCACTTCGTGGACGGGATGGGGCAAAGTGCACAACACAGACCACCACATTCACTATGGCAAAGATGTGAGCCCCTCTGCTTCTGCTGCAAACCTGACTTCTTCTGAGACAATTCCCTGCAAAATGCAAGATATTTTCAGTCAGCTGACAGCGTCAAGTAGGCTGAGAAAAATATGTGCCCAATACATCATTTGACCTACTCTCTGTTTCTTTCCTTGCTGTATCCTCAAGCCCAGAGCCGACAGGAAAAGTGTAAGATACGCAGCAGCTGACAGCCGCTTGCTTTCAGCGAAGCTCTTTGTAAAGCCTTTGTAAACAGTAAAACCTTACCAAAGAATATTGTTCAACAGGACCATGCTTTGGTGGAGTGGGGAGCAACTGTGATCTGGACCAAGCAGGAGTGGGACTCGTACTCTCTGCCCAGGAAGATTTTCCTGCGAATTGCCAAAGACCCGGTGAGTCATGCGCATGTTCCTTCGTATTATTGTGACAGGAAATTTGATGCCCTAACAGTGTGTTGGCTTGTGCGGGCTTGCATGATGTCTCAAGCAGCCTGCAAAGAGACTGGCAGAAAGCTCCTGCCAGTGAGCTAGTGCTGCATGTCGTGCTGCATGTGATTGTAGGGTGATGGAAAAAGGAAAGTAAAGTGACTGATCATGCGTAACGCATGCTGATGTTTTGTGGGTGCGCTGCAGGTCCTCTTCTTTGCCTTCATCCCACCCTTCATCTTCCTCCTCACGGGCGTGCACAACAACAAGATGCCCATGTAAATGTTTATCCGCCTGCTCACCTAAGAATCTTGCTCGCTAGAAATGGCAGTGCTTGTTGCCATATAGTCTGCTGCCTTTTTAGGGGCTGACTTGAGGACTTTGTGGAAAATTGCCCAAATGCTGCTGTGTCTTGCGTGGCATGCCACTGAATTGGCTGCCCCAGACTCATCTGTCTTGTCTAAATGCATGCATGCATGCATGCATACAAACTTTAGAAGAGCACTTTTGCAGAGGATTCAAAGTGAGTGTGCGCCTCACAGGATTGACTGGATGGTGCCCTCTCAGCCCAGGTTTTCTCTCACGCCCATGGCGCCAATTGACAGAGTCCTGCCAACACTGTTTCCCGCCCTGCAGGCATGCACCCTTCCTCTCTGACTCAAACTTCAACAGATTCACTCATGGCTGCGGTCTGCGTAACTTTGAAGACTGTCGAAACTTTAGGCTTGAAGGCATTTTGCGACGCAGCCTTGTGGCATTGCTTTGAGCTGCTCATGTGACACCTGGTTGAAGCTCTACTTGTGCTGAGGTCTTCAAGGGAGGAGACTGTTCAAAGTTCAAGACTCCAATGCAGTCTATTAGCATTGCTTGTGTCATTCTTGTGAACGGGGTTTATGTTCTCTGTGCAGATCTACGCTGGCTATGCCATGTTCGGGAAGAGCTACCTTTGGTTTGAGCTCGCATTCAACGCACTGGTGAGACTCCCCTGCACACACAATTGTTGCAACTGCCCACTTGCAAATTTTAAACTTGGATTTAATTCGCCTAGATCAGAATGCTACCAACGCACCCCACACAACTTGTGGAAGTTCTGTCCTGTCACTGGAATTTTCAGTTCGAATCGGCAGGACTGTCTTCGAGCACCCCTTCCTTGCCTACCATGTAATGGCCCCACTTGGAGTTCTCAGTCCGCCCAATACTGGGGAGATGCTTGCCAATATCAGGGCGCCAGGATATGGCCTGCCCGCATAAGAATCGTTCGAGGCCTTAAGAGTCCAGTTTTGTTAGGGTTAGGGCCCAATAGGGTAAGGGCCCAATATATTGAAAATTATAAAATGAAAAACGGAATGACAATGGGGTGCCAGATTTCTGTTCTAAGGGCTAAAGTGCAAGTGTGCATGGCTGCAGGGGAGCATTTTCGGGTTCATCCTTTTCCACTGGCAGCACTATGCCAATGTCCCCAACATGTACTTTGGTATCCCCAAGGACGACCACGAGCGCGACCTGGCATCACTCATGGGTGAGTCCATCTTAGTAAGCTCAGTAACAGCGTAGAACTTATTATTACTTATTAGTAATGGGTGTTAATTTGCCCAACCAGCGCAGAAGATGCCTGCAGCGCCTCATGCAGAGCACTGAGTACTAGCTTGTTCATGCATCTGCTCCTATTTGCAGATCGGCTGGCTGTATTGTCTCAAAATTGATGCATAGTCAGCATCGCATCGCCATGCTGTGAACGCCATGAGGCATGGTTTCACCTCTTACGAAGCCATACTGGATCTGTGGAAATGTCTGCAATCAGTGCTGAAAAAATGCTGCTGGTGTGAACTGCAGGCTCAACCTTCCAGTACGTACCTGAGTGGTACAAGTGGGCGACCTTCGGCATCGAGGTGTGTTCAAATTCGAATTCCGATCCCCTTGACACTTTCCTGCGCTTCAGCAGCAACTCGAATCAACCAAAGCCAGGCTGTGAATCTAGCCTTCAACTTCATACTTGCTAGCAGCTGAAAACCAATTTCCTGTCCTGCATGCGCCCATGGCTCTCCGTGTGAAGCCAATGCAGGGTCTGCATGCATGTCAACCTGCGGGTTTTTGAATTTGAATTTTTGTGTGTTTTTGAAATAGTATCACCACATCCACCATTTCTCCACCAAGGTCCCCTCCTACCAGCTGCGCCCCTGCCACGACACCGCCCCGCCAGGTGCGATTACTAACGATCTATCACTAACGACGACTCATTGCCAAGACCATTTTTGTCTGCAACTGCTCCAAACAGTTCCAAGAAGTGCAGATGCCCAGACCCATGGACTCTTCTGTCAGAAAAGTGCCATTGAATGTCTTAACACACGGCCAATCTCCAGAGTATCTGAGCTTGTAGTTGCCAGTTGACATGCCTGATTGAGAGCCATCTTCGCTGATCAGAAGGCACTGTGTGGCAATTACAGGCATGTGGCGTTACATCAAGTACCTGGACTTCAAGACTGAGCTGCAGTCTCTGCTGCTGGTCATGTGGAATCCTGAGAAGCACCGCTTTGAGTCTTTCCCTGAGCTGAACTGGCTTCTGGGTTTCAAGGACATCGACACTCCAGCCGTCTCTTTGAAGATTGCCAAGGAGGAGTGAGCTTCTATTTCAAATTTAAGATTGAATCGAATTCTAATCTAGAGCATGCATGCATGGGAGGGCAATGCGTACATATCAGGCCCTCAGAAGAAAAGAAAATTGTTGAGCACTTTTGTTGTCATCTGTAACATTGGTTCAGTACAACGCTCAGCGACTGGGCAAAAAAAAAGTCTTGAACCTGAAGCACCAAGGACCTGTTGTGTCGATTTTCTGCCCTGCTCATGTTGCTTTAGGATGGCCTTCAAGCAAGTTTTGTGATGCAAAGAGCGTCTATACCAGCATGCGCCGGCGTCACAGTGAGTTGGTTTGCAAAATGAAGGTATCAAGTCTTATACGTCTGCATCCTCTCTTGGTTCAAAAGTCTATCCTGTATCCGCTTTCTAGTGCTCGTTTCAGAATGCTGATTTTAGAACGAGCGCAGGCTTCTGCAGTGGAGACACCTATTGTATATCTTATCATCCTGGGAAGTTTGCATGCACTCTTGATGTTGGGAGTTTGAATACTGGTACTTTTGCGTCTGCCTGTGGCATCACGCATTCTTGCCTGTGATATGGATGTGTTCATATGTAACTTATAGTGAATGCTGCACTTCAGGATAAGTGAAAGTGCATGCAACATCTTCAAGCAAGCGTTGTCAGAGACTCCTTCTGGTGCTCACATGCACTCTTTGTGAGTGTCAAGGAGAGTGCCTGTTGACCATAGCTAGAAGCACGTGCACGGAAGTCATTGACGGGCAGATCAATCACAACAATGGTCTAGAATGAAGCCTTAAGGCTGCACATGGTCCCATGCATTCTTTTTTATCTATTTGCAAAGCGCTAGCATGATGAGATCGAAGGTGTTAACTCCTAGAGGGCACTTGTAGGCATGCAAGGATCTTGCCAGGCCTGCCGCGCATTAACAGATCCGTGCCGGGCAGTGGCAGAAACGCCTGCGCGCACAGCAGGGCCAATTTCAGATAACAAGATAATGTCAGGAATCAGTGTATCGCTATTCCTGTCAGGGGCAAGGTGTGTCTGCAGAATAGCTGCAGCCTGCAGCCTTTACCTGAGGTAAAGGCTGCCATAATCATGTTCCTTGCTGGACTCGCCTGGTTCAAAGATGACCAAATTGAGTGTGGGCACAGTGTTGAGTATGTGCTGCCTCCCGCCAGCCGGACTGAGAAAAAGAGGTTTCCTAAACCATGAAAGCATATAAATACCCGGTCGTGCTTTTCCCTAGGACATCTGATCTGACAACTGTCCACCTTTTCACATGAATTATGCAACGTCCATGCTCTGAGCTTCCTGTGTTCAAAATTTGCTTTATTTTCAATTCGCAAGATCATCAGATTGCAGCTGATTTGCTGCATGCTTTGGTGCTTGCCTGGATTACTGATACTTGTGCAATCAGGTTGACTTCCACCTACTGCCTCAGCTTGCCAATGGACATTTTCCCTGTTGCATACAAGCCCACATGAATGCCTGCATACCACAGAGACCCCCTCAGCAGATTGCTGAATCATATTTCATTGCTAGGGCATCCGGGTAGTCTGAATCTACTACTTTAGTAGATGAATGTGCTACTGCATTAGTAGATTTTTGGCACATGTGTCATCTAGGGCGTTAGATTCCCTCGCAGTATAGCACCTGTGTTGGAACTAGTGTGGTACGCACATGGGGATTGGGAGGGCAGTTTTCCACTCAAATACTCTATCTATGTTCATCGATTTGGAATATGGGCAGGCCATAACACATTGGGCCCACCCTCCTTCTGCACCCCTTCAGTATTGGGCGTACTAAAAACAAAAGCTTTCCTACATTACCGTATGAACAGAAAACTCTTTGTTGATGAGCTTGAGTTCCGGAAATGCCTCTTAGCATCTCGAGATGCCTTTTTTCGTATGTCACAGTAATAAAGAGAAGCCCATCCCCAATAGCACACGTACAGAGCGCCTTACCCGTTGCATAGGTTCTGCTTTCCTTGTGAAATTCTAGATAGAAGGTGTGACCACGGACGAGGATGGCCGTGATGTCATAGCAGACTGGGTATCGAATGAGCAGACGAGGATAGCTTTTACTGGTTGCAATGCCATCGAGTCGGGTGCAAGGTATTTTCATCAGAGCTGCTTGGGTAGGGAGGAGGCGGGAGCATTATCCTATGATAACAATTACTATCATCTCCGTGGTACCACAGAAAAATACCCGGAGCTGTGGAACATCACCACCCACAAATGCTGTGGGGATTGATTTGCTGCAGCGAAGGATAGCCTGCCCGACGATGACAGAGCTCAGAACCTCAAGTATCAGGGAGTAGTAGGTACGTTACAGTCACTTTGCAGGCTTCACTATACTTGACAGGAAGACCTCTGTGCCGTGCCTTTCAAATATGTCAGAAGAAGTGAAAGCCCGATTGGTGCACAAACTTATAATTTGTGCTGACCGCAGATGGAGAATTCAAATCCGTGGAGAAGCAGCGTGCTGACAGGCGAGCTTGCAAGCGTCGCAAACAGATGTCATTGCTGCAGACTCACCAACAGACAGATGGGACCACATCAACAGTGGTCTTTACGACGAGGCCGCTTAATTAGCGAATCTCCTTCACCCACATCTCCGACAGCCTGCGCTTAATCGTACCTGGCCTGTACGCGACCCTTTTGGCTGCGATGGACTTGCAAGCAAGCGGGCTAGAGACAAGGAAAGCCAGCCCAGCAGCTGCAGTGCAGATCCAGGCAGTTCCATCGGCTGCCGAGCCGCCAGCACCAGCACCCGCTAGCCTTCCGCAGCCAGCGCAGGCAGGCATTAGCCGCAGACAGCTGAGCAGTCAGGCAGCCGCAGAGGACATCGTAAATCGCTGGAAGGGGTTCAGGCTCAGGGCATCAGCCAGCCGCGAGGAGCTAAAGCGCTTCCTACAGGACAGGCAGCAGCGGCCAAACTGCACTTCAAAAGAGTCACTGCTTGCGAGGGTGTAGGCCATCTTGAGGCAGGAGCATCCAGACGGTGAGGCCATGCTCTATACCAGATGGGAAGTTGTGCAATTCAAATTGCCATTGTAATCCCAATGGAGATATTGAAGAATGGCTGAGGTGGAAAGCTGAGGCTTGCATGTCTGTAGGTGGCTTGGAGCCCACCCTGCACCGAAGAACCGACCACAGTCAATGTATTTGAAGCACGGACAGAAGTCTCCGGAACAGGAAAACCCTACGAGGAATGTCAGCAGAAAAACCAGGTATTTCAACGCAACAATCCTCATCCAGTCTGTTGTTATGAGGAAGCTTGATCGGTAGAAGGGGCGCTCACGTTAATTTAGAGGGCTTGTGCTGTGGCATTACACGACTCAAGATCAGAACGTCGAACTCATTCGCCTGGTCGGATGCTGCATTAGCGAGTGTAGGCTGCACTGTGAAGGATTGCGAGACATGCACTTTATAATTCCCGAAAGTTTCTTTCCCGAGAGTGAATCCGTCAGATGACACGAGGAAGCAGACCCTGCGGTGCGCAAACCCCATCCCAGGATCTGAGCATTTGGCTGAATTTTGCTGACGGGGGAGTCACCATTTAGAGTACAATAGCATAGAGCAATCCGAGCCTCAAGTGGATTATTGTCAACTGCACGACTCTGACTCAGCACAGAACAGTGCATGGCCACTGACTCGATTGAGAACAAGGGATCGTCTCCCAAGTTTCGAGTTGGAAGGTTTTTAAACGTCTGCATGATTACAGTGTGTATGATTACACCAGTTTTAAGAAAGGAAAATGAAACTCCTAAGAAATACACTGGGACTTTAAGCTTAGATTCAGGAGGTACACAACACTCTTTTCAATTAAACTTGATCGTTGCTGAGCGTTCTGCACCCATCACTGAATGCAATGTACAGTGCACCAAATGGCTGCGTTGGCAGCGGGAAAGAAATTCATGAAAGAAATGCATCCGAATGCAACCCCCAAAAGCCTCTGTGCTTCACGTACACGCAGCCTAAATGCCAGATGTACGCGCGGACACATTTTTCGAACCGAAAGACATTCAAGGCACTGCCTGGCATGGCTATGAAACGATGGTACACAGGTAAAGAATTTCAAATCTCCAGAACTCAGGAAGGCTGCATTGCTTTGTGGTCCATGCGTACTTCTAAAGAGAGTCATTGACCTAAGTGGTGCATGCAAGCCCACTAGAGTGCACCCTCGTGGAGCCAGTTTTCCTTTCATTCTCAACCCTCATTTTCTCGGAGACATTGCCACTTCCACACACCAAGCTGCAGGGAAGTTCCCTTCCCAGGCTCACAAAGCTTATTGAACAGCAATTTTGATTTTGAATCTGGAAGAATTCAAATTTGGACGAACTCAAATTCGAACGAATTCAAATTCCTCCCTACAGACCGTCGCCGCCGAGCTGCAGGGGGGGGAGCGCCTGGCTGGCAGGCAGGTCATAACCCGGCAGCGTGGTGCAGCGTGCTCCGATTATGCTGTCTTTGCCAAACTTTGATTTGTCCTGGTGGATAACGAGCTGCCCGTTCTTGCGATATAAACCCAGGTGGCAGAACACAATCGCGTTGCGCCCCACAATGACTCTGTCTTCGACCAGGGGCAGGTCAAAATCGTTGTGCGCCATGCTGCGTGCACAGAAGAAAAGTGTGGGTTAGTCATCATTGGTAAAGCAGTGGTAACCCTCCTAATAAGTAAGGCGCTTGCATGCCTAGTTGCAATGCAAAAAGGTTGCTGAACGCGCAGCATGCACATGACAGACGTAACCAGAGACGTTTGAAAGCGCATTTCTTTTCAAGAGCACGTAAAGTGGCAAAGCATAGTACCATACAGGGCTCTAATTGTTGAAGAACCCCATAAAAAATTAAATCACAGCAAGTGTGTGACAAGAAGATTTCCAAAAGGCTGCTGGCGGCTTACCATGAGTCTAAAACCACCTCTTTCCCAACAGTCATGCCCCAGATGCGGCCAGAGACATTGTGCCAGAACGAGCCCCTGATTGCCTCAGCCTGCACCAGTCACCCAAACATACTTATTAGCACCTTTTCTGAGAATGCCAACAGGCACGCTGTTCTCTGTACCTCATGTAAGCTTGTCTCCTTTGAAAGAGCAGAAGACTGAGCTGTCAAGCTGAACACGATTGACTGTCACAAAGCAAAGAGGAATTATAATTGAAACATGAGGGAAAGAGATGCTTACAAAGGTGTGGCTGAGGGGGATTTGGCTCATGAGCACAAGGGTGCGTTGCAGATTGAAGGCCTCGTTTTTCTTCCACACCCTTCCAGGCTGCAGCTTGCCCACCAGGAGGGCCTTGCACCCAGCAATCAAAAGAATCTGCAGCACACAGATACACTCAATCAGGAATGCAAATCCAAACGCTTGAGCAGGATATGCAGCAACCATGGAGGCTGTGAGAAGGCGGGGCCAGTGAGCAATGCCATAGCAGTAGGAAAACAATTTGGACAATGCTCTAGAGGACAGGGAATCCCTCTCAGAAGACAAACCAACATTTTGACTGACAAGGTGAGATTAGCCCTCCTTCAACCTGCCCAGCAGCTTTCAACAAATTTAAAGCTCACGCAGGAAAGTGCTTCCAGGCTTTTAGAGCCAGTAATCATGATTAGTCATCCACCAAAAGGTGAGTCACCTGGCCTGCCCCGAAGGCAGTGTAAACAAGCGGTGCGAGCGCCAGAGCCACGTTGGGAGAAGGAGCCAAAGCCGCGACGGCCGCTGCCAGAATTGAGGCGGCATGCGCTGCAATTGTGACGACCAGGAATGCGAGCAGCGGCTGCAGCAGGGGAGCAACCGCGAAGCGCAGCTTCTCGCCGGGAGTCGTTGCCGGGTCCATCACCTGAGATAGATACAAATATTCTGCATGAGCCAATTGAGTTTTGATTTTGAAGGGGCGGCATACATGTGCAGGCGCACCGGCCTTTCATTTCATGTAATATGTATTGGGATGTCTGGACCTGTTCGTAGCTAAAGCTGTGCATTTGCAAGCAGCACACTCATGTAACTGGTAGAAATTTGACAAGGTACCTTGAACAAGCTGCAAAGCAGGCTCCAGAAGAAAATGTGGGCAATGCCACTTGCACAGGGCATCTGTATATGAGGAAGTCGCTGCAATCAAGGACCAGCCGAGAGCTGCCGATTTGCAATGACATTTGCAATGACATTGAGGCAACAAGGGAATGAGTGCGGCGGGCAAATTACACAAGGACACAACGCCATTGTAGCTGCATAGTGCAATTCGATAGATTTGCAAGGGTGCTTACCCCCAGGCGGACGGTGGTCTTGACCAGGGCAGTGGCGGGTGTTCCAAAGTAGAGCATCTGAGCCATGAGGTCAGCGCCTGGTTCAGCCGAGGCCTGTCCTCCCAACACAACTCCCTTGCCCACCCGAGTTGCTGGGCACAGCACGGACGCCAATCCCAGCAAGGCCTGCATGAAACAAACCCTAAACCCTAAACCCTAAACCCTAAAAATCAAATTTGAATTTACATATAAGTGTTCAAATGGGACGCATAAAGCTCAAGAGTGCAAACGGCTTTGACGCGGGCGCTGAAAAGGGGCGCAACTTGCATGAAATAAGGGTGGACGTATACATTTCCAGGGGTTTCAGGGTGCAGCTATTAGGGTTCAGGGGTCACAAGACAGCAAATATCAATTGTCAGAAATTTGCATTTAAGTTTTTAATATTATGGCAGTGCAAGCGCACCTGCTGCCCGATATCAACCTTGCCAACGAGGACTCGGTCTGCGTCCAGCGCCCTGGAAGTCAAAATGTTGGCCGTATCGCCGATGTGCACCCTGCAAATTTTTATATCAAGCACCAGTTTAGCTGCACTCAGAATGCGCCTTGCGCATGTATATGCAAGCTTGCAGCACTGCAAGCTTTTATACCCTGCATGAGAAGCTTTTAAACATGCGCAAAGTTCTTTTCAGGCAAGTAAGGGCAGTACAACAGTGAGAGCCGGAGCAACATTGAAGATAAGCACCGTAACCCTGCATCACGCCCCCTAACCCTGACATCATATGAAGTAATGCGTTCCTCACCCTTCGGCAATGTCGAGCATGTCTGGGGTGAGCATCATATTGCCGAAGCGGATGTTGACCTCCTTTGCAATCTTGGCGCCCATGGCTCTGAGGTACACATTGATCGCCCATGTGCCCCTGCATGCCATCATCATCTTCAAAATCTAAATTCAAATTTCAAGAAAAAACACAAATACGGTGCCTGGAAGCAGCCAGATTTGCTGCATGTATGGCTTCTCTGACAGGAGAGGAGATTGTGCTTGAGAAAGCAATTTGACTTATGCTGAGACAGAAACAAGGCGATGAGTTATTGGCCCTGCTGGGGAGTGAAAGCAAGCAAAAGGGAATGAAATAAAGTATACCTATCACATATCATTGAAAGAACATTTTCTGTCGATTTAGGAGGGATGACTCACATGCACATGATGGCGAAACGCTTATAGCCCATCTCGACCGCTCTCTGGGCCAGCCAGAATCGGAGTCCATACTCCGACAGCCGCCTGCAGCCATCGCGTAATTGCTCTTAGATACAAGTATCTGTTGCTTTCTTCTCGTGCGCAACACTCAGCAAAGACAACTCTCTTCTCAGCGAAGAAGTCATGCAGTATCCTGGCAGTGTGTGGGTATAAGGACCACTGAAACTGTCTAGTGACAGGAAGCCTGAGGATAGGGCACCAAGAGCACACCTATGCCACCATGGCAAGCATGTATATGCAAGCCCGTGAAGTGACTTCCGTTTGAGGAGAGCGCAAGGGTCCAAACCATACCCACATCATGGTAAGGTTGTACTCCCTGATCTCAGCACGAATCCTACACTTCCTTTGCAAAAACGTGCAATTCAGGAAGTCAATGTGATGTCAGGATTCATGAGTCACTCGGGATGAAGACCCCACCTGTGAGTGCCAGGTTTGGCACGGCCCAGAGCGGCCCACTTGATGGCGACCATGGCAGCGCACAGCAGTACGCCGAAGATGACGTAGGCGACAGGCACAAGGGGCACGAACAGAAGCGCCGTTGCCGGGTGAAGGAGTGCTGCCAGAGCCCCGGCCTCGGCCTGCAAAACAGCTCATGATTCAATCTTTAAGTTCATCAATATTCGACAGGGTGGAGTGCAGAGATGCTGTGAGAATACGCTTACCGGCAGTGCCAAGAAGAGCATGGACTTCACAGGATGTACCCTACTTCATGACCGTTGATAATATGGTGCTGGAAAGCTGAGCCACTTACCGGCAGCGCCAGGAAGAGCATGGGAATGAAGAGCGGGGAGACCATGGCGGTCAGGGCGGCGACAGCGTAGACGGCAGGGGAAGTCATGAAGGGAAGCTGGAGTCCCAGGAACGCCATCGTGCGGGCGATGACAAACAGCGCTGAGTAGACCGCAGGCGCCGTCACCAGGGCGATAGTGTACATGCCCGCGACCTGTGCAGCACAGAACGTTGGCCATGTTTTGCCTGTGATTATCGGCCGTTCTCTTGCCGATGACTTGCTCAGTGCTGGGTCTGTGGAAAGTGCAGTGACCAGGATTGGTGATGCAATGCAATCTCGCAACCAGGTCGAATACAGGAGATTGCTTCAGAATGCCACATTTGCCTGCCACTTTTGAAGGCCATCTCTGCAGATTGCTCATAATGGAGAGATCGCTCAAATCTGGATCTGCGCAAGTGTTGCAGTGCTTTGGATTTCCAATGCTCGAGGGCCCGATTCCCATTCCTCACAGTATGTCTGGTTCAAAACTTGGCTCTAAATTGTTGGAGTTTGACTTGACTCGATTTTAAATGTAGGAATCTGACTTATTGACTCGCCTGCAGCAGGGAGTGGGCAGTCGCCGATACAGCAGGGCTCTCGATGAGAGCCAGTGCCTCAGCCATATGCGGCGACTGCTGCGCGGCAGCTGCCGGTCCCTTTGTCTTCCGGACGGGGGCGGCCTTGCGAGGCTTTGTGGCGAGCGCCGGCAGCTGCTCTCCCTTGAGCAGAGTCAGTCCCGGGCCTGCCAGGCTGAAAGGGTCCAGCCGGCACCCGTCCCCAATGACCACCTGCAGATGCAAACATTTGTCATATTAGAAATATTACCGGTAACCTTGCGAAAAGGCTTTCCTGCGAAAACGGGCCGCAGTTCAAAGCTATCAGAATCCCATCGCTGGGTGAATTCATTCAATTTTACCCGCTCGTTTGTGGGAACTGTGCTCAATGTTTATACCCCCTTTACCACATAGGGTTCATATTTTTATTAAGATTATCATTGATATTACTGTTATTGCTACATGCTTCAGCTGCCAAGAGGGTACATCTGCAGACAAGCTGCTGCCAAACGCTTCCAAAAAATCAGGACGCGCCTAGTGTTAGCAAGAGCCACGGTGCTCAGTACTTATACCAGCCTCCGCCAGCCGGAAGCTATGGTTTATGTGTCATCATTATTGTTACCATTACACGCTGTTCCTGCCAGGGGCAAGGTGCGTCTGCAAACAAGACCCATGTGAAGGCTGCCACATACTTTACCACTGTGCATGTAAGGTTAAGTGTTATTGTGAGGCATGCATCACCTCGTCAAAGTGCAAGAAGCCGCCCTTGTAGTAATGGCCCATGACCGTGGCGCCTTCACCGATCGCCACGTTGTCTCCGATGCTGATCAGGTCAAAGTCAGTCACGTCCAGGGTGTCGATCACAACATTCTCCCCGATGTGCGCCCCCTGCACGGCCAAAATAAAGAATAATGAATATTAAACCTTCTTTAGTATCCCCATAACCTCTAGAACCCTACAGGGAGGGATCCTAATCATCTAATAGGGCAGGCTGCCGGTTGAGGCATTGCACAGCATGCTGGGTTGCACAATTGTTGAGGCTGGCAGTAAATCAGGGAAATTAACAAGGCGCCAAGACAAGTCCGGCTTGTGTGGCGTGAGTATTCTACATGCCAGTGGCAGGAAAGCAGATGGTAGCGGTTTGTACCATTGCCCGCAGCCAGGAGACGAGCAAGCCTGTGCTGCGCAGCTGGTCGGCAAAGATCATTGTTGTCACGCCCACCATCCTGTTCACCTGCAGCAATGAACACAGGTTTGAATTCTTCCCTCAACAGCTGCTGTAGTGCCTCACAGTAATGCTTTACCCATAAACAAGCAGACACATCCAGCAAGCCCTTAGTGCAGGTAAAGACTCAGCATAGGGCAGCCACATGCACCAGCCAGCATCGCTCAAACAGCAAGTGCACTGCAGACCATCTTCTTGAGCTGGCATGAAGGCACCGAGAAACAGAATATGGTCTAAAATTACAATATTCAAGTTCGAAGTTGAGCACTCACCAGCCACCAGCGAGCAAAGTCGCCGGAGAACATTTTGATGGGGTGGCGGGGGGACAGTCGAGGTCCAAATATGCGCTTGGTCAGCACGCATGCAAAGCAGAGGCCGAATCCGAGCGCCAACCAGACAAGAGGAATGAGCGGCAGAGCCGCCCAGATGCCCAGATTCGTTCCGACTCCAGCGGCGGCGGCGAAGCAGGGAACTCCCACGGACATGAGCACGGATCCTGTGACACACCCATGCGTCATAAAGTCAGTCATGCATGCAGAATTGATAGCTGCAAAATAGAAAGCGGCCACGACAGGCCTGTACCAAGCCTGCCGGCGAAGCAGGGGACTGCAGAATAACTGCTGGCCATGCTTACATGCGAAGATGAGATGGAATTATTTGTGAATTGTAATCCAAGGTACGGTACTCTTCAACTTCAATTGGATCCTTCGGGCCAATCCGGTGCAATGCGACAGCATTCAGCACTTTTTGACATGTGAGAGAAGCATGCCATAGAATGTTGCAGGCAAAATCCTTCATATTTTCCCAAGAATTCTGTGCAGGGTGGTTTGGAGGTACACGCACCGATGTACAGAATGCCGATGAGAGTTGAGACGGCCCACTTGGCCTCACGCTGCCAGGGGCGCTCATGGGCGGCGGCTGCGGCGGCCGCCGTTACTGCGGCGGGGGCCGGGCCCGGGGCGATTTTTTGCGCGGCGGACTTTGGCGCAACGGCCGGGATCGGGATCTCTGAGTCAAAGGCAGAGTCCGTTGATGGGCTGCGAACCGGCCTTTTCCCTTCGTACGCCTGCAGAAGTCAGACCAGAGTTGAGACACCCAGACGGTGCTGCAAATCTGTGGCGCGCAGCATTCCAGTTTCTGTGTATTACATTTTGCAGGGAATGAGCGAACGAGAAGAAATGTCTCCATGCCGCTGCGAGCGCTTGACAGTGACGGCTAGCCAGTGTTATCGGCTAATTGGCAGCCGAACAACTCGATACATGCATGCTGCCCTAGGTTGAGCTGCACTGCTGAGATCAGCCGTTGCGCGTGTTGTGCATGCCAGTCGCACCTTGACTGGCTTGGCCACAATCGGAGTTGTCAGCGCAGTCGGCGATGGCGGACGGGGAATAGTGGGCAGGCTCTGGCGGTCAGGAGTGCGCGGGGCGATCTCCTCTTTCTCTTGCGGCGGGGTGCTGGGGCGCGTGTCATCAGCGGGAAGCTTCAGGGCGGCTTCTGCGGCAGCTCCCTGTGGCTCCTCAGCGGCCGACGGCTCGGTCGCCTCAGCTGGCGCGGTCTTCGACTCCCCGGCCTCCTCGGCCAACTCCCTCAGGCCCGCGAGGGTCAGCGTCCCGATCTGCAATCAGTCATTGAAAGGAGTCATCCACCCGTCATTGAAACAATATACCATAGCGCTGACTTGCACACCAAAGGATGCAGGGATATCGCTGATGCCCACTCTTGCACATCTCCCAAAGACCCACACTCTCCACAGAAGCCTGACATCTGCAACTTCTTGGTACTGCACAAGGCCAGAACTACAATTCAAAAGTTTACAAGTGACAATTTTGGCGGGAAGTCTGTCCACTTAGCAGCTCAATGAAGGGGAATGAAGGTATAACAGTGCAGGGCTACGAGTGCATGCCTGCTCAAGAGGCAGAGGCCGTCCGATGGCGGTCTGGACCTTGGAGCGGATCTCGACCAGCTGCAGGGAATCCAGGCCCAGATCTGCCAGGCTGTCGTTCTCTCCAACTTCCCCCTCCTTCAGGCCCATCAGCCCCAGCACCGACGCCACCAGGCCCTGCCAGGATTTGAAGTCGATTGAACTTGCTTTTTGGAATATTTTCTCAGATATTTTTTTCTGGTTTCTTTTTCTCTGGAAATATACACATGGGACAAGGCCCTGACACATGCGCACGTGTGTAGTCTGAGCCACACCGGACAGCTCTCTTCAAGGTCGATAGAAGTTCAAAGCCCCCAGCAACGATGTTTGAAAAGGGCAACTGGTCAGCGCACTGACGGCGGCTGCGCAGGCAAGAAACTGGAACGGAAACATACAAAAGTGAAGACATAGGGGAAAAGTAGTGTTGGGGTATTTCTTACCTTGTCACTGTCACCGCCGGTGTTGCTGTACAGCTCGTTCAGAGTGGCATTGCAGCCCTGCACAGAGCCACTCTTCTTAGCTAACAGGCTTATTTTTAGGGTCTAGGGGTATATTTTGGGTACGGGGTTCAGCCAACAGATGTAAAAAGCGCCTTCCTTTCTCAAGGAAAGTCCAATGCAGACCTCACATTGACAATTTCTTGATTTTGTTCCAAGAGTACTTCTGTGCCTTTATGGCGATAAAGAGACATTTGTTTCTGCTGAGCTTCTGAAAGAGACAATGTATACGCACCATCATGGAGCCGATGCAAGGGCCTCCGCAGAGGAACTTGCCCAGAGCAACGAGGCAGTCCTCGATCGGCTGCGGCGGATTGATCTCAAACTTGCGTCCGATGATCTTGCCCTGAATTTTCAAGCAAACAAGTGATGATACAACGAGTACCAATCAAAAACGCCCGCTGTCATTCCGCCCACAGCAGGCTGCAGTTTTCCAGCAGACGAAAAGTGGCGCCCACATTTCAGAAACAGGCAACGAAGTCACAACCTCGCATGAAATCGCCTACTGATTGCATGGCTTGCTGAGATCACCGTGATTCACTCCATGTCAGTGCATATCAGGTCATATTTTTGCAAAGACGATTAGTGCTGAATAGTCGTAAATACGAAGGTAATTGAATGGGCAGGTGCAAGGATCATGACTCACCTGCAGGATCTCTTCGATGTACCCAACACCGGCCACTGCGCCCCAGGAGATGGCGAGGCCTGGCAGACCCACTCTCCTGCGCGACTTGCACAGCATTTCGCCAACCATGTTTGCCCACGCGTAGTTGCCCTGGCCTGCAGGATTCAAGATTCCGTTCAAATACAGGGCCTGCAAAATTCAAGTTCGGGGTGTCAAAATTCCCCTTTCTTCAGAACTGCAGTGATTGCCAGACTGCAAAAAGGAGAGTCAGTCTCACAACACTCAATACTTTCTGGTAGCATCATGCCAACAAACTGCATGCGTCCTGCCACCACTCATTGTAAAGGTCAGATATGGAAATATCAGGCTGCTGCGGGGTTGTACAGTGCATCACCCCTAAAACAATACCCATGTTTATATACGAGCGTATGAAACATGCCTCCTCTAGCCTAGCGTAAAGGGTGCCACTTCTTCTGTCTGTCAAAGCATACTGCCGACGTTCCACCGTCACCAAATTCGCATTTGTATCTGAAATCGAATTCAAAACAGTGGCGCACCTCTGTTGCCGGCCCACGCAACCGAGGAGCTGAACATGACAAAGTGCTCCAGGTGAGTCAGCCCCTGGCAGGCCATATCCAGGTGCAGCGCCCCCTGCGCCTTGCACTCCACCACCTTCTGCCAGCTCTCGCCAGTCTGCAGTTTTAGACAAACGGACTGATCAGTAACCCTTTGTGCGTAGTAATTTGTCCCCTGACCAGAGCGCATGCCAAACAAGCATACTGCCTAAACCATTAAGGCATCGCTGTTTGTGCCCTTGCTAATTTGCATCTCAAGCATGCACACTCCTTTCCCGCCAATTGACAGTCTAATTTCTCCTGCTTAGCATTCCCATTTTCAGGTCCTGTCCCCTTATCAAAGCACTTCTGTGCGCACCAGAGTGCAAATATTTTATGCACTAGACCCAGCTCAAACGCTCTCCCCTCCCAACCCAGGGCTTCCTGACAGTACAAATTTCCAAGAGCACAACCAGGAAGTTTATGATGCCTTTAGTAATTGCGCTTTAATTTGTTGCACCTGGTTGGTCAGGAAACGGTCGCTCAGAATCATGGCGAGGTGAAAAACGCCGCCGACAGGCGCCTGGCTGTCTGCGAGCTTGATCAGTGCATGTGCCTCGTCGAGGTTTGCCACGTCCAAGGTTGACACCGCCACCTGCATGCATGCATTGCTCAGGCTTCACGCACGGGAAAGGTGATGCATAGGATCAATTGCATGCTTTCCCCAATCTTTAGGACTAGATACGTAAAGCAGCAACTGGATGATTTCTTTTGCGGCTCGCGCGTTCTTGCACACCTCGCCCGTTCTTGCACACCTCTCCCAGACCAGATTTGCAAGACCAGTTACTGTTATTTTTATATGCTTTCCTGCCGAAGGCAAGGTACGTCATGCAGACTAGACCAATTCCCTCAAGAAAATGCCTCATGCAGATATTGAAAACCCCAGCCAAGCAGTGACTTTCACACTCCCCAGCTTCCCTTCTTGAGCCGACCAAGGCCCCATTTCTGCTGCACCAGAGTATTTTACATCAACATTTCATTAGCTGATGATCGATTACCTTGGCGCCAAAGCTGTCGCGCAGCCTCTGCACGCAGGCAGCCTGCTCGCCCGTGCGCATGCCTCGCTTGGAAGTCAGCACGAAATTGCGAGCGCCCTTTTCGGCCATCCAGATCACCATCGCCAAACCAAAGCCACCCAGTCCTCCAGTGATCACATACGTCCTGTCGGGCCTGCAGCAAGATAGCAAAGGTTGCTCAGATGCGCACACAGTGGTTTGTCTGAGTCTCTGATAAGTTCTGGTCCTCCGCTACGAAACAAATGGAAGGCTGCCGGCGCTCACAGGCTTTCATGCAGCATACATTTGGGGCGTATTTGGACAAACTTGGGTCGTTTTTTGGGTATTGGCAGGGAAAGCATTACCTGACACAAGAAAAATACACTGTCAGGACAATGCTCTGGCAAGGAGTTTTCAAGACGTACAGGAGTAAGGGGCGAGAGCGATGTCTCACCTGAAGCTTATCTGAGGCACCGCGCTGAGCTCTGAAGAGGGAGCCACCTCATCTGTCCCTAAGGTTGGCTGCACCAGGACCTTCCCGATATGTGTGCCTGGGAATAAACACACAGGGGCTTGGACTCTGACTCACAAGGAGACTCTTTTGGCGTAATAAATAAAATTTACAGTGTGGCCCTAATTCCTGATCAGCATGATGCGTTCCATGTGTGGCTTTATGTGCAGTCGCACATGGCAGACGGTTCTGCTGTAGCAGAAGAGGTAATGCTAAGATTGATCAGACAATTTTGCTGTTGGCTGTCTGCTGTTGCCATCGCTATCCCTATCCCAGACACTAATTGCTAAACTCTTCTGAAAACAAGAAGCAGTTGCAAGAGAGGTGTCATCTCAAGACTGTCCTTGGACCGTCATTGGGCCACTTCGAGATGTACCAAGATCAAAGATTTCTGGGAGCTACAAAACAATTAGAGATGGTGATAAGAATGATGGGCCCGCACCTGAGGCCATGTAGCGGAAGGCGGAAGGTACATCATCCGCCTTGTAGACCTTGAATGGCAGCGGCTGCACCTCGCCTGTGCGGATGCCCTCATTCAGAAGAGCGCTCAGTTCCGCCATCTGTGCAGACCAAAGCATCACACACGTTTGTGGCTCTGATTTATTCATCAGGGCTGCCAAAGAATCAATCACATCAGACTACATTTGTCATATCTTTTACTTGTATGAGAAATACAATTCTTTAGTAATCTTAATGGAAATAGTAGAAGCCGTGCAGCTGTAGACCTGTAATGTTACAAAACTGGAGTGCGAATGCAGGAGCAGACAGCAGAGCAAAGGGCCTCTGATTTTTTAACTTTTTTGTTTAGGCTCAGGACCGTCGTTAAGTCTACAGTTTTCTTTTTTGAGTCTCCGCCATCATTGAACACGCAAGCCAATGATTTGCAGCCAATAATAAGCAGCAGCAGGGAGATATGTTTTTAGGGGTTTAAACCTAATGTTTGGAATTCGTCTTTGGACTGAAGTTAGTCACCTGCGCGGGGTCCTCGCCGTCATTGAAAACGCGGTCGAGATCGATCCCTTGGAAATCGATGTTGCGCAGCAGTGGCCGCATGGACAGTCCGGTGCCCTTCAGGATGTCGTACTTGCCGATCTCCAGCAGCTTGCCGTAGCTAGCAATGCACCGGACGCTCGCCTGCAGACAGGTTCCAGGGTGTTTACTCTATGACCTTGATAATGGGGCGATTACCACACCCTACATAAAGCACAGCATGCAAAAATCATTTGTTCTGCGACAATGACAAGTCTTCTCCCTGTGGCACTTTGTGCCGTAGTCAAACTTGTTGCTAGCTCAAAGTTTTCCAGACCCAATTTTCAGATTAGATCCCTATACACGGCTTGCATTGCAAAAGCTTAATGCCTGGTCATCGCCATTGCCTGGATTTTTGTCTCTTACACTGACACTGCCAACTGCCAAAGTCTACAATGCCAAGTAAAGTTCAATTTTATGGAGCCACCCAAATTTGTTTCCAACAAAAGTCCTCATGTTTTCGAATTCAGATTTTCAAATTTGAAGCGCCAGAAATCTTACCTGCAGCTTGTCGCCTGCCAGGGAGTTGAGCACCATGTGAACGCCGGCCCCCTTGGTGGCGCGCAGGACGACTGCCTCGAAGGAAGTAGAGCGGCTGTCGCCAATGTGGTCTTCCTTAAGCGCCGGGAACCTCTCCATCAGGAATGCCTTCTTCTCTGCAGAGCCGCACGTCACAAACACCTGCATGCGGCATTAAACATCCTTCAGCCCTGATGTCGTGCCGTTGCCAATATATATTTTCCAGTCAACAATGATCAAATGTGCAGTCTGCAATGAAACTGTGGCTGTACCGTACTACGGTAGCTAGCCAGGAATCGCAAGGGCAAAACAAACAAGGAAATAGTGGCAAACAGGTGGAACACGCAGCTTTGCCAGGATTGCTCAGCACAGACTGCAGCCCTGCTGTCATTTTGAATTTTGAATAGATCTACACGCTTTACCTGCCAAGGATCCGAAGCCACGAAAAATTCTACCAAATTAAGATTAAATATATAACGACCCAGCACTGCTTACCTCGCAGCCGCGGTGCAGGCAGATAGCGATGGCCGCCAATCCCACGGCGCCGCTGCCGGAGTGTATCAGCACGCGCTGGCCAGGGCGGAGCCGGCCGCGCATGAGTAAGGAGTAGTAAGCGGTGCAGTAAGCCACGGGCACGGTTGCGGCCTGGGCAGCGGTCCAGTCAGCCGGGTAGTCCCATAGCAGCTCGCTACGTGTCGCCAGGCGAGTGGCTATCGCGTTCTGGCCCACACCCATCACGCGGCGTTCCCCAACCTGCAACATTGATACTAGTCAGCACGCGCTTGCATGCAAATGAGCAATGACCCTCGTTGCTGCATGACAAGTGACATTGTGAGTACAGGCTAGAAGGCATGCTTGGAGTCTCTAGCACTTGAAAAGCTTCGTCTCAAAATGAGATAAGCACACTTCCTGCTCTTTCCATGCAAGTTGTGATGTAGCGGACAGAATAGGAGTGTTTGACTCTCATCAGCAACACCTAAACCACGGATTTGGTCTGCCCTGCCGGTCGACTTCGGGTCAGATACATTGAAATTAATACAAGAAAGAGATTTGAACCAGTATTCATACCTTGCCGGAGAATTCGAGGCCGATGTAGTCACCCCCGCCCTGGCCATTCTTGCCGTGCGCCATCAGGTCGCGGCTCAGCTTTCCATACGCAAGCATCACATCGCGGAAATTGAGCGCGCCTGCGCAGCAGCGGCCGCTTGTTATGACTTGCCTGTAAAGCCGCGGCAGGCATGACACTAATCTTTGACTTTCAGCTGTGAATCACATGTGCCAGACGCATGCGATGCTGTTGAAAGCAGACTCTTGAAACACAGACAGGCTCTTAAAACAAAACCACTGGCCGGGGATGAATGCACCGTTACCACTGGAGTTAAATAATAGAAATTCCTAGAAAGTTGGTTTACTTTCTTTGAACGCACCGTAGTCAACGTCGCAGACCACATAGCCGTCTGCTGAGGAGGGCAGAGGCAGGTTCTGCACCCAGCGCATGGAATTGAGGTCTCCATAAGTCTGCACCTGCAGATGCGCGCCCTGAGGCACCCCCGCCCTTGCTGACAGCTTGTCCCATCTGTCAGCCTGCACGCAGCACCAGAAGAAATATGCGTTCAGTTTAAGGCATGGGAAACTCTGATAATTAGGCAGCCAACTCTATGCAGACTGCAGACTGAGATTTGAAAGGATGAAAGCAAAACACACCCACCTAACAGAACGCCACATACCAAGGTGGCTTCACATAAAAGAAGTTCAGAAGTTGGCATGGAGCTGACACACGCGGTGGGATACCCTATATTGATTTTGATTTTGAATTCTTGGTTCAAAATTCCAAGTCGAAACCGCACCGGCATGGGGATAAAGCGGTAGGCACCGTGGCGGCCATCCACAAAGACATTGAAGGTCAGGTCCAGCTGGCGGGCTTGCTCAACAAGCGGCGCCAGGACAGCATCGCCATCGCTGACATCCCCGCGCCTGTGACATCAGCAGAACCAATTAAATTGGTGCTTGCTTAAGGGGAAAGCAGAGACGGAGTCCGTAAAGTCCTGCTCCGAGCACGTGGCTCACATGATTAAAACAGACAGTTCTGTATTGCAGTTGGGATCATGTTGCACCATAAGGCAGCACAGAGCATCCCTGACTCAGACTCAGTGATATTTGGCACTGGTTAAATTACCACGCCCCACCACTGTGGTCTTCACAGAAGGTAAACAGTAATTGTGTGCACCTATCGCCGATGTGCAGGCTGTACTTGGAGGAGGCATCCATAACACAGCGCAGAGCACCGCCCCGGGGCTCGGCTCTTGCGCACTTCATGAGCCCAAGGATTCCTGCGTTGCTCTGCAGCGTCCCTGTCAGCCACAGCCGGCCGGCCGCCGCCGGCTCCTGCGCGTCAAAAGAAAGAATTCAGATATAGTTTACTTTATTCATCTGGTTAAATGCTAGTACAGAAAAAACAGCCGGCGCCTGCAGTGCATGCAGCATCAAGAGCACTGCTAGGTGTCATCTTCTTCAAGCCTTCATCTTCAAGCCTTGCAAACCCAAGGTCCAGGGCAGAGATTTCAGGGCGCTCGTTTTCTCCAACAACCTCTTGCGGGAAGGTCTTCAGTATCCCATTCTTGTGACCCCTGTCCCTTGTGAGCCTTGCCCACATGTGATGGGCGTTGCTGACATCAGCGCTGCACAGAATTAGGACATACACTAACCATTAGTCATCCCCGTAATAACCAGGAGAAGTTGGATTACTCACGGCGTCGGGTGCAGGCGTTACCTCTTCATTGGGGCCGCCCGTAGCGGGCTTCCCGCGCTCTGCTCCTGCCACGCTGTCGAGTGAGTCAGTGTAGTCATGCAGCCAGGTGTCCATGGCAGCCTCTGACGCGCCGATACGTGGCGCCCTCAGGATTACGTCATTACGGGCTGCCATGTCCGGCTTGCGGTAAAGGAACATGCACCTGCTCGCGTCAGGGCACCTGCAAACACAAATTATGTTTTCGACTATAAAATGCCGTTCTTGCAAGATATCTGCAGACAAGCTGCAGGACTGGCAATATCTTTGCAGTTTGGATAGAGCTTAATATACTCCCTGGAAACCCTCCCAAGGCGAGGGGAATTGGCAAGGGGAAATGTTACTAGCGTACAAGTGCTCGGAGACCACGATAAATCAGATAGCTGTCAGCTGCGCGGCATATCAGCAAATGTGCAACATTTTCTACTGTGCTGCAAAAGAGGGTTTGCACATCACACGCCTGCTCCCGACTTGGTACTTGAGCCAGGGCACTGGGATCACAGCATCTTTTTGGAAGAGCATCTTCATATCTACGTGAAAAGGTCGACACAACTTGATTTCAAGACGGATGCAAGATGAACCAAAGACTGGACTGCACAGCTTCAAGATGGGTCTAAGAATGGTATAGGGTGAGTGCCGCTGCCGGTGCATACAAAATCCAGCCAACAGATGATGGTGGCATATTTGGGAACGGACGTGTGCTCGGAGACCATGACTAGGCCGGCGGCTGCCAGCTGCGCATGCCAGCGCTGGGGACTCATCCAGAGCCCGTACTCGCGCTCGTCTGTGAAGTTCCAGGTCACCTTGTCCAGGCCCCAGGCAAGGGTTGGCAGCGGCCGAGTCCCTTCGTACGCCAACAGGAAGCCGCCGGGCGCCAGCTGCTCGGTGATGTTTGCCAGGCCCACTGCATTACAAAAATAAATATAAAATTACGACATTGTAATTCACAAAACTTTGGCAGCGAGCCGCCCGGCGCCAGCTGAGCCGTGATATTTGTCAGGCCGGCTCCAACTTAAAGTTGGGATTTTGGATTCCAGAAGTTCGAACACAAAAAGTCCCGGGCATTGGGAGATCCAAAGCCCGCTGCACATGATATATTTTTGAGCTCAGATTCAGAGCCGGCCAGGGTATTGCCACGGGGCAGCGCTCAGTGGGTGTGGCTGCACGGGAAGGGAATGTTTCTTGTGTATTCAAAGTTTCATCTTCAGATATGCGGTCTCATGCAAAAAGCAAGAAGGGTGCTTGCATGCAACCTGCCATGCAGAACCTTGCCTGCTATGTTGTCACAGGTGTGAATTGCGTTGGATGCCAGGATGAGGTCAAAGGGGCCCTCCAGCTCTTTGCCTGCCGGCTTGTTGACATCCCAGACCTGCAAAAAGGCAAGCACTCAATTTAGATAGGCATGGAAGTCAGTCGTTATTTATACAGCTGTTACTGGTATTGCAGGTCTCTTCCTGCGAAGAGGTCAGATGCGTCTGCAGACAAGCTGCAGCAGAAGGCTGACACAGGGGTAAAGTGCATCTGCAGACAACCTATGCAGATAAAAGTTTGTATCCCCTACAGACTGACCCAAAGATATACAAGAGACCCGAAAATGAGCTCACCTTGAACTCGAGGGCCGGGACCTTGAGGCTCTTCGTGAGAGCGGCGCCCCAGCTGGCAGACACGTCTGTGGCCACATACTTGAGCAGCTGCGAGTAGGGGCAGCGATCCAGCTCATCGATCACCTAAGCGCATCGCACATCCCTCCGTCAGATTGTCTCTTCGAGAGAATTCTGCAACCACAAGAATGCGCGCCTGGGCTTGATCAGCTTGCCAACGACCTGTGCAAGCACAAGTGCAGCATTCTACAGGTGCTCCTCGTCTTCTGACACCAAAGGCCGGCAGCGGAAATTCAGTGCAATGCGCGTTTCATTTGTGGAAAAAAAACATTTTGCAGCTCCATGGGGTCTGCAAAGCACCTACTGCTTGCTTATTTGTTGAGGCTAGACCTAGAAACATAGAACAAACTGACCCAGAATTATAATCTAAATATCAAGCCCTGTAGGGGTGAAGACCTGTCAACAAGTGACTCATGTGGGCCCTGAAACCCTGTGAGGAGAGTGATGACTGACCTGCCGGGTGAATCCGCCGGTGCCGGCGCCGACCTCAGCGCAGCGGAAGCCGTCGGTGGAAACATTCTCTCTGACCACCTCTAGCATGACTATCAGCACCTCCTTCTCAAAGCCCCTTGCAACGAGATCGGTTGCGTACAGATCGTTGTGCTCAGGGTGCTGCACGATCGCCATGTTGGGATTCTGCAGACGCAAAATTATGTCAATGTTTGAATGAAATCTATGTAATTTTCACAGAAAAAATACGCTTTCAAATTACGAGCACGGTCCCTGTGCTCCTGAGTGCTGCACGATTGCCATGTTGGGGTCCTACGGAGTTGCTGACTCGTCAAGCAAGCATGTGCTTAACACCTAGAAAATATGACCCCCTGGAACTGAAATTGAATGCTTTCTGACCCGAGTGCGGTCTTTCTGCTCTGGGCAAAGCCATCAGTTGCCGTCTGTAATGAATCCTTTCATCACATGCAAGCACATGCACATGCCAGACTTGAGGCACCCGGAGAATCCATCACTCTGCGTGATCAGAACCCCTAGATACACCACTGGCACCAAGAATAAAATTCCCCGAAAAAACAGGAATGCAACGTGCACGTACCGCCAGGGTGGCCTTGGCAGTCTCCTTGTCCTTGAACAGGTCCCTGTAGAGGCGGGCCAAAATGTGGCATGGCTCTGCCAGGAAGGCTTTCTCCTCTTCTGCGCTCGGAGGCTCATATGGCACCGAATTCACCAGCTTCAACACCTGCGCAGAACAGATTCAAAATGCTGAGGATTATCTGTGTGTTGTAGACGCAAGAGATGAGCGGGGAGATTCGCAGCATGTATCTGCGATTCTGGGGGATGCATCTGCCAAATCACGGGCCTGCTAGCCAACTTGCCCGTTGTGGCGTGCTGACAGTGGAAGAAACACTGGGAGTGCTTGACAAAGAGCATGAGCTGCAATGAATGATCAGCAGCAACCCCGTGTTCCAGAGCTTGGAAGTCTTGTTTGGTCAGGAAAGTTATTCCTGCTCTCGCCCAAGCAAGCTCTCCTTTGCTGTGGAGAACCTTCCAGCGGCAGAGACAGCAATTGATTAAAATCTGATATAAAACTAGAGATTAGAAAAGCATGGGGCACACCTTTTGCAGGTGATCAGGCAGGCCCTCCTCACTAGCTTGCATGGCGACCAGGTGGGGCCTGATGGTGGCTGCCAGGAATCCCTCCAGCTTACGGTAGTAGGCCAACCTCTCTGTGTCCTCGCTCACCTGCCAGCATAAAGGGATATCAGTGATACAACTTCATCTTTCTGCAGCACTCATTGTCATTGTACTTTTGGATGGAGAGTTACGGGAGGGTCTGCAATGTTCAGGAAGGACAGAGAAGTTACGCAAAGCCTTTGGATGCCCATCCACCAAGTAGCATTCAGTTTGCAACCCTGCAAAGAGCGCTGAATCTAGTGCTGTGCTGGCCCCAATTTGCACCAGAGGGGTTCACTTGCTACTCAGTACTCACAACAAATGAGCATGAACGATGAGATAAGAGGATGAACAAAGAGCTTGCCTGGACGCCGTAGGGCACGAATTTGACTTGGCGCTCAACAGTGTGGAAATTGGGGGGCTTCAGGGGCGCGACGCCAAGCTCAACCCCAGAAATGTCCGCCATGGCGCAAGTTGTCAGGCCCAGCACTGAATCAACCTCCACCGCCACTGCAGCACAGAATACAGGAAATTTTAGATTTGAGATCTTTGTACGATTTATTGGAAAGAGGGTTTCACAATTGCCTGCCGTGCTCCCAGACTGGGCAGCAGCTGTGCTAAGCGCTGTCCAGGCCTTGAATGGTGTTGTAGGGGCTGTCAACCTACATGCACTGGTGCACCCATCCTAACAGCGCAAGCCTGGCTTGAAAGAGCTTGCCACACAACACTTGCGCATGTAGAGCCCAGTCCAAACAACCTCCCTGCTTACACATGAGACGGGGCTCCAGCCTAAACAAGACTGATTCTCTTGCAAAGCACAAAAGCTACCGAGTACTTTCCGCACCTGTGCACTGAACCCGCCACAAATGTGAGTCCACAATAAGTTCCCCTGAACATATTTTATTGAACATACAAGCATCGGCAGCGCGCCTTCTGAGCCGGTGATTGAGGCTGGGTTGGCATCCTTGATGAGAAGGCGGCGGATGCCTGTGGGCACTCGCAGCTGCGTGTCGGTTGCGTTCAGCGCCCCTGCCTGCAGGAGACCGTCCAGCAGGCGGATGAAGCATGCGTCCCACCTGCGCGCGCATGCCGGCACATGCATCAGTAATGCTTCTTTATCGACCCTAATAAATTGGGCCAAAGAAATGTTTTCTGTGCAGCCTGTGTCTGCGTGCTGTCTTGCTCTCAGCTGTCCATACCTTCTGCTGTCCTTCACAGGCCGAGCAGGATAGCATGCACAAACATGCTTTCTAGATTATTTGGGAATACTTCACAGATAAATATCGGATTTTGAATGAAGCAACGCAGACCTGAGGACGGCGGCTGAGCCGTCGATGGTCTTCTTGACGAGCATTTTGAAGTGGGGCCCATAGCGGATCCCGGTCCGTAGCACCTGGCGGTAGAATTCGGGCGCCTCCATCGTGTCCAGCACGCCGTGGCTCCAGTCAACCTGCGCCAGATTTCGAGTTTCAGATTGCATTTAGATTTGAACGCGGCAGCGATGTAGCGAGCAACGTGCGGTCTTGTGTTGGAAAGAACACAGACGCACACGATCAGGACGAGACAGATCATGAGCTACTGATCTGGGCTGTTCAAAAGTCATTTCTTGTCATTTCTTGAGAATGAAGCAATGGGGCAGGTTGTGATGACTGGAGGAAATGATCCCCTTGCCATTGAATGGTGCAAAGAAAAGTTTGCAAACAACAATGTGCTTCAGGCTCGCTGAAATTTTATTACCTCGGTTGGCTCTGCCTCGGCGTCTGCGTCAGTTTCAGCTTGAATGGTTGTCTCCTCGGCAGCCGGCTTTTCGGGCGCTTCTTCCTTCTCTGCCGCATCAGCTGCTGGCTTTGGGGCCTCCTTCTGGTGGACCACAGAGATCTTTCCCCCTGCGATCAGGTCCCCGCCTTGCGTCACCTGCGCAGAATAAGTGCTGATTTTCAGAGTAGCACGTCTCCCTGCGTTCCAACATCCATCCGTGTCTTCAGATGACCCTTGTCCAGTTGGCACAAGCATCGCAGGTTGTATCCCCTTAAGAGAGCGCGCATGCAATAATCCAATTCCTTGCAAAAGAATAAGGAGATGCTAGAGAGACGCTGCAAAGTTGCTGCAGGCATGTGAAGACGCAGCACTGCAACAGCACATTCACTACCGTACTTAATATTAATTGTGTTGCTCAGAACATTATTTCGGCACTGTGTCGGACGTAAATTTACAGAGCAGCTGGGGGCAACAGGCACAGCTTCCTAACGTAAATTTGGACTTATCCTTTGAATTTGAGTTCAAGAAGCAAGGGCTTGCCTGGAACCCGTGGCTGGCGTCGAGCACAACCGAGAGAGTCACAGAGCCGCCGGGCGCAACTGGCACCGCCTGAACTATGCTGACGTCTTCAAACAGCACGGGCAGCTCGGACATTTTCTTCTCCTGCTGCGCTGCGAGCGCCTCCCATGCTGTGACCAGGTAAGAGGTCGCCTGCGCGCATCAGCAGACACTCAGCTTTATCTTCCGCTTTTCTGTTCTGCCTCAGAGAAGGGCACACAGTGGACGTTGGCATTTTGCACTGGTTGCCAAATGCATGGCAGGTTTCAGCACAGAGACTCCTGACGAGATCTTTGTAAGGTTTGCCTGCAATGTAGGACTCCTGAAAACACTGCATGAATGCACGGAGGAAATCAAAATCGGCAAACAGATTTGAGATTCAAAGCGCATGTGCTAACAATGAGGACATGGTGCAATATCAACAAGGGGAGTATAAGAAGAACTTTTTTCTAAAGCTCTGATATCAAATTGAGAATCACTGCCAAACCAGGCATCTTACAGGCATCAGGATGCGGCCGTGCACGTTGTGGTCTGCAAAGACTGTCCGAAAGCCTAAATATACATTCTCAAATCTACTTCTTTGAGTTCAATCTCAATCAACGCAAAGGCAAACATCTTACCGGCATGAGGATGCGACCGTCCACGTTGTGGTCTGCGATGAAGGCGTGCTCGGGGTCGCCGAGCTTGAATGTCTTGGTGAAACCAGCGGTGCCTGAGAACCAGGCTTTGGGCAGGGGATAATCTCCATTATGGTCCCAGCTCACCAGCGCAGCCGCCACCTCAGCAGGCACTGAAGCAGTGCATGCTTCTTGGTCAGAAGAATCGAGATGGGGCCAAGTCGGGGCCCTCTAAATTCTAACGGGCCAGGCACATGGCACCAAGACAAGGATGCAAATGACAAGCCTGGCGTACCGATGAAGTCAGAGCATACCAGGTGGATTGTTGCACGACATTGGGCAAGACAGATTGGGCAATGTGGCGAAAGTAAATTCTCACTCATTTAGACAATGTGTTTGCTTGGCAAAGCAGACGGTAGCACGGGATTGTTGCCAGCTGCATGATTGGCAGACGGCAGCGAACGTCCGAGAGAAAAGGACACATGCACGCATTTCACAGAATGGTTTTGAAAAGGAGAACAAAGGACTCACGCTCTGTGGCCTCCTTGCTGAGTTTTTCAACCGGCCAGGAGAGGGTAGCGCCCTTGCGCCACAGCTCGCAGACCGAGTCTGGCACTGTCAGACTTGCATTGCTCTCCTTCTTGATTGTGGCAACATAGGGCACCTGCAGTCAGACACAAGAATCCACGTTCAAGTGGCCTGTTTCAGTGCATTTCTCCTCCAGTTGGTGCCGATACTTGTATCTCTCGAGTATTTGGATGCCCTGCTGAGCACTGAAGTGACGAGCAGAGTCAGGCATTAATCACCCACAATTTAACTACAAAGGGTGCAATGCAGGACCCTCTAGAACCTGATGAAAACCCGTGCACCAATTGGATGCGCAGAACATTCCATTTGTGTCGCTGAGACTTTACAGGCGAACATGAAGCAATTATGCAGATCACACAGGAATTCAGCAGACCCATCGAATTATAGGTGAGTCACCTCAGGGCGGCACTGGCGCAGTGGAGAGCGCAGCACTCCATGGGGTCCGACTTCCAGCAGGATGGCGTTCTTGGGAACCGCGGCAGCCGCGTCAGTAAATTGCACCCGGTTGCGGAAGGCGTGCACCTGCGCAGCAAGAGGAGCTTTAGTAAGTCACCCTTACCCTATTCTATTTCACATGTATTACCTTGCTCCTGAATCCATTATCAAGATTTGTATTATCAATCCAGATCTCAGATCTGTGAAAGCAGGTTCAGCCACAAGTGGCCAAATGATGGTCTGCATGCGTCCACACTTCAACCGAGGACGAGTTTGGGTCCAACAGCCTTTGGACATCACTGGCAGGCCCTGAGAATCGTTGAAGAGCTTCTTGCTGAGCCATGTGGAGACACACTTGAGAGACCTGTATCGCACCTGGTAGGCTGCGGAGCAGAGGAGTGCGTCGGGGTCTTCGGTGCCGGCAGGGAAAGCAGCGGAGACCCAGCGCTCTGACCGCGGCTTGGGGGTTGGAATGAGCGCCTCCAACGCTGCACAGCACAGAAATGACAATCGTTATGTATAGGTGCCCAAAGATTCGGGGTCAAAAAGTATGAATGCAGGCCCAGAGTTCCTGCTAGCAAGCATGCCCTGGGAAGTTGCGGACATCAGGGTCTCCGAAATAGGCCTACCGAACAGAAGCTTCCCAGTAAGGTTCCAAAAAGAAGTCAAAGCCCCAGAATTACAGGTGGCCCAACGCCTCCAATAAACACACCTCACGTGGATCAGACTGCTCAGGGAGAGGGGGATTGGGCCAAGCACTATTTATATCAACATTGCGCAGGCACTAACGCTGATGACTGCTAGGACTACTAGGACGCTGATGGTGGGTGACTAACCTGCGCTGAGCTGGGGCAGCACGGGGTCGAGCAGGGGTGAGTGGTAGGCCACTTCGCAGGTCGACAGCGCACGCACAAACACTCCTTCTGCCTTCAGAGCGTCCAGCACCGGCTGCAGCTCCTTCTTGGGACCTGAGGGGAGGAAGTAACACATTTCAGATTTGCACACATGAGCATGTGTCATGTGCCATCAGCAGTGCTAGACAGGGGGTTTTGTCTGCTGAATTGGTTTACATCACCAGGGAAATAAGTACAGTGCAAGTTAGTAAGCAAGGGAATGCACACGTGGCGCACCTGAGAGAGTTGTGCTGGTTGGGCTGTTGTCGCATGCGACCACGCAGCTGCTCAGGCATTCCCTTTTCAGCCGCTCGGCCGCGGCCGCCGCGCTGAGTCCGGTGGCAGCCATGAGGCCCCCCGCCAGTCCCCCATCCGGCCACTGCCGGGCGCGGTGGTACGCCACCAGCACCGCCTGGGGGGACCCCGCCAGAAATTGGTCAGCATATTAACGGATCCTAATAGAACGGTGGATGACAATGCAGGGCAGCAAATGTGCGAATGCCATGATTTCTGCCGCAGACTTGAACATAGTCTGAGAACCTTTTGGAACATTGCGCTTGCACAACATGCCAGATAGAAGTGTCCCCTCACATGACTCCAGGACGAGGAGATGCAGAGCAGAAGCTGGTGAGGACATTAAACATGGCACAGCCAGAACTGCATGATCAGGTGTAAGAACAACAAAGCACCTGCTCGCGGGTGAATCCGCCGTCGGCGTATCCGCAGGCAATCTCTCCCGCAGAGTGGCCCAGGAACCCGGCAGGCACAATCCCATACTCCTCTGCCAGCATGTCAGTCAGGCCGACCTGCATGCATGCAGAGTTTTCAATGGGCGCTTCTACAAATTGAATAAAGTCAGGACCTGCATGGATGCAATTCTGCAGGGGGTGCTGCTCAGCGCAAAGTGCGAGCTACATTGCAGTTGTTATTTTTAATGGGAAGGGGTTTTAGGCTGTGAGGTTCAAGCTGACCTCCATGTGAGCAACTTTCTCAAGGTTTGAGTTCATGCAGAGCAAAGTGCACTTGCGCCTGTTGTCTTGATCCTGAATGACGTCGATTGTAGAGATTCAACTGATTTCTGGCAACAAAGATGTCATGGAGAGTTTGATCCTGGGCTTTTCAGAAGGAGCACCTGGAGAGCGATGAGCCCAACAGCAGCCAGAATGGGGTCTTCAGAGAATCCGGCCTCGTCGCTGAAGGCAGCAATGAGATCGATGCCAAAAGGCTGGAGTGCCTTTGCGCACGCCTTGACTCCCCTGCTGTAAGCTGGCGACTCGGAGAGGAGCTCCAGCCCCATCTTGGGCCACTGGCTTCCGTTGCCTGCACATTTCAAATTCAAATTGGAATTTGAATGCTGTCATTTGAGCTGTGCGCAGCATGCGGCAAATCTGCAGGCAGCCCTCTGCTTGCAGAACACTACTTGTGCCACGGAGTCGAGACAGCATGTGACTGTTCAATGTAGTGAGTTGTGCACCACGCCACATCAGCATCGTGCCTGATTCCCAGGCGACAGCCTTCTGGGTTTGGAATCTTTCTTTCTGTTTTGCATGGAAACAGACTGGCTCTCAAAAATCTGCTGCCAATACTCAGTGCATTCGCATGGCAGTACAGAATTGAACTTCCTAGGGGCTGCAAAAATGGTCGGCCAAACTGGACCGGGCATGTAGCAGGAATATGATGCTTAAAAGTAGCATACTAAGGCGCACCTGAGAAGGCGAACCAGATGGGCGCATTGGCCGAGGAAGCAGTGGCGGATTTGGCAACTCCCTTGTGAAGAGTCCCGCGCACAGTCAGCTTGGTTGAGTCAGCGCCCACGCTGTTGGCAAAGCGGCGCATCGAAGCCGCCACGTCTTCAATCAGCCCTTATTTCACCAAGCAGCATAGTGAGATAATATCCAACTGATGACTCCAAGGTAATTCTGCAGTGTCCTTGTGTTGCTGCATCAGCATACAGTGATAGCTGGACATTGCAGCCTCTGGCAGAGCAAATGAATGTAGCCATGCAACTAAGCTTGCAGTCTCTTCGACCATGCAATGCAGCACCAGGGAGGCCTTGGGAGAACGCTATGGCAATCATGCTCAACATCAAAAGTCCTGCAAGGTGCAAGTTTCCAACCTTTTCATGTGTGTACAAGCAGATGACGGCACCATGCATCCTCAATCTTGCCGGCACCACTATGAAATTTGGCGGGATTTTTGCCAGTTTAATTGTGGGTTACTTATATCAAGCTGAGCGTACCAGGGGCGGCCTGGATTGACTTGACGAGTGCATCAAATCCCTGCTGGGTTCTTGCAGCGAGGGGAATGATGCCGTTGTAGCCAGAAACCTCCTCATCTGTGTCTCCCTGTGGCACCATACCAGCACAGCTGTCAGCTTCTGCCAAATTTCAACCCATGCATGTTTGCGCCATTCCCATGCATGCATGCATGCATGCTTGCCACACATGCATGCAATACAATGACAACGGCTCATTTATGCATCAAATCATTTGAACGATATTTCATGCATCTCCATGCATGATAGTACAGCTGGTGCATGCACAGCATGCAAGGCATCCATGTCAATGGGTCTTGATAATTCCCCGGCAGCCTTAGTATAGGTGCTTTTGCGGGACAAAATGTTTACCTGGCTGTCTGAGAGCGCTGCACCCTCGCCATCGGAGACGTCAGGGGTTGAAGGAGCAAAGCCGAGAGGCAGGCTTGGCTTTGGGCCGCCTTGCACCAAAAGGTGGACATTCGTACCTGCATGCATGCACCAGAGCTTTTATAAATAATAAACTAGTACTAGAGGTCACAGGTCCTCCTGTGTGCACTGTCTAAGTCTGGTTCCCTCTCCTGAAGTTGTCCCAGGTGCAATCGGGAATCTGCACAACTCCCGTTTGACATTCACGCCCCAACAGATCAAGCTGTGTCAAAGGCTGTGTTCAAGCATGTTATGATGTCCATAAATGGTGCGATTGGCGACTATTCATTGACATTTGGAACCTTTGCAGGCTCTAAGACAGAATAGATAATCTTCGGCTGCTCACCTCCAAAGCCAAAATTGGACTGCGCCACAATCCCCCCCTCCCAGGGAGTCGTCTCAGTTACAACCTGTGCACGGATACAAATCGGCATTTGAATTGCTTCATAGACTATTGCTTGTGATTAGGATTGCTCACCACCTAAAAATCGGAGGATAATTTCTGTAGACGGAATGCTCCCTGGTTCTGCAAATTGGGTTGCCACTGTCCTACTCTGCTTGATGCCACAGAGGCATGGTCCGGTGTTATTCATGGACATCTTCCTTACACTCAATGTGTATTCATTCCTTTCCAAGATGCATATGGAGCCTGGTCAAGTATCACTGATGGTGGGTAGTTGTTACCTTGATGACCCCTTCCTTGAGAGACTTATTGTTGGGGTTTGGCTCGTTGAAGTGCAGGTTGGCCGGCAGCGTGCCATGCTCGAATGACATCAGCACTTTCAGCAGCCCTGTCACATGCGAGCAAACGATTTTAACAAATTATCCGCTTGCTGCACAGATTATTCAACACCCAACAATCAATATCAAATGTTTGCGTGCTGCACAAAGAAGAATAAGCACCGAACGAGCAGCATGCATTTTGCAAACAGGCTGGATGGCCAAATGTGTCAAGCAACTTCTCTGTACAGCACCCTTTCAAATAGTTTATTCCTTGTCTGTCCGCCACATTGCTGTGATATGCTCTCAGCGTCCTACACATGCTCCTCCTCAACGCACAACCAGCACATTCGTCTTACTGATCTTGACGAGAGATACGATGCCCATCTGGAACAATTATGGTGTTTCCCTACCCCTCCAAAGATTGGTGCACTTTTCTCACCTGCCAGGCCGGAGCAGCCTTCGCAATGGCCCATGTTGGACTTGACAGACCCAATCAGCAGAGGCTCTTCCGCAGTGCGCTCCCCCTGCAAGCAAGCAAGGAAATTACACATTAATGTCCGGATTCTCCAACCGTCAAAGGTCATTGCCAACAGCAAAAAGTGACAAAAACATTAGCGATTCTCCTTCCAAAAATGGGCCAGCACAGAGGTTGAACGCTGTCAGAGTGATGGGTGGAAAAGCCATCTCTTCATGAGAACAAGAACTCCAGGAATTGACTCGAGCATCTACGAATCCAAGAAATAATAATTGGATTATTTTTCAGCAAAGAAAGTAATGGGAAAAAACACAGCACTGACCTTGATAGCATAGAACTCCTCGAGAGCGCCCAACTCCTGACCGTCGCCCACAACGGTCCCTGTGCCGTGTGCCTCAACATAGGCCACCTGGCTCGGCTTGATGCCGGCTTGCGCGCACACCTGCAGAATTTGCAAGCCTTGTGCTTGAAACTGTTCCCAGGACATGCGGTTTGGAGGTAACCTGCAGGTAAAAAAGGGCAGCATGCTAACAGCACATGCGACTGTTTTATTCTGCGTCAAAACTCAAGCTGACCACCTAGGCTTCTGCATGCATACATGCTCTTGAGAAGTGAAATTTCGCCCCAACGCCAAAATTTCACCCCAACGCCAACACCGTTAAATTATAACATTCCAGGGGCATCGCACCACTTCGGCGAGGGCGCGCTGCGCGGGGCCGGAGGGAAATGTGACGCCCTCTTTCGTGCGCCCGTCATTGTTAGTCGCAATTGCTAGAATATCTCCCCGGGGCGGCACCGGTGCAAACTGCGGCAGAGTGATCCCTGGCCGCGCTATCACGATTGCCACTATGCCGTCCGCCCGCGCGTAGCCGTTGGCGCTCGCGTCAAAGGACTTGCAGTGGCCCTATCAGCACACAGTCCAGTCAGGACAATTTTGAAAGCCACAAGTCCTCGAAATTGCACTTGTGGCCCGGAAACAGAGTGGATGAGACCTCAGACGCTGGCGTCTTGGAAAACAATGGAAATTGAAAACACCTTGGGACTGTGGTTGTCAGCGAAAGCCCTCGGCAAAGAACGTTTTCCCTAAATTGTGGCAAGTGTTGCTTGACATGAACATGCGCAATCCAAACAGCACCTGCAGAAAGCTAGGACTTTGCATCTGGCTAGGAGGCGGCTTCTGAGCTCACCTCTGGCGAGAGCTTCTCGGGTTTGCCAGAGGCACAGAAGATTCCCGGGCTTGAGACAGGATAAATAAGCTCACTTTAGCCAGAGATCTAGTAGATTTGAAATCAAGGCCCACCTCGGGGGACAGCATGTTCAGCTTGCCGAAGGCAACAGAGGTCTGAGGCCGCAGGATGGCGCTTGCGCCTCCGACCACGGCATAGTCAATCACTCCCGCCTTGATGTCGCTGATGGCATCGTTGAGAGCCACAAACGACGAGGAGCACGCTGCAAGCATAGAACGCACCATTTCTTTGTTGAGGTCATCTTATTCATCTGAATGGTCACCTTAGTAATAGCCATCATGCTATAAATGGATGATGCTGCAGACCAGGCATCAGGTTGTTATGAATATATGACAACTAATGAGGCAGCGGCATGCAAATACCACAGACTTTGGGAGTTTCGCAATTGGGCCTCCCATCAAGGACACTCACAAAAGGCATCAAGTAAAGCAGATTGGCTATGAGCATGAGAAAAAGGAACCAAAGCGGGGACAGCACAACCTCATCCCAGGGCTGAGCTGCGACTACAATGGCCCATTTGCGGTGGCTTTCAAAGGATATCTGAAGAAGACGAAAAAATCAATTACACATTTGATTCCGGCGGGCTGTGTCGCACCTGTGTCGACGATCTTCGAAGGTCCTTTGAAGTTGTAGAACCAGGAGAGCCGGTTGGCAAACATGGACGCAGCGCAGCCGGTCTGCTCATAGCCAGTCACGCTGTCAATGTCCGCCAGCCACTGCGCATGCACCTGCCCAGACAGCGTGACTGATATTTGTCATTGATGACCTCTCTGACATCAGCGCACCAAGTGAACTGTTGACTCATAAATTTTCAAGCCGCAGAGGGTGATGTCTAGTCACCGATGCTTGCAACCCAGGGAATAGGACTCGGACAGGTGCATGTCAAGCTGGAGCATCATGCTCGACAGGACTTGCGGTGCCATTTTGTGTCTCTGCAGCAAAAGCTTGCGCATTCGCCGGCAGTCCAGGTACAAAGGGGTGCCTCTGCTCAGGCATTTGTCTCACATATGGCAGCTGTCTTCTTGCACAGGCCTTGCTGACTCAGGTGTCTCTGGAGAGGGCGTGAGCAGCTGACTTGAAACCTCTCAACACAGTATGTGTGCAGCTGAGATCTCAGGAGAGGGTCTGAGCACAATGTCAACCTGTGTTTCAGACAATGTCAGAGCACTATCTTACCTCTGAGCCGCAGCAGCCGACGTATACTCCACAGCGCTCTGAGGGCAGGTCTCCAATGATGAGGCCGCTGTGAATCAGTGCCTCGTAGGACACTTCCAGCAGCTTCCTCAGCTGGGGGTCCATTTTCTGTATACAAACACCATTCTAGTTTGGAACGTCAGATTCAAATTGATCAATGTATCCTTAGTGCAGCCACTGAGCTTCTCAGCAGCACTGCATGCACAAATTTGGGGTAAATGATGTGATCTTCTGCAAGACCCTCTGGATAAGTAAAGAATGAAGGACCGACATAAAACGTAGTATGGACTCATCCATGAAGTTCAGGTAAGAAATGCAGCAAACTCGTGCCTCTGGTCACACTGTGGCACTCGAAGGACGTATTAGGTCAGCAAAGGCTGCAGGCCGGAGCAATGAATGCTGCAGTGCAGACTCTTTGTTGACATGTCATTGTAAAGGCAAATACCATCTCTTTCTCAAGGCCTTCTATCAAAAGCAATGGGCGCTTCTTTTCCTGCCAGGTGTGTTCCTAATTAGCAGGTCAGACTGGCACCTTGGGCACAAGGTTAGAAAAAGGCAAGGGGAGACTCACATTTGCCTGCTGGGCATGCACTGTGAAGAAGCTGGCATCAAACTTGTCATAGTCTGGCAGCTTGCCGGAACGAGGCGGTGTCTTCAGCTGCCCCACTGGCCAGCGACGGTCGTCCTGTGTCTGCATGTCGACACCTGCATTTGACACAAGACATTGTCTGTCTAGAACAATCTTGAGCTGCAGAGAGTTGAGCAAGGCGTGGCGCCTGAAAAGACCATGTAGGATAGGCGTGTTGTTATCTTCTTGGCGCGAGAGGCCACATTGAGCAGGATGTGTTAGATCTAGCGGAAAGGGGGCGCTCGGAGGGAGTCACAGGACTTCAAAGAGACATTAGCAAAAGGGTTGATCGTTCTCTGACAGGCGTATGCTGTTTAGGGTTGTTCCTTTGCTCAACGAGGACGCCTTTTGGGCCCATCTTGGCAAAGTCCAACAATCCGGGTCACAGGAAACATTCAGTGTGATCCTTCTGGCAAGGACAGGCGATCACTGAGCAAGAGCCAAGACAGCCGTTGGCCTAGCCGACATGCGCTGTCAGGAGACACTGCCTCAAACCCAAGAACGGCACGTTGGAACATGTACTCCTACCTCTGAAACGTACTGTCATACCGAAACATTGGCATTGTGTGTACAGGGCATATGATATTTTAGATTCTCACCGGTGAGGAGGTTTTCCCAGAACTCGGATGGGCTGCCGGACTCGGGAAGACGGCAGGAGTAGCCCAGCACTTGTGCCGCAGGTTGCGCCACATCGGGTTTGCTGTAGTTACCGATCATCCCGGTTGAGCAGACTGCACTGCGCAGGGAAAGCGAACAGATTGTGAGCTTGCACCTCATGGATATCAAGAGGACGGCAAAAGCCCAAACTACTTCCTTCACACCAAAAAACCACAGGCACCACATGGATCCATCATAAACATCTAGAGTTCATTGGAAAACAATATAATTGGCCACAGTGCTTTTTCTATACAAACCTGCCCTTTCACATCAGAAAGGACAGTCCCAGTGATCAAGAGATACAGAGACAGGGACAGTCACACCGTACCTCTTGGGTCAATAAGACAGCTGCAAGAAGCTTGAATTTTCTTGAATACGATTTAAGGATTGTCGCACTGTCCTCAGCGGGAGGTCAGCGCCGGTGATCTGGGAACAGGGCCTCCAGATCTACCCCGCAATGGAGCAGTGCTGTGCATCAGGCCAAAAGGAAATGTGAATCCCCATTGATACAACCCAGTGCCAGTTTTAGATAAATCGCAGGCTTCACAGTATGCCAACCTACAGATCCTCGTTCACCGATCCAACCTTCCGCGTGAAGGGCGCGATGACACGAGGGTGTGTGAGGGTTTCTGGGTGACACGACCTCACATAGGGCGCACTTACAACCCTTCCTTGCTTCAGCTTTGAAATCGTTTGAGTGCAAGCAGCACTATGACGCGTCTCTTGACGTACGGATGCTGGAAAAGCACCTGGTAAGTAGCATGCATTGTCATGCGTTCGGCCGTGGGAACCAACCGCTAGCCTAGAGTCTGAGACTCGCATGTTGTTCCGGTGTAAGTTCTGCCCGACGTTGTTTCCAATGTCGTGTCCGGCCAAACTTCACCTATAGATCCTGATAAAACTAATTGGTGGCGCAGGGGGCAGTATTACTCACACTTTGACGCCACCGAAGTTCCTTGCAGATATCCGCGCGCCTGGACACGGGCGGTAAGGTCAAGGTCGCTGTGGTGTTCCACCTGAGCGAAGTCGGACCAATCGCCGACATCAAATAGATTGTCAAAGAGGTGATCCATTCTACCCATCTTCTACTAGATGAATTGCTCGAAACCCACCTGTATTACACCGATGATGGTGCGTCAATTGCAGAGTACATTTCAAGCTTCCTCAAAGGCGCGGTGCGTATGCATTAGCATTGCTATACTACGCCATGTTGTAGTTGTGACTTTGCCGGGCATCAGCATGCGTAACATACCTGCAGATTCCCCTTCGACGCTCTCACCTGATGTAAGCCCATGAAGGTGAAGTCCGTCTGACGCCCTCTGAGTTGGCTCGTATACGTACAGGTCAAGGAGCATGTCGCCAAACTCTCCAAGCCAGATCTCTATCTGGCAATCCGGACGCTGGTCATAACGGCCGTGCTCTATGCCGGCTTCTACACCGCCTTCCCCTACTACTCCAAGAATTGGGCTCTGTGGTCGCTCGCCGTTTTCGTTTTCATGAGGGCGGGCCTGAACTTTCGCATCTTCATCATCTTTCACGACTGCTGCCATGGTACGCCGCATGTCTTTCCACCCCAGAGGCACACCTTGAGATTTCTTGAGAAAGCCCATGGGACACCTAGCTTTGCCTATGACATGTGTCCCGGGAATGATGAGAAGAGGAGGTGCAGCATGGTGTATCGTTGTCAATGGCGTGATGCACAGGAATGCCCCATGTAATTAAATTTCTATTTGCTTGAGACACTAGGGAGGTTACATGTACATGTACAATTGAGAAGAAGTTTTTTTGGCTCCTTGGCATGCAATTGGTACACTGTAGCTGGTGCACAGGTGCAATACTTCACGGTATGTGGGGGAAGGAGCCTCCAAGAGGCCAGCTAAATGGTTTTTGTACCATCCAATCTCTGCAATTTTGAGATTCCTATGGGCAGATCCCGACCTGTCCAGGTACGAGCATAGTTTTATTTATATAAGCATGCAACACTCTTCAAGCAAGCGTTGTCTGAGACTTCTTCTGGTGCTCACATGCACTCTTTGTGAGTGTCAAGGAGAGTGCCTGTTGACCATAGCTAGAAGCACTTGCACGGAATCCACTGACTGGCAGATCAATCACACCAATGGTCACGGACAAAGCCTTAAGGCTGCACATGGTACCATGCATTCTTTTTTTCTATTTGCAAAGCGCTAGCATGGTGAGATAGGAAGGTATTGCATCCTAGAGGGCACTTCGATCGGGACATTGTCAGCCTTGTCATGCAAACATCTTCCAAATATTCTGGTAATCATTCGAGACGAATGAGTGAAAACCCTATTTGAAAAGGACTCTGGCCTGAGGGTTTTCAAGCGCACATGTCAGCAGCGCTTCGAAACCCTCGATGACAGGGGCACTCAAGAGGGCTTTGAACCCGAAGTAGGCTTTCAGCCGTACAACTCAGCTTTCGCTCTTAACTAACTTGCGCATCTGTAAGCTTCCGTGAAGTGACAGAAAATACGCACACCGGTCCATTAGATGCGATGAAAGATGAGGGTGGTTGCCAGAATTGGAACTTCCGGAACCCATCTGAGCGATCTGAAACCCGTCAAAGATATCGCAGATAATATCAGAGAGGTGATGCTCTCCCATTCTGTTCCATTAATGTGTCCTCTGCTTTCCAGTAGTCATGCGTCTTTCCTCCTTGATGTGCTGGGAACCCCAGATCTCACAGGATTGAACTGCACATAAAAAGCGGAAATGCCAGCCCTTTTACTACAGGTTTCCCCTTTCTTACTGACTGATAGAACGCAAGCATTTGCTTAGCTGGTTACTATCGCTGGTGTCCGAAGCAGGGTTGCAACCTGCACACCGGCAACGTGTGTACAACAACAACCCTATATTGTGTTGCAGGCCAAAGCGCATGTGGCCAGATTTTCGCAGCCAGACCTCTACCTGGCAGTCCGGACTGTGATAATCACCGTCTTTTTGTACGCCGGCTTCTTTGCAGCATACCCCCTCGTCGCGAAGCACTGGGCTCTGTGGGCAATTGCCATCTGCCTAAGGGCCGGGCTGAATGTGCGGGTATTCGTCATTTTTCACGACTGTTGCAATGGTGGGTTGCTGAAACTTCTCCGTGCTGTATCTAAACACGGTTTTGTCCTCACCGGATGAAAGCCTGTGCACTTTTTGGAGAGCGCAGCCACAACAGCCACTGAGACTTTCACATTTTCAGCGAGCATTCTCCAACAAACCAGAAGACTCAATGCCGGTCACTTCTCAACAGCGGCAGGCGTTCTGGACTCTCTTCGATGCCAAGGATATGTTCTTGAAAACGCAGGGGGAAAATCTCAACTGTCACCTTGAGCCTCTGCAATGTGATACCTAGAGCCTGGACAGCAGCTTTGCAAAAGCTCATTTCTTCCATGCAGGGCATCCTTGTGACTCATGCACGTTTTTTCTTTGCAGGAACCTTTTTCCGGAGCAGGACTGCCAACATGCTCGTTGGGAGATTCACCGGTTATTTGCAGTTCTCTTCTTGGCCAGGATGGGGCTTTGCAACCGAGGTAGCTTGCCGCCTTCACCAGTTCATACAGTACTTTGCGCGCTTACATCATCCTATTTCATTTATACCATTTATACTGTTATTATGACATGCTTGTCCTGCCAAGAGGCAAGGTGTGTCTGCAGACAAGCTGCAGTTGAAGGCTGCCAAACTTATACCCCTTGATGGACTCGCCAGATCCAAGCAAGACTCTATAGATCATGGGCATAATGCTCTGTGTTTTTACCGGCCCCTGCCAGCCGCGGCCAGCATTTATTGCTTGTAACTCCCAATTAATAAGGGAGAGATGGCACTCATTTATAGCCGTTGCACCCTGTTGATATTGTAACCCCAGTCTTCGCAACAGCAGCGTGTCATGGCAGTGTGGCTGTTTTTTGCGCATGGATGGCTTGACTGCTGCTCTCAGCGGATGCATGTCATATCACTTGTGAACAGCTAAGATTCAGCATCAAAGGCCATGGTTCACAGGGGAATGAGGATGCAGCTGCAGCTTGCCACAGAAAGCAGTGGACATTGTACCAATTGCGCAGAAGCGTGCATTTGCGCTCTTTGAAAGACCCGGTAATCTTGATAAGCCATCTTTTGCTTTTGAACCTGTTCTCACATGCGTCAGTGCTTGAGAAAAGGTCAGTATAGCCACTAAATGCAGGACAATCAGGATCTTGCCTGAAACAACTCTGCTGTGTCCTGTGAAAGATCCTGCGATTGGAAATGCTTATCAAAAGGAGACAATGAGGGTTTATTTTCATGCGCTGATTCACAGCTCACTATGTCGCAGGTTCTTTACACAACGGACGTTCCGAATTTTGTTTTCTTTCTTACGGGAGCATGCAATCCCAGACTGCCTACGTGAGTCTCCCCGCATCAAAATCAGCTGCGTGTTTGTCTTTTGAGGGAAGCTATGGCAGTGTTTGGGGCTGAATTGTGTTAAATCGTTAAATCGCCATATGCACGGGTCACAATTATGGACTCTTTTTCCCCAGCTATGTGGGTTGAAACTTGTAATGTCCTAATTTTGGCACAGGATTGACTTGATGGAGCCTACAGACGATGAGCTGCCAGACCCTCTTACCGAGATGCCACTTATTGACAGGATCATGCCTACTCTGCTTCCAGCCTTGCAGGTGAGTCCAATTGGAATATAAACATGCAAATGGGTTGCATACACTACGGTGCAATGCTGCTTGTTATCCCCAAGTTCCCTTCAAGATCATCTGAGATGGGAGCTCAATTGCCTGAGTTGCACATGGCAAGCTGTACACGTATGCAGTGGTAATGCGGCGTGGCAATTCAGTGTGTCCGCCAGTGTATGACTGACAGGGTGTCAGCAATGATGCAGTGAAATGTTCGCATGTTTTCTTTTCTCTTGCTCTGCGTATGACAGGTAGCCTGCAATGTTGCAGGTGTACGTCGGATATGCACTTTATGGGACCAGCTATGTCTGGTTCGAGCTCGCATTCAACACCCTGGTAAGGATGTGAACCAAAGCCACATCTTGAGTATTCACAGGCCTCTTTGGCACTTCCACTTATCTCTCTCTGAGCTTCCAATACATGGACTTGCCAGGCCTAATTAAAGGTGGTCAAAAATTCCTTTTTACTGATTTGGGGGATGAGATTTTTGCAGTGATGCAATTTAAGACTGCAGTCATTCTGCTGTGTGTAGGGGCCTGTTATGTGTTGTCTCCTGCATCTTTGGCAGCAAATCCAAAATTCAAAATCTGCCAGCCCATCATCAGTGATTTCCAGTCTTTGCGAAGCCCAGTCTGAGGGGGCTGTTGCCTCTTTCATGGGTGAGTCTTTCACCCATGCAATGTATTGGCATGCGGTCCAAATTGCTAAGGAAAACTTGAAGTGACTCTTCTGTACGAAGGCATAGCCAGATCTGTGTGATGACTCCTTAACGACAGAGCATTTTTCCACCCCGGATTTTGCAAGCACGAATTCTCAAGGTCCAGCAAGATCCTGCCTGTATCATGCAGCATGTCAATCAAGGAATGATCTGCCTGATCGTAATCTGATGATACTTGTTTGTCCCGCAGAACCCACTCTAGCTTATGTGCCAGAGTGTTTGAAATGGGCCTCCCTTGGAATAGAGGTACATCCAGAAACCCCACCCTCTCATTGCCCATGTTGCTGAGATTTGCACAGAAAATCCAACCATTGCGGTTCTCATAACATTTAAGACACAATGCTGCCTGTCAGAATACCTGTCAAAGTTTGCGAAGCATGGATCCTGATGCTGTGACGTTCTGTTTGTGACATTTGAAGTCAGTATTGAGAAGAAGCTGCACACTTTGATTTTGAGCGTGGATTGTATTTATACAGTATTACCACATCTGCCATATCTCCACGGGCGTTCCATGCTACCTGCTCCGCAGCTGCCACGACAGCGCGCCGCCAGGTGCGATGACTTAAGGATGACATCGCCGCTTAACAATGATGTCTCATTCAACGAGACATTTGGAGGATCCCAGAGAATCCCACATCAACGGGTCTTGCTTGGATCTGGCGAGTTAAATAGAGCGTAGGAATGTGGGAGCCTTCAACTGCAGCTTGTATGCAGGACTTGCCTCTTGGCAGGAAAAGCGTGTTCAGTAGTACTTATAAGAATAATACTATTCCGTATAAGTGACGAACCCAGAGCCCAGAGGGCCATAGGGCATACACAGGTCCGTCTGCAGCCGCAACCTGGGGCCGATATGCACAGGCTTACAGCCTTCCAACTCGCAAATGCACCCTTGCAGCTGCAGCCTACAGGTCTTCACCCAAGTCTTACACGAATGCTGAGGGACCGTCCCTAGCAAACCGCTTGAAACATCGGGACGGATTTCGACAGCGACGATGCGGGTGTCTCAGGAGCGGCCGCATCGCCGAATGTACCCAAAAATTGATCCGAACAAAGTTCCAGTGTCTTTCCTGGGGATCGAACCTGGGAGCGTGGCGTAAATGTCGTTTCAACTACCCCTTGGCTGTCCCAGGTCGGGCATAATTGAAATTGAGATAATGCAGCTAAGCAGAGCCGTTCTGTGTGCGTGCAGGCACGTTTCGGTATAGTAAGTACCTGGAGTTGAAATCTGAACTTGATTCTTGGCTGCTGCATACATGGGATCCCAGCATGCATGCGTTTAAGTCATTTCCTGACCTTGCTTGGTTGTTGGACCTTGGCACTGGTATATCTGAGTCTAAGGCCCCTTAGCATTTCAGTAGCGCGCTGGAAAATCAAAGCATGGCCTGATTCCGAGCCGACATATCTCTTCAGATCCTGGTTGTGGTGTAATAGTTTGCCAGCGGTGTGCGGATCCGGATTGCAGGAGAGAGATATTTAATGCAGCCCAAGAAGAGTCTTCTTGGGCTGCATTAAAAATCTGAGTCTCCGAGTCTGCTGAGTCTTCGAACCCTGGGAACGAGGGCGCAAGCCCTCATTCCCAGGGTTCGACAACCCTGCAGGGTCCCTGAAGGGATTGGCCTATCTGGTCCAGGGTTAGGGGCAAGGTTTCAGGGCGGCCCCGGGAGTTTTTGAGGTTTGGGAAATTGGCGTCAGGGCAACGCCCTGACGCTAATTTGCCGCGATCTCAGGGCAGCCCTGTGATTTTTGGTGGTGTGCTGGGCCTACTTACTAAGTTAGGAGTTGCTTCAAAACAACTCAGGCGTGTCGCACGCTTGTTTCAATACAAAACAGACCAAAATTGCGGCTGTACGGTGCCAAAGCTGGCCCTGCCCTCGTGGTAGATGAGTCAGATGCCATTTTTTATTGTATTTTTGTTGCCCTGAAGGATTTTGATCTTGGCTCGGGGCTGCCCTGACATATTTGCGAAATCTGAGAGGCGGAGCCCCTGCCTGTTCAAGCTCAGGTTCAGAATCACCCTGTGATTTTGGTGACCCCCTGTCAAACCCTGAAGAAGACTGATCTGATTGCTAGCACTGTACATTGCTGCAGCGCTGTACATTGCTGGCAGTTCTTCCTCCACTGGATGGGCGTGGAAAAGATCTCAGATCAAGCTGCTTGCAAGTCACTGTTTTGTCTTGTGTCAGCATTCAAGCAATTGAATGGTCACCCATGAGGACACATTTGTACTGCAAGTCTCTCTGCGATACCCTGATCACCTGAATGTAATCTGCTCGCATTGAAATTCCTCATAAGACAGTGGAAAATTGAAACACAGCCGATATAAAACTAATCTACAGGGTGCATTTGCGAGTTGGAAGGCTGTAAGCCTCTGCATATCGGCCCCGGGTTCCGGCTGCAGACGGACCTGTGTATGCCCTATGGCCCTCTAGGCTCTGGGTTCGCCACTCATACAGATTATTATTATTGTCATTATTATTATTATTATTATTGTTATTATTATTAATATTATTAGCTGACAGTGGTATGCTGCCCCAGTTTGAAGGGTGACGCATTGTGGCAGTGACGTCACACCTCGTCATTCTGTGACGGCTTGAGATCCTTCTGAGGGTTCCAGCAGAGAGGGCTTGCGGAAATCATGTCACCTCTCCAGTATGTAGTTCAAGCCGAGGTCAATTCACTTGGATCATTTTGTTTGATCAAGTCATTGGGTGTCATCCGTCAACGGCCACGCTGACGCTGTCGAAGAGTCCGATCTGTACTTGTTGTTCCGTTGTACAGATTATGTTGGCCTTTTAAGCAGGGCCGAGTCTCCCAATTTCTATAATGTCCCATGCATCGTCCTTTCTTAAAAAAAGTCTTTTCTGTTGGCGCCCCGAAAAATTCAAGGAGCACGACGGTGAGGTGATCGTGGAGCAGGCTCGTCAGCCTCCAACTATTAAAGTATGTGATGTTGCGGAGACCATATCGATAAGGAAAACAACTGATGGAAACATTGAAGCCCAGTCACCCGCGTCTTCCTGCGGAACATGCTTCTTCGACCCTGAAGAGCAAGGCAGCAGTGTGCCAGAAAGGTGGGTCTGCCACATTCCTCTTTCTCTCGCAGTGCTTCTACCATACAGTCCATAACTGTAAATTATTGACTGTACTCGACCGCCACTGCACTCTAAGATATGCACTCTAACGCTGGATATCTCGATGGCTGACTTGATTTGCACATGCAGCAGCTCCAGCTGGTGCTCCGTGCCTGAAAATGGGCAGAAACAAGAAGAAATGTCCGCTGAGGCCTATTCACTCGCGCCAAAAACGCCAGACAAGGCCGACATTTACACGAACTGGTCCCACAAGCCAGCAGTCCTCACACCAGCGCAGATTGAGCCGCCCTGGATGAGCACAGAACTTGGCATTCCCCCAGCCAGCAGAAGAGACCGGTTGCCAGATCCCAAGGAGACCCTCCCAAGCCTTAACCTTTTTTCTCTCGTCAAAGAATGGATTGGTGCGGCGCGCCAACTTTGATTTTATTCTCAAATCCTGCAATTTTTTATCCTTTTATTTCACAAGCAGCATGCGCTGCTGCTGCTTGCACATGCTTGCACAATATGCTTGTCTAGAGTAGTATTTCTTCATAGCATCCACCTCTGAGGCCAGAATATTGCTGATTGTTTGGTTGCAAATTCAATACTCTTTTTACCTTCTCATGGGCAGGCAAGGACCTGCATAAGCTGGCGCTTCCAACGCATGTCAGCGAGCCTCTGACTGACCTTCAGCGCAGAATAGAGGCCTTTGAGTCTTCAGAGCTCCTGGATCAGGCAAGCCTCAAGCCCCTTCAACAGACGATTCTTTTCGCTGCGTGCGACGTTGATATCACACCCATGGGTGTTGAGTGCTGGGTGCAATATTATTTCTGTGGTGAAAAGGGGCAGCACCACGAAAAGGCTGCTTAACACCTGCATTTCAGCATCCTTTCTTCTTTCCATTCAGAAGAGGCCCATAAGACGGGCAGCTCAAAGTGGCAAAAGGTCAATGGCCCTTCCAAAGTAGATGAGTCACTGAGAAGGGAAGCTTACATGTGCAGGCGGCTCTGCTTCCAGCCCAGACAGTGGAGAGGTTACTACAAGTCTCAGCCTTTGTCATATCAACATACAACACCGTCAAACGCAACGACAAGCCCTTCAAAAACCTGCAGAACTCAACCTTTGAGTTGATGTACCCCGAGAAAGGCATCCGGGCCATAGGAGAAAAGGTAATTCTTGTTTCTGGCCATATCACATCTTCCCTTGCAATGTTCTTTTGCTGGGTGACATTCCAGGTCACGTGATCACTCGTTTGTATATTCCTGGGACCCTTCAATTTGAAATCCCCCTGCAGCATTACTAATCATGGCAGTGTAAATCTGGCAGTGAAAGACAGCTGGGTTGTTTGTCTTGGTGGACCTGATCGGCACGCTCACTGGGTCTGCTGGGCAGATTTGATGATATACACAATTACCCATTTTTCAAAATATGAAATCAAAGTTGAATAAGTGACCCATGTGCAGGTTCGGCATATCCCTATAACAGTGGCAATGCATGTCGAGGGGCGTGGATGGGTGTATGAAGCGAATGATTGGTTCTACATGGCTCTGCGGCCCCCGAACTACGCCCTCTTCCGCCCAGTCGGAGAATTCTCTGTCAAGTTTCATGACGGGGACGAATATGTGTGGAACTCCGTGAGTCACACATGCTGCCAAACGCTTTCAAAATCCCTTGCTGTTGATGTATACGGCCCTGTAGGTTTTTGCAGTTGTGTGCAGACGCTCTTGGATTCGAGGACCTTGAAACTGTAATCAGGGGAGACTGCTCGAGTTGTTGGCTCTAGGGAAGCCATAGCAAATCATCTATTGCAGGAAAGACCACGGGAGACAAGCAGCAGTATTCCTTTACACTTCCTCTGTGGGCGCCATCCAAAGCACCAGCAATTTATTGTGAGCTTCCAGGTCCGGTATAGACTTTCTTAGGTAGGAATGACTAACAGTTAGTGCCACTGGTGCAGGTGAATGCGTGCGTGCATAATCTGGTAATGGGAAAACGCTATTGTGACCACGGCGGTCAATTCTATGTCACTTGCCTTGGCACAGGAGACACGATGCGCGGGGGCATCGATTACTCGCTGTTCCGTAAAAGCACTGATGAGGTGTGCTTTAGAAGTATCGTTCTTTTGTACGTACCCATACTATCTTTCATCAGGGGGTCCTATATCTGACCCCCTGGCCAGGTCTTTGAGCTGCTCGCTCCCCGCTGATTCCCCCGCTGAAGCTGTCATTTTGAATGTCATTCTCAAAGCTTGGAGGAACAGACGGCAAAGGAAAGTGCCCTTGCAACCAAAAGCAGTCCAGGCGGGCTGTTGTCAGGTGGCGTCAAGTTGACTGGACAAATCAATACAGCTTTGAATTTCAAGTAAGCCATAAGGGACACACCTGAAACAATGGCGCTATGTGCGCAGGTGACCTTGTCTCTCGAGAGGCAGGGGAACAAGGTAGAAGGAGTGGCGATGTGGGGGTTTTGGAACAGGGAAGTCTGGGCTCAGTACCCTGATGGAGCACAGAAATGCCTGTGGAGGGCCAAGCCACCCCATATCACCAGCAGCAAGTGCGCTGTCATCCAATGCCCAGTGACTGCAGTTTCAGTACTGAATCTTGAACCATATCACCAGCAGCAAGTGCGCTGTCATCCAATGCCCAGTGACTGCAGTATTAGTACTGGTTCTTGAATGTACTGTTGATTTCCCAAAGCAACGTTGCTTTGGGAATCAACGGCTGACGCATGCTCTCACCTTCATTTCAACATTTATGGACAAGTCTCAGCCCGCTGCAACCTGGAACATCTGACGCCCAATATCTTCAATGCCACTGAATTTAATGGTCATGCCATCTAAGCAGTTAAGCCTAGAGGAATTACGCGTGCAGGAATCTGCCTGTGGCACATGCAACCTCGAGAATTTTGAAAAACAATCCACGAAAGGTACAAGTTTAAAATGGACTTTAAAGTTTTTAACATTAGAAGCTGTGTGCTGGCGCAGGTTTCTATTCCCCGAGTGGGCGCTGCATCTGAATGAGCTGACGCCTGAGCTGATGACTAAGCTGCCCCCCACCGACGACCGGCTGAGACCAGACATGCGACTCATGGAGCACGGACTACCTCGCGGTCAGTCATTTGCAAGAATTTTGAGGAATTTTGAATTAAAGTTTGAAATCTGGAACGGGTAGTCTGAATAGTTAGTCATTGTTTATCTGCTCTACAGCATCTGACTGGACTTGCAGAGGGTCTGTTGCAAGCAAGCAGGGTTCGGAGCAGTGGTACTTCTAAGGATTTCCGCTGATAGCCAATGTGACTAAATAAAAAAAATAGAGTAAACTCTCTGAAGCCAAAACAATGGCTGACAACGGTGTTCGAAGAGATTTCTGGCTCAGCTTGGTGGTTTCTGGGGGGCATTTTAGCTGCAAAAGATCAATATGGCAAAAGATTTTGGAGCCGCCAGACTTCTTCTGTGCAAAGACTTCTCAGATCCTGCAGCACTAGAACATTTAGACCGGCCTCATCAAGTCCGATGGAAAGCCATGTGGTGTTGTAAGCTTGGCCCTGCCATCTGACTTAGCCTCTGCAGAGCAGCTGTGCTCATGACAACCGATCGGCTCTGCGCAGACAAATCAGAAAAAGGAACAGCTGTAGTTCCGTCATTTGAATTCGAAATTGAAACTATACTTGGCGCAGGCAAACAGAGAGAAGGAGCGTCTTGAAGCGAAGCAGCGGCAGGAGCGAAATGCTGCAGAGGCAGCCGGAAAACCCTGGCAACCCCGCTGGTTCGAAAAGGTTTGAATTCTGACCATTTGAACCTCAGAAATGTCCTGTCTGATATCGCATCTGTCTTCTTGCCATGGCAGCAATGCATGCAGAATACCAAACATCAATTGTAGGCTTGCTGGTTCAAAGGGTGGCCACACACCTAGCTCTGGACTGCTTCCTTCAAGGTCAATGAAGGTCTTTCGGCCGGTTTTCTTGATGTGGCATCACATGGACATGTGCTCAAAAATGCCTGTGGGCCTAATGCATGCATGTATTCCATGTTTTCTGAGACCTTAGAGAATATTTGCAAGGGTTTGTGCCTTTTTGTGCAAGGGATAGGTTTGGTCAGGCAAAGCTGCTGGATCGGGATCACTGTCAAGCTCCCATGCATATAGCACCAGGCTGATCAGCAAGTGAGCAATCAATTGCATATGCATCCCGCATGTTTGTGGTTTTTTTGAGAATGTGTGCATGCACATGCAGGTGCCGGGGGGGCTCCGGGGGTTTGAGAAGTACAGGTACAAGGGGGGTTACTGGGAGGCGAGGGAGAACGGAAACTGGGAGGGGGTCCGTGACATCTACGGTCCAGGCCCAAATGATGGCTCAGGCCCGGAGAAGCCAGCACAGTTGATCTTTTAAGGAAATTGTTCTGGGGTTGCAAACGATGGAAATGTGCAAATATCTTATTGGAAAGCCTACTGTAACATCATGTGACATCATAAATGCTTCTTTGACTTATATCTTAGCTGGAGGATGTAAATTTTACGATCTGTGGTCGCAAGCAGATCGTACTCATGTTCAATACAAAGACCTACTGCAAATAAAAAGCACACCAAAGTACATCAAAATACACCCTCCCATGGCTTATTGGATGTTCCAAGATCTTGACCAAGCGCTCGAAATCATCCATATAATGCAGCACTGATAATATGGAATTGCCAGAAGAAATTGCTGCTTGGTTACAGTGCCATGCACCTGACAAGGCAGGATGTTGGAAAAAATTTAGTTAGTACGCCCAATACTGAAGGGGTGCAGACGGAGGTGGGCCCCAATGTGTTATGGCCTGCCCACATTCCAAATCGATGATCATAGACAGAGAAAGAGTTGAGAATTGACGCAAGGGAAGCTATTGCCCTCCCAAGCCCCATGTGCGTACCACACTAGTTGGGACATTTCAGGCGGTGCTTTTTTGCTTCCAGTCAAGATCAATGACTCATGCTAGGTTTCCCAGGGGAGGGTCTGCTCCATTCTTGTCATCTCAAGAAAACATCGAAGGAGAACCTTCATCAGTTGGTCAGTGATGTCACAAGGGCTCGGCTGCATCTTCTCGAAATCGCAAGAATGTGAAACTAATGTCGGCTGCAAATTTGCATTGATTGACCTGTAGGCCGCCCGTGTGACCTGTTCAGCGAAAGCCCTCCATCACCACCAGTGAGAACCCCGAGCGACACCTCCTGTCATCCCTCAACATGGCTGTGGTTCAGATCCGCCGCAACTGGTTTCCATTCTGAATAGACGCGTAAAAGCACAGCACACACTGAATTGCGCGGCACAATACACCTCTTTCCACGGCCATGCGCAAGAGCTGCGCCTTCGAGAGGTGAGAAGCAGCAAATGCTCTACGAACCTAAGTTTTGAACATACAGCTCTGTATTGAATGATGATGGCCCCGGTGTGCATTGTTCCCGCCGGAATAGCACCCACAGGCGAAGTCGCCTCAATCTCAAAGACGAGTTTTGCTTTTTAGGGGAGCCTGGCTCAGAGATGTGTTGATCATCCCACTAGTATTGTCTTGTGTTAGATCTCATTTGTATTATGTCTTTTCTCGGAATTAGAAAGAACGCTCAACGCACTGTACGGCAAGTGTACCCAATCACGTCGTATACGGATCATCCGTTCTTTTGCGCGCAGGAGGTACTTCCAATCCAAGCTGCATCCAATCGCGGAAAACCTGGAGTATAATCCCATGAGAATAGCAGTGCGGCATAGGGCCAAGTACCTTGGCTCCGTCAGCTTGCCCGCCCAGCAGCCATCACCGCTTGATGCTTCATCTCGGGACCTCGTCCTCCAGTCTTGCACGAGATATACTGATGCTTTGAGCGATGATGAAGGTACCATTGCGTCAAAGGTGAGCGTTCCATCACACTTAACATTTGATTTCCAGTAGCTGTCCACTGTTGCTGCAACGCCTTCAACAACATACAATGAAAGGGGAGGCTGCACTTTGCGATTGTTTTGGCCTTGTTGGCAGTGACGCCCCAAACTATACTCTCTACTTCGTCTGGGCCACTGAAGTCCCCATATACCAAGGCAAGGAAGGGGGGCCATGGCATGGAGCCTGGGAGCAGTGTCTGCAAAGAGCATTATTCAATCATTAAAGAGGGTGCAAAATTCACACTGCTCTGCTTTGTGACTTGCCTCTACGCATGCATGCAGGCTCACAGCTGCCACATCAAGCATGAGCATGAATGCTTGCCCAAGGCGCAATTAGACACTGAGAGTGTGCAGACCTTGCGTGCCGCACTCAGTGCAGCTTCCAAGGCACACCAGAAGATTAGTCTCTTGCCCGGCATAATTAAATGAGCCATTGCTCCAATGATCAGATCTGGGACCTCTAGAGTCAGCCATCGGATCAGCCCTGGGCTGGAAGCGATGCGATGACTGACTGACTGAATGATTGACGGGCAAAATGCTATTTTGTTATGTACCAAAACAAGTTTATTGGCTTTGCAAGCAGTTGAGCGCGATTGCAAGGATCAGCCAAATGCAATGCAGCTTTCAAGCGGCAATGCTACAACAATGCTTTCTAGGGTTCAGATCTTGAATGGCACACAGATGTTGTGAATTTCAGAGCAGTGCTTAGCACCTATGAGGCATAGGGACTGCGAATGATGGATCTTAGCGTATGTCATGGGTGATCACAATTAGCGGGGTCACAGCTGACAGTGCAAGATGTTGGTGGAGTTCATCTCTGGTGTGACCCAATGCATGGTTAAAACCCGAATGCAAAGACAGCAAGAGGCTGCATTTCAGCTCACCGCGAGTATTTGATACTGAGTCCGTACTGCCGTAGTACACATGGCTTCAGTGAGCTCTGTCATTTGAAAATTTAGTGATGAACGGTGTCACTGTAGACTCCTGCTGGTGGGTACGGAGCCAGCACCGATGCAGTCAGGCATGCTTTGTCATGCTGGCAATATGCCAAAGTGGTGGAAGGCCATTCCAGAAGCAGCGCTGCCCCTCTTTAGCACTGTGTAAATTCCCTAAGATCATCTCACTATTAGTAAGATCTTTGCTAGATATTCGTAGGATCTAGGGGTCCTGGGCCTGGTGGATCATTTTGTGATCATCATTGTGCTGTTGCTGCATGACGTGCGCACGTGCATGCAGTTGCCACGCAGCCCTGTCTCTTATGGCTGGCGCCCGCTCTGGTGTGTTGCCTGCATTCATCCTTCTGACTCTTCTCAGAGAAAATGTTTCATAGTCCAAACTTTGAACGGCTCTCTGAAGATGCTCAGGAGGCTCTTTTGTCCCAGATGTTTGATGAAAGGACAGAAACGTTGCATTGGAATGTTATTGGTGCCAGCTCTGTCACTTTTGTCATGACTTGATGGGCGGCCAGACTTTGCTGGAAACATGTGTCATACTTCCGAGATATGAGTCTTAGTATGGGATAAGTGAGCCGCCTGCTGCAAGCGCGTGTGGCTTTAAATTTGGAGTGCCTCAAATCTGGAAGGAAGGAAGAACCATGGGTGCATACAGCGTTTAAGCCTGAAAAGATGTTCAGGACATCTGAAACAAAGTACTAAACAGCCTGTACAAAACTCACATGTCCGACTGCCGCAGTCAGGCCAGATCTGAGAGGGTACCCCCTGTGATGACGCCCCGCCTGACCGCACGTGGAAGGGAAGGCAAAAATATTACGCGCTCGGTTGGTTGCCAATTGGCCCGGATCTCGCCAAAAAGGTTCGGCAGCCTCCAGGAGGATCTCACTGGCAGGTAACACATCGGCGAGGAGGCCCATAGGTGAGCTACTGCAACCCGCGTAGAAACTTTCTTACCCCTTCTGTGAGTGTTGCTTGTCGAGCAGGATAATCCCGGCTGCGCATGACGCTACCGTGCATTTTTGCAATACAAATTTTCCTCCGAGGATGCATTATCGACAATTGGAGCCCATTGAGCAAATATTAAATGGCTCGTCCTCGAGAAGCTGGTTTTAACATTGTACTACAGCTAGGGTTGGAGGGGCGGCTTTGCCCGACTGTGACTTTATGGCTGGTATTTATAGCAAGTAATAGTCGCAGCAATGTAAACAGTGATCTCAGATTGGAGGCCTCGAGTTCGTGGGTCCGTGAGGAGGTCATCAGAATGTGGGTCCGCAGTTGGCAACCTCAAGTTGGCATTATTCGATGAGTGGATTGGCGTCCTATTCACCCACTGAAATCAATCTACCTTAAAGATTGGACCTTGGCAGCATCAGAGCGCTAGAATCCCAGAACCTTGTTGATCTTCGTGCGTTGGTCTCGAGTAAGTTCCGGTCAAGTGATCGAGGGCTTTTGCGGCACAGCCGGCCACTAGGGCACAAATTGACAGACTCAACGACCAGTACGTGTCAGAAGAACTTGATGATCCGCCAAGCCGGCCTCGTAGCAGATTGAGATCCTTGGGTGCGGCACTTGCAGGTTACTAACAGGAGGCCGGCCATCGCAGACGAGCTGTCTGAGCAGCTGCTCGCGAGAGAATGGAACCCCTAGAGCTTCATAAAGCGGTGGGATCCGTGTTCCGCAGCCTGGACGGCCTGAGCTGGCCGGGTGGGGCGCACTCGGGAGCTGGCCTGGACCCAGATCTGCTGAAGTGGTGCTGCCCCATGGATACGTCCACAGAGGCCTCAGCTCCGCGCGCAGAGGAACATAACAACGTCAAATTCCTCGACAGCTTGTCCATCGACCATCTGCTGACCACCTCCCACGGAACAGGCCGCAACAGGAGCAGCCTGACAGAGGATGCCTTCCTCTCATCCCTGCTAGAGCCATCCCTCCTGACCCCGGATGCAGACTCTGCACAGAGCTGCCTCTTCCCCCACATGGATGTCTGCCCGCCCAACAGCACAGATGCCAGCAAAAGCATGCAGAGCCCCCCCCAGGCGCCTGCTGACAGCGAACAGGACAGCCCCTGGGGCTTGGCCTGGGAAGCAATGGAGTCGCGCATGCTCGGTGCAGAGGACGGCCCACAGCCGATCTACGACATGTCGCCGGCCTGCAGCATGGACCTGAGCAGCCACATCAGTGTCGACTGGGAGGGCACCACCACAATCAACCAGGCCTGCTCAGCGCAGCGCGAGGGCAGCACCAGCAGCGAGGAGAGCTGCACCTACCTGCCTGCCACCTTCGGCTTTGCCGCAGCCAAGTTCCTGCCCGAGCCTGCAGCCTGGGCGCCACGCGCAGACGCGAGCCCGGCTGCGGCCAAGCCGGCGGCTGGCATCGCGTGTGCGGCCTCGGCTGAGCCGCCGCCGGCCGCTGCACAGCCGCCGCCGGCCGCTGCACAGCCGCAGCCGGCCGCTGCGCAGCCGCAGCCGGCCGCAACCGCGCAGCTGCTCGCAGCTGAGCTGGCAGGGAAGCCAAGTCAGGCAGCTGCGCGGCCAGCCGCGGCGCGCGTCGGGCCAGCGAAGCGGCGGCGGCTGCGTCCGGGGTTTGACCCGCTGAAGAGCCGCCAGATGCAACGCGACTACATGCAGCGCAGAAGGGTGCGTCCTCCTTTCAGGCTTATCATTGGCCTTACATGCACCCAATGACTTCCTTAACACGACCCCATTTCCAGACAGTCCTGAGAATTTCGTAGTCCTGTGTGCCTGTTGGAGATTATTCCCAAACTGCCTGGCTTGAGAGTTTTCCACAGCGGAATTTGTCACGACGTGCTTGTTCTATGGCTGATCGAGAGCATGCTGTTGTGCGAGCAGGAGAGGGAGGCGGCAGTGCACGCGGCAGTAGAGGAGCAGCTGCAGAGGAAGGCTGCCCTGGAACGAGACGTGGGCGCACTCCTGCAACGCCACGAGCACCTCACTAGCCAGCGGCCCTGGCACGAGCACCACGTGCGCCCTTGCTCTCGGCTGATTACTGACCACATTCTCTGTACCTTGTCACCTCCACAATACACGGCACATGCGAGTTCCCCCACCTGTGTCCTAGCGGTCCAGCTGGCTCCTTGCCATCCACTGGGTCCATAATCAGCACAGCATCATTGAAACGCACTACGATCATCCCCTCGTTTGGCACCACAACTCAGAGACAAGTCAGTGGCGACAGGGGTGACAGAAGATGACAAATGTAGAGCCTGCCAGCATGACTTACCACCTTAAGTACTCTGTCTGATTTCAATTTCTGCTTTCTGCCATACAGGAGGCAGTGAAATTCACGGCTGCAGTTGCTTCCCTGCTGCCAGCGCCCGCTGGCGGCAGCAGCAAGGCGCCCGCCGCAGATTCCATGCCTGACATGCTCCAGAAGTTCATGCTGGTGCGCTTACTACTCTGGTTTTCCTGTCCGTTGTCTTACCTGGGGACTCTAAGTACAAACTTACTAACTACGTCCATAGCTGGGGTTCCTCAACCTCGGTGTGGTTGAGGCATTGTGCTGAAGGTAATGTTTTGGTGGCCTATATTCCGTCCATCTGGATTCCCCTGTATTTTACATTTTGACCTGGCATAAAGAAAACTCAGTGTCGACATGACCTGCCTGTGTTGCAGCCACCACAAGTGCTCACCGTAGCCGCATATCACTTGCGCCACCTTGGGTTCTTTTATCATGCGCATGTGAGCGATACCTCAGAAATGGATTTTGAATGTGGTTTTGAGTGTTTCTGAACAATTGGAAGTGGTTGCAACAGGAGCCGGCGGCCACGATTGACCAGATGTATTCGTCAGCCGGCCTGAAACCCCAGAAGGAGGCTGCTCAGGTGAGCGCGCATGCCAGATGCCAAGCTTTGTCAGTGGCGTGAAAACTCCTCCTCAGTTCACACGAGCCATGCTTGTCTCACTTCAGGGCTGCAACCCATGTCTTGACTTCTGCCCTGATAGAACCTGCGGCGCAGGATCAATCTGATCACTGCCTGTGCCTCATGCGCACATCAAATGAGAGTACATTTTCCATTTGTCCATTTTGGATTCCAACATCCAATTGAGCAAAAGCCTGTGCAAGCAATACCGCGCACCCTGCCAGCCAGCTGCACTCCATATACCGTGTATCTGTCGTTCCTGCATTCAAATTCTACTTCAAATAGTGTCTCATCTGTTGTCTTATGGGGTATCAGGCGTCTCCAGCTTCCAAGGAAGCGCCACCGGTGCAGCCGCCAGCGCTGAGCGATGAGTCAGCGGCAGCCAGTGGCGCCATCTCATGGCGATCCATCGTGGTGAGAACACCACCATTTCTCACAAGCGGCAGAAATAATTTCTAGTCACTGACTAGGTGACAAAGTTTGTCTTGACTGGTACGATGTCCCTGTGCCTGTTACAGCCAAGCAGTGACTGGTGACTCCAAAGCCTTGGCACTACTCTTCACATCAGCCTCCTGACGGCCTCTTGCTGTGCCAACATCGGACAAGCATGATAGCTCAGAGGCAATAAGCAGTTTGGATTTGCACTTGAATTCGACAGCCTGTGACCGTGTCTGCAGGCGTGCCTGGCCTGACAGAGGACCAGAGGAACGAGATAGCTGCACTGTACAGCACCCACATGGAACGCAACGCAGACCTGCACCAAGACTGCCTCGACATTGCAACCAAGCTGCAGGTGAACCTCATTTTGTGCCTTAAAAATGGCTGCCACCACCTTTTGGGATCACACAAGCGCAGAAATCTGCTGCACCACCCAGTAGAACCCATCAATCTCCTAGTACCTGGCATGAAGTGGATTCTCAGGCTCACGTCAGTGCTCAGAAAAACATTATTGAAGCCCCTTCTGCTCGTATGGACAGGGGGTTCTATATCTTTCCTTCTGGTTAGATATTGAACCCCCTGGTATGGTACAAGTCTTCTGTAGCATGGAACAGTACTTGCCTAGACACTTATGCCTACACTGCTGATCAACTCCTGATCATGCATTGATTGAAGTCACTTTAGGCAGGATATCTCCTCCTCTGTGTGAATATGAGAGTGAGGCCGATTGCGCACCTGCTGCGCAGCTGCTGCCGGGAGTTGAGGGGAAGCTGACGGATGGCATGTGGCCAAATCTGGCAACGCACATCATCAGCAGCCAGCTGTCCAGCATCACCAGAAGCTGCCAGGAACTCATCGCCGCCCTCACCACCGCCTGCTGCCAGGTGCGCGTCGGCTTCCCTGCCACAAAGCGCCCGCACACAGACCCGGCTTCCATCCCTGAGTCTCAACAGAATCAGCATCAGAGTGTTCACGGTGCCACGGAGACCATTGATGAGCTTTAGAGGCATGCAAGGTCTTTGTCATTTTGAATATAGTCGTGTGAGCAACCGGGCTACAGGAGCATTGTGACTGCATCTACTTTCGGTTCCTGCAGGCAGCTCATCCAAAAAGCTCTCACCCCTCCTTTTTTGAATGGCACATATCTGTTTGGCTGGGCTCTGAAGCCAATTAGATGGGCAAGGTACCTCCATCCAAGATCGATGCATGCAAGGACATGCAGTGCTCAGGGGTTTAGGCAACTGCTGCCAATGCTTCTTCACATGTGTAGATGACAGCTTATTGATGATAGACAGGTAAAGACAATCTGACCCTCAAAAGTGGCTGCATGCAGGTGCTGAGCGAGTACCAGCGCAACTACCTCAAAGCTCTGGCGCCTTCCGGGCCGCTCGACCTGCGCCAGATGTGCCAGGAGATCGTTGCGACCGGCAAAGCGTGCACAGCGCGCAAGGCAGCTGTCAAGAAGTCTCCCGCACGGACTGCTTCCCAGTCCCTGCAGGTGTGCTCCCCTGGCCCTTGCCCTAACTCCGACATTTGCCCACTGGGTCTTTGCTTGGATCTGGCGAGTCCATCAAGGGGGTAGGATTACCACAGCCCTTCAACTGCAGCTTGTCTGCAGACGCACCTTGCATCTTGGCACAAAATGCTTGTAATGACAAGAATATTCTTCCCGAGTACTGAGTAATCTCTACTACCATGGGATGGCATACAAGCAGACTTGATAGCCTTGCCACGTATTCGTCTGCAATCCTAGGCCCCTGCCCCCCTCTCATGTCCACAGTGGGACACACACGTGCGCTGCCCTGTGGTAATTACACTTGTCTCTATGTATCTTGTTCTGGGAAACTTGCAAATCCCGTGTAAGCCGTGGAGTTTTGCCTCGAGTGTGAAAATTGACACTGGCTCTGTTGTTTCTGCTGTGCAGGAGCCTGCAGCTGGCGTGGAGGCACCGCCGGCATCCCCAGCAGCCGACAGAGCAGCTCTGCTGCATGACTGCAACATGGCGCCTCACTTGAGCAGTCCACCAGCCATGCAGGACAAGGTGCAAGCTGTGGCACACCTCAATGACACAGGTCATGTCAGCGAATGTGCTCAGCTGGACAGTGTGGCAGGGGCCGCTGGATGGGAGGCTCCTGCAGATCTGCACAAGCGCGGTCTGCTCGAGTTCCTTTGGGAAGTTGAGGTGGGTCTCCTCTGCTGTGGCCTCTGATAAATGCATGCTCTATCTGTACACTTCTCCAGTCTCTGCACAGGGGGTTGAAGTAGTGATCTGCTCAGTGCAAGCCTTACTTGCGCGCCTTCTGCAGTCTCTGCGCAGGCCATCCAGGTTTGATGTGCTGCCGGATCACCAGCATTCATATCTCCCTGTGCATGCTTCAATCCACATCTATGTTTGCCTGCTTAAATGTGTGTTGTGATGTTCCACTTTAAAGTTTCCCATCGTCACACAATTGGGTTGACATGGATGACAGGATAACAACACATTGTGGTATTGCCACATGTGTAATGTAATCAAGGTGTGCATGCCTGTCACATGCAGGACGGTCCCATAACCAACGCGCCGATCAGCGCTCCTACCAACATCCTCCTCAACAAAGGCGCCACCAACCAAGCCCCGCTGAGCATTCCACAAGGCGCCAACGCACTTGCACGGTCTACCGAGCGTTCCTTCTTCGGCGGCGCCCAGATCGCGGCAATGCCTCCTCCCTCCAAGGCAGCGAGGAAATTACAGGGCCCCGTTTCACCTGAGCCCAAACCTCAGCTCTTCCACTTTCCTGCTGGCAGCGCGCAATTTCCAAGCAATCCCCAGGAGCAGGCATCCAGCTTCCAACAAATATGGGGCCCGGCCGGGTTTGCCCCTTGCCGCGCCGATTCAAATTCGAATTCGAATTTGAGTTCGGTGGCAAGAAAAGGGCCGGCCTGGACCCCCAGCTTCCTGGAAAACTGGGGTTTTGCAGATCTCTCTCGCTAGCAAGCCTGCTGACCAGTGAAGCCCTGCATTGCAACCTCTGAATTGCAGAGCGCTTGTGGGTTGAACAATTCCGATCGGATTTTCAGTTTGTATTAAGGAGCCTGCCACACACCGTTGCTCTGTGACAGAGCCCCGCAAAGTATGAATCTGATTTCATGAGCTGAAGTAGATTCTGAATTGCAGAAATTTCCCGCGCAGTTTCTGTGTTGAAATTTGCGCTTGCCCTGCCAAAGAGCAGGGCTTAGAGTGATTGGCTGTGGGTGTTTCACCCGCTGGCCAACATGTGTTTCACATGTGTTTGATGACCAGATTAGTGGATTTGAGAGGTTCTGCTGACTCAGATCAGCGTGAGACTTCTTTCGCTAATAACATACTGTTAGATGTGCATTTGAGGCACCGATTGAGGGGTGTTCCGGGACATTTGAGGCCCGGACACCAGGCTATCGTGCCAGAATTCGAGTTCAAATTTTTTGGTGATTTGGGCGCGCAAACACTTTGGCGCCCCTTGTGGCTGACATTTCCGAGATATGAAAGTCTTTAAGTGTACGCTGCTTGGGAGACGTAGGTCTGCTGTGAGAGTGTGAGCCTCGAGCCCTGCAGCGGTATTTAAATTAAAAAATAACAGAGTTAGACATCAGAGTTTGAAAAGCAGGGAGACAGACGCAGTTTCAAGCTGAGTTTGCACAAGTCGCTCCCTTGCTCGCTGTGTCTGGCAGAGAAAGGCGTCATTCTGATGTTCTGATAAGTCTTCAACTGGTACTGCCTTTCTGCTTGAGAGCAGTCCGTTCTGCATATCCGAGGCAGTTGGTTTTTAGCAAGTCACTGCAGATGCCTTCGTCTGGTCACTAAAGTTTGGAATTTGAGTTGGTCTGCCCGATGTACTCTTGGTGTTGAGAGTCCTTTGCTGCTGCGCCCAGTTGAGGGTACAGCGTTTGAGAGATCCGCTGCGGACAGGTTGAAATTCAAACTCTGGAAAGTGCCAATCGTAATAGACACTTGGCTTGCAGAATGATTGCCACCTTCCAAAGTGGAAGTCAAGTGTCTAGGAACACAAATGCAGAGTATGGTACAAGTTTGAATGAACCAGCGCCGTGTTTTTCTTTTCTTTTCTTTTCTTTTTTTCTGTGTTTAGGATGCTGTACTTCCAAGCATGGGCCATTGTGGGCAAATGCTTGTAGAGGAAGGCGGAGGTCTTAATTAGTGTGCCTTGCCAGACTGTCGGCAGTAAGTGGCGATTGCCGATCAAGTGCAGCACATTGCCTTTGACAAGCCCTTTTGATTGGCCCTATACTTTGCACACTTTGTGCTCACATTGTGTGAGCGACTGTGCCCCAGTAGGCCACGTGAGCATTTTAGGGCCATAGAATGTGCGCTCCAAATACGTTATTAGCCTATAAAATCCTCTATATACAAATGGCATTTATAATGCCTGTTGTGGTGATTAGCAGGTGTTTGGTGATGTATCTTTGCCCTTGCAGAGGGCTATTATCTGCCAAGTAGGCTCGAGGTTGGCGCGTGTGTCAGCAGTCTGCTAGCAAAATTGGGGCAACAAGTGCGCCGATATTGCAATGCACCGGATTCATGATCTATTTCATCAAAGTACAATGAGTTGAGTTTGCGCCCCATATGGGCAATGGTACATGCATGTACGCATGCATGCGATAGGATGAATACATGATCCCAATTGCGGTATTTGGTGTGTGTTGGTGATACTTAACGTGGCCGAGATTCAGTTGTTTTGAGGCCAATCTTTGCTTCCAATACATTTGCATTTTTCGAGTGGTGTTCACGGGCGTTGCATGCTTAGGTACCCTGCTGTGTAAAGCCCACTCTACGCCTCATGTTCATTTTGAATTGATGAATCTTACATAGATTACAGAGCTCCAATGCCTTTCATGCATCATATACTGTGTACCCCAAACAGGTTCATAGCCTACTTGCAGGTTTGTACTGCACATCCAGATAGTGGAAATGTTTCGGGTACATTCTGCGATGCGGCCATCCTGAGACACCCGCATCGTCGCTGTCGAAACCCGCCCCGAAGTTTCGAGCGGTTTGCTAGGGATGGCCCCTCAGCATTCGTGTAAGAAGGGGGTGTAGACCTGTAAGCTGCAAAGGTGCATTTGCGAGTTGACAAGGCTGCAAGCCTGTGCATATCGGCCCCGGGTTCCGGCTGCAGACAGACCTGTGTATGCCCTATGGCCCTCTGGGCTATGGGTGCGCCACTCATAAAGACTATTAATATAAGTCTTATTATTATAGTGGAATTGCTAGCCCTTTCGATAGGCTTCGGCGTATACAACAGTATTGCTGAGCACTTACGCCATCATGCCCCACTGGCTCTGGCTTTAGGTCCAAGGGATTGGCCTTAGGTCCAAGGAATCGCACGGTCCAAGAAATTTTGGAGTTACGTGAGAACTTGTTCTTACCCTGCCAGGCTGGGTGACGGACACGATGTACGACTGGACAAGGAAATGGTTTGCAGATTTGTCCGACTCCCGAAGAGGTCAAAAGTACATCCTTAATAATCGCCGTACTGTTTTGTCTGCAGTCAGCTGAACGACGAATCTGCGCTTAGGACAACTTGGATCGCCGCGTCCTGCTCTCCATGCTCGGGAAGGAGACACGAAAGATCCAGGTAACCCCAGCGTACACACTTTTACAGACACATTCCTTTCATCGCCAAGGTTCCGTGGGAAAGACAGATTGCTGTTCTGCCGGTCATAGTACTGGCATTGTAACGGAACCTACGAGGAGCTTCCTGAAGGCTGTTACAAGGTTACCTGCCACAAATTTTCAATTTTGGAGTGCATTGGCCAAGCAGGGCTCCTTTACAACATGCCGTAGTCGATTCCCTGGTCTCTTAAGCACTAAGACGAGTGCCGCAAGTGCATTTGACTGATGACGTCACGTCAAAGAAGCTGCTATATCCCCACAATATATAATGTTTTGCAGGAGATACCAAGGAAGATGCCTCTTTCCATCCAGCTGCACTCGGACAAGGCCTCTGCTGGGAAGCCGCGATTGCAAGCTGAGTGGCCCGACGTGAGAGCCTGCGCCCTCACCTTCTTTGACCTTGCAGCGATTACCAATGCAGCATTTGATATCGATGCATGACTGGCACAACTAAAGTGGTCCGCACAAAGGCGCTTGCTGAAAGGATTTCTAGTCTCTACTTTCATTTATCTATGAATTTGCTGCTTTTTTGAGCTCCCGAGCCCCTATTTTTGCAGCTGGATTTGGATTTGGGCAGGCCAGATCTCTTTGACCCCAATTTCTCAGGTGCTCCTCTAGATTGGGCGGACTCACAAAACATGCAGCATGCATGGTTGAAGCAGGACACTGCTTGATACCTCTGACACCTTTGTTCATTCCCCCAGCCCCGTGTGACCAGTGCACTATGTCTAGCTGCCTCTCACCTGCCTCTCTCATAAGCTGTGCTGGTTTCAGGTGTACAACGGCAACAGCAGCGCAAAAGTCGCCATTGCATTGACCGAATCGGAGGTGCTGTGTGGCTTTGTGGAGTATCAAGAACTGGTGCAGATTCTGGCCAGCACTCCAGAGCTGAGATCGGTAATTGGGGAGGTATGCACTGCTCATAATATCATAACTAAATGTATTATTACATGCTAGTCCTGCCAAGAGGCAAGGTGCGTCCTGCAGCTACAGGCTGCCGCAGTTTACCCCTTGTTGGACTTGCCAGATCCAAGCAAAACTAAAAGTGGGCACGGTGCTCAGTATTTATACTGCTCCCCGCCAGCCGGGGCCTGCTCATATATACCAGCCATATCTGACTGGCTTGATAACTTTCCAACAATTTGCAATTTGTTTTCGAGGCCGGAAGACCCAAGCAGCTACATCTTTTGAGGGCGGGTCCGGTGATGGAATGCAGCTAATATCAGTGTGAGCCTTGAGATGCCCGTGCTGAGACCATGACTAATCAAGATGACTCACATTATTCTTGACATTTCTGGCAGGCGACTGCTGCAGAACTTGGAGCATCCAAGGCGGCAGTGAATGCTGCCTTCTGTGCGCTGATAAGTGCAGACAAATCCACTGTGCGCCCTTTCCCGACATTTGATGATTCCTGACATCGGTGCCTCCAAGGGGACACAGCTTCCTGAGATGGACTGGAAAATGGAATATCGGAAAGAATCATGACCAGAGTGAATGAGGCGTTCCTGTGCAAAATCCAAATAGTAATACATTATTTCCTTTGCACATGTTTCAGTTAGTAAGCTTTCAAAACTGTTGCTGGCTCCAGGCGGCACCGGCCATTCAGGCGCTGACAAAGCGGCTGCTGAGCGCTGATTCACCGCTGACCACAAAGGAAAGGCTCGTGCTGCGGCTCAATGAGCAGGGTCTGGCAAACGCCGGCATCTTATCAGCCTTTATCCTGAACCATGTCACCCTCAAGCCCAGTCAGGTGAGCCAAAGCCCACATGGACGGTTTTGCTCTGCTTTATCTCAAACGCTGCACATTGCAAATTACAAAAAACTTACATACTACGCTGCGCCATTCAATGCATATGTTTTGAGGGGGATTTGCATCTGCGGTTTTGTGCATCACAGGGAACCAGCAACTGTAAAATCAGAAGGCAGGATTCTTTTTGTGACAGGAATGATGTTGCCGGGCTTGCATGCAGGCCATCTGTGTAGCGGCAAATGTTCCATATGCATATGTGTCTGGTGATCTGCTGGAATGCAGTGACTCCTCCAGCACTGCAAATGGCTTCGCACCCAAGCTCGGGTAAGCATCTGCCAAGCACTCACACACTCATTTTGTTTAATTCAATTACAAACGGTTTAGTTAGTAGACCCTTTTTTAGGGTCTAAACCTAAAGCCTGCAGGGTCCGAATATAGACCAGAGCTGAACATATTCTCAGGGACGTGAACATCTTCTCAAAGCAGATACTCATGCAGTAAGGACTTGAGCACATGCAGCACATGAGCAATAAATCTGTCAGATGCCTTACATGGCTCTATACATCTGCAGAAGAAATGAGCTGGCTGTTTGCACAAGTGCTGTGTAGGTCCAATGCCATAAATCTACACCCAATTTTTGAATGTGCAATTTAAATTTGATATGTGTACTTGAATTTGAATTCAAGCATGCGCCGTATGTATGCAGCGACGCAGCGGTGATTCGCGAGTGGCTAACTCACAGCCAGGGGTCCCCCAAGATCTTCAAGGGGACTGAGCCATCCTCAAGCCGCCCTTGGACTGTCACTTACAACCCCCCCATAGGCAATTTTGAGATTTTCAATATTAATTTCCCCCATTCAATCAAATTCATCGGCCAGCGCGAGAGCATTCGTCCCAGCAAGGTGAGCCCCTCTGTTTGCACCAGTAATTACATCGGGTATTGAAGCTACGAAAGGGATGAAATCTGAAACGTTTCCTGGTTGGGCCACTTTGTTTCTGGAAAGGGTTAAAATACGGCATCCCACCCTGTTACTTGATTATCAGACGCTAATCGGTGACTTCAAAATGGGACAGCTTCATGGCTGTTTATGTGCTACAAAAATGCCATGTCCTTTGTTGAGAGCCACATTGGCTTTTGCTTGTGTAGAATGCGTTAATTGCAGGGTGCTGCAAAGTCTTCTTTGGCGTGAAGGTATAGAAAAGTTGCATGTGCATGGGAATGGGAATGGCTTGAAGCAGCCATAGAGTAGCTGCCATCCATGTGCAGCATGCAAGCAGTACCTTCCCTTCAGTTGCCCCAGAGGTACATTTATTTCTTGATCACACAAACTGTGTCTTGCAGGTACCTCAGACACTGCATGTGCAAGGAGGGCAGGGAAGAATCTTTAAAAGGGATCCTGTCAGGGCTAACATGCACACCAATGGGGACTGGCAGGAATTGGAGCTCCACAAGGGAGGTGAGAGAATATGCACTCGCATGCATGCACGCATGTACCGTAGACAAACTTGCAGAGCCATCCTCAGTGACTCATTTGTTAGTCACTATGTCATTTGCAGCTCATGCATCCAAACATTTCTCCCCGCCGGCCTGCTTTGCCACTGGTGTCACACCACTGGTGTGAGTTCTAGAAAATCTGCATAAAGTTGTACCCCCGTGACTCCCGGCTATTGAGGGCGGTATAACTACTGCGCACCATGTGCCCATGGTTGATTGGGTCTTTCTTCGATATGGCGAATAGAGGTGGTAGGATTGTGACAGTCCTAACCTGCAGCTTGTCTGCAGGAGGCGCCTTACCTTTATGCAAAAAATGCGTGTAGTAATAATAAGAAGTTCCTTGAAATCTGTGCAAAAGAAGCTGGGTTGTGCCTTTGCAGATGGGGTGCTGATACCTGCCAACACCTCGGTTGTGATTGAAACCTTTAACCAAGGTCTGGACGTCTGGGTGGCTGCTGTCAAAAGCCCGGCCTCCGAACAAGGTGTGTCTCTGGCGTGCATAATTTCATGTTCCGCTCATATCCTGTGCAACATGCAAGAACCACCCAGATGGTACTAGGAGGGACAGTATAGCTCCATCAGCCAGATTTTGAAATCTATTAAAGCTGTTGAAGTTCCAGATATAGCGTCTCCTTGCTGTAGGGTCCGTTGTGCCACCAGCCATGCAGGCTGTGGGGTAGCGTTCAAGGGTTAGAGGGTTAGAATAAAGGGTGATTGAATTAAGTTTTGAGGAATCTTTACATAAGCGACTCCATCTGCTTGCAGGCGCTCGCAAGAACGCTGCTTTGGAGAGGGGAATCCAACAGCCTTGGGTGTCCTGGTTTGCTCTGGGACTGCCTTTGGTGCTGCTGTGGGCCTGGCTGCTGTAGATCCCAGCCACAGACAAGATGCTATCCATGCATCTGGATCTTCGGAAGTGGGCCAACTTGAGCAGATCTGACATAAGCCTGTTTTACACAGTGTGATGCATGCCCGCATGAGGCATGTGCCGGCACTTCTCAAATCACCTGCTTGGATCATCCAGCGAGTCAGGATGTGTGCATTCAAATCTGATGAGAGCAACAGGGGTGAATACTGGGTGCTAGCATGAAACGTAGTGATCTTATGCAATGTTCTGCATCAATAACCTTGTGCGGAAGTGATAGAAGGTATGATAGGAAGGAAACAGGTGCCATTGAAAGTGCCGATTTCTTGCATCCTGCTGAAACATCCAGTGTTTGTCATAGGCAATGTATTCTTAATGTGGTGCTTCTGACACGCTTCATGTCAGGCCATATCTCAATCTGTCAGGTGCACATATCGTCACGAAGAGCAATCAGCACCTGTGCAGTGTTTCCTCTTTTGTCTTTGCAATTGAAGCTATGGGGTTATTCTGGCGTAGTGGTGAGCCAATGCACATCACCATGCGTGTGAATATTCTACAGATGTAAATTAGGCATGAGTTCAAACAGCCATAAGAAATATCAATTACACACAAGCTCAACTTCTTTCCCAGTTTCATGCATGCACGTGGATAGGGAGGCGAAAACATCACTCGCTTGCTTGTGACCTGTCACCAGCCTGCAGCACGGCCCCGGTCTGCCATATGAGCGCCGGCTGAAAAGGCAACACAGCTGCAGACCGAGCTTGGCGGGATGGCAGTGGCGCGCCGGTTGCGGCCGGCAGCAGGCCCGGCGGCAGCGGTGGCCGGGCGAACGGCGCGAATCCCGGCACAGCCCGCTCCGGCGCGCACCGGGGCGGCAGTGCGGCGGCTGCTGCGGCCCAGCTTTGATCCAGTGAATAAACGCCAATCGCAGCGCGCTTACATGCAGCGCAGAAGGGTGCGTGCCCCATAAAGCCTACCCACCTGGCATGCACAATAATGTGGGTGGCACTTTGCTGTTTAGAGATTGCTTTGACTCCGCTGCCGTGACTCCGCGCTTCAAATTCTGCCCATGACTTGCACGCGTTTCAAGCTTAGCTGCGCTGCCTTTGTTTCGATGCTGACGGGGAGCATGATGTGGCCTTTGTCGAGGCGGGTGTGCATTCGCCGGCGGCGGAGCAGTCTCAGAGGAAGGCTGCCCTGGAACGTGACGTGGGCAACCTACTGAGACGCCACGAGCACCTCACAAGCCACCAGCCCTTGCACAAGCAGCTTCTGCGCCTCCAATAATATACCAACCCTCAATCTGCATTGTTGCCAGCGTTATCTGTCTCCCCTGAACAGCACGGTGCATGGTCATGTTCTCCCCCAGTAGACCTACAGGTTGTCTTCATTTCTGGCCAGGAGTGCTAAAGGTTGGTGGATAGCATTTTGTACTACGGTAGTGACTAGTAATTAGTTATTAGTCATTACCAGCCCTCATGAACCTGGTCAACCTCAGGACATCATGTGCTGACACGCTCTGCGAGTGTGCGGCCAGATGTTCAACAAGGCACCACCACATAATGTGTTTGCATGCATGATCTCGCACGGCGTCTCGGGCAATTTTTAGCTTGCACTCTGTGGCCCTGCTGTGTAAAGCCTACTCTGTGCCCTCTTTAAATTACTGTATTTTACAAAGCTTACAAAGCTCCATTGACTTCCATGCATCATTTACTGTGCTCCCTCATAAGGTGAAAACCTACTGGCAGACTTGTATTGCACATCTTTGTGGGTGAAAAGCTAGCCCTTTCCCGTATACACCAATTCTATCATGCCCCAATTGGAGGTCGACTGGCCTTAGGGTCCAACGGATTCCAAGATATTTTAGGGCCTGCTGGAGTTACATGGAATTTCCTTCTAGCATTGGAGGACGGAAACAATGTACGAATGAACAGAAGAAGCTTTGCAGTGTTCTTCTAGTCCCGAAGGAATCTAGGTTGCCTGATCTAAGTTGCCGTATTGCTCGACCTCTGCAGTGGGATAAAAGGCGAAGTTGCGTTTGGGACATCATAGATCGCTGAGTCCTGATTGCCTTGCTCGGGAACAGTTTTCCTTCGCGGACAGGAATCGAAACCCCCAGGTGATTCCAACGTACATGTTTGTCGTTAAGCCCAATTACTCGCTGAGATTGCGTAGGAAATCAACATTAATTCTGTCCGTCATCGTACTGGCATTGCAATGGAATCTGCTAGAGAAGCCCTACACGGAGCTTCTCGAATGCAGATACGTGGTTGTCTGCTATACGTTTAAAATCTTAGAGTGCATTGGCCAAGCAAGAGCTCCTTTCCAAGTGCGTGAGTTCGCAATTTCCTCTGTGGTTTCTTAGCATGCCGTAACCGGTTCCCATATCTCTTACACACTAAGACGAGTACCTGAGTGAATTCGACTGATGCTTTACATGTTTCAAGGAGTTTTCACAGTCTGTATAAGTGTTTTCGAGGCTTGGAAGAGGATATGCGCAAAGGTGGCCTTAATTTAAGCCAGCACTCGGAGACCTGAGTATTTTGTCGTATTGGTCAAGATCGCATTACTTGGGTCTGCTGAGCACTCTTGTTGCAGGCTGATACAAGATGGTAACCCGCGCTTCAGTCTCGTGATTGTTTAAGGAAGCGTGAGAGCGCTTCCAGCAGACACATGAGCAGCCCAAATCCACGTGCGCAACTGCAGGCCAACCCGCAAGAGTCATTTGAAAACGACACGCCTTTTGTACATAAGGTAACTTCGGATTTATAGTGCAGTCGTACACCACTCTGATTAATGTCCTCTTCGTTTCTGGAGTGCATAAGCAAAAATGACGCGCAAGTTCGCGGCAACGAGGTGGCCGGCCCGGTTAAGCAATGTTCGGCCGCCAGTGTACGGACGGTCCGTACACACACGGGCTGCCTCAACTATTCTGCCTGTTTCGTAGGAAACAATGAATAAGATGCCTCTTTCCATCCAGTTGCGCTCGGACAAGGCCTTTGCGGAGAAGTCGCAATTGCAAGCCGAGTGGCCCGACGTGAGAGCCGCCCTCCCCTTCTTTGACCTTGCACAACAAGCTCTGCAGCACGTTTGAAGCAGGGCATTGTTTGATACCTCCCTCAAGCTGCCTCTCACTCTAATCAGTTGCGCTAATTTCAGGTGTACAACGGCAACAACACCTCAAAAGTCGCCATTGCATTGTCTGACTCGGAGGTGCTGTGTGGCTTTGTGGAATATCAAGAACTGGTGCAGATTCTGGCCAGCACTCCTGAGTTGGGATCTGTGCTTGGGGAGGTGTGCACCTGCTCATACGTGTTTGACACATTGGATAACTCGACCTCTTTTCATCATTGTGAAAGTTGGTCTCGAGCCCTGGAGACCCAAGGGGGGGTCCGGTGATGCAGTGAAGCAATGTCGGTGTGAAACTTATGCACGTGCTGAGGCCATGACTAATGGAGATGACTCATAATATGTGTGATCCCTCTGGCAGGCCACTGCTGCAGAACTTGGAGCAATGCCATCCAAGGGTGAAGTGCAAGCTGCCTTCTGTGCGCTCACAAGCGCTGACAACTCTACAGTGTGTTCTTTTCCCCCAACATTTGATGATCCCTGACAACCTAAAAGTTTTCATCAGTGCTTCCATAGGAACGAGGTCTACTGCCTCAGCAATCTGTATTCAAAGCAAAACGTAATAGGTTGCTCTATCACGAGTTGGGCTGTGGGTTAACCCACCCTCAGGATTAATGTAGAAGGCAAGCGTGCACCTGAGAATGAGTTAAACCTGTGAAACATTTTTAAAGAATCCGTTGCTGGCTGCCAGGTGGCTCCGGCCATTCAGGCGCTGACTAAGCGGCTGCAAAGCGCTGACTCACCGCTGACAGAGAAGGAAAAGCTTGTGCTGCGGCTCAATGAGCAGAGTCCTGCAGACACCGGCATCTTGTCAGCCTTTTTCCTGAACTTTGTCGCCCTCAAGCCCAATCAGGTAGGCCAAACCCAGCATGAAAGCTTTCGGGCTTGCCTAGTCTCAATCGCTGCACTTATGCAGCTTCAGAAAAATCGGAAAGTTTGCCACTTTTGTGAAGTTCGTTTTAGGGGTACAAGTGCATTCCTGGTTGTCTGTGGACGTGAGAGGGAGAGGACAGTGTTTCAGTTGCTGCAGAAATGATATTGCCAGCTGATGCATGCAGGCCATTTGTGTGGCGGCCAATGTTCCATATGCACATGTCTCTGGTGATCTGCTGGATTGCATTGACTCCCCCAGCACTGCAAATGGCTTCGCACCCACGTTCAGGTAAGCGTCTGCCGAGCACTCACACTGGCATGCAGGGTACCAGCATAGACCAGATATGACAACTTTTTCAGTGATTGACCTCTCCTTCCCATGTTTTCTCTCGTTTCTCTCGAGAAGATAATGAAAGGAAAATTTCTCAAACTTGTGCTCATGCAATAGAGTATGATAGGTGCCTTACGTGCTGCAGGTACCCGCCATGATTCTGGCGGCAGACTTGTGTCAAAATAGCTAGCCAGGTCATGCGTGATCAGGAGACAATTTATAACCGTTGAGTCCGGGTTTCGGATTTCTGATGTGTTTATGTTTGTTGTGATTTTTTTTTGAACATGTGCTGTGTTTCCGCAGAGACGCGGCGGCGGTTAGCGTGTGGCTGACTCACAGCCAGGGGTCCCCCAAGATATTTGAGGGGACAGAGCCATCCTCAAGCCGCCCTTGCACCGTCACTTACAAGCCACCCATCGGCGAATTCGAGTTCTCCAAGATCAAAATCCCCAGGACAACCAAATTCTCCGGCCAGCAAGAGTCAATTCGTTCCAGCCATGTGAGCCTTTCTGCCAGCAGTGTTAAGTTAGCATTAACTGCTGCATTGCACTTGCTGGGTCAGGGGATTCTATACCTGAATTAGATATTAGAACACTCTGGCTGGGTCTCTCCGAGGGTCTTCGGAAGCTTCAGAGAAGGCATCATGATTCAAGTCGTGGTATTTTATACTTGTTACCAAGAGAGTATATTGTGTTCCACACCATACTCTCCTTGTTGATACTTCGACAGTAAGTCAGCGAGGGGAGTTTGATAGGGCTGGATGAACATGAAACCTCTCCTGTGTCTTGCAGGTCCCCCAGACACTGTATGTGCAAGGAGGGCAGGGTAGAATCTTTAAAAGGGACCCTGTCAGGCCTGACATGCACACCACGGGGGACTGGCGGGAATTGGAACTCCACAAGGGAGGTAAAAGAATGTTTCACACGCATGCATGCATGCAAGGGAAGAAACAAAGCTGAACACTCACCAAAAGCCTGATCGTGTGTCCCAGCTGGCAGCGTTGCAACTGTATCTCAGTCGTGACCCTTGCATTAAAATGCATCATCTCCCGCTAGGCTGCTCCCCACCTGCGCTTCAGGAAAGTGGTATATATATTAATATCCCTTGAAACTCCTCAACTCTAACTCATGTTAAACAGAAGCTGGGTTGTGCCTGTGCAGGTGTGGTGTTGATACCTGCCAACACCTCGGTTGTGATTGAAACTTTTGACCAAGGTCTGGACGTCTGGGTGGCTGCTGTCGAAAGCCCGGCCTTCAAACAAGGTGTGTCACTGGCGCGCACGATTCCATAATTCGCTCATATCCTGTGCAACCTGCATCCGCCCATATGAAACTTGGTGAGAGAGAAGGCCCGATGCAGATCTGTCAAGCCATATTTTGAAAGTCGTCGAGGTTACAGATAAATGTCCCCTTGGCATAGGGTGATATGATGTCACCATGGTCTGGCCAGCCATGCCGGCCTTTCTGTGAAAAACTTGTACTGTGAATATTTTACGCATAAGAAACAGCTTGGCCCTGGCTGGCGGGGAGCGAAATAAATACTTATCATTGTGCCCACTGGTATATTAGGTCTTGCTTGGATCTGGCGAGTTCAACAAGGGGTATAAATGTGGCAGCCTGTATTGCAGCTTGTCTGCAGGATGTACCTTGCCCCTTGGCAGGAAAAACGTGTAATACGGTATTCATAATATAATTCTTACTTACTATTAATAATGAGCTTCTGCTGCAGTGGCTCGCAAGAATGCTGCATTGGAGAGGATGATCCAACCGGTCTGGATGTCCTGGTTTGCTCTAGGCCTGGTCGTAATTTTGCTGTGGACCTTGCTGCGATTGTTTCCAGCCACCGACAAGATTCAAAATCTGCAGCTGAATTTCCACAAGTGCGTAAACCTGGGCAGATCTGCCACATGCCTGAACCACACAGTATGTCATGCCATGCCCGTCTGAGGCATATTATGGCAACTCTCCGTATGGGTGATCAATGGTGTATTATTATTATTCTTGTTATTACATGATTTTCCTGCCAAAAGGCAAGGTGCGTCCTGCAGACAAGCTGCAGCTAAAGGCTGCCGCAATCCTACCCCTTGTTGGACTCGCCAGATCCAAGCAAGACCCGATCAACCGTGGGCAATCGTTTATAATGTGTTAATACCCACGTTCACCAGCCCTCAGGGCCTGCGAGCATCACCTTGTGTGTGCAACAACTCTGCCGAGCGGAGAATGGATGCTAGCACGGAATGCATTGAGCTTGTGCAACAATCTGCATTCGATGCCATCATATTCTGTGATTGCAAGTGATAGGCGCCGTTCATGGATGCTGCTAATGACACCTTGAGCAGGGAAAGGATTTCCTCATGCCTTGCCAAACTGCATGCAAAGCGAATGACAACGCCGTCGTGGACAACGTTGGAACCATCCTCGTCTGGGAACCTAACGAGGAACGAGGGCTTGCGCCCATGTCATCGAGCTGGCCCTTGGCTCAACAGAGCAACTTGCCTGCCGATGATTGCCATGTCAATCGTCAATTGACGTCAGTCATACTGATTAACGCCTTCGAGCTTTGTCCAAACCGATACAGCGACATGTTAAGCTTCGATCTTACTGTGATCACCTGAGGGGCGCCTTTCTAGTACAAGGGGCCTCGAGATCCCACTGCAAGTAGCAAGTAGTGTATATCAGATAAATGTCTGCTCAGCCATCCTTGATGCAGCGATTTCTTTGCTGCGGGCAACCTCCAAATATCAGGGCAGAAGACGAGGTGGTGTGGACGCAACAGCCTCCAGAGAGCAAACTGCATGATCTGGTGGAGACTCATCACAGCATACAAATAAAAACAAAAGCTGGCGTTCCTTGGGATGAGGAGGAAGGAGCTGTATCGCCGACTTCGTCGTACGGAAGCTGCACATCCGAAGCAGACGAGCCATCTGATGCAGACAGGTGGGTGTCTCACGCAGGTTCATGCTTTCCTACCCCTGGCATAGCACCAATTTAATTTCATACTTGCAGTTTTGGTGTCCTTCTCTCTACGGCCGGAGCTCTGAGTTGCTGGATCTGAGAGCTCTCAATCAAAGCTTCCATGTGCAACTGCGTGCAGGCGCAATGAAGTTGAGGACTGGCCCGAAGCAGACGAGCCATCCGATGCAGACAGGTGGGCGTCACGCAAATTCATGCCTTCCTACCCCTGGCATAAAACTGTTTGCACAGTGAAACAATTGGCCTGCGGCAGGGAATCTAACAGGACCCAAGTCTCTCACCTGGAGTGATAGGATGACACAAAGTAGTCTGCTCCAGCACCTCCAAATTCCCCAGTATTTCCAGCGTCGCCTCACACCTGTGGCAATATTTTATACCTGCAGTTGCAATGTCCACCTCCCTACGTTGGCGCTCTGAGTTGCTGGGTCTTAGAGCTCTCTTTCACAGATTCCATCTGCAACTTCCTGCAGGAGCTTGGTTGAGGACTGGCCCGAGACAGACGAGTCATCCGATGCAGACAGGTGAATTTTTTTCTCAAAAAATTCATGCCTTCCTACCCCTGGCATAACACCAATTTAATCTCATACATGCAGTTGTGACGTCCTTATTCCTACGGCTAGAGCTCTGATTTGCTGGGTCTGCGAGCTCTCTTTCACAGCTACCATCTACTTGCAGGAGCTTCGAATTTGAGGACTGGCCCGTGACAGCGCAAGAGCACGCACCTGCGGAGTACGTGAAACTCAGCCAGCCTTCCTGGACAGCGCCCAGCACACCAGACACGAGGGAAGTCATCATTCACAGATCAGAGACGCCAGAACCTCTCGCATCAGCGCAGTTCGAGCCGCCGTGGATGCGCACAGAATTGGGCATTCCCCCATCCAGTAGAAGGGACCGGCTGCCTGATCCCAAGGAGCCCCTTCCAAGCGTCAACATCTTCTCACTGGTCAAAGACTGGATCGGTGCGGCCCCTGTCCCACATCCCCCTCCTTTTCTTGAGATTCTAGAGCATTGCTACCTGTCATCACCCAAAAGGCAAGGTGCATCTGCAGACAAGCTGCATGCAAAGGCTGGCGTCTGCAGACAAGCTGCATGCAAAGGCTGCCAGATATCATACCCCTTGTCGAGCTCGCCAGGCCCGGAAATCACCCAATCACCCGTTGATCTCAGAGGTAGTGGTCTTTATTCCATGGATTGAGATCAGTGAGCTTGAATGGGGAGCAAGTACTACTGATCCTGGGCCGATGAGTCATTGTATTGTTGTTACATGATATGCACTTCAAGTTGCGATGCAGCCCTTCCTCCCACCCCTGCCGCTCCCTCTGATCTGGTATGTGCATCTCTATTTCTCTCAATCTGAAGGGTTTTTGTGGTGTGCAGGGAAGGATCTGCACAAGTTAGCACTCCCGACACACCTGAATGAACCTCTGACAGACTTGCAGCGCAGAGTGGAAGCCTTCGAGTCATGCAATCTTCTCGACCAGGCAAGCCTTGAACATGCACTTGTCTTCCCTGCACTCCTGCACACTACAGGAGGTGCTGGCCTTTTTGCCTCCACATGCCTTTGCCATGTGAGCGCCCACAAGACAGCGCACACTAAATCTTGCATGCTTATGACACTTCGCCGCTGGTTGCTCGAGACAAATCCAGTCAGCTGCATGTCTCCTTGTATAATTCTTAATGCAACTATCCTGCACCATTTTTGCACAGGACCGGCTACAAGACATCAGCTGACAAGCCTTGGATGGGCGTGTCTTTGTTCCCCCGATCTGATCCCCGGCATGACATACTAACAAATGACAGAGCTGAGTCACTGATGAGTCGCTGACGAAACTTGTCATGCCTGTGCAGGCTGCTCTGCTGCCACCCAAGAGCGTGGAGAGGTTGCTGCATGTGTGTGCATTTGCCATATCCACATACAACACAATCAAACGAAACGAGAAGCCCTTCAAGAACCTTCAGAACTCTACATTCGAGCTGATCTACCCCGAGAAAGGCATCCGAGCCATTGGCGAAAAGGTGACACTGCTCATTAATCATTTGTTAACCTCCATTGCTTTTAGTGTGCTCTTCCCAACCACTGCCTTTTTCAAGTGCGTTGGAGTGCCTGAAATTGAGTCAGAAAGCAAAGCAGAAGCTGCTAATACAATGATGATGACTCAACTTCTGGCTCTTTGAGACATACTGCAACTCCTGCTAGCATCAACACTTCTTCCTGTATCTGCACAGCAAATTTGAGGCTGCTGAGCATGATAGCTGAATGAAAATGTCTAAGGTTAAAGTTGCAAAGTGGGTGCATGGCAGATTGCATGAGCACCCACTCACCCTACGATTGATGGCAGTGTTACGAATGATGTCACTACTACGAGTGATGTCACAATTACGAATGATGTCACTGATACAAGTGATATCACTGCAGGTTGGGCACATCCCTATCACAGTGGCAGTGCACATCGAGGGGCGTGGCTGGGACTACACCTCAAACGACTGGTTCCACATGTCTTTGCGGCCCAACTATGCATTCTTCCGCGCGGTCGGAGAATTCTGCCTAAGATTCCATGACGGAGATGAGTATGCATGGACCGGGGTGAGTCAGCATTACTTTAATCTTATTATTAATCTTATTTTTGTGGTGTTATTGCAAATATGGACAATAGATTAGCTAAGCGACACTGGACGAACGAAGCATCTGCCCCTACGTATAATCAATGCACTGTGGAGAAGGCGCAGGATCCCTTGAGTGCTCGATGTATGGAGAAAGCACTGCACCCTGAATTAATATGGTCATTGATTCAAGATTATGAAAACTTGGCACCCCGCTGTTCAGAGGAGATCATTTCTTTTGCATGGTACACATCCTCTAAAGGCTCCCTAGACAGGTTTTAAAGTTTCCCATTGACAATTGCAAGGAAGATCATGGCTTGCCTGGCAAGCAATGCACTCTCCAGTAGCTATCACCTGCATGTGAAGCATACAGTATTTATAGAATGTCGGCTACGGCAAATGATTTGATTTCCCCGCGCGCAGGTGAATGGATGCCTGCACAACATAGTGGTGGGAACGCCCTATGTTGACCATGGTGGCTCCTTCTATGTCACCTGCCTGGGCACAGGAGATACCCTCAGAGGCGCCATTGACCACTCGCTGCTTAGGAGAAGCACAAACCAGGTAATATAAATTGTAATTCAAATTCATATGTGATCCTACGGGCTGCCTGGATCATGTGCAAGACAGTGGAACTATACGTCACTTTACAAGTCATGTATTTCTTGTTTGCAAATCGCAGTATACCTTTGGTGGCTGTCTGATCAGTCAGGGTTCTGTATTTCCCGCACAAGAGTGAGGTGCTGTATTGTATTGCTGCCCAATCTTCACATGCAGAGCAATCAGTCTCTTCCATGCCCTGCGCAGCACGCTTGCATTTAGAAGACAGTCAACCTGTCATACAAGGTCCCGGCTGACAGGGTCGGTAAAAATACTGAGCACCGCGCCCACCGTTGATTGGGTCTTTCTGGATTTGGCGAGTCCAATAAGGGGTAGATTTGTGGCAGCCCTTAACTGCAGCTTGTCTGCAGGACATGCCTTTCCTCATGGCAAGAAAAGCGTGCAAGAATAGCTATTAATTCAAGGTCGGCCGTGCATTCATCGCTTTGCCTTTCACCTGCAGGTGACGGTGTTTCTGGAGAGGCAAGGGCAGAAGGTAGAGGGGGTGGGCATGTGGGGTGCCTGGAATGACGAGGTGTGGGCTGTATTCCCCGACGGCACAAAGAAATGCCTGTGGCGCGCCGGACCCCTCCATGTCACCAGCAGCAAGTGAGTTCCTGCAACACATTTTGCTTGCGCCAAGGCTTAACAGTCTCCTATATATACTCAAGTTGCCCAGAGAGCTAAGCATGGTGTCTGTTTTTCTTCCCAAAGACTTGTCACCTGCTGAACGCATGTCATAGTCAACACAGGAGACTCCCTTGTGCAGTTTTAGAAATCAATGTCAGGATTTTGTTTGTATATTGACTCTTGCAGCAGAATATCCCTGGTAGTTGCAACTGCCAAGCGCCCAAAATACTATGCATGCTGCTTGCCGTAGCCTGCTAGACAGTATGGCCTCAGACTTTTGGCCACTGACAGTAGGACAGAAGACAGCATGGACTCAGTTGAAGGCAAAGGCTGGAGGGGAATAAACGAGAGGGTGCTGCAACGCACCTAGCCCTGAGGGCTGGAACAAGTGTGTAATAATAATACTTAGGCAAATAGATTAATTTCGTTTTGCTGGCGCAGGTTTCTATTCCCGAAGTGGGCGCTGCATCTGAATGAGCTGACGCCTGAGCTGATGACTAAGCTGCCCCCCACCGACGACCGGCTGAGACCAGACATGCGACTCATGGAGCACGGACACTACCTCGCGGTCAGTCATTTGCATGAATCTTGTAATTTTTTATTTCAAATTTGACATTAAACACTGGGATTGATCAGCAGCACACAAGCAAGACTTGCCGGCGTGCCATGTTGAGGGTATTACGGGCTGCAGCGCAGTGCTGTAACAGGGTCCATTTCTCATGTTAAAAGAAGTCTGGATTAGTTGTTTTCGAAGTGTCCTTGCTTTCTATCTTCTGCAGAGATGAGAGACATTGTATTGATTGTAGTCTCATGAAGCAACTGATAAAACTGTCTCCCTTTGGCATTGGCATGTTCCTCGGCATAATAGTGCCATCAGACCAGGTGATGGGTTGATGTCTGTGGGGGGCGGCTGTCAACGTGAATTTCAAAACTTGAGTTTCAATTATCTCTTGGCGCAGGCGAACAGAGAGAAGGAGCGTCTTGAGGCGAAGCAGCGGCAGGAGCGAAATGCTGCAGAGGCCGCGGGCAAACCCTGGCAACCCCGCTGGTTCGAAAAGGTTCAAACTCAGTCCAGTCTCAAAACTTGCATGCACATGTCATTCTCTTATCTGAGAAGGGGGGTCCACCTGATTTGCCTATGTGACTGCCACAACACTGCTGTGTGGTGCATACTGTCTGGTGGGTTCCAAAGAGTGAAAGATTCGTTTGGGTGATTTTGCAGGTGCCGGGGGGCCTCCGGGGGTTTGAGAAGTACAGGTACAAGGGGGGTTACTGGGAGGCAAGGGAGAGCGGAAATTGGGAGGGGGTCCGTAACATCTATGGTCCAGGTCCCAAGAGTGCCTATGGCTCAGATCAGCCGGCAGAGCTGCTTCTGTGAACGGGAGCTTTCGCTGCCTGCGATGAACTTTGGTAATTGCTTAGGAATGTATTCAGGGTAGGAATGACTTGGTGTGCACTGCTTTAGTTAGTATAACTCTTAGTGGCCAGCTTTGCTGGCGCATATGCACAGTTACACGTGTGGTTATCTGTGAAGGGCGTAGGAAGAGCACAAGAATTGATATCAGTACTGCAACAGGCTACAGACAGCGATGGCCCAGCATGTCATGACCCAGTTTCAAGGCCAGCGTATTGTCATGATTTAGGGGGTAGTTTTTTCTTTAGAGGCAGAAAGTTGAAAAGGTTAGGATCTTGTACAACAGTGTGCATTCCAGGTTGAGAACAGCTCGATCACACAGCAATGGCTACTTAATCAAATGTAACATTTAATGCTGCACAGAGCGCTGGGCAAGGAAAACTTGTTCCTGCCCCAGGGCAGCCAAGCCATGTGCACTATCACTCACGATCGTGCCTAGAACTATCTCAAACGAGCCTGATGACACCATCAGAATGGTTGCGTCCTTATCTCTTCATAGCGTTCGTTCATTTAGTCTGGCATTGCAGATTGCACATCAAATGAATGCCACACATGCTCTCCCTACCAATGCAGACATTCTACAAGCACCCTACTCATCTTTGAGATCCCTCAGTTGAGTCAACAAGGCATATGGCGTTGGCATCTTGGCGTACATTGAAGCCCTATCTATGGTAGAATTCCAAATTGTTTTCTAGGAGGGTTCTGCATTGGCACTAGCTGAAGCTGGCACGATCAGAGCCCTCTGAATGCCTGAAGGTCATTCAGACTCCATGTCTGAGCATGAGCCACATCAACCACATCCACGTTGACATGACCTTCTTGTCAGTCCTTGAATTTGAGTTTGAATTTGGGGAAGCCCGCGTCAGAGTCGGGCATTAGTAGAAGTTGTTGTAGTCGAAGCCCTCGCTCTCGCTGTCATCGGACGCCGCGCCGCCGTGGCCGTTGGCATATGGGCCGGCCGGCCGCCGCGCACTGCGCCGGAAGCTCTCGTAAAACGATGCGCCGCCGTAGTTGTACGAGCTCTTGCGGCCCCCAGAGCGCCTGCAAGCACGATGACAGAAACACAGCGGGTCAGGTACGTTGCAGCAAAAAATACAATGCTGTCCGGCACGCGCAATGGGGTCTTTTTCCCGGATATTGCTTGGAAATCTTCTTCGGCATGCTTTTGGTAGGCACGTGTATGACTCAATTATGGCACTGCTCTACGGCTGTATGTGCAGCTTTCCCAGAGAGTGCTCCAGCTTGAGCCTCAGCCATACTTCATCATAGCTTCTTATTGTATGGACAGCATTTCCTGAGAACTCTGTCTGGCCGGTAGTCAGCAAGCCAGACAACAGTTCAAGCCAGCCTGTATTGCAGCGTGTCTTGATCAGTCCTGTGTCTGGCAGAGAGCGCAGTCACCTGTAGAAGTTGTCTGCGGGGCGGCTGTAGTAGGACGATGGCGAGTAAGGTGAGTAGCCGTAGCCGGCGGCCCGGCCCTCCTGCGCCGCCAGGTCAGCGTCCAGCTGGCGCCGCGCGGCCGGGTCCGTAATCGCCGCGTTCGCCGCGCCAACGCACTTGAAGAGCCAGTCTGCATTGTCGCGCACGCGTGCTAGCACCTGCGCGCACATGCCGCGATTGATTAGTGATAATTCAAATTACTCACAAAACACCCTAACACCAGGTCAATTGATGAGTGGCCGCCACGCTAGGAAAATGTATTGCACGCTGCTGCAAACAAAATACATATGAGGCGGGGAAGCCATGTGATGAACATGCATGCTCCTGCCAGGTCTTACATCAAATCTGCAATAGAAAGCACTGCTCCAATCAGCCATGCCAGGACAGTCGTGTGCCGGTGAGCATGCGCAGTCCTGGCAGTGAATATCAGCAATTCGCCAAGCACATGCAGGCAACATAAAGGTACCTGCAGGATCCCAACGCAACCCGGCAAAAATTGTGCTGCGTGCTCCTGCCCCTTGCACAGAAAGCAGAGATGATGTGGCTATGGGAGATTGCTGACCTGTGGTGTGTCCATGAGCAGAACGCCGTGGGGTCCGAGGCGACTGGAGAAGCGGCACTGCGCCAGAGCCTTGTCTGGGTGCAGCTGCAGCGCGCTCCTCTTGTACGCCCGTCGCACCTGCGCAGCCAGGTCAAAGGAGTTGGAATTTTGGCGCCCAATCCATGCCGCAGGGCCTTGCAACATTGTTTGCAAAACAGAGAGCGCGCTTTGGTTATGCAGGGGCCCAAAGCCAGGGTGGTGAGAGGTTTCATCCTACTCCAGAGCATCATGTTCTGCTTTTGGGTGGCAATTAAGCTGCAGGAGAAGTCAGTCACTGTTGCAGGTTGCCCGGCGATGACTGCCAGGTGGTGCAAGCCGCTTCCTGGGGAGTACAGGCTGCCTTCTTTGCCTTGCAAGTTGTACCCGGTAGTCTCTTTGAAGGAGAAAAGATTCACCTCTTCCGCGTCAGCGTCCCGGGCGAGTCCCAGAACCTTGTAGTGGTCGGGGGTCGCGCTGCGTGCGGCTGTCCGTGCTGCGCGCAGCCGCTGTGCCACACTGGCCGCCTCGGCAGGGGCGGACACCGGCAACGCCTGCAGCATGCGCAGCATACTTCACCCATCAAACCCATCAATGAAGACCCAGTAATACTCCGAGAGCAGGCTTGTCCAGAACGGCCACGCAAATTTACAATTATAGACCCATGCGCTGCCGTTAGTTGCAACATAAATATGACTACCCTAACAGCTGTCCCGTTCTAAACATCCATTCTAACACAGGATCCACTCGTCACACATCATCGAGACTGATTCACTTGACACTTCTGACAGCCCAGCTCACCCTCACAATGCTGAGACAGGATGCACTGGAGGTCAATGCAATGCGGTTTGCAGGTCTGGAAGTGAGTGAAAGAAGACCCAGGGGCGATTATTCAAAGGCGCACCTGCAGCCTCTCGAGAGCGTCTGCCTCGCCTGTCCGGTGCTTGAGCTCCGACAGCACCGTCGCCAGCCGCGAGTGCGCCTGCAAGAGTAAATACGCATTCATTCTCTAGAGCTGTGACTCCCACAATGCCCAAAGTTGACCGATGTGTTACTTTCATGGTACTTGCTAGCTTTACTTGGGTGATGCGCCTGCAGTCATGGTGAATGTGCGCTTCAGGCAGGTAGGCATTCTCGACGCACTCGCAAGCGCAATTCTTGCAGCCCAATGGCGCACAAATCGGCACGGTAATCAAAGGGGCAAACGGCTTGAGTACCTTCTACACTCACGATAAGGAACGCAATGAGCTCATCAGGCACAAGAACACACCCTGGAGTAGCCTGGGTTGAGGGCGGTGGCGCGGAGGCAGTCTGCGACGGCGTGCGTGGCCTGCCCCAGAGACTGGTGCGCCGCCGCGCGATTCGCAAACAGCACGGCCACGAACGCGCAGCTGCCGGGAAGCTGCGCCGTCAGCGCCGCGTTGTAGTGCTGCAGCGCTTCCTCCCCCTTTCCCTCCTTTATCGCCCTGCCACGCACCCAGAGACAGAGGCTTCATGTCTGCGCCAGGCAACACCACTGACCAGACCTGCCATCTCTACATACAGCTCTAACATTGAGTGATGCAACTGTGTGATTGCCCATATGGCTGCAGCACTGATTGCTTTGTTTTAGCATTGCCTCTCTGTGCGGTCCGAGTGGCAGGTACAGGACTGTGCTCGTGAAGACTTGTGAGCACTGCGCAGTGCGGTTGTGAAACGCTGCTATCATCTGTCCAGGCGACACGCCAAGTCCAAGCAGGGAATGCACCTGTTGCCGGCTTCCTTCAGAGTCAGCAGAGAGCGCAACTCCCGGGCCAGTGCTGCAAGGTCAGCCACAGGCAGAGCAGATTCTTCTGCCTCGCTGGTGGCGATGCTGTCTTTCCCGGCAGCAGCATACTGGGTCGTGATGGACTCTATTTGCTCCGCCGCCTGCATGTGCAACCCGTCACTGCTGAGGTACCGACAAGTGATTTTGCCTTTGCAAGAACATGCACATGAACAGGCCAACTCTGTGCAGAGAGGTGCACTTCAAAATTATCCAGCCACCCATTGCAACGAAGCCATGCGTCTGCACCAATACATGCAATGATCGATGTTGAACACCTCGGATCAACCTCAAGTATTGCACGCCAAAGAGCTGAAGCACTGGCAGCATTGCAGCGATTGGCTGGACCCCTACACAACACTGGCAGAGCACCTCTAGATGCTCTGCCCTCACCAATTTGCAAACGCCATGGCTCATTGAAAGAATTTGAAAAGAATAATACTCCTGATCCATGCAGATACCACATGCCCGGGATGGCAGCATGGCATTCCCTACCTCCCCATACAAAGATGGTGGGGGCACAATTCGGGTTTTTCTTCTCAAATCTAATGATACAGGAGGGCTCACCGAGTTGAGGTCGCCGGAGTGGAATGCGCTCTGCACTCCGAGCCACCAGGGCCAGAGTGGCGGCGGCTGCAGCCCGGGCTCCCTCACACTGGCGCACAGCCTGCACATCTCCGCTGCCTCCTCCCTCCTGCACACCACGCATATCACATTTTCATTTCCGGTGCATGTAAGCAGATGCCTAGCGTTGATGCTTGGTCCGTCCATGCGTCTCTCCAGCACAGCTCTTCCACGTCACTTGTAGACTCCTTTGTACACCGCGCAGCACCCAGTCAGTACCCTCCCTTGACCTCGTGAGACACCTGTACTTCACTGGACCCTGCTGGATCTGCTGAGGTGCCAGCTTGATCTGTTGATAGTGATAGCACATGATGAAACTGTAGAAGGGCCTACGCCGGGTTGTTTGGCAAAGGCGAAGGGATGGCCAGCTCGTTTCAGAATGCGTGCCTTCATGAGTCAATTCATGAAAGGATCTGGAATTCTCCACACTCTGATGCTTGAAGTGATGATAAAAGACAGGGCAGCACCCAGTGGTGGAACACCCCCCTTTCATACACAGATGCCAAGGCCCCAAGTACATCAAGCATGATTTGTACTGTAAACAAAGGTTTGTTGAGGGATAGAAGGAGCATAAAAGGCTTGAAATGCACCTGCCAAGCTGCAGAAGAAGCTGCGCGCTAAGGCGGTGCAGTGCAGAGCTGAAGGGCGCCTGATCCTTGGCCAGCAGCGCCTCAACCTCCCTCAGGGATGACTCAGCCGCATCTGGGCTGCTCGCCGCACTCGCCGCCAGAATTGCCTGTCAAAGGCACGTCAGTCAGTGATGCAGGCAAACCATAGACTTGCTTGAAAGAATGCCTCGAGTTGGCTGGTAGAGCATGGTTCCACAAGCCATCCTGTAAGTGGCCATTGCAGTTGTGTTTTGCTTGGAAGCTTTTCACAAGGGCAGACGATCTAATATGTCATTGTATGAGCAGGAAATTTGGAAAGTGTGCCACCATAGTGTATTATGCGGTACCATGCACTATAATGTAATGGCAACTGCCTCTGAGCAAGTCATTTCCAAATTCCCCTGGCATAAGTCATTCAACCCTGGAACAAGATTATTTTGGTTCTGCTTGCTAGCTCGCATACATTTCTGAGGGCAGCCCAAAAGTTAGACCCAAAAGCACAGTAACTTAAGGGTTTACAAGCCTTTTTATGTCAAACCCCCAGAAAAAGGCAGCCCGCACCTTGCTGAGGCGTTCCTGCAGGGCCTCCAGGTCAGCGCGCTTGCCGGCGGCTTCGGCCATGTTGGCGGCTGACGTGGCGTCCGGGCCCAGCGCGCTCAGCGCGGAGGGTAGATCCCCCAGGCGGCTGTGGCAGGTCGCCAAGCGCAGCCGCGCCCGGAAGAACGACGGCTCGGCCTGCAGCAAAAGTCAGATTTGTATCTATTTGGCGCTGAGACAGTGGGTGCGCCTGCAGACAAGCTACAAATCCCATCCCATATTGACATCAGAGGACAGGAAATCCCTATGTTTCCGTGAGGGGTGATATGGAATCTAAACAGCAGCGGAAGGTATGTTGATTGTCCGATAGCAAGCCGTTCTTATTCAGTGTCCTTTACCAATGAGGCCATGCAGGGCTGTACTGGAGGAATGCATCCCCATACTGTCTGCCCACACGAGGGGAAATTGTTAGAGATGCGCCGACTGCTGGTGCCAGGCAGCAGGGTCCCAGCAGGCGGGCAGGGGAGTATAGTCGAGGTGTTCGTCAAAAGGGCCCAGCACTTTGAGATTAGTTTCCTTTGTGGCAGGAACCCTTTTCCTAGAGAGATATGGATGGCAGGTGCCCACCTGCAGGGCGGAGTTGCAGGCTGCGATGGCGGCGTATGGCTTGTCCATCTGGAGATAGGAGGCGGCCAGATTGCTGTACAGCTTGCCCAAGCCCTCGGCCACGCCATTCTCCTGCAGCAGGTTCACCGCCTGCACGCAGACAGCCCACCAATATGTTTGATGACCCTTTCTCACTTAATCAGGATGTACTACATCAATCAGGGGTTCAGCTTGTGCTTTTCTCATCTCTACAGCCTCCAATGCCCGCACCCAGCAGCTAGGACTCCACATGCTGTCCCCTGCGAATCTAGTCAGCTTACAAAGCCAGCACAGACTCGCGTGACACACAGCCTGATAGATCCATTTGCTTGAATTTTGCGCCCAAAACATCCAGGCAGATAATCGATGTCTTCAGCTAAGCAATCAAGCAGGTGTTGGCAGCTGCAGCCTATGAGTGGTGGAGTCCTGCATGCTTGGCTTTGAGCCCCCAAGGTTGGCATTAACTAAATCAAAGCAGATTCACATGTGCAGAAATCACAGCAAACCAAGACTGCCAACAGATGTAACATTACCCGTTGGTAGAGATCGACGGCGCGCGAGTAGCTGCCTCGCTGGAAGGCGTCGTTGCCCCTCTGTCGCAGCCGGTCCACGCCCTGCAGCGGCAATCCCTTCTGCCTCTCCAATGCTGCCTCGCTGCTGGCCTGGCTCCCTGGAAGACATCGACACAACACAGGTCACTTCAACTGTTCAATATTTGCGAAATTTCAGACACCGTTTCAAAGTATGAGCTTGTTCATTGGGCCATGGGGCCTTTGGGCATGCAGAAAGTTCTGTCCTGCAAGGGTGTGGTCCGCATGCATGCACTGGGTCCGCACGCGGGGTTCTAATCCCTATCTGCAATTTGTAAATGCTGATGCACCACACCTGAGATACAATTCATATTCCCGCATCTATTGGTCACATCGAACAGAGGAATAAAAAAGCTATGCAAAATAAATGCATGGCAGACAGCGCCGCACCGGCAACTGACGCCGGCGGCCGCTGCCGTGCCGGCTGCTTTGAGGGTGTGGAAACCACGCGGAAGGACGGCCCAGCCGCTTTTCCTTCCGCAAATGCCGGAGCACTTCCAAAGTTGGGCGCCGGCTTGAATTCTGCGGTGAAAGCGGGCTGCTCTGCTGCAAAGCCGTGTGAGGACACCTGCTGCTTTGAGGAGGGAACGGACCCACGCACGGGCCCCCCACCAATCCTGATCTCGGCAATGTCATCAAAGGCGACTGGCCGCGTTCCGGCCTGCGCCATGGGGAAAGGCGCAGGCGGCTGCGCGAAGGGTGCATCGGTGGGCGGCTTGCCCCAGTCAAAAGCGGTGCGCGGCTTTGCTGCGCGCTCCTCGCTCGGCGCGCGCCCCTTAGCGCCAGGGGATTTGAAGCTGAAAGCAGGCGCCCCCTGCTCAGCGGCCGCCGCCGGTGGCTCGGGTGCAGGCCAGCTGGAAGCTGGCTGGCTTGCCTGGTGCGCTGCATTGCTGTCCCGCGCAGGCTGGAAACCAAAGAATGGCTGCTGCTGCTGCTGGTGTGTGGTATGGGCCGTAAAAGATGGCTCAGAAGCAGATGCTTCCCGGGAGTTCCTGCTGGGCTGGTCTGAGGTGGGGGGCCAGGCAAAGCTGAAGGAAGGCTGCTGAGCTGCCGGGGCCGATCCCGCAGGCGGCTGCGCTGCGGCGCCGCCAGCGGCTGCTTCCCGGGCTGGCGGCCGGCTGCGCGTGGCCAGGCCGCGGCCGCGCCGCGGCGTTGCGCGCTGTTCCTTCGGGGCCTGCCCGAGGCCAAACGAGGCCCCCTGCTGCCCCGCGCCAAAACTGGCCGCCGCCTTGTCAAACTCTGCAGCCGGGACTCCGTCAGGCGGCAATTTGGTTGCAGTGGCGGCTGATTCAGCAGTTGATGAATCTTCTGGCTCCCCAAAGCTTTGCTGCCTGAGGCGGTTCGCCATGCTATCTGCTCGCCTGACACCTTGTTGCTCCTTCAGGCCATTGTCCCCAGAAGGCCTCGGCACGCTGTCAGCATTGGCGACTTGCGGAAGATTTGGGCCCCCACCTGCATTACAGGGGAATGGCGCGGTTACAACTGCAGGACCTCCCGGCATCTGTGTTGGAGCCTGGCTGCCAGATTGTGGCTCTCCTGCAGGCACTGTATCAGTGCCCTCGCTGCTCTTCTCGGTGTGCAGCTGCTGCGCATAGCTGCGCCAGACGTTAGCATTAAACACATCGCCTGCTTGATCTTTGCCAGCCGCTGCTGAAGAAGCCTGCTCTCGCTGCTGATCCGGCTTGGCCGCATGCGTTTGCTGAGCGGTAGAAGCTGCTCCCCGGGGCCTGACCGCCCCACCCGCTCGCGGCTTCTTGTTGTGCATGCGGCTGAATGAACCCAGGGTGAACCCCTCGGTTGACCCTGTGGCAGTCTTGCTTGGAGCCTGCCCGGAGCCGCCAGCCAGCCCCTGTCCCTGACTCCTTTGCTCCTGCCCATCCTGGCCCACTGCAACAGTGGGCACTGACCAGAATTGTGGCACCCCCGAGGCTGTCCCCTGATCAGTGACATTCTGCTGCCCCCTGCTGCTCCCAGCGGCCTGCGCTGGCTCCACTGGAACCTCATCACTAGCTGCAGTAACTGCGGTGGGGTGAAGGCTTGCAGCCTGAGCCGCCTGAGCATCGAAGCTGAAGCGCAGCCCTGAGCCCGCCTTTTCGGCACCTGCAGATCCCTCTGTAGCATTCTGCGGGCTCCAGCCATTGACTGGCGACTCTGCTTTGGCTGCATCTGGCCTGTCGTCTGCCGCTGTGGGCGAGCTTGTCTTGTTAGCTGTGCTCTTCACGCCTGCTGGTAATGCTGTCTTTGTGAACCCAAACGGTGCTGCGGACCCATTGCTGTCAGCCCTGGTCTGACCCGAGGCGCAGGGCGATGCATCCGGCATGTCTGCATCCTCTATGCTGACAGAAGCCTCTCTCACTGCACCTGCTGTCTGCTGCACAAAGTTCTGCGCAGGGTGGTCTGTGCAAGGTTTGGCTGGCTTCACATGCGCGGCCGGCTTGGCGGCCCCCTGGTTTGCCTTTGCACGGTCGTTCTCCCGCGCGCTCTGCTGCGCGGCGGCCGAGCTAACGCTGACATCAGCGCGGCCACATCTGGCAGCGTCGTGGCCGCGGCTGGGTGCCGTCTCGGTCTTCGTCACCCGGCGGCCGCCAGCCCTGTCTCCGGTGGCGGTCCTGAATCGGCTGGATCCAGAGGGGCGCACACCAATGTTGATGCCGTTTGGAACGCCTGAAGAGGAGCTGCCGGAGGAGCCTGATCTGGCGGACTGCACTGTGCCTGCTGTGGTCTCGGCGCATGGCTGCGCCGCGGAGCCGGCAGCTGTCGCGGCGTTCTGCGGCAGCTGCTCGGGAGCTTCCCCTGTCGCGCCAGGGTCAGGTGCGGGCTTGTCGCCAAACCTGAAGCGAGCGCTGAAGTCCGATGCCAGACTTGGCTGTGTGCTGCCAACGCCACCCCTGCAATGGCAATATTCCATAAGTGTTGTTTTCCGATACTGGCCTCGTCAGCATGGCCTCATAGTGAATAGATAAAATCTGACGCAAATGCTGTGTGGATCACTGGCGCTGCAATGCAGGGGAAGTGATGCTCACCCAGAAATGGTGCTTGCTGCCATGTCAACGTGCAGGCCATCTGTGACATCCTCCTCTGGCACTGAAGGTTCCTGCACAGCGCAGCAGGGATTTACATAAGCATGCTTTTGGTGGCATTGCCTTTGTGCATGCCTTCTTGCAAAGATGTCTTTATCTGCATGACAAGCTCTACACATGGAAATCGTGCTCAAGGTGCGACCAGGGGATTTTCAAAGGCAAGCATGCAGAAGGGTAAATACCCGAAATGTGTGCTCCGCTGCCGCTGCATCAGCCCTCTGCTCAAACCTGAGCCGAGTGCCCCTCACCTTATCTCCCTGCCCGCTGCTCCTACACCCAGGCCACAATCATCAAATCCTCTTTTTATACAATCAGCTTCATCACGCGCAACCTAGGGCAAAGGTTTAACTCACAGAGCAGCCCACGTGCTTAATGTCCAATTTGTATTCATCTGCGCTGATCTGTAATTTGTAATACACAAAGGATGTTCCACATTTTGGCATCTGCGTCGCACAAAAAAGCTGGGGCGCACATAGTGCCCTGAGAAGTCTGCGTTGTAGAGGAGCTCTGGCCGCCGGCAGCAGTGGTCACAAAGGGCGACCAGTCCATCGGAGACCCCTCCCTCACAAATGGACTGTCCACAGCTGCGGGGGTCCTCCCTGCTGTGGCGGGGGGCCTGCGCGCCCGGTGGGCACTCCTCTTGGCTGTCATGGGAGTGACTGTGGGTGTCCCTTGGTGGAACCCACCTGCACAATGCATGCGCTTGCTAAGTCACCTTGCTCGGACTGCAATAAGTAGAATGGAAGTTTGATGACATGCAATGCTACATGGTTGTTTTTGAAAGACGTGGCAAATAAGGGTGCGCAACACAGGTCAGAACAGGTGGGAGAACACTGCCTGTGGGTGGTGGGGGCTTCTCAGAGGGCGGCCAGTCTCTTGCACCCAGGTTGACTGATTGAGCAAAGCGCTGTGGCAAGACTGTCTCTGCTGTCTCTGCTGCAGCTGTTTCGGCAGACTCTGCGCTGAATCCTGGCCATGAAGTCCCGCTGCTTGGTTCCCACTCAGGGGTGCCAAACGCTGAGGAAGAGGGAGGAGGATTGGCAGCGACTGGTGAGCGGGTCCTGGAGGTCCTGTGGGGTCTGCGCGGGGTCTGTGCAGCAGGCTTGCCGGGCGTCATGCCTGCTGCTGCCCCTGGGAAAGCGGCATTGTTTGGAGTTATGTGAGCTGCTCCTGCTGTTCCAAATGGAGATGTTGGAGAGAAGCTGGGGAAGAAATACGCCCCAGATGTGAAGGCATGGCCATTCTCAGCAGGCTGACTGCGGCCTCCGAGAGGGCTGGAGCTCGGAGAGTCCACTGCTGCTGCCATCCTGCACGAGTCCATTGGCACGCATCTCGAACACCACGTAAACGACAACGATCAGTCGAAATCATGATGTCAATTGATTGAGACGCACGAAAAGGATTCTTTTGCACCTTCAGAGTGGATTGAGCGCCGTCTGCTGCATATCAATACCACGGAGGAGGCCCTGATCTTGTCAATTTGCTTGCCTGTCGGCACACGGTAAAAGTCAGCATTCGCAAGCAGACTGTATGTTTGATTTGAGATGATAACATACTGCTAGCATCCATATCAAATGCATCAACCTTGAGGCGAGCAAAATGGTGAAGGCATTCATCACATACATTCTGCAGTTGGTCGTCAGCAAATATGGAAAGAGACAATTACTTCTTGACGAGAATTCCTTTGCAGAAATATTAACATTGGATTTATTCTGCTGAGTAAAGGCAGTCTACTGAGAAGAAAAACTTACATGCGTCCTGCGTAAAATATGCAGCAACGTGCCACAAGACGCTCAATACATGGTAGCCCAATCCGTCCTTACTAGTCCACTCGAAACTCTTGCAGCATCCAACGATGGTGCTGCCTTGTGTCCAGCAAATTTCATGCTGCATCATATGCATGGAGCAGGGTGTTGCCAATCTTGGTCCTGTTAGCGAAGACTTCCAAGTTGGTGCCAGCAGCACTCAACAGACCTTGTTGGAAATCTCTACAATCTTACGTATATGTCCATTGATTGCTCTCGAGAGGCAAGTCATATACGCAGGAGACCGAGCTTTGATTAAACATGGGATCCAGATATGACAGAGCCATCACAGTCTTCTCTCCTGACGGGCACTTGTGCGTTGCTTGATGCCTTGTCATACATCCACATTATAAGAACTTATCACCCTGCCGCTGTGTCATCGACGCTTGTATTATGAAAAGAGGAATGCCTCTTGATGAGTGAACTCTTGTCCCATAGAAATGCTTTTCAATGCTGCATTACGCGTGCTTTGCTTGATGCAGATTTCAAGTGGAATATGCACAAGAGGCAGTCAAGCGAGGCGTATGTGCTGTGGGAGTAAGAGGGACCGATACGGTTGTCCTAGGTGAGTGGTGATCGAGTTTTGTCACCTCCGCCATATCATTCTGACCTTTGAAGCGCTGTGTAGAGACCTCAAAGGAGGTATTATCAGCATGTGAATGATAACAGGATTCAATGCCTGGCCTCTTGTACCTGCCTCGGCTGCAAAGCTCCTGCACTTTGGGGAGAGCATCTAGACCCACCTCTGCTAAGGGTGAGGTCACGTGTCATCAGGTGTGGAGAAGGTGTCCACAGCCAAGCTGCAGGATCCAAGGACAGTGCGGAAAATTATGAAGATAGACGAGCACATCTGCCTGGCCTTTGCGGGCCTCACGGCAGATGCTCGAGTACTGGTCAACAGGGCGCGCACAGAGGCGCAGTCGTACCGCCTCACCTTTGACGAGTCACCCTCGGTGAGCACCATCTAGCTGCTGCTGCTTGTGTCATTCAAAGCCATCGTGGTGGTCAGGGGCCATCAACTACGGAGGCAGCAAATTATGTCCTGAGAGTGCATGATCAGACAGCTAGCTTAGCAACACACTTCTTTGGCAGAGTGTGTGGAAGAAAGGACGGCGTGGAAGTCTATGCCATGTGGTTGTGTCTGGACATGACTGTGGGTTGTCACAAACCTCTGCAGACTGCATGCCGCATGGATGCATGCCCCAAGCTGAGAGTTCAGGAGAAGCTTCTTTTGCAGGGAGGATTCATGGTGGGGCGTGTGGGATCACTCTACTGGCAGATAGCTCGTTCCTTGGCATGATCCGGTCCTGATTGTGGGTGTGCCATACGTGTCGCCAGGTGGATTACCTGACGCGTTGGATCGCCAACATCCAGCAGAAATACACGCAGAGCGGCGGCATGCGGCCCTTCGGCATCTCCACGCTCGTCGTGGGATTCGACAGCGAGGGCAAGCCTGCTCTCTACCAGACAGACCCCTCCGGCACTCACTCTGCGTGGAAAGCCGCCGCCATCGGCCGCAATTCCAAGACGGTGCGCCCCGCTCTTTTACTTCCTTGCTTTTGCCTTAATGTGCGCCCCTGGGTTCAGCCGCGCCCGGCAATGGCCTTCTTGTTCTTGTGGAGCTCGCTACCACTGTGTGGCGCTTGCCAAATGCTCCTCGCAATTGGCTGCAAATCCATGACGGTGTGCTTTCAGAATTTCGCCGTGTAGTCCGGCTGTGTCCCCCATCAAGGGCCCTCCTTCCTCGCACACTGCATTCACTACGGGTAATCTCTGGTCATCTGGACGCCCTTTGCCTGCCTGCATCCAAGTCCCACTGACTCACTGGTCCAGGCTGGTCTCCCTGACCTGTCATGTCCAGTCGCACATGGACACTTTCTGGATGGGAGGCAGTGGGAAGCTTTTCAGGCACTTGATGATATGAAAATCCATGGTGTGAAGTAGCAGCCAGAGAAGTCCAAGAAGTGTTGGATCTGAGGTTCTTTCTGGCGCAGGTGCGGGAGTACCTGGAGAAGAACTACAAGGAGACAGCGGGCGGCGATACGGTGGCGCTGGCTGTGCGCGCGCTCATGGAAGTGGTGGAAGCTGGCAGCAAGAACCTGGAGGTGGCCATCATGGAGAAGGACACCGGTGCGCACCTGCCGGCACCTGGCTGCCATCACCTGTCATGTTGACTGACGCCTGGTCCAATGAATGCACCTCTGCTTGGCGTTCACCATGCGACGCAAATGCCAGCAGCATCTGATCCTGTCACTGCACCTTTGTGCCAAACATGCTTAGGGCACCTGCAAGCCCCTTTCCAGCGGTGGCAAGAGCAGCCCATGCCATCAGCTTGATGCTGTTACAGCATGGCTGTATGAGCGCACTGCTGGCACTGTGGGGGCCACATGACTGCAGCACTGATCCAGTTGCAGCAGTAATCATGGCCTGTTTTGGCAGATGCCGCCCGCCACCTGTGTTGTTGACCGAAACCTGGTGTGACTCGTAGAGACGCGCCTGAGCTTGCGCCTATTCATGCACTGCCTGCAATGCCACAAGACTGATGGAATGAGATTTTTGCATTCTTACTGCTGACAGGACAAGTTGCTTGATCAATTGGAATTTCATATGGAGGAACCTGCTGCAGCTGTGCAACGAAGTGGATCATGGGCGTTTGGATGAATTTGTGCTTGCGGTGTCATGCAGGGCTGCGGTTGCTGAGCGATGCTGAGCTGGATGCTGTGGTCGCGACCATCGAGGCAGAGAAGGCGGCAGCAGAGGCCGCGAGGAGAGGACCGTCCACATCATAGCTTTGGATAATTTAGGGCGGATTTTCGTAATGTGCACCAGGACTGGCTTGTCTGTGCAGCTTGAGCTTGGACATCAGATGCTTGAAGCCCGGCCTAAGTATGGTGCATGCTCATTTTCGGTGTCCTGGTAACTTCCATCAAAACCGCAGCGCGTGCAAAAGTAGTTACAGCTGTAGGCCTGCCCAGCGGACATCAGTTGCAGTAGTCCGCAGCAAGCTTTTGTAATGTCTCCTCCACTGGCGTGCTTTTTGTCTTGGCTTGGCTTGGCCTGGACTGCATGCATGCATGGCTAGCCTGAATCTTCGATGCTTAGAATTCCAGTGGTCAATCATATGATATTATATGCACGATGCATCAATGCACATCGATGCATGCACGCACATGTGTCACACGGTATCCGATACCGTGTCGAGTCGATACATGATATCACATGCTGAAGCTTCCGGTCATGATCGATTGGGTCCAAGCTGTTTAACATCAAAATGCGGTTTTGCAGGCACCAGGAAGAGCCAATTGTAATGCAAATTAGAAATGGGGAGATGTCCATGAGGAATCCTAAAGGAGTGTCAAACCCTGGGTGCCAGTAGAATGGCGGAATGTTCATTGACAGCGTGGCATTACAGCGTGGCGTTACATCAGGTCCCATCAGGCATCACATTCAACACATCACTTGGTGTACACATTTGAAAATTGTTTGGCTCGGGTTTTGAACTCCGGTTACGGTGATGGTTGCAGCTAAATTTCGTTGATGGACAATTCGCCGGCGCTCGGAGTGCCGCACTCCTTGCAGCAGTCATAGCACAGAGGGGCCAGATAGTCTGGCATGTAGGTTGGTGCAATCTGCACGCTCTTATACTTCCGAGAAAGCTTTTCAGAATATATATAGGGCCCCGCAGCGGGTGTGGCAGCGGGTAACGGTGCGGTGATGTGCATGCATTGTGCGTTTGGAAATTATTATACTTATTCAGCCGGGTGCACCAACTAGAATGGTCTACAGCAAGCATTGTAATTAGTTATGAGGTATCCTCCTGGATCCACTGCTGGAGTGAATTTTTGTCTTCAACATGGCCACGGCTGCAGTTGATGCATCTGCAGCTTCATGCATCAGCTGTTAATGTACAGGAACGTTCATCAACAGTGCATTCGACCAACTCCTCAGTGCTTCTACCATAAACCCAGCTGCCAGTTGAACACAGCCTGAGGCAGCCACTTCATTCAGTAGTGAACGTAAGCTCTATGACTTGCCAGCCAGCCAGTGGCTCTGCAGAAATTCATCCAAGAGCAGGTCCGCGCAGGAGCCGCATGTGAGGGCTCGCTTCCTGGTGAGGCAGCACATGCAAAGTTCAGCAAGTTACTTCTGAGGATGTGAAAGGCATATTAGCACAGGCTGGCAGCTACAATGATTGCATGCAAATGACACATGCGATGCAGTTGCACCTACAGGTTCTCTGACAGAGATTCACAGAGGATCAGAAGACGCCATTGAAGGCTTCAAGCCATGTGCGCAAAGAAAAGGATGATCAAGAAATGTTCCTGCTCTCAGGAAGAGTGCTGGCCACAGCATTGCCACAGGCTTGTCTGAGCAAGACCTTCCAGCAAATTCAAATGCTCAATTGCCGCTCCATGATCATTGACGGTGGGATCGGCAACTCAGCTGCCGCCACCAGAGAGGTTCATTATCACCCGGAAGCTAAGGAGAAGCAGCAGGAAGCTTCACCTGAAGCTGCGCAGCGCCTTCTTCTGGTCTGGCGAAGAAGGGAATGTCTTGAGCTGCAGCAGAGTGTCGGCCAGGTAATGCACCCAGAGGCAGTTGGTGGCTGGGTGGAATGCTGCCCATTCACCCTTTGTCGCTTTCTTCATCCGCCTGTACGTGTCCGCCTGCGTCGCTCCACCCATGCTGTTTTTGCATTCTCCCTCTCAACATGCCAAGGACTCGCGATTTGCAAGACAGCCAGGTGCACCCTTTTCTCAGGGGATTCCCTCCCGTCGACAAGTGTGGGATTCCACCACCGAACGCACTCCAAAGAGCGCTCTGTCAAGGTGCCCAGATCTGTCTAGCACAATGCAGCCCTCTGTATCTGGCGTGTCTTATTTGGCTTCAATGCTGTCCGACTCTGCAGAGGCAGCATTGCAAACGGATTCCCGAGCTTGCAGATGAATTTAACATGCACCAACCCTCAAAGTAATGCGGCCTGAAGGATCGGAAAGGCCCTGTATGTGACGTCCATGACTCCCATGGGCCAGATCAGGCCGGGAAGACCAGGGCATAAGGGTGACTTAATCACCATCGAAGGGTGACTCAAGTGTGACTGAGCGCTGACCTGGCAGTCGCCGCGCGGCCCCTGGAAGAGCTCGGGGTCGGCGGCCAGGTCGCAGAACGCGCCCGCGCCGTCCGCCGTGCGCAGCCGGGACAGAGTGAAGTCGATAAGCGTCACCTCTACTCCCGCCGTGCTCGCCTCAACATCCACGCCCCTGCCAGAGACGAACATTCTCTCTGTCTATCTCTATGCCTGCAGAAGGAAGCACAATGCTTTGCTGCGGCTGGGGCGCGCTGAAGCCACTCGCCGTGCAGGAGCATCCCACTGATTTGGGCACAGCAATACAGCAGATTCCTGTGAGCTGTGCTTCCTGGGAGACCAATGGAACGCAAGTAAACTTGCGCCGCAAATTGGGATGCCCACCCCGGGCGGGCGGCAGTACTGCCCCTCTTTGCCTGCATGCCTGACCTACCGGGAGGCTTCAAGTCTAGCAGATTAAGCTGTGCCTGAGGCTGCAGAAGATTGCGCATGGAGGAGGAACCGTAATTAGAGGGTTATTGACCCAGGGGTCAAGGACATGGTGCACGCACCGCAGGCGCGCGGATGTGCGCTGGCCAACGGGAACGCGGCGGATCAGCAAGTTGCCCCAGTGCAGATCACGGTGCTCAAACTCGACCGCCTCCTCACCCACGGCAAGCGCCAGCACCGCCTGCAGCAGCAGATTGAAATTTGAGATGGAACTCCGAAAACAGAACTCCATCATGATTGCTGGGGCATGATCAAGAAGCCTGAACCAGGCTGTGGCCAAAGGGCGTGCCTGGGTAGAGCCCTGCCGCGCGTGCAGCAGACAGAAGTCACGCAGATTTGACATGCCCTTGTTCTAATCCAGATCTGCTGGTTGGATACCTGAAAGCCATTGACACCAATGCTGTACATTTTGCCTAAATCCGGGGGTCCAGCGGTATCTATTCAGGAAGGCCAGGGGTGTATGAGGCATGCAAACCTGCAGCAGGATGCTGCGCGCCTCTTCGAAGCCGTGCACCTCAAAGTGCTCCAGGTCAGCACCACCGTTCGCGACCACAAACACGACGTACATCTGGTCCGCGCCAAATTTCGCGACCGGGTCATTCTCGGACCCGTGCTTCGCGTCCCACGCGCGCCACTCGCGCACGAGCGGCTTCGCGTAACGGCCTCGGCAGACTCCGACGCCAAACGTGCGCACAAAGGCGGCCGTGGAATTTTGTGCGGTGACACCTGTCAGGGTCGCATGCTTGCTGCATTCAGTTCCAAGCTGCTGGGAGGTATGTATGAGGTTGGCAGGAATGCATGCGCCTGGCAGCTGCAGCTGCACTCCCAGCGGGCAATCCCAAACATCCCTGGCATCATGCAGTATATTCACTGCACAAAGTAGGATTCAAAGGGTAGGGAACAGCCCGCAAGATTCTTCCTCCACTGCTGAGGCTGCCTGGGTGAGCATCATTGCTTCAAGTCCACAGCAAAGCTGAACTGACACAAATCCCTTTACCATCACAAGACCAGTGGTGACCTGAATCCCTCTTGGCAGCTTGGCGCAATTGCTGCATGAAGTGCAGTCTAGGTCTCTGCCAAATTGCAGCTGTGAAATTGCGCGCACTGGGCTCAGGGTGCAGCTGCGACAGCGTGAGAGGCGGCGGTCTCAGCCCTCTCACGCTTTCCGCGGCGCAATTTTGCGGCTCGCCGTCGACTACTATATCTCATTTTGATTGCAGAATTCAATGAGGCGCGCGGCCGCGCACCAGGCTTGGGGTGCAGCTGCAAGCCTGTCAGGTTCATTTTTTACTCTTGAGTTGAATAGAGATGAGAAAAGACGTGCGGCTGCGCACCGGGATCGGGGTGCAGCTGCGACAGCGTGAGAGAGACGGCAGCCTCGGCCAGAATTTCTGCCGCGCGTTTCTGCGGCTCGCCGTTGACTAATGCGTCCCCCTCCATGGGCACGATCTTGAGGACAACGCCGTCGGATGCGCGGAATGCCTCGCCGAAGGTCCCTTCCCCGATCTTAGTCACGGCTGCCAGGTCCACGTGGCGCCCAAGCAGCGCCTCCATGCTTGGCAGGGTTTCCTCATCCCCCTGGATTAGAAATACAACTTCATCCCATTTTGATCCAATAGCCATTAGTAATCAATTGGCCTCTAGCTTGGGCAACCATTTGCACTATTTCCTCTGGCCCCTTCAGATGACCTCCAATAAAGGCACCCTGTTTCATCAAAAAGCCAGCGAGATTGCTTGAAGTCGGTTCTGATTCTATTCGTGATGCTCTGCAAATAGTAAATGTTACCATGTGTAGAAACTGGTGGTCAGGGCTGCTGCCAAGGGATATGCACTGAAAGTTCCCCTCAGAGCAGAGATAATCTCATAGTGAGTATTCTTCTGTGGGCTGCCTGTGGAGCAAGACAGCTTCCAGCGGCACCATCTTCACTGGCTCACTGTGTCATACCAGTAGAGGCTGGAAAATGAGCATAGTTGGCCAGTCCTTGTGGACCAAAATGCCAGCACCATGCATGCAGAGCAGCGCACCTCTTGGCCGCACAGCTTCAGCAGCTGCTGCATGGGAGTCAGCTCCTCCGCAGCAGCAGCGCTCATCTCCCCAGCGCCCTGTGCTTCGTCCGCCAGAGTCAGCTGGGCTTCGAGCAGAGCGCCAAGCTCCTCTGCCCCTGGCGTCTCCTCTTCAGGTTCCGCCTCCGCATGCTTGCCTGTTTTGGCTGCAGAATATGAATATACATCAGTCAGTGAATTGACACTCTTTGAGTTGAGCCCGATTAGAGCGGATTCCACGCCTGGCTCTAATTCTCATGGTCAGCGCTGAGCATGACAGCCAAACACTCTGAGATGGATCTGACGACAGGTCGCCCTGCCAGTGGAAACTGCACATATTAGAACAGTAAGACACTGAAGCACAGTTTCCGATGTGCTGCAGAGGGGGGCAATGCCATGCAGTGCAACTTGGCCAGTCTTTGGAGTTCTGGCAATGATTTCCAGGACAATGTGTGCCTCTATTTGGCGGGGCTGGTTTGGCAATAGCAAACGTGCCTGCTTTGGCCGTAGCAACTGCGCCAAATTTGGCTGGAGTGGGTGCGGCTGATTTGGCGGGAGTCGGCGCCGGTAGGGAATCTGGTGTTGCGCTGCCGGCCTCGGGGCTCTCCGCGATGGGCGAGAAGGCTGCAGGGTGCAGACATGTCCTGTCAGTGACTACATTCATGGGCTGTTGTTTAACAGGCATGTCATGCGCAATTTTGGGCACTCGATATCAAGTACTGTTGGGCATGCGTGCAGGATTTGAAGCGGCATGTCATGAAATGCTTGGAATTGTGTAGGATTCTGCATGGCTTGGATTGATGCGCACCTCTGAGCTTGGGAGCTAGGCCTTGTGCTGGCAGCAGAGATGAGCGTGCCTCTGGCCCGGAACTTTCCTCCTGCACATGACAACACGCACATGTCTTACTCTGCAGCAATTCCAATCCCCAACCTTATTAAATATCACATTCCTGCAAGCACACAAGAGCTTGCATGGTGCAAGGTCAGCCATGCGTGCATGTTGCAAGATCATGCATGGTGCAGCAGCGTGAAAGGGCCCCAGGCTATGTGGCGTGGACTTCTGGCGGCGGCTTTTGCAGCATACAGGTGTACACCCTACCCATATCTTTAGCTTCCCGCCGGGTGCCAGCAGGGCAGATAATCAATATGCTGAGGAGTTCTTGCCAACTTGGCTGGCCCACATGTTGCAAATCCTGACGACTCCCAATGCGGTGCCAGGCTAGTCACTTGCATCTTGGTCTTGAGTGCATGCTGCAGGATGCGGGGGCTCGACTTGATGATCGTAGGAACCAGAGACTTCAGGTATGAGATTCACACCTGCGGCTGCGAGGAGGGCCCGTCTGGCGCGTCGTCCCGGCCGCCGATGCCGAGCCGGCCAAGCGCGTCGGAGAGGCCCAGCGACATGCGCGCCAGGCCGCTGCTCAGGCTGAAGCGGCTCGAAAGCTGCTCCAGGATCGACGAGCGCCGGCCTGCGCCAGCCGCCGCGCCCGCATTTTGCCTGCAGCAGAAGTTGCACTCATCAACATCTCACAAAGGTATGGCTGCGTGCTGCAGAGGCCGAGCCAGGACTGTGTCATGCATGCCTGGTAAGCATGGCATAGATCTATTAGGGTGCAGGCTTAAAAGTCAGCTGAGATGTTATGGTCAGAGGAACTAGAAAGATCTGTGGGACACCGGCCTGCGCTGGGAGACAGTAGTTTTGCAAGCAACGGCCGTCCCCATCTTGATAAACATTGTCTGAAGTGGCAAATGCATGAAATTCTTGCCTGTCCGGGGGCAGCAGGCTGGAAAGCAGCTGCGGCCCGGCGATGCTCTTGCGCGCGTGGGCGAGGCTGGGCCGGGCGCTGAAGCGGCGGGAGCGGCTGCCGCGGCTGTCCCGGCCCCAGGCCGCAGCGTGCGGCTCCATCGGGATCTGGATGGACTCCACATATGGCCCTGCAGGACAGCAGCACATAATGACCAATCTGGTGTCACTGATTTGTGACCAACAGGCCCCCATGTGCCGTGTCCGCATGAACCGTTCGGACTAGCCGTTGTTGAAGGGCAGATGCTCAAGTGCTCTCACGGTCAGAAATGTGGTACTGGGCTTTTAGCAGAGTGTCGTTAACCAGAAAGATGACCACAGATGGAGGCAGTCCATAACTTTATGAATGCCAGGGGCGCTGCACACAGCGCATGGTAGGCTAAGTGGCTGTGTTCCTTCACAGCTCTGTATCTGTGTCAAACAAACAAAGATGATGCACACCTTCTTCATGCGCATCTTCTGCATCACTGCCTCCCTCCTCTGCATCTGCAGAAGTTGCTGCCTGCACCTCATTTACTGCCCTGTCAAGGGCGCTTGCTCCAGGCTGAGCGCTGCTGTCACTGTCTTGGGAGGGGACGCCCTCTGCGGGCTCTGGCAGGTCTGCCAGCCATTGACTGGTCCTCTCCGCTGCCACCTCAGTGGCCGGGTCTGCAGCGGCGATGTCATCCTGCACCGGTGACTCGTCTCCGGCGGCAATGCCTGCCTGCGCATCGGGAGTGTCAACGCCCCTGCGCGCCTGCTCCGGCGCCGGCTGCGGCGTCTCCACTGCAAGCTCAAAGTCATCCACCTGCACGAGGCACAGGGAACAAGATTACACAATATCTTTCTGATCACTATGGTAATGTGCTCTGGTTAATAATGACCAGAGGAAGACACACAAGAGTTCGATGAGCGGTCCCCTCAGTCTCCTCATGTTTTCTGCTTGCGTCGCATGTAGATTACCCAAGATTCTTTTTCTCAAAGATACACGAGGAGTGCCAAGGAAAATTTGAGGGTGGTTTTTTCCCAAAGACGTGTTACAGAGCTTCTTGGGAGCACTGGTGAGAATGCAGTGGTTGTGCATATATCAGTCGTGAATAAGCTAGCATTGCATTTAAACAGCATGCATGCAGTCAAATGAACATGGATTTCAATGTTCCCTGTAGCTGATGGCCAGAAGCCAGACAACCGTGAGAGCCGACCGACTTACCTCCGCATAGTAGGCCCGCATCTGTGTCATGTACGTGGTCAGTGCGGCGCCCTCTTTGCCCTTCTGTGCGGCCGCTACTTTCCGGGGATATGCACGGCCCCCCTTCTGAGCATCAAAGTCTGGATCCTGCTCTGCCAGAGCAAATGGTTCTCTGCTGACTTGCTGTGCGCTGCTCACAGACTGCCATGGTGTCTGAGCAGAAAGGAGGGAACGCGGAGTTGCATTTGTGTCAGCTATTTGCGGTGTCAGGAAGTCTGTCAGGCTTGGCGAGGCGCTTGAGCTTGCATCATCGTCTTGCGCTGCATGGTGCTGTGGAGTCCCTGGAACCTCTGACAGGCTGGCCCTCTTATCTTCCTCCTTCTTTGCCTGTCGATGCACAGTACTATGATCATGCACTGCTTGAGGAAGAAGGTAGAGGCTTTATAACACAGGAGGTGCTAGAGCAGCAAGCATACCTTGGCTTTTCTTGTGAACGTGACAACTGGCTTCACATCTGGTTTTGACGAGGCATTGAATTCTTCTTTCGATGTATGTGCTCGTGCTTCTTCTTTTGGTCCAGCTTTGTGACCCTCTGCACTCTGCAGGTTGCTGACATCCCCTAACACCTTTGTCCGTGAAGTCATATTCTTCCCCATAATATTGTCTGACAACCCACTCACTGGTGATTCAGATGATCTATTAACTACTGGCGACGTACAATCTAGCTCTTGCGAAGAGCGAGGTATAAGAAATTCCAGCCATGTCAAAAAGCACCGGCGGACAGGACGTCTTAGATTGCGCCTGTTGCCGATACTTGGCTTGAAGATTCTTCATATAGTATTCGCGAATAGTTTGGTTGATATTTTGGATGTTGCAAAAAGCTGTCTTTGCAACGGTCGAAAACTGACTTCGTGCCCTCACGTGTCAGCAGCATGCACGAGTACATTATGCCATGATAACACTCTCCAAGTCTCCTCTCAGAAGAATTTTCACAAGGCTAGCATACTGTGAAACGTTGGTGATCTTCAGTTTGAGGGCATGCAGCCACTAGCTGAGGGCTGCAAGAATGTGCCCTCGCTTATCATGACCAGATCGTGTGCAACTGGCCACTAGTTGTTAACAGAATGGACAGTCCTTTCCAACACGTCGTTGAAAACGAGGCACACAATGCTGCGAATGGTCACGAGGCTCAAGGTTCACGCAGCCACGATCGTGTCCACTCTTATGGAGCACCAACGGAAGTCACCATCGAGGCCCTGCATGAGGGGTACGACAGCTTAATCGCGAATATTAAAATCGTCTTGTTATTCAGATAGCAATTTTATAGTCTCTGCCAAGCGTATAAATATAGCAGCGTGGTGTACTGTGACGAGGGGCGCCTTCCAGGGCATGCAAGATTCCGAACAGGATGGCCCAGCAATGCGTGAAAAGCCAAGACGTTGGTGATCCTTTCCATGAATTACCCTCATGATTTCCTGCAGATCCTTTGCAATGAGAGAGGACGAGCCGCAGCTTACGTTCAGGGCAGTGGGGACAGGATTGGTAGTGGGCAGCCTGCTCTGCTGCAGCAACACCTACTTTGGCCTGCAGACCGGCTGGGTCACCATGGGCAGTCTTCAGGTAACGTATACTGGTCAACCCCTGCACCAAATCTGCCATCCAGATTGATGCCCCCTCACCCGATGCTTTGCTCAACTGCTTGCATCTCCAAAGCTCTTCCTTACTACTTACTTGCCCCAGCTTCTCATGGAGATGCTGTTCTCTGATGCCTGATGCGATCCAGCAGCTCGCCCGTTGAGATGGCTTTTTTCACTCTGATTGAAGTGCCGTATTTGCCCCCGGCATATTTTACCAGATGTCATGTGCGCTGCAGTCGGCTGTCCTGGGCTTTGGGATCTTCCGGGTGCTGGAGAGGTACGGTATCACCTCTGGCCTGAGCGTGGCTGAGAATGTCATCCTCCAGACGACCTCAGTCGCCACTGCCACCATGCCCCTCGCAGCAGGCAAGCCCTTTTACTTTATCCTTCATGTCCGTCTTGCCGCGCCAGTGGACTCGCATGTGTTGATCCTCTCCATACGTATTGTGTGGTTGGAGCCATGCATGAGTCAAACGGGGGAAGGGACTTACACAAATGTGGCTGATAGGTCACAGCGCCATGGCAAGGGTTGCAGACCCAGGGGGTCCTGCATCTGTTTGCACATATTGCTGCACTAAGTATCCCCCTGGCAGGCCTGTGCTGTTAGTCACCTCTATGTTAATGTTCTGCAGCGCTGACGCAAGGCCCTGTGCGCGGGTAATTATAATGGATGCCCTGCACAGGGTTGGTGGGAATTATACCAGCGCTCGGTATGATGACCCCGCGGCAGAACCCGCCATTGGGACCGATCGTGCTGTCGCCTGGGCAGCTGCTGCTGTGGTCCCTGGGACTCGCCTTCTTTGGAGTATTTATCGCTGTCCCCCTGCGCACACAAACCATCATCAAGGTGTGGCTGCTGCCAATGGCAGCCTGCCATGCGCAAGCTTGAAAATACCGGCGTTATTTTAGCGATCTTGTTGTCCCTGAACAAGAGGATCCGGCAGCGGCAGCGTGGCCGATCCATCTCAAATCGAGTGTTTCGATTGTTTTTTTGCTGTTTCAACCAAATTTTTCTACAAACATCCGCTTTCTGCACCTGGCATGCCGACATGAGACCACGCCAGCATGCATGCATCATGCTGGCGCATGTTTGTCGGGGCACAAGGTGTTCTTTTGTGCAAGGCTTGGAGATGCAACCACTGAGAAAGCATCATCTGGATGTTCTCTGATGCAATTAACGCTCTATTCAGGAGAAGCTCAGGTTTCCATCAGGAACAGCGACTGCGAAGGTGATCCGGATGCTGCATGGCGGACCAACTTTGGCAGACGATCTGGATGGCCCTGTCGACAGCAGACGGGAGCTGCCTCCAGTGCTGGAGGAGGTGTGTAACACAGATTTACAACCTCTCCCATTCATGACCAGCACGCCCGCACTTGCGTGCTGACCACAATAGGGGCTTTGCTGAGTGAGCGCATGCGAAATTTGGACCTGCCAACAGTGAATGTGAATGGCCACGGGCACTGAAGCCAAGCAGCCTGTCAGGGACCTTCAGGAGTGTGGTCTTATTACCGTCATTGATTAGTCGACTTATGTGATAATCTTGACTAGAGATGACTGAAGACGAGTGCATGCCTGGGCATCAGGACGGGGAGGATCTAGGGAGTGGAAAGGAGCGGGCTGGAGATGAGGAGCAGGCTCGGGAGGTGCACCACAACAGCCAGAGGAGCCTGAGAAGCAGGGCCAGCATTGACGTGGTGGGTTTTGATCCTGCCCGCACTGCATGCGCATCTTGCTTGTTGCCGGTCAAGCACCTGCCATTGAAAGACCAAGTGGCTGAGCTTCGCTGGGCTGGCAACGTCAAGGATCCCCTGTCAGCCTGTTCCTGAGAGGCTGCACATCCTTTGCTGCAGGCGAGAGGCCATCTATGCAGCTAACAACATGGCAACTGCGAGACCTTAGCCCTTTTCAGAGCGCAGGCATGGTTTCTAATTCATAGCTTCATTCAGAAAAATCAATAATATGCCCTCAATAAAATAATCGGGCAATTATGTGCGCAGGAGGAGCGGCAGCCGCTGATTCGGCGATCGTCGGCGCCGGCGCTGTGCCTGTCTGGCGCGGCGAGCCTGGCCCGTGCTGACTCAACCTTCGGCGTGCAGGCGCTGCAGCAACTGGAATCACAGGGTGCGCCCAATGAGCAAGAACATGGCCCAGCTTCTAGAAGAAGCGCGGCAACTGGCAGCCTTTGGGCAACTGCGAATACACTCTGAAAAATTTAAGAAAGCGAGCAAATTCTTGCAAAGGTGAATGAAAGTGCAAGGCAGCAAATGTGTGCATGGCAATGGGAGCCTGCACTGGTCTTTTTTTGTGTGCAAGTCATGCCTTTGGAGTGTCAAGATATCTCGAATGTGAAAGCTCTTTCAAGATGCAATGCTTCCTAGAAGCAGGGCAGCAGCTATGCACCAGGAAGAGACCGGCAGGCAGCAGGTGCCTTTGCAAAGCTTGTTGGGTTGAACAGGCGGATCAGTAGCCTTGCAAAGCAACTGTATGCAATTTCAGATGTTGCGCACAGTGCTGCGTTGCGCTTACGCCCAGCCCTATGTCCCTACAGAACAATTGAAAGAGAGAACAAATCAGAAAAATTCCAAAAATGCAGGCGTGGAGGATGAGGGGGAGTGGGCGCGCGCATGGGCGGCGCTGCTGTGGACCTTCGTGGCAGCTGCCGCGTACACGCTGGCTGCCTCGCAGCTGCCCTGGCTGCGCAGCTTCCCGATACTTTCCTGGGTGGGGCTCCCGGCCGCCACCGCCTGGGGCTGGGAGGTCGCGCCTGCCATGGGCTACATGGGACAGGTGCCTTTTCTCTTTTTACAGCGCAGACGGTCTCTTGCACTTGCATGCAGGTTGATATGTCAGTCGCATTTTGATGTGCGCATCGTCAAATCCAAAACAAGATGTCGGTTGCTGCAGCAAGTTGCATCAAGCTTATGCGCCACAGTTAGAGTGCCCTTTTTGCTGACAGTAATTGGTGGATGGTGAAGATACATATGATTTTCTTTGGCTGTGGCAGGGGATGATCATGGGGCCCAAAACGGCACTGTCCATGTTTGGCGGAGCAGTGCTAGGTGCGAATGCTCTCCATCAAATCTTCCCAGAATGCCATCTGACAACCTTGATTGCCTCGCCTTCATTACTGCCTTGACTTCCTCTCCTGTGGGAATTTCATTGCATGCGTATGCCCAAGCCCTGCTTGCATGCATCTGCAGCAGAATGCAATGACAGATAAGGTGTGGAATGATGTCAGGACCACGGTGTGCAGGGTATGGGATCCTGGGACCCTACGCGCGCGCTCAGGGGTGGGCGCCGGGGGAGATAATGGATTGGAAGAACGGCGCAACTGGGTGGATTCTGTGGGTCTCCCTGGCCATCATGCTTGGGGACAGCCTCACCAGCCTCTCACTCTTAGTCATCACATCCACCAAATGCACCAAGTGCGCTCCTGAGGAGTCCCCAGCTTACATTGCAGAAATCCTCTCATCGACTGCTGTGGCTTGTGATAGCATCATGCGGGGACACTTTGGGGTGTCCTCGCATGAATTTCCTGGGATGAGTTATTATTCCAGTTGTTTCATTTTGCAATCAGGATGCTGAGGATGTCCCCTAAAGACTTATACGACGCTTTTCTTCATCACTAACACATCATGCAAATATCTCCCAGAAGTCCTAGGCACTGCCTTCCGATGTGCCTGCGCCTGCATGGCTGCTATCCTGTTGATGTCATACTTGCCGTGTCTGGGGCCGTGACACTTGTACAAGTACAGTGAAGCATGGACAAGGTCAAATTTCTATCGTCTTCTTCGTTGACCCTGCATGTAGGTAATGTTGACACTGACCGGTTGATTGCGCCATGTGCTGCAGGGGATCGAGCGAGGAGGCTGAGAGGGAACGCGACGGATGCCAGCCCATCCCGACTTCCTGGTGGGTTGGCGGACTGGCGGCATCCACGGTGCTGTGCACAGCGGTGAGCCTGAAGCGCTCCTTACAGCCTGTAACGAGTGAATAATCCAAGGTGTTACACATAGCGGAATGTCTCCTCTCGGATCTTGTAAATGCGAGCGTTGATACTTGGTGGTGCACATACATGTGCGTGGGCAGGCAAGTAGTTATGGCAGCTTTGCTGGGAATGATCCACCAATCAAATTCCTTTCGGCTTTCTAATGTGACGGAAAGTCATATATATCGAAACCTTGTCTCTGCAGACCGATACTATTCTGCTGCACAGGAGATGATCCCACTGCTGGGCCTGTGCCAATTGGTCAGAGAAATTAAGCTTTAAATAGGTCATTCTACAGCCTTCCCAGGTACTTAAACGGCAGGTAAATACAAGTACTATTCTTGCAGGTGATGGTGCCGCTGCTGGGTCTGCGCCTGTACGAGCCGGCGGCGGCGGTGGCGGTAGCACTATTAGTCGCCGTACTCGCGGTGCGCGCGCTCGGCCAGACCGACCTCAACCCGGTCTCGGGCGTTGGCAAACTCTCCCAAGTGGTCTTCGCCCTCATCGCGCCTAAGCAGGTGACTGATCCACCCCCTGGAATCACCCTGATGCCGTAAAGACAATGTGGGGCGGTGAAGCCTTGCATGAGTTGCTTTGCATGCAGTCAATGTGTCTGCGACCAACAAACAAAATGGGCCTCAGAGAAAGGTGAAAGTGCACATTCCTAGCAAAGCAAGGGTCGCAATTAAGGAGACAGAGGGGAGTCGTGTTTTTCTGTGAGGACATGTGGAAAGCTGTGACCCTTAATCTGTGATCGGTGCACGCAAAGGAACACAAAAGGGTTCCTGTCCACTGGCCCCCGTGTTTTGTGCCAGCGCTCAGCAGCATCAGTTTCTGTAGGAGAGACTGCGTTCACACTGATACAAATAAAGAAGTATGGATTAACCGCCGTTGTTCCACCAGTCTTATGCCTTGAGCTGAATGAGGCGGAGCGCCAGACACACGAGCACAACCAACTTGTGTGATTGTCCCATTACAACAAGTGAGTAAGAGGGGGATTATGACTTTGCAGGTGGTGCCAAATCTGGTGGCGGGCGCTATTGCAGAAGCTGGCGCCAACCAGGCGGGAGACATGATGCAGGCATGCCCTCTACCCTTGCTGTCACCAAATGCTTGCAGCACTTCACTCTGGCACAGTGTAAGGGTGGCATTCTTTGCCGTGTGCTTCAGCAATGGCGTCACAAGCATTTGAACCGCCCTGCTCCTTGATCACAATGAAGTGCAATATAAGAGGAAGGCCTTTGGAGCCATCGTTATCTAATTCACATCCCTAGCCCTCCTGCATTGCAAGCGATCCTGCATTGCAAGCGGTGTCAAGTAATGAGGAAGTCAAGCATCACTTTTCGGTGCACCTGACAGGTCAGGAGGCCCATCTCAAATAGGTATTATTTGAAGCATTGCTCCTTCTAGGGACTTCAGGTATTGATGGGGACGAGGCTTCTGTAGATGGGACTGCCGTGAGACTCATTCGAAATTTAACAATGCAGGACTTCAAGACAGCGCACTTGTTGGGAGTCTGCCCGCGCGCGCAGTTTGCAGCGATGCTACTGGGGTCCGCGGTCTCAGCTGGCGTCTCCGTCGCCGCTTACTCACTGTACACCTCAGCGTGGCAGGTGTGCGCCATGCCTGGCGAAGGTCACCCACTGTAATCTGTGTTGGCAGTCCCCTCTTTGTTTTAGTCTTGCTGCAGACGAGAACGACAATTACTTGAACCCGGTATGTGACAAGCTGCATGTAATACCATCGGCAAGTTGTGATCCTTGGGCCACTGTGACTTGAGCTGCAGCTCAGACTCCTGCCAGTCGAGTTTTCTTACTTATTATCATATCTTCTGGATGGGCACCTGGCTCATAAACCCGAACTCCACCATTGCATTCTGTAAAGCCCCCTTTCCTAAACGCCCCATTCCTAAACGCTAAACTAAGTTTTTATATTTGAACTTTACATTTCTGGTGGCAGGTGCCAGGGCCGGATTTTCCCGCGCCCACCGCCGAGATCTGGCTCGACATGGCTGATCTGGTGCGTTCCCTCCCGCCGCCAAAACTGGCTAGCTTGGCTGTTTTCCTAATGAGGCTGCTTGTATGTAGTACTTGCAGCTGGGGAAAGAGCGCCACTTGCCACCTGCAGGCTGCCCTTAGACTTGGTCCGTGGGATCAGTTATTTCTCGTCATTTGATTCTGTCTATCCATCAGCAAGAAATGTAGACCCACATGTCCAATTTCCTGCTACATGATTGGACATGTAGCGGGAAAATACAGACGGTGGTCTGCGATCTTGAATAGGGCTCGTGAAGGGCTCAGAAGCCAGGATTACAACTCACCTAGTAGAATTTGCTTGTTCTAGGAATGCAATACAACAATCAGAAGGAGGCTGCTCTTTCTCTGTCTGCAGGGGTTGAGGGATTTATAGGATACCTTATGCTGGTAGGCAGCGGGTACTAAGACTCGCTAGGACCTGGAATCTGTATCTGTCTGCATGGCTTCAAATTTCTAGTACAATTCTGCTGGTATGATATGGAAGGGTTGTTGCTGGCATTGTGGCAGGTGAATGGCGGGCAGCTGCCGCCACATGTGGTGCCATTCTGCGTGGTAGCTGCCGCGGTGGCAGCGTGCCTCCCGCTCACTGCTTTCTTCCTGCAGCGGGCGCGGTTACGGCTGCAGCTGGAGGGAACACGGCCGCAGAATGTGGCGCAGGTGCGCTGCAATTTTTTCTTTGTCCACCTGTGAACCCTCTGAGCAGCTGGAGGGAACGCAGCCGCAGAACGCGGCACAAGCGAGTGCAATTCCGTTACTCTTTGCAGACTGTGGGCATGTGGCGTGCTTCTTGCGGCTGCCTTGGTTAGTAAAGTGAGCGGGTTAGTGAGTGCTCGCAACTCATGACATGTGATGCCTTGCCTTTAAAGCATGTCTTCAACACCTGTATAGGCCAGGCCTGTGCATATCCTCAACGGAACACATTGTAAGACCTGCCCAATAAAAAAGCCGTAAGCTTTGCTGCCATCTGCTTTGCTGCATTTTCTGGATCAAGCACACCGTTGTGGCTGGTCTAAGCCCTGCACAAATCAGTTTATTTTAGGCTTGCGGGAACGAAATATCTTATCTTTTCAAAGTACGAAAAAGTGCTCGTGGGATCGGTAAATAACTATGTCAGGCCAAAAATCTCGCAGCACACCAGTAGGATGGGCCGAATTTGGTACTGACTAACAAAAATATTAACTTTCGATCGTGCGGGAAATCCCTGCGGAAATCTGTTGAATATCTCGATGTTTCAAAAGTGCGGGGTTTAGACCGGTCACTACGGTAGCCTGGGCCTGGAGCACTGCCACCAGATGCACCAGAACCTTGTTCCGGAATGCTCTGAAGCGTTGCCTGATGCTGGTCAGAATGGATTGCTGCTATTGCGTCTGCGTGCACATGTAGATGAGTAACTTCGTTGATTGCATGCAACGACATGTGCTGAAAAGTCATTATACAACATCGGCATTTTCATAGCTAAACCTACAGACTCCAAGAGAAGCCCAAACAGGTCAGGAGCTAATTCTGGTGTGTGGCAGGATCAGTGGCGGCGGCGCCTGCTGGCAGCTGCAGAGGTGGCTCTACCCTCGGGAGTGGGCGTTGCAGTGGGGCTCTATGTGAGCCCCAAATGGACCATCCCTCGCCTCATTGGATCCATGGCCGAGCAGGCGAGAGACTGCATCCTATTGTGATCGCATCCTTGAAAGACCATTCATTCTGTGTATTTTGGAGAAATTGACAATCTGCTGAGCCACAGGGCCGCCCGTGAGCTTAAGATGCCTGGTCAGAAGAGTGAGACAGTTGTTCCTTTTTTTCTCCAGGGACTAATCTGGCTGAAGCTGTGCAAGATCCCTATCTTTTGATGTGACCCAGCACAGAACTTTCAACGCAGAGAATGTGTACTGTGCCTGAAAGCTAGCAACCGCTTCAAAGCAGGCTTCAGAGCAGCCCAATGCCGCAAGCATGGCATTCAACTCCTTTTTTAGCAGGCGTGAAGTTGATTTCGAATTAGAATTATGCTGCCTGGCGCAGGCATGGCGGTGCACGGACGGCCGGAGCCACAAGCGGATGATGGTGATCGTGGCGAGCGGGCTGGTGCTAGGGGAGGGAACAGCCTCCATCGTTACCGCCTCCCTGCGCGCAGCCTTCGGATGATGACTCGCACCGTGACTCACGCATGACGCATCCTCGCGTTTGGGAGAGGGGACGGCGTCGATCAATGCCGGCTCCCTGCGCGCAGCCTTCGGATGGCTCACTCCGTGACTCACCGTGTGGCTCATCCCACGACGCATCCCAATGCCGGTGGAGGGAACGGCGTTCGCCGTCACCCCCGCTGTGCGCGCAGCCTTCGGGTGATGACTCACCCGTGACTCACCCGATGACTCACCGGCGTGTCCCTTAGCACATAAACTTGCTCGGGCTTGTGTTGGTCATGGGATTCCTGCAGCTGTGCGTGCCTCATATGCGCACGGTTTGTGGTGATATTAATGCTGCAGATCACTTTTAATTGCCCGCCAGCTGGGCGCTCCTAAAGAGTGTGTAATAGGTAATCTAGCATCTCTTCCTGACTACCTTACAGGCTTCCCCGTTGCAGAAACATCTAGTCAGCCAGCTGCCCGGCGCATTTGCCTGCGCTTCTCAATCTGCTTCTTTCAAGGACAGTCATTTATATGTACACTAGCTAGGTTACTAGTACTAGTTGTGCACCAATTGTTCATGCTAGATTTGTTTGTGAGCAATGGGAATGGATGAGTAAAAATACCTTCTGCACCTGTTAATTACTCATACTTACATAGTATGAGAATTGTTGTTCTGGGCCGGTCACTTGTGAGTCTCTATAACACCGAGTCCGGAAATTCATGACGCAACTTTGTCATTGATTGGCAGTGTAAGAACACCATCCCAGCTTCACAGTTGCACTGTCAACATGTCTGTACGTACAAAAGTGTATACAAGTAAAAATTCCCCTTGGACCGGAGGCATGGTGTGAACATTAGGTTTAAGAGCTTGAATATGATACACAATGTCGATCAAACACACAATGGTCATCACTGAAGAGCATCATCAGGAAAGGCACTGTGCGCAGAAATCAACCCCATTTATGTTTGTCACATATGTTTAAGCTTGTCATTCTTCTCTCAGCACGATCTTAGCCTATAGGAGCAGCCAAAGCAGCAATTTCCTGCTCTTGATTGACATGCAAAACATGCAACGCCTGTGCAAATATGCACAGTCCCCACATGTCTTGAAGCCAGACATGTGGCAACGCCTTCAATGAGGCCATTCTTATACGGTATACGTAAACCGTTAGCCCTGATTTGGAAAATTTAAGCTTGGATACACAATAAATAGAAAAGGAAATTCAAAAAGAACGCCACAAGACCTACTCAACCACCTGTGCACAATACCACCTCCCACCTAGGCTGCCAGCAGGCGCCTGCCAGTAAGTTTATTCACCAATTGAGTTTAAGTAAAACTGCACAAGGGCGATACTGATACTCAAGCTGCTCAAGTCATAGCCGAGAGGCAGCTTGCCTAAACGTGCGCTCAGCGCAAAGCAAATCTGTCCAGAATGCGTTCAAATCCGCGATGCAGAAAAAGATTTGAATTGCAGCAGAGGTTAATGCTGCCATGTCCAAGAAGGGTGCAAAGCAGCTGCAATATATGCACGCCTGCTCTTTGTACACAAGAGGGAGCAGCAACTCCTCACATCTGGAGAGGAGCCAGAATATGGCACTGTTATTGTTTGTCCCAGAAACCCAATAGAAAGCAAGATGGCAAGACAATCTCACACAAAAAAAAAGCACAACTGACAGCAAATTGCTCCACATGTCCTTTGACTACACATTTCAAATGTGAAATTGAATTTGAATTGCACTCAGCTCAGCCGTCTGCCTCCTCCTTTCCGAAACGACGCAAGGGCCCACATGTAATTTTGAAGCCTCATAAATTATTTATGTTAGAACGTGAATATGCTTGCATTACGCATTAGTTGCCAAGTGGCCCATTTTTGAAGCCATGCCTGTTGATTTCTGAACAACTCTAACGGCAGGCAATAACGGAGCGTGCCAATCTGAGGGCATCAGTGGCATGATTCGCGAGTCATCCGTCCATTGAGCATGCCCGCTGACTAATGCCACGTCAGATGCAAATCCGCGGCAGCCGACCTCGCGCATGTGACTCAACGGCCACCCTGCTGCACAGCTGGCACAGGCTGCAGCATGACTAACCCAGCCCCCAGGAACGCCCCAGACTTGGGAGGCAGGCCCGACACATCCACCAAGTGACACACAGAGAGAGAGAATCCACTTATTTATGTGTCTTTCATTTGGCGGGGGCCCTTTCCTTGCAGGAGGGAACACCTAATTTGGTCGCACGGGAGGTTTGCCTGCCGCTGCCGGGCGGGAGGAGACGCCTGATTTGGTTGTGCGGGAGGGAACGCCAGGGACGGCTGTCGGGCTCTCAGTGGTCCAAACGACCTCCGGCTGCCGGAAGCGGGACAGCTCCAAGCTTGGCGGCCGCGATCTCGAAGCGGGTAGCTGCTCGGCATTTGCTGGGCCGCCGCGCACTGCAATGGCGGCTCCTGCGCCGGGCATTGCGAATCATTTTGGAAGGCTTCAATTTTTTCAATTTAGCCCAAAAGATTGTCATTTCCAAGCCTGCCGCATGGCCTTGCAGAGCTTTTGTGAATTTGCAGCATAGGAAAGAAAAATAACAAACGCAAGTGCGAAGCAGACAGTCATTGTTGCGCGGGAAATTTTGCGCGGATGCAAAATCCTAGGCAAGAAGGAGCCGGTGAGGCCACAAATGGCGCAAAACCAAGCAGCAGAGGAGCGCCAGCACTATTAATGCAAGCAGGTTTCCCATCTTGCCACACGCACTTGAAGGCAGAAGCAGGGGCTGCCCTGAGAAAAGGAATGTTCGGTACTTGAAGGTAATACTGAGCTTGGCGCACCCTCTGTCTCCTTAATCTTCCAGTCCTCAATGAGTTCCATCAGCGTCAGCTTGGGTGCGCTCCTGAATCCCCGGCGCCCACGCCGCGAGCTGCTGAGGTCCCCATCCGAGCTCTGCAGCCGGCATGGAACTGATCAGCAATTTCGCAGAGCAAGAGGCACCTAATCTTCAGGTGCTAGGGAGAATCCCCAAACCCTACAGCCACAGAGCCTGAAAAGTGATCTCCGACATATCTTCCTATCGGAGTTTTGCAGCGGACAGAAGCTCGGCGCAAAGTATATAACACCTCCCGTGGAGCCAAGGGACCGTGAAGAGTCAATTCTCGACTCTGCAACTGGAAAACTTTATATCTCTTGCGACGAGTTTCTTTGCACTACGCCCTGCGCTAGGGCGCTCATCATGCGTTGCACCCAATCCCTCAGATAACTACCTCCCACTCGCGCAAAAAGAGTATGTTCAAATTCAAACAGACGCACATGGATGACTGTGTGGGCCACCATCCTCAACTTACCTGTGGATAACCCATATGCACTATCGTGCAGACAATAAAAGTGATTTTTTGCACTGTAAAGTTGATGGTAAGTTTGTCACGGCATGGATGGCGGCAATGGAAAGCACTTTGCACTCACCGCCTCGGGCCGGCATTCCAGCGTGTGAGATTTGCCATGGTACCAGTGGCGTGCGCCAAACCTTGGCACAAACCAGGCGACCAAAACTCCTATGATGACCGCTCCCACGGTGACACAAGTCCAGTTGAGGTTGTCATAGCTTACGGGGTAGACCGTGGGAAGGATGAACGCCGTCTGCAAAAGGCACAGACCTCTTTTAAACAAATAGTCCTGCTTTTGAAACAGGAACGCCGCAGCAGACACGTGCACGCAGGAGCTGTAATGGCAGTTTGCAATAAAGGCCCTGATGCTCTTTGATTGATGTGGTTTCTTCCTGCAAGTAATGGCATGCGGAATAGACGCAAGGCGGCAACTGTGAGGATCTTGAACCTCTTGCTCGCGCAGAGATGACTGCTTTATTAGGAACTCACACAATCTGCAGTGACGTTTGAAGCAGCCACACAAGCTTGCTGCTCAAGCACCTGCTGGTGTACTGACAGGCTCCCAGCATGGCAAAACAAGGGTCATGCTTGATTCAGCTGCAAGCGCTGCACCTTTTCGGGTTCCTGTTCTAGAATTATCCTTTATCCCTACGTATTTATTTAGTGTATATAAAATTAAAAAAGTAAAGGATATGGTACGCACCGATGAAATGACGACCCAAGATACTGCTGCCAGGTTGATGGGCAGGTGCCACGCACCCAGCTGAAAAGGCCCGGGCCGGAAATTCCTGCGGTTGAGGACTCGCACCAAAATGGGGATGCCGTCTGCAAAGCCGTCACACAAGCATTTAGGGACTGTCAAACAAAAACGCCTTGGCATGGTTTTCAATGCAACAGGACAGGCATCTTAACGATAGGATGCCTTCAAAGCACAATAATTGCAGCACGGATCTCTGCACAGGTTTTGATGACTCCCTGTGACACAAGCACCTATGGAGGATTTATCCACTGTACAAGAATGGGTACATGTTTATTGCCAAAGGACCTTGCAAGGGTCAGGAAAAATGAAGGTGTACAACCATATGATTATAATTTAACCCCTGCCGGTGATTGCATTTTGCCACTTTGCGGGAACGCTGTGTGGATGTCCCCTGAATGGGGACTCACAGCTGACATAGAGGCCGATGGAGCTGATAGACACCAGAGCGTTGAAGACGGACAGTGAGTAGAGCATGGGCAGGCCCAGCAGGAATGCCAGAGCCGCCATGGCCCACACTGCGTTCACCGGAGTTCCTGTGTGCACGTTCAGCGCTGACCAGACCCCGTGCATGGGAACGCCGCGATCCCGCGCGAACGACCACAGCATCCTGAACAGGCAATTGGGACAATGTCCTGATTAGGTGACATTGTGAAGATCCTGATCAGGCAACTTGCGTTCAACTTCTTGAGTGCAGCCAGTGTCTGTAATTTATTACGTCAGAACTTTGGAGCAAATCTGGAAAGCAGGAACCATACAAAATGGCGATCCAATTGATGTCATTGACGCGAGTATATGCAAATAACAGTGGGCTACAGGTAAACGCAATAGAAACCAGAACTTCTTAAGCTGCCTGAGAAATGCAGGATTGCTCAGTGTCCAACATTAAAATTTAGTTGGCACGGTGCCGTGTCAAATTTTCATTAAAAATGGAACAGTGGGATAAGGGATCACCGGGCATTGGAGCTGAGCGACAGGGTGGTGGAGTTGAAGGTGGTCACCAGTGGAATCGCCAAAAAACACACCCCTGCAAACACACGCACCGCCATGTCACCATGAGCGCTGGCATCTGCATGCATGCACATGTTCCCTGTACGAAAGTGCAAAGTTCTATCTACCAAGAAGTGAATTTGTGGTGGTGCCCCTCCCCTTGATTACAGACAAAAGGGTGGAACACATGAAATGCTTGCTTTCCTCAACATGGCATTCACCCGCGGCAAGTGAACATGAACAGAAACAGACACAGGGAAGCGAGGATCTTGAACGGTGTCGGAATTTAGGGTTTGACATTTGACATAGACTTTGAAATTTAGGGTTAAGGGCCCCGCAGGTTTGCTTGCATGGTGGTGGTGGGCCTGAGGGGTGAAAGAGTTCAAGTCAGGGGACCAACCTCCGATGTTGCTGCCATATCTCGCCTGCATGAAGCCACACAGTCTTGTTCAGAAATGGGCCCCTGACATTCCCTATATGATACTTTGACAGGCATGCAGGGACAGGAATTCTCATAGGCACAAAAGCAAATTTATTTGACAAAGCAGCGAAACGGAATCTGAAGGAGATTGCCCTGCAAGGTAAAGTATGACTTCCTTTGCTCAGGAGATTCGTTCATCGGTGGGCTCACCTTGAAGACATCGCTGAAGATCTGACCCACTAGGTAGCCGTTGGCATCTCCGGTCATGAGGCCAGCAGCATCCTGCATGAGAACACATGTCGGTCAAAATCGCTGAATCATGCCCCATTGAACAGATAATCTTCTGCTGGGAGTCTGTGGCGAGACAGTCATCTGAGTACCACTTCACATCAGCACGGGCCCTTGACTTCCCTTACAGTAGCCCCACTTGATCCAGATCCTAAGACGAGACATGCATCCCTTATGCCTCAGCCATCCTGTTCCAGTGTGCCTCTCCCTTCGCCTATCCAACATTGACAGTGGCGACTATTGTGACTCGGTGGGGCCAGGTATTGTGTTGATTAATTCAAGTTCAAGGGGTCCGGTCTGCAGGGGCGTGCCTGGATGCTGAAAAGCAGCGCCAGAATGTACGCGAAGCCGAAGACGGCCGTGCCGCAGACTGACAGCACTATGGCTTTGGGCGCCACCCGATCCGCTCTCTTTGTCTCCTCAACAAATTGTGCAGGCCTGCAGGTGTCACAAAGGACTTGTCAGTGAGTGGCAAGGGCAATCCCAGGAGGGAGTCAACATGCGAGCGGGTTTGAAAACAGCCGGTCAGCTCGTTGTCGCACGTGGGGTGACAGCACGTGCGAAATCGTGCCTGAGTGTATGGGTGCATGTGTGTGTGAGTGCATGGACAGGCATCCTGTAATAATTGCAGATCCATCAGCTGCCCAGCATGCAGTCACAAAAACAAGGAATTGCTGCAAGTGCTTCCAACATGCATGTTTGCACATGCATCTCCAGACAGCAACAAGAAGAACCAAGAAGAGTCCGTGTGGGGCCTTGTAGCCTGCCGCAGTTGCATTTTGTCCCACAAGCTTGAACTTGCAGCATTGTATCCAAAATCTTGAGCCAAAATTCCAGCGTTGCTGGGCAGGGAAGGATGCAGGGAAGTGAGAGCGCTCACAGCTCAAAGCCGATGAAGGTCCCCTGGGGCATGATGGTGCCGATGAGGAACATGTAGGCCACATTGGGCAGCCCATTGGCCGCCACGTCAGCGATCTGGAAGTCCAGGAACACCGTGCGCGCGGACTGGTGGCTGGGGGCCACCAAGGGGAGGGCCAGGATCAGCATGGTCCCCCCGGCCAGCAGGAACGCTGCGGAGAAAAGGGCGTGATATTTCGCCCACCGCGTGGGGACCGAGCTCACGCACGCGCCCGCCACCAGCACAACTGAGCGCACAATCCAAAATTCAAATTCAATTTTGAATTGGGGAGCTCAAAGAACGATCTCAACGTCTGCAAAAGCAACAGGATTAGGCCCTGCCTGTGAGTGCTTATATATATATTCTTAGGGTTTTGAGTATAGGGTTCAGCTCCGCCAATGGACCCCACAGATTAATCTCTTCCCACTCCTAGGATTACATACTGCTTCAACGCGCGGTCTGTCCTCTCGCAAGAACGACACCCAGGACGACCTGGCAAGGGATGCACAGGCCAGACAGGGGGAGGCAGCGCACTGGCATAGGCGAGCAGGATCTCCTCCGGCGAGAACGCATGCCCATTACTAAGCAGCCACATGGCGGCCAGGTGCTGCGCTAAGAAGAATCCGGCGAACGCCGTCGTCGCGAACTGGCCCAGCACGTTCAACCAGCCTGCGCACACATGCGCGCACATGCCATCACATGCCAGCGATCACAGCAAAGCGTGCAGGGTGCGACTCATTGCAAGCAGCATGGATTTTCTCACAGCACACTTTGTCTCACAGCACATATCAGCACATACGACCCTGGCTCATATACAGCCTCTCGCTGAGGAGATCCCAGATTGGGCCGGTGGGGGAATGCCAAGCGGGAGAGAGCGAGATTAGGGGTGCTTCTAGTCTGGCTGCGATTTGGTTCCCCGAGCACCTTTACTTTGAGCAAGGCGAAGGTGTGCAGGAATGGCGATTCAAATGCCTAAGTAAGCAACGAGCCTAAGTTAGCACTGAGGCCCCTTGTGCACCTGTTATCCACCCAATAATGAAATATTTTGGGTCGTTGTTGGTCAGCTCCAGGCACCTGCAGGGCGCATGTCACAGATCAAGAAGATGCGTTCCTTTAGATAAAATATGTATGCTTTCCTTTCAGGTCCCAATGCGCTCTCTGTTATAACACCAGGACTACTAAATTACTATCCTTTTGAGTCCGCAACATTCTCCACAGGGGCACATGCCTGAATTGCATGTTGCAGCATGCTACGAGGCATATTACAGGGCAATGCAGCAGCTAAGATCCCTACCAGGAACTAGCAGGATGGGAACGAAATACTAGTGAGGGGTATCTTGTACCGGGCTGCTCAAGCGTAGACGCAGAAAATGGGGCTCACCAGAAGTAGGGCCCCCCGGATATGGGGTAGGAGCTAACAATCTCAGCCATTGACAGCGCCACGAAGATATTGCATAGCGCAACAGATATCCACCCCCACACTGCCGTCGCCGGCCCCCCATCCTCATATGCAATAGAGAAAGTCCCTGCACAGCCAGATTGACAGGTCAGCTGGTGGGAATTGCTCCATCATAAATAGCAAGTTTGCAAACAGACGGTGCGATAATTTGACAAGCTGGCAGACTAGCCTTCCCAGCCCCTGTGACCCTGATCAAGCAGCAAAAGTCCATCATTGCTGGCCGGTTGAAATCAAGGAAGACCTCTAGTAGCTACAGACCCTGGATGTGAAGCTAATGTAAAGTGATGGCCATTGTGGGTTTTCATGGAATTTCAGTGCGAAGGGACCTCGTGCATTGTGAGGCAGCACCTGTGATACCAGTAGTGAAGGCCATGAATCCCAGGCTCCCAGAGAAGCTGGCAATGGGACCCCATTCCCTCCTGAGCTCCTGCTTGTATCCCAGCTCTCGCAGGCGAGCCTCCCCACTGTCCAGCCTGCCACTGCTTGACTCAAGCAGCGGGGCTTCTTTCGTAGGCCCTACGATCTTCTTACCGCTGCAACGCACCCCCTCCTGGCCCACCATGGTGACGCTTCACTCGGTGTGGCCTGGCAGACGTGTCAACCCTGCGCCTGCACCTGCCCAAAGCAAAGAAGAAGATGTCGAAGGTGCCCTGAGAAACGTAGGCTTTGACTTCTCACCCAAAAAAATATTATGGAGGTATCATGAAGCATCGACGCATGCGCATAAGGCTGTTCAAGAGGGACATCAATGCCGTTGGAGAGAGCAAGCCAAAGATTGCTTGATAGGACAATTGATGCCTGACCTGTTTCCATCATGCGACCTTCATGCTGTCAATTAAATTTATCCTGCTGACAGAGCAGACTTGTACCGCCTCGTTTTGCACAAACCTGCTGGTGCTAAACCCTTCTTAGCGGGATTAAGCTCACACAGTCGCGACCAACATTTTATCTAGCGCTGCCGGTCACCCTTCCGCACAATGGACGAACATGATGTCAGATAAGGATGGCCGAGTGCGTTTCAACCCCAGTCGCAAGTAGAGCTCGAACTTCGAGCTTCGAGCCTCGAAGGTTTTCTGAATATTTCGACTCCCTTGCCACGTGGATTGAGAGTGCACTCACCGTCTACCGGTGATCAGACATAGATTAGGTTTACCTTTGTTGCTTTGGGATTATTCGCCGATATCCAATGCATCTAAAATCTTTGAAAGCTTTGTTAAGTTCCTTTCCGGACAAAATTTTGATGTGTTCGACAAGAACGACAGCTGGTGATCTGCAGAGAGCGCACCTGTGCGCAGATCACGTCACATTCAACCATGATCGACTTCACTGAATATTGGTAGTCGCTTTATTGTCCTGAAAGTCAAACAAATGTGCAATGCTTCCTTGATGATGCAGTTCGATTGCTGTCAACAGGAGACATTCGGGGTCCTCTACTCCTTGGATTGTTCTGCACCTATAGATCGTGACCTCGACACTTTATCGCAAGCTACTGCTGCATGAATGTCCTTGTTTCTTTCAGCAGCTAGCTAGACACACAGTAGGTATGACCCTACCTGCTCAGCCTTTCAGTTGCCGTCACACGAACACTTTCTGAGCCAGGAGTGACTTTGTACAATCGTCTGTAAAGCTTCTTGACAATTAACGCCAGCACTAAAACATCAGCCATTGGTTATGCAATGATCTGCTTGATACAGGATGCCTCAGCTCTACATGCATTACAGGAGGAGTAACAGCCTGCAGTTGATCTTGCATGCAGCCTCCTGGCACGTTGATGGCATTGTGTCATTGCCAATGTTCGCACCACTGACATCCTTTTCTCACCACCGCGTATGCTCAGGTGGATAGATTCTTCAGAACATGGAGGCTGAGACGGGCACAAATGAGCCCGCTGGAGCTACACAGAGCGGCAGCAATAAGCGCTCCATGCTTGGTGGCCCCTGCAAGCAAAGAAAGTCACTCAATGAAAGGGCCCTGCAAGAGGCCAATGCATGGTACAGTACCACCTCCTAGGAAAACCCCATGAGCGGTTTTCTATGCAGATGTGTTTTGTATTTATACAATGCTGAGCCAAGCCCAACATGCAGCAGCTTGGGCTCATTATTGCCTGCCCGAGGCACTCCACAAGCCGAGATACGTGATGGATTTCTCAGAGTCCAGGTTGAACGCGAATGATAATGAGACTTACTGATGTGGTGATGAATGTGACATATTTCCAGCAGACTTCCTTACTGTCCTGCAACCTCTACGCAGGGGTCAAAACCTGGACTGTCGTGCTAATTGATGATGTTGGAATGATATTGATCGCTGACAGGCCTGTTGCTAAGGTCTCAGAAAATGGTCAGAAATTGGGATTTCTAGAAATGCGTCCATGAGAGGTGCCAGTAGCAGCAGCATATTAAGAACATCGGATGAACATTAGATGAATATTGCATCATGGTTGGTTTCTGTGGCCAGACTTGAGCTTACAATTGTTGCAACCGTCAAAATGGTCCTGAATTGGCATTTTTTCTGGTGTTCCCTCTGGGAACTTCAAGTAGGAAGTTCAAGGAAGTTCCCAGGCAAACTATGACTGTGTTCGGCGAAAAATATTGCTAAATGTAAGAAGTAGGCTCACTGCAGATTTTTAAAAAGATCTTTTTAAAAATCTCTAGAGCTATTTAACATCAATCTATACTGATTTTTCAACTAACATCAAATTGAGCTTGAAATTAGGGCTTGCAATTTTCTTTGCCCTTCAAGCACCCACCATCATGGCTCATGGTATGATACTGCTCGTGGCCCTAAAATTTGAATGGCTCTTTGTCACAGCAAGTGCAGCGAGTAATTACTAAGTCACTTAGTAATTACTCGCTGCACCAGAACATAACAACCAAGCATTTCTCTCACATCACCTCAAAGGCCCCCAATGTGACTCGTAGTGACTCAACACACACATGACCCATCTTGCATCCCACAAAATTTGCATACCCTGTCAAAGACCCTGCGACACACAATTGGAAGACAGCGCCTCAGTCAGCCCAACACCCTCTTGTTCTGTCATTAACTGGTCGGGCGGGTCTGGCAAGATCGGCATGTTTTTTTAAGCAGAAAAACTTGAAGCTATGAGCACCAGAAAGCACATCCCACTGCACTAGCTCACGTGTCGCAGGACACGTAAGATATATATATACTTATTCCCGGTTGCGACTAGAGGCCGCATCTCCCAAATTATAGATCCGATGAAGCCAGCAAGCTTCACGTGCAAGTGAAAATACACAACCCCGCCAGGGAGGCTAGAATTGCCAGAAGTTTATACAAGTACAAAAATCAAGGCCTCACAGAAAGCAGCGCCACCAAGGGATATAAGCAATTGAAGAGGTTTTTAGCCCCTGGTGGCGCCACACCCTAAGAACCTCACGTAACACATTGACCAGCAAATAAATTGAAGCAAAATCAACGCTTGCAAACCAGCCAGTGCCAGGAACAACCCTTGCAAGGCATTGATCTTGCTGCAAAAGTACCCCAGCCTGAAACCACTGATAGCACTGAACACCTGGGAAATCCCAAATGATCCTCCGATTCCTGAAAACTTTCGCCCCACAAGAGTCTGCTCAGACTGACCCCTGATTACTCTGCACATAGGCCGGTGACAAAGCACTCAGCCGCCAAAGTGCCTTCTTTGGTAATTCATAGTGTCAAGGAGGCTCTCTGAATTTTAATCCCTGTCTGCCTTTGCAGCTGCACACCCCTTTAACACTCCACTCGACAGAACAGGTCATGTATCAAAGAGAGGCGGCCTCAAGCTGTCAAGTCCAGAGACCTCACTCAAGCACACTTGGACCCTCTCAGCTCAGTACGTGTAGCAAAACTAGCGGCTCAGAGGCAAAAATGTCATCGTTGAGTGCTTCCTGAACCGCTGTTGCTCTAACAAGGGACAATAGTATACAAGCACGGACCTGCCCAAAACGACACCCGCTAATAGTCACCGGATCAGCAGAACGGATTCATGCGGCAAGGCTGAGGGAAAGCCAAGCCAGCAGAGTGCCGTTGCGCGCAAAACACAAAATGAACAATTTCACTGCAGCTCAACTGCTTGCACAGCCCGCAGCAGTTTGCAGCAGCCAGAAAAGCTTGAAAGATTGCAATTCTATTGCCAGAGTGTATATCACATCATGATAACTGTCTCTGCACAAATCCTCCGTAGAAAAAATAACAGCCATTCGCGGGCCTCGTGCCTCTGCAGTCAAGCGGCCTGTTACAAGAAACGCATTGCAGCGCTGCTTTGCAGTGAAGCCCCTTTCTGCGGGTTGAAGTCGGAATATTCCATTAGTCCCAACAATATAATTTTCAGGGTTTTTTATGCAAAGGGAGGTGGCTCTGGATGACTACAGAGGTGTGGGTGCCGCCGAGCTGCCCGGTCCGGGCAGGTGGGCAGGCTGGAGCTGCCCGGGTAGTTGCACCATTCTGGGGCGTTGCCTCCTTTGCCACAGTGTATTCCAGGTCAGTGAGCGTCAGGCGCTGCAGGTGTGCGCTCGGGCTTTCGAATTCTGGCTCCTGTGTGCCCCCGCTGCAGCGCCCAGCAGCTCTCTGCAGAAAAGAATGGCACTCCCCATCACTGACAGTGTCCAGGAAAACAGGTGACCCCAAAAACTTTGCTAAGGCCTTCCTTCATGAAAGCCAGCTTCAGCACAGGTGACTGCCAAAAAACAAGAACGTTGTCGTTGAAGACACATAAGAAAGCAGTGCCACAGAAAAGGGCACCATTGCAACTCTGAGTCACTGCTTTGCCAAGCGAAATTTTGAGGCGCTGCATGGGCGGTAAATCTGAGCCGAGCATACAAGCTGAGGGTGCAGTGGTGACATACAGCTGTGCACAACAAGATTCCGATGCAGCAATCAACAAGCAAAGGTCGTTATTTTGCCGGACACATGCAGTGCCAAAGGGACAAGGGTAGGTGACTCACCGCACAGGCGCAGCCGAGAGTGCGTGCCTTGCCGTGGTGACACTGCCAAGCGCGAAGACAAGGCAGGTACCATCCCCCCAGCACAAGCAGCAGCGCTGCACCCACCGTGACTGGTGTCCAATTAACATTCGAAATATCCACCGGGTAGCATGTCGGCATGATGAAGGACACCTGAGACAAATGTGAAATATTGCTTCAGCACTTTTGTTATGTCGGCCGCCTCTGGTTGATAACCTTCCTCTCATTCATGGCTGTGTCCTGGTCAAACTAATTCGTTGCAGACTGCAAAAAACTTTTTTACATCATGGCGCACACCCAAACCAAACCAGCTCGTGGGGTTCCGGAGGTCTGCTTGTACATGGAGATGTGCCAGCGCGCAAGAACTGGCATTTTGAATTGGTGAAAGTTAATTGCAACATCCAAACTGCAGCATCCGAAAGACTGCGCTGATGTGTGCAATAGAGCCAGAGGAGGCAAGTTGAGACTTACTGTGGAGATAGCCACCCATACCACAGCTGCCAGGTGCACTGGAAGCTGCCACTTGCCCAGCTGGAAGGGACCTGCCTGGAAGCTGTCCTTGCGCAGCATGCGCAACACTATCGGGATGGCATCTGCAGCAGTAGAAATATTGCGTCAAGTTGCAGATCACCGCAACAGAAATGCCCTCTTGCCCTCTCAACCTCGCTACAGGGAATCTCAAGGACACTCCAGGAACAAATGAAATAACTGGAGAGCAGATGCCAACAGGCTGCGTGCTAACGGTACGCGTCAAGCCACACACCAAATCTTGTTACACATGCTCAGCTCAGCCCCAATGACGGCACTGTGTGCACATATCGAGGTTTCAATACCCACATGCACTTACAAATCACACACATTACAACAGATGTACGGAGCGGCAAGCAATCAAGCTTCAGAATTTTGAGAGGGGAGAGACTCACAACTGGTGTAGAGGCCCACAGAGCTGACGGATATGAGTGCTTGGAAGACTTCCAAGGAGTAGAGCATGGGCAGGCCCAGCAGGAACGCCAGTGCAGACATTGCCCACACCGCACTGACTGGAGTGTGCGTACAATCACTAACCGCTGACCACACACGCGAATAGGGAACGCCGCCGTCGCGCGCGAACGCCCACAGCATCCTGTGTAAAGCAGCATTTAAAATTCTAGCTTGAATTTGGGCAGGCAGCTGGTTTCCATGCAATAACTCATGCCTGATGCATGCAGCTTTTTCACGCCTTGTGCAGGCAACAGAAAGAAGGTCAAGTGTTTCACCATGCAAACATGCTACAGACCTATGCGTGCCAGAATGGCATTTCTGCATAAAGCGTCGCACAAAACAATTCAAAGTACTGTTCAAATGAGACTACTGATTGCAGCATGCTTGCAGCACAATTCCAGCTCTCACCTTGCATTTGTGGCGAGCGAGAGGACTGTAGCGTTGAAAGTGGTGATCATGGGGATGATCAACATCACTATTGCACCCACTCCCGACCCAAATCGTGCCTGCACAACAATGCAAACCCCTTGCCACCACCGTAATTGTCTTGAAAACAGCCAAAACCCACATATGCAGAATTGCAGGCAATTGTAGCAGAGCAGCAGGGACACATTTAAGCCAGCGCATCGGTTCCAAGCTATCAGAGGAGTCTTCTAGTTGGCGGCTGTGTTGATGCTTACATGTGGGCAGTGGCAATGCCATTCAATTTCAGTAATTATAGCCAAATGAAGATGAACCAGGTGGATGATGTGTGTACCTTGAAGCAGTCATAGAAGATCTGACCCACCAGGTACCCATGGGCCTCCCCATTCGATAAATTTGCCACCCCCTGGACCCCAAGCACATCAAAGAAATCTTATGTCCACACCTTGGCGCAACATAGTGCTGTAAAAAATCCAGCATTCAAGCGCCTTGACCGATATTCTCTGATGTTCAGCCAGGTAATTGTCCCCTCAGAGCAGCCAAAACCACCGCTTATAATAGCATTTCATCAGGAACAAGCGTCCCTCTGTTGTGCCGTTTATCAAGAGGGGGTTGTGTCTCAATCGCATATGTTTTTACCAGAGGTTATATCTAGTACCGCCCTGCTCTTATACGAGGCCCTAGGGTCCAGAGAAACACATAAGAGAAAGGGTCTGCATGTACCTGGATGCTGAACAGGATGGCAACGATGTAGCAAAAGCCCAGGACTGCATTTGCCATCACAGACAAGATAATTGCTCGGGGCACACTGACATCTGCCCGCCTGGTCTCCTCGGCAAATTGTGCCGGCCTGTAAGAAGCACATGAGAAGGCCTTACGTGGAATTGACAAGGAAGCGAGTCTGCGTAATTTTTTTCATGTCGTGCCACCTTGGTCACGCGCACTGGATAGCAGAGGTACATGCAGCGCGCACATACAATTTTGTTCAGGACGCCACAGCAAGATGCTGTTTGGTGCAAGGCCCATTCCAGGTCATGTGAGGAGGACAAAACAAGGACATGACAGAAGCAGCAGAGCATTGGCCAAGATGTGCATATTTCCTGGACAGTCCGAATGTGTGGTCAGGGCAGCCGGGACACTCACGCTTCGTAGCCAATGAACGTCCCTGCACCAGCGCACACACACACAAGATCTCGTTCAGCCAACTTTGGCAACCTCTGGTCTCTTCCTTCCACAACGAATTCATGCGAGTGCCGTTGCACCGTGCAGGCTTCATTGGCAGGGATGTCTAATCTTGAAGACTCCAACACACCTTCATCATCTGCTGTGCAGGCGTCTAGCTGCTTGGCACTTCAGCTTCTTAAGAATGTTATTGTACGCCAGCTCAAGAGGGAGGGACCAAGGGCAAAAAATAAGGGCAAGAACCAAGGGCAGTGACCCAGTGACTCACCCTGGGCAGTGAGCATGCCCAGCAGGAAGAGGTACGCCACATTAGGCACATTCGACATTGCCATGTCACCCACATTAAAGTGGGTGAACACGAATGCGGCGCTCTGGTGTGTGGGCGCCACAACAGGCAACGCCACCGCGATGAGTAACCCGCTGACTACCAGGAAGGCTCCCGCAGCTGCCGCGTAGCTGCGCATGCCGCGCGTGCTGCTCGTGCTGAGGAAGCCGGCAGGAAGCAGGACGACTGCGCGGCAGGCAACGTGCACACAATCTGCATTAGTCTCTCTGGCATTGATCTTTCATGCAATGCAAGTAGCACATGTGCATGCATTCAGGGACGCACGGAAATACAATTTAAGAAAAAGTGCCCATACATGCAAGTATCGTTCGATGACACAAAATTTGAATGAGTGGCACTGAAAGCAGCAACCACTCAAGCTTGCCAAAATTGGCCATCCAAAATGAGCTTTCCCAGTGCCAGATATGATCCTAGACAAGGAGTGGCGATGGCAAAAGGAAGTCCGACATTGCATGCATCCCTGCATCCCAGGGCATCAACTGACCTCTGTGCCGCGAGAGGAAGATGAAAACAGGAACTCACTTGCATAGACCAGCAGGGTTTCCAAGGGTGGAAATACATGGCCATTCCCAAGGAGCCACATTATTGCAACGTGCTTTGCAAGGAGCAGTGCATTGAATGCTGTCAGTGCAAACTGGCCCAGCACGTTCATCCACCCTGCACCGTCAGGCAAGAGAGGGCAGTAAGTATAACTGTTCAGGGTTTTAAGGGATCTAGGGTCTGTTTTGCACCCTAGATCACAAGCCCCGAGAGTCTTCCTCGCAGGAGCAAGCAAATATTATAGAAGTAGGTAAGCCATATTACGGAAGGATGTGGCATGATGAGATTGTCCATGGTAGGTAAATAGACAGAGAGGTAGCACCGGCATGACCCTATGCGTACTTTCAGAGAATGCAGACTTTAAGTAATGCGCACATACAAGCATGGTGTCTCACCCGTACACCAGCCGATGAGGGTGTATTTGGGATTGTTATCCAGCAGCTCCAAGCACCTGTACCAGGGCAAAACGCCTGATATTCCTGCCGCATGATAATCCGGGTTCATCAAGTTCGCATTGGCACACTCCCAACACCCTGTAGTTGTCTTGACATTGGCAAACTGCCAGAAGCAGTCAACTATACCATTGCAGGCATCACCCAAGAAACCAGCTAGGCTCAGGCAGAATTAACATAATTTCACCTCCCTCTCATCCAGCAAGCACACCATCCCCTCCACTCACAGCCATCCACACCCCTTGCCTTCACTATTGCCCCACTGGCCCTCCTTATGTCCTCTCTGGCACGGCCGCTGCGCTCTCTGTGCATGTAAGACTGTGTTTGCATGCAGTGGCGGTGACTGCTGGACAAAAAAAGCCTCACCAGTAGTAGGGGCCTCCAGCAATGGGATATGCACTGACAATCTCCGCCATTGTTAGAGCCACAAAGATGTTCATGACCGCCACTAGCAACCACCCCCACACCACCGACACGGGGCCCCCGTTCATGTACGCAATGCCAAAGAAGCCTGCGCCGCAACGAGAGACAAGTTATTCCTTCAGTAAGAGAAGTGTCTAATGCATACAGATGCTGCAGGTCTTGCAGATCGCGCAAAAGCACTATTTCAAAGAGCTTATGCGGCACTATCACAGTTGCACAGAAGGCATGCACGGCTCTTGGGGCAGAAGAGCACAATACAGACCCCACAAATGGCCGTTGAAGGGGATTTACTACTACGGTAGTAGTAATCAGTAATCACTGGCCATTGCATTGGCGCGCCTTATATTTAGGCAGAAGAAGGGTTCTAGGTCTGACCATGACCTAGAACCCATACTGACATACAAGCGCTGTAACATGTGCAGAGACCATGTCATTTGCAGGAAAAGGGGCAAAGTCGCACCTGTGAGACCGGAAGAGAATGCCATGAGGCCCAGGCTGGCACAGGTGCTTGTCAAGAAACCAAACTCCCTTTTGAGCTCCTGTTTGTATCCCAGCGAGTGCATGCGTGCCTCCCCGCTGTCCAGTGGCATCACACCACGTTCTGGGTCCTTGGCAGACCCTATTTTGCTGCCCCACAAGGGCCCATCGTCCTGGGATGGGTCTTTGATGTGGGGATGCTCCATGAAATGACCCCCTGCAGCGAATCCAGGGTCTCTGTGATGGACGAATGCGAAATGTGCGCAGCTTTATAACTCTTTCGCTAATGCACGCATTTCAAAGAAAGCTAGTCTGTCTTCAAAGAAAGGGCAAAATGATTGTTGTGGATCAGCTCAGCAGATGAGCTCGGCAAAGGATGACCTTCAGTTTTTCCCAACCCCTTCTAGCTAGTGCTGCATGATCATCATAATTTTTCCCACCTGTAAAAGTGTCGCTTGCAACGTTTTCCCACACCCCTGCAAACCCAGGGCTTCGGGTCTCTGTGGGTGTCACGACCAGACGCCGCTACTTCCCCCCCTTCTTTGCCCGATCAACTTATTAGTCGATGCATCTTGGAATTTAGTGAAAGGAAGGTGTTTCCACCTCGCAATGATTTGTGGGTAGGGCTTGCCAGAAACTTTACGCGGGAGATCCTTAATCTCGATATACTTTTGTCGTCAAAGCAGGGCTAGCTTAGCACAGCCCACTTTGGTATAGATTAATTTTCAAACAGGAAGCAAGCACTTCTGAGATCTCCATGATCAGTGTGTATGAGCTGTGCCAAGATCATTGATCGTGTGACATAACCGCCTGCAGGTCATGACTCACTTTTGAAGTTCGGCCGTGAGCATCGCAAATTCCGGCGTTGAAAAGCGTCAAAAAGGTGCCCTGTTTATAAGAGCCCAAATATTCTACTGTCTAATATTATACTTAACTTTTCTGTTCAAGCGCGCCATACGCAAGCCGCCTAGTATATCGGACAGACACTTTCGGTCGAAACCAACGTAGTGGGTCATGGCGGTGGCACTTGCTTTCCAAAGCCCGGGACCTCAGAAGCGTCGCGAAGGGCGACGCAGCTCCCTGGACAACGGACTTTCGCCCGCTGAGCTGTTCAAATATGGGGCTGCAAGGCGACCCGAGGGTGCCGGTGCGCTGTCAGCCCCTTGATGGCACCCGCCGCTCTTTTCACTTTTCGTTGCACCCTCTAATAATGGGCGAAGCAGCGTGTGTTGGTTGGGAAATCGTAGTAGGCTGCATTCATTGCGGGTGATGGACAAGATCCAAAACCCTGCTGGTCGTTCCGCAGAACTTCCGCGGGGATTGAAGTTCTCTAATCAACAGCGTTTTGGTCTTCCCGTGGGCTGTCTCGATGTGACAGAGACACTAGAGCACAGAGAAGCCATAGAAGTTGTGGGTATCGCGTTCTCGGCCGAATTGAAGCTGTGCTGAGGCCCAGTCGTTGTGTTGCACAGACAAGCAGATAGTGCACATGAAAGGGTGCCCTCTGCCGGCGATGGCTGGCAACAGCCATTTGCTTATTGTCAAGGACTTCAGGCAGCACAAGAGGGTAAGTCCACTCCGCAAACCTTCCTCTGACGTGCAGCTGCCTGTTTCCAAGCGAAGTCTTGATCTTCTATCTTGATCTTCCAGCTTGTCATATATAGCGTCCTCATCCCACATGATGATCTTGCATCTATGCATCCGGTACCAGCCACAGAGTGGCAACTGGCGATTCGTTTGGCAGTGGCAGAGGTGAAACCAAAGGTAGCAGATGTCTGATGAGCTGATTTCTGATGCCTGCAGGCACTCCAATTGGCGAGCGCCTTCTCTGAGACTGCCAAGCTGGCCAAGCGAGTGCGTGAACTGGAAAACGTCGATGCTGAGCTGGAAGCATACCGGCAGGTGTGCACCCCAGCCCCTTGCCCATCCTTCATTGCCATCAATAGTGCCCTCTAAGGATAAAACGCAGCTGGCTACATTTCTGCCATACCTGATGCCTTCCCTAGTATTGAACAACCCTTAATTAAGTAGTTAAGGTTCCTAAACCACGAGCAAGAGTGCCGCACTGGTGCGCATGTGACATCGAGCAGCACAATGGACACCATTAGGAACGTTAGTAAGTGGTGATGTGCAGGTGCTGCAAACTGCTATTTCCTTCCACCGCCGCCGCAGGGCCCTGTGCCGGCTGGCCTCCATCAGCGAAGAGGACTGAATGCTTCAGCCTGCAAGCCGTGCACTGATGCACTGCCATCAGTCAACCAAGACACAGAGCTGTGCAACCTGCCGACTCAGTTCCGAGCAGGTTCGCAGGGTCTGATTTCAAACCGCCTGTGACAGCACAGGCGCGATACGATCCGCGCATCCTAGCCGCGGGCACACAGCAAATTCAGATTGAAGCAGGGGGCCGCTCTGCATATAGCTTTTCTTGGAGGGTGCAACGCCCGGGGTGCAAGTGATTTTGTTCTGCTGTTGAGCACTCAAGACATTTCACAGCTCCAGCCAGATACCCCCCTTGTGTCCCGGGCCTTGCAACTCCAAGCCACTCTGTGCAAAAACAAAATCAGAGTTTGAATTGAAAAAGCCGCGCCGCCTTTGTTTGATGATCCCCAAACGCAGGCAAGCTTTGCAGGCTGCTTGCCATACCTTATCCACACAGGCGACGGTGCGGAGACTGCCTGTTGATTCGCTGCTTGAGGCGCGAGCGGTTTTGGGGCTTGCAGGAATGAAAACAATAAGAATATGAGCGCACTGACCGCTGCTGTTGCATCCCCAGTGAGGTGTCAAAGGGTCAATAAATGGTGGCACTGTCAGCGCGCAGTGCAGAATTGCCTAGATTGGCGGCTAATCCCTCAACATTGGGGCAAGTGTCGCACAAGGACCAATTGACATTTATACATTGATGTCAGCAGCTGCTGAGTGGACTTGAGTGATCAGTCATGATTGCCCTAATGGATCAATGTGGGCCCTATCATATTTTTGGGTGTAGATAACATAAGGTGTTTCCCTTGGCAGGCATGGGACAAATTTTATTCCGTGTCATTTTTCTAAATTTAATTGTGCTTTGCTGCTTGGCTCTGGCAAGCATGTTGCCGAGCAACAGCAAAAAAAAATTCAAACGAGCAGATCTGATCTACTATTGCAACCATTGTCTCTATGAGGGATTCTGAACTGATTTTATTTTGTGATTGGGAAACTGGGACTGGGAATCTTTGGGGGGTGTCCGTGACCTGAAAACGCCTGTTAGCATGAATGGATTATGTGTCAGACCGATGTGCAAGTAGAGCAAATGCTTGCTGGATAGCTTCGAGAGTGCAAAGTGTTGCTGATATCAATCTGTTGGTACTCAGCTTTCACTGAATGCACCAGCTGAGTCCATGCCTCATGGCTATGTGTGCAGAACCAAGCCTTGCTGCAGGAAAGTCTACTATATGAAAGTAGAAGCTTGTTGCTCTGTGTCCGGCTGTCTTGCCGGCCCCCTGATCTGTGATGGGGCGTTGTAGAAATTTGGAGACTGCTTTCAAGAACGATGTAGAGACTGCAGCACTGTTGCTTGTGTTTTTCCTTTTTGCAAAATTATTTTGGGGTGCACATCCTTTTTGGGGGATAGTCATGAGATTGCAGATATGCAGAAATAGGGATCTTTGGGAAAATTCTGGGGCAAGCAGACGTTGCATGGATGGCCTTTATATATTGGCATAGTCATTTAATGAGTCCATGGGGATTGGTGACAATTTTTTGAACTAGACATGATTGATGAGGGTTGATAGTTCGATTACTATGACAAATTGCCACCCAGGAGAATGTAATGCAATCGATTTGTTCGTCTGCTAATGCGGTTGATCGAAGCTGCCACAACTTTGCACATTGAACAATGTCATTAGTGATGACTGCATCCCGAATATCACTTCTTCCATTGCCTTGACAGCACAGCTCCTGTGGCTGTGTGACCCTTCCAAGAAGAGTGCTCAATTTTGATGAGTGCTGCAGACAAGTAACAAATGACACTAACCCGTTTCACCACTTCGAATTTACTGATTTTGTTGATGCAACCCCAGTTGGCCCTCTGTCACAGATATGGTATACCTCGTAGATACGGTATCTAGCATGCAAGCAGAGGCCCAGTCAATCTCTGCAATTTATAGTTGTCCGCACGTAAGCTTTTGCTAGAGAGATTCTTAGTCTCCGCGCTTCATATATCTCTTCATTTGCTGCTGTTCCAAGCTCCCCAGCCTGTAATGATAAAAGGGAAGAGTTGCCATAGAGGCCTATCTCTCCTATATGACTCCTATGCACAAGTTACACAGCCCTTTTTGCAGCTCGATTTGCATTTGGGCGAGCCATAACAGTGCTGGCCCGAATCATCGGTGCTCCTCTACATTGGGCGGACTAAAGAAAGTCACTCAGAATCCCAGGGCGGATCCTTCTGGGATACGCCAGACAGTCTTAGGCTCTGTTGTAATCTCCAATCCGCTCAGAACACCACACCATGTTGCCAGCCAAATGTGCAAGCTTGATTACCGTACTGTACAGGCAAGGTCAGTTCTGCCCTACACATAGACAAAGTCAATTCTTTTGCCCAGATGTACATGCACAAGGCACGGCTGTCTGGGGCAATAGTTTGTGATCACTCGGGTCTTGGAGACTGTGATTGACGTTGCAGCGCCTCCTAGACCTTTCAAAACGCCCTGTGAAGCTCCTCTTTTCGGGCAGACACTGGGCCCAGATTGGCACAAGGCTCATACTTGGATTTGCCGCGGAGCATTTGGCACCCCTGGACTCTCCAAATGGCGGGCAGGTATTCGGTCCAGACAGGCACGAGGTTCATGCTGGCATCGAATTTTGCAGCGGGGCATTTGCCGTAGGGCAATTGGCGCAGGTGTTGCCTCTTGAGCTCCGCGCGGCGCCACAGCCGCCGCGAGGAGAGCTGGCAGCTGTACACGTAGCTGCACGGCAGCAGCACGCCCACGCCCACCTGCGCGGCAGCTGCCAGGTGCTCAACGGAAGGTGCAGGAAGCTTAATGCAGAGTGGGCGATAGTAGACTGTGACTCCATGGACAACCAGCAACGCATGCTCTGTACTAAAACTGCATGCTTGTGCATGTGCAGATTCAACGCTAATTGTACAGTTGCACCAGACTTATATCTGCTTGAGGTAAAATTCTGACCAGAGGCGCACTCAAGCGCTCGCTAGAACATCAGGCGTACTGCAGGACCAGAGCTATCCGCCACTCTGCACTTCCTAAGTGTCAGATCTGCCAATGACCTCGAAGTCTTTGAGCAAGTGGCAATATACCTCATAATTGCCACCCTCAAAATTTCTACTCTCATGCCTATGCACGACCAAGATTTGGGCAGAAAGTGGCAACTGCTGCTTTATGTGGAAAAAAGGCCTCACCCACAGGACGGCCCAGATGCTCAACAGCAGCGTTCGCTCCGACATGCCGTCTGGGAAGAGCAGTGGCATGAGCGGGAGAGCATTCACCCCGTTCTTCAGGGGGATTAAATGGTACAGGTAGAGTTCCAGCTGACGCATGTTGGTGGGTGCCTTGTAGGTGCACTTGGCAGCATTTTTATTATTATTATTATTACAGTGTCGGCAAACCCAAAGCCCGAAGGCCATAGGGCATACACACAGAGTGTCTGCAGCCACATCTGTGGGGCCTGAAGGTCTGGTCTGCAGCCCATATGGTATCATGCTAATATTCTAAGTCCAAGTGAGCCGTGCGTATTAAGGAACATACCATCACCCCCACCACCAAACAATGCTACACAGCACAGCAAGCAAATGCATATCATAGCATGCACAATCAAGCAATCCCTGTCTCAGACCAGTATCCCTCTGGAACTGACACCTCTGGCCCGCCAGCGACGCAACACCCTGTGGGTGACGTCGAGGATATCATGCAGGGAATCGCAGAGTGGGGCAAAGGCAACTAATAAACAGCCCTAGGTAGTCAGAACAGGCAAATGTTCGTCCAGGCACTCTCACGAAAGTCACAGGGCACCACATCTGCAGATGGCTGAGTGCAAAATTTGAAGTGTAGTCTGGCAGGATTACGAAGCCGAAACGACCACAGCTGCACCTCAATGTATCCCTCTTAACCTCCGTCTGCAACAGGCTGTGTCTGCCTCATGGAGGTGTGGGCATTAAGGGCATCGACAGCCAACGGTCACCTACACAAACCGCACACAAGAGGCGCACAGGAAAGCTGGACACGCAACACAAAGTGTAATAAGTGATACAAGGATACACAACAGTATCACAGAGGTGAAGGAGGCAAGAACGTGAGAGGGGAACGAGGGACAAAACTACCAACCGTCACATGCGCACAGAAACCTACTCGAACTGCACGGAAAAGACACAAGGCACCCTAAATGGTATCGAAAATATACAGGTACACTATGTGAACAGCTGTGGTGGGAAGCAACGCAAAGACCAGGGCGAGCACGTGTGAAGACAGAACGGGATGGCCGAAGTGCAAGCTGACGCAAAGTGTACACCGCTGCTACTCACCTGTACTACTTACCTTACCTTACCTTACCAGCCATATCCCAGAGGCCATATCCCAGAGGCCATACAGCTCCTTACCATAAACTGAAAATCTAAAATTTTTCATCATGATGCCTAGGTTCGAGCTGGGGCCGTTCTAGAACGTCGCATGGCCATGGCGGCCATCATGTTGATCCTGGTAGGATTCAAGAAATTATCAGCAGCATGCAGCAAATGAAGGCCTAGGTACCAGTTGGAGGGTGTTACGTCATATATTCCCCTGTAAGCGCAAAAGAGAAATATTTAGGCTCGCTGGCCTTTCAGACTAAATAAAATTTGTGCTTCAGGATCCTGGTTACATCTAAGCAGGAAATCATGTGAGATGCCCAAGGAGCCTTACCAGAAGAGGAGGACAAGCAAGTTGCCTCCGTTGCAAAATGCCATCATGTAGAACTGCTCAGGCCTGGTCAGATCTGCATCAGCTGCCCAAAAAGAACTGTGGAGGTCCCCTGACAGCATGTGCAGGACTCGCAATATGCTGTAAATCAGCGTACGATGCCTGATGAACAAACCTTGCTGGATCCACAGAAAATAGGCGGGTATGATCTGCACGGTCCACCACACCTCGTATTGGTCGTGCTCATTGCGCAAATATCTCACTTTTCAAGTTGTCCCGTTCGTTTTTCAGTGGCACCGGAGCTGATCTGGTTATAAACCCGAGGTGCTACCAATATAACGAAGAAGCACCTTTTTTCCGACGAACATAAAGTAAAATACAGCACGATGATCCCATTTTGTGCCAGAGCGCAGCATCCTATGTATAATGTACATGGACAGAAAGATAGTGACAGCATGGGCAAGCATGTCACTCCGAGCCTGATATAGATTTGAAAACTTAGTATACTTCTCCTCAGCATCTTTGGACTGGAAGTGCAACATGTTGCCCTCACGCTATCCGCCCAAACACATACTGCCCATCTGGTGTTAGTGACCGTGCTGAAAGCCTACAAAGTATGAGGCACCCAAGAGTGAAATAAATGTCACTTCCAATAGCACAGCACTGATTTTCTGAAGGACGGTCCTTCACGTCACGACCAAATCACGACTTTGAATTCCCGAGTGCTCTTCTCGCTCGGGGCTTTTCTGTCAAAGACCCTTGCATAAAATATCCCGGAAGGGAATTTTAACATCGGACATCCGTGTCGGAAGTTCGTCTGAGGCTTGAGAGGTGCACTTAAGTACAGCCACGCTTTGAAGATGGAAATGTCAGCCAGTGTCTCATCTTCAAGAACGTGGGAATCGAACGCGTCCTACAAGTGTGCATGAGGGACCTTTGACTCAAGGAGAGGCGAAAACCTGTCCAGCTTGGGACATCTGACAGGGTGGCGTGCTCCTTACCACATCGCCATAGAGTGTCATGGGTGTGTATGATCTCTGTACTGAAAGCTCCTTGCTTGTGTCAAAGTCAATCAAAGGCTGTGTTGGCTTACAGTATTAGAGGATTTCTTGCTATAGGTTTCGAAAGAACAAAGCTCACCTGCAGTGTCTGCTCTCGAGTTTCCAAACGTGTTTTGCCGTTGATGCTATCGCTTTCAGATGCATTTGAACTCCCGAGGATACGATCACTCTTAATGCTGCAGCCAGCAGTGCTTGGGTCTGAGTCAAGGCAGCTAGGCTCACTGCCAGGATGATCCATTGCAAGCAGACTAGGATGTGAAGGCGTTCCCTCGCAGGAACGCTCTTTACAGGACCTTGAAGTCCCTCCAAGCTTTTGCAGAAACGGGGTCTTCGAAAGCACGCTACACACCTCATTTAATAGACACCCTGCATGTGCAGATTGGACTCACCATCATCACCAGTCCATCTACCAGCCAGTGCACGATCCAGCGGCGCTGCAGAGGGGACTGTCCAGCTATGCACAGCAGAGTCACATGCTGCAGCAGAGCGTGCATGCAGCAACTGCAGAGCTGTCGCAATATGCAAGCCGATTCGGCTTCCAGACAATTCCAACCAACGTTCAGCTGCACCATCAGATGCCCCACTCGCAGGCACAGCAGCACCTGCCAGCGCCCAGTATCGGTGCAGCATTTCAGCACCCCTCCACTAGTCAGCCTCAGGGGGAAACGCAGCAGGAAGAAGCCGGGGGAAAGAAGGCAGCTGCAGCCCCTGATGCGCAAATGGGGTGAGCGTTTTTGCACATTTGTAGGTTGCTGCAGTGCTGTTGCTGCTGCTGCGGTGCACAGAACCCACATGGCTCTTATAACTTGGGCCTGTTTAAAGCTACAGGTGCACACCAATACTGTGCGCATGTAGCATCGAAATGCGGTGTTATGAGGGTCATGTGCAGGCTGCAGATATACTCAAAGGGCGAAGTGCCAATGCACTCCCTGTGTTGCGTTTTTGCACTGCTGACAGGTAGCCAGAATCACAGAAGAGACATACAGAGCCCTTTGGAGTTTTCACTGAATAGCACTTGCCTGTTGGTTGTATCAGACATGGCAGGCACGCTGTAGCCGCCAGGGGCTCTAATGATGCGTTTGCTCGCGTTTTTATCGCTGTCATGCCTTGATCCTGATCGCGACAATTCAGCGCTGTTGATGGCTGATGTTGGGGTTTGTATGCATGCAGGGAGGAGGCCCCCCGCGTGAAGAAGCGGCGGGCGAAGAAGCCCAAGGACGCGCCGCGGCGGCCCAAGTCGGCCTACATGTTCTTCATGGCAGAGTTCCGGGAGAAGTGGAAGGTGCGCTGGCCATCCAAACAGCTGCAGCCCTCACATAACACCCACTCTTACGAACTGCGTAAGCGAGCAGGATAGGATCGACGGTCCAGCAGCGAAGTTACCGTTCTCTGTGCCTACCCGCAATGGCATGCACCTGTTGGCATGCTGGCAGCATGCACGTTTTCAATCTTGTGTCGCTTTCAGAGCATTTCTCGTGAAATTATGCTGTACAAACTCAGATTGAGGTCGTAGACCCTGCATGTTCAAGGCTCTTATGGGGAGTGCACAAGGGTGTGCTGAGCTGTGCAATTGGCTTTGTTGGTTGAGGATCTGGATGTCCGAAAGCGCACATGAATGCTCCACGCAGGGTACAAGTGTTGGTCTTGCAGAGCAAAAGAACATGAGTGCTGCTTGCGCTTTGGCCATGTTGGATGCACATTCTCCAGGGGCGATCTGGGCAGTAGGGCCGTGTTTTATACGCATGCATGCGTGCCACAAAAAAATTCCGAACACTTGTGCGTTGGACGTTGCACGAGCAATAATTCTGCATGCGCAGGTGGACCACCCGGAAGTGAATCGGGTGTCTGACGTGGGTGTGGCGGCAGGCGAAGCGTGGCGTTCCCTCACACCCGAGCAGAAGGCCGTCTATGAAGAGCAGTCCGTCGGCTCCAAGGTGCGTCAGACAATATCATCTCTGCCATTCTTATGGCTCCTTTGGACAGGGTAGTTCTGCAAAGTCATCAATTGAAGGGGATGTGTGCCAAAGCGCACACAGCAGGAAACGTTCTGAAGGTAGCAAGGCAGAAGCCACCTCTACACCACCATACGACTCTACCGCGATGTACCGGCGAAGCTGGTGGCATGAACAGGCAGTCAAATAGATTGCGCCTCCATTTGGGCGTTTCAGAATTGTCTTCTTGTATTAGTACAATAGATGCAAGGACTTTATGCTGATGGCAGTCACAATGTCTGTGGGGCAAACCTGCAAATGCTGATTCATGGTTTTGGCTCTCTTTCTGTCTTTTGGAAGGCTAGTGAAAGGCTTGCAGAAGGCAGGGAGAAGGACTTTACTTCTTTTGTAGGGGGCCTGGATCATGGTCTGCAGATGTGTATCCCAGTGCATGGTCTAAACTCCTGCTGTCATGAACCGTGCAAGCAGAGCAGAGTGAAGAGTGTATCTGCGCGCAGGCGACGTATGCGGCGGAGATAGCTGAGTACGCGAGCGCGCACCCAAAGCCGCCCAAGAAACGGCAAAGGTCCCGCGAGCCGGGGCAGCTGCGGCGCCCGACCTCCGCCTACTTCTTCTTCCTCAACACATTCCGCGACGCCTTCAAGGTGAGCTGGACGGCAGCGCTTGACATCACAGGCCGCAAGTGCATGACCACCGCTTGGAAACCTCTTTATAGTGCTCGAGGCGCCATGAAATGGATCGAAGCGGCACGTTGTCTACTGTCTTGCCTAAATTCGGTTGAGGTATTCATCACTGTTCCTCATACTTGTAGCTACATTGGCCGTGCGACACTCACCTAAACGATTGGGAGATAGAGATTTTATTTGCACATGTGTTGCAGCAATCTACGTTGCTGCTCCTTGTGGCATCATCCCAACTGCGAGCATTTCAGCACGTACCCTAGATTTTGAGAGCGGATCTGAGTGAAATGATTTGCGCGCGCGCAGAAGAACAACCAGGACAAAATGGTGATGTTTGTATGATCTTGGTGTTTCCTGCACCCACCTGCCCTCTGCGTGCCCTTTCCTGAAACGCCCTTGATGTACAGAGCAGGGTGTAAGAACCTCACATGCGCGCGCGCAGGAGGACAACCCGGGCACTGGCCCTTGTGCCATGCCTCTGTGAACCCGTCATATACAGTGGTTGCCATGTAGGAAGCATGACTCGAAATTTATCCGGGATCATCCAGGAGACTTTGGATTTGAATTTGAAATTATTTACACACAGAAGGACAACCCGGACAAGGTAGTGCCGGTGGGGGAGATGGGGCGGCTGGCGGGGGTCAGGTGGACGCTGATGTCAGCGGCCGAGCGCGACCCCTACGAGCGACTCTGTGCCGCCTCCAAGGCCCTCTACGCGCGCCTCAAAACTCTGACCCCCGAGCAGCGCGCCGCGCGCGAGGCCGACCCCTCCTTTGCTGAGGCACGCCTCCCTTACCTTTCTTTTATTTCTTGGGTGATCCTGAACGCTTGCTCGCCCAGGCATGCTGTGCATTTCCCTGGCTGCTTCCTGTCCAAACAATTGATATCAGACCTGAGACCCGAGCAGAACGCCGATTGCGAGGCCGACCACACCCTCTGCACAGGCGCGCTTTTTCGGCTGCTTTTTGGGTGCATTATTGAAGATGTGGTAGGTTGAGGTGCAAATCTGGCAAGGACTGTTGTCACAAAGTACTTTATGCATTGGACGATGCCCGTCGCAATGGATGTGCTGCATCAAAAACGCAGTGTAAATGATGGTATGCTGACGCCCAAGGCAAGCAAAGCATGCTATGGCAATTATTCCAGGATTCAAAGGGGGTGCTCATCACTTGTCCCGGGTGGTATCTGACCTGAATCTCATGGGTCAGATGCACATCGAGGCATCTGACAAGTGTCCTCCAGTCCTATCCTAGCCAGTGTATTGAGCCTGCCTCAGAGGAGTAGTACTGCAACGAGCCGTGCAAGGGTCTGCTCCCTTCACAAGACCATTGTCAGTTTCTAAAATGGTGTCCCAGGGCTCATCTTGCATCTCAGATTCCTTGGTAAAAGTTTATTCCCTGGTAAAATTTTGAAATGCGCTTGGTCTTAAATGTGGCCTCTGGCGAGCAGGTGCTGGAAAGCTCTCAAATGGATGACCAAGGGCCCTGCAGTGACCCAGCATCGGGGGACGGTCACCATGCAGCACCTACCACCGACGACCTGGCTCAACAGCAGCCGCAGCAGCAGCAGCAGCAGCAGCAGCAACAACAACAGGACAGAGCCACTGCCAGCAGTCCCCCCCATGCTGCCAGCGTTCCTTCGGTTGGGCAGGCCACGACCCCTCCGGTGCGCCTTCCTGTTCTTTCAAAACGCCATGAGGGAGTGAAATATCGCCTCTAGGCTGGGATTGCTCTGTGTTGATGCTTATCCCAATCATCTGGGCTGAGGTATTCCAACATGACGCCAGCAGGGTGCAGGCAGTGCCAACGCATTTCAAGAAACGCGCGGAATCACATCCTAATGCAATATATTAAAGGAAGCAAGACATTGACTGATGTTTTGTGTGCCACAGCAGGCCGCCAGCTCTGGGCAGGCATCAGCTCAGGCGCTGCAGGAAGCTTTCGAGAAGCTCCCGGCTGCTTCCTTCCCGCTGGCGCAATTTCTGTCCATGGACCCGGCAGTCAGTCACTGGGTGCCGCAGCAGCCGTTCGGGCTGCCACATCAGCGCCAGCCGTCGCCACATCAGCAGCAAATGCATGCCAGCTTAACGCCACATCAACGGCAGCCCTCGCCACAGCACATGCAGCAGGGGTCGCTGCGAAGCATCAATGTATCGCCACAGCTGCCTGCCTCGGGCGCTGTGCCCGCGGTTGTGATGCCCACGAGTTCTGGGGCAGCTTAGCTGGTTTCGACCTGACTTCAATCTGTACAGCAATATATTGCTGCAATGAAGTCGGCTGCTCTGCCCTTAATTGTGTTGCCTACGAAAGAACTTAACGAGTGAGCAGCTTAGCCGCTGCTTAGCTCCTGATGTTTCCTGCAATGATGCTGGATTTATAATGCCAGGACTATGCAATCCTTTGACCGTGGAGTCAGCTGTGCTCAACAGCTTGTACCGAGTCACTGACGGCATCCTGTCTTTGTCTAAACCTTAAGATCTTAGCTACTGCGCTTAGTAAGCGCAGCGCTGCGTAGTAGCATGCATGCGGGCAGGGAAGATATTCAGTCATGGGCAAAAGAAGAGGCAGCTGCAACCAGGTTGCATGATATGTTTGTACAGCTTTGAATGAATAAAATCTGAGTAATGATATCTTCTGTACTGCTATTGAGAAAGAGGGCCTCAACGGGAATAAGAGGAAGCTATGAACTGAGATGTGGAAGCTGCCTCATGCACCTTGTTATCTGCAGCCAAGGCAGAGCAAGCTTTCAGCTTAGGCTTAGTGTGAATAAATAACTGCCAATCTTGTAACGATATACTTGCGTAACGATTTGAAGGGCGATCCAGGGATTTTCCCAACCTGACATTGCTTTGATGCCATGGATATTGAGGTCGTGCTTGCGACACTTGTCCTGGCAATCACTGGCTTGATTTATTTCTTTGGGGTCCAATCAGGCAATTCTAAGGCAGTACGAGGTACCGTTCAGACCCCCACAGTTCCAGGATGGCCCTTCCTTGGAAACACGATGGGGATAGCTCTTCACGGATCGGACTTTATACATCGCTGCCGTCTCAAGGTTGCAAACTCATGCTATGAAACATTTAATAATGGACCAACATGGAAGTTAAGGCATGCTTTCTGTCATTTTATAGGGTAGCCATTTAAACTCGCAGAATCTCTCTTACCTTGGCATCTTACCGATATTGTTGCTGATATGTGCAGTATGGAGATGCGTTCACTCTGAAGCTGGCCGGACGCTCCATGACATTCCTCTTCAGCCCGCCTGCCATTCAACACTTCTTCTCGGCGCCAGACGCTGAGATTGCCTTCAGGTGATCCACACACTTTCCATGGACAGACCTTCAACCAGCCTACCCTGCATCTCGGCTTGTAGATGCTGATTATATCAAAGCCACGTGCATCGATCAATGGCTGCAATGTGGGATTGCAGGCCGGCTATCCAGCCCTTCACGCAGAGGGTGTTTGGGCTGCCATCAGACAGGTTCTTCCCAAAACATTCCGCCATGCTGGCAGCTCTGAGGGGCCTGCTCGCCCCTGACAGCCTGCGCAGCCGACTGCAGCCGGTGGCAGCTGCCATGCAGAAGCGGCTGCACGCATTGTGGGGGGACTGTGGTGAGGTGGGATTCCTTCTGTTGACACTCTAATTATAATTCTTACAGGGAGCAAACTCATGCAATTCTCCGTTGAATCACTGCTGAGTCACCAGGTTGATTAAGCACCTAGGACAATCTGATAAAAGCGTCCTGATCGCTCTATTAATCTAGTGTACAGGCACGCTGGTAGAACTGTGCAGCTTTGTGGCAATTGTACATGCGCAGGAAGGCTGCCAAGCTAGAAGCAGGTCCTGGGATTGTATCGACTGCCTGTCAGATCCAAGGAAACTGGAAGAGGAAGACCTTCTCTTTTACACCCTTCTCTTTTACTCCCCTTGTCAGAAGGGGATACACTACTGGTGCAGGTGGGCCTATTGGAGGCAGTGAAGGAGGTGCTGTTTGCACCGACGGTACAAGCGCTCTTTGGCGCGGAGTTTTGCAGCCGCCACGGCCCGGCGGCGCTGGCTGATGCGTTTTTCAAATTTGAATCCGGATTTGAACTTGCCGCCTCGCCGCTGCCGCACATCCTGCAGCGCAGCTTCTCCGCATCGCGCGCCCGGCTTCTGGCTAGTTTCCGGTGACCCCTTCAAACTCAGTTTGCCTAACTTTTGCACGATTTAATCAAGTCGCAGGGTGTTCCCACCAAGAGACAGGATGTGTCTGCAGACAAGTTGCAGTGATAGGCTGCCGAAATCAGATCCCTTGTTGGGCTGGCCAGATCCAAGCTCCACCCGATCAGCGGAGCAAGAATTTGGCGCCATAGAAAGGCTGCCTTGTAGTTCACCTTGCCTACTGCAAGGTACTCATGTAAACCACTAACTTGGCTATGCCAGACGAGATTCTGTGCATCCATCTGCTAAGAACACAACCTGCAGATGATGCTGCTGAGCGTGTGATCACACTGGCAGAATTTGGCTGATTTGTACTGGAAAGTTGGTCTTTGCTGGGTACTTAATCATGGCTTGGCAGGGCATCTCTGGCGGCCGGGGACTTTGAAGGGGAGCTGATAGGCGACCTGATCAGGCAGAGTGAGATTGAGGCTGACCTGGCGCCCAATGCCATGCTGGCAGTGCTGTGGGCCGCCCTGTCCAACAGTGTTCCTGCTGCCTTCTGGTCGACGGCGTTCCTATTACTGCCACAGCACTGCAGGTGATACTTTTCAGCCGATTGATATTGGTATATTTGCACGTTGGCAATCCCTAAGTCAGAAGCCTTGTGGCCGCGCGTCTGCAGCCACAACTGCGCGCCCGCAAAAGTCTGCAGCTTAGCAGGGGTATACACTAATGTAAAGCGCATCTCAAAGATGAACCCCTCAATGTCTCTCAATGTCTCTCAATCTTCTAGTGTCCGTAGTGCCCCTTTGCACATCCTTGCCAGGGTTTGCATGCTACACTAGGGTGCCCTTCCTAAAAGTTTATCCAATTACTAAAGGCCAGGGGAATGCATCGCAGCCACTTGGACGCTGTTCTGAAGACACTGCCGCCGGCACTGCCAGCTGGCGCCACATCAGCAGAGACCTGTGAATACCTAGAGTCTCTTGTTCAGGTACGCACATCACCACCTTTCAATGTGTCATCCAGTAAAAATAGCCAAGAAGCCTGATCAAGCCAACAACTGAAGTCCGTATCCAAATGGCTTGCAGGTGCCTGTGCTGCTATTTGGGATGCCTCGGCAGAACATGTTAGCTGCATACAACAGATGCCCATGCCCATATGCTCTCTGCAATACTGGATGTTATCATTTCAGGATTCAATTTAATTCTTTTAATCTTCTGCGCAGGTGGCGTTGGATCGTAGGGGCCCTCTGGCGGCCACGGTGGCAGAGGCTGTTCGGCTTCGCTCCCCGGGCGTAGATTTGCGCATGGCCGCATGTGACACGTGCATGCCTATGGACGACGGCCGCCAGCTCAGCATAAAAAAGGCATGCAACCTCAGTCAGCGTTGCATACGAATCACACAGTCCGTTGGTCACACCTAGGCAGCAGAGAATAAGCAGACAAGGCGATGTGAGCGGTCAGGAGACATGCAGCTGTGTGGAAACAGTGTGCAGAGTGCGTAGTGCGAGGCAAACTTGCCTGCTATACCGATGCAAAATGTCCTTGAGAGTCCCTTGCATGGCGGCAGCTCTTCTACCCAGGAAGGTGCCTTGGAACGAGTATACCAATTTCCTTGGCACTGTCAGAAATATGCATGCTCAGAACTGCTCAGCAATGCTCACACTGCTCATTAGTGTAGCGTTCGCGAATATGGACTGCTGGATTCTCATCACGAGCTGGCTAGCCTTGTTAGCACCCAAACCTTTTGTTTGCTAGATCGTATGTTGAAGATTAGGGTATATATATATAGGCACTTGCCTTGTCTCTTCTAACTCTTACACTGCTTCTCTCAATCGCCATGTCATGGCTGCAGGGGCAGCTTCTTGCAGTTTCGCCATATGAGAGCCACCTGGACGAGCGCCTGTTCGGGTCGCGCGCATTCGATTATAACCCCTGCCGGGGGGACCTGGCCGCCGTTACGGGCGTGGCCGGCATCGGCGGCGTGGCCGGCTTTGCTTTCGGCGGCGGCCGATATAGGTACATTTCACCTTATTTACCCTCTTGCTGCCCTCTTTTGGAATGGTAGATAGGGGGCTATGAACCATGCACTTCACTAAAAACTCCCCTCTCAGAGGAACTCACCGGTACACAAAAATTGTTCCGGGCAGTGGCCTAAAGCTCGATGTGTAGAGCAGTGAATGTCAATAGTTATAGTAAGAAAGGGCAGCTGAGTTACGAGCTTGCTCTTCTTGTTAGAGTGCCACAAGTTATTCCACATGTTGACTGTGACATGGCTGGTACCTTGCAATTCTGACTTGATTGCATGTTGTGCTGCAGGTGCCCTGGGCGCTTCTTTGCAGAGGCAGAGATTGCTCTTGTGGTGGCTCTGCTGCTTTCCAGATACAGCCTCACTCTGTCCAGTCAACAAGCCACCGCCTACAGCAGTTCCTGCAGTCGAGACAATTGCAAAGATGCGCGTAATGACAGCGGTCAAGACGCTCCCAGCCAGAAATCACAAGCTTCGAGAGACGAGCGACAAAGTGCATGTGGCAGTGGCTGTCAGACAGGGCCAAATGCAAGCGTCTGCAGCAGCTCAAGTGGTGTGAGCGAGCAACAAATTTGTAAAAGGAGAGACATGTCTGATTTTGTCAGCCAAGAGGCTGATGGGTCGTATGTGCGTAAGAGCAGTCCAGCTGCGGGGGTTTGTCAGGGGGGCTTTGGTACATCTAATGGGTCACCGGGGGATTTGTTAGGGTTGCTGCCCCAGCCAGAGCTCAGGAGACAGGTCGGCGTGCGCTGGCCGAAGAGTGAGTGCACTGTGTCTGTGCGGAGACGATGCTGAGTGCTGAGAAGGTACTGTAACTGTCAAAAGCGTATCATTCTCATAAACTTGATTGTTTGTACCACGCCGGCAGCCGGGCGTCACTTAATGACCTAATCCGCCATTCTGGGATTAGTGGTTTTTGCTATCTTGTGTTCAATCACAAGTTCCTTACAATCAATCCAACACATTTGCAGCAGGACTGTGGACACTAGTGGACAAGAAGCAATTTGGGACTGCAGTGCTGTTCCTCATTTCATTTGAAGCATTGTAAAGATCTCAGCAACCATCCTAAAAATTTGTGAGCGCCATCATGCATTTCTTGTTGGCCAAACCTGCCTCTCATTTGACTGTTCTATCACCGAATGACCCATGAAATCAAGTACACAAGCAATAAATTGTGCTCATTCAATTCTACTGAAAGCGAAAGCCATGCAATCTCAAGCTCTTTCTCATCCCAGCCTGCTGTCCCAATTGCAGAACAAAAACAGGCTGCTCTTTCCCCAGTGCTTTTATCCTGATAGTCCTTGACAGCTAATTTTTCCTTTGCAATTCTCCAAATGCCATAGTAAGTCACTCTACTTGCCACCGGCGGCGGCTGCAGCGGCGGCTGCGGCCGCACCATTTCCGCCTGCATTAAGCACACTTACTGTCGTTCAGCAAATCTCGTATCTGCAAAGTATACCAGGTCTGTCAGATCAGACAGGATCTGATATTGATCAATGGCTCTGCTACAGCTTCTCCCCAGACCGTATTGTGCAAGAATCATCACCAATGCATGTGTCACTGCCAAGGGGATCTCCACGATGCAGCAATCAAACAAGCTTATAAAGAGACCCAGAAGCAGGGTTGACAGGGTCTCAACAAAGATCCTGGGCTGCCCGGACAGTATTTTTGGATACCCTAACCCTATATCATTTGATAAATGAAAGATTTTACACCTGCCTAAAAGGTACAGCTGCCACTGGGGGGCGGACCAGAACCCTTTCCAAAACCCAGAAGCGTAGGCTCCATCCCATGGGGAAATTCCGTAGGAAGGCAAACCCTGATCAGGACGGTGCAGAGGTTGAAAGTGCTCTTACGGTGTGGGGCCAACAAAAAAATCTCACCAGAGCTGATGGCGGCAGCTGCGGCAGCTGCGGTGGCAGCGGCCGCTCCGTTTCCACCTGCGATGCATCACGCTGCGTGATCAGATTTGATATCAGATGACAACACGATTGAAGCTAGCATCACGCAATCATTACTAGCTGGGAGGGTAACATATAGCAGTTGTACGTTACAGGTCTGCAGTATTACTTGCTGCTTGCAGAAGAGCAACACTTGGCAGCAGGCAATGGTAGGCTTCAAGCTTTGACTGTGCAAACAGTAACTAAAATCTTGAGGAAAAGAACCTAAATCTACATAAATTCTTGGCGTAACGTGCAGCGCGGCGGCTGCAGCAACAGCTGACGCGTGGCTGCTGCGGCCACCGGCATTTTAATGCTTTCATTGCCCAACTATTTCCCAACAACATGCTTATATCTCAGATCAAGATAATCAGATGAATTATACCTGCAGCGGCGGCGGCTGCCGCGGCGGCTGCCGCGCGGCTGTTGGGGCCACCGGCAGCGGCGGCTGCGGCTGCGGCTGCGGCACCGGTCGCGCCATTTGCCGCGGCTGCGGCGGCTGCGGCTGCTGCCGCCTGCTCAGTGTTGCCGGTCATGATGCCGTCTTTGGTGAAGCCGCTGTTTGTGAAGCCAGTGTTGGGGATGTGGTCATTGACGAATGAGTCGACAACTTGTTGGGGAGTCTGGCCACCGAAGGATGAGGTCAAAAGCTTGCGCCCGCCTGCGCAGACCACACATCTCCTTTTCAGCCTGTACTGAACAAACGCCAGTTTGTGTGCAAAGGCACCTTGCCTCTTGGCAGGAGGAGCTTGTGATAACAAAATCGTTGTCTCTTCAGATGGAACAAATAAATGCACGTGTCACGGTTGTATGAGGGGCATCAAGCAACCCACCATTGCCGGTGTTTCCTGCGGCGGCTGCTGCAGCGGCTGCTGCCGCTCCATCATTCTGGCCTGCAGTGCAAATATACAAAGGATGATTAATATATCGCGCGCTCCACAGGAGCTCAGTATCTTTTACATCTCTTCAACGCCGCAAAGCATGAAGAACTTGCAAACATATATGGGTCCACATCCACAACTTGTGATCTCTTGAGAGGTTTAGAACCTTGCAGCCTCCCTCTAACAGGATCAAGATCTCTTCTATACCTCTGCAATGCTGCACAGCTAGGCAAAGTCGGCAACATTAACTCCTGCAATCACGGGGTCCAGCATTACACAGGAGACAAACTACAAGAATAAAAATTTACCTGCTGCGGCGGCGGCTGCGGCGGCTGTGGCCGCTCCATTCTGGCCTGCAATGCAGCACGCATATGGTTGTTAGGAACCGTTCGACTTGCTCACATAGCAACAATGCCTCTCCTGTAGCTCCTCAAGTCTCCTGCACAGCATAGAATGCTCGCAACAGCAAGGCCTGAAAGGGCACTGCTCCCCACAGCATTTTGTTCTCACACTTATGGGAAACAAAATACTCAAAGTACAGGACAGAGATCTACCTGCTGCGGCGGCGGCGGCGGCTGCTGCTGCTGCGCGGCTGTTGGGGCCACCGGCAGCGGCGGCTGCGGCTGCGGCTGCCTCGCCGGTACCGCCCCGGGCCGCGGCCGCGGCGGCTGCGGCGGCAGCTGCCTGTTCGTTGTTTCCGTTAGAGATGCCGTTGCTTGCGAAGCTGCTGCTGCTGCTGCTGCTGCTGCTGCTGCTGCTGCTGCTGCTGCTGCTGCTGCTGCTGCTGCTGCTGCGGCGGTCACCAGAAGAAGAGCCTAGCAGCTTGCGGCCTGTTGCACCAGGCAAACCACCGATGAATTCACATTCTGACCGAGGATTGCGATCCAAGGCCACAGCATGGCACAGGCATTACAGAAACCCTGAAAGCTGAAATTTCTGACGCTGCCACCAGCAGAGGTGTCTTTCTTCAGCCTGGAGATGTGCTCAGGCATTAGCAGTGCATGACTTGTCTGCAGCTTCCTTGCTCTTTATATGACTGACAGGAGAAGCACTCTTGAGATCAGCTCACAAGAAAGACACATGCAAGTGAGATTAAAGGATGCACCTGCGGCGGTTGCAGCTGCTGCCGCTGCCCCATTCCTGAATGCCAGGCAGTTGACAGGGATCTGGCTTCCAATAGGGAGGAGGCCAGGGTCGTCCTGGAGAGGAACGTCCTGATACAGCGAGTTGTGCGCCGAGCAGCATCCTGCGAAGCAGACAGCGACCGTGCTCAAGAACCCTATAGACTTGATTGCTTGATTAAGAATTAAGCAAGCACGTTCGTGGAACGAGTGAAGACATTGCGGAGCCTTTCCGAAGACAGACTCTTGGAGCGATCAGCCATTCCGAATGGCGGAATGGCTGATCGTTTGCGCATGCCGGACGATTGGGCCTCGCCGTGGGCTACAGGATTGAGACAGGAGGTGCAAACACACCTGCCATCAGGGCGAGGAGGCCGAAGAGCATCAGATGACGAAGGGGCGCCATCGGGAACCGGTTGTCGACGACTGAAGTTGAGGCAACGAGCTGAGGTAGGTACAGGGGCAAACGGAAGCTCGAAAAGTCTGACCAGAAGCCTAAGGATTGCTAGCGGTGCTTGGAATTGTTTGGGAATTGTGAGGAGCAGCGCTCTCTTTATACTTTTCCCGAAGACGGCAGCTGTCCAAATCGAAAGTGATGCAATGAGGTATCGGCAGATTCTGCCCATGTGGACGCGTTCTCTGACTGAATCGTGGCAAGTCGTGACATGGATTCCTCGGTGACTTCATCATGATGAATTGGGGAGATCCGTCTTGAAGGGACCTTGATATCATTCATGTGCTCTCTTCGGGGTCTGGAAAGGTTCGTACACCTGGCTTCTGGTCAACGGCAGCATCAAAGGTTGCAGGTGAGTGCATGTGCATGCATGCATGCAAAGGGCCCAAAATGATCCTTAAAATTTCCCTCTCGCAAGAACGGAGCCACTAATCACAGGGAAAGAGAAACATGCTTTCTTGAGAACTGCGGATTGCAGGATAACTGGAAACGCATGCTTATGGCATGCATGGGACAGTCATTGGACAGGGTTGCGTAGAACTAGTTGCAGTACTGCAAACTTCCTCTTGACACTGCGAATGCTGCTGGGTTTGCTGGCTTCAAGAAGCAAAGGCGCAGTGTGCAAGTGTCTGCATGTTTTCCCTGTCTCCAAAAAAACATCCAGACAATCCTGTGCAGTATACTGGCAGGTCTTTTTGTCTGCCCGATGCTGGATCCTCTGGGGGGTTGCAAAGGTCGCTATTACCTTTAGATATTCAGAATCTGGTGAGAGGGCTCTAGACTTGCGCAGTAGGGATGGTGTTCTGATCAGGAATGTCAAAGTGCACGAACCTCGAATGAACTGCAGGCAATTACGCAGCTGTCCGAGAATGAAAATTGAGCAATGAGATGTGCCCTAGTGGATGGCGTATCTGCGTTTCTTGTGGAATTCGTGACATGGATTCACCATCAGCTTCTCGAGGAGAAAGAATTGGCTTCCTCCACACAGGTGTCCCATGGAAACGCAAACTGTCCTGTTGCAAGAATCTGAAAGAGGCTCCAGAAGGATCGGATGTTAATGCATGTGCCCCTCATGGAGATCTCTAGAGGGTCCTCGTTAAGAAGGGGTTCTGGATCAAGCGCTGACCTGGCCAGTGCTGAAGCAAGATGCGCCCTTCAAAGAGCACTAGGCATTGTGCCACGCCTGTGATGTCTGTTTCACGTGCAATTGCAAGCTGCTTGGGAGGGGCGTGCAGGTGACTTCTTAACTTAAGATCGCAAATATCAGATTGAATCTAATACTCCCCTCCCACTTCCATCCTGGCTGGAAGCTGAAGGCTGACATATTCGCAGTGATTTCAAAGGGTTGATAAACGATTTACAGCAACGGTGTTTACAAGCGTATCCCAGGGGTGTCTTGCCAGTCTGGCACCAGATACAACCCTTCAGCTTGATGATACATGTGGGCGCATCTGGCGGGCTTGAGAGGCCATCATCCCGATTGCATTGACAAAAGCAAAGGAATAATCAGAGCAATGGCAGATTTGGAACAGAACTCTTTCCACTCTCCAGGTGCAGCGCTGCGTACGCATCTCGAGCAATCCCATGAATTCCCAAGGCAGTCTCATGGCTTTCGATCAATTGGCTTTGATCATATCTGGCTAGACATTCTTCGATGTATTCAGCATCCCTTTGGACGCATCATTGGGGTATCTTCAGAAATCTTCCCTGTAGCTCTTGAATATTGGTCTTGAACTAAAGGCACTGCCCACGGCTTACTTGAGTCGCCATTCAGCGTCCAGCAGCAGCTGCAGCAGCCGCAGCAGCCGCAGAACCGCTGTTGCCTACACCAACAAATCCCCAGATGTATGGATTCAGGATGCCCTCATGAGGTGATTGTATCTTGCAGGACAACACAAGAGCACATAATATTATAATTGAACCGGTAGCTTGCCTGCAGAAGCACCTAGTCAGAATAAGCGCTTATTAGAAGCATGTCATACTTCAGACAATCCGCACTGCCTCTTTGGCTGGTCCTCCAGCAGTTTGAAGTACAGAGCGGGGCACACAGCAGGATTTCTCTGACACGAAACATCCAGGGTAGTGTCAAGGGAAAACAAGGTCATGACTAGAAGGTGTGAAGGGTGGCCCACCCGCTGCTGCGGCGGCTGCGGCAGCGGCTGCAGCGTGACTGTTGCGGCCCCCGGCAGCGGCCGCGGCTGCGGCAGCCGCCGCTGCATCCCCGCCCCGGCTAGCGGCCGCGGCGGCTGCGGCTGCGGCGGCGCTCTCATCGCCACCGTTGTTGTTGAATCTGTTATTGTTGTTATTGTTGAAGCCGTTGTTGTCGTCGTTGTTGAAGCCGTTGTTGTTGAAATCGTTGTTGTGGTTGCTGTTGAAGTTGTTGTTATTGTCGGAGCGGCCATTCCCAAAAGAGTTGCTGCCGACGTTGCCAAAGTCACTGCCCTGCAGCAGCTTGCGGCCTGCGCACAGCACCCATCAAGTTCAACATTCCCTGTCAAGTACTTTGGACCTCAATCAATAGCACTTTCAGCCAATCACAGCGCTGTATTTCTGGCACTTTTTCCTGCTCTCTGCCTTCAAATGAGGACGACAGGGGTCAGAAGCTTTGCTGCACACTTGGACCAGACAGCACCACGAGTAGACATCATATGCATGCATGTATGCCAAAAAAGGTATCTGATTTAGGCAAGTGAGCACTCACCAAATCCCCTGTCGGCCGCAGCAGCCGACGCTGCCGCTGCAGCGTCCCCACCACGCCTGCCTGGATTGCAGCAGCACACAAGACCTTTTCAGGAATTCTGAAAAGATATGACTCCTCAGAGTCCGCACAGAAGTCCTCCAAACCACAATCTTGACAATACAAGGCATTGCACTTGCCCTCAGCATCATGGTATTCTGCTCTGAAATCTGCAAGAGTGGGAAAGTCTTGAAAGAGCACTGTCCCATTCAGCCAGTTGCACAGGGGAAGACAAAGAGCCAAGCGTACCATCCGATGCGGCGGCCGCGGCCGCTGCTGCTCCTGCACCATTCTCCCGGCCTGCACATGCATGCAAATTACATGTTACGCACAGATATAAAGTTCATATTCATTGAGTACTTCTCTCGATAACACACACTCACTATTCTTCGTCAGTTTTAGCTTGCATCATAATTCAGATCATGGTGCATCCCAGATTATGGAAGCTACATGAATCCACATAGAAGCTACATGGAAACTACAGTGAAGTGAGGTCAGGCTACAAATCTGTGAGGTCAGGCTACAAACGCACCATTATTGAAGTTGTTCCTGAGTCCAGTGAAATGATCGTCAAGCAACTTGCGGCCTGCTCATTGGAAAGACAAAGTCAACATGAGCCGCTTGGCTGTTGCAAGCTTTGATGATAGCAGGGCTCTCTGCTGCAGTAGCAGCTTTGCATGCTCTGCTTCACATCGGTCAAAATTAGTCACATATATAACACAAGTGTGGTGTGTTCCCACCTTCGGCTGCGGCTGCAGCTGCTGCTGCAGCAGAGCTCTCATCACGGCCTGTACAAAGAAGCACAGCACAAATCTCAGACCCAATCTCACAGTTAGCAAAAAGTGTTGATAGGGTGCATTAAACACACACTAGAAGTACACACTAGCCACTGATCAGTAGTTGAAGTGAGAATGGTGTCATAAATTACCCTAAAACATCTAGTGGTGATCTGCAGTCCTTCTGATGGGTGAGGTTCTCTACTAAGCTGTGACGCGCATGCAGCCAGGCAAATTGACAGCTACCTAGCAAAATGCTCATCAGCTAGAGGAAATTCATAAGTGAGCACACCTTCAAAGTCACCACGCCTGAAGTCCTCGTTGGTGCGGTCAAAGCCAAAGCTGTTGAAGTCATTGAATTCCTGCAGCTTGCGGCCTGCAGAGACGCATATGTATCGGTTTTATACTTCGTGACTTGAAGGCACGATGCTGCTTTGGGAAATTCTGCCCCCATGCAAATCATCAACGGTTGCCTCTGCTCTGCCTATCAGTGATTGCATGAGCCAGTTATGTCTGCAATGCCAGCAATTCATGTGATAGGCCTCAGCTATAATAGTTTAAACGATGCTCTTTACAAAGCCCGCTGAGCCTGCGACTGGCGTGTTTAGTCTTAAAGGCGCGAGGCACCTAACTTGGAAGTGGAAGTCATCTAAAAGCCCTATATCTGCATGGCGCAGTGCCAACATTGTACACTTTGAGAGACGGAGGGAGCACCTGAGGCCGCAGCAGCGGCCGCGGCTGCTGTTGCGTCACTGTTGTTGCGCCCTGGACACACAGATACTCAGCCCACATCTGCCAAATGGTACTACGCGCTGTTCCTGCCAAATGGCAAGGTACGTCCTGCAGACAAGCTACAGGCAAAGGCTGCCACAACCCTACCCCTAGTTGGACTCGCCAGATCCAAGCAAGACCCAATCAAACGTGGGCACGGAGCTCAGTTATTTTACCGCCCCCCGCCAGCCGGGGCCCGAATTTGAGAGCAGCAAATGCGAACAGTCCGCAAGGTGACCAGTGGTGAGGTGCACCCAAGGGTGGTAGCTCAAGTCCTCTGACAGATGCATTGGTCCAGGAAGATTGGTTGATTAAATTGACGCCTGACTTTGATTCTCTGGAGTCAGCGCCGAGCATGGCACCCCAACACTCTTAAGATAACACTGTCGACACCAACAAAGTCGTTCTGTTGAATTCCCAAGAACATATACTGCATCACAGGAGAGCCATGAATAAGGGAGGCGTAGGTCTTTCTGATGTGGTGGGGAAAAGGAAACAAGAGGCAGCGCACCGTCAAAGTTGTCGTTCCTGAAGCCATCGCTGTTGAAATGATTGAAGTCGTGGAAGCTGAAGTCCAGCAGCTTGCGGCCTGCTGTCCCAGATGATCTCTTAGTTTTTGGTAATTCAGTATTTCGTCCTGCTGAGAAAGGATGCAAGCAGGAGCTCGGCTGAAGAACTCTACAGCTGGTGAGGTATTTCAAGAGACGATTGCCAAGAAATCTTTCGGCACAAGCTCACGTGCACAAGGTTTGGAGAAGCTGAAGGAAGGTGGACTGGGCCTCTGCTTTTCGGCATGGTTTACGATAGATCGGGGGACGCTTGCCTGTGCTATCGAAGAGGGAGTGGCGCAGGTCGGAGCTCTTGAGGGGCCTGAGGTTGCCGTTGTCGTCCACCAGGCCCACAATGCTGTTGTCGTTGAAGGAGCCGACGAAGGAGTTGTGGCCGGAGGGACCGGACGTCGAGCTTGAGACGACACCGTCGAAGGATTTGTCGTCTGCGTTGGCTGTGCAGGCGCCTGTGGAGACAGGGAGGACCTTTGACAAAACAACCGGGCATCTGTTCCTTACACCGCGAGGAAGGTGTTGTCGACATCGACATCGACATCCTTTCCAGAAGGGCCTATTATGAAAGAAAAAAAAGCTGTGCTTCTTAAAACCTGTAATATAGGTGTTTCACCTGCCAAGAGGGCGCCGAAGAGCAACAGAGTCCGAACAGAGGCCATCCCTTCCTGTCGTTAGGCGAGACGAGAGGGACGGAGTTGGCAGGCTTCGAGGACGGAAACGTTTCGCGGCAGCCTAATCACCGTGAGAAAGGTGCAAACTCAGAAGTCTACACAGCACAATTGTTCTTGAATGTGTGGACCGAGAAGCTTTACGCCATTTATAGCAGTCCAGCAGTAGGAGCTGTCCAAGATCGAATGTGAGATGAGGTGATGGCCTTGGTGCATGGCATGTGGCTCAAGCCTTCGTCAAGTCTCTCGTGATCCATGATTTCCCATTCGTCACATTCTTTCAAGACTCCTCACTACTAATGACCTTGATGACAAAATTCTTGAGCCCTCTACACTAGTCCCTGTCTGTGATCAGGGTGCAAAGTCAGCAAAGTATTACTAATTTTTGCACGCAAAGGATCAGCATCCAGTTTACAGAATGCATGCACAATGTCTGACGCCACTTCATTTTCTCGCAAGGACTACAGTTGTGCATTTTAATTCATTCAGCTGCCGGCGTTTGATGCAAAGGGATTCCTACGCAGGCTGCGCCTGCGCAGAAGCTTCTGGGGAAGCTTCCTCCTTGGCTGCTTGCTGACCAGCGCCATCCCCCTCTATTGCCGCCTCTGGCTTCTGCTCTGGCTTTGGCTTCCACGACTCCACAATCTCCTCTGCAGGACGACAAATACACCTTGTAGCCTGTTACATCTCTAGCTTTGCCAACGTTCTAATCTCTGCTTCAGCCAGATCAAACATAAGCCCAGCCAGCTGCTGCAACCCACTGTTTGAGCCCTTTTTAGCTACAACCTCCACCTCCAACCGTTGAATACTCACATAATGCATTACTACAGGACAATGCATGGACATGCTTATTTACCCCTGCTACAATGGCAGTTCTCCCCTGCAAGTGATGCCGTCAACGGCAGGCAGCTTGATTGTCATAAAGACTGTTCCACCAGTCTTAATTGTTCTTGGGAATGATGATTAACCTCTGGCTTCCTCAGTAGACTCCTCTTGCTGGGGCTTCCCACCCTCTGCTCCAACAGGCTCCTTCCCAATTGCAGGACTCTCCAGCCCTGCAAATGCAAAGTACATTCGTCTGTCAGCTGCACATTTGCGCGCACACTACTGCCCTGGCAAGAGTCTTTGGCTTGCCACTTGCCCTGAAACGTGCAATCATCCTTCGTTCTCTAGGCAGACAGTAAATTGTGTGGGCTCAACTCTGCATTATGCAGGCTGCACGGATCCTTGTGTGCACAGCAGATTTGGCAAGAAGGGGTTAGAATATAACAGCGCCCCTAGCTGGGTTGGCATGCAAACAGGCATGCATGGACGCAATACAGCCATGTAATTATCACTAAGGGGGTATTGTTATTAAAAGTACACGGTACACGCTTTAAAAACCATCCTGCCAGAGGCAAGGTGCGTCCTGCAGGCAAGCTGCAGAGAAGGCTGTCGCAGTCCTACCCCTCGTTGGACTCGCCAGATCCAAACAAGACCCAATCAACCGTGGGCATTGTGCTCGGTATTATATCACCCCCCGCCAGCCGGGGCCACCAAGGAATGCAGCCTGAAAATCACATTCATCAAATGGCAGGGGTTGCAGGCACGGTTCCCGGCGTTTTGAAGCCAATGTGGCTCTAAACAAATAGACAGGGTACTTTTGTGGCGCAATCTGAGGTTGTCCGACTTTAAAGCCGCCAATTGGCTTCTAAGCATCAGTATACCATTGCAGGAAGCCAACATTAAGCTTTTTCAGCAGAGATCCACCCCAAAACACCGATTTCAGGAGAAAAGTTCCTGAGAATCCCAGCTTCAGCCATTTTTGTGGCTTCAAATTTTCAATCAGGCACATGTTTGTAGCTGCATTTGCTTCCAGCCAAAGTCCTCAGAAAAAACATGGTGTAGCAGATCCCACCTCCTACAGGGATGTGCAGGGGTTCTGAAGAGCCCGGTGTCTTTGGCATGTCCACTGCAACCGTGGCCCTGGGGCTTGCCTCTCCATCCACAGTCATCCTCGCCCGGTGGTGGAACATCCTGGCAGGCCAACAAACGGCTGTGGCAACACTGTAGGCAACCATGCTGATGCAAACCAAGGGGGAGAGATGCAGACACATGCAAAGAGTGCATTTGCTGCTGCAAGGGTGAAAGACTGACGTGCTGTGTTGAAGGCGTGCAAAAGCCGCAGTCCGTCCTGGTTTTGCTGAAGCGCATTCGAGCAAAATGAAGCAACGAAAAGGGCCATAGGACTGTTATTCTGCGGACATGACCAATAAGGAAACAAAAAGAAAGACTTCTTCAGTTACAGGCTTTTTATGCCAGAAGGCAAGGTACGTCATGCAGACAAGCAGCACTTGAAGTCTGCCGGAAACATACCCCTTGATGGATTCACCCGATCCAAGCAAGACCCAATCCACCATGGGCACGGTGCTCAGTATATATACTGACCCCTGTTAGCCGAGGCAGGAAGATTGACAGGAGGGGAAAACGGTAGGAATCACCTGGGTGCAGTGGTGCTGTTTGCCAGGGCCATAAAGGGAGCCAGAGTGTTGGAGACTGCCTGTGCATCGTCAGTCAGGACCTGCAAAGCAGTGCCCTTTCATGTAGGGGATTTGTGCTTGTCTGGGAGCTGCACTGCAGGGTCGAAAGTTGTTGAATTGTCTAAATAGAGAGAAAGAAGCCTTACCACGATCTGCTGGATGAAGGGGCACTGTGCTGCGAGGGCCAGGGTGTCTGGCTGCGACGCTGCCTGCAAGGCAATTAATACTGCGTGTAATACCGGCTTGGGAGGAGTTGGCAGGTCTGTGAAAAGCGCAGGTGTGTGTATCGACAAATTTGGATCGATCCATCGTCTCGCAATCTTGATCGCTATCTACAAAAAACAAAACAAGAGATAAGAAAAAACACAAGACAAACGTGAGCGGGATCTGACAAACAAGCAAATGAGGCCTCACCGCTGCTATCGCAGGCGTCGTCCCTTCCACGCTCGTCGTGAACGACACGGTCTCGATGGCGACCTCCATGACTGTCGAATGCACTAAAAAGGAGTTGTAGCGTGTGGCTTGTGGCCAGATCAAGTTTTTGCTTCCAATCGTACCGAGTAAGAGTGAGAAAGATCGTAACCAGGTTCCTGCTTAGGCAGCGCACTCCCAAGGAGTGACCCCCTCCTTAAGATACCATGCTAATCTCAAAAATCGCTTTTTGCCGGTCAAGATTGTTACAAGATTACAAGATGATAGGTGCACTATTCTTCTCTAGCGGCGATTCTCCTACTCATGCTGACACTCAATGCATGTTTGCAGGACTGTTCTTACACCTTGTGAAAGGCAGGACGATAGATCTCAGATCTCAGAGGCTCTGAGACATAGAAACCCGCTAAACAGCGGAAAAATGAATCAAGCGTGCATGCAAGTGCACAGCCGGGAAGCCTACCATTTGTCGCCCCCATGCCACCACACTACTCGCAAACACAACCTGCTTCACGTCTAAATTTGCAATTGCACCGCTCCTTATCAATATTGCACCACACCTATGTCAAATGCATGTGGTGTTTCCTACTGAGGCCATTGACACCATGAATTGCAGGAATATTTTGAGATGTACAAAATGTCTGCTCGACAACCAGGCCAGCAAGGAGTGCTGGCAGTCTGTCATTGTAGGATCATGGAATGAGAAACTTTGGGCTCCGCTACGAATCATCAACTGGTGATGGCTCACTGCCGCCTGTCAGCCACGCGGCCTAGCTGAGTCATCCGGTCATACTGCTGCGATTGCGACTTCTGCCTGAACCTGTCTCCTCCCTGCGTTACAACAACCGATCCACTTGAAAAGCTATCCTGGCATGCTGCAGAGGACCTGACACCAGACTACAGCAGCTGCTCACATGCACAACTTGCAAGGCAACCACATTTCCAAAGCCTGCCCACCCTGCAAAATTTGACCTTGGCCAGCAATTGTTAAATACTTCTGATGGACCAGTAGATGTGCTTCGCATCTTTGCAAGAGCTGAAGAAGGACGCAACAAAATTTTGAAGCACACCGGTCCAGAGGAGAGAATTTGAAACACACAAATTAGAAGAACTGGGACGCTGACATGAAAGTAGACCGATCGAGCGAGGAATGAAAGTCAATATAGCACGGGGTCCCACCTGGAATCTGGCGTCGCCGCCGCCAAACACGCTGAAGCCGCTATTACTGTAGCCGCCGCCCCGGCCGCCGCGGCCGCCTCTGCCGCCGCGTCCGCCCCGGCCGCCGCCGCCCATGTCAAATCCGCCCAGCATTGGCCTGCCCATGCCCCGGCCTCTGCCGCCTCTTCCCCTGGTCACAGAAGCGAATGTTTTACGAAGCCTGTCTTATGTGGCACTCAGCGCTCCTGACCATAAGAGCCCTTTTTTAATGAGCAAGACCTTGTGAGTAAGACCTCGCAGGGAGCCCCGCCAGGGCTATGCAGCAAAGACGCCTTGAGACATCGGCTACTCAACATGCACAGGTGGCATGAGTCCGGTCACAGGCCACCAGCTTTAGAAAGGTCTGTAAAGCCCAGCAATGATAGCAGAGGCCACAAAGCCTTCTGTACTTCAGCAAATGCGGCCCTGCTGTCAATCTGGAGTCACACAGAGCTTTCCTGCAAGGCCCTGCAAGAACCCTAGAATTAAATCTGGACCAGAAGTGACGGGATACAGAAAGCTATGCATAGCTCAAACACCGTAAAGGAGCCAAAACCTGTGAGCTCATAGCTCTGCAGAATCACAGGGGCTAATTCTGCCATCCTCAAAGCTCGATAGGGATCACAGGGCCACAATGACCCTTGAATTTAGGACTCCCTAATCAAGAATACAGCAGAGGGCAGCCGCACCCGCCGCAGTTGTTAGAGTACTGGCCGTACTGGTGGGGGCCCCGCCCGGCCCCTTTTGGCAGGGGTGGCTATATCTGACTGTGTACTTGTACTAGCTCCCATTTCTCGCCGAGACATGGGTGCACAAACACAGTAAGACACAGCATGAACAGAGGGAAAACTGCGCACCCGCCGCGGTTGTTGTTGTATTGGCCGTCCTGGTAGGGGCCGCGCGGGCCGGCGTCGTCCTCCTCTCCGCGCAGGCCGCCCGTGCGCAGTGTCAGCGCCCGCTCGTTCAGATCCACCAGCCCAGCCGCACGCTCCGCGAAACCCTCCGCCAACGCCTGCCGGGGGATTTCACCAGGGACTTACTGTCGATCGTGAAACCCTGAGAATTTTCGCCAGCGTCTGCAGGAGTCATACCGCATGGTCCATAACCAGAAAACCCCAAGAACATATCTCTGCAATTGTAAGTGTGTGGGCTTTAGACTGGATGTGGACACTTCAAGCCCTTTGAAAGACCGATTCAGAGCATTTGCATCCAAGCTGACACAGCACAGGCCTTCACTACAAGCATAGGCCTTCACTACAAGCATCCAAAGTGCGACATGCCACCAAAATATGTTGGCTCTGCAGTTGCCTTTGCACAGCGTGCAGAATGTGGCTCCACAGTGACAGGTTTGGAAGGTTTAGCAAAAACGTGTGCCAAGACAGTTGCAAAGCCAACCTTTCTTCCATTCTCTATAAGCATTTCACCCATATGCACCTGTGACAAGAGCCTGCCATCCAAAACATGCCGAAGGACGACTCCACCAAAGCTCACAAGTTGGCAGGGAGCGAAGGAAGGGCACCTGCAGGCGGGTGGGGTTGGTGGCGTGCATGACGATGGTGCGAGTGGGTTGGTCCCAGCTGCCGCTCAGCATCTCATCCATCATCATCTTCGACACCACGCTGTGCACCTGCACACCCCGACCAACACCACGCTGATTTCCACCATTTGTATGATCGGGCCGTTCTCTAAAGAAAATTTCTTCCGTGGGGGCTATTTGAAACACACAAAAAACTTCAATCAGTGCTGCATTGCATCAACATTCTGCCATGTTGGCTCTTGCAAGGCGAATTGCCTCCCACCACGTCACACAGCGCCAAATGATAGCAGAGGCATGACAGGTACCTAGGACCATGCAAGAAACAGCACACAGACAGGTGGGGAGGAGCGCTTCTACAGGCAAAGAGGGAACTGCAACCCAAGGCAGATTGCAGAACACACAAGGCATTGCAAGCGTCAAGAAGGCAAAAATGTGTCGGCTGGAAATTTGAACCCCAGTGCATCAATGCAGTGGGCGCAGAAACTCACAGCACCTCCCTGTCTGGCAGCTCAAACATGCCGCAGCGCTGCTCAATCAGTTGTCCAGAACAAAATGCCAACTCATCTGCTTCTCGGACAGGTTGAACATGTCGCAAAGCTGATAAAGAAGTTGTGGGGGCAGCAGGAAAGCGCACCTCCTTTTCCGACAGGTCGCAGAGCTTATCCATCAACAAGGGCGAGGAAGCAGAATCAGCGCACCTGCTTATCGGACAGGTCGAACATGTCGCAGAGCTGGTCCTGCGACAGCGAGTGGTAGAAGGCGCCGTAGGTGAGCAGGTAAGTGCGCAGCCCCTCCTGTTGCAGCTTCGCCTTGAGCATTGCGAGCACATCATCCTTGGCTGGGATCAGGTTCCAGGAGGAAAGCCCCGCCAGGTAGTCGTACGCCTTGCGCCAGTCCCCCCGCATCAGCGCCTGCGCAAATACGAATTCAAAAATGTCAGACACAGTCCAATCGGATGTTCAAGGCATCAGCCGATTTGCGGTAGATGTGGCACATGTGAAGTGATATATCAGCGCATCAACGCCTGCACGTATAATACAAATGAAGTCACAAGCTGTCTGGTCGTCATCAGGGCATCAGCCCATGACAAACTTGATGCAGAGCAGAACGAGCGCATCGGCTCTTTGTGGCTTGATTACCAAGCAACGAAAATCTAAAGCACTCCTGTGCATGCAGTAGCAAGGAGATTCGCGATCCACATTGACAAATCGCTTCCAAGCCATTCTCATGCATGTCCTAATACTCTTGGCGCCCCATTGCTCCCAAGCGTCTGGACAAATTCCAACAGCACTACACAGGGAATTGCACAGGTGTGTTGGGGGCAATGGGGCACCCAGACAATGCATCTGGACAATTCCCACACGGGTGATCCAGTTCACACACAGATCTGAATGTACGCCAGGCTGCATGCCACGCCTATCAATTCCAAGCCAAGCTCATGCATTCCCGGTGTCCTTGGCGCCCCGTTGCCCACGAAAGCCCCGCTGAACTTCCAGCAGAAGCAACAAAATGGGAGTTGCACAGGCCAGTCAAAGGCCATGGAGCGCCCAGATTAAATCTGGACGTATAAGACTTGAGCACTCCAGCGCACACAGGCTTGAAAACATGCCAGGCTGCATGCCAGTCCTAATCGAATCCCATGCCAAGCTTGGCATGCCATAAATCCCCAGGCGCCCCATTGCCCTCGATTGGCCTCTACTACACCCAAAACAAGTCTACTCCGGGAGTTGGACAGGTCTGTTGTGTGCTATCAACTGTTTAAACACTATATCTACCCTGTCCACCACAGGGTAGCAAGAGAGGAGGAAGAAGGGCTGTGGCTGCACCTGGGTAGAAGCCATGACGTGGTCGCGCACGTTCTCAGGCGGCCCGGTGAATGTCTGCTTGTCGTAGTTGTCCAGTAGCCGCCGGAAGGTCTTGGACAGCGGCTTGCGGTGCGTCTGCACGCCCGTCGCCGCCAGCACCGGCACCTAATCAGGGCATATTAAATCAAGTTCACATTCGAATTTGTTGTTAGTATCCAGCACATGCACACTTCAGCCAATCGGAGGTGGGCGCTTCCCTTGCCTCCTTGCGGCACAAGCACAACGTCAGCAAATAGTGGACCTGCTCCATTAACAAGCAGATTGCCACCTGCTGACATTGCGCTAATGCAGCAGGAGAGGAAAGCAAGGCATGCTGACATTCTGGGAAAAGTCCATTCACCTGGAATATTCATGTGGCGCTAATAGAAGTACAATGACAGCGTAGGGAAGCCCATGGCATGTTCAATTGCATGTTAAAAACCTGCCAGCTGGATGCTACGAAAGAGGGTGAAGGCGCACCTCCTGCAGCATAGCGCAGATGAGGTGGGTGGACTCGAGCAGCTCCAGGTTGATGTGCATGTGGAAGGGCATCTGCCGCTTCTTCTCCAGCTTCTCCTGCTCCGGCGTCTTGTCCTGGTACCTGCAAGCCATTGCCTCCATTGATGATCAGCCCTGACGTATCCCATGGCCTCAAAACCATGCCTCTTGAAAGTACTGGAGTCTCTAAGACCTCCTCACTGCTCCTCGGCCCCATTCCAAATGCATGCAATATATGAAGGTCCCTACAGATCTGCAGGAAGACCCTCAAAAGCTTATGTAAATACTCTCATCACCTCTCACACACAAACATTGTGACATCTCCACTACTGCAAAGTGGCAGTCAGTCTGAACTTGCATGCAGACACATGTGAGCACTGCATGCAGGCATGTGGGCGGCACCTGCTGATGGACATGCCCTGCGCGAGCAGCTCCTTGACGCGGCCGGAGCCGCAGAGCTCGGAGAGAGCGGACAGCGCATCGGGGATGAGGCCGGCGCGGAAGGCGCAGAGGCCAAGCTGCGCCATTGTGCGGTTGTACAGGATCTGCGTGCTGATGTCCATGTGCTGCACGTTGTCCTGTGGACACAACCAAGTGAGCATTATAACGTCGTCAGATGATGTCACTCTTGCAGCGAGCTTCAAACAGCCACCGCACGCTCTTATGCCGTCTGGCGCCGCACAAGACCAAGCCTTTGAAGGCATGACATAAGCGTGCTCGCAGGCGCTGGAAAACTGCTGACGGTTACCGTCTTCGAACAGTGACACGGCATTGTGGTGTTGACAAGGGAGTCTCAGCACGGGCGCCTCTTCAATAAAACACATGTCTGTTGAGCACTGTTGGAGCAGGCAGCAGCATGCAGAGGTTCAGAGCACCAGACCTCTTAGGAATGCATGCTTGCAAGAATAAAAAACAAAAGCATGCTCTCGTTGTTCCTGACAAGGCGCCGGTGCCGACAGCAAGCACTTTTTGTCTTTTATGCGTCCTACGGCCGACTATGAACTCAGGGACAGATCATCAGAGGGTGCAAGAAGTTTACCTGGAGGTGGGACATGAGCATCATGTCGCGGGCGGTGTAGAACTCGTCGCGGATGGCCTTGAAGAAGATGGAGCACAGCATCGCGCGCGCCTTGGTGCGCTCATCACCATGCCTGCATTACACATCAAAGATCGTCACCATCCTGAGACCGTGTAATTTTGTCCATGCATGCACACATTGGCACCAGACACTACGTCCAATCAACAATATACAGTACCCATATAAACAGGGTCGTTACTGAGCGGACAAAAGCAGCAGACGTTCTGGAGAGCTCTTCACATGGCAAAGTCTCCATTGGAAGATGCAGTTTCCAAGCATTAAAGCAAAGCAATGGATGGCAGGAGCAAGGTGCGCACTTGTAGATGACGATGGCGAGCTGCTCCATGAGCTCGGAGCAGCTCTCTGCCAGTGTGAAGTCTGCAGGCACAGTCACCACAACGGCGTCCTTGGAGATGACCACATCATCCTCCTCTGGGATCTCATCCCCATTCTCTGCCTCCTCCTGCAATAAAACCCTGACTGTTAGACCCAGGTCATGTTAGAGACATCAAAGCACTGTTCTGTGGCAAGGTCTGGTGGGAGGCCATGCATGCCCACCTGTCAGAAACATGCCACAACAATCATGCAAGAGCCCGGAGCAATGAAGCTGAAAGGATATGCACCATTGCTCTGCACTGCTCAGGGATTGGACGATCTACAAGTATCGTGGGTGGCCGGGCAGCACACGCAGCGCCCTGTGAACAAGAACAATTGTAGCCAAGCGTTTAAAGCATTGGGCTGTACGCACCTCACTCTGTTCTACCACCTAGAACACAGCGAGGTGCGGGGCTCATTGCGCAAAACGCAAGACAGAGTGAGGAGCGCACCAAAGCAACCGCGTGCAAAGGCCCGCTTCAAGAGTGAGGGGCAGCGTGTGCTGAGCTCAGTGCAGTGTAATGAAGACGCACCTGCACGACATTAGCGGCCTCCTGCTGCGCGACGGCGAGCTTGCGCATGGCGTCGTAGACGGCGTCGGTCTTGTAATAGAAGTGCTCGGTGCGGCGCAGCGCCGCGCGCGCGAGCGCCTTGGTGTCGCTGATGCGCGTGAAGTGGTCGGACACCTTCTGCGCCAGCGCCAGGAACAGCGGCTCGTCCTTCAGCCTGTCCAGGTACTGGTTTGTGTGCGGGTCGATCACCTGCGCAAGCGCGCTTGCATGCGTCAGGACAAAGCCCCGCATTTTGCAATAGCGGCACACTGATTGATGGCCATGCTGCATGCGTCAGACAACATAGGGACCAAGCAGATTTGTTATTGCCCCAGATGCCTTTCTAGACTACGTTGTAATTAAGCTTCCACCGCAGCAACTGCACATCCGTGTCAGCACAAACCTGGCGCTTCACAGGGACAAAGAAACACTGAACTTTTGGGTGCAGACACCATTGTCTGAAAGATAATGCAAGTCATGTTTTGTTGATCGCTGCAAGCAGTGAGGCGACAAACACAATGAATTGGAGTGGCTTTGGCTGCATCAAGCCACACCAGAACAGCTCAGGAAGCTATGACACAAGTACTCATCATGAACTTGATCTCTGATGATCCATTTTATGAGCATGGTTTAAGTGCAGGGGCACCGCACCTGCAGGCTCTTGAAGTGCTCGTCATCTAGGCGTTCCAGGAAGGCAGCCATGTTGCCCCATACTTTGGTCTCCACGCCGGGCTCAGGCTCCTCTGTGACCTCGTCGTTGCCCTCGTGGTGCTCGTCCAGGACGATGTGCGGGTGCGCCTCGAGCAGCTCCAGCACCTGATCAGGCGCGCATGCCAGCCGGGTCAGTCCTTTTACTCATCACTGATACTTACACGGGCCGTAAATGCATCACTTTACAAGGTGCCCATGCCAGGCGAAAATGCATCATATCATTGGGTGCAACATGCCAGAAACGAATGCATCACTTTATAAGATGCACATGCCAGGAATAAATGCAACACTTTATAGTATGCGTCTGCATTAGAAGGTGCACATGCCAGGAACACAGTCAGCCCTTGTGCTCATCACTGGTATTGAGGTTTAACGCATGTCCACAAACAAAAGGAGGGCATGCCCAGAAAACAGGAACACAGTCACCACTTGTGCTCATCCCTCCCACACCAACATCCATGCAAAAGTCATATGCGTCAATATGCAAGAGCATGCAGACCGGCAAGTGACTGGGGTGAGGGGCGCCGAAGGATCGCGGCCATTTGACAGCTGTGAATCCCAGATCCCACCCTGCGTGGTCTCAGGTCTACAGAGAGCGAGGGCTGGAGATGGAATGGACCACAGATTTGAAACGGAGTGATGAGAAGTCTCTCACCTCGAAGAGGACGCCGATGCAGCGGCGCCAGAGGGCAGGGGCCATGTGGGTGGACATGGAGGGGTTGATGTCGAAAAGCGCAGACACCACGTGAACCAGCACCTCCACCTGTGCACAATGCCAAAGTTTCAATATCTCCCCAAGGAATGCACCATTCCACAAACACCTCACATACTGATTAGTGTTCATGTGGTGCATGCATCTCGGCAGAGTGAAATAAGGTGCCGCATTCCCAGAGAATCTCCGCTGGGTTAACAGCACTACAAGGGCGCTTGACAGAAGAAAGTAGATAAACTAGCACGCATGACTTACGTTTGAGTAGGGACCCTCGGCGATACTTGTGGCTAATCACCAAATTAAGATGTGCAAGGGTGGAAGACAGCCACAGCGTCATGGCAGTCTAGAATCCCAGGGCGCACCTTCTGGTAGGGGCCCTTAGCAACGGTGGCCAGGTAGGTGAGCATGTCAACTTGGTCCTGACGGTCAATTCCCTTCTTGCCACGAGACAGAACAATCTCCTGCAGCTTCTTGCTGACCATCTCGAATGTGATCTCCCTGGGGTCCATCGTCAGCAGCTTGTCCTGTGGCCACAGGACATCTGCCTTGAGCTAGGGGTTCCATTGTCGAAAAACATTACGAAGCAGGTGCCAGGAGAGGAAGCATGCCCAGAGGCTCTCCGTCGCCCAAAACTGAGGAAATGACTGTCGGCAACGATCCTCTGAATTTTGGGAGAAGGGTTGTCAGCAACCATTGCCAAATATGGGGGAAGGAGAGCCTCGAGTATCATTTGATGAACACCGTCAGTGCTCGCAGGCATGACTGCAACTGATGTCCCAAGCACATATATGCATGTGGAATGCAGATGCAAGCTTGATACCAGCACGCACCTTCTTCTTCTCCTTGGCACTCTTGGCCTTCTCAAAGCCGTCCTCGCCCTCCTCACCTTCGCCCTGCATCACATTCCCATCACTGATCAGCCTCAACTGTGCTTGCACCCAACATCACCAACGTGTGGTTCATGAAAATACCAAAATCACCAGGAAATGCACCCTGCTGATCTTATAAATACCGTATAATGATTGTCTGTGTGCAGATCATGCGCTGCCCCTTTCAGTCCATGCCCATGCCCATGCAATACATCACTGATTAATGAATTGCAAAGAACCTATTTGTTTGAATACAATTGGGAGAGGCCAAGTTGCGTGCCTCGTCATTGGAGTCGCTGCTGGAGCTGCTGCTGCTGCTCTCGTCCTCGCTCTCCTCCTCCTCGGACTCAGGCGCCGCGCGGAACTTCTCCATCTGCTCAGCAAACACCGGGTTGTGCTTGCGCACGCGCTGGCGCATCGTGTTGAGTGCTTTCGCGTTCGTGGCGCTCATCTTCTTCGTCAGCTCCTTGTTTGCCAGCGTCGCGTTCAGCCGGTCCTGTGCACCACGTACATGCATGAAGATTTGTCATCCAATACTTTTGGATGTGCATCACCAATCTCTTTGGAAGAGAACGATCTCTGTCTTCAGAACAGGTGCCATTCATCCAAATGGCGCCACCGGGGATCCCAAATGAACCCCTCATGCATCCCCTCATGCAGTGCAAAACATAACAAGGAATTTCCTAAGTGTCCAATTAATCAGGATTGGTCACAAGCCTGCAAGTGGTCCAACATGCACATCGGTGACAGTGCTGTAAGAGTAAGGACTGCAGTGCATGTCTAAGAGGCTTTCCCAACAAGTGGGCATGTCTTGGCATTTCACTGGCGGGGAGCTGTGTTGGACTGACCTCCAACTCAACGAGCATCTTGATGTAGACGCGAGGGGCGCCCAGGGTCTCAGTGGCCTTCTGCGCCTTCTCCATCTGCTTGTTCAGCTTGTCAAACAGCGACTGGACCGAGGACCAATCGTTGATGTTGAGCTTGTTCTGCAAACACACACACACACAGAGCCGTTCAGATTTAAAAATTGCATGCGGCGCTGTTGGAACTGCAGGCTGTGGCAAGGCAGTGCTTCCCATGCATAGATCATGTAGTACATTCCCAGGACTGAAAGAAGTGTGCAGCAACAGGTTGCTCCCCCGCTGCCAGTTCTGTCTGTGGAAGAGCGCACCCGCATCTCTTCGCAGGTGGCCTTGAGCTCATCGAAGCGACGGTCCTTGGCGCTGCGCACGACGCGCTTATCGTCGTCCGAGTCAGAGTCGCTGGACCCAATCATGAACCTGCGCACAGATCCCAATACTTGTGACACACAGTAAGCAAACTTTGCCAACTTGGCAGTCACATGCAGGGCCCGAAGCAGCCCTTGCAAATGTGAAAGTTTGATGAGAAGTGTCCCTGTAGTCTCTGCCTGTCTGCCTGCTTCACACCTGCTGGGACCTTTCTTCTGCTGCTGCCCTTCGTCGTCAGAGGAGGATGAGTCGTCATCCGAGCCATCCTCTGAGGCTGTGGTTGCCTCCTCGTCCTCATCCTCGCTGTCGGAGCGCTGCCAGAAACGCGAAGTCTGCAAAATAGGATAACTGATCAGCAAATTATCATCCTTGATGTAAGCATCAATGTGCAGTTCTCTCAGCAATCATCTAAAGTAGTCCGTTAAGACTATTGTCCATGTAAGTCTGCTAATTACGTTGAACACAACGACTCCTCTGTGATACAGTAGTCCAACCATCCCATCAAAAGGTAAACCCATTTTCATGCTGTTCACTTCTCACCAGTACTTCTGTCTTGGACCATACGATTGAGACGCTTGTTATCATACAACATTCGAGTCCAATTTACTTCGCAAAGCAAACAAGGCAATACAGTATCACAATCAACTCCTTCCACGGACCAGCCCAGAGCTGGTCAGCATGTTGGACAGCGCCACGCACCATGATTGCAAGGTTTTCACCAGGATCCGACCGTGCACGCAGCTGTAGAGGTCTACCGGGGAGGAATTGAGCGTTCTTCTTGGCGGCTCCACAGGTAAGCGAGAGGGAGGATGTTGGCCTCGCCTTGTCTTAAAACATCAGCGGAAGAGCGAATCTCAAAATGCTCAGTTAGGAGGAAAAAGAGGCGAACTTCACTCTCACTACCTTTTAGGGCCGTCTGCTGTAGTCTCTTGTTGTATAGAGACTTGATAGATGAATAGGTAGATAACGCGTTAGTCCAGTTTGTGTCGACATCAAGGTTTTGTTCTTTTACTTGCGTTTCATAGCAAGCATACGTGGAATTCTTGTAGTACGTAAACTATTTTCGTTCAACAACTCCCAAAATATTCCACTGGATCTCATCCTAGCTTCGAACAAAATCGAGAGTGCACTTCGCACAATGGAAGAGGATGCCAGTGTTAATATGCTACCAGCAGGGTTGCTGCACAGCATATTCGACCTGCTGGGACCGAGAGACCTCTGCACTGTGAGCGCAACATGCAGACATTGGCGCTCTTTGAACCAGGATGCAGCTGCCAACCAAGTATGATATATGTCTATTCTCCTTGCATTCCTGTGATCAAGCCGCGATTTCCCCTTTAGCTTGTGATGTTCGTGCACTGTTCCTGTCTACAGATGTAACGGATTCGACTTGGTAGCCATGCATATGCCAGGATGTTGAGCGTGGTACTTTGGGTGCAGACTTGGCTTGCCTTCTTTGAGCAGCGTTGGCGACAACCCCTTCTGGGCAGCAGGCTGAAGGCAGATCAGCGAGGGAGTTCTACATGGCAGGCACGCTATGGCAGCAAAATGCATGCTCAGAAGGTTTTTGGAGGCAGGGCCCGCCAGGACACATTCTTTGGGCACAAGGGAGGAGTCCGGTGCCTGGCCCTGCTTCCCACCTGCAATCTCATGGCAACAGGTATACCTCACCGTCATCAGAACCTCTTGATGGGCTCCTGTTATCACCATGCGTGACGAATTTCTGGTGTTGATCCTGATGCAAAGTCACATTATGGTAAGTCAAAGGCGTCAAAGTTGTTTGGCAATGCCGTTGACTTCACTGCATGGAGGGGTTCATGCAGGGTCCTTGGATAGGACAGTGAAGTTGTGGGATCTCAGCGCGGGCATGCAGATTGCCACAAGCCGGTATCAGCCCTCGGCAGTGCGCGCCCTCGCGCTGGATGCTCGCATGCTCGTTTGCAGCGCTTCCAAGGTGTGTGGCCATGCTCACCATTGATCCAAGCCAACATATGGGCAATTGGCAATATCAGTGCACCAGTGGGACATTCAAGCACGCACATGCTGTTGAGCAGCACATGTGCTTTGCTCTGGCAAAGATGTATCTGAAAATATGTGGATTTTCTGCATTTGACAACAGGCTGGCAGCCTGAGAGTGTGGAGGGCGGCGGGGGCTGACAGCAAGGCGCATTTTGACATGAGCACCTCCAAAGAGCTTTCAGGACACACAGGACCCGTCACATCAGTGGCCCTCAGCGAAGAGTGAGCCTCTCGAGCTCCGTCATTGGGCCTTCAGAAACCGTTACTGTGTCTTGGCATCGACTTTCATGGTCAATTTACTTTACATGGGTCTGTTGGTCTCCAATATTCTCATGATGTGTGGCATGCCTACTACGGTTACTTTTCTGATGTGGCTAGCTGACTTTTTGGAGGCCACAGTAAGACAAACATTTTCTACTTGCAGGTGCATTTACAGCGGGTCTTGGGATTACACAGTGCGCATTTGGGGCCGTAGCCGCCTCAAGCCCATCGCCGTGCTGTCATGCAGCGACTGGGTGTGGGGTGTATGCCCTCGGGGGCCAAATCTGCTGGTGAGAGTGGCGATGACCCTACTCTCCTTTTCTGATGGCAAATCATGTGCTCTATGGCTGCTGCTTTGCGTGTTCATTTGTCATCTTGACGTGGAAGCCAGCTGGCATGTCATAAGTACCATGGAATGGCATGCCCGCAGCTGCGCATGCATCACGGTGCAGCAGCTGAAGGCAGCAGATGCATGACACCCGCTCTCGACAAGTTTGGCATCTGCTGGCAGGTTGCAGCTGTGCAGTCGGCATTTGCTTGGATCAGAGGATAGCTCATCTGTAATTTGGCATCTGCTGCATCGCAGGTGGCAGCTGGGCAGTCGGCATGTGTCTTTGACCAGAGCACATGCCGGCCCTTGAGGCGCTATGACAGCGGGGCAGTAAGGGAAATGCTGCACTCTCCCAGAGTGGAGGGAACGCGCGACGGCCGCCTCCTCTTCATCGGCAATGCAGACGGCGCTCTGCAGGCCTTTGACCTCAGGCGCGCTTCTGTTCTTATCCTCGTGTCACGACTAGACACGTAAAGCAGCCTCTGGGCACCCAGCAACGTGTGCATGCGATGACTATGGGGCTCCTGCTCATGCCCCATGCCAGACTCTGCATGTGCATGTGCAACACTATGTGCTGCTCTTGTATGTTGATGCTGTGAGTTCACATCAAGCCAACATTTTCATCAGTACCAAGTGCTTCGTATTGTTTTAAGCTCTTTGTATTTGGCCGTATTGAAGTGGATGCATGTGTTTGGGACTGGAAATGTGATGCATGGAACATGCATGTGATTGTAGGCAGTCAAGGTCAGAAGCAGTGGCCACTCTGTGGCAGCAAGGAAGCCCTGTGCAGTCCATAGCCTTCGATGACCCCTGGCTAGCTGCTGCACTTGAGGACGGCTCTGCACTGCTCCTCAACGTCGATGCTGCCATGCGCGGCTGCCGCAGCGGTGAGCCCATGCATTCTTGCTGGGCTTCTTCATCCAAAGCAATCATGGGCAAGCATGCGCCAATCTGCACATGAAGTTCCTGCACGCCTACTAGATGGAATTAATGTGCCTTGCATTGTGTCTTCATCAATTGGCCATTCAACCTCACATGATACCCAGAGATATGATGGTTAGGTTGATATTGTTCGCTTTTCATGCAGGCGCTCGCGCTCGGGAAGCAGTCCGCCCAGGGCCTGCCAAGCGGCAATTCGTGGGATCTGGTGCAAGCCCAGCCTACTGTGTGGACATTACCGATCAATGGATGGCCTGCGGCTCAGGTGCACCCTTGCGCTGGCATGCATGCATCCTGCAGCCCTTGATGCATGTCTATTTTGCATGCAACGCACTGCAGTTGTTGAAACGGAACACAGCTAAGCATCTGGGTGAGCGATTTCAATAGACTTGCTCGATGCAGGTGCATGCATGATAGTTCCAGGTGAGAGTCTCACTCAAACGAAATATCCTGAGGATTGTCTAACCATCAGTGTGCATGATTCTTTCAGATGCGGCCACGGTGCGAGCCTGGGACTTCAGCCAAGCGGCTGAGGTGCAGGAGCGGCTGGATGCATTACGGGCCACGCGCGAAGCGCAGCGCGTGCAGCGCCGGGAGCGCGGCGGCCGGGCCGGCCGGAAGGCGCCCCGATTCCCCCCGCCCTCCGACTCGGAGGCCGGCTCGGGAGATGACGAGGAGACCTCTGAGTCATGTGCGCCTCAGTGCAGTGCAGAACCTGCCGATGCATGCAGAAGAAGCAGCTCAGTGCCTGTTGTGCGAGCGGGGCATGCATGCCCCTGGGAGGAAGGCAGCCGTGGCAGCGGGGAATGGAGGGATCTAGAGGCTTCCGGGGGCAGCGAGCAGGGGTTGCACGCTAGGTATCACTGCCACAGCATCAGCCTGCAGCCAGGCTGCAGCGAGCGGTATGCTCATGAGGCAGCTTCCTCTAGCTGCAGCAGCTCTCAGCTGTCGCGGTCGCTGCCGGGAGCGTTCCCTCGCGGGGGTCCCGAGGCTGCCACTTTGGGACGCAGCCCGCCCATGTGTGCGCATGTGCCGCCGCCGGTGCTGCGGTCGGCGTCGGTGTCAGCGGAGCGCGGCCGCAGCAGGATGACTTCCTGGGACATCCTCCGGCCGCGCACTGTGCTGGACAAGGAGCAGAAGGGCGGCGGGGATAGCATAAAAGTGGCAGGATGATAGCAAGCAGCAGAGACCCAAATCATGAGCGTTGAACCGTTAGCCTGGAGCCCAGCGTAGGCTGGCTGTTGGGGTACGCCCCCACTGAGCGGTGTGCTGTTGGAGTTAACAGGGCTCGATAGAATCAGGGTGGAGGGATGAGTCAGCTTAGAAAACGCAGCCATGCGGGTACCTCGAATGCCTTGACCTGCAGTGCCGTCTGAAGCACCGAACCTGGCTGCTGCTATATGCTTTCCTTCCTATCAGCATGAGCACAGTGAACCGGAAACCATGAGTGTCACCATGCAAGACGGTCACAGCCGAGTGGTGACAGAATTGCTCCGACCAGCTCGGGCATTGTGCAACATGAAGATGCTGAGTTGCAGGTTATCGACTGCATCTGCACCAAGCTTGAAGCTTGAAGTTCAAAGTTGCAAGCTGTATGCGATTGAAATCCAAATGAATGTACGTGATCATGATCATGATGCACAGTGCATCTCTGGATCGCATGCGTCTACCCTGCAAGCGCAAAGGTCGAGCTCGCATGTCACGATGCAGGGGAATGATGTAACTTGACGAAGTGTTCTGCATGTTCCTTAGCCGGTTTACATGCCCTTTTTCATGCTGGTATGCCTCCAGGTCAGCAGCACATGTGGCGCTTATGACTCAGCATCGGTCCTCGCAGAATCTCCAGAAGCCCGCTCACTGAGATACATTAATCTGTCTGGTTGCAAAGCTATCTTCTTCCAAGGCATTTGCCTTTCCTGCTTCATCGGAGATCAAAATGGTGCAGCGGACAAAGCTGCTGTCGCTGCTTGCCTGCAGCCTCGTCCTGGCGAGCCTGATGTCGCCAACGGAGAGCAAGGCTGTGTGGGACACGATTGTGCCTACAGACAACGGCGTATGGTACCAGGCGACCTTCTACGAATATCCCATTGCCGGACTGAAAGGTGAGATGCCTGTCGTGTCTTCCAGAGTTGGCAGTATCTGACGTCGGCAGGCATCTCAAAGCATCCCATTGGCTGGGCTCGTCGTTTCGTACGATTTCTTGCCTTTCAGAGTAATACAACTAAATCTATTGAACTCCTACTCATAATTTTAGAGTGCTGGAAGGACTGCCTCATGATGAGTCACCAGAGAGTCGAGCATTCCAGTGATGCCTTGTTCAAGCAGCCAGTAGTATCAGGAAAGGAGCTTCGGCCAATGGAATTGCATCTTTACAAATTGAATCGATAATTCAACACCTTGCCATATAAGACTGTGTACGACTGCTTCCACTTCTGCTAAGACACAACCATCAGTGCACCTCACGGGCAGATCCTTTTGCGTGCCTTGCTGGAATTCACTCAAATTATCCCCGTGCAGTGTCAATGGCGTGAATCAAGTGCTTTAGGAGATCAATGCCAAAGATGTGTTTTTGCATTGCAGCTGGACCGCTGGCTGGCACCCCTGGAGCCATTGACCCACCTAAGGGCACAGCATATGGTCGCAAGCTGCTGAACGTGAGTCACCCGCTGCACACCTCTCTTGACCATGTATTGTCTCTCTGGTTGCATGCATGCCTGGTCCTCCAACATAGAGTGCATGCATTATTGTTGGTAAATGCCGTTGACATCATCTGAGCAGCAGGAGTAGAGATGCACATGTACATGCAATTCTAGTTACTATTATTACACGCTTTTCCTGCCGAAGGCAAGGTGCGTCTGCAGACAAGCTGCATGTGAAGGCTGCCATAATCCTACCCCTTGTTGGACTCGCCAGATCCAAGCAAGCCCCAATCAACCGTGGGCACGGTGCTCGGCATTCGTACATGCAATGCCATTGTGATATATAAGTAGTCCACAAAGTGATGCTCAGATCTTGGTTGCTAGGTATCTTCTGTGTCCAGCACAGATAATTCAGTGTGGCTGAACAGGCTCTGCCAAGAGCAGAACTCAGATTGGCAACCCTCTCTGATCAGAGATCAAGTCAAGAACAGTAACAAGCTTCGTCACAGCCATGAAGTGGTAAATGTCTGACATGGAGCAGTCACATGACAACCTATAGGCGCCCCTGCTGACAGTTGCATCGTTGGAAATGCAGGTGCAAGTGCCCTGCTGCCACTCCCAGGAGTCCATCAATGCAGAGGTATACCGTCCATCATCTGCTGTTGTGCATTCCTCATCGATGGTTGATCATGCCAGGCTGTACAATGTCTGCTGATCATGCGTCAACAGATTCGTCATGCATGCCAGCCTGTTCAAATTGTATAAGAGGGCGTTAAGCAATTGCATGCTTGCATGCATGCTGAAGTCTGTGTGACCCATGCAGGACCCCCTGCAGATGCTAACCAGTTATTGAACGGCAATGAGCATTGGTCTGAACTGGCAAGGAATCAAGGAGGTCACCCTCAATGGATAAAAAAATATGCATCCGAGAGGGGGAGGAACATTGCTCAGCCTCTCGATGTGCTGCCTGTATCATACGCTGAACGGATCCTAGCTACTCTGCCAGTCTTGGCCTGTCATGCAAACGCTTGCCCTTTTGCTTATATCTTTGGGGTCTCTTAGGAAACAGTGCAAGACTAATGATGTTTCCTGGGCCTGTCAGTGTGTTTGAGATTTCTTAGGAAGCTTGTGTCTGGTGCTCACCTGTAGCGGTTCTTTCCTGTCTGCTGTTAGTTTTGGGCCCTTTGATCGAATGAAGAGCTTGACCTGTTATGCTGGCAATCACAATGCTGTTGGGAATGTTGCCTGGCTGCCACGTGCCTCAGCGCTGCTAGCTAGCAGGTTCTTTGCCACAAGAAGCCCAGCGGAAGCAATATGACCTGAACCCATGGCACCAGCGCGTGTTACAACCTGTAAATAACAGATGTAAGCAAGACGTTGCAATGCAGTACCCCGGTCTCTCCCATGGCGGGCCTCTCGTTGCCTCTGGTTTACATGAGTGGGTCAGTGCCCCAGCTGACCTCATCTGTCAGACCTATGCTGGCGGAATGATCATGATGTTGATGTTGATGTCAACATCAAAATTAACATGTCAACATGCCCTGATAAGCGAACCTTTGTGACAAAGGCCCTACGGCCTGCCACTGACCAAACTTCACACCTGCCAAGCGCATGTGGCAGCTTTAGAACCAGCTGTCAAGCGTCAAAGAAGGGCAGATATGTAGGGCAATCGCTTGAAGCTGCTTCATTGAAGTCAATGATGCACATCTTCATCTCCAGCAGCAACATGCAGTTGTAACGCCCCAAATGTCAAGCCATGACTAATGGTTGACAAGGACAGCTCAGAAGCAAAAGGACTCCAAACGTCATAATTTTAGACTCACAGTGTCGGACAGCGTCCTTTCATCTCGCTCAGCACCATCCTGTGCTAGGACCTTGGTCGTCCTGCGTCACCAACTGAACGTGTGCCGCTGCAACCTTTTTCCGAAGCTCACCGATTTCCACGCATCTCAACATGAAGGGCCTCGTTTGCGTCCTCGTCGTCCTCGCCATGTGCTCTGGTGCGTGCGTAAGCAAATCCCCTGAAGCTGCTTTTCCAGCTGCTGCGACCCGTTTCCTGCATGTCGGCTGCCACAGCTGGACGCAGTCCGCATCCCTCAGCGCAATCTTGGCTGATAGATCACTGCCAGACACCTCCGATGAAGTCTCAACAGACCGAAAGGCTACCACAGACACGAGAAGCAAACGCCAAATTGTCCCTTTTAAGGCTGATGTGCACCATTGCTGTTGACATCACCAAAGAGTAAGATTGCCATGAGAAGCTGCTAAGCTTCTTTTGCGATGTGCAGGTCCTTCCTTCAAGGTCCTGGCCGATGACAGGTAAATAAGGCCAGCAAGTAATCTCCATTCCATGACTCTACTTAGCAGGGCATGCCCTCAATGCTGCATGACACTCACAGACGGTGCCCTGAGAGTATTTGAAACATTCAGATGAGTTTATTGAGTCTTGCATGCATGTAACGGTTCTCATATTCTCATGCATGATAATGATCTGAGACCTCAGGCATGATAAGATGCTCATGTGTTCTGCAGGCGCCAAGTGGCTCAACATGGGCCTGACTTCAATGTGAGTACCCTACTGGAGCCAGCACATGATGCATGTTGGCTGCAGTAACCCAGCAACCCGACTATTGCTCCTGTCTATGATGCTCTCCGTCTAGAACTCAAGATGTATCAAGTCAGAGTACGACAGATGCTGACATCTAGGCAGAGCATGTGCCAGAGTGAGCACGCTGCGCAGATATAAGCAAGCTACATGTGGGCTGGCACGTGGCAAGCTTTACTTGCAGCTTCTCTAGGCGCACGTTGCCTCTGGCAGGAAAGGCACCTATTTACAATAACAACATGATGTGGGCTGATGACTGACACAGCTTCTCCTGTGGCGTGATGCAGGAGGTCCTGACCTGGCCAGGCCAGTGGGTGGCGGGTCATCTGGGGGAACCCGGCCTCCCCCTGCCATCCAACACCCACGGAGTCTTCTCAAGCTCCTCGTCCGGTCCCCAGGGCTTCAAGGGCGCTGTGGGCCAGTTCAACAACAATGGCGTCATCGGCGTTGTGGATGAAAATGGCAACATCCGTACCATCAACTCTCCCTTTGCCACAGCACCCGTTCCAATTCGTGAGTGCCCTTCAGCAAAGTTTAGCAAACGAGACTGTTTGAATGATGCCACAGTCATCATCACATGTGAAGTGCATGCATCATGCCAAAATGAAGCTCTGCATGTGTCTTGCATGCGCAACGCCTGTGCATTTGTTGCTGTTTCTGGCAGTGACAGCAGCTCATGCGTCAGACAAGTTTGCTTCAGATATTTCAGTCTGCGCTGCGGATGCCTGCCGCAGGAGGCTGTCTCCATGATACCAAAAGAATTATTTTTGTGGCATGCGTGCACATCACATGTGGGTGCGATAGTGATAGTAGCTGCACTGTCAACAGCAGAGCTCAAGTCTTAGATGAGGCACCTCTTTGCTGCAATCCATTGCTGTGCGGCCAGAGGAAACTCTGCATATGAACTCTATGCATATTGCCTCTGGAGTGTGCCCTCTCATAAACTCTGATGCTCATAGCTCAGAAGAGGCAACTGAGTGCTGCAAGACCTTGTCGCATTTCTGTAAAGACTGCACGTGATGATGGTCAATGTGATGTCACAGGCACTTCCTGGTGGGGCTGCTGGCCCTTCTGGCGCAACTGCAACGGCATCGCTGTCACTTCCGGCGACGGGGGCAACTTTGCTGCTGCTGGTGGATTTCCTTTTCTCCTCGTTTTCTCACCCTGTGGGCATCGATATATTTGAGTCACATGCATGTCATTTCCAAAGGGAAGCAATTCTGCGCTAGATGACTGTGCGCCTGTACAGACCCTGCATGTCTCTTTGCAGGATGCCATGTCAAGTGTTGCAGACACTGGCTGCATGATTCAAAGCCAGTTGTAGCTTGTACCGTCGGCACAGTATTATTCCGATTATTCCTCATGCCCCCAGCTGCGGGGCCCCGTACGTTAACCGAGCACCGTGCCCAAGGTTGATTAGGGCTTGCTTGGGTCCGGTGAATGCATAAAGGGGTAGGATTTTGGCAGCCATCACTGCAGCTTGCCTGCAGGCGCACCTCGCCTCTTGGCAGGAACACACTTGTAACAATAGTAAGAAAAAGAATTTTTTGGAGGAAAAAACAAGCTGATGATGGTTAATATTAGTGTCAGGAATGTAAGTAGCATGTTTGCATATTGCGCAGGGACCAGCATCGGCCGCAAGCTGGCTGACTGGGGCGGCTGGCACGGCGGCCACGGTTTTAAGGGTGGCCGTGGTTTTGGCGGCTTCGGAGAGCGCCGCGGCTTCGGCGGCTTCGGCGAACGCCGCTTTGGCGGCTTCGGCGACCGCCGCGGCTTTGGCGGTTTCGGCAACCGCGGCGGCTTTGGGGAACACGGCTTCTCCGGTGCGGCTGCCACGCATGCTTCCCACCATCTCAGCCTCATTTCAATTCCTGCCGTGTCCTGTTTACCTGTTTTGCCTGGGGCAGCATCTGTGCTGTGCATGCGGTTGCCTCGAGCCAGCATCTTGGTAATGCATGATTCCACAATTGCACAATGCGAAAGCTTCTGGCAATCTCTATTGTAGCAACCTGTGTTCCTGGGGCAGCATCTGTGCTGTGCATGCGGTGGCCAGGAGGCAGTACTTCTGCAACCCATAGTTCCACATTTGCATACTGTTGACGCTTTTTTAGAACCTGTGTCCCTGGGTCAGATCCTATGCTGTGCATGCAGTTGCCCAAGGAACAGAACTTCACAGTGTCAGCTGCTTTCTCAATATAAAAGAGGGCAATACTCTTGAACACGTTTTTGCTTGCCTAAGTTGGGGCGCTGATTTCAGTGCTTAAAGAGCGCATGCACTGATGTGGGAATGCGCTCTCTCTTTTTGAGGTGCAATTACTGCTCCTGTGCAGGCCGCAAGATGCTGGGCGTGGACTTCGAGGGTCGCGAGGGATCTGAGAACCGCCGCTGAAATGGCAAACGTGGGCTGTATTGCCATGACAGCAGAGCTGCTGCCAGCATGAGCTGTCTACCTATATAGCTGTGGTAGACAGCTGCTTTTATCAAGGACATTGCGCATGTTCAAAGCATCAGTAGCATGTTGGAATTGTGCGATGTACTCAACGAGCAATGCCCAGGATATAGAGTGAACAAGGTGCAAGTGCGTGCAACAGTATCATGAATGCTTGAGAGCTGGAATTTCTCAACAGCGCAGTGCTGGCTTTCGCCTAGCCATGTTGTTCATCAAGGTTGCACCTGCTTTGAGCAGCCAGGCAAGGTTTTCATGGCATGTTGTGCTTTGCCGTGCGATTGGTACCTGATGTTCATTTGTGTTGCATTCTGCATTCAGTAAAAGTGTGCGAAAGAGCACCCTTGACAGCTCAAGAGGAGATTCCCATACAGAGTGTTAGAAGGGTCAAGGTTGCTCCAAGCACAATGTTGTGATTGCAGATGAGGTGTTATGATGACACCTGGCCTTGAAACCAGTGAGATGTTTGCTTGGTGTGATAAAGTGGGGCCTGGACTTGCTTTGTTCATGTGATGTAATTCCACATCTTTATGAGCGGTGGCCATGTCTGAACCCATATATCCCATGCCATCCCTCATATACCATTGGATACCAGAACATCACAGGGTGTACAAGAAGCCTGGACATATTGTTGTGCTGGGCACGTGTGCAGACTGCAAGTGCAATTTGAAGCATTTGTTGCCGGTGCTCTGGCAAAGACCGTGCCTGCAGCAGATTTCGACGGCCGCACAGCTTTGTAGCACCCTTGACTAAATGCACAGCATCGAATTTTGTAAAGGAAGCTGGCGGTGACATGTTTTGGCCATCTTATCATCTGGCTGAGTCATCCAGGTGCATGTCGCACAAGGCCCCACTTGGCAGATTTGACTAACCAGCGTGACAGCTCTGCAACAGCTGCTGCTTGCTGAGACCATACAGATGGTGCCTTCCTGTACCTTTCTCCTAATCAGCAAAACAATTGCTGGAAAGATCTTTTGTGTTGCAATTGGTCCTTTCTCAGCCTGTGCCAGCGTCGACAAACGACATTTCGGCTTCGTCATCATCGGGTCTCAGCGCTCGCCAGCCTCATCGAAGGAAAGGATCCGCAGCAACTCGCTCTGCTATTCCGGTGATTTGTATCTCTGGCTTCGATGGCTCTGAACAAGGTCCTGGCGTGTCTTTCCCTGGTCCTGTTTGCGGTCTCCTCGGGTGCGTGACTCTCCTTAGTGCGTGAATGTTCTCCCTACAACTTATTGGGAAGTTGCGAGATAGTCGTTGGATGTGCCAGTGTAACCGCGCTGAGCTTTTCTGACACGATCGAGCCGTGAGAGAACGTTTCGAAAGATGCCATCGAACATTTCATGCATGAGCTCTCAAACATACTTGCTTGCGTTTGGTCTGGGTGTCGAGGAAGCCCCCTCTTTACCCCAGACATATCAACAGACGTCTTTGCATCTCGAATTTCAAGCTGCAGTTTGACAACAAGGCTTAAACAATGGTGTCTCATGTGCAGGACCACCCATTGGCGCTTCAGCAGAGATCAGGTAATGTCAGCACTAAACCCACTTAACACCTTGAAGTTCAGCGAATTGCCTGCATCAGGGGAGGATCCGTTGCATGTTGATGTTTCTTTCATCTGCTGCCTTTCTAGACACCTTCGCAGCTTCAAGCTCGACGAGGCTGACTCCTTGTCGCTTTGACCCGCAGTGAAGTTGTGGACGTCAATTATGTGAGTGCTCATTCCCAATCACCATGACAAATCACACGTGACAAATATCCTCAATTTGATGTGTCGACTACTGGTGAAGGGACCGCCTGCTTCAGCACCATATCTGAAAAAGCATGCTGGCAGGGATTCAGACACATTATGCCATGCAGATGCAGGATGGCATCTGGTGCAATCTTTGGTGCTCAAGACTTTGCATGCATCATGGCTGGTCCGGCTCTAAAGGTAACTGGGTGTTTGCTAATGTGCAGGGGATCTCAAACCCCTGCGAGTGGGTCGAAGAAGTGATTGGAGGAATTCCTGCAGACAGAATTGCCTTTGACAGCCAAGGTACCGTCTCCAGCTCTCCAGCGCACTTCCCATGAGAGATGCACCTGCATGCGCAGTATAATTTGGTAGTTTGAAGCATGCACACACTCATGCATGGGCATGCAGACGCTCCATGCCATCCATCATGCCTGACATGTTGACATGCAGCTGTCCTGCTGGTAAACAGAAAGTAATTGGCCACCCTCACTAAGTGAGGGTAACCCCCATCGCACGCCCCATGAGACATGCGCCTGCATGTGAATCATCCATGACAGCCCTTCCGGCTGTTGTTGGCATGGGGAAGTGCATGTTCTGTCTGGCCAATTGCTACCATGCACCAAAGTAAAATGCAGGAGAATGCGATTGGGCACTTCAGCCACCACATGCCATTCCATGAATCTTGCCATGATGAAATACAGCTGTCCTGCTTGTACTTTACCAGGGAGCAACTGGTCTGTATGCTCCATGTTGCTGGGAATGGTGTCTTGTGTGCAGGGGTTGCTGCCCTCTCCATTTATATGATGCTTCTAACTGGGTGAAATTGATTTTCACTAAGTAATGCATCTTGGGCTGTGACTGCAGGTTGCCGCAAGCTGTTGAGCTCTGCTGTAGAGGATTCTGCGGCCTTCGAAGAGAACTGGGAGCACACCCGCCCGGCACTGACCTCGCCAGGTGGACCTGCAAAACCCACTCTCCCTGATTATTGCACGCTCACTCACAACCAATAAATCTTGCTGGATGCTCCTTAAAAGTTGACAGTGGGTGTGAGACCCATAGACGTGTCACCAGAACTGTTTTTTCCAATGTTTACATGTCATGCTGGGCGCTGACATTGAGTCCTGAAGTCTGGCATGGGATGAGCCCTAACCTGGCTGGAAGCTATGTGGTGTAATTGACTGATAGAGTGACTGTACATGATGACCCAGTGACCTTGCATGTGCTGGCATGCAGGCGCTCGCCGCCTGGCCGACTGGAGGCGTGGCAGCCGCTTCAATGGCGGCGGCTCTTCCGCAGCTGCGGCAGCCGCCGCAGCTGCCGCAGGTATGTTTCTGACCACTGCTTCTGCTGTCGTCATGGCTGTCGTCATGGCATATTCTGCGGCCCTGGCTGGCGGGGGGCGGTTTAAATACGGAGCATTGTGCCCACAGTTAGTTTGGTCGGTATTGGATCTGGCGAGTCCAACAAGGGGTCGGATTGTGGCAGCCTTTAACTGCAGCTTGTGTGCAGGGCGCACTTTGCCTCTTGGCAGGACAAGTGTATTGGTAATAATTATACAAGGTGAAAGGCATGGCATTGAAGGATCGCTCATGTGCAAGCAGGGAGGAACTCGGCAGCGGCGGCTGCGGCTGCGGCGGCTGCCTGTCGTGGGCGTAAGCTGACAGAGCACGAGCATGAGTCAGCCTCAGCAGGTGTGCAACTGCCCCTGACTCTTGCGAGAGAGAGAGAGAGAGAGAGAGAGAGAGAGAGAAAGAGAGAAAGAGAGAGAGAGAGAGAGAGAGCCATTCTGGAAATCAAAAAGCATTTGTAAGACTCCCAGATCAGGATGGTTGACAAAGGCATTTTAAATCATGCGCAGGATGTAAGAGGCAGTGTCCAGGATAATGCAGGATTCAGTAGTGCTGATTCTGCTGCACAGGCATCTGTTAAACTCCTAGGATCAGGATGGTTGACCAAGGCAATTTGTGAATGCGCCTGCCTCTTGAGGCAGTACCAAGGACAAATGCAGCAATCAGTAGTGCTGGCGTTGTTTTGCTGTACAGGTGGCCGCAAGCTGGCCGACTGGTGGGGAGGAGGCTTCAACCGCTTTGGTGGCAGCTCGTCCGCTGCCGCCGCTGCAGCTGCGGCAGCCGCAGGTGTGAGTATATACTTTTGTGGTGTGGACATGCATCCGGCAGTGGACACCCTAAGCCAGCACCCCCTGGAAACACTTGGCAGTAATCAGAAGGAACTAGCCTTTCCTTCACGGCAGGAAGCTCATAAGAAGATATCTTAGCGGGCTTGAGAGGCCAATGCATTGTTACTTCTGCGGTTCAAGGCCTTAGGCCTTTGGTAATTTTGGATAGAAAGCTTTGTATACGTGCCTTCATGCTGTAACTGAAGTAGAACAAAATTAGAATTGAGAGGAACAGTGCCAACTGCAGCAATTACACGGGGATGCTGTGCTGCCAGGGAGGAACTCGGCAGCTGCAGCGGCGGCTGCCGCAGCAGCTTCCCGGGGCCGCAAGCTGGCGGAGTGGGACCACGGCAGCTCAGCAGCAGGTAACCTCTAGGTTCACTTTGGCAGCAAGGTTCTCAGAAGCATGGATTGCCATTTGTAACATTTGTTCAATCAGGCTTGCGGCCAACTGATGTACGGTGCTTATGGAACTCACTGCAGGAGATAGGATAAACAGTGAGTCAAATTTGTGCTGTGGTTGCCGAATATTGTACACAAGCCTATGATTGCCATTGCAATGCATGCATTGGTGAAAAAGTTCCCGCGTGGGCTGAGCAAGTGCTAGGAACTTGAACAATTATTGATTCCCGCTCCTGTAGTTGAATTGATGAAAATATTTGCCGTGTGGGGTGAGCAGGTGCTCGCAAGCTGAACGACTGGGGCGGCGGCCGCTTTGGCGGCGGCGGCCGCTTTGGCGGCGGCAGCCGCTTTGGTGGCGGCGGCGGAGGCGGCTCCGCGGCAGCAGCTTCCAGCGCAGCTGCCGCTGGTGGTGGTGCGAACAGTTCCTCTTGTTTACTGCAAATTATTCAACGCGCTTTCCCTGCCAGAGGCAAGGTGCGACTGTAGACAAGGTGCATGTAAAGGCTGCCAAAATCAAGCAGGACTTGCCAGATCCAAGCAAGGCCCAAACAACCGTGGGCACGGTGCTCAGTATTTGAATTGCCCCCCAGCAGCCAGGGCCGAAGGACCAAGTATCACTTCACTTTGTTAATATGGTAATCTTCCATCAAGGCAAACTGCTAGCAATCATAAACAGCAGCCATGAGTTCAGCAGTCTGCTGGCAGCAGTGCTCTCTCCGGGAGGAGGAGCTGTGACTGCTAGATTTGCTGCAGCGAACTGAGCTGGGACTGTCCTTACACTGGTGCATCATTATTTTTATAGAGGGGCAAGCAAGTCAGAAGGACAACAAAAAGAAAGGCCTGGCAGTTGGGGTTCATCCCTCTACTTAGTGTGTTCCAGGGCGCTCGATGAAGGTCCCCAGAGGGGCAAGGGATGTTGAGAGCCCTGAATGCACTCAATCACCTTTTGCTCTGCACACAGGAGGCCGGGACGGGGGTTCAGCCGCGGCCGCAGCTGCGGCAGCTGCCGCCGCCGGGCGCAACTCTGCCGCCGCCGCTGCAGCCGCAGCCGCCGCGGCGGGGTGAGCGATTATTACCCCTTGTGGCTGCAGCCCTGCCAAGGGGGTCAAGAAGAGCAACAATGCAATCACCGCCCATTGCATGCAAGGAAGAGAACGGGACATGGTCCGCTTGTGTGGTGCTGTACTTGGAGTGTTGAAGTCCTGCAGAAGCTCTGAGCTGCCCAAAATCTGGAATTATGCGCAATCCCTCTCAGCGGTGCACTGCTGAATTTTGAACAGGGGATGTTTGAATTTTGTGTTCCTAACTGCATTTGCAAATCTGTGGAGTAATCCTGCCTGTGTGTTGATGCTGTGACTTTGCCCTGATGCTTAGGCATGAAGAGCACCCTTGACGAAGTGAATGATGCCCTGCTCGATTGAAGCAGGGTGTCTTCAAAGTTGGGTCAAGGTTGCTCTCTTAGCTATTGATTGAATGCTGATGTGCTTCCAATGAAGCTGAATATTGCTTGGCTTGCAAAAATCCTGCCATTGCAAGCACGTGCTGTTGCGTATGAGACACTACCCTGGATGTAAACGCTTGTGAAAAATGACAGACGCTCCCTGGTCTTCTCCGGTGTTGATGCATTGCATGGTCACATGGCACTTCTCAAGCAGGGTATAAGCAGCTGTTGGCAGCATGCAGTAAGGCAGCACACTTTCTGCAGTCTTATCCTGGTTTTCTGCAATACTAATCCTTGTCCAAATCTGCATTTTATTGTCTTGCATGCCAGTAAAATGCGTGATGACCTGCCTCTCACAACAGGCTCCTTTGGCTTGGGAAAGAACAGCTGCCAAGTTTCTGCATGCACACATGCATGCAATCTACTAGAGCCTGGTACAAGTAAGATGGCTCTCACATATGTCGTGGCAGGAGAGGGCTTGCTTCATGTTCCTCATCATGAGAGAGTCACCAGGGGGCCATAATTACGACTCTATAGTAGTGGTTGTGCCACTCAAACTCTCCGATGTTCTGTTTGGGAGTTGCTTCGGAAATTACTGTCTATGCATCACCTGGCTGCATTATGCATGCGCCAGATGGTGGCACGGCGCTGCCCGGGCGCTGTTCGCCCATTACCTCATTTTCGATCCCGGACAGCTGCCCCCTTTCTCGGTCGCTATAAAAGGCGACCTGCTCCTCTCACCACATAAAACTTTCAAGTCTTCTATGCTTTCTTGCCTTCGCTTACAGCTGAGCACATCCGTTCAGAGTTTCTGTGCTCGAGGCTGTGCCGACTCCGTCTCTGACCTCCTCGCCTGAGCTCGACTCCAGTCGCCGACGTCAACATGGTTGCTCTCCGACACCTGATGCTCTTCGGCCTTCTCGCCCTGCTAGCAGGTCTGTCCTCTCTTCCTGGCTCCCTGCCTGTCCGGCCCAGACAATGAGCGTCTAAGGTTGGCAAAACCATGCTCTCGGAACACTTTCCGAGAGCGCCTGAACCAAAGCTGCTGGGCACTGTCATGCCAAAAGGGCATCCGAAGTGTTCAATACCTAAAGGATTTCAGCTTGCCTTGCTGCTCTGGTTGTCCTTGCCGGCAAAGAATGCCTGATCTTGTTTCAGGTTCCGGTTTCGGAATTCAGCGGAGTAGACGAAGTGCCATGCACGTCAGGGTGTGGTTCTTAAGTACAGCACAACTTCTTTCCTTATTTCTTCCTTTGTGGTGCTCAGGCGCCTGCGCAGCTCAGGGAAGCCGCAGGCTGCTCCGTGACAATGACTCCGTCCAGGGCTCGAACGGCAATAACGGTGGCAACAATGGCGGCTTTGGCACCGATAACATATTCCAGGGCCTGGGAAACGGCTTCAAGGGCTCTGACACCTCCTTCCAGGGCTTCAACAACAACTGGCAGACACCCGAAGGCAACTTTCAGGGCGGCAACTGGTTCCAGCCCATGATGAACACCATGCCCACAGGTGACTTCCTTGGCTGTGTTTGTCGGGCATTCTGCAGCAACAGCAGAGACTGCTTTGCACCTGAAGTCATCCGCTGTGGTGTCCTGACTCTGCAAACTGTGGGGCTTCTCTTGCTGAGATCTTGATTCTTTCACAGCAATGTGTTGCTTTGCGCTCTGGTTCTGCCTTGGCAATGGGTAATATTATCGCTGTACGGTATTTTGCAGACAAGGAGGGAGCGGCTGCAGCAGCAGCTGCCGCAGCCGCAGCCGGGGGCCAGGGCGCAGCCGCAGTGGCAGCAGCAGCCGCCGCAGCAGGAGGTGCGCACCTCTCACTGTGTTTCTCTTGCCACATTCATGCATTCTTGCCAGTCAGTCAGTAAGGTGACATTGCTCCCAGCCGAATAAGGGCTGATCAAATGCCCCACTCTGATGCCTGTGCTGCAAGCAACCTATGCTGCAGAAGATGCTGCTGTCAAATAATGTCAGTCCAATATATTTCTACAACTTGCCGAATGTGCATCCGCAGGTCAGGGAAGTGCGGCAGCAGCCGCCGCCGCCGCCGCAGCTGCAGCTTCTGGTACGTGTGATCTTTTTTGCATGGATATCAAACTGCTTCTCGTATCTGCAACAGGCAGAAGCACAGGTTGCTGTGCCCGAGGGTATTGTCAGATTCTTGCTAAACCAAGGTTTCTCGTGTGCAGGCACTGGTGGAGCCGCGGCCGCCGCGGCAGCAGCAGCGGCTGCAGGAAACAATGGCGCGGCTGCAGCCGCAGCCGCCGCTGCAGCAGCCAGCCAGATGGGCAACAGTGAGCGCATCTGCATTTGAATGCTCTATACCATGATTGTCACTGGTGCAAGGGCTGCTGTCGATACTTAAAGCTACAAGGATCTCTTGATGTGGTGTAAGACATGCATTCTGCATTCCTTTTTGCAAAAAGCCCACCTCTGAAGCCCATTGTTGTATTGGACTGCAGGTGCTAACGGAGCGGCAGCGGCAGCAGCAGCCGCCGCCGCGGCAGGGGGCAACGGCGCAGCGGCCGTCGCGGCGGCTGCGGCCGCGGCAGGAGGCGCCGGGAGCGGAGCCGCGGCAGCCGCCGCCACTGCAGCAGCTGCAGGTACAACCAGTTTCCCCCCCTTGCCATATTTTGCATTATTCACTGCTTGACATGCTTAGCCCGAGGCGGTCAATATGTCGGTTCAAAGCATCAGCTGCTCTGCATAAAAATTACCAATGCGCCTTGATCACCTGGTGCTTGCAGCATGTAAAAGGCATGTTCTTACCAACAGAACACATTTTTGCTGAATTCATTGCAGGCCAGAATGGAGCCGCTGCAGCTGCGGCCGCGGCAGCAGCAGCCGGCGGGAGCAGGCGCAAGCTGCTCCGCGACAATGAATCCAACCAGGGCTTCAGTGGCAACAATGGTGGCAGCGGCGGCTTCAACACCTTCAACTTCCCGGACACCTCCTTCAGGGGCTCCAACAACGACAGACAGACATCCAATGGCAACACCCAGGGCAGCGACTGGTTTAAGGCCATGTGGAACACCATGCCCACAGGTGAGCGCCCTCTGACAGATATAGCTGTCAATTTCAAACTCGAGTGCTGCACTGTTGTTAGCACGTTGTTGTCAGCACTGTTGTAAGAAGATGCCACCGAGTACTCCAAAATGAAGTGATGGACTGACTATACACTGCTCAAGCCTGCTGCCCTACCTGTTCTGTGCTGGCATGGGTGCGCTTACAGAGCAGTGTCTGGTGATATCTGCAGACAAGGAGGGGGCGGCCGCAGCCGCAGCCGCCGCGGCCGCTGCCGGGGGACAGGACGCAGCCGCAGTGGCAGCAGCAGCCGCTGCAGCAGGAGGTGCGCTCAAATTAAATGCTCTTTCCTTCCTTTTGGCTGTGACACTGGCTAATTCTGAGTATTTGCATGCAAGCCCCTGTACCGCTAAAGCCTGCCATTCTGGACGCATGCAAAAAATCTGGAATTGCAAGGGGATCTTGAAAATCTTCCTGGCGGCGTCCTGCAACTATCAGCATTTGCTGCATCGGTGTCAGCAGACCGCCTTGACTGAATCCTGAGATGTGTATCTGCAGGCCGGAAAAGCGCGGCAGCCGCCGCAGCCGCCGCCGCTGCAGCTTCCGGTGAGTTTGTTCATGCACCATTCAAGGACAACTGATTACTCAGGCGTCCATGTGCTGACAAGGAGCAGAGCCTAGACTCAAGTTTTCCCATAAGTCGGCAATAGCTGAAGGACTTGGTTTCCCTTGGGATGCTTATTGGTGTTCTTCTCACCTGCAGGCAACGGCGCAGCTGCGGCCGCAGCGGCAGCAGCGACTGCAGGAAACAACGGTGCTGCAGCGGCCGCTGCAGCCGCTGCAGCTGCCGGCCAGATGGGCAACGGTGAGCTTCCTGGGCATCTGACAAGGAGACGACATGCAGGCTCATGTTCTGACTACATCAACTACATTGAATATAAGAAGCCCATTGTCTTCATTCAGGCATGATAATGCATGTGCGTGAGGGGTGCTCTCACAGTGGTTTTGAAAGGGAAAGAAAGTCCTGAAGAACATCAGGGACGTATCCAAATAAACGTGTGATAGTCCTTGCTGTGGCATGCTGCAGGCGCAAATGGAGCGGCAGCGGCAGCAGCAGCCGCCGCTGCGGCAGGAGGCAACGGCGCAGCGGCCGTCGCGGCGGCTGCGGCCGCGGCCGGAGGCGCCGGGAGCGGAGCCGCGGCAGCCGCCGCCGCCGCAGCAGCGGCAGGCCAGAACGGAGCCGCCGCAGCTGCGGCCGCCGCCGCTGCAGCCACTGGTACGCACATATCTTGTTAGAGGGAAAAAAATCCCCACCCTTATCCTTACAAACCTGGCAGCAGCAGGTGCTCCATTGCTGTTGCCTGGTCAGCTTGAGGAAGGTACTCTGGTTCCTGCAGCTGTCACTGAGATCTTGAGTGCTCCTTTTAATGTGGATTGCACTGCTTGCAGGCAGGAATGGCACCGCCGCAGCTGCTGCTGCGGCCGCGGCAGGAGGACGCTAGACGTGGAGCAGACTGCGCTCAAGTGCGTGAAGAGTTCAATTTTAAGAGAGGAGGAAACAATGAACTGTCGTTTGGACTGTAATGCGGCCGGTTTCAGTCAGTTACAGACGCTTGCTCGTTTTGAAGGTAGCGCACAGCGCATTGAATTAGAACAGCTCTATGTGAGAGGCTTGCCATTTGCTTAGACTGTGCAGACTGAACGCATGCAACAACCTTGGCAGGACATGTATTGCTCATTGTTCCCAGAAGTTGTCTTTGGTTTCAGACTGTATTTGATTTCCTTTCCGGCTATTCTTGTTCAATAATGTAACTTCTGGTCAGTACTCGGTGTAATGCATTTTATCTGCTCATATCCTAGCCTGAAGCCAAGACCATCAATATCGCTGTGGCCTTTTCTTATTCTGATCAATACACTGCGCATGCATGCATGCATGCATGTATTGACCCAGTCATGTAGCATTGCGCTGAGACGTACACAGCATCCTTTGAATAGTTTCAGGCCACGAGGAGCTCAGCATTTGCCTGCACTTCGACTCTCCACGGCTCAAAACATTAAAGCCAGTGCAGCCTAGGATCTCCAGGGAACATGACACTCTCTTACGGCACTTAGAACGCAAGAATTGAATCCCTGCTTGGACAGCCGCAAGAATTGGCAATGTGCAGAGGACACCTTTGTACGTCCAAGCACCTGCCAGAGAGCCAGTGGTTGCTGTTAATCTTCGCCCAATGAATTATGAATTAATTGAACTATTCAGAGAGCCAGCAGCCTCCTGCATCTGCCTCTGGTGCCCTCCAGAGACAATACGCTCCCTCTGAGATGCAACGTCGACATGCCACACAAGTCTGTGCCATGTTTACTATCGGAATACCAACTGCCCTGCAGTGGCTTGAAATCTTCCTGCACTCTACCATGCCAGCACCATAAGCTGGACATCACAGCGGCGGCTCAAACGATGGGTACACCTGAAAAGAGTTTTTCCACGAGGAATGACATGGAAAAGTAATTGCCTCTGACTCACGCGCACATGCTGAGCCAGGTTCCAGCTGCCGCTGGCTCCGGGTTCCATTTGCCTGACTCATCCGATGCATGGCACCGATCTGTCATGCCACTCGACTTAAATGAAAAGGCGATTTAAAACATAAAGACTTGAATCCCACTGCACCAAAACGCGTTTTACTTCCTGACGCTTGCCGTTCAGCGTGCTTGAGAGGGTCCGATCAGGCTACCGTTCGGACGAGCCGTCAGCGTTCACGACTGGCAAACCCAGCGCCGTCCTGTCTTCGTCTCTCCTCCTTCTTGGAAATTCTAAAAGCATGGAGCCGTCGAATGCTCGACTCTTGCCCTTCTTTGGGCTCCTTCTGTTGATGGCAGGTGCGTTCAGAGACGACCGGTCCTGCACCATTATCGATCGCTGCTGACGCTGCAACGCAGTCGTCCTGCAGCTGCCTAGATGTTCTTCTCGCTTTCGTGGCCCTGACAGGCGTCGCAGCTTCGAAATTTAGTTTGGACAGGTCTGAAAAATTAAGGACGAGCTTTACAAAGTTTTCACGTTATTCTGAAACTGCCACCAGGCATCGCAGCAGGATCGGTCGGAGAGCGTCCGCCCGTGTTGGAGCCTTTCCAAGCGGTGGATTTCATGGGTTGTGGGGCAATTGTCATGGAGCCTGCCAGGCTTGCAGGTGAGAAACAGTCGGCAGACAGCAGTCCTGCTCATTCTGAAGCGTGTGAGAAGTCCTTTCTGCTTGCATGTGCCTCTTGAGACTAGGTTCAAGAACTTCAATGGAGAGTCAAAAAGCCCGGTTGTGCATTCGAAGAAGGCTTTCATCTTCAGCTGCTTCATGTGTGGCCCATGGCGCAAACGTCAGTACACGCATGATTGCCTGGTAGTGACATGTTGCACATGGGCCAAATATGAAGGCAGCTCTCTGAGAAAAGGCTTTCAGAAAAGCGTGTGCCTGTTGTGCTCAGCTACAAGCTGATGAGCAGCAGAGAGCTTGCATGCATTGGCCAATATTTAATTGCTCAGGCAGGTTCACTATGAATGACATGGCTCTTGTGGCCATGAAAATTTGAAGCAATTCAAAAGCCTTCACTTATTGTTACATTTCAGAGACCTTTGGGAGCCAGCTGAGGCTCGTTGGTCTTGTGGGCAGTCTGTCACTGCCCATCTTCAAATCATAAATTTCTAATGTGTCTGCATTCTGTTCATAAATTTGGCAATACTGATACTGTTCTGGCCCAAAATTGTATGCAAACAAGGTGGTGCAGAACCAAATAGCTCCATGTACTTCACTGTTGACGTGGCAAATAACAGCCGTCATCTGGACTGCACCACATGTGAGCAAATTCTAATAATTGAACTTCAAATTTGAATTTTGGATTCGCAGGCGGCCGCAAGATGCTGCAGGGCCCAGGGGCGAATCAGGGCTCCCAGGGGTCATTTCAAGGCAACCGGGGCGGCGGCTCTCTTTCCGCCAACCCCGGCAGTGCAGGTACCAGCCAGCCTCAGAGAAGCGCTGTCATGAGCCAACCTGAAAGAAGCATAAGCCAGCCTGAGAGGACCGCTGTCATGAGTCAGCCTGAAAGGAGGGAAGTTACAAACCAGGGAGGCAACAATCCCTTCTTTGGAGGCCTTCCCGCTCGCACCATTATGCCTGCCGGCACAGGTCCTACTGTGATGGAATATTCTCTTAACATGATTTTATTGTTGATTTCTGCCAAATTTTCAGAGTTATACTGCGAGGCAGCCCTTTCTCCTTATTGTCGGCCCTCGCCCTGCTTTAATGTTGAAATCAGCATTACATTTTCTCTAATGTGTTTTGATGGCATGCCGGGTGCTGACTCTGAGCACCAGAGTCAGGCACCTGGTCAGCCCTGAGTTGGGTTGGTAAGACATGCCGCATGGCTGCAGACGCACCTTGCCTCTGGCAGGAACACCGTGTATGAATATTATTAGAATTTCGAGTATGTGAGTGAGTGATGACTGATTGACTGCCAAGCAGGCATTACTGGGGGAAACCCTGCCGCCACCGGTGGGAACCCTGCCGCCACCGGGGGGAACCCTGCCGCCATCGGGGAGAACCCTTCGCAGCTGAGGGGCCCAACCAATCCCACCACCACCGGCGGCACAACGATGCCCAGTGGAGCCACAGGTTGGTCCTTCAACCCCTGCCTCTTTCAATTTTTAGCCTGCATTGACTGGCTAAATTCCTAGCTAGAAAGTGAGCCTGGTCATTTGCATATTATGGGCACTCTTGCAGGCTTCTTTCTGCAGATTGCACTTTGAATGTGACCTAGGCGTTTTGACATGCACAGGGGGGCCCACAGGGGGAACCACTGGGGGAACCTCTGGCACCACTGCAGGGGGGACCACAGCCGGAGGCACACAGGGCCAGCGGGGTGGCACTGCCGGCGCCGGAACTGCTGGTGGCACTACCGGGGGAACCCAAGGCAGAGGTAGCCAACCACTTGTCCTCTAGAATGGCATCACCATTTATATGACGGGCCTGATAGATAACCTCATCTCATCATCTCTGCTAACCCTGCCGAGCCAACATCTGCGTTGCCCCAAGGACACAGTCTCATGCTTGGCGCAGCAATAAAAAGAATTTGAGAATTGGAGAGTGTGAGCTGGCACCCAGCTGTGAAATGCCTTGTTACAAATGCTGCTGATAACTTCATGATGGAAAGGTGTGGTGTACTGAATATTTTCCTGAATGCAGATCCCGGCGCGGCAGCGGCAGCGGCGGCGGCTGCGGCCGCAGCGTCCGGCAAGGATGCAGCAGCTGTTGCGGCAGCTGCAGCGGCAGCTGCCGGCGGCGGAGGCAACGCAGCCGCAGCAGCGGCGGCTGCAGCAGCCTCTTCTGGCGTGTCCTTCCTTGGCCTATCTATTCCCCATGCATACAAGTCTGCCATTGCACTCTGTCTCCTTCCACTCTAGATGTTCCTCAGCATCAAATATTATATGCATTCGCATGCAGGCAAGAACGGCGCTGCAGCAGCGGCGGCTGCAGCAGCTGCGGCCAGCGGCTCAGGCGGTGAGTCATTTCAGCCCATAATGCATCCTCGTGTCATTATTATATTTATTATTACACGCTTTTCCTGCCAGAAGCAAGGTGCGTGTGCAGTAAAGGCTGCCAAAATCCTACCCCTTGATGGACTCGCCAGATCCAAGCAAGACCCACTCAACCGGTGAGCACGGTGCTCGGTATTTATACCGCCCCCCGCCAGCCTCGTGTCATGTCAACTATAAAGTCACCTGTTCAAATTATGCTAGAACTCATGTAGACAAATTGTCAGCTACGGCGCGACATCTTTTTCTCAATTACAAGTCCAGGCCAAAGACAGAGGACATCCATTCACACGGACTCAGAAGGCTTCCATGAGGTTGAGAATGTATCTAAACGGCAGCGTGAGGTCCCAATCTACTGAACCGTGCGCCGTACTATAACAAACTGACCCCTGTGCACATGCAGGCGGCAACGGCGCAGCCGCGGCCGCAGCGGCATCCGCGGCGGCCTCCGGACAAGGTGCAGCGGCAGTCGCAGCAGCTGCCGCAGCGGCCGGCGGAGGCAACAGCGCGGCAGCTGCCGCTGCAGCAGCGGCAGCATCCTCCGGTGCGGCACATTTCCATGAACCTTATCTCACTTGCAATTTTGCTGTCCTCAGAGCCATCTCACTCCCCCAAAACGTGGCAAATCTGTGTGAAGTTCGACTGCAATGCAGCAACGTGATGTGATGCATGGCTTGCGTTACCGGAAACCTCGCTGGCACCTCTGTCTACACATGTGGCAAAGTTTGTGAGTAACTTGGTGGGCATGCAAAATGATGATGTCATGCATGGCTTGCAGTGCTACACCCCTCAGTGGCATCAGGAGACAGAGCTCTGTTTTCACAAACATGGTCAGATTTGTGTTGAACTTGGTTGCAATGCAGTGCCATAGTGTCATGCATGGCTTGTGGTTGATGCGCAGGCCAGAACGGAGCGGCTGCCGCGGCGGCTGCAGCGGCTGCGGCGGCTGCCGGTGGCGGCGGCGGGGGCACAGCTGGCGCCAGCGGGGCCGGTGCTTCTGGCGGCGGTGGTAAACTCCCCCTTGCCCTGAGCTCAAGTCCCAGGTTCCTGATGACTGTTTGAAATGTCAGAAAAGCTTTCAAGCAGCACCACTGACACAAATCTCTCATGCTGACCTTCAATCCTGAATCCTGAAGATACTGGCAGCTGCGTGCTGCACGTCAAGGCATGTTGCTATTAAACAGGCAGTGCATGCGATGCACATGGTACCATAGTATGAAGTACTCCCCCCCACAGTAATTCACAGATCTCCAAAGCTCGCAGTTCTTCCCAGTTTTAAACGCAGGAGGCTGGATGGCAAGATTAATGGCAGCAGGCATTGCGGGACATGAGAGGGCCAAGGTGATGTATGCATGTGTCAGGTGGTGAGGGCGCCGCGGCGGCAGCAGCAGCAGCAGCCGCAGCATCTGGCAACAGCGCTGCAGCCGTCGCAGCCGCTGCAGCCGCAGCCGGAGGCGGCAACAGCGCGGCAGCGGCAGCAGCAGCCGCCGCAGCCTCGTCTGGTGAGTTACAGCCCCGGAGCTGTTTCCCAAGGGTTTTGATCGCATTGTTGCCCACCAGTAAGGGTCTTGTAGACCACGTTGAAGGAAGAGAACGGAGGAAAGCCGACCATAGAAGCCTCATAAGCTGGTTGTAACGATATCAGTCTCTTGATCGTGATGCGCTTGCGCAACAAGGGCAGCTTACATCACACTTATGCTGCAACAGCATGCATGTGTCTGTGGCATGACTACTTTATTGAACAGCATCATTGAAAAACAGAGAGCCACCCGACTGTGGTCTCAGGATGCTTTGCAGATACCGGTTTGGGCTTATTCTGTGTCTCCATCTGATATCCGTACACGGTATATCTGAGAGGGGCGTTGTTTTTGCTTTGTTCAGGCAAAGACGGTGGCGCGGCAGCCGCTGCAGCGGCAGCAGCCGTGGCCTCTGGCGGTGCGTTTCACCCTTTCTCACTCTCTTGAGGTTACTAATTAAGCAACGGTTGTCGTTGGCAATGCCAATCTCACAGCTTGTTTATCATACAAGTATACCTGTTTTCAATGTCAGATCAACAGTCCTGCATGCAGCCAGATGGCGCAATGAAAGCACAAGAGGTTGGAGCATGCCTGTGACTTGACATGTAGGAATCGTATTTACTGGCAGCAGAGTCAAAAGTTCCTGTGATTGGCAGGTCGCGGCGGCAATGAGGCCGCCGCAGCAGCTGCTGCAGCGGCAGCAGCAGCTTCCGGAAACAGCGCGGCCGCAGCAGCCGCCGCCGCAGCCGCAGCAGGAGGTAATTGTTTTACATTCCCTTGCGCTTAATGTCTTTGCCCTTCTGCTTCATCAAGAAAACTGACCCGCTTGATTTCCATTACATCTTGATCAAGTCCGTGGGCTCTGTTGGACTCTGTTGCTGGCAGCAATGATCTTGAGTGGGCTTTGTGTGCAGGCGGCAACAGCGCGGCAGCTGCAGCAGCCGCCGCAGCAGCTGCCTCAGGTGTTTCTGTTTTCCTGAGACAGTGGTTTGAGCCTTCCATTGTTGAAGCCACTGTGGTAGTGTACAATCGGAGCAGAGTCGATGCATGCACCTCCTGAATTTGACGTCTCTGTGCAGTTTCCCATACAAAAACGTGTGTTTTGTTTGTTCAGAGTACCCTAAAGTGGCTTGATTTATTTCCCTGGGTATGTTTTTACTCGGAGGTTTTGATGTGTCAGGCAAGGGACCATGGGATGCAGCGGCGGCTGCAGCGGCAGCAGCTTCATCTGCAACTGGGCGCTGAATGCTCAGAAGACTTCCTTGACAAGACCAAGGAGCCTTCTTGAAGTCCAGAGGAATAAGGAAGTTGTGGAAAGGGACACTGCTGAACTGCAAGCTGTGACTCGCTTCTGACGATACTGAAAACTGCTTGCAGAATGCTGCCAAGCTGGTGTGGATTTCAATCAGGCCCTTTTTCATTTTGAGGTTCACAAGAAGAAACAACACCAGGCAATACTTGATCTGCTTACACAAAGCTCGGCATGTCACACACGGATATTGCCATGCTTGATTTGAGCCATGATTGTGTTGATGAGTCACCCAGCTTGCAAGACATGATCAGTAGGATTCCTTTGTTTGATTGTGACTGGGTGCTACATGCACTATTGATGCCAATGATGAGCTTGCCTTACTTTGCTGCTGACATTGTTGAAGAGCCTTGCTTGCTGCCTTGCAGTTGACGTAACATCTGTAACACATGAAAATGTTGCTGATCCTCCTGTAGAGTCCCATGCATGCGCTGCCAGAAGCTGATTGCAACACGAGCTTGCACCTGTCAAATCTTGAAGCTTTTCTTTGCTGTCACGTGCAAGTGCTGACCAAGCATCCAGATGGAGCTATTTCAAAGGTCACTGCATGTCCGCGTGCCAGCTGACAATCTCAGCATAACTTGAAGATCTTCTCCCAAAGCTGAGAGAACTCAAAGTGCAATATCGCAAAAACAAAGCCCAAATCTGCCGCAGCCATACTGCCTTCAGAAGTGGCAGGTCAAAGTCATCGCCTGTGTCGAACTCGGCACTTTCCGACACAAACTCGAGTGGATTCGCCTTCCATTGCAATTGAAAGCATGGCGTCACTCTCTCCTCGGTTGCTGCCCTTCCTGGGGCTTCTCCTGCTCACGGCAGGTGTGCTTTTGGAAGGACTGCTTTTACACAATAAGCGCCGGTTTCTCGCCGTTTTGACCACCACCGAGGCCACCGCATTGCACAAATATCGATCTGAGGATCATGCTTGTATCGAACAAAATTTGTTCTGTGCAGGTTTGGCAGCAGCATCGTTCGCAACCGACGATCCGTCGCTGAGCACGTTGGATCATGGCCTCCTCGGTCGGCTGGGCGACAAAGAGAGCACCCTCCAGCATGCTTATCAACCAGGTGCACAGCCAACATGAATCTTGCTCAACCTATAAGTTAGCTAACGTGTTTTGAAAATCTGGAATCAGGCAGAGGCATTTGTGACACATGCATGCCATCTGGGCATGTAGCAGAGTAATTCTGCACAAAGGTGCTTGCTTTGGCCACTCGATGAACTTGTGTTATCTCCGCAGAAGAGCTATAGCTAGCTAGCGCCAGAGCCATCATCAGACTGAAGTCATGTCAAATTCCATGCATGCCAACTGCCTGCGATGCATGGCATGCTTATTGCAAGCTCTCAGCTCAGAGCAGCAGCAAGTGCATGTCCTCGGACAGCAGGACTGCACCCATTGTTTAAGCCATTGCTGGATGCCATTGTATGTTTGCACACGAAAGATGCATGCGCTGCATGACATCTGAAGGCTGATGGCAGGCTCAAAAGTCTGAGCAGCAGCATGCACATGTCTCAAGCTGCAGGACTGCGCCAGAGATCCCACAGCAGCCACTGAGTTAGCCAGAAGCCGATGTAAGGTGATTATTGGGTGACTGATCATCATTGTGTGTGTGCATGTGCATGTGCATTTGCAGGCGCCCGCAAGCTTCTGCAAGGAAACCCAGAGGGTCAGCGCGGTGAACGCCAAGGGGGCAACAACCCGTTTCAGGGAGGCCAAGGCTTCAAACCTCGACAAAACAATCCTTCTGGCACCACTGGAGCAACTGGCACAACTGGCACAACAGGCGCCACCGGGACACCTGGAGGCACCGGCCAGGGTAGGTCCTTCTGCATGCATGTGCATAAAGGCGCTTTTTCCAAGAAAGAGGGCTAAGGTGACAGAGCTAGGGACCTGGCATGCTAAGCAGCTGCAGACTGGCCTGCAAGATGTGTCATTTTGGCTGAGTGAAAGATACCTTTTGCCATGACACATGCACACACCCCAGGTTGCAGGGTCAAGGAGCGAGCGATGCACATCTGTCGATAAGATATTGGGGCACTGTCTAAGCTGTATCAGATTGCAGGTTGTTACCCTTGATAGGACAGGTGAATGAGTGTCACTGTGTCTTGCTTCAGGCGGAGGAGGCGGTAACTCCGCCGCAGCCGCAGCAGCCGCCGCCGCAGCGGCAGCTTCCGGCAACAGCGCTGCAGCAGTCGCAGCCGCAGCCGCATCTGGTGCGCTCAGGCTATTGAAATATTCTATGCTGCCTATGGCATAGCTACCTATTTCAGTTTGCACATTGTTGAGGATCTAGAAGCGCACATGCGTTGCCTTTGGATTTGGCAGCGTTGTCAAATTATGACTGTTCTACAGGTCCTTGCACCTAGGGGTGTCTAAGGGAAGTATGTTATGTTTATAAGACATCCATTGCACCCAAGAAGCATGTGCTCATGTTACCTGCTTTGTGCCTGTGTAAGCGTTGTGGCACAGACTTTGTGATTGGCATTTGTTGAGACATACTGAAATGTCTGTCTTTCAAAAAGCTTGCGTTCCCTGTTGTGCGGCGCACCATCCGGACAGTAGTAAAATCTGTAAATCAGTGACAGACGTTGTCCAGACGAAATTCCCTGTAAATGTGGGCTGCATTCCTGTGCAGGCAAGAATGGCGCAGCGGCAGCAGCGGCAGCAGCGGCCGCTGCAGCTGCAGCATCTCCCGGCGGTATGATCGTTTCTGCTCGTGTCCTTTATTTCTGTTCCATGCTGCAAAAATCAGTATTCTACAGGCGCTTGGAAAGTTGAAAGATGAAAGTTGTTGGAGCGCATACATGAAACCTCTTGAGCGAGCCGCGCTGCATTGCATGGAAGGAGCACAGATTGTGCAGCACAAGAGCCGTTGAATATAAAACGCATCAGCACCCAGGGGCTCCGCTGGCAGCATCAGTCTTTTCAGCTGAAGTCCACCGTACTCAGCTCGAGTCCACTTAGCTAAGGTCCACTCAGCGAAGGTCCAGTCAGCTGCAGTATACTCAGCGTAGACTGCAGCTCAGTAGACTTCAAAGGGCGTGTAAGGTTTGGGGTGCGAGGCAGGTGCCTGTGTGCATGGTGCAGGCCAGAACAGTGGTGAGGCTGCTGCTGCAGCAGCCGCAGCAGCGGCCGCAGCAAACGGCCAGAGCGCCGCCGCCGCAGCTGCAGCAGCCGCCGCCGCGGGAGGTACGCCCGTCAACAGATCACCCCCGCATCTCGGGATTATTCATTCCTCTGTTTGGCTCCTGTGGCAGTGATCACCTTCCCTTTTTGCATTGTGCACTCCTCCTGGCGGCTATACTTGCAGTGTGGGACAAGGTGATGGCACGGTGATGATTTGCTTTTGAGGCTCCGCATTCTGTGGCCATCATGCTTGCATGACTGCCCGTCCCTGTCTTGTGCTTTGGGTGGATTAGTAAACGCTGGACCCTCTTGTGACGCAGGGTCCAACAGCGCCGCAGCAGCCGCAGCAGCAGCAGCTGCTGCGCAAGGCATGCCCCAAATGTAATTGCAGGCACTTGAACTGCCGGTTGTTGTTTAAGTGTCATTTGTGGTGCATGGCGTTTCTCACTGTTGATCTCGTGTCTGGCCACATGACTCCTACCAGACTTTGGCTGACATTACTCCTGTGGCTCTTCAGCATGCTACTGAAAGAGGGGCTCATGTGGCATCACTGCTTACTTTAAGTCGGCCACAACTTTCTGCAGGCAAGGATGCGGCCGCAGCTGCAGCAGCGGCTGCAGCCGCCGCCGCAGGGCGCGGATAGCTCTGAGTAGTGTCAAGGAAACACTCCAATCCTTTTGGGAGTGGAGACAGCTGCAGCCTCTTTGCTGTCTTTCACAGATACCACTGCAGGAGGTGGAGCACAGAGGCAGGACACATGATAAATTGTGGAGCTCCTCTTCAGACTGGGCAAGAAAGTTACGAGTTACGTTGAGAACCTGAAGCTTTACATTGAAGCCCGCTGGGGTGATCCTTTTGCATTTTGCAACTGTGTGAATTCCCAACGTGTTGGATTACTGCCTGGACTTCAAGGTGTGAACTTGAAGCAAAAGGCTATGCAATCCCCAAAATATCAATAAAATGAGTGGTGGCATAGCCTCGGCTGCACCTTGTCTTGTGACTGCATTTTGATTTCGTAATGTTAAATCGCTGGCTGCAGAGAAGCTCTCACAGGACCTTGTGGGGTCAAGGTTTCAAAGTGGCGGTGATTGCATACTGTAGTACACAGTGCCCTTGAGCAACTATCCTGCAGAGATTGTTCTAAGACCTTGTCTTGAGTAGTGTCATAGCCTTGGCTGTGGCTCATCACATTGATGCATATTGCTGCTCTGGTGGGATGGCTCGAGTGGGTGCTTAGGGAGTATTTGGGCTAGGCTTTCTGAGAAACGATACACTGCATGCTGCATTAGATAGTCCCATTGCATATGCATGTCATGCACAGGGTTTGTAATAGAATGACATGATATTAGCTTGACTGACCCAAATGTCCTCAGACCATTAGAGACCACCAGAGAAGTGATCTGCATGCTACAGTAAATAGTGCCTATGCGGCTTCTGCCTTATTAGAGTATCGTGCAGATTTAGCAAAGTATCGCATCAAGTGAGAGTTCCCCCACTCTGGCAGCAAGATGATGTACATCTGCATCTGCCCTGCCGAACTCTTTGCAGTGCAGAGTTTGAGCTTTGAGAAGACATTGTGAAGCAAGCATATCAGGCTGCTGGATACAACCAGCGCACAAGCTGTCAGTTACTCATTTAATTGCAATGCAGGTGCTGATTGAGTCTCCATGGGAGCCAGCAAGGCCATGGCTGATGCATCCTGGACGTTTGGAATTGCAGGTGTCATGGCTTGAAAAGTACTTGGAGTGTTGGAAATCCAAGGTGAAACAGAGCTTACTGGAAGAAAGGGAAACATTGCAACTTTGACGTGCTCCACAGCGGTCTGTCCCAGGCAGATTCCCTCCATTGCCGCCTTGGCTGATACTGAAGCGCTGCAGAGCGGGTCCAGCATAGGCCACAAACAAAATCACTTTCCTAGCAAACCACTTGTACACATGCTGTAAATGCCTGGTACGATTAAGCTGCTTGGCGTATGCGCTGAAAGGGTTATGGCCTCGTGGACATTTCCATCAGCCAATTCGATAACTCTGAGAGCACTCTGACAAAACACACATGACGAACATTGAGCTTGCAGCCAAGTGGTTCTTTACAAAGCCTTGCTGTAGCAGGGCTTCCTGGCAGAGCTACAGGCAGAGACACTGTGGCTGGCGTACATGTTTTCATGCTCTGGAACAATCATGAAGAGCGTACTTGTGTTTCTCCCCCGTAATGTAGCCAGACAACACTGCCGTCGTATCTTCCACTCGTGTGTTTCGCACACACCATGCCATTCTTTCAGGCGCACCGCAAAATGGGACAAGAGCTGCCCCACGCTGAGCTTCATTGGACACCCGAATGTCATGGAAAGGGAGTCATTCAAAATCTCCTGCCACTCCTGCCATGATACAGGGGCGGCCCCTCTCTCATGCGGCTGATTGAAAAGAATTCACTGAAGAGCCGCGCTGCCTGCAAGCACAACAAACGCTCAGCAGCCAGTCGCTGCATGAAGGCGCAGGATTGGACAGTCCTACAGAGCTGTCTGCTCACTTCTTGAGCGCAGAGAATAGAAGGGGCACAGGAGGCAAGAACAGCCGTGGAAGATGGTTGCAGGGGGTGATGCTCCTCTACACACGCCTCGATGAAAGTAATTGAAGGGGCCACATCAGTTCACAGAGTGTGCAGCCATGCGCCGCAATATTTTCCACAGTCAGGGCAAGTGAGATACCTCTTCGAGCTGCGCGGTCCTCCTCTTGATGTGTTTCTCTGCCTCCACGCAGAAGGCTTCCATTTCTTCTGGAGACATTTTGTCCACATCGTCCTTGTCCTCCTGGCTATACGGATATTTCTTGCCATCTAGCTCGTCCTGCACGCAGTTTTATATTGGTATAAGACAAGCGTTGTCTTGGACAGTGTTCTGCAGACATGACATATCAACAGAGGAAGCTCGTCAATGCTGCAACCTATGACATGGGAGAGTGCATTTTCCACTGTATCACACAAAGCAAGCGTGACAATAGCTTTCTCAAACCAGCAAAATTTGCTTTCACTCACCACGAAGACAAATTCCGGCTGTGTCCGACCGCGGCTGCCCTGATGTGTTCCCTGCGGCTCCAAGGCCCTCAGGAAGCTCTGAAACCCCTGTGTCAGAACAGCATCACAAGGGCTTGCACAGCATTGATTATAGACTCATGCAGCTGCTACATCAATGGCTGCACCAGTTGCTTGCCTCAGTTTCAAGCATGGCTGCTCTGCAAACCGAAGGGCAGAACCCGGCTGATGCGCACTGAAGACTGCATGCATCACCGAGTGTGAAGAGTTCTCACCAGGTCATTCGTGTCCTCAGCCGCTTTCCCCATGCGCCAAGGGTTATTTCCAGCAGCTCTCCTTGCGTGCGTGCGGACATTCTGCAGCAGGAGCACAGAGGTTTCTACCCACCATCCACCCTGCTCTGTTGAGGTATGCCAACCCCTCACTTGATCAACAGACAACAACAGGGGCCGGTGTGTAAAACACCGCCGCAGCAGATCACTGAAAAACCCGCTGCAGCGCCCAGCAGATCACTGGAAAAACCGCGCATGCAGGGTCTCTACCTCTTTGCGTGATGAGTGGAAACCCACAGGCGGCCGCTCAGACTCGTGGCCTCTGCTTGGCACTTTGCGCCATGACGCTGCCGCCTGCAGGCCTCGGGAAGGCGCGTACCCAGCCCTTGGCTCCACGCTCGCCGTCCCCAGAGCCTGCGCAATGCCAATTTACACCTCAATGCAGGCAGAAAGCGCTTGTGACTGCTGCTCACTATGCATGCACCTGATAGCGCTGCAGTGCTACGACAGTGGCACATCCAGCCACATCCTCTGCACTACCTTTCCCTGCAGCGGCTTGAATAGAACCACAGTGGATCCATTCCCCTTCCAAGGCAGCACAAGGGAAGCCGGGACGTGAGATCAGAAACTTACCCTTGTCTTGGTAGCATTCCAATCTTCTGGGCTGCTTCTGGATGGTGTGCTTCGTGAGTGCGATTCCTGGTGGACAACAGCGACACGTGAAATCCCCATTCGAGCCCATCACGCCCCTGCCAGGCAATTTGTGCCTCATTGCCAAGCAAAGGCAGCATAATGAACGCACCTGGTAGTGCGACGGACGACTGCAATCTGATGAGGCCACATCGTCAGGGTCTTTCCGCCAAAGGCCTGGGGTTGGGACAAACAGACTTGTCAGTGGAAACAATCGAAAACCTTGCTTTTCTTCCATGATACAGCAAACGAGAGGCTAACGAAACTCAGAGCATTTAAACCTGAGAGTGGGTCTCACCACTGGCCTTGTCATCCGTCCTGAACCCCTACAAATCACACGCACGCCCTTAGACGACGCCTTGAGAGGTGCTGGAATCAGAAGACAGACGCACAGGGCAATTACAGCAGACGCTGCAGCACCTGATTCAGGGACAACAGAGCTCCAGATCCTCGTGCTGCCATACTAAGTTGGCTAGGCTGCGACAAACCCGGAACGAAAAGTTCAACACCTGGCAGCTGATGATGCAACACGCTACCAAAATTCAGAAATGGAGCATTTTGCAGTGGAGCGGCAGCTATTTCTAGTTGAGAGCTGCAGCAGAATCTCAGAATCCATCAGTCATCAGGACGACAAATGACCCTCAGGGTTGTATTGACAAGGGAATTGTGCATGGTTGGACCCTAAAATCACCAGGCAACCAGGCAACACTACTTGAATCGTGCATGTGCTCAGTGAAGTACCAAAATGTGAAGCAGGTGTGCCAGGGCAGCAGGCCTCAATATGTAGAGGAGCAATGCCGAGCGGCTCCGGCGACCAATGCTAATGCAAACTTGGAAGGCCTACTAGGATAGTATCAGGCGCTACCACAGATAATTAATGTAGTATGTCAAGCAATCGAGGATGTCAAAGCAGGCCACGGATCACCGGGTGACTTTAGCCTCTAGATAGGCCTGGTCATAAATGACTGACGCTTGTAATTTACAGGCCTACGGCAGCAGGACAGCGCACTCACATTCTGCTACAATTTTCTTTTGCATTCAAGTTAGCAGAATCCACGTTTATTTTAAAGTTTCAAATCGAAACTCCGGTGACATGATCTGAAATATGGCAGCATCAGATCTGGCAGTGCAGGGGGGTCCATGTCCTGGGGTCCCTTCCAAGCCTGGGACAGACTAAAGGTGGACACAATCTCAGAAGCATGGAATCAAATTGCGATTCAAGATTCAAAATTGTGCCATCGGGCCCTTCCCTGGCAGCTGCAGCCAACTCTAATTTCCAATCCCTCAGTCTTGCACAAGAAAGAGTGCTGTCATGTGCACATTTCACACCTGCATGCCTTGTGCTCGGGAACTAAATCACTGCACGAAGATGAGGTTGTGAAATGGGCACTGCACAGAGTCGCAGAACATACTCCAGCTCACAGTCCATTGAAGAACTCCAACTTCTGCTAGGTCCAAAATTGGCACAAGGAAGCTCAGGCAAGCCTTGCTCTCAAAACGCGAAGTTTACTGCTGCATCAGTGCCGCGTTGTGCATCAGACGTTGTGCTATCTCCGCTGCTGCTTGCTCTCAGAAGCCATAGGACCGCCACAGCATTAATTTCTCTCGGGAATTGTCCCTCTTGAGTGCAGACGGGAAAGGAGCAGCAAGAACTATTTCAGCCCAGGACCGGTAGAACTATTCGCGACCTGCAAAGCACAGGAGCTTCTGAGATTCCAGGCCAAGCCTGAGCATCAGTCAGGCCCACGGCAAGAAGTCGGTGCATGCAAGTGTGTAAGCTGTGATTATGAACGCATGAAATCTGTGCTGTGACAGGGGGAACAGCAAAGCACAAGAAAAAACCCAGGCAGGCAGCGTCGCAGCTTGCTCCTTCACGGCTATTTCAAGGAGGATTTGTAGCTGTGCTTTTTGGTGGCTGGCCTTACTGCAAACTTGGTGCACAGCAACTGTCGACTCAAATGTCCAGAGCTCACCATGCGTGCTTTTTTTTTGTTTCTGACATCAATGCATTTTGCTGCTGACATTCCCGCAGGTTTGTTACACGCATGGAGATCTAGAACCCACCCTCGCCCGCAGCAGCAGCCGCCGCCGCCGGATGCTGCGGCGGCCGCTGCGGCGGCGGCTGCCGAGCCGCCGCCAAATCCGCCGTTCGAGGCCGCGGCAGCCGCAGCGGCTGCCGCGGCGCTGCCGCCTGTCCAGCACACAGAGCGGCACATCAGCTACGCGCAGCAGTGAAATCCCACCAGCATGAACGAGACAGCACAGGACAGGATGAAGTTAAATATAATGCCCTAAATACAGGCAATGGCCGCCATCCCATTGGCATGATCAAACCACGGCCAGCAAAATGATGCTGACCCTGCTTGATGCCAGCTGAAGAGGGGATTGCCTGCATTTCCTGCACTGAAAGCTCCAGATATGCGGCTAATGGCTGATCAGAACCTGAGGGCTGTGACGCTTGAGCAACAGCACATCGGGCGAAATCTGACACTGTGATGTGCAGAACAAGGCGTCGGGTTCGTCAGGTTCGCCACGCACGTCATGATGCCCACTGTTTCCTGAGCCACTGAGCTTTAGGCTTCCCAGGCATGCCTCCTCCGCCAAAGACTCGGGCATTGCTTGAGGAAAGTGCATTTGCCATCATGAGCAGGTTTTATTCTAAGGATTTTGGCTGAAAGCCAAGGTGGCTCCAAAGAAGCCTCCAAGTAAACTATTTGAAGCCACAAAAATGGCTGAAGATAGGAATTTGAGGAGACTTTTGGCTCAAACTGATGGTTTTGGGGGCATCTCAGCTGAAGAGGGGCAAAATGTGGCTTCTGCGCGGTAGTACTTTATGTCTCCAAGGCCAATTTGTGGCTTCCGAGAGAATTCCAAAAACATCTCAAAGGCCACAAACCTGCCCCCTTTAATTATTAATAGCCACATTGGCATTGTAAAGCCACTAAAAGAAACACTGAATCATGGGTAATGATGCTGTGCAGGGTGATGTGCTAAGAGTATTTGGTGCCTGATCAGGCACTTCTTGGAAGAAGACAAGGAGCTCCTCAATACATATCCGCCAATAAAGCCGTCGTTGCTGGAGGAAGCAGCAGAGGAAGGGGCGGTGGCACCTCATAATGACAATATGCCAAGAATGAGAGTTGCCTCATCAGGCACAGCATTGTAAGGATCCTTGGCGTACCACCGCCGAAGAAGCCGTCACCACCGGAAGCAGCTGCGGAGGAGGCAGCTGCGCTGGAGCTGCCAAAGTTGCGGAACCGGTTTCCGTCAAATCGGTCGCGGAAAAACTGCAGCAAGCCGCGGCCGCCAGCCTGGCGCGCGCTGCCGTCCAGCAGCGTTCCCTCCGCGCCTGCTGAGATTTCAATCTTAAATCTGAGTTGCAGATCGGATTGCCGATGCATGAAAACACACACACCCTGAAGCGTTGCTGGCGTTGAATTCTGAGGTCACGACAAGGGCTCGGAACAGATTCCCCTGCAAGTCCTGAAATGATGACTTCAACCCTGCAGCCGGGCTGAGCAACAGATCCACGAATTTTACTAGGCCTTAAGCAAAAAGAACAGCATGCGCATGAGCCAGGGGCTGCGGTAAGATTGTGTCGCAAGAAGTATGCACCAGATGCAGTGTGTTTTGGCAAACGGATAATTATAAGATGTTCAGACGCTCACCAGTGAAATCAGTGATGCCATGGTGGGAGCTATCTGCAGCCGCCAGCTTGCGACCTGCACCAGTGCACACTTGAGTAAGCAGCTGACCAATTCAAGTTTACTCAATCTGCACCCTGCTATGCCCTTCAGGAAGAAAGCTAACAAGCAGGCAAAGCAGGCGTGAGTGAATGGAGTATACAGGACATTAGATCTTCTTCCTGGGAAGCCTCTGGAAACCAAACACAGGAATGTGATCCAGGAAAGAGCTTTTCCCACCGGATGCGGCCGCGGCGCCTGCGGCTGCCGCCGCACTGCCACCTGTGCAAAGCACAGCATGCCACATCAGCACCATGGACAAGAGCACCATGCAGGGTCACATACCAGCCTCCTACTATGGCATTCTCACATGTTCAAAAAGACCAGAAACAGTCAGATGTGCTTGGAATGTTGCTGCCGTGGTAGCTCCTGGGCAGTAATGACCTCGCGCTTCCAATGGCAGCTCCCAGTCTGAGGCTGTGCCAGGATCTTCCTGCCAGTGAACCGGCAAAGCACAATTTCTGCCTCTGGCAATTGAGACGCATGTGATATTTTGATTTTTATTCTTTTGTTTGTATTTTGTAATCCCTAAAATTCTTGCAATATACACAGTTTTTACACCACATTGGGCAGCTGGTGGAGGGCCTCTGAGAGCACCTTCCCCAAAGAAGAAGGGGTCGCGGCTTCCGGAGGCGGCTGCAGCAGAGGCTGCGGCCGCGCTGCCAAAGGGGAAGAAGCGGTCGGAGAAGAACTGCTTCAGCTTGCGGCCGCCAGCCTTGCGCGCGCTGTCATCCAGCCTTGCCTCCACGCTGTCTGCAACTTAAAACATAAATTCAAACTCAGATTCAAATTCATATTCAAATTGGGAAGCGCGGATGATGGCCCCGGGGGGCAGCACATGTGCCGAGCACTCTGCCCAAGGTTGATTAGGTCTTGTACGGATCCGGTCAGCCCACCAAGGGACACGTGTATGTTGCAGCACGTGGCTGGAGCTTGTCGCCAGATTTACCTTGCCTCTGGCAGAACAGTGTATTAAACGTGATGTTCAGAGCTGAGTCAAGGGTGCAAGCCAGATGCCAAGAAACAAGTCCTGAACGCATGCTAGCAACTTGCACTGTTGCGCTGGCTGGCAGTGCAAGAATACACGCCTGGCAACCAAAGCAATGCATGCAACCTAAGTTAAAAATGCATGGCCTCATTCATTTTTGGATACCAAACGCAGGAGCCCTTCCAATGCAGCTTGCAGTAAAAGCATCAGTTCTGGTTCAAATGAGCAGACAGCATTTTGAGAAGAGGCAGCTGCCAGCTTGCGTCCTGTGTCTGTACAAATTCTTGGTCAGTGCTCAGTTGAGTCAAGCTGCAGGTTTCGAGCTGCGTGAACATGCAATGCATGTATCGCTGCAAAATGGCAACACCCTGTGGATGGCATGCAGCAAGTACAAATAAAAACAAGGCATTATGCGCTTTTCGATCAGAGGACCCATGGTCTGCTTCAGGCAAATTCATTCCCTGGTCCGTCATAATGCTGTGCTTAAAAAAATAGCCGCTGGCAGAGAATTCTCTGCCCCAGGGTTTTGCCCCATGAACTGTAGAGATGGCATTGCACTGCAGCAGTGCAATGCGTGTACTGCCCATTGTCATGCATGCCCACATAACTATAGCACGTGGGCAATGCGAAGTTCTCCTCAATCTTCTCAGCACATGGGGCAGGAGGGAATTTGTGCTCACTCTTGAAAGGGGAGTCAGCAGGCAGGCACCCATTGACCAGAACCACCTTCTGGCCCGTGGAAGAGTCGACCAGGGTGATCTCCTTGGAGCCTCCTGGCCCAAAGCTGCCCACAGTGCCTCCGCCGTGGCCATCAATATTCCAGGAAGAAGAGAAGACTCCGTTGGCATTGCGGCCTGTCGCGCTGCTCACCCACTGTGCTGGGTCCATCTGCGCACAACCCCCATCTGAGATCATCATTGCCATTAGTAGTATTGACTATTTCATACGCTTGTTCCAGCCCAGGGCTTGGTGTGGTGCTGCCTTCCTTGCATGCAGATCAAGCAGGAGCCAGTAATGGTTCCTAACTTGATGGGAAAGAACGGCAGGGAGAAGCGAGGGCATGCATGGATGCATGCATGCATTGGAGCATGCTGATGACAAATGGACTGCTAGGGAGCTCATGGTTGGGCAAGCATGTGCTCAAACTAGAGCAAAGACATGACCGCAGTGTAGAGCAACATGGACATGTAAAGGACTGCATGTGTCAGCTGCAGGATTTGGACAGGAGGGGTGAGGGCCAAACCTGCTTCAGGTTGCGCGAGCTCAGGCCGTCTTCTCCTGTTCAAGAAAGTAACAATGTTAGTCAGCAGTATTTGACAGGTCGTCTCTGCAGTATTCTTTGTCCTGCAGCAAGCTAGCCTCGATGTTACTAACCCAGTCTTGGACTGACACTCGAGATTCCGGCATCTTTCGAATTGCTGCGCCCCAGGAAAATTTGGGGAGAAGTACATGTACAGAAAGTCGTGTTCTTCCCTGAAACCTTATTTTGAGACTTTCAATTGCACTGGACGGAGTTTTGCGTGCTTGCATAGTGAGCCACGTGAAGTGTCGACCTGTCTGGGAGGACGCACCGTCATCAGAAGAAGGCTTCGGGAGCGCAGCACCATAGCACTGGGCGGAAAAGACGACGATGCCAAGGACCAGCAGCAGGAAAGCGTTGCCGTGCTTGTCGGCCATGTTGTGAGAGACAGTTTTGCCCGTCGACCTTTCGGGATCCGAACGGAATTGGGGCGCAAGCACGACGAAGCAAGCAGGGAGCACCACAGTCAGCTGTTGCTCACAACGAGGCTTCGATCAGGCACAAATTTTAGAAGGCAAGTTGTGGAAACTTTGACGTCCCGCCAGCGCAAGGCTTTCATGAGCCTTTTCCATTGTTTCGGGATTATGCCATGGGTGACGCAGCTCTAGGTGGCACCTTTTCAAAACTTTGGAAAAATGATGTGGTGATCTAGTCATGAGTCTACTCACACCTGTGTAGCTTCAGGCTGAGGGTTCCATGATAATTTCGGATCTGCATCAGCTTCAGCACGCCCACACAACATGCAGGTGAAAAGAGCCAAGAAACTAATGCACTATTCAGGCAAGATTTCCATGCCCTTGTCTATACCTAACTCATGTGGAGGAGTAAGGGTAGAGCAAGTGGTGCATTTAGCTTCTGAGTGTTTGGAGACATGCAATGAAGTTTGTCATGCAGTGCAAGAATGGCAGGCCTTCCTGTATGGGATGGGAATTGCTTTGCTTCTCACAAAGTTGCTTACATAAGAGGGCGTTTCAAAACAGCAGAAAGCAGAGGCAGGCGACTATATATAAAGGTCCAGTTGCCAGATCACCTCGCACAGAACAGAGCAGAGCTGAACAGTGGCAAGGGACTGCAAGTTGGAACCAAAGACAAAAAACACACCGCCCTGTTTCTGTACATTGCCAAGCAACACCCCAAATAAAATCACCCCTGCAGCATTTAGCGAATCCAAAGAGCTCGGTTCACCAGACGTTTCGTTCCAGAACTTCTGTACTTCGCACAGAACTGCGCTACTTCAGAGGATTGAGCCCGGAATCAAATGCACACAAATTGCTCAAATGGCTGCGCAACTCTATGGATGCCTTGGCAGGGAACAGACTGGCGTCCTCCCGCTGTGCTGCATCCTAAACTAATATCTCCGAAGCCGCTCACTTCCCGGCTGCGCTTGCGGCAGCAGCAGCTGCAGCAGCAGCGTCGCCGCCAGAAGATGCGGCTGCCGCGGCAGCGGAGGCTGCGGCCGAGCCCGGGGCTGCACAGAACAGCAAGATTTTATCAGAAACTGCCCATTTCTCTTTTATTTACTATGTCAAGCAAGTGGCAAAGAACGAAAGGTTGGATGGCTGACAGCATGGCTTCAAACATGGCAAGCAGGGAAGCTTGGAAAGTCAGAAGGTGTGTTGAAAATTAAAGGAAAGAGGAGCGGGGAGCACCTGCAGAAGCAGCGGCAGCAGCAGCGGCAGAAGCTGTGCCTCCGCTTGATGCAACAGCGGCAGCTGCGGCAGCCGCAGCCTGGTTGGCTGCAGAGCACAACCAACACTGTCAGCAACACTTTAATAATGCAGACATGGCAATGCAGATCGGGATCGGAGATGGATCCAGGGGTTCGCACTTCAGTGAATCTGGACAGAAAGCAGGTTGCAACAGAGAGCACATGAGGCATACCAGCGGCAGCAGAGCTGCTGGCAGCTGAAGAGCCGCCGCCGCCGCCGTTGTTGCCACCCCAGCCGCCGCCGCCGTTGCCACCTGAAGACAAAGAAGCATACAATCACGATGGCAATGTTAATCCTGTATTCAACAAGCATACAGCCATATCCATGCCCTTTCAACCTGCTGACAAGGCGTGCAGTGCATGCACCTGAGGCTGCGCCGGAAGCCCCTGCGCTGGAGGAGCCCCCGTTGTTTCCACGCCCGCCGTTGTTGCCGCCGTTGTTGCCACCTGCAAACGCAGAAGCACGCACTCATCATAGCTGTGATTTCCCACCAAGCACGCAGCCAAGGCCATGCTGTTGAATTTTGGCTGGCATGTGCTCTTGCTGATGCTTTGTAAGTAATCTGGGCCGGGTCAGCCAGCAGCTGCATACCTTGAGCTGCATGCTGCTGCAGCACATCGACAAGCATGCTTCTATTTTTGCTATTGGTCATGTTGCACTTCATTTGAGCCAGGCCAGCTGGCAGTTGCATGTCTCACCTGCAGATTGCTGCATCACAACAGGAAGCCTGGCAATAGGAAGCCTGGCAGCACTTCTTTTGATGCTGCTGTCAATTGCGTTCTGTAAACTTGCCAATAAGACACCGCATGTATGCATGTGATGACATCAGCTTTCCTGGGTTCTACAGGTGGCTGGCCCCATGGAGATGACAACAACGGCGGTTCCTCCAGCGCAGGAGCCTTCGGCGCAGCCTCAGGTGCATCTCTTACAGCCTCATTACACCTGGCAAACCCAAAGCCAAAGGCCATAGGGCATACACGCAGGGGCTCTGCAGCCAGTACGTGCTGCTGCAATCTGCAAGTCAAGACATGCAGCTGCCAGCAAGTCTAAGGGTGTTCATGAATGTGCACCATTGTTGTTGTTGTTGTTGCGCCAGCCGTCGTTTCCGCCGCGGGAGCCGTCATTGTTGCCACCGTTCCAGCCGTTGTTACCGCCGCCGTTCCAGCCGCCCCACTCCTTCAGGTGGCGGCCGCCGCCAGCTGCGGCGGCTGCAGCGGCTGCTGCGCTGTTGCGTCTGGCGGCGGCTGCTGCTGCAGCTGCCGCAGCGCTGTTCCCTGCTCAGGCACAGGCCATTTGATCTTCAGTACTGGGAGCAGGAACTGCCTGCAGGCTGAATCTACTAGCTTAGGTTGGTGTTGTTATTGACAAATGGTGTGTGTGCATGCATGCATACCGTGCATGCACGAAGGCTTGATTTATGTTTGTGCATGATTTCTATTTGTCTACGACACACACGAAAAACCCGGCACCCGGCCCTACTAGCAGCAGCAACATGCATGCATGCGCAGAATCCAGGACTTCTGTTTGTCTACAACACAACAAAGATAACGGAAAAGGGGCCTCACCAGCAGCAGCGGCAGAAGCGGATGCAGCAGCAGAGCCTCCGTTGTTGCGGTTGCCGCGGTTGTTCCAGCCGTTGTTGCCACCGTTCCAGCGGCCCCAGTCGAGCAGGTGGCGGCCCCAGTAGCCGCCAGAACCACCAGAGGCGGCAGCGGCGGCTGCGGCTGCTGCGCTGTCACCTGTAAGGCAGCCACAAACCTCCTCAGATGCGGGCACTACTCCAGCAGGCCACATCTCTTGCCACATTTGGGCATTTGCAGTGCATGCACGGGGATCAGGACAAGCTCAGGTAAAATAGTACTCTGATTCTATTAGAAGGCATGCATGCATGGTGATCTTCAGATCAAACATTGTAGGAAAGTCATCCCACCGGCAGCGGCAGCGGCAGCAGAAGCTGCTGCAGCAGCAGAGCCTCCGTTGTTGTTGTAGCCACCGCGGTTCCAGCCGTTGTTACCGCCCCAGCCGTTGTTGCCGCCGTTCCAGCGGCCCCAGTCCAGGAGGTGGCGGCCCCAGTAGCCGCCGGAGCCACCAGAGGCGGCAGCGGCGGCTGCGGCAGCTGCAGCACTGTTGCCCGAGGCGGCGGCGGCAGCTGCGGCTGCTGCGCTGTTACCTGAGATCAACACAAGCCTGATCAAATCCAAGCATTTTCTGACAAGAGCCAGGGCACGTCTACGGTATGCAAAGGCAGGACTGATGAAACGCTGTTCGCAGAGATGGCAGCAGAAAGCAGGAGATGGCAGCAGTGGTACCTGATGCTGCTGCAGAGGCTGCGGCTGCAGCAGAGCCTCCATCGTTGCCCCCGTAGTTGTTTCCACCATAGTTGTTACCACGGTTGCCCCAGTTGGATCCCCACCGGTTGCCCCAGCCGCCACCCCACTGCAGCATCTTGCGGCCTGCACACATCAGGACAAAGAATCGATATCAGCATTCATTCCGCTCCTCATAACACATGGAAGCATGCAAGCGAGTGGCAAAGCTTGAAGTAGTCTTCGGATCTGCCACATGCATGCACCAGATGCATGACTGCACATGCATGCAATGCTTCTGAGCGGCATGACAGGCCAAAAAGGGTCTTAGACGGGGCATGCAAGCCTGCAATAAGGCAGCGTTGAGTGCCACACCTGGAAATGTTGCCAGTAGTGCATTGGGGATACAGTCAGGCATTATGACAGGTCATGGGGGTCTCAGTCAGGCACGCATGTTACGAGTGGCATAAAATAAAAGCCTCACCTGGAACATTGCCAGTCACGCGTGAGATGTGGCCGTTGTTGTCATTGATCTGGTCGACCTGGCCGTTGTCGTAGGTGGCAATTGTGCCGTGGTGGCCCTGCGGCCCATTGTACGAGCTGGAGTAGGTGCTCTTCACGTTGGCCCCATCTGCAGCCAGTCATGAAGGTCAGCATGATCCGCAGTCTTTGCAATACAGATGCAGCTTTGCAAATCTGTAGCCCTTGACATCTGCAGCAAAATATATTGGTCACCATCTCAATGTTGCTTTGCAAAACTCAGCATGCAATCCAGCTTGCAGCCTTCACATGTGCAAAAGGATTGCAGGCAGGTCAATGGCAGCACATGCATGACAGTGCTGTATGATGAAAGGAAGATTTCCTGGTCAGTAGAGCAGCAGGGCAGCAGATTACCTGTCTGGGGGAAGGCATTTCCGGACAGCAGGTTGCCGGAGTTGCCAAAGATGCTGTTGTCATTGAAGCCAGTGTTGTGAAAGGTGTTGCCAGAGAACTGCACACATGACATCATCTCAGGCAATGCATGCATGTCACTGTCACTTAGAGCAGTGCAGATGGAGGCTGGCAAGCTGCAGGAAGAGAACAGATGCATGACTCCAAAGAGCAGCAACACCCTGACATGTTTGATGCTGCAGCTGACAGGCATTGAACATACAGAGATGTGGCTTCTCTGGCAGTGTCAGGCCACAGTCAGTGCCAGAGTTACCATGGGGCTCATCTGGACACTTGCAGGCTGGGATGCGTCAAAGACACCAGCAACAGTGAGGAGGGACAGCACCTGCTTCAGGCCCCGCTGACTCTGCTCAGATGCATCACCTGCGGTCACCAGCACAGCCTGCTCAGAGCTGAGGGGCAGGAAAAACTTGAAGACCGTCAGGAAAGTGTAGAAGCCGTCTCGATTCCTCTGTTTGAAAAACCTTCTCCCTGGGAAACAGACAATGCACCAGGCCAGCACGGCAGGAGACGAGCAAGTCGATGCCAGAGACACGACGCCGGCGGATTGAATATGCATGGAGTTTGAAATATGCGGATCTTTCGATCGGCAGCTGACCGCTCACACAAACAACCGACAGGTGCTTTTTTTTGCGCTCCTGAGCCGTCCCACAGATCAGCAACGGTGCAGGCACTTGAGACACGTCCAAAAGACGAGCTCGAGGCCCAGAGCCCTAGAATGAGGCGCTGCGCAGAGCGAAGGGCGATCGGCAGGGCAAAGTTCACAGCAGCATGAGCAGGGAAGATCACCAGCAAGCGCGTGCTGGCAGAGCAGGCCAAGCGCCAGGACGAGTCCCAGCTTGGCGAGCATGACGCCGACGGTGGGAGGAGCGTGATTTGTGAAGCGGTTGGAAGGATACAGACGAGGCTTGCTGGCGTGGGAGCAGGACGCAGCTGCAGTCGACGCACAGCAAAGGTCCCAGGGACCAAGAAAACGTAGAAGACAGTGGATCCCAGAGAAATATTTGTGTTGTGAAGAACCGCGACTCACGGGATAAAAATCTGACCTGCTTGTGACTTTATTCCCTCCCCTGCCAGCACAACTCTCATTTTGCCGACATGTGGCACATTGAGATCTTGAGTCACGCTTTCTGAGATCTGGGTTGCACATTTTGCCACATGCGACAGAAATGGATAAACAGGCATCTGCCTTTTATCCAATCTTAGCGAAAAGCACTCCAGCCAGTGGCAACTGATGTCACCATAATGAGGCAGCAGAGGGGACATGCAGTGACAATATACCGTATTGTTAACCAGAAGGCTTGTGGATTGTTCTGTGTGAGACAAGAGCGTAAAATTTTGCACAGGCATACGTCTAGCCTGCAGAGTAACCAGCGCCTCTTTTGTGTTGACCAATGGGTTTTAAAAAGGCCTCAACAAACACCAGTAGTCCTAAGCATTTCTGTGCATGCAAGGGCAGAGTGCGTTGGTGTCCGAAGAAGGCATGTCTTGCAGCGCAAAGCTCTGCTTTACAAAACGATCAGCTGATAAAAGCCTCACATGAGAAAAGGCGACAGCAGGTCACTTCCAGATAGACTTTAAATTTGCTGGACAGCAGCAGAAGGGAATGCACACTCTGAGCTACCTTGCAAACTACTGAGTTACCTGCTATAATTCGGAACACTTTGATAAATACTGTATTTTGTCAGAGCCGAACTGACTTAATCACATTGCTGACCTCACGGGGCTTCTGAAATTATCAGAACAGAGGCTCGTTCAAAGCAAACACTGATGGCTCTGGTTCCGTGAGACGCATATCCTGGGACAGGAAAACTGACAGACACAGGCAACATCTTCTGCCGCTGAGCTCCCCTGACGCAAGTCACTTCCCTGCTGCGCTGGCCGCTGCTGCGGCTGCCTGGGCTGCTGTGCCTCCGGACGCTGCAGCTGCCGCTGCAGCCGCCGCGGCTGCCGATCCAGGGGCTGCACAAATAACGCAGAGCACTGTTAAAGGATGATATATGTGGCTGATGGCCCCGGCTGGCGGGGGCAGTATAAACACTGAGCACCGTGCCCACGGTTGATTGTGTCTTGCTTGAATCTGGCGAGTCCATCAAGGAATAGGATTTTAGTAGCCTTTACGTGCAGCTTGTCGGCAGGCGCACCTTGCCTCTGGCAGGAAAAACGTGGAATAATATAAATAATAATATGACGTTGATGGAAAACTCTCCTACTATGTACACGGCATGGGGTGCAGGTGCCTATAATACCCTTGAAAGCGTCAGCAGAAAGGGTTCTCATACTGCACATGCCGGATCCAACAGTGAGGACCGTAGCACACCTGCAGAAGCAGCGGCTGCAGCGACGGCTGCAGCAGAGGCGCCGTTAGACGCGGCAGCGGCAGCTGCAGAGGCGGCGGCGTTGTTGGCTGTGAAGCACACAAAAAAGTGGCTTCAGCTGTGTGTAGACACAGGATGAAATGCTTGCCTGGATAAGAAAGCAATCGGATGAGAAGAACAGATTCTTGAAGGCTTCTCGGGCACACCTGCTGCTGCAGCATGAGCAGCAGCAGCAGAGCCACCATTGTTGCTCCCGCCAAATACATCATTATGTATCATTTTGGGACCAAGAGGCATGCATGCATGCATGGTGAAATATGGATCATAAAGTTCTCAGAACACATTGTGACGAAGTCATCCTACCGGCAGCAGCAGCAGCAGAAGATGATGCAGCGGCAGAACCTCCGTTGTTGTTGTAGCCACCGTGGTTCCAACCGCTGTTGCCACTGTTCCAGCCGTTGTTATCGCCATTCCAGCGGCCCCAGTCCAGCAGGTGGCGGCCCCAGTAGCGGCCAGAGTTGCCAGAGGCGGCGACAGCGGCGGCTGCTGCTGCGCTGTCACCTGCGCTGTCACCCAAAACCCTCTTTAGATTCGGGGTTTTTTTTATCAGCAGGCCACATCCATGGCCAAATCCTGGGGGCTGCAGTGTATACATGCATGTGAGATGTGGATGAGGACAAGCTGAGGTCTAGACCTTTATACTGGAGCTGAGAAGGCATGCATGCATGGTGAAATGTAAATCACAAACCGCTCAGGACACAATTTTGACAAAGTCATCCCACCGGCAGCAGCAGCAGAAGCTGCTGCAGCAGCAGAGCCTCCGTTGTTGTTGTAGCCACCGCGGTTCCAGCCGTTGCGGCCGCCGTTCCAGCTGCCCCAGTGGAGCAGGCGGCGGCCCCAGTAGCGGTCGGAGCCGCCAGAGGAGGAGGCGGCGGCTGCGGCTGCTGCAACGCTGTCACCTGAATTCTCATGACATTGATCAGCCCAGGAGAGGAACATGCATGCATGTCTCTCGTTTATTTTTGGCTGATCAGAGCTCTGCCATGTACTTTGGCATGATGCACGACACAAATAATGCAGGCATCAAGGCTTCATGGACTCCAATCAAGTTTGCAGGAATGCAAGAGTGTGCATGCATGTGTTTAACACATTGTGTTACCTGCTGCTGCGGCCGAAGCTCCTGCTGCAGAGGCATCGTTGTTGCCCCAGCGGTTGTACCAGATGCCATCCCACCTGAGCAGCTTGCGGCCTGCAAACCACAAGGGACACTGCAGTCATGCAAAATGACTCAAGAACTGACACGGAAGCATTGCATTCCCTGACATGCGTCCAGGGCAGCCACTATGCCACATGCTGAGTCATGCATGCACTGTGTTCAGCAGAATTCTGGAATATGGTGGCATGCATGAGCATTCCTCTCATGTCAGTACTGATTGATATCACCAGTGCAGATCATGCGCAAGGATGGAAGGAGTGCAGCAAGATGTCTGCGTGTTCTTACCAGGAACATTGCCAGTGACATGTGTGACGTGGCCGTTGGTGTCAGTGATCTGGTTTACTACGCCATTGTCATAGGAGCCGATGGTGCTCTGGTGGCCCTGAGGTCCACTGTAGGAACTGGAAAAAGAGCCCTTCACGTCCTTATCGGGCAGCAGTGGGTCAACTGAGGCAAGGAGACAACACAGAGACTTCTTAGTGTCTTCTGCAGTTGTCAGATCTGACCAGGGCACGTCTTTAGCTGCCTGTAGGTGCCTGCAGCTTCCGACGAGCTGGAGCTCGACCAGTCTTTCTTACAGCATTCAACACACCAGCTGAGGCCAAGGGTAGCAGGACTGGTCGACAGACACATCTGACAGTGTTGAAAGCCAGCCGACGGGCGCTGACAAAGCTTTGGCTTCAGGCACACAAAGACGGAAAGACGGGCTCCAAAGACGGAACGCGCAGTGTTCACATCAGAGAAGGCAGCTCTGCAGGGTATTGAGGGACAGAAGCAAAATCTAGGGAGATCACCAGCCAGGGCGAGCTGGCAGAGCAGACCAAGCGCCAGGAAGACGCCGAGCTTGACGCGCATGTTGCGGTTGGTGGGAGATGTCGGTGCAGATGGGAGGGTGCAGACGGCTTTTGCAGGGGTGGGAGCAGGTGCAGTCGACACACGCCAAGGCCCGGCCAGCAGATGTGAGAGAAAATTCTGTGAGCTGTGATGGTTGGTAAGTTTCAAATGCCTGACCTGCTCGTCAGTTTATACCCTCCCTTGCCAGCTCACTCCTTTCCACCTGCCATCTGGCACATTGAGATATTTTGTGTCTTTCGCCATATTGTTGACTAATAATGCCATTCTGGGGACTTCTGGAGGACTTTGCAGTGGGCCAGGAAGGGCACAGAATCCACTAACTGTCACCGGGCAAGAGCTTACAATATCTTTTTAAAGTTTTCACACAATGCTGCACACGATGCAAAATAATGCTGCAACACAAGCCGCCGCACTAATGGCACATGCACAAGCATGCGCATGCGCATGCGCATGCGACCTTCCCAGTCCAAACAATAAAAAGAAAGCTAGCACTAAAATCCTTACTGTTGCCGCTCGCTTTGTTTTGATGTCTCCCTTCATCTTTGCCTATTTGAAGGATTGCAACAAATGCAATTGAGCACTGAAGTCCATCCTGACAATCTTGCTGCACTGATCGGCAAAGTGACAATGGTCACCCCCTCCAAACGACGCGATCCAGAACTTCATCAAGGGGGCGATTGCGGAGAAGGCATCACCGTCCCCGTGCGCGAGTTTGTGTCCCCGCTGCAAAAAATACAGTATCTTCTCTGCGCAACACAACGGTCCGCATTCTGTCATACACAACGGAAACAGCCACTCCCTCTGCTGTGGCTCCACTGCTGCAAGCACCCTCTGGCCACGCTGTGCAGCAAATCGCATACATTCTCACAGCTGCCTAATTTCCCAGCTTTTCCCTCTTCTGGGTGGCAACAGCCACAGAAACGACCGCTGCTGATGAGATACATCATTGCATCTCATGCAGCGGCCTTGGCCGAGGCCGAGGCCGGCGGCGTCCGGCAGACATCGGTGGAGATCCGCGCAGAGAAGTCATGAGAGCGGCGCAGCATCCCTTGGTCGTCTGTGCTCCGGCGCAGGCCAGCGGAGGGGCAGAGGGAGCGGCAGGCCACGCGCACAGCGCCGCAGACCCCCCGCTGCGCCACCAAGGCCCTCCCGGTGGGCTCCGCGGCCTGAACAGGCACGCTCTGCACCGACGCCTGATCTGGCTGCCTTTGCGCAGCTTCCACCGGCGCGGAAGCCGCCTCGGCAGCTTCCTCCGGGATCGTCTGTGGCGCTGTGATGTCCAGCTGCACCCCCACGAGGAAGACCACCTGCTCATGCATATAGTCAAGTTTTAATCCTGCATTGTGTGCCATGCACGAGATTCACAATTCATGCAGACATACATGCCTAATCACATTTATTTAGTGCATGCTGTAGGAAGCTACACCGTAAGTACAGTGCAACAAGTGGCAGGGGCAATGAAATCAATGATGGAAGAAAATTGTGCCCACCTTCCCGCAGGCGTTCCGGACAGAGGTCACATGAAGATGATTCCAGAAGGGCGTGCCATCGTACTTGTAATTCAGCAGCTTCACCTGCATGCAATGCCCTAGTCAAAGCCCACCTACACTTGTCCATTCTTGCATACATGCAGATGTCGTCTCTTGCACCTAGGGGCCATACATCACCTAGGAATGGTCCCTCGGAGCTAGAAGGAAAGTAGTGCACAAGGCCTTCTACACACACCTTCCAGAAATGCCCAAGAGACCATTTCTGCGTGCCCGCTGTAGAAACATAATAAGGAGACTGGTGAGCAGCAAAGAGAAGGACAGAAACATACGGTGACAGGCCCGCCGGCTGCAATGCCATCCCGCAACCGCTGCACGTCCTCTGGATTGGTGCCAGGCCCTTGCAGGAATCTGCAGTTGCGGCCCACAACCTGATCCCTGCACACCACCAAGCATGCAGCACGTCAGGGAATGACTAATGCCAGCTCCACCTCACAGATGCCGCACCCCTCTCATCCTCACATTGAGCACGTATCAAAGGCTTTGCCTCTACGCCATCCTAGACCAGGCTTGAAACACCCACACAAACGGCACTTGGAGACATGTGAGGCACTGCATCCGTACAGATGCATCGCATCCGCACCAATACTATACTGAACTGGTAATAAGTACCATAAGTACCATACAACGAGAGATAAATATCAAAGCAGATCATCACATCAGATGCAATGCCCACGAGCACATCTGCTTTCCCCGCATAGAACAACACACCATGATCAAAGGAACACTGAAGATCACCTGGGGTAGCCAGTGAGGTCCAGGAAGCGCTGGCTGGCGTACACAATGGGGCAGTCGGGCTCATCTGGATTGGCCAGCACAAAGGACTGCGCCAGCTTCATCAGAGGCTGCAACAGGCTTGTGGGCACACACGGGGCGGCCACCGGCCCTGAGACATGGTGCACAAGTCCCTCACCTGCAGAGCGGGAGACAATAGAGCACATAAGCAGGGTCAGGCAGATAGTAGAACTCCCAACCATTGGGGCATTTTGAGTGAGCGCACTTGACATGAATTCAGCAACTACTACCTACAACACATGTGCGAGGGCTTCTCATTATGATACAGAAGGACGAAAGCGTGATTCCCGTCTTGTGAAGCAAGGCGTCATCATTGTTTATGACATGATTAATAATCGCAGACTGCAAATGGTCAGTATGCACAGTGTTGCGAATTTCAATGCCTGCTTTTGCTGAGTCATAGCTGCGGCGCACCTGAGCCTGACTTGTGCCACTGACTCAGCATGCTCCTCAGGCGGGCAGCAACGCGCTCCTCTGACATCCGCACATCAGCGCAGCTGGGCTCATCTGTCAGCACCAAGGGCACATCATCTGCACGCGCCACAGGTAAGCATTCAGCGCACAAGAATGTAGCTGCAGCATACCCTCGGCAAACTTGAATGCGAGCATTGAAACGGATTTTTCTGGCAGGGTGTCATGCATTCCAGTAATCACCAGATGCCGGTGGCAGGGAGGTATACAGTTTGAGAATCACCAGACACCAGAAAGAACACCAGGAAGCTTGCCTGATATAGTGGCCTGAGCAAGTCTGGCCGTCTCCACCTCTTCAGTCACATCGGCCTGAATACCTACGAAGCACAATGCTTGTATTGATGGCCACGGCCCACAATCTCATTCATACGAACTGAAATCTACAACGTCACTCTGCCTTCCGCAGGAGACTTCGCTTAAGTACTTAGGGCTGCACAGGTGTCTCTGAGCAGTGATAATCACGAGGACGTGCCTATATAGTACTCCACAACTCCCGCGTCCTCGAAGATCGGTTCGAGGTAGAAATGGTTCCAGAAGGACTCGCCGCTTTTTTTGTAATTCTTTATGCAGACCTGCGAAGACAGAAAAAATGGACATTCAAGTCAACACCGGAAGCCTAACAAACCTTTGAACATTAATCCCAGGGTTGTGAGACTGAGCTCCTTGGTACCATGCAGCTAGCCTTTGTGTTCTGCACACTGAGCTAAGCAAAGTGACTCGAACCTGTGCTGCTCGTTCCTCCTGGATGGCGCTCCTGATTTCCATGACCTGCATAGCAGTGAAGGGCAGCACATGAGGGGAAGCTGCAGTCAATGCATGTTTGACAAGACGCCCAAAAACACTACAATCCCGCCACTCCCCGGGAGCACACCTTTTGTCGTGATGTGTCTGGTCCATGAAGGAATCTGCAGGCAAACACACCAAGAATTTAGCCAGACACCATTACCATATCTATTGCTGACTTGTAGGCGTGCTATCCTGAGACAAAGAACAGTTTGATGCAGGCGGTCACCTGCAATTGCTTCCTAGTACTTCTTCAGGTGTGTAGCCTGTCAATTCGTAGAAACTGGGGGACGCAAAGATGATCGGCATGTCAGGGTCTCTGGCAGACGAGATGGCAAAGCAGACCTGTAACAGCAGGAAGCCCCAATCACAGGCCATTCAAGAAGACGTGGAAACAACAATGGCATGGATGTATTACTAGTACGCAAATGAGGGCCATACATTGGCTGCACTTCAGAATTGCCCCAAATATGGATACTGGTCGCTTGTATTTGTGCCTCCTTTAGGATCGAAAGAAACAAGTGCACCTCAGGTACTAAAGGGAACACTTAGGGCCAGGTTCGAAAGTCATAATGTCGATGCAAGCACCTGATTGAAGGATGCAAGCTTTGCCTCTAACTCATGGTCAATTGCAGGCAGTTGTGCCGTATGCCTGCCGTTGGCCATCGGAGAAGTCATGATGGCACGGCCACTAACCCGAAGAAATACTACAGGTACTAAAGCAACAGATGTAGCGTCCAGCAATAGATTAAACACTCCAGCACAGGCTCGAAAGAAAAGCCGGGTGCGGTTAGACACGGCTTTGGAACAGGATTCTTTCTAGTGCTGTGTGGTCAACGCAGCGTCAACAACCTCGCAGTGCAAGAATGTCTTCTAATAGTTGCAGGGCAATGCCAGATCTTGTTGGATTTGGCTTTGACCTCCTCTTGATTGCCCCGTGATGTCCCTGACGTAACCCAGGTGGTGACTCCGCAACTGCATGCGGGGTCAATCGCTGGGTCAATCCCGAGTGTCTCCCTGTCGTAAGCATGTGGCGCATTGCACCAATATGTCTCAGATCTCAGATTACTCTAATGCGATTAGACTCTTTAGTTCAAAATCTCGCCTGATTGGAACAAAGGGGTGCTACATCCGCATCTCAGCTGTGGTGAGGATCCTGGGCGACAGCTTGCTGCATAGGACCATCCAAGTCCGATGTTTCGGTGTAGTGTCGAGGCCGATGGGTAACCGGTCGCGGACATGATACTTCCGTGCACGCAAAACATGTGCAGATCTCCATCCGGGTGCTTTTGCGAAGTGATAGAGAAACGGAAGGGCAGGGGCCATTCATAGATCAAACGACGAAAATTAGCCATGTCTCTGAGGCAGTTGACTCGTCGACTCGGGAGAGGCTCTCTATCAGGATTCTGGCAAGGGAGGTACACATTGCAGCCTTGGAACGAGGTCGCAAATTCTCACGCACCTCCGCCGGAGTCTCAGGTACATCGTGTGGCCCTTCCTTTACAGTATGAACAGGTGGAAGATTGGGCATGCATCTGAAGCTGCAAGGCAGGTTGTTCACATTGAAAAGGGGGAGAATAGTATCAGGCTTGAAGTGGAAAGATCTGATCAGACCAGCAAAAGACGGCTGCCCCTAACCTTCCTATTCACTTTGAGATGTGAAAGCTGCCGTCTTGCTCGGCATGCATAGCTCCAGGTCCTAGTCCCTGAAGTTCACGAGCTGATGTGTTCAGGGTAAGGGTTGGGACTCCAGTGGAGATTATGGCTTTGCAACCTTCTCTAATGTGACGTGAGCCCCTCTGTCCATTTCCATTTTGCTGCAAGTTCATTCATGATCCAAACATTGTATGAGGGGTTCACCTTGATATCATGCTACTTACTGTCAACTGCCCCGACAGTCTGATTGCTGTGCCCCTGCTGTCATGTAGGAACCCATCGATCGGGCTCGACAGCATTTACCAGAAGCATGTCTACTCGCGGCTGGCACCTCTGGAAGCTCCAGAGGCCGCCGGCGACTCCAATGACAGCAAGGTATGCCGTCTTCCTGCAACAACTTACTTACAGCTGCGATTGCTGTCACTGCTCTTTCAGCATGTAAGCTTGTGCCTGCATGGACATGTACGCAGAGCGGGAAATAGAGCAAGGATGAACTCACGACAAACTTATGATGAGCCACGAGGCCTGAGTTTCATTGCATGATCATTCCAGGGGGAGGCGATAGTGGCGGCAGCGGTTTTTGCAACACTACAGCCGGCGGCGGCAGCAGCTGCCCAGAAGGGTGATGACAGTGCAAGCGCACAGAAGGGTGGACAGAAGATATCCTCCAGGCTAGACACCGACCTGACTGCAGACAGCGTTGCAGTGGTGATCGAGGGCGCTCTGGACAGAACCTTGACAGAGGACTCCGGCGCGCCTGCAGCAGCCGCCGGGGCTGCTTCCAGACCCATCGGTGACCCCCACGTCGAGCGGAACGCCCTCAACATCACAGCAGCTGCACCCAGGACAGGATCACCACAGCAGACTGACCCTGCTGCTGTCAATGCTACGCCACACCATGCACAGCCTATGGAGAAGGGAGGAAGCGGCAGTGACTTAGGGCACACAGTGCAGGCAAGCAGCAGCGGTCAGGCCGAGGGGGCCGCTACAGCTCCGGCAGTGAGCCAAGACGGCGGCAAACACATGGAGCACTTGTGGGCTGACACGGATGCGGCGCTGACGATGCTGCCGCCGACAGCGGCGCGGGGGCCAGATCTGGCGATCGGGCTGCTGTGGGCGCTGCCTGAAGAGGCACGGGACACCATAACCTCCGCCAAAACAGGCGCAGCAGTGCATAATGGCGGCAGCGCATGCATGGAGAAGGATGCCCTGCTGGCGTCCAGCCTGGCGCATGCGGCCGGCAGGAACACCACGAAGACCAGGCCATGCCCGGCAGCGGCCAATGGAGCTGACGAGACGAAGGGTGCCGCACGCGCGCAGACGGCTACAGACTCCACAGCTGCTGTAAGCAGTCATTCAAGCGTTTGCCGGAACAGGTCGGCCGTGCAGCAAGCGCCGTCCTCAGTGAAGCTTGCTGCGAGAGTCGCGCGACAAGCGGGAACAGGAGCAGTTGCGCCGAGGCAGGGCCGACGAACCACTCCTGCTGCAGTTGCTCGTCTAACGCGGTCTGTGAGCCTGGACCCCAGGGACAGCGCGGCTGAGAGGCATGCCGAGAGCGTGCGGCGGCTTCAGCCAAGCTCAGCGGAGGACGAGATGTTTCTGTGGCAGTCGCAATGGCGGCTGGGGCAGCTGCTGGACAGAGGCTCTTTGAAGGCTGTGCCTGAAACCTCTACAGGTGAGTTTTTCCTAATGCGCCGGTGTTTCTGACATGGGGATGATCGTTCCTGCACTGGTGTCGGTATTCTGAGACGGATTTGCTTGAATAGTCAGACACCATGCAGTGCGGGTTCAGGGGCTAGAGGGTGATTATGGGCCATGTCTTGTTTTGCAAATCGCTCTTTAGCTGTACTACAGGGGTGAAGTTGCTTATAGGTATTGGCCAGTGATTGTCCTCTTGTGCATTCTACCCCATACGGTGCATTGCTGAAGTACTGCCCCTGCATAAGTACTGCCCTTCACAGAGCAACACATGTATATGACAATTGGACAAGATGGGGTCTTAGGGTGTTTCTGTCGTTCTGGCGTTGCAGGAAGGGGAGTGCTACCGGTGCAAGGCAGTGTCTGTGGCCGGCCTGTGTTTGCTTATTGCCTGGATGCAGCAGCGTCTGAAAATGCCTCGTGCGCTGATCATGCTTCCCGCCAAATCCTTCACCTCATGGACATGGCTGTGATGGTACGTTCCAGCACCCAAAAACTCAAAGCCTCCGGTGGGTTCTCATTTTGTCCTGTAGTATGTGCCACCTCCTTTATGGGCTGCACCCCTCATTCACCTGCCATGCATTGGACAGGCACCGCGAACTTGTGCCTAGAAGATTTGCCAAATTTAGAAGTACAGAACGTGTCGTTTTCACGCATTGCATGAGGTTGGGAGCTGCTTCTTGATGCATGCCTGCTGCTGCGCAGACTGGACATCCAGTCATTGCCATATACAGCGGAAGCGCCTCTCCTCAGCCATCCCATGGAGCAGCAATACAGCCCTGGGCAGACCTGCTCCTACGCCAGATGGATGCAAGCGGAGTGATCCCTCAGCTCTCCGTCAACCTGGCATCCCCCCCCTCCAGCGAAGCCTTTGCGCTGCTGAGGAGCACCGCAGACTTCACCTTCACAGTGCAGCAGCCGCAGCCGCAGACAGAGCCCAGGGTCAGCAACCCGGTGGCATCATCTGCCATGCAATACACAAGCAGCCAAAGCGCGGCGCGCATGCCGGATGAGTCACCGGGAATGACTGATCGGTCATCATGGGTGACGAATCAGTCAGCGAGGGTGACTGATCGCGCTGTGACTGGCCGGCTGTCGGCGAGCACCGCGGCGCTGGCCGCGTCGGGGGCGGGGCGCCTCGCGGCGTTCCTGCACGCCTTCATGCAGCAGTCCCTCGGCCTCATTGCGGCGCTGGTTGCTGCTCTGCAGTGCGCTGTGCGGCCGGTGCAGGCTACCTGCGAATACGGGCCTGCACCTTCTCGTGGCGTAGGCAATTTGCACCGAGCAGCAGCAACAGTCAATCAAGTGCGCCACTGGCCACCTACTGCTGTCTGTCAACAAGTACAGATTTGAATACTGCAGGGTGTAGATGTAGAGTTGAATGTTCCAGATCTGTGGGATGACGATGGGCCATAGGTGACTTGGATTCACACTTGGCCAGTTTCGTTCATTAGCATTGACAGCACTCTCGTGGCACCATTATTAGCAGGGATCGGCATTGGCGGTGCTGTTGGTGGTGTCGCAAGAGTGCTGCTGATGCTGCGGAAGGCAAGCATTTTGATGTGTGTGCAGCGGGGATGAGTTCATTGCTGTGTGACAGGTGGCGGACGGCCAGCTGGCGGCGGTGTGCAGCACAGAGAGAGATGCGCTGCGGAGGGTTAGGGAGGTTCTCATGTACCTGCCTGCCTCCAACATCAGCCCAGCTCCAACAGTGTGTGCTAGCTTACTCTTACCTGATTCTGGTGTACCCACCCGGATGAAATCCATCTCTTGCATGATCTTCCAATCTCCGCTGCTGATGATGCTGTTTACCAGGTCGTTCGCAGAGTGTCCTGACATTCAAAGACTGTCCTGACAGATTTTTATGCACATAAAGGCATCTGCTCAAACACAGTGCTTTCAACCTGAAACTCATGGCCTCCGTGCATGTGAAGAGCATGCACAAAGGCATGGGCTGCATCAAGCGCATTCTGGCATGCGCAGGTTAACTGCCTGGACTCCGAGCAACGCATGTGCCAGAAGCTGGATGCCTTGGCGGCTGATCTGCACAGGGGCGTTCCTGTCTCAGCAGACCTCATTGTCAGGGACATCGTGGATGGCGGTGAGTGAAGCACTCAAGCACCCCAAATTGCTCCTCTCCTTCCATACTCAAGGAGAACTTCTCGAAGGAGTTATCTAAGGATCTTTTAGCAATTTGCTACTGCTTGGAATGTCTCTGCCACTGCCTTCTTTTGTGCACAGTCCATCATGCATGGCAACGGTGTTTTTCTCGATCCTGCCTGTATGCATAAAAATATCCCTTCCCAATGTGCTTGCAGATTTTGTGGTGTGGACTGGATTTGTGACAATGATTGACACATGCAGGAAATGTCTGCCAACTGGCACTGGAGGGTTTGGGCAGCCCGGCAGCGCTGGGTTTTGCCCGGCTGGGCAGCAGAGCCGTGGGTATCCTGGCGTTCCCTCCGCTCACACAAGCTCTGCACACCTCGCCCCGCAACAATGTGCCCATCAGGGTGAGGCTCCATATCTTCCGATGACTCATCAAATCACAGCAGCACTTGCTGTGGTCAATCTGTCTCTTCCGCATCAGGGCCATTGCTCATGGCTCTGTCAAGGCTGTGTGCTCCTGATGAACTGTTCAGTTGCACACATTGTGCTGCTGCGTAAAGCTTCTTTTGTGCCATTCATAATCACATAATGCATATGCAGGAATCCTATTCTGTGTGCTGCGAAGTACCTGTGTGACATGCAAAATTTGTTCTACCGCAGGCGGCTCGCTTCGTGAGGTTCTGCGATGCGTTCAACATGCCAGTGGTCACACTCCTGCTGCCCCACCTCAGCTCGCCTGCCAACAGCAACTCCGACATGCAAGACAGTGCCCAAGGAGACAGCGCCCGCGCACTGACAAACCTCATCTTCGCCTTCTCAGAGGCCACTGTGCCCAAGCTGACTGTGGTGATGGGCGCTGGCGAGCCATCAAGTCTTTTCCAGGTGGGCTTTCCTCGATGTTCCTTTACAAGATGGAGGGATTGCTTATGAAGCATGCGTGCATACTTGATGACACTGCAGAGCCTACACTGCCATCTCTAGAATAGTGTTGCCCTGCACTCACGCTTGCCATTATTGTCTGGGGAGTTCCGTGGCTCAGATTGTGAGAATAACGACTGAACACTTGCAGCAAAGAAGATGTACTGTCAGGAAGCCATCAGGCAGACATGCACGCCAGTCTGCAGATAAACAAGAAAGGGACACAAGTTTCAGGCGTCCTCACATGTCCAACAAGACCTACTCTTGCGACCCGGTACGAGCTAACACACATATGCATGCGCAGTGCTTGAGGAGCGATGTTGTCTTGGCCTGGTCAGAGCGCGGCCTGCCCTCCGCTGCTGAGGAAGGCGGCGCCGTTCGCATCATCGAGCCCTGTGCCACCCGCGCTGCGCTGTGCGCTGAATTGGCGGTCCTGCTGCAGCCGCGCGTCGTGGCGCGGCCCCGGCGCAAGCATGCGCTGCTGCCCCTCTGAAACACAAGTAGCGTATGGGGGTTCAGGTAATGTAGGGTGACACGCATGGCGCAAGGCATGCATGCGCTCCTGCCTCTGTGACCTACATAAGAATAGCATGCACGGCGCACTGAATACCTCTGATCTCCAGTAGGGTGAGGGAATGTGAGGGTTGTATGGTTGCTGGCGCAGCACGCACTGCGCAAGCATGCGCTTCTGCACCCGTGAACTATGTTTGGGTATGGGGTGTTGAGGACTGTAGGGTGCAGCCATGGGAAAAGCTTGCTCTACTACCCCTCTGAAGTGCAGTAGGGTATGGGTTTTTAAAGGGGTGTAGTTAGCTGGCGGTGCATGCACGGCGCATGCATGCATGCACTGGTGTCAATCTGACAGGAGATGTCCAATTCTGGGTGTGTTAGGAGGGATGAGAAGAATATTTCGGGTTTCAAATTGATACTCTCGGAGCTGTCCTGAGGAAAATTCAGCTGGCAGCAAGGGCATCTTTACAGCAAAAACCCGTCGTATCAGACAGTCGCATCTGTAGAAATGAGGCCAAGTTCTAGATGAAAACTTATTCATGCCGACTGTGCATCAAATGATGCCGCAGCTATCTACTGCATTATTGAATGACGGTGAATGCCGTGTGTGCAAGGTATCTTGATTGGGTGATAGTTGCACTTGAGATACAAGGCTTAGGCCCATTGTTATTGTAGGATTGTGGCAGGCTTTCTTTGTACCATCAGTTTAATTGTTGAGTCATACTTACTCCTGTACATATGTGACACAAGTCCATGAAAGGGATCGCATGATATTCTAGGTTTCCCTCGTTGAGATTGCCATTTCAGTGCTAGGCCTGGTGTGAGAACAGTGTTGTGTGTAAGCTTAACCAGATTTGAATGCTAGCTAGAAGCGCTTTGAACTGCGCTGTTCAAAGCCATGGTGGGATCACTGATACATATTTGAGGTGCCTTTGCACACGTGTGCACCCTGCACTGATTGTCACATTGCCCTGAGCTTTCCCTAGATTTTCTCGCTGCGCTGTACACTTATAGTAATGCTGCAGACAAGAACACCAAGCACACAACCCAGTTAGTGACACGTGAAGCTGCATGCAATGTCATCTGAAAGTTGTGACCCACCTGCTACTGAAGCTGCAGGTCAGACTCCTGCCAGTCGAGATGACAGAGGAGATGTGACGAGGAGCTGTTCAGTTTGCTTGAAGCTGCAGCTATTGGGCGCGGCCTCTGCATCTTAAGTCTGAAAGCTGTACGCATGGCCCAGACAGCATTTTTTGTGCTTTTGGGATGATCACGAGATCTGGCCTTTGCCTTGCCCAAGCCTGGAATGCTCCATGCTTGCGCCACGCGTGCAAAAGCGCACAACTAGTTCTTACTGCTTCTCACTTCTCTCCCATGTGTACCAACAGATGCAGCCTTCAGGCTATTACATAGGATCTGCATTGAAAAGAAAATACTTCAGCTAAATAAACCTGCACTATTGCCGTACTAACCACCCATCACCCTGATCTTTTACTTCACAACCCTGCTCTAGCAAATCTGAATGCAAGCGGCAGAAAAAGCAACTGCAGATGCTCACACAAGAACACATTGTCTGGATGCCATTATTCCAGAACCTGGGGGAATCCGTAAAAAATATGCCTATCTACAAGTATTTGTTCAATTCAAAGGTTGGACAAACTCCTAGCAAGCTAGCGCTAGGACACAACGCTGTTCCAGAGATTCACTGCGGCAATCATTGCCGCACATTTTCAAATCTGTCCAAAGATGCAATTGGCGTTTTAGGTAATGGTCAAGACAGTTCAGTACAGATAGATCGCGGCAACAATATGCATGAGCTGGTGTAGAGGTGTGCACAAATCAGGGCATCTGCAACTGCTGGCTATCAGAGGCAACTACAACATATCCTACGGAGCTGCCCTTGGAGTGACAGCACGCAACAGCTGCTTAACGACTGACAGTGCTGCATGTGATCATTCTCCTCCTGCCAGGCCTGTTTTTTTACTTTGCAGAGAAGTAGTTGCCAGGACCAGCAGAAATCTGCCGACATTCCAAATTAACGGGAGCTTGCAAGCTGACCTGTGCAGCTGAAAATGGATTCCTGCCCAAATGTAACCAGCTCCAATATCAACTGCTTGGTTTCCTTCCCACGAACTTTTTTCAATAGGTCAACGGCCCCCAACCCATGCATATCTCTCCGGGGCTTGCACCTCTGAGCGGTGGCACATGCTTGCGCCTGCCTATGCATATCCCTGCACCATTCCAGCTGAAGCCAGCAGGTCTGCTTTCCACTGAGGAAGCTGCTGGGAGCTGTTGCTTTCCCATGAGGGAGCATCCCTGATGTCCAGGCCCAGCAAACACGCTGCTGACAAGTGACATGTGTGTTTGGCCCAATGCAGTATTCACTGATTACTGTGCTGTAACAAGCGGTAGAAGCTAGCTGCGCAGATCAGATGTTGCCAGCACAAGCCCCGCTCCGACGGCGGCGGCGGCGGCGGCCACGCACGGCACAAATAGCGCCGAGGCATCTCCGATACCCCTCGCGCGAATCTTCTCGTCCACCTGAACATGCATTGGCACACACCTCAATTTTGATCCAACTCATACTGACCTGCAACAGCATGACCGCCCCTGCAGTGTGATCCACTGGAGCCTACATGCAAAACACAGGACCTCCAGGTGGGCTGCTCGAGACGCATATCCTTGGAAGTTTCCACGACAAGAGTTATGTTGAGGACTCAGCACTGACTCACAAGCCAACATTGAAGGCATGCACACCATGAACCAATAAAGTCCTTTCAATCCTTTGCAAATTCCCCACAGGGCCGTTGGGCTAACACAGGGCCCTCCCGACTGTTTACGGGTGTCCTACAGCAAAAGAAACACCCTTCCATCATGCAGAGCCCGAGAGACGCGCCTGCTTCGGTCGGCCGCCGAAAAGGGCGCGCATGCCAGCGCAGCTGAGCCAAAGCAGGCCGGCCAGGAGAGCTGCTACGAATGCGTAGACATCGAGCATGTGGCGCACGTGCCACGGCAGCAGGTGCTCTGGCGTCTTCAGATAGGTGTCCCCCCCAGTTGCCATCACATGCTCCACCCAGTCTGTATGCATATCACCCAAATGTCATCACACTTGCAACTAAGATAATATTTCTGTTGAAAAGTAGAGGGGGAAAATAACCTTCTGCTGAATCCGGTAGTGGTTATGTGGAGATGGTAAGACGTATGGCAAAGGATAGTCCCAGAGCTGCATGATCAAATCTTGAGCGCGTCAGACCCTCCTCTGTCCAGTGGAAGGCAGCAGTCAGGCAGACAGCAGACTATGTCCGAGCACGCCATGGGCATTCGCTCCATTATGGTGTACTTGCATTGACACCAAGAACAAGCTGCCCTGTAGGCTGACCTCACAAGGAGGGGGAGAGTCCTGATCTGCATAACATTTGGGCCCTCTTCTGATGCACTCAACACTGCCATGGTCGATAACCCCTGCAGGTGACATCAGGGACATATCCAAATAAAGGTGTGATATTCCTTGCTGTGAAATGCTGCAGGCGCATACGGAGCGCTTGCCAACAATTCAGGCCTGCCACTCACCTGCGGCCTTCTGGGCGGGTGTCAGGCGGTGCGCGCGCATGCGTAGCGACACCTTCCGCGCAGCTTCCCGGAAGCTGGGCTCGGCCATGACTCGCAGCGCGGCCGCCAGCAGCGAGTCAGCGGTGATTGTCCCCGGGGGAATCATTAGGCCGAAGCCCCTGTACACCGCCTTCATCACGTTGTCCGGCTGGTCTCCGAACACTGGCAGGCCCACGACTGGGATGCCGTGATACGCCGCCTGCGCAATCACAGAATACTAATTTGAGTCTGTTTAGAGCCCAAATGAATGGCAGGCCTATGGCTGGGATGCCGTGATATGCTGCCTGGAGAGTAGCAAATCCGACACTTTCGAGTGTGATCCCTCGGCATCAAAGGCATCAGTTTGACCCTCAAATGGGGCAGTAAAAAATATTGATGTCGTCACTTTGAATGTCTACCATCCATTTACTCAATGGCTACATATCTTGCACCACAGAAATGCTTGGGAGGGCCACCAGCTCGTGAAGTCACTGAAAAGAAGCAGCCTAAACAGGGTAAAGTAGCGCCTGTGATTGTGTAGCTGACTGGCAGAAGGATGAAAGGAGAGTGCGAGCAGGGCGTGCCTCGTAGATGGAGTTGAGGCCGCCGTGGGTGACGAATGCGCGCACGCGAGGGTCGCCCAGCAGATCGTTCTGGGGCGTCCAGTCAACCACCTGTGCAGGAGTGGACCTTGTCAAGTGTTGCCTCATGAATTGACACATTTAACCCCGCCTGAGACATAGCTTTGCCATTCGACTGATTAAGATGCTCAGGGCCACTTCAAAAGAATCTTTGTTCCTCTGTGTCTTGCAGGCTCAGGTGCCTTCAATTTGCTTCAAGTATCCTTGCTGTGTATAAGTGTTCCATCAGTGATTGCATGTCTTCGAAATGCCCTGTGCATGCAGCAGAACAGAGCAGAGCGCAATGTCTGCATGTGTCATACCATTATCTGTCTAGGGAGAAAGGGCAACTTGATGATCAGAGTCAGTGGTGTGTGGGGCTTTCGGTCATGCAAGTGCTGCAATGTATTGCTGCCACAGCCTTTGCATGCACATGTAGATGAGCAACAGTGTCATTTGCATGCCAGTCATGTGCTCAAAAGGGGGAGCCGCCAGATCTGGCGCACCTTGACATTGGGGTTGAGGTTGAGGGATGCCACGGTGGCGTTGCCGGGCAGGTCTCCGGGGGCGAGCTTCCAAATGACTAAGTTTGGCAGGGCAGACAATGCGCGCGCAATCTCCACGAACTCGCCCGCGCCGAAGTTGCACAGCGTGCCCATCGATGCATACACTGCCCCCTCCGGGCCCGCCTCCTCAAGCAGCGCCTGATTTGGCACAGACAGTGACAGGTTGCCTGTTCTGATACAACTCGTCTTTGCACTGCGACCCGGATTGTTTAGGCAGTGTAAGAGGATGCAATGACAGGCGCGGCTGTGCAGGCAGCATGGCCCTGGGCAGCATGCATTGGAGAACATGTCTAAATGTAAGAGGATGCATTGAAGTGTCCATGCATACTCTTTTTATCTATGCCCTCTTTACCCACAAGCATGGACTCTATTTATCTTCAAGTGATTGCTCCAGCATGACATGCAAAGGGGGAATTGCTGCTGCAAGAGCTTCCATTGCCAGGAGGATCACTCCTGCTGTCACTCCTTCGAAGTGCTTCCGTCGCTTCCAACACCGAAACTTATTCTCTAGCTAAGACAAGCTGGCCGGTCTCAGCCTGCAAGGGCCTCGGCCACCACCAATGCTGTAGAGTGCACAAAACAGCACAAGATATTATATATAACCCCCGCACCTGGAAGGCCGGGGGCAGCGGCTTGGCGGCTGCCGGCAGAAGGGCGCCCACGAGCTGCACGGTGGGCGGTAGCGGCCGGGGCCACTCCATGGCAAAGTCCATGTTGTACAGGAACATGGCGGAGCCGTGGACCGTCGAGGTGGCCAGACAATCCACCCCGTGAACTGTCCCCAATCGGGTGTATAGGGGCAGCGCGCGCAGCTGCTCGCCGAGGAGGCTTCCGCAGTAGAAGGCCAGGTTCTTCACACGCTGCAGGAAGGTCTGCGCAGCATGCACTGGTGTGTTCAGGGTTCCGGGTCAATGAAGGGTCAGAATGTCTGTAATCCACAGGACCCTACAGTGCCAGCTTGACCTGCTGAGCATGGAAGGACCTGGTGGGAAGGTTAAAAATGCAAAAGGTGTACTGTAGCAAGGGTGTGCTCTTCTAGACCCAGTGGACCAGCCTGCACTGCTCCACACATGAAGGCACCTGACATGGCAGTGTAGTAAACATATCTCCTCTTTTCTTTGCACGTGTTAAAACCAATCAGGCCTGCCATAAAGCACTGCACAACTGCTATGCCGGCAACATGCGATTGTGCAGTGAAAGAGAGGGGGGCCACGATGCTGACACTAGCACGGGGCGGCAAATCTCAAGGACTCTGCAAAGGAGCGGACAAATGAGGTCCCATTGGATGGGTCGAGCAGGTGAGCATACAAAATGAACATCACGATGGTCAGGTCTCATTGCGCAGTGCTTCAAAGCCTCTAACAGACGGAGCCCAAGAGGGACACAAGACAAAGGGCGTGGACTGAAGGCGCACCATGCGATTGGACAGGGAAATCCCCAGTTGGGAGCACATAGCCATGTCTGTACGCCGCTTTTAGACTCTCTGTTGACCGTGTCAGCAGCACTGGAAGTGTTCAGGCCAGGAACAGAACAGGCCAGGGGCCCGCCGTGTGTCTGAAGGAGGCTGCCAGCTAGGTGAGGCATGCATCTGAACCACGTGCTTTCCTCACAGAAATGATCAGTAGCAGGAAACAGGCAGCCCAGGAGCGCACCATGCGATTGGAGAGGGAGGTGCCGAGCTGGGGAACGTAGGCCAGATTGTTGGGCATGTTCTCCATGCGGCCGGGCACCAGAGGATCCAGGATGGGCAGCGCGCTGACCATGACTCGCGGCAGCCGCCCGCGCGGATCGCCCCGGCGCAGCAGCTCACTCTGCCCCATCGCGCACGCGTACGCCACGTCTCCGAGCAGCACATCCGCGTCAAACTCCTGGCAGTGCATGCACAGCCTTCCCGATCAGATGAGGAAGACCCTTGCAGTGGGTTCCGTACACTAAAAGTGTCAGCACTCATGTTAAAAGATCCCAACATACTTTCGACCCCACAATAGTGCAAATAGAAAACTGCTGAAGCTGCTGTCAGATCGTGCTGTCACCAAGGGCACTGCTGCCGCCACACGATACCGGGCCCCAAATCAGTGACCAGAGCAAACTCGAGCATGTTCCATTGGAAGTCGCGCCCACGGATATTCAATGGTTGCAGAGGCGCAGAGCCTCTCAGGCTTAGAGAAGTCCTCAAGGAAACAGCTATGTGCTTTGGTTAGCAAGCCCTAGATTGACGATAGACGAGGCGCTTGGCCGAACTCGACTGTGTTCCTACATTGATGCGCTGGGTGTTAGTCACAACCCACCTTCATGACGGCCGCTGCTTCGCCGTCTTCCAGGAAGAGCTCGCAGTACTTCATGAGCGAGTCCAGGTAGACCAGAAAACTCTCCAGGCTGCCCAGAAAGTTGTTGCCCACAGCCTCCCTAGTCCCTCGCACCAGCTCCTTCACTTCCTAAGCCATAATATCCTTTATCAGTGTGTTATTTCATGATTTGTGATTTTTATTTTGACAACATGGCCAGCACTCGGGTAATAGTGAGCATGTCAGAATCCCCTGGAGAGCTTCAGGCAATCCGCTGCTCTAAAAGTGGGGCTGCCCTGATACTTGCGCAGCCCACCCTGATACCGTGAGCAAAATAATGCTGCCACCACAAAAGATTCTGGCAGTTTTGCGCAAATGTTTTGCAGAGCTATGAGGCCCCAAATCACCGCTGCAAATGTCTCTGGCCTTACAATCCGACATGCTCGCTGGGTGTTTCTGTCTTCTACACCACTGGTGCTTCGCCACATCCAGCAGGAGCCTTCCGCGGCCTTGCGCTGTTTCTTCAGCAACATCATGCAAGGAATGATACCCAGACATGGTGTCCAGGCATGGATGCAAGTCTGTAGGCAGCCCACCTGCTTGGTGAATGCTGCCTTGTAGGTGGTTACTTGGAATCCGCTGGCATTCACCTTGTCCATTGTGGACAGGTCGCTCTCCGGTATGATCATCTGCATGCCACACCAGATTCAGTCTGTGCCTGATCTCGTGGTATCACCTGCAATCACCCAGCAGAGCGATGCTATGTGCTGTGGCCTGCTTGATGTGGTCAGTGAATCGGGCTGGTCAGGAGAGTGCATATGTAATTGTGAAGGTAGCAGGAAGTTGCTGGGAAGGATAGGATATTCCACAGGCAGCAGGGTCTCACCAGGATGTCATTTCCCCTCGCCACCAGTTCCTCCACTATCTTCGCCATCACAAATGTATGTGACTCTGCGCTTGGCAGTGGTATGACCAAGATCTGCACCAAAAAGTACAAGTGCTCAGTTCAAATTTCAAGCATGCAGATGGATAACACAGTGATTGCTGCACTGTGTCAGACAAGCTTCACCCCTCCTGATGATCCCCTTGGAGGCATGACGACATTAAGGTGCATATAAGTCAGGCATGGCTCGTTATGCTGTATCACTCTGTACTCTATATCGTACCTTGCCAGCTAAAGCAGGTCCTGCTGCACAGAGCAGAACAGAAAGGATGCAGACTGCAGGTAAATGGAAAGCTGAGTGCTGTCTTCGTGGGCACCATGTCCGTTCCGGTGTCAGCATGTCTATTCCTCCATACTTCTCCGATCCTTCATCGCTGTCATCTCCACCAGGACTGCTACTGGCTGGTGAGGGTCCCACCCTATGCTCCATCTTGCAATATACCTATTGCATTTTGAATGGGCGTCGAATTGTTCTGGCCGCAGCTTCAAGGTATGAAGTACTCTTCAACTGTACGTTGCTGTTGTGTAATCTGTCCAATGCTCAACGACTGCCGTACAAAGTGGCTGGCTGAACCCGTGAGGGCATCACCACCAGAAATATTACAAATTGGGAATACCAAGGCGCACGAAGTATGCACGGTCGTAATCTGTTTCCTTGCAAGGTCCCACAGGCATTCAATTCAGAAGTTGCCTGGCATTTACCTTGACGACGTATGCTTCGACCACGAGTCAAATCAAATGACAAAGCGGTTGACCCAAATCTGGGCAGTCCAAAATATCTCCAAGACTCATGTCGGAGAAGCCTCGAAGGTAAAGTTGATTGTTCAATTTTCGCGTGCTATATGGTATTTGAAGGTTCATTGCCTATCCCAGTACTAACCATGGATGTTTATGGGTCGTAGCAGCCGCACCTTGCAAAGTGGTCTGCAGCATGGCTTCTGTTCACCCTTCCGGAAATCTTCAAGTCACCCTCCCGAACGGTTTACAAGTTTCTGCTGTCAGCACGCTTGATCTAGATTTCCTGTACAGAGAGATATTTGAGCAGCAGCTCTACCTGCAGCATGGCATTTCGCTGCAAAGAGGGGATGTTGTACTGGACTGCGGAGGAAACATAGGGATGTTCTCCCTGTTTGCTGCCGAGGTTGTTGGGACCACGGTAAGTATCTGCTGAGGAAGAGAGAAAGACATTGATGTAGTCTAAACATACCTGCATATTGCACCTTGACGTCACCTGACATTGATACAAGGAAAAGCAAACAAGCCTGGTGATTCTCCAGGGGCGGGTCTTTTGTGTTGAGCCGGTGGAGAGCATCTTCGATGCCATGCAGCAGAACATCAGCTCACATGCAGAGTGGTGTAGGGAACAAGGTCAGTTTTAGAGGTCCTGCAGTTCTCCACCATTGTCTGCGCTTTCTTCAACCAATCTTGAGAAGGCATTTTCCTCACGATCAGCACGCTAAGATCGTACGCAAACTCTGCATCTCTTGCACAGGGAAGTCGGCTGCAGACATCACACCAATCAGGAGGGGCATCGGAGATGGGACCAAGGACAGCTTCACATTCACGCTGTACCATAATTTCACATGTGAGTGTCTGCAAACCCTTCCACTGCGCTTGCAATACTCCTTGCAGGCATCCTCAATTGGCGACATAAAGGATTGTTCCGCAAATGACCAAACAGAGCATTTTGGACCAGAAATTCACGGCGCTTGTCAGGAACAAGCAGCGGGCTGTAACTGCTATCCAGAGGTGCTAGATAGACCATAAGAGAGATGTCTAGGAAAGACGAGGCGCATGCCAATGCAGTCAGAAAGGGCTGCCGTCTGATCTGCACAGTCTTTATTCTTGCTTGCAAGTCACGCACGGCACATGAGCAATGTATGTCATAGTATTGTCATGTTGCATGCATGCTGCGTGCACGGCAGCTGCGCTCATGTGCCGGCATGTGCCTGCAGGCTGGAGCACGATGTACCCGCAGGATGAGGAGTTCCACCAGAGGCACATCGCAGAGTATGTGAAGCAGAACATCCGCGCGCTGGCCGGCATGCCGCCTTCTCTGTACAACAGAGCCGCACGCTTCTTCTACTACGTTGTTCCGAGCAGCATTTTCAACTGGAGCATGCGGTGTGCTCCCCTTTATTGGACTGCGCTGCGCTTGCCCTGTCCTTGCTTCCACATTGCTGCATGGTCCCACGTTGGCCTCATCCCTTCTCATCTGCAGGGGAGAATATGATCAGCAAGCTGGAGGCCCTTCCCGGTGGAATGCTGTCGGAATGCTGTCAAATGCACATCGTCTAGCAAATTCCAAGCAAATATCTGCACAGGGCAGGTCCGGTGCAAGGCTGATGAAGCCAGGGGGCGGGCATTTATCTAGCGCCACAGATGGTGCTAAAGGACAGAGCTTGTGCCCAGAAGCAGGGCATGCATCTGATGGTGCCAGATGAGGTTCTCCAGAATTCCATGCATTCTCAATGGCACGCAGTTTGATGAGGAAGGTCCCTTACGCTGCTGGTAAGACACAATCGCACCCTCACGGAAAGTCCGTTCTGTGTACCAGTCCACTGAACATGTGGGCTGCTGGCGCGCAGGCGGTATGTGCGCAATAACCTGCTGGACGCACAAACGGAAGAGTGCCGCATGTGCACGGTGTCCGATCTTATCCGCAGCCACGGCCTTGCCCGAATTGACCTGCTCAAGATCGATGTGGAGGGCGCTGAGCTGGACGTGCTGCGTGGCATAGCACACGAAGACTGGCGACTCATCCGCCAGGTCATCTACCGCACCTAAAATGGCTGAGGCACAGCCTAAACTTGCCCTTTCAACACAAGCATTTAGACACAATATTCCCCTGTCTGAGCATCTGCCTCCACAAAACCTATTCGTGCCCTTCTGTCAGGTTGAAAGTTGTAGATCTACGGTTTCATAGATTTGTGCTCTGCGGCCGAAGCAGTGACACTGGTAGTTCTGCCATGCGATTGCAGATCAAAGTTCTCATTCCTTCTGGAGGATCCTCGGGGTCCCTAGAGGGCTCTTCAGTCCACGTTGGAGATTATCAAATAAAGTGCTTGCTGTGTGACTGACAGAGATATCGAAATTGGCGCTGATGTATCTTTCTGTGTCAGGTTGTGCTGGAGGTGGAGTCATTGGGGGACGAGGGCAGCGGCACTCCAGAGCTGGATGCAGTGAGGGCCATTCTGGCGGGGGCCGGCTTTGGGGACCTCACCGTGGACGAGCCGCAGAAGGGCAGCAGAGTCTTCCACCTGTATGCCAGGCGCGCTGGGGAGAGTAGGTCTGAAGAGCAGTGTGACTGACCTTTTGCAACCAATCGTAAGCTCGAGATCCGTACATTGCTCTGGGGGCTGACTCAGCCGTCGGAATGGCTGTAAATAGCAGTGTCCCTGATATAATTGTGCAGCAATAATTAGCTGGGACCTACCGAGTCGTGGTCTGGAATCCAGACTCTGGATGGCATTTATGGTGGGCTGGCGGCCATGCCGAAATTACCGGTACCGCTGCTTTCCTACTGAAGGCCCTATTAAAGGTACTTAATGAATATCAGCGGCATGTTCACACGTCAGCGAGGACCATATATACTTATTATATGATAGTTAACAACGTTGCTACTCCGAGTCGAGCTCGCATTCGGAGTTCTAGATCGTTTCTGGAAAATGCCGGGGAGGGGCTCCAGCAGCAAGTATGAAGTCTCTTCCAGCACCGCGGCGTGAAGTTTTGGGTTTCTTCTGGCGGGAATGTCTTGATGGGAAAATACCCATCTGTCCCAGGGAAAACTCAATTGCAACAATGATTATGCATGCAAAGCACGTGTCACGTTTGGCCACATCACGGCCAGGTCAGCACCCAAGCCTACAAAGACGCGGGCCAACACCCAGAATTGCAGCTTCAGGCTTCTTGTTGACCTTGCTTTTCGTCGGTTTACTGTCCTCATCGTGGCAGGGAAAAGATGGCGTTCTTCACAGCAGCGGAATCCCGGCAGACGGCCGAGGCCTCCACCTCGAAGGTGCCCCGCCAAAGAGATTTTTCGCAGGTACATGGCTTCCCTTGGGCCCCCCGGGGCCGGGGCCTGGTCTCATTCGGTCTCTTCACGTTGTAGGTGACTACGGAAAAGGAAGGCGTGCACGCCACGGCCAGCACCGCCAGCAACAACTCCGCCTCGCAGCCTGCCGGTACGGTGGAGCAGATACCCCTGACCAAGCTGCCAGAGAAGCCGGTCATCATGCGCCCCTGTCGCGCCGCGGACACGTCCTTCGTGTCATTCCAGCTCTTCACGGAGACGATGTTCTTCGACTGGTGAACCCGAGGGTCGGAACTCCAAGAACGCCCAGGTGAGAGCTTTTGAGCGTGTTGAAAGCGGTGACCACCAGGGTGCGAAAACGCGCGCCCCTTCACATAGTTGTTAAAATTTTCGTTTCGGTCGCTCGCTGTGAGTCCCAGGAAGTTCCCGAGGCCTTGCTGCTTTTGAGCTCCCGTGTGTCACCTTAGAACATCCAATCGGCCGCGGAACGCGGCCGTTGGAGGTTTGTTCTGAGTGTTCTGCACTTCTGCAAACTTTCAGGTGCCAAAACATATTTTTTCTCAGAGAAACGTGGCGTGTCCCCAAATTGCTCAGCTCTATCTTGATGCTGCTATTCTTCTCTACACAACTCTTCCTGACCTTGAAGCGTTGCCGTGTTTACTGCTCAATGAACATATTATATCACAAGACACATTCTATTTCTTATCAGAGAGGAGTACATCATGGAGGAATTTGTTTATCAACTTTGACTTGATATGTGTTGACTGCTACCCCTGGCCTGATGTCCTTGGCTTGCTGCTTTGCAGGTTGTGTCTAGCTGGACTTCGAGGCACACCTTGAAGCAAGAGGAGAAGATGCACTGCCGCAAGAAGGGATGCCTTCATGTGCATACATAGTCATCTCAGGAGCTACCCTTTCTGCATACATGCTGTTTGATTAAGAACCTGACCCCGGCTTGTGGCTCTGCAAACTTGCAAATTGACTTTTTCCAGTTTCTCCAGTCCCAGTCCCAATTGCGATCATTGCAATTTCAGTAGCCAGCAGGACAATTAGTGTGCCATAGAACCATCTTGTATTCATAGGCAGGCTTGCTGTAGGCCAGCATTGCACACTTTTGGTTGAATAAGAGCTGCTGAAGTATTGTAGCAGCAAGAGCAGAACGGAACGCATGTGGAACCCTGTTGCACGCTTGACGCCAGTCGTCACGACAGGAATGGCCTGAAAATTGAATTGTGGCAGCAGTGTGCTATGCACCTATTTATAAAACCCTGGCCAATGCCAGCCTCAGTGTTTCTAGGAGGTGGGAAGAGCTTGTCTAAGATGGTAAGAATCGAAACAGGCAGGACAGGCAATGGTGGGTTGGCTAGGCGCATGCGCATGTGCAGTATGCTTGATCCGCAGATTGTAAGCATTATGTCTGAAGAGCAGCTCAAGCTTTGATCATGACGTGATCACTCAAGTGATTTGGCCTTGGCGGCGAGTTGTGCACATGCATGTGCCTCGCGAGCGAACACTGATATCATGGATGAGCCAATGGCACAGACTTCCATAGCAAGTGCACGGAAAGCAGGGCAGTCTGAACACATGCCAGTCACAGAACAGCGCAGGTACAATGCTTAGGTTCAATGACAGCGCCGCTGTCAGCAGCAAATTATGATGCGTTCTTTATATGAAAAGCATTTGGAAGCATGAAACATGTGAGCATTTGCAAGCCTTGTACTTGCAAACCCAACCTTGCACAGACATAGCCGCAGCATCAGTCTTCTGATCGTTTCAGCACCTCATGACTGACACAAAAGGACACATTCTCATAAAGGTTACAGCCTTGATGCACTCTTCTGCTTCTTGTGCCGCTTGCCCTGTGCTTGCACTTCTGTGCCAGTGAGCAACGCCTCCAAAGCAGCCGATCTACCCAAACCCCCCTCCAACTTAGAGCCTACTCCATGCTTCTGGGCTTGCTTCGCACCCACCGCATCCTCCTCCTTTTTCCTCTTCTTCTTCTTCTCGCCGCCCAACCCTGCTGCAGCGGCCGCCACAGCCGGGCTCGTCAGCTCAGCGCTCTGATCAGCTTCTGCCAACTGCTTCCGCTTCTTTTTCTTACTCTCACCCCTGCCAGACTGGCCACTTGGGCTGTCAGGTGGCTGATCTGTGAGCGCTGCCCCTGCTGCGTCCTCAGTTTGCAGGCCAGCCTTTGCTTTCTTGCCCTTCTTGCGCTTGGCAGGTGCGGCCTCTGAGCAATCTTCGCCGTCCTTTGTGGCTGTTGGTGGGGCATTGCTAATCTCAGGGGGCTCTTCGTCCTCGCTGCCTGTTTTGCATCACACATGAGGCATCAGTGACATGCATGCTCCATACCTTGTTAAAAAAGCCCCATGCCTGGCATGGACAGGAGTTTTATGGCATCGCCCCATATACAGAAGATCAGGATGGCATCAGCTCCAAGCAGAAATGTGAAGAAATTGGTCCAACCCCGTGTGTTGGAAGTCAAGGATTCCCAGATCAAGCATTCAGGAGGAAGTGTCAAACATTTGTATAATGCACGGTAAAATGCAAGGAAAAAATATTTTCAAATTGCTCAGCCCCAGCTCGCGTCAGCGAAAGGGCTCTCTTGGGCGATGGCTGGCAATGGCACCCAAATTATAAATGAGAGCATAGAAGCAAAGCATGAATGGCAAATCAACAACCAGATTAGTCACCTTGGCGATCTGTGCCATTGGCTGCTGTGTCACCGTCTCCGAGCATCTCGGCGAATTTGCTGCGCAGGACGGCCGCTGACTCAGCGCGCGTGCGCCAGCTGTCCGTGCTGCGCTTGAAATCCTCCACCCCGCACCTGCCGGCACATGCACCGCGCTTAGTCACCTGCTGCGCATCTCTTGCAGCCTTCATCCAAGCACCCTCTGCACATAATTTCATCCAACGCTGGGAAGGTGCTTCTCAGGATATGGCTTGCCAAAATCTAGATCGAAAAGGAGGCTGAGGAGCTCGGATTGGTACACAAGATTCAAGGAAAAGAAAAGAATAGAGAGGTTTACGGATATTCAAGCACCTGCCGACATGTTGACCATCTCTCTTTGTGCCCTAGGTGAACCAGCCTATTGATGCTTGCGTGGTTGAATCTCTTTCCAGAAAGAGCATGGGGAGCAAGCTAGCAGTGCTCCAAGATCCCATTAAAGAGGAAAATAAGGTGTGAGTCACACCTGCGCAGGAGGATCTGTCCAAATTTGGAGCTGGAGATGTGCTGCTCCGCCGCCGCCAGCTCCCCAGCGATCGCCTCCTTGTCCTTGACACCCTGCAACAACAGACCGTGTTGTCATCATTCGAAACAAAAGATTGATACTTATGCGTACTATAGCCATACATTTTCCCATAAGAACGTCCACACGCATTCCCTTTACTTCACTGAGGGAGCACGCAAAGGCATTCCTAGGAAAACATATGGATAGGGCTGCGAGGCACCATTCAAGACATGAACAAGCAGAAATTATACCCTCTTCATCAGATAAACGCTATTTTCAAATGTCTGCTTCCTGGCAGATAAAAGGGGCAGGCAAAGGCAGACACCCCGACACGGAAGCAGGTCTGGACGACGTGGCTGCCGCCAGGGCTGCCGGCCAGCTTCCCGTAGCTGCCGGCCAGCTTCCGGATGACGCGCTTCTTCAGCTTCGCCCCGGCATCCCCGTCCAGGAACGCCTCGAGCGCGCGGCTGCCGCCGCCGTCGCCGCCGACGTGCAGCAGCTGAGCTGGCGACAGGTCAGCGACTCCCTCCGCAAAATCCGCGCTCGCCTCCTGGCGACCGATGCAGACTTGGGCCTCAAAATACAGTGGAATGGGTGTTCAGCACAATTGATGGTATGATACCGTATGCTGGGAGGCCAGTTGAATCAGGGACTGATATCGTGAGAGGCGACCCAAGGTGAATGGTCTCAAGTGTGACTGGGGAAGAAAATGCAAAAACAGGGACAATCTGGAAGACATCTATACAAGCACTGCTGGAACACACATCGCCTTGGAACACCGGTGAAGCCTAAGCCCTTCTGGCAATTCACCATAATGATAATAGTTTGTGCATGTTTCATATGTTCCACTCTCACTGCGAGCCAGCCTGTTCTCCTTGTCGTTGGCGCGTGCTCTTCTTTGATGTTCGCTTGTCACTAGAGTTGGTTTGATGAAGGAAAGGTAGAGCAATGGAGGGCATGCTGGCCGCACACCTTGGGCAGACGCAGCACGGTGCCCAGCATGGCGCAGCCGAGCGTGGACAGCCGAGCGCGGCCGGCCGGATCCCCGAGTTTGATGGCGGGGCTGTCATGCGTCAGCAGGCTGGCCGCCAGGCCCTGCATGCAGGGCTCATATTCACTCCATTGCACGGTTTCCTCTTGTTGTACATGGGTGATGAAGAATTTTCAAGCAGCATCACGTTTCAGCCCTTGACGTGAAGTAGCCAACATTCTTCTGGTGCACATGCCCTTTGCATTCTACTCACCTCATGTAAGTGAGCATTGGTATGTCCCCTCTTCCTCAAAAGGTGCATGAACCGCTTTGATAATCCATCCACAACAGGTCCACCGGAAGCTTGCCCAGGCAGAAATCAAGGTACTTCTGTTGCTGAGAAATGAGGCGGTGCCTCATCGCTCCATCGCTCAGAACTTGCTTTAGCAGAGGACACCAGAATTAGACAAGAAGATTTGGCGTGCCTGCGCATCGCCGGGGCTGGCAGCGGACTGCAGAGCAGCCAGAGCGGACGCGAGAGCGCGCACACTGTCGGCTTGCACAGCAGCGTTCCCTGTGCGGCCGGCCGCCGCCAGCAGCGCGGCCACCACCCCCGAGCGCCGGCCGCGCAACAACTCCGGCATTGCGTCGCGCAACTCGCGCAGTGCCGCCTTCACCTACGATTTCAAAATAATAGATCTGTTTAAATGTTGGCTTCGAGCACTTCAGCCTGCCAATGCCTGCCACCGATCGTTGTGCCAGAGGATGAAACCCCCTCAGCGCCTTCACCTGTGATGTCATGACACTAGCTGTCTCCACATCTGAAATCAATAGGGGAGCTGGCTGCTGGCTGCTGAAAAGCAAGGACTCCATCTCACCGGCTGTTGTTTCGGAGAGCCAGTCACGCGCAATGCAGCCTTCCCCCCCAAGAGTTGCTCTTTATACAATCCCTCTGCTCGATGAGAGATATGTGCAATTCCACCCCACATGCAACCCTCTTGCTGCCTCACTACACTAATCGTCGACAGATACATCCCTTCAGGAAAGGTGTTAATTCTTGGTTAGCAAAAGGAATGGTGGTTTGACTGCTTTGTGCAATCAAAACACAGGTAATTTAATCAGTCAGAAAGCACGAGAATAACGGTGGCCGATGTGTGTCACAAGGAAAGCCATAATTGAGAGAAGCAGCACCTGCTGTGAGCCGTGCAGGGCTGCCAGGTAGGCCTGCACCACAAAGTTGGCGGAGGGGTGCATGGCCAGCCGCGCCAGAGCCCCACGCAGGAAGCGCTGATAGATGTCTGCCAACAGCCGCTCCGGTGACACCCTCATGACGACCTGATGTGCAACAGCACCAAACTTAGCCAAAAGTAAGCAAATTTACATTAAATGTAGAATCCGATGCGTCCAACTGCCATTGGCCAGAACCAGTGCACTGGGTGAATCATCGGATATGCTGGTCCTCTGCTTCCCATCATTAGTGTAGCTGTGCAGCAAACAACAGCAGGAAAGGGTCCGCCTCACGGGTTTGCCATGGTGCTTGCATGAACTCTTGAAGACGGTCTACGGACCTTAGAAAATGTTTTCAGACAGCGCTGGGATGGGTTGTGTGTACCTCCAGGAAGTGGCTGCTGGTGGGATCCTGAGCCAGCCCCTGCACATGGTCTGCCGCCACACCCTCAAGGGGACTCTGCTCCTCACCCCCAAAATTTCCATCCTCGGGATTTTGATTTTGATTTTGTGACTGCGCTGGCTTTGCTCCCAAAAGCCGCGGTACCAACTGCTCCAACAAGTCCCTGTCCAAATCAACAGACGCCAGAATTCAAGACGTGCACTATTATGTCAACCATTACACTCTCATGTTCTTACGGTGCGTATCCATTCGACGCGCTCGTAGGCATGTGACAATTTATGGCCAGCTCTTGGGATTGTTGTAACGCAACTCAGCTGCCAGTGCTTGCAGGTGCATGACCCAGCACTTCATCAAACCTCCAGCAAGCTGTTCTTTACGCAAATTCAATACGAACATCAAGGTGCACAGCCACCACTCATGCACAAGGGCACAGGTACGATTCTGAGCATCACAGGCAGACAGTGACAGAGTGCAGGGCAGAGGTGACGCACTCGCTTCCTTCAGCAGCAGACAGCAGCGTCTGCAGCCAGGGGCAGGCATACGCATGGAACAGCAGCTCCTCAAGGCGCCCCCCGCTCCATTTGTCTGACAGCAGGTCCCCCGCAATCTGACTCAGCAGCTCCGGATGGCGCGCCGGCGGCCGGAGGCGTTCCCCGCCGGCCTCGCCGCCTATCTTGGCCGCCAGGCCTCCCCCTTGCTGCAAATTCAAATTTTCAATCTCAGTCATGATTGCTAGGACTTTGTATCCTCACAAAACATCGTGCAGGTGTCTTGCAGTGGCTTGAGCCACCATTTAACTCCGCAGCTCGCTGTCTGGAATCCAGTATACAAATTAAAGGCCCACAGCTGGCCGGCAAGCCAGCCTCCCATAATCTAGGACACATGGAAGAGGCCCTGCAAGAAAATTATACTCCGTGCATGAAGCTGGACATTTTAACATCAGCAAACCATGAGCAAAGATGTGACGCACCTTTGCAGCGCGAATGAAGGCGGCACCGTCGACCGAGTGTGCAGGTGCCGACTGCGCAGGGGTGACATCACGGCCGGCAATTATGCACAGCATTTTGCGCGCAACATGCGAGGCATTGCGGTCGGTCGCAAACTCCCAGAGGTGCGCCACTGTGACCCCCGTCAGATTCTGCAGCATCTGCATGAAGCGACATCCTGGTCTTTTACTTCTGATGCAGTCAAGGCGAGAATGTAGCCATTCAACGTGGCAGGCACGCTTGCAAGGCAAACAGAATCCTGAGCCATTGACATGCGCGGCCAATGGGTCGAAATGGCTGCAACTGAAGTCTGCGCACTCTCAGCAGAGATCACATCCGTACTCAAACGCATGGCACTTCTTTGATCATCAAGCAAGCACTGCATGCATTTTGTCAGCAGTGCAGTGCCTTCTCGACATGCTCAGTGCAGACCGCATTAGCACAGTCCAACCACTGCTGAGACAGCGCTCAGCACAGCGCTGATCACATCTGCAAATGAGCTTCTTCAGTCCCTCGCGGTGCGTAAACAATGTTCAGATGAGGGGGGCGCACCTCGTAAAGCCTGTCTTCGCTCTCCTGGCCATGCGCATTGTCCAGCAACTCCCCAAGCCGCACCAGCAGCTGCTCCGCCACCCTTGACCCAAAGGGCCTGCAAAGGGCAATAAATTAGCTCCAAATTGGTTCAAAAAACATGAACCACAAGGGCTTAGATAACCCTATAGGGGCCCCACGCAACGCAAGAAATCTTCCCTGATGGAGCCATATTGTGCTGACCCATCTGCATGTGTACATGATGCAGCTGCTTTCCAATGATGAGCTGCCAGGGGAAAGTCAGTAGATGCACTTCTTCTCGTCACTTTCCCCTGTTACAGCCCACATCCTGGTAAGGCGTTGGCACCTGGATGCGAGCATGCAGAACTCCTCGCCCTGGGCAAAGGCAGCCAGCAGCGGCAGCATTTGCTCCTCGCGGATGCTGGGGATCATGGCTTCCAGGATGCGGCTGCATGTAGCGTCCGTGCACACCTTAACCTCCTTGCCAGGGAGCTCCTCCAGCACATTTCCCACCTGTGACATGCATACATGCTTGTTCACCGATGCTAATTGCAAAGGGGGATGGCGTCGAAGCACACATTTGCATTTATATTAGGAATAGCACGAAGCAAAAGCCAACTACAAGGCATACATGGTCCCACAGAAGACATCAGCTGTACAACAAAAGGGGCTTTGAGGTGTTGGGTGCTTACCAGCAGAGCCCTCTCCTCGGGGTCAACCAGGCTGTCGAAATGAGACTTGACTTCCAAGAAGTACTTGATCGTCTCGTCATCCAGCCTTTGGAAGCCTCCAAAGGTCTCAGATGGCGCACCGCTAGACGACTGGGGCTCCTGTTTGGACCGTTGGGCAACTACCGCACGTTTCACATGTGGTTTCTTGTTAGTCTTTTTCTTACGTTTAGGATCTTTCTTTGCTCCCATGGCCGCCAATTTGTTCTAGTGAATATAAACTAGTATTGTTCTTCGCCCACTAGCTGTCCAACGCGGACCAAATTTGTGCTCAATTACAATTCGATAGCTTTTCTGAGTTTCGTCAGGAACAACAGTGTAACTAGACGGATAAATCTGACTCCATTGCTTTGGCATGAATTGGCAGAAAAGCACGCCGTCAGAGGCACTTGCCATCGCTTGTGGCCTGCCTTTCGCCCTGTAACGCCCTCCGCAGCTTCCAGATCTTTTGCACACCTCTGAAACGGTGCTTACTACCAGAATTGTTTCAAAATTGTAGCGATTAAGATGTCGAAGGTATTCAAGAAGGAAGTGTTGTCCTACAACACGAATTTGACGGCTGAGATCGAGACAGATGTGAACGAGAACCCCAGAGCCAGAGTGCATTCTGTCGAATGGCGAAAGATCATGGAAGGCGAGCCAGTCGAAATCAATCCATCAATAGGTCACGGCTACAAAATCATGACTGTCGAGGAATGGGCAGGGCGGTGGAAGCGTAACGACGATTTCTCAGAATGCCTGAACTGCAACAGCAAGAACACCAAAGAACACCATTTCACACAGGTACAGCTGCATTTCGAAAACAAACAACCATATTGGGTCTGGCATATAACTGAATCTCAACGCCCGATTGATTCGGACTTCTTGCCCAGACAATTTGCCCAAAAAAGAGCTCCATGTTGATGGCTTGGGTGTGTGCAGACCTGGTGCAGGGGTAAGAAAACATGGGAGAGCGAGTTGCTGTGCATGGACTGTCACAGTTTCACGTGGAGGTCGTACAGGGACCCGGACTTTAAGTTGCCAGAGGAGTATGAAAGGGAGAAGTGGGCAGCCATGGTTGCTGGGCAGGCCATCCCAGTTTGAGGCAGGGTCTCGACGCTCGTGTAGAGAGGCAACTGCTGTACAATTCTAGCATGCAGATAAGTCAAGGATTTTGCACTGTTATGAAGAGTCCCATGCACCACACAATCATTAAGTGCTGTCCATAATTAAGCAGCCTTGGCAGGCCCTGGGCCAACGTCTGTTGCAGACTAACCTGTATTACCATGGCACAGCGCGCTGTTCCGGTTGATATCAATACCAAGGGTCGCACCAAATTGTATCAGACTCGGCGTTCATGAGCAATCTCTACATCTGTAATAGCTGTCCTGCTGCATCCTCGCTCCATCTTGATGTCTGCATTCTCTCTTGGCTTAAGGCCCTGCTTGCCCTAAGCGTTGACACTGGACTGCTTAGTACCACATGCAATGGACCATGCTACTTGCTTTACTGTCGGCTCTCTAGTTGCTGCCGCAATCTGAGAAGCTCCTGCTCCCGCTGCACCTGAATCGCATGTCACTCAAATTAGAAGTCCTCCTCACGAAATGGTAGGCAAGATTGAAGTACATGAGGGTGTGTTTTAGCCTTGCAATCACCACCAGGTAATTTCTGCTGCAAAAGTCATGCACAGCAGCGACCCGGCTTGACGATGTTTTCTTATTCTGGCAGAAGACATGGATCAAGAGCTGTGTACCATGAGGTTGTGGTCCCCATAGATGTCCTCTAAGAGATTGCTGATTGTGCGCTGGTAATTTGCTGGCACCGCTGCCGCCCACACAGTAGGTGGGAGGGCTGCATGGCAAGCAAGCAACTGAGACAAGACTCAAATGTTGCTCTGCAGTCCTTTACCTATGTCGCCACAGGAACTTCAAACTAGGAATGAGCAGCAACAAGGATAACAGGTAGTTCACATGCAGCATTGGTGCTCTGCAGCTATCTGTTTGTATTCTCAAGTTGCTGGTGTCCGGGAGTCCACGCTAGATATCGTATCACCTGTCTGGCGTTCCAGCGGATTGTCCAACCAAAGCCAGAGACTCTTGCAAGAGGCCTCACCTGAATCGTTGTAAGCGGAGATCACCTCCTGCACCTCAGCCCCAGACATCCCAGACAGGAAGACCGCTCGCTTTGTGCTCAGCGGAAGCTGCAGAGCAGATTCTGGTGAGAATACTGATGAAAATGACGGATGACAGGTCTATAGCAGCTCAGAGGGTGAAAGCAGGTCCTTCTGCAATACTGATGTAAACAGCAGGAATGGCTTTAGATGTGGTCCTGCCTGCTCAAAGACTTGCGCAGGAGCATCCAAGCTGTCCTGAAGCGTGGACGATAGCATTCTCTTTGTACATGTCAGGATCTGTGGGCAGCAAAATCGTCCCATGAGAAGTGCATACTATACATTGCATTCTAACTTGTGATTACAGGAAGTCGGGCGTGAACACGCCCAAGCGCAGGGTGTGCGTTCATTATACAACCAGCCTTGATGCGCAAAGGAAAATTCCCCTGTCTCTGAACGCACCTTCACCATGTCAGCATCCATGTCGATCATAAAGGCCCTGAACTGATCAACCTCATACTGAGCGTACCCCACCAGGATGACAGCCTGCACATCGCAGCTCGGACGCTTTGCTAGCTAATGGTCGACGCACTCAGGGCCTTAATTAGCGGGGAATCCTTCAGATTGAATTCTGATTACCAGAGGGCCGAAAAGATCCTCGCTGGTGCCCCCAAGCCCTCCATCACTCTCGGGATCGATGGCCTCAAAGGTGGGGCCTTCCTCCTCTTCCGCGTTGTTTCTTCCTAGGAACGCATCAAATATCCCTTTCGTCACAATAATACAACGTCTATGATGTTCAGCGAATGGTCTCCTCGTCAAGAAGCCCTGACACAGCTGCAGGCGATTCTGCACTGGCCTGCTTGTAAAACCAGGATGTGAATTTCTAAGAGATGTTGCTGAACTGAACACCTGCATTGATCTTGTACAAGAATAATCAAAGTGTATGCATGGTATGTGAGAGCGTCGGCAATGGCAGATCAGTGGTGAAGAAAATTCCGACACTCGTTTTCGGAAACTCACGTGCTGCTCTCTGACCAAGATCAAGAAGCAATCGACATCCAAAATCCAGCAAACATCATATTTGCCTCATTGTGTCAATATTGATTGCATGCAACAGAGGGCCAACTTGTAATAGAGCTGTAGAACATCCATCCCTCGTGAAAGAAGTGTGAAACGACCGTATCCTTTTACGTGATTGGGAGACATTGCTGAATCTGGTACAACTTCAAAACATTTATGCTATTGAGCTTGACCGCTGTGCATGCCGGCAAGGCGTCGTGGATAAGGGTTAGTGATGAGCAGAGCTTTCAACGATTATTTGGTTGCCTTGTCCTCTGCTGTGGTCCGACAGGACGGTGCGATTTAGAATATAGACATCTGCCTCTAATCTAAATACCACTCACGTTATTATGCAGGAGTGCATACTCAATGACTGATGAATGTCCCCTGGCTCAGTGAGAAGAGATAAATTTCCTACTGCAGGTGCACAGCTGAAGGAGCTCTTGAATATCAACAATACTAATGTTCTGCAAGCAGTATCTGAGGTAGGAAGTTGTCTGCACTTCGTGTCTCCGGCATTGGCTTCTCTTGAGCAGGAGCTGGAGGGGTGATCGTCTCTACCAAGACGGAAGCTTCGACTGTAAAAGTGCAGCTGAGAATGATGTGATGTGGCTTTACAGAAAGCTAGAAGCCAACCAAGCTGGAATCCAGCAGCCACAGTCCGGCAGCAGCTGCGGCAGTCACTAAGTGGGAGCCCATGGGAGGAACTGTTCCCTGCACATGTGGCAGCAGTGGCTGCCCTTCTAGATCGCAAGCCTGGCGAAGCGTACACCCATCTCGTCGCCAGCGTGCAGCCGTTCATCAAGGTTTCAATCATGCTCAGAATATCACCTAAAATACCTGTAGGACCTGACTTTTCGTGGGGGCGGTAGACGCATGCATATTAAAGTGTCATACATGGGCATGTCAAAAGCAGGACTGGCATGCCCTGCAATGTGACCCTTTCCAAGTCTGCTGCGCACAGTCACAGGGAACTTTTCCTTGGGACTGCATGCATCTTGCATCTGGTGAGGTATCTACTGGCATCTTATCTGTAGATCTGTAGAGTGCAGTGCGATGGTACTGCATTGCGCGTCAACTTATATCTGACTAATATCTCACGCAATCTATATCGTATCTGTTGCCGCTCTGCCAAGGTCTATGTGACTATGCGCATGCAGGCGTTCAGGGAGGACACAGACGCGTGGCTGATAGCGCCGATGTATGTCATGGTGCACAACGTGCGCCAGGTGGCGTGTCAGGCGGATGACGAGGCGACGCGGCTCGGCCGCAAGAGCGACGCGCTGGAAAATTGCGGCACGCAGCTGCAGAAGTGCTTCGCAGTCGCCGTGCAGGGCGCAGGTGCGCACTTCTCCTGCGCACCCTGCATGCACGCTGGCAAAATTTTTGGCCAGAGATCATCTTGACAGGGACAGCCCTGTGCATGCGTCCTGATGGTCTTCTGAATTTTTCTCACATTTGTCTGCCTGCAAAGCTGCATGCACTCCAGCTGTTGCGAAGACCAGCTTCCCGCATGCATGAAGCGAATACAAGATAAGACCTTTAAGGGCATCTTGATCTGCATTATTTTTCTGTCTGGCACGCATTCATCATAGATTTGTGAGGCATGCACAACGCGGTGCTTTGTGTGCAATGTGAGCTGCGTGGCACTAACAAACTCTTCCACACAGGCAACAAGTCGAAGAAGCTGGCGACGCTGGAGATAATCATAACGCTGTTCAAGGTGTACTTCCGCCTCAACACGCTGCGGCTGTGCAAGAATCTCATAAACGCCGTCAACAGCCGCCAGTTCCTGCCCTTTGAATCGTTCCCTGCCTCCCAGCGAGTCACCTACAAATACTACACCGGCCGCCTCGCCATCTTTGACGAGAACTATGTGCGCTGCAACCCACAAACTTGCCATTTATGACTTTCCAGCCTCCCAGCAAAATTGTACACTTGGTAACTGCTCCACGCTTCTTTGCATAGGAATGGGATGCTGGTATGGTCGCTCCTTGGTGCTGAGGATAGCAGGAGTCACCCAAATTGTTGCATTTGTAAGCGTGGCATGGTCTAACCGCCACTGTTGTTCTGGGAGGGTGACTGACAGCCCGAAAGCAGTGCTGCAGCCGGGTGGACTGCAAAGACCAGGAGAATTTCGGCAATTGTAGGACAGCTCAGGCTTGTGAGATCTGTAAGGGCTGCCCATGTGATGTCTGATGACGGCTGTCAAATATCTACACAAGAGCCCATCAGCCAATGCCCTCCCAGCTTTGCAAGTGCATAGGTGTGAGTGATGCTAACATGTGAGCGCTGCATGTGCAGGATGTGGCGGCCAGCGATCTGGCGTACGCATTTGAACACTGCCACAGAACAGCGGTGGCCAACAAGGCGCGCTGCGCGTACTACCTCATCCCTGTCAAGATGCTGCTCGGGGAGCTGCCCCAACAGGCCATGCTGGATAAGTTCGGCCTGCATGACTACAGCCCCATCGTGATGGTGCGACCCTGCCCACTTTATTGCGTAATTAGCACTGTTTAGCAGGAGGGGCAGGTGCATCTGCAGGCAGCCTGCAGTTGAAAGCTACTCGTATAACTTGTATTTCCTGGTAGACTTGCCGGATCAAATCAAATCATTGGGGAGGCACGGCGACTGTAATTCTTCCCTGCCTCCGCCAGCCGGGGGTGTCGGCTTCAGCATCAGGCTTGATAGCAGGCACATATCTTGATGGCTGAGAGCTGCATTCCTGCAGCTGGGCTTGCTTCGTGTATTTTTAAGCTTTGCGGGCACTTTCTGCCTTACATATCTGCCGCTGCTGAAAGGATGAGATGATCGTCGCCCTTTCTGATTTTTTCCACAACGTATCCAGGCAGCCCTGAGATGCCGCCCTAGATGTACTGCCATCGGGAACTTGTGTGCTTCTGCGCCAAGCATGGGACAGCTGCAATTCTCTTTTGGCAGGGGACTCTAAACGTATAAATAATGTCACTTTTGGAGTCCCCTGCTTTTGGCTGCTGAGGGGAAGTACAGTCCAGCTAAAATTGGGGTTTTGCATTGCAGGCAATGAAGGAGGGCAGCGTACAGGGCCTGGACAGGTGTCTGCAGGAGCACCAAATCCGCTTCATTCAGGCCGGCACATACCTGCTGCTGGAGAAGCTCAAAAATTCGGTGTACCGGCGGCTCTTCCGGCGTGTTGCTCTCCTGCACAAAGAGCAGGAGCCTGCCAAGGCTGCGCAAGTACCTCTAGGTGCGTCCTTTCTACCTGTATCTCCTGTCAAGAGGATGTTTTACGGGGAGAACCGTTACTCCTCCTTGTGACTCATGGAGTCTTCGCTCGATACCGCATTCGGGTTTGATAACATTGGAGCATGCGCTGCGTACATCCCACAGGACTGTTGCATGTGATGGTTGCCGCATAGAGCTCACTTGCAAGGCAGCTTTTCCGCCCCCCTCTATTGCTTGCTACGACTTAATGTCTGCATGTCTTGTTTCCTGAATACTGTTGTATAGTGTTCAATAAATTCCAGGCCAAACTGATGGGTTTGCTGAATTGAACGAAAGTGTATTCTTTTGGGGGCGCAGTGAAATTTCAGACAGCGCTGGCGTGGCAAGGGGTGGATATGGAGATGGACGAGGTGGAGTGCATTGTGGCAAACCTGATATACCGCAAGTTTGTCAAGGGCTACATCAGCCACCAGCACAGAGTGGCTGTCCTGTCCAAGGCGGACCCCTTCCCGCCGCTATCCACTGCCACACTGACAGATCCTTGAATGGCGAGTGTGAGATTTTCCTATGAGAGAAAGGAGATCGCAGACATCAAGGCAGATCTGCCTCTGAATCTGCCTCTAGAGAGATGTATCTGGCAATTCTAGATCCATGCGATGCGTTCCAAATACTGTTGGGTCACTTGCGACGCAGACCATTCTTCTATCTTCTGGTTTGATGAGAGAGAGATTTTGAGCTTCATTAAATTGAATGGTGTTGTATTGCTGTCTCCTTTGGGCCAACTTCCATTGATGCTTTCACAGTACAGCTGCATTTCACTGCAACGATTGCTGTATTTGCAAGCGCTCTGTAATTTGGCCAATCCAGCCTCCAGATCTGCCGCAAGCAATGATCTTCTCTCCTAGGAGGTTCCCTTTGCCTTTGCGCATGTCATGGTACCCTCTTGACAGCTACAAGGAATTGCTGCGTTCACATTCTCTAGATGCATGCATCTTCATCTTCTCCATTTGGCCAGCGGATGCCATATCCGCAGCTTGCTAGCTCATCATGAAGGCCTGGCAATATCAACCCTGCTCTTGCACAGTATGCCGCATCCTCACTGATCATCAACCGCTCCCGCATTCTTTTCGTCAGTACTCTCGGCTGTTTTCTGACCTCTGCTTCTCCTGCACCGATCGCTGCAGTACCTGCAGCCACCAGGTTTGGATTTGAGCGCTATAAGAGGTGCACCCTGTTGGGTGGAAAGAGTGGACAATTGTGAAGACTCAGAGCATTGAGGCACGAAAAGATTACGGAGACCTACTTGACATCATCCCAGCATTTCTCCCATTTCTTCCGCCTGCAAGCAAGTGGCCTTGATCAATGCTTGCCCAACGTCAAGCACCTGCACGAAGTAACTCAGGCGCCAACGGTAAAAGAGATGTAGTAAGAGACAATAGCATTCATTCTGCACGCAAGTATCACTTCATTGGCGATCATACCATGTGAAGGGCCTGTTGCATGTGACACACATCTTGATAGGCAAATTTGCCTTCGCCACAACCTTAGTTGCGTTGCTACCTTTCTTTGCCTCTATCCTCATTTTCAGAGACCTTGAGGGCTGGTGAAGTGCTGGCTGCACTCTCAGTGCAAGCCGAAGAACGTGCAATACTAGCGGCATGTGACTGCCAAAACATTATGAAGATAAACCAAAGCACGTTCTGGCACCGTAGATGCTTAATAGGCCTTCCATCAACAACAATGCTAGGAAAGCTAGCAATAACGTTCTCCGAAATATGAGTTCCAGTGCCCTGGTGCCTTACTAGTAAGCGATGTGCCGTGCAGGAAAACAACCTTTAGAACCTTTATGCCCGATTGCTGTTCTTTCACCCAAATACCAACTGGAAAGATCCAAGCATGTAGCTCGCTCTGGCGGATCCTTCTGAGTTTTCAGATGAACACGATGAAGGCTTGCAGCAGCCTGATCAGGACTCAATGCATGCGCTGTATCCCGCGCTCCGATCTCTTCGATTGCCGTTCAGAACTTATTATTTGCTCGTGAGTGGTGCATTCGCAACCGAGACCTTAGGCATACATAGTCCTGTTCAACGCAAGCGCTTTACAGAATCGGATTGTAAAGATCTGGGTCTTCGTAATTGTCTTGTCTGGCCAAGCAACACGTCGTTTCGATCAGCTTATTATTGATGGATGGGTAAAATCGCTTCAACAGCCCACGTCGTCATCGCTCTAGGTGAAAAGGCTCTTGCCCGTCTTAGTCCACTCGGTTGATCCCCAGTGATGGATCACAGATGCTGTGCCCCGAACGGATCTGTCATTTTGCTTACCTCCAGACATTCCGCCCTTTTTAATTTCCTTATGCGTATAGACGACGTAGCATGTGCTCACAATGTTGTCCAGTAGAATATCTTCCTGTCTGGGATTTCATGTTTATTACAAATCAAGGCTGAGCACAGATTCATAGTCTTGATTTTCAAATGCATGTGCTACTCAGGAACTCACTGATCGAGCGCTTACTACGGTGTATCTTTGTAATGAGTCTATCCACCTTATCTAGTGGTTCTGGTGAGTTGCCCAACACAGTGTCCTGGGCTACGAAGAAAGCTGCACATATACTCCTGGGTTTTGCCACAATGCAGTCGTGTGAGACAAGTTTGCTTGCAGATCAGTGTACTTGTTCGCAAAAGCAGCCCTATGCCTGCTGCACAGTTTCTCCTCCTGTGCAAAGAAGCCCGGATGGCTGGGAGGTTTGTTATCGCAACTTGCATAGCACCAAATCGAAGGGATACCTCTTCTACAAGACGACATGCGTCTGTGGCAAGAAGGAGCGACTAGCTGCGCCGAATTTCTTCAAGCTTTGGGCGCTAGCGCATGCCGATCACAGGTGATGCCCTGTTGCACATGCATTTGGGCTTCAAGGATCACATTGCAAGAGGATGCAAGGGAAGCTAGGAAGTTGTCTTGCATGTTGCCACATATAGCAGACCTAAGATTTCCTGGAGTGTTGCAGGCCTGAATATAACGCACTTCTGCCGCTGCATGACGAGCAGTACTCAAACGCCCTAAAAACCAATGGTCGTCAAAGCCTCCTAGCCTACCAGAAATACAAGGATCGCATCCAGTTAACGCATGGGTTCTACACAACTGTTCACATGCTGGAAAGAGCAGGTAGGGATGACCTGTGCACCGTATAACGCATGATTTTCATGCAAACTCTTAAATTTTTGGCTTTGTGTATCCAAGACTCCCACTCTGTGCTTGACCTTTCATCCATATTGGACAATGATTTCAAGCTTCTGTCAATGGCTAAATCAACTTTTGCCTTAATTTGAGCCATGACATGTGAACTTTTACAGGATATCGCCTGCCGAAAAAGGCCCAGAGAGCATGGGAAAAGAATGATCCAAAGCGAGGAGCTTGTGTGTGTGTGAGGTCAGCAGCGGATCCAACGCAAAACCCCAGGTGATTGAAGACACAGAAGGCAGTCTTGCAGAGCAGCTGCAAGACATTCAAGCACAAGGTGAATCCCTCATGCGCTATGCCCACGCTTCTGATCCCTTCTACCTTGCAGCCCTCAATCTGGGCATATGCAGGAGATGTGCAACCTTTGACGAATTGCTATGAATGCAACTTTTGTCCCGTAGGCGATGAGAGGGGCGCCAAAAGGAAGCGGGCGGGCGCCGCTTCCGGTGCATTGCCTGGAGCCGCGCGCATCAAATCCAAGCAGCGGGAGGTGCCGTCACCCGACACGCCAGCTCAGGCCGACAAGGGGAAGCAGCGGGCGCTGACACCGCAGATACATGTGAGCTGCGATGAGGCGGGGCCGAGCGGGCCGCCTGATCAGGTTGCGCGCGCCGGCCCCAGTGGTCCATTCCGGGCGGCTGCCCGATCCACCCGCGCCGCTGGGCAGGCCAGAGGCATTGAAAGAGAGGAGGTCATAGATCTATCACCAGACAGCCCCAGGGCCTCCACCAACACGCAGCTGCTTGCAGAGATTGCAGTAGGACTGAATCAGTCCAGCACAGGTGGGTCATGCAGCTTTCCTGCCTCGTGGTCTTAAGCCATGGAAGGCCACTGAGGGCACCCTCCTTTCTTCAGCATGGCCATGACATGTTCAGGTGCCTTTCAACTGAAAGTAAGTGCTTGGCTCACCCACTGTCTTCGTTATGTTGTGGCAGGGCACTTGGCAGCAGATGGGGGCGACAGCGGCCAAGGCAGCCTGGCTGTGAAGCGGGAGCAGCGCATGCAAGCCGCCACTGCTGCGCTGCCCTTGGCTCATGCGCATCCAGCGCCGAGCAGGCCGTCTGGCAAGCTCCAGGTCACCTGCACCCTCAGCAGATTTGTCGCTGACATCATGGGGGTCGAGGGAGAGAAAGAGCAGATGGGTGAGCACCCTCTTGCGCTGATTTAAACTTCAATCTATATTGTTCGTCACCCAGCGGTCGTTTGGGGGTGTGATAGTTGAGAATTCTGGTGGTCTTTCCCAGCAGGAATACTTGTGCAGCAACAATTGTTTCCAGTTGGATTTCTCATCTTGACAAGTTTCCCCGGCAGTGAGGGGGGTCTGACAAGGACCCATTTGTGAATTTAGTGTTGAGTCTTGCGTTTGCATGCAGCTGCGCTCACTGAAATGAGGCGCCGCGCTGAGGAGAGGGAGAAGCTGCTTACCTTGAACTCACTGAAGGACGCTGAGATCAGATCCCTGCGTAGCCAGCTGGAAATCCAGCGTGCATGAGCCGGCCTGCCATGCTTCTTGTGCCTTTGGGCTGATGACAGTAATTTTAATGTTTCAAGGAGGTCCACATCACTGTATTTCAGGTTCTCGCTAGTATTGATCAAATTCATTGCTAGTCATTAAATGGTGCTCGCGAGGACCATTCTCAGGACCGTGTGACATATGATAGTATTTGACATTGTAGATTTCTTTGGCGCAGAGACCGGTTCCTATTGTCCTTTTTATCTGTCACTGAGGAAAGTAATCTACACAATGTAAGTGGATCCTTCTCCCTCTGCATGCGCACTGTCTTGATCCTGACGCAGTCCACACACAGCCAAGAAACAGCAGAGATATAGAAATGCAGGAGCCTGTTCAGGAGTCCATGCAGCCCTTAATCTATACTTGATCTGCATCGCAGGATCAAGTCCCATTGTTCTTTGTGGTGCATCCGTGCATTACAGAATCGAGGCTGCCTCTGCCTGATTGAAGGCCAAATACTGCATCCCATTCGTATCTATGTAGGACACGGCCATTGCATGTAGCGCTTGTTTAGACGGCGAACGTAAGACGGCCATATAGTACGCAAAGATACTCAATCTTTATTAGCACCACTCCTGGCATCCTGGGAAGAAGCATCGGTGCAGGTGATCGCTCCCAGCTATTGCTCGCCCCAAGCCCCATGGACGCCATGTACAGGATCGGGGTAGCTGAAAGAGCCCTTTCATCTCCTATTCAAAATCTGCGACTTTCTTCGAGAGTTTTGGTGTTTTTTACACTACCATCGACCCTGTAAGTGTCTTATTCCGTCTTGAATCTTCTTGATGATATATGATGGGATCTTAGGCAATCGCGCGTGCAGGGGACAGGAGGCCTTCAACATTCTCCAAATCCTTGCTAAGAATCTTTATCCAGAAGGACCTTGATCTAGCTGCTACTGAATTCCCACTAAATGAGCGGTGCGACCCGGCACAATATGCGTCTTGTCATTGGTTTCTGCGCCACGTGCTGGGCTCAAAGGTCTAGCTATGTGCCTAGATGTGAACAACATAGGTGGTAGCTACGCTCTAGATGGGCAGACAGAGCGAGTGCTGACAAGCTGGGAGACAAATCCATACTTTTGCTTCACAGGTCGCAACGTGCAAAACAGCCCAGATGGCTGGGAGCCTTGTTACTCCTTGTTGAGAAGCGAAAAAACCCGTGGATATCTATCATACACAACAGCATGCCCCTGTGGCGAGCAGGACCCATTCAAGGGACGCACTGCTGCGCCCCATAGGATCAAGCAATGGGCGCTGGCACACGCAGCTCACAGGTAAGTCATTCTCATTCTGAGCAGGCTTCAGGGCCCTTCAACTGAGGCCCCTACTTCTGCTATGGCATTGCGCACATAAGCAAGTCGAAGCTTCCTTGTGACATGCATCCAGAGAGTATTGTTGAGTGTGTGGGGGTGTTGCAGGCCTGAGTACAAGGCTTTGCTCCTGCAGCAAGGAGAGGAGTACTTAGATGCTCTCCCGAAAAACGAGCGCACCAAGCAGCCTGGTTACAAGCAGTACACCAAGCGCATGCGCTCACTCAGGTTCTACACTAGTGTCCACATGCTGGAGACAGCAGGTGCTCATATCTGGTGCCTCTCCCAAGCAACGCTAACATGTGACTTCTTGCTGTATCTCATCCCAGTGGGCACTGATGTAGTGATGTTGATGTCCTGATCCGTCCATAAGGCTGGCATGGGAAGGCAAAGTACTATAAAGCCCCTGCCGCGACTGACACCAAAGGTTTGACTGCAGCGATGTGCTGACAACAAAGGCAACAGGTGTTTCTCACGAATGGCCCTGTGGGGTTGCAGGATATTGCCTGCCCAAGGAGCAGCAGAGGCTGTGGGACGAGCGGCGTGGGATTGCTAAGGAATTTGAGGAAGTTGAGGACTCAGAAGGCAGCGTGGAGGAAGTGGAGGAAGTGCTGCCTGACGCAAGTGCGCAAGGTTAATTAAGCTTTTTGACACCATTGTTAGCACATCACCAACTTCTCTCCCCAGTTTGCTGAGGGGCATGCATATGCCAATCATGTGTTTTGCGTTCTCCAAATCGAGAGTCCAGGTACCTGCAAGGCGTCACACAATCAATGGTTCTGACGTTGGATTCGGTGGTTTAGCACTCAGAGTGGTGCGGAAAAAGTTTTCCACGTTATTATGGTCTGCCCAGATAAGATCCAAACCGACTAGAAAACTAGGGACTATGAAGCTCGTTGCAACAGCAAATAAAAGATGAAGGGACACACTAGAATTAAAAGCAAATTTTTATGTGCGGACCACTCTACTTGATTTTTTGTTGCGTGCAGGCGTCCCCAAGGTCCAAGTCAATCCTGACGGATGGGAGGCATTTTATGGGCGCCTGAAGTGTTCAAACAACCATGGGTACCTGGTGTACAAGACAGTGTGCAGCTGCGGCAAAGTAAAGATCTCTGATGGTGGTCCCCACACAGTCAAGAAGTGGTGGGAAGAACATGGAGGCCACAGGTCAGACGCGGGCTCTGCCTCCTCTGCTTGTATAATGCATCCTATCTGCGGTGTTGCTATATTTCTGCTTCAGTCTGCGTGGGAGGTTCACACCTGTGACTATGCCATATTGCAACATGATGGTCTGGCGCGACACTTTCTGTGGGACCAAAAGGCTTTTCTTTGCAGGCCCGAATACGCAGACTTGGAGCCGCGGCCTGAGGAGAGATATCCAAACACGCTCACACTAGGCGAGCGGATCGGCCATCAAGGCTACAAGGATTACCGAGAGCGGCTGCAGAGATTGGGGTTCTACACCTCTGTGCAAATGCTGGAGACAGCCGGTGCGCGCATAATTTGCTGCTATGCTTTTTATGATGACATGCCTTTTCCTGGCCTGCATAGACGAAAGTAGCACAGCAGCACACCACCGGCGGAAGTGCTCATAAGTGATGATTGCAATAGTCCCGATGCCATGTCTTTTTATGTGGGTTCTGTTGACATGACAAAATCCACCCACAAGGAGGCGCAAAGGCTTCCCTGAGTTCGGACAATAGCATTGTGTTCGTCAGTGTCACACGGTTGGCTTTGGCATAAAATTGCTGTAATTGAGAGCGTCCGTGTGCTATCAATGTCACGTTATTACAGTGGGATTACTGCAAGTACTGGCGATAACGATGGGGCACAGATTCTGACACCGCGGCTGCCAGAGCCGTCTTATTAAAACCGGGAAAGATGCTTGCAGGGTTCTGCCTGCCACCAGAGGCGCAGAAGATGTGGGACGACCTTCGCAAGGGAGAGGCAAAGGCGCCGCGGCAGAGGAAGAGCGCAGATGGCCCAAGGCAGAAGAGGAAGCGGGGCCGGCAAGCATCTTCTGAAGACAGCAGCCAGCAGGAGCAGTCAGCGTTGGTGGAGGCTGCTGAGGGCGGCGTTGAGGCAGGATCAGCAGGTGAACGCATGCGTCACCCATGCAAACAGCTCTTTGCATGAACAAAGGTCCACACATCCTGCTTGTAACACATTCGCTTTTGGGACATGGCATGCTTGTTTTCTGCGAAGATACAACCTCAAGGCCCTGCCGATTAACATGTCCTGTCCTACTTTCCACATTATATGCTAATAATAAAGTGCTGTGTCCTTGATTGTTTGCTAACAAGAGTGATCACTCGAAGATCGTAAGAGGTATCCAAAGCGGAGGAGAGCCGCCTCACCAACTGATGCAGCAGCTGGTGCCGCAGCTGTAAAGCCTGAGCCGCGTGAGGCGACGCCGTCACCGGACACGCCAGCGCAGGTTGACAAGAGCAAGCAGCGGGCGCCGACACCGCAGATACCCACGGATTCCGAGGAGGCGGGGCCGAGCGCGCCGCCTGATCTGGACGCGCGCGCCCGTCCCAGTGGTCCACCCCGGGCGGCTGCCCGATTCACCCGTGCCCCCGGGCAGGCCATGCGCAGGGATGATATTGAGGTTGTGGACCTGTCAGATGACAGCCCAAAAGCCTCCAGCAGCACGCAGCGGCCTGCAGAGCTTGCAGCTGGGCTGCAGACTGCAGTGCCTGGTCAGGGCCGTGCAGGTGAACCATGCTGTCATTCTCTGAGAGTACCTCTTAAGTGTTCATTCTGCATTGCAATGGGTGCATTGGCCTCTGCTCGTCTGCGGGACGGGCACACTGCAGGAGAGATCTACTGGCCTGTGAAGGATTCTTGCAATGATCACTGATCATTATGTCTCAGTGCTGCCTTCCATTGGATGACTGCTAAATGGCATGACAAACTCATTGCTGGGAGCATTGGCAACCGTTTCAACATTCACATTTGATGGTCATTAGCTTTGAACGCCTCAGAAGCTGCAAAGGGATGATCTGATCGTTGGCAGGGCATGCATTGGCAGAAGGCCATGTCCCCGTAAGCAGCCGGGCTGCGAGGCAGGAGCCACCTGCAGGTGCCGCCAACGCTGCGCTTCCCCCGCCTCTTGGGCATTTCGTGCTCAGCGTGCCGTCCAGCGAGCGCATCGGCGCGTTCACCCTCGAAGATGTCATCGCTGACATCACCAGGCTCAAGGTGCATTTATATCCTCCACTAGCCTGCTGATCAGCAAAGTGCTATTGCTGCCGCGGCACTTTGTGGCACTTTGACAACACTTTGACTTTAGTAACAGTCATTGGCAGAGACAGTCCGGCCGGTTTTCTGACTGTCTAAAACTAAATAATGATTACCCATTCATTACCCAGGTGGCAGCTCAGCAGCTGTGGGAATTGCACCCATCTGTTGTTGTGGCGCATGCAGGAACTTAAGCCCCAGATTGCTGCGGCTGGAATCGGCTTGGACTTTGACAAGATCCTGCAGTGCCTGCATGCTGCAAGGGTCAGAGAGGCAAGGAATGAGAGGCTCCTAACATTGAAGGACGAAGAGAACAAGTCCCTACGAAGCCAGCTGGAAGTCGTGCAATCCTGATGAGACGCTTAAGCTTGAACCATTCCACCCAGCAATATTCAATAAGATCTGGCAGCTGGGATTGTCTTGACTTCATTTCCCCAGTCAATCGCAGCCTGTGCTTGTATAACTGCAGTCCCCTCATGAGGCTTGTGCTTGAGAGATTTTGCCACATGCCAGAAGGTATTGACGATGGTCAGGGACCCTTGAACTCTCAAATTGAAGGTCCGTATGGGAAATGCATTGGAATCGCGCATGCACACCATTATAACCATCGAGGAGTATGACGTTGTTTGATGCGTTCCTTGCCTTGTCGCCTTTTGAGCGAGCCGCATCTTTTCTGAGAGACGATGTCATGTCAGAGGTTCCTGATCAGTTGCCTGCGATCCACCGTCTTGTGGACAGTTTCCTTGTTGACCTCGTGTCACCTATAAATTTTTTGTTGTCCGCACGGTGACTTCAGCTCAATGTCTATCTTTATGATGACCACGGTTTGTCTTGTGTGTGATTGACTACACACATGTTTGTCTGTGATTGTCTGCCCAACTCTGGGTTTCCTGCAAGATGCCCTCAACGTCACCTACGATGGTGTTGCGTTGCTGGCAGGCCAGAGGCCCTGGATATAGAGGGGTACTCATCCGGGGCAGGGAGTGCATGCATGTATATGATGAGTGAGTGATAGGCTGCAGACTAATGAAGGCCCCGCAGATGTGGCTGCAGACGCCCTGGGTGTATGCCCTATGCCATGCCAGTGGCCTCTGGCTTTGGGTTAGCCGACCTGTAATAATAACAATAATAATAATGACGTCATGGCCATATGGGAAGTTGTGTATTGATCGCTCTGCATGCTAAAAACTCATTAATGTGAGTGCAAGACATATACGTCTTTGCCTGACTATCGAGCTGCGTCTGACACTTTTCCAGCTGTCCAACTTCGAATTTGAGTTCTGAAATGGATGCCGTCGTCGACCGGTCCATTTCTGTCCGAAGACTTCAAACGCAACGGAGTGCGAGTTATCGGCTGTTGGCATCGGTTAACCTGCAAACTCGATTCTGGTTGAAGTACTGCATGCGATCGCAAGACACGGACAGGGTATTACATCATGTTTGCTGCGAATTTGGCTGCCACCTAAGATCGAGTAGCAAGGCGAACTAACTTGGGGTTCACTGTCACACAGATCTTCAAGTCTGTGGGTCGAAATTAAATCTTTTTCCAAGTACCTGGCTTTAGTGAATTATACAGTGCGCATCCTGCGGGTGCTTTAACTCTTAAAGCTGGTGCAAAAGCTGTGTTACTAAGCCTTATCGAACATTGATTTCACCATTGCTGAGAGTCCACCGCACCCTTTAGAGTGTTATTTAGGGAGATATTTCCAATACCATACCTAGAAACCCTTTGGTTGACACAGCATAATACACCGCAACCCATTTAGCAGAGCACCCTGAGGCAGATGATCCTCTGAGAAGGCCACTCCTCGATGCCAAGAAGGCCATCGACGCCATGCTTGGCATTTTCGAGTACGATGTTGGATGGAGGACGAGCTCAACTCGTGGCCGCCCAAGGCTTGGGTGTGGTTTGATTGCAGCCCTGCTCCTGCTCCTGAACAGCATCCCAGCAGGCCAAGGCTGCACAGTCGTGGAACTTCAGAATGAGGGCTTCGCCACCAACATGCTTTACCTCATGCACGCCATCCCCATCTTCTATCAGCAGAACGGCACCCTCTACGTTGACAACACGAATTTCCCTTACACCTGCGCTCAGGATGGCGGATTCCACGAATTCTTCAGATATGACGAGCACTTGGTACCCTGGTAAGCCTGCTACGTCTTTAAATCGAAGTGTACATGCTAATCACGGTTGCAAGCACTGTTATGCACAGCCTTCAAATGCCTGTCAGATGGATCGATAGTGCAAGGCCTAATTTCACTGTGCTTTTCGCCTGTCTGCTGGGATGCTAATGAGACTGACAAAGGAAACTTTTTACTGCTGCAGGTCTGCAGCAAAGGAGGCAGCAGCGGGGGACAACTGCCGGAGAGTGACCTTCTATGAGATAGACCAGCTCATATACAACACCCTCAAATTCCCTTTCTACCATCTGGACCTCATCGGCATCCAAAGGGTACGAGTACCCCTTTTCCCTTTCCTTCTCACAACTGCTCAGAGCATGCCGCCATCAGTGCAAGGCAATTTGCAAGGACCAGCAGACCGCTTGAACACAGTTGTCCTTGGCTGCACATGGGCGAAGCCTGATGACCATACCCTCAGCATTCTGATGCTTCACAAACAGCTATGTTGCAGCTGCACGCTGTGATCCTCATGAGAAGCCAAGGGCACAGCAGCTGAAGCCAGCTAGGAAGTAGTACTACCTATCGGTAATATTCGTACAGTAAGTACCCCGCAAAACCAGCATGCGAACATGTGCCGGCATGTGCAGGCGTGGTGGTACAGGAAGTGGGTGTGGGACTGGATAGACTCGGAGCGCATTGCCAAGCTGCACGCTGCTGTGAAGCCGACCATAGCATTCCACATCCGCGGCGGCGACGTGGCGCAGGCTGACAAGGCTCAGGCGCGCCTCTTAACATTCGCAAATGCAAACTTGAAATTCAAGTTTGAACAACAACGAAGAGCTTTCTGCAAGGGGCCTGGCCGGCAATCTGCTCAAGCTTGGCAGTCCAGTGCATATACAGGCAGACTAATGGCAGGCTGCACAGACACTGAGGAACCTTCACAATGTTAGAATTTTAGTTGATCAGCCGTTGTGTTTTAGACTGTAAGGGATGAGCTCGGTGGATCTGACCTGATTTTGTTCTGTGCTGATATGAACAGGGGCGGCCCACGACGCTGCCTGGGGACTATATACACACCTTTAGGAAGGCGTACCCCCACGTCAAGGTGTGCTCAAGCCACTGCAACTTCACTTTCGTCTTGCCTGCTCACACGCTTGTAATTTGATTAGTTTTGCACAATTTTGAGACTATGTACTTCAAGCAACACCTTTGGCATTGTTTTTCAGGTATTCCCAGCCCTTCAATATCTCCACTAGTTACAGGGAGGATTCACAGCCTCAAGGCCTATTCTCACGCGTGCTTGTGTCCAAAGTACTTAATGAAGAGAGGGGCAAAGGCTGATAATGTTTTGGTGTCTGCCCTGGGTGACAGGGGGGCACATGCATCTTTGCTGGGGATCAGCAAGAGTTGCTGCTGGAGGCAGCGGAAATTGCAGAGGCAGCTATTGGGTGTCACGCAGAGTTCGGGGTTCCCTTTCCCTCCCCGGAGGGTTACAGCCGCGAGCGATTTAACGCTCTTGACCAGGATGCCAGGTGGCGTTCCCTCCTGCTTTGATTCATCCCGTGACCTTTGACTTTGTCTCTGGACTGGTGTCGTGAAAACAAAAGCCCTCAGGTCTGTTGACATTCATGGTCTATGGAAATAAAGAAAGATGAAGGGAAGATGAATTGGCAGTTACTTAGGGAATTTGGAAGTAGAGTAATAGACCGCAAAATACAACAAGTCCTGCGCATGCCCCCGCCCAGCATGCATGGCTCACCTTGTCAATAAGTTGGACAATCTTGGACCTGTGTAAAAACACACGCCTGGAAGGGGGTCCTTGCGGGTATAAAATGCACAAGTCGAGGTCGCCTGGGTTGGATAGCAGCGGGTGCTCAGCAGTTGGCATGGTTGCTGCAGGTGTGTGGCGACTCTGGACATACTGGGGGATATGGAGGTGCTAGCACGCGCAGACTACTTTGTGTCATCTTACCACTCCAGGTGAGCGCCCTTGATTTTCCCCGTTTCCCTTCTCGCTCCTGAAAGTGCAGAGCTTCCCCGTTGTGCCTTCTGTGCTTCGGGAAGGGGATTCTAGCAATAGTTACAGTGTAAAAGTACTTGCTGCTTCATGCATCACCTGTGCTCAGAATCACTGGCTGGAATTTCCCCTTCAGCGCACAAGTCCAAGTCTTATAAGACCATAGCAGGTCGAAGATCTTGCGCAAGTGTGTGCGCATTCCTGGACGATGGTTGCGGATATAGCCAATTCACCACATCCTTATCCTCATGCTGAAGGCCATCCTGCTTCCTTCTTGAAATTTTCTGCTTCAAAAATTCTGAATGGGTCATTCGGCTGCCAGGTGGTCCAAGGTAGTGGAGTGGATGCGCTATGGGTTGTACAGGAAAGACCGCAGCACTGCTCTGGACGCGTCATCAGACCATGCAGACCTCTACTCCATCATATCCTCCATTTTCAATGGGAACCAGGTGATTAGCCAGACAAAGCCTATACCAGGCAGGATTGCCCTGACTTGCATGCCAAAGGTAGCCAGCCCGACTCTAACTTTGGTGATCCATCAAAGCTTTTGTGACATGCTTGTGACTATGGCTTGCGCTTGCGCATGGTATTATTCCCTTCCCTCTTTCTCTTTTTTTGCGTTTTACATTTCACCTTCTCACTTGAGGGGTCCAACCCACCCCTCAAGCCAGTAATTCCAGGGCTGAACTGATGTACAAGCAATCTGTGGTGCCAGGTGCGGGGGCAAGCTGCGCATGTGGCAGCTGACATGGAGGCTGACGTGGAACTGACTGAGCTGGAGCTGGAGGAGAGGGAGGCACTGCACCCCCACAAAAAGGCGGGGGTCCCTGCCAGCAAGGGGATACCCACAAACAAGGGGGGACCTCCTGGGAAGGGGGGCAAGAAGGCTGCTGCCAAACCTGCAGCCCATGCTGCGGTTGTGCATCCTAAGGTACGGCTATCTGATGCGGATTCTGCTGTAATGCAGATGTTAGCACCCGCCTGCAACCGCCTGCTGCCGCTGAGTGTTCTGCCATTTGCCTGTGCAGCTGTGACAGCTTCAGTGCTGCATGCAAGAACACAGAGCGCGGGTCATTTGAGCTGCGCTGAGCTGTGAGCCCTGTCAGTATTCATTGTGAGCATTGGACTTCTGTTGGAGAGAGCAAAGCCAGTGTGGGTGAGGCGGTTGTGGTGTGGCTGCGGCAGGGCTCCAAGAAGACTGCCAAGCCAGGACATGCCAGCCATGTGGCAGAAGCCGAAGTATCGCCGGAGGAGGTGTGCTCCTCACTCCTGCATCATCATAAAATCACTATGGCCTGCAGCTTGCTGCACCCTTGAATCAAAGATCTTAATACTGGCAATTGAGAACATTCGTTCTTGTCGATTACATCGCGCAGCAGAGTTTCACAGCATCACTTGTGCATAGCAGACCTCTAGTACAGCAGCAGTAAATCAGACAGCCAGCCAATGTCTTGCACTAGTTTTTTCGCTAGCATTTCAAGCTGGCAAGTCTTGCTAGTGCGCAAGCCACCTGCCCAAAACACACGCATTGCATGATCTATTGAGGCACTGCTTTGAGGATGCTGGATTGGGAAACCTTTTGCCAAAGCATACATGATGCTCTTGAAGACCCGGACAGTATTTTTGATGGCAAAGATCCGCATACTGAGCACACGATGTGCCCTGCAGGAGGGTTGCGTGGGGCAGAGCTGCGTGGGAACGAGGGCGGCTGGGGGAATGTGGGAGCAGGACGTGGTTGCAGACATCTCTGATGCAGCCACCAATGAAGGCACTGGCCATGATGGCAGCTTCCACGGCCGACGATTACTTAATTGAAAATATTTATTTCAAGTCCTACGCGTTTCTGTCAACCAGAAGGAGGGGTGTCATAGTCGAGCTGTGTTGAATCTCACCATGAGCTCCTGTTGACAATGCTAGAGTGGTGCTTCGCACAAGATCGATGTGTTTGTAAGCTCGTCGTACTGGCGCAATATCGGTGGAATGCTGAATAAGAGGGCACACCTTGTGCTACACAAGGTGTTCGGGCGATCGCAAACCCCGAGTGCATGGCTCAATAGCATAGAATGTAGCTTGATTACAAGAAGGACATCGACGGCGACGATCTCCCCGTTCCCAACAGTACACCCCTCAACACAGCGCAGCACCGCCAATATCCGCCTAATGCTGCATGGTACGCGGTGGACAACAACCCAACATGGACATCCCAGAAGCCCAAGCCCCTGCTGTGGGACATCAGGTCCAAGAAATCGCTGAAAGAGCACAAGGGCCTCCTGATGAATGCATGTAACAGCCCAGAGCCAACCATCTGGCCAAGTACCGCCACAGACTGGGAGAAAATTTTGATTATAGCACTCGCCATGCAGGTAACAAGTGTGCGCTTGTTGCTGTCCTTGAGCATTCAGTGCCTGGGCGCCTTTGGAACGATGACGAGCGTTCTGGGATTGACGTGCCATGGGTGTAAACTAGATGCAATGTTAGCGTGTAGACTCCCTGAAGCCCATAGATACATGCCAATGAACAAATCAGTGAGTGTGCATGACAGGCCCTGCATCTTGCTGTGTACACCCACGTTAGATCACTCCAGGTGCTTCATCTAATTTCTATATAGAAGATCTTCGGCCTTGCAGGTCATGCAAATTTACAAACTGCAAGACCGAAAACATATTATAATGGCATGTTTAAAGTATGTATTGTTCAACAAGTTGTCGGACCACAATGGTGTCATAAAAGCATATGACCATCATGAGCGGCTCGAGCTTGAGCTCAGGCTCTGGCAAGCAACATCCAGTGGTGTGTGCGTCCTTAAAGCTTTAAACGCAATGGTTCATAAGCTTGATCACAGCAGAAGAGGGCCACGTCAGGCTTGCTGGATCTCCAGCTGGCTGCGCAGGGATCTGATCTCTGCGTCCTTCAGTGAGTTCAAGGTTCGCAGCCTCTTGCTCTCCTCAGCGTGGTGCTTCATTTCAACCAGCGCAGCTGCAGTCAAACGCAAGCCTCAAACCTTCAAACTGGTAATATTCCTACAAGTTGTCAGACCCCTCACTGCTGGACAAACATTCTACCTAACAGAAATTTAATGCTGCAACCCTGACAGGGCTCACAGCTCAGCGCAGCTCAGATAACCCGCGCTCTCTGTTCTTGCATGCAGCACTGAAGCTGTCACAGCTGCACAGGCAATTGGCAGAACACTCAGCGGCAGCAGGCGGTTACTGGCAGGTACTAAAATCCGCATCACTGTCAAGCTGAGGATTTTAGCTAGAAAGCGCCATTGTCACACAAGTGATCCTGTTTGGATAAGGCCGACCAGGGAAGCTGCAGGAGGGTGCTCACCTATCTGCTCTTTCTCTCCCCTGACCCTGGTGATGTCAGCGACGACATCGCTGAGGGTGCTTCTTCTAATGCACTCGCCAGAGGGCACGCCGAGTGCCAGATGCGCATGAGCAGGGGGCAGCATAGCGTTGGCTGCTGGAAGGCGCTTCTCCTGCTTCAAAAGTAAGCTCTCTTGGCAGCTGACGCTCCCTGCCTCGTGACCTGCCGCCACAGATTCATCGTCACTGCCATGGGCACATGAAGTCAGCCGAGTATGTGCAGTATCCTTCAAGTCACCTGGATTATACACTTGCATGCAAGAGATTAAAGGCTGCGCTGCAGAACAATTTAGACGAAGAGATATACTAACATCAATACAGAGCAAGCGCCACAAGATAGCAAAGGGCTTTCAAGTGCTTGTCATGCAGCAACAATACAATAAATTGAGCAGCGCATCTTAGATGCATGTTGTCAATTCACAGGGACCCCAGGTGAAGACACAGCAAGACACACCTGCCTTGCCCTGATCAGGCACAACATGCGCAGTCTGCAGCCCTGCTGCAAGCTCTGCAGGCAGCTGCGTGCTGCTGGATGCTCTGGGGCTGTCCGCTGACAGATCTATGACATCCTCCCGCTTAATACTTGGGGCCTGCCCGGCAGCATGGGGTAATGGGGCTGCCGCCCGGGGTGGACCACTGGGGCCGGCGCGCGCGTCCTGATCAGGCGGCGCGCTCGGCCCCGCCTCCTCGGAATCCATGTGTATCTGTGGTGTCAGCGCCCGCTGCTTGCCCTTGTCGGCCTGAGCCGGCGCGTCCAGTGACGGCGTTGCCTCGCGCAGCTCGGGCTTTACGCGTGCGGCTGCGGCCGCAGCCGCGTCGGCCGGTGCCGCAGTTTTCCTCTTCTTTGCGCCTATCTGGCGGCTGGCTGCGGCAGTGCGCGGTGCAGCTGCATGCAGCTTCCTGTGCTGGTTCCTGTCGGCCTGAGCTGGCGTCTCTGACAAATCTGCCGCTGCAGGAGCCTCGGCTTTTATGCGTGGGGCTGCCGCGGCTGGCGCCTCGTCAGGGGCGGCAACTTTTCTCCTCTTGGCGCTGCCTTGAGTGCCTGCGGTGTTGACTCTTTGTCTCGGTACTTTCAATACTTTAATCGACATTTTATCTTGGCAGATTAGGACAAAGAGAAACAAGACACTATTCCATGTGAGTCAGGATTTGAACACCACTTGCACATCCAGCGTGGAGAAAGAGCGACACAGGCACAAACTTAAAGAAGTAAAATTGTACACAACCCTGCAAAATGCTCCAAGAACAGCTCAATCTGCAGTTGAACCCACCTGATGATTCCTCGTCTTCACTGCCCTCTGCACCTTCCTCCAGGCCTGACTCCGTTTTGTCGCTGCTGGCCTCCTGTTCTGCCCTGTTGTGCAGATCGTCCCATCTTTTCTGCTGCTGCTTTAGCAGTCGGAACCCTGAGTATGACATGCCAGTGCTTCTTAAGAATGCCAATCATGCGCCAGCATGATTGATGCGCAAGATATGCAAAATGTAGTAGCAAGTTCAAATCTGGCAGCTGCTGTGGACGCTTTGCTAGATCATGCAGCCAGCAGGGCCTGCATCACATAGCATGCTGTGCGCACCAATCATGCATGGCACGTTCAGAGAATCTTGCAATCTCAGCGACAGACAAGCAAAGCACGTAACGAACCTGCGCTCTCAAGCATGTGGACGGATGTGTAGAAGCCCAGGGACTGCATGCGCTCCTGGTACTTCTGCCACCCGAGATGCTTCTGCCGTTGGCCGGATCTGAGGTTTTCTGGGTAGCGCTCATGTGGCAGAGGTTTCAACGCTCTGTACTCCGGCCTGCATGACATCACCCAATTTACACTTTCATTCTTGAGCGCAGGGTTGCAATGATGCCGCTCCCCGTAGGAATCCCCCGGGAAAACCGTCAACCAAAGGGGAAGATATCCTCTAGTACGTGGATCCCAAGAATTGCAAGACTTAAAGTCGAGAGTGTGCTCAGTCAGCGCCGTGCCTCGTCCACTCTTGTGTGCGTTCCACTCTGCATGTGAGTGTTCTTTGCCGAAGCACGACTACGGTACATATGAGACTGCATATACTGGTACACAAGTCACAAGCAAAAAAAATGGAGCGCAAATTGTCTGATCAGAATGCGTATGTCTCACCTGTGGTCCCCATGCTCCTTTGCCCATTTCCTGATCTTGTGTGGTATGTCCACACGCCCCTTCACAACATTCCCTTTCTCGTTGCGGCAGGTGCATGTTGTTGTGTAGTCAAGCCATCCACGCTTGTTTGTGCCAGCCAACATGCCGTAGGAGCCTGTCCAGCCGGCAGGAATTGGCTGCACTGGCCGATGTCCTGTTTGCACAGCCACGCAGCATGAGTGCAACACAGGAACTTTGTATTGCGCGCAGCTCTGCGCACTGATGGACAATTGCATGGATCGTTCACTGACCAAGGCGCTCGAGCTCTGCATGTCCGAGTGCCTGTTTCTGCCAAGGCCATACTGGCCATTAACGAGTATACTCGTGCGCCCTGTATGAATTGTGGGTGCCTCCGTTAGCAGAGGCTGAAATAAGCACATGCAAGGGTGTAGAAGCTATCAAGCTTCGGATTCTAGGCTGCCATAGAGGAGTGTGTAATTGTGCATCCCACCTATGCCCTCTCCAGCTGATGACTCAGCAGCACTGTCTCCATCGTCCTTTGCTGCTGCTCCTTCCTCAGCCCCTGTCAGCCCACAAGGAACAGCCTATTACTGTTCCTTGAAGATTATCCTTAAGAAAATCTCTTTCAGATCATATTGCAGCATTCACAAGTAAATTTAGTGCACGGTCTTTCAGTAAGATTGTTGATTTGACGCCAGGGGCTGATGCATATGATGGTGCCTCGGCTGATCAGCTGGTTGACACATCAGGGTACTATCCTTTTCTTGTCAAGCCTAGCAAACATTCTAATATGTGTCACCTTGTGCAGAGGCGCCCGACAGCTCTTCAATGACACTGTCGCCTTCATCTTCGACCACCTCAGGTTTCAAGGCAGACTCCTCATTGTCGCTGACTTCGATGACCGAGGCTTCGCGCTTGCGTTTGCGCTTGCCTTTCTGCGCAGCCCCTTTTGCTGGCTTTGGTGGTGTCGATTGCCTCAGAATCTCATCCCAGACCTTCTGCTGCTCGTCTGGCAGGCAAAATCCTGCATGCATAAGTTGCTCTCTTGGCGAAGAAGGCTGTTGCAAACTGTTGAAGGTCTTTGTCACCCAGCAACATTGCGAGGCAGACCCTTCTCGCCCCCAGATACAGCGAATGGCTGACAGGCTTACCCACTGTACACGTGACAGTTACAAGCTCCTGCTGGGCATGGAAGGCATTAAGAACCATGAACCAAAGACATTCAAGATTGCACACCTGCTTTCTGCAGCTGGTGCATCCTTGTGTAGAACCCCAGGCCCTGCAGCCGGGCCGTGTAGTTCTTGTACCCAGGGTGGCGCCTTCGCCCATGCATGTCCAAGGTATCTGGGTACTCCTCATCTGGCAATGGCCCCAGGGGTAAATACTCTGGGCTGCACACATGCATGCATTGTTTCAGAACCGTCAAGTAGTGATAGCTCATTTAGGTGTGTTTACCTCCATATCATATGTACCATATGTACCATTTACCGAGCTGCTTCAGAATGAAGAATGACACCCTCAAGCGAGGCCACATCTAAAAGGAGGGTCATCCACACTAACTTTTTAACCGCAGGCATCGAAAACTAGGTCAGAGGACGTGATGCGGCGCACTTGTGAGGTCCATGCTCCTCCACCCACAGCTTCATCTGGTGTGGACCCCCACAAGGGGGGCCATACAGTATGTGCACACTGCAGGTGCATGTTGTTTCGTACGCAAGATAGCCTCGCTCTTTGAATCGCTCCAGCATGTTGTAGTGAATCTTCCAGCCCACCGGACTCGCCTGGACCGGCCGGGCCCCTGTGGGAAGTTGGGAAGAGCTTGTCAGTGGCAAAGTGCCCGCACATACTAGGAATGTGCATGGCAGTCCCTTCTTGGGGCCTGAGGGAGTGGATCTTGGGTGTCGATCGCACTTGAAATGGCAGAAGAGTTTGGATCGTCCATCGGGATGTACTGAAGCTGGAGTAATCTCAAAGGGAATCCAGTCAAGCACGCACTGAAGTGCCACTTCTACAACATGTATTTATTTGCGATTGCTCATCAGAAGAAGGGATGATCCAATCTTTCTTCTCCGTGCTAATATCTGCGATTGTGGAATGGCCGAAACGTGCAATATAATGTCAAATTAACCCTTTTGAGACACAATTCTACGACTCAGAGGATTCCGAAATGATCCCCCTTCAGAGGGCATTTTGTCAATTGGTACCTTGCCTGCAAAGACCTACACAGTTGAAACTTGCTTGCCTTTGTGTTGCTGTGACACCACCATCAAAGTGGGCCAGCAATCCAAGATTAGGTTTCCTTTATGGCGGGAATCATGCCTGTCTCCGGTGGCGTTCGTGATCAGCCACCTCAGCGTTAGGTAGCTCATTCAGCAAAGTTCCTCCTTCAGCAGAACGTGTTCGCAGGAAGCTTTTTTTGCATCCAATCGATCACTTCACCATTTAAAGTAAGTATTAGGCTGAAGTGCCTGGCCTGATGTGTCCGATCTGAAGCACACTATCCGCAGAAGAACTGTCTTCGCATCGAATGCAGCACTCATCGATGTTCATGAGCCATGGATATAAATACACTCGTCAGTTTGGGGTGGAGCCTCAAGGACGAATTGTGGAGAGACCTGGAGTCTGCTCAAGGCGAAACATTACTGCAGGATGCTGCGCTGAACATCGATCTGAGAAAGGTAAGATCTCATTGTTGCTCTAACGAAGTCCACTTAAAAACTGGAAACTGCCGCCCTTGTCAGCAAACGGATGCAAACCTGTCTTAAGGCCTTTCCCAACTGCAAACCTGGTGTCGTTGTACAGAGCAAGGTGGTGAATGAATCCGATCATGCTGTTGCAGGCAGGAAAAGCTGCGCTGCCGGATGACATTTCTAAGTCAGATGCCAGGCTCATCAAGGGACCGCACGTCCTGCAGATTGTAGCATGTGATGACGTGGCGCATCCATCCCGGGGTGTATCAGGCAGCCCCAAAGGCAGGTCGGTACCCCACCCTCCTTGTCTATGCTCATCAACTTTTTACATTGTTATTGCAGTGCAGCGCTCTCTATGCGGTGCCTTTTGTACCGTGGTCATTGTTTTGGCCTGCCCGGCACATGCAGGTGCCTGTGTCGAGAAAGGCAATGCAGCTTGAGTTGACATGCATGCATGCTTGTTTAGGATGCTGCGGCTGAAGCTGACAGATGGCAAGACAACCTGCAAGGCTGTGGAGATGAGGCCGCTGCCAGATATGTCAATTGAGGAGTTGCCTCCTGGTACCAAGGTCTGCATCTCAAATGCCTCTGTAAAGGCGGGGCTGCTGCTCTTGGATTCCAAATCCGTCAAGGTGCGTACGTTTTCCACTTGTAGACCAGTTACCTATGAAAGGAGGCCAGGGCCACATGGACAAGCCGAGCACACTGTGGTTGTTCTGGCTCTCGCAATTTCTTGAACAGGAGGTGGTAACCGCACTGCAGCATGCATGCTCCCTAATACGGCATTGCGTGTTGCAGATGAGAACGACTGAGCAGCTTGTGGAGACCCAGCCTTTCTGGAATGACAACACGCAAGGACAATCCAGTGGAGAATGTCTGCCACAGTGCAGAACAGTGGGACCTTCTGTTCAGATTTGCAATGAATGGCCAGTAGCAGTGAAAATGTCAAGTCATCTGCAGGTGCTGGGAGGCAGGGTGGAGGAGTTGTACGAGGCCTGGGAGTTCCAGCGCAAGTACGGCGCTGGGGCGGCCCGGCCGGCGGCCGACGCGGCCGGCGCGGCCGACTCGGAGCGGCCGCCGCCGTTCCAAACATACGTCCCCGGCAAGACGCGCGCGCCGCGGCGGCCAGCCGCCGCACCTGGCTTGGCCGGCCCCGACGTGCACGCTGTGCCTGCTGCGCCGGCTGCCGTTGCAGCGCAGCGCGACGGTGGAGCCGCCGCGGGCCGGCCGCCCGGCATCGCACCTCCCCCGGGATTTAACCTGATCCCGGACAGACTGCGCTTCGAGCGAAATGCCGCACCGGCAGCCGTCAGGGGGCCTTCGTCTGATCCGGTCAGCGCTAGGCAAGGGGAGCTGGGATCGTTGGGCGAGGTGGCGGCTGCGGAGGCGCTGCCAAGCCGGGCCGGGCCGTCAGCGGCAGCCAAGGCGAAGCTGCAGGAGCGGTTGGCAGCTTCTGAGGAGGTGCGCCCATGCTAAATAGCAACCCTGTGTGATCCTTGCTGGACCAGACCGGGACTCTTGACATGGTTCCAGAATGAAATGTACACCAAAATGACAAGAGCAACACTTGCAACATCCCGCTCGAGTATGGCTGATCAGAGACAGTTTTGGTGGGGCAGGTGTCGCGAGGCAGAGGCGGACAGAGGGGGCGGGGTCGCAGGCGAGGCAGGTTCCATGATGAAGAGGAGGAGTCTGGCATGACACTGGATGAGTGGGAAGCGCAGCAGAGGAGCAAAGCTGCTGGTAGCGATACCCTTCATTCTGCACATCGTCCTGCTGCACGTGCCACATTTCCTGCATCCACAACAGTGCTGCACAGAGAACTCCCTGATCCATGTGACTGCCTTGTCGTAATTTGAGCACTTCAGAGCTGGATGGCTGCTTCCAGCAGGTCACAGCACAGACCGCTTCTTATCTGCACTGATTCATGAAAAGACATCAGTGCTCAAAACAAGGCACATTTATTTGCAGGTGGCAGGGGCGTTTCGCAGGCCGGTGGTTCACAGGGGCAGGTGCTATCAGATGAGGAGCTGGCTCGGCAGCTGCAGCGGCAGCTGGATATGGAAGACTCCCTCCAGCAAGACCAGTACTTCGTGCAGCAGCCTCGGTGCGCTCCCTTGCTTGGGATCCGTGCTGCCTGCTCAAGTGTTTTATACAAATAAATTTTTCGGACTCGCACACGTTGATGCTGAGTTGGCAACAGGAGAAGCTCCTGAAATTGCGCAAGCTTTCCAATCTGACTTCAGTCAGTTTCATTCTGCCCCCAATTGAAGATTTTTTCTGCGGCAGTGAGGGCAGACACTTATGAATGGTGTAGGGATCGTTATTAAAAGCATATGCAGATGTCAGAGTTCTGGTAAGCATTGGGTGAGGTGGTGAGCTCTTAAGACTATAGCCCCTGGCCCACTGTAGAGCCGGCTGGATAAGATCTTAGCCCTGTGTCTTAGCTCTTAAGCCCCTCAAGCTTGGGGGACCTGCATATTGCAGGAGCGCGGTTGATGACCTGAAGGCAAGCCTGTTTGCTTATGAGCGGCCGGATGAAGACTCAGGATACAGGGGCAGAGGCAGGAGGGGCAGGAGGAGGGGCGGATGACATATGCCATCAAAGCCAGTTGCACAAGGAACAATGCTGCATTACATTATAGTTCGATTGTCCTATTATGGAGACCTTATAATGGCCCATCTGCTGCAGGCTCGGAAGACCATGCATGTTATTGTTGCCAAACTATCCCAGATAGGGCCTCCCCAGCATATATATTGGAGACAATATCGGAACAATCCCACCTAAGTTGGCTGGAAGCGCTGTAAATGGCATCACCTCATCGACTTATGGTGCACATCAAGGTGGAATCTGTCACACACACTGAGAGCAAGAGTATACAAGTTTGGCCGTGAAGGAGCAAAGCATGCATTTCATGGAGGAAACTTCCGAAATCTTGCCATCTGGCCGCTGAGCCAAACTTGGACGAGCCGTCCAGCTGCCCTGCTACAGCGCACACAACCATCTGCAGATGGCCCCTTGATGCGAATAACAATCTGGAATAATATAAGAGAACCTCTGTGTCTGATAGTACATGCTGTGAGTATCCGTTCAGTCTACAGTTGGCACTGTTGAAATTGCGTTGTGAGGGGTCGACCCCCCTTCTGCCAGTCACTACATTGCCGGCAGTGCTGTTAGGTATGCCGAAGCAAGCTTTAATGCACTGCACATCTATTGCTATTGCCTCTTATTTCCCACTAGCTGCCTTCGCATTACAACAGTCCAACTTGATGGAAGCTGCCTTGGTGGAAACACAGGTGGCGCACAGCACAGCCAAATTGGCGCTTACGACATTGCGATAGTTGTTGGCCATGCGTATTCGTCTATATTGATCTCAAGGCCGTGCTGCCAGTACTGGTGAGTTCTGGTCAAGGTGTTACTGCTGCGTCAGTGCAATTTCAACACTGGTATTCTCTCGCGTTGTGGCATCCACTCAACCGAAAAAGATCATTTCTTAATGTGGCATGCCAGCTCATTATCGTGATAATTTGCACACAGCTACCCCTGCTGGCAACTTACACTGCGAAGAATGGCAATTTTCGCTGCCATCACTTGCCACGAACTACCTGCATGGGGAGTTTTGCACCGTGTGTTCAGGTACAGGTTGCCTATGTACAGGTAGGGAACGTCAGCAGCATGGATGTGGACAGGAAGACCAGTCTGCTGGAACAGAGCCCTGCCTGCACGCTGGACTATGCATCTGAGGGCAGTGAGTCTTCAGCAGGCGACTGTTCTGAGATGGTCCTCGAGGTCTGCACATTCCGCAATTTACATTCGCCATCTCAAACTCAGTATCCACATATCTCATTTGCTGTCAGGCATTCTGGACGCCGTCGTGGTGATCGACTGCAACAAAAAAGGCACTTGTGGCAGCGGAACCTTTACTGTGACATCGAATACCATTCCTGTGGCTGCTCTCAGGTGAGGTCAGCGGAGAGAACCTTGTCAGCCGGCGACAGGGAGGGGCCAGCGAAGAGGTCATGTCATGCAGCACACCAGGGGCCTCTCGGTTCCCCCCGCTCTTCTCGGCAGCGGCGGTGGCCGGCCGGGGGGTCCTCTAAAGCCTGGTGGCTGGGCCCCACTGCGCTGGCAGGGGAGTGTTTCCAGGAGGACTTCACCCTCATCGAAGGCGGAGATGGCCTGCTGGGCCGAGGCACATTCGGCTCCGTACGCAGGTGGGCAAGAGTGCTTCTGGGTGGAGGCTGTGTGCAAATGAATTGACCCAAGCTGACTCTTTTTGGAAAGCACAGAGTGTGCACCAAAATACTGGTAACCGGGGTGGGCTCTATCTTACTTACATCATGCCAGACAGGAAGGCGGACGTGGTTGCTCATGGGATCATGACATTTTCTGTGTTGCACGCAGGTGCATACTGAATGGCAAGGGCAATGGTCAACATTTTGCCGTCAAGATCATTAAGCTGAACAGGTGAGTGTCTCCTGCCAGCTGACACTGCTTACCCCTTAAACACTCCTGTCCTGTCAGAAATATAGGTCAAGAGCATTCCCTCCCGGGGACATTATGTATGGTGCAGGTCGTACAGCCATACCGCCTGATTTCATCTGCACGCATTATTACCGGAAGAAGGGCCGTCAGATTAAAAGTTCTGGAAATGCAGGTATGAGGACAGGCAGGCGGTGGGCAGGGAGAGGCGGGCGCTGGAGAAGATGAAAGGCGCTGCCTGCGCCGTGCAGCTGCACCGGGTCTACGCAGAGCAGCACGCAGCCTTCCTTGTCTTCGAGTGAGCCTCCTTTCTTCTTCCTTCTCTCCTTGGCAGCCCTGTGTTTTTTCTGTGCCACTAGCAACCGGCGCTATATGCCCGCCATTTGTTGCATCCAGCAGATTTTGAATAAGTGCTTGTCTAGAGGGATGGCCAGAGTAGTGACCAGCAGTAGGTATGTCAAGCATATGCGGCAAAATGGAAGGATTGCAGAGATTGCCAAGTATGACTTTGATATGCTCGCAATAGGCTGCTGGAGAATGGGAGCACGCTGGAGGAGACTGTCAGATGGCAGTCAGGGCGGAGGCTGGCGTGCACTGAGGCCAGGAAGCTCTGCCGCGCACTCCTGCAGGTGGGTCGGCGGTGATCTCAGTACCATGCTGGATCTGGTATATGTTCTGATGATGCATTCACCGGGTGGACCACTTTGCTGGTGTGTTATGTGTTTTGAGGCAAGCCTGATGTGTGGCTGCAGGCGGTGGCAGAGGTGCATGACAGTGGCATCTGCCTGCTGGACATTAAACCCGCCAATGTTTGGATTTCTGCTCAAGGGTCTCCGGAGCAGCCATTCAGAGTCTGCCTGCTAGATTTTGGCATGGCCCACGAGTTTGTGCCAGGTACACAATCAATCTCCTTGTTACAAAGGAGACTCTTGAATTGTATCAATTATGCACAGATAGAGCATTCATGTCATCGCCAAAACCCTCCAAGCACTGGCAGAAGAGGAGGGTTATCAAGAAGCTTTAAGTCTTTAGCGCGAGTCTTTGAAGAAGAGTGTTTCATCGACTGCTTGCATTGCTATCACACCGCCCGAATCTCCTGCACCCAAATAGCCTGCAGCAGAGGACACTAGCTCTTCAAGATACCCTCGGCCCTGTTGCGGGATTGACCGTAGCTGCTTTACGAGCTTAGCGCAAGTAGACCTAGTGAACAGACGGGTGACAAGTGGCGTGCATATAACAAAACATTGATTTGAATGCAACAGGTAAGGCGGTCCGGCTGGCGGCCAAGTCAGCGCTGGCAGGAACGCCTGCCTACATGGCGCCAGAGGTCATCCAAGCCAACCTCAGCCACTGCTCCTGCGCGCGTTTCAGCGCATTTAATGGCAAGAAGGCAAGTCCAGTCATCTTTGAGCAATTCTGCCTCATCAGCGCAGCACGCACTGGGGCAGGGACCTTGATCTCAGATTTAGACAAGAACATCTCTAGACAGAGGACGAGTATATAGAAAGGGCTTCGAGCTTGTACCCAGTCGGCAGAGTAAGGGACCATTATAGTGAATGCCGTTCTGAATCCTCGTCCTGAGACAATAGGCTCAGCAGGTTTCTACTCGTTTCGCGGTAGGCTCAGGGATGTTTTTGACCTCAAGGGGCAAATTTGGCTGAGCGACGGAAAAGCTTGTTTAATAGAGCCTGCCTGCAGCTGTGAAATACTACGCATTTGGGCTTGCTGTGCCATTTCTTGGGGGCCAGCAGACTGCAGTAGAAGATGATATTGTTGACTGCGCATGGCTGTGCACAGGCGGATGCATGGAGCGTGGGAGTGACCCTGTTCCAGGCCTGTTTTGGCCGCCTGCCCTTCCAGCCCCCTGCCAAGGCCCTGGACCTCATCGGGGAGATGTCTGCTTTGCATGCCTCCTGGGTGCGCACTTCCTAATTCACAGTGTCCCTCTTGTGTGCTGATTATGTCAGCACTACTGTACTGCTTTCTAAACCCTCCAGAACACCTAAATAGCTGCATTGTGCAGTTGAGGCCCTCCTGGACAAATCAGAGCTCCCTTGTGCAATCAATACTCTGCATGCAGATTTCACAGGTGCTGCTGTGCGTTTAAATGTCTCCTTGCATGGCGCAGGCAGCGGCTGTCAAAGCAGGACAGAGCATGTTCGGTGCTACGGATGGGATTTCAGATACAGAGAGCCAATTCTGGAGCCAAGTGCTCGCCTGCGATCCTGCAGACCGCCCGACCGCCTCTGAGCTGCTGCAGCATCCGCACCTCAGTGAAGGCGCCTGATGGCTCGGTCCAGATCAGTAGTGGTAACTAGCCAGCCAGGTCTCAGAGTGTTTGGCATGTACTAGTGAGTGTGGCTGCGTCAGCAGATGTGTGCAGTAGAAACTCTGTGCCGCTCATCTGCGGCTGTTGTACTTGGTTCTCCAATGAAAGTGCCGATGGCAGTAGTGCTACTTTCTGTAGGGAAAAGTTGTGTTGGAAATTGATTTATAGAGGATAAGCTGGCATTTCTTCTTTGAGGGTTGCTCTCGTGAGCGTTGTACATTGAAGGGTGCTGTAGCTTCATTAGAACTAGTCAGGATGGGTTGCTGCTGGCGCTGTCGCCCTGGGTGCAGCATTCGTTTAACCTCCTGTAGCTGACTATAGTCAGTCTTCTGGCCAAGACTGCACTGCGCATGAGGGAATCACGCACATGGCCTTGAGTGTAGGGCCTCCAAGAGAGTTCTTTGGCAAAGCGGTATTCCAAATTGTATAATGGAGAAATGCTTTAGATGCAGCAGATAAGGATCAGGAAAGTGGGCCTCTTAGGAGGATGAAGGTGAAACGCATGAAATTCTCAGACGCTGTAGTATGGTACCCTCTGAGCCGTATACCCACTTATAAGCAGCTTCATTGCTGGACTTCCTGGACTGTATAGGACAGCGCCTGGCAGTCTGAATGGAATATGTGCCATTGTAATAAATTTTTAAGGTGTCAAGCAGTCCTCTCCAAGTACGTCATTTGCGTGACCACTTGCTTTCTGCTTAACACTTCAGCATCAAACTCCGGAGATGGAATCCCCGATGCTTCAAGTTTCTTGGAGTTAGACATTTGCAGGTTGTACAATCCGTTGCAACCAGAACTATGCGCTCAACATTGCCACAGCGCCTCCCATGCATTGAGAAAGTCCAACCTGGTATCCAGATCCTCCATCAGCTTGTCAAAAGGCACAACATCCAGAGGTTGGCCTGACACATCTCGCATGCTTCTCCCCTGAAAGAGTGCAAAGCGGCCCCTGATCACCGCACACCCCGTAGGCACGGCCAGTGCTTTCCTGCCGTCAATGTTACCCAGGCTGACTAATTTCAGCCGTGGGCAGCCCCTAAAATTCGGCACATGCACAGCATTTACCTCGCATGCCAAGGCCAGCCGTTGCAGGCTTGCCGGCAGGCCAAGAACGTGAAAAGGCCCCAGCAGAATCGCATCTTGCATGCAGGTGAGCCCAGACAAGTCCACACCGATTTTGGTGGTCACGTCAAAAGTCTCGTGCAACAGTAGCCGTTGCAGTGTTTGCCCGTGTGGCATTCTGGACAGAACTATCGCGCTCCTGCTTGCGCGCAAACACACCGTCTTCGCTGGGGGAGCCCTTTCAGGGTGTCGCCAGAAGCATCCTGGTACCTTCCTGGGGACTTGATCCAATGTGAGCACCTCAAGCTGGCATGCTTGCTTGGGCAAGCATCAAGTGACTCCAGGAGATGCGCAACCCAGAGTCTTCAGACGAGGAGCCTACTCCCCAATGTTCACTTGACACCCCTCGGCTGTGATTATCAGATGAACCAAAGGCAGCAAACGGCCACACGTGCTTTGGAAGTGGCTGCTCAAAGGCGATGCTGCAGCTCACAAGATTTGCAAGGGGCACAAGCATGCCAGGACTGGAGGGGTGCCAAGTCTTCATCTCCAAAACTTGCAACTCTGGGCACTTGTGCAGCAACAGATTGAAGACCACACTGCTGAATGTGATTGCTGCTCCCAGTGGATTTTTCAGCCGAACAGCGCGCAGCTTTTGGCCGTAGCGCCGGAACCAAGATGGGAGGTGCCCCTGGGCCTTGCAAATGCCCGGAGCAACAAAAGTGTCTTCAATCGAGAAGACTGCTGCGCATTGCAGACAAGCCGCTCGCCACTGGCGGCACACACAAGCTGCCCTGGCGCGGTACTTGCTTGTGAGGATGCTTAGAATTTGCTCCACAATCTCCACAGGCAATTGGATCGCCGCTTCAGCTGATAAACAAGGGTACAAATAATTATTAGTAACGAATTTTGCTGTGCTAACTTGTGGCGCATTTGCAATCCTTAAATCGATGCCTTGATTGGAGTTGCTACGGAAGAGCTTGTGTGTGACTGCACAAAAAGGTGTAAGCAAGTGGAGAATTTGGTTTTGCGGGGGACGCACCCTTGAGCCTCTTGTAATAATCGATCCAAATCGTCATTTTCACCATCCTGAAACGTGATCGCTGATGCTTCCTTCGTCTATTTGCCTGCAAAAGATACATGAAGTAGGATTTAGGGTTGTTTCCTGGACGATCACACTGACCGTGACATTCTTACGTTCTTATCGAATTTGTGTCTGGAAATGGTGGCTCACGCTTGACTGTAGTATAATGCCTCTCGAGATTGTTTTCCTAGCAATTTACAATAACACAGAGTTATCCGAATCGGGAAGTAATTGGTGTGGTTATCAGGGTTAGCACCGGTTATTCAATTTGTCTTGGCTCACAGCGATGGTCAAAGATGCAACCCAGATCAGCTACCAGGCAGCCAGAAGCCACGCCAAGTCATTATTACTAATTGAGAAGGGACTCTGGATCGGATGTATTTGTCCCAGTGCTGATTTCGAAAGCTTCTAGGTCGAGTGTACTCAAAAGTAAAAATTTGATGTCGTTCGTTTGCGAGTCCCCTGGGCACAGTTCGGAATGGCATGAAGTTACAGCCCTCACAGATTGTATCTACAACCGGGGAGATGATATAAGGTTTGATGGGAGTTTCTTTCGGATTTAATTAGCACTGAGCAGATATGCATGCTGATGCACCACTGTCATATGGATCAGATCTTTAAAGAAGGCATCTACTGTTTTGCCCAAATCCTACAAGCACTCGACATGCCAAGCTTAAAAAGCAGAACCATTGGAATACTTGTCTCAACATCCTACAGCCGACCTCTCCATTCCTTACATCACCCCAACATTTGTAGAGCATCTAGGCCTCTGTCATTAGCCACCTCAGCCTGCTTGAACAGCGCTGCCACAGCGCCTCCCAATCATCAAGAAAGTCTGGCTGCAGGTCAAGATCCCACATCAGCTTGTCAAACGATGCATGAGCCAGAGGTCGGCCCAACACTCGTGTCTGATCTCCCCTCTGCCGTAGTCCTAAAATACCTCATCATGATCGTGCACCTAGATCTGCGCGGCTGCTCGGCACATGCTGATATTATCACCGTTACATGGTGTCATGTGACCTCATTCAAATCGTTGGCTTGACTCACAAAGCTGTGGTAATGGGTACCGGAAACCGCTCGCACAGAAACATTTGCTAATTGTAGGAACAAATCACAAAACACCTCGCATTCGTTTGGTAGAGCTCTCGAGACTAAGCATACGACGCAGAACCCTCACAAAATTGCCACCGAACGACACTCTGAGTAGCTACCTGGCATGACAGAGAACAAAAGCAAATGTGGCACACTAGCAGCTCTGCACCAAGGGAGTTGACATACAGGGATCGATTGTGATTGGACAACTGAATATGACAGATCGGCAGCCTGCAGCAAGGAAGCTACGGCAAACATTGCACTTTCACTCAACACTCAAATGCGCTCAAAGCAAAATAACAGCTGATTTTTTCCAACAGCAACAGGATAAGGGGTGGGTGCCAGACAGTGACGCAATCACCAAGCCCAATTCATCCGTCACAAAGCCACAAACCTGAAGACAGCAGACCAGCAGCCTACCGCTGCATGCTTCGTTGTACAGAGAAACCCATGAAGACGGACAGTATATGCTTAGAAACACTCAGATACGCTCAAATTTGCTGACAGCGAGGCGCTTGCGGATGCCCTTCATGAGAGCATGCATGGCTGGATCCCCCCTCTGCTGACTCATCGCCTTCTCCAGCCTCTCCTCTGCTATGGCATCCAGCCCTAGCCGCACCATCGCCTGCACAGCAGCCAGGCATCGATTGTACGGGTCTTCCACTTGTGTGAATATAGGCAGTGAGAGAGAATGCAAGCAAAATTTTATGTTGTGTAGCTCCAAAGTACAGCTAGTCCACGCAATTTAGGCCCCGCACAACAGCTTGCAATGCTCTTGGATTGCTGATGGAGTCTCAAGGAGTTTTGCAGGTCCTCTCCTCGACGGTCTCTGTCTTGCCTCTGTCTTTTCCACACCAGGGTGGAAGAGGCCCCAATTCTTCAGGATGAATGCAAAGATGGCCGCCCCAAGCTCACAGCTTTCTGGCGGTGTTCTGACACAATTGATTTGCAGCCCACCTGCGCTTGGCGGTACAGGGCCTTGGCACTTGTGGGCTCGATTGCCAGCGCCTCATTGCAGTGCACCACTGCTTCCTCCAAGAAGCCTGTGTCATCCAGCCCGCCACCTGCACACAGTTGCACACAGTTGCCCACTGAAAGTCCATGATTAAAGATGCATTACTAACATCCATCGCTGCTGCAGAAGGATCACCCACTACCTTATTCACCCCCGTGGAGAAAAGGCAAAAGAGGTGGAGGCGATGTGAGCTGCGCACGAACTTTGCAGACAATTCAATCGCAGAGGAACGCAGGCTATATATATTTTTTGTATCCCCCTGACAAAGCAAAGATCAGGATGACTGCGGCCATGCATGCAGTACTCATTCCGAAAGTGGAATTTGCATAGTGATCCTGGCGCGAAGTAAGCCTAAGCATTGCAACTAAGAGTCTGCATGCAGGGGAAAGCTGGCGAGGTGAGATGTTGCATTCTGGGCAGCGCGGACTCACGCGTGACACTTGGAGGGCCTCTGACGGCGTCGAAGCACTTCTCGGAGTGCTTGAGGTTGATGGCTGCCATGTTCAGGTGCAGGCTCTTCCACAGCTCCCTGTGCGCTGCAGGCATCTCCGCGGGCTTGCCTGCCACAGATACCATCTTGTCAGACTGGCAAAGGCAGTCAGCAATAACACAGATCTGTACTTTCTCGTGTACATGCAGAAATGCCCATGCACAGTGGCAGAGGTGACATAACCCTGCCCTCAGTGTTGGCAACGCTGTTAACATGAGTTCCCATCGGCGTTCAATTTCTGGGATCGTCCCTTCAAATGTTGCATGAATGAGTGGTGTTTTGGTCAATGCTCAACCACACATCATCACCACCAGTCCCTCAAAATCTTCAATTTGCTCAAAATATTGCGGCAGACAGAAATGGCACAGCTTACCCAGCTGCTCCAGCATGAGCAAGGCAAAGCGATAATGGCCGCCAGCCAGACTGTGGCTGCCTGCTTTGAAGCAATCATTGGCCAAGCGCTTGGTCTCTTCGAGCAACTCCAAGGTGACAGGTGTGCTCTCTGCCCTGCTCTGAAACTCCCCCTTCCAATGGCTAGAGCTGTTCCGGCTGCAGATCTCCCTGCAGAAGGGACAATTTCTAGAGTACACTCTGCTTTTATCACACTGCACCTTGCAAAGACAGGTGTACATGTGCGGACAACCATGCATGAATGATACGTGCCTTGCTGTGATGAAAATGCTTGAAAACCACCGCTGTCAGAAAGGCTGGAGAGCAGTAGTTGCACCTGTCCTCTTTTGGCTGTGGCTTCTTCTCAGGCTCTGATTTTTTTTCAGGCTGTGGCTTCTTTCTGGGCGGTGGCTCTTTGTCAGCCTTGGGAGCGCCATTTGAACCGGCGCCAGGGCTCCTGCCTGGAGGATTGCTGAACAGGTCGGGGAAATCTCCCAGTCCCCCAGGGCCAAAGTTCATGCTTTTCATGGCTGCTGCCAGGGAGGGCTTCAGCGGATTCGCCTGCTCATAGGGTGAGTCTCATTATCTGCTGTCTAGAATGCACCAAAGGGGATGCTCTAAAATACATGCTGAGATGTCTCGACGGTTGCTGGCTGTCATGCTCTAAGGGGAATGAGTTAACGGGAATGTGGGAATGCCCGAAAACACACGCTAAGTTACTTCAATGGCCAGTGTCTGGCATGCACCATAGGGATGCCCTGAAACACATGAAGAGGTACCTGACTGACTGCTGTCAGGAATGCACCAAAGGGAAAGCCCTCAAAACACATGCTGACTGCACATACATATCTCCGTTGGCAGGCATTATTTGCTTGGGCTTCAACATGGTCAAAATATTCCCAGCAGGGGCTTGCGGCATGCATGCATTGCAATGTACATCAGTGTGACATCATCAGATACTGTCAATTTAGAGGCGTAGTGCCCGAGACGATGACTCACCTCGATTATGTTGCCTCCCTTGGTGTCATGGCGCTGAAAGTACAGGGGCACCAGGAAGGAGGCGCGCCACTCCGACTTTGGTAGTCCCAGCACCTCTGACTGTGCCCTGCAGTGCAGCAGTGAGAACTTGCTCAACAATCCAGCACAGCTGAGGGATCTCCTAAATCCTGTTCGGTGGCATTAGCATTGTCACATGACCAGCAGGTCTGGTAGGAGGGCGTCCCCTATTGCCCTCAGATCCCAAGCGCCCTGAGAATTCTTTTGTTTCAAAAGACATTCCAGTGTCACTCCCACAATCCCACCTATATTAGGAAAGTATGTCCGATTTGGTAGTGCATGTGACAAACAGCTAATTGGACTTTATCTCCTGATGCTGAGCCTGTCAGACCAAGGAATCCGCAGGGCACAATGCGCATGAGATGCAGCAAATCAGAGATTGGCTCACTTGCTCGGTATCGTGCGGGCAGAATTGCGCAGCAGCATATCCCTGAAAATGGTGAGTTCAGATTTCTCGCATTTCACATGGTTCTGTCCCGACGTGCCTGGTGCCACAAATCTCTTGGTTGCGCGCTGAAACCTGCGCCACAGCGGCAAGGCATGATTGGATTGGATTGCAACAAAGTAGCACCGTAAGTATCCATCAATTGTCTTTCCACTTGCATGGCGTATTTGGAGCTGCTTGGCGGGCACTGGGGATGTGCCCTATACTTCTCAGTGATCAGTCGAGCTACTCTGTGTGCAAGGAGTTTGTTCAGAGATCAGTGTCTGGTAAGGAGGTGCACCGGCATTGTCCAGTGATTCAGGTTCTGAGCTTCAGCAGGGACCACTGTTGAATCCCCTGAATTGATCTATGGGACAAAGTGGCTATGCCCCAAGCATGTACAGTACAGAGAACCCAGTGCAATCTCATTCTGAAGGTATCAGCAGCAACAGAGTTTTTCGAAGTATTCTGGGCTCACCTTTCCAGGGAGCGCTGCAGGCTGCTCATGTCAGGCTTGCTGTTCAGCACCTCCAACTCATCCACATATGAGATCTGCACAGACACTCAATTGTCACACACTAGCCAGCGTGGTTTGCCCTCTCTGGATCCCTCACAATCGTCACAACCTTCAAATAATGACAAAGCTCCTGAGATCCTTGTTACATGTGAAAAGTCATCCGCAAATACACTCATATAATGAGTGTCAGGGCTCACCTGCAGCAGAGGCCTGCCGTCCGGCAGCATGCGGACCTTCTTGTGCACGAGGACCTGGATCTTGTTGTTGCTGGTGTCCCCAGGGATCTCCAGCACATGGTTTTGCGCTTGCTGCACGACACCGCACACCAGAATACCTTGTCAGAACATCCTCCCATGTCAGCATCTCACCTCACCCACATAATCTTCCTCTTGAAAAAAAGCATATCTGCTGTTTTCAGGATGTAAAACACGTCAATAGTGTGCAAATTGTCTGGGTGCATCTAAACAGATGGACCCAGAGCAGGCATTCTACTGTTCAAGACACGCTGTTCCTGCCAGAGGCAAGGTGCGTCTCCAGACAAGCTACAGGTGAAGGCTGCAACACATCCTAGCCCAGCAGGCGTTGCTGCAATTTTCAGTCCACTGTGCAAGTAATCATGTGAATTAGTAATATAGAGGTAAACGTACCTTCTTGTAGGCCATCACAAACATGATCTGAATGGTCTCCCGGACTTCATGTAGGGAGGCCTCTGTGGGGTCCAGGGGGGGGACCTTCTCCAGTGGGACCCCCCTCTCACTGAGCGCGTCCACTTTCTTTATGGCGCTGTCCATGTCATCGAACATGAAGGCCATCGCGCATGACAGCTCCTGCTGGGAGGGAACTTCCGGGAGACCGTGGGGCGACAGTTTGGGCAGGAAGGATGAGTCACCCGGCCACAGGGAACGCCCCTTGGTTAGCGTGCACATCAGCAGCCCCCTCTTGCGCGACCTCTGCACCACAAGAGAGAGATTTTTCCACAAGAGAAGACATCTCTACATCAGACAATCCAGGGCCACGTAGACGTGACCGCAGACGCCCTGAGCGTGTGCCCCTATGGCCTTTGGATTTGGGTTCGCCGATCTGTACTTGTATATCTAAGGTAATATCTACTGGCATTTGATGCATGCATGCATGCATTGCATTGCACTCTTACTGTGCATGGTGAGACAAACTGTGTTCATGCCTGTAGTAACATTATCTGCATGCATATTGTCCCAAAATTTTCCAGGCTTGTACTAGGTCCGTGCAGGAAAGCAGACAACAGATTGATGCAAAGTGCTGAAGTCAACTGCATCTACCTGCAGCTTGTAGTCTTCAAGCCTGACAGGCCAGGCAAAGCGCATGCTCACTCGCTGAGAGATGCCAGGTACTGAAATGGTGGCCCCATGAACACAGGGAGCAGGACTGTATTGGTCCCTTGCCGAGGCCACAGCCAATCCATCAGCTGCATTGCACATGACTCAATGTTGCCAGCAATTGTGTGTCATTTTTTAGTAATTTCCAGCATCTTCCATGACAGGAGGCAAAAGATTTGTTCTACCTCTGCATCCGATTATAATCGGGCAATACGAAAATTGGGATGGTAAATGGACGCACAGTGACAGGACAATGATCAAGGGAAGCGGAAAGCCGCATATTCATAGCCATGTTAGCACATAATTTGCCAGAAAAGCAAGGCATGCATGCATGCAATTTGAGAATCACCCGATGCTTCTGGGTCAAAGTGCATGGTGGCCAGGTAGTGGCTTGCATGCTCCACCACACTCTGGAGCGCCAAATAAGGAGTCGGGCCAGGCACAGAATCCAATGTTGCCAAGGGTGAGCGTGCGCATGGAGGAGGTACGCCGCGAAACTGCCTTGGCGTCAACTCTTCCAGCTGCACGGAAATAAATTACTCTTTCAGCAAGAGGGGTTGCTTTATTAGCAAGGCTAACAGAGCTTGCCAGGAAAAATTGACCCAGACAAGGCACCACGTATCTCATCTCATATGATATGAGACAGATCTGCCCCGTGAGCAGAGCTTGCAAAGACATCTCATGCATGTTGAAGTAAATGAAGAAAACATCTGGAATATCAAGAGATGGGAAGAGGGCTCACAGGCCTGACGGCGCTGAGCGGAAGCTGCTGGCACATGTTGATGAGCATGAAGGTCATCTGGTTGGGGGGCGTGGGCCCTTGCAGCAGGAAGGCCACCTGTGAGCAAGCATATTTGGTAAAATCTCCTAGTCAGGCTATTATCCTACGCATTCCCAGCCGAGTGAGGCCGATTCCATCTACAGCCAAGATGCAGGAAAGCTCCCACATATTACCTATCCTGCTGCGTGCCCAGATGCAAGCAAGAAACGTAGACAGAGTGGCGCAGTGCTCAACGCTTTTGGTGGCCCCCACCAGCTGGGGCCACCATTGCAGCTGATACCATGCAAGTCTACAAACGAATATCTAAAACAAGACGCTCATTTCAGGTGCAATATGAGCACCAGCTGTGACTGCAGGGAAGTCACCTCGTGGGTTTTCGTGTCGAAGCAGACGCTGTTGAGCTGCTGGTTCTGGTCGCCCAAGAAGGTCCTGCCCACGCTGGCGTGGCCGGAAAGAATGGCTTGCATGACATTTTCGCCATCCATCAGCACCACTCTCAGCATGGGCGCACCCAATGCTGCAAAGCACAGACACACAGGCTCAGCACCGCAGCCAGAAAAATGCTCAAGGTAGCCCTATATCCCATTGTGTGAAGGAGGCAAACAGGTACCCAAAGGGGTACCCTGTACCCTGGGTAAAAAGAGCATCCTGAGGTTGTGACACCAGGAATTCCAAGTGAGAGCACAGAGCAGATCAGAAATCAACAAGTGTACGCCAGTGTGAGAGTTGGTAAGACTTGCTACACGGGTTTCGGCAAGATTTGAGATGCATGTTGGCAATTGCATTTTTTTGGCAGATCATCAGCTTGTTGTCATTTGTTGAAGCGTTGCAAGCCCATGTTGTGCTCTATCACAGCAGGACGCAAGGGAAAAAGTACTCACCTCCTGTGTACATAGCCATCATATGCATCTTGCATCGGTAGACATACACATCGGGGCCCTGGCCTTGCGCCTGTTTTGGCGCGGGTGCCACCTTGTCATGCAGCAGCCAGCACATCCATGCGTCCCACTCCATGCGCATGCATGCCGGCACCGACAGCAGCCGAAACAGCGCGTCCGCATTTGCCCGCCAGTCCACCGCCGGGTCTGTGTTTTTGCACAAGAGGGTGCTCAGAAAACCCACTCATAGAACCTCCTTGTCAACGCACACATATAAGATAGGCCAAAACCATAGTTCTTCAGGGCCCTTATACTTCAGTCAACAGCCATAAGCCGCTGCTTCTATGCGTGCAGGTCTTAATACATAGTGGAGCAGGATAACTGCAGCTTACAGATGGCACATGCTCAGATTGTCACTCATATTATCTTCTCGTGGCCTCACACTGTATTAGCTGAGCTCGCATGACATCTCTGAACACCGAAGTGCCCCACATGCAAAAGGCTACAATGGCAGGCAACCGTGAGCCTCACAAAGTCTGCCTGTCACCTTCAAGATTGAACCTTTAAAATCTGGGACTCAATGGCGATGCGCACCAATAATGCCAGCGACACGGGCGGCTGCTGAGACGATAGCGAGCGCAAGGCTCAGGGGAGTCAAAGCAATGAGCACATTGCTGACGTGGAGATTGGCGTCCGATGTGGCTGGCCGGCAGCACCGGCTCGCCAGCGCCTTCAGCGCCTCCCGCACCCCGCAAGTCTCCCCACTACCTGCGCAGCAAAGTTCTATGTATGAGTGATTACAGTAACATCCTTCTGTGATTGGCAGAGCAATAAGAACACGCACTAGTGGGTGACACTCCCGAAATTCTGGACTCAACCTTAACCTTTGTCGCTCATTCTGCAATAAAGTCGGGCTGATGCATCTCTATTTGAGGTAGTTCTGCCTCGTCAGATGCTGCATGTCCGGGTCATGAAACTCAACATTGCATGAGAAAATACACAAAGGGAGAATTGTGATGGCAGACATCGGCCCAGCAACACATGGCGTGCGCAAGGGGACTTCATGTTCCGCATGCAAGTTATCACAGCAGCGAGACAAAAGTTTGGCTTGACATGCCTGGAGATAGTTGCAGCGCAGAGGTGGTTTCCAGTGCAGGGGCCCACTCCAGGTATGGATGCAGCTGGTAGGGGGCATGGCCGAGGGTCAAGTCTGTCAGTAGGCGCAGGCCCAGAATTGCTGGCATCATCTCAGGAGGCAACCCCAGGCAGTTGTCCAGGTAGGACCGCAGGGAACCTACCCAGATCATTGTCTGTGCGTACAGCCTGCATGACAAATGAGCACATGGCTTTCCGGGTATCTGCCTGGAGCGGGGCTGCACTTCTCATTGCTTTGTGACCACTGCGTTACCCATGCCCGGAAGCATGCATATCATAAATGATTTGTGAGACATCAGGAAATGACACATCTTACAAAATGGTCACTGCGGGACACAAATGCTGCCTTGAAATCGTCCAGCCTGCTCATTTGCAACCTCATCAAATCTTGCGCTACTGCACGCTGGTTACATAGGTACCTCCAGACGACAAGCACTGCAGATCCTGCTCTTCCCTCCTCAAGACACCTATTTCCCAATTTAAGGACTGTGCACTTGAAAGGAAGGGAAGTTCCTACATGCAACACTCAATATCGGATATAAAATCCTATGTTTGCACCGCAACAAGGACTTGGAAGGGCACCTTGACAGTGGAGTCCTTTTCAGGCGAGGGCCAGCCATGAGCAGCAGGTTCAGGAGCTCCACATTGTCTGCCAGGTTTGAGGTGTCCACAGCATCAAAGAGCTGGTCCTCCGGCAGGCCAGAATCACAGCAGACGACGGCATCCATCAGCCACAGCCGAACACTGACCTTCACTTTCTTCGTGCATGCCTGGAAGCCTCCTATGATCTGCGCAAAATTGCGCATGCATACCTGCGCGCATCACCGTGCACTAGATCATGTACACTCTTCCTTACGCAATGGTAGTCAGCATGGCAGTCAGCAGTCATCATTTCCTGTCAACCGGCGAGCTTGACAGCGCTTGCATTATGGCTTTGTTGGGGAAGGGGTAGATTTCTCCCAACTCCGACTAATATCTGTTTGGCATGCCGAGCAGCGCATTGTGATATCCGTCCTCATGAGAGCTGAGCATCAGACACCAGACCGCTGGCACTCGAAAGGTATGTCACAGCCTTGCCATGCTGCCTGCCTTCAAGCGTGCAGTCCTCAGGAGTAAAAACCCCTCACTTTAAACATTTCAACGGGATCACAGCTATCAACTGTGAGGGCATTGTGCACCCTGACAAACACTGTCTATTTGTAAATCTGATTGCATGCATCATGTCCAATACTCACCCATGCAAGCAGGTGGTAGTCAGCCCGGTTCGTACTGATATCTTCCCCTTGGCCCAGGGGGAAGAAAGAGGGGTAGGGGGAGGCGTGGTAATGGACCTCCCAGGCCCCTGTCTCAGGGTGGAGCAGCGTTGCGTTAACCACATGCCCCCTGTGATCCTCCCTTCTTACGCCCAGGTGCACAGAGCCGTGGGTAAGAGCTGCCTTCAGCTCCCGTTGGTGTTCCTGCACACAGAAATCTCTGCATTGGCACAAGTCATTGCGCAGTGCTCACTCGCCATACACTCCTTGACAACAAGAATCTCAAGCATACCACAAACTGAAAAGTTCTATTTAAGGCTCTCAGGCTGTGTCTGCAAATACAGCACGAGTGAAACTATGACCTATCAGAAGACCAAACTGCTAGATGTCCTTTTATGATGGGAAATTCTTCCGGCGATCCAACTTAAACGAGATCCAGGGCGTTGCTTGCATTGACTATGCCATTTTCAAGGTTGGGCAAGGCATATTATGCAAGGCTCCGCACCGACATATGCAGCCGTTCAGAAGTCATGAAGGGCTTCAGGTGAACCAGCGTTGAGGTAGCCAGGCTCTCGACTGATCCAGCAAAGTCGGACACTCCCAAATTGGGCTTTCCGGCAACATGCCTGACGATCCAGTTTTGGCGCTCGCGCCGGATCGCCTCTGGAGACCGTGCCCCACCTGCCGCCAGGCGGATCCACCCCTGCCACACCCCTCGCACCGCCTCCTCTCCAGACCCGAAGCTCATGTCCAGCCTGCAGGGGCCAAACATAGACGTCGTTGTAGCGGAAGTGCTGCTTAGAAAGATTAGAAGATTGCCATGTACATGCAGAAAGTGTACAAGGCCAGTTCCTCACTTGCATTGTTCTTGTCTTCATCTCAAAACAGTGACCCACCATGGACAACTGGCAAACGGCGCTCAAATGGCTGCATGCACAAGATATCATGCAGTGAACTTGGCCTGACAAATGCATCAACAGCCTCTTTTAGCCTGTAAGATCTCGTGAGATCCCCTCAACTGAGACATTATCTAGTGCTGGAGCAAGTCATTCGCTTTTCGTGCAACAGAGGCTCGCACTAAGGGGGTACATTGCCCCAGCAGTTGAGCAGCAGAGCTCACGAAAACAACATAGCACTGCTGCAAGTGTGGTAGATGCACACCTTGGACCGTAGTCTCTGGCTAGAAGCCGTTCCAGGTAGCGGTTCAAGCGAGTGTTCTGTGCTGGCGAGAGGTCCAAGCAGTACCAGACAGCCCACAGGAAGTGCAGCTCATCATTTGAAGCCGGACCCAGATAGATGTCATCTGCCTGTGCACCATAAAACGGCACCGGATATAGTGGTTTGTCATCTGTCTGTGCGCCAATGTACAGAGATGGTGCCATACATCTGCAGGTTATTGATGATGACGTGCTAGTAGCTGCATCAGCAGGCTTTGACCATCAGCAATGACATGCCAAGAAACTGACATCTATGACAATTTGCCTCGGCATGTGTCCTTGGACTAGCCTGGATGGCTTACCACGACCAGCAGCAGGGCTGCACGAGCAATGATCTGCCTTGTTGTGTCGTTGATGTGCACTGTCAAGTGGGTCAAAGTGCGTGATGATGCTGCCTCAGCTGCTGTCGCAAGAACGTTTCTAACGTCCCCACAGCCCAGGAACAGGGCCTGTAAGTAAATTTCAACGCAGTCGATTGTCGGAAGCAAAGCACTAGTGGCCATGGCCCTTTCATTTACACAGCAGCAGAAGCCGCTTCGCAAATCGGATCGCGATCACCCCCTTCGACATGGAAATGCTCTGATCGAGGATAGACAACATAATTGTGTGAGTTTCGCACCTCAAACAAGTCCTCGGGACTGGCATGGAATATAGATGTGGCCTTTGTGTTGCCAATCGGATAAAACATTGGCTGCAACTCCTGCAACACTCTCCGGCAACAGTTGGGATGGAATTCCATGTTGGATGTTGCAACTGATTGCTTCTGTATCAGTTCGTTACGTTATTTGGGACGTTTAGATTGTCCGATATAAAGTTATTGTCACATTCTTTGTCGATTCTGCGATTGGGATCACATGAACGCACCACATAAGTCACACTGCTATTGTTTCTGTGTGGATCGGCAGGAGTTGGATGTCTTGCAAACTTCAAGCCAAACCCTGCAAGGGGCATCCTGTATCTAAACAGGCCCGAAGGGCATGGGCACTAACTGAAATTCAAATCAAACAAAGCAGAAAAGGGAACTTTTAGATCACATGGTGACAAGCTGACCGGCCTCATACAGTCCTTAATACTTCATTTCGGCCAGAAAGGCTGCAAAGCTAACTCGAATATAACTACTACTAAAACTCTACGGCCTAAGGTTCAACTGAGAGCACTAAGTCGCCCTGCATCGGCGACTCAACAGCGGCAACTACGTGCCAATCTGCTTAAGGGCTTCTTCCACACATCTAGAGAGTGACAGCATCCACAAAGATCCAGGAGTGCCCAGACAGCACTTGTGGATGCCTCTAGACAAACCCAGAGAATAATGAATGGGTGATGGAATATGGCAGTCACCTTGGCGGAAAAGGTTTGGCAGGCATTAACACACCAGACGCAGAAGCCCGGCCCTAGGGTGGGATTCCCTGGGACACCCTGCCTACATCCGATGTAGGCTAGATGATCTGCCACCTGCCATGAGCGCATGGTGCTTTTATGTGCTGAGGATATCGATATATCGACTAATTAGGCCTTGGAATGGCAAAATGGCATGTGACATGCTAGATGGACTGTGTCTGCCAGGGGAGCAATTTGCAGAGACTGCCTTGTGAGGGACTGCAGGGCAGGTGGGGTTGACGCTCCTACATGCGCACAGTCCGGAGCCATGCAGTCAGAATGTATAGCAGCCGGCTTTAAAGCATATAGGGTTAAAGATACAGATGTGCGAAGGTTGGCATGACCACTGTTCATGTAAGACAAACCGATGCCTGCTCAATGCACAGCACACATGTTGGCCTAAAACGTACCCACACCTGCCACAATGTTGGCAGACTAAGTATTGCCCAAGTCATTTCCTACTTCTGGCCAAACCCCTGGTCACATTGCAGTCAAAGCTGTCTAGGATCTCTTTGTCGATTTGCTTATATTTCCTGGAGTCTTCCACTGAGCCGCGCTTTGAAACAATGCGGAATCAATGTGGAGAGTTTTCAGAGCTGAAACACACAAGCTGACACAGCAGCAATCTTGCGTCATAAATGGAGACTATGGTACTTATGTCACACCAAAGAGATATAGAGACGCTGTGATCCCTCTATCTTGGATGCACGAATGTCAGCAAGCGCTGCTCATCTTGCTTGCAAGCACAGAAAATTCAACGTAGGGTTCCTTGCCTTCAAATTCAAACAATTGCCACCATGCATTTCACGGCCTGTGTCTTTGCCAGCTTCAATGAATTCCACAGAGCAATCACACACCTAGAGCTCCTTTTCCTCTCATGTTCTACGCTGTCCAAGCTGACAGCCCTTCCTTCATTCCTTGCAAACCCCCTTGTTGCGCAGAGCCTATCCATTTATTTGTCCTCGCACACTATTCCATATGTACCTCGCGGCCCCGTGACAACACCAGGGGAGCCTGAAACTGACCGGTCAATTTCAAAGTCCCCTGCTGCCACCCAGGTAAGAATACCTGATGCATGTCATTAGTGTGCCCCATCCAGAGGCCAGGCTGGCCTTAAATCCAGTGGCAACAGGCAGAAAGCCTGGCTGCGGATGGGGAAATAGCTCCTTAGGGTTCAGAGGGCTTATACTAAAAAGCCTAGCCGCGCGTGGGGAAATAACCACGCTGCGCATCAAATTGGTACGCCCCATACGGGCGCCCATTAACGACAAACTGTCCCGAGTGCTCGTCATAGACGACCGCATGCTCTGAGCGGCCCGCCGAGTAATGGCTCGGGTACCCCCCGCCGCCATTAGTCACCGCACCGCCGCCGTTAGTCGCAAACTGCTGCTGCTGCTCGCGCGGGGGGGTCCTCGGCCCGTAGTACATCTTGTTTACGGCGCGCCGGCGCGCGCATGCGCGGTTCAGGCAGCACAGCAGCCCGGTCAGAATGGCCACGCCCACGCAGCACAGCGCTACCACAATCTGCATGCACGACATCAAGCAGATCAGTGACAAGGATCAAGAGGAAAGCCTTCGTCACTTCGCTTAGGAGAGGGTTTCTCGGCAGCACCGGCCGTCAAAATAGCGGGGGGAATCTGCCAGCAGTAGTTTTACCGTTGCCATGCAAAATGCCACGATCCTACAATCTTGTTTTCACGCCACAATTTCCTTGTCAGGACGTTAGGGATTTCTCTGACATAGACAATGGTCAGGCAAGGCCATGGTCTTCCAGAAAATAGCTCAGACCCTCAAGCCTGCCATTAAAGCTTTCTGGCTTTGGGAGAGGCACCACCGGACTGCACAAAAACGACTGGATTTCTAGCTGTTGTATGCAAGCAAACAAAGCGGCAAGTCCCATCAGCAAAGCCAGGCTGGCAGCCTGTCCGTAGCTCAACAACTGAGCTCACAACTGTTGAGCATCAATATAGAAACAAATAAAAAGAGGAAAACCCCCTGCAGGGTGGCACGTCCACTCACCGCAATAAAGACGGGGTTGTTCCACTCGAGGCGGACCCCCAGGAAAGTGCGGGGGCCCGTTTCGGAGGGGGGCGCCTGGGGGCCGCTTGGGGCAGCGGGCAGGGTGTTGTTGCTGCCCGCTGCCCGCGCGTCCTCGTTGTACCACTGCGCGAGCGTGTTGTACACAAATGAATTTATCTTGGTGCCCACGTTGATGTCCTGGTTGTCGCTCGTGGACACCTGCGCGCATGTGACCGTACATGTCAGCTGTCGGCCTCCAGGTTTAGCGATGATATCACTTTTCAATTGTCCCAAGCTGAAAAGGCGTCAATCAATGAAGTATATGTCCTCAAAGAGGCTGGTGAGGGCAGGGGTGATTTGTGCAGGATGCAGCTGCTAAAAGACTTGCCCGCTTTCTCACCATTCCTAGCATCTCTGGAACTTCTGATCAGTAGTTTCTGCTCCATGACCAATCATTCTTCTCCATGAGGTCAGGTATCACAAGTGCACCCCATTTGTGCTCAGTGCTAATGACGCAGGCAAGCATTTAAGAAACAAAGTCATGGGATCGGGCACACCTTGCCAGTGAGGATGGCGCGGATACGCTGGTTGTCATCCCACATGGAAGAGCCGGATTGACCGTTGCTGGACAGGCACGTGTGCTGCAGAATGTTGGCGCACCTCTGCACCAGCACACCGAAAAAACTCCTTCAGGTACTCCTGTAAGGCGATGTGAGACCGGCGAGGCCTTCTGTGGCCTGTGAGGCCTTGTGAGCCAGGGTTGCATTGCTCCTGCATTGCATACCAATCTGTACCACTGCTGCAAGTGATTTGAAGATCATTGCCTGACCCTGTAAGGTTGCCATCAGCCTCATACAGACTTAGGATCCAGATCTCTCTTTGTAATGCCTGTGTGATCAGTGCTGAGGGGAAGCTAGGAGTGTTGAGGCTGTGGCGAGGTTGGTGGCAGGTGCATCTATCCTCATGGCCCTAGCATGAGCTGAGCAAAGGACTGAGGACTGACAGTGTGGCAACTCAAGCACTGCCCAGCTAATGCCCGATCCATGGGACTGGATGCGCAAGTTGCACCACTCCCCGGAGGATATGCTGCCAAATATAAGCTATGGTGAGGAGACGATACCGAACAACAATATTTGGAACGGCAGAAAATTGAAGACTGTGCTCCACTGCGCCGCCGATAATGGTTGATGCCTTGGCAAAGGTCCAATCTTAATTCACGTCTCTGAAAGCTGCGGTGGATTCCAGCTTAGGTACACGGGGGTCACCTGGCCTTGGCACTGGTCGATGTCATTGAAGACGCCTTGGTTGCCGACGTAGTCAATGTTGATGTTAGCGCACAGGCTCTCCCACATGGTGCCAGCCGGCTTCTCCCCCTGCCATTCCAGCAACACCCCATCAACTCACTGGAACTGCAGGGGTAGCTAAGTTGGTGAACAGTTACATATTTTCGCCGGATGACCTTGCAAGCCACACCATGACCTTTACACTTATGCCACATCAATGACAATCATGCAACGACCTTCATAGTCAGAATGGATCTCTGTCAAGGGACCTCCCTTTCAAGTTCTCATGCAAGCTCACAACTTTGCATTCTGACCAGCCTCAGCCAGACAATACGGTGCCCTCCGAACTCTGCAGTCCGAGCATGATCTTGCCATCAGGAAGCATTTTGTTTCAGTCCCCGTCGCCTCAAAGATGCAAGATACGTCGGACCCCTCTCCCAATCCTGAGGGTGGGACAGTGTGAAGAGTGTTCTTCATCTTTTCTGTGTCTGAGAGACCCGGGGTTAAGGGAATAAAAGGAGAATAGAGGGAAATAGGAGCTCACCGGGTAACCCGCAGTGGTGAGGTTGAGGGTGACTTTGCGGCCGCTGTTCCCATAGTCCATGCCCATGTAGCCCGCGCTAGCGCCGCTGTCCTTGAGCGTAATCAGCGCAAAATCGTAGTCCATCGCCGTCGGCGTGTAGGTCGCCTGCGCAGACACGCACAGCCCCGCTGACATCAGCAAGCTTGGTCGACTTATTCACTCTGCTATCATCAGCAGACAAAATGACTTTCAATGTATGCCGGCAACAGCAATCACATGGGAGAATGTGATGGCTGATCTAGGTATCCTTTGACCCAAACGCAAGCCACGAAAGCGTGAGGCCAAAGACAGAATTGAAGCAATGCCTGGCAAGACAGGGAAGATGCTTACTCGACGTGACAGGGAAGCACCATCAATCACAGGTGACATGCATTCTCTTTGAGACAGCAAGCAGCAGATTTGGACCAGCGAAGGGATGACCAAGAATGCCAGAAAATGCATGAAGTGCAGGAGTCTCTACCTGGCTGGTGAACTGGGAGAGCACTCGCACAGAGGACCACTCCAGCTGCCCAAAGGGCCGCCGGTTGCCGTTCTGGCCAGGCGCAAAATTAATGGAAGCCACGTACTGGTGGCTGTCGTTTATGTCATACACACAGTGCGCCGCCGTCACCACATGCTTCGGGCCAATTAACGTCCCCGTGCACTCCAAACCCCTGCGCCCACAAATCAAATAAGGCTACACTAGAGATTAAGTCGACTTACTAGATTACAAATAAAAGCAAGACTGAAAGGAAGCATAAAGACTAAGGATACCATTAAGCAAGACTAGTTAAGACGAAATTAGACAATATTAGACTAAGACTTACAGAGACAAAGCTCCCATATACGTCAAAATTACCTTCCACAACAACCCATATAAAAGAACTGCTATATCACAGCAAAGCGGAATGGCCGATTGTGACTCCCTCGATGCTGCAGGGAGGTGTAAAGAGTTCAGAAAGCTTTTAAAAAGGTCGATGCAAAGAACTGCAGCTTGTCTGCAGGACGTACCTTGCCTTTTGGCAGGAAAAGGATGTAGTAATAATGATCATATTAGTGCAAAGCATGCAGCACAGCTCAGTAAGGCTGACTTAGACCATTGGGAGAGGGCAGGCTCTCGCACCTGTTGCTTGTGCCCAGCTGGCCCGTCAGCTCTCCCACTGCCGAAAAGGGAAACTGCACGGTGTTGGTCACCTGCAAAGGACACATCATCCTTCAATCAAGCTTGCTCATTAACTTGTCTTTCCCCATACCATAACTCAATTCGCTTGCAACCCATCAAACGACCAGAGTCAGGCAGTGTCCCAATAGGCATGCACTGCCTGGTGCTCAACCAGGTGTTGCAAGGCAAAGACCAAGAGCATTACAGGTGCAAAAAACAGGCAAACAGTAGTTATACTCAGCTGACAACCACACATGCACCAATAATATGGCACAACAATCTGTCGTGAAAGAGAACACCCTAATTAAAATGGTGCAAACAGCCGGCATTACTCTTCTTCTTGCTATCACAGACATGGCTGCACTCAAGATCAAAGCGAACACACCTGTATCCTGTTGTCGTAGCCGCTGCAGCCGTCGCAGCCCAGGTCGGTGCTGGCAATGCCGATGTTATTGGGTATGGCCGCCTGCGCCAGCCGCCGGCTGCTCTGCAGCGCCTGGTCTGGCTGCGGCTGGCGTGCAGAGAACTCCGTCGCAGACAGGGCCTCCGCCAGATCTGGCTCCTTCTCGTCCACCGCTAACCTGAATAGGCACAGCAGAGAAACTTCTGAAATTTCTGCGGAAGAGTATCCTGATGACTGCATGACTGAATGCCAGAGCCCTCTCACTTCTGCTCTTTAATGACCAGATTGCATCAGTGTGAGCAGCTGAGCATGCTGAGGATTTGGTCAGGTGCTGTGTTGCCCATCTATGGGCAAACCTCCTCCCACAATGACACCGACATTGATCATGTAGAGCCAACAAACCTGGGAAGTAACTGAGTTGGTGTGCACCCACTGAGCTGGTCTGCACCGCAAACAGAAAAGTGTGGATAGAATCAGCAGAAAGGCATGTGAGCCACACCTCTTGGTGAAGCTGTGGCCGCTGCTGGTGACTAGTACAGTGAAGTGCTCGGCATCAGCTCCCACAGGGGGCGACGCGGCTTCCTCTAAACTGCTCACGTCCATGACTGGCACCGCCCGCTTCTGGCTGTGCACAAAGCTGACCTTCCCCTTGTACTCGTACCCCGCTCTGCCCGCCACGCTGAGCGCCTGTAAAGGACACGAGGCATTTATGCATGAATGTTTCTGGTTCTGCAGTCGAGTGCAAGTGAAGCAACGGATGTAGGAAGCGCTTGCAACGGATGTACGAAGCCCCTTTTTCCCTTGCAAGGCTAAGCACCCATGCATGCCTCTACAGTAAAAGCAACAGTATTGGCATTTTTTATTCCATGGCACTTGCAAGGTGGTGGAGAGCATGTCTAGCGGAGGAGCAACATGCCATCGTAGCAAAGTGCTTGTAGTTCCAGTAAGCGAATATCTTCAAGAAAAAGACCAAACAAAAGAGAGTGGCTCACCTGCGCCGGTGGAGGGGCTATCCCTAAGCTTCTACGTGCGCCTCCTTGCTGCGCCATTACAGCACTGCTCGCCAATGGGCTGAGCAAAACCGCGATTATGAGACCTATTCTGCCGAGATCCCCTAACCAATGGCACCCGGTGTTCCAACCTCCTCTAGGATCCCTGCGTCTTTTATTTTGGCTGCCTGCCTGTGGTACTCTGTGGTGATGTCTGTATGCGCTTTCAGGCCCATCTGAAACCGCAGAGCAGCTGCTGCTGGTGCTGCACGCGCCCCTGCTTGCAGAGACTCTGCCAGGGCTGCAGCAAGAAGGTGCCTCACAGGCTGCCTCTGCCATTATTCCTCGCCCTGCTGTCTTGCTGACAGCTGGCGGTATGCCTGGTGATGTGGCAGCAGCCTGAGAGGTGGTGCTGAGTGCTATATCATCCTTGGCTTGACGCCTGTGGGGCGAGCTGACTGGAGCTGTGGGCTGCTCCTTGCGAGCAATGCACAAATTGAGAGGGGCTCGCTTTCCGCAGACGCTTGCTATGGGCTGTCTAAGACAGCCACCTGACAGCGGCTGGCTGACTCGAATAGAGCTGGTGGCTTAGGGACTCGTCTCCTTCCTGTGCAAGCACAGAAGGAGCGCTCACGCGAAGAGAATTTTAAGGACAAGTAAAAAATGTTCAACAGTTTGGCGTTCAAGATGCAGCTTCCGCTTGCATCTGCTACAGCAATCTATTTATGGTTGCTGCACAGCCACCAGAAAGCACCAAAATAGTGGTGGCCCCGGTGAGCATGTACTAAAAAGGACAATTCAAGTCTACCATATTGACTTTGGCACCAGCGGCGCAGTGCATCCCGTATAGCGAATGACTCGCGCCGTCCAATACTGTAACCAAGACATCCACAAAAGTTGCCTCTACTCAGCATATCAGTCCTATAGATTGCCAGTTGCAGCGAATTACCGTATTCAAATTTAAATTGTACTATCGACTTCTACCTCCAGCCAGCTCACCATTGCATTGCGAAAACAACCGGGAGCCTCGACACCTAGATCTTTGGAAAGATGTGTTCTGAACCGCCGCAATTCAATCGCATGAGCAAGTGACACAGTATTTCGACAGATCGGTCGAAGCCGTCATCGAAAACCACCCTCACAGCTCAGATCGAGGTTATCTGGGCAAGTACCAGCCTTTAGTCACATGTGGGAGCTGCACCTTTTCTGCGCAACTCCTGGCACCCGTCAGCAGAGCATCAATGGTTGGCCTCCAGTAGTGCGTCTGTAATTTTATTAACAGCAGATGAGCGTCTCCTTCTTCTTCTTTACTAGCAGCTTCGCTTCACTGCTGTCTTGAACTCTCCCTTCGTTTGCCACCTGGTGAGGTTGCCTAACTAGGATGATTTCGGAAGCTTCCGAAATGATTTGTCGTAGTCCTGATCTGAGCACACACTTTGCGTTAATCCTGGGATTCTGCTGCAAATTCATAGCTGCGCAGTACTTCTCTAACGGATTTTCATGGTAGCCATGCATTCAGCAGCTTGTCAAGGGTTGATGTAATCATTGGGAAGCAGGTCTGTTGATCACAGCGCACGTCCAGGTCGGTGAACCGCTATCAAGAATGTGCTTGTCATCAATTACAAGAATTTCCTTCATGCTCACGTTGCACACCTGCTCTTGTGCAATTCCGTGACGTGTGCAAGGCGCATCACTGTCATCAACGTGTGAAGTCCAGGATTTGCTGCACTGGCGACTATAGTCCTTGCTATAGTGTTCGTGCCACGGATCGAGCGAATGCGGTGGCTGCAATAAGGGACGATTGAAATATGTCCTTTGCACAGTAGTCTAGGAGCGATCCCACAGCAGCATCTCCTGGGACAATTCTGCAAGACACCTTGTACGATCCAATATGGGGTCTGCATTTGGCAAGGCCCAGCAGGGAAAGACCATGCGAGGTGCCGCATCAGGCAGTCCAGAGGATGCCTGCAAGAAGGAGGCTTGCAAGATCCAGGCCTGCCTCAGCAAAAACAATTACAACCCCGATGCCTGCACGAGGGAAATCGACGCCCTGAAGCGGTGTTGCGAAGGCGTGCAGGTGCGGTCTGACTGCATCGAATAACAATGCCTGCAAGCTATTCTCTTGTGCGTGCTGGACACCTGAACAGGAGCCGCGGCTAAGTTGGCGAGGACATCTGCATGTGCACGCAGATTGCCGAGTCTTCGGCAGGGCATTACAGACATGTTCGGGTCTGCTTGTGCTACAGGGGAAGAGTGTGCACTGCGCATTTGGGTCGCAGCTGCCTGCATAGTATGAGCGAGCCCGGGCCCCTTCATCAACCCCTCATCAACCCCCTGATCAGCCCCTCATGGAAACCTCTCTGGAGGAGGCCTCTCCTGTCCTGAGTACTGTGTTCTACGGGGATGAAAACAAAAGGCATCATGTAGTGAGAGATTTGAGGCTCATCTAGTGCTTACTGCATACTTGCAGATTGGCTGCATGTGCCTCATTGCAAGTGAACAAACACGCGGGAAAATGTGCAATGGTAGGATTTATGCAACATGAACCCATGAGACTGAGAGGAGCTGCAAGGTTTGCTTCGAAATGTCTTCTGTGACATCCTTGAATGGTAATCACTCCAGGGCTGTATACTATAGTTTAAACCAACATACGAGTGCCCTCCCTGGAGCAGCTCCACTTGACCAAGGTTTAGACCAAGCACCTGCCTCTGCACATGCGGCCGCTTATCTGTGCTGAACGGTGCAACTTGGCGTGACAGAAATCAAGAGCTGCCAGGCTGATTTGGCGCGCTGCCCCGACTGCACACTCTGCATGCATTGCAAAACTCTCTGGCGGTCACAGGCGGGGATGAAGCTCTGCTCCATGAGAGCGTCGGATCTGCGGGGAAATGCCGGCGCAGCTTGAGTCGATGACGTCGCTCACCTCGCTGATTATGTCATCCCCGCGTGACTCAGCACGTTTCCGTATCAGGCGCGACCTGGGCCCAATTATCCGCCTGCCCAAGCTGCAAATTTTGAGCCTCGTGCACGGCTTAGATATCAAAGAGATCCCCGCTTACCAGGTCTGGGATGCGCGTTCCCTGTGCATCCTGGGTCTGGCTTGGTATGAGCTTGCTAAGAGAAAGAGCCAGCTATGTGTAAAGCTTTTAGGGCAGGCTCGCATGCGCAGCTGCGGTGTGATACGGAAAAGGACAGAGCTCCCGGTGCATTATTGTTTCGGCAGACTGAAACGGCACGCCGGAGGATATGAATGTGGTGCAGAGGCACAGGTGCGCGTCAGTGCAGCACTCGTCTAGAGGTGAATATGCGATGTTGTGACTCTGTGAACCACTCATTGAAGCTTGCAGGGTTGTGAAGATTCTTATAGTTGCACGGCATAGGTCAACTGAAGAATGCCACACTGGGAGACTTCTTAGTTCAGTCCCTATTTGAGGTGAATTAGGGACTGCAAGCATTATGAACAGACAATCGGCGGTTTTTAAATATATAAATTTTTTTGCACCTTCCGATGATGTGCTGAATCACTTAACAGGCCGTGACACAGAGGTTTGATGAGGAGGTACAATGCATGCAAGGGGCCCCTTACAAAAGTGTGGGGGACCTCTTCTATTTTAAGCCTCGACGAGAAGGGTGATCCTTGTCAGTGCTCATTGTGCGATTGCAGTCGTGTTGATTAGATGCACACTAGCTTTTGTACTTTGCGGCCGCTAACATTCAATCAAGCCCATCGTTTGCTTCACTCCCCACTTACGGATCTGGTCCACCGCAACACTGATCAGGAGCGCGAACGCAAGCAAGGCAAACGTGCCAGAGCAGAATACACCTGAAAAGTAAGCCTGAGGTAAATTCACGATAATAAGTGCCGTGACGTGATTTGCATGATATTTGCAGTGTCAGACTTTTGCGATCCCGATCCTCCGGACTCAACAAAAGACTTTAAATGCATCACATCGCTGGTGTCATTGGTGGATGTACTTGCAGTGGAGGCTGAATATTCGTACGAGGTCGAGAACGTGATCGAACTAGCTGAAAAGGAGGGCGTCAGCGTCATGCCGATCGCTGGGCTGAAGAGCAGCAAGTGGGACCCGTGCCGAAACAAGGCCCAGTACCTGGAGCAGTGCATGGGCCAGAACGACTTCAACCCAAAAGAGTGCCAGCCGCAGCTGGCGGACCTCAAGAGGTGCTGCGAACGATACCAGGTGATGCGTGCATACTGCGAACTCCTGTGTGGAAGGGACACAGCTTATGAGGGTCATCTGCAGCTAAGAACAGGCCTTTCAGTCAAAAGATAAGTGTACTGCACTGCAATGGGTGCTTGTGATTATCAGGGCAATTCTGTAAGCAGCAGCTAAATTGCTGTGGTGATCTTTACTTGAAGAGAAGCATCAAAGTTTGATCTGCGGCTATGCTAGGCCGCCATAAAGAGAAACAACTGAAGTCACTCTGCCGCTCGTGCTGTGCAGGGCAAGTCTGTGCACTGCGGCTTTGATCCTGCGGTGGACCCACCAGACAAGCACAATGTGCCGCTGCCAGATCCAGACATGCCTGTCAAATTCAAGCCTGCCGCTCCAAGCACTCCCGGCCCAGGCGCCAAGGTCAAGGCTGCTGAGAGCTTCACACCCCCAAATGCAAAGGACAAACCTGACAAAGCCTCTCAGGTGATCAATTGTTCTGGTTGCCTTGTTAACATATCTCGAGCCATGCCGAACATATTTGTCACACTTGCATGATTAGCACAGCTGGAAATCCACTGATTCCAGTTGCAGTGTCAAGTGGTAGGCCAGGTGCCAAGAGATAGGCATGCCAGGTATTTGCACAGCCAGGTGCCAGAGGGATTCTAGGAGAGCTGGCGACTTCTGCAGAGCCAATCAGAGCTTTCCTGAATACCGTGGCGTGCTTGGCTGTGCTGTGTCTGTGACTCTATAGAGGCATGGATTGATGTGCACACGTACAGCAGCCTGACCTTTGCGCTTCATTGATGCTAAGCCCTGTCTGGCAGGGAGCTGTGCACCATGCCAACATTTCATTGGGTCTTGCCTGGATTTGGTAAGCCCATCAACGGGTTGGACATGTGGCAGCCTTTACATGCAGCTTGTCTGCACGCGCACCTTGCCTCGTGCGAGAATAGCGTGAATAGCGTGTAATGGTAGTAAGAACACTAGTACCACCCCGATTTCCGCTCACAAAAGTACTTACTACCAGTACTAAGTAAGACTAGTCTGTTGTACTGCAGGAGGAACGCTCCCCAGAACAGCACCAGCATGAAGCGTCAGCTGGCAAGGGCGACACTTACCTGTCTCTGGAGACAAAGGTGAAGCGCGCAGAGGCCAGGGAACACGCTGCAGGACCGGGCCTGGCCAGAGCCATTTCCGGCGCTGCAGACAAGCTGCTGCACCCATCCCACAGGGACCAGAGCCACTCTACAGAGAAAGAACAGCCGCATGCAGAGAGAGTCATCTATGCTGCTGACGTAAGGACGAACCAGAGCCACTCTGCCGAGCCAGAAGAGGTGCAGGCAGAGAGTGTCACGCATGCTGCCGAGCGGCCTGCATCCCCCAACAAACACAGTGCAGCCTCTGAGGAGGTGCATGCAGAGAGCAGAGCAGATGCAGCCGACAAGCTTGGGACTCCCAGCAAAGACAAGGGTTCAGCTCAGCCGGATACTGCAGGTCAGCTGTCGCCGGGGACCCTGCAGAGGGTGGAGAAGCATCATGAGGAGCGGGGCATGGCAGGCGCCAAGATTTATGACCCGGCTGCAGCAATGCAGCGGGCTGCAGGCAAAGCAGGAGACGCAGGATCGGCAGAGAATGCAGCAGAAGTGTCTACTGCGCGCAGCGGCCGGTCTGTGAGGCTCGGCAAAGCAGGAAGCGGATCCGCCGATGGCAGCGAGACAGCGCAGCAGGCCCAGCGCGCACAGCGTGGCAGGGATGACTCATCGGATGCCGGAGGGAACGCGGGCAAAGTGGACGGTGGCGGGGGTAACTCGTCGTGGAGTGAGTCATCTGGTGAGTCACCGGATGACTCGCCGCTGCACATCCTGGACGAGCGCATGCAGGTGCTGTTCTTCTGGCAGGATCATCTTGGTGCTGCCAAATACATTTCTGAGTGTAGATGTCATGCTAGGCGCTAATTGTGAATATCACTCTAAGGCACTGGATCATCCCTAAGTTGGCTGGAAGCAATCCTAAACCATTGACTGACTGCAGGTGCCGATTGTGCCCAAGGGCACGCGCGGGTACCAGATCATCGAGAATATGATTGAGAAGAAGGCGGAGCGGCTGGCCAAGGAGATGGACAAGGCGGATCGCTGGTAGGAGTGAGACTTTGATAAACGTATAAAACTTGTGCTGAAAGGAATTCAGACGGGATGCCATTTTAGCATTACTGCTTGAACCCGTGATTATCATTAGAATGAATACCATTTACTCTTCAAGTGCCCTGTTATGCAGTCTGACAGTAGCGTGCTTTCTTTGCTGCATAAATTGAGACCATGCAGCAGCTCGTGTGGCAGTCGGACATTGCTTGTTTTGCACATTCTGTCATGGCAGGATGCTATCAGTACATCCAGTCAGACCTCTGGCTGGCTGGCTGGCTGGCTGGCTGGATCTCATGTGCAAGCTTCATAATGGACCCTTCCTTCAAATCAGGATTCTGCCACAGTACATTGTACATGGCATGCATGTTGTACTGCGCAATTAAATTCGTGCAGTGTAGAGGCTTATCGTTCCTGTTAGCCACTTCTAAGGTATTCGAATCTCGACACTTCCAGGGAACTTCAATTCACACTGGACTCACAGTTCCACCTTTGGGTGAGAGATCACAACTAGGTTCTCTGGGGGTGAACAATATACTAAATGCCGTTCCTTTGAATTATATCACAATATTCTTCAGATGGAGCCTAAAGCAAGTTTAGAGTCCCTAGGAAATTGAAGCCAAAGTACGTTATCACTGACCCCAGCTTGCAAGAATTCTATTTTTGTATACACTTTTATGTCCTCATAGTCTTCCTGACCTTGCAGGTTTAACCCAAATTTGGAGGAGCGGGAGAGACAGGCTGTTGGCACCACAGAGCATGCGAGGGCAATCTTGAGGGAGACAATTAAGGCCTGTGACAACAGGGATGTTCCGGAGATGAACATTTGCAGGATTGCAGAGATTGGCGAGGGGGCGCCAATCATCATTTTTACAACACAGTTGTCGTGGAGATGGACCCAATAGACTTCAAGCGGATCCCTGGAGTCGTAAAGGACAACGACGAATCAAAACTCAGATGCTGCATGCGCAGCGCACTTCTTTGCAATCATCATGATGCCGCCGGGTGTGCACCCATTCCTAAAAGTCTTTGTAGTGCGTGTGCAAATTTTGATGTGTCAAGCAATTGATGGACATCTTGGTTGATGAGAAATGTATGTTTGGAGAAAAATATGGCCCAAACACTGCTGATTATTATGGGCACCATACGCAAGAACATTTGAGACTTATAGGCATGCATTAAAGGCCTCCGCGGCCATTGCGGTTGCAGAAGCCAGCGGGAAGAATGCTGGCCCCCTATATTTTAGGGTTTAGGGTTACACCCTAAGCAGCCGCAATGGCCACGGAGGCCTCTATGCATGCCTGTAAGTCTCAAATGTTCCTGCGTACGGTGCCTTTAAATGCAAATAATCAGCAGTGTGGGGCCATATTTTTCTCCAAACAGACATCTATCATCAACCAAGATATCCATCAAATGCTTGACACATCAGAGTTTGCACACGCTCTACAAAGACTTTCAGGAATGGCAATGCACCCGGTGGCATGACTGCAAAGAAGTGCGCTAAGCATGCAGCATCTGATTTTAATTTGTCGCTGTTCTTTTTGACTTCAGGGATCTGCTTGAAGTCTGTTGGGTCCATCTCCACGACGAAACTGTGCTGTAGTAGATGGTGATTGGCGCCCCTCCGCCAATCTCTGCAATCCTGCAGATGTTCATCTCCAGAACATCCCTGTTGTCACAGTCCTCCAATGTCTCCCACAGGATTGCTTATGCTGCTGTGGCTGTTGCCGCAACAACACGGCTTGCTGCTGTTGCAGCGGCTGCGGCAGCTGCCGATGTCGTGGCGGCTGCTATCAAGGCAGCAGCAGCAGCGTCCGCTGTAGTCGCAAAGACTTTGGCAGCGCAAATCGCTACAGCGGCTGCAACTGCAGCGGCCACCTCATCAGCCATGATCACCACGAGCCCTGCAAGACCATCGCCAATAACGGCCGCTGCGAATGGCAGCACTGCCATGGCAGGTTTTTCTGGCCGCGCCTGATCCCCATTGTGATCAACATGTGTCCTGCTACGCTTGCTGGAATTAGTCACTTTCTGCAGAGTATACTAGAGCTTCTTCATGCCGTCCCAGAACACCAGCAGCGGCCTGTAATGGCTGTAGAGATCTGTCATGACATAATCTTTGTGCTTGCAGGTGTGAGTGGCGGGTCAACACCCATACTGGCGGCCACCATGCCGCTGCAGCGGCCAACACAGGGAAACATAATTGTGCGCACTGTAGAAACGAGTGCACTTTGGCGCTGGCTTTTGAGATCAAGGCTATGAATGAGATCTCAAGATTACCAGTGCTTTAAAGATTTACAGCGGTGTGATATACAGTGATTTGTATTGCTTCACAATGATGGCCTGTATGAATCGTTCAATGCCGTTCAAGTGCATTCCTTGTAGGTACTTCACATACTCTCTTCCAAACAGACTTGCGCCAAAATGTTGGAACAATTGCATATGCAAGGATTCATTTTGAAAGAGTGCAAAAGTACAAAGCATTATGTAGTAGCTGAAGATGTTGCATGAGCCGACCTGTAAATAAGAGATGGACTTTTAAAAGCTTTTTAAAGATGCTGCAGTGAGCTTTGTATTCCGATCAGCACGAACATCGCTTTGGATCATGGCTGAGCATCTCACATTTATGAATGCACAAGGCTGTCATGGTGCAGATTATTGACCAGCCGGACAATTTAGTCCCGCTTGCCACAATAGCATATGACATAATACAGTACACCCAGGGGTGTTACCGGCAACGCCCTTGGAGCGGGCCTGTGTTCATTGGTAAAATTGAAATTGGCATATTTTTGGCAAAATCTTTATATCCCCTCCACATCCATGGCTGAGAAGAACTGAAAAATCAAGATCCATGCACGCCGTATGGGGAAAGTAACACTGTAGTTCTCCTCGGCCATTCGCTGAATTCACTGATCCTCATTACGTGCCTCAGGTCCATCTGCACCAGGTGAAATCTCAAGAAGTATCTGAAACATCCCATGTGGATCTTCATACTGCCACTGCCCTACTCATGCGCAGCAGTTAATGGACTAGTTTCCACACTTATGCCCACATTCATTCTGCTCACAGATGCTCCAAAGCCGCCTGACACCATCAAGTAAAGTAGTGCTCGCCACAAAACGTTGATGCAACGAGCATTTTCTCAAGACTAGATGTTTGACCAGTTCAGCCGTTTATTTGTTGCCCTTGCACAGGAACCCATGTGATCCATCAAAATAAGCTTCAAGTGGACACGCAGGCGCTCTCAACTCAAGATAGAATACTTGAGGTGCAAACCAGCAGATAGCACACTGAGAAAGCAAAAGCAAGGGCATACCAGGCTGGATCTACAGCCAAGATGCAACCAGCTTCTGCGATGTCGTGCCCCAGATCAGGATGGTGCATGTTAAACTCCAGAAAATAGCAGTGCTTGTTTTTTGTCTTGTCATAATAACGTCCAATGCATACGCCCAGAAAACTCTCTATCTTCGTAAGCATGGACGCCCTATCCATATCTTCCCTACATCTGCAGTCCAGAAGGATTCAGCGTGTCACTCTGTGCACAACTGACTGCAGGTGACTTTTGTGCCCAAGGGCATGCGCGGGTATGAAATTATCGAGACCGTGATTGAAGAGAAGGCGGAGCGGGTGGCAAGCAGATGGACAAAGAGGATTTTGAGCGCTGGGAGGAGTGAGACTTGATTCAATTGGTGGTTGTGGGCTAGAACAAACAAACAAATTGGGATACCAGAGCGCCATCCATGTGTGCTGGCTGAAGGGTTATTCTGCAAGTCAGCTTGCAGACAAGCTTTTGGAGGCTGGTTGGCTGAACAGTGGTAGACTGCAAAGGAGGAGCGAGTATAGTACTACCAGAATGATTTGTTATGGAGCAACTGAGGTCCTGTCCTCAATTAGGTAGCCGTAGCCAGCGTGCGCATGAGACGACAGATCATGTTCAAATTCTAATTAGATCATTGCTGAATTTACAGCCTGCAGGGAGTAGGTCAAGCATGTGGTGAATGCTGCATACATTGTTAGCACAAATTGTCCTTCACAAGTGAGACCTGCAATTAGGAGGAGACTTGTTTATGGGTGTGCTGGATCGGGCATGTAAGCATGCACCAGTGATGCTTGTCTTTGCTGTGCTTCTCAGAAGGGCTCATTAAGGCTCAAGAGGCATTGCATGACATGTCGTGACTGATCAACAGTGCTATTGGTGCTAGCACCAATATTGGATGTTAATACTTTACACTGCTGCGAGTCGCATTTGCTTTTATGCCATTAATCAATCCACTTGATGTCAACGACCTGTGATACAAATGCAATCTACTTCAGCTGTTCACTGAACAATTCACTGTTAGTGTCACCAGCTGCAGCTCAGCAAAAAGGCTTCCTGCTATTTAGAGAATTCTGGAACCTTAGTGCGGCAGTTTGCCATGTTCTCTCGTCATTCAAGCAGATTTGCTGTGCTTAGATGCTGGCCGGCGCCACTTTACTGAGGTCCAGATAAGTTGGGCGGCTGTCTGGCACCATCAGACTGCAGCCAAGACTCACAGGAGCTTCTTGCAGCTTCCAGTCAAGGTTGACTTTCTGAGCCTGATTTGGCGCCATGCCCATGCAATTCCCATCAAACGGCGTTCCTGACCTGATTTCTTCTTGAAACTTCTGCTCCTTTAGGACACAAACGAACAACATCGAAACCCCTTGGACAAAGGAAGTTCGAAAGAATAGACCTTGTAGTTGTGTACTTGCTGACAGTGTTGCTGATACAGAAGCGCACGCTGGCATAAAGCATTGATCGTCGAGATGGCTACCCAAGCACCTCCAATCGGCATAGATCTCGGCACAACCTACTCGTGAGTTAATTGGAATGGCTTCCAAGCTTTTATTACGAAGGCCATCAGTGACTTTCCTACGCAACTGCTTTGTTGCGCTTGTCGAGCAAGTTGCGATGGGAGCTGTGCATGTGACTAAGATACGGGACATTTATGTTACTATTGACATATACCATGATCGTTCTGCTGCAGGTGTGTCGGCATCTGGCAACATGACCGGGTAGAAATCATCCCCAACGATCAAGGCAACAGGGTCACGCCATCGTACGTAGCCTTCACCGACACGGAGCGGCTCGTCGGTGACGCAGCAAAGAACCAGGTGACGATGAAAAGTCTCACTAGACTTTTGAGAAGTTTCAATATCTCTGCTGTTGTTCCAAGAACGGCTTCCTGCGATTCATCCCCCCACCACGCCATCATGACTGCCATCTGGGAGGCGATTGCTGTGTAAAAGACTACCAGTGTGTGAAACCCTGTCCCACAGTATCTATTTCTTTCGATATTATGCTTGCGGGTATGCAGATCAACAAAGCAGCAAATCTTTGTCGGACTGCACACGATTGCTGAGTCTTGGTGTCTGTTTGGTCTTCAGGTGGCCATGAACCCCCAGAATACCGTCTTTGACGCCAAGCGGCTGATCGGACGGAAGTACAACGATCCCACCGTCCAGGCAGACATCAAGCACTGGCCCTTCAAGGTCGTGGACGGGCCAGACCACAAGCCCTTCATAGAAGGTGCGTCCGACGCATCAGCTGCTCTGCCACTTTTTATTGATGGTAATATTACACGCCTTTCCTACCAGAGGCAAGATGCATCTGCAGACAAGCTACAGGGAAGGCTGCCACAGTCATACCCCTAATTTGACTCGCCAGATCCAAGCAAGACACAATAAACCATGGGCACAGTGCTCAGTATTTGTGCCGCCACCCGCCAGCCGGGGTCTGGCATTGCAATCACTAAAGCTCTGCACCCTCCGTTGCTGTATATAGAAGGGAGAAGTACCATGCCAAGTGATCCTGCCTTTCCAGACCCCTGCTGTGGCTCTATAAACGCTCGTGTCTAGCATGAGTTGCTGAGCCAAAGTGCACAAGCACCTCGAGACTGTAGAATTTTCTGGGGCCACAGCAGCACCGGGGCTTCACAGGACTTTCAACCTGAGGCAGCATCTGCACCCTGCAACCCAAACCATCCCAGTTGCTGCACTTTCCTTTGCTGAACCTGATCAGTGCAAAATCTCCATCTCATGAGGATGCTGGAACCTCTCTCCTGTGGAGCCGTGATACTTTGCCTTGAAGTGCTGCTGCGGCCACAGCCCAGCAGCACATTCTGGGTCCACAGCAGCACACGGGCTCCTTTCAACGGTAAATTGGCCATGCTTAAGCTGTCTTCAATGGCCCCGTTTTTTATTTTCTCAGCAGATGCTGATGTCTATCACCTAGACTACGCTTGGCAAATGGCTGCTGCACGTGGTCCCTGTCCTCACTGCAGCATGGGAAGGGGCTGATCCAAGCATGGAACAAGCCCATTTCTGCATGGCAGCAAAGACAGGCATTGCGTGAGTTGCAGAAACTATATTCTGGTGAGCGTGCCCCAGATGTGCTGGCGCATGCTGCAAATCAGGGCCAGATCTGCGGCATTTCTTTGGCCCACCGGTGTTTCTTTTAGTGGCTCCCTTAAGCCGATGTGGGTTTTAACAATTAAAAGAGGGGCAGATTTGTGGCCTTTGGCAGGCTCTTGAATGTCCGCTTGGAAGCCACAAAAGGGTTTTGAAAAATGGTTCAAACCCGCGCAAAAGCCACACTTTGCCCATTTTGACCTAAAATGCCCCAAAACTCACCAGTTTGAGCCAAGACTTCCTCCCAAATCCTTTGTTCAGCCTTTCCTTGGGCTTTGGCCCATTCAAACACATGTTCAAAGCCACATTGGCTAGCCAAAATCCCCAGAAGAAACAGCCGACAAGCATCGACAGGCTGCAGATGATCCCCAGACCCCTCACATGAGCCTGCTTCGACCCTGTTCTGTGAAACTGTGCCTTTGCTGACCATCTCAATGCGCCATAGCGTGCAACGACAAATCTGAGAAGCTGCGTGTGCGCCGCAGTGACATTCAAGGGGGAGACAAAGCGCTTTTCGCCAGAGGAGATTTCCAGCATGGTCCTGGCCAAAATGCGCGACGTGGCGCAGGTAACTTCTTTTGACACTACTCCTTTATTGTGTGCAGTGTGAAGGAACCAAGGAGGTTGCTGCGACGCACCCAGCCCTGAGGCTTGGAACAAGCGTGTGATGAATGAGAATAAAAATTCTGAGACTTGCGAGGCTGGAGACTTTTGGGCTCTGGGGTGATGAATTTCTGGGCCCGCCCAGGTGCTCCACATATCACTGCCTGCACATGCAAGCACCAGCTTCACCTAGAGGCTTATCACTGTCCAAACATAAAGGATTCAACGAGAGAATCGTTCCCTGCGTCAGTGCCTGTACATGCACGCCGTAGTTGAGTGACAGCGTCATGAGTTTTTGGACACCTTGCATTGATGCAATAGCAGCATGTATTTCTTCTGCGTTGCTGGTCCCGTGCTGTGTGTTCACTAGTTTCAATTTCAACTCAAACCATGCATCTCGCAGGCGTACGTTGGGGAGAGTAAGCAGGTGAACCGCTCGGTGGTGACTGTACCGGCCTACTTCAATGACTCACAGCGCCAGGTCTGCATCCGCATTCCCTCTGTCTGAATTTAATCGACTTGTGATATCCCCCTCAGGGAGTTGCACCCTGCATGCTTCCAAGGATGCTTCCAAAAATCTATTTTGACACTGTAAGGTGGAAGTGGATTGCAGCAGGTGTTACCATGTGATGCCACTCTCTGACAGGACCCCTGTTCCTTCTGCAGCTTAAATTTTTTTTGACATCTTTTGCACTCCTGTAGTTCTGGCTGCACTCTGCATGCCTGAGTTCATTCCTAACCTGTGAGCTGAAACGACTAATGCCCTTCAGGCATGCCACTGTGTAAGCTGCAGTCCGCATGCCTGCTTGCATTCTTGAGATATGAGCTGAGCTGAGCTGTACCATGTCTTTTGGGGCATGTTGCAGCACAGCAGCCCTCAGCATGCCTGCCTTCGTTCTAGAAATTTCAAGCTGAGGTCTGCACTCTGCATGCCTGCGTTCATTCCTAACCTGTGAGCTGAAACGACTAATGCCCTTCAGGCATGCCACTGTGTAAGCTGCAGTCCGCATGCCTGCTTGCATTCTTGAGATATGAGCTGAGCTGAGCTGTACCATGTCTTTTGGGGCATGTTGCAGCACAGCAGCCCTCAGCATGCCTGCCTTCGTTCTAGAAATTTCAAGCTGAGGTGAACTTGGATTTTTGCGCACAGGCGACAAAGGACGCCGGCGTGATAGCCGGGCTTGATGTTCTGCGGATCATCAACGAGCCGACGGCTGCCGCCATTGCGTACGGGCTCGACAAGAAGGAGACCGGCGACAAGGTCAAGGACCGCCAGGTCAGCTTTATCTTTTCTTCTCCCTCTCATTATAGTTTCTCAAAGGGTCTTATGGGGGTCAAAATTGTTACCGCAAATGCCTCACTTTTGCACACTGCTGTCTCAAACAGAATGTGTTATTTGGACTGAAACGTGTGAAGATGTGTTGTCCTTCAAGTGAGAGGTGGAAGTGAGGGAAATGGGAAAGAATCCCAAATCATTGGAGCCTGCCCCATTCCTTGGCTTCACCTTGTGCTTGAAGGATGCCCTTCACAAAGGAGCTGCCTGTCTTTTCAGAAATGGACTTGTGCCAGGAAGAACACCAGAAGCCACTGGTCTTCCTGACCATTCACGTACCTAAAACCAAAATTTTGCCCCTGGCTTGTCCGGCCTGGCCAGAGCAGCAGAGTCTGAATGCAGCTGTTGGCTTATGCAGTATTGTGGCACCTGACTTTCCGAAACAATGACTTTGCTTAAGCTGGCAGCTTATTGTCAGACCCTGCTGCTAAGGTCAAGGCGAAACAGGTCTGGGGACGGGTGGACCTTGCTGACGTGGCAATAACAAAATAACAAATAAGGAGTCGACTGACCCGATGCTTGCTTGTATGGCAATTGGTGAAGTCATATGCTTCAAAAAAAATAATAGGACATAGAAATCCAGTCAGGGGTGGGTTTGCCTCACTGAAGTGGCGGAGACTGAGCCAATGAATATACAATGACACGTTGCTGATCTGGGGTGTGCTCACATGGCAATGACTAATCTGATGGACATGACAAGGATTGCGCTGCTGAGCAGTCATGTGCTGATCTTCGAACTTGGGCGGCAGCACGATTGATGTGTCCAGATACCGCTTGGGGGTTTAGGTAGGGGGTGATGACGCTGATGTGGTAGGACAAATTTGATGACATGGCAATGGCTAATGTGCTGAGCTGGCGCAGGTGCTGATATTCGACTTGGGCGGGGGCACCTTTGATGTGTCGCTGCTGACAATCGACGAGGGCATCTTCGAGGTCAAGGCCACCGCGGGGGACACCCACCTGGGCGGGGAGGACTTTGACAACCGCCTCTCCCAATTCTGCATCAACGTGCGCGCTAGCTGTTCTGGCCTCAAGCATGCCTACCTAAAGACAGGCACTTGAAAAGAAAAGATTTACGTAATGCGGACAAGAGTAAAGGGGAGGAAGGGCCACATGCTTGAAGGAAGAGCTATAAAATTTAGGAAAGAAGGCATGCAATAGGCAAGGATCTATATGCATATAGTGGCTCTTAGACTTACTCTGGGCAGCCATTCTGACGATTTTTTGCCCTTCAGTGTTCGGGTCGACACTGAAAGTCATGGCAAGGGCTGACCGGCAATATCATCTTCTGCTCAGCGCAGATGCTCAACCTCAAGCACAAGAAGGATCTCTCCTCGCGCATTTCAGGGTTCAAGGGGAGATATTTAAGGGTCTTTGGCTATATATAGACTTCATGACCCAGGCCGCTTTCTGATGTTCTGTCAGGATATCGTGGAGTCATGGCAAAGGCTGACTGATTGGGCATTTTGTGCCTGCTACAGGAGTTTAGGCGCAAGCACAAGAAGGATCCGAGCGCGTCCCCCCGCGCGGTGCGGCGGCTGCAGACGGCCTGCGAACGCGCCAAACGCACGCTCAGCGCATCAACCCAGGTGAAATTTTTCTGAATAACTTTCATTTAAGGGGCAATCGACTAACACTATCCTTGGCATGACTGATTGGATGGACTATTTGTTTTTTTTTGCATGACTGACATGACTAATGTGGCTGATGCAGACCTCCATCGAGATCGATTCCCTGTACGAGGGAATTGACTTCTACACGACCATCACTCGCGCGCGCTTCGAGGAGCTCAACATGGACCTCTTCCGGCGCTGCATGGAGCCCGTGGAAAAAGTGCTGCGGGTGAGCCACCGCTTATATATCCTTTTGTAATATAGGAAACAGCTCAATAACGGGCACGTTTGGGCACTGCATGGAGCCCGTTAAGAAGGTGCTGCCGTGAGTCGTAGCTCACTGGGCTAAGGCAGTCATCCATCAGTGAGCCATTATACACATAGCACTGTTCCAGCGCTGCGTGGAGCTCAGGTGCTGCAGGTGAATAGCAGCTTGTTAAGTTCATCTTGATTAGACATCCCAGGACAGGGCCGCAGCGCCTCTTCTCGGCTTACTCGGCTTAGGAAAGCTCCACATCGGGTGTTTAGTCATTGCATGGTGTGATTAGTAATCACATGGGGGTGGGCTGCGCGCAGGACGCGAAGATGGACAAGGGGAGCATCCACGACGTGGTGCTGGTGGGGGGCAGCACGCGCATCCCCAAGATCCAGAAGATGCTGTCGGACTTCTTCAATGGCCGCGAGCTCAACAAGTCCATCAACCCCGACGAGGCCGTAGCCTACGGCGCAGCCGTGCAGGTGGGTATTGTGGCCTGCTGCTTCTCTCCAAATAGGCCTCACAGAACTTGGCGTGTATCTAGATTCCATGATTCCTGCATGTGTGTGTGTGTGTGAGTGTCTCAGGCGGCGATCCTGGGCTGGGGGGCTCTTCAATTGTGTATTACAAGCTCCAAGCTAACAAGCTCTCCAACTGTGTCTGTGCTGCATCCCCCTTTGCAGCTCCTGGGCTTTTTAAAAGGAACACAAAATTTGAGGGGCTGAGCTTGTTTTGGGAATGTCTCAGGCGGCGATCCTGGGCGGGGAAGTTCACGAGAAGGTGCAGGATCTGCTGCTGCTGGACGTGGCGCCCCTGTCTCTGGGCATCGAGACGGCTGGCGGAGTCATGACCACGCTGATCCCGCGCAATACCACCATCCCCACCAAGAAGGAGCAGGTGGGCACCAGTTGCACCTCCCTACCTTGGACCCCTACATTATTAGGGTTTCGGGTTTAGGGTTTAGGGTTTTAAAAAATAACATGCGTTGAATCATCCCGGGACATCTATGATTTATGCTCCGCCAGCACCCTGGAAGAATGCTGCCGCACGCATCGGACGGGCCCCGCATCAGAGTGACAATGGCAAAAAGATTGCAAGTAGGAGCATGCAGTGTGTGGGAGGAAGGAACACTCAAAATGTAGGTGACGAGGAGAATGTAGACAGTTATCAAACAGCAAACGTGATGCCAGCTCTGCATGGGAGTTCCCATCTGCCACATCTGTCCATCTGGCAACTGTGTGTGACGCGCGTGACCTGATGGCCGCAGAGAGTGTTCACAGCTGAGCACTCCCCTGCCTGCTGCCAGGATTTTGCGCTCACGGCACAATTGCAAGATGCTGCAGAGATCACTGTTTCTCAATCAGCGTGCCGTGTTGTGTTCAAGAATACCGTCGCCCCTTTTGGTCTCACATATCCTAATTTGTTTGCTTGCTGACCTGATCCCGGACAATTGCATAAGTCATCCAAAGCTGGGAGCACTTCACCGCCCAGACCTTGCTTTCTTCCGCATAAGAGGAGAACTTTTAAGACACGCTCGATCTGGTATTTGAGTAGGAGGCCTACATTTGGCACATGATCAGTCCTTCCTGAGCTGTGGCATGTGCGCGCAGGTGTTCAGCACGTACAGCGACAACCAGCCCGCCGTGCTAATCCAGGCAAGTTCTTTCTCATGCAGCAGCATAGCGCGCAAACGCACGCTTCCTATGCAGCAGTGTAATTTTTTATGCAGCATTATGCATTGTTTCACCATCGTCCATGGAGTCCGTATACTCCTTGCAGCATGTGACTGCTGCTTGTACTGCCGCTGCATCCATTCTGGTGGCCAGAGTGCGCAGTGGCATTCAAATCCAATTTCAAATACAAAATGCGAATTCCGTCCGTGTGCCAGGTCTTCGAGGGCGAGCGCAGTCGCACGCGCGACAACAACCTGCTCGGCAAGTTCGAGCTGACGGGGATCCCTCCTGCCCCGAGAGGGGTCCCCCAGATCGGGGTCTCTTTCGACATGGATGCCAACGGTATTCTCAACGTCCACGCCGAGGACAAGACCACAGGTTCGATTCCTGTTTTCCCCGTATATTTCTTTATATTTTCCTTTTCGGGCAGAATGAAGACGCCAACGGCATCATGAACCTGACCGTTGAGGACAAGGACACACGCGTGGTTCAAACCCGCTGGCAGAATTTTCTTTTTGAGGTTTATTTCCCGGCGGAATGAAGAACGCTAAAGGCATCATGAACATTAAGGAGAAGACCAGAGGCTCAAAGTCAAATCCCAATGGCAGCAAAAATTTTCCACGCATGCCCCCTCATAATGTAGCATAGCTGCAAGGTCGGTGCAGTGACAGGCAAGCAGAAAAGCGCCTTCCACAGCTGGTTTCCCCTCCACCTCTTGTCCAGTCTTTGGACAACTCAGATCGATGAATAGGTGGTGAGAAGAACAGGCTCTGGAAGGTTTGACAGAGCAGTACGGTACAGTAGTGTGCTGGTTGCTATGTCTGCGGAGCATTGTTTCTAGTGACCTGAATGCAATGCCGCACATGGTACATCTATGCTTGGGTTTTGCCTGTGCCTCGGTTCGAGTAATGTACATCTTGGAAGTCTTCTACCAGCCTGCTTGTAGTAGGGCGTTTCAAGGGGCCCTCGCCCTTGCAGGAAATGGGAAGCCCGGCCAGTTCCTTGCCCAGCGAGGCTTTCTTGGTAAGGGCAAAGTTCTTGTCAATCTGATTTATTCTCAGTCAAGGCTGATGGGGGTCGGTGTCTGCTGTGCGCGCAGGCAAGAAGAACAAGATCACGATTACCAACGACAAGGGCCGCCTCAGCAAGGACGAGATCGAGCGCATGGTGCAGGTGCGCTTTGAAAATCAAAATCCTAATTTTCTGGCTGGGAATCTCCTAGTAAATCTGAAGGCCTAGCAATGCAATTTCTCTGTGCCTTTGGCAGCAAGGCGGCAGCAACTAAGCCCTGAGTCATCTGCTGCCAATGTGATTTGCCCCTTCCTGCTGTGTGCGCCTCAGATCAGACAACCCAAACTTTTACAACACCTAGCATCGTTGAGCCAAAAATTCCGATTATAACAGCGATTGCTCTGCTGTCTGTTGCACGGCCTCCATTGCATTTTTGAGCAATTTCACAGTTTGTTTAATTGTTGATACGGCTTAAGCAGGACCCCACGACACAATAAGTGAGTGAGTCTCAATCGTGTGCTGGGGACTTCAGGACGCTGAGAAGTACAAGGCGGAGGATGAGTCAGCCAAGGAGAAGATAGAGGCCAAGAACGCTCTGGAGAACTACGCCTACCAGCTGCGCAACAGCATCCGCGACGAACAGGCGCGCTGCTTTGTCTTTCTTGAGGGAATCACTTGCCTCATGATACGTGAAATGCTAGCCGCGAGGTTTTGCAGATTTGCTTGCTGTTTAGACGAGCTGAGTTGCTGCACAGCTTTTGACATGCATCTATAGACGTTTGCAAGGCACCATCTTCTTGTTGAAAATTTGGTTAGATAGCATCTCTCCCTTACCTCATACCCCTGTCGATTCATCCAGCGCCTACACAGGTCCGGTTTCCACAGATCTGGTTCAAACTCCTCTCTGGTGTGCACGTGATCCTTCGGCTGAGCCCACAGGAAGCCTCACCATCTACTTTGTTATGTTAGCTTCTGGTTACTTGTCTTTGGGGCAGTGGCCTTTCCTTGCGTCTGCCCTTTCAAGGTTCAGTGAGCTTTGCGTCACAGTAATTCTCGTTGTGCCCTTTTTCCAGGTAAGGCTTCAGGTGGCAAAATTACTATTGCATGGCCCAGACATGTGAGACAGAGCGTACACCAGGGCTGCAATGAATCGCTGCTTCCGGATTGATACAGCGATGCAACATGCATTGCACTGATGCACTTGTGCTGTGGTCCTTCCTGTCAGACCCCGGCTGTCTTTCGTGTCCGCACTGCCCTGGCTTTCACAGCAAAATTCAGACTGCCCCTTCTGCCTGCTCTGGCAGTTCTCTGGCAATGCAAGGCTGCATTCTTTCTCGCCTCCACACATCCTAGAAGGTCTGATTAGGTGTAGGCTGAGGGCGTTTATTATGTCATCATCACCAGATTTGACACGACAATATGCTTATCGAGGTCTGGACTATGTATTCTCAGCAAGGCTGATGGAAGTATGCGCGCAGGTGGCGAGCAAGCTGAGCCCTGAGGACAAAGAGAAAATGGAGAAGGCAGTTGAGGACACTATCCAGTGGCTGGACTCAAACCAGCTGGCAGAGAAGGAGGAGTTTGAGGACAAGCGCAAGGAGCTCGAGTCCATCGCCAACCCCATCCTGTCCAAGATGTACCAGGGTGATGAACCTGACCCTAAAACATTCACAGCTGCCATATGTACGAAGTATTGGATAAGTCCTATCTGACATGCACAAATTGCCCGATTTCTTCCAGTTGTTGACTGGGTCCCCTCTGCGCTTTGTGACAATCTTATGGCTTAGGTGCCTGCCTTCTCCTGAAGGGTAATTTAAGGCACTGAAGCCTTGGTTCGAGTCTCTGCATTGAGCACTCCCTTGGCTGTCTATTCCATTAGGCACAGATCAAAGCAGGTGCAGCACAGCAGGGCGGCCGTAGACTTCTGCCAAACCGATTGTTATTGCACAAGAGGAGTGCCATGCACATATGACGGCGCCACAGAGGCGGCTGTTGTAAACATTGTTTGTGGGTCACCCAGGGGTTTCTTTTAGAGGCGTTCTGAAGCCAATGTGGCTCTTAACAAATATACAGGGCATTTTTGTTGTGCATAAAGTACCTGAGGGTGTCCCACAGTGAAGCCACGAACTGGCTTCTGATAGTTAATTCAACATTGCAGGAAAATCACTTTTCAGCCCTTTTAAGTAAAAATATGCCCCAAAACACCGATTGCGGGAGAAAAATCCTCAGATATTTCAGCTTTCAGCCACTTTGGTTGCTAAATCTTTTTATTCAGGCATACGTCTGTAGCCACGTTGGCTTCCAGCCAAAATCCTTAATGGAAGCACTGGTTGCTTGTGCTGACCTTGCTTGTGGGCTTACAGGTGCTGAGAGTGGAGGAGACACAGGGGATAAGTGATGATTCTTGACCGGTGCTTTTTATTGCGCAGGTGGCGGCGGCGAGGAAGGCGGCATGCCAGGTGGCAGGCCAGGAGGAATGCCAGCTGGTGGAGCGCCAAGTGGCGGCCCCACAGTGGAGGAGGTTGACTAAGAAGGAGGTTGACTAATACCTCCTGGAAGATGACTAATATCTCCACTCAAGCTTGAACTTCCAATGAGCGCTCTGCGCAAGCAAGCAGCTCTTTCTTGACCGGCCGAAGATCGAGGTTGATTCCCTGCTAGAAAGTCACCATGATGCTGCCCCCCTCAACGGTGCACCCTCAGAGAGATCTGAGCGATCTGTCAAGGAAACAGCAGCCTCTGAAGAGGCCTGGAAAAGGACTTGCAAGCGCTATTGAATGGCTCTTGCTGGCCAGCGCAGTGTAGAGCAAGCTTACAGATTGCGGCTGCCGAGTTTGGATGAACGGATGACCTTGTATCTGCTGTACAACATGAGCTTTTGGTGATGTATAACAGGGCTGTGCATCTTGTGTATTTTTGCTTTTGACATGCCGATCTTCAGTTTTGACTGATTATGTGGGAATGTCTTCACGTGGGTTTTCAGGGCAAGAGAACGTGGTGTGCTAGTTGCAAGAGTGCTGTAAATATGTCATAGCTTGCATTGAAAAGAGAAGAAAACATGCATTAGCGTTTACACGAGGTCAGAGGAGTGCTTGTGCACAACTGTGTTTCGTATCTTATTATATGCTTTACAGCATCTTGGTGCTTTTTATGTGCTGACATCTAGAGGGGAAGGCAGATACTGAAATGTTCCTATGATTTTATTTTTTCTGACATAGCTCAAGGTGTGCTTGGCCCTGATGGGTGCTGCGGTGCATATGTAAATGAGCTATGCAGATGGGCAGACTTGCCTGCTTGAGATGACATGAGAGCGGAAGAATTCTGCTTACAATACCCACACAAAACGGCCTTGCTGGCAACCAACTCTGGTCAGCAACACTCCCACCACAGAACCAATCACACTGCAAGAACCTTATTATCAGGCACCTATTGGCCCCGGCTGGCAGGGGGCGGTGAAAATACTGAGCACCGTGCCCACGGTTGATTGGGTCTTGCTTGAATCTGGCGAGTCCAACAAGGGTAGGATTGTGGCAGCCCTTAACTGCAGCTTCTCTGCAGGACGCACCTTGCCTCTTGGCAGGAAAAGCATGTAATAATAGCAATAATAATAACTGTCGCTACTACTCCCTTAGGACTGATTTCTGAAAAACTGAACTGTGCTTGTGACAAGAGGAGGCCGGAGCCAATGCAGCAGCTCAATGATTCCTCATCACAACATCCACGTCGCTGTATTGATAAGTCCCAGGTCCATATCTAAAAGGAGAATGGCCCCCTCTAATCAAATAACACTAACTCTACATCTACTCCACAGTGCAGGTGCTTGCGCACAAAAAAAATAGAGAAAAAATATGCTATGTACGAGGATTTGAGGCCAAGTGCTGTCGGCTGGGGGGTTCCAGTAATACCGGCATTGCTACGCATCCAATAACATGCGCCCCCACGTGCCGCCACTGTGGAAAATTAATTTCAATTTTCCTTGGAATGATCAACCGAGGATGGCGCCTGCAATCTGTCCGTTGATCTCCTGCTTTGCCTTGATGATGTCCTGGATGATGTTGGGCTTTTCGGTTGCTGGCGGGGTTGCAGGTGCCTCCGCCGGGGTGCCTGCACATGTGGCGGCCAAAAAGAGTGAGCCCTCGAGAATCTAAAACAGAAATGAAAAGTTGCTGCCACATCGGCGCAGCCACCTGTTTTGTGAGACTGGTTTGGAGGTGACTGGACTGTCTAAGGCAATGTCTAAACTTGTGCAAGGCTGCCAAGACATCTCCAGTCCTGGCAGCACCGAATTGGCCATCCTTGTGGCGCCCTCTTTGTCAGCAATGAGGTATCACATGTCTGCACACCCCATCAGGTGCATATGCATGTCTACTACTTTGCATAATTGCATGACATGCCATTGACGCTTGGGACGTTGTTCAAGCTGTTCACGTGAGCAATAAATATGGAGATATTTCATTGAGGGATGCTGTTTTTTTTGTGCACCCACCTGGGCTGTAGTTGTTGCAGGCCGGGTTCCTCACAAAGTAGACCGAGTCACTGACGACCGGCAGGCTGTCCTGGTTGCGGTACCTGCAGTCACAGAAAAGATAAGTGACAACGCCATCTGCACATTCTTGCAATATTTGACATGCTTTTATTGCCTCTTTTAACACGATAAGGAGCAAGGGGCATTGCTGACAGGCAGGCATCCTGCCCACATCTAAGAAGCTCTCGATAACTTCAGCGTCAGGCATCGAGCATGAAGGCATCAAATAAGCACGCGTCCATCAATTGTTCTCAAGTTACAGATATCACACAAAAGAAAGTTTCTGAGCACAGGAGCACAGTGCGTACCACTGCCACTGGGCGACGGTGGAGTTGAGCACAGTCAGGATGCCATGGCCGAAGGAAGGCTCACGGTATGCCGAGCTGCGCAGGCACAATGCGGAGATCAGTATGCATTTCACCACTGACTCACAAACTGTGTGCTGCTGTTGTGTCGGCACAGGCAGTTCAGAGCCTCACATCACTGCTTCATGAGACCTGTAAGGGAACTCTCAGACCTCTTGAAAGTTTCCCCCGACACGGGGCGATGAGATAGTGAGCACATTTGACAGGGCCGTCTTCGGGGTTGGCAGCTCATTATGGGTTTGTAATTGTGGCGGCAATTTCATGCAACCTGTCTACAAACAGAGCTTGCCTTTTTCCAGCAACATCCTATGCATGAAATTCCTCTCAATTTTTTTTGGAAGAACAGAAAAAGAGGGAGCGCACTAGGAGGGTTGGGCTCCGTTGGTGGGAGCATAGAGGCCGTTCTGGAGAGTGGTGCAGAACTGAGGGGCCGGGCTCGGGCTGACATTGGCGCAGGCCGCGTTGGTGCATGTGCCAGCCTGGGCTGCAAACTGCCTGTACAGACCCTCCTGGTTGCCACCGTCACCTGCCGGCACATGCAGTCATGACGTTAGAAGGGAAAATTGTATATTTCCAACATATGTTTCTCTACTTTCCATCTCCTTTTAAGCCGTTGACACAAATTGCCTTGCTTGGTCCTCGACATTGACAGGCGCCGCCAATGCATCAGTATTCTTGAGCAGATGACAATTTGTATGCATGCCTGAGGCAGTCATGGGCAGCACATCAGATTTTGACCCAATACATCATTCTTGCTTTCCCAGCAATTGAGAGACAAGCTCTGGCCGGCTGAATGCGCATAGAAGAATGCGGTCTCTTTAGTGTGTGGGATTAGATGAGAAATTGTGCTTACCCATTGTGAGCCAGCGAGGGGCACAGCCATCCTTTACATAGTTCAGGGTCTGGAAGGTACGCTCGTACGCATGGATGTGACCTGCATGCAAATTAGCAACGTAAGAATTGACCCAACATTCAAATCATTCCACCACAGCAACGCAGCGCGAAGGTGCCAACACTGCATGCTTCAAGAAATCTTTCGCAGAGTGTGGAAGGCACCCCTCAGGCAGTGGCGTCCTTTTCATTTTTGAGACGTCCGACATGCATGAAACGCATCGATAACTAAATGATGACAAAGTGATGACTGAGGGTGACAAACCGTGCATGACGACGTCGACGCCGTAGTTGTACAGGAAGGGCTCCAGCGTCTGGCGCAGGCACTCGGCCTCCTTGTAGTGGACCGAGTAAGAGTTGTACTGCAAAATACAAATCACGCCACCTGTCAAATCTCCGTGCCGCGTGCTCACAGCAGAACGCTCCAACAACAGTTTCTCTGCATATATTATTGCCCTGCAAGACTGGGGAACCATGTTCCACCCTCCTTCCCATTTTCATTTTGCAGGAAGGTGCGGGCATGCAGGCACAGCAAGTGCCAGGAATTAGGCAAAGGGGTGGTGCAAATCACAGCATCTCTTCAGCGTTGACTCTAGGGTGCAGAGACACGGGGGCTGCGTGCCAAGCTCATGAAGTCAAGTCTTCTATCAAATCAAGTAATTTCATGAACACATGAGGAGAACACGTCCTGTGAGAGAGAGGGACTCCCAAGCAGGCAGGCAAAGCAAGCAAGACAGATGGCAGCAAATGCAAGGCTGAACCTGCATGGTCCCGACGTCAACAGACAAAAGGCTGATGACAAACAGCTCACCGGTGGCTGATGCCATCCAACGACGACCCAGGGAGTGACGGCGCGGTTCACCCGCTTCAGGTCATTAAGCAGCCACGACAGCTGGACAGCGCCCAGAGTGGACTGCGCAAAACAGAATATAATTTTGAGCAATTTCTCAGCTCATATACCATTTCTTGTATTTTAATGCATTGCCTGACAGTGCAGTCTGCGAGCCACCTGCACAGGCCTTCCCAAATACATGCCTGCAGCTTCCAATTGGAAGGAATGGAGAATGAAGACATTTTCTAAAAAGTGTGGTGTGGGCAGGTGATCAGACTCCAATTTTGGTACACGCAAGCACCTGTCAAGTTGCTAATATACAAAAGCCACCCAGAGGTCATCTGGTTACTTAAGGCTAGGGAGATTTTACATAACTGGCAGATGGGGATTAGTCACCTGGGGGTAGTTTCCAGTGGGGAAGGCAGGACCCCCGCTGTTGCCCAGAAGAACCTGGCTGACACCGTTGATTGTCACGTCCAGAGTGTTGTTTGGCAGATAGCCGTCGTACGCGTTCAACATGATCAGATGGATTGCTGCACAGTGCACACAAGAATCTCAGCCGGGCAGCTTGGGTCTTGCCATGACCAGAATCAGTGAGCGCATTGCAGGTGCAAAACAGGCCTTGGAAAGGGTTGCTGATAAAATGCACTGATCTGCGTGACCAGATTGCTGCGGCGGCGTAGCACAGCGCAATGAGACATGGACGCCTCAGTCTGACTAGTTTTGAGTTATGGGTTTGGCAGTCAGGAAAACATCTCACAGCAGCATAACCTCACACTGGCATGTGTCATCAAGAAAGGTGGAAGGGGGCTATTGAGAGGTTCCTGCAACGCACCTAGCCCTGAGGGCTGGAACAAGCAAAAAACAATAATATAGGGCCCTAAACCCTGAAACCCCTAAATCATTGAAATATAGGGGGCTAGAAAAGGGGCGCACGTCCAACATCGTTGGAGTAGTAGAGCGGGTCCTGGGAGTATGAAGCCTCATACGAGTGGCGGTAGCGGTTGGTGTAACCCTGGAACGGACGCAGGTATTCGTCGCGCTCAATCTGCGCATGCATGCGTGCCCTGTCATTAGTTGTAATGACGTCGGCAGGTGCCAGGTCAAGTTGAGAGGTGCCAGGATTGCTTGCACCACCCACTTCAGGTGAAACTATTGCAGGGCCCTTGACTGGGCTTGAATATAAGGTATGAATGGGCCCCCATTTAGACCGTTAGTAGCCTAGTCTGGCCTGACAAGGCGCCCATGAAGTTGGCAAACATGGTCTATGCAGACATCGTCACAGCAATTGATGCACTTCTGGATATTATTATCATTATACGCCTTTTTAAGCCACAGGTGTGAGGCTAAAAGGGCAAGGGTGTGTCTTGAGCCCACCTCGTGGTTGCCTGGCAGGAATTGGTAGGTGAGCGATGCTCCGTTTCCAGCGTTCTGTAGAAGACGGCCCATGGTCGCCCTGCACAGCACACACAAACGCAGGGTTATTTTCCAGGTCTATTGGTTTATATTTAGGGTTCTCAGAAGATGCTCTAAACCATGGAACGGAGTATGAACGGAGTTTGACATGCATGCATTTGTGCGATGAAAATCCCCAGTCATCTAGGACAATCCTGAGGTGCACGGAGCTGTTATGAGCTCATTTCATGGTGTCACAGGGACCTTGGTAGTGTGCCGCATTGGTCTATTCTCAAAACTTGTTGCCACAAAAAATCAGTCGGGGTCTTCAGCTGAATTCAGGGCGCATAGTCAAAAGCAGGGCTGAAAAAGGACACACAGCTGCTCACCAGCGGTGCTCTGTCTATTGGTGCCAAAACATGCTTTCAATGGAAGGTGTTGCATGAGCATGCAGCCTCATTTATGTATTTTGCATAAATTGAGGGGTATGAAAGCAAATTAGGGGGGAAGTTTCTCACCAGCGGGGCTGGTAGGTCTGGGCCAGGGTCTTGGTTGTGTTCGCATATCGGACTGCATTGGTGGGAGGAGTAACCACAGCTGCAGAGCCGTCGCCGCCCCTGTCATTCTGCAGCCAACACATCTCTTGTCAGCAGAAAATTTGCGCTCATCATCTGTGCGCTTGTATTTTTATGCTTGTTTTGATGATCGAGGTGTTTGACGTTAGAGCTGTGTGGGCTGTGCACCAGCACCCATTCAGCTGCGAATGGGTTGTTACTAAGCATGACAATGAATGAGTAATCAGCTGTCAACACCACAGGTGGATTGCGCGGGGTTGTTCATGCACAGAACAGCATTGAAAAAATATGCAGGAGAGGAGGAGCAGCTCTCACGTAGTTGTCAGCGTATGAAAGGTCTGCAGAACCACACACATTTATCAGCAGATCATATTTTATTTATTTATTTTATTTAAAATACAGGGATTTAGGGTTCAGGGTATAACATGGTATAACTGCCTCAAATAATCTCAAGGTACCTTTTCAGGCAGTGCAGAATGTACAGACTTTAATCTGGATAAGCAAGGAGAGCAAGAGAGGGGGATGCAAGCGGCCAGAGCAACAGATGTACCTCCAAAGAACACCACGGTCTGCAGGCGAACAAGACAAGAGTGTCAGATGTGCTGCTGACAGTCTCTTTGATGGGGACTTGCCGTAGTGGCACGCATGGCAACGGATGCTCCAAAGGCACTTGAGCACATCATATCAGAAAGGACAGCAGCCAAGCAGCTTCAAGAAAAACAGACAGGAGGGAGTTGCTCACGTCGGGCTTGTTAGCAACCAGGTGCTGGTAGGTGACTGATGAGTTTATGGTCTGACCAACATCAGCAACCACACCTAGCCTGCACAGCGCAATAGTCAATCATGACAGCTTTCTTATGACATGTTATGGAATTCGTTTGTGGCTGGAGCAAGCAGATCTTCAGCGAGTGAAGTCAACTATATGCAGTGAGATAGCTCAATGACAGGCTAAATAGCATGTCCCTGACTTTCTCTTGACTGCCAAGGATTCAGTCCATGAAAAGGACTTCAGTAAATGGCATGCATGCTTTGTCAGCATGTTCATATGACCTTATTGCCCCGCACCTCAAGGGGTATGTCAGGGTCTTGGGCTTCAGGCTGGCAGGCAATGTGAGCGGAATCTCAGCGCTGAGCTCCTTGGCTGGGTCTCCGCACTTGTAGTAGATGCTGCGTTTTCACAGCACAAGGAAAACATCAGAACACCTTCTGCATGGCTTCCAGCGCGATCTCAGGCGCATGGCCTCTGTGAACAGCACGTGCATGGCATGGACAGGTGTTCAGACAGCACAAGCACACCAAAGAGATCAGAGAGATTAAGGAAAGGGAGAGGGTTAAGTCCAGATCATTTGCCGCAGCAATCGAACATATTGGCCAAGGGTGCTCACGTCTTGCCATAGGGGATGCCAGTCACGTGGACGTGGTGCAGCAAGTTGGACACATATGTGTTTCCATCATGCAGATACGTCTGCACCCCAGCAAAGTCACATGTCAGCACAAATGTGAAGGATCCAGCATGCTGCATCCGTCATCAGCATCCTACCAGCAGCTACATATTATTATTATCATTATTATTATTACACGCTTTTCCTGCCGAAGGCAAGGTGCGTCTGCAGACAAGCTGCATGTAAAGGCTGCCAAATTCCTACCCCTTGTTGGACTCGCCAGATTTAAGCAAGACCCAATCAACCGTGGGCAGCTACATATGTGCTCCCGTAAAGAGTCAGTATGCTGTAGGTGCACTGCAAAAGGCCCACGCCTGTCACTGTATTCTGGACAGTACATGCATTCTATCTTGCCAGCGACCGGCGAGGGGTAGCTTTCTGACAGCCTCTACATGCAGCTCGGTTGCTGATGCATTTTGCTTCTTGGCAGCAACAGCATGTGATGATAGAAATTGTGCACCTGGATGTAGCTGCGGGCATATCCCTTGGCAGTCTTGGTGTAGGGACCGCCAGCTGTCAGGCTCCACTCAACCTGCACAGTCACAGCACGCTCAATCACACAAGTCAAGCCTGCCAAAGACAGCTAGATTGAGGTTCAAAAAGTGACGGAGTAGTGCAATTCCATTACATGCCACAGATCCAACGGTCTTCTCGGTCAATTTGCCACGCTGGCATATAGTTACTGTGTGTACAGGATGAATCTGGCGCGTCCATCTAGGAGTAGCATACATATCGCAGCCTCTCCAATTAGCTCATCTGCAGACGCACATGACCTCTCGCCGGAAGAGCAGTGGGTAGAGAGCTGTTTGGGAGGCATGCATAACCGGAGATTGTAAAAGCTCGATAATAAGGCATTACATAAGGCTCAGTTAGATATGACAGATGAAGAAACGGAGACTCACAATGGAGGCGACAGAGGAAGGGTCAGGGGTCTGGGGGGCGTAAACGCTGTTGGAAGGGTAGGCTGGGGCCTGGGGGTTGGTGACGAAAGTCTCCAGTCCAGTCGCCCACGAGACCCACACTGAGCCGCCATCGTCTGAGGCCTCTGCAGCAACATGCAAGTGTCTCTTTTTAATCATCTGCAGTTTGTCATAATTCTGACTGCTTGCAATTAGGGTGAATCTGTTCCACACTGTTCGAAGCATTGATTGACGCAGCACAAGGGTAATCAAGAGATGTGCATACTGGTCTTTAGCATCCTTTGTGCAGCAGATGGTCAGGGAATGTGTAAGTGTGTTGAAAACAGAAGGAGAGGCAGGGTTTGGCATGGGAAGGAATGAAAAGAGGGGTGTGGGTGCTGACCTCCCAGGGTGACATGGATCTGGTCGGGGGTGAACTGGGTGAGTCCGGCAGGGGGTGCAACCAGGGGGTCGGTCTCGGGCAGCTCATAGATGGCACCTGAGCTGGGAGAGCCCAAATCGATGAAGCTGACACTCTGCACGCAACGCACGAATTCAAGTTAGACAGGCTACAGCCCGGGAGCACTGCAAGCAATTACACCAATGCTGGTGCGACACAGCATCTTTTATCATCTGCATCCCTATTGTCCCTGTCTGAGAGCACACTTTTCAGCTTATCCTCCAAAAAGCAGCAACATTCCGTCGATCACCTTCTGAGCAGTAGAAAAACCTGCCGGAGCGACATCCAGAGACGGAAGGCCACTCAATGTCTGTCCGTGAATGGCCTGCGGTGACGAGAAACATTGGTCAGAGGCCCGCATATGCCATCCTTGAACTTGCGAGCATGGCCTGAGCCGATGCCGTAAGCAACGTGTAGCGCATACAAGATACTCTGATGCTTCAGGCATGAAGCTTTATGATCACTATCTACACGTGAATTCAAATGACAGGCGGAGCTGAGCATTGTTGTGACTTGGCGTACCAGCAGCAGGGCCATTCCGCAGCATGCCGCGAGGGCCGCGGCACTGCGCTTCATGACGTGGTCCTTGGTTGAACACTTCCCTGAGCATTATGGGCACAATTTCAGACTGATTTCAGCTCTTAACACATGTTCAGGACGAGCAACCCTGTGAAAATATGGGAGTTCGGAAAGCGTTTGGCAGGCGATGCAGTTTGATACGTGGCCAGCACTGGTGGGCCTCGCACCTATCTGGCGGTCCCTGAATGGTTTCTTTTGTCGATTTTATGGTCTTATGGTGAGAGTGTCGTTTTCATCTGACTTCTGACCGTTTGAAAGCGGCATCAATTCCTGGATAGGCCTTGTCGTAATCGGTTTATCGAATATTCCGAGGCAAGGACAGCCTCGCCCCCTAAGGAGCCCACCACAGGCTGGGACTGTCGTGAAAGGACAGTTTATTTATCTCTAGTGGGACTGTGTCAGCACTATCAAAAAGCAATTGCGAGACGAATGAAAACAAAATGCAACACTTTTGGCTGGGTAAGTGTCAGCCTGTGAAAACGTCAAGGCATCGTCATTCTGTTTTACAGAATCTATACAAAGTGTGGCAACCCTCGTCAGCTCAATAGTCATCAGGACACATGCGTTGCTGGTACTTCACTCAATTCACAGGAGCGAATGCGTTCTGCAGGGCCTCGCAATCAGAGAGTACTCAAGTCAGTGTACTGCCATCTTGCAATATAGCTTCAAGATCACCGAAGGGGCTTCTTCAATCTGTACAATAAAGCCATACTTCGACAATCCTCTTCCACAGCATTAAGTATGTGCATCCAATCGCATTTGTCCAAACAATCCGCCAGCAAGGCTCACACTCCCAAAAATGTCAGGGGGGCACCACCAAAATGAGGGGGTCTGTACAATGGCGCTCCAATCATGCGCCAGTTCACACCTTGCATTTAGAGTCATTGATCCCATAATCATAGTACTGTGGCTCCTGCAGGTTCACACCTTGCATTTTGAGTCATTGATCCCAGTACCATAATTATAGCCCTGCTGCTCCTGCGGCTTCTGCGCTGTCATCTGGGTCTCGGACTGTCGTCTGCGCCGATACCTGGAGCAAGCCGGGACGCAGCAGAACAGAATAACCAGCAGAAGCACTAGCGCGAAAATGCTGCAGATCACGATAGCAGCGATCTTTCCCCTGGTCCAGTAGGGCTGCTGCTGCTGCACGGCAGCTGCCAGCGGCTTGCACAGAAGCTGCCGGGTGCGGTTGCCAGAAGTGGCGGGAGCTGGGGCCGGTGCAAATGCAGTGCCGTTCCCGGGAGCCAGCGCCAGAGTTGGCGCCGGGGCCGGCGCGGCCAAATCAAGCACGCCGGCGGAGGAAGCTTCCTGGGGGCTGCTGAGCTGGCAGCCGGACGGCAGGCCATCGCCCGAGTCATAGTCGTAGTCACCCCCTGTGATGTCGCCATCATCGTAGCCCCAAAACTGGCCTTGTTCATTGTAGACTGCCCAGTGGTTGCCTGTGTACGCGGCTGAGTACAGGGGGATGAACAGCAGCGAGTAGCCGAAAGGGTACCTGGAACCACGGAGCAGACACCGCTGTTTAGAGCAAGGAATGGTTCTTTCCTTAGGACCCTCAAACAACTACTGCATGACTGGCACAGCAGGCCAAACAACAGTGTGCAGAGCTGCTTGCACTATGTCCTTCCAGCAGCTGTCCTGACAACAATGCACAGGACTGAGAAGCAACAGCTGCGCCGCCTGGCACTCATCGATGGGTACTGCGGAGGTTTCTGCATGCTGTTGTTGAGAGTTCTGAATGCGAGTGAATGTCCTTACTGTAGTGGGTAGCTTCACATGCAAGCAAGTGCAAGCTCCATCAAAGCAGGCAGCAGGTTACAGCGGGGTGCAAGGCTGAGAGCGCGGCACAGCAGCACGAGCAAGGGGGCAGCTCACGAGTGCAGGAACGGGCGGTTCCTCGAGTAGGAGTAGGCAGACGATGAGTAAGCTGGCAGGCGATACGCGGCGGCCCCTGTGGGCCGGTAGCCAGTCAGGGGGGTGACTGGCGCGATGGCCCCATTGGCTGCTGTCCGAGTGGGCCCGCTGTAAGACCTGGGTACATAGCTGTTTGATGCCGGTTTTGTGGCTGTCCCTGCGTGCATAAATACCAACTTTCCTTAAATGGCTCAATCAGACAGATTTGCAAATAACGCCTGGGCCTTGACCCCTTGCATTGGCTGATCAGAGTGCCTTCCCTATGAATCTACTGGTGATGTATCCTCAATGACCGCTTTCGATTGTTCACTGTTCACCAATAGTCTTTAGCGCTCTAACCACAAGAATAAAAAATAAGAAGGAAAGGAGAAGAAACAAAACAAAACATGTAACAAAAAGATGCTCCCTGCTGCATCGCACCTTTGGAGCCAGCAGCGGGCGCTGCCTTGGTGGCTGCTGTATTGGTAGTGGGAGAGCTAGGGGCAGAAGGAAACTTGGAGCCTGAGGGGCTAGAGGGTTCTGCTAGGGGGGCTCTTGAGGCTAGGGGGACTGCTAGGGGAGGCCTTGGAGCCCCCAGCAATTTTGCTGGGTGTGACCGCACCTGCAGAGCCAACAGCAGGTGCTGCCCTGCTGGCAGAAGTGCTCGAGGCTGACGAGGCACTCGAGGTTGAAGAGGAGGTTGAGGAGCTGCTAGATGAGCGACTGGAGCCTCCAGAGAAGCCACCCCCACCGCTCCTGCCTCCCCCACCACCGCCACCACTGCTACCACCTCCTGAAGCGCCCTTAGCCTGTCGTTTTCACAGCATGCCAGGCTTAACAGGGATTTCGAGGTCGCTTGAAATGCAGACTACCGATCGACGAGACGTGAGCTTCCTATCTGGTCCTCACATTGTCTCATCAAGTGTGGTAAGGTTACTTGGTCAAATGCTGGAATGGCCCAATGCCATGACCTCGAAGGTATGGAGGGGTAAACTTACACGTAATATGTCTGACAGCAACAAAACGTGCCCTCTGGTGATGCATCTTACTTAACACATAAAAGCAGAGAAAGAAATCTGTACCTGGACGTCGGCCGAAAGCAAGAGACCGCTGAAAAGAATCAGCAAAGTTGGCGAACATCCAATCACATGCTTGCGGTTTTTAACCATGTGCTAATGGCCCGCAGACAGTCTCCTCTGCTAAGGGCGGCCCACGCTACGGTTGGGCAGCTGTTAATCAGCTGCTGATTGCTCGAGAGATGACCGTTCAAGAACCGGATTCCTTTTTACCTCCGCTGCCTAGTGTAATTGAACCAGCACGACGAGTTTGATGTGGGGACTGTCCTTGGTCAGACTACCTAGCAACCTTGCTGCGTTTCAGAGGGGCCGGTATATCCGAGGCACGCAAGACTTTCCGAGAAGCCCTTTGAGACACAGCGCTCGTCTTCAGTTGGTAATACGAGAAGAGGGTGATCAGAGCCTTTGCGAAATGAAGGTAAGCCGGCTTGAATTTAGACCGGGAAGTGTGAGTCCACATCAGCCTCCGACAGCTTCCCACGCAGCTAAGAGCAGCTCCCCTGGCGGGGGGACCTCTACGTTTGGAGATGCTGATTGCGAGTTAAGAGAGATCCATAGAAAAGCCGGCAGGGATTAAATGTGGGATTGGGCAATTTTGACCTTCATCAGTGCTACGCCTGTAATTGCTGTCCTGACACGCTGGTGCAGGACTGGATTGCACATTTTATCCACCGGACCCCAAGGTGCCCGTCTGACATGGTGTAGATGAAGGCTCTGAATGACACCAGTGATTGCGGGTCTCAGAAATCTCCAGCGATTATTCACTGCCATTCCACCTGCTATTCTCCCCTACCTGCACTTGATATCGTGCATGCAACTCCATCTCTTCTCTGCTGCCTTTCCACTAGGACTGGCCCTGCAAAGCACTTGTGCACAGGTGCTTCGGTCCAGGGATTAGGACTGCATCTTCACGGCCGCTGTTCTTTCCGACTGTTGCCGACCTCGCTCCTGCCTGTCTGTAGGTGTGTTCTGACCCTCATCCAGCCACACTTGTCGGCCTGTATGCAATGTGGTCACTGACAATGGTCAATGGCATTCAGTGCTCCTGGGCCGGAGAATCTTGCCTTTTAAGAGTAAATAAGTCATGTGACAACAATTTGTCACATAGGTGCATTTGCGAGGCAGCCCTTTCTCCTATTACTAGCGTTCGCTCTGCCTTGATGTCTGCAGACCTCTTTCTCTAATGGAGCTAGCTGCAGTACTAGCCACCTGGCAATTGCACCATGCATGCATTTGTACCCCGCATGGGCAATGACTGCCAGCAAACTCAAACAAAGCAATGCTCCTTCAGTGTATTACAAGTAAAAATAAGTACAGCAAACTGCGCCCCCGACCCCAACCCCGCACAGCATGCTGTACACAACTGGACTGCAGCAACACAAAGTTCGCGCATGAAGCAACCATGTTCTGGCCAACTCTGATCAGGGAAGCGCAGCCATCAGCTTCTGAGCGCAAAATTCTGCAGTGTTATGGCCGGCGGCGCACTGATCGGCACCCTGCTCCCGTTGGCCACTGCGGCTGACCGCGGCGCAGGCGCGGCAGACGCCTTGACTGCTGCCTGCGCGCACAAGCCACATCGCGTCAGCAGATTATACACTCTGTGCTGTTTACGGCAGTAATAGGACCAAAACCTGCTATCTGGACCCCTCCTTGCGCCAGCTGAGCGGTCACTGCCTGCTTTTCAGCACATTTCATACTAAGCACGGCGCGACGCAACCATTCCTCCGGCCCTAGAGGAGTTGATTTGATCTATCACTGTTTCCTGTTGCGCAGAATTTGGGGGCACTGACGGGTTGAGGCCATTTAAATGTCCCATGATGGCCAACAGACATCAATAGCATCGGCCGAAATTCTTTTAACGAAGAAGAGAAACGTCGACAGCAGCATGTTGCCGCCTTGCTGTCCCTAGCATGCATATTGCCCATCTATCACAATGCTACCTTCTTTGCTATATTTTGTGGAACAGAAAAACTTGGTGCTTGCCTGGAGGGTAAATATAGGCTGTTCAACTGCATGGGTGACAGGTGGCAGAGTTTGAAGGCACATTCTCAAGACATGAAAGCAGCATTGCTGGCGGCTGGCAGATGTGCAACACTTGCAAGGCAGTTGCCGGTGTCGTACTTCTGAGGAAAGCCTGCTGAAAGGAGCACACATCCAAAAGCAGCAACAGTTGGGATGCATTACGAATGGTGGCAAGAAGGCACCTCGACAAGCAAGATGCGGAGGGTGCTCATCAGCGCTCCTGCCCGGTCTCCAGCTGCCGGCAGCGCAGCAACTGACAGCTTCAGAGTCTCTGCCACCACCTGGACAGCGGTTTTAAGCGGAGTTAATACCGTTCTGTTCCAGCAATCAGCATGCAGAAGAAACGTACAAATGGAGGACGATTTAGCAATCATGATTCCTTGTGTTGCACCTAGATAGACTGTCAGCATTGCTGATGTCCATTCAAAAGATTCCAGCCAACAAACTGCTGTGTACGACAGTACCAACACAACAAGGCAGGCCCTTAGGGTTTGCCGTCAGTCGCTGTCATCCTAGTACTGCATTTTAGGACCAGGAAAGATCAGTCACCTGGACTTCGCCGGCGCCAAGTCCGGCGTCCCCTCCGCGCATGAGCGCGTGCACGTCGGCGGCGGCGGCCGGCAGAGCGCGCGCAGCGCAGTCCCAGGCCCAGCTGGCCTGGGGCGTTCCCTGCAAGCACCAGAACTACATAAGAAGATAGTGTGCACTCACACCCTGTGCAGCTTAGTAATGGAGCCGGAGCAAGGCAGTGCAAGCGCCACGTAGGGAGAAAGCTATTACAATTTTGAGGGAAGCACTTAGTGGAAGACATGACAAACCCCACAGAAATGGTTCTTGTCCCGTTGTTTCGCGCTGGGGAGTTGCCGCCTCTCAGAGCTCGAGGGGCCTTGATTGCATCTGTGCATGCAGGACAGTCGCTGGATAGTGTGGTGCAAGTGCATTCGGGACTTATAGGTCTGTGGCAGTGTGTGCAAGTGGCCACACGGAAGAGTCACCATCTGTGCAGAGGAGGCAACGCCGCCGGCCTGGCTCCTCTGCAGCGCCCCCCTCACCGCCTGCAGCGCCGCCGACTGCAGTGACGGCTGCGCGTTGCAGCTGCAGCAAGCGTCTAGCACCTGCATCACCCATGCAGCGTCCGCCACGATCAAGCGCTGACACAGAGCAGCATCAGCAGAAAGGCGTTGCCAACCTTACTCAAGGCATCAATGCCGGTTGCTTGATCTGGCTGCATCTGACTTCATGCATGCTTGCTTCCGGGTTGAAACCTTCCGATAAAATAGCCTGGCCAGGCTCTTCAAGCGAGCCCTGTAACTGTCAAGCAGAGCAAGATTGTATAGCGGATAAAGGGTGGGTTCACCTTCAGGCAGCGTTCCCGGGCCGCCAAGTCAACGGAGGCTCGCCTGCCATTGGCGCCAGATGTGCCTGCAATTCCATTGCTGCCCGCCGTCCCATTCTGCTGCTGTACTCTCTCCACATCCAGAGATCTCCTCTGCCCTGCCATCAGTGATGCCTCCCCAGCTGCTGCATCCTGCCCACTAGCTGCATCCCCGGCTGATGTACCGCCTTCTGCACTCTCGCCAGGCAAGTCTCCACTCTCTCGCAGATCTGTCGCTGCCGCCTCCTCCAGCTGCTGCAGAAGAACTCTGCATAGGCCCTGGCTCTTAAACTACATCCACTATGTCTCCTGTGCTGACTCTGCCTTGTCTGCTGCAGTTTGCAGATGTTCAGCTGCCTCCTCAAAGTCATCACTTTGCATCGGCTGTGCCACGGTCTGCTGAGGCGATGTTGCCATGCTGATCTGGTGCCAACACAGCGCCCCTGCAGCCTGTCGACCAGGAAACATCTTCAATGTATGTTGAACCTTAATGTAATGTAATGTTAATGTAAGTACGCACGTGATGGGGACCCCCCGGGGTTCCTGGTTTGTGCGTTTCTTTCTTCTTCTTTTTTGTCAATTGTGTTCTATCACTTGACGCGCAGCACGTATATCGATGTACAATGCATAGAGCGATCAGGGACCCGGTGTCTTTGAGGCCGCCTGGTACGTTTTTTGCCTCACTGTTTCATGTGTCAGAACGACCTCCTAAGGTCTGTAGTAACAGCAGAAAATATCGCGTTTGCCTGTGCAGGCTTCACACACGGGTCTGCAAGGCTTCAAAACCCCAAACGAAGCACTCCGGTGTTGGATCTGAAGTGCCGAATCACCCCTGCCGGTCCTGGGACCAAAATACTGTATCTGGCGGAGGGGGATTTCGACGATGAGACGGAGGACACAGTCAATGTCTATAAGCATAAGATAAAGTAAACTTTGGAAGCAGCTTTGCAGATGCAGTAGTCTCCTAGTGGGCGTTCTACTTTTGAAGTTGGTAGCTCTGAGCACTGTTTCTCGTGTGTTTCGTGCAGGGATCAAAATGACCTGGACAAGTTGCTGCAGAGCACTGGAGTGAGTGGGCTGCTTGTCCCCAACACTGGTGAAAAAGTTAGACATTTTGAAGACATTATCAGTGATGGCACGTACAGCGCAGTCTCTCCCCAAGCTAAGGCTCTAGGGACAGTTCAGACGACGCAGAAGAACATTGTCCACGCAAATGAAGACGCAGCAGGGCGGTATCTGCAGGCTGCTTTGGCTGATGTGTATGGCTCAGCTCCCAAGGTGAGTAGTGTAGTTTTCTCATGTGCTACTCTTGTGAGCAGATTGCACTACCAGGAATGATGATAACATCTGAATTGTGTGTGACAGGCACTGGAGCGCACCTTCAAGGACGCCAAGGGTAGGGTCGTGGGGGAGGTACGCCGCAGGATCAATTCGTCCTGTCGGCAGCTGACGTCCGGGAGGATCCATTAACTATTGGCATATGTGTCCTGCAGGCAGATGCGTTGCTGAGCTTGGGCAACACGATCTACTGGCTAGATCACAAGAGCGTCATGACGTCAAGCAAGCTGTTGACAGCTCTGAAGAAGCTGAAGGGCTTCATAAAAACTGCGCGCAGAGAGAATATCCAGCCTTTTGTGGGAAAGGATTTTGTTCTGGTGCTGGCTGCAGATCTATTGGCACAAGGTGAGCCGAAAGCACTTGAATATCTGGAGCAGCCTTCTTTTTCACATGTCAGTATGGTGGGCAAAGTTTGTACGTGATTCTTTGCAGACGAGGTGGATAGGGACACCGTGCTGCAGCTCTGCTTCAACTCTGGCATCCCCCTGATCGTGCGTTCTGGAGCCAGCTACATGCTGCAGCCAGGATCTGCAAGCTTGGGAAAGCCAGCATTTGTGTTGTAGTGACTAATTGACCTGCACGACTCTCTGCGCTGGCTGACTACTGGACATTTTAAAGATCACTTCTAAGATGTTTGATTTGCAGTGATGTCAAGCAGCGCAATTTTGTAAATATTCCTGCACTCTCAATGCTAGCAGGTAGAGCTCTGCATGTCTCCCACACAGCATGGCCTTGAATACAGGTCGTGGTATGCGGGGCGTCTGCAGTCAGATGAGCATCAAATTCTGTATCTCAGACGTGAAAGCGCGACATCAGAGGCATCAAAAGAGCACCTGCAGCACTGGTGGCGACTGCAGCGTTGGGGTTGGGGGCGACAACGGCGGCTGCGGCCGCAGCTTCGGTATCAGTAGTGCCATTGGTGTGGGTGCAGCCGGGGCGGCCTGCTCCTCTACTTATTTTGCTGATGCAGGAAGCTTGCGGGCACCTGTGACAATTACAGACAGTCAAACACTCAGCCACGACTGCCCGACGGCATTGTGGCAAGGCGTGCGGTCTGTATGTCAGAAGGCATAGATTTTCAGGAAGTCAGCAAGCCCGCAAGGTATCGCAGCGGTATTATATACTCAAGGTCTTGGAGGTCGCGATTCGGGATAATGGCAGGCTTTCACTCACCACCAATTTCGCCGGCTGCTGCGGCAGCGGCACCTTTGGCCGCATTAGTTTACCTGCAAATAGTTCTAGATTGATATCATGAATGTAGTCATTTTGGCACGCTGGTTTCAGCTCACAGGGCTCAAATGGTGCAGCAACCGTTGTGACATCACAACACTTCCCTTCCAAGCTTGGTGTTCTGGCAATTTGTCCACTGATGGCACTTCAGAAACACTTGTGCGTAACACAAAAAGCGCAACAGCTGAATGCGTTGGGGATGCTGCACGGCCATTGGTAGCAACAGCCACTAGTAGAAAGTCTGCAACTGCAATAGCAAGCAGGCATATCAGGAGAAGGGATCACCTGCTGCGCACAATAGCTGCTCTTCGATTGGGACACCGGTGATGCCGTTTGCCGCAGCTGCTTGCTCTGTGTCGGCATTGGGAAGGCCAACGTTAATGGAGCGGCTGCGCATTATGGGAATCGGTGCCAAGGTTGCCGGAAGTTCCATCAAAGTCCGCGGCTGAGCAGACGCCTGCAGAACCGAAGCACGCAATCGAAGCTCGGAAATTAAGAAGACCAGACGAAGGAGGTAATCAAACGTTTAGTGTGGAGCTCTGACACATTTCAAGGCGGCATGGGATGGAGTCCCCAAAAGGAACACTCTTCAGAATTGGTAGGCATTCGACAAATGTGGTCCCTTGCGCTGCTGATAGAACCAGAACCTCACATGTGCACACAAGCAGGGCACGGCACGGCACGGTGGCATTGCAGTTTGATTTAGGTGCGTGACGTTTTTGGATAATGCCTGCCAGAGGACGAAAGCTTGTTCTCCGTCAAAAATACAATCCCTTGACTTGATTACAAACCTGCCGTCATGACGAAGGGCCGAAGAGCACCAGCCGCCGCCAGGATCTGGTTGCCGAGGCCTGAAGTTCAAGCGACCAGCAGAGGTCCGTACAAGGGTGAAACGAGCTTGCAATTCATCCTATTTCGCTTTGAGAATTGTTGTCTGATATGTTTGAGGATTGTGACGAGCTTTTTTTATAGCTTTCCCGAAAGGGGAAGCTGTCCAAGGTCGAAGGTGAGGCAATGAGGTAACGGCACTTTTTGGGAAGCGGCTTCCCACGCAGCTAAGAGCAGCTTCCCAAGCGGGGGGACCTTTTGCAGAACGTATGTGAGATGCCGATTGCCGTGCCTACCACAACACCGTCCGCCACAAACGGCGCGCTCACCGGCTCGCGCAACTGCGACGCCTGCTTGATGATTTGCACAGTGACCCCCGAGCCTTCTGGAAGCGGCTCAAGTCTCAGCAGTCTGATATACCTGAGCAGCTCAAGCCAGTGCAATTGTGGGCTGGCTATCTCGAGCGGGTTGCAAACTTGCAGTTGCCACTCATTGCTGAGCTGCCTCACTTGTCTTTCCCTGTCCAGCCCAGTGCTCCTGTCGCCCATGTTGATGCTCTCAATGCACCCATCTCTCTTGGGGAGGTGCTTGCTGGGCTCAAAAGTTTACACAATGGTCGTGCCACCGGAGTGCAAGGTTTACCAGCTGAGCTGTTTCGGTATGCAAAAGATGAGCGGGCGCCAGGCATGCCTCCTCCGGAGAATGTCCTGGCGCCTGCTTTGGTGGCTGTGCTGAACTCTGCATTTGTGTGTTGGCAAGTGCCACCCTCTGTGAATGGTAGCCTGCTCACCCCTGTGCACAAGAAAGGCAGCAAGCTTGACATGCTCAATTATAGACCCATTGCCGTTACTGAGCCCATCATGCGCTTGTACGCTGGCATATTGAATGCTCGTATTATTATGAAGTACACAGAGGGGGCTGGATTGCGTGCAGCCACACAGGCTGGCTTTAGGCCAAAGTTGTCTACGGCCCACCAGCTATTCACCTTGCAGCATTTTATCGACCGGCAAAACCATGCTAAGCAGCACTTGTATTGTTGCTTTCTTGATCTGAAGGGTGCTTATGACAGAGTGAATCGGGTGTTGCTCTGGGAGAGTTTGCGTCGCCTGGGCATTGATGGCCGCGTGCTCTCTGCCATTCAATCTTTGTATGCCAATTCTACGGTTGCCATGAAGATTGGGAGCAGGAAGGGTCCTAGTTTGCATTCTGCGACAGGATTGAAGCAGGGTTGCCCCCTTAGCCCCACGCTGTTTGGCTTGTTTGCAGATGGCCTGCACAGGCACTTGCTGCAGAGGTGCCCTGGGGTTGGCCCGCAGTTGCGTACTGGCAGTTGTGTACCAGATCTAGGCTATGCTGATGACTTTGCTCTGCTCGCCACCACACCTGCTCATTTGCAACGCTTGATTGATGCAGCTGCTGAGTTTTGTGAACAAACGGGAATGGTCATAAGTGTTGACAAAACAAAGATTGTGGTGTTCTCTTCCAATTTGCCAGGACCTTTTCAGTGGCTTTGTGGTGGTGCGCCTTTACATTGGGTTCAGCAGTTTGAGTACCTGGGTGCCCTTTTTGACGGTGTCCAAGGCATTAATCTCACCTTTGGCAAGCTTCACAGGAACATGTGGGGTGCGTGGGCACAGCTCAGGCAGCAATATGGGAAGTTGCATTGCAGCATGTCAGCTGGCCTGTTGTTGCGCCTATATGATGCATGTGTGCCGCCAACTGCCTCCTACGGTTGTGAGGTGTGGGGCCTGCGCAGCCTTCCTGGTGGCGACAGCCGGCGGGGCCGGGCTGCCTAGGCCTCCTCTCACCTGAAAATTCTGAGAGACATTGCTGGCGTCCCCATCTCTGTGCATGGTGCCATCTTGCTTAAGGCGTTGAATCAGCAGCCCCTTGATTGTGTGTGGTGGCGGCGCATTATCAAGTTCTGGAACAATTTGGCTGCCTTGCCTGCCTATAATTTTCACAGGCAAGTGGCCCTTGATGATTGTTGGGATGCCATAACCCGTAATGTTAAGAATTGGGCTTGGGCCTTCATGCGGGGCTTGCGCCAGATTGGGTATGAGTTTGTTATTCGGTTTGACACCCTTGTTCCTGTGGAAGTTGCTGCTGTGATGCAGCTGCTCGATGCGCAAGCGCTGCAGTTTGGGATGACATTGACATTTGCCCTAGGACCTGCCCGTCCAGCAATGCCACCTTGTGTACATATCACAGATGGTTTGCTAGGCCAGCTTGTCTGCGCCACCCTTGCCAGCTCTTACAGCAGCCTTTGAGTGCCCGTTGCTTGCGTATACTGTTGAAGTTCAGGATGGGTTGTCATAGTCTGCCCAATGTCTCGGGCCGCTGGGCCAGGGTTCCCCGGCCCCAGCGTTTGTGCATGCGTTGTGCCCAGCAGGTTATTGGGGATGAGCGCCACCTTGTGTTTGAGTGCCCGGCCTTGCAATCTGTTCGGGACAGATATCCTGGGCTGTTTGGTGCAGACATTGTGACGATGCAGCAATTCATGTGGCAGTTGGACATTGTTGGTGTTGCACATTTTGTGATGGATTGTTTTGATTATTTGGATGCTGCCAGTTCATCCAATCAGCCCTCTGCGGCTGGAGTGATGTAATCTTCCTTCCTTCCTTCCTTGCCAGACAAAGATTATATATGGTTCCGGTGTTTCCCAGAAACATCATGAGGCAATGGCCTTATATATACGTATATATAGCTTACTGGCCCCGGCTGGCGGGGGGGCGGTATAAATACTGAGCACCGTGCCCACGGTTGATTGGGTCTTGCTTGGATCTGGCGAGTCCATCAAGGGGTAGGATTTTGGCAGCCTTTACTGCAGCTTGTTCTGGCAGGAAAAGCGTGTAATTATAATAATAATAGCTTACTGCAGTGCAGCTAGTGGATACAGCTACTGGTATATATACAAGCTCATGCGCAGTGATTGCTAATGCTAGCTACTTCTTACAAAGGAGTATATGTGCAGAGGACTAAAAACAATCCAACAAATCACGCAATATACCCAGCACAGAGTTGCTGCACACATTTTGACCGCAGCTAACCACATCCTGGGATGCGCCAACTCTGCTCATTGCCCTCATAATCAGCTCCTGAGCGCAAAGTTCTGCAGTGTTATGGCCGGCGGCGCGCCGATTGGCACCCTGCTCCCGTTGGCCACAGCGGCTGACCGTGGCGCAGGCGCGGCAGACGCCTTGACTGCTGCCTGCACGCACAAGCTACATCGCGTCAGCAGATAAAACACTTCGTGCTAATATGGCAGCCATACGACCAAAATCTGCTATCTGGACCCCTCCTTGCGCCAGCTGAGAGGCCACTGCCTGTCTTTTAGCACATTTAATGCTAAGCACGGCGCAACGCAACCATCACTCCGGCCCTAGCGAGGAGCTGATTTGATCTATCAATGTTTCCTGTTGCGCGGAATTTGGGGGCACTGACGGGTTGAGGCCATTTGAATGTCCCATGGTGGCCAACAGACATCAACAGCATGGGCCGCAGTTCGCAATGCAAAGAAGAGAAACATCGACAGCAGCATGTTGCTGCCTTGCTGTCTCTAGCCTGCATATTGCCCATCTATCACAATGCAACCTTATTTGCTACATTTGGTGGAACAGAAAAGATTCGGTGCTTGCCTGGAGGCGTTGCTTGGCCTCGGGTGAGAGGGCTGCCACGGTGGCCTGGAACGCCGCTGCAGACGGCCCCGACGCCACCAGCGTGACTAACTTGACCGCCAGGTCACGCAGCGCCAAATTTGGCGCTCCCTCAGGCGACGCCACCTGGCAGGCAGCATTCATCGCCTCAGGACAGGTGCTGAGGCTGAGGTTCTAAGGCTGGTCAACTGCATGGGTGACAGGTGGCAGAATAACGAGGCGCATTTTCAAGACATGAAAGCAGCATTGCTGGCAGCTGGCAGATGTACAGCACTTGCACAGCAATTGCCGGTCCCGTGATTCTGAGAAAAGCCTGCTGAAAGGAGCACACATCTAAAAACAGCAACAGTTGGGATGCGTTACGAATGGTTGCAAGGAGGTACCTCGACAAGCAAGATGAGGAGGGTGCTCATCAGCGCCCCTGCCCGGTCTCCAGCTGCCGGCAGCGCAGCAACTGACAGCTTCAGAGTCTCAGCCACAACCTGGGCAGCGGTTTCAGCGAAGTTATTCCCTTTCTGTTCCAGCAATCAGCATGCAGAAAAAGCGCACAAATGGAGGACGATTTAGCAATCAAGATCCCTTGTGTTGCAGCTAGATAGACTGTCAGCATTGCTGATGCCCATTTGCACAACAGTCCCCAGCCAACATTCTGCCTTGTTTGACAGTGCCAACACATCAAGGCAGGCCCCTAGGGGTTGCCGTCAGTCGCTGTCATTCTAGTAGTGCATTGTAGGACCAGGAAAGATCAGTCACCTGCACTTCGCCGGCGCCGAGTCCGGCGGCGTCCCCTCCGCGCATGAGCGCATGCACGTCTGCGGCGGCTGCCGGCAGAGCGCGCGCAGCACAGTCCCAGGCCCAGCCGGCCTGGGGCGTTCCCTGTAGAAGGATGATTATCATCAGTCTAATTGGTATTCATTGGGTCACGAGAATGGCGTCATCATGCGAGGGTGACACCCCCAGTCATGAAGTGCGCTCCCTCTCCTGTTTTCAGGCCTATGAATTATGTCTCATTGGTCTTATTTAATAATTGCAAGATGAGCTTGTCGAAGGCAAGGCGCGCCAGCAGATGAGCTGCATACAAGGCTGCCAGACAGCCTACCCCTTGATGGATTCGCCTTGCTGATATGATTCCATAAGAAAACGGTGTGCCCTCACATTGTGTACAGCTTAGTAACGTAAGATTGAGCTGAAGCATCGAGTGGAAGATATGATACCCCCCATGTGGCCACAAAAAGGTTCCCGTTTCGGTGTATTAGAGCGGGGTATTTGCCGTCTATCAGCGCTCCAGGGGTCTGTGTTGCAAATGTGCATGGAGGACAGTCACTGGACAGTGTGGTGCAAGTGCAATCTGGACTATTACGTGTCTGTGGCAGTGTGTGCAAGAAAAGTGGCCACACGGAAGCCTCGAACTTATTCTTCATCCACTTTAGCTTAGGGATTATGGGTTGTGGATTTAGGATTCAGGGAGGGGGCCTTTATAGTAATAAATTTTCACTGGGAATGCAATGGTGGATTAGGGTCTAGGGTCGATGAAGGGTCGAAAATAATATAAAGACAACGTGGATGAAGTCTAATGCCAGCGGAAGGGCGGAAAGTCACCATCTGTGCAGAGGAGGCACCGCCGCCGGCCTGGCTCCTCTGCAGCGCCCCCCTCACCGCCTGCAGCGCCGCCGCCTGCAGTGAAGGCTGCGCGCTGCAGCTGCAGCAAGCTTCGAGCACCTGCATTACCCATGCAGCGTCCGCCACGATCAAGCGCTTACACAGAGCAGCATCAGCAGAAAGGCGTTACCAACCTTACTCAAGGCATCAATGCCGGCTGCTTGATCTGCATCGCTGCATCGGACGCATGCATGGCTTGCTTCCAAAATGAAACATTTTGACAAAATAGCCTGGCCAGGCTCTTCAAGGAAGCCCCGTTACTGTCAAGCAGAGCAACATTGTATGGCGGATAAAGGGTGGACACACCTTCAGGCAGCGCTCCCGGGCCGCCAAGTCAATGGAGGCTCTCCTGCCATCGGCGCCGGATGTGCCTGCATTTCCACTGCTGCCCGCCGTCCCATTTTGCTGCTGTATCCTCTCCACATCCGGAGTTCTCCTCTGCCCTGATGCCTCCCCACTAGCTGCATCCTGCTCACTAGCTGCATCCCCGGCTAATGTACCGCCTTCTGCATTCTCGCCAGGCAACTTTCCACTCTCTGCCCCTGCCACCTCTTCTGGTGCAGCGGAACTCTGCAGAGACGCTGGATCTACATCAGCTTCTGCCTCCTGTGCTGACTCTGACTTGTCTGCTATGGGGTGAAGCTCCTCGGCTGCCTCTTCAAAATCATCAAAGTCATCATCGCCCGCTGTCTCTGAGGGGCCGTCTGGGGCGGCGGCTGTGCCACGGTGTGCGGAAGCGATGATGCTGTGCTGACCTGGCGCCAGCTCAGCGCCCATCGAGATGAGTAGGGCCACCACGGCAGCGATCCTCACGCCTGCTTTGGCTCCCTCCCCACCACCGCTATTTGAGGCATCCACCTGATCACATGCAGTGTAGCTTCTTTACCCAAAGAAGACTTTCATGCATGCTTGTCTCTGGGCAACACACAGCTTCATCAATGGAGGAGAGACACCTTCTGAATGTGCACAGAGCCCCAACATTGAAGCTATAGGCATGCATACTCTGTCTCAATAGCACAAAACATCCACAATACAGAATTGAGGAACACAAGACAATGCTCACAAAGAATATTGATGTAAAGGCTGCAATTAGGGTGAAACTGCATCTAATCGGCTGCGCAAGGGACCACGATCGTGAGTATGCGCGCCGGTGCCCATCTTTCGACCCATCTTCTGACAGGAACAAAGAGAACATGTGCCGGCAGGTGCGCGCGTACCTGGGACAGGCACTCCTGCGCCACGTCAGCCAGGCTGCCTAAAGTGGCCGCCAGCAGCGGCGGCTCGGCGCCGTTGCAGCCGCCGTTGCGCCCCCTGTCGGGTGCTGACAGAACCGGCGCAACCCGCTCCAGGAAAGCCTTGGCTGCGCCGATATGTGCATCTGCGCACAGCGACAGACATGTCAGGGTCAAAGGCCTTGGGATAAGGCCTGCATCCTCAAAAGTTGGTCACAGACCCCTTCTGACGGAGTGGAATTGGGTTTGAGCCAAGGAGACTGCTGTCTGACAGGTTTGGGATAAGCACTTTAAAATTTGGATGGAGCGGAGGAGGTTGCTGAAAGAGTGGTACCAGAAATGCATATTCATGTGCAGGCACATTTCAGATGGCAAAATTTGTGCGATGTTGGCAAGAAACTTCGAAATCAAGAATACAATGAAAACTTAATTGCGTACGGACACTCTTTGCCTTTTGAAGTCAGGCCCGTTCGCCAAAACGTCACAAGTCATGTAAGCAGTGCATCGGCTGCGCAGCTGTGCAAATTCAGCAGCCCAGGCAGAAGAGGTTTGACGGTGTGCAGTGAGCAAGTAGCAATAGTGGCATACTTATCGACGAAGCAATAATGGAACTGCAGCTTGTATGCAGGACGCACCTTGCCTCTTGGCAGGAAAAGCGTATAACAGTAATAACAATAATAAGAATAATAAGAATAATCATAATGATATTCATAATAATAATAATAATAATTATATTATTATTAATGGATGCGGCACTTGCCTTGGCGGCTGGTCTGCAGCACTTTGATGGCGGCAGACAGCAGCGCAGCCGCCAGATGGCGTTCCCTTTGGCAGACACCCTCCGCGGCCTGGAACGCCCCCTGCAGGGCGCCCTCTAGATGCGTAGCTCCCTGGCAAGCACAAACAAATTTCAGGTACCAATCAGCACGACTTCAGATCATGCATGTGCATGCCAGATTTCGTGGAGATTGAGCGCCCAAGCCTGTCAGGCAAAGTTATAGATCAACACCGGATTGATGAGATGAGATCTCTTGATCTGACGCGCTTGTAACAGACGACCAATGGAGGAATTCTACACAGAGCTGAATTCATCAGCAGAATACTCATTTGTAAAGGTTTGGACTAGCATGACACTGTGAAACACCACTGGCGTCTACGCAGTGCTGATGAGGTCAAAGAGAAGCTGGTTGACAAGTCGCTTACCGCGGCAGGGGACTCCGAAGCCGTCAGAGCGATGCCGATCGCGCACAGCGCAGCTTCCGCCAGCCGCTCGTCCAGGTGGCGGCTGCCGGCGCCAGAACTGGCGGAGCCGACATCGGCAGAATTGAATCCGACGGAACCGGATTTGGTGGCTGGCCGGCCGACGGCGGCCAGAATTGCAGCAGCTGCCGCGAAGGCGGCCGCGACATCGCCGGTGTCGGCTTGGCCGGCGCTCAGGAGCGGGCCCAGCACCTGTGGAGTGTTGATAATTGAGTCAGCGGGTGAATAACCCTGCTTGTTGCTTGCAGTGGTTCGCAAACAATATATGAAGCACTTCCCCTGCAAACGTCTCTGAGCTTGTACTGACTGGCTTTGCTGTGCTAGCTCAGAATCAGGAGGTAGCTGCCTTGCATCGACATGCTGCTGTGCAAACAAATATTCACTATCCTGCTGACACAAAACATTTACTTGGTCCCACTTGGTCAGGCGCATGGCTCGCCTGCTGCAGGGTGCTGTTGACGAGCATGACGAGGTTCTCCAGGTCGTCCGCGCCGAACAGCGGTGACTCAGCGGTGACTAATCGCTGCAGCGCCGTCAGCGCCGTCAGCAGCAGCTGCCCCGGCTCCGGCGCTGCGCTGCTGTGCGGAAGGCCGCCACCGGAAGTAGAAGTGTTTGAAAAAGGAACGCCATAGGATGACGTGGACGGGGACGCCAGCCGCGCGGACACCTGCGCGATGGTGAGGTGGCAGATGTCGAGCAGCTGCTGCGCAGCTGCCCTCACCTCCTCCTGCACGTGATGCATAGCAGCTGTTGACCACAACAAAGAGCAACCTGTGCATTGCAAAGCAAAGCATGCACAGACAGATTGAAAACAGCAAGGGACAAGACCTGCAAAGCTTCGAACACCAGCAGAGTGGCATATTCTTGAGCTGCTATATTTTTGATGGCAGCAAGGATGAAAGATGAACAGCAACAACACCAGCAGATTTTTGTCGTGATGAAACTGAGCAGAACCCCAGCTTTAACGTATAAGACATTTGGTTGTATTGGCCTCACAAATAATACCAACACCTGCACCTATTCACTCTTGCAGTTTCAGCTGAGGCGGGCGCACACAAAGGTCGACCATTTCAGTTGACAGTCATTGACAAGCATGAATCCTCACCAGATCGGTCCCCTCGGCAGAGGCATTGGCCACGGACGCGGAGGCCACGGATGCGGAGAGAGCCAGCAGCGAAGCCGGCGCGGCTCTATCGATGGCGTCGGCGACGCGCGGCAGCACGGCAGCGGCCGGCTCCGGCAGGAACGCTGTCGCGCGGGCGGCCGCCAGCTCTGGGGGGGTGCCCCCCAGCAGCGCCCAGTCCTGCAGCAGCGCTGCCCACTGCCACCGCAACGCCCTGGGAGACAGGCACCACAAAGACATCTGCTGGGCGGCGTTCCAGGGTCCCTGCTAGACCGTTGTGGGGCCGCTATGCATGGTTTCATCTTACCGATGTGTTCCACCTGTTCGTGGCATACCGTATTCTCCTGCCCCTTTCTGCTGCAGGGACCCCGGCACTGGCTTCCACAGCCAGACACTTCACTGTGGAGCAAAAACATCAGCGAGGCTTCCGATGCATTGACATGAAGACGTGAAGCAAGTTGTAAATACAGAAATCAAAGTAATAATGGCTGACCAGCCTTGGGTACATTTCTACTTGCTCCATTGCCGCACAAGCCCCAGGCCCAACGCAGGGCGGCCATAAGACTCCGGTACGAGCGCAAAAAGCAACAATGGTTTGCCAGACGAACTAAGTTTGGCATGCACCTGGCATGCGGCGCCTGGGCTTGGGCAATGATGGCGCTGCCGGGGTCTTCCAAGCGTGCGGCCGCAAATGCTGCGCACTGCGCGTGAGCCTCCAGCAGGGACACCTTAGTGCGTACTCCCACCCACTCCGCATACACCTCCTGTGCGTGCAACTCCCCAATGATATATCAGATATAAATTGTCAATTGAGAAGAGGCTGCTATGAGCTGAGGTGTCGCCCGATTGCGGGTTGTTGCAGCGCTCGTTGCAGCAACTACTGCATCGCTCAGCAATTGTTGCGGGCAAGAACGCAATGACAAAGGAGGTCCTTTGCAATACGAATGAGCACCGAAAACATGCGGGTCCAGATGCAGCCGCAAGCGGGTGAGGTCAAGGCAGAAAGAAACAACTGTAATCAATTCGTGCCTGAATGCTATGTACAACACAGGTCACAGGCCATTCCTGCCTGCACGTCTGCATGCCGGCAAAGCAACCCGTTCCATGCCACCGAGACAGGCAACTCAGTCATGCAGAATGATGCAGGCATGCAATCATCAAGTCAAGCAAATTACCGAGGAGCTCGGCCGCACCTCGGCGTCAGATTCCCACGAAGCAAGCGGCTCAACCAGGAGCCCGATTAGGCGCCGCAGCACGACGCTGTCTCCAGTGGCCATCCCTGCCTCCAGAAACACGGCCGCCAGCGATGCACCGGCCGCCGCCAGCGTCGGCGCGGCCCCGGGCGCCAGCGCCGACCTGCAAAATGAAAAAGAGAGCGCTTAGGAGGTATTGAATCCTCAACCTTCATCGAGAAACATTAGATGAAATGCGCGAATGAAATCTGTGTGCGTCAAACACTGCTGAAGTCGGTACAGTCCCAGGTGCCAGCGCCGACCTGCCAAATAAATTAGTCCATGGTCCCTAACAAAAATGCGCAACGGCTCGGCGCAGGAGTTTTGAAACAGCGTATGAAATATTAGAAGTATGTGCATGTCAGGCTACATAGCAGAGGAAGAAGAGGCTGAGAAGATGGTGCATCGACAGTATCAACAATCCTGGGGCATTCTTGGCCGCCATTCAAGGCAAGACAAGACAGTAGGACTGGTCTGCGTGCCTGTGTACATTGCAAAATTACTAGAATTACCAGAATGATACGCACCTGAGGGCGGAGACAAACTGCGCCTGGAACTGCTCGAGCAGGGGATGGCCTGGCAGCAGCGGGTCCTCGGCCCCGCCAAACTTCTCAAGCACCGCCTGCGATAAGTAATGCCTCGTAAGACAGAAGGGCCCCTTCGCCCAAGCCTAAAAAGCTGCATGAGAGCAGGACACATTTGCCTGTAGGGCTTCAGAAACGATCTAGTAATGTAATGCTGCGGCAGATACCACATGCCTTTCTTGGCAAGACGAATATCTGCAGAAGCAGGCAAATTTCCGCAAATGCTGCTGAACGCCCCCGGAACGGCGCTATCAGAGCAAGCTTCCTTACACGAAACACTTGCCACGATTTGGATCTCAGCAACATCACCAAACATCTGCACCCCTGAATCTGGCTGCGCGTTGGTCAGGGCACAAGAATAGGCTCAGGGTCTCAATGCCGCTTCTGCCTTCGGAGAGATTTGCAGCGTAGATCCCTCAACCTTCGTTTGACACCAGACAGAAAGTGGTAGATATACTACACCTGCAGTAAGTGCACTCCAAGCGGGCGCAGGGCCTCGACGGCGCCGGAGGCCATTTTGAATCCGGCGTCGATCAGCGCCTGCAGCTGCGCCACCAGCCAGTCCCCGCCGCCCGAGCGCGCCGACACATCAGCCGCCGTGTCAAAGTGGCGCGGATCGCCACCGACGCGAATGTCCAGGATGCACCTGCGACAGCAATCTGCAGTGAGCATCATAGCAACTATATTCCATTGCTTGTTGTCGGATATATATAGATATGAATTATTTCAATTTATGCCGGCCCCGGCTGAAATCAACAAGAAGGGTCTACAGCATGCACTCTGGAAAAAGCGCCATCCATTGTTTGCCAGGCAGTGCAGAGTTCGCTTTGCCTGCTTGGCGCATGCGATGATAAGCAAGTTTGACTTTCCTGGGGGTGAGTGAAATGGAGGTGCCAGCAGCTTTTTTGTGGCGCCATGTGCTGCCTTCAGCTTAACGCATAGTGGCACACATGCAATGACAATCTAGGATGTTTGTCAGAGAACAGAAACAGGGGCAGGAAATGCAGGGGCGCACTGTGCGGCGAAGAGGCGGGTCCGCAGCCGGGGGGCGCCGCCGACGCGGGTTTCCCCGGCGGCGACGGCGGTGGGATCCCCCGCCGCCGTCGGGGGGCCCCTGGCGGGGGGCCCGGCACCGCCGACGCGCGAGCCCTCCTCCATTTCATCGTCGCCCCCGTCCATGAGCCCCTCGTCTAATCCACCCCTGAAGCCGGACCCGCCCGCTCCGCTGTACGCTATGCCCAGACCGGACTGCTTCTCTGCAGCAGCCAGCGCCACCTGGCTGCACACCTGCGTAGGTGCCCCAGCCAGCTTAGGTAAGGACTTCCTTCTATATCTGCTGTCCACTGCTTCCTGCCACCCTTCATAGAAGGATGCAAGTCCGAAACGTCCATGTTGACTGAGTGATTTGCAACCACACTGCTACGATGCCAGCGCGGCGAGCATTTTCCTGGCTGCACCAGATGACCAAGCACCCAGCGGGAAGCTGACCCAAGTTCAGACCAAGAGTCACCCTGCATTGAAGTGCATCTGGAAGGGCTCTTTTACTGGAAGTTTTGATTAGTCGGCGAAGCCAGAGCAGCCAAAACGGCCCACACTCTGTTTCTTGAGCAAACCCATCTGTTTTCGACCATCTGAAATGTGTAAAGACCCTCCCTTCTCTTCTTCTGTCTCCCACACTAGTTCACAACTTTCGGGCACACCTCGAGCCAGTAGGAGGGCTGGGAGGGAACCCCAGTACGCAGCAGCGTGCGCAGCGTGGCTCGCAGCTGCCCGGCAATCTCCCCGTCCGTCTCCGCGTCCAGCGCCGCAAACAGCCGCGGCTCCATCCGCGCCGGTAGCAGAGCGCGCGCGTCACGCTCTGCCAGGTGGCGCAGCGTTAGCGCGGCAGCCCTGTGCGCCAGAAAAGGCAATCAATCTTTGTCTCACTAGTAGTGAGCGGAAAGCTCTGTAAAGGTATTGCAACTGGCACTGCTTCATGATACGCTCGGAGACCCCAAGGGACTTTAGGACAACGGACACAGGGCCCTGCAGGCTTCCTGAGTTTCTGAAAGGTTTGGTCAGCCATGTAAGTCATATCTGCCCCAGATGATGAGAAGTCATCCTGTAAGACCCACAAAGTGGGCGCCAGCGGATTCCACTCCAGGGGATGAAACACCAGCTGGCGTGCGACTGTTTCACTTTATGGAGCTCGGGCAGCCCAGTATCATGACACACTTGTGTGCATGATGATATCATAAAGAATCACTTCAAAACCCACCCACCGGCGCAGGGTGGGCTGGCGGGAGGGGAGTGTATCCAGCAGGAGCGGCAGGTGCGCGGCCGCAGGCACGGCTTGGGGCGCGAAGAGCACGAGCATCTGCGCGTACGACACCGTCTCTAACGCTGCCGCGGGGGCGTCCTCTGGGCGGCCGACGGCGCCAGCCGTCGCCTGCACAATTTGGTTTTTCCGTTATTGGATCTAGAAAGTAGGGTTGCAACATTTCATGGGGTTTAGAGGTAACATGCACATTGCATATAGCCCTTTTCAACATATCCTTACCTCGCCTCTTGCTGTTTTCCTCGCCGTCAAATGCCATGTCCTCCCATCTGTCGTGTCTTCAACATACTGTACATTTCTCATCAAGCAGGAGGACAGAGCACTCGTCGACGAGGCAAACAACAAGAAAGCACAAGGACACTCTCTTGTTGACTTGGCAATCCTTGCCCCCATATCTCATATTCAACAGAGTCAGGCATGGCAGTGCACAGCTGCTTCTATCAATGTCCTTGATCTCAGCACATGCCAACCTCACGTGCGCCACGTCCGCCAAGCAGATGCACAGAAGATACACGGCAATCTAAAGTGGCAGGGACAGGCCGGGCCCACCTGCATTTCGCGGATGACTGCGCGGCAGCGGCAGTAGGCGGGCGAGCCCAGGGTGAGCTCAGGGCCCAGGACGGCGACTAAGGCATTAGATAAACGGCCCACCGCCGGCTGCAGCCCGGCTACGACGGCGTTGTCCTCCGCCATAAGCACCTCCACTGCATGCGCCAGCGTCGCCTGACCAGAAATTCCCAAACATGCGCTCGGCAGCCGCCGCTCTCAAAGTTGATCGGTGTTTTTTAGTATATTAGGGACAAAAAGGACCCATTGTGTCTAGCACATGCATAGACCAAGCTACGCTGCCTATCTTGACAAGCGTAAGGCATGCACAGGGCAATTACAGGATGGAAAGCATGGCTTCTCAGCTCCGATCGCATCTCAGTACAGATTACTACACAAGCTCAATCATTGTGGTAATAAGAAAGCAGGACGGACATCCCTTCTTTCTCCAAAAGTTGTCAACTGGATCAATCAAGGTGAGGAATCGCAAGAGAATAAGGAGCTGTGCTAAGTCAGCCAGGCATGCAATCAACATTAATGCTCGCGCCTTGACATGGGGAAGGAAGGCCGGCCCGGCAGCGTTGGCAGTGAGCCACAACCCATGCAGCAACCACAGCTGCACGGGGCCGGTGCACACTGCTGCGACTGCCAGGAAGGTGTCTGCCACCAGGTTGAGCGTGCTCTGCAGCGCAATGCCCCCCTTGGAGCGGATTATGCATCCCACCGCCAACGCCAGCGCGGCCCGCCTGCGCAGCCGCAGGATACACTCAGGCAACATTGCCGTTGATCTTGCAGAGCATCTTTTGTGTGGGATCTGCGCCTAGAAAATACTCCTTGTGCAAGGCGGTACCATCGATAGAAAGAGCGAGTTGCTGCAGACGGCATATCTCAAGGCCTTTCCTTCAACATCCTCACGGTCTATCCCCTTGATGCAACCTCCTGAGCATGCCCCGAGTGAATACCGGCTGTCCACAAGTCTTCGTAAAAACAGAAAACATATAAACCTGGCTCTCAGGGGAGGTACAATAACACGACCACAATGTAAGGAGCTGGCCACACCTGGGCGCGGACGTGGTCTCGGCCAGGGTGTGCACAAGTGAACGCACTACCGCAGCCACAGGACTGGTGCCATTCTTGCTCAGCTGTGGTCCAAGAAGACATGGACGATGCATGGACAAGCTGTACTCTACCTAACAAAATTGCCCATAATATAGCAAAAGGAGCCGCACCTGGGCGCGGACGTGGTCTCGGCCATGGCCTGCACAAGTGAGCGCACTAGCGCAGCGGCAAAGCCGGTCGAGCCGATGCACGACGCAAACGCAAACATCTCCGCCGCCGACCGCTGCAGCGCCTGAATCATAATTTTCATTGCTCACTGCCCACGCATGCTTCGTGCAGAGCAATGGCACTGACTGACTTTGCAAGGACGGGGAATCGAGGGGGTTGTGGACACCGCAATGTATGAGTGTGAACATTTAAAGTAGGGAACCTTACCGCGTCGGCTGCGTCGGCGGCCACCCCGAGCACACTGTCGGCCAGGCCGCCCGCGCGCGCGGCCACCTCGTCCCGGCTGCCCACCTCACCTGCAGGGCAGCACAGATCCAGTCTATGTAAGAACATGCAGGCCGTTTAAGCCCTACTAGTAACAGCGCGGGCAACAGCCATCACCTCATCCCACCTTCTGGCCTCTGCTGCCAAGCCAGGAGTGGCGATTGAGTAGAAAGACTAAGTAGTTGAGAGAGGACACTTTCAAATTGACATCAACAGGCAAGGCATTCAGACGTGCCTCATCAACGCGTGATACCAGTCGCAAAGGTCTAGATGTATCTGTCTTCAGATTGCAACTCTGGGAAGTGCAGGAAAGGTGGAATGCCAAGGACAGAACACCCGCTCAGACGACAGCTGCGCTGCCGCATGGGGTTCAAGAGAGTCAAGGGGTGAGTGAAGGTTGCGCACCCCTGAATTTGCGCGCGAGGGTGTCAAGGCCGGCGAGCGCGGCGGCGCAGACGCATGTGACGGCCGTGTGGCGCCGCACAGGGTCGGGGCGTTCCCTGCGCCCCTTCCCGCCAGCTCCCTCGCTCGCCGCCGTGTTCAGGACGTCCAGGATCTGCACAAATTTGAATTTGAATTTACGTTCTTTTATTTTTTCAGACTGCAGTATCAGCGCATGGATACATAACCAGCAGTTGCAGTGTCACAGCAAGGCTATTCAGAGAGGGTGACTGACCCATTAACTACCATCACCAAAAGACCCTTCAAACATCTGCCAGTTCTGCATTTGACAGCAATGTCCTTCATGAGCTCCCACTCTGCCAGTCAGGTGAAGCCGATGTCTTTGGCGTGAAATGCAGGTTGTATGGCGGGTGATCATGCTGACATGCACCGGAATACAAATAACCTCACGAAGCTTCCTGGGAATTTGGATGTCTGTCAACGACACTTGAATGTGTGGGCACACCTGAAGCTGGTTGGGCTGAGATACTACCGCCAGCAGTGAGCCCAGCAGCGTAAGCTGAGATTCAAGCAAGGCTGCACTCAGCGACCTTGGCTGCGGCAGCGGCTGGTGGTTTCTCTGCAGACGGGTAGCACCTGCATGCATGCGTCGGAAATGGAACAGATCTCTCTTCAAACTCCAAGGTTGCTCCAAAGTATTGCTTTGCAGAGATACATCTGGAACGCTGAATCCAGATGTCTGCGAACCTCAGACAACGAGGGTTGCCAGAATACTGAAAGGAAGGTGCAGGGCTGGAAAACCCTGACAGCTGATGCTTCATGAACGTTGCCTTTTGCCTGGTGCAAAGATAGGATCCCATCAAGATGAAGCACACTTTTGGAGGGCCAGGAAATAATGACATGCAATTGCACAGTGAGAGATAAATATGAGGGTTGTAGCATGCTCTACTTTCTCAGCAAAATTGTGGGTGTTTGAAAATGAGAATGGGATTTTGATAGGCACCTGCGGCTTCAGAGCCCAGGTAGCCTGCGCTGTAGGGGAGGCCTGCCTCCCAGGGGTGGTGCACTGGTCCCCCCGGTGCCCCTACACAGAGCAAAGTGCTCCCAGATCAGACAAATTTCGGCTAACTCTGTCAGTGATTATTGAAAAAAGGGAAATTCTTGAACCATCTTGCCAGGCATGGTGCGGCCCCTTGATGGCAGCACATGGACCAGAGTCTGACGCACTCCTTCCATTGCCAGTGTGTTCCATACTCTTGACGGTGACAGGAGTGCAACAGGCAAAGGCACTTGCTGCCATCAACGGGGTGCACCACGCCTGCATTGCCCTCATTTGTGTGACTGAAATCCTATCTTATACATCCTGTAAACCTATATACTTAGTCCTATACATGCTGTAAACCTATATACTTAGTCCCTACCGCAGGAAAGACTCCTCCGCCGACAGTGCTAGGTGCAAGGTCCAAGCTGCCTCACTGCAGGACCATTACATGGACTCTGGAAAATTCACTTTTTATCACTTTATTGACCATTTTTTTTGAGCAGAAATATAAGTCAAGCTGACCTGCAAAGGCGGCAAGCGCGTCTTCGAGCGGGTCTCTGCCTGGCGCCCACGGCCCCAGAACATCATCCTGCCGGTTCAATACTCTCCGCAGCGCGCCAGCCGCCACGGTCTGCGCTGTGCCTGAATGTGTGCACTCATGCATAAGTGCACGCAGAGAGCAGCACATTTGGCAGTCGTCTTGGCCCTGCCCTGACTTGTACGAGGAAAGGATCAAAAGGGCTAGCGGGTGGTATGACCACAAGAAACCCAAGTATGATCAGTTGCTTTCGGCAGGCCTTCCGTTGAAGCCGTTTGATTTTAAAAACATAGTGCCAAACACCAACCGAAAATACCAGAGTGTGCAATGAAAATATGTTCCACAAATCCTGAAAGGCCAGTATGCCTTCACCAGACATGCTCCTTCCAAACGCTCAAGACCTCACATGTGCTTCACTGTCGGCAGGACATAGCTGGCAACACAATGATGCTTGAATATGCGAGGACTGCTTTACCAAAAAGCTACGCACTTGTCCCGGAAGCCGAGCGGAAGGCGCGCGCGCAGAGCCGCGACAGCGCCTCGTGCTCCATGGCAAACGCGGCGGCGTCCGGCAGCGCCAGGTAAGCTTCCACCAGCCGCAGCTGCAGCTGCGCGGCAGCTGCCACGAATGTCGGGCCGGGACCGGCCACCTTCCCTCGCGCAGCCTCCTGCACATGTTCCAAATTTTGATTTCATCCGCCTCGAAATGCTAACCCGCTCATACCTCGAATTGCACCCCTGTGACGGAAAGTAGCAGTAAAGTATCTCTGCAGGAGGTGAGCATCGGCTATGGAGGTGCTGGGATGGATGTCGAGCGAAGAAGAGCTCATGTGCTGTGCGGACGCGATTGCGCTGCCTTTTGGCAGAAGATGATGCTCAGGCTGACCTGCAAAGGCGGCGAGCTGCTGATGATGTCCAGTGTGGGGGCGAGCAGTGCAGCGATGGTCTCCTGCAGCCTGCATGTGTACATAAAACAGTACTCAAGTCTCTTTACAAGCTAATCCTGGCCATAAATCAGACAGCAAGAACAGCCAGATTGTCGCCACGCACCAAACCTGTTCCTGTCCACAACAATGAAGGCAGACTGCACATTAGTCATCTTGGGAGTGCAGGGGATGACTCACCGGGCGGCCTCGGCCCTCGGCGCCGCGGCGAGTGGCCCAAGTGCGAACGCCTGCAGAAACAAAAACAGTTGTTGTGTACCTTCCTTCAAGCAACGCATCTCGAACATTTCTTCTCCTCTGCTGTGCCAACACCTCTTCTGGTTGCTGCAGATAAAAACAAAAAAAGACAGGAAATAAAACTTTTGCTTGCCGGGATGGGACCGCAAACCTGCAGCGCCTGCAGCGCGGACGCGCGCCACCACATGTGCGCGGCCGCCTCAGTCTCCCAGCCGGGGCTCGGCGCGGCCGCAAATCGGCGCACATCAAGATTCGCCGCCGAATCCGTTCCCAGCGCTGGCTGCCACAGCTCCAGCAGCTCTGCTGGCTGCGCATAATGCAGCGAGCCTCAGTGTGTATGACTGCTTCCTACAAAGAGACGAATACCGGCTGTGCTCGACATTGAGTGCACAAATTGGTGACATGCTGAAAAATTCTCCACCAAGTGTTCCTGGTCTTACTTCCTCCTTTTTCTTTTTCGTTGCAAGGCCATGCTCAAAGCTTCTTGACAACACCTGATCCGACACTTCAACATGGGCAAGAACGGGGTCGAGGTAGACTTCACAACTTTCAAAGTCAGACCTCAACCCCGCGCTTCCTCCCAGTCCAAGAGCCGAGCGCAGGGGGCATCAGGGAATGTTCTGGACAGTAACAGGACGAAAGGAGCTTACCTTGAGCAGTTCAGGGCCGGCATAGACGCAGAGGGCGGAGAGGATAACGTAACCTGCCTCGCGTTCCACCCCTTGCCCGGCTGCCCGCTGGCTGCCGGGCCGCCTGATCAGGCGCTCCGCAGCCGCCATCGCGTCCCGCACTAGCCGGCTTGGCACACCGAGCGGCAGCCTACGATCCCAAAACCCGCTCTAGGTTTTTAAACCCTTCAGCAAAGCTGTTAATCTCTGGTTGGGGCACGCTATCACAAAAGTTTTGAAGCGAGCGATTTGACATCATGTCAGACCCAACCGTTTGGAACGCTTGCACCCTCTGCGCCCATAATCACATGGTGGCACAAGGCAGTGATAAAAGGCAAATCAATGGCTTCTGCTGCCAGCTGAAAGCATACTCCTGCGCAATTTGCTGAAGGACGGGCGTGCAGAACAAAACTTTTAGCAGGCTCTGGAACCATTGAGTTGCAAGATACCGCCAAGAAGAACTATTTTTCTCTGTGAGAAAAGGGTGCAAAAATGCATGCGCACTGCGTAGAGGCGACAAGGAGAGCGGCGGTGCCAAGGGCGCGGCTGTGAAAAGGCATAATAGAACTTGAGCAGGCATTCAAAAAGAAGAGGTGCAGGATCCCGCCGAAAAGATCTACATTTTTCTCATGATACAGAAGAATGACATGCTGTATGGGCAGAAAAGAGAGGAGTGTATTCGCACCGAGTGGAGGCGACAAGGAGCGCGGCGCAGCCGAGGGCGCGGCCATGCATGGCATCCATTACGGGTTTGAGCTTGTCGCGCTCGGTGGCACCCAGGCCGCGGGGGGTCCCGGTCCCCCGAGATTGTGGGGGTTCTGGCGGGGGGTTCTGTGCCCCAAATGGGCCCACCTGTGCATGCATTGTCTTGTTTTATTTCATTGATTTTGATTCCATCACGGAAATCCCTGAGCTCAACCTGGCAAGGCGGCCCTTTCTACAGCTGTGGTGCTCGCATGGTTTCAAGTCTTGTATTTTATCTGTAAGGCATGTGCTAGTAATCGTATTATAAATCTTATGTCGCAGGTGTCGGTGAAGTTGCAGCATCATGCAAGCAGAAGCACAACTATGCACATGCAGCGATTGCACATCACATAGCAAAGATAGTGTCTAATGGGAGGAGTGGAGGGCGATGGGGTTGGGAACGCACCAGGGAGGCAAGCTGCGAGGAAGCTTCCTCCAGGCCTTCCAGCTGCTGAGTGAGCAGGCGGCATGCTGATGAGGGCTCAGCCACCGATAGAGCAGCCAGCGTGGCCGCCGCCTGTCCAGGCAACAACATTCACTTGTTGTTGTACATGTGCCGTTTTCTATAAACAGATGCCAAACACTGATCAGACAAAATGCAGATTTTTCCACAAAAATTCACTATTGAAGGATGCGATGCATACTGCAGCAAGCAGGGATGGTTGTGAGGCAGGGCGCTACTGGAAGGGAACAGCTCTGAGGACAATCCTAGCATGCAAGACGCACTGAGTGCGCTTGGCGTGCACTTGAAATTGACAGCAGATCACAGGAAAGTGCAATGCAGAGTACCTGTGCTCGCAGCAGGGAGTGGCTACTGGTCAGCTTCCAGGTGAGCGGGTCTTGCAGTAGGGCAGTCGTCTCGGGTGATACTTCGCCCAAGACCTCCAGCAGGAGCCCGATGGTTTCCAGCGTCACCACAGCCACCGGCACCTGCCATAACATAGAGTACACACGACTAGGAGGTTTTTTTAGGGATTCAAGGTTGCAGGGTTCACAGAAAGGGCCATTTTGGTGATGTATATTTGTTGAGTGCAATCGTGGATTGTGGTTTGCGAGGTATATTAAGCTTTAAAGGGGACCTGGTACAAAGGATTCTTAAAAGTTACGAGGAGGCACCTGGTCTCCCAGCACACTTGCCACCATCGCTGTAAGCCGCTCCAATAGCAGCCGCTGCGCCATGCAAAGAAAGCAATATCAGTATGGGCATTGAGCCCTGTTGCCGAATGGCTAAATGCACCTGCTATACTTTCAGTCAGGGACTGCAGCCAAACTGCCCATGCACAGAAACGCAAGCGCTGCACACCATAAGCATGGAACAGTGCTTAAGATTGCAGTTTGTGATGGAGACTGTAACCTCTATTATTAAGTTTCGTGCAGAACCAGACCTGATTCATGTGAAGCCACCTTATGTATATCATCACCAGGAAGGCTAGGTAGCAAGTGTCTTGTTGTGCTGAATCGGAACTGAGGAATACAAACCTGAGATATTCCCACACGTCACAGCATGCATGAGGGACAATGCCCACAAGGCATTGTCCCTCATGGCACATTGCCCTGTGCCATGAGGGCTCAAACTGCATTTTGGCCCCTCAATGACACAACGCTCAAGGGACAGATCAACTCCAATCACCTTTGAGTGGTCTAGGCAATGTTTGCTTTGCTAGATGGACCCTACCTGGCCTGTTTCGCCCATCTGCTCGATGACGCCCACGCGCAGCACGTAGAGCACGGTGGCCTGGGCAGCGGGCAGTTCTCCGCTGCCCAGCCCCTGCCCGGCGTCCCCCTCAGCGCCGGAACTGGCAGGGGGCGCCTTGTCTCCTGCGCCGTTCCCTACTTGCGCCAGGACCTCGATCGCCTTCCCCGCCAGATTCACCAGCTCGCCCTCATCCCCCTTCTTCTGCAAGCACCAGCCCAATTCACTCTCAGCACGCTATTTGGAATTTGCATTTGGAACGCTTCATGGAGCTCATTACCACGAGTAGGCGAGCCTGGATACCCACGGCACAGAGCAGTAAGCTGACCTAGTGGTATCAGCAGGGACTATACCGACTTTATTGGCATACACAACCCCGCGGGCTGTGTTGTGGAAATTAACACAGCTGTTACTTTCCGTAACACACGTATATACAAATGTGTGGTTTTCATATCAGGAAGAGGAAGGCAGGAGGCAAAAGATACCTGCACATGGGCCAAGTAGGCGAGCCAGGCCTGTGACAGCGCTCGCAGGGAACGCCGCCTGTCGGTCTTGGCAGCCTCCACAAAGGGGCTGACCAGGCATGTGGTGAACGCGTCACCCTGCAACTTTTCGAGCGCCGCCTTCTTTGCCGGCTTCTTTTCAAGCGCCTTGGCCTGCGCAAAGCAGACCACCGATTCATCTCCTGTGGCGTCGCACATTGCCCTCGTTCCGCTCTCAGTGCAAGCACAAGCAGCTAAGTGTGCGCAAGAGCCGCGCTGATGGCAGAAGAATGGGTTGTGTGGTCCCTTTGATGTTTCGGCTGGCTAACTGAGCTGTTCGGCACTTGAGCAGAGCAAGAGCAAGAAACTTATGGGTCATTTGGCCCTTGCAGAGTCACGAATGGTATGAACAGCAAGCTTGCTTATTTTGATTGGGGAAAAAAGTACGCAGATTCGCCAGCTGATGCCATCATATTCACGAAAAGTCTCTTGCAGAGCAAAAAAAGGCTCAATTCTGTGGTGAGTGTCAGGGGCGGAGCATACGGCATCCGCTGCGGCACATGAGCAATGCAAAAAGCCAGTGAATATCTGAGTCAGATGAGCAGCTAAGTATATTTGGTTCTGTGGTCAGTTTAAGCGCGAAGCCTACCGCATCGGCCGCGGCAGAAGAGGCGGCAGCTGCCACGAAGTCGCCGAGCGCGGCGCCGGCCGCGTCGCCGGCGGCGCAGGAGGGATCGTCCAGAAACGTGATGCACAGCGCGACGGCCTCTTCGTAGGACCGTCCATTAGACGCCCACAGGCCTGCGCCTCCCGCCTGTGCTACCGCCCTCAAGACACCTGCGCAGCAGGGCAGAGGTTGTGTCACATTCTCATACGCGCCGCATGGTGCCTTGTAATAGGCCTCGGTGCTGCTTCTTGAGGCTGCATCGAACAGCATAGCCTTTGTCATCTTCCACAAGCAAGAGAGGCTGCGTTCAACGCACCTGACTGCTGCATTAGAGGTCACATTGCCCTGAAGAGTGACCCCCAACAAAATCTCAATGTCTTCTTCACCCTGGCGGCCAGGCGGTACATAATATATGAATTTTCCAAATTTCACCAAGCAAAACACGTCAGCAAGTGCCGGGAAGGAGTCTCTGTCTGCGCACCGGCCACGGCAAGTCGACACTCCGAGTCGGTGTTTTCTTTGGCGACCCGAGCCACCGCCTTGAGCGCATCTGTCTGCACCCCGGCGCTGTTACGATCCCCCCCGCCCAGGCCCCCCACCACCGCCGCCACCAGCTGCAGCGCCGCAATCCGTAACGGCGCCTCCGACTGCCTGTGCATGCACATATCCACCCACCCTAAGCCCATCGCAACATCGTAGGTATCCCATGTTTGGGAGCACCAACAATTTCACAATTGCAATAATCACATCCCCAATGCTCCCAAACTGTTTTCCAGCTGTGCCGAATAGCCTTTGGATGGCCTCTATGGCAGAGCAATTGCTGCTGACCCCAAGCAGGTAGTTTGACACAGGCACTATGCGCACCAAGATCCATTGAGCAGCAGTCATGGGTATCACATGACAGCCAGAATGATCCTGCGCAGCCTACCCAGCAGGGTTCAGTTGCTCATCCATGTCTGCCTGGACACCCTGGTGGACTGACTGCAGAAGATTGCTTTGTTGTCATGCAACGACCATGTCAGCCGCAAAATGGACACTTTTGCCAGTAAGTACTTGCAGATTTGGACATGATATAGAGAGAAGCAGCTGTGCTCCATCAGCGCACCGGGTTGTGTAATTCTTGTCAGCCGCATCATGAAATTCTTGTGCCAGTCATAAAAACTTGCAGCATTTGCACATCAAATATATACAAGCAGCTGTGGGTGAGCTCACAGGTAAGTGTGAGCTCACAACCAATTGATGGGAGCTCACGTGAGCTCACGGGGCTAAGTGTGAGCTCACGATGGTATGTCATAAGCTCATGGGTAAGTGTGAGCTCACAACCAAAAGATGTAAGCTCACATGAGCTCGCAGGCGAGTGTGCGCACCGGGCCGTGTGTTTTACGCCGAGCGCCAGTGATTCCGGGGCGATGGACGCGAGGGAGCGGCCGTGGGCGGCTGACAGTGCTGCCAGGGCCTGCAACGCCCCCAGACGAGCTGCCAGCGGCAGGCTCCGATTCAGCGCCTCCTGCGCCAGAACAGGCATGGACACTTTAAGGTTCAAACTGTAAGGGGATGACCGCAGGATTGGCTCCTGCACTTGGGCCAGGAGGCCAGCACACCTCTACTAGCACCAACTTGCCAAAGTCCCAATTTTTGTAGAGGGATCAAACCCTGGAATTGTAAAGTGATCGATTGTATTTAAACGTCTCAGTCTGCATGCTTTGTCAGTAACAGACATTGCAGCCAGTGAAGGGAGTGAGAGCCAGCTCATAAACAAGAGCACATCGTGGTGATATTGGTGAGATTGCGTTGCATCCTCTTCTTCGAGGGGTGCGTGCCTTGGATCCCAGGAAGGTTTGGAGCGAGGCGATGCGCGAGTACAGCGGCAGGCTGTCCCCCACCGAGTAGAGCCGTACAAAGCAGGCGCAAATCAGCCGCCTCACCTACAGCCGATTTCACACCATGATAACAAGCCAGATCCGGAGTTTGAGCGCCACCAAAACACACCAAAATGTCCCTGAATCGCATTAATGTTTGGTTTGATTGGGGCAAAAGCTGGAAGAAACTTGCATGTCTGGTGCACTTGTTGGCAAAAGCACCAATCACGTCAGTCACGCAATGTGTTCCAATGCTTGTCCCAATGTGAGCCAAGGGTTGTCACGATTCACACCACAGGTTGCTCCCATGCAGACCAGTGCCCTTGCGCAAATGGGCATGCGTTAATGAGACCGGCCATGAGCTGGCCGTGCTAAGTTGCACGCACCGGGGGAGCAGTGCCCTTGAGCAGGACGCTTTCCAGGGCATCCTCGCAGCGGCGCTGGTACTCTCGGATGCGAGCCTTGTCGCTGCTCTCAATGGTGACCTGCAGCTTCTGCAGGAGCTCCATTGCTGCCACGGGATCCACGCTCTGCTTTGGGCCCCTGGCCTGCCCCACCAGCAGCTCCAGCTCTGCCACCCAGATGTGGAATCCCAGAGCCTGCAGGCAGAAATAATCCACCCTGCGTGAGGTCTGACGCCTACCAGAACAGCTCGATTGCATCTGCTTTTGCAGGACCACCAATTGGTGGTCGATACCAGGCAACGATTGCGATGCAAGATGATATTTCATCTGAATTGTGCAGTATGAGTTATCTGATGCACCTCCTCTTCGTCCACATAGTACTGGGTGTTGGGAGCTGTCTCATCAGGGACGTCCGGCACGGCAGGGAAGTCGTCAAATGCGGCAAAGTCCTCCATGATCCAATAAGTTGAATGAAAAAAAAGTATCAGACAGGCCTCATTGGCTGATAAATTTATTTATCATAGTTTATTGAATTCACGACACGGGTAATGTCCTATTGGATAGGGCAGCAGGGCCTCGAAGATCCCTTCAGTGTAATTTTATCAATCGCAATACTGCACAGACATTTTCTGATGTCCCTTTGCAAGTGTCTGGCAAACTGCTAAGGCCGATGGCGCCGTACTGATCACTTCAATCCATCGACGCCCTCACTTCACAAACAGATTTGATTTTCAGTCTAGTAAAGCATCGAATAAGCACAGATAAACTGCACTATTTTGCACCCATTTCTTTTGATCTGAGGCACACATTCGTACTTTGATGGGGTGTTGCCAGTGTTGGCTTTGCATGAAGCTGGCTACAGGTTGACGACCCTGCTTGATGACCATTCCTGTCTTAGCAAATTGAAAAGGCAAAATGATGATCAGAATGCTCATCGTTAATTGACTGTGTACAAGCACCTACTTTGCAGTCTGGTTGAATGATTCGGGGGCATCACTTCCATCGCAGCCCTTTGTCCCAGGTAGTTCCTCTTGAAGGCAGCGATACTGTGCTGGGGCTTCGTCAGATTGACTCTCTCAGTAGAGCTGAAAACCTCAAACGATCTCTAGGAGTGACTGGAGGTGAGTACCTAGGCATCCTGGCATGTTTTCAATTCTTGGTGGTGTCTGGCTCAGGAGATCTTTAGGGACTGACCATGTTTGCTTGTTAGGAGTACGGCAGCAGTACGCACGCTATAAGGGCCCCTATTTTCATCAATTAACCCCAGAGCATCTGAGGCAGCCTCCAAAGGCGTGGCTAGAATTTCTGTGCGCCTCAAAGAGGGGATCTGATGGGGTTGCTTACAACCTGCCACTGCACATTTCAATGCTGTGCGAGAGAATGGAGGAGAACATTATATTCTACTTGGTGCGCAGCCACCTCCCTGGCGAAGGTTCCACATCGAAACGCCCACATACTGAAACGCCATTGTGTGCTTCTTTTCACGTCCTTTGTTCTGACATCTGCCTTGGCCGTGCAGGGAAACTACGTCACGATACTGGCAGCCTTTGGGCTACACATACTGTAAGCCGCACACCAGACTCTCATGGAATTGTCGTTTGAACACTGTTTGGCTTTTTTGCCATGCCTTCTGCAGTACTGAGGAAGCTTGCGAATGGACGTGGCATGCATTGCAGGCTGCAGCACCCGTGGTGCATCGTCAGCCTTATAGCCTATATTGCAGCGGAGTCCATCAAGGCACCCGCTGCGGATCAGACTGCCAACAGCCAAGCAGACAGTGACACCCAACAACAGGTCCAGCCCTGCCTACATGATCTCTGGAGGGGGATCATGGCAACATGCTTGCAACCACCTCTTCCAATATGTAGTAATCTCTTGGCTGCCAGCAGCTCTATTTGGGAAGCATGTTGGTCTGGTCCTTTGCTGTTCAGACAAAGTGAAATGCACACGATAAGGCAGTGCAAGCGCCAGAGACCAGAGGAAGGGCTGCCTCGAAACTGAACATCATGCAGCAACAACACAGTAATCCCCCGGCCCTGCGGCACTAGATGACCACATTGCATGCTCATAAGACTATTTCGCCTGGACTTTGACTGGGACGTGCTCGACTGTCATGCAGGCGGCACAGCAGGTCCAGAGAGGGGCGGGGACAGGGATGAACAACCAGGACGTGCGATGGGCTCTCCTGATGTTTGCCTACGTGGCATTCTTCTTTGCCGGCTGTGGCGCCACTTTCCTGCGCTGCATACCTCTCAGCGCCACAGTGCTTGTGCTGCATGCTGCGCTGCGCCGCGCGCCCTCGGAGCACTCCGGCCGCAACGTTCTGGGCGTTCCCTTCAGGTGCTGTGCTGCCGCATTGTTTGGATTGTTAAAGTGACTTCCTTTGCCCAGTGCATGCGACCAGACTCTGGACCCCTTGAATGGAGATGGATCTAAGTACTGTTACAGGGCATGGATGAGAGGGATGCAAAGTCTCCCTGGACGGCGTTCAAATTTATGGGTATTAGTAGATGGAGAGTGGACAGTTTCGAAGGGGCCCATCATCTGGGTTGCCAACGTTATTGCCACGCTTTTGCCATGTTTTTGCCAACGTTTTTGCCGCAGTGCTTAATTTGGCCTCTTGGCTTTGGATTTGCCGGCTCTTGATCAACAGACACAACACTGATACTCTGTCTCCCTGCTCTATGCCCCCTGTTTGTCATGCTCTGGCCGGATTGTCAGACCATCAAACCCAGCAATGCCAGGCACCATTGTTCACAAAAAGGGATGAGTACATTGCTGGTCCACTGGAAAGATCTTCTACCCTTTTCAGAAAGCCACACGCCACTTGTTATGGGGCCTGACCTAAATGCGTTTTGCATGCAGGCGAGTGTTTGGTTGGAGGGACGGGAACGCTGACGAGACCGCAGACCCTCACAGGCTCTTCAAGGAACTGGGCATGGCAGCGGGTGTGACTGCGCGCGATGCAGCGCTGTACTGCTGGCATTCTCTGGAGGACAAGGCCTGCTCTGTGTGGCAGCGACTTCGCCCCAGAAGATACCTTGCATTCCCCTGATGCCTGTGTTGCTTCAGTTGGGCCTGCACCTTCGAGGCAGCCCTTCATTCCTTCATTGGCGCTCGCTCTGTCTTCATGTCTGCATTTTCTCTCGGCTCAATAAATTCCTAATGACGCTGGTCTACCAACAATGCTGGTGTGCACATGATTGAGCAGAGACCCGTAGAAGAATGGATCTATAGCAGATTAACAGGAAGGATCATGCCTTGGAGGGATTGTCGTTGAGAATGTGAACGCATGCGCAAGAGGTCTTTAGGAACTGTAAATGCCCAGATTTGCATCCTCGCAGCACTGTTTGCCTGTTTTTGTATGCCATTGCCCAGCTTGTCAATAGCCAGAAGAATGACGTTATTGACTGCGACTAACTTTCACTTTCAAGTGATCCTGTACAGTTACAATAAGAGGAGACTGGATTGGACTGGATTACTTTAAAAATGAGCAGTAAATTTCCACACAGCATAATTTTATCATTTGCCCAGTGGGAGCCCGTTAGCCTTTATCATACCTAAATGAAATCCATGAATAGATTTGCCTGTGCTCATTCCAGAGTTGTACACGATTCATGCCAGACGACGACAGTCTATAATGATGGCACACTGCGTGTTGCCTTTGTCCGGCCTTTGAAAGCCATATTTGTACAACCCTTTAAAACAATTGCAATGCCACGCATACATCAATCTAAGCAGCGTTTCTCTGCAACGATGATGTATGACTCTTCTGCAGGCTTGGGGAGTCATTACAAAAGCGTGGTATCTTTGGCATTTACTTTCATGGCCACATCCGTCCCATCCTGACAACAAATGCATTTGCCTGATCAGGCGCTCGCCAGCCTGTCGATTATGGCCTGCACATTCCTGTTGGGGACGAGCTCTGGGCGCATGAACGCCTTAGTCACATAGGAGACCTTTCTCCGTGACATCCACTGGGTAATCGCAGCCCTCTCGTATGTGATACCATCCGCTGCAATCACCGGCTCCTGGATCAGATCCTGCACACCCACAGACGATTTGCATCACACCACAGTGACTCCTTTCAACAGTATAATATGAAACCACCTTATACTGGATCAGGACAACGAGTGCTTAGTCACATGGAAACGAAGGACAGTCAATGCACTCTGCATTGTGTGCAGGAATGGCATGCTTGGGGGGCATCTTCACAATGCATGCATGGAGTGTATGTGCAAGTGCGTGTACACACAGTCTGCGCAGTGCAATCATTGTTCAAGAGGGCATGGGTTCATGACGCGATTCAAGGCGCCACAGGTTTGCTAGAAGATATGTTGGATTTCCACAGGCTGTGCCTGCCAGAGGCCAGGTGCGTCTGCAGACAAGCTGCAGGCAAAGTGCACATATTCTACCCTCTGATGGACTTGAGAAAATGGCTGTGCAAAAATAGCGCACCTTGGTGATGGGGCAGCACAACGGCAGCAGCATTTCTGCTGCCATGTCAGCGCCGCCCATCGCAGCATGCATCTTCTTCGCCCGGGGGCCGAAAGCGCGGCCGACGGCGGCCGCCTCTCCTGAGGCGATCCCGTCCTCTCTCACCCCCGGCAGGTCCTAATGAGCAATAAATTCCATTCAGGGACAACACGCCTCAAGGAAGGGTCAATAAACTTAACTTTTCAAGATCCAGTAGCAGAGGGGAGAAAAGACTACCCGTCAGTAGTACTCTTTGTACACCCTGCAAGAAGTGAATGCAGGGTTTATGAGCTATATCGACCCATTAAGAGACACACAAAACAATGCTTGCTTACCGCAGCTGTGCTGGTGTGCCCTGCCGTGCTAACACTCCCTGTCTGCTTTCTCGCAGCATGCTGCCCTGTGCACAGCCTGTGCAGCAGCGACAGCCGCTGCTGCTGCCTTGGCTGCATGGTGTTCTCCGGTGGCCGCATGCCCCCCAACTCCTGCAGGCAAAAGGCAGCTCAATCACAGCTGCACACTTGAACAAGTCCTTGCTTCATGTTGCGCAGCTTCAGACACCGCGTGCTGGCAGAGTGTAGACGAGGACTCCTCATGTGCGAGGGTGAACAAGTACAGCAACTTTTACTTGAGCGTTTCTGTTACTAGTCAGTGATGCTAGTGGAATTCTTCATGACAGAAGCACCATCCCAAACAGCCTGGAGACAGGGAGTGGATGTGGGTGTTCGCACCAAATGCTGCTGCAACTGCTGCTGCTCGGCTGGCGGGAGGCTTGCGCCGTTGTCCGCTGCCTGCGATGACATCTCTGCTGCGCTGTCAGACTGCTGCTCGGAGGGGGCCGTCTCGGAGGGGGGTCTGCTCGAAGAGACGGCTGCGCCAAAGAGACTCGACAGCAGCTGTCCGACAGCCGCCGGCACGCGCGCTTCGCCCGGCTCCGCTGAGTCAGCTGCTGAGCTGGCAGCTGAGCTGGTGGCTGCGGGGGGCTGAGGCGCGTCCGAGCCGCTGAGTTTGTCCGGCTTGGAGGGAACGCCGTTGAGCTTGTCCAGGGTGGCGTCGACTGAGATAGGCACAGGGTGAATCAACTCGGAGGGCAGGCTGCCGAATCGCAGCGGCGTGGCCGGAACAGAAATCTCCGCAGAAGCATCTGCAGGAAAATGGAAAGAGACCATTGTCAAAGACCCAAGTATCAGAGACTGTGGAGCAGAGCCCCCTTTTCTCCATTCTCAGAGTGACGGGTTGCCCATCCTATTGGCAACAGCATTTGTGAGCCCTGTGACTCGATGCCTGATCATTGATCTTGCATCTTTTGTCTTTTGGAAAGAATAAGCAGCACATAGTGGTCTGGAAGGTGTAAGGAGAGAGTCACCTGCTGGCCCCAGGTCTGATGGTAGGCTGTGCACGGGACCAGGAGTGTATCTGACATCCTGGCTCGGCAGTGCCTTGGCAGGCTCCTGAATAGGCGCCGCGCTCGGCGGCGGCCGCCGCTGCAGCGCCGTGTTGGCGGCCGCCTCGGCCGTGGCGCGCGTCGGCCGCGCCGGGGGCGGCGCGCGATTGTGCACGGGGTCTGCGATGCGCGCAGAGGAGGGTTTCGCTGCCGGCGGTGGCACTGGCTGTGAGAGCTGTGAAGGAGGGGCTGTACGGTGCTGAGGGAGGCCTGAGATGCGCTCTGAAGGAGGCTTTGCCGCAGGTGCCTGAAACACAGACATTGCGAGAAAGTCAGTTACCAATTGATGAACGCAGCCAACTTCTCACATGCTTAAACCTGCTTCAAATTGTATGTAAGACATGGATTGACTGAAATTGCGGTTCCTCTCATTTGTATCCTATGACTCCCTGAATATAGACAGACACTAAATTTTGAGTGGAACTCCGTTTGTACGGCATGTAATACTCTCAACGGGACAATGTCAAATCCCATCTGCTCAATCCAGAGGGCTGGGCACTGCTGGCCGTCTTGGGTGCGAGCAGCACCTGCAGGGCCAGCGGCTTCTGTGCGGCCGACCATATTGACCCCTGTGGCTGGCCCGCGTTGGTCGTTGTGTGCTGCGCAGGCACCGCCGCTGCCGCAGACGTTGGCGCCACGGCCGCCATGGGCCGCACAGGCTGCACCAGGCTTTCCAGCTTCTGCTGCAAGAGCGGCGTCTGCTTCGCCGCCGCCTTTGCCTCGGTGGACTTTGCAGCTGAGCGCCTTCCGCCGGGCGCCAGGCCGAGCGCCTGCATGATCTGCGCGCTGGCCCGCTCCACCTGAGTTACCCATTTCTATTTCAGTTTCTTTGACAGGAGGTATAAACAATAGTAAGCCTGGGCTCTCTGATGCAGACGCAGGCTACAACATACAAAGCTGCAACCAGAGTGGGCTCAAGTCTGCTACCCTGAAGCACAGAATGAAGATTTTCAAGGTGAGCAAATGCTTCAGAAAAGATATGCAACACCAGAGTAGCATACATTGTGAGATGCATCAATAAATTCATGGTGGGGTCTCACCTTGGTGGGGTCTGCGTTCCCCGACGAAGCGCCAGACCTGGCCTCCTCCGCCAACTGTCCCCGAGAGACCGCATCCCTCGCCGGCCCCGGCTGCACCGCCGGCCTGGCCGATGACACGCCAATAGTCATCGCAATGCTGGACGATGGCTGCGCCGCAGGAACGCTCCTGCGTGCGGGCACCGGCGGCGGCGGCTGTCGCTGCGCTAGAAGCCGTTCCTCCGGAGTCTGCTGAACGGCAGCGACGTTCCTCGGTGGCGCGGTTGGAGCCCTGGACTGCGGCTGCAGCTGCCTGGCAGCTGCCGCGGCAGCTGCCGCGCCGGCTGACGACAGCTTCACCTGGAAGCCCTGCAGCTGCCGTGGCTCCGGCTGCCGAGGCGCTGGCGCCTGCTGGGGAGTCAGGACAGCTGCTGATGGGCCCCTCTGAAGGCCCTCAGCTCGGGCGAGCGGGGCAGTGGCCCTCTGCTGAGCCTCCTGCAGTGGGGACGGTGGGGGCTGTGGAGTCTGCTGAGACACCGTCGGGAGCCGTGGAGGCGGCAAATCTGTCGAGCGGTCTCGGCTCTGCGGATCTGCACCTCTGGGCGGCGTGACCAGCGCGCGGCCGCTCTCCTGCGCCTTGACAGCGGTTTCAGCCCCTGCCTGCCCCTGTTTCTGCGCTGCTTCGGCGGTGGCCGGCGAAGGCGGCAGCAGCGGCGGCTGCGGCAATGCTGCGCCGCCGGCCGGCGCATGCGCCAGCCGCGGCGGCGTGACGAGGGCGCTCTGCTGCATCTTGGACACCCAAGCCAGCTCCGCCGGCGACAGCGCCCGAGTCGGTGGAGCCCCGGAGACGGCACCGGGCCGCGGCGGCGGCGGCGGCGGCGGCTGTGGCTGTGAGAGCGCAGGGCGCTTTGCGGCTGCGGCAGCCAGCAGGGACGACTGGGGGCTCTTGCCATTTGGCCGCAGCGTTCCCATCGGCAGCACCATTGCCGGATTTTCGTCTTCCACTGCTACCTGGGAGCTAGCAGGCGCCTGACGAGGCAGAGCAACCCCGCTGCTGGGCTCTGCGCCGGTGCGTGCTGCCGGCACCGGCTGTGCGGAACATACCTCGCCTGCTAGCTGCGGCTGAGCCTGCTGCGATGCAGGAACCACCCTCTGGGGTGCGAAGGGCGTGGCCGGGCGAAGCACAGACTGCTCTGCCCCAGACGAGCTGTCCGAGGAGCTCTTCGGCTGCGGCCGAGGCGGCTTCACCTGCCTGGTCTGCTGCAATGAAGGAGGACCCAACTCCTTCGGCTGCGGCCGTGGCATCAGCTGCTGCAGGAAGTCTCCGACACCACCTTCTGTAGGAGTGCTCAGGTGCTGATTTGCGCTGACCAGGGCCGCGGCGGCGGCCACGCTTGGCGGGCCGACGGCTGCCGGGAATGCTGCCGCAGACGCGTCCGCGGACGCTGGCGGCGTTTCCTCCGCTGACCGCTTGGGCAGCGCGGTCTGCACACTGCTGCCTGGAGCCGCAGTACCGATCCGCCGCGGCGCGGCAGTGACCGGGGGCGCACCAGCGCCGCCGCTGCCGGCGCGGGCCGGGCCGTCGGCCGTGGTGGCCGGCGCAGTCACCGGCGCGTTCCGGTCGGCTTCCTCCTCCCAGGCAGCTGAGACCTGGTGATCCAGCTTGGACTGTGCCTGCTGCGGTAGCGACGCATAGCTGGCGCTGCGCTGCGCGACCACTCTGCACTTTGACGCCTGCGCCTTGCTGGCAACCCGCCCGCTCAATCGGCCCAGCCACTTGTCGACCGCAGAGTCCCAGGCTGCGTCAAAGGTGCCTGGCTGCCCACTGGCGCTGGTGATCTCGCCGTTCGCTGCACTATCGGCCGCAGCTTCAGAGGAGGAAGGGCTGCTGCTCTGCTGCTCTGCTAATTCTTCCTCGGATGAAGTTGAGCTGTCGTTTGCATGAGATGGGGTGGTCTTTGCTGTAATGCCTGCAGAGGAGTCCTCACTGCCGTCTGGCCGCGGTGTGGCCTCCTCAGCAATTTCTGCGGATTTGCCATCGTCTGAAGAGCCGGCATCGCGGGGGGTACTGTGCTCGGTACTGCTGGCGGCCTCCTCTATGTGCGCGGTGTCAGCCTCCAGCAGATGCTTCCAGTTGCCCGCTGATGCGTACTCGGACTCCCAAGCCGTGTCCTCTGCACACTCAGATATGCAACCTACTTAACGGGTTAGGATTTGATGTTTCGCAACAATGTGGTGATTAAGATACACATGCGCACTTCAATATGCATGCACGACTTTGCAGAAAATGGTGGGTCATTAGGCCCAAGGCCCCATATGTGATGCCAGCTGCTGAGTACCTTCAGTCTTCCCAGCAAAATCACGACAGGGCGTCTGTGGCGCTGGGATTATTTCTCAAAAAAGTGTGTCTCTTCTAGAGCAGCTGAGCTAGGGAGCGCACCTTCTTCTGGGGGCTCCTCCATTTTCTCTTCCTGCTCCTTCTCTTCCTTCTTCTCAGATCGGCCGCCGTTGCAGAGGGATTGTGCCTTGGCCCTTTCCTTGGCCTGCTTGGCGCGCTTCTTCTGGGCCTTGGACTGAGCTTTCTTCTTTTCCTCCAACTCTCCCTCCAGCAGCTCGTTCATCAGCTTTGCTCGGTGCTCCTCTGTCTGCAAATTCCCATGCATTTTCCTTGTAATCTCAAGTATCCAGTGCATGTGACTATGAAGCATTTCAAGCGTGCTACAATTGTTTGTTTCTTAGCCCTATGGGCTGTCACAGCCGTGTCTAAAACCATTTATTATAAATCGGTCAGTGTGCAAATGCACGGCATGGAGTGGAGTCCGGTAAGCGCCCACCAGGGACTGTGCAGTCTTGAGCAGGCGCTTGTAGATGGTGCCATAGTGCATCAGCTCGGAGTGCTGCTCCCTCAGAGATGCTGCGCCCTCTTCGTAGCACTCCTGGCACTCGCGGTGGCTCTCTTTCACTGCCTTCTGCAGCGCGTGCACCTGCGCCAGGCACAGTGTCAAGTAAACATTTATGCCATCTGCTTCCTTTGCATGCGTGCATGCATGCATACACGCAATTATTATTATTATTATTTATTATTATTATTACACGCTTTTCCTGCCAAGAGGCAAGGTGCGTCCTGCAGACAAGCTGCAATTTTAAAGGCTGCCACAATCCTACCCCTTATTGGACTCGTCAGATCCAAGCAAGACCCAACTAACCGTGGGCACGGTGCTCAGTATCTGTACCGCCCCCCGCCAGCCGGGGCCACGCAATGAGGTGGTGAATAATATTGTAGCCCATGAGTCTTGAAGGACCGGTGGTGCTCGCTCAATGCATGCTCACTGCCACTGGGGGTAGGTCCACTGCTGATCCCCTCTTGCTGCTTGTGTTTCAGGCAGGCTATCACGACTTTGCACAGATGTTGAAAGGAAATGAGTACGCAAATAACACGGAAAATGGAAGGGGGGCAAGAGCTGCCTTGACCACAGGCACTGTCATTGGCAACCAACAGAGAGCGCATGCGACCGCATGCCCTGCTGTCACTGGCCTAATTGATCTGTGTGTCCGTCCTCATAGCGAATCGGGCATATTTCATCTATCATTGTGTGAGGAATCTATTTTGCTTGCAGCTGTCCTTCAACAGACTTGCATGGTTCTGTGTTGTCACTACCTATCATGCTGCTCTAGATTCAGATCAACAGAGCCGGTGCAGATGGACTCCACACATCCAACTCCCTTCCAGACGTATCTTGTCATGCTGAGAGTCATTGCATTGCATGCAGAAGAAAAGGCAGGGGAGAGGCACCCACCTCCTTCTCACTGACAATGAGACGTTTGACTGCGCCGTCCTGATCATAGGCCGCCTGCAGTGCCTTGACTCTATCGCTGACATCATGCCGGTATTCCTCGATGAAGTCAAAGTCTGTATTCTCCTGCTCCATGCACCTGCCGCCCACATGAGCAATATCAATAATCTTGATCGATTACTGATCACTACCTTTCTGCACCAGCGTCGTTTGGATGCACCCTAGAATGCAGTATGGGCATTGCGCCGGGCTTGCTTGGGCGAGACGAGAGCCTGCATTCCAGCCATGAGCATGGGATGCACGAAAAGATCCCATGCCTAATGCCCCCAATGAGCAGCAGCCTGCCAAAGGTAGAAAAAGAGACGGTAGTTAATGTGTGCTGAAAGGATGAGGCTGACCTGCCCTTGTGGACCTTGAGCTCTTTGCTGATGTCCGGGAGAATGGCAAATGCATCGTCTGCATCCAAGCAGTCAATACCCACTTTTTGAGCTTCCACTATGGCCTTGGCAATCTCTTTGCTCTGGCCTTCCAGGTCGATCATGAGCTGCTTCACATTCCTGCAGCACACATGCTCTAGAGCTGAGTACATGGTACAGGAAATCGTCAGAATGCATGTGCAGAGTTTCGGTATGATGAGGGGTTTATTTAGAAAAGCACCTCAGACACTTGCGATAGCTGCCTGCGGCCCTGTTCATTTTGTCCCCTAAGTCCATAGAAAGACTCTTGGAAGCTGCCCAAGACGTCTTTCCTGTTGGAGGATCCGCCATGACCAATGCCCTGGACGTGCACACCTTCTCCACACTGCCTACCCCAAGGCTTACGAGATCACGAAATGATCCCAACATACAAGTTCACAATACATTGTCCAATTGAAGTATCAATGCGCTGGGCTGGAACGACACAGGCTGCAAGTTCCAAGCAGCTGATCTGATCCACTTATGTTTGATTCCAGGCGCGCCCCTCAATCGAATTGTACCGAATTGCCCGTTTTACGAATAAAAAGTAAGATAGCGACGCGATGCTAGGGTCTACGAGAGCGCGATCATTCTAGACGCATACTTTGGCGGCACATCGCAAACAATCACTTGGCAGAATAGTGAGAGTTACGACAAAGTTGGCCGCAAGTAAGCTTCCCAGTCAGGCCTTGTCCTGCCTGGATGCATTTCCTACCAATTTGCCAAGCGTAAAGATGATGTGCGACCATCCTTCGCCCTGGAAGAGAAATTGTGGTGACATCATCAATGGTGCTGACGTTTCCAACGCCACGTCATCAAAGAGACTGTGGAAGCCAATACTGTTTGGTCCTAAGACGATGTAATGAAGGAACAAATCGGAACCTACACTGCAAAAGTGTGGATCAAACATGCAAGAGATTTTTCCACATGCATGAACGGACTTCCGTCTAAATGACTGCACCTGCGGCAAAATTTGTTGGGCAAATATGACCTGCACGTGCACCACAGTTTCCCGGGAGCTGATGCCACTGCAGAGATGGCCATGGCATTGATGGCTAGATTTATCCCACTCGGTAGTAATGACACGGCTCTGGAAGCCACGGTGTCACAATCAGTGCCCCATATACATTTCATATATATGATTCCACAGGCCAGTACTTGCAATTTTCAGACTGCAATGGCATGATGTCAACAGCAAACGGACGCTCTCAGGCAATGGCAATTCAAGCTCAGCCTATTGACAAAGACAAAAACAACGTCAAGAAGTATTCTATGCAAGATCGTCTCCAGTCCATCTTCAGCTTGGCCGGACTGGCGGCTTGCTCTCATTCCGCTCTACTGAGCCGCCGACCTTGGTATATGGATCGGTGGTGATAGCGCCTTCATTGGGCAGAGACCATATTCTAAATGCTTGCTCGCCACTCAGCGAGGGCCCCGGTGGGAGCCGAGCCGCCTCCACATCGGCGCTAGACACCCTTGCCTCCGCATTCCCTCCCCTGGGCGACCCCATTTTCAACCCCCGCAGCAGCGACGAGAAGCTCACCCGGCCGCCGCCTCTGCGCATACAGGAACTATATGTAAGCTTGCTGAGGAAACTTGAAGTGATCTATGTTTCAACAAGCTGCCAGATGCCTGAACTAACACAGTAAGCTACACGGAGAATAGCCCTCCAACATCCCAGCTGCCCCTATTTCCCAATGTCAAGGTGTCAGTCAGTCACTTGACGTCGCTTCCTGAACTGATATTGCGACTCCCATGATCATGCTCAGCACCCAGCATTACGTGCAAACTCTTTGAAACTCTGAGACTGAGACTTGCAGCATCAGCGGCAAGATCATCCTGCTAGGACACACAACGGCAAGAGGGAAACATTTTGGATGCATGCTGGCATACCTTGACACCCCTTGTGGGGTCCCCCGGTCGGAGGAGGCAACGCCGGGTATGGGCGCCTCGAGGTCCCCCCCGGATCCCCCCGCCAGCTGGACGGCGCTGCTGCTAGGTGTGCTGGGGGTACTGCCCAACGCCGTCGCAGACGTTTGAAATTTCGAGATATCTTTCTGCCCCAGCAGAGGCCCCTTGCGCGGCGTGTCACCCGGGTCCTCCAGATTGCTGCACCTGGACAGCGCAGCAGAAAAGTTCAGGCTGGGCGCGATAGGCACCAGGAGAGTCATGCTGCAAAGTCTGCATTCAACTATCTTGCAGCCTCTGCTGCTATGATCACCAGGACATATAGAATGCAAAGTCTGGAGGTCGACCATCATGCAGCCTCCGCTGCTTTGGTGCATCACCAGGTCTGTGCAAGAGTCAGAGTCTCTTGAGCATCTGTAACTGCTTGGGAGATACAATATTCTGGAAGTGACCTGCTGCATGCATCAAGCCATAAGATGCACTTGTCTGAGCCCGTCGAAGCTTCCAGCGGCATTTAAAGCCTCCATGTAGGCCGTACAGGGTATGTCACAATGTTGCAGTGTCCAGTGGTGCAAGCAAGATGCGCACCTGATCACCCGGTAGCAGTCCTCCGAGGTTGCAGGCGCGTACACAGAGCCGCCGCATGCGTACATGGCCAGGCCGGCCGCCACCAGTGCCAGAGCCGCCGCAAATGGCACCGCCGAGCTCTGAGGGAAGCCCCCTGCAAACATCCAAATCAGATCAGCACAATGTTGCCAGAAAGCCACAAACAGCCTTTCACATTGACACTGCAGGATGACATTAATGCACCCAGAAACAACTGGGCACCCTTATTTCAGACTCATCAATATTTCGAGATTTCAATGATTACCATCAAGGCTCAATATGATGCCCTCCATGTCATCAAGGGTGCCTTTCCTTGTTCTCCATCGATGGGAGACGCATCACCATGTTGCTGTGACTTGAAAGCCCAAATTGGGAATTTTTGTCAGGGACCCACCGAGCAGGACGCTGCGTGCAAGGGCAGCCCACAGATTGGAAGACAGCAGGGACAGGTTCAGGATGGCTGCCCCGCTCCAGTTCAGGACGCTGGGCACCAGGGAGTAGAATGCAAACAGCGCTCCGGTGTAGCCCGCCAGCAGCCCGATCACCTGCAAGTTGCCATCAAATGTCACCTCTCAGCAGGCAGGCTGCATCTCTGCTTGAAGCCAGGAGTGAATGCAAGACAAACTAGGCGCATCAGGAGAAAGGGCTGCCTCGCGATTTTTGATGCAATGCGTGCAACATACAAGACATGCTCCGGCATGAGCAGGCTGCTATGCAGTACCAGTGCTGTGTGTCGCTGCTGGCAGCAAACAATGCATGCCTCGCTCAGCAGTCAGACAGTTCCAATCAATGGCGTGGACAAGGGAGGAAAGGTTTCAGGCAAAGAGGATACCTCGGGAGTCCAGGTCATCGTGCGCAGTTGCTTGCCCTCAAACGCAGCTGCCTGGATGCTGCTCCATAGGAACCCAAATGTACCCATGAGCGCCAGCACCTCAATGACGGTGCTTTTGCCTGCATTGCCACCCCCATGCACAGTCAGCACATTTGTCATTTTTCACAGACAAAATGCTTAAACTCAATTACCGACCACAACAGCCCTTGTCCTTCTCTTCTGCTTGTTCATGTGTTGGGCACCAGGTTCTGGGTGTTAGTATAGCAGCCGGCTGGAGTGTGCATTGGTCTCTGGGAAGGCTACTTCAGATCACTCGCCATTTGGTCCCAGCAGTGCGGTGAAAAACGAAAAAAAGGTGCGCATGACAAAAAAGTGCCGGCGGGGAGATTCGAACGCACGCAGCAGCTTTTCCTGGGCGACGTTGCACGCCGCGTACGCAAGCGCGCCCAGCAGCACGAGGCAGTCTCCAGCGAGCGGCTGCTGCTGATCCGATTTTGGCGCGCTCACATCTGTGAGCACTAGCAACGCCAGCGAGCCGAGGCACAGCGCCGCGCCAAAGCAGTGCAGCGGCCGGTAGCGCGCGCGAAGGAATGCCCACGACCTGTTTTACAAATAATAACAGGTCTCAGAGAACAGTTATGTGCATTAAAATTAAGCAACTACAGGCCACATTTGCCCAGCCGATCTAATGTAAGGCAGTCTGCAGAACGGAGGGACAAAATAAAGACAGGACAATAGAACAGTGCCCTTGAGGTCACAATGACGTGAGGAATCGCAACATTGAACTTGGCTTGTTGCCACTGAACTTTAGGATAGAATTAGGGCGCCCACAGGATGAAGACGCAGGGGACTGTGAAGGAGTTGAGCAGCTGAACGCTGGTCAGGAAGGTGTATCTGAATGCCAACACCTGCACACACATGCCCACTCGTGAACAGATACATTCTTTTGGCATTCAGCGAGCCTGTAATTGCTAATGTGGCACATATGGTGTCCTGACAAACAAGATCGAGACAACGAAGTCCTGGCAGCATGTGTGGCAGCGTATGGCTCACCACCAGAAAGTTTCCCTCAACATCGAGCAGTGAAACCGCTGCATAGCTCGTCCATGCGTTGACAGGTCGGACGCGCTTGGCCAGCAAAGCTGTGCCATACACTAGAGACAGTAGGGCGTAGTTCGGCACTGTCTGTGTGGCTGGCAGTGAGACGCCCTGCAACCAGCATGCATCATCACAGCGGTGTGCATTATGCACAGAGGATATTGCGTGAGACTTCTCCGCTAGATGAACTATGTGCGTGAACAGCAACTTGACCCAAAATAGCGATGAATCTCAACAGCTGAAGCACCGAGCCTGTCGTGGGGGTTGCCTACCTTGGTGACCAGCAGTGAGGATATCGTGCCAGACAAAGCCAGCAGGAAGGAAAGGAGCTGGCCTAGCAAAATGGCCGCAAAAACCCTCTCTTTCTTGGGCTCATGCCCCTGGTCTGGTGAGGCCAGTGCGGCCTTGGGCGTGTCAAAGTACCTGTCGTCCATGCATTCCAGGCGGTCACAGCTCTCAAGAACTTCCCAATGTCCTTGTCCGCGATATTTTCTTGACGCAGACAAAGGTACGGGGATCGGGCGGATGTCCGTTAAGCGCTTCCACAACGCCCGGAAGAAGCAAACGTCCTCAATGTGCTACAGGTGTTTGCATAAGACGCTTCTGCACCCACAATGCCTTCCCGATCGTGACATCGATCGTCGATGATCCGCATCATGCGAACTCGCGAGAAAAGGCGAGGAACTTCGCACGTGCGCTTCCACGTGCCGACATAGATGATTCATCTGCTTGCACAAGCCCGGAAGCATGGAAGGAGGCCTTTAATGTGCTCTTTATGCTTGTAAGACTGTAGCACTGACATGTATTGCAAGTGCACGAGAATATTCAACAAACACAACATAAACTTCGATTCGGATCATCAATCCTGGACGACTGTGGTGGATCTGCTAGGATATACTTCTGCAACCTATACAATCTTCGATTTAGACATTCAATATAAGGGGGATTCTCACAATGTCTTCCTGGACGAAGGTCAGACCTCTCAAAATCAATACAGATCACTACAGATCACAATGGTACCACGAAAAGCCCTGGCTTGCTGTTTCAAATCATTTCCATTGAATCCCAATATAATCTCGCAGATCCTGGGAAACCTTTCATGGAAAAATATGCTGCAGCCTTTCGACAAGAGGCGCCTGCAGCATGAGTTGGACACTCACCGGCTGCTTCTTTTGACCGAGCACTATGCTCGGAGAGAGAAAGGTTCGTCTGCGGTGTCCTCAAAAGTGACGTTCTGGCACTTCTCGAGCAAACAGGGGATGCACATCGATTTCACTGTAGTCATATATTCCTTTCCGCTGGCCGCAGGCATCATAATGGATGAGGCACAGCTTGCCAGCATTGGCGAGGAAGTGCAGGGGTTGACATTTGATGTGCGCTTCACCATTGAAGATTTGTGCAATCACCTGCTGCAGGTCACACGTTGAATAACTGCTAATGCTGTGGACATACACCCTCAGGTGTCCTCAGATTCAATGATGTTGTTCCAACCATGACAGCGCCACGTTTTCTATGCCTGTAGGAGAGGAGAGCAAGGGTAGCCCACCATCTGGGCCGTCAGATCCATCACATAGCAGATCAAGTGCATGCGGCCGTCTCTGGCTTTGAGGCGCCAGCCCCTGAAGGTCAGAAGCCATGCTTGTTGCGTATTTCAGACCTTCATTGTGTCTAGCACACCCTGGCCTTGCAGCAGGCAAATTCCGGATCCAAAATCTTGACACAGGATCCATTGAGGGCCTGCCTAGACTTCAGAGGGCTCGTGTGAAGTCTGCACAGCCCTGTTCTTAAAAAGTATTTCCTGATATTGGCAGGATGGCACTGACCGACCCTCTCACTCAATCCAGCACTCAGTCCTGTCTGAAAAGGTGGGTGTATGACCTCCCTGCGCTTGTCTGTGCAGCGGAGGCGAGTGCAGCGGCTGTGGAAGCGCCTGTGCGGCCCAGAGGCCTGTGGGGACTGACAGGGAGGTCCCGTTCAGTTACACCCTCAGGACTTGAGCAGGCTAGTGCTGGCGTGATGCCAGTGTCAGCCACAGCAGAGGCCTGCAGCGAAGAAAATTCTAGCGCCAGCGGAAAGGGCGAAGCTCCTCCCGTCACAATGGGAGACGTGACTGCCACATTACAGGTGTTGCTTCGTCAATGCCACAGCACAATTCCAGCGTGGCACATATCCTGGAGATCATTGTGGCAGCTCACAACTTCCTCATTTGCGTTGCAGCCGTTTTCTTGGAGAATCCGATTGCAATCCTGCACACTGTTCAGCGGATCGGCAGTGTCAATATGCCTGGTGAATGTTCGCCTGCCCTGTATTACAATTTTGCAATGACTCGTTTTGCAATGACTCATTGTGTGATGACTTATTTTGTGACCTGGCCAGGAGCGCATGGGTTTCTCGCTGTGTCTGGCGCCATCGGCTGTGGGACATGCGGACGCGGGAGAGGGGCTTTGGCTCAGGGGCCGCGCCAAAACAGGAGCGGTGGTCGGTCTCTACCCCGGCATCATATACACCCGATCCCATTACAGGTGCCCTAAGAAAAAGTGAATGCCCATTATAGGTGTCCCCAAAATAACAGTTTCCGTACACCCTAGTACTGAGATTCGGGTCTGATTAGGCCTTGCTGCCAAGGAGTGAGCATTTCTGTGTTTTAGGCGTGTAATGTCTCAGATGTGGATTCAAGATGCCAGTGAATATTACAGCGCATGCAAGCGTTGCGTTACTGTTTACAAGGGTGCATTATTGCGTGAGTGAGGAATTTTTGTGCTTTATGACTGCAGGGAGATGCCAGGCTACCCCAAGGTGGACAGGGAGTCAGACTTCTTGATCTCCCGCTTTGATGGGGCCATTCTGGATGCAAAGCCGTGGGGCCGAGGGGCGCTCGAAGAGCCTCAGAGCGCTGAGTCACTTGGTTACAGGGACGGCCTGGCAGACGCTCTGACGCAGCTGCACGTGTTGGAGGTACTGCAACAATATCATTGCCCCTCAGTATTTTGCAGTATTGCACTCCTTAGAGGTACTGCGTCTTTGTCAGTTCCCTTGAGCATCTTCTACTGCTTGACAGATGCATCCAAGCTGTAGCCAAGCTCCATACCAGGAGAAAATACTGCCGACAACATGCCGACAGCCGCAGAAGACCCCCAGCGAGAGAGAGAGACATTGTGTGCCATGGTCAGTGCATGATACTGGTGCAATGTAAAGTGACAGCAGTGTTGCCGGGCGCAGAGGAGGCATCCTTTCAGCCTGGCGCACTATGCGAACCACCCGCCAGCTGGGCGCCGGCCAAACATCATGATCGCTGCCTATGATTTTCAGAATTGCAGAGGTGGGCACTGCTATGTGTCGCAAATGCCTGGCCTTCTGTGCGACCGCTACCAAACAATATAATGCCGTGTCAGCTTCACTGAAAAAATGAGCAGTATGCTGAGCACACAAGCGAAAGTCCCGACCAATGCCAAAAGTGGTGAAGCTGCTGACTGAGGCTTTCTGTGTGGCCTTTGCAGATGGCACGAGGAGGTATATACCCAATGCCATGTTTGGCAGTCCCCGTGCCAGTCCTGGATTGACAGGTACATCCCAAAGACACACTATACTTCTTGACTTCCAAAGTACAGATTGCCTGCTGCCTGCATGCAAACCCCTGCAATGAGACTTCCTTGATTTTAGCTTTGAGTGACCATTTGTGCAATCTGCAGGTGCAGAGGAAATACCGATGGATGACAGGCCCCTGCTGTGCCTGGCATTGGTGGCCACCAGGGAGATAGAGGATGAGGAGCTGCTGCTCAATTACAGGCTGAGCCCTGGGCTGGCAAGACCGTCATGGTACACTGCAGTAGACGAGGCAGAGGACTCAAGGCGATGGTCTTGAATCCAAATTCAAATGAATTTTGAAGCTGTGCTTGTACGAGCTTTTCTGACCTGACATATGGTACGCAGAAGTCAGACCTAGTCCTGCAGCTCTTACAGAGGCTTGAGATTATTGGTTCACTTCCAGATTTTGCAGACTGAATATTCATTTGTAACCATTAAAACAAGCCTGTGATAGCTATCAACTTTATACTATCGACTTCACCAACCAGGCATAACAAAGGCCTCGACAATCGCACAACAGCACCAGAGCCGCTACACGCATGCATGCATGCACATGCTGCATACTTGAGAGAATGATGCTTTTAGTTCAACAGGATTGACATCCAGCTAGCTCTTCTGGTTTCTACCATAGACAGCATTTGGGATTCGGTCATGCTCTTTGAGGGCTGCCACATCTTCTTTAGGCAGCCCTGTCCCGGTCACCTCATTGCCAATGGTCACCCAGTAGTTGTGGAGGTTGTTCTTGCGCCCAAAGATCTCCAAATACCTCCCTGCACATTTTAGACAATAAAATACCTTCTTTTCTGTCAACAACAACCTCAGCTGATAAAGAAGCTGCCCAGATACAGGCACTCAATACAATGAAATTGATCTTCCGCCTGTAACAGCTTGTCTTCTCGTCTCGCATTCTACCTGTCTAATACTGCTCTTGCATCTCTTTTCACCTCCATTTTAGAATTGAGTCCTGCCTTTAAATGCCTCAGTGAGCAAGCAGGGTCCCTGAGCATAATATGTTTCCCCTTTGGTTATCAGACACGTGCATGTGCCAGCAGGAAGGCGTCACCTCCAGGCACAAGCTCCTCTATGAGCTGGTAGATCTCCTCTGGCTTCTGGCTCTGCCCTCTCCTCTCTGCGTAGATCACATCCGACCCCACGCACCCCTGCAAACACCCCCGCTGCAGTGTTATACCCATGTGTGACAGTGTCAGCCAAAACATCCATGTCTTTGCCTAATTGCATGTTTGTAGGATCAGGCGGAGATGTTAACGTAACAGATTATGAAGAATGCTGGCAGCAAATTCGTTGCTTAAATGCAACAGCAAATTCCTAATGCTCGGGAGCATGATTTTGCGTTTTCAATGTTTTGCACCGTTTTTTCCGTAGTGCCCAGATTGCCATCCTGCTCTCAATATAGGACACCATTGCCTAACACCTTGCATTATGCAGCAGCATAAACAAACAAACATCCTGCATGCAAAATTGATCGTGTATACCTTGAGCCCTTGTGGGTCTTTGCCCTTCTTGCCCACGAGGCAGACCTCCTTGGCGTGCTGCAGGTAGTACCCATGGCTCTTGGCCAGCCGTCGGTTGACAGTCATCTTCACCCACACAATCTCATCCACAAGCCTGCATAAATTACAGACAGCCACCTCAGCTTGTCATTCACACGCATGGTTCTACTGATGACCCAGTGTGCAAGTCTCACTGCTAAATATAGTCATGGCAAATTGCCATTGGCAATGTGTAGGTCCCTTCTACTCCAAGTTGTAAGGAAATGTACTTGCACGGTGCCACACAATTGCCCTATCATATCAATCAAGACAGGGTGCTTGCGCACAGAAAGAAAGGCTTGAGAACTGCATAAGCGTCTCAAATGTGATGAATGTGTGATGTAGGTCTGCATGGCCTGTGCAGAGGGAGAGAACACACGTGTAACCCCATCGCTCGAAGAGGTCCAGCGTAAACTTGTACTTGGCGTTGATAACCCAGACAAAGAGGAAGCCATCAGTCTGCAGCTGGGGCACAGGCAGGTCCTCTATATCCCTGTCTGTCAGCTGGCTGTACCCCAGTGCAACCCCTGCGGCACCATGCATCACCCTCTTTCACATCCTTTGACCTCCGACACCGTGTCAATTGCAGGTTGGTTTCCAGCAAATTTCAGATCTGTTCAAGGTTTGCAGTATCCAAAGTCCTTGAAAGCTATGTCTGAGGATTGGAATTTGGGAGCACAGGGAAGCATAGGTTCCCTTCAAAATGCTGCGCAAAGTATTTGGGAGAATTATGCAGAAGGAATGGACGGACAGTACCTCGAGTGGGATTGGCAGTGGCCAGCTGCCAGGGTGGATCCATCATGATGACATCGAATTGTGTCGTTGTGATGAGCGTCGTCCAGTCATAGGTCATAACGTTGGCATGGATGGGGATGCAGTGTGGGGGCACCTGCCACTCGCTGGGGTCCAAGTCATCCACATTGCCCAGCGTGAAGTCGACGCCCTCCTGCCCCTGTACATGAGCATCGACATGTTGTCCAGGCAGATCCTCCCCCCCTCGAGTACTCATCCCATCTGCCTTGGAGCATTCTGACAGTGTGGTGGATACACTGCCCGGGACATGCAGCAGTGCGCTGGAAAAGCCTTTGATATTTCCCTTAAGCTTCTTGCTCGATGTCTGTATTCAGGAGGCACCCTTCGTACCTCCAAGCCTGCAATGCCCGCCCCATCACCATGAGTTCGCTCCTCTAAACTGACAATGACCCCGAGTGCCTCCAGTTCCTTGCTGACATCTTCTATTCCCCCTCTGTAGGCTGCTATCTCCTCATCAAGCGCTTGCTCTGACAGTTCTGCCCATCGCTTGTCTGCTGATGCCTCAGTGCCTTCTAGCAATGCAGCAGCCTTCGATGTCGAAGGAGCTTCATCGATCTCCATGTAGGCGTCAGTTTCCATCTTCTTTGTAACATTAGCTTATGATTGCATACATCCGGGCAGGAAGACTTAATCAAGATGCTATTTTCCTGTAAGGGCAGACATTATTATTCTATACCTTCTGACTCAGCCGATGCCTTTCAATGTATGCCTATTTCAAAGCAATTCTGTAGCAAGTCACAGTCTGTCAGTGATGGGCTGAGCTTGCTGGAATGAAACGGAGAAGGGAATGAATGAATTGTCAAGGGTCGCTATATATGCAGACGCCGTTTGCATGCTCCAATGAAACTAGCAATGGTCTTCTTTGGACAACTAATCCGTGAATGGAGGATGGCTGTCTTGCCATGACAAATCTTGCATCGATTGTGTGATCACAAAGGCCCTTGGGAGAGGGCGACCGATTCATGGTTTAGAAGACAGAATCTTCCGACATCCAGCATTTCAACAATGGAAGAGACACCTGAGGTGATACCATCCTTCAAGCAAACTTCATTGAAAGGACTTCCTTGTGTAATGCCAGAACTTTTTTAAAAAGGGGGTGTTGCCAAGGTCAATGGGCACACTGGCCGTGAAAAAGCAACGAACACTTGTGTAATTGGGAGTGAAGATCTGGGATAAGATAAATCATCCTTATAAAGCATCTGCAGTAGTTGCTAGGACAATAGTGCGTCTGTACAGAAACGTCTGGGTAGGAGTCCTTCCCATTGGCTAGGTGCTCCACCTTTCACAGGACAAGGCTTTTGAGTCTTGACGGGGGTCTCCGATCTTAGTAACGATACTACGGAGAGTCTTCAGGCTGCTCATTTGTGGTGTGTCCAGGGCATGGCTGTAGCGGCAGCAACCAGGGAGGCTGCCAAAAGGAAGAGGGAGGCAGAGAATGGGTTGCCAGAAGCCAAGCGGCCTGCGCGGCCCATACCACTTATCTCCCATGAAGTGGCAGTGCCCAAGGGATATGACGAAGCGGCCAAGAACCTCGACCCTGCCCTGCATGGTGCGCTGCTGGTTTCCAGGTGCTCTGATGGACACTCCTCCAGGGCACAACATAAGACCTACTTCTGAGTGGAGCCAAACACTTCCGCTTGAATGCTGCTCTCATGCAGCGGTTCACCCAGAATACATGCGAGATGCCTGTGAGTCTCATTGAAGTTACAATGATAAAAATTTTGCGCATGCACCCTGCAGGTACCTTGGAGAATCCCAGGTGGAGCGGACCCAGGGCAAAGGAGTACCCCTTCGTGCTGGACCCCTTCCAAGAAGTCTCTGTCGCCTGCATTGTAATGCCCTGGCCTGCACTTTGAAGCCCAAAGCTCAAAGCTGCCCAATACCCCTTTTATGCATGATATTCCACCAATGCAGCACTAAGTCGGTACACAAGAGACAGCTGTTAAGGTGCATCTGCTGCTAGTGGAACGTCAGTGGAAGCTGCGTACTGCATGTTACCAATGATTGGTCTGAGATTAGAACATGCATTCTTCGGATCCGCATTAATTCTGAGATGATGTCATGTGTTGCCCTGCAGGAGCGGAGGGAGTCAGTGCTGGTGTCAGCGCACACGTCAGCGGGAAAAACAGCCGTTGCAGAGTATGCAATAGCTCTGGCCTTCAAAAACAACCAGCGCGTCGTGTACACCTCCCCCTTGAAGGTGACAGCAACCAGTGCATCTCTACTTTCACTCTACGCAGTCGTTGTGCCCAATGAGCCCTGCAAGACGATGCTTTCATCCTAGTGTCTCTGCACAAGTGAGAAATCCTTAGAATTGGAGCATACAATCCTCCCTTAAGAGCTAACATGATGCGGCAGTGTCATCAGAACATGGGTGAGGTTGGTCAGGGCAGATTTGCAAAATTTACCTGGCAAGTGAGCAAGTGCCCCCTTGACCTCCGCCATTCGCGTCTGATGACAATTCTTTCCCGACCAAGGCCATTTGGCAGGCAAGCATAGCGCGGAGCTCTTGACTTCCATTGCAAGAGCTGGCGCTACGGCCAGAAAGATTTAGAAATGTGTAATTAGGGCACTGGTGGGGACTGAGTGTTTCATGGCGGCCTGATCGGCGCTGAGCAACCAGAAGTTCCAGGAGCTGAGTGAGGCAATAATGTTGTCATAACCCCTGCAAGTAAATTGCGAGGGTGTGACTGTTGCCTGATCGGGCGCTGAGCGCCTAGGCGTTCCAAGTCCTGAGTGAGAAAAGATCTGTCAATAGTATCAAGACCTCCCATGCAAGGGATCTGACAGGGTTTGTATCTGTTGCCTGATCAGGCGCTGAGCAACCAGAAGTTCCGGGAGCTGAGCGAGGAGTTTGAGGACGTGGGGCTGATGACAGGTGACGTGTCCATCAACCCCAACGCGCGCTGCATCGTCATGACCACCGAAATCCTGCGCTCCATGCTCTACAGGTGCCACATTTCGGAATTCATTTCTGAGCATTATATCTGCAATCTGCACAGATATAGCTTATCAGGGCGATCATCTTATCACCGGTACATATGCATTGCCCAAACAGAGACGGCTCATAGAGGCCATCAGCTCGAGGTGCCCATGCAGCATCCTGTGCTGAATGCTTTACTGGTGCCCGCCTTGCAATAGGCTTTCATTAGATCCAAGAAGCTGCAGAAAAGGGGAGAACTGGGCCAGCAGTTCATCACACAAGCAAGCACTTGGCACAGAATGCACACCCAACATGCAAACCATGGGGAGGCAGCACGGAGTACAGTGACAGGGCAGTGTCAAATAAATTTTCTGGGCAAATTTTGCTGGTAACGCACAGGGCCTCCATGGGCTGCAGATGGGTTGCTGTCTGTTCTAGGGGCTTGTGCTTTGCTGAGCTGCTGGCTTCAGTAGCGTTTCCCCAAGTGCATGACATCAAAGTATCCTCCATTCCCTTGCCATCCTTGGAGAACGCTGCGGCAGTTTTGATGCCGTACCACAGCTTAACAGGCTATACTTTCCCCAGAATGGCATTTCCTCAGGTCCCGTGCCTGCCAATGAGAGCTTGTATCGGCAGTGCTCGGCAACGCACAAGTATCACGTCCGTGTCACCCATCGAAAGTTATTTTGAACTATTTCTAATTGCGGGATGTTGTGTTGCAGGGGCTCAGAGGTTCTGAGGGAGGTGGCGTGGGTGGTCTTCGACGAGGTACACTACATGCAGGACAGGGAGAGGGGCGTCGTCTGGGAGGAAACCATCATCTTCCTGCCCCCGGAAACCAAGATGGTGGGTGCCTGCCCGTTAATTGCGGCACCATTGATGTATTCTGCTTGGTTGCCTTCTGGGCCATAAGCAACTGGACATAAAAGCAGTTCATGCTTGAATGTGCATGTGAGTATGCTACAAGCACTGAGCGACGATGACTTGCACGGGCGCCCTTCCACATGCATGCCACACCTAGCCACTTTTGGACCTTGCCCTGGTGTCAGTATAGCTGCGCACATACGATTTTGAGCTTGTCACACTTCTTGAAGGTGCATGTGGACAGCATGAAGCTCTGCTGATGAGCCTGATGGGCCTTGTCAAGGCAGATATTCCTGTCGGCCACACCGTCAAATGCAGCCGACTTTGTACACTTGCGATCAAGCTTTCCACTGGATCTATCATTTGAACTCATTGATGCTGAAGGTTGAACAGATCACCTATCTATGCAGGTTTTCCTGTCAGCGACGCTGTCAAACGCAGCGGAGTTTGCAGCATGGGTGGCTGCCCTGCACAAGCAGCCCTGCCATGTGGTTTACACCGACTTCCGGCCCACACCGCTGCAGCACTATGCATACGCACCCGGCGCCAAGGGCCTCTTTCTGGTGTGCGCCCATACTGTGTCTGCCCTGCACTGCTCCTAGAGGGGCAAGTGGAGAAAGCGCTCTGATGAAATATATGTGTTGTGCTTTTTCTGACAGCTGGCTACCATTGGCCCCTTCAGGAGCATTCTCTGTCCACACGAGAACAACACTGCTACCGTATGTCCTACGATTTATAGCCTGGTGCAAGTCTGTTGGGGATTTCCTGGAGATTCGCCCCAAAGGGGGGGCACATAGACCCTTTTGTAGGCCGATCAGGAAGGCAGCAGCTCTGACAACGCCTCACTGTACTTTAATGAAGGCACTGGAAGCTTGGCTTGCACCCGCCCTGCAAACTAAGCGCTCAGGGCAGAGAGCGAGCGTGCATGCGTGTGCAGTATTTTCGTTTTGCTGTTACAAAAAAGTCGACTGAAGCATGTGGCGTTGCAGGTGCTGGACGAGAAGGGCAACTTCAAGGACGAGAACTTCTCGAAGCTGCGCTCAGAGGTTGCGCCAGAGACCGCGGCGGACGATGCACCCAGCACCTCAGGGCGAGGGGCCGAGAACGGCGGCAGGGGCGGCCGGGGCCGTGGTCGAGGGTGCGTATATATATAAGAATTCACAGCTGCATCAGCTGCGTGACCCTTGACTCGAATTTGAATGTCCGCTCTTTTTATTCCGAATTCTGGAGCAGAAGTCCTGCTGACATCCCCTCCCAGCGCTTTGCCAGTACCATGTAACCCCTGAACCTCAGTTTTCTTTTAAAGAGAACTGGTAAACCAACGCAAAACAAAAAACAACTCTATTTTGATAGGCCAAGTCACCCACTGCTGAGGTTGCTGGATGACACGGCTTGACTGACCCACCCTTCCACTTAATGCAAGCAAGTCTTGGCGCCTATAGGTCTCAACGAAGCTCACAGTGCCCAGGCAGCGCTCCCTGACGCAGCAAATCATCTGGAAGCACATTCAAATCAGATACAGTGGTATGTTTGAGTCTGGCGGCTGAGGCCGCGTTCTCGTGCGACCAGGAGGAATTCCGGGGGGCGCAGCGGTGGCGGCCGTGGGGACAAGGGAAAGGGAGACACCGCCGCACACATCTACAAGATCGTGAAGATGATCAAGGACCGCAACTTTGAGCCAGTAATCGTCTTCAGCTTCAGCAGACGGTGGGTGCACCTACTCTGCCCACAGCCTTTTCAACCACATGTTACCCAATACGTGTACAAAGTCGTGCTTGCCTGCCTTGTTCTCCGCAACTATTGTGAGATTGTCACCTTCAGGACCTTCAGAGGAAGGTTTCTACAAAGTCTCGCTTATGACTATAGACTTCTTATATTTCACATCGTTTTATTTTTAATGCTCATTATTGTATTAGGTGTGGTAATGATTGTTGATATTATGCGCCATGCAGGGAGTGCGAGATGTACGCGCGGACGCTGATGAAGCCAGACGCGAAGGGCAATGCCATAAACTTTAACAGCCCAGAAGAGCAGGAGATGGTGGGGGACGTCTTTGCACAGGCTATCCAGTCTCTGTCAGAGGCGGACCGGGAAATGCCCCCGGTGGTGGAAATCCTGAAGCTTCTTAGGGCCGGAATCGCGGTGCACCACTCCGGGCTTCTGCCCATCCTGAAGGAGGTGGTGGAGCTGCTCTTCCAGGAAGGTCTCATCAAGGTGTGGTTCGTGACCAAATCTTGCCTCTCAACCTGTCTGTTGAGACCCGCAGAAGGTGGGTTGTGTCTGTCTGCAAGCCCCACCTGCAGATGCTGCCGAAGGTAGTGAGCAGCATGACAGTCATGCTCTTTATCAAAAAAGCATGACGAAAGAGAAGAAGTAATGCCCTTTAGGAGTGGCCAGAAAGCCTGGCTCGATTTTAGAGTCCAGGGCAGATGCCGGAAGAATGGAGTGGGCACCTATACTTGCCTACCATTGTTCTCCGCAGTTATTGTTAGATTGTCACCTTCAGGACCTCCAGAGGAAGGCTTCTACGGAGTCTTGCTTATGCTGAGGCCCGTTGCACATGACTGTGTTCTGAGGAGCGCAAGAACAGCGCCATGCGCTTGTTGAACAGCACGTCCGCTCTTCTGAGCTCTACCATGTGCAATGAGCATCAACATACTAGGGCAGACATCCCGACGGTTAGCAGTAGGTTGGCTGCTCAGCCACAAGCACATTTCCAGCACACTAGCACCGACCACAACATGTCTGCCATGGGCCTGCAGATGGTATGCAGACATCAGGATACTTGAAAGCAGACTGGCTACTCGTGCTGAAAGCAACATCTGAGCACTTCCGAATCCAATGCAGGCGCTCTTTGCGACGGAGACATTTGCGATGGGCCTGAACATGCCGGCGAGGACGGTGGTCTTCACGGCGATGGAGAAGTGGGACGGAGAGACGAATCGGTTCATGTCTTCGGGCGAGTACATCCAGATGAGCGGCCGCGCCGGCCGCCGCGGGAAGGACGACCGGGGGATGTGCATCATGATGATCGACGACAAGATGGACGCCGCCAGCTGCAGGTGCGGCTTGCCTTGTGTTTGTTTTCCATAACATTGAAGGCCCCGGCTGGGGGGGGGGGCGGTGTAAGTACTGAGCACTGTGGGCAACCTCCCAACACGGCACACACTAGTTCTGATTCTCACTGATGGGGACAATCCCTCCATGTTTGGATAACAGAGGTTGGGGGGCAGCTCGCCTTGCCTGGAGGCAGGTATGCTGCTGCCATCGTGATTACCAAGAAAATTGCGACCAGTTTTTGGGTCTTGCTTTGATCTGGCGAGTCCAACAAGGGGTAGGATTGTGGCAGCTTATAAGTGCAGCTTGTCTGCAGGACGTAAATTACCTTTTGGCAGGAAAAGCTTGCAATTAAAATCTTGAAAATGTCATGGTGCTCCTTGACCATACGACAGCTGATATACGCTTGCTAGCTGGTAGATTGTTCATTGTGGTGGTGGGGCTGATGCACCCATTGACATGTGCTGCCAAGCTCTGCGACTGCTCCAAATCTGTGCGCTCAAGTGCTTGGCCCAACCCTGTGTGACAGATCTAGCAGACGTGAGAGACCTTATTCTTACCCTTGAGATGTCTCCTCCTGCATGCCTGTGCCAATTCACCCCATTTTTTGCAGTCGTTTGGCCGCACCTTCAGCCATCACGACATAACCTCCAGTACTGGCTACGAGAGTTTGAGCAGAATCTTGTGCGCAGGGGGATCGTGCAGGGGAAGCCGTCGCCGCTGCTGTCGCGGTTCCGGCTGACTTACTACACATTACTAAACATCCTGCGGCGCGCGGAGGGCAGCGGGCAGAGCATGGAGTATGTAATTGCGCGCTCCTTCCAGCAGTTCCAGTTCGAGCGTTCCCTCCCGCAGGTCCGCGCCTGTGCTGGCCCACTGTGATTGCCTGATGAAACAACTCCTGGGCTGGGAGAGATTTCGACCACTTTCCCACAAGACTCGTGCTGGTGTGAGGTTGCAAGATATGCCCAATCAGCACAAGACAGCACTACTTGGAAAGCCGGCAAATGGATCCAAAGGAACAGAAAGGTGTTATCGCCTGATCTCCTGGAACAGCTATAAGATCGCCCCTCTGTCATGTGTTCCTCTTGCTTTGGAGTTACTCCTGCCAGCAATATCTCTTCACATTTTAATAATCTCGTCGCCAGCTACGTCCTCGCACACCATACACAAAATTTTGCTGCCTCAATCTAGCGCGACGCTGGATGCCGTGTTGCTGAGAGGACATCTGCACTCTGATTTGTCCGCCCCACATGCCTGAGCCTTGAAGGCTGACTGGTCATCTTGTGAAGGAGACATCTGGTGGAGGGCTGACGGGATGTCCGGTCATGCGCAGGTGCAGAAGGAGCTGAGGGAAGTGGAGGAGAGGGCGGCGCAGATTGGCGCTGCCACACAGGAGGCCATGGACGAGTACCAGACACTCAAAGCGGTGCGTTGACTAATGCGCTCATGGGTTAGGAGATAAATACAATGTGCGGCAGTAATCCCGATTGAGCCACTGGGGTCTTCAGGCCCCGGCAAAGGGCGGTCATACTGGAAGAGAGTGGGGGGATACTCTTTCGGAGGAGCAGGCCAGTCGTTGTGAAAGAGAGGCTTCCAGTGGCACATGGCATATCCTAGGAGACTGACTCGTGAGAAACCAGGACAACGGCATGCCACTTCACAGAGTTGACCCAGCATGCCACCGATGTGTTTGGGACGGTGCTGGGATGGTGTTGTGGGAGCCATGCCAACCTGCTGACCTACTTCGCTCCACACTTTTGGGATGTTACTTCACGTGCCTGCCAGAATTGCGGTGTGCTGATCATCTAAATACACCGAACTTTTGCTCCAAGCAAATTTTCAGGAACCTGTGTCCAAGGAATCCTTCTTGCAGAAGCAGTGAAGGCCCTTGCATCATGCATGTTGGCCGCGTCTCATGCCTGCTTGACTGGTCCATTCAAGAATCCGGGAAAGACAGCGCACAAAAAGGCGCTTGTCACGTTGAAAAAAAACGGCAGCTGCTTCTCTCAGGCTTACACCCAAGATATAGGTTGGAAGGCTGTCATGGAAACGCTGCCGCTACGCACCTGATCCTCCATGGATTGGAAAGGCGTGTAATGATCAAGTATGAATCCTTGTAAGTCTTGAGGCAAACCTCTGCTGGCTGCTGGCAGGAGATAGAGGGTGCGGAGCGGGTGCTGACGCCGGCGCTGCTGCGGCCGGAGCGCTGCATGCACTTCCTGCGGCCGGGGCGGCTCGTGCGAGTTCGCGAAGGGCCCTACGACTGGGGTTGGGGCATCGTCGTGGCTGTGCACCAGAAGGGCCGCCCAAAGCCAAAGGTAAGCCTGCTGAAAGGTACCTCCAAGCTCTGCGCAATTCCAGGCCAAAGGAAGGAGCGTGCAACTCCCATGTCTGGAACTTCTTATGCAACAGTCCTGCCAAGAGGCTGTTTGCCTTTCGAGAGGAACCTTGTATGCTTGTCTGTGCACCAAAAGGGCTGCCCCGAGCCAAGAGTAAGGCAGAGATGGGAGGAACATGGATCCTCGTGCTGTTATACTGCAGTCCTGAGAAGAGGCGGTTTGCCCTTCTGGAGTGCAGCGGTCCTGATGTAGCGAGGCAGTGTGTGGGCCTTCGATTTGGCAGTTCTTAATGCCTTACCACTGGGGTTGTTTCTACCGAGGTATTCTGACAAGAATGTGCAGAGCTGCTCGCAGCATACGTGTACATCGATCCACGCAAGTACGTATCTCTTCCTGCGTCTGGTGATTTGCAGTTGGCCCTGGCTGATCTTTACCCCGATTCTTTCTGCAGGATGACACGGCTAACGGCACGGCGCCGAATGGCAGAGATTCGGGGCCAAGCTATGAGGTCGACACCCTACTGGCTGTAGATCCCAGCTGCCTAGGTGCGCCCTTACTCCCTGCCAATTTGCCATTGCACAGTCTACTTTGCAGCCTCTTGTATGCCCGCTCTCTACCCCTTCATTGCATTGCAAGCTGGCGCAATGTCCCCTCAGGGGCAAGGCTCCCTTTGCTTTTGCATACAACTGAGCACACTGTCAGGGTCATAGCATTGCAAGGATTGACACTAGCTCACGGTGTCCTCATGGGGGATCTCCTTGATGTGCTCCATATGCAAGTGTGCCCCGGCTGACGGGGAGCAATGATTTTGAGCACCGTGCCCACATTTGATGAGGTCTTGCCTGGATCTTGCAAATTGACCAAAGGTCAAATTATTGGCAGCTTTTATGTGCACCCGCAACCTACCTCCTGATCAGAACATTTTGTAATGGAAATGGTATAACATAATCATGTTTTACAGACGCCTCCGGTGGTTGGGACATGTGGCCAGAATAAATCCTGCTAGGATGCCATTGCATATAATCATCAGCACAATGTCAGGCACTGGGGCTAGAGGCAGACCAGTGAAGAGCTGGAATCACTTTGTGAGAGATTATCTTGATATCATCGGGCATGCATTTGGCTGGTGGAGGAAGTGCAAGAATCGAGAAGACTGGAAATATATAATTTAGGTGTTGCTCAGCGTCCTAGACTGGAAGTACTGGGGAAACGTGTGTTTAATACTAGAATCAATTGACCATTTGGTGCAGAGACGCCGGGAATGAGGCCGGAGCCGGCGGGGCGGGGGCGGCCAGGGGAGATGAATGTACTGCCGGTGCCGCTGCAATTACTAACGGCCATATCCACGCTGCGCATCAGCATACCCCCCGATCTGCGGCCCATAGAAGCGCGCAAGGCCACCCTGGCGACCGTACGGGTGCGATCCCTCCCTCTGTCTTACTTGTGGAAAGGGATGCAATGGTGCGATTTGGAGCGAATCCTGCAAATGCTGCCCCAGTTTGGATTGCTCTCTGCAACTCGAGAGCATGAGGGTAGACTCACTAGTAATCGTGCATCAGAACGCCACGGTGACTCTGTACTTGCACACTGCAAGTCATTGCATGCGTGCATTGCTCAGTACACTCCAGATCCGTTGTGCCATTCCGGTGATGGACATTGAAGACAGGGTGTGAGGGTCTGACGCATTCGCTGCCTGGCGCATCTTTCCACGTGATGGACAATATGCTGGAGCCCTTGAGGCTCCCGAAGGCTCCTGTTGCGAACACACATGCTTCTGACCGCAGGTTGTGGAAATAGTGCATGTTGCATGAACATGATTGGGCCGCACAAGTTGCAGTTGTAATGGAAGGCTTGCACGTCAGGCAAGCTTCAAGCAACCAGATAATGGCGAGCTCGTTTGCATTTTACCGGTCTCTTCTTGAAAGTCAGTCTGAGCTGCAGTTCATATTGTGAGTACGGTTTTGTTTCCCTTGCAGGGTTTGGAGCAGCAATACCCAAACGGCATCCCTGAGCTGGACCCAGCAGAGGATTTCCAGGTGGAGGAGCCTGAAGCTCTGGCTGCTGCGGCCAAACTTGGCTCCCTGCAAGCTCGCCTGCGCAGGAACCCCGTCTACCAGGTGCACCTTCCCACACCTTTCTCATTCAGGGTTACGGATAAGGTACAAAGACACTCCCAAGGTTTGGTGCAGTATGTAAGCATGGGTGATTCTCAATAAAGAGTCAAAGCTTCTTTAAATCATGTGTTTCTGCAAATGTGCTTGAAGAACTTTGCAACCCCTTACAAGGCGGTCAGTAGGAAGGCAGAAATGGCCATTCCCAGTGAAGGCCCCTTTGCATTAGACTTCTGAGCCAGGGTGGACAGCAGTTCTCAACTTTGCAGCAGCTCAGCTGTGCTTCTTGGGAATTTGCAGCAAATTATCTCCCTTGTAATTGTCAGAATTGGAAAGGCGTGATTGGTTGTGTGATTGTGCGCAGGCGGAGAGGGATGAGAAGAAGATGCTGGATGTGGAGAGGCAAGCGGTGCTGGCAGCACAGGCAGTGGCGCTGCGGCGGAAACTCACAGAGTCGCACCTCGCCAAGTTCAGGACTGAGGCCAAGAACAGGTGCGCTGCACGCCAGCCAAGCCGCCCATCACAATGCAAGCACATGACGCATGAACAAGCAGTGATGCTCCGTTAGCTAAGACACAATTGAAGCAGAGGCAGAGAAAGAGGAGATTCAGTGGTATTGGGCCCCTAACAATTTGCTTGGAATCCTGTCTCATGCTGATGCGCTGGCACACTCACGCTGTTTTGTTCCGGTATGCAAATGATGAGCCGCAGTATAGCAATCCTACTGGCAAGATGTCTCAGGATGGCAACTGAATTGTGTGCCTTTGCTGCTGTATGGTTGGGTTTAAACATTACACCTTAATGCAAGCTCGTCTAGGCTAATTCCTGCACTCTTTGGTCTTGTAGCGGCGGCGGCCTAAACTGGCTCCTTTAAGGATTTCTTGCGTTTCACATTGGATTTTTCAAACGCGCAGGACGGCGGTGCTGCGAAAACTGGGTCATGTGACGGCGGAGGGAGTTGTGTCTCTCAAGGGGCGCGCGGCGTGTGAGATCAGCACCGGGGACGAGTTGCTAACTACGGAGCTGATGCTGAACGGCGTGTTCAACAGCCTGGATGTGCACCAGCTGGTCGCTGTCATCTCCTGCCTCGTTCCTGTGGAGAAATCCAACGTGAGGAGCCCTGACCCCCTTCTGACTCCAAACGAGGCCCCACCAAACATGAAATCATCTTGCCATCTTTGGGAGTCCCGTTGTCGTTAAGACTGCTCTGGACCAGTGCTGGAGCATGCACCCATAACATGGTCTGCACATGGCACCTGCAAGGATAGTGTCGGCAGCAACTGAGGAGTCAGGCTCACCGCCACATGCAAGCCAAGTGTATAAATGTTGCTTAGGATGCGCCTCAACTCTTCTCCTCTACCGCAACACTCCTTGTCCCTCAGCACCCCCTGGATTGCATTACATCTTGCATGGGCGTGGTTCTGCGGAGAAGAGGAGGACAATCTGAAGGCTGAGCCTGACCCCGTCTTCTTCGCGACTAAATATTGCAGCTGGCTGTCACAGGAGGAGGTGAAGCTGAAGGCTGCATGCGCTGCAGGTCTTTAAGCCCCCCCAGTAAGAAACACCCCTCCCCTTTCAAAAAGGATTTAATTAGTGGGTCTGCTGGCGCAGGAGGAGGTGAAGCTGAAGGCTGAGCTGGCGGAGCCGCTGGCCGCACTGCAGGACACGGCGCGCGCGATAGCCGAAGTCCAGCGCGAGTGCAAGCTCGAGGTGTGACCTCTGAAACCTCTAACAATACCTCTAACAATACCTCTAAAACTCTGAACTCTGGATGGCACGGAAATGTCAACTTGGTGTGTTGCGCTGCTAGAGGAAGAGGGGAGCTGTGAAGGGGTGGATACTGTTTTTTGACATTGATCACCTGCAAGTCTAATTTGCGCTGTGCCAGGCCTGTCTCCACATCTCTCCGCATTTCTGCCTTCATGTGAAGCTGGCAAGCTGGCACCTTGGGGTCCAGTAGTTTGCAGGATGCCAGGGGATCATGACCTGGAGAAGGCTCAGAGAGTATCTGGCAGGGGGATAAATACCGATGAGTAATGTGTCGGTGCCAGGTGGACCCGGACGAGTATGTGGAGTCCTTCAAGCCCTTCCTCATGGACGTCATCTACGCCTGGTCCAAGGTGCACACCCTCCTTAGAACTTCATATACGGAACGCTCAATTTCCATGCATGCGCCAGCATCAATTGCAGGGCATGAGCATGCAGTGATCGAGCTGAATGAGTGCGAGAAACAGCTGTGCTGCACTGCAGAGACATGATTTTAGCTGCGCAAATGTACTTCATTTAAGATGTCTTTTGAAGAAAGAGGAAGGCAGATATATTTTTATTCACTGCAGCTGGTCACTGATTGCCTTGCACCTGCCGCACAGCCTCCCAGGTCAGATGACTCTGCTGTCGGCCGCGGGGGGCTCTGTCATTGAAAGGTGCTGGCTGCCTTGTGTGGTGGATTAGGGGGCACGCTTTTACTCATGGCCCCACGGTGGCGATATTAACAATGGCTTCCGCATGGTTGCCTTCTGTCTCGTTGATCACGCCCCAGGCCTCATCAGGGCGTCCATTTTTATTTTATTTTATGTGTGAATTTGCGTGCGCGCAGGGGGAGCAATTCGTGGACGTGTGCGGGCGCACGGACATCTTTGAGGGCAGCATAATCCGCGCCACGCGGCGACTTGACGAGCTTGTCAACGAGCTGGCGGCCGCGGCGTCCGTCATCGGCGACGTGGGCCTCGAAGAAAAATTCCGCGCGGCAGCCGCCACTATCCGGCGCGACATCATGTTTGCTGCCTCGCTCTACATCTGAGGCAGGCGTCAAGGCAAAGCGAACGCCAGAGATAATAGGAAACGCTCCCTCGCAAGTGATCATCGTACGGCAACATCGGAATATCTTGCATGAGGGCTGAAGCGCTAGGCCTAGGGCTAAGGGAGCATTGCACTTGCTGGTGGCACTGTGCTAGCGGGACAGTGCATATGTCCATCTATGTCTTGCGCTCCCATAGTGCATGTGGTAGTCTGCTATGCTGTGCGATCAATTGTTCACACCCCCTCTTAATCGGCTGGAGATTGCTCAAGAACTCTAGAAGCAGTACCGCAAGGGTCAAATGCATCCATGCTTTTTCGTGGAGTGCCATTCAATTGACAATGTCAGAATCAGTGCTGAGCCGTGCTTGAATATTTGTTGCAGACGTGTCTGTTGAGAGCGGCAACAATGTATATGCAGTGGACTGGACTGCAATCTGTAATGTAAGTATGGCACGACGCACATCTTTGCTGCAGAAAACCCCTCGCTTTACATACTTCATCTGAATTACAGGGTGACTAGCATACGCATACGTATGTAGTAACAGTTTTTTAAATTCAGGGCAAGCCAGATCTACTCGTCTTCATCGGTAGTGTTTTCTAGGCCGAGGTGGGGCTTTGATGCAGCTTTGAAGCCATGATCACCCAGCAGCTTGCACACAGCCTCCAACCCATCTCTATCCTCATCAGTGAAAGCTGCTTTGATGTCTGAGTCGACATCGAGGACCCCTACAATGACACTCTTGTCGTTCACCCAGACTGGCACCACAATCTCAGACTGCGTCCTGCGCACACAAATAGAAGCAATAAATGAGACATGCTTTACAGCATGTGCAGCGGCGCTCTAAGCACAGCAAATATTCATGACCACCGTGTCATGCCCAGAAAAGTACTAAAATCAGATTGTCGGATGGAAGAAGTGGGAATAAGAACTCACGAGGAGGCGCAGGCAATGTGGCCAGGGTGTGCATGCACATCTGGGACAACCTGCACAAGAGGAAAATCCTTTTGGGGAGGCCGGAAGGGCAGATCGTGCGCATTTTAGTGGTCACCTAGTAAATCCGAGGTGTGAATTCAGAAGGATGTATCCTTGCAAGAAGACCAGGACGATCAGAGAAATAAAAAGGACTACACGCGTGCAAGTTTTGGGTGCTGAGATCTGTCCAGAGAATTTCACACCGCAGAAAATCACCAGTGTTCTCTGTTCTGTCAGCGCCTGACCACAGACGCCTTTGCCTGCAGGAATGCGCAGGCACCCATGCTTGCCCTGGTACGGTCCTATTTGCAGCCATGCTTCATCATATCTCCTGTCCTTATTGGGCATGTAGATACTAGGGATGTCCTTCGGGTGGAAGGTCCTGTAGAACCCCTGGGGAAATTGGGCAGCACTTCAGACATCTGGCAGGAACAAAAAAAAATCGCATTGCAGAATGCACAAAATTGACGCACCGTCCAGTGAAAGTAGTCAAAGCTGCATTCCACATACACATTCAGTCCCAGGTGATGAGGTGAGAGCCATCTGCCAAACTGATCATGTTCACGGAAAATCGCACCTGTGATGCAGCTCACAGGCTATCGTCGCCATAGCTGATATGATATCAGACTCGTCTGCATCCCAAACGACGCCTCGTCAAAAATACCATTCCCTTGCAGCGTGCTTTAGTTTCAATGACGCACAGCAATGACAGTCCATGGCGACAAGAAGCATATATCTTGGGTTAGCTTAGGTACCTTGCAAAAGCAGCTCCAGACGTGTAAGCACAGCATCGTACTGTCGATTTCTGGCCTCACCACCGGCGTCCTGAGGCAGAGACTTCAGCATCCCCTCAGCTGTATGCAACCCTCCTTCGACTTCCATAAGTGATCACGGGTATTTGTGCTGTTTTCAACACAAACAGAAGGGACAAGAATTATCAAGCGACAGGAATAATCACAATGATGTGCTCAATGAGCACTGCTCATTCCTACATAGCTGAGAAACGCTTTGATGACTCATACTGCTCCTGAGTCAGATTGTATCTGAAAAATATGTCGGACAGCCACTTTCTGCCGGAGCATCCCGCTGAGAAATGACATTGAACTCGTTGTGTGTAAGCTTGTGTGATCCTGTCCTTCGATGATACACAATGATCATTCGTGACAGTCATGACTGTCGACAGCCCTTGCTATACTGCACGCGCTGCACCTACAGAGCAGCTGCTAAAGCGAATTCCTACCCATATGCAGGAGCTTCATGATGGTCATGATGATCATGCCAGATATAACACGATATTGCCAGACATAAAGGCCATGCACTGCCCTGGCTCTCCGAAAAACTATCCATTTTTCTAATCATACAAGCCACGGAACACAGGTCAGCAGAAACCTCTGACTGTGAGGGCTGAGAATCCACTCTATCACAGAATGCTGAAGCTGCTAGAAGCCAGCAGCAGACATAGCTTTGCAGACCAACACTTTCATGGAATCCCCAAGAGCGTTCTTAGCACACGATATGCTTTTGAGCACGATTCCTCTGCAAGAACAAGCCAGCCATGATCGGAACTGCATACATACACTAAGCAGGTTTTTCTAACCAAATCACAGCTGCTGCCAGACGCTAGAGTGCTCAGGCAACGATGAACCTAGCACCCCGCTGCTTATGGACGACCCTGCCAATGCAAAATTGGAGCAGCAAGCATCCTTATCCCTGCATGCCTCTGCAGGCTAGCAAGATCCAGCCTGACATGCCACACTGTCACATCTTTCCCGGATGCCCCGGAGAACATGCCCCTGCCACTTGCCCCTGCCGCCGCCACGTCAGCCTCCCCAGAGTCACATGACTTAATGACTAAGTGGGAGGGGACGCCGCTGCTCAGGCGGCCGACCCCTGCAGCCGCCGGCGCCGCCGCCAGTACCAGCCGCCAATAACTACCGCCCCGATGACTACGGCCGCCACGCCGATGGCCGCCTGCGCGCCCGCCGGCAGCTGCAGCGACTGCCCGTCTGCCGAAGCGGCCGCCGCCGCCGCCGCAGCGGCCACCTCGCGCGCGGGCGGCAGCTTCGTGCCGAGTAGCGACAGCGCCTCGTGCGCCACAACATAGTCCTGCAATCCATTAAGTCTCTAAGGTGCACTGTGCAAGATGTGCCTCAACCTAAATACTGCGCTCCCATTGCCCTCAGCCCCTATTTTGCAACATGATCTACTCAGAAGACTACAACAGAATTGAGCCCCACTCGCTCATGTTGAATGCGACATGTGGTTCTGGAGAGCCACAGGACCAGCTCCTCAAGGCAGGAGATCATGCACTCGCCGCACAAAAACCACTGTGTTCCCACAAGCGATCAGCCGAGCAGGAGCCTTGCACTGAGCTCATGAAAACTGCTGTGTTGCCACAAGAGATCAGCTGAGCAGGAATCTTGCACCGAGCAGGAACCTTGCAATGAACTCACGAGAACTGCTGTGTCTATATACTGCCGAAACACCTATTTTGCAGATTGCCTATCTATGAGAAAGAGGCGGGCAAAGATCGCACCGCGGTGAAGATGGCCTCGTCCTCTGCATAGGTCTCAATGATCTGGCGGAACTCCACATCGCCCAGCAGGTAGCCGTCCTTGGGCAGCTTCCCGCTCACCAAATCCCTGCGCGCAGCAAGCCGCACCAGTTCACAACATGTAAGCATCATGAAAAAGCAGGTGTGCCTACTCACAGCCCTCCTTGCTTGTCGCCACTGCAAGGGCTGTGAAGGCACACTTGCAGAACCGCTATCTTGTGCCACCTCAACATTAGGTGTTATCACCACTCCGCCTGAATTACCTCGTGCATGGGTGTCGTGTCTGTGCTGCGACAGGGAGGCAGCTTTGCATATACTGCAAGATCCCACTTTGGATCTGCAGACAAGCTTACATTGCACTAGTAACTGCATTGCATCCACAGCTCCAGAAAATGGATGTGTATACTTTGGGGCAGCGCACTTGAAGTAGACATTGTCAAACTTGAGGGGCCCGGGGGCGTAGAACTGGTGGAAGTAGGGCGGCTGCACGTCGCGCCACCAGCGGCCGAGCTTGTGAGCGCCCATCAGCGCCACAAACTGACGCAGGGGCAGCCCCAGCCGCTCCGCCACCGCGCGCAGGTGCGACGTGGCGTCCTCTGCTGCGCGCATGCCAGAACAGGCGCTCAATCCAGAGCCACAGCGAAATGTTTGACATGATAAGCAGGATGGATCCGGGGCTTGCGGAGCTCTGCACAAAGGTAGGGGAATGCCAGAACGGTCAGGGGAGGCAATCACAAGCAAGTGTAAGCTAGCTGCTGCATGCACACTGGTCCAAGATGGAACGATAGGCGAAGGTTTGGGTGTGGCAAGTGCACAGGGATGTGCTAGGCCCGGCACAGCAGGCCATGTTAGCAGTGTATTGTGTAGAAACCTGTTTCTGGAGGTGTGGGAAAAAAAGTGTGGTTGCAGAGGAGCAGTCTGGGCATGCTTGGGGTGACTCACCAACTGTGGGGTCGGGCAATCTGCCGGGAGGCGGGAATGACCAGGAGTCCTTGCGCCCTGTCAGTCCAGGGCAAAACATCAAGCAATATACTTCATGAGCAGAGTCATTGGGTCTTTCTCAGCACCCCCTGGGAGCATTCCGTTCATGCGATCATAGGGGCAACAATCTGGCTGGCAACACAGACTAACCTGGAGTGAAGGGGATCACTGGGCCTCCAGCAGCCTCCACGGCCAGCATACCCGCCAGCTGAAAGAAATCTGCAGCAGCATCGGAATTGTCTGATAGAAGCAAACACTTCATAGGCTAGCCCAGGACTTGAGCTCTCACTTTCCAAGTCCAGTTGATTCCTCGGTTTCCAAGTCAGCAAATGAAATTTTGCAAACATATTGACAGATTGTGAACGAGAAATACCTGCATAGGTGAGGTTGGGGTATTTCTCCTTGATGGGCTTCAGCAGGTCCACTGCATGCTGCAGCCCCTTGTTTCCTTCATGCGTCAGCTCCTTCTTGATTCTGTAACAATATCACAGGGTCTAGCTTGTTCCAGGACAGGGGGCTCATGCGTATGCTCCTGCGCTTCTTCCGAGGTTGCAAGCATCAAAATGTACTTACACTGCAAATTGCCCTCAAGCACATCATTTTGAGTTGAATATAATTGTTGATGCATATTACTCAGATTTTATAGCCGAATCTGGACCTGATGCTGCCGTTTGCTCCCGATGTGTTAGTTGGAGCGTCATAAGTAAGTGCGTCGTTGAAGGCCAGCCTGATCAGCATGGGAATGCAATTCTCTTTATTTATAAGGTCTCTCACGTCGAGAGAAGCCTTGTTAACGGCATCCTTGTAGGCTGCATCCACCTTGGGCGCCCCTGCTGCCATGCTTGCTGGGTTTTTTCTATCACCGCAATTTATTGGTCTACGGACACACCTCAGCTTTGCGTAGCTTTCCCATACAGCTGTAATATGTTTAAGAGACGCTTTAGACGACAAATCTATGCAAATGCTGTCTTTGTGTTGTTCCAGAGCATCGGGAAGAGAGGAAGCGGAGCCGAGATCTGGAAAGAATCAGCGTATCGACACTTTTGCTTCCTTCGGAAGCTATGTCGATATGTGAAGTCAGGTTGAGCCATTCCAGCATTCAAAGCTTTGCTTGTGAATATAGATGATGTCAGGCGTTAGCTGAAATGATATATTTGCAACAAAGTCTTAAAAATGCTTCGTGGACCGTCCCGCGCTGATCTGGGAGTAGGCAATATGCTGGCCAGGCTGCCTAGCTCGCCCGGCCGTCTGCAGTTGCCTTTGCTGATGCCTCGACTGCTAATGTCAAATTCCCTGCTTAGACAAAGCAGGATCTCAAAACTGTGCGATAGCTCTGCTGCGCGACCGAACCTGCGCCCCATCCAGGTACATGACAAGCACATCGCGTGCTGTAGCAACATCATATGTGGTTCTCTGTTATATTGAGACACACACATATATATTGTTACTATTAGTGTGTGCCAGCAGACCCATGCGCACTTCGTTAGTAAGTTTTGACTCCAGGCACACTGAGTCCAAGAATGGAGATATTTGACAAGGATCTATGCTGGAACCAGGTCTTCGCACGCTACCAGTCCTCTGCAGCGAAGCAGCACTCTGAAAGTCGAACACAGGATGCAGAGGTGCTGAGAGACCTGAAAGCACCTGACACCACGCCAGATTTCAGGCGGACAGGCAGCGACAATGGCCAGGCTTCCACTTCAGGCCGCCTGCCCCAGACAGTGCAGGAGCTGCAGAGTGTCATTGCTAGCAACTGCCCTGTGTTCTACTTCCATCCTGAGGAAAGGTGAGAGCAGCCCTGATCAGCCTTGTGCCCAAGGCAGACACTGTCTGGACACCACACAATGCGCCTATTCCAATTTAGAAAGCAACAACTTTGCGCATCGCAGTGCAGCATTAGCAGCTGCATGTGCTAGCTATAATTTGTAAATATAGTCCTGTGCCTTTCTTGCATGTGTTTCTTCAGGTGAGTAAACTGCATGCACGCCTGCGCAGGTACTATCCCTGCACAGTCCAATGGTTTCTGGAGCGGTGTGAGCTGCAGCTGATCCGCAAGGGGTGGCGAAGGCGAGTGCTGAGGGTCATTGAGCAAGTGGGAGGCCTGGATGGAGAAACACTGAAGAGGGCCGAGGCCTGGTTTGGCGCTCAGCCCTTCAAACGCTCCTTCATGATGCTGCGCTTAGTCGACCCTCAACACCGTTCTGGCCAGCGCAACCAGATTAATCAGGCACGCCCTTCAAAGCAGACTCACCAACTTGCAACACTTGCATGCATGCAGCTATGGTGGGTTTGCTCCTCATCTAACTCCATGCAGAATTGAACTTTGCATTGAAGCATCCCTGTGTCCTAATTAGAAAGTTGACCCTTGCCTGGCCCCCTCGATGCTGTATCGCAATGTTGAATGCATATCAAGCAATGCTGGCATGTCTGTGGCACCCTCCTGCATCTTGCTCCATTGCTGCATGCTGGCATATGCCATGCTGGTCTTAGTTGGCCATCCCTTTAACTGCTGAATGTATTTGCCGCTGTCTTATTGTGCCAATTGGATACTGCCGCCCGGTGCAGGTGCCCATCTACGCGCATGCGAAGGAATTGGTAGATCCCCAAACCGGCCGGCGCACGGCACTGGAGATCAACTACATGAAGTTCCTGGCGTACAATGGCTCCTACAAGCTGTTTGGGTGGATCCCGGCGGGCAATCTCGGCGCGCATGACGCTGACTGGGAGCATGTGACCATGCGTCTGACCCCCGACGGCCGCAGCGTGCTCGGGGTGTACTACAGCGCCCACAGGTGCGCGCAGATCAGATTGTTTAAATTGTAGATAAGGTCTTGCCATACGTGATGAGTCCGCCGTGTGCTCGGCGTGTTCAACAGCGCCCACAGGTGCACGCTGAGAGCAAGGTCTTGCGTCCAGAGTAAACGTGCTGGGACCTAGAAGATTATTCGCTCTGAAGGCTCTCATCACAGCTTTGCCAAAGCCAACAAGGCCTCAAGTCGCAAGGCTGGAAGCATGGCAAAATCTGAACAAAGCCTGCTGAACAAAGCCTGCTCACTTCAGCAAGTCAGGGAGAATAGAAGCTTGGATTGCAAAAATCAGACTCAGATTTGTTCTGGAAGCTACAGTGCAGCAATTCCGATTATTCTCCTGTCAGCTCACAGATGCCCAGAAGCTATGGAGGATAATTTGCATGACTGTGCTGCAGGCATGAGGACGGCGTGTGGCGCTCAGCAAAGGACGTGCCGCGCTCGGAGAAAGGGCGGCCGCTCGCGCACATTGCGGTGAACGGTCACGGTTCATATCCCACCGCCGGCACCATCCCCCGGATTTTTTTTGCCGCCAACGACAAGACCAGCAACCAAGGCGCCGTCTGGGACCCGGTGCGTGCCAACTCAATACTTCTATTTATATCATCACATGTTTCCCAGTCCTAAGGACTAAGTATGTCCGGCAACACCTGGATCCTTGCTTCCCAGTCTTCTCGGTTCTTGCGCTTCCTTCACTAATTGTGCACATGTCCAATAGTGTCAAGGTCATCCCTCACACAAACATCTCAGCTCTTTGATGGTCTGCTCCAGCCCCAATGCCTGCCATTGTGTGGAACATATCTGAAAATCTCTTGCGCTTACCTTATACCATAGACTCTCTTTTGTTACTGTTGTCATCCGCACACATTCTTTGTTCATGTTTGGTGTGGTTCAGGAGAATCTCCAGTGCTGGTATAGGCCTCATACTGTTGTGGTGCATGGCATGTGCGGAGGCGCCCTTTCATTTTGCAGTATTCTCTGCTGACCACATCATGTGATATTGGGCAGGTGTCAGTCAGGCCAAGATAGGCATAGATCAAAACATTCTGGAATGCCAGGCCGCGCTGCATGCTATTCTTGCGCGCAAGGCTTTTGCAGGGTGCAACAGTATTGTGGGATGCTTCGTCGCCTGATAGTTTCATATTGACTGGCAGGAGCGCTGTGTGATTGTAACAAATAATGGCGAGGGAGGAGCGCTGCCTAAGGTGGAAGATAGGGGCTCTGATCTGGACGGCTCCTCATACTTGGCTCTTGGGAGGGGCGCCAAGTCTGCGCCAGACCGTCAAAAGCCCGCAGGTGAGGGGGCAATCCCTTTGCATGCCAGATGATCAAAGCACAATTCCCACGACTGACTTCCATCAATTTCTGCTGTATGCTCCCTGCCTTATGCTGTTGACAAGTGACCAGGCGTAAACTATCTTGTTATTGAGGAGGCAATTCCCAATTGCAGCAATAAGCCATTGCCCCTTGCGCAGAGCAAAGAGCACAGTCTCTCCAAGACCGATGCACCGTTTATGTCTCATGATTACCGAGGAGTCTGGCGGATGACTTGGTCTGGCTTGGCTCTGGCAAGCCCAACGAGGGCAGAACACATGTTGTAGACCTCATCTGCAGTTGTGCAGAACCGCTCCATGCCTCTCCAGAACTATGATCAGCGTGTAGTGATGATTTGTCATGGGATGACTGTGCAGGCCGGAGGCCGGCGGCGGCATTTGAGCCGGCAGAGTGGCTGGAATACGGCGGCCGGTGGGGCACCACTGTGGCGGCACCGGCCAGGCAGGACTGGTTTGCGCGCGCGGAAAATCCGGTTTCCAGGACGTGGCTTCAGCAGGTGGCTGCCTGTGCCCAAAATGTCCAAACCCATGTCACATTCTGGAGTTCGCCTCATGAGTCCATGCTCCATTCCTTGCTGCAGGAAACACTGCCCTGCTCGAGCTCAAGATCTTTGCAAGACCTGACATTAGCCTGAGAGGGACCCATCTTTCAATGAATGCTTTGGTTCTCATTGCCCTGCCTGGGCTCAAGGTGCCTGAAGTTGATGTGAAAGAGCTGTAAACTTTGAAATCTCTCGAGCAAAGGGGATCCCGTGCCAATGGTCTTGTGGATGTGCAATGCCCACATTTCATACCATGTCTCCACCGTTGAGGCTTCTCTCGTCAGCGCACAATATTATACGCACATTAGTATCAGTATCAGTATCAGTATCAGTATCAGTATCAGTATCAGTATCAGTATCAGTATCAGTATCAGTATCAGTATCAGTATCAGCATCAGTATTGATATTGGTATTGTTATTACATTTGAGAGACTTTTTGGGAGCCACCTGAGGCTCATTGGTCTTGTAGGCAGTCTGTCACTACCCATCTACATATGACAAATATCTTAAGTGTCTGCATTCCGTCGGCAATCCTAATAAATCTAAATATTGCACATGATCTATGTTAGCCAAGAGAATCTGATTTCCAAGCGAAGAGACTGTGGTGCAGGTGCTGTTTCCTCTGGCGCCGGGCATCGAGTCCATCTATGAGCCAGCCTTGGAGGAAGTAGAGGAAGCGCTGGAAGGGGCGCGCGAAAACATGGAGCACATGCAGGTGTGCTGATAAGGGTGACGTACGAATTAGTCATAGCTTAAGACCTATCGCTCCCATTCTGAGCTGACGTACCTAATCTTACACGGCTGTCCAATATATAGGTATCATGTCAGCTGGTCCAATCCATGTGCAGGCCAGCTGCAGACCCAGAGTCATCCCCAGAGTCATACGTTTGCTTGCTGGTTGCATGCTGGTCTGATGCATGTGGTGGTATGTGCGCATGTTTGGCCATTCAATCTCTTGCCAGCTATTCGTGTTCATCGGCAGGTCAACAGTGCTTTCAAGTACACATTGTGTGGTTGCTGTGTGCATGCATTTCTTATGCATATGATGCAATATGTGGCCCCCTTTTGTTGCGCAGGAGGAGGTACGCCGTGAGGCAGATGAGGTGCAGCGGAGGGTGGAGAGGTGGGTCAAGGGGGATAAAAAGTAGAAATCGGTGGAAATAACAAAAATATCAGGCATTTGGAGCGCAATTGCAAGTTCTGTGGACGCCCAGACACTAGGACGCAATGAGTAGGGCGTAGTAGTCACTCAGGGGGAGTGACTAAGAGAGATTCTTCTTGTTACTCCCTTTGGCAATAGTTGCACGAGATATTGTCAGATATGATCTTGTGCCAGGACTTTGTCGAGTGCCCAGTGTTGTATGAGATATCAGGTGCAGCCTTCCGTTTTGGGCAACCTGCATCTGCTCTCAAGAATTTCAGTTACGGTTTCTTATTTTGAGGTGGGGGGATGCCTCCTCATGTGGGGATGGCTGCTCATATCTCACAAGTGTGCAAATGCATGCCATATAATGCAGCAAGTTTCCGCTGTGCAAGATAAGCTGCAGAACAGTGTATGCGCAGCATGATCTTTATTGACAGGTCAAACTTGTATTCAATTGGAATCAAACGGATGACTGCCTTTAGAGATTCCGCCTAGAGATCTGGATGAGTACAATAATTGTGCAAGAGTCTCACCAAGCACACAAGCCTGTTAATCTAGCACAAGATTGCAGATATTCCACACATTCAGCCTTCGCACATGCATGCTCAAAGGGAAATCAGGGCAACAAGAGTCGACAAAGGTTCAGAAGGCCACTGGAAGCTTCAGACACATCCATCTTCAAGTTCACGAAATCCCAGGTGAAGCTTACCACTAACACTATTCAAGAAGTTGTTGCAGCAATGTGTGATATGAAAAATCCGCGCCCCAACATTACCAAAGTTATTGTGCAAGTTGGCAGAGCCCACCGGCCAATTGCTGATCCCCCCTTGTTACTTACGGGGCATGCATGCAGGGCCACTTCTGCACGGCCCCTAACTTGAAGGCCAGTCCTGCCAGGGTGCCAGTTTTACGACACATGCATCCTCAAATCACAAAGCCCTTTGATACTATAGACTGTTGAGCAAAGTTACTGCAGCAAAATGTTGTAGGCAAAAAACCCCCGCCCAACGCACCCAAAGTCCCATGCAGATGGCAGGTGCAAGCTATCCTGGCGGCTTGTAGGACGTGTATGCACATGCATGGCGACCTCAGCATGGCCCCTCACTTGAAGGTCAGGTCTGCCAGGGCTGCAGCCACCTCCTGGGCTTTGGCGCTCCCCTCAGCAGCTGAAGCACCCTGCTGCATGGCGTGGAATGAGGCCGTCCCGTTGGTGGTCACCTCGTGCAGAGCAAAGTGCCTCGAGTAGGCATCCATAACAGCTGCGCCACATGTCACTAATATCAGTATTATAACTACTATTACTGCTATTACTACACGCTCTTTTGCCTCTGGCAAGGTGCATACACACGTGCACTGGTCAAAACATCTCACATGCACGCAGGGCGACTCCAGGGCAGTGAAGTAATCTTGCATGCATACGCACATTTACCAGAGCCATTTGCCGACATTGTGCTTCACAAACAACCCCATGAAGTGCTGTAGGAAGAAATCTGCACTAATGGCATTGCAGGGGCCTCCCTTACCATGGATGTTGCCGCCAGAGTCCTTGTATAGTGCTCCCCTGCGCAAGTGCAAGAAAAAACGTGCGTGAACATCATTGGGGGAGGGTCTCGATGATTTCTGGTGCACTATACCTCTTCTGGATAGAGTTTCAAAAAACGATATGAGAGACTGGAGTGGACTGCCCAAAAATTGCTGATCTGCTCAAATATAGGCTGCTCAGATGGCTTGGTCACGAGGCAAGGATGAGGGAAGACAGGCTGCCAATGCAATTTTATTTGGTACTGTACAAGGGTCTGAGAGAAAAGGCAGGTCTGTCAAATCCTGGATTGATTGCGCGAGAGATGACCTGGATCCCATGGGATTGACATGCCATTGGTGGAGAAAATGCCAAGACGGGGAAGGCTGGAAGCGAATTTGCGAGGTTGCTGCAACGCACCTAGCCCTGAGGGCTGGAATAAGCGTGTAATGATAATAAAATATTCACACACCATTGCCTCAGCGCATGCCGATTGAAATCCACTGTAGGTGACTTGATACAAGCAGATGCATCCGACTGCAATCATGTAAGACAGGAGATGCCTTGACATGCGGGCAATGCAAGCGCCACAGCATGGGTGAACAGCTGCATTGAGCAGTCCAGCAGATGGCTCAGAGGGTATCACCCTCATCTGACTTTGAATCAAATACAGGAGGCAGTGCAAGAAAAGACTGGAGAGCAATAATTCCAGGTGTTGCTTGACGTACCTAGTCCTTGAGGATTGGAAAACGTGTAATAATGATAATAATAAAAATAATAACAATAACAATAACAATATCAGGAGGCAGCTGCGCACCAGACAGCCTCAAAGAGCTCAGCCAGCATGTTCTTGGCAGCCTGCTCCTCCTGCTTGGGGAAGGACTTTCCAGTGAAGGCGATCTTGTTCCAGCCCAGCTTCCTGGCGCCCTCAGCACAGAAGTCCCGCATGACCTGCAGAGACAGCATCTGCTTATTTTCAATAGCTGCAACTTCCGATAGCTGCAATTTCAAATTGCTATTTGTACACAGTTGCCACAGTGACATTGGAGTGAGCATACTGGACAACCGGGAAATAATGCAGAGTCTGAGATTCAGCATCCATGCCTTGTGGACAAGGTTTCAGCTTATGGGTCAGAATGAATTGAGCCATGCTTGTCGCCTCAAGAACTTGAATGTTGCGAGAGGGAAGCAGGGAATGCATGCAGTAGCAGTGGCGCAAGTGGTTCTCACATCTTCCACATGCAATGCATGAACCAATTTTGCGTGATAGTCATGCAGCCATGCTCCTCGGGTCTCCCGTCCATACAAAAGTGATGTGCTACAAGCAATCAAAACTGGCGTCTGCAGGGAAGACGGCCTCTTATTGCTTGCAATCATGCATGCATCTGCAAGTGGAAGTGCTGCATGCAATGCATGCATGCCATGCATGCACCAAGGGGATGCATGTGAGCTCACCAGTGTAGTGCGGCGGTCTGTGAGGATGTCAGTGGATGCCTTGGGCAGGGAGTCATACACAAGGTCACTGACCACCAGATGCATGGCCGCATCTCCTGCAGACACATCACTGCTTGTCAGCGCCCACGGTCTCTTAAAATGGCGTCCTGAAGCCAATGTGGCTCTTACAAAACAAACAGGGCATTTTGGTGGCGCATATACTGAGGGTGCCCCACCAATTGGCTTCTAAAAGTTTATTCACCAGTACAGGAAGCCAAATGTTCTCCCTTTCCAGCAGACATATCCCCAAAACACCAATTGCAGGAGAACTTTTCTGAATACTCCAGATTTTAGCTACTTTTGTGACATCATCTGCACTCCTATGATCTTGCAGAGCCAATGCATGGTTGCGTGCAGGTCATGGCACGCAAGCAGTCACTGGGACAAGATCTGGGTGCCTGGCAGGGCAAAGATGTGCAGAAGGTAGAGGCTGAAGCTTGCCTATCCAGGCCAGCCTGTAGTTGTTGAACTCGCCAGCGGAGGGGTGCATGAAAGCCTGCAACGCAGGCCAATGAAGAACTTTTCAGAACGAGCCTCCGGGGCCTGCCAATGCAGCGTTTCAGGTATGCTCTCCAGAATCACTCTGCTCCACACCTCACTAACCAAGCCCCTCTTGGACACCTGAGAGCTATTGTAGTGCAGCTGCAATACCAATGGCCCAAACCAGCTGCAATTTCTGGTGGCATCCATTCTTCCCGCACCTGCCTGAGCAGCCACTTGTCCCGAAATTCATACCTGCAGGAATGCAATTATCTTCAAATGATGGAGCAGGCTTGTATGGCAGACCTCAATGTATTTTTTTTTCCTGGGTTTCCTTGCAAAGGCAGCTCGAATTAAATTGGAGCCTCTCAGTGATCTGCAATGAAACGTTCTTGTGTTGTGACTGTTCCGCTTACCCCAGATCCTTTTCGACCTTTTTGAGGTCTTCATCGGTTGGGCCGATAGCCATCGCTGCAAGCACTGCTTGGGATGGCTCTTTTGCAAGACTAGTCCCCAAAGCCCGCTCCTGCACATCACTAGGAAGATCACGTTGCAAGCCTTGAAGCAGACTAATTGCCCCTTTGACGTCAGGTGAAAGAATCCTGGAACTTCCTGAAAACACTTTTGCAATCTTTGGAAATCACAGCACACCTGCAGGCGTTTCAAAAAGGCCTATAAATGCAGCGAAGCACTGGAGCAATTTGGTTTTGGAGCCTGTCCAAGGACTTCCCTTCGCAGCCTCATAGTAATGATGCAATGAGGTATTTGTTGACATGCTGATGATGTCACGTTAGGAGCCCCAGTGGATCCAGAAGGGAAGAACACATGCAACCTCTTGTTTGCCACTGGAGGGTGGCCTCCTGGAGCCAGATTCGTTAGCATAGGGCATTACCCCGGGTGCACAGAAGGTAGACTTTGCATCTAGTGCATGCCATGGCAGAGCCAGCCTGGAGCATGATCACTGATGGCATGATCTGCGCAGTGATTGAGGCCCATATACTCTGCTGGCATTGCAAAATTTATGAAGTGTGCACAGAGCTATTCTTGATTTCAGGCATTGTGGTGAGCCGCACTTGGATCCAAAACCGGTGACCACTGCAGGACCTTCTCTATTATGTATCAGTTCGACAGCGGTGCTCATGTGGCCCCCCACTTGATCATCCGAGGGTGGCGCCGCTCCCTGCTGCCAATTCTCAATTTTACGGCTTTCTCTTTTCCGTCTGATGTCTGGACCACCAGGGAAGCCAGCCCGGGATTCAGCCCTTCCCGGGGAAGGCTTCCCCGGATGCAAATGTGCACCGTGCGACACATGTACAGCGTTGCTGCTTGATTGAGCACTAGGGTAGTTCTTTCCAAGTGCAGATGCCGCTTATGCATCATACATATGATATGCATGGCAGTTGCAGAACTTCTTGAAGGCTGCTGGGTGCATGCATGATGCTTGGGCCAGCTCAGGTGTTTACATGTAGTTCAGGGCCTTGGCAACATGACATCAGCACGATGCACAATGTGAGCAGGCAAAATGTCCCACTGCCGTGCCTGCATCTGCACGGCAGTAAGACACTTATGTGGGCTGAGCCTGTGACTTCCAAAATAGGTGGCATGCAACCAGGCACCTGAAAATTTCCAGTACTGCCGGGGAACGGTGTCCCCGATCGGAAAAAGTGACTTTCGCCGCAAAACTTTCTCAAAAGGGCGCGTTTCGCCGGTTGAGGACAGTTTTGTGGAGGATTAAACCGCCAGGCAGAACGATGCGTATCCTCGCGTCAGACTTTTTACACTTTCTCCACTTGCGTCCACCATAACCGCACGCACGACCTGGGAGAGATTGGCAACTTCTTCTTGTGGACAAAGAATAAGCTGGCGTATTGCGTTCCGAGCGCGGTCGCTGGCGGCACAAGCAAAGACGCGTTGGGAGGCAGCTGATGCGCATCAGCTACAGATAGGTCACAGCCCTGAAAGAATACAGCATGACAGACTACAGCTCGCTACTGGACATCAGCCGGTACCCCTCGGTCGCGCTGATTGATGTGGAACCTGGCATGGCCAAGGCGGACAACGTGGGAACCACCTTCAACTTGACGGACCACCATCTGCTCCCCTTTGCATTCAAGGAGCCGCGGGTGCGCCTGCGCTGATTCTTTACTTGGTTGCTGCATGCGTGCTGGGTTTCTGGCATTGTTTGTATGGTAATTGCCAGAGTGGGACACCTCGGTGATGTTCGCTCGATGTACTGCCTTCGGTGGCACCTGGTCTGTCAAGGCTTGTGTAGGGAAGGCACGGCTCGTGTATCGTGTCTGACACTTTCATTGCAAGTGTGCGCTTACTGGAGGCGGCCAAGGGCTCTTTCCGGCCCCGTTGTCCCAGTTCTCGCGGACCCATCGGGTTGCATGGGGACTCCGTTCTGGTGCCATGCACGCCCCTCGCGGCCTGCAATCGCCTATGAATGGTTGCTGAGTCTGTAATAACTTTAAAGGTGGCGTCTTTGCGGGAACACCCATTCAGGAATCTCACTCTGGCGCCGGGCTTGCGCAGGGAAGCCGGATAGAAGGTGGGCAAGACAGCACAGCACCTCAGACGATTACCACGGGGACGCGGGACAGCCTGAGCGAGGGGGATAAGGTAGCCAACAACAAGAGCCCCAGGAGCACTCTGGAGGGCCCCATGCTGTCCACCAGCACCCTGATCAGCGCGCAGCAGCTGGCCGAGGCGCGCGGGATGCGGGGTTCCAACGACTGGCGTAGGGACTACCAGGCGGACGACCTGGACGACGAGGATGACGAGGGAGACTTTGAGGACGACGATACGTTCTCGGGAGCTCACCGGGACCACGAGAGCGCGTCTGCTGCAGAGGAGAGCAATCTGCGTCGCTCTGCTCGCAACCACGGCACTGACAGCCGCAGGGTGAGCGACCTGGGGGTCCCTCAACCTTCACAAATCACCCTCTGTCTCCATATTGTCCTTGTATAGCCAGTTAACTATTTCGGAGCTCGTTTGCTTGCATGCTGCCACAGCACCTGGGTGTTGAGTTGCAGCCCTCAGAGACAAAGTGTAGACTTGGGGGCCTGAGGCCTGCACAGCCAGCAAGCACTCCAATACCATGCAGTGCGCTGCACTCCCCTGCCCTGCGCATGCCAGATGGTAACATCGTGTAAATGGAGTGGAGTGCCTGGCTCTTGACCTGGCAATCCTGTGCGCGCGTGCAGTCCAACGAGAAGCGCAAGGTGGGCCGCCCCATCATCTACTGCGGGGACCCGGACTCGCCCGACCTGACGCCGCAGGAGCGCCGCCGCATCCGCCGCCGCATTGCCAACCGCGAGTCGGCCCGCCGCGTGCGCGCCAAGCGCCAGGACCTCTTGGAGGACATGTCGATCAAGGCGAGCCCCCCTTATCTTCTAAATCCTCGTGCCACTTCATGTCTCCTGTTCCCCTTCCATTCCACAGGTGTCCGCTCCTTTGACAAGGTGCATTGACCCCCACTATCTCTATGTTGACAAGACTCTCTTCTTGGGGAAATTGCTGTGAGCGAGATGGAATTGGCACGATTCAAATGGCATGAAAATGAATCAAAGCCCAGCTGATGGAGGGGCGCTGTGTGCAGGTGAGAGAACTTGAGGAGCAGAATGCGGCGCTGATGCAGCGAGCTTTGTCGGTGGAGGGCAAGCATGCCAACATGCTGGATCAGGTGTCGCAGATCAGCCACTGCCTGCAGGCGAAGACTGCCGAGAATGAGCGGCTCATGTCCGAGCTGGACCAAATGCGGCAGAACCTCTCGGTGAGCCCTGTCACCTTTGAATGCACCCTGATCGTCTGATAGTCCACGCTCAGCGTCCTCTCTTCTTAGAACTAGCGAGCTCAAGCACCGCAGCCAACTGATTGTGCAAATGCTTGAGGCAGACATCTGCTCTCAGCTAAGGCAGTGCAGCTGCGCGTGCCCCTCTGTTGTCAAGATGGTGTCATCTTGTTTGAGTCTATTTTGATAAGGTTTGGTTTGTGAGGGAGCATCCACTTTGCTGTGGAAGCGTATTGCGTGCGCAGATGTAGCGCTATAGTGGTGGCCTCTGAGGCCTATGGCGCACAACGTTGGAGACAGCAATTATAGGGGGCTTGACGTCAGCCTGTGCTGGCGTGCAGGTCGGCAGCAGCAGCTCGATGGACTTGGACATGCTGAGGGAGGCATGCGGCAACTACAGCTTCCGGCTGACTGCCGTCGAGTCCGGCCCGCAGCAGCCGCCGCAGCAGCCGCAGCCGGTGCTGCCGCAGACCATCAGCAGCGGCTTCGCCGGGTCCGCCTTTGGCGCCGCTGCCGGACTGCCGCTCGACCCTCTGCCCGCTGCTGTGCCTCGGCCTGTGGTGAACAGCGGTGCGTGCAGCCTCCAATGTCTACAAATGGCCTGTCTGTCTGACAGAATGTGTAAGATTGTTGTGCATCGTTGCAAACAAATGCCTCAGCAAAATATGAAGCAGCTTCTGGGCTCTTGTGCAAGAGCAGATTTCCTGATGCGAGAACAAGGACCGAGGTGTGAGATTCAAAAAGCAGTTCCATGGTGTTGTTCCAGGTTGGGTTGTTTCATTGTATATCAGGTACCTTTGTGTCCCTTGTGGCCCTGTCACCAGCATGTTCCCTATGAGAGTGCCTGACGAGAAAGTCCTTTGCGTGCACAGGCGCCACTCTGCCGCCATCTGAGGACATTCTGGCGCCACCGCTGCCGCACCCGGCGCGTATGCTGTCCAAGGAGCTGTCACTGGGCCAAGTGGCTGCCCTGTCCATGGACCGCAGCCTCAGCGAATTCCTGAAGGGGGTCACCTGCTTCTGAGCGCCTTGCCGGCAACTGCCTGGCAGCTGCCGCCTGCCTCCACGTACCAACTGAAGGACACCACCAGCGGGCATGATGCCACAAAGATCACACGCAAATGCCTTGCTACTGGTTCAGTCACACGCAGATGCACGCTGCTTGTTATGAAGTCAGGGAGGAGATGTATGGAAGGCTAGTCGGGAAGCGATGCCCTGGTGTGCATCTCTTGAGCACTAGGAGTCAGCTTTCGTGGATAGCCGCACAGCAACAAGTTGCACAGAGAATAGTGAGCATGCGCAGTCGTGTTCTAATCGTGTTGGAGAAGATCTGCTAGGTCATCGTAGCACAAGAAATCACGAAGGTGCCAATAGTCTGAGGCAGAGGAATCCTATCATAAGGGCGTTCCAAACTGGGTACAGATGCACAGGAAGATACAACAGGTATTACGTCATTATGCAATGGCTATTTCACACAAGGCTGAGGGGGTCGTTTTCACGCGGCCGGGGCACAGCGAAGGATTTCCTCGAGCGGGTGCTAGCCTGCATATCTTGAGCTTTGAATGCATGTTTATGCAGCCTTTCGCAGGTCTGGGACGTGAAACGATCCAGATGATGTGCACTGAGCGCAAGGGCATTACGTTTATGATTCGGGCGAAATATATCGGAGATGACATTTGTGTCGGTTTCTTCAGCTCATAACGTCTTTTCAGAGAGGAAGGGCACTTATTGGGAGATATCTTGGGTCACGTCTGAGAGGCTGTGAGGGATCAAGGTCTCAATCAGCATACCCACCCTGACAGCTGCAGCGTACTATGCAGATCACTTTTCATGTTCAAGCCAACTGCAGCATTAAACATCTGTTCGCTTGCTTTAAAGCATCGAAGACTGGTATGAAAGCATTGGATTTATGCATGACGATGGCAGCATTTAGGGGTTGACAAGACTCTAAAAGCCCTGCATTGAACTTGCTTGCGCATGGTGGCATCAGTTTTTGGAGAAGGGGCAAATGTGCTCTGGGGATTCATGCGGTAACCTGTTTTTGCGTCCTACGCTTGCGTGGCGCTGGGATTTTTGTCTATCGATATGCCGCTTGGGATTGCATGATTCATTGCATTTTTAGGTGCTATGCTTTACGAGCAGGGTCATTAGGGGGGGATGCACATGCATGCTGTATTGCTGTCTCCGTTTATATGAGAGCTCCGCTCCAGAGGAACTTGTCTTTGTTGAGATTTGTAGTAGACATCACGTCTTGTTCACCACCTCTTCCAAGTTGTAATGCATAATAGTAATGCATAATATTCAGAGTGATACACTATATTTTGCGTGGCCCAGAGTCACACATTCAACGTGACACATTGCAACACAGTGTATGTCTGGCGCTCTGTCCTCGTTCCGGCCGACCCACAGCAAAAAGTTGGGTTGCTGAGCAAGTTGTAGCGAGCGCCTCATTTATCAACCGATCATTTGTTCTTGATGTGTATACATGTCGTTCAGCAGCAGCACTCCACTGTACAAATTCTGTGCATTCTCCCTGTTTTAAACTCTTCACAAGTTGCAGACCACTTGGGCAATCAATCATTACAATAATGTGTTGTATTGTTCTTGCATGACGTGCACTTGCAAGGCAGCCCCTCTCCTATCTTCTGGCGCTTGCTCTGCCTTGATGTCTGCATACCGCTTTCCCTAAAAATGGCCTGGCTTCAAATACAAAGCATGCATGCCTATGCACCTCCAAAACAAGTGTCTCTTCTCGGTCTGGCCCCGGGGTCCACATGCTTGCTGTGGCAGGAAACACCTGCATGCATCGGCATCTTCTCAGCAAGTCAATTTTGGGATCTGCAATGCATTTGAGCTTGTCATGCACTAAGTGCACTTACAAAGAATACATCTACTGACCTTTGTGAGCAAAGAAGCGCACCTGACTCCGGGCCCATTTGCTCACGTGAAGGGGAGAAGAATAGTGTAGGAGAGTCTAATGTAGGGTTCCAATCTACTTGCTCACGGCTCCACAAGGTCTCTTCAGCAGAGTATTATAGCAAACGCCAGGCCCTGAATTGAATCACTTCATCCAGAGATGCAAAACTTTGCACAAGCGGCTGGCACAAGCTATGAGCGCCAGATCAGGCGTCCTTGCGCTGCCGTTTTATTTGGACAATCCCCCTGGCCTGCGCTCTCTCTGCTTCCCTTTTGCCAGCACCTGTTCACACACAAGACATGATCAAGTCACCTGCCGTAATAAAGAAACCACACAGCGTTGGCTTGAAACATTCCCTGCAGCCTGACATAGTCATTCTCTGCTGCCTATCATGCTACAGCAATTTTTTTCTGCCTTCACACTCTAGAATGATGCTTTGTCCACATATCGATTCTGTCAGTCCAGATCTGCGTGTCGAGATTTCAAGTCTCGAGATTTCAAAGCGAACACTGCGTGACAGCTTGCCATGCAGTGGGCACTACAGTCATTCGCCTCAATAATACGTGCCTGCATAGATGGAGGTATCGAGGGCCTGCCCAAAATCATACTTGCTTTCCATCTGAGCGGCAGCCTGTGCCCTGAGGACAGCTCCTCTTGCCTCTGCTTGGGTCACTATCCTTTCCTTCTGCTGGAGGCTGTCTGCACAGACAATCAAAATTCTCAACAACTCAACACAAATATCTGTCAATCATATCTGGCATGGATGTCTTCTGCAGGTCGTCAGCAGGTTAGCAGTGTGCTTTTCTCAGCAGCTTTAGTTGTTGGAATTTATGAATCTTGGAGCAAAGATTGGAGGAGAGGGTCAATACACAAGCACACCTGCCGGGGACTGGTGCTTGATCTTCTTGCGCTGCTGCCGCGCAGCCTCCTCTGCAGCTTCCTCCTCTGCCTGCTTCTTGGCGGCTTCCTCAGCCGCCGCTCGTTCCCTCTGCAAACCAAGATTACAGGTTTTAATCATCTGGGCTGAGCCAATGCTTGGCTTTTTGTGAAGACAGTGGTGTCACTGTCACGGCAACAGAGCGCACACCTCCTTTTGCTCCTCACGCGCTCTGCTGATGTCTTTAGAGGCCTCCATCAGTGAGGGACCGCCATCAAACCTGCATTGAAAGCAGGTGATCAGTAATTGCATACCAATGCACTGGGCATGGCATGCAATCATCTGTGTAGGTGTGCACAAGAAAGTACAGACAAGATGGGGATGCAGGTTGGAGTTGATCAACCAAGTCGCGCACCCCCTAGCTTGCAGTGCCTCGTAGCTGACAGCATCTGGTGGCCTTTTGGGGTGCTGCTGTGCCTTTGCGCTGGCAGGTAACTTCCCAGGTAACAAGAGGTCCAGGTCGGACTCGTCAGAACTGAGCTCCCCAGCGTCCTGATTGTGTTCTTCCTGGGACATTCCTCTCTCTCACTCGACTGTGAGAGGCAGCCTGATTGTGACCAGCAAACAGTAGAATGGCAGGATCACGCCAGATGCCTGCAGAGTGAAGCAATCTCCTAGTGGATAACTTGCACCCGGTGAGATAATTTCACTCGACTTGATCTAGATTTGCTCCTTCTATGTGTCAACCACGGAAGTTGATAATGCTTGTACCCTCTTGACGGTAATTAAGTTTATCTTCAACAATTCTCCTATAGAAATAAGTCGTGAATGCGTAAGAATGATGTTGGACGCTTTTGGCTTTTGGTCGAGATAAAGAGACAGGTGCGCGCTTTTGCAAGCCACAAAGCCAAAAGCGACCGCGTGCGCAAGGATGACGTCACATTCACTGGGAATGTGGCTGGAATTGTGGAAGGAAATCTATTAGAGCAGTGAACATGGGCCGAGTTGTCTGGTTGCACGAGTGCTAGCGCATGGTGCCGAGTATTGGTTATTAAAACAGGATTCGCACAAGACGACCCCATGCTTGTCATTGCAAGAACTTCTTGCAGAACTTTGAGGTCTTGAAGACCTCAAAACAGAATGGGAAGATTTACACATTGCACACTGTGGCATGTACAATCTCAAGCATTACATACCATGCTGTACCATGTTGTCCATCACCATGGTGCATGGATCACACTTCACTTGTTCATAGGCTCACAGATTGTGGTATCCAGCAAAAGCCCGAAGCCTGAGGTACACATTCTATTCCTCGCATATTATCACGATTGCTTGCCAGCCATAAAGTTAGACCCATAGGTAGTGATGACTGTGCTTTGTTTCAGTCTCGAATGGCATCCCGTAGGTGTCTTTGGTGGCTCCTTGCCTCTGGGTCAGGGAATTCACCCGACACAAAGCTGCTGTACAAACCGCGGTCATTATTACGTTTCTGCAATGTCGCCCTGGCTAACCCACTCCACATCGGTGTCTGCATATTTTTGTTTTAAAAAGCCCTGCAATGCCTGTGGCCCCGTCACACTGTGACAGACAGTAGTAGGAGGCAGCGCATCTTGTAAGCCAGCCCCCAGGCCCCTGGACATCCATGAGCGCTGAAACTTTCTGCTTGTCTCTGCAAGCTGCCACATATATAGCGTGCCTTCGTACTCTCTTCTCCTCACTGCTCCTTGACACCAGCCCCTGTACAAGCGCCTCTACTCAGCGCAGCGCACACCCCTCATGCACTGTTGAGACAGCCCAGGTGCTCTGCATCATTCAAGTACAGGTACCTCCGATGAAGGTGAATTGGATAAGAATATAGCCAATTAAGCAATACTAATCCTTGAACTCTAGATCAACATGGTCTACAGCTGCGCCAAACCTACAGCCTCTGTTATTTGAACAGGTCAGGCAAATCTGCGAGCAAAGAAGTAAATGCCACACGAGACACCCTAATCAGTCTGCAAGAGTGCAACACATTAATGTGGCGGGGCCTCCTCACCGGCATCAGAGGCTGGGTGCGGCTGCGGGTCGTGGCAGGACATTCCGGGCAGGTGCTGCTGCCCGGGGTGGGCAGCCTGGGCCGCGCACTGCTGCAGGTGGTGCTGCCACTGCTGAACCATCATCGCCTGCTGCATCGCGCTCTGCATTTGCGCCGGGTCCAGCGCCTGCGCATGTGCCTGCAACTGCTCCTGCGCACAACCAAACCAACCCCCTCATGCACTGCCTCAAAACCAAAACAGTGGCGTTGGTTCTGGTTGCCTAAATGAAGTGCATCTATCGATCCTCAAAACGTCAGCGAGCCATGCACCAACACACAACTGCAAACATAGATGCCAGCACCCTCCTACTGCCTTTGTGTTCCCTTGTCCCTGTCCGCTGTCTGCCTGTCTGCGCTCTCTCCTGTGCAAGAGAAGGTCCACAGCACCCCTGCTGGATAAACTCTGACCTGCTATTGCCCTCTGCACAGCACGTGCTTCTGCCTCCATGCAGCTCTCAACACCGATACGAGAAATCCCGTGGCTTCAAATTTGCCCCTTGTCGCACCTGTACTGCCAGATTGCTATTGGCTGGCAGGAATCTGGCTTGCTCAGCACGACAGAGGAAACAAGCCGCTGATGTTCTAAGTCCATTTTGTCATCAAATATGTGCCCCACCTTGCCGTTCATGTTGCCCATGAGCTGCAGCAGCACTTGCGGCAGGCCCGGGAATGACAGCGGCGGCGCGGCGGCCGGTGCGGCCGGGGCTGCGGCAGGAACGCCGCGTGACAGCAGCGCCCGGATGCTCCACTGCACCTCCTCCGGCAGGTTCTTGACCGCGCCCATCGCAGTGAAGCACTGCAGCGCCGTCTGCAACCGCAGACCAGGCCTTAAGAATTACCTGTTGTCATGCATGCCCGCATGCATGGATGAATAACAGTCAACTCGTTGTCCAACCTCTGCCAGGATGCCCACAAGGCTCATTAGCTTACAGCCACAAGTGTCCTGCTGCATGTGCATTTCATGTTGACTTTGAGCAGGAGCCGTCTGCTCTATCATCACCAGCTCACAAGCGTGTGAGCAGCCTCGCATCAAGTAGTTAATGTCCATGAGCCATATGCCAAAGAATGTACCTGCAGTTGGCGGATGTATTCTGCGGCAGATCTCAGGAAGGCTGCCTGGTCCTCCTTCTCTTTCTGGGGCACCACCACCTCTCGCAGCATCACAATTCTGCACCAAGCAGCATGCTGTATTACTATTGGGGTGTTGCTGTAAGATGACATGCATTCAGCTGAGACTGAGTCACAGCAATTCCTCATGCTGTTCTTTTGAGCATGAAGCCTGCAGGAGGTCACACCTCTGAAACCCGAGGCATCATTAAAGGACAGACTCACGCACAGCTCTCCCAGCAAAATCCTACTGATCCTTTGCTCGCAAATGGAGTGTTATTGGGGCCTTGGGACAGGACAGCTTGGAAAGGCAGGGCAAACTGCAACGGTGGTCCTGTGCGCACCCTTCATGGATGCGATCTCGCCGTCGCTTCTCTGTGGCGCTGTGCTTCTCCTTGGATCTGGAGCTCCCTTCTGCCGAGGTTGCCCTGGCACTGCTTGGCTGAGTGACCGGCCCAGGAGCTGGGCTAGCAGCTGCTGCTTGATCATCCGTTGAAGTCCCCGGCTTACTGCCCAAAATTTGGCTGTGAGCAGAACAGCAAGCGTTCATATACTATTCCAATAAAAAGCCTTGCGATAGATGGCTTTCTGACAGACTCACGGACTCACAGATAACATGGCTCGATGTCACCTGATCCTACAAAGACCGCCGACAGAAAAGACAGACAACCTTGCATGAGCTCTGCCAGGTTTTGGACATGCCTCGCAATATTGTTTTTCTGTTGCATGGTCCACTACATCCTTCCAAGAACACTACAGGCAACAACACGTGGACTTCACGTGCAGTGACCGTTCTCACGTTCTGTCCCGTGGGGATGCCCGTCACTCACTTCGAACAATTCAGTGTAAACCTCGTCAAAATATACCTGAGGGGGATCGCAGCCAGCTCGCCCAAATCGGTATTTGGGGCTGACATCAGGGCAACTCCTTCCTTGTTGGAGGTGAGCAAATTTCGCTGCTGTCCCTCGCTCACAGCTTCAGAAACTTACAAACTTACTAATGAGAACGATCTAGAGAGTATTTGTCGATTCTCAGGCGACACAGGCGCGACAACAGCACCAACATCCAACACCGTCCGTCCCACGTGCCAGACTGGGCAGACCGGGTTTCCGCACACAGATCTGCATCATGCCTGCGCTCGAGCTTTCACCTTCAGCGACAAGGTCACATAGAGTCTCTCAGAGGACTTGTTGGCGCGTTTGGTAGAGAAAAGGAGGGCAAAACAGGCCCGGTACACCAATGCACTCATCATCGCCCCCTGTCAAATCCCTGTTGTGTTGAAACCCTGACGTTCCCATCTCGGGCATGGCCTGCTTTCGTTTTGTTGGGCCTTTGAAAGCCTTCCTGCTGATACCACATCACAGAGTGAATAGAAATATATTGATCAACGGAGAAGGGAGGCCCTAAGGCTCCCTGGCAAATTCCTCTAACTCTGCGATCTCTGGGACAGCAACCTACCAAAATGTACCGAGCCTGCAACCTGGGTCAGAAGCCTCCGTAATAGAACAAACGAAATCTCAGCCAACACCGTTCGAGATTGTTCCTGCGGCGAGCACGCGAACTGACATGGCTAGCGGCAACCACAGCCTAGAAGGTGACATGGCCGCATAGTGTTGCTTCAACATATGCTGCAAGATCGAATGAGACATTTTCCCCCAAATTTTAGATCCATGCCAGGTTCGCAAATCTCGTTTAAGGCCTAGATGGTGGGCAATATTTCTTATCTTTTGGCAAGAGTGGACGCTTACTAGTCATTGTAGCCTCCGCCCATCAGCCCACGTCCTCGCTCTTGAATGTGCATTGGACCTCTTCAAGGGACATCCTGGTTTTCTAGAATGGTCTAGGCATGGTCTCAGCTCCTTCTTGCTGGCAAAGCATGTCCACGTTCAGGCAGCTGCAGATGGTGATGGCTCCTGTGTGAGGGCGTTCAGGTGCACCTGCAGAGGAGGAGGTGCCTCTGATCGACACAGGCGTTCCTGCAGCGCCAGAGGGAGACGTGGAGATCGGCAGGCAGGATTCTGCGAAGAGGCAGCCGCGTACAAAGCTGGGGCTGCTGCCCTTGGTGGCCCTCATCTTCTATGAGGTCTCTGGCGGCCCCTTCGGCACAGAAGTGAGTTCATTTCACCTGAATCAAGCTCTTCAGTGCATTTTGGTAATAATTTCTCAAAAGACATGCAGGGGGCTATCAGCGCAAGTGTGCATCCAGTGAGAATGGATAAGTATCATTTACAAGAGAGAGGCCTATTGGAGGTCGTCATGGGGTCAGACAGCCCATGGTCATCATGCCCTTCGCATGGGAGATTTCAGCTTTGCAAGTCGCATCACGAGGGTGTGATCAACCTGGGGAGGCTGGTCTGTACTCTTGATCCGCAAATACACCCTTGTGATGCGGAATATTATGCAATTCTTCATGCGGAATTTTACAAATTAACCCTCTGCACTCATATGCTTGCAGCTAATATCCTCGCCTTATGCCCTGTGCCTTCTTCAAGCGTCATGTCACCATGTGCAAGCTTTGTCTTCCTGACTTTCATTTGGTTCATCAACTGCAGGACGCCGTCACATCTGCGGGGCCGCTGATTGCTCTGCTGGGTTTCCTGATCCTGCCCTTTGTGTGGAGCGTGCCAGAGGCCCTGGTCACCGCTGAGCTGGCCACAGCCTTCCCCGAAGACAGCGGGTGCGCCCTAGAATTCACTTCAATCCTGCCGAGATCCAGAACCTGATGTTCTGACATGCATACCGCGCAATGAGCCTCGTGGCAGCGCATGCGCACCCGGAGAGATGCCTACGCAAGTGTCAGCTGTCACATTGCTTGTGCCATGTTATACGCGCCAACCGTCGGCCTGCAGAAACCCGCACCATCCACAGTCCTGCACTCCTAATTGTCCCTCGTTGCATTGCCTCACAGACGTTTCCATCTGGCCCTGCGCATGCACGGGTCGGGGTGCTTGCATGGCAGGAAAGGAGGATGCCCACCTCAGCCCGGACCATCTTCACTCGCACATCTTCTCAGAAACTTGAGCGTTTTGGGTACCATGCATGCTGGCGCTTGATGCTGGCGGCTGCGCGTGCAGGTACGTGGCGTGGGTGACGGCTGCGTTCGGCCCCTTTTGGGGCTTCCAGGAGGGTTGGTGGAGCTGGCTGTCCGGCGTCACTGACAACAGCGTCTACCCCGTCCTCTTCCTCTCCTACCTCGACGCCGTCGTGCCAGGTGCGGCGTGCAGCCTGCGCTGCCCGCAGGTTGTTGAGTTTGGTGTCAGGGATCAGGTACAACTAATATCGACTGTTGCAGTAGCATGCCTGGTACTGCTGGGCATGACTCTTCGCGTGTGGAATTCACCTACCTATACATATCTGGAGGTCATGAAACCCCATATTAACAAGGTTTTTGTTGAGTTGGAACCAATAAGTAACTCTAGGATATCTGTGCGAGCTCACAATGGAGGGAACCTTCTTCTAGGGAAGAATGCATCGCTCTAGCATATCAACGTAATGCCACACCAAAAAACCCTGACATCGGCGACCCCTGGCGCAGGGTTGCTGCAGGGGTGGTCGCGCCCGTGCAGCCTCTTCGCAGTCTCCATCCTGCTCTCCTACCTCAACTATCGTGGCCTGACCATTGTGGGCCGCGTGGCCATCGGCATGACGCTGTTCATCGTGCTCACGTTCCTGGTGCTCATTGGGCTGTCCATCCCGCGGCTGCACCCCGCCAACTGGCTCATCGTGGACCTGGGCACCGTTGAGTGGCGCCCCTTCATCAACGTCATGTTCTGGTGGGTGCACCCTTTCACTGCCCCTTCTCAAATGGCGCCGCATGCAGTTGTAAGTCTTACGAACGGGAGTGTGTGATTGCTTATTTGTCTGCAGCACTTGTCTGCTTCTGGAGGGAGGGCTTTGGGGTCTCGTTGTCAGCGCTCCTTCATGAGCCAATTGTGCTCTGCAGTTGGCAAATTGCTGCATGCATGATGCGCTGATCGGTGTTTTGCTTGCTCAGCTAAGATTTCTTTGCTGAATCATGGTGTTGCTGCATGCCCCAGATTGAATGCCATAAATTGATTGTTTAGGCAAGCATGTCTAAGAAAACACTATCCTGACGGCAAGCCTCCTCAGTTGTCATGCGCAGTTGGGGCACCCCTCCACAAGCGCTTGTTGGCCAGTGCTTTGTGAATTTACGAGGATACAGGCCAGTGTCTCAGTAAGCAAAGTTTCTGTCTCGGTACTCACATTTTCTATGGGCTCGCCCATGGATGACAATTCGACGCGCTCATTGGGGTAGATGCCTGGCAGACAATTTGGCTCAAACAAGGTGATCTAAGAGGTAGAGTGGCCTTGCTGCTACAATCTTCTGAGACTCGCCCGTTGTTTGCTTTGCACGCTGCAGGAACCTGAATTACTGGGACTCTGTGAGCACGCTGGCGGGCGAGGTGGCGAGCCCCGGCAAGACCTTCCCGCGCGCGCTGCTGATGGCGGTGGGCTTAGTCATCTTCATGTACGTGGCTCCCCTGGCCGCCTGCTTAGGCGTCATGTCCGAGGCCGGTGACTGGAAATTGGGCTTCTTCGCAACCGTCGCGCAGCGCGTCGGCGGCAACTGGCTCGCCTGGTGGATGCTCGCGGCCGCCGCGGTGCGTTTTTTGCTCCTGTGATTCACATATTTTTGCGCACCTGTTTGGGCATACTTGTGGGAGATTGGAATGCTTGCAGCAGGTGGCGCCATCATTCTTCGTGTCAGAAGTGTACGGAATTGCACCAGCATAAGAACTAATTTCATGAAATACAGAGCCAACTGCTTATGCAGGGACATCCTTGTATCTGCACTGTTATCTTCATTGGCAGTTCAGCTCTGCATTTCATGAAAATTGCATTGTTGAAGAAGTACATGGCTCTTAGTCCACCACATGCGCATGGTGGTGCGCGCAGACATGTTGCAGACCATTGTGAAACTATCTACTGATGTTTGAATGCGCAAATGTCTCCTGAGCGCAGGTGAGCCAGATCGGGCAGTTTGAGGCGGAGATGAGCAGCGACTCCTTCCAGCTGCTGGGCATGGCCGAGCGCGGATTCCTGCCGGCCTGTCTCGCGCGGCGTTCCCGGCACGGCACCCCCACCCTCGCCATCATACTCTCCTCCGTTGGCATCTGCACGCTCTCCATGTTTGACTTCCGCCAGGTCAGCGCAGCTCATGAGAATTTGAGTCTGCTTATACCGTACTGGTCACTCTAAACCCCGCACTCCCGGCGGTGCAGGGAACATTGGAATGGACATACAGGGTCTTCCTGGCATTCTCATCACCAGGGGCTTGCTCCATAGGATCGGGCTTGTCGAGAGCTTTCCGAACCTGGTCTCAAATTTGCCATGGACATAAATTTCGGTAGATAGGGTCTTTAAAATCAACCCTTTTTGGCCAGACACATTTATGTTCTGCGGTGTTTACAATGACCAGTACGGTATACTGCCCCAGATCTCACCGCTCATCAGTGCTTTGTAGAGCAGCGCAAGCTCAGCATTGCAGTCTGCATGCATCTGCATAAGGGGATTCAAGAGGACCTCACTTTGCTCTATTGATGCGACCCCCCCCCTAGGGCAGATGCGACCCCCATAGTGCAGGACCAAGCACGGCTGAGTGCAGGCAGCAAGCAGAGTCTGCTAGGAGTCTAACACCGTCCGAAGCAAGCCTCAGGGCAAGCACTGCTTGCCCTGTACTGGCAGCAAGCACAGTCTATGCTAGGATTCTACCCCACCGGAGCAGAATTAAGCATGTATGGGAGCTTGTACATGTCAGGTGGGACATCTGCGGTGAGGGGTGGATTTTGCATGTAGCCATAGGAGTCAAGGCAGGGGAGGCTCTGACCGCAGGATGCACAAGCATCGCTGGTGCCTGCAAGTGCCCAGACTGCAAAACTCATATGCGAGACTCATTCCCCACCGCAGGTCTCCCATCCGTGTCCTGAGGGCTCTACTGAAACTCAGCCGCTTGTGTCTTGAGTTCACAGCCCCTGGGCTCACAGAGGAATGGCTTGAATTTAGAGATTTTGGATCCGGCACTCTTAGGATCATGGGCAATTTTGCATTCCTCTTTCTCTAATCCTACCCTTGCGGAAGGCCTTCCTAACTTCCAGTCCTCTGACAGCTCTTGTCCTTAGAATCATGGTTTTTTTGTATCATCATTGTCATGATTCCCTTTTCCCGCTCATGTGCAGATTGTGGAGCTGCTGAACATTGTGTACTGCCTGGCGGAGCTGACGGAGTTTGCCGCCTTCATCCATCTGCGCGTAGCTGCCCCGCACCTGCGCCGCCCCTTCCGCATCTGCCTGCCCACCTGGGGCTGCGTCCTCATGCTGACACCTGCCACCATGCTGCTGCTGACTCTCATCGTGCAGCCCATCCTGGACCTTGACCTCATGGTGAGCTTTCAAAACTATAAATCTCTTTGATGAGTTTTATTTCTTCTCTTGGCACTAGGTGACTACAAGGGGCCTGGCATGCATAAGATCTTTCTCTCAAAGTGTGAGATTTTCAAACTCTCCAAGGCGTCCAAGGGTGAAGATGTCCTTTTTGCAAATGTAAAAGTCCTGTTCAATCTATTCTATTGCAGAGCAGTGCTGATGTGATTCAGTGATTTGGACATGAGATATTTCCTCACAGCTCTCCATAAAAGACCGGCTGCAATTCCGTCATGTGCGCGCAGGTGATGGGGTGGACAGCTGGCGCCATAGTGGTGGGCGCAGTCATGTACCCCACGCTGCGTCTGATGCGCAGCAAGAAGTGGTGCCGCTTTGTGGGGCAGGACCCTCACGAGTACAAGGTCAGCAATTTTTACCCGTTGATTTCTTGCTCTCAATTGGAAAGCACTTGGCCTGCTTTGGGATTGTTCCAGAGCAACACCCACAATGCAGCGCGCACCTGCTTTCCCTCAGGAGCTGTTATGGCCAGATGGGTGGCACAGCTAAGGAGGACGGTCTTGTGGCATCCGTTGTTGTCAAGGTGTTGCTGGTCATTGGGAAGTCTGCCTCGTGATTTATGCATGCGAGGGCCTCAATCACGTAAGGTTGAGAGGCACAATTGTTTCACATTGCACACTCTTCAAAGGCATTGAGGCATGCTTGTTATGTCAGCCTCTCTCCGCACATCGTGTGTGTCTGATCTCCGTCTGACAAGTGTGGGCAATATTCCATGCAGGTGGCGCTGCGCGGGGGCATCCCCCCAGAGCCCCAGCATAACCAGCTTTGCGGCAGTCTACGGCGCTCTCAGCGATGACGAGGCAGACAGCGCTGCCCAGCGGGCAGCCTTTGGGCCGCCCAACGGGCAGGCGGCTGCGCAGCCGTCTAGCGGTATTTTATAGCAACGCCCGCGCGCCCGCGCACTCTGAATATGGCTGGTCCCTTGGATTCTAGGAATGGTTCATGCCATTGGATGCGCTGGGATTTGCATCAGGCAGTCAATAAACGCTATTTTCTGCACCTGATCATGACGAAGGAGTTCAAAGGATGCAGAAGGCGTCTCCCACCACGTTTTGGAGTGGGGCCGGGGTACTAGGTCACTGTTTGTGATCAGCATGCATGTTCGCAACGTTGCTGTATTTGACGGCGTAGATTGAGGAGGGGCAAAGTGGAGTGTGTAGGGAATGACAAGCATAATGCTTAATTTGAATTCTCTGATGATTAATCCATGATTCAAAAAGCCCTCATTGGGTCATGTTGAGAGTGAGAGATTGTCAGGTCGCCAGCATGCAGTCATGGGCATTGGCCGAAGGATTGCCTAGACACAAGAATTGGTGTTGTCGCATCCAATTGTGCCACATAGGAGGGCGATCTGGTGAAATGCATGTGTGTAATATTGCTTGATTTTGAGAGAAGAGAGATGCAAGAACATACAAGGCAGTGCGAGCGCCAAACTTGAAGTAGGGGAAAAGGGCTGCCTTGCGGTGTATATGCTAGTGACATATAAGACACCTCCGGGCCCAGGAGCACGACAAAATACATTGCATACACGCAGTCAAGTGAGGCTCAAACAGCGGCGATGCATACCTACCACCTAGCACCTTGGTTTTGCAAATTACACTTTTCAAGTAAAGCCCACACACGCTAGCGGCAATATAGATAGCATCAGTTTGCCATGGCCAATATGAATCTCTCCTGGCTAATATACAATATGATCTTTTCGAGGACATACATATAGGACATGCATGCACGCATTGTGTTGCACATGTCACAGCAGCATTGTCACTAGGTGTGGCCTGATTTGGTGCTGCAGAACGTGCTCAGGCTGCTGCATGAAGCTCCAAGCTTCAAGAGTTGCAAAGTCACATGGGCTGTCCAATCTCTTGAAAAGTACATACCCTGACATTTTACATTTGAGAACTCAGTGAATGCTCAACATTTAGGCAATTACGGCTTGCGCGCATGCTGCACCAACAGATACAAGAAGAACAGCGCTGCAGTGATGCCCACTACAAGGAAGAAGTTGCGCTTCTTCTTGGGATCATCAAACACCTGCAAGAATATTGCCAAGCATCGTGAACACCGGGCCTACCATTCAATTCATTCACTACTCGCTGGCATTGACAGCGTCCAATGTAAGCCTACAAAGCAGCTGCCGGTGCGGCTCTTCAGAATTATGTTTTGCCCTGAAAGCTGGACGTCACAGAACAGAACTTACGGCCATTTGCACACGTGCTGCATTCCCTGTGCTCTCAATCAAACAGAGGGCTCACCCTCTTGAACCTGGTTGCTGCTGCTCCCAGGCCAATTTGCACGCCACCCATGCTGCTGCCCTGTACAGCGCAACAGATAAATCAGTCAATTGAATTATATTTCAATGTGAGCAGAAAAATGTTCTGGCTGTCTGGTGTGTCAAGATTCATCCGCCTCCAGCAGGGCGGTGCCCATTTTGCTTCTATGCGGTATCCAGTTACATTGAAAAAGCCATAAGACGCTTTTCTGCTCCAGCAATCTGCTGCAGGCCCACGACTATACATGGAGGGACACAAGAAGCAGCGCGTCAATGCCTTGCTGGAAGCGTATGCCTGGCTAGCTTGTTCGGCTCTTAAGGCACCAGTCGATGGGTTGTGGCAATGTTTTGACAGGTGCAAAAGGGATGCAAGGCGATGTTATCCTCACCAGATTGTCCAGCGTGCGATTCTGGGAGGAGACCTCGGAGTTGATGTTGTTGGTCACCTGCAGAGCACACATATGGAGGACTCAGAATAGGCAGATTCTTGCATGAGTTAGCAAGACACTCTAGTAATCAATAATGTTATGAATGGTCTCCAGAGAATTTTGGGCTTGCAAGAGAGCTGGACCTGACGCAGAAAGCTGGTCTTCTCTGCCAGAGAATCAATGTCCTGGTCATTGTCTCGCTCCAGGGACTCTGGGTCCACTCTTGGGTCTGACTGTGGCGCAGAATGCGACAAGAGATTAGCATCATAGACCAAAAATGCCAGAAATGTAATCAGCACTTTTTGAACGTCGATCCTGTGCACTTTTCTGCGACAATGGTGATACATGAAGTCACCAAAATTAGGAAGCAACAAGAGGAGCTGTTGCACGCAGAGGCTCACCGCAGATGTTCCTGAACCGAACAAGGGACTACGCCTGTCTCTGCGAGCATATCAGAATGTCAGCAGCGGTGGAACAGGACTTTTGGATCAAGCAAATGAATTTCCAGATAATCTGTACGACGTTTCATTGCAAGAAGTGCACTTTGGTCTCGAAGCACAAATCATACCTCAATCTTCTTGGTGCACAAAGCGACAGAATAATCACAGGGGTGAGAGATGTCCCACCTTGCTGTCGAAGTCATCGAGCTGGTCACAGCATCGAACAGTGCCAAGAAGTCGATGGAATCTTTGCAATTGTGCGGAAAACAACAAACAAATGTTCAGCACGATCTGCCAACTGTAAGCTGTCGTATGAACTCCTCTGATTCAATGACAGTTATTGTAGACACGAGGACACTGTATACTCGCACGATTTTGTGCGATGGTTGCAAAGCTTTGAAGATTCTATAGCCTTCTTTTCGCCTATTCTGTTTGCTTAGAAATGTTGAGATCCAGGCGAATCCCTCGAGGCTTGCATGCAGACTTGCCAAAATTGACACCTGCATGCTTGACAGAATCGCCGATTACATGCCCCAACCAAAATTCTGATGTCGACGTCAATACGGCAATCGGCCGCTCACACTCAACATTGCTCAGACATTAATACAGTGGATCAGTGTCCACTGATAGCTCAGGCCACCCACTCCCATGCTGCATGGGCCATGCATTCACTTGAGTCAACTGTGAGCTCACGGTGACAAACTACTTCCTCCCCCGCTTCTTCTTCCCTTTCGGTGCCTTAGAGGCAGCCCGCCTGCCGCTGACAGCTTCTGCAGCTTTGAGCTCCTGCTGCACGTGCAACTTGACCAGACCCTCACAAATAAAGTGTCTTTCCATCTTCTCCGGCACCTCTTCAGCTGTTGGCGCCTTTGCCACAGAGGGTGGATCATGGCTGTAGTCTATTGCAGCAGCAGACCCGTCCGGCAGCTGCAGGGCTGCTGGCGCAAGATCATCCACAATCCTCTGCTGCTCTTCATCCAGCAGAGACCTGCGCAGCACATGTCCTAGAAACAATTTGAAAACACTTACAAAATTCAGAAAACACAGAATTTCACATTTATCGGCCCATGCGCTGCGGATTAGATTAAATCCATTTGGGTGAAGTTCAACCCTCATCTGATCAGAATAGGCGTCCTCTGTCTACATGCAGGCTTATCCTGCTAAAGAGGTGTCTCACATGCACCTCTGGATGCTTCATCCAAATGAAGATGGGCATTGCGGGCTGATGCAAAAGACGCCCGGCTCCAAACTGGATTTCTCTTGCATCACATATAGATGACTCACCTAAAGATGCCTTCCCAGTCCAGACTCTGCGCCTGCGCGAGACTGCGCACGCCTGTCAGATGCGGCTGCAACCAAGACACCACATCAGCTGCCAGCGCCGCGTCCGAGAGATCTGGCAGCGCGGCAGCTGCCTGCAGCTTCTGCTCCAAATTTGGCCCGCTGCCCTGCTCTGCATAAGTGCCCACCGCTGCTGTGCCAGAATCAGATGCAGTATATGTGTTCTGATGATCTGAGCTGTCATGCACAGTCTGAGCTGCTGCCTGGGCTTGCATTGGTTCCTGTAGATGCTCTGTGGAGAATTTACGAAGCCAAGTCACCCGCTGTCGGAAGGTCAGCGCCTGATCTGGCAGCTTCAGCGCAGCTAGGGGGCCGGTGCCACTGCCGCACAGTGCTTCTATGAGAACAGGCAACGCCTGCTCGTCTGACACCTCCATGGGCTCTTCCTGCGCGCCAACAAGTAAATTAACATGAGTCTTTTGCCCTTGCAGCGCCTCACCACATCCTGTGTGTGACTGAGCGTGCAAACATCTTGCTCTGGATCAACCACTTGTGCTGCAATACGCAGGCTGCAAGAGAGCTTGCACCACATGAAGGAAGTTGCACTGTAGAAGGCGACGAAGGGGATAATTACCCCTTGTCCCCAAAGAAGAAGAGCCCGGCAAATTCTGATAACTGTCTTGTCATGATCATTCTTTGTAATTTGTCCGATATTATAACTCCGAGGGGCCCAAACCTCCAGAATGATCTCCCCGATGCAACGCTGGTGGCGGCCGGCGACGGCTTTCGCGCCGGGCGCCCAGAAGACGCGCGCGCGGCTGCGCAGAAGCTGCGGGGCCGCTTCCTCCAGCGCGGCGGCGTCCAGCGGGGCAGCCAGCGAGATGCTGTCGCTGCGGCCGCCACCGCGCAGTCCCCCCGCTGCCGCCACCGCCAGCAGGTCCTCCCCGGCGAGGGGATCCCCCGCTCCCGGCAGCCGCACGCTCGCGCCGTTCGCCATCATGTACCCTGGACGGTCCCTGCGCATGAGGGTGAAAGAAAAATTTCAAGGTGGAGTATTTGTTTTTGTGGGCATGGTGTGCTTCCAGATGTGGCAAATTGCTGGCAGAATGCCTCCAAAACACAGCGGGCATGAGCTGGGCAGTAGAGCAGTTGCAGCAGGAACAGACTGATCTTGTAAAGCACACAGATGGACTTCTCCGGAAAGAGCGCTTGGTGCAATCCATGTGACTCTGCAGCAAAGTTCGCCTGTGCAGCCCATGCCTGCTACATTTGCCTGGCACCGACGAGGCTTCCTAATGCCGCATAATGGCGCGGCAATGCTAAAAACACGCTATTAAGTGGCTGTCACCCCGCACAACACATTTTGTTTCTGACCTAGAATGCAGAGTGGTACAGCGGATGTCAAGAAAATGCGTGAAACAGTATCGACAATGTACAGGACCTGTTGCCGCGGCTCTGCCGCTGCGCGATGCGCTCGGGGTACGCGACGGCTATCAAAACGCCGGGCAGCGCAGTGGACAGCTGTGACTCGATGACGGCGCGAAATGTGCCAACCTCCGCCTCCTGCCTGGCCGCCTGATCTGGCGCAGGTGCTGACTTGTCCTGATCAGGCAAAGGCGCTGACCTTGCCTGATCAGGTGAAAGCTGCGCTTCGCTGCCGCCATTCTGCTGTGCACCTGGCGGTGGTGTGTTCCCTGCAGCCTCTTTGCTTTGCTTGGGATCTGTTTCAAGCGCCGTTGCTGGTGTGCCTGCTTTCAAAGAAATGACAAGTCTCATTCCTCATTCCTCAACTCTCCCACTTGGTGACCTGTTGTGAAGGGGCACTGGAAGTCACTGCAAAAACCTTGGGTGTATTAGTAAGATCTTCACTCAATGCCAAGATCATGAGGATGGATGCAATCAAAGCCGCTCAGCTGCATCGTCACCGCAGGTGAGTTTGCTTGCAGCACTAGCAGCATTCGCACCGAGATTTGGTAGAGTGTCAGCAAGGGTGTCTCGCTCGTTTGCCAGTCCCTGCAGCAGCCGCTCAGCTGCTTTGAGGATGGGGGCCAGGGCCGCCTGTAGAGCTGCAGCAACACAGCCAGCAATACTTAACAAACAAAGCACGAACCCAAGAAGAACAGTCATATTTAATAGGTGATGCTTGCTTGTGACCTTGGGCCAAGAGGGACGCCTACGCATTGCTGGAGGTCAGATGCCTGTAATATTCAGGAGACCAAGGAAAGCGTCTGTCGAGCAGCAAATCGAGCATTGTTGTCAAATGTCTGCGGCAAGTGTGAAAACCTACAGCCACTCGCTTCTTGGTTTTTCTTTAAGGGAGGTCTTCTGCACATGCAGGCAGCTATCCCCTTGTGAAATTTAGCGCTCGCAGCACGTTGATTGAACTGGAATGCTACAGCTGTTCCTAGAACAGGGGGTATCTAGACGCTACTACCGTAGCACTCTTCTGTAATTCCTACATGTCAAGGGAAACAGGATCCCACCAGGGCTGCCGGCCGGGTCCAGGAGAATGCGCACACGCGGCCACACGTCGGCAGTGGCAGCCAAAGTGGGTCCGCGCAGAAAGTCTCCCTCGCTGATCAGCGCTGCGAGCATGCATCCCAGTGGCTCGCATCGCAGCCGTGCTGATGTCAGCACCATTCGTGCCAGCCTCGGGTGCTCCCCGAGCGCCGCCATGCTCCGACCTGATCGGGCAACATCGCCTGGTCAGCATGTCTACCGCTGATGTCAGCGCCAGCCGAGGGTGCTCAACCAGTAGTTGTTGTAAAGCGATCTGCCTTTGCAATTTTGTGCTAGCCAAGCACTTGGGACTCTGCAAACTGCTGGTGACACTGCACCAGGTGTATGATGTATTGCATACTTGCCGATAGGCTCTGACAGGATATTTTTGCATCATTCACTGTTCAGCTAATGCTGAAAAGTGAGTTGCAGCAAGACACTGGGCCTGATATCGTCCAGGATAATGATGACGCCCTCTTGCCATTATGCTGCAGGAACGCACCCTCAGGAGTGATGCAGCCGTTGGCATCGACTGCCCCCAGGCTTTGCAGTAAGGCAACCGCCCTCTCAAGTCCCTCAGCCGGTGGAGCATCGAGCCACTCCAAATCAGGCACCACCCCATCCTGCATAGCAAATGTCTTCTATGTCAATGTCTTGAGTGTTAATTACAACCGCCTCTGCTGTACCAGAAGATGGCCTTTGATGCACCAGGATATTGTTATTGAGGCGGGCTCCCGTGAGAATAATATGGTATGTGATCTGCAGCGCAAGGGACCACAAATTTCTCAATTCTTTCAACAGACATCCTTTAAGAGCAATGCTGTCGTTCTCACGTGCCACGAGAGACACTGACGCACCCATGGCAACAATGCACTCCTTAAACCCGAGGTCATGACATGATTCAGTTTAGATTTTGAATAGATACGTGGAGTTTCAAGCAGAGGAAGGCCCATTAGGCACAGGCTGGTCAACGTACACTGGGAAACTAAGAGCTGATTCACTTGAGCCCATGACACGGTACAATGTAAATTTGAACAAATATAGTGAAGAAAATGAAAAAGTAAACATTTTTGAATAGGAGGAGGCGCACAGGCTGGTCCTCCCGCCAGGACGCCAGCTGGAGCGCTAAGGGCGCCAGGTCAGCAGATAGGATCTCCGGCGGCGATGCCTCCGCCAGCTTTGCATGCGCGGCCTCCGACCACAGCCGATAGCAGACGCCCGGGCCGGTCCGGCCTGCAAATACCGCAGGATACAGGTTGAGATTTGTCCACCATGATTTGTGCTGATGTAGGCATAAACAATGCTGAGCGCTTCAGGCACAATGCTGCTCCTCTCAATAGCAAAAGAACAAATTGAGGTTCCTCCATCACAATTTGTGCTCATGTAAACATGGACAATGGTGTGCATGTACAGGTACAAGGTACAATGCTGCTCTCAGAAGAAGAGTAGGTTGAGAAATCTCCATTATAATTTGTGCTGATATAGGCATGGGCAATGCTGTGCGTATCAGGCACAATGCTTGCTCCTCAAGCAGAAGGACAAGGACTGGCAATGGTTACTTGAGAAAACATCCCATCACCCTGCAGAGACTGACACTGCAAAACACTACCCGTCTGCAGCCAAGAGCTTTCTGTCCTCGTCGTACAGGAATTATCTCTTCAATGGTAGTGGAGCAAGGTACAGACAGGATGATGTCAGTACATGCCATGGGTGTTGCACACCATAGCCCCATCTGGGCCCCGGCTGGCCAGGAGCGGTATAAATACTGAGCACCGTGCCCACACTTGATTGCGTCTTGCTTGGATCTGGCCCGTCCAAGAAGGGGCAGGACTGTGGCAGCCGTCACATGCAGCTTGTCTGCAGGACGCACCTTGCCTCTTGGCAGGAACAGCGTGTACTAATACTAATACTAATACTAATACTAATACTAATACTAATACTAATACTAATACTAATACTAATACTAATACTAATACTAATACTAATACTAATACTAATACTAATACTAACACTAACACTAATACTAACACTAACACTACTACTAATACTATTACTAACACTAATAGCCCCACCTGCACGGCCGCGGCGCTGGTCTGCGGAGGCAAGCGAGGCCGCCACCGTGGCGAGCCTGGTTAGGCCGGAGGCAATGTCCTGAACAGGCACACGAGCCAGGCCGCTGTCTACCACGGCGCGCACTCCCTCGATCGTCAGGCTGGTCTCCGCTATGCTCGTCGCCAGCACCACCCTTCTGGCGCCTGCATTTTCAAGATTTCAAAGCTGGATCTGGAGCACCATTCTCTCAATCAAATCTCATTAAATCTATACAAGACCAGCTGTGCAAGCTGACTGGCCTTTCATACGTGCAGGTGCTGTTGTGCAACCCTGTGCCACGTGCATGGCATCATATGTCAGACCCCTCATGCATTTGTGATGCATACTGGCCAGAGCACCACAATCTGAGACACTGGAGAGCGTGGCAGGGAATCCGCAACGCCGCGCTACAAGCAAGACTGTCAAGAGTTGATTACTGATCTTACTGACTAATGAGAAATTGTGGATGAGTCACCTTCGGGGTCCAACCGTATGGCGGCGTCCTGTTGGGCAAGGGGCAGCGCGCTGTACAGGGGGAGGACCCGCACTGATTTGGCAACGCGCTCCACCAATGCCTGCTGCGTCCGCCGGATCTCGGCCGCGCCTGCGAGGAGAACCCATGAGTGTATCTGTCAGGACAGCAGGAGCCCCGATTCCCCTTCTACAAATAAACATGCAGCATCAGCGTGAACAGCACTGACTGTGTCATCTGCTGTCGTATTACTAATATTTGTGCAATGTTGAAGAAACAGACGGGATAAAATCCACAAGTAAATGCTCCTCCATGAACAGTTTTCAGAAGCCAGACACATCAAGATGTAAGCACCAGCAGCTTTAACGCACAAGTCATTCATAACTGCCTTTGTGATCACACCTGGGAGGAAGACCAGCACGTCCCCTGACGGCGACTCTTTGAGCGCCGTCATCACAGCAGCCGCCGCCGCCTTCTCCAGATCCATGTGCTCCCTGCCTGCAATGGGTGACAGACTAAACTCACACTTGGCATGCAGGCAACTCCTTGCAAACAGGGAAAGGCAGCCATTTAACGCCAGTGAGGGGGTCGGGCTCATGAGCTGTGTAAATGGAACAACACAATGGGAGTACACACAAGAGCATGCAAAGCCACTTACAGACCCCACAAACAGCTAAGCCTGGCAAAGACATGAACAGGAGAAGCCAGAATATGGAAGGATTCTTCCCAGAACTCTCACATCTCTCTAGCAGGTCAGGCTGGCACCTTAGGGTCCAGTGGATTGCATTTCTCTGAGGGTGCTTTGCAGGGCATTTGTTGCATGGCGTGATCAACAGGAATCTTTACACAGGTGGTGCCCGCAGCGGCTGCGCGGCCACTCAAATCGATTGAGAAAAAAAAGTGTGACCGATTCGCTTCCTGCTTGCCTTAATATTCTGCTGAATGTCGCTCCATCACCATCATCGACCCCAAAGTCCCAGGGATATATGATAGAGATAATCCCGGGTGCCAACAAGGAATGTTGATTGTGGACTGGTAAGAGCCAGTGCGCACCGGGGGCCCCGAGGTATTTGGTCCTGACAGGGAACATGCGCCCCTCACAGGTCAGCAGCCGACAGCCGCCCGCAGGATCTGCATCTGATGTGGACTGCTCTGAGCCGCTTGCAGATTCTGCTCCTTCGCTGTCAGTGGGTCCCGAGCCATTTTGTGACGATTGTGTTGTGCGCGCTGAGCTGGACATGATGCGCACAAGGCGCTCCGCCAGGTCATCGCCCAGCGTCGCTGACATCACTACCAGCCTACATGCAGAAGTACTCATTTGCCATTCTCTCTGCAGGTTGAAGCAGGCAATCAGAGTGCAGCATGCCTCACTCTTTTCATTGGCACAAGGATCCTGCAGCACCCAATTGCTTCCTGGCGCGTCTCAACACATCCTATTATTACTAGCCTGCATCACACCATACTGTCTAGTTGCATGGTACCAATATGCTCAGCCTTCAGAATCACAGGAAGAGGAAACAGGAGAAAATGTACCTCAAATCTGGCCGAAGCCTCTTCTGGCAGTCCAAGCAGAGCGCCAGTGCCAGGTCAGCCTCCACGCTGCGTTCATGAAATTCGTCCAGTATCACCGCTGCAACTCCCTTCAGCGCCCTGTCCTGTTTCATGCCGCCCGCTTCCTCAAAGCCCACAAAATGCTATTGCTACAATGATACACCTAGCAGTCGCATTACATGCACAGCAATCCTCTCTTTGGAACACCCTCATTCCTGGATACCATGATGCTGTGCTGTGGCCGCGCTAGACAGCTCGAAAACCAAATCAGATAGTATCTTGCTGTGCATGTGCTGTGCGAGTTGGGGAATCTCCCCAAGAGCGCCCCCTTGACAGCGGCATGCCTGTCCTTGCATCCCTGCCCCTCTACCTGGTGCTTTTCTTTTTACAGGTGAAATTTCCATGGCACTGAGCTTGAACTAAAGAACAATACAGCCCTCTGAATTATAAGGGTGCTCACCCGCTGCAGGCGGCGCAGCAGGACGCCGGTGGTGATGACCTCGACGCGCGCGTTTGGGCCCACGCGCCGCTCGAGCCGCGTCCGGTATCCGACGGCGTCCCCTACGCGCTCGCACAGATTGGCCGCCAACCGCACCGCCGCCGCGCGCGCCGCCAGCCGACGCGGCTCCAGCACCTGATCAGGCACCGGCACCTCAGTCCAAATCAGGCTCTAGGCTGTAGAGTGCCTGAAGCGCACAGGTGCCAGAGGTGCTGGGCAGCCATTATGACCTAGGCATAATACCCGGCGCCTGGTCAGGCACCAAACTCATCGGTCCAAATCAGGCTGCTCCAGTGCCAAAATTGTGTAAAGCAAGTATTGTGATGCGCAAGGGCACTGCTACATGCGGCATGTATCAACATGGGTGCAAAGAGCATGTCATGCATGAAGGCGGCCGCACCAGGATGCGCTGCTTTGGGCCCAGCCAGGGGGAGCCGTGAAGTAGGGGCGCCAATGGGACGACGGTGGTTTTGCCGGTGCCGGGAGGAGCGCGCAGCACCAGATTTGGTGCCTGCTCCAGGCTGTCTACCAACGCAGGCAGCACCTCTCCGATGGGCAATTCACTCGCCAACTCGGCCAGCATATCTTCGGGACAAAGCACCTCTTCGATCTGTGCAGCTGGGTCACCTGCACATGCATGACACAGGACTGAGCTTCGCAGGATTCCTATGAAATTGTCTAGATGAGCCACAGGCTCCATTCAAATTGATTTGATGCTTGTGTTGATCTGATGCTGAACACCGAGAACCATGGCAATGAGATCAGGACCTCACCTGCAACGGCAGAAGGCTGCAGGATTCTAAGATGACATCGTCTGTTCTGAAGCACATTCTGAGGCAAATCGTGGCGACGACTTGATCTCCCTCGCCGTCCTAGATAAGCCACATGTCTGCCATGCAGAGTGCCTCCACGCTTGCGTGGCTGGCAGCTGAGGCATGGGCTCTTCCAAAGTTTGATATTGAATACCGAATTCATTTCACGTCATTAAATAGAAGAGACAATCAGAAATTCACTGTTGCCGAGCAGATCCATCTGCGGTGCACATGGTTTTCAGTGCCCCTCTTCTATATTACTCTCAATGAACCTGCAGAAATCCTTCTCCATTTTTTTCGGTGCTTTCTGGTCCGTGATCTGTCGTCCTCTGTTGTCGAAAATCCAAGGATTTGGGCACGTGACGACGTGCTCCCCCCTCGTAAGATGGCGTTGCCTGCTGGGAACGAGGATTTTCTCAGAGCGTTTTTGCTGGCATTCCCTGCATGCCCTGGCCTGCAGGCGCTGCTTGACCTGCAGTGAGCAAGCATGACGGACAGGAGAGCATTCACGCTGCAGCCTCTGGTGGAGGCTGGAGTCTTTGAGCCCGGGGAGAACGTGCTGAGTTGCTCTGTGGGTGGAGTTGAATATTTTGCAGGTTGGCCCCTCGGTGCTCCTAGCGTGGCCCAGACAACATGGGAACCAGCAGCAACCAGCCACTCAAAAAGCTGGGGCCTTGCTGTGCCTTCTTTGGGCTGCTCGGTTGTCCAATGCCTCTGGCCTCTGGGGCTAGTGTCATGGCCATGACATGATTGTATTGCACATGGCCACACACTTGGCCTCAATTGCTCATCACAGAAGCTTTGGGCATGGCAGTGTGATGTCCCAGAGGCCCCAGTGGGCACTAGCACGCCCGGACCCTGCCTTGAAAGCTCTCATGCCCTAGGGACTGCCTGAATATGTTGCCCGGCTCCGTGGTGCTCACCAGAGGCTCTGTGCACCCGCAGACTTGGGACCGGCGGGCGAGATTATATTCGAGGGACAGTTTTTCAAGAGCCCTTCCGCATTCTCGGTGTTTGTCAAACGGAAGGTGCGTAGGGGAGCACCTGTTTGCGTGCCTCCTGTCCCCTTTTCGCAGCTGCTCGGGAAAGCAGATGTGGGCTGAACCCGGGGCCTTGATGCCACGCAGGTCAATCCATCGAGGAAAGCAGATGACGGGTGGACCAGTTGCAAGTACAGAGGTGCGTTTGGTGCCTCGAGGAAGACGGTGCTCACTGGGTATATTGGGCTCTTTCAATGGGCATGTGCTATCTTCAGAGGTGCCACTAGGAACTTGGATGGTTCCCTGCATGTGAAGAGGGACACTTCTATTCCATTTGGAGGCTGAGCACAGGCACGCTGCATGGCTTTTGCAGGTGAGCTGCTGAGCATCTACAGGCCCCAGTTGGAGAATCTGCTGGGGGGCGACGGCAGATCGGGCATCACAGCCTCACCTCTGCGCAGCCACACGACAGCCAAAGCCCGCAAGAAGCGGACGGCCAGGAAAGAAGCGGAGTCGGACTACGAGGAAAGCAGCTACGATGACGGGATGGAACCATCCGTGGGCCCGGGCATGGACTACAGCGGCAGGCTCAGCCCGGGCCCCTACGAAGGCAACGGCTACGGCGATGCCTTTACGACTACATCGGCGCCGTCCCCCCGACGCACACGGGGCCGTTCGAGGAACGTGGTGAAGATGGAGGACGATGGCATGCTGGATGAGGAGGTGGATGGGGGCCAGCAGAACAGGAGGCAGTGGCACCAGCAGCAGGCCATCGCGCAGCACGCGCACGCCATGCTGTCGCAGACCTACAACCCGCAGATGACGGCCTACACCTTTGTGCAGTGCGAGAACCCAGACTGCACCAAGTGGAGGAAGGTCCCAGTCTCCACTGTGGACCCCCACGGCCGCTGGGTGTGCGCCATGAACCCAGACCCAAGGTGTGTTGTCTCCGTCAACATTGCCGTGCAGTCGATATGACATTTACATGCTTCTCAGAGGAGGTATTGAGCTTTGGGTACGGTGCCTTCTTTTTGCCTGTGCGTCATTCCGAAAACAAGCGCATGCACGTGGCTGCCTGTGCTTCCTCACATGTCAGGGAAGTGCATTCTGCTCGTTGCTGAGCATACGCTAGAAGGATGGAGCAATGCCAGAGCCAAGATCACCGCTGCTTACCGAGGCTTGCAGACATGAGCAGCGCATGTCGTGCAAGAGATTGCTCAGGCTGACTTTTACCTGCAAAAAACGCTTGTGCACACTGCAAGCCTCCGACCGCACGCCGAGCGGCTCTTCTGCTTGGGTTTTCCCTTGCAGAAAGCTCCCTGACCGGCTCTCTTTTGTAGAATTCTCCTGAAATTTTAGAACACGTAGCCTGATCGGGCGCGCGTCGATGTCTGCGCAGGTACAGCCAGTGCGGCGTTCCGCAGCAGTTTACGGACGAGGAGATCGACGGACAGCTGGCGCAGACGGAGCACAGCCGCCACCTGGCAGTCTGCCGCCGGCCGCCGCTGGGGATCTGCACGGAGATCGAGTTTGAGGAGGACCTGTACGCCTTCCTCTCCCAGCGCGGCGAGGCCGAACTCGCCAACGACCTCCGCAACAAGCGTATCAACTGGTGCGCGGCAAATTCTCCCTGCAAAGCCTAGAAATACTTGCTTGAAGGGGTGGCTGGGTGCGTCAAAGCCCTTTGGCCAAGCTCACCAACAAATTCTGGCAATAAGTGCATCAACTGGTGCGCGGCTATACTCCGTGCCTTTCATTTACTCTGCTGCACCCATATAAGGGCATGGCTCAGTGCGCCACATCACTTTGGCACAACAAGCTCATCAGCTGGTGCGCAGCATGGGCCTTTTGAGGCCCTCGACTTCCATCAAGATTGATGTGAGTAGAAGGCCCCAAAAGGCACATGGGCCCCACTTCTCTCCGGCTTTGCTCTAAAACACCTGAGCACTGACGAGGTGCACTGTCCATGCCATGAGCAAGGATCAAGTGTTGGCTGCTTTGGCATTGGATTCTGTCTCCTTTGAGAATTTCATGTGTTCTGCGTGTGTGCAGCAATAACCTGCCCATCGACATCTTTGGGCTGTACCGGGAGGTCGTACGCCACGGCGGCTTTGTGGACAACGAGCGCTACGACGACTACAACCGCTGGACCGGGGGCATCAACTTCGGCGGCAAGGTGCGCAGCACCTGTTTTCCTGTGTCCTGTGCGAGACGTCAGGCTTGGCCCCCACCAGTAACAGGAGAGTCTCTTCCTGAAAGCTGTTTCGGTTACTGCATGGCAGCAACTTCAGAACAATCGTTAGGACGAGCATCCTGTGTCTGATGGTGTCCAAGCGCAAGCTGCAGCTCTTGGTTGGCTGCTATCAAGATAGCACTGGTTGCTCATGCTCCTGGCCTTTCACACTCCCCATCATTTGACAGGCACTGCTTATGCCTGATGTAATACTGATCCTGTGCTGTTCGTAGTCAGACGGTTTGTCTGCAGCCAGACCTGCTAATGCCTCTGTCTATCAGCCTGCACGCATTAGCTTGACATAGCCAGGGACAGGCACTCTGCGTGCATGCCATGCTCATGCTATCCCCTGCACCGTCCTGTAGCTTCAAGACTTGCCAGTTTATATATTGAGGGATGTTGCCCCGGCTAACCGTCGGCCGGTACAAACACTGCGTACCGTGCCCATGGTTGAATGGGTCTTGCATGGATCTGGCGAGCCCGTCAAGGGCTAGGATATTTGGTAGCCTTTACTGCAGCTTGTCTGCAGATGCACGTTCCCTCTGACAGCAAAAGCGTGTATGAATGAATTGTTGAGGCATGTGCACGCATGTGGCGGGAGCAGGTCTTTCCGCGCATGAAGAACTACACGCCGTACAACCGCGCGACGAGCGTGGGCAATCAGCTACTCAACAACTACCGCAAGTTCCTGTTGGCGTACGAGGTCTGCCACCGCTGCAAGGACCTCGCTGGACCCATCCCTACACCCTCCGCCACCAACGAGGCACGCACCCTTCACACACCCTGCTTAGTCAACTGGGGGCGATCGCGAGGATTGGGGTCTTGGATATGGATTAACGCCCGTGTGAAGAATCCTAGCTGAAAGTAATAAAGCAACGAATGTTTAGTTTGCAGCAAAGTCTCGGGATAAGCAAGTTGTGGGTGGATCTGAGTGACGTGACACCACGCAATTGGTTTCTGCTCGGTCAAAAGACCATCTGAGATGGGCAGGCAGAACTATCTGCTTCCATACACGATATCTGCGAAAAGTTGGCTGTGGATGTCTTTGTGGACTGTTCATCAGGCCCTTTATTGGCCTGGCGGCTGGTGATGGAAGTGATCAATCTCGGCAATCGGAGGCTTTCATGCTGGGGCTGACCACTCCATCAACACCAGCCACACCAATGAATATTGCTAGGACGTGTCAAGAGAGAAGACTACTGGTGTGCATTGTGAGACGAGCAAGAATTGGAAAAGCCTGGAATGCGTTGCGAGTTGTCTTTGTGTGCGCGCAGCCGACGCATTCGGATGCGTTGGCGGTGCTTGCTGACGTGGCGGGCAGCGCGCGCGAAGAGATGGAAGTCGCGGGGCAGCTGCAGGTGCGTGCCTGTATAAAACCGCATCCTCATCTGGTCGACAGCCTCCCTGGTACCTTGCTTGATATTGCATCAAAGCAGTTTGACAGGGTGCTGGAGAAGGTCAAGAATGCTGCAACCACCTTTGCGCCATTCCTGACCATTCTTAATCCCTGTCAGACTGCTTGGCATGCACAGCTGTGTACCTGCGCCTGGTCGCACGCAACAGCTTCTCCCTGACCTCCGTCCAGCTGTGTAACATCTTCCTCGAGTCCCTTGGGAAAGACCAGGGTGCACAACTTGGGCTGAGCGCCTGTTCTGGCTCGCAGCTACACTCACCGGAGCCGGCCAAGGCGCCGCCGCAGCGGGCGCGGTCCAAGCGCGGCGCCGAGAGCTTTGGAGAGGACGACGGCGGCCCGGCCAACGGCAGGAAACGCTCCAGGGTGAGAATCAATGTGAAGCCAAGCCCAAAACATCTAATATAGGACACAGCCCCGTACATGCAGTGAGACCCGCCATGTCCTGTTTAAGTACTGCGGCAACATGCAGAAACATGTTTGAATCTGAACGTGTAGGTGCCGGGCTAAGTTCTTCTCATGCTGTTTTACGCAAGCATGAGCCTGCCTGCATCCTCACACTTTCTTGCAATGTCTCCCTTCAACATTACGCTATTGCACTCCAACGGGATCGAGCCTGCTCAGACTTTGGGGGTTTCCCATGCATGTAGGACGCATTGGGATACTGTACACTAAGGTGCACATTTGACACAGGTTGCGGAGGTGGCAAAGGGCCTCGACAACGACGCTTCGGTGCGCTTTGTTCCGGCGCTCCGCAAGATCGAGTTTGGGTCAGGGAGGTACACCCCCGGAGCCGTGCTCCTGGCGCAGGACCCCGTCGACCTCTGCAGGCGAGCAACCGGCCTCATATTCCATTCTCAACGTCTTCTGCTCCTAGCGTCTGTGTCACCCTTCTCGAGCATCATAACATGCACCTATCGTCTATGGCTGCGGCGTTCAGCCGCAGCCGTAGCAAAAGATCAATTATTTCTACCGCTTCTTCACACCGAGATCCTGACACGGGTCGTGCACCTCACCAGATGCCCAGCATCCCTGCAGGAATCATATCTTTAAATATTTTGTCCCTTATAATCTGGGCCGGCTGAGCACCATCATCTGGCTTCTCACAGGCAGCCCAAAGATATTTCTTCCTGCCATCCAGTGCAATGTGCCAGACAGCAACCGGCATTGCAGGGACCATGTCATAGGAAGGTCAGCTTTTTTGTGTCAGTCAAGGAGAGGTCTAAACGTGCCCTAATGATGGCATCTCACTGGCAAAGACATTCCTGTACATAACTGCATGAGATGCAACCTATCATTCGCAGGCATTGGCCGGTGGTGGTGGCGGCTGTTGCGGATCTGCCGCGCGGCGTGGCCGGCGGCGGCTGCGCGTCGGCTCCCGGTGTCGGCTTCCCGCTGGCTCTCGCTGACGTCAGCGCCAAGTGCAAGCCCGAGGAAGCCTACCCTGCACTCGTCATGGGCACGCAGGTACAGCGGCATTGCCTCTCTCACAGGGCTTTCCTTCATATCGCTTTATTGAGATGATAGAAAGTTCCTCAAATCTAGAGCAAAAGCCTATTAGTCTCCTGTCATTGCTGTGAGAAGGTGCAGGGTCCGTGAATCTTGTGCTCAGGGTAGAAATGATTCTGCTATTCACATTTGTCTCATGTTTGCTTTAAACCAGAGGGGCTTGCTTGCTGCCATGGTGGCCGTGGCTAGCCACAGGTGGCAAACAGAGATGCCAGCAGGGCTTCTGCAGTGGCAGAGAGGTCCATATGTGGCCGTCAAAGGTCTTTATGCTTGAGAAAATAAAATACGCAGTCAAAAAATTATAATCACGTCAAAATTTATTGGATCGATGATAATGCATAGTGTCTTGAAAAAAAAAAAAGCACAAGAACATGACATGCGCGGGCACATGCGCGCAGATGATGGGCTGGGTGGAGACGGGCTCCTGCCGCCGCTACAGCCAGTCGGCCGGTGACTCAGCGCTTGCCTCGCTGCCGCCGCCAGACGCCGGCCGCGGCGCGCAGCCGCAGGCGATTCCCGGCAGTGACGCACACCTCAACTTCTTGTGCGCGAAAGCGCTCAAGTTCGCCTCGCAGTACTCCTCCTGCGCCGACCCCCAGCAGGTGGGTGGTTGACTCGTCTACAAGGGCAATAGCCCAGGGGCGTGACACAGCGCAGCGCTTGCGTAGCGCTGTGGATGCTGCTACATACCTTTCTCTCCCAACTGCTGGATCATCGTCAGTCTGTGCACCGTCCCTGATCCTTACTGATCCTGTGCGTGCAGGCGATAGCGCGGGGCCTGACGCAGGCGGCAGGAACGGCGCTGGTGGCGGGCCGGCTGCTGGAACTGGAGGCGCGGCTGCCGGCGGACGGCAGCGTGTGCACCTCATCCTTCGGCGTCTGGCAGTCCTGGCGCAGAGCCGTCTCGCGCGCAGACACCGTCAACGAACTCGTGCCGCAGGTGCGTGCATGGGGGCGGTGTTGCTATGCATGTGCCTTGCAGCTCCGAAGGCACATCCGGCTGTCTTGCCCGTCGGATCGTGTGAAGGGCAGGAAAGGAGTTTTGGAGGTGGAGCCAGCCATTGTGGGTCCCTGTTGCGCTAGGTCGGCGCACGCCACACCGGCTGCTTGCATTGGGCAGTGCTTCACATTTCGGGCAGTGCCTCAGGGTCCAGAGGCACCCACGTTTCGGGCAGTGCTTCACATTTTGGGCAGTGCTTACAGGGATCTGCAAAGTGACAAAAAAGATTTCAGGGTCAAATTACTCAGGGTGGCGTGTGCTGAGTAGGTGCTGGCTCTGGCGCACCAATTGAATCCGGCGGTGCTGCGACGCGGCGCGGGGGATTCTCTGTGGGACGAGTTGCGCTTCCTGCTCGACATGCAGCCAGCGGAGCCCCCAACCCTCGACTCAGTCTCCGCGCAGGTGCTTCTTCAACTACATTACTTGAGGACTGGCCCCGGCTGGCGGGGGGCGGTTAAAACACTGAGCACCGTGCCCACAATTGATGGGGTCTTGCTTGGAAGCGCTATGTATGCATCTGGCCCGTCCAACAAGGGAAGTTTTCCTGGCAGCCTTATACTGCAGCTTGTCTGCAGGACATTGGTTCTTGGCAGGAAAAGCGTGTAACAATTATATATTTTACTTGAGAACAGCCTGGCGGCTTGCTGCCACGACATGACAGAACAAATAAGCCTGGAGCTTTGGGCGGACAAGAACTGTGTCTTGAACACGGTCTTTTGAGATGATCCGCAGCTGTGATCACATGCGCGAGTGTGGTGCATTTGTTGCACTGGTTTGCTTGCCAGAGCGTTCTGCACAGCATCAGTTTTGCCAGGCTGGCTGCAAGGCCGCACTCACAGTGCACCAAGAAGCTCGGGTGTTTGGGCATTCAAGGAAAACTGAGATAAAATGTTCTGTTGCGCAGAGCCAGGCGGGCGGCGCTGCTGGCCCCAGCGTGCTGAGCGTGGACGACGCGGTCAGCGCTCTCACAGACGCCGTCGAATGGACGCGCATTGGCCACTTCTCCCTGCCAGGTGCCCGCATCTAGGCCGCCTTTAATTGTAGTTTCTTTCTTCCATGGTTAAAGTAATTTTTTTTTGTCAGTTTTTTTTTAAAGGTACTGGGTTTCAGGGTTTAGGGTTACCTTGAAACCCCTAAAACAAAAATAAAAAATATTCTGCTGGGGCTCTCAGCTGTGCAGGAGACCCTGGGGCATCAAGTGCTGTTGAGCTTAGTGTATAGCGATGAAATTGTGCGAGTCATTGGCTGACAATGCAGCAGCAAGCTGTGACATGTGAACCTACGTCGGCTACGAAGCTATAGCACTTGGCACATTTCGATTAGCTTGATCAAGTAGCCAGGCAGAGCCCGTGCATCATGGGAGGAAGCCTTTTGCCCAGACACCTTCACTTCCCCCATGTGGGTAGGCCACCAGACGGGGCCTCCACTTATCGGTGCTCCAAGCCCCCAACCCCCTAGCTTGCCAATCGAGATTTTCCGCTGCTGTATTTGCCGAGAAACGCCTATTTCTGACCGCAGCGGCGAGCTCGCTGCCAACTCCGGGCGCGCAGGCGCCGCGGCTGCGCAACGGGATGAAGCCGCAGCGCGAGCCACTCAAGCATGCGCCACTCAATGCAGCCTACGACGACAGCCGCGCGGTGAGTCACTCCTCACATCATCATCATATCATCCCCACTTCCCCTCGCCAATTGGGCATGCTTTCGCCATCACCCTTATGTTGTGGACATGGCCTGAAACGGTTCTTGACATCCTACACCCTCCGCATTCACTGAGGGTGGGTTGAGGTTTGCTTGACGGCAGGGGAGCAGGTGGCAGTCCTTTTCTGCGTAGGATTGCACTGCAATTACTCAGTACTTCTTTAGAGTCTTATTTACTTTGAGAGCGCGCAGCATTCTGATAGGGAAGCTGGGGAGCAGTGCATGCCGGTACATGAGCTGGGTTCAGGCCGTTTCATGCTAAGTTTGGGGGTGACCCAATGACAAAATTGACTCGCAACAGTAGAGCCAACAGCACTCTGCCGGCCTGAGCAGGTGAGCCCATCGAGTCCGGGCGGCCACGGCTCGGGGTTGCCGCCGGCGCACCGGCGCGTTATGCGCGAAGCCGAGCCGGCCAACTCGGGCCACTCCGGGCACACGCCGCGCGCGCAGCCGCTGCGGCCGGACGACACCAGCGCCGGAGCACAGCGCAGCGCATTCAGCGACTTCCAGCAGGTGCTTTGCATGCGCGTGCCCCTGTGTCTGCAGTTGCTGTGTTCAGTAAGCAATTCAAGAGGCTCTGGAAAGAATTCAGGAGGGTTGAAGGTCGACAGTAAGTCTAAAGGCCCCTTCGCATCACTTCTGGTCCACGACTGGATGATCAGTTGGAACTTGTCAGCAGCAGTTTTGAGCGTTGCAGCTGCATGTATTAGACTTCCCTGTATCCTCTAATATGCATGCTGGTCATCAGGCAAACTTTTTTGTACGTCACAGGGCGGCGCCGAGGCGGCGCGGCCGGCAGTGCCCCGGGGAGCGCGCGGCGGCGGCGGCACGAGCCGGCTGCAGCCGGTCAGCCGCGACGCTTCTTTCGGCTCCGGCGCCTCACGCGAGCCGGCCGCCTCACCGCCCTCGCGGCTGGCGCCCCTCGGCCGGGACCTGCGCAGCGGCAGCTTCAAGTTTGCGCAGGTTGCCTACTCTAGCGCACTCAAATTGCTCACTCACCTCGCAGGCCGTACCCCACGAGTCCAAAGATGATCTCATGAAACCTCAAGCCACAATCTAATGAAAAATTTTCTTTGCAGGATTCAATAGCAACCAGTGTGGTATCAGGTGAAGGAAGACACATGCGCAAGGTCAGATTCCGATTTCGATGTCCCATACGCAGGTGCTACCGCATGACGGGATGGACGAGGGGGGGGAACACACGCGGCCGGCGGAGACCCCCCGCTATCCGGGGGAGCGGCGCGGGGGGACCCACGACCCCTTCCGCAAGGAGCTGCTGGCCGACGTGGCCCTCGACCCGTACAATGCAGGTCCGCAATTTCGAATTTAAACAAAACGGAGGATTGCCGTGCTCGTCACAGCGCCTCTGCAACACAACTCCACACTGTGTTGCTGATGTCGAGGCCCAACACCGGGCACACTTGATACACTCTCTAGGGTGGCAGTACTCCTGGGTTAGTGGGTACACCCTTTGAGTTACTTGAGAGTGGTTGTGCTGGGGAGACACCTGTGCTCAGGCTGGTGTTCTGGACTGCCACTTCTGCTCAGATCACATGCACTGTATGATTCGTGGAGTATCACGAAAGCCGAGCAGTCCAAAGTCTGTGCCATAGGCCATTGTTTAGTCTTTTGGCTTTTGTTTTCTGAGCGTTTCATACAGTGGCTCGGTCATCTCTAATGCAGTTTTTTTGGTCTGTAGGGACGGCTGAGCAGCACGCCTCTTTTGGCGGGGAGCTGGTGGGAGGGAACGATACGGACGACGACCCGCCAGCTGTCAATATGCATGCTGACGCGGACATCGACGGCGACGCCAGCGGCGCAGCCGGCGGCAGCGGAGATAACGGCCAGGTCAGCATGCCACATCAGCGCCGATGTCTCATGCTAATTCGTGCTTTTTTCACCCCTCAAGATCTTCTTGTGGTTGTTTGAAATTGAGTCATTTGTATATTTCCTTGATAGAGCTCTGTCTTGCAGTTCTTATTGTTTGTCCGGTGTCTTGCCGCTACATATCAGGAACGTGCCTGCTTGTGCAATGCTGTGCAGCCTGGTGCTGGGCTGTGCCATTCTTACAGTGAGAATGATAGATTTGAAATCAGCTGCATGCCCTAGCCAGGCTGAAAGTGCAACCTCTGATGGAGGAGCCAGCACAACTCTCTCTACCAAGAACGCAAAGAAATATTTGCTGACACTTTTTATATCCTTGTCGCAGGGTGGAGCAGCAAAGCCGGACAGCTTTTCGACGGGCAGCGCATATCCCAGGGAGACGGAGGGGGAGGAACCCGGGGTACCCAGCAGGCCAGATGACGCCGCCGAGGGAAAGGGACCCCCCAGCGGTGGCGCTGATGGGCCTTCCGGCTGTGGTGTTAAATCAGACGCCACAACGGCCACAGCAGAGGCGGAAGCGCCGACTCGCCAATATCCCCTCATGCGGGAGGTCTAAATCCCTGATGACTGCTTACTAATCGCTGTGGCTTGTCCCCGCTGTGCTGTGTATTCCTCTGGTCTTCAGTGACCAGGTGACCTTCAGGCGGGGCTCCTTTTAACAGCTCCTTTGGATCTAGAATAATGGGGTTGCATGCCTTGTTTTGTCCACCAAAGCAGCCGCCGTGTCCGCAGGCTTTGCTGGTGTTGCCTCATAGATGGAAGCTTCTGGGTTCAAGGGGAACAGCGGTCAGCATTGCTTTGCATCCCAAGCTTCTCTTTTGACAAAGAGACTTCTTTGGAGAGAGCAACGCATTGCTGAAAGAGGTGCCTAGAGACATCTGATGCAAGATACACCACCAATAGATAGACTCGCTGCCACATGCCTTCTTTGCTCCTAAGGTCACATATCTTTGATATGCTAGCAAGAGGCGCCTCGTAGCTAGCTAGCTATAGCACTATGGGTGTTCTGACTCATGCATAGGTGTTTTACAAATTTGCTGCTTGATAGCATGTCGGGGTATAGCACTGCCAACTGATTTCAAACATTCCTGATGGATTATATCACGAGGTTGCTGCAGAAGCGCCGTCGCGCCGTGCGCATCTGACTTGTTAGGTGATACTTACTACCGATATATGTGACTGATCGCGTACTCATATGTTGTGAGAGTTTTGACATGTCTAGTTGCTATTTGATGATTTGCTCGGGGTTCTTCCGTCGTGATGTGTTAACAGTGATCACAGTGCTCAAGAGTTGGCAAGTATTAATCTTACAAGTCACAGGTTCTTTCAGCTTCCACATCTTGCAAAAGTGCTTGCTTTGCAGCAAGACAGACCGGCCAATTCAGATTGTCCCTTCAATCCCCAATTGGGATCGACTTGACCATCAAGTGCTTGAGACTTGTCTGTCTTCCCGGTATATTTTTAAATTTTAAAAGGTTGTCGTACACACAGAAACAGGGGCTATCCCTTAACTAAAAACGCAGTGCCATGCTCATGAGACCTTCACTTCAGTCCTTAAAATTCATTATGCAGATCACATACCGTAGGTACATCACTGAGCCCAATATTTCCTTTCAAGTAAAGAATCCCGATGCGCAGCTGCCGCCAATCTTCAGGCTTTGGTGTTTCAGCAGATTCCCAGAGTCCCAGAACAAAAACTCCTGCCCTACAAGGGGTATTGCCTTGGCATTCACGATCAAACAAAAACTTAGCTGCCTTTCACAGCATCTCAGATTCAGAAAGCAGGCACGTCAGGGCAGTTTCTAGTGCCCATTCTGGGCAGCTGGGTTGCCCGCTGCAGGCAGCAGTTGTGCCGCCGGGGGCATGTAGGGCGAAATACAGAGCGCGTCTGCGAGGTATGCAGCCCAGAGAACGGCAGGCAATAACAAGATCCCCACCAGGGCCAGCGCGATCCAGATCTGGGAAGAACAGCACACTCAAGGTCAGCAGCCAAATCGGACGCCAAAGCCTTGTTCTTGGCAGGGCCCAGTTGAGTGGGGTATTTGAGTAGTTGTCGGCCCCTTCTACCATGCGAGTAGGAAGACAGGTGCAGGACTGCAAGTTGCTCTGTTAATCGTAGGTGCGCACCCCGGCAAAAGCACTGTTAGTGCCTACAAGCTTGTGCTCTCAAGAGCCATGTGTTCAAGACACCTGTATCAGTGGAGCTGCAGAGTCCAGTGTTACAAGACATGTTGATGGATTGCGGGGAGCTATAAAGTGAGTGTGCGCACATCTGGCTTGCTGACGACCTTGGAGCAGCCGCAGCCGTTGCTGGGCACATACCGCCAGAAACCGCCGCTGCCCGCAGGTATGCAGCAGCACACGCACTCACTGCAGGTCACACACCCGGTACTCTCACTCATCTCAATGATCTCAGTGAACTGCTTCTAGTCATTCAAGCAACCACATGCCTGGTGCGAAGATCCGGCAAAGGCAATCCTGTGACTCACAACATGCCACACGCATGGATTCTGTGCCCTACTGGGTGACTGCTAAACACAGTGCTCCTTTATGCTGCTTTATGAGGCCCACACAAGCAGACACAGCTGTTAGTGACACAGCTGTCAGTGACGGCTGCACAACAGGTATGCAACAGCACACGCACTCACTGCACCCCACACCCAGTCATCTTCTCAGCTCAATTCTGCCCATGTTCTATCTCTCAAAGCTCAAGCGTCTGAGTGCCCCTTTGCCCGAGCCAGGCCTGCCTTAACACATCCCTGTTATTCTTACTACAAAAGGGTGCCTTATCTAGAGGCCATCTGGGGATTTGGGGAACAATGACCAGGGGAAAGCATCCGAGTGAATTGATTCTAGTCCTTCAAGCAACCACCCGTCTGATGTGAATGCCAGACAAAGGCGATCCTGTGCCACACAACATGCAACAATCTTTTTGCCCTCAAGAGTCACTGCAAAATAACATGTTCCCTATGCTCTCTTGAGTGGGCTTCACAGCGCCCGCCCAAGTTGACACAGCTGTTGGTGAGACACGGTCTACTTGACTGGACAACAAATTTGAGAGGACAAATATAGGACTCACTTGCACTGTCCAGTCAGGCCCTGGGCTTGGCAGGTCTGAGGAGCAGAGTGTGCGCCGTGGGATTCTGTCCGAGGATCCCCCGATCCACCACCGCCGGTGGGACCCGGGGAAACGGCGGCGGCCGGGGGCTGCGCGCCGATCAGGTCTTGTATCTGCGTTGACTGAGCTGGCGCTGAGCTGGCTTCCCCCGCCGGCTTCGGCCCTGGCGCCAGACTTGGCGCGTGCCCATCTGTGCACATAGCACATCTCAGCCTTCGTGACTAAACAAAGGGTTCCAGAAAACTCAACCAGCAGCACTGTCTTCTCTCCTCTGTGCCTCCTGATCCTAGGAAGCACAGATGTGTAGCAGTGCGTCCTACAGGTCAAACGATGCCTGATCATAGCACTTGCCCAACGCTTTGCATTCTTTCCGCACGTTTGACAGGCCGCCCATCGCTGCATGCTCCTGTAAATCAAATATAAAGTGACTTGGTGCAAGGGAAAGCTTGTCTGAAGCCTTACATGGGGCCGGTGCTATGGCAGCCCAGGCAATGAGCTGAGAGAAGGACACCGCCGTAGAATTGGCAACCACTGGCGCCGGCGCAGGGGCCGGCGCGCTCGAATTTGAAGTTGAATTCGGAAGGGAGCTCCGCCGCCAGCGCGCTGTGGAGTTGACGGCCAGCGGTGGCGGAGGGGGGGACGCCGGTGGCGGCGGCGGCGGCGGCGGCGGGGGAACTGTCGCCAAATCAGCCCCTGCACTGTCTGTGCCAAGAGCTGCGTCTGAGGAATCTGCTAATGTTGCATCCAAAACCGCGGGAGAGACCGGTGCCTCAAAGCTGCGGAACAGGCCTGGTCGAGGGATTCCAAAACCGCCCTGCAACGAATGCACAAAGTACCTTCAGTGCTAGACGAATGGGCACCAGGAGATCATTTGTACTACAATCACTTTGGCTCTTACTGGCTTTGCGTCCAGAAGGAGGACAGTTACTTTCTGCTGGGTCCTTCCTGCTATTCTCCCCTTTTCTTGTGAGGACCTATCTACTGGATGGTGTTCGGAAGCTGTCAGGGAAGGTGCTCGACCATTGAGTTCTATAGTAAAGCAGCAGATCACAAGCAATCCTGCGTCTACATGTCCAAATCGTGGAACCTGAGGGAAGCCAGCAGGCGGAGCTTGCAAAGTGAGTCAACCATCCACTGCTGGTTAGGGTACCATATAACGTAAGTCCATGCAAACATCATTTATTGATCCCACAAAACGAGTTATAAGTTAAGTTTCAAGGAGTTATACTGTATTGCAACGTTGCATGTTCCATTCAGGGGAAGGGACGAGGCGCCACGCGATTTCACCTGCTGCAGAGTCTGAGACAGGCGCAGTCCGGGCGGGATCACCCCTATGCCGGCACCGTTATTGATCAGGATTTGTGCTTCGCACCCGTGGTTCCTTAAGAATGCCGCAAAACAAGCGACAAGGACGACTTGGACGAGCTTACATTGACCAGGCCTTAGACAACCTTTGTTAGTCATATCCAGGGCAGCTCAGATTGCAGTCCATGCATTGTCAACTTGTCAGTCGGAACTATGTTCTTGCTCTTCCTCTGATGCCTTTTGATCTCTTCCACCCGTCTGCCAATTTTAACTTCAGAAACGTGTCGATGATTTGGTTCCCTGTTTTGGTAGGTTTCAACCCCGGCTCCCAATTTAGTAGGTTTCGCTGGATGTTTGAATCTATCTGAGCCGGTTTCAAACAGGTTGTTTGGCCTTCTTCCGTTTCTTCGAATTCCAATGATCAGGTAGCTAGTTCCACTTAGATCGACAGCAGGGCACGGGACCTCGTTCGATCATATCTGGAGAGCACCTGAAGGCCGATGCTCTGATGCTTGATTTGATATGAGTCATCTGGGGGATTGGACCGTCAAATCCTGCCAAGCATGAAACAATGAATTGCGACGCGCCGAATTTTGTTTAGACATGGCGGTCGCCATGCTAATAATATGATACGACACTCCAAACCGTGCAGGCCATCGCGGGAAGTGCATCATGGTAGTGATGTGCACACTATGCTGTTATCATGATTTGATGACAATATTTAAGCATCATGCAGAAATTATAGAAATTTCATGATACTGCGATCCTGTAGTCCTCACAGTGGCGCAAGTGCATTGCATAGCGACAGGGCAAAGCAGTCATGACTTTCTGTGCAGCATGCGGTGGCGTGATTCTATGCAGCGATGCCATGTGACGGCATTCAATGTATGCTAGCAACACCTTATTTTATCGGCTAATTCATAAAAGCAGTTTGTATCAGCGCTACGCATTGAACCTCATTCAGGAATCAAGTACGAAAATGAATGGTCGTTCTCAGGAACAGGCTGGGCCACCCCAGCCTATAGCTAGAAGCTGAAATTGCCATATCAAGCGGATAAATCTACAGGCTTGATCCCTGTAAGAGCCTCTGCCTTTCAAGTCTAAATTCGACACGCGGCATGAAGTTCCCCTCAAGTTGCTTTCCTGTTCACCTGCGCACAAGCATCGGCACCACAAGCAATGGTTAGGTTACTTCTGGCTTTATCATGCCTCCTTGGAGGTTGACTGTGTGCAGAATACAGCATACTGCATTATGGCTTGGTAGGAACCACTATTGCATCTTTTATTCTCCTCACCCAAGACAAAAGGATGCAAGAGCAGCCACTCCTCTCACGAGGCCTGCTACTAACACTGCCTGGCATCAAATGGCATACTCATACTCAGGATAGATTGCAGCTCGGCCCCAACAAGATACCAAATCTCAACTCCAAAAGTACGCATGTCATCAGGCCGGTCACCCACCGTACTGCAGCATGTTGCACAGTCGCCCGGCAGCACAGCTTGCGCCGATTTTGCAGTGTCTGGCAGTCCGCCCAAGCTGGGACATGGCTGCAATGCGCAAGTTACACTCCAAGGCTGCCTATATCAGCTGGTGTGGTGTTTGTTGTGACGTGGATCAGTCGAGGAGAGGCCGCCGGCCGCTTTTGTTCGGGCGAAGGCCCACTCGCTGCGCCATGGCCTCACTGCCATGCACCTGCACATGCACAGCACAGAATTGTTATTATTATTACATGCTTTTCCTGCCAAGAGGCAAGGTGCGTCCTGCATACAAGCTGCAGTTGAAGGCCGCCATAATCCTACCCCTTGTTGGACTCGCCAGATCCAAGCAAGACCCGATCAACCGTGGGCACGGTGCTCAGTATTTATATTGCCCCCCGCCAGCCGGGACCACACAGAATGCCCCTATAAAAATAGGCGCAGACTTGCAACACCAAGATCCCAGAAATAACATCAGGCAGAGCTGCTGCATCAGTGCATAGACCCGTGGCAAGCGCGCTCGTAAATACTACGGAACAGGCCGCATAACACAGCCAGCCCTGGGATGATGCCAGATATAGGTCAGGCTGAGTAAAGATGAGAGGGCCTTTGGAATCCAAATAAGAACAATGCACCCCTTGATTTCTTACGTTACCACATACTGGCAACGAGGATCCATAATTGCGCCCCCGGGTTCCAGATTACTGGACAGTACTAGGTTTCAGGACTGCTGGGAATTTTAAGAAGGCCATTTTGGTTCAAGATTTAAATTCAAATATATAACAGGAGGCTGCACCTGCAGCGCGTAGCGCAGGTCGTGGCGGCCGGCGGCTCGCAGCTGCTCGTGTGTGGGCATGCGCCCGAGGAAGCTTCGCGGCAGCTGCCGCAGAAACTCCGCCAACGCCGCTGCCGCCACGTCAGCGTCGCGCATCGCCGCGCGTTCCCTCCGCTGCGTTTTGAAGCCCAGCCGCTCCGCAACCGCATGGAAGCCGCCTGCATGCGCAGCAATGAAAAAAGATGAAATCTTTCGTACATCCCATACCTCTTCATGAAGCCCCTTTTCTGCTCTTGTCAAGGGTTGCAATTGCCAACCTTCTGCCATGGCATTCTATATTGAGACACACACGTTCATCTATTAGCAAGACTAATCATGGCGGCGATTCTGAACTCAAATTGACGGCTGATTGGCGCAACATCTGCAGTAGCTGCGCCCAAAGGTGCCTTTCCTCGAATTTTCAGAACTTTGAGAATTGAGGGGCTTCCCCTGCGGAGATCATGCAGTCCCAACATGCTCATTGGCGGTCCAGTGGGGTCCATCAGAATCTTCGATTCTTTTAGAAGGCTGTGAGCTCACCCGCTTTTCTGATGGCATTAAACAGATCTTGCCGATTTGCGTCGGCCAGCGTGGCTGGTGCCGGCATGGTCCCGCGGGGCATTCCCTGCTCCTTGACGAACGCCTCGATTTCAAATTTGAGCTTGCGCGGCTCGCGCAGGCTCTGGAAACGCGGCCACGCCGACGGCCGCTCCAGCATTTCCCCGACCTGACATCACACAGGGGAATTATAAGAATAAAATAAACCCTACACCCTGAAGGAAATTAAATACAAAGTCGTTTGTAATATTTGCCTCCGTTTGGAATGCCCCCTGAGGTGGATGACATGCTGCAAGTTGAGGTATCTGCCGAGTCTGTTCGGCTGACTGGTCTAGATGTGTGCAGTGGCTCAAGCTCTCAGCCATGCCCTGCTCAGCACGCCGTTACTAATTGGACTCTCCCCACTTCGTGGTACTTGCTCGCAATCAAATGATTAAATTTGAGGCACCATGAGTGGCTGAGAGAGGACGCCCCCCCCCACCATGCGATAGCCACTTGCATGGTGCACTGCCTTACGGCACCAAAGCCGGGAAAGAAAAGTCTGCAAAGCTAAGAACCCGCTAATACCCAGAAGGTCACGATTCGGCCCAGATGGCTTGTTTTCAGACCCAGAAGGATCATCTGGTACCGATGTGCGCCTAGTTTTGTCTATATGGTCACTGATCCGTGACACAGAAGGCTAAGCAGCGATGGCGCATGACGGGTGAGAAGGAACAGGCAACCCACCATGCGGTAGCCGCCGTAGTACTGAATTGCATGGTGCAGATCGAAGCGCGCGGCTGACAGCATGGCAGTCCGAGAGGGCATCACTCGGTCGGCCTCGTCCTCAACTACCAGGAAGCTGCCCTCATCATCCAGTGCCACCTGCGCGCGCAAGTGCTTACTGAAGGTTATGTAACCATCTCGTGATAACCTCCTGAGACCATGCATCTGCATGGTAACAGCGAGCCATGTCACGATATTCACAAGCAGGAATGGACCTGATTGTGCTCTAATTCGGGGCCGCAACAGTACCAGACAAGCCAAAGGGGATCCCCATCAGCACCTCATCCAGGACCAATGAGCACAGACTAAATAAGACAAATAGAAACAGAACATTGCAGGACAACGCACGGGAAATTGAAGTACACATGACATTGGCTGACCCCTATCTCCTCAGGGAAGAGGAATCGGGAGCAATAAAGGAGCTCTGCTGCAGTCTCACGCATGCTGCTGTTGGGTCAACACGAGCAGGGCGTGCCTTGTGAGGGCGGATGGGCTCGTCCCATTGGGTGCGCGCCGTGACTAAATTGTAATAATAGGTGCCCCCAGTCGCCTCGTCCTGTAGCGCAACCCACTGCCCCGCCACAAATTGCGACAGCTCCTGCGGTAGACCGCCATGCACTACCATCAGTCCTTCATACCACATTCAAATGCTCAGCGGGGCTATTATTGAAAGAAATATTCCTCAGCTCTTGCTACGTCCAGGCAGTACGAAGAGCTTTGCAGAGAGAGCTGGCAATGTGAGAAGCAAAGGAGGCACCAGGGATTATTGCAGAAGACATGAGAGCACCTTTTTTGTTCTGCTCTGTCGGTGCTGGCCTCTCGTGCAAATCGAGTGCACCCCATTGTGTGAAAACATTTAAGAACAAATCTACTGTGCCAAACCGGAGACCGGATGAGCAGCGCACCTCGTCCAGATTGTCGGTGGAGTCCCAGAAGCCGACCGGCCGGCGGCGGCTGCGCAGTCCGAGGCGCTGCGCGACCGCCAGAGATCCGCCGGCCGCCCGGATTGCGCGCACGATGTCGGCCCGGCCGGCCGCCTGCAGCACCGCGCGCGTCGGCATTGTCGGGGACGGCTGATCAGGCGCAGCAGCAGCAGCAGCAGCAGCGGCCAGATCTGGCTTTGCCGCTGCCGGTGCCTCATTTGGCGCCAGTGCCGCCGGTGCCTGATCAGACGATCCAAGACTTGGCTCTGCCTCGTCGGCTGCCGCAACCCCGGCTAGAAACTCCTGCGTCAGTCAAGATGACGCCAACACTTAAGAGGTCTATACTCAGCGTATGGATGTAGGAAAATGCTGGCAGCACCTATTGTGATGACACTGCGACGACTGCCCAACAGTTGCTCCAGCGCAAATTTCATCAGAAACAATGGTGTGCAGCTCGTCTGAGACTCTGCAGCCTTGAATGGCTGTGCATGCTTCCTGCCTTTGCTTGTAGCCAAGCCATGGGCACCATGGTCAGAAATTTCATGCCGCTTTGGTCCATGCAAGAGGGTAAATGTGGTTTACACAAGGCTTCCAAGTGGCAAAAGAAGAGCACCTGTAGGAGCGGCTCTAAAAATTCCAGGGCAGCCTGCTGGCGGCCCAGATCCAGCAGGCCGTGAGGGGGGTCCACAAGCACAAGGCGCTGCTTCGCATCTGCGCTGCGCACGATGCCCTCCACGTACGGAATCTGGTGGTGCTCCGGCCCGTAACCGTGGTCCGGATCGCTGTTGACCACCAGGAGGTTCGGGGGGCTCAGCTCGCAATCCCCAGGGTACAACACCTGCGCCATTGGATGCTTTTGCTCAACGTGCAGGTAGACTTTCGGCAAGAAGCACATGCAGCGCACCCTGCCGATGATAGAATGATGCAATCAGACGGATACTGCGAAGGTGCACGCAGATGGAAAGCATGTCCTGGACCTCCCAGAAGTCAAAGATAGCTGATGCTCTGCACCTCTTCAACAACGCCCACGTGCTTCTGCCTGCGTGCGGTTCTGACCGTGTAGCCGACGAGTTCGGAAGGTGCCCTTAATATTTGAGTTTTGCCTGCAGCTTTGTTCGCCTTCTGCGTTGGCTTTTGACCTGCAAGGTGACAGACGCAATTTGGGTTGTTCAGAAGTGCTTCATCACCTACCCTGCATCGATTAATCGATACTCATGAATCTCATATTCTGCTAACCACATTTAGCGGCGGAGGAATGTCTTACAGCGAACGATGGATGGCGTGATGCTCCTAGTGAAACACCGCAAGTGCACTGTTTTGCATCCAGCATTGCATATCTTCGCAGTACCTGTCGACCATATCATGTCCTTCAAGTCAACGCACGAAATGTGTGGACATCTCTGTGAAACAGAATGAGACGGGCAGATGCATGCATCTGAGAAGCTGCGTTTACTACACTTCCCCTGGTCTCTGGGCTGTCGATATCCTACTCACCCCCTGACCGTAGGGTTCTTGGTTTGCCAGCAGCAATTAAGATTGCACAAACAAAAAGATCCTCGTTGCGGAAAGGAAGATATGATTTACTAACAGATCAATAGAATTGTGGACGTCGATCACCACTGATCAATTGGTTATCGCAGTGTTCACTTTCCAGTTACGATTCTCCTAGTACAAATACTTGGAAAGTGATTCGTTGCGTGCGTGAGATTTCGATCTTGATCGGAATTAAATAACATTCGTGGTCTCGACTTCACTAAGAACCAAACTTGAGCGCTGTGTATTTTTTCTTTTCTAGCTAAATAATGAGCCAAGACGGCTTGGAAGACACGACAGGGATCACCCTGTTCGCGAAGCAGACGAAAAAGCGGCGCAGAAAGGAGAAAGAAACAGGCGACGCTGCCCAAAAGCCACCTCCTGAAACAGAAAACGACAGCAAAAGTGTCGAGCAGAACACCGCTGCCCTTGGTGCAGAGACAGCCGCAAATGATGAGGCTACTGAGAGGCAGGAGCCAGCGAGCACCAGCGGCCAGGAGGCCCCTGTGACCTTCAGGAGCCTGGGTATCTCAGAGTGGCTTGACAGGTGCTGCACCCTGTGCTGCACAGACCTTGCAGCAGAGCAAGGAAGACAATCAACACAATTGTAGCCTCGCATGCATTCGTCACACATACAATCACCACTTCCGCGACATGCAGGCCATTGACACAGCTTCCTGCATCCTGGCACAGACGTGTCCGGCTCTAGAATGTCTCTTTCTATCACATTGTAACAACCCTCAAATTGCCCGGTTTTGTCCCCCTGCGCAGGGTCTGCAAATCGCTGGGAATGGTGCGGCCGACGCAGGTGCAGCGCGGCTGCATCCCGGCCATCCTCGGCGGCCGGGACGTTCTTGGAACGGCGCACACCGGCAGCGGAAAAACCGCCGCTTTTGCGCTGCCCATATTACAGCGACTCGCGCGAGAACCTTATGGCATCTTCGCCCTTGTGCTCACGCCAACCAGGTGAGAGGCTGCTGCGTGGGACAGTCATCATGATGTTACATGATGTGACCCAATTTGCGCTGCCCTCTCGCGAGCCGCATTGGCATCTTCGCCCTCGGCTCACGCCCACCAGGTGAATGGCGGCTGCATGGGAGCGTGGTTTGGGTCACTTTGCATTGCACCAGGCGCGCAAAGGCTTGGCCAAGGGATGCCAGGGTGCAGGATTGCTCACATGCAGACAATTCAGCCCGCACACGCAGTAGCACCACACGTCGGGTGGAATTCTCAAGGATTCTGTTGAAGAATGCGCATGATTGCTGGGAGATGGCAATAGCAGAATGGTTTAGTAAGACTAGTTGGATCCTCATTGAAGCATGCGCATGTGGGTGCAGGGAGTTGGCGATGCAGCTGGCGGACCAGTTCAGGGCACTCGGCTCCGGCATGTCCCTCACGGTGCGCGCCCCACCCAGGCAACCCACCCTTTTCTGATTCCCTGCACCGCTTGCATGCATACCCCACCTGCAAGATGTGGGGTAAACACATATGGGGATGAGACACCCCCCCCACTCCCTCTTGATGAATGGCACAGCAGAGGGATGCTTGTTCTGATCCCTTTTGCTTCGACACCTACATGCCGAGAACATTTCGCCTGCACTGCAACATGGCACATATTCACAGCGATCGCCCTAGAGCGAGCACAAACAGAAGACTGCTAAAGCGTTTGACTTGCATGTTACTGGACCCTGGTGTTGAAAGTGACCTCTAGTCTGAGCATTCCCCAAGATCCAAAAGAGTGGTGCCCGGAGATCGGCTTAACTAAATGTACGGACCCCAGCTCTTCTTGAGATTTGAATAGAGGTGTGAGAGATCATTGATTTTGTGCAGGATGCGGTGGTGATTGGTGGGCTGGACATGCAGAGCCAGGCGAAGGCTCTGGCGCAGCGGCCGCACATCATTGTCGCCACCCCTGGACGGCTGAGGGTGAGCCACCCCTGGGATCCACCCCACTTTTCTCTTAAATTGCCGCTCTGTGGAGTTCCTGTTGTTATGGTGAAGTGCAGTCTCACTCCTGCACTTGCAATGAGAGCCTGTCATTCATATTGATTTTCAATGCACTCAGTGATGGTCCTTCCGACTAGTGTTGGAGGCTGTTCCTATGGGAGGACCTTGCACTGTTGCTGTACATGGAGACTCACAAGACTTTTGGCCCCTGTACTTCCGCTGCATTTCTTTTAGGCGTGTAAATTTATGGGAATGCAGCAGAGCTATAATGCACGATCTCTTTGTGGGTTTCCTTGCACCATGACATTGGCAATATTCACCCTGTGTTCAATCACTCCTTCTACCTGACACCTGGTACTAATTTTTTTCTGGTCGATGATCACCATATGACCTCTGGGTGGGGCACATCAAAACACCATAATCTGAGAGTCGTTACCCCTGAACTGAGGGGAGTGATGCGGGCAGGATCTGCTGAGCGCGCATGCTGACCTGGCGGAGGGCTTCAATCGCGTGGCGTTCCTGGTCCTGGACGAGGCGGACCGCCTGCTCGAACCCACCTTCGAATCCGAGCTGCGAGTCATCGCGAGTCACCTGCCAGCTCAGCGCCAGACGCTGCTTTTCTCCGCCACCCTCACCCGGAGCCTCGCCACCCTGCAGGCATCAGCCCTGCGCGACGCCTTTTTGTTCCAGGCAGGTTCTTCTGCCTTTTCAAAGGGATATTTCTGGGGCTTTGGCTTGTGTTTTGCACGTCAATTTGAAGTGAACCTATTTACAAGAATGCTCATTCCATACTCCAAATCTGGAGACTTTTTAACGTTTTGGCAAAAATCTTGAACCTTCTTTTTTGCGTCAGCCCTACGCGACGCCTTTCTGTTCCAGATACATCCAAATTTGCAGCATGCCATTTGGGCGTACCTTCTCTGCATGCAAAATCAGATTTATTTGGAGATTTGGCCAGGCCAGCACCGTATTTTTGTATGTGAGGGCTACTCGAGATCCAGAACATAATCCATGCGTGACCAGCGTGCAATTCCTCTGCAGCTGGTGGCCTTGTACCAGGAGAAGTGCATGAACCCACCATGGTGTCAAGTTGTGAGTAGTGCAGAAAGCATGTTCGTTGCTGTGTGGCGCTGGTAAGATGTGCTGGCAGAGCCTCATGCTTTGATGGTCCTGTGTGGCTGAGTAATCTTGATGATGTCTGCAGGCATATGAGGGGCTGGAAACAGCAGTGAACCTGCGAGAGGACTACCTCTTCATCCCTGCCAAGGTGACACTTGCTCGCGCATCAGCTGATTGCAATAGGGCCTATGCTCATCCGTATCACAGCCCCATTTGATGCATGCCATGCAGCGTGCTTTGGAGAATCTTGCAGGCCTTTAAAGGAAACACCTCATCTTGTATTTTTCGTCACGCATGGGAGATGCTATACTTACATGGCCTTGAATGCATTGGCCAAAGGACAATGTTCAGCTCATTCCCTTTCGCAAGCACACGGTAATACATGCACATGATCGGTGACCTGGCTCAGGGGAAATGTGTTTCTAACATGTGGTCACTATAAACCCTGCACCCCCGGTTTAGAGCGACCTGTACGGTAATCTGGTCAAGATTATTCAAAAATTAAGATTTTGTCATTTTCAAATTCAAAACATGATATATATTTTTTAGGTGCGGGAGCTGTACCTGGTGCACGTGCTGGAGTCCTTGGAGGAGTTCTCTATCCGCAGCGCGATAGTTTTCTGCTCTACCTGCCGCGGCTGCCATCTGCTTTCTCTGCTGCTGGCAGAGCTGGGCGTCGCCTCTGTAGCGCTGCATTCTCACCTCACGCAAGGGCGCCGCTTGGCTGCATTACATAGGTGCGCACCCCTTTCTCTATTCTAGGGAGTCGAGTTATTCCAGGGCCCTGAAGAGGGTTAGCTTTTCTCATGTTTGAATTTCTTGTGGGGGAACACGTCACGCAAGGCCACCGCCTTGCCGCATTACATCGGTGCGCGCCCTTTTCCCCTTTCCGGGGGACATATGTCTATTCTTGGGGGATATCTTTTAAGTTCAGGATCTGAGGGGGTTCCGTTTTTAGACGTAAAACCTGCCTGTTGGGGTGTTGCCTCTGTTGCCGTGCACTCGCACCTCACACAAGGGCGCCGGATGACTGCATTACATGTGTGCGCACCCCTTGTTGTGTCCAGGGTGTTGAGGGGATTGATACCCTATAGATAGGTTTTGCAATCTTGCTGTGATAGTGTCTGCCTCTTCATGTCTTGCATGAAAGCAGCCGTCGGATTGTTTGAACTTGCCGGATGTAGGGCCTTATCCGCAAGCTACCGCAATCCCTCTGCCGGATCTCCTCGTTGCTTTGTGGGTCATGATAGCTTGTCAAGAGGCTCTCTTGCACCTGTACTTTTTCACGATGTGACACCGCATCTTGCGTCTCAAGGTCTCTGTCAAGTGGCCAAGCCCGGTACGTGAGACGGAGTACGTGAGCAGCACTTCATCCTTCCCGTCTCACCTCACAATGAGAATCCCAGCCTTTAACCACTTTTGTGGCTGCAAATATTTAATAGTAGCTCATGTTTGTGGCCACATTTGCTTCCAGTAAGCATCCCTGTAAGAAGTACTGTTCTTGACAGGGAATTGTGCCGCGCAGGTTCAAGTCGGGGGGCGTGCCCATTCTGCTGGCGACGGACGTGGCGAGCCGGGGCCTGGACATTCCCACAGTGGACCTCGTTGTGAATTATGAGCTGCCCTCTCTGCCGCGCGATTACGTGCACCGCGTCGGCCGAACCGCGCGCGCCGGCCGCGGCGGCTGGGCGCTAAGCCTCGTCACGCAGGTGCGGGCAGGGAATGTAGGGTCGGAGGGTGGATGGTAGGATGGAATACTAGGGTCTGAGGGTGGTCAACGCGATAAATCTTGCAAGTGGTCGTGCGGCCGGGCGCTCAGCCCCGTCACACAGGTGCGGGCAGCTTCACAGGAAACAAAGGGTCGGAGGGTGATAACATGTTGGTTTGATAGGGTTTGAGGGTGGTCAATAAGGTCATCAATGCATGGGCGCTCAGTCTCGTCACGCATATGCACAGCAACGCCCCCTGACAGGAGCTCAGGATTCCCTCAAGATGTTCCTGGGATTGTAGGCATCAGTGTTGGATGCGGTGGACGTCATGCATGTATGGCAGGGCACTGGGGTGAGCAGGAAGCCATAAAGCTGGTACCTGCCGGCAAAATGCAGTCGCAGTCAATTGCACGATGGACAGTGTATGAATCAAGCAGATGCAATGCGCTGCAGATTACAACTTGTTACGGTGCTGTCCCATGAATATCACACGCGGTAGCAGCGCACACTGAGGGGTAGGCTATGCAGAGTGTTCTTCTAAGAGCCATCTCTCCCCTTGACTTGCAATATTGAGATTTATGTTGATCAGGAAGCAGCAGCTTGGCAGCCGTCGTGCAGTGTATTTGCTTGCTAATGTGCAAGCGCGTCTGTGTGTGCAGTATGACGTGGAGTTGGTGCAGCACATAGAGAGCTTGATCGGGCACCAGCTGCGAGAGTTCACTCTGGACGAGGCCCAGGTGCTCAAGGGGATCACAAGGGTGTATTCGGCAAAGCGCTCGGTGGCAGTGAAAGCTCTGGAGGATGAGTCACGCGATGACAAACACCGCCAGCTCATCAGGCGCAAGAGCGGTCCCAAGAAAGCCAAGAAAGTGAAGGGAGGCACTGATTAGCTTGTCGTGAAAATAATGAAGTTGCTTCCGGCCATTACAGCTTTTGCTTGAATGGCGGTGAACTTTTCAATAAATATTATTGTTAGCTGTGTAAATGATCAGTGCATGAATATTGTGCACATGCAATCATTGTCACAGGTAGTACGGCATCAGTGTCTGGTGTTTGTGCTCATGCGGATTTTGGAAGGAATGTAGAGATCTCATTTGTAAAGTTGGTTACACTGATTTAAGCATTCGAGACTCTCTCAGCATGCATGATCTGTGAGGGTTGATGACGTGGTTAGTCCCAACTGGCGCCTAGACCCATCTATGCCTTATCAGAACAAAGACCATGCAAACGCATGCCCTTCAATCACGATGGCCTCCCTTGTGAGCATCAGCAACAGGGACTCCTGGCACCCCAGATTGAACACAAGCCCACAAGAAACAGGCGCACCCATTGAGTACAATTCTTGCAAGCAGTCACCCGATGAAAGAGACCGACCAAGACTGACACATGTGCAGCTGCAGCAGAACTTGACATCCAGCGCCTTTCAGATCAACATGGCAGAGCGCAGGCATGGGACCCAATAAGGTCAGTGAATGCGAGACCGGGCGTCAATTTCCAGTCAGCAAAACATCCCAACAGAACAACACCCTGAAGGCGCCCAGCCAGTCTCACAGCAGCAGCAGCCGAACAAGCCTGCAACTCCCCTCAGACCGCAGGGGTCCCAATCTTGTCAAAGAAGGAGCTGACCACCCTGCTTGTCCTACCGTCCAGTTCTGGTCAGGCGTGACAGCCTCCCGGGAGATCCACCCCCCGAGGTTGGGGTCAGCCCACGCATGCAGCCATGCCTGAGGGTCCACCCCAAGGCGTGCATCCCAGGGTGGATCCTCACAATTCACCCCAGGATCCACCCCCGGAGAATCCACCCCCGGGGGGTAAACTTCCCCGGTCAGGTCCCCCCCTGCTCAGTACTTCGGGGGGACCCACTGCTCCTTGGGGTCGACGCGGGCGAAGCCGGCGCCGGAGGAGTGGATGCCGCAGGAGTCGCCGTCGTGGGTGTATTGCTCCGCGTACTCGCCGCTGCGCCGCCGGCCAAGCTTGTTGTCAAACACGCTGAACCATGCGTAGTAGCCGCCCTGCAGCAGAGAACACTCGTTAGTGATGTCACTACTCATCTTTAATATAGTGTTCCTGCCATAAAGGCAAAGCCTGCGGATAGGTTTCAAGTAAAGGCCGCCACATGCCCCTATGTCTTGTTGTCGAATATATGAAATCAGGTCTAGTAGCCGCCATACAGCAGACAAAATTCGATGTTACTGTTGCAATTGCAATTTTGTTACGCGCTGTTGCTGCCGCAGTAGGCCAGGTGCGTCCGCGGACGATCTGCTGGTAAGGAGTGTTACAAGCTTTGCGTTAGCAAAGCATTCGCAGCAGAGCTGAGGATGCCTTTGCTGCAGGTGCAACACCTCCAGGGTTGCATATGGCAATGGCCGCCCAGCATTGTCATTTGCAGCCGATTGGGCCGCCGGCATGCGGGTTGATCAACATCAAGTACGGGCGCGCACCTTGAGGCCGACGATGTTGGTGTAGCCCTCTTCGTCAAGCGCCATGAGGGCATCCATTGTGTAGGTGCGCCCGTCGCTGCACCCGATCAGCAGCTTCGCCTCAGTATCCGGGAAACGCTTCTTCACCTGCGCACATTTTGGATTACTTCAATAGGTGCAGCACGCTGGAGCTAAAAAGCTTACCGGTGGGCTTGTGCCTCCACATCAGCTATCGAAGACTGCCTGGGGCGTGCAATCCCAGCGAAAGATTTCTTTGAGCCGGATCGCAGCCTGACAGGTCTCAAGGCAGGGTCCTAACGCTGGGGCTTTAAGGCATCGAGCATGCAGCTGCAAGCGGGCTAAATTTCTCCTCAGGTGGATCTGCACGGAGGCCAAGCCTTCCCAGCCAGTGTTGCATTCCCACGACCATTTCCCGCAGACCTAGCACTTTGTGATCCTCAAATTACCACTCACTGCCGCCACGCAAGACAGTGGGAATGGCCAAGCTTGTCCCGAAAAATTCTCCTGGATTGCTACAGCTTTTGCAGATTTGCCTTGGTAAAATAGAGCATCACTGTTAATGCTGTGCACACCATGGACACACTTTGCACTCAAAGCACGATGATCAGTGCACCTTGTCGGGCACACAATTTGTGAGGACCACAATGAAAAGACTACATAAATCAGCGTACCTGCTCGATCCAGTCTGGGTTGTCCTCCTTGATGACCACTTTCTTGTTCTGCTCGGGGTCGAACACTTTCTTGGACTTCTTCATGGGGATGCTGACCGACCCCTTCACTTTGCCCACCTCGTCATACTCGACAGCAGTCCTCACGTCCAGATAGGTGTAGCCCTCCTCAGAGTACAGCACCTGGATAACTCAGCGCAACAGGGATGGGTTGGAGCGCAGTAGAGGGTTTCCTGGCTAGCTCTGGACGATCGGATATGTATATACGCATATAAGGGTGCAGCTGTGCCGCGTCAGAAGTCGTGCAATATTCGAAAGCAGAGAGGCAGCCGGCATCTGTAGTTAACAGTGGAGTAGCAGGCAAGCAGGATGCCACTGTACAGGCTTCTCAACAGTAAAACCATCAAGAGACCGGTGTCACTATGTGCAAAATACTTGACTGAAGGGGCTCACCCTGGCCTCCTCCACGGTTGCCACTCCCTTCTCAGGGAACTCCTCCTTCACCTCTGCGCATGCGCCCACAGGGATGTCAGGACACCGCATGCAATCTGTTCTGTGATTGCAACGATGAATCTAATTTCCAGGAGCTTCAAACTACCCTCGCTCCTTGATAACAACTCAAAAGCACCATGCAAAGCAAGCAGAAGTACCCGCAATGAACTCCGGATCGGGCCACTCTCGGACGAAGGCCTGGACAGTTGCATTCTGACGCCTCTGCTGGGCCCTCAGAGTTCTAAATGCAACTCTACTTCCAGTGAAGGCACTTCTGCATGGCAGGGTCACCCTGCCAGTGTGACCAGCGCTCAGGCTGCCTCGCAGTGCTTGAGACATCGGCAAGTGTTCGCTATCACGCACTTGCCCCTTTGATACGATCGACACAGCAGAGTCCCGAATACTATGCGGGATACAACACACCGTTTCTGCTGATGGAAATCGAGCTACCAATTCCAGAATGTTCCTGCTCCTCTGGGCCACAAAAGATCAGGTGCCGTAACCGGTTACGCACCTCGGACAGCTTCGCAGCTGTGGAGGAAACTGCCATCATGGGCAAGAGCGGAAAGACACTAATAAACTGTACACTCAGTGTACTACACTGATACCTTTGTACACTGATCAAAATTTTGATGCATCCGTCCCTGAGTACTATCAGTGTACATTATGAGATGAGCTTGATGAGCTTGTATGTGCACCTGTTTGTTGATTGCAGTACTACTACGCAATGATCACTACGTATTATTATTATTACAGGTCGGCAAACCCAAAGCCAGAGGCCTACGTAGTGATCATGATTATGTATACCGTATGTGACAGCGCTAGCGGTGCTGGAATGCAACACCGATCTCAAATATATCCCTGAGTCACGCCTCCTACTGTAGCTTTCCACTCACCAGCCCATAGCAAGCTTGTGAAGATTTTAAATTTGTTGCCATAAGAGTACATATTCAACGAGGGTGGCACCAGCAGCCTCTGGTCTAATTATATGTTGGCTGAGCTAGGCCGTCTGATCTGCGCGTGTGCCACTCAATAGATCAATCAATGTGCAAGGGACAATCTAAGCATTAGGAAGGCAAAACATATTTCGGAGGATTCAAGCTATGAGTATGACAGTACCTCGCAGCATTCATTATGTTGTAGCGTCCTAGCGCAAACAAGATCTCGGTTCCACACGTTTGAAGCGTTTGAAAACCCGGATCAGATCCAGATCAGGTCCAGTGGATCTTCATCCAGTCTTGTAAAATCCCACATGCCTGCTGAGTGATGGTATTATGGAATCTAGAGAGCTCTGCAGAGGAATGAAAGCCGCTGCTATAACAAATGATGGCTTCAGGACGAAATAAAGGCGATGAATGATCTTTTGAGTTCTGGAGTCGTATTACTGGTGCCGACCTGTGACAGCTGCATTTGCTGCAGCTGCATTCAATCATTGATTTCATTCGCGCTGTCATACCCATTGCTGAGTGTGCTACTGCCTAGACGCCGAATCTGAGCATCCCCAGATGGGCTGTGCAGATCAGCCTGCACCCGCTGCCTCTCCTGGAAAGCCACCAGATCCCAGCCTCAGCAGCAAATTCTCACATTGCCCCACAATTGTAACAGCACCAAAATATCAGGCGAAATTCCACGCCTAATGAACAGCCCTCTCTGTCCTGAAGAGAACACCCTTTGTAGAAGGGATTCATGTTTCATATCAGAAGCCTCGCACAAGTCACCATGAGAGCCACAGATATCTCAAGCAAGCATAAGTGTATGCGCACCGGGGGGAAGGCGATTGCCGCAACGCCGCCGGCCGGCCCGGCCGTCATCGGCGAGTCCGGCAGCGGCGCGCTCGGCTGCCGCCGTGCGGCGGACGCCGTTACGGCCGGCTCGGGCCTATCTGTATCCGTAAAAGCCGTAACGGTGCGCCGCGCTTGCTCCAGTGTGTGCATCGGCGAGTCCTGCCCGCCGTCGGCCGCCTGCTCAAACGGCGACCGCCCTGCGCAGCACAAATGCATGGGTTCCTGTACAGTGTTAGTGGTAGAATGCATCAAGTCTCCGCGCGCACACAAATGATGGAAATGTTTTGGTGACTAGAAACCCGCTTACACGGCTTGCTGCATCTGTATGAAGTTAATTGACATTGAGACAGCAAAATGGTATGGAATCCTACCTGGTGGCGCTGGTGGCTTGGGCACCGACCTGCCTATAGAAGCTAGCCTCAAAACTTTCAACACAAGTGAAATGGCATGTCACCAGTGTTGGTTCCTCTCAGGGCCCTCTGGGCATCGGCAGATGCAGGACCCAGCTCATGCAGAGTCCAACACTGAAATTGTGACCGGATTTCCAGCAATTGAAGCCAGCGAGAGTGCCGCCTCACCGGTGCTGGTGCCTGCAGTGCTGAGTGTCAGGAAGGGCATGTGCGCGCGCTGTCTGAACTCCTGACACAGCAATGACTCGCGGGCAGAACCCAGCGACGACGAAGGCCCGGCTTCGTTCAGCGCCGCTCGACCGGAGTACGAAGACGGCCCCTCTGCAAGCAGAACATACATCCATTGAATTCCTTGCATAGCAATACACAGGCATTCTCTGAAAGGCCTGCATCCGGCCAGATATGGCACAGGTGTCTGTATGAAAGCAACGTGCAAAGACGGCCCCTCTGCAAGGAGGACAGTAGTGAACATGGGATATAGTGACTGCCAATACATGCGTGCATGCGGCATTTGCATAAAACTGTCTAAAACAAGAAGAGCAGAAAAGTCCAAGCAAGCAGTCTCAGGTACACATTCAAAAATTTGCGAGTGCGTGGGTTGTATCACAGCACCCGCAGGGGCACTCAATGTAAAAACTGGCTGCATGTGTGATCACACGCGGTCACGACGTTATCACATTTTTACGAATGAGAGCATTGTGTTCATACCCAAAAAATGACAGCAACAGACCCAAGCACCTGGACAATCCTGTGACAATCCAAAATAAAGGCGGCATGGCTCACCCTCACCTCCTATCTCCAAGCTATGATGGGCTGAGAGGCTCCCTGAGGCGATTTCATCTCCTGCAGCTGGGCCGTCAAGCCAGGACACACCTGCGTGCATCAGGTGGGATTTAGGGGAAGGAATATGCAGGGTCACCACGTGGGGCATGACAACTGGATCCCTGCAAAACCCACAAAAGTGAAGTGACGATGGGTACTTCGCAAGAGGGAGAGCTTCACTCAGCCCGAGCTCCATGAACAAATTGTAGCCTTGGCTCGCTGTCCTCCATATCTCCTGAGAATTTTGGGGCATGTGAATTTTTGTCAGTAAGAAGGAGTCTCAATCCCCCACATGGCTTCAATGTAGTTGTCAGCAACGCACCGATGCTCGATGATGACGCCATCATCCCGGCAGCCATGCCGGTTTCATCCCCGTTGCGAATGCTCCACTGCCGGCCAAGCACCGCCATGCGAGCAGCTTCCAGGCTGCCTCCGGCCAGCTTCCCTTCCTGTGCAAATACATTCAAATCCACCTGGGGAGGGAATCATTGGAACAGGGCTTACTCTGAAAAGTATCCTTATAAAGTTTTCACTGATGCTGTACAACGAAAGCACGTGCTTAGATCCGCTGAGAGCCTTGTGCTTCAGCTTTGGTGACATTCTGCAATGTTCTTGTGGTGGCAACCCCAAAGCGCCTTCAACATGCATGCATCTCTAAAAAATGTCACATAGCACAGTTTTAACTTGGATTATACAACGATAGATGCATTGCTCTGAACGCACGAGGGCGCGCGCTTGCATGAGCGGGTCAAGGGCGGGCACGTCTGCAGCCGGGTTCCCTCTGCCGGGGCCCCCCGCCTCAAAGAGGGGGTCCGCAGTGGCGTGGCCCATCGGCGTGCCGGCCTCCGCGCTGTGCGCGCTCGGCCATCCAGCCGCCACATCAGCCGCCAGGTCAGCCAGCACGGCATGCCGCGCAGCTACCAAAGAATCCAGTGCCGAATCCTGCGGACGGTCGGCAACAGTTAGCTCCTCACGTAACTGCATGAAATCAGAAAAGGGACACTGAAAGCTGATGGACTGACTGGAGTCCTGTCCAAATACCACAAGAATATAGAAATGAATCTGTTAAGAATGAAGCGTGCCCCAGAAACAAAGTGCCAGACTTTGTGCCTAGCAGCTGATCGCTGGTTACGCAGCGATCTTTAACGCCTTCCCCTTCACTATGCTTTTGACATGCTGCTGCCTAATGCTTCTGATCCTCATCGCACGATGAAATGATCCTGCGCTACTGCTTCAGCCGGTGGGAGTGGGCTAAATACACCCACCTGGCGAGGCGCAACTTCCAGCTCCGGTGCGGTTGACCCCAGAGTGGCGGCGTCCGGGGGTGAGCCCACTGGGGTGTCCCTCATCAGCGCCCTGGCCGCCTGCAGCGACGGCGCGCGTCCCAACATCAATTCCTGCGCACGAATCACCAACCCCTGACCCTCACCACTTGGGGGGATCTACTGTAGTAGTCATTCTAAAACCCGCAACCTCGGCAGTGCGGGAAATCTTTCAAAGCAACATTTAGGGGTCTTCCTGGCATCAAATATACCAGGGCCATGCTTCATTGGATTGGGCTTGTCGAGAGCTTTCCGAATCTGCTCTCAAGATAATCATAGATTTTACATTTTGGGAGATAGGGTCTTATCTATACACCCTTTTTGGCAAAAAAAAAATGGGGGTTTTAGGATGACTACCACAGTATATTTATCATCTACATCTAACTGTTTTTTCCTCCCTGATTGTCACTTTGATTACTTTGAGACCACCAGTATGGTTCTTGTCTCACAGCTCGCAGTCTGCACACTAACCACTGTCCCCACACAGCTGCATGTTCAGGGCTCCTCACATCGCCTCGTCTGCTTCTCTTCTTCTCTGCAGGAATGACTCACGGGTTGCGGGCTTGTTTTGTGTGCTGTAGCATTACTAACTATATCTAATACAGATCCCACTGCAGCATTGCTGTCCCATGTCAGAGACAGAAAAACCTTCATTACTTGTGCAACATAGCGTGCTAATGCGGGAGAAGGCAGAGCCGTAGTCATGTTTTTCAGCTGCTGCTGTTCTCATCTCACAAGCCAGTGCCGTCCTCTTACCCTTTCTGGTGCCATTCAGCCTGCACTTTAGTGCCAGCTAGACACTGGGGTTGATTCCCTTTGACAGGACTTCAGGAGCATAACCGGCAAGACCCGTCCTTGACCAGGAGTTAAGAGGCAATAAATGTCAAGAAATTCACCTCTGCCATGCTGGCAGCTGCTGGGCTGTTTGGCTGCTCGCTGGCGCTGTCCCTGCGGTAAGACACCGCATCCGACAGCCGGCCAATGAAAGGCAAAGGGGGCGCCACCTGGCTCGCCTGCCGCAGCAACTCCTGCCTGCTCACCCCTGCGCGCACATCATGAATCTCAGCTTTTGACTTGAAACTGCCTTCCGAGGCAATCTGTGCCCCAGAACGATGATCAAAAACATGAAGGACAGCTGACATGCTCTCAGGGACGGGATAATCAGCATGTTACTCTGATGACACAGCAGAGACAGGCTTGGTCGCCGTGGTGTGTCAAGCGCTGATTAGACGGTGTACTTGAACAAGTACTCATGGTGTGGACATGCATCAACTACTCACCGAGTGAAGTGAGTAATAGTGGGGACTGCTCATGCGAAGCACTGTCACGCTGTCCTGTTGCAGATCAGGGCAGATGCAAAACATACAGCACACAACACACACCAGACACCAGTGAAATGACAGAGAACATCGCAAGTCAGGATCGAGTGGTGAGCGCACCTGAAAGGCTGCCATGGCGCGGCGGGGGAGAGGCCCCCCGGTCGGCGTCGGCCATGTCATGCGCAGAGTCCTGACGGTCGAGCGGGGGGTCCAGCCCCCCCGGCGCGGAGGCAACGCCGCCCACTGTCAGCTCCACCATCTCCTCCTCCATGGCCTGCCCACAAAGATTGCTGGCTTGCCTGAATATCCCGAGCCTAGAGAACTAGTTTCCCTGTCACAGCGCGCCTCAGCACAAATGCAGTCTGACATAATTACCAAATGACAAACGCCAGGCGCACAAAACTCACTGCACCTGAAGGTTCTGCGCAGAGTCCTGCCGCTCGGTCATAGCGGGCGGCCGCGGCTGGTAGTTTGCCGAGTCCATGCGCTCGACTAATCCCATCGGACGCGCATTTGCGGCCGCCGCCGCCACGGCCGCCGCGTGCCGCTCGGCCAGATCGGCGTCGCTGTCCCGCTCCGAGAAGGACGCCTGCTCCGACGCGGCGCTCTCCAGGCCTGGGGGTGACAACAGGGGTGGTGAAATCAAGCGCCAGGGGTGTATAATGCTAGGGTCAGGGTTGCGGTGGAATTGTGTGATGCAGGGCCGCCCGGGTGCGCCAGGGGATGGGGCTCGGTTTGCAGGCAATATGCCTCCTAAGAGACCTTTGGGGTGTGTGCAAGGGGCGTGTGCAAAAGTCCTTTGGACAGGATGACCTGAATGTCAGGCACTGGGCCAAAATAGCAGATCTAATCAGAAAATGTGACTGTCTGACTGTCAGGCTGAAAGTGTGAGTACTGATATCGCAATTCCAGTGGGTGAGGCACACCAAGCACTCGCTGTTGCGGTGAGGTGCATGTGCTCATCACCAAGAAAGCTGAGCGCAAGCGCTTGACACGACTGATGCAGTAGCGGAAAACCAAAACATTGCTCCGATGTTGGACTGCTTGAGTGACATCTGGTGGGGCATTGTGGTACCTGGTGAAGGAAGAGATTCTCCTGGGACACCATCTCCTGGAGATTGGCCCATATGCATTATGCCTGTCAACACACCACATTGCACATTGAGTATGTACATGGTCACTGCAGCCCAAAATACCCATGACTTGACCTGACCCATGCCACTTTCATCCGATAGCAGCAACTCGGGGTCCACCTTTTACACCCTTAATAAATGCTACTGATGTCAAAGGGGGAAGAGTGAGGCTGTCAATTGGCAGGATGATGTACCGACACCATCAAAGCAAAGTACTGATCGTCAAGGACTAGGGCGGGTGTTACCAGTGCAGAGAAAAGACTCTCAGCCAGAACCCTTCACAGCACCTAGCTCCTCACGGACTCCTTCTGAAGTTCTGGATATCAATATCAGGGTAGGGTCGGTGCTCGTCACTGGTATGCATCAAGCCCAATGGTCTTCGGTAAAAGGTCGCTCTATCCTGTGCTGAGAGCACATAAAGTAGCAAAGAAGGATAAGACACGGTGAAAAGATTTCTTCCCAATGGATTTCTTTCATGCGCTGAACAAATTCCTACCGTTCTTTTTACTTGTCCATTGTAAGCCTAAGCTGGCTTGCATGACCGGAGACCCAAAGGGAACGCGCCGAACGGATATCCATCTCTGTGTCGTTGGTGGATAAACAGCTAAGTGCACGGCGGCTTGAAGTCGATTAATCTCTTTCGATCTGCACCATCGAACGCTAAAATGTCTGCAGCAAAGATGTCTGGGGTGCCCACGGTCTCATCACAGAAGGTGCGTGCTGCAGTGACCCGCTCTCGGACTTGTTGAGAACAATGCTTTTACTAGAGGTTTCTAGAAGGGTTTCAGATATGGAGCAAACCGCAGGTATAGCCTGTTCTGATAGCACCACTATCATAATAGTAATACATGTCGTTTTCTGAAGTAATGCGTCAAGAAAGGATTCTCTGCAAAGCTTACTTCTTTTCATCCCAGGTGTCCTACCATGGTGGCTCGTAGTTCAGTGGTCCAGAAGCATGAAGTGCATGTGAACGCAATACCTGTATCAATGCTGCCTTTTGAAAGATTCGCTTGGTATCAATATGCAGGCGTCTGCGATGTCTGGACGCAGTGCCTTCCTCGCTGGAAAGCCTCTGGTGCCTTTGGCCCAGGCCAAGTTCCAGAGGGGTGGCAGGAGAGTCCATGTGGTAAGCCTTTACTTTGTTTCCACAAGTGTTGCTGTTGGGATGCAATATTTTCCCGTTCGCTTCGTGTATGCGTCAACAAGTGGAGCATCAGCATCTAGCTTCGGTCATGGTGGTCATGGCTTTTGCTGCACCTCATCCCACATCCTTGCCACTGTCCAGGTTCTCTCCTCCGCAAAGGAGATTATCTTTGACAACGAGTCACGGAGGAAGATGCAGATCGGCATCAACAAACTAGCAGATGCAGTGGGAGTGACCCTCGGCCCCAGGGGTGAGCGTCCAATGTCTCTATAGTCTTTTGTTTGCAGATGAGCTTTTTGTATCTTGCTAGTATATACCTTCGATGGCATGCACTAGGAAGGCACACGCGATTTTTAAGGTGCATTGTGGTTGATATTTGCTCAAGAACCGCCCCTGCAGGAGAGGGCATTCTGGTCTTATCATGAAGTGGCGTTTGGGCACGATGTCAAGCCTCAGCCGAAAAGATGAGTGGGATGAGACCAAGATTATTGAGCATGAGGGTGGCGGACTTTGCAGGGAGGAACGTGGTGTTGGAGCAGTCATATGGCATGCCCCAGGTCATCAACGATGGAGTGTCCATCGCTCGTGCCATCGAGCTTGAGGACCCTATCGAGAATGCAGGGGCCCAGCTTATCAAGGAGGTGCGACAGCAATCAACAAATATTGAAATTTGGAGATGAGATTCAACTCTGGCCTCGAAGTCCTCAAAATGATATGGGCACAGCCATGGATTTGCCGATGAAGCCTTTCTTCAAGCCTTTCTTCTGGCTGTCATGTTTCGGAAGCAGGAAGCAGAAGAAGTGTACTGTGCCACTTTCACACTGCCAAATCATGACCATGATTCACTGGAGCACTTGGGCAGGAGGCCCATCTTGCATGGCAGGGGAGGGAACCTTATCCTGTGGAAATGTGACAGTAAAAATGCATGCTTGTTTGTGAAGCTGCCCTAAGCGGGCACGGCGCCTTCTGCGCAGGTAGCTGGCCGGACAAACGATGCAGCGGGTGACGGCACCACCACAGCCTCTGTGCTGGCGCGGGAGCTGATCCACTATGGGCTGCAGGTGCGTGCCAACCTATCTCAGATCAGCATTGGCAGTGCCTGTCCCAAATGTGACACCCTTAACTCACAGGGGCTAGAATGCTGTATATTCAGCTCGTCATGCAGTGGTGATCAATACTCTTTGTGTGGAACTCGCTGATCTTTCTTCATGCCTTTCTAATTCGCCGAACATGTCTGATCACTGGTGGGAGACGCGCCCCAGATGCAAACCCCTCTATGTGCAGGGGTAAGGGGTGAGGCTCGCTGCATCTTGGGCTTCCTCTCATCAGTGATCAACATGTTCTTGGCTTCCTTGCTGGCAGAATGGGCGCAGCATATCTTCTATTGAAGGAATACCATTGACGAAGCATCGCAGGGGGTTACTAATGTATGTGGCACCTGTGCAGGCGGTGACGGCAGGCTCGAATCCCATAACGCTGAAGAAGGGCATTGACAAGACGTGCGACTTCCTGGTGGCCAAGCTCAAGGAGGTGTCGCGCCCGGTCAAGGGTACCGAGGACATCAAGGTGCGTTGCATCTACATCTGGAAAGTCAGAGCCCCTTGGCGGCTTGTAGTTTGAGGGAGCTGGGGGGGAGCAAGTGGTCGCAGGCTGATCTGTCCACTGGGAGCAGCGGTAAGGCAGAGTAGCAGACACCCGTGGTTTTTTATCGCTCATATCGTGCAGCTGCTCCTGCTGGTGTGGCTGTCTTGGTCGCTGTGAGTGCAATGGCGCACAAGGCATGTGTCCTTTGCATTCTCAGCTTCCTTGATGTCCTTCTCCGCTAGACCACAAGCCCTGACACAGGCCACTTTCGATCTTCCAAAGCTGCTGCCTGTCGCATTCTGCCAGGCCATGCAGGCCGCTGGCTAGGACAGTGCGCGCCTTGCAAAGTTTGTCCTTCTTACATCAGCAGCATGCAAATCGCACAAGAGCGCATCTGACCTCACCCGTGTTCCCTTACGCGCAGAGCGTGGCGAGCATTTCTGCCGGCAATGACGTGGCGATCGGGGCGCTGATCGCGGACGCTCTGGAGAAGGTGGGAGCCGACGGCGTTCTCTCCATCGAGACAGGGAACGGCCTTGAGACCACCGTGGAGGTGCAGGAGGGCATGCAGGTCGATCGCGGCTACGTCTCACCCCAGTTCATCACCAACCAGGTGCACTGGATCCCACTCTTGCCCATACAGCCAGGAAGTGGGGAATGCCTGTAAATCCTGTGTCTGGTGGAGGGTCATGATGTATTTTCATTTCGCTAGAATTGGTGACTCTCATCTTCATAGTATCAATATTAAGCTTGCTGTCCCCTGTTTGAGCCCCTTTTTAAAAGTACGACAATACCTGGGGCGTGGGGCATCGATTAGACGTGGCTCTCGAAGAAAGAAGAACGACAGCCCTTTTGCCCCATCCATGCATGGCCGACCGCCCTGTGTCCGTTTGATCAGACCTGCCTGGGCGCAAAGTCAATCCTTACGCATCTACTTAGCGCGTACCCTTACTGCGCGCAGGAGAAGATGCTGGTGGAGTATGAGAATGCGCGCATCCTGATCACGGACCAGAAGCTGGAGACCATCAAGGACGTGCTGCCCGTGCTGGAGCAGGTCACGCGCGTCAACCAGCCCCTCGTCATCATTGCCGAGGACGTCACCGGTACGATTACTGGCTTCTGCTGTTTCTGTTTTATTTTGTGTTTTATGATGATGTCAATTGGTACGATCACCTTTCAGCAGATTTCCCTGCTCTTGCCTCCGTTTGCATGCATTACAGCAACAATGGAATGCAGCATATAAAGCTATGCTTGCAGTTGTAGGCCTCACCTCAAACCGTTTTTTTTTGCTGGTGCCCATTGAAACCTTGACGCCATTCTGCTCCTGGCTGTTATTAAAAAGTCCCATGGTGCTGCTCAGGTTTATGGCTTATGTCAATGACCTGGCTGTTCTGGCTCCTGGCTGACTCATTGCACATGCGCAGGCGAGGCGCTGGCGACTCTGGTGGTGAACAAGCTGCGCGGCGTGCTCAACGCGGTCGCCATTAAGGCGCCCGGCTTTGGCGAGCGGCGCAAGTCGCTGTTGCAGGACATTGCCATCGTGACCGGCGCTGAATACGTTGCCAAGGACCTGGGCATGAAGGTGGAGACCACCGGCATCGAGTCCCTGGGCACTGCTCGCAAGGTGAGCCTTGCTTTCTGCGTTTATTGAGCCCCACTTTTAACCTTCTCTGCACATCAAATATTCTACCCGCAGCACCCAAGAGAGTATGCAGTCTTCTTAAACATCCCTAGATGTCTTTGGTCTCGAGATCGCTGCGCCCGTGTACAAATTTAAATATGGTACTCAGTTCTCTGGCAGATAGCTGCGTGCGGGAGTCGATTTATGAGAAGATCCCGCTGCAGGGCATGGGGAAACAAGTCTGTCAAGTGTGGCTGCTCAATTCTCTTCTTGTTGAAGCTAGCATCACCCCAACCCTCAGGCTTAATACGCTGGTGAGCCTGGATCAGCAAGAGGAGAACTGAGCGCACAAGGTGACAGGGGAGTTTCCCCACGCCACCCTCCTGCAGCAGAGGACCTGTGTCATACTGGCACATTTAAACTTGAGCTTACAGTACAATGTATGTGACATGCGTGCGCATGCATGCCTGCAGATCACAATCGGCAACAACTGGTGCACGATTGTGGCGGACGCGGCGAACAGGGAAGAGATCGCTCTGCGCATCGCCCAGATTAAGAAAGAGCTCTCAGAGACAGACTCGGTGTATGACACCGAGAAGCTGTCCGAGCGCATCGCCAAGCTGGCGGGCGGCGTGGCTGTCATCAAGGTGGGGACGAGAGCTGCAGCCAATCTTCTCTGCAATGCATAAAAATTCATTAGACTTGTCCTGGCCGAACTCTTAGGGCGTGCCCTTTGAGCATAAGCTATCTTGCATTGGTTTCTGATGCGCATGCAACCAGGTCTGGGCAGGATCAATCAAGTACGGCAGTTATTTGTCTTGATGTCTTGTGTCTTGCATGCGGATAGCTCAGCTCAGCACTTGCGACCTGCAAGATCAAGCAGCTGACTGAGGCAGTGTGTGCACGCCCAGTATTGGGCATTACATAAGTTTGTACAATGTAAATTGGCTTATTCCGGTCCTGGCTGGTGGAGGCCGGTACAAGTACTGAGCACCGTGCCCACGGTTTATGGGTTTGCCTGGATCTGGCGAATCCATCAAGTGGGAGGATTTTGGAAGCCTTTACATGCATACCTTTTCTGCAGACGACCTTGCCCCTGGCAGGAAAATCGTAAAAGGAATGTATCTGGAGAACTGTCCACTAAGTTCTGTTTGGGTTGTTTCTCACAGGTGGGAGCTGCGACAGAGGTCGAGCTGGAGGACAGGCAGCTGCGGATTGAGGACGCCAAGAACGCCACATTCGCGGCGGTCGAGGAGGGCATTGTGCCGGGGGGCGGCGCGGCTCTGCTGCATCTCTCTGAGTTCCTGCCCAAGTTCAGGGACACCCTCACAGACGGTGCGCCACCTCTGGAAGAAATCCACTCTCTTTACTCATATATATTTATATATCTCATATACATTCACTCTCTTTACGCCCCGGCCTGAGCTTAGAATAAATGGGTTGTTTTGAGGCTGTTGTTGCCTTTGGAGGCACTTGTCATGTGTCCTGCCCAAGTTCAGGAACAGCCTCACAAGACGGTGCGCGCCACTGCTCATCTCTGGAATCTTACACTCTTTACGCCCCGGACTGGGCTTACGATCACTGGGGTGCTTTGAGGCTGATGCCTCTGGTGGTGGCACTTGTCATGTGTCCTGCCCAAGGTCAGGGACAGCCTCACAGACGGGGCCCGCCACCGCTCTTTTCTGGAATCTTACACTCTTTACGCCCCGGCCTGAGCTTAGAATCACTGGGTTGCTTTGAGGCTGTTGCCGTTGGTGGGACTTGTCATGTGTCCTGCCCAAGTTCAGGGACAGCCTCACAGACGGTGCGCATATATTTTTGGTTTCAGGTTGTTCAGATTGCGTCACTCAGATACTAGATGACACAGATGCCTTGGATGGTGCTTAAAATTGCTGTAGACCAGTGCGCCTACCACAAGGAAATGCAGGGATAGCACCTCTCTTCAGATGGCCTTCTATGCAAGCATCCATTGGAGCACGCACAGAAGATGTGTTTTGCTTATGTGCCTGAGCATGCTCTGTTTTGCTGGGTGGGCTCTGAGTGGTCTGATCACAGCTGCATTGATAAGAGCGCTCTTTAAGCTCACCTAGCCAAATGGTGCAGATGCATCCAGGTTGCTGTAATTTCCTGTTGCCGGTCGTTTCTAAGGTCAGTAGGGGGCCGTTTCTTGTGCGCTGGCAGGGAGGCCTGCTGACTCATTTCTGGGCGTCAGTCCAGCGCACACTTCTTGAAGCCCTACCTCTGCAAGCATGCCGCTGCAGAGCTTGGCCAGTTCCCAACATAGGCCCTCTCCACACTTGGGGAATTCGGGACATCATCAGAGCAGTGCCAAATCCTTGCAGAGATTGAAAATAGAGATTGAACTCAATTTTACTGTGCGCGCAGGCGAGGAGAAGCTGGGATGTGACATTGTGGGCAAGGCTTTGCGCGCGCCGGTGCGGCTGATTGCTTCCAACGCTGGGGTGGAGGGTGACGTCATCATCGAGAAGCTGCTGGGGCAGCCCTTCGAGATCGGCTACAACGCGGTGCGCCCCCTGGATTGTCGATTGCTAGGAATGTGGGGGTCCTTTTTGCTCGGTTTCCTTCATTCCTTGTGTCTGTGTTCGCTCTGAGCGTGATGACTGCACAGACTTTGGGCTTGTGAGACCGAGAAGCGCATTCTGCAGGCATCGTTTGCTACAGCTACTCTTTGGTAGATGACTTCGTGCATGTCCTTTTCATGTAAAGTTCTTTGAGTGGGCTCTTGTGCATGCAGACCATCTGTCTGCAAGCATTCTCCTGAAGCAGAACGCCACTTTTATTTGAGAACAGGGGCCTAAGGGTATTATATCCACATATTGAGCATTCCCCTGTCCCTACTGCGCAGATGGAGGACCGGATAGAGGACCTGATGGTGGCGGGTGTGCTGGATCCTGCCAAGGTGACTCGCAGCGGACTCCAAAACGCATGCGGCATTGCCGGAATCATGCTCACCACACAGGCACGCACCCCACTTGAAATGCCTCTCTGCCGCTTGTTCATTTAGTCTTCACCCGTCATTTGATTGAAGTTGATGCAAGACCCGCAAGGCAGTGCGAGACAGCTGTCGATTTCACAATCGCTGCAGTCTGACCGACAGCGGTCTGGACTGACAGAGACAATGGCCTGTGTGCGTGCAACGCCTGGATCGCCAGATGCCATGACGCTGCTTGAAGCATGCTCAGCACTGTGCTGGGATTGACAGCACGCTGGGCATGCTGTCATGAGCGGAGTGCCATCAGGCAGCGCAAATATCCAAAAGTTAGGCAGAATCGGCTCGATGTCCCGTTGAAGATAGCACATGGCACTTTCGCGCATTTCTGGCGGGCAGTGTCCACGCACATCACGTGCTCCTGAGCAATTTTGAGGCTTCTGAACACAGCGTACTGACAATTTTTCTGGTGCATCCTGCAGGCGATCATGGTGGAGAAGAGGGACCCAGCCAGGGCGGCGGCCATGGCCAACCCAGTGAACAACCCCGGCTTTGGCGCCAGCGGCATGCCCGCCGGCCTCACCATGTGAGCGTAGCTGCCGCGCAGCTACCACGCAGCTACCGCGCAGCTGCAAATGCAACCCGTTATCCCAGCAGAAGCAGCATTGCACACTCCCCTTGTGGAAGACAGCCAGCCCCTCGCTAGCATACTTCTTGGACGCTACAATGCAACTCAAGCGGCATGACAGCATGTGCTTTTGAAGCAATGAGGCGCAGCCGAGCTTTACAAGTAGCTTAGCAAGGCGGGGAGCTAAGCAGCTTGCCTAGACAGGCTGACGGGCATGTGCGCCAGTGCCTGACCAGAGGCGATGTGCCTTTCAAGAAAGGGTATAGAGACGAGTCCTTCTGTTCATCACGGGAACTCAAACAAGTCTTCTTGCTTTCCATCGACAGACTACCAACCCTGTGTCTAGCACCCATATTTGCTCCAAACTTGCTGCGAAGCCATTTATGTGAAGCACAAGCAATCTAAAAATAGCATGCAATCCGAACTCGTGGCGGATTGCTTTCTGCCTGAAGATGATCCCGCAATTTAAAACGCTAAACCGGACTGATCAATATTGCAAGGATCCAAACGTATGCTAACCGGTGGAGATGTAACATTTCTAGGATATATGAAAGATCTTAATATTCTTAGTTCTTCATGCATAAAGTGCAGGGAGACCATTTGCACCGGTGGCGCCTTGTGACAGGGCGGGCCATATCTATAGCAGCAGAGGCCGCAGTTACATCCGCTGTGCTTGATCTCCAGCGCAGGTGTTTGCATTCAGCGATGATGTTGCTCCATGTCTGGAATACTCCCGTGGCCTACCGTTGCGCGAGTAATGCGCTTGCAGCACCGGCGCTAGCATGGATGTTTGCACCAGCTCTGTCAAAAAATTTGATTCATTAAGTCTCATCAAGACTTCAGAGGCATTGAACCAAGGTAATTTTGCATCTTCAGAGACAGAAACGGCGAGTTGCCAACAGAGACTGGCTGGCATGCCGTCATCAAGATCATCATGGGTCGGGGGTGGGGGGATGGGTAAGAGGCATCTCACGAACGCATGCAATGCCGACAACGCCCCGAGGGCATCCAAGTCTAAGAATGGTACAAGTGCTTTCCTGTCCAAGTGCTCTGTGTACGGCTTGATGATGATGCTCACTATTCCCTTCCCAGCGCCTTTCTCCATGGATGCGACGCTTCGTTACACTGTCGCCATTCTATGGCTGTCGACATTCAAGTCCTTTGTCTCGGGAAGTCCGTCACCTCCGCCACCTCCCCCGCCCCCGCCCCTCGCTCTTTCAATGTCTCGACAGGTGACTTCTTTGTTTGCTGTTGAGAGTGAAATTAAGTGCCGAAAGAGAACTGCAGGGCTGTGCTTCTTGCATTATAAGTTGGCTGGCGAGGGCTCGCAACAACCACTCCCCTGTGCCCCACATTCTTCTGAAACAAAAACCTGATATCACCGTTCCTGTCTGCAGCTATGTGCACAAACGTCCGGAGCCAGTTCTACTCGGTCTGCCCGGAATTCATCGTGTGCTGTGTGTACGTACCTCCTCAGCCCCACAGTCCACACCGTGGTTCTTCTCAGTGCAGTAGTCTTTCATATGAACAGGAACCCCTATCACAAGTGAAAGATGAGCATCGATGCCCTCGGCAAGCGTTTTATTGGCCTGAAGTGTTCATGTCATCATACTGCTGCAGTGCTGGTACCGATCGTCGCAAGGAAGCTGCTGTCCTGTCTGCAGGACTGATGGCAGGTCTGGCAACCTGACAACAGCCACAGTGGCTGACATGGAAGCAGAAGAGAAGTCTGTTGCACCCAAGCCATCACCGCAGTGAGTCTTTCTGTCCCCCGTGCAAATTGCAATTTGTCCGGGAGACTGCTTGCATTTCTTGCAAAGACTGTGTTGTATCCGAGAGCGCTTGGACCTCCTGGTGTATCCTGGAGTATCAGGAGGCTATAGAAGTGAGCAGCATTTTCCTCTAGCAGAGGCATGATTCCTTCTGTTCGGGCATTAGGGCTCAATTTTTTTTGATATCAAATTTGAATTTGCGCTGCAGGTGCTGCTCCTGCCTGAAGGACTACATGGTCAATGTGAGGCGCTTCTTTGCTGAGTCACACATCCCCCATTCTTTCTTGTCCTATCCTGTATCCTGTCTGCTTATCCGCGAGTTGCTGCGACTCTCTAGTGCCGCTGAGCCCGTCCCCAAATGCTCAGCACTGCACTTGAAGTATTGTAATGACGTGGTCAACCGTCATATTGTTATTGGCGAGCTGCCCAGGCCTGATATTTGTCAAGGCTGCGTGCAGCAGTAAGTGCCAAGGATGTGCTAGCATTTCAAACCCTTGGACTTGATGTGTCCCTGGCTGGCGGGTGGCGGTAGAAATACCGAGCGCCGTGATTGGGTCTTGCTTGGATCTGGCGAGTCCGACAGGGGCCAGGGTTGTGGCAGCCTTCAACTGCAGCTTGCCTGCAGGTCATACCTTTCCTTTTGGCAGGAAAAGTGTGTATTTATAACACTGATATATGTGGCAGGGTTGTCGCTGCGATGGGAATGATGAGGCCAGCAGCCGCAGCATCGGCATCCCACCAGGAGGACTCAAAGCAGGTCAGCCACACTTCCGTGCCCTTGACACCATCCCTGTCTGTGCACTAGAGTGCCTCCTGTTGCAGTTCTAATTTCTCTGTCTCATGCTCTGGGCCAGGGAGTCTCTTTTACATTTTTTCCACGTTTGCCGCCTTTGAAGGAGCGATGCAGTTTAACACCTGATGCCTGGTACTCGCGGTGCATGCATGTCCATTCCTGTTAGCCTCTCTTCCATGCTTTTCACACTACCTGTTCAAATGCAGCACTGAGTAATTATCATTAATGCATGCTCATCCTGCAAGAGGGCAAGGTACGTCCTGCAGCTGCAGCAATCTCTGCCACAATAGCACCCCTTATTGGAATCGCATCCAAAAAAGATCCGATCATCCATGGGCACGGTGCTGAGTGATTATACCGTCCCCTCCGAGGCTACTGTCTTATCCATCACAACTGGCTGTGCAAGTTGTCTGACATGACAATTTGTGTGCTATTGCAGCGGTTGTGTACATGGCTGCTGCCTGCAAGCTACCGCTGAGTCTGGACACGGATTATGAGACATGCCCTGCCGACCCCGCTGTTGCTGCTACAGGTCCTGCAAAGGCCAAGGCACCTGCTCCGGACAGCGCCTGATCTGGCGCCTTCTTGTATTTGATTTCATAATACCAAGCAGATTTGGCGCCTGCTCCAGACAGTGCCTGATCTGGCGACTTTTACAAAAATTCGAACTGGCATGTCCCTATCACCACATCAAGCAGAGCAACTACTACGGAAGATTGCGATTGGTACACTTCTGCAGGAAGCGCACTGGCACTTGCATTTGAGATTTTGTGCATGGTTTCTTACTGGTGAGGCTCTCTTCTTCGGAAGTGCTATTTTGAAAGCTCATGTTGTGTCCAACTTAGGTCTAGGCAAACAGTTATTATTATGACACGCTGTTCCTGTCAGAGGCACTGTGTGCGTTTGTAGAAGAGCTGCAAGGAGCTTGTACGCTAATACTATTATGATAATGTCTCATGACGAGGCAATACCAAAAGTGGCCTGCAGTTTTTGACGTGCGCCAAAATTTACCAGTGTCACAGGGCAACACAGCTGCATATAAGGGCTTGAGGGGTGATATAAGGGTTCTTTTATTTGCAGTATAAATGTGCCTGTCTCGATTGTTAGTGCGTGTTCACTGTCAGTGTCAGTGCCGCAATGTGCAGTGTGTAGACTCGGCCCGATTCATTTATTTCAAATACCGCAACTATTTCAAGTTGAGCGAATTGGCTCACGTGGCTTCAAGCAAGTTGCATGCAACGGGAGATTGTGCTTTGGGCATGCAATGTACTACATGCGTCAAGTTGTGATCTTAGTGATAGGGAGTGCTTCCATCGCGTAATTCTGATCTCAAGATCAAACCTTTAAGAGTGTCGCAAAGTGTTTTGAGTTTCGCCCGATTCTGTGAAAGTCTATTCAGGCAATCTGACAAAAAGATGGCAATGTTTACATAATCATTGGAGCGGTTTTACGGAGGACAGAACTTGCGGGATTGTGTCGCCTGCAATCCACAATGCCATTGTCCTATATGGTTTCACAGAATTTGAAGTCTACTGACGCCCTCTCATCAAGCCAGGGACCTCGAGGTCGTAATTTGAACCGATCACTGATTCCCATGCTCCCTTCCGAGACACCAAAAACAAGAGATGTGGGCGCCCGGGCTGCTGGCAGCAAGCCCATCAGGATTATTGAAAACGGTTATAAAGACAGAGTCAAAGACTTCTGGCAGGGACGAAGCGAAGTGTACGATGTCAACAATAGCTTCCACCCACCTCTGTGTGCCCATCTGGTTGGGCTAGCAAACCCATTCCCGGGGTCTGCAGTCCTCGACATTGCGACGGGCACGGGATCCGTTGCATTTGCCGCAGCAGACGCCGTCGGGCCCAGCGGGCGTGTGGTAGGGGTGGACATCACTGACACGATGCTCCAGCAGGTATGCTGATCAAGCCCCTTTCGGTTGCTGCAAGTCGCCATAACTATACTTTTCACGCTGGGACATTCCCTTGACGCATTGCAAACGGTTGGTAGGTGTCATATCGAGACTTCAATTTCGTTCACAGGCTCAAGCCAAGGCAGATGCCCTTGCTGCGACCAACGTGGAATTTCAGCTCGCTGACGCAGAAGCCGTATCCTTCCCGGAACAGTCCTTCGATTTCATATTGTGCTCCAATGGCATGGCGTACCTCCAAAACGTCCCAGCGGCAGTCAAGAGGTTTCACAGCTGGCTGAGACCTGGTGGGAAGCTGTGCTTCAACAATCCGCAGGTATGCAGCATTGCAGGGCCGCGCAACAAATATGTGTAATATTGCCTACTGCATTTTTGAGGAGATTTAGGCTCTGCGCATGCTGATTTATGCTGATTTAGCACGGCAGGAAATAAGTCACGCTGCTTTCATGGGGTTGCTGTGAAAGAAAGTGCCGCTGTGAATCGACGAATCCACCTTCTAAGTGCGGACGTTTGCATAAGTTCCTTGACTGTGGTTCAATTCAGACCTCAAAATTGACCCCAACGCAGAGAAGCTTACTTGCTGAGTCAACAAGAGTCCCATGGGTCATCTTCACGTTGTGATCAGGATTCCTTTTTGACAGGCGCCTAGAATTCCGCTGCAAGGTTTCTTGCTACACTGGGCTTGCTTCAACTAGACACTTTGTTTCAGTAAGACAGGTCCAACTCCTAAGCCAGGGCCGCTGCTTGGACTGCTAAAAGGCTCCCTCAGCATAGTATTCTTCAATTTAGGCACAGCTTGAGTGCTTAATATCTAAAATTATTTGTTGACAGGCGCCCATGATTCCGCTGACGGCCACGCTGGTCTCAGTTTGCGCGGAGAAGTTTGGAGTTGCGCCTGAGGACGCAGGGGCGGCCCTGGGCAGCGAGGCCCGGATCAGAGCAGCCTTGGGGGCGGCTGGCTTCAAGAGCATCGAGGTGAGCGCCTCAAAAGTCTACCTGCAGGAGTGAGCCAGTCCCTCTAAATATTAGGATGTTAAAGGGTTAAGGGTTAGGGGTTTTTAAAAAGCCCTAAACCCTAAATAAAAGAAATAATATATATAGAGGCAGATTAAGGCTGAGCGCAGGTCAACAGAGGAGTGCCTGTGACTCATAGATGATCACATGTATTTGATGAGCATGTACATCGGTGCCCCAGCAGTGAATTGCAGAAGCGCTCTCTTGAGCGCCAGAAACATCCTTGCAACACAAAAACATTGGTCCAAGAAAAATCAGGAGTTGTCATCCCAAGGTGCTTTTCTAGAATTGGGCAGAGATTTCTGGGCTCTGGCCCCTGGGATCAAATTCTCCATTCTAGCAGCCAAGACAAGACTCAGAACTCTGTGCTTGCACAGAGGCAGAGGCACAAGGAAGTGCTAAGTTCACGCCCCCGGACCTGGAAGGTCCAGGGGCGCTGTCAAATTCCAAGCAGAATTAAACCGTTTATTTCAAATTTCCAAGCAGAAGTAAATAAGTTTATTTCAAAACCAGCTGGTGACGCAGGTGACAGGCACACAGGAGGTGAAGGTCTTTGAGGACACAACTCCGGAAAAATTCGCAGAGAGCATTTTCGGAATGATGGAGCGTTTTCCGGCAGCACCGCTGAGTCAGCTGCTGTGTCAGCAGCAGATCAGTGAGCTGAGGGCGGATTACATGATCGCAGCTGTGCCCCAAGCAGAAACAATGCCTCGACGGGACGGCGGGATTGTGAACGAATTTGTCATGCTGTGGGCTGTAGCCACAGTTTGACTACTATTTTTGTTATTTTAGCAGACACCTTCAAATGGCCAGCGTGCAGGTTAACAGTATCAGGATCTCAGTGCCAAAGCAGCTCTGTGTATTATTTCTTTTGGCTTTTTCTATTCATTCGGCTTCTTTTTTTTTTCTGATGGGGAATGAGGCAGGAGAATACATAATTGAACTGGTGTACCTGAATGTCAAAGGAGTGAGATGAAGAAGTTTTCATGGGCCTTTGCCAGCCCACAGGGTATTGCCTGTGGCGGTAGCCTTATGCCACCTAGAGCTATCGGCATTTTTTGGCGGAACTTTTCAGTTACATGTATCAAAACAGCACGGCCTTCGCACTGGCATTGTATTTGTGAAGCAGAATTTCAACATCAGGTACCTACTGAGTCAAATATTATGTCTGCAAGAAATAGTCTGTACAGAAATGGGTTGCCAACCTTGGTCATAACCAACAGAGTTGCGTTGCACGAGATGCTCAGGAATCACACTTGCCCAACAGTAATGGGCAAAATATGTGTCCATCCTGGAGCTTGCAGGTGCAAGCTCCACCTTTTTTTGCAGGTTGCAAGAGATCTTGCCATGACTGTTATCACGTGCGAACAACGCATATATGTACATGGATTACAATGCTCCCATTCCCGATAATTCCTGCAAGAAGCCAGCTCAATCTGAACAGTTCGAACAGGTTTCTCAGATCTGATATCTGACTCCAGAGCAGTTGCTTTTTGGGGAGCCTCAAACGCTCTGCGGTCCGGTCATGCCACAGGGGTCATTAATGGCACCCCCGTTTGTCGAGTTGGTGCATGCGGATGCCTTCAGCAGCCGATACCCTGCGCATGCCAGGGGGAAAACCCTCAGGCTCACGGTAAAAGAATCTCTACAAGATGAAAGAAGACCCAGTACTGCACCCTGAGATCCTTTGGCAACTGTTCTGCAAATCTGTCCTTGGCGGGATGCGTAGCGGAAACAAAGTGTTACCTAATGAGGCGACACAGGTGAGTCAGCACTTACTAAGATAAGTCAGTACTGAATGGGGTGAATCAGCCTTTGTAAAAACAGCAAGGCGGCGGCGACTCACCGGCGATGATCTCTGCCCGGGGGTGGCCGAAGTTGGAGGCCAGGTTCAGGAAGCGCTGGGCGCATCCACACCCCTGCGCAGGGGAAAGGGGGGGGGGGGGGGAAATACTCTTAGCCCTGCCCAAACCCTCAGCCAACTGCTTTCACCTGCTTTTGATGCACTGTCATCTGCTTTTGTTGTTGTGAGTGAATACAAAGGTGCAAGCGCAGCAGCAAGCAGGCTGCAGAGAGTGAACAAGCGGGCTTCAGGGAAGAGGCTCTAAAGAAAGATGATTGGCATTGAAACTGCTGGGCTGAACTTGTGGGAGAGATTGGGTGGCGCAGAGGCAGCTCACATTCTGCAGGAAGGGCCTGGCAATAACGCAGCACCTGCACAGAGCCACACAATTGCTAAGTAGTGCCAGCACTGGATCATTCCTTCTATGCAACCATTCACACCTGTTGCACTTTCCCTCAGGAAGGCAGTCCTGCCATGATGCATGTGCGGGAGACGATCTGGCAGGTCACAGTACTAAACTCACAAGGTTGGACCCAAGCAGGGCAACTGGGAATCTGAAAAGTCTAAAAGCAGGCAACATCTCGGAAAGAATCCCCATAGTCTGCCAAGCTGCTATGGAGTGTCTAATACCACCTAATTACAGTGCGAAGAAGTGGCCGAAAACCGTTTGTTTGTTTTTAACGATCTTAGTGATCTGAGTTCGAGTCTCAAAATCTGGAGGGACTTACGAGGGTGGGGGGGCCGCGTGGGTGGCGACCTCATTGGCGACGCCGGCGTCTGACAACGCCGCGATACGGCGGTACTCTGCCAAAGTTGGCCCCGTCACAAACTCATAGCATGGCGAGTCGGTCGCCGTTATGCTCTGCCCGATTCCCACGCAGCCGCCTGCGCGTACACCATCACACACTTCGAGTCATGGTCACCTTACAGAATACCTGCACACCTGCCCAAACTGCTGCACTAGCCGTGGCTTGTACGGCTGCTTACTGCAAGTTTGATGAGCTTGATGTGTCAATTTGGCAGTCTCATGTGCGTAATGCGCACACCATCTTCCCAGGACAGACCTCCCTCTATTCATGTGCAGTATGCTGCTGCTTCTGCCTGAAGCAGCTTGCAAGGTCTGAGTCTGAGTCGGAGTTTGAGCGGACAAGGGAAGAATGATGCTGGGCAGCTGATGTCATGCCCGAGTCTCCCTGAAATCCGCAAGACAGCGTTGCAGCTGCAAGGTTGCATGGAGCTTGAAGGATACTCAGTTTCTTCATGCTGTCAAAGCATGAAATCATGAAGTATTCCCCACGCATCAGAAAGATATCTGTGTCCCAGTGGGGTCTCTTACTATCTTGAGGCCCCAAAAGCTCTTCTTACCTTGCAGCAGTTGGCGGCTGTGTGCATGTACTGTAAGGAGCAGAGACCCTTGAATTGCCAGGCACAAGATTGTAACAATGGCCATCGTGGATGCCTTGGTCTTCAGCATTGCGAGGCAGCGTTATGAAACCTGCGCATAGCACAGCAGGTTTACGCAGACCCTTCGATATCTACGGACTTGCTGGTCGCTTTATCGCATGCTTTGTACGAAACTAGTCCTTTCCCTCGGTCCCTGCTGTGTTGGTTAAGGCAACGATCTAGAGGCAGTCTGCGTGCCCAGTCAGTCTGATCGTGATAGGGAGACACCACACAATCAGCATCGCCGCAATTATAACAGGAACACAATTTTAAATTCACGAAGCTTTTATATGCAGTTATGATCCTGTATCGTCTTTGGTGGAGGCACCTGGCAGGCTTCGGGGGGCGGTCTTCTGAGCTGCCCTGATGAAAGAGGAACGCACAAATGTGCTGCAAGTAACTATTTAAAAACAGTGTTCCTCTGCACACTTTGGACGACAGTCTCCTTTTAAAGTCGAGCCGACCAAGCTGGCGCTAAGTAGGGTCGGGCGAGGTCGGTGGCGCAAAGATGACCCGTGCAGACTTCGCCGTTTTATAATTTGATATGATGCTGATAATCTTATGATATTTACCAGTGCTGCCAGGACGCGAGTGCTTCGGGCAGCCAGATTCTCCGTGGAGTTGTTGTCTTTCCAGCACGTGACAGGGTCCCCGTGCTGCTGACGTGGAATCGGGATGGAACTCGATCGTCACACAATGTCACACATTCATCAGACCATGAATCAACTCTGGTGAAAATGCTGGAGGTTTGAAACACTGACACAGAAAATTGTGCTACTGCCAGAGCAAGCAAATGTCCAATCTCCACCCAAGACTCAGTGGCTGCTGCATTGGCTACTAAGCAAACAATATTGAATTAATTCATTAAATGTTCTCAGGCCTCAGACCTAGGTGAACACAATGCAAATTCCAAGAATACTGAGAGATCCAAGTTTTAATCAGCAATGCTCACACCACGGTTGTTGCAAACATCTCACGACTACAGCCTATTGCCTATTGAGGGGTACTCCCAGTGCATGGCACAGCTGTCAGAATGCACAGCTGTCACCAGTGTTGTCCAATCAGATGCCCAGTCAGCAGTAATCCAAAAGGTTACCCTTGGACAGAGGTTACCAAGAGAATTACGAGAGCCAGAGCATGTAGTCCAGTGTGGTCCAGCCAGAAGATCACAACCACCCAGCCCTGACTGCCAAGTGCAAGCGCTTTGTAATAGCAGGCCTGGCACAGAGCGCGCGCATTTTGCGACAGCACCGGCCGGTGCGGAGCGGCAGTCGGCCGCAGCGACTGCTGCTGCGGCAGCGCATTACTTGCAACGACTGCTATCCTACAAGCGTGGGGCACTCCAATGTCATTCTGCTGCAAGTGATTACAGAAAGATAGTAAACTCAGGTAGCTGGATTGGCGGGCGCGCGGGCGTCGGCGCGGGCGCGCGCGCGGCTGCCAGTGTGGTTTTAGCAAGCGATGATGTAATCGCGGCGGCGGCGGCTGCGGCATCGGTCGGGGAACCCGGGGGAACCAGGGGGCTGCCGCTTTACCCACGGCCCACCTGTGGCCCCCAAAAGGTGGGTCTCCGTGCGTGACGCGGCAGCTTCACTAGCAGCTCCCAACAGCTTCCTTGTGCACTGCAAACAAACTTATTTGCAGCATCTCTTGTATTCCATGATGCTAAGCAGCTCAGGAAGCTGGGTTGGGGGGTGCGGCGGCGAGCGTGGAAGTGGCGAGAGTGTTGGTGACGGCGGCAGCAGCGGCGTTGGAGGGGCGCGGCTGCGGCGGGGGGACCGGGGGGCCCGGGTGGGCCCCGGTGGCGCCCAGGGTGTGCAGTGAGTTTGCAAGCTGCCGGAAGAGGTCCCCCGTGATCTGCACACCCCAGCACTTCAATTCCAAATAGACAGATTCTTTCGGGTCTGATGTGATGGAGCACAAGTGGTGTGCAGGCGGATGAAAGGCTCGCACACACTGAGCACTGCTCATGAGCACTCTGGAGCCATGCTCAGCCCAAGACAGACTGTTTCCTGCGCTTGGCATACAGCATGCTCGCTGGATCCCCAGACCCACAAAGGTGTGCCCCACAGGAATATACCCCTGGACTGCACATGTAATCTACTGCATCTCTGAGCACATGCCGCTTGGCATTGAATCGCAACACAAGATATGGTCATCGCTGACATGGCAAGGCAATGCGTCTGGCATGGGGCGTGCCTTGTCAACAGGGATGTCGTTGTAGTCGTATCCGAAGGGCGCCTCAATCTCAACGCCGATTTCCTCAAAGCCCAGCAGCTCGTAGCCGACCACAACACACACTATCAAATTCCTGTGCGCGACAGCTCAGCAGAATGAGTCGTCAGCAAATGTCGCTGTGCTGCCTCTGCAAGCCTTCAGCGCAACAGGTCAGGAAGAGCCGATCCATCATTGTGGGGACTGCCAGGATCCTTGGTTCTACCAGTTTTGATCAGGCTGCAGGCTAGTTGAGGGTGGGAAGGGTGTGGGCTGGTATTTTCACCAATCAAAGACCACGGTAATCGGTCAATCCTTGGATGAGAGACTGCCTTCTCCAGCTGACGGTGACACTACCAGTCAGCACCAGTATACTCAACCTAAGCTTAAGCATGGGGCAGAGCGCAAGTGCAGCGTTGCTTGAGAGTGAGACACTGGAGAAACTTGCAGGATGTCTGGAGCCATAGTTGCACCATACGGATTCGGCCATTTGGCATACGGGGAATATTCGGTCGTATATTCGGTGTTTTGGGCCAAAATAGGCCGTTTTTGACCGTATTCCGTATATTTTAATACCGTATGACCGTATATTCGGCCGTATATACGGTCCCCAAAAAGTGTTCTGACCGAATGGTGCAACTATGTCTGGAGCGCACCACCAGCTGAGCGAGACCACAAACGCAAAGGGCAGCCCCAGAAACCAGAGCACCATGAATGACCTGCGCATGCATGCAGAAACAAATACTCGCAAAAGTGCTGAAGCAAAGCAGATCCTTGAACAGCTACCTGCCCACGATAGCCTATGTGCTATATTTGACATTTATTCAAGTCTCATGCTTCCTAGACTTGCCTCGACCACCCATCTAATGTCCGTAACTTGTTAAAAATAAGGTGACTGGCGTGCCAACAGCCAGTCACCTTTTACATAATGCAATGACAACCGCAACCAACTTTGCTATGCTGACAGCACAAGTTGATAGTTGATTTTTTGCGAAAGGACCGCATGCACACTGGCAGCTCTCAGAGTGCAACTGCTCAATATTGTCTGTTCAGCCGACAACCACTTAAGGCATGCGGCGCTGTGAGAATGTGGGCAGGTCCTAATCTAATTTTCTGGCAGTGCATGTCTTGTCATAGAAGGCGCCCGCTGACAGTGCTAGTCATCACTGGACAATGTAGCAGTCCTGGTACCGATCTTTGTTGCTGATTTTTGTGGTGTGCGACATCCGACAGATGTGGCAAGCTCAGGGCAGACATCAGAAGCAGGCACACCTCAGGAACATGTCAGAAACAGTGTAGTACCCATTTAAAGCAAATTTAGGGGTCTTTCTGACTTTAGCAATACCAGGGTCATGCGTCATTGGATTGGGCTTGTCGAGAGCTTTCCGCATCTGGTCCCAAAATTGTCACAGGGTTCATATTTTGGGAGATAGGGTCTTGTTTATTCGCCCTTTTTTCCAAAATCATTATTTATTGCGGGTGTTAGAATGAGTACTACAGTATCCAAGAAAGAAGTCATGTGAGCTGACCTGAGGTGCACGATGTAGGCGAAGGGCATCGGGGTGGTGAAGATGCGCATGCACGAATTCAAATCTTGCGACAGGCCGCGGATGACTCCGTCGAGGCCGTTAGCCAGCGCAGGTGGCAGCACCTGCGCGCACATGTCACCCGCCACATCAGCAATTTGTTTGTATTCACATGCTGCAGGGATAGGGCTGCTGGAATGGCAACGCCATGCTCATTTGTGCCCAGTGATTGCACCCCAGCCGTGCAGACATGAAGTTCTGCACAAGAGAGCCGTCACTATACTTCCCTGGTGCCTCAAACCCCTTGATTATAGAAACCTAGGGGGTGCATAAAGTGTACCCTACGCTGGTGATCTCGGTGATGATGTGGAAAGGGATGTTTTCCGAGCATTCTTATTATTATTACACACTTTTCCTGCCAAGAGGCAAGGTGCATCCTGCAGCCAAGCTGCACTATCAAGGCTGCCACAATCCTACCCCTTGATGGAATTGCCAGATCCAAAGCAAGACTCAATCAGCCGCGGGCACGATGCTCAGTCTTTGTACCGCCCCCCGCCAGCCGGGGCCACCTGAGCATTATAGGTGGATTCTACAGCTTTGCCAGGTCGAGTACTTTAATTTCCTGGGTTTTCAACCCTACTATTTTAAAAATCTAAAAGGTGATAGAGAGCGGTGCACCTTGGATGCGGTGCTGGTGATCTCTGTCAGTCGCAGGATGATGTGGAAGGGGATGTTGTGCGATGACGACAGCTCATGTAATTCTGCGTCCGACACTATTCCTCTCAACTCCTCGTAACCCTGTGCACAGGATCATAATTGATCAGCGCTGCTCTCTGTTCTAATTCAGAGCGCAAAGCCATGCAAAGAGCCGGGCACTGACTGCCCATTAGGCTAACCAGTATGGTGAGCTGGAAAGGACTTGCAGCTGTCGCTCACAAACAAGTAGGCAACAAGCCAGCATGCTTGATGCTAGCAATCATGAGCGCTTCACATCAAGACCTGAGGAGGGGTGTCTCTTTCAAAAGGCAGTTCTGCTTTTACATGCTCACTTTCACCAGATACACACTCATCAGAAACTGTGGGTCTCACTCCTGCGTCCCCAGCAACTTAGTGCTGAGGACAGAATTTTCGCCAGGTTGTGATATTGAAAGTGAAAGGGACATTGAAATGAAGGCCGCACCGCTTCATGGCGCAGGTATTTCTTGGCGGCTACTGTAAAGGCGATGGTGTAGCGGATGAGCTGGCTGGCGCTGTCGCGGTCTTTGGGGGCTACCCAGCCTGAACAGGCAACGTGCCACATCAGCCGCCACATCAGCAAATGAGTCAGAATTGCACAGTGCATTTTTGTTGCCCAATGGTGCTCGCAATATTTTCATTCCTGACTCTCGTCCAGGAGTGCTCCAGGCCATAATTGCAGGCCAAACGTTGTTGCCAGTTCTGGAGTGCAACACTTAATAAGATTTTTTTCATAATTGTTCAATGCATGTCAGTAGTGCCGAGGGGTTGCTTTTTGCAGGCCTAATGGAAGAAATAAAGCTCACCCAGTGCCATCCTCTGCATGTCCAGGCATTTGCTGTTGATGCCGTCCCTGCAAGAAATAACAGTACAGAATGAAAATCCGGAGAGTTGGCTGACCTTTCTCTGAGGAGGTGACAAGAGTGAATTTTGCATGCCCTCTGTGTGTCTGTGAGAGTAAAGTTTGCATTTAATTGTGCTGCAGGTCAGAGAAGAGTCTATAAAGACATGAGCAGGGGTTTGCACACACAGAGCTATAAGGAATTGTCAATGGTAGACTCACCACAGCTTACGGCCCTCCCACCATCGGTCGTAGGAACTGTTCGTCCTGAAGGTCAGAAGCAGAAATAGGGCAAGACCTGCGCAACCATAGAGGTATCATCACCCTGATGATCAGAGCCTGATCCATAAACATCAATTGTAAGTGCTGTTGCCCTTCTGCTGGCTCTGAAGGGGCAGCAGCTTCTACCAGAATGCTGAAGTCCCAGGGAGAAAAGTTGCAGGGCAAGGTCGGGACAAACTACATCAGTAATACCCCCTGGCAAAGAGCGCAGGTGAATTAAATGAGCTGCCACTTCATTAGTGGTCACAAGACTTGCACGCTGCTCCTGCCAGAGGCAAGGTGCAGCTGCAGACAAGCTGCAGGCAGAGGCTGCCACAATTCCTACCCCTGGTTGGACTCCCCAGATCCGAGCAAGACCCAATCAGCCGTGGCCACAGTCACAAAATTTGTACTGGTCCCCGGCAGCCGGGGCCACAGAGACATCATCACCCTGATAATCAGGGTCTGATCCATAAACAGCCTTCACCCATGCTGCAGCCCTTCTGCCGACTCTCAAGAGAAAGCAGGTTCGCACAGGGTGCTGGTGTCCTAGGCCAGACAGACAAAGGCATGGGCAGGGAAAGGAATATCAGTACAGTCCCTGGCACAGGGTGCGCAAAAGAATATTGATCTGCCATTTGATCAATATTCGGAGACTCTCCTTGTATGGATTTACAAGGGGCTTACCCAGGGTCTGGATGGGGAATTGCAGGGCCTTCAGCTCGGCGAGATTCTGGTAGTTTGGCACGACCAGGACAATGACTGCCGTGACAACGGCGCAGTAGACCGTGTAGATCAGTAATGGCAAGATCGGCAGAGCGCGGCCCGACACTGACAGCACAAACTCCCTGCGCGCACATGCCGGCACATGCTTGAAGAGATTTTGTGTCTGTGGCTTCTCAAGGCAACGCCTTTTTGTAAAGCATTGCACTGTCTATTCCTATATTAGTAGAAATGAAGAAGCAAATATGATCTGTACGTGCAGCTCTTCCCGCTGAACCTTGTACCCATCCATCTCAAGGGCTGCATTCCTTTAAGAAAAGCTCTTCCTTCATTCGCGATGCAACGAGAGCATGCGCTGCACAAGTTTGTACATTAAAGCCCTATGTACAAACTCTGGGATCCTAAGACTCCACTGCAGTGCTCTGCAGGAACATTCTGCTCAGGGTTCTGATCCCTAAAATACCATAAACCCCAAAATAAGTCATGACATGCAATACGCATGCATGCATGGTCTCTTGGGGACCGCAAAGCAGCAAGATGCATGCTTGCCAAGCATGTCACCCTTACTCTTGCTGCGCTCTCCACATGAATGGCAGGACTACCAGTGCTCGGGGGATTTTGCTAATGACACAGTTGTGTCCGCACACACAGCATATAATGACGTGTATTATCCTCTTTGTAAGCATCTATGAATTGCTGACGAGCCCGATGACTGATGTGCTAGATAAAATGCTGACTCAGCGCTCACCAGTATTTGGCGCTACGGCCTCCTGCCAGCTCGCGAGCTTCCACCATCCTCTGCACGCCTTCGCCACCCTGCGCATGTATTATCCACCCCTTATTCTCCCCTGGAACACCTCAGGGAACACTGAAGAGTACTCCCTAGCACCCCTTAACAACAGTCTCCAGTACCGCCCCGATCATCCCAAGTCTGTGGGAATGTCACGCAGATTGCTTGTTGTTGTTGTTGTTGTTGTTGTTGTTGTTGTTGTTGTTGTTGTTGTTACACACTTTTCCTGCCGAAGGCAAGGTGCGTCTGCAGACAAGCTGCATGTAAAGGCTGCCACATTCCTACCCCTTGTTGAACTCGCCAGATCCGAGCAACACCGTGGGCACGGTGCTCAGTATTTGTACCGCCCCCCGCCAGCCGGGGCCAGATGCAACCCATAAAATCCCACCTGCCCGTTCTTGGCTTAAACTGCATTGTCTTGCCCTGCGTGTATGCCCATGGCCTTTGGCTTTGGGTTTGCCGACCTGTAATTATAATAATAATTGAAATAACTGCCCCCTGTTCACCTTGGATCCCTGCGGAAGAGACTAAGAGTGCTGATCATTTGGGCCAGACCTAGCTAGAGCACCCCTCTTTCTCTCGTTGACTGCGGCTCTATGGAATGCATGGTAATACCTACAAAAGTTGCCCTTCAATCAATGCATTTAAGCTGCCAAGCCCTTCTGCAGACTATTTGCACACCTTTGGCATTGGGTGCTGCAGGGCATTGAGTGCAAAGGCGGCTGCCCTGAACGTGACAGGGACTTTCTGCGGGGATGGTGCACTGCCGCTGTGATTGCTGCCCTCGGCTTTTGATGCATTACGGCTGTCTAGGAGCGGTTGGAGCAGCTTTCTTGCGTGCGCCTGATCATTCTGCTCCATGGCTGCGCTGTTGTGCTCCACTGTTGTTAGCAACGAGCTGCCTGCCTGCATCAATATGTTTCCTCGAGCTCTTTGATGATGCTGCGCTTGGAGAGGAGTGAAATTTTTCATTTCAACAGATTTGGGCCAAAACTTATTGACATCAATTGAATATCAGCGTTGACTTCGTCGTGCAGCTAAGTGAGGAACAGCCATTGCAGTACCAGACTTGAGTATTCAGAACTAGAAATCTCTGGTAATAAACGGACTAAAACTCTGTTGGAGTGTAATTGAAATCATTTTTATGCCAAAAGGGGCAGTCTTTCACCTCGGATCGCCAACACTCATCCTTCAACGACCTTGAGATGCCGCCCCGGTGAACCCCGTTTGTGATCAATTCGATCACACCCCTGAATCTCCTCAAATAAATACCAAACTGTACGACTGCAACAGCATTTGTCTCGGCACAAATGGATCGGTAAGGAAATCTTGACTGTTCTGGATGGAAACGTGTCGGAGCCCTCAATTCCCTTGAGCCAGATGGAACCCTGATAAGGAGGAAGGTGCCTTCGTAAGCTGGCAGCTGCTTCTACATATCCAAATTGCTTCATGTAATGCTGCTTTATAAGCATTCTGATGATTGTTAGGTGTTCCTTAACACATCTATCTTATCTGCACTCCAGCACCAATCGAGTTAGACACACCCTTTCTAGCCACCACAAACTTCATCGCTTCCAGCAGCTTCATACTGCAAACTTATATCGCAACTTAGTCGCACATAACCACAAGCGTGGATTGAAAGATCTTTCAGATGTGAGAAGACACAGCACTAGTGCTTTACACTTCTATCCTGCTTCCACTGCGTTGAAGTGCTCCTCTCAAATGAGAATACGAAGCGTCCTGAATAGCATAGGATCCAAAATCAAATCTTTACGGATTCCCAAACCTCCATTGGACCCCCTGGGAGCAGTCCTTGGGCACCTAGGCGGCATGGCAAACATATTCAGGCAGGATCCGCAGGCCTCCTTTGGTGCAAAACCATGGTTCCTTGCTCAACCTCTTCAGTTTTCCGATGATCCGTTTCGCCTTGAAACAATCAACCACTCTGCCGCACCAGTCATCATTTGCCTGAAGCTCATGCTTGCCCACAAGAGCTGGCAGCTTGCCTAGAAGTTATTCCAGAGTCATTCTCAAATTTGTATTCCTGCGTGAAGCGCATTAAAGGAGAATATGCCAAGACAGGGAAGGCTGGAGAGGGATTGTTCAGAGCTTGCTGCAACGCACCCAACCCTGAAGGCGTGCGTGCATGCAGTATAATAGTAACAATATTTGAGTGTTCACAGGTTCAGACGAAAGAGCACAGGGCTGTTGAGGGCAGCCAGCAAGGATTTCATGGAAGCAGAGGGGGAGGACCTGTGGCTGGTGGTGGGACTGGGGAACCCCGGCAAGCAGTACGCGGACACCAGGCACAACGTGAGCCGCACTCCCATCCGAGACACGAATCATTTTAGGATGAAATGTCCTGTAGATTTAGATCAAACAGCTGCAGCTTGGTGCCTGGCGGATGCTTGTGACCTGCATTAGAACTCTGGCTCTTATGCGAACCAGCCTCGACGTCCAATCCCTCGTGGACAGATGCCTTGCTGAGCCCCTCGGACAGCTCCGCAATAAAGGCACTCATTCTGTTGTTCTGTCACGTGGCAGACATTTTGTAGAGTTGCTTTGGACCCAGTGGCCAGTCAAAACACTGTCCAAGAATTCATGGAAATTGTGGATGTCTTGCAACTTTAGCACCTCATCCCAGGGAATTCAAGGGCCAGTGACAGCAAGTCAGGGGCATTCAGACTATTAGCGCATCTTGTTCCTGCAATGGGCATCGTGTGCAGCGCATGACATGGAAGATGCAGGGCATAGGGGCAGCACATCATACAGCAGAGTGAATCCTTACATCAACGTTAGGCGGAGCGGGCCGGGGCGTGACATGTGCCGACATGTGCGCGCACAGGTAGGCTTCATGCTGGTGGATGAGCTGGCGCGCCAGCTGGGCGCCAGCCTGGACAAGCTGCAGCACAGCGCAGCGCTCGGCCGCGGCAGGTTCTGCGGCAAGCGCGTCCTGCTGGCCAAGCCCATGACCTTCATGAACAACAGCGGCGAGTCTGTCGGCAAGCTGGCGCGCTACTTCAAGGCAAGCTTCCCCGCTCTTTCTGACCTGAATCATCTTATCAAATTGCTCAGTGGTGCGGTAGGCCCGCTGGGTTCTCTCTGCGGCCTTAAGATATGGTGCACAACGCCTCAACGCAGCTGGCCAGTGCAATTTCTGCCTTCCAGGCCTTTGCCCATAGCTCTCTGACAGCAGATACTGGTGATGCACCCTTGCTGAGCATGTGCTTAGGCAGGCTATCACTCGTTCATACGGGATATGGTTGTTTGACGAAACTCTCTTGCACTTCCTTTTACTGAGTCTCTACGAAGGTCAGCTTGCAGTGTCACCGGACATGCAAAGGCTGACCGTTAGGAGACTCGGTGGCTGGAAGTGAGACTGCTCAGAAGCTCTGCGGCAGTCTTCAATAGTGCGATAAGCGTCGCCCCTTCAAGCCTCTTGCACATGTGGTGTGCCTGCCACGCTGTGCTTTTAGTCACCTCATGAGTTTCTCATCGTTGAGGCAAACCTTAAGAGGTTATTTCCCCTGGCACAGGTGCCGCTTGAGAGGGTGCTGGTGGTGTACGATGACCTGGACCTGGACAGCGGGGCGGTGCGGCTGCGCGCAAAGGGCGGCCACGGCGGCCACAACGGCATGCGCTCCATCACGCAGCATTTCTCCGGGTCCAAGGACTTCCCCCGCCTGCGCATTGGTGCGCTATTTCCAAGTCTTGTAATATCATCAGCCCTTGCAATCTTGGAGACCACCGCAATTAAAGGGTGCACTTGATCCCTTATCTCTTCCATCCACAAACAGCAGCACTGCTGCAATGTCTGCTCAAAGCACTTCATCGGGTCCGAGGAATTCTCCCGGCTCCGCATCTGTGCAAGTTGTTCATCTCGTACTCTGTGCATCGTCTCATCCTACTTTATCTTGACATTTCAATTCAGAATTCTGGCTGTCGTTTAGGGAAAATATACTACATGACGACTCCGGCCATTTCGGGCGTTTTCGGCCCACTTGCATGCTGGCAACCTTCGTGGGAGTTGAGAAACAGTTTGCCTTATTCTCGAAGTGGTCGCGCTCTGAAGATGGTGGCTTTTCTTGCAGGCATTGGGCGACCTCCTGGGAGCCAGCAGGTTGTCAGCTATGTGCTCCAGGTGTGTGGTCCTGCCTCATTGACTGTACAGCCAAGTCTGCCCGCTATCTCTCAATGCTATCACCTGTATTGCGCAAGCCGCTGTCCTTGTGTGCCGACCCGCTCGCAGCCCTGGGAGATGTGTTGATATGTGTCAAGGAGTCTACTCGCATGCTCGACAGCATCAAGTGTGAAGCAGCACAAAGGGGCAGTCCGTAGCATGTGTCTTGATCGTTGGTGACATGTCATGGTCTTCAGGAGGATGAAGAAATGACTTGGATTGGAGGTCAATGGTGCTTACTCGTTTTTCGGGGGCAGGGTTTTGGGCGCAAGGAAAGGGATGAGATATATGTAGCAATCCAGGAGGGAATCGACATCGTACGTGCAGTGCTCACCTTAGGCATGGAGAAGGCTGTTTCTGGTAACAGGGTGCCTCGATAGTCAAATTTTGGCAATTTGCTCGGAGCCAGTGACATGCTTTTGCTAAGGCTTGCATGCCAGGACTTTCAAATTGACGGGAACATCAGCTTTGTGTGTCTATGATCAGGATGAGATGTAAGTGATTGACCAAATTAGGGGTCGGGCACCCTCAGAACTGCTACAACCTTACCTTTGAAGTCTGTTTTAGTTTATTATTATGTTATTATTATTACACGCTTTTCTGCCAAAAACGCAGCACGTTCTGCAGACAAGCTGCAATCTTTGAGGGTGCCTCAATCCTACCCTTTGTCAGCTGACTCTTCAGATCCATGCAACACTCAATCAACCGTGGGCACAGTGCTCAGTATTTGTACCGTCCCCTGCCAGCCAGGGCCTTGAAGTGTAAATAACATCTAGTCTGGATTACTTCTAGGTTCTTCTGCTGGAAGGACGGCTGTTGAGCAGCTGCAGCAAGTTTTAAGACCAGCTGCCAACAATCGACTATGTTGATGCGGCGGGAAATTCTCTCTTTGGGTGGCACATGCATGCAAGAGCCGCGCGCCTATGCCGCCGCCCGCCCACCTGCAACATCAGTGAGCTCTAATGTGATCTAGACACTGGATAGCATGGCATGTAGAAATTGGTTACACACCCCCCTATGAGTCATGATCATGAGGGACATCACGTGCTGCAGCTGCCCATCACTAAAGGTGAATACAGGGCCAGAAGCGAAAAAGCGCAAACTTTTCAAACTTGAGACAGAGGAATGCAGACAGACTGAATATTGCAAAGTCACTGCGAGCTTCTCTAAACATATCATCGACACTTTAGAGCCCCCAGGCCCTAGTGCTGTATATACGAACGAACCCTGGACTAGCAAACCCACCACAGCAATAAACCTATAATCGAGAAGGGTGTGGAGGAGTGCAGGAACTTCCTGTCAGGAAGGTTGCTTCTCAATGTAGAAGAAGAGGGAGCTTGCTGGAATACTTCCAATCATTAAAGAGTTCCGTCCTCAGAATTTGTTTCTCATGCGCAAAAGACTTCCCCTTCTTTCGAGACCGTTACCATCATCCTGCAAGAGCCCTTTGTTCTAATGTCAAGTTTACAAGATCTTCTTAATGATGCCATTTCCGTAGATGATATCAGGGCAAGTATTGCACACAAGCTGAGGCAGGGTGGATGGAAGTTGGACAAGCCCCCTACACCCGGATTTCTTACTGCGACAAAGGAGGACTTTGAGCTGTTTCATCTCATTGGTCCCGAGATCTTTCAATTGCGATTTGTACAGCGGTTTGCTGCAGGTGAGTCTGAATCACGAGAACATTCACGAGCACCATATAGTTTAAAAGGAGAGCCTCTCACTCCGCTTATTTAAAGTCAGTGCTTATGCCCTGTCCTTGGGACGAACTGTACATTTGTGCAGCTGTGGCTGTGGGATGAAGACAGTTGTGTACACAGCTTCGAGAAAGGAGGAAGGTAGAGGTGATGAGGGACAAGGATCGGAACAGGAGCGAGAGGAGGATGAGGACGAAGACGAAGATGATGAGACCCACCAGTCGGAAGTCAAGAGTGCGTGAATGCTTTAAATATCTTGATTGCATTGGCTCGAGCCTTCCCTGTGCGGCCACCTGCTTGGTGCCTCTTCCTGAGATGTTGGCTTTTTATAGGGAGAAGGGTGCTTATCGAGACGCTCTTGAAAACACCATCCAACAGCACACACGCAACATTGGCGGGAGCAGAGGAGAAATGCGACGGCCCTGCTATAAAGAATGGGCGCTGCTCTGCTCAGCAGGTTGGTTCTTTATTTGTCTGCTGTGCAAGTGTAGCTCTGCACAATACTTTTGCTGCGCACCTGTCTCACCGAAAATGGATTGACCCATGCTCGCAGGCGCCTATGGTGCTCTTCAATGACATTGTAGGCACCTTCAGACAGCGATGCAAGGAATGCAAGCCTTCAGCGGTTGATGCTAGAGCAATTAATGATCTAAGTAAGGAGGTTGGGCAGGTAATGGCTTTCATCCACGTTAGGGAGGCTCTTTTCCATTCTTGCCATACAAATTTTCTTTTAGCTCATGTCCCACAAAGATGATGGAGTTCTTCTGTGTAGTAGAGCTGCGCAGCCTGCTTATACTTTCTTTCCGTGGTGCAGCATTATTTCAGAGATGAGGACAACAAGTACACCCCTGCTGTACGGAAAGTGATGCGGCCGTACCTGGGTCGGCCTCATCCTGATTCTGGTGTCTCTCTTGTCTGGACGCAAATTCTCAGCGGAATGGACGGGACGGAGTGGTCGGATGGAGGTATCCTGGTAGGTACCACATTTGCATGCATTTTTGTAGTTGTGACCTCAGCCTCTCTTTGCTTGCATCAGAGCTGAATGGACTGCTTATGGGGTATTTTGTAGGGCCCAGGTGGATCAATCTTATGCGTGAGCGAACACAAAATCAGCCCAGAAGAGAAGCATGAAGTGCAATGCATCCGGTATCATGACCGGTACTGCAACAACATTTTGGATGGGCTGCCTCTGTTTGACACTTCGTACATGCCCTGCCTTGCCGTGACATTCACGGGATCCATCATGCGGTGAGGACTTCTCGCTCTCTTTCATTGGTTGCATGACACTTCTGGTGCGGCTCAGATTGTACAGCCCATGTGCGAGTGTCCCTGATCAATTTGATGCATGTGTTTAGGCCATGAAGAGGCTTTGATGTGCTTGCAGCATCGGTGGACTTGTGCGTGGAGAGGTAGAAATCTACGAAATCTTTGAGACGGTGGACATGCTTGACCTGTGGCGACAGCAACCGGGAACCATGCGCCGCGGTGCTCAGATCTTGAAGACCTTGTACGACACACTCCACTTGCTGCATGCCTTCTACGAACAGCTACTAAAGAGCCCGCCCCCACGCACCCTTCGGATCAGCTTGCTCACCAGGGAGGTGCCTGTCGCGCTGCACGACGCTGCACGGTCAGTATGCTGACATGAATGTTGCTGCATGACTGCTGACTTGCACCCAATATTGCATGTGTCCTCATCAGGCAGTGCTGCCTTGAAGTATCTCTCCCTTCCCAAGCATAATCAAGCCAGGCAATTGCTTTCTATATGCGTTGGAGACTGTCTCCTTGACTTTTGAGTTGCGAGTCTGTGCAGGTATAGCCGGGTCCGGATGCTACAGAAAGACGGAAACCCATGCCTCTTCACCTACCGCGATCCCCAGACGGACCAGAAGTTTGTGGCAAAGATCGTGCGCGGCCTCATCAACGGGGATGTCCACTCCACCTGGGCGCTGGCTGGGTACGCGCCAAAGCTGGCAGCCGAGCCCGAGGTGGTGGCAGGTAAGCTATCCTATGTGCGCACATAGCATGCTAGGATGTCACAGGTACTTTTACTTTTGCATTCATCAAACTGCATCTGCTCTACCATGCTTGCAACAGAGTGACTGCAGTGATTGGGTGACTCATGATGCATGTGCTGCTGCAGTGGACCTGGACGGCCCTTTGATTCTCCTGCGCATGGAATTTTTGAGCACGGCCGTCTGGCGGTACCCGCCTGAGCTACTGGATGCTGAGAAGCCGGCAGCACTCGACGCAGCCAAGCGTGCACTGGATGTGGTGCATGGCCTGGAGCTGCCTAGCGGTGGAACGGGCGTGCACGGCGATTTGCGGGCCCCGAACGTGCTGTTGCGGGGGGACGATTCAGGTTTGCTGATGCAGTCCTCATGTTCCCCCCGCTCACCTCCAGCAGGCAAACCATGTGAATGGGATCTTTTGGTGTCACCATGCGCAAAAAGTTTTAATGAAGATGGGTCAGGGCAGAGTGTCTTGAGAGGTCATCTTGTCAGAAACCTGCTGTCTTCTCAGATTTTTGGCAGAGCAGAGGCAAAATGTGACACTGTTGCATGCAGGTGTCTGGCATGTTGTTTTCTTGGACTGTGATTGGTCCGGGGAACTCGGCAACGCTCGCTACCCTGACCTGCCCAATCGCAGCCTTCAGTGGCCGCCTGGCGCAGATTGGGATGAGCTGATCACCCAGGAGCATGACCGATGGCAACTTGAGCACGCATTTGCTGTGCGAATCGCCCTCATGCACCTCTTTGTCCAACGCCGCTTGACTCAAACAAACAACCATGTGTAGCATGTGCGAGTGGTTGTAGTCGTTTCAAATGAGTGCTATGTCTTACAGGACTTGGAGGACGGCCAGGTGTCAGTAGCAAAGAGACCTCGAGGAAAGCGCAGAGCATCAGGCAGTCCTAGCGATGGAGCATCAGGAGTATCAAGCATGTCAGCAACGAGGAGGAAGCCGAGCAGCAAAACGCTGCACCAAGCCGCCTGAGTAACTCGTCATGTTAAGGAGATTTATAGGCATTGCTTCCGAGCTGTGGGTCTCATGACTGAGCTTGCATGCACATGATGTACTTTGCAGCCTCAAGTGCAAAGCGCTCAGGTGCTGTCCTGCATTGGGGGAGTGCTGGGTGGCAGATGGCGCTCAAATATGCACCTAAGTAGCCTGACTGCAATAGAGGGGGTTTCAAAGAACGCATTGGTTGCCTGCACAATTATCTGGCTGTTGTTGGGCTATGCCGATTGACCATTGTGCCTTGGGCCCCTTACATTTCATCCATTCTCAATGTTAAAGGCGCTTCTGCAGTTCTGCAGATGCCTGACACAAGTATTGTAAAAGATCCCAGAACCTGCCTCCCTTGATATATATCAACTCAGTCGTATATGACCTGGAAGATATATTATAATGACATTGTGGTATTTTTCAAACGTCACAAGACAAATTGCAGCTGTCTGTGCACCGCTGGACCTCTAGCCTGACCCCCTTCCAAAGCATTGCTGCAGCTTGTTAGTAGATACAACCTTTCGGGAATGTCAGTAGGATTCCAATTAAATCAAGATCACAGCAGATGTGCCATCCATATCATCTCACTCGTCTCCTTCCATCTCCTCGTCCTCTATCTTGGGGGCAAGATAGTAGCTGCAAGCAGCACAATCAGTCAGTAGTTATTGAATTGCAGCAACGCCTTCTTTCTATGTCCCCTCTCCAATTCATGCTTGTCTGTCCATTCTTGCCCAGACTGGATCCACACTATTTACGCCCCACAGACGGCCAGGACTGTCTCTGCGCAATTTTTCTCTTTATTAGATCCAGTGGGATGCCAGTAGGATAAATCTGCCCAACTATACTTCTCCATTAGATCAGGTGGGATGCCAGTAGGATATTCGAACACTAAATAGGAGATGCACCTGATGTGGCCCATGTCTTCGATGCGGTACTGGACGACCACGGGCAGCTCCTTGGACATGGAGATCATGACCTGCCCAGCCAACACGCCCCTTAGTCAAATCGCGATCAAAAGCATGACGATGTTTCCTTCCACACCTAACCCATCGCACACCTCTTCCAGGAATCATGATACCAACAGGGGTGAGGAGTCAAGAGACAGGGAGCACAGACAGACTTGCTCACAGCACGCGGAGCGGATCTACACAATACTGTAGTAGTCATTCTAAAACCTGCACCCTCGGCGATGCGGGAAATTTCTTAAACCAACTTTGAGAGGTCTTCCTGACTCCCAAAAAACCAGGGTCATGCTCCATTGGAATTGGCTTGTTGAGAGCTTTCCCATCTGGTCTCAAGATTATCATAGGCTATACATTTTGGGAGATAGGGTCCTATTTATCCACCCTTTTCGGCCAAAAATAATTATTTATTGCGGGTTTTAGATTGACTACTGCAGTATTATCCCACCATCTGACCTAACCGAGCTCATTCTGATGACCATTTGAGTCTTTGGAAGGAGCTGCAGCTGAGACAGGACAGGAGGAACACCCCAGAATTGACGCAGGCCCGCCTCTCTCCTTCTTTGCATGCAGAGGATACCATCACCCTCAAAAGCATTGCAAGCCTAATCTGACTCCACCAGCAGGACTCCTGCCAAACTACTACCAGCTTGCAAAGCATGCAGGAGGGAGCGCTGGGCCTCCACCTGGTTGGAGAGGGGCGTTGCTTTGGCGAAGGAGTTGAGATAGCGCAGGGCAAATGTGAGCGCCACCGGCTCCTGCATGTCAATCACCACCTGCTCCTCCGGCTTGTCAACGTTGCTGTGAGACCTGAGCGCGACAGCAGAGCACAGACGTCAGTACAGATCGTTTTCCAGCTTTGACACACAACCTGCCCCATGATACAGATCCACTACAATTATTGTCTTGTTGTGACGACAAGACTTTCAGTCAAGGTGACATCCGCGCACAGGCTGCCCGGCATGTGCTCTCACCCGGAAGGGAACTGTATTAAGGGTTTAACTTTTATATAACCCTCTTTATAAGCTTCCTCCCCTAGGATTGCCATCAGATGGTTGCAGCAGGATCTTCTGCTGCTATTGATCTTTTCTTGTCAGCGTTGCATGCGGAGCAGGGTGCTGAAATGCTCGATGAAGCCGGTTTGCCAAAAGGCTGCCAGCAGATCCAGTTGTCGTTTCACGTAAGTGTGCATTCAGCGCCTTTGCCTGACCAGATTGGTGTGCACACCTGACGGTGACATTGGCGGATCCGATGTCGCCGGTGGTCGAGAATCGCACGCCGTCTTTGGTCACCGCTATCAGCACCGTATCGCCGATCGTCGACAGATCCCTGCGCGCAGCCGACCCACCCATTCAAAACACCCCGCTCAATCCACCATACTCAGCACACCCTGCTGCTACTGCAGATCAACATGTTCACACACATCCACCCAATCGACACACCCTGCCGCGCTACAGGGCATATCCAGAAGAACAGCTCAGCTGTGACAAGGAAGCCACGCGCAGCATGCATGCATAGGCGAACTTAGAGCCCAGAGGGCCGTAGGGCATACACACTGCATGCATGCAAGTTTGAAAAATGTGCATGCATGCAGATCACCGCACGCACTGATGCGGCTGTCCCCTGTACCTCAGATGGAACGTGTCTTATTGGAAGAATGGCTCGCACTTGCAGATGCGCGCAAACTGGGTGCAAGGCACTTTGACGGTGGGTAGCAGCCCTTGCATGCATTCATGCGAATGCCCGCCAGTCAACACGTAATGCTTACTTTTGTTCCCCAGTGTTTGGCTGTCCTCTAGTCAGGAGGGGCGAATGCCCGCCAGTCAACACGTACTGCTTACTTTTGTTCCCCAGTGTTTAGCTGTCCTCTAGTCAGGAGGGGAATGGGTATTTTTTATAAAAGCCGGGCACGCACTTGCAGATGCGCGCGAATTCGGCGGAGGGCATTTTGACGGTGGCGGAGTAGTCGGTGTCGGGGATGCCCAGCTGCTCGCTGTCGATGTCCATCAGCTTGAGCTCAAAGTCGCTGATGCGCTCCTGGTTGGCGCTCTCAAACATGAACGTCACGCTGTCGCCCTGGTCCTCCGCCTGGCAGAAACAATTGCAGAGAAGCTCAGATCCTCTGTTACGGTTTCATGAAGATGTCCGCTTTGATCTGCACTGTGGCCCGCACAGGCCGTGACAGCAATGAGCCAGCAGTAGTACCGGTAAAGGGCTCCGACGGGTGGAGGGTTCGAATCCCTCCGCCGGCTGGAGCCTTTTTGCTTCTTGGTTTTGGCTTCTGTTCTGAATCTCGGGACAAGCCAGCATATCACATTGTCGAGGAGTCCTAAAGAAAAAAAGATGATCCACTCCTGTAATGTAAGTGCCAGATCTTGGCGAGAAACTTGGGCGCAGCCCCTGACTCTGCAACGTGTTGCAACGCGGTGAACACCACACTACAAAGCACAAGAGGTGCTCAGAGCTGCGCTCATGTTGCTGCAGTGGCTTCAAGACACTACAAGGCACGAGAGATGCTCAGGGCTGCACTCATGTTGCTGCAGTGTATATGCATGCGTCATGCTGTGCCAGGCCTCTCTGCCCGTGCAGCGCCTTAGGCTTCACTGGCAGGACTTGGCCACAGCACAACTTGGTGTCCTGCCAGCAAGTGTCTTTGCAGGCTTGAAGATAATATGTGTGCTCCCAATGCAATTCAGTTCACTTTAGGAAAACTTTATGTGGAGGGAAGGGCAGGCAAACACACCTTCATGGTGAGGACATCGTCGTTGCCCATGCACTTCAATATCTTCGCCATGTTGTTGAGGCTGACGCCCATGCTCAAGTTCCGGTCGCATCGGAAGTGGTCGAAGCCATCCGAACGCAGCTGCATGTAAGCACAGTAACTGCTTGAGATGCTGCTCAGGATCCTGCAAAGATGCTGTTGACAACACAGACAGTCTGCGCGCAAAGTTGGCAGATGTAGAGCTTCCACCCTTGCGAAGCCTTTCTGATTTACCTGCATGTGGATGAGTGAGACGTGGGACGAATCCATCGCTTGCAAGGCGAAGCCAGTGCTGCTGCAGTCAAAGTTTGCATCCTGCAGATTGACACAACAAAGCTCTCATCATCCACAGCACCGATGTTCTGGTTGAGCATGCAGGGCTCTACACCTGCTGCTGGAATGGGCTCTTGTCAATCAGTATGGCGCAAAAAACGGCTTCATCACGATATATCCATTCTGGCGGGCAGCCAAGCGAGTTCTTCTATCTGTATGATATGCATATTCAAATTTTACGAATGATTTGCGACACTATCGCCACAACTCATCAGGTACAATTGACACACCACAGAATGCCACAAAAAGTAGATGCTGTCACCTGCACAAGATCCTTCATGGAATCCAGGAGCTTGCGGAGTAGCACTCCCTGAGTCAGCCTCGCCTCAAACATCCTGACTTCCCGCTGTTCTAGCCCCCTAAGTGGTCGTCTATGTCAGATGCCCGCCAAAACGAGCTCCTTTTCGAAGACTGTGAGTGCGACAATCTGCGATGCTTCGCGATATCCTAGCGTCTTTACACTCTTGAAGATACAATTGCAAGCAAAGATGGGCGTTAGGATTGCAGTTTGAGCCAACACTTTGCACAGCATGATTTTGAACTCAGCGCTCCTTAGTCACCGGTTACACCAACGCTCCAAAACCCCTCAAGGGTGAAAAGACCCTAAATGACAACCTTCTTGCCTCCCCATTCAGGCATGCAAGTTATGCTATATCCCACAAAGGCATCTTTATCTGAGACCAATGATGTTAGACCGTCTCAGACCTCAAGAAACATGCTGCAACCTGCATTTCATGATCACACAGATGCACACCCTAGCTAATACTGCTGTATACGACAGCCACTGGCATCATGATGCCAACAGCATGCAATGCACTTCATCATCCTGCAAGTGCCACCAAAAAATCATCTGAACCGTTCAGAGGTTCGGGACCTCTTCAAGCAAGATCTGACCATCACCACTCAACCTGGTCAGCAATACCATCCAAGACACATTCTGGCAGAGTCCAGAAGCGCTCCCAGTACTAGCCGATCTTACTAGACGAGTATAGTACTGGAAGTACAGTAGTAATCTAGGGTCCCTTTGGCGGCTGCGCTGTGAAGTGCACTGTCTAAGGCGCCGATTTCCCCCCCTTCTGCAGGTCGGCTGCCACCACGTCAGCATAGTCACGCTGCACAAGCAAACGAAATGAATCATTCGTAATGTCTTCTTCACGCATGGTTTGCCTCCAGACTTGCTTTTCTGCAGACGCCCCCGGCCTGATTTGGCAGAAGCAGCAATAAAGAACTGTCACCCAGGGGAGAGTATCAAGAGGTATACTCCCCTTGTTGTAGCTCGTGCATAGCAGCAGTGTCCTGTAGAACACATTATGTGGCACGCATGTTAACGCATTACTCGCCTGCTTGTCAACGTACATACATTGCAAAGCAATTGCATCGCTAGGATGAGAATGCACCAGCTGTGTAACAGATTAACATCTATCACTAAGTGGTCGGTTGGGGGGCCTGCCCCCCCACACTCAGTAAAGGCTGGGCTCCGGGGTAGCCAACTACCGCTTAAGACTCGGGCACCTGTTGCTAGCTGCAAATGAAGGCCAGCACAGTGCAAGTGCAACCAGGTGAAACATGTCAACTGCAGACTGACCTCGCAACACAACCCGGCTTGCTTCGCTTGCACAGTCATTGGCAATTGGTGTCGGATTCGCTCTCGCCTGGCGTCTTTCTTGACTAGGTAACGGGGTTTGGCTATCCAAGCAAAGTAGCTACCGATGGCTACAGGGGGAACTGTGACAGCTTCTAAATTGAATTTTTCGTGTACACAGCGCCAAAAATTTGCCTGTTTCAGCGAAACGGCGGGAAAAAATATTCACTGCAGCATTGTGGTGTAAAAATACATCCTCTTGCACACTATGGCGCAATCAGCTAAATGCGCTGATAGCGCCTTTTTAAGCTGCCAGTCAGGACGCATACACTGCAAAGCGGCTGCATTGCTAGGTGCATGTCCTGTGCATCAAGGCAAGCACTGTGCAACAGGCTGTTCACCGTGAACATGCTAACAAACGCAGAAAGGTTGAAGTGTACGGAGGAAAGGTTAGTCACCTGGTATCCCTTCCTCCTGAGGAACCAGAAGCAGAGAGTGGTGGCGAGTGCCGCCAGCAGGAGCCCGCTGACTAATCCGACGACTAACCCGATGATGGCGCCCTTACTCAGCAGCCCTGTCGAGCTCGCCGCACTGCTCTGCACCTCTGAGCTGCCTGCAGAGCTCAGACAACGTAAGTAATTCTTATTGTAATCATTACATTTTAGAGACCTTTTGGGAGCCACCTGAGCCTGATTGGCTTGTGGGCAGTCGGTAACAGCCCATCTTCACAAAATTCTGATATGTCTGCGTTCCGTAAAAACTTTGGCAGTTGTATTAGTAAGTCTCGCAGCGTTTGCTCGCAGCATTGTGCCCAAGCAGAGGGCCTTCCCACCCCTCTGAATTTTAGGGTTTAGGGTGTATAGGTTTTTTCCCTGATACCCTTTATCCCAGGTTCATGAGCTTGCTTTTAGTTTTTACATTTCCGCGTAAACCCTAAACCCTTAAACCCTAAAAGTATAGGCCAAAACTGGCATTTGCTGGGAAAGAGCGCGCCTGGCGGCGGCGGCGGTGGCATGTTGTATTGGCCATTGTCACTGAGTACAGCAAAGGATGTTGGAGCGGTGGGGTCGCTGTACAAGATGTTGCCCGCAGCATCCGTAACGGTCCCTGCGTATGCAATACGTACCACTTACATGGCAACGTAATACGGCAAGCGGTAGTTTCCTGCTGCCTTGACTGCTAGCCTTGCCCATTGGTCACGCCCAAGGTGTCAGGCCATCTGCATAGACTGTCACTATGACACTTGCACACCGCTCCATTCCTCCTGAGAAGGCTGTGTATCAATGGACCTCTGCATGCCGATCCTTAAATTTTAAAGATGCCCCAAATTGCCGCCAAAATGAGCTGCCATCCGGATGCAACGCACTGATGGTCCCTCCATTCATTGTCTGGGAAAAATGTGTCCAGAAGCTGCAGCATGTCTGCAGACGTCTTTGCCTCTGTTGGCAGGAACCTTGTGTAGTTAAATCGTAAAATATCCAGAAGCACTTTAGCTGCGCGCACCTGACTTGATGACGACGCTAAAAGAGCCGGCGCCCGGGGTGAGGGCGAGCCACACAAAGTAGTCATTGGTGTGCTGCACCGGAATCACCTCGAACACCGAGCCGCTCGTGACTATGAGATCCTCCGCCGAGAAGCTGTCCACTGCAGTGGCAGCAGCACTCATTTGAACCAGAGCAAGCATCTTCTCACTAGTGACGGTAGTGAGCGCTGTAGCCAGGCATGCATGGGCAATTTAGCCCGGAAGTCGGATTTCAAGCATGGGGCCATCCATGCACTCTTGAAACGTCCTCTCGAAAACTGCACTGGGAATCATTTAATATTCAAAAAGTTCTGATATCCCGCCCCCAGCATCTGGCCCGTGCGCAGGCATGTCATGAGCCAAAGGGCCTTGCTATAAAAATTATTTTGAAACGCTGAGGAGCAAAGTCAGCGACATGCCGACTGCGCTGCAAAGTGCTATCATGCATTGTTGAGAGGCGGAATTCCAGACAGCTCAGCAGAGAGGACACACCGTGCTTGCTGAAGTTGAACAGCATCAGAACAAAGAGCGTGGTCTCGTTCGCGAGCAGCTTTCTGCGCCGCGTTACACCATCGGCCGGGGAGCCGAAGCGCTCGGAGACCTTAGTCATGGTGACTACGGGGCGAGTCGCGTCAAATGTGACTGATGCCAGCTGTCCTTCACAGCCGTCGCCAGCGAATGCCAATTGAGTTGTCAGTATCGGCGGCTGCTGGCCCACTGCCGGGTACGCGGCAGACAGAGGGAACTGCGCAGATTGCAAACACTCTCCATCAGTAGATCAAGCTGACATATTTTTAGTGGCTTAAACTCTCGCTTCTTGCTTGGATTTGGCGAGTCCATCAAGGGGTAGGATTTCGGCAGCCTTTACTGCAGCTTGTCTGCAGACGCACCTTGCTTCTGGCAGGAAAAGCATGTAATAAATCTGCTCATTGTTCCAAGCAGAACTTCTCGAATGACAAGAAATGTGCACTTTGTGGAAAAGTGCACCACAGCAGCAATGCCTAGGTGTCCAGAAGCACCCAGGAAATAGTATGCATGGAAGACAGGAATGTACAACAGTGATAGCAAGGGTCATCAAGGCGCACGTAGAGGGTGCCGAAGTAGGTTTTAGCGTCCTGCGAGGCAAAGAAACTGGCGGGGGTTTGGAAGCCCTGAGCGAGCGCGTCAAATGAGGCGTCCCCTCCCGCCAGGCTCAGCAGGCACCCGGGCGCACACTCCGGCGCTGTAAACGGCTCCGGGAATTGGAGTTCAAATTTCACGGCGCTCTGCGATGTGACGGCCGGTCCGGCGTAGGCCGGGCAGTTTGGCTGCGGCGCCGGCTTCGGTGCAGGCCTGCAGCATTAAGAAAGGCCTCACTTTGGCTCTGCAATTCAAGAGTCTTGCAAATCAAGGATGTCCGCTCAGCACCCTGGTACCCGGTAATCTCAAACAATGAGTCGGCGCTCACAAAACCTATAACTTGCCTACATATGACGCGGGGGCTGGTAACATGTCCAGTACAGCTCCGCTGGAAGGCTCTGGCAAGCATGACCAAAATATAACAAATTTCTGAACACTGCTGAGCTGTGGCAGGAAAGTCTCCTAACTGCACCTAATGGTGGACTGCAACCGAGGGACTGTGCACACCAGGGCAGCACGGCCGGGGCCGGGGCGGGCACCGGTGCCGGCCGTGGCGCGTGTCTTGGCGCCAGAAACGGCATCGGCGCCGGAGCCAGAAGAGGTGCGTGCACCGGCGCCAGTTTAGGCACCGGCGCCGGTGCCAAAACTGGCATGGGGGCCGGTGCCAGAACAGAAACCGGAGCCGGAGCGGGAGCCAGAACTGGCACCGGTGCCGGCGCCAGAACAGGCTCCGGAGCGGGAGCCAGAACGGGCGCGGCCTCGGCCCACGGCGCCGGCGCAAATGCCGGGGCGGCGGCCGGTGCGGCGGCTGCCGTGTCGGCTAATGCGACGAGCGCCACGAGGAGCTCGTAGAGGTACTGAGTGCGGCCGCAGTCGTCCTTTGCTGCGAATTCGGCTGTTGTTGGGTAGGTCAGGTTTGTAGGCGTCTCTGCGTGGCATACACACTCTCAATCTGGCGAGTCCAACAAGGGATAGGGAATTGGTAGCCTGTTGAGTGCAGCTTGACCGCAGACACACCTTGCCGCTTGGCAGGACACGCATGCAATGATAATGATCATAAAGACACTCATCAACCTGTAGCTGAGACAGCATTTGCAGGCAAACAGCATTTTGTTGCAGTAGGCTATGATTCTAGAGGAGGGCGCGCACTGTCGAGCATGGCTGTCTTCATGGCGGCTTCCTTGGATCCCCACTGGCTCATGATCTGGGGGATCGCGCCATTCAGAAGTGCCTCAAGGTCAACGCAGGGCGGGCCTGCACACGCACTCACACAAGCCTTGAGTGAGCCTGATCCTCTCTTTGTCAATTCTGCATCTGGTGGGCTGCAACTGTTGCGAGTCGCACAACTACCAATGCTGTAGCAGAGCCCCTGAAAAGTTGGGGAATCATCAATGTAATGGATAGATTATGAGGGCAGCTCCTTTGTCAGGCAGTGGGGAAGGGGAGTAATTCACCTGGTCCAATGACCTCAGGCTGAGGTCCCATCGCAGGGACGGTAATATCAAAATCGTACGGCGACCCGAGGGGCATTGGCGCAGGGCCAGGGGAGATAACCTGCGGCCACTCGCGTTTTTTTCAGGCACCTTTGCCTTTTTTTGGCAGCATCAGCTATCTAACAAATACTTTCAAATTTTAATTCAAGCTTGACCATACGAAAAAGTTTTCTTGCATTACATATAGCATGTGGGTTTTTTCTCATGCTGATCAATCATCCTTCCTTGATAAAGAGGACTATCTTCCCTGCATGCAAGGCGACGGCCAACAGTGAAATTTTCTGGTGTCCATATTCACCTCATCTATGGTCATCGGTCGCTCGTCGCTCGGTGCCAGAACAGGCGCAGGAACTGGGGCGGGGGTGGGTATGTAATCTTTGTAGTACTCTGCGGCAAATGTGAGCGAAGGGCCGCTGGCTGGTGCAGGAACTGGAGCCGCCATGAGGGCAGGGTCCGCCTGAATGAGCGGGAAGCTGCGAGGCATGCAGGGATTTGTCAGCATGACTCATCCAGTCATCAGCATGACTCATTCAGTCATCAGCATGACTCCTCAGTCGTGTGTCATCAATTGCAGTGAGTCAAACAATGTTCCTCCTTCAGTCACATGTCATCGCCGATGACTCATCGGCTGCAGCCAAGTAAGGGCTGAGCTAATGCCTGAATCTTGGATCTCAGATTTGGCGGCCAGGTGTTCTTCTGCAGGTGGGCACAGGCTATCTACTATTTCCTGTATTTAAACAGGCACATGGTGATCACTGAGCATGCCTACATGACATAATTGGCATCAGAAAGAGTGCCAGATTTGATTTCAAATGTTAAAAGTTCTCATTGAACCCACCTCATAGTTTCTGGCTCCTTGCTGGGCACCGGGGCAGGCGTTAAAACAGGCGCGGCTGCTGTGGCAGCTTCTGGCGCAATCGCGGGCGTATGCAATGACATAGTGTATGACTCATCCGCTGACGGCGCACCCGCCGCTGACGCCATGGGCGCGGTTGCTGGGGAGCCCGATGAGGTAATGAATGACTCATACTCCACAGAAGCCTCCGGCGCAGGTGCCGGAGTGGCAGCAGAATATTCCGATGATGTGATGAATATCTTATCTTGCTTGGAAGCTTCAAGCGCAGGTGTCGGCGCGGCTGCTGTATAGATCGATGACGTCATCGATGAGTCATCCTTCACAGAGGTTTCTGGTGCGGATGAAGGTGAAGTTGCAGGAAAGCCCGTTGCGTAGATGAACATCTCATCGTTGGTTGATGACTCAGGAGACAACGCCGGCGAACTGGCGGGCGAGGCTGCTGAGTCAGCAGGGGCTGACTCATCGGCAAGGAGTGACTCCGGTGCTGGCAAGGGGGACGGTGCTGGCGAGCTGGCGGGAATGCCAGGTGAGTCAGTGGATGAGTCAGCGGCAATGGAAATCTCCGGTGCTGCCTCCGGCGCCGCTGCCGGCGCGGCCGCAGGGACTCTTTCTCCGGGCGGGAATGGGTAGATCTGCATGAATACACATGCCACGTTCACGTCACCTATCTGGACTCTCAGCCTGCTGATAAATCTGGGAATAGATCCTCTCAGCAGCAAAGCATGGTTGGAACCTTTTCTGAGCGAGCTTGTTTGCTGCTGCCAGACAGGGCACTGGCAGCGAGTGGAACCAGTAGAAACAGCAAGCTGCATGCATGCGCGCATGCAGAGGCCACCCTCACAGAAGCAGTTGTTCGTAGCACAGGTCCATTCGGCTCTACGATGCAAGAAATGCTTGAAGAGGATGAGTCATTGGTGAGTCACCTCTATGGCGGCCACGGCTGCATTGCTGCTCTCCTGCCCCTGGAAGGTCAACACGAGGGTGCCGCTCTTGTCGACTGACACTGGGAAATGATGCCTCACCGCTGTGAACCGCTGCTCGCCTGCAAATGCAATCCACCAAGAAAGTATCGGCAGCCATGAAACCTATCATAAACCCTAAAATATAGTTCAAAACAACGTTGGCTGCTCTGGTCCTAGCTCTCGACCCTGTTCCCCCAAGAACAGACTGAGTCTTTTGTGAAGGCACAGCAACACTGCTGACTGGTCTGCCTAGTGTCTATTGACTAATATAGCCTCTTGGGTGCAGGGCTCTGAGGACATTGATATTATTATTATTTAATCAGTATTATTTAATGATTATTCCTATTATTACACGCTTTTCCTGCCAGAAGCAAGGTGCGTCTGCAGACACGCTGCAGTAAAGGCTGCCAAAATCCCATTTCTTGATTTGCCATTCCACAATTTGTTAGGGCAACCATCGTCACACCGCGGGCTTGCGAGTCTTTGACAGCTACTTTGCTGCGCATTAGCACTACCGAGGTTGGAACAAACCTCAGATGTCGGAACAAGTTTTTCTGGTACAAACAGGTGCAAACCTGCTTCCTGGAAGGTGTCAAAGTTTGACAGGGCTGCCTGGCTGTTGGCGGCCACGTCAAAGACCCGCTGCCCCACAGCTGTCGCGCTCAGCTCTGCACACAGTTGCACCATTCGGTCAGAACACTTTTTGGGGACCGTATATACGGCCGAACATACGGTCATACGGTATTAAAATATACGGAATACGGTCAAAAACGGCCTATTTTGGCCCAAAACACCGAATATACGACCGAATATTCACCGTATGCCGAATGGCCAAATCCGTATGGTGCAACTATGGCTCTGCAGCATTCAGCAGACACAAATCAGTTCCAGGACATAATAACATCTCTCGGATCACAGTGAGCCAGCATTGACCCGATCTTGCCCCTTGGACTCAGCCAGTGAAATTCTGTGAAACATCGTGTAAATTGCCAGTCCAACAAGTACGCCGGGACAAGGCAGGACATTGCCCACCATGCCCGGCTGAACATACTTGATAGTCTCGGACAGAAGCAACACTCTGCGGGTCACACCAGCATGCAAATTACTACGAAACTGAGCGGCTGTGTATGCATTCAAGCATTGCGCACACACTAAGCCTGGCACTCACTAGCGTGATTTTTGTTGATACTTATAGCGCACACACCGGCAAAGTGCAGCACAGCGACGTAGTCAGTGGATGGCTTGAGGCCGTCAGTCTTGCCAAAGATGTATCCGAACTCTGGCGCCGCATGAGAGTCCTGGTAGATCGCATCTGCGCCGTCCTCCGCCCCTTCGATGGCCGCCGTGGCTGCCAGGCGGCCCTCACCTGATGATAAAACCATTATTATTAGTAGTATTAGTATTGTTATCATTATCATTATCATTATTACGCGCTTGTCCTGCCAAGAGGCAAGGTGCGTCCTGCAGACAAGCTGCGGTTGATCAACAAATCATACTGCTTCTAAATCTCAATAGTCCCCGTCAGGGAAAATAAAAGCCATGTGATTGTTGTTTCTGGCCTCCTGAAGTCTTGACACGGCACATACAAAAGCCCTGCGCTGTGCAGATGGGCAATTAGGAACTCTTCCAACGCAAATGTATGTAGGTACGGCGTTGCGCGCTTTTCCGTGCTAGAAAACAGCAGGTGTCTTGACGTCCAAAGCATGCAAGAGGCAGGCCTAGGAAGGTTGCACTTGTCCTTGATGCATGTGTCAAAGCACCTGCTATGCTATGGGCAACATGGCTGCCAGCTGGCTGGGGACATTCCTCTCGGAGCCATTTCAATCGAGGAAAACTCAGGGTTTACCTTGCAATATACCCCCATGGCCGGAGGGGAATAATTGAGAGGATGCTGCAGCGCACCTAGCCCTAAGGGCTGGAACAAGCGTGTGATGAAAATAACAATTATACCCCCAGAATCTTAATTCCCTCAGGGAAAAATTAGAAGCATGCAGAGGGTGATCGCGTGAGAGGTGAAAGTACCAATGAAGCCGCTGTCGGCTGCCCAGACATTGCCGGCTGCATCGGTGAAGCTGTCGGCGCTGCCTGAGTTGATGCGCAGCAGCGCTGGCAGAAGCACCTCTATACCCGCCACCGTTGCCTGCTCATGGATCATTAGAAAATTGAACTTAAGCTCGTTCTGCAGAGCCTCAATATTTTTGGAGGTAGAAATAATTTTCGACCCATTGTAAAAAGTTACAATTTATTTTTCGGTTAAGTATCAGGCCAAGTACGGTACTCTTGAAGTAAAGCGTAGTGTGCATACCTGGTTGGCAGTAGCCACGAAGACAATGGTCAACAGGCCGTCTTCGCCGATCGTGACAGGAAACTTCTTCACCACGGCAACGTCCTTGGCGCCTGCAGCAACGCAGCAGCCCTGGCTCAAATATCTGCTATATGCTTTTCGAACGTTCATGAATTTCATTCTTTAGGGACCGCTTTGTAAATGCTCTGCAGAGCACTTCGAGTGTTGTACCACCAGTGGGTTCTATCATGATTTCTTTTTCTGTGCATCAAAGGCGCTCTGATGGTCTTTTCACCTTTGTGCAAGGGCCGCGTGTGAAAGAATACCAAAGTTCCATGCACACAGGGAACCCTCTCTGTGAGGAAAATGTCAATCCCTGCTGTCTGAAAGCCCAGAGGTCGGAGGAACCGGGAGCAAGTTCAAAGAAAATGGCTCACCGGCGTCTGCGATGATGTCATAATCAGGCAGCACAGCCTGATCATTGACGATGACGGTGAAGACTCGCTGGCCGACAGTATCGAAGTAGAGCTCTGCGAAGTGCAGCGCTAGAGTGTAAGTCTGTCCTGCCACCTGCGCACAGCATGGCATTCATATGTGATTCTGCCCATAATTGTGTCTTAGATTGGTGCCAATCCCTGACCCGCGGCTAGCAGCACATGCGGCAAAGTTTCCACAATTATTTTAGATGGCAGGCTGAGGTTTGAATACGGCCATAGATCAAATTGTTCAGGGAAACGGAGCTTGCTGGCAGCCTCTAGGCAATCGTTCAATAGGCAATCATTCAGTGAACCTTACCTCCCTTTGGCCACGATGTATGTAATGCAATTGCTGGAACATTCAGGCAAGATTGTGAGTGATACAAACAGGCACAAGGTCTAAGGGCTCCAACAGTGGTCCCACAACAAAGGGAGATCCTTCAGGCAAGCAGTGCTGACTCTGATGTAGACAATCATTGCTGGGAGATCAAAGGGTGCTAGAGTGAAGCACCAGGCCGTCAGCTGCCCCGAAGCTGTAGTGGAAGCTTCCTCCGATGCGGTTGGTGTCATAGACGACATCAGCGCTGTCAGCATCTTTATCTATGTGCGCGCTTATCGCCTCAACCCCCCCGCCTGCAAACATAATCACCCTTAGGTCCTCCTACTGATACCCCCACTTATAAACTCATTTATTACACAAGTTTCCGTAGGGCTTTCTTGCACGCTAAAAAGCTATCACTTTGGGATCCCGCAACCTAAAAATCGGCCAACTTTACTAGGGGCTTTTGGGCTGCAAAACAGTTATTTTATGTTCCACGCAGGCAAGTTCCCGCGCCCTCAAAACCTGTTATTAAACGTCCCGCAAGCTAAAAAATAATCATTTGTTGTGGCTTTGTATTTGAGCACTTATTCCATTTCTTCTTAGAAACCCTGCTTGCCACTCTGCAGATCACAACTTTCGCTGCTGATGAGAGATAGTTTCCCTGGGCATAAGTTCAATTCACACAAGGCAACTCAAATGTGAAGAGCAGCCTTCATATCTGGTCTGCTCTATTAACAAGCTCTGAAATGCTTGGCTGCACTTACACTGGATGTGAGCGACAGAACAGGGAGGAGAGGAATATGACACCTCTGTAGCTGAATGCAGTCATACTGGTTCACAGAGGAGGCAGTAATGGGTGCAGAAGGGTGCTCAAACCTCTGTAGTTGGAGTCTGGAGACCAGGCATTGCCGGCTGCATCCGTGTAAGCGCCAGCGCCTGTGTTGCCTGTGTCAAGCCTGATCACTGCCGGGTGATATCCTGCAAACGGGCAAACAAGCTCCTTCAAGAAGAAAAAGACATCATTCCTCAAGGCTTTGCTGTTATATCTGACATTAAACGGGTGGCTGAGAGGCCGGCAGGAGGCCGATTTGGAAAGTGACAGGCACAAGTGAGCGCAAGCAGACGTCATACAAGTGGTCATTGTGCAGGCAAGAAGCAGAGACCCGGTTTATACCGGGGATTAATGGTGTGAGTATTTGTGTTCACCTGCAAGTGCTGCTGGGAGGGCGAGGAGCAGCAGCAGGCCTGCTCTGTGGGCAAGGGATGCCTTCTGCCTACTGTATCCTGGCATGTCTGGTATCCACTTTCAGGATCCCTTCCGTGCTGCATCACACCAAGCATGTTAAGAGTCGTGTCGAAGAGCTCATCAGCAAAATAAACTTACTTGAACCGTGGATTGGACATGCTCGACATGCCCAATTGCCTGTCGTTTGGGTAAAGGTTGGGACATCGCGCACCTGTCTCTAGAGTCAACCTTTTGGATGAAAACTTTATTCAATTCTATTTCATTGCCGTCCCTTTAGAACAGATCTGATCAAGGTACGGTAAAAGAGCCGTGCACACCTGATGGTTCTCGAAGGGGCGAGTTGTGGTCGCCGTCGGTCACGCTGGTTATTGCCGGCAACGTTGATGGATTCTTAGAAGTATAACAGTCTGCCACGCCCGGGAATCTAAACGATTCACCGTAACGATAACATTTTCACTGGCACATGTCCCAGGGATGCCGCAAACTTCCGGAACGAAGAACTTCTAGAACACAGCCTTGGACACTTCGTGTGTTGTGAAAATGTCCCCGCACGCCTCATAGCATACTTACTGGCTGGGCGGGTGAACAATGCCGATGCGTTGCGACTCAAAGCAAGAGGCACGCCCAGGACAGCGACAAAGATTCCACGTGATGTCACGTGCATGGTTTGACTTGAATAGGGGCAATTAGTATACTAGTTTAGTAGTAAAGTTAGTAACATTTCTGATACTGCAAACAACCGTTGAAGCTTTGTCTGCACTTCCGATGATTGTTTCACAATGACCATATAAAGTGTCAAAGACTTCTATAGCATGGCAACACCAGCAGGCCTAGGCCGAACATCAAAATCATCATGAGATCACAAAAAATAAGCATCCCTTCGCAGGAGGAAAGAGCATGCTTGGCATACTTGAGATCAGGCTGCAAGATTAGATAATGCAGAACGCAGTATGCTGAACTTGTAAGCCATCTCAATTGCATCAGCACGCTGTGTGCACTTCTTCCTATAGGCTCTCCAAATTTCTCCTCTGCTGATCTCCCAGTAGTACTGACAACCGGCTTCTTCATGCTGCGCTCAGAGGCATATCATGCAAAGCAACAATTTACCAGTCATAATTGAAAATGCGTCTCAACCCATCATCCTTCGAAGAAAGCAGGTGCAGCTAACAGAACGCCAAATGACGTCCAGAGATCAAGCTGTGACACAACATATATGACTGGTCCAGCAGTTATGACTCGCATTGCCCGCAGACAAAGAGGCCGCCTTTAAACTGACGCAGGTGATATCCGGATATCACCTGATACAGGATCCTGTATCAGATGCACTACAGCTCTCATGCCCCTATATTTCAATCCACTTCAAAAAAAAGCATACTGCATTGTAAGGTCAAGCTTTTACTTCAATGACACAGCACACGCAAAGTTCCACAAGCGTAATTGCAACAAAAACATGCGAAGCAGCTTTCCCTTTCAGGTACAGATTTTGACAGGGAACGCCCTGACATTGGAGCAGGCAGAGGCAACGCCTCAGGCCAGATCTTCCTTCCAGAACAAAACGCCCCTCGCTCTGAGTGGTGCTCCCAGCAGAGAGAACACTCAGACTGCATAGCCGCGCCCTACAGAGGGCCTCAAGATAGCATGCAGAGTCCACAAGAGGGACCGCCTCAGACTGTACACCCATTCCGGCTGAGGGGAGGAATCACAAGGGCTCCTGAGATTGCTCTTATTGGGAACAAGAAATCCACACAGCGGAGGGAACGCCTCGGGCATGGTGGTGACTCCGGCAGAGGGAACGCTCAATCCGCATGCCCAGTCCATCAGAGGGAACGTGAACGCCTCAGTCTTTGTGCAGAGCCCGATTCCTGCAATGGATCGCCTGATGGAAAGATGTACCTGGCGGATGGGAACGCATGCTCAGGCGATGCTGTAAACTTGGCAGAGGGAACGCCTCACTCTGGCGATCACTGTGCGTGTGGCAGGGAACGCCTCAGAACTTGAACCCCAGCGGAGAAAGCGCCGCGATCAGGCGATGGAATGAATGACACCGCCTTCAAAACGCATTCCGGCGGAGGGAACGCCTCAGGCTGCCAGGCAGCGCAGCGCGTGGGGAGGGAGCGCCTCATAACGCCAGCGCAGCGGAGAGAACGCCTCAAACCAGATGCACAATTCGGCAGAGGGAACGCCAAGTCAGACGATGGAGTGGATGATGCCGCCCTCGACGCGCTGCGCGGATCCGTTGATGCCGGAAGCCGCGGCCGAGGCCAGGAACACCGCCGCAGACGCGACCTCCTCCGGCCGCAGAAAACGGCGCAGCAGCGACCCCGGCTCCGTTTGGGTGAAATATGCCTTCGCTTCTTCCTCGTTGCTGCGCCCTGCAAAGCAGGTCGTTTTAAAATCTCAGCTCCCTGTCCTTGACTTGGAGTTTGGAGCTCATATGCTCCAGGAAGGAAGTGTGAATATAAGATGCAGCGCTGATTGGAGCAACCTCTGAGAACGCACGGGGTTCAAGGAAGATATCTTCATAGAGCCCACAGCTGAGACAGACACAGCATCAAATTAATTGACACAGCTCGGCTCTGTCAGCACCCGAGCACCCCCTTCAACAACACCCAGAATACAAGGCAGCACCACACGCACAACTGCGTGCAGCAGCCCTCGTGCCGTGCCCAAATGGCAAAGCATAGAAAGGAACATTGGAAAACCCCTTGGTAGGGCACAGAAAGGAACAAAGGATCCTCCAGCAACAGAAAGCCCTGTCAATGATCAACAGCGCAGGAGCACACACCAGCCCTGCACACACAGCCCTGCAGCACCTACAAATCAGTGTGTCCTTGTTGAAAGATTAAGTGGCGCACCAGTCTTTGCAGCGATGCCGGCAATGTATTTCTCGACTCCCTCGGTCCAGGTGGGCCCCACAAGCAGGCTGTTGACGGTCACTTCTGTCCCGGCACAGAGTTGCGCCAGACCGCGCGCGAGGCCGATCTGAGCCGTCTTGGTAGCGCTGTAGTGTAGCATGCTGGGGATTGCGCGCACTCCCGCCTCGCTGGCAACCAAGATGATCCGGCCCTGCAAGCAGGCGGATCAGACATTGATTAGAATGGCGGGATAGGGCAGTACAAGATGCCCGATGCATGTATTGGAATCCCAGCGGGGTGCAGCCTTGCAGAGAGGCACAGCCAAACCACTAAAGCTCACACAAATGCTCTGCAGTATATCAGCAGAATGCAGCCCTGCAGAAGGGGGAGTAAAAAAGGTCAAACGTTGGTAAAAAAAAACAGTGTTGGGGAGAGTCTATGTTCACTTTGCATGCGCACTTGCGCACGTTGGCCCTTTCCAGACTCAACATCCTCCCTGTATTGTTGCAAGAGGCAGTGCAAAGCATTGACGCGAATCGCTCAGGTTTGTCAGCCATGGTGGTGGTCTGCTGTCAGAGTGCACAACTGGGATCTCCTGCTGTGGCCCTGCCCACGAGTAATGCTCCCAGATACTGAGACACCACACATCAAAACCACTAGTCAAGGTATCTATTTCCAATTCGTGCGCTTTGATGCCCAACCTGCCCTCAAGTCAAGTTGATGGTGGGCAAGACAAAGCTGGATTTCACCTGATTGCGCTTCAGCATCGGCTGGAGGAAATGCCGGCACAGGCGGACGTTGGAAAAGAAGTTGACGTCGAAGGTGTGCTGCCACTCCTCGTCGGTGATGTCCCAGAAGTCCTTCACGGCAAAGATGCCAACATTATTGACCAGCACATCCAGCGGCCGCTGCAAGGCGTCCACCGCATCGCAGAACGCCTTGGTCCCCTCCTTGGAGCCAACGTCACCAGCGATGCCAATCAAGTGAGCGGATGCGTGCTTCGCCTGCATACAGATCAACCTTGCTATGCCACATCGTACTACACCAAGTCCACTATGAGTCATACAGACAAAATCCAAGCCCACCTTTATCTCTTTAATAGTGCTTTGGATGGACTCCTCGCTCCTGCCATTTATCACGACGTGTGCGCCGGTCTGAGCAAATTTCAGGGCCATCGCCTTGCCGATGCCAGACGTGCTGCCCGTCACCACAACGAGTTTGTCCTGAAGATCGAGATCCATATCGCACCAGCTGAATGGAGAGGATTGCCGATTGACAGTATTGTTTGGATTCGCTGTCAATTATTTCATGCTCATGGCAATGCTTTGATCTGCCGTAATGGAACCCGGCCTCCAGCTTCCAAGCAGCTACAGGAGCATATGATAGAACCTGCCGATGACTTTGCTTTGCTCGCCACCACACCTGCTCATTTGCAACGCTTGATTGATGCAGCTGCTGAGTTTTGTGAACAAACGGGAATGGTCATCAGTGTTGACAAAACAAAGATTGTGGTGTTCTCTTCAAGTTTGCCAGGACCTTTTCAATGGCTTTGTGGTGGTGCGCCTTTACATTGGGTTCAGCAGTTTGAGTACCTGGGTGCCCTTTTTGACGGTGCCCAAGGCATTAATCTCACCTTTGGCAAGCTTCACAGGAACATGTGGGGTGTGTGGGCACAGCTCAAGCAGCAATATGGGAAGTTGCATTGCAGCATGTCAGCTGGCCTGTTGTTGCGCCTATATGATGCATGTGTGCCGCCGACTGCCTCCTACGGTTGTGAGGTGTGGGGCCTGCGCAGCCTTCCTGGTGGCGACAGCCGGCGGGGCCGGGCTGCCTTGGCCTCCTCTCACCTGAAAATTCTGAGAGACATTGCTGGCGTCCCCACCTCTGTGCATGGTGCCATCTTGCTTAAGGAGTTGAATCAGCAGACCCTTGATTGTGTGTGGTGGCGGCGCATTATCAAGTTCTGGAACAATTTGGCTGCCTTGCCTGCAAATAATTTTCACAGGCAAGTGGCCCTTGATGATTGTTGGGATGCCATAACCCGTAATGTTAAGAATTGGGCTTGGGCCTTCATGCGGGGCTTGCGCCGAATTGGGTATGAGTTTGTTATTCGGTTTGACACCCTTGTTCCTGTGGAAGTTGATGCTGTGATGCAGCTGCTAGATGCGCAAGCACTGCAGGTTTGGGATGACATTGACATTTGCCCTAGGACCTGCCCGTCCAGCAATGCCACCTTGTGTACATATCACAGATGGTTTGCTAGGCCAGCTTGTGTGCGCCACCCTTGCCAGCTCTTACAGCAGCCTTTGAGTGCCCGTTGCTTGCGTATACTGTTGAAGTTCAGGATGGGTTGTCATAGTCTGCCCAATGTCTCGGGCCGCTGGGCAAGGATTCCCCGGCCCCAGCGTTTGTGCATGCGTTGTGCCCAGCAGGTTATTGGGGATGAGCGCCACCTTGTGTTTGAGTGCCCTGCCTTGCAATCTGTTCGGGACAGATATCCTGGGCTGTTTGGTGCAGCCATTGTGACGATGCAGCAATTCATGTGGCAGTTGGACATTGTTGGTGTTGCACATTTTGTGATGGATTGTTTTGATTATTTGGATGCTGCCAGTTCATCCAATCAGCCCTAGGCGGCTGGAGTGATGTAATCTTCCTTCCTTCCTTCCTTCCTCCCTTTTGGCTGCTTTTGATCAATTTGTAATGTAAGTGTTCGATTGGTTTGCTGGATGGCAATCCGGCATTTAATTTAATTATGCCGGATAGAGAATCCCGGTGGGAAAGAACCGTCACCCAATGCCAGATGATGATCATGTAATATGACTGTCAGCTAGAGCCTGCTGTGTAGTCTAGGAGCCTTGCAAATAAGTAAAAGATGGCTTCTCGTTCATTGGTTTGAGCATCCCCTCAGTAGGAAGGAGTGCCATGCATAGGACCAGCAGTAATTTTAGACTGGTCAGAGTTCAAATCAATGGGATACAAGTCTTATCCTGGTAGGATCTCAATTCTATTTGGGGAGCCAACCACACAGACACTTATAGTTCTGGAGTCTATACACTTCAAAGCTATTTAACATCGTAGAGGTCATTACAAAACAAGCAACAAATTGCATTGCATGGCTTGCAGACTCTCTCAATTTGCCCTGAATCTAGTGACATGAAGAAGCATGTGCCAATGTGAAATAAAACCCAAATATATTGTTTCCAAGCATGTCATCACGGTGCCTTCACGGATGTCTTTTGAGTGACCGAACCAGCAAAGGCCACAATCTTTGGTGGTAACCCCTGTCCTAATTTACCACCGGCCTCTCCGCTGCCCTCGTGTCTCTGGTACCAGATCACAAATGCCCGCTCAGATAATCTGCTCAATGATCAAAGCAGGAGACAGTGAATGCTCGAAATTCACTTCCAAAGCAGGAAGGAAGGTCTGCCCCTCCGTGTGAAAAGTCACTGCATCTAAAATGCTGCCACGCATGCATGCCGCCAGTGTGACATGAGACATCACTGCAACACTCTTGAAAAAGCTCAAGGCTTTGAAGGGCATGTCTCAGACATCGAGTGTCCGCAGGAGATAGCTTACTTGCCATGTCCAGACTAATGACGATGACCCAGTATCCATATATCCATGTAAAAGCTGCAAATAAGGCAGCATTGCCAATTTGCATACCTGATAGGACGACTTCATACGACGCAAGATGGCACGCCGCGCAACAACGGCGACGAGAGCCAGCAGGAAGCCCATGACGAGACCGACGACTAATCCGATGACTGCGCCGCGACTCAGCCGCGCGCCCGCCATGGCCGTGAGAATGCTGCTGGATCCGGTGGAGTTCCCTCCAGCTGCCGAAAAAGAGCCAGAACCGTTACTACCTGCTGCAAGTAACTTCAAAATGTGTGGCACATGCTGCACATTCCATCTTTGAGACGAGGTCTGTACACAAAGGCACACCCTGGGCATGCCCGGGAGCTTCACAGCTCTAGAAGCAAGGGGGAAAGGCATGTGCAATTCTGCTTTAGATTTTGCACTTGGATCTCGTGCAGCTGCAGCTTGTCAAATGTCAGTGCGGACCGGTGCATTTATCACATTAGATTTGTAATCTGAAGTTGGCAGTCAAGCTGGCAATCACCTGGGACGGGTATTGTGTACTGCCCATTGTCGCTGTCAACTCCGAAGATTTCTGGCGAGGTGGGGTCGGAGTACAGAACGTTCCCTGCCGCATCCTGAACCTTGCCTGCGTCACAGCACCCGACTGTTCTTCATGCCCGACAATGACTAATCATTACTCACTGGTTAGAAACCTGAACAGTGTTCTTGGTCTGTCAAGCATGTGCAGTATCATGTCATGTCATGCTCAAGCCCACATTGAGTCTTCTTCTACTTCTACTGGTAGTACCTCGATGGAATTTGGCATTTAACCATAATGGAGAATTTGCGGCAGCACTCACTCAAGGCACTGCGCTGTCTCGCGTCACCAGTATCCGGATTCTAATCCTTGGTCGATGAAATGTATATTTCTAATTGTAGGGTTTGTGATTATGGATTTGAACCCCAAACCCTAATTTTAAGTAACAAACAGTAACAAACAACAAAGACATCTATTCATGGAGGCTTGCCTGGGCGGATGGCAATGCTGAAGGAACCGGTGCCGGAGATGACAGCGACCCAGACAATGTACTGCGTGGTATTAGTGTTGGGCACAGTCAGCACCTCGCTGACAGCGCCGCCCCTCACGATGATATCATCCGCGCCGAAGCTCGCCACTGCAGACCAGCGCTGTCAGATTACTAATAATTTATTGGTTATCACTACATGGTGCTTTACTGACCAGTCTGCATCCTTTTGGCAATCCCAACAAGAAGGCCACGCTTGCACAGAAAGGCTTTGAGAACTCTGCTAATGGTGCCTTGGCCATATTGACCTGTGGCATGCGAACTTTCCCCCTCTTGAAAAAGAGCATGTTGTCCCAGGGCAGGCAGAGATTCATCTTGTGAACCAAAATACACAGCCTCCCTTGTATTCTCGAGCAAAAAAGATTAAAAAAAATTATTTTCTGAACTTATGAAAGATTTGATTGGGGGGATGAACTCACCGGGCTTGCTGAAGTTGAAGAGCATGAGGATGTAGAGTTGCTGGATTCCGGGAGCTTCCATCAGGCGCCTCCGGATTTTTGTGTTGTTGTCCGGTTCGCCGAAGCGCTCGGAGATCTTAGTGATTGAGCACGTGGGGTGCACTGGGTCGTAGGTGACGTCAGCGAGGCGGGTCGCTGATGTCATGTCGCATGGGTTGCTGATGTAGTCGATGCATGCGTCCAGCTGGTCGACCCTGGCCAGCTCCTTCCGCTGTAGCTGGGTCTGCTGGTTGAAGTGCGTTGCAGCAAAAGGGAACTGCACCAGAAAAAAGTATGTGTCAATTGGGCTCACTCATTGTTGGCTGAAAAATTCCCTTTAAAATGCACATGATGCTCTTACCAAGGATTTCTTGACATTGTTCAGCCAACGCAAGATTTAAGCATGCTTGCCAGATGCTACCAGTGCTTTTTGAAATGGATGGATTCAATAAACTGCTTACCTGGCAGACAACGATGACATAAGAATTAGCCAATACTCCCAGGCTTCAGACTGAGCCAAGGTCCCCAAAGGAATAACAATGAGATGAGTTGACCAGGCTTCCCAGGGATGAATAATGAGAGGAAGCATCAAACTTCCCAAGGGAAAACAAACATGAAAAAAAGAGTTATCCTGAACGAATGGTAAAAGAGCGAGCTCACATAGAAGAAGGTGGTGTAGGTTCGGCGGTCATCACTCGGCTCGAAGACAACGCCGCGTGAGATCGGCCACCCCTCCTCAGCCGGGTCAAAGGAAGCTTCCCCGCAGCCGAGCCTCATCAGGCAACTGGGCGCACACTCTGGCGCATCGAATGGCTCGTCATACCTGGCACGCAAGTAGACCAGAATTTTGGGCTTGAACACTAATAATTGATCCTCTCACACTCCTTTTTAAGTCTGCTACCAATGACTGTAGGTGGGCCAGCAAATTTAATGGCTAAAAGTGCCCACAATCGCAATTAATTGGGTCTTGGCTGGTGTGTGACAGATCAGCCAAATGTCACTCTGTGGCCATCTGAAAATGAACCATGTACTTGCACACACACATTGCCACTGCGCGGGGAATGCATGCAGTTTGACAGCTTCAGCAATCCGTTGGCCACATATGAAACGTACACATGCTACTGATAGTAGGACCTGTGCAGATTGTTGAAAAGCATTACCTGAGCTCCACCCGTACGATGCCAAGTGATGTGATCTCTGGGCCCGAGTATGCTGGCACCGGGAAATGGGGGCACTGTGAACCGCCGTCATCCTTTGGCCCTGACGGCCTGCATGCATTCCAAAAATAAAGAGTGAAATAAAGCATAGCTTTTATCCTTTTATTCTCAGCTGCTCTGGATGGCGATTTCTTGGCATTATGCAAGCTTGGTCGGTTACAGTTTGTGTGGTGAAGAGCTCTTAGTAGATTTACATGCACCAGTAAGAAGCGGTGGCTTGCTATGCCGCTATGAGTCATCAAAATTTAATCTGCTTCCTTGTGGCTCACTGGTCCATTGGAAATCTCAAGTTCGCAACAGCATCAGCATTGGCATACACTAACAGAAATGAAAATGTTTTCCACACCCCAATTATCAGGACATCGGTATAAGAACGCTCCTGAAGAAGATTAGAGTATTTCTAAGACAGAGAACCGGGCTTCACCCGGGTGCAGGAGCCTCAAGTCCTGAAGGTGCTGTGGCAGGAGCTTTGTCGCCGGTACCCTGAGGGGGATTAATAACGGGCGCTTCTGCCGGGGTATTAACCTGTGAAAGCCCTTCCGGGGCCGGCACAGGGGCGGGGGTTTGGGGGTATCCCCCTGTACCGGGGGGGACCATATTGTCCAGAATTTCAATCAGGAGCCCAATCCTTGTCATGTACTGCTTTTTGGTATTCTGAAGGTCCTGCAACTCCCGGCATGGGTCGCCAAAGGCCACCTCCCTCTCAAACACCCGAGGGACCAGGAATGCATAGTCCTCGTCTTCAATTGTCCAACCTGCAGGTACCACCGGTTCTCACTCCTACTTGCACTGAATTTTGAACGGAATGCAGACATATGAGAAGTTTGTGATATGAAGATGGGCAGTGACAGACTGCTATGCGACCAATGAGCCTCAGTGTGGCTCCCAAAGGGTCTTTACAATGCAATGATACTAATATTAGCTTAGTTGCACTGGTTGAAGCACTTGCAGTGGAGCCCAATTCAGACCGGACACTCAACAGCAAGTGTTGCTTGCACGCAAATAGTCTCATAAATAAAAAAACACAAATATTTCAAAGCACATCCGAGTCAATATTTGCGTTGTTTTGAGGTGCAGGGAGGTGCTCATACATGCTATGCACGGCTCAAGATAGGCAGTCAATTGAGGTGTTGGGGAATTGAGGCTTTGCGAGGCCAGGTGCAAAAAGATCACCTGCCACAACCTTCTGCAGAATTTCAAGTATGATCTGGTATTCTTGGAGCAGCAGAGTGGAAATTTGCTGGCCAAGATCGGGTATCTGTGCAGCGCAGATTTCACCTGTCCCATCTGCATTGCATGCACTCATAGATGGTCAATGTACTGATGCGCTCTTCACTCAACATTATTAGCCTTCCTCCAGTGCAAGTTGCACATGAGCAACTTGCATGGAATGCAGTACGGTCAATTTTATATCACAGAGTTCCTTCAAGCAACCCCATCAACCCATTCAATGCCACAGGATGCATCCGGGTCCTTTCCCCTTGCAAGCACGCCACTTCCATTCTTTCTCTCGCGACCATATCAAAACGGAATGCATGATTGCCTGAATTGATCGTGCCATCTCCAGAGGACTGCAAACCAAGAGGCAAGCAAGCTGAGAAGAAAACCTCTCACCTTCCGGGTCGGGCCCGCCGGCAGGCAATGGCTGCGGCGCCGGCACAGGAACAGACAGTGGCCACATCATAGGCCCCGGTGCAGATGCGGGTGCAGATATGTCGGAAGGCTCCAAGGTGACCACCCGAACCGGCTTCAGCTGCGCAGCTAGCAGCGGCGCCGGAGCGGGCGCGCCGTTTGGCCGGGAAGCAGCAGCCTTGAGCGGTGGTAGTGCTGAAGAGGGCTGGAGGGCGGGCGCTTGGACAGGAGCAGAGTCGTCTCCCATGACAGGTTGCAGCGCCGGTGCCGCAGTGGGCTGCAGGATGAAAGGAGCTCGAACGGCAGTTATATGTTCTGATGGCAGGGCTGTGGGTGCAACACTGGGTTGTGGTACGGGAGCTGGCATTGGTGCCTGGATAGGCACAGATTGCGGTGCCGTAACGGGCGGCATTGCCGGTGCCTGAACTGGCGGTTGTTTTGGTGCCGTAAGGGAATCAAGAGCAATCGCCTGATCAGGCTTGAGTGCTGATGCGTGTACGGGCTCGTCACCCGGAGCCTGAGCTGGCGCTGGCGCGTGAACCTGATAGAAGGATTCTGTTGACTCTTCAAACGTTTCCGGAGACGGAGCCAGAACTGGCGCAACTGCCGGTGTATGAATAGGCGCAACTGTTGGTGCCTGATTTGGCACCGCAGCCGGTGCCGGTGCTTGTGCCGTAAAGGTCTCTGAAGTCGTCGCCTTAACAGGCGCTGTCGCCGGCGCCAGCTCAGCAACCGTAACGGGCGCCAGTGCCGTAACGGGTGTCGAGGCCGGTGCCACAATTGGTGCTGAGATCTGCTCGTCGCCTGTAGGAGCAGCGGCAGGTGCAAGAGGTGGCAGTCCACCCACTACTGGAACCGCAGGGTAGATCTGCGGGTTGGCAGCAACATTGCATCATTTCAACAGATCTCCTGAAAAGAGTCCACTTGAAGATCTGCAGAAGATACCCTCATGCAAGCATGATGGTGTACATGGGTGTAAGGTCTGCCCAATTTGCTCTTGAGCTATGGGCGACAGGGCATGTTTTATTGCAGGTGTTTTTAATCATCTAGTAGGATGATTAAGCCATGCTTGTCACACCTCGATGCCGGCCACGGTTGCACTGCGCTGCACGCCCGTAAATGTGAGTATGAGAACGCCCCCGGAGCCCAGGACAACATCAAAGTGGCGTCTCACCGGCACAAAACGCTGCCCTCCTGCAATGTGTCACACCCAGCTCACCTTTTTGGGATATTTTCATTTTTGTTTCAGTTCCAAGTAGTCGTTGATAGATTAGATTGGAAGGCTGTGACAGAAACTCTGCCGCAAAGCACCTGATCCTCGCGGCTTGGAACGGCTTGTGTCCTTTACATAATAATAAGACCTTGTTCAGTCTGAGTACGGTTATAGGTTTGTGGCACCTTGGAATCATGCTACGAATGCCAGAGGACACTTGATGAAGGGGCAAATATCAATGTGCTGAAGGACGACCATTGAAAAGCACTGTGGGTGCACCACATATCTGCACAAGAAAAACAGGAGGATGGTCACACGAGGATGTACCTGCTGCAGCAAAGATATCGAAGCTCTGCAGCATTAGCTGTCCGTTGATCTGCACATCGAACAGCCGAGTGCCTGGGGCTGTTGCGTCCAGCTCTGCATATCCACACAACATGTTCCCCTCTGAGTATGGGGGGGATATTTATAATATTATTATACATATTGAATGTCACATGCCTTTAATCTTATAGAGATGTTTTTGGTAGGGTGATTATTGAGGGCATTCCCACACTCTGAACCCTCCGTGTAGACACTGCATCACCCTTTCCCATGCACACCCACACCCAACCTAAGTGACACATGACTTTTCTTTTCGATTATTACTCTTGCAGCAATGAATAACAAGGTACCCTGCGCTGACAAGATCGATCTTCTATATTAGTGCATATAAGGATCGAGAATAATGGAAAGCAGAGCCTCAGGGCTAACTTGGCATCTAGTCTCTCAAAACGGAAAGCAGGTAATGATGACAATATATGAGATATGACGTGAAGGTGGATGACCGCAAAATGGCCCCTTGATCATGTCACGAATTACGGCGTAATTGTGTCACCTAAAACACTACAAATCAAAACTGCACAAGCCTAATATATATGACAAAACATGGCGCATTTCGCAAGAGGAACGCACCGATAAAGTCCAGAACAACAGTGTAGCCGGCAGAAGGGGTGAGTCCGTCGGCAGGTGAGAACACATAGCTGAACTCGGGCGCCAGGTGGTTGTCCTGATAGATCGGCCGCCGATCTTCTGGCGCGGATATTGCCTCCAATGTTGCCTCCCTTCCATCCCCTGCATTAAACACCAGCAACCCCCTTAATTACAATAATGTAGGGGGTATTCTCATTTTGCAAGACCAGTGGATAATGTTAGGCATACTCACATGCCCATTTGTGCATGTCTTGCTGAAGCCCTTTATCCCAATTTTCTTGCACCAGAGCAGTATGATCAGCGGGGGTTTTTTTCTTTCAATCTCATGGACCTCGCTGATCAAGAGAAGTGCACCAATTAGAAGGCCACTCAAGCACACTGTCAACTTGGTAGCCGGTGCAAAAACGGCCAAAAAAGCGCACCAACAAAGGAGTGATCCGCGGCCCACACGGCACCATCGCTGTCTGTGTAGTCATCCACAGCGCCAGCATTGATCCGCATCAGCGCTGGCACCAGAACCTCAATGCCTGCACTTGTGACATATCCATTACTAATCATCACCTTTCCAGTGCCAGAACTCTTTTGGCAGGGCCTTAAATCTGCAGCCACTGTAAGCCAGAATTGATGTCAAACCACCTGATGGGTTTCCCCTCTGACTGTGTGCATGATTGGCCATTAGTAAGCTACGCACCAAACGCAATGGCACTGCTCTACATGCTGCAAACAATGCTCTGTTTGGCAAAGGGCAATTTCTTTGGCTTGTCCCTGCATTGCAACCAGCTACCACACAGAGCAAGCCCCACACAGCCTACTTTTTATGGTGTTCAATGCACGTCTTTTAGGACAAAGCGGCAACTTGACATAACGGCAACAAAAAGTGCCGACGCCGCAGCGCGCACAGCGCAGCGGCCGCCAGGAGGGCGGCGTCCACAATCAATGAAACTGGAGCGCGCCTGCAACAGTGGCCCGGTCTGTGGTGCCGAAGAAGATGAGGGAGAGAACGCCGTCTGAGCCCAGCGTCACAGGAACATGCAGCACCAGTGCAACGTCCTTACCCCCTGCGAAAAGGAGGGCAGACCATTGCGTTACACCGCAATTCAGATTTAGCAGTTGAATGCATTTCTTGGGGCAACATAAAGTTTGAGGAGCTGGTGTATGCTGTGCTAGCCGGGTCGGCACAGCATTCAAGTAGAAGGCTTGAACATGAATTTGAGTTTCAACCAAGGCACTCTGCATGCGTTCTAAATGTGCTCAACTTTAGTCTGCCTGGCCGTGCAAGTTGCGACATTCCGTTTCAGAGCTTTATGAGATTTCCTATTCTGTACCTTACTTCACCCTCAAGATATATAACATTAGTCCCCTTGATATCCAGTGCGCACCTGCTCGTGAGAAGATGTCCAGGCCGGCAATCTTCTCCTCCCCATTCACGACCACTGAGAAGACCCGCGCACCAGCCGCCTCAAAATATGTCTCAGCAAAATGCAGCGCCAGTGTATACGTGCCACCTGCACATTTGAAAGACCTATCAATGAACCATACTGCGGCTTTTTATACCTGTCCTGCACGTCTGAAATGGTTACATCATTTTCCCCTCAAGCAATTGAATATTGTCCATCTCCCAAATACCGTGCCGGCTTGCCACCGTATTGACAGACCCATGTGAGGCACCTTCTTCCTGAACAGTAATGCAGGAATGCATCTCTGGAAGTCCTTGCTTCTTGAAATTCTCTGGCCTTTGGCAACTGGGTGGCCTCGAGGTGAGGCAATTCTTTAGGTGATGTTCTTGGGCTGGGCGGTCACGACCAAACCCAGAAAGGCAAGGGTTGCAGCGCACTTCAGCACAAGCAACTAAACTTGGCTCTGTTATGGTGAGTTAAGCAGCTGCGACTCTCCCGGTGTTGCATGGGTGCACGGGTGCAGAGCTTGACAAGCACACCTGGCATGAGCCCATCTGCCTTGGTGAACCCGTACTGGAAATTTTGGCCGGTGCGGCAGGTCCCGTACACGCTGTGAGCACCGTCCGCTGCCGCCGAAATATAGTCATTCGACTTGTCTGCATTGCCGCCTGCACAAATGCATTTAGTACAGTCCAGTTGTTCACCGATTACCACTTTTGCTGCTGGGTGAAAAATAGGTGAAGAATGAGTAGCACAGTGCATTGTCCCATATGTGCCAAGCCTGCGTGATGGCACGAATGGCACCGGTTCATGCTAGTCACGAGTCTGCCTGTCTGTTTCATAGTTAAAACAGAAGGTTGTCCCAGTGCCTGAGGGAGGGCTGTCTCTGCAACCCTGCTTTTCGTTTCAAGGTGTGTTTTTTCAACGCGCTTCAATTCATTATATCTTCTAAGGCGCAATATGCACTGGCAGAACGCGCAGAAGAATTGGATCTTCACTGGATTTTGCATTCTTCAGCAATCGTCTCACGGGGCATTCTGAGCAGACTCACCCACAAAGTTGTAGTCCTTCGACCACGTGTTGTCAGCTGTGTCGGTTAAGGCGGCCCCGTCCAGGCTTCCTGCATCGATCCTGATCACAGCCGGCTGGTACTCTGCGCAGAGCAATTAATTTCCTTCAGGGACCCAGCTCTGGCAAATGTTCAAATATTAAACAGGACTTGTCCTCAGGCCAGCAAATAACCGAAAGTCGGCGCTCATGGTTGAATTAATACATTCAAGAGAATCAAATACCTGCTAACACTGCAGTTGTGAGACCCAAAAGCGCAAGCAATGTTACAACGAAGGGTGTACTGCTCCACCGTCCTGCCATGGCTACCAAGTTTCCGAAGCCTGCATGTCATATTATAAATTAAGAGGATACCATTCAAATACACAGTATTTATATGGGATGAAACAAGGTCGATCGCATCACTGCCAATATCGGGGCTGACATTCGCACAAGCTGACATGTCCCAGACATGGCCAGCTCTTCGAAGCTGGTGATGCCAGCAAGCATAGCGTTCCCATAAGTCAGTTGTAAAATTGATATCTAATTGATTGCGGGTGCTTTTTGAGCAATATCAGGACATCACCGTTCTATTGACGCCTGGACATGCCTCAGATGCCGTGTCTTGCGGGCACGGCAGTGGCACGAAGGGACGATTGACGAGCGCTGCAGAGCAGAACTGCATCCGATTAGGAGTTTCAGTCCTCCTTTGAGGACTGCAAAATGCCTGAACGTGCGAGACGACTCGCTCAGACGGGTCCAAGGTTGAAGGTTCCCGTGTGATCACGTGCCGTATCCGTGCATGCAGTGCTGGGTCCAAAATTTTCTTTGCACATTGCCTTCTGTTTTTGTTTCCTACTCTCCTACCCAATCTGCACCAATGTTTAGGCTAAGAGTGTGTCGGGGGCGTGCCTGTCATATACACAATTTGCCAAACCTGTGACAGAAATCGATTTCGTGCGGCTGACAAAAGCTGGCCAGTGTTCGAATTGGCGACCAGGCGAGCTTGATTGGCGATTATTGAATTTTAAGGACGACAGTTGGTGTCACATAAGATTAAAGCACTGTATGAGGCAAGCAGCAAAGTGCACTGCTAGATGAGCTGGCATATGAGTCATATAAAGACTCATCGGTGGAATATTGCATGCAGGACAGTGGGGATTTCAATGGACAGTAAGAATTCTGGGTCCTGTTCTCTAGGCAGATATCATAGATGTTCAAGACAGCAAGACAAGGTCACCTGCAGCCATGCAACTTATCCTATGCCCGAGCCAGGTCTGCCCATCAACTAGATCCAGCTCCGGAGCTGATCACACAGAAAGGGATCCTGCCCACAATCTGACAAGGCAATCGACCCTGGGTCACATGGCCATCAAATGGACTAATATTCAATCCTTAACAAGTCTTGAACAACAGCAGGCGCGGCCTGTTCACTTGGACTTGGCCAAATGGGTGCATCCTAGGATTCCCATGTGGGAAGCAAGACAGCAGTCTCCTCACAATAAATTCCCCTTGAAACCCACCCAAATGAATGTGACAAACGGGTTCTCAAGATATTATTCTCTAAGATGTAATCTAGGCCTGCGCATCAATTTGGACTGCTCCGCCAGGCTTTGCTCCAAACTTCTTGCGCAGGTATCTCTGCACACGCGCACACAATTGTTACTAAACCACGCTTGTTCCAGAGCTAGGTGCGTTGTAGCAACCTCTCAATACTTCCTCACACAATGGCAGTGACATAATTTTCTTCAACACTCAATTGAGCTCGAGCTTGTTCTCACAGCACACTAACCCCGAACTTTGCTGAGCACTGACTATGTGAAGGTGAGGGCCAAGACATCTTCTTTTGTCGATCTGCCGGCGTTGCCTCAACTTATGGCAGATTCGTTGTGTGGCGCTGACATGACCGAAACAAGAAAGGAGCTGCGCAGCTGCAAGCACTGCACCTACAGGAGCTGGCACTTTGCAAAGGGAGACTTGGTTCTCCAAGTAAGAGCAGGCTCACCAGGGATAGCAGAGCCAGGACGGCAGTGACAATGAGCAGGATCATGAGCAGCCCGAAGAACATTCCCAAAACGATTCCGGCCAGTTGACCTCTGCTCACAAAGAGCACTCCTCCAGACTGCGCAGATATTCCAGTCGTCTGCATGGGTGTTCCCTGCAAGCAGTGTTTCTCATATTGTAAGGTTACCAATATACATTCATACATCACAAATATTATGTTCTACAGACCTGTTGGGAGCTATCTGAGATTCATTGGTCTTGTGGGTAGTCTTCCACTGCCCATGCATATCTTGAGATTCTCACAGGACATCCAGCGTGAAGCCATTGTGGCTTCAAAACTTTGCCTGAGAATTTGGGCCGAAGCCACAGAAGTGGCCAAAAACTAGGAATTGTCTGACTGGAATCCCTCCAAGCTGGCGCTTTTGAGGGTTTCTGGGCCTGAAGTAGGGGAACTTTAGCTTCTTGCATGTGTAACAAATTCCTGAAAGCCAATGAGTGGCCACTGGCCAAAAAGGGCCCGGAACATCATTACATCTGATGCTTTATTCTGTTTAGAGCCACATAGGCTTCAGGGAGCCAATAGAAGATATCCTGCCTGCGAGGCGACCGGGGTGGGGCTCTGGGGTGGACTGCTGGGTGGCGGGCTTGCTGCGGGCGAGGGTGATGTGGAGGGTGACTCATTGGCCTGCACAGCAAAAGTGAGAGCTATTAATCAAAGGGAAACGCAGACAGTAGGGGAGAACAAATAACTTGCAGGCTGTCTCAGTCCAGTCTGCTAGTGTGAACAGAAGTTCACCAAGGTACAATACTTGCGGATTGCACCGTGTCAGGGCTGTACTGCAGATGCATGCAACTGGCCTGAATCACTCTGAGGTGTAATTCTGATCTGACTTGAATGGATCCTATCACAATTGAAATAGCAGAGTATATTCACCAAAAGACTCTTGAATAAGGTAAGAATTTTGCAGCAATGACAGGCAAGCAACGCACACGCAAGCTTGCAGTCAATGCAGAAGGTCCCCTACCAAAGGGGTTGGCGGTGGTGTTCCGGCGGCCGGCACAGGACCCGGGCTTGGAGCCGGCGCTTCGGGTCTGCCCTGTCCGGGCCCCCCATTTGGCACATGCATGGGACCCCCCGGACCTTGCGGCGGTGCCGCATGGCTGGGAGGGGGGCCCACGGCGGGGGGCGGACCCCCAGGCGCGGCCGCAGGCTGCGGAGAGAACGCCGCGGACCCGGGCGGCTCCGCTGGCCGGGGATCCCCCAGGGCGGGGGCCCCCGAGGCCATAGCCGGGGGGAGCGCTGGCTTGGCAGGAGGAGGGGACGCCCCCATGGCCGCGCCGCTGCTGATGTGGATTCCGGCCAGGACGGCGTTGTTGACCGTGGCTGTAAACTGCAACGAGAGGGCGCCGGCTGCGTCAGCTGCTATCTGGAATGTTTCCCAAAGCGGCACGTCCTTGCCGCCTGCGCTTTCAAACCCTCGTAATAGATTGTTGCTGGAAGATTGGCGTATACTGTACTGCTCTTGCAACCGACCTCATACCTTCCTCAGACATTTGCAGCAAGTAGGATAATGCGCATGCAAGCGTTTCCAAGCCACATGCGGGAAGTTCCCCGGTAAACATGCCCCAAAAAGTTCCCCGAGCCTACAGGGTAGATCTTAGAGGCCATTGCAGGGATAAATGAACCTTGAGGGGTCGCAAATGTGCTACCTTACACCAGGAAGTGGCGCAAGGGTACGCGCCTGCAGCATAGTAGATGTCCAAATTGGTCAATAGCGATTTATTCCGGTTGGCAGTCACTGAGAAGAGCCGCTGGCCGGGGCTGTCAAAGTACAGCTCGCAGAACAGCAGCGTGACCGTGTAATTGTGGCCTGCCGCGAGGCCCTCGGTGGGGCCGAATTCGTATTCAAATCCGCCTCCCAGCCGGTTCGTCTGGTAGATGGCGCCTGTGCCGTCTGCTGCGCCCGTAATTGGGTCTTGAAACCCTTCGGTGCCCCCACCTACATATACATAAGATGTTTTACCCCTTCATGAATGCACATCAGCAAATCGAGTAGTATTACATTTGAGCCCTCCATGCAGGCACTCCTACCCATCGAACCGTGAGCGCCAACAAGCTTCAATGCATTTGTTCAAATCCATTGAGACACCAATCTTAATGTGTGGTTTATCATCTCCTTGGTCGTTTGTAACCACATGCAGGCCCTTAATTAGACCTTTCATTACCAGCACAGCCCATTGGTGGTGTTTTTCCCATGATATGCATAGATCAACATGCTACCACTAAACGGGAGTGTTCTAGTAAATGCAAGATGGGGACTGTAGATGCGTGAGTGCGGACCTGTATATCTTTGGTCTGGCAACCAGGTGTGGCCTAAAGTGTCCGTGAAATTGGATGGGTCTGTGTTGCCTGCATCTATGTATAATTCCACTGGCGCTGCCCCTGCCACAATATTAGCACAGCAATGGAGCTCAGCTGCTGGGAATTGATCTTTCGTAATCTACCAGGTGGCAAATAACACCTGTTATACAAATTTTCGAAGGTTCTCATATTCTAAGGCACACGGAGGTCTCGTTCAGTAAAGTCAGGTCACCTGTGCACAACAGGATTTGACTGGAGACGGCGAGAAGGAATCCAAGCACACAGCTCCTACCCGAACGCATATTGCTTGTTGTATGACCGAGTTCCCTGTCGTAATCAACGACAATCTCAAGCGCAAAGAGTCACTTTAGACAAGCTAGATTGTTTTCAGTCTCTTACATCGCGATTGAAGTTCGTGAATGTGGGGGAGCTAATGATCCTCCGCAGGCTTGTCTGTCAATTATAGATCTTATCGTGATTCTTTGTGAAATGCATGCAATTTCAACTTGCCTCACCTGTTAGAACTTCTCTAAGACGCCCGCAGGCGTCCCAAGAGTCCGAGCCCAATGGCTCAAGCTGCTCTTCTTCGGGCCAATTGTATTGCGAAGTGCCTAAAGCTGCTACATTGCAGAATTAGTCACCAACTGACCCGTTTGATGCAGTGTTTCATAACGTTCTCGAGGATGCCTGTTGCCTGTTGGAGCGGCGCTTTGTTCGTCGGAGCCTTGAGACCCTATATGTAACTCCTCAACGCCCTTGTAACCGCTCTAGACAAAGCCCTAAAAAGCTGCTGGGCCAATCCGCCATCCACCACCCCTCTTCTCCATTCCAAGCAGTCCTCTCGACCTTGTCAAGTCAAAATCTTGCGACTCGAGAAAATGAAACTGTGATACATAATAGATTCAATGGAAAAGGGGAGTGAAAAGTAGTGTTCTCTGTCGTGGAAGACTTCGATGGGTCCCTCACCCACCCAAGCCCTGCCTTTGCGGCAGCTAATCTTGCCTTCCTTGAATACACGGCTTCATCAAAAGGGTGGATGCCAGCATCGACTGGCAAGGAGGCGAGGCCTGCAGGCTGTGACATCCCAAACACCTTCAGGAAAGCAGCAAATGCTGGTATTTTTCCGCTCTCATACGTCAATATGAGTAGTTTTGGTATAAAACGAGTATCCATTGAGCCGCATGATTGCTTCGATCTTCAGTACTAGCAGCTCACGCACCAGAAGTCTCAAGCCAAGTCTGCTCTGCTCAACCCAATTTTTCGAGGCATGAGGACCTCCCGATCATCCGCCATACGCTAGAAGTACACACAGTGCCCTCAAATTTACCGGTAACCTCTCATAATGGCGTGCGGCCCTCCTCCTGGCTACCTCCATCGTCTACCACAGAGCCTTGCACTGAGCTTGACAACGTAATTCTCCCCCACTGCAGGTGTATGTCCCCAGCCACCCCCTGGTGAAGCACTGGCTGGCAGTGGCGCGCAACAAGCTCTCACCTCCGCCAGTTTTCAGGAGCGCGCTCGCTGAGCTGGGCAGATTACTCATCTACGAGGCCACTGCTCAGGGTGACTGGCTGCCTGTTCTGGAGGGCCAGGCAGAGACTCCCTGCGGCGTCGCCGACGTGGCATTTCTTGACCCCGGGCGACCAGTCAAGGCGCGTAAATACCTCCACACAAGACACTTACCTTGAGGCGAATGCAGGCTGTCTCAGTGTGGATGTCTCAGGGCATGGAACCCTTAAGAGGAACCCACAGAGGGCATGCATGGTGCATGGCGTGACCGCCAAAATGGCGCCGCTTATGTAGCAAGTTGTATCCCCTTGAACCTGATGATGGGATCCTGGCTTGTTAGTGGAGGAGGCTGATATGGTGTGGTGAGGTTCTGACCAGCGGAGCAGAGTTCTGAAACGCTGAGAGGTGTGTATGGGGAAGGAGGGGTGTTGACCGGGGCGGGCGGATGATGAGTGCTCTTGACAGGCGCTGCATACTCAGCAGGCCTTGAGGCATTGTCTGTGATGCACGCTCAGCGGATTGCCCTCCAATTCTGACGCCTGCCCTGGCCATATCTTTGCCGCTACCAGCCCTTCTCCATTGTGTTTGGGCCCTCTTGAAGAAAGGGTCACCGTCTGATTTCACCGCAGATGGCAAGTCTCAGGTCAATGGCACAACTAGACTGCCATGCTATGCACAAGTCGGAGGTTGTTGCGGCGTTTGGATAGACCCCTGCAATGCACAGAGCGCCTTTTTGGCATTTCAACCCTGGGCCCTGAGCCCTGGCCCCATAGCATTTGTGATACTGTCTGAGAGCTATCCACTTGGACTGCAATTGATGTGCTGTTGCTATATCTGCAATGGCGGGTGGTGCCACAACTGTGCGCAGGGCTGATAGAGAATGAAAATCAGCGCATTCAATCTCAACAGAGCCTTGACCGCACAGATGCACCACCGAACAACAAGAAGTGCAGATCTAGACTACCACTGATTGTTGCATCATTTGCTGTGCCAGGTGGTGCCGATTCTGCGAGCAGGGCTGGTACTGCTAGAGGCAGCTGCCACGGTGCTGCCGGGAGCCCAGACGTGCCACGTGGGTTACGTGAGGGATGAGTCGTCGCTGGAGGTCCGTGCCCCCGGTGTGCGGCATACACCACCCCTCCGCACATTTCCCAATTTATTTCCCCCCTAGATGTGTAAATGATAGGGTTTACAGACATTGAGAAGACTGCACTTGCTATACTGGCTTTCGTCAGGAACACCAATGATCATCTTGAATCTGATTCAGCAAGTCAGAGGAGAAGAGTGTGGCTGCTTGTTACTCCTGCGTGAGCACCTGAGCAAGCGTCCAAGATGATCCAGCAAAGCAAGAATTTCCTGCTGTGTGTGACCCTTGCGTTTTGGGTGCGCGCAGGCGACCGCATACTTGAATAAACTGCCTGCGAAGCTGGATGCAGATGACAGGATACTCGTCGTGGACCCCATGCTCGCCACAGGTGCCCTTCTGATTTACTGTTCAACATGCATGCACAGTGCATAGCAAAGCTTGAGCAGCGTTGGATTTCCTACAAGAGATGCAATTGCCCGTCTTGACTCCCTCAGGGTTGGAACTTTGGACATGGGATTTCTCCCATGCCCTGCTCAGTGAGATGAAAGCATGAGCATCTCCTCTGCTGGCTTTTGCAAGTATGTGCCGCCCATTGCTCTTTAGGAGACATGACAGAACCCAGAAGGCAGGAAAGCCCTGTTCCTACTGCCCCTATGTAAGGAGTGGGTTAAACAGCACGCATGTGTGGCTGCTGACATCATGTTGCTGACATGGCACGCAGGTGGCACAATGGTGCAGGTGCTGGATGACATCATCGCGCGCGGCGCATCCCCGGCCATGATCCGCATCGTGACAGTTGTCTGTGCGCCAGTCGCCCTCAAAAAGCTGTCCGAGGGCTACCCAGGTGCAGCTGCTCTCCTTTCACTGCCGCTGTTTATTTTACTCATTGAAACATGCTAGGCACGATCCGTGTCCAATGAATAACCTGCGAGGTAGACAGCTTTATATGCCCCCAGCGATTGGATGCAGCTAGTAATGCCTTGTGGTCTGATGAGCACAGCAGCTATTGCTGCTTGGCTCTCATCATACTCATCGCAGACAATTGAAGATGCACATCGGTCCTGCTGAGGTCACCTTGTTTGATTGATTTGAAAGCGTTTGCCCTGTCAGGCGATCTTCATTATGTTCACAATCAAAGGACTCCTATAATACTTCTGTGAACTTCAGTCTGTGTCGTCATTTTTGCGCAGGGCTGAATCTTTGCGTATCTCTGTGCAGGGCTGAAGGTCTACTCAGCCATGATAGACACGGAGCTGAACGACAAGGGTTACATAGTGCCTGGCTTGGGCGATGCTGGGGACCGCGCATTTGGCACCCTCTGATCTTTGGGTTGGTGAACCGTGGATCTGTGATTATTATTATTATTACACGCTTGTCCAGTCCTTCAAGGACCAGGTGCGTTTTGCAACACCGTGCTGATGGTGGATCTGTGATGGGCCTCACTAGATTGAGATCCACAGGTGAGAACTGGCGTCCTGTGCTCCATGCCATCCTGGTCTGGTTTTCACCACCTTTGAACATGCTGAGGGAGGAAGTGTATGATAGCGGGCGATTTTCTAGTTGCAATTTGGTGGCATTGAAACTGTGCATGGCGCTCATGAGCTCACTGTGTTCTCTACGATTTTTTAGGAGTTGAATGTATGCGCTGCAAGCAAGTGTGTCCGCTGAATGACTTCATAGAATTACTAACCAAAGGGTAGATGATGATCACTGTTGATAGTTAAAGAGATGTGTAGTGGATCCGCTTTAGTTAATAGCAGCGGCAGGCTCAGATGCCAGCGCTATGGGCCTGGGCGCCCCAGCTCCTCCTGCCTTGCCTGCCTTGCCAGCCGCGCGCGCCCGCGTGGTCCCATGAGATATTTGACTTCAACACGCCTGCTGTACACGCTTGTGGCATCAAGTACACACCTCCTCCGAACTATAAAAAGGTAAAAACGACAGAGAGACATCCACTGGATCCAGACCACGGTACATTGAATTTGGATGCACAATCAAGTCCATGCAGGGCACAAATTATAAATCCTCAAAGGTATTCTGAGTATATCGCCGGAGTTAGAGGGCCTCCTAGCAAGAGATCAGGCTGACAGCGAGAAGCCCACCGTGGGTGACCTCACAGAACTGTTTGAGCTAGCTAGAATCAATACTGTTCGCGGCGCAAAGCGATTAGAAAGTGGGTATACAAGACAGCTCTGTCTATGCTTACTTATTTCACAGACGGGAAGCATTAGCATTGCTGCCGAGCTAGTGCAATTTGCAGACCTTCACAACGCATTGCAATTGATTCATGAGGTGCCCAAACTAGCCAATTAGGGCACGCCATGGCACGCCCTATAGGGCCAACTATTGATCATGACTGGAACACTGATGATCATGCTTTCGAAGGATGAATGCTGAAACTAAGAATATTGTACCCCAAGGAACCTTGCACTTTGTGTTCTCAGACAACAATGTGAGAAATCAATGTCCAACGGCACCTGGAGTTTCACTGCAGATGGCATGTGTTCTCACTTGTGTCGGTTGCTGACGCCTGCTTGTGGTATCGGAGGATCTTGCAAGAATAGGAGCCAGCAGAGAGCTCGACTGGGTTTAACGGTGAGGTGTAGAGACAACGAAAGGGATGACGAAAGTGACAGTTGGTATGACTACTACAAGCTACACATCGCTTCCCCTTCTGGTCAAGACAATCTCAAATGGGTGCGAGAATCATGTCACACTTGCAGGCAAGGACACTAATCGTTAGTATTTCAAGCCCGGGTTGCCTGTGTAAGACGCACTGTGTGTGCCGTGCAGCTACTCAGACAAGACTGGCCTTCAAAGGAACAGAAAGAGCGCTTTTCAACATTCCTCATTCCTGAGATCTTTATGCCAGACAGCGATATCATTGAGGTATTCGGGATGGACAGCAAATCCTTTTCCTACAGGTTCTTGGGTCAGGTCAACCTTCAGATTTTCAAGCACTTGTTGCTTTGTCATGACAGGTCTTCCTGCAGAAAAGCAAGAAAGACCAGTTTTCTGTCCATAAAGTGATGCGGGCATCCCTCATGAAGTGCCAAACGTCGGCCCAAGCGAAAGAGTTGCTGAAGGCTGAGCTTGGCATTGCTGCTGCAGTCAGCGTTGACATCTTCTGGTCAGATGCATTGGACCCATACCTGGCTCATAAGAAGATGAAGCACGATTATTTCCATGAGTTCAACAGAGTGCATCCCGCACTGGGGAGTGACATTTCAGAAGCTGGTTGTATCGTAGTGGTGGATCCTGCATGGTATCTCTTTTCCTTGTTCAATTCGATCTTCTCGAGATGATGGATCCCAAAAGTGGTCAATAGCACAGAATCTCTCTTTGTCTTTCATATTGACAAGTCAACGGGTGTCTGCGCAGGGCCAAAGACCTTGGTTGAGCATAGTGGACAAGAATGAAAAGGCAGTGAAAGAGTGCTCTGCTGAGTCTGCCAGCAGGGCTCTGAGAGACATATCTAGACTGAATACCTTTGAAAGTTAAGGACTGCCTTCATGATGGATCAATTCCCCGATTTCTGGGCACTTGTCCAAAAAATGGTCGCTTGCCTGCCTAGATCTGAATAGAAAGAAGAAGCCGAAATGGCATGAGGTGCTTATCTCTAGTCCCAACATCCTGGGCAACTTCTCCTTGTGTAAAATAAAATATAGCATCAGTCTGCAGCTACAAGTCAAGCTGTGTACACAGTTGTCTCCTTGATCTCTAGCTGCACAATCCTTTGAGAAAGGTGATAGCTTCAGAAATAAATCACCAAATATATCTGAAAACTTTTCAGGTTGAACTTCTCAAGTTGAACTTTGCTGCACTCTGCATATTATTCAATCGCTTTTGAAATTTTTGCAACCTGGGACAAACAGTCACAAACGGTGGGTCCCTTTGCGCAAGGCATGCCACACTTTAACGCCTTTCTGCCCTCACGCCACTGAGCTGGTGGCCAGCTGGACATAGAGGCTGCGCATCTCGTCGTTGGCCGCATGCACCTCCCCAAACGCCTCCCTGTAACCTATCTTCTTCCTCTTGCCTGTGGCGCACCACAAACCTGTGACTACTTGATGCTATCTCAGACAAATTCAAAAGCAATGTAAGCAGGAGTGTGCACAGACATACAAGGCAGTGCGAGCAGCAAGCAATCACACGTATAGTACTATGAAAGGAATGGTACAAGCAGGACAGAACACATATGGCATGATGCCCTGACAGAATATCCTTGATGAAATATATATTCAAGGCAATGCGCCCAAGAGGTCACCCACGCTGGTTCTCAATATCCCACCATCGTGTAGCAACAAGCTTGGCTGCAACGAAACAATGAAGACATGTACAAGCGCAGTAACAGGCTCCACGCCTGTGCAAAAACAAGTGAAAGCCATTGACTGCACAGGAGGGGCTGTACCCTCTTTGTTGCCGCCCGCAGCGCCGTTCTTGAGGAAGGGGTCGCGAGCCCAGGTCTGCTGCATCTGCTGCCAGCGCGCCACCCTGTCCATCCTCCGGGGCCCTGCACAGCAAAAGGCTCATATCCACAGATCCCACTTTACCTTCTGTTTTCTTTCGCCGAAAGCTTGTCCTGAAAGTGGGGGCAAGGGGAGTAGAACCCTACATTAACTCCTACAGTATTCTACTCCCCTTGGTGGGGGCTCAGTGAGGACTGTTTGGACCTTTAGTCAAGGGTGACCACAGTATAAAGACTGCTCAAGGATTTTTTGCGGTCATGACGAGGGACCCCCACCTTTGACGCTGGTGACCACCGAGCGGGGGATCCCGGCCGCAGACCGGGGGGTCCGCTGCGGCGCCGACTGCGGCCGATTCTGGTCCGGCCACTTCTCCGCCGCGCCCTTTTCATTCCCCCGCTGAGTGCTCAACACACGCGCCGAGGCAGGAAATGAGGGAATTGACACGTGTGCGTCCGCGTTATTATGCGCTGCCCTCCGGCTGCAGCGCGGCCGCTCCCGTGCCGGGGGCGCCGGCTGCAATGAATAAACGCGGGACGATGCCAGGTCAGCCGCCAGCTGAGGACCAGGCTGGCAGCTGAGAGGATGTGCCCGGGCACCGACGTCCACCCACTGTCTTGCTGTCCCCCCGGCTCCTGCTGCTCGCCTGTTCTGGCCGCTGAGATTTCGATTTGAGCTGCCGGCGCGCCGAGGCGAGCGGCCGGCGCCGGGCAGCCGTTCTGTGGCGTCCCTCTCGGGGTACAGCGGCGCGTGCAGCAGCAGCTCGTGCCATGGCACGCGAGGGAGTTCCCTCTCTCCATGCAGCCCGTCCTGCCCCGGGCCCACATTTCCTCTGCTGTGCTCAAGAGCCGGCACTTCCGCTGATGCACCTGTCTGCAAGCGCTCATCCTGGACTGACCTGCCGCCAGGAAATACACCAGGAGAGTCCGCTCTGATTGGCATGCCATCTCCGTGGCCGAGTACCTTGTCCAGGATGCTATTGCCGCAGAAGAAATGGCTCTCTCTTGCGGAAACTGAGCCCGGCAGCGGGGGCGGCGGCTGCTCGGTGTCCCAATAGGTGCCGCCGCCACAGCAGGCGGCATTGCTAAAGTAGGCGGACGCGGCGCCGTCCCCAGGATTGGCACCGTCGCCAAAAATGGCTCCGGAGCCGCCGCCGCCAAAGTAGGCGTCCCCGTCAAACCCGGTGCCGCCGCCACAGTAAGCGTCCCCGCCGAAGCAGGCTGAGTCAGCTGCCGCTGAGTCATGGCCGCGGTGCAGGCCATGATCGAAGTTAGGGAGCTCTGCTGCCAGCACTGCCGCGCGCGCTGCCAGCTCAGCGTACATGCCAGAGTAGGCACTGGACACGTCAGCTGCAGTGAAGCTTCCCTGATCCTCCTGCTCCCAAGAAGTTTTGCCCCTGTGGACCGGGGATGCACCCTGCTCCGAAGCTGCAAGCCGTTCTGCGCGCGCCTCGTCCAGGCTGGGACCTGCTTCAATATTGGCTGATCCAAGTGTGTCGGCAAATGGGACGTGAGAGCCTCCGAATGTGAATACAGAGGGCAGACTGTGGCTGTCGACATTGCGTGCAAGGGCCACAGAGGATGGGGGCATGCTGACATCACTCGCTGCATGTGCAGCTGCCGCAGTGTGCTCTGGCCCCTCTGTCTGCAAACTCGCTGAGTCTTGCCGTGCCTCGACACTGGCTGAATCCCTGCGCAATCCACCCTAAGGAATTCAGCAAAAATTTGGATTGATGGCATACTGGCACCATTTATTAACCATGTACTCCAGGCAGGCAAACCTCCTTCCAGTGGACCCGGCTGGAACTGATGGGGCCCTGCAAGAAGACGCATCAAGTCTCTTTCTGGCTGAGTGTATTGCAGAAAATGTCTGAGAGTTCGTGATCACCTAACAGGACTGCCGGCGTGTTGCGGCTGGCTTTGGCCCTCTGCGGCCTCCTCTGCCCGAGATCTGCTGTCCTCCTGAAGTGGCAAGCATTTGTGTATGGCCGTGAAGCTCATTAGAAGTGCAGTATCAGAGACGGGTCTCTCTTCATGCCAGGCATATACAAGGCAGTGTCAATTCTGCACAACTCCGATAACGTCGCAGGCCCAGCATCTTACCAAAACCTGAAATACAGATCATTCAAAAGCCATATGCGCAAGAAGCCTGCAATGTAGATGTCATGAGAATCAGCCGCACACCTGCTCGCCACTGACTTCAATTGCTGCTGCATTCAGCGTATCTGCGCTATTGTATGCTAAGCTGTATTCTTGAGGATAGGCTCCCGCCTCACTGTCTCGTTGTTCCAGACGTGATTCGTCATCCTTCCCTCGATCTGACACTGCTGCGCTTGTCTGCTGTTCGCTTTGAGATGCTATAAAGGACACCTCAAGCCGATCAAGACTTCTTCGCGCAGCAGCGCTGCTGTGGCTATCTGACGGCTGTAGATCCACAAGAAAGGATGCATATGACGTTCCAGGACTACTAACGACGCCCTGTTGGCTCGCAGGGCTTGCATCCCAGTGGTCAAGGCTGCCTGCTGCCCAGCTCTGACTTTCGATCGGGATCGCAGTAGACTGCGCACTGCCCTGAGGATTTTGCTGATCGGCTGTAGGATCGTATAGAAATGGAAGGCTGACTCCATCACGCGCTTCTGCACTGTCACTCTGACCCAACTCAGCTGCTTCCTTCATTGCTTTCGTGCTGCCGTCTTTGAGGAAGCTTCTTATGACATGATCTGGGATGTCATGGCCAAGCAGAATGAGCTGCTCCTTCACAGCCTCGAAAGTCACTCCATCAGTGGCCAGGTAGGCCTGCATGGTGATGTCTAGTCTTACTTCCCGCCTTGAAAATATGAATTGTTAGCTTACATCTGAACGCACGATTGTGTACAGCTCAGTCGAAGAACAAGCGATCCCTACAAGTAGCAACAACTGGGATCCGATCGGGAAACCGAGGAGATGATTAGTCCGTTGACAAAAATAAATGACGCCGTCTAAGACCGTGGCAATTCAAATTTCCATCACACAAGCGCAATCTCACAACGGTCAATGCACATGTAAACCGAATTTGCATGGCAGGAGCATCGTGTGTTTATTCATCGTTCTATGCATGTTATAGTGTGCTAAGCGTGCTTTGAAACCAGCGTAGGAGTGACACTGATATGTTGATGTTACTCTGACAGCTGTGATATCCAAGAGCTGCCTACGACATTGTAACTGTCCCACAACAAGAGCTGTTGATTTGATTGATTTAAACAAAACTTAGAGCTGTCCCAAGGCGCAAGATTTTGGTCTAGGCTTATTTCTTGGAGTAGGCAGTTGGGACTTATTCAGCGTCCGAGACGATAAGCAAGGCCAAAGATCCGGGCTTGATGCCTGTTGCAATCCGGTACTAGGTAGAAATTAATGTTGCCACAGTCAGACACGCAAGCGACGTCGCCAGCCGCGCCTAACAGCGTCCAGCAACACTGGCCAACAAATGACATAGATCAGCCTGAGTCTGTTGCGGGGAAGGTGCAGCAGAATGGACATGTGCTAAGTGACACAAGCGAGGATACTGTACCATCCAATCCAGCTGATTCAGCTCCCAAGTGGGCAAGCAGGCCAGTGAGTGGCAGCAGCTATGCTGACACGCTCTCCTCATCAGCCTTGCACAGCTCTCAGAGCAAGGAGGTCTGGCGAAGCATAGCGTTTGAGGCTGTGAACAAATCCACGAAGGGGCCTAGTGAATCTGTCACAGCTCCAGCTGGAGCAGAGAAGGCAGACTCAGGTAGGAGCCATTTTTCTGCAAAACTCAGATAATTGTCATCCTTTTGCTTTGCAGTTTGTCGCAATGCCTGGCAGGTACCTTAGCCATGCGAGCATGAAAGGCTCGCTTTGCTGTGCTAAGGCAAAGGCATTGCTGTGCAGGGATACTGGGTGCTTGGAGGGGCGGACCAGGTCTAGGAAACACCATGAATGGACCAACATCTGATTTGCTCAGCACTGCCACCCAGGGCAGCACAGACTCATCGCACATGGTGCGCACATCATGGTCTTGTCCACACGTCAAGAACCAAACATGCATAGATGCGTAGCACCGTGCCTCTCTGCGTGCTCCTGTGTGCCGGCTCTGCAGGCATGAGCATGACGGCTTACACAGGTACGGGTTTGTCACAGCAGTGCAAGTATCTGTCTGCCTGCTGGAACAGGAGGCTGGACCCTCGGCAGCTGCGCAGCCGACGCTGCTCAGCGCAGAGTCAGTAGAAAAGGCGAACGCAAAGAGGGCCAGCAGCAGCCGCAGCAACAGCTTTTCTAGTGAGGGCATAGCATCCTCAGAGACTTCTGCAACTGTGGGTGGTCCCTCAGGCACTGCAGATCCACCTGCACTGTCAGCACATGGGGATGAATCAGCGCTCAGCGATCACAAAGCAGAGCTTGCCACAGCAGCGGCATTCGGCGGCACAGCGCTATCAGCTGCAGGTCTCCCAGTAGACAGCAAGGTGGGGTGCGTGCCAGAAGAGGCGGCAGAGGAAAGTGGGCAGGCTGGGCAGCTGTCCTCTGCCCAGGGTAGGCAGCCCGAGGCTTCGGCGCCAGATCAGGCAACGCGCGCACCGGTGGAGGGAACGTCGGTTGCAGATGCAGACCAGGACGCCAGCTCAGCCCCAGCTGCCAAGGGCGCCAATGTGGCTGTTTCAGCTGTCGTGGGCGTGGGGCATTCAGAGCAGCAACCTGTTCATGCGCAGACTCAGGAGCCACTGGTGTCCCTGAACACAGGTTCGCTAACCTCTTCATCTGCCCATATCTCGCCGTCTTTTGAAATGTCACATCTGAAACGGTGTCCTCGCGCACTGCATGAATCTGTAACACCATCCTTATACTTAGCCCTTGAGTCAGCCCTTTAATCGGCCGTCAGGCTGTACAGTGTATCACACTTGGCTGATATTAATTTCAAGAGAGATTGTGCTTGTCTGTCACAGTGCAGAATGCATACGGATTAAATGCATATATGGGTCCTCCGATCATTACAGAGTTGACCAGATGATTTCAGAATGGGCATCCTGTGACAGCATGCACAGCAGGAATGTGGCTTATTGAAGGGCTCCCCTTGTGCTCATTCAGGCAACCCATTTGCGCGGGGCCTGTCGCGGCCGTGCAGCCCGGTGAACGCATTCGCAGCGCACACCCGCTCGCGCTCGATGCCTTCGTTTTTGTTCGACGACCCCCGGCCCTCCTCCGCGCCTCCCTTTGTCGGCAGCCCCACGGCCGCCGCTGCAGCGCAGGTGTTTCTTTATTTTGTTTTTGCATATCAGCATCAGTTTTCAGCCTGCCTGCACTCTTCTCACTGCATCATAGGTGGTCTTTTTGAGTCTCACATGTTCTTTAGCTTGCCTGGCATTGAATCCCAGGTTTTGCTATTTTTTCGCGTGTGTCGTTGTGAGCTTATGCAGCTTGCCTCCCCTCTTGTCACAGCATCTTAGATTTTACTTTTGAGCCTCGTATGCTGTCATGGTCTCATTACGCTTGCTGCATTTCATGTGTTGTTTTGTTCTCTTGCATGTCATCATGAGCTCGTTGAGCTCGCCTGCCCCCTTGTGACTGCATGCCCGGTGTTGTTGTTGAGCCTGTCATATTTCATGCGCTTTCTCAGCCTGGCTGGCCTCTTCCCATCGCCACCCATCTCAATCGGCAATGCTGCACTTCTGTAGGCAGATATCACCAAGCAGACAAGTTTGGCAAAGGCTGGAATGTTGTAGAGTCGGAGCTCGTTGGCTTTAGACACAAAAGATCTTGTGAATCTGCAGACTTTCATTGGACGCTGCTAACATGCAGGTGCAGGCTACACAGGCGCCAGATCAGGATGTGCCACCTCAACATGCGCCAGGTCAGCATGCGCCAAATCAGACGAGTGGCGCATGGCTGTACCAGGTGCAGCCGTCGCCGGGGGTGTGGCTGGAGGGAACGCGCGCCAGACCCGTCGATGTCATCCTCTCTGAAGTCCTCGGCATGCCCCAGGCAAGACAGGCCCCGACGAGTGACAAGCCGGCAGGAAATAAATGTGGGATTGGGCAATTTTGACCTTCATCAGTGCTACGCCTGTAAATACTGTCCTGACGCGCTGGTGCAGGACTGGATTGCACATGTTATCCACCGGACCCCAAGGTGCCCATCTGACATGGTGTAGATGAAGGCACTGAACGACACCAGTGATTGCGGGTCTCAGAATGAGTACTACAGTATCATGGGTCCCAGACGTGGCAGGATCTGTGGCAGCTACAGTGCAGTACAGTGGCTTGGGAAATAGGGTTCAGCAGACATTTGAGTGCTGATAGACGGGACATGGGCAGGAATTCTATCACATGCACTTGGAGCAATTCAACTTCATCTTCAACTTCATCTGATTCTGCCATGGCTGGGGCATTGCAGGTTGGGGCCGCAGCGGCAGGGCCAATTCATGCGCGGCAGCAGCGGCAGCCGGAGAGAGATATTGCTGACAGATCAGGAACCTCTGCCGCTGACTCGCTGGCCCCACTCCCCGCTCACGCCGCTGTCACAGCCGCCCCTGCACCTGCAGACACTCTCCCAGCAATCACAGAACAGGGGGACCAGGCGGCTTCATGGGACTATTGTTTCCCAGAGGCGGAGTGCACGTTCCCTCCCCAGCACTCCACCTCAGCAGAGCAGACTCCAGGGCAGCTGCAGAGGCCACTGGCGGATTTCGACTGCGGCTTCTCCACCGATATGGGCGCCGCTGCTTCCCGGCAGCTGCCAGAAGCCGGTCCTCCCACCTCCGGATCAGCCGTCGCCGGGGGGTCCTCCTGCAGCCGAGGGAATCCGCTTCCAAATCAATTTACCACGGTACGTGTGAGATACACAATCTTTGTGTACTCTTTGTCACGTCCTTGCGAGATTTTTCTGTCAGAACTGCTCTATTCAGAGCTGTTGACTGCTGAGCGTCCTGAATGCTGCACACAGGTTTTGCATGAGTGAGTCAAAAACTCCTGCGAAAGACTTGAATGTTGTGACGTGCAGGCAAAGCAGCCACCGCCGGGGGTTCCTGCATGGACGGAGGGGACCACGAACTTCCCCCTTCTGCTGCCAAAGCGCGAGGCGCCACCGCCGCCGCTGCCGCCGCCGGCAGTGTCGGCCGTAAACCCGGCGTGGCATTCCCTGCTGCCAGCTCATGACATGGGGCATCACCTGCGGTCTCTGACAGAGCTTTCCAGGTATGTCACCTCTCAGCTGATTGCAACACACTTCACGGCTGATCTACCCTGTATAGCAGGAAACATCAAGATTTAGTGTATCTAACTCTAATACACACTGTCAGATGTAGTAGCACCTGCTGGAAGGTGGGTGATTGCTTGCAGATTATTTTAAATTTTGGACATGCAGCCTAAGTCTCACTTACAATTTCATGCCTGTTCAATCGTCTGCAGTTTGTCAGAGGGCAGCGAGGTCGGCTGTGAGGGGCCAAGTGTAGTGGCGGCGGATGACGTGGCGCTGACATGGCGCCCCATGCGCCAGGCGGACAAGGACAGCTGCCGCAGGGCGTTCCATTCCAAGGCAAGCCGCAGTCTCTTTTTCTTGCAGAATAAAATCCAGGCACCAAGCCTTGCTGCCATCCAATTGCTTTGTACTTGTTTGCGTCTGGTCACGAGATCCGGCCATTAGTGCCCAGCGGTTGCTCCAATTGCAGTACCAATTGCAAGTGTGAACTGCAGAGCATACTGTTCCCCAGCAGACGAAGCTGGACCCGTGCAAAACTCACAAGCATACCATGCACCAAATCCCTCAAGCCAACACTAGTACATTGTGCAGGGGGCACACAAAACAGGGCCGCATCACTGGCAGGCTCTTTCTTGCCACACGGTGCACCTATCAGAGCAAGGAAGGGGTGCAGCTTCATGATTTAGGGTGCAAATTATGCTTCTTGGTTTGAAACACCATAGCCAGTCGCCCAATCTAGAGGAGCACTTGAGAAAATGGGGCCAACCTCCTTACGGCCTGCCCAACTTTGATAGAGCAAATAAGTTGCTGGAGAGCTAAAGACAACAGCAGAGCCACAGGTGACTTAAGAGTAGAGACTAGGGAGTCTCTGAGCAAGCGCCTATGTGCGGACCATGCTAGTTCAGAGCGAAGCCCCTGCAGACCTGCATGCATGAATTTTAAAACCAGCAAGCGCCTCTTCAAATTCCGGGTGGTCTGCTACGCAGGGGCACGCGAAGTTGGGAGGGGTGTCCAGGGAGGACGCAGAGATGGTGCACAGGGAGCTGCGTTTAAAAGAGCCATTCGAGTCTGTGTGGGCGCTGGCGGACTGGAACGCCGCCGAACGGCTGAGCGAGACGCAGTTCATGCTCTTCATGTTCCTGCTGAAAATGCTGAAGAAGGGACGCCCCCTGCCGCCCCGCCTCGGCCTCACGCAGGCGCGTTCCCTCTTGCATCCAAGAGTGCCAAGTGCAATGCATGTCTCTTTGTCTATGGTGACAACAATTCAGGAATGCAGATTTCTGCATAATACTGGGTATAAATCCTTGGATTAGAGAGAGAAAAGATCAGTCGGGCAAAGCCTGCATCAGCAGAGGGATGTCCCCATTGCTGTGACGTGGCAGCAGCTTTCCGAGCATCCATGCATGGCGTCAGCAAGCCAAGGAATGCAGTCTGCATGAGAATCTCTGCTTTCCACAAGCCAGCTCAGGTGTTCAAGACACCACTCCCCTAGTGCAGGTGTCCTACCTACTGGGCATTCCAGCAGAGCAGCTGCTGCCACCAGCCACAAGCATGCCACAACTCCTGCCCTGGCCCGAGTTAGTTCCACCCACCCCGGAGCTCCTGCCACAGCCTGCAGTCACTGGGAACGAACCTCTCCAAGATCCTGCCACGCAGCTGCAAGCAGCTGACAGGCAGGTTGGGAACGCGCCGAACGTGCAGGCGCAGCCGCGGCAGCCATCCGATCTCATACTCCGGCTGGCAGCTGGCGCAAAGGCGGCGCAGCAGCAGGCGCCTGATCAGGCTGCGGCCAGTCCAGAGGGAGTCAGCCTGAAGCAGCCGCTGCAGGTAGGACCATGTTTCACCCCTTCACATATAAGTGGCCCCGGCTGGCTGAGGCGGTACAAATACTGAGCTCCATGCCACGGTTGATTGCGTCTTGCTTGAAATTGGCAAGTTCATCAAGTTTAATTGCAGCTTGTCTGCAAACGCACCTTGCCTCTGCCAGGAGAAGTGTGCAATATAAAATGATATATTTGATTCGCGAGATTCCTGTCATGGTGTGCGCTGATGGCGTTTGCTGATTGCTTTGCCTGGTCATGCAAGCACAGGTTCAGGCTCACAGCAACAATCATCTTGGCATGGAAGCCATTGGGTGCAGTGCCTTCTTCTCAAATCACAAGCTCAGATTCAATTTACGGGTGATCTTGAGTATGGGATCATGCGCAGGCGGGCGCGGGGGGCGTTAGGGGGCGTTCTCCGCCGCTGCCGGCTGGGAGCCCCTCCTTCTGGCAGCCCTTCGGGGCCGGCCGCGCGGCAGGTGGGGTCCCTGCAACTATCGTATGCTGTTCAAGCTGACAACGCAGGTAGCAATATTTGCTTGCTGGAGTAGAGTAGGGTGTTGGCCGATGTTGCAAAAGTATACCTGGTGCATATCTTTGCCACACTGTGGCTTTGCGCGAATCTTTCTCCTGGATTTCCGTCTCACAAGGCTTCTATCCACATCTCAATCATGCCAGCCTAGAGGATCTCTTTCACAGGAACACAAGCAATTGTTTTGCTATCGAAATATCTCTGACAAAAAAGATCCCAATGGTGCAGGTAATCCCCGCCCGGCATCTGCCCCGAGCCCGACGGCCGTGCGCGCGGCCGCCGCAGCCGTAGGGGGTCCCTTCGGCCGGGGGGTCCCCGCGCCAGATCAGGCCACCCGCGACATCTGGCGCCCATTCGACGGCGTGCCTGCCAACGGCCTCAGGTCCACACTCTACGATCCCTGCATCTCAGAATTCAATCTGCTGATCCACAGACCTGTCTTTGCATTCCTGCTGAATGTGTAGTGTTATACAGGGTCTGATGTAGGGCACATGTCAAATTCCACTGTGGTGCTTCAGGGCCCAGACTGGCATCTCCTGCAATGCAAACTTACAGACCTGCGTCTGCATTCTTCCTGTAAACACAGTGCCTGACCTATGATTTGCACGGTGCTTCAGGGCCCAGAGCCATGCGAACGGATCCGGGCTCTTCGACACGTCGACCGCCTCGGACGAGGAGTGGCAGCCATTCGAGCGCGCTCCCGTTGTGAATTCGAATATGGATTCAAACGAGTCACAGTGGCGGCCGGACGCCTGGGCGGCAGATAACGGGCATCCCCCGGTGCATGCGCAGTCAGTGCCTGTCTCCTGGGGCGATGCCGGCGCCCGGCCGCCAACCCGAGCCGCCAGCGCTTCTGCTGAGGTGAGGCAAACCCATCTGTTCCAAGCAAGTTTCAATATTTCCAGTTTAGTGATTCGTTGGGTCTTGCTTGCATCTGGCGAGTCCATGAAAGGGTAGTGTATGTGGCAGCCTTTCATGCAGCTTGTCTGCCGACGCAAATTTGCCTCTGACTGCAGTGAGTGATATGTGTGACTGTATTGTGTGCTGGTGCCTGCTCACTAAAAGGGATCCCGCCGAGGGCTTTGGTGTCAGTCAATCAGAGCATGTCCCACGCAGTCATTTTTAAAGCTAATCTGTGTCCTGCCATTATGCTTGGGCGGTGTCATCTACGCTCATGTGATGTCTGATCTGTGACTCAGGGCCGGGAGCAGGCGCGTATTTTGAACGGGACAGGTGCGCGGAGAGGGAACGCGCAGGGACTGCCGCCGTCTGGGCAGCAGCAGGCACGCCCCCAGACGGCCGACCTGCTGTCCACCTGGCCACAAAGGAGCAGCCTCAGAGAGGGTACGCCTTCTCATGCTTTGCCTAGCACACAGACCCTAGGATCCGACTACAGTTGAATTGAAATGCTTGAAGGTCAATTGAGATTAGAAGTAGGGTATCTCTCCAGTATCACTGTTTCTCTTTGCAACATGTCTGCGGGAAGTCCGTTGCACATCCAAGATCTGAACTGGCACCCTGGCTACCTTAGAAGATACACTTGCGCATTGCAGGCACATGAAAGTGTTACAAGGGGCAGTGTTAAAAAGGTCACATGGAAATTTTTGGAGATATATTTCTAGAGTCAAGCATGTTGTGCAGGCATCCCGAGCCCTCGCCGCGCCTCCCCGGCGGCTCCCGGCTCAGGGGCCACGACACCGCGCTCGCTGTCACCGGACAGTCACCCGCCCAGTCATCACCCGATGACTCATCACCCGCCGAGTCACCAGCCGGCAGGCGCTGTCAGCCTCTACAAGCAGCCCACCCTGCGATCCGGGCCCTCTGCAGGTGCCCTTCATTTGCGTGGTTGCTTGTTCTAGACATTGTAAGAGGGTTTCAGATCTGCTGGAGTTCAGACATCCTCTGTCTCTCTGCAGCAGTGGCAGCAGCAAATCCTCTAAAGGAAACTTAGCTATTCCCCATCATCGGAGAAGCGGCGCCATCAGTCTCTCCGCACTATCGCGGTCATACAGAGCCGTTTTCAGGAGCCGAAAAAATCCCCGTGGCACTGCTGCCACATCCTGCCAGTCCGAAACACTTATAACGATTGACTAAGGTTCCATATGCAAAATCTATCAGTGAGTGTCTTCCACACTTTTTTCCCCATGCATGACTGTCTCTCACACGGGTTGCTTGGCGTGCCGGTCTCAGGCGGCGTGCGACTGCTGGCGATAACAATAGAGCGCGCCAACCTGGACTATCGCAAGCCGCTCGACCGGCCGGTGTTCTGCGTGTCGCTGCACGACGCAGACGGCCGGCCGCTTGAATCGCCCCAAGACACCCCTCCCGGACATTTCGACCGCAGCGGCCGCTGCGTCGGCGCGGGGCACACTGTGATCTTGCGTACGCCCATGCGCCAGATGCCACCCGGTGCGATCCAGAACTAAAAAACACGGTCTTTAGAAGTTGAACGATTAGCCATGCCTTCTGCACGCAATAGCCTGCTGGTCAGGGCCATGGCAATGGTTTGTGCTTCATGCTTTCCCGCGCACAAGATGGGCCCCCATTGCTTGCAGAATTCCTAACTTCCCAGGTGCGGTGAACTCGGCAATGAGCTCTTGACAGAGCCTCCCTGGGAGCATGGCCTGGCTTCTACAGTACTTGACACTCGATATTTGCCCAGATTGAAGCGTTGGGGTATGTGGAGCTGGAGTACACCCCTGCCTTTGCACATTACCCCCTGTTTGATATTTGATACATTTTCTATTTTTATGTACTTGAATGTGAGAACATGCGTTGTGGTGCAGAGGCGGTGGTGTATGTGGAGCTGAAGCACTGGAAGAGCGCCAGCCGGAAGATGAGCGTGCTTGGATGGTCCTTCGCGCCAATAGAGACCCTTGTCGATGCGTCATCTCCCCCGGATGACCCCACCCCTCGCGCAGGTCTGCCCTTTGATTTTCCCCCTGTCTTTGCTTTCCGTGCTTATACTTTAGTGTTTTCTGCTATGTACATACCTGGATGCAACAGAAGTGCCTGTTTGGGTGCATGGGAACTCCAGCCAAGAGTGACAGATTGCAGTAATTTTGAGCCCACATCCTTTTGGGGCTCATGTACGCATGTCTACTTTGCGTGTTCTGCTTTGCTTCTTCTGTGTGCAACGCTTTTCTGACCTCCGCAACTTGAGTACTTCTAGAAAGAGGAAAGAGGAAGATGCATCATGTCGTTGCCATCCAAAGAGGCTGATCAGATATTTTGGGTGCTCGATCCCAAGCACTTCTCCCAACACAGCTCTGATAACGTGAGCCACATGCGAACACTTGTCCTGCCTCACAGATTGATGCATTTCATTGGGCCTAAACAAAAATTTTACTGGATTTCTGCAGGTCAGCTGTTCCTGCACCTGTGGAGGAAGCCGCTGGATCTGACTGCGCACCAGAGGAGGATTCAACTCAAGGCACTGCACCCGCACGAGCACGATCTGTTTCTCACAATTGCCAGCGCCTGATTTTGGTCTGTTGATGACATGAAATTCTCTTGCATTCTAGTGAGCCAGTTGAATTTTTGGTAGGAGGCTACAGTGCAGAGTACGGATGTCCAACAGGATGACAGTAGACTAGAGATGTTGAAAAAGGGAGGAGACTCGGCTCTTGTGAAGGCTTGGAACGTTGTGGCAGGCCCCAGACAGGCATGATTCTGATGATTCTGATGAGCACTGTTGAATCTAGCAGACCGATTTCATGAGCTGACGAGATCTTCAAAGGAAGTCTTGATCCAAGAATTCAAGACTCTATAGACTATGTTATGACTAATTAGTGAGCTCAGTACGTACAGTATACTCGAGTACTCAGCTGCGGTTGATGCCCTCCTACAGGGGAGAGTTGTTCGTTGTGAAAGCATCTCATCAGGGACAATGGCTTTGGGAGATGGCCAATTTGCGCAATGTTGAACGCTCACACAAAGCATGCCAATCTGCATGCAAATCGCCAAGGCTTAACAATTCCCCGGTAGGGTCATTTCTAGGGGTGAGTATACTACGAATCCCGAGAGCTCTCAAAAGCAGCGTCTTCCGGAACGGCAAGCAGCGAAGTCTAGACATGATCAGGACTTGCTAACTTCCAGGGGGGTGTAATAGAGCGCCAATCATGCATTCCGCGCTGCAGCGGGAGCTAGGAGTGCTTGCTGTAGCTAGGCGCCTGAAACCCAATCCACTTTCTAGAGAGACACCCATTCCGATCTTGGGATGAGGGTCCGTACAGAAGGCTTTGCAGCGCTGAAAGTCGTCACTATTCTACTATCATGGAGTTTTGTATTTGCTCGAAAGCTGGAATTAGCCACACATCACCACCATCCTCACCCTGCAGGTACCAGTACTATACACGCATTTATTGTTAAAATTTTCCTTTCCAGCACGATCTGCTCTGATCTGACGTTAATTGATTCCGGTACTCACTAAGTTAACTTTTGCAGGTGCACCAGGGCAGAAAAAGCTGTGCGTGAGGCAGAAGGTGTACAGGATCGACGACAACGTCGTTCCGGACGAAGAGAGAGGCTGGCTGGTCGCGGATGACTTTTACAAGATCATGAAGGAGATGGATGAAACGCTCCATCCCTACGTGATGGTGCAAATCGATGGCGTCCCTTGCAGTGGCAGAGGATGCTGTCAGGGTACTATGATGCTGCGCCCAAAGGGCTCAGACGCAGACATTCTGGTGCACATGATTGACGAGTACAGCGAGTTTCTGGCAAGCCTTACCTGGACGCCCACCACTATCCTGGAAGGCGAGTACTTTTCTCACACAGACTTAAGTTCGCCCCACTGATGAGTGAATGCTGCATGGCCAATGAGTTCAGGACTAATTTGATTGTCTTAATTTAAACAATCAGAGGTACACTCGAGAAAAGCCACGTAATAAACATCCTCAATGAACTCTCACACAGAACAAGCTCAAAGTAAGGCAACACATCAGTTGATCATCTTGCTTTGCTCTGCTCGAACCTCACTGCATGCTGGCTTGCATGCATGCAGGCGGCGGCAACATGGGAGTAGCAACAATGCTACTGGCGCACATGTATCCGGTGGCCACCATTGTGACACTCGAGCCAGAGCCCGGCAACTGCTGGCTGCTGCAAGTCAACACCCGGGCTTTTCCCAATGTGAACGTTGAGTGCACCGGCCTCTGGGATAAGGATGCAAACCTCAAGATTGTGCCTTCGGATGACAACCTTGATTGGGGTTGGAGGACTCTTGAGGTTGTGCAGCCCTCAGCTGACACCATTACAGCTGCAAGCGTGCCAAGTCTGATGAGGAAGTATGGGTTGGCGGGGGGATTCGACTATGCAAAGCTGGATATTGAGGGGGCGGAGTGGAAGGTTTTCGAGGGGGATAATGCTAGGGGTTGGCTGGGGAGTTTGAAGCTGCTGAGTCTGGAGGTGCACAATCACATGGCAACCCCTGAGCAGGCGCAGCATCTTGACAGCTTCCTGCAGGGCCAGGGGTATTCAAAGTCGTTGCACGGGGAGTATGAGGTCTGGGCGGTGCCTGAATTGGAGCCCTACCTGCACTCGGAACAGAAGATCAAACAGAACAAGATGCTTGGCGGAATTTGAGAGGTTGTCAGATAATTGCAAGTAAAGTCGGAAAAGAATTTATCCCTCACAATTGGACTGCAAATGCCTGACTACAGTCTGGAAAAAGAACACTTCCAAGGCACATGTGCACTATTGTCTTTCTCCTTGATCGGTGGAAGGTTCTGTTTACGCTGAAGGCTCAATGAATTCCTCGAAGTGTTCCATGGAACATTGTGCGGCACACATAATCATGAGCTCAGTGGCACTTGAAATGGGCTGGACATGCTTGCCTGCAGGTTGCAAGTTTGCAGTGATGTGACTCAGTGATGTGACTCTACAACTACTTTGGCATGATTCTCACATGCACTCCTTGCTTACAATACCTGCGATTGCTCGTGCTTGCATATTTGATTGCTGTTTGATGATATTCACGACCTCGATCTGCTCTGCAGACAGTGCTCTGCACGTGTTGCAGGTGCACCACACCAAAAACTTTTGATCCGCCAAGGGCTGTCATCAGAAAGCACATGCGGCAAATCAGCCTTGTCAATATTCGCACAGTACGATCTGATGTTTTGCCAGGTAAGGGACTGCAGCAAGCCAGGGCTCATAGGCTTCCAAAGGGGATGGTCAGGACTGATGCTGCCTTCATGAATGTCAATGTGCACTTTGCAGCCGTCTGGGACCAAGATGCCCTCGGGTGCAAGGTCCTCCGATGACAGGCTGCCTAGGTGGCTGAGACTGCCCAACTCCAGCGGGCAGTCAAGGACCTGCTTTGCTTTGGTGCCTTTTGTCAGTACGTAGCTGAAGCCGCTCAAGTGCATCTTATGCTTCACTTCCACAAAAGCTGTCTGTGTCATGGCGTTGACAGCCTCACTTCACTCGGGAGCTTGGAGACTCTACATTACAATAGTGCTAGCCTAGCCTAGCCTACTGAGTACTGGTATGCAGCCTTTGTACATGTACAAAGGCTGCATGCATTGCCAATGCAACTGCACACGATGGCAGGGAAGCACAATCTCAACTGATACACAAAGTAGCAAAACCCGAAACCACTGGTTACCAACAGGCTTCCCCGAAGGCCAAACCCTTCACCCTGATCGCCAAAGTATCTTTAGCCTGTCATACATGTTGCGCCAGTTTTAGCCTTTTTTGCCAGCACACACCTTTTGCTTCACACCTAGCAAGGTCTCTCATGTACATTGTACAGTAACTGGCGGCCAAATCTCTCTGGAGTCTTAGTAGCAGATTGCACTTCATGCCATGGCGTCGATGTGATTGAATACACAAGTGTCGTCAGGTAGGTGAATATTGCACAGGAATCAGCTGAGGCAGAGACGACCGGAGATAGCTCACCAGATTCCAGGTGACTCCTCCTTCTCCTCTAATATCTTCAGATTCAGATTTGACTCTCCGTGGATGTCCGACAGGTGTGCGATACTTGTTGTAGCCATCTACTGTCCTTTTAGATGGAAAGTTGCGAAGCAGCTTTGCACTATGCAATCTAGAACTTCATCATAACGATGTAAATATACCATTTCGATATTTGCCTTACCAATAACACTTATTTGACCAATCCTATGGACCGCGAGGCATGGGGGACGTGAGCAGAGCCCAGAAGTAGGACTTATTTTTAGCCACAGGAAATGTCTTAAATTAACCGACAAATCCACTATCCAACTACAAGCAGCATTGTCAAAAATGTGGTGTCGCTTGAATCTTTGTTGCGTACTTTTGGGCCTATCATGATTGAACCTTCCACACATGCACTGGCTCGACTGCAGGGGCATGGAGGCCGTGGTTGTGGAAGTGTATCAAGGCGAGGCTAAAGTTGCCAGCGAGACTATATCGAGCCCTATCACTGCTGCTGAAGCGAAGGACGCTCTTCGTGAGATCAAAACAGCCTGGGTGGGCAAGCTGACAGAAGCCAATGGCAGCCTTGTCTTGGCAGGGCGGCGCGAACTGACTCCTGGCGCCATCTACCTTCTGCACTTGCAAGAGCAGACAGGTAGGTGCACTCCAGCTCTAGTGCCTGGTGGTGTCATGGCTGTTCTGTAAGGACCTGACTAGTCTGCAGCAGCTTGTGGCGGCCTCCGCTGCAGCTACAGGCAGCCATTTTGCCTTACTGCACTAGGAAAAGCTTGGCCAGAGCTGCACAGCACCGTTGAGATCCTGCTGTAGCTGCACAGTTGCCACCCTGTTTCTGCGAGCCTTGGCCGTGTTGGGCTTGATGCTACTGGCGTCTGCTGGCTTTCGGTGGTGTGTTGCTGGCAGTTGGTAGTGTGTAGCAGTGTGTAGCAGCAGCACACTTTTGCATGCTGTGTTTGTTGCTTGCACATATCGGCTCTGCGGTGTCGTCAGGAGCTGCACAGCTTACATGCGCTTGCTGCTACAGCTGACTTGCTCAGTGTTGTAAAGGTATCCAGGATTCAACATGTGTCTGGCAGTGCTTAGCAGCGTTTTAAACTGCTCTGTGCACAGGTGTTGCCTACACTGGGAGGGCAAAGCTTGTTGGCCATGAGTCAGAGGGGATCAAGGCACGTCTGGGACGTTACCACACACCCCGCCAGCAGACAGTGTTGCGCACTTGCGAGCTTGCAGACGGAAAGGGAGCGGTGCTCATCAGGAGTCCGCCTCATAGCGGGAAAACCTCTTTGTGCCAGTTGGTTGCAGCGGCAGCAGAAGCAGGGGTGCCTTGCACTTCGGGCGGCGGCTTCAAGGGCGTATATTACATCAGCCTTAGCTCTATGGCACAGCATGGTGGTCTGCCCGGGAAAAGCTTTGCGGAAATCTGGGAAAGTGCCTACCCGGGTGTCAGCTTTGACAGCATCTGTGCAGCGTCGCCGCCGCCATCCCCTGAAGGGCAGCTTGCTGGCAGCTCGTCACCTGACCGTCGGCCAAACCTTCTGCTGGTTGACGAGGCACAGGTCGGCTTCGGCCAGGAGAACGAGCTGTGGGACATCCTGAAAGATGCTCAGAAGACTGACAAACCCGGAGTGCGCATCATCATCGTATCCTCATGGGGCAGCGACGTCATCCAGCAGTTGGGGCCTGAGACGCATGTCCGCACACCTGGTGACTGGGAAGATGGCAGTGCAGTCATCAGCCTCAGGTAAGCCTTAGATGGCCTTGCAATTAACCTCTGGTTTGTCAATCCAGGGAGGTTGTTGGCACTAGGACTGGCAAACGGTTGATGGAAAGAAGTCCGACCGCACCTGATTGATAAGGGAAGCACACTGTAACATGTCAAAGCATGGCAGGCAAGCCTTATAGTTGCTTGGTGTGCACAGGCCCACAGAGAAGGTGAAAGTCTCCGTGCAACTGGATGCGGCAGAGGCCCAGGAGCTTTGGGACGGTTGGGTCGCCTTCCATGGTTGGACCTTCTCAGATAGCATCAAGGAGCATTTGTTGCAGCTCACAGACTGCCAGCCAGGGATGCTTGTCCATGCGTTTGACTGGCTGGAGGAGCAAGGCCTGCAGAATTGCGTCAATGTTGCACAACGCGAGGAGAAAGTGTTGCGGCTGCTGCTGTCGTCTGACTTTCTGCTGAGCTTTCAAAGCTTACGCAGTTTGATCAGGTGTGTCAACTTATTAAATAGTGTTTGGCTGGCACTCCATTCCCAAGCCATGACATGCCTTTTGGTGCAACCTGCCTTGGCACGTGCGGAAGGGAATGGGCACACATACACGATGTTTGTGCTGCCTAGGTACCGCAAGATTTTGGAGTCCATCCCGAAAGATGCAGAAGCGCGCGAAAAGAAGGAGGCTGCTGTGCAGTTGCTGCGTCTCCTGCTGGCCGGTTCTGAGGTAACCACTGTTTCATAAACAACCATTTTTCTGCTTGTTTGGGGAGTGTTTATAAGGCAGCTGCCCAAACGGCAGCTGGAGATCCCTTCTTCTACAGCCCTGGAATGCTGCTGATGCAGGTTTCTGCAGATGACATGACAGATCCTGTGCGTGAGTTGGCTGGCACGTTGGTGCGCTTGGGGCAGCTCGTGGAGGAGCGGCGCATGTTCAGCTTCCCGTCCAGACTGCACGAGGTGTTTTTTATGCGTCAACACTTCTGCACAACTGTTGGAGATTCTCAGGCTCTGCGTCAATTCGGGCATTGCCAGCTTCATTGCGATGGTGGTGGAGCGCATGTCGCCTGCCCAGCTGTCCAAGTCCTTCTCGCGGGACCGCACGGGCAATGTATACGAGCGACACTGGCAGAATGAGTTCTACAGGTAGGCTTCAATGGCTGTGCTATTTGGCCTCCTGGGGTCGCTTCAACAAGTATCTATTTGCCTGAGTAAATTCTGTTAACTTGTGACAGGGCAGCCATGACACTGCTTGCACGTGGCACACATTTGAGCCCAGATGCTGGCCGTCTGTTTGGCATCAACGGTTTTGTGGACTTTCTGTCCGACTTCAATTGGGCCATTGAGTTGATGCGAGATGGCAAGGATGCTTCTGGACACATGAAAAGGTGGGCCCCTGGTGATGCCTTTCGCTGATGTATTGCCTTGTCAACTTTCATATACATGGTCATGTTCAGCTTGTTGCAACCTCGGTGCCATGTGCAAAGGGTGGCGCGGCTGCTGTAGGTTTGAAGCTGGCGGCACGTACCACAAGCTTATTCAGGAAGGCCATGTTCACGACTTTGCGGTGTTGGACTTCCGGACTAGCCGCCCACGCACACCAGCCAAAGAACACTTGTATCACATCATCTTCGACCAGGATTACAAGATGGCGATGATCACGACACTGAATCAAGCTTCGCAGACGGTGCAGCTCCGAGATGATACGGTCTGAAAGGACAGATGACAATGCATGAGCGTCCTTCATGCGCAGGCAGGATATGGGGAAGCCGGACACTGTGAGAGCAACCGTGAAGAGACCGATGCTGATGTCAGTTGTCTCATTTCTGGGTGTCACAACCAAGTGACACAAATTTCCTGACCTCCATCAGCGAAGTACATGATCCAACTTGAGTAAGACATGCATGGACATGCCAATAGCCAAGTCAGGCTATGGCCTACCTCTCAAGACAGCTGTGAGCGGCTGATCTTTGTGGTCCTGCAGCTTTCGCAAACTCTGTAAAACAGCCATCCTCCTGCACCTTCCTCTTGAAAATTTCTATCCTCACACTGTGCGGAGCTGCAAGGACAGAAATCTGACCTTATAATAGGAGCGGCAGCCAGTACAGTGGCGTCGTGTGCAGTCTAAACGGATGGTGCAGTAAAATAACAACCAAATAATGCTTTTACAAAGTGCTCGAGAAGGGATTTAGTTGTTATGATAGGTGCACAGCTATGCATGTATTCATCGAAAGAGCAGACATTGCTAATATGAACATGTAATTGCCAAGAACATTAAGATTATGCTGTTGGACATTTACAATCATCTTGTCGATCGGCACAAATTCTGCATCTGTCGATAGGAAGGGACCAACCGCTGAGGTCCACATGCAGCAGCATAACCATCGAGGGCTACGAGACAGGGTGAGAAGCTAAAAAACGCTTCAACATAGTGCTACAGTAATGCTAATCGTTCCGCAGTGATATGACTGTGTATGGCGGCAACACTGGCACCCAAGACTTCAGTTGCTTCTGTCTACACACAAGCCATTACAGTCCCTTCTGGAAAGCCAAACAAGCGTGCTCACGTTATAAATAATATGGCAGGTGGCAGGATACAGGGCTCGTACTCAGCTCGAGAGATGGGACACAGCAGCATGGGAGGCGCTTGTGGCAGAGATTTCCGAGGCTGCAGAGCGGTCGCCCACCCCAGAGCTGCTTGCTGAGCAGAAGGCAGTGCTGGAAGAATTTTTGGAGATCTTTCCCACGGCGGTGAGCCCAGACACGCATGCAATCTTTGAAATCAATGGTGCAATTATCCTTTTAGTAGCTACAGCTGCTGGCGGTGCACCCAGGACAAACCTGGCGACAAAAGGCCACAAAATGCAGCAAAGCATGTCATCTGCCAGCGCACGTTTACACATGCATGCATAACACATGTCTCAGCATGGGAGCCATATTCTGCATGGATGAACCCCCTGTGCCACCCGCGCACTGGAAATATAGCACGTGCAAGCTGTCACATACCTAGAGAGTCTCAGTAAGGTGTTATGTGATTTTGAGAAGTGCGAGAAGTTCTGGATGCGAGCTGGGTGTGCTTTGCTGCGTGCAGGCCCTCTATTGGCAGCGGTATGCAGAGGCGGAGATTCGAGCAGGGAATGTGTCGGGCGCCAAATCTGTGTTCAGCCGCTGCCTGCTGACCTGCCTCAGTGTGGACCTCTGGCGGACCTACCTGCGCTTCATCAAGCAGGCATGCCGCACAACATACCAATACATCAGTTTACAGCACTATTGGCAACACAGAAGTGACGCCGTGTGGCAAGTTGTCATTTGGCCCTAGAGATGCCATTTTTTCATGCCCTGTGGGAAGAAGCTGAGCCTTGATTAAAGTTTAGGACGTATAGTCAGGCTGGAAAACTCTCAGAAATGCATTTCTGGAAGAGAGGCAATCTCACTAGCTACCGTGTCAAGTAGCTTGCAAGCACCAGTAATGTGTGCGAATCAAGGTTCACTTGCTCAAACATTCAGGACAGTGAGCACCGCTGCGCAGACAGCGCGGGAGACTTGAAGAGTAATGCTCGGGAAAGCATGACTGACCCCGCTGTGCTGTGCTGCGCAGATCAATGAGCCCAGGGGTCCGGATGGAATGGACGAGGTCAGGAAAGCCTTCGAATTCACACTTGACAAGATCGGCGCTGACATTGGCGCTGGCCCGCTCTGGCAGGAATACATCGCTTTCTTGCAGGTAGGGTCAATAGTTCAAAGAAAACAAACTGTCCAGAAATCTGACCTGTGAAGAGACATCTCCTCTTCAGTCTCGGCATTTGCACCTCAAATTGTGCCAAGTGTGCCATTTGCAACAGCCGCTTTGCTTTGATCTGCTTCCTCTGGGGGCTGCTGCAAGTGATTGCACCTGCCTGCAATTTCAGCTGCCCACATGACTGCTAGTGTGAACTCAGATGAGGCTGACGAGCTGAGATGTATTATTATGTGTTATTCATTGCATTGGTGGACACTGAAGTATGTTGGTGTGATTAGGGGCCGCCGGTCAATTCGCCGGCGTTCCTGACGCTGTTTTCCGGGGGCGTTGCCGGCCAGGAGGACACCCAGCGATTCACCTTGGTCAGGTGCGGTCGGTCAACCCTTGTTCCGCACCCAACCCCTCAGACCCTACCCTTGGCCCCAGCTTCTACGTTTCGCTCGCTATTGCAACTTTTAGCTGCAAATCGTCTGAATGGCATTCTCCGTATCAGATTTGTATGTGAGCATGCATGCACAGGAACAGGGCTCTGACTTTATTCAACGATGCCTGAATTAATGTTGCTTCCTCCAATGTGGACGAGCCATGCTCTCCGTCTGCAACCGTAGCATGCATGCAGCAAATGCAAACATGTCTGTCAGGCTTTCTGAGTGCGCTGAGTGCGAGAAGTGCGCTCAGAAAGCGCAATCCTTAGCTCAATGGCCCCCTGCTATCCAATTGAATCACTCTTGATTACATGTTGGGCAGGCAAGCGAATCAGCGGGCGCCTTGCCCTCTCAACAAAGCATATATTTACCACACATGCACACCTGACTGTCAGCTAACCTTCAAAATCAAACATTCTGACTGGAACTTGCATAATTTGTTAATTTACAGGCGGGCGTATCAGCGGGCGCTGGTTGTCCCATGTGCCTCGCTGGAGGCGCTGTGGCGTTCGTACGAGCAGTTTGAGCAGAGCGGCTCCAACAAGGCCCTCGCGCGCCGCATCCTGGACGAGCAACGCCCCAGGTGACCCTGAATCTGTTTTTCTTTTTTGGCTTTCTGTGATTTTTGGGTGTTCCTTTCTTCTTATGAAGCTATCCCGGCGCCGAAATTTCCTTGTCAGGAAGCAGGACTCCGGCTGACCTGCAGGTCTGAAAAAAAGTTTTGCGTGAGCTCATGGTTCATTTTTGCCTGTGAATGTTTTGTCTGAAAATCCCTGGGGTGCAGCAAATTTGTCTGTCCCTGAGCAGAAGTGACACCTGCATGTAATTGATTGCAAACTTCTGCCATCAAATCACTACTACTTTGGGTAATGAAAATGATCAACTTTTGGGGGCTGAACAGATATCAGGCGGCTCGGGAGGCCTATGCAGAGCGCGCAAGATTACTGCAGCCAATAGCACCTAACGCACTCGCCGTGCCTCCCGGTGAGCCCATCTGCTCTTTTAACATGTTTTCGTTGGAACTTCAAGCGTATCTATCAAGTCCTCTGCATTCAAGACCCCATCTTGCCTTCAATGCAGCCATTGTGGTGCTCCCGTGAACGAATATTATTCTCCTTTGGTATGCCAGATCTTTCAGCTTTGCATCAATTCCCGCTCTTCTGCCAGCTTGCATAAGCGGCCGAGGTCTTTTACACTCCCCAACGTTCCATGACTAGCTGGGCCTGTCTGTACATCCTGCCCTTCCTACCAGGGGCATTGATTTTAGCTGGCACCTTAGGGTCCAGCGGATTAAGTTCCTGACAGGGGAGTATAAAGGGGATCAATCGATGCGCAGGCATGGGCGGCCTTGCGCAGGCGTCGCAGGCATCTGCATGGCGCGATTACATAATGTGGGAGCGCCAGAACGGGCAACGCCTGGACGGGCCTCTTCTGGCAACGCGCGTGGCACTCGCCTATGAGCAGGCGCTCATGCCTCTGCGACATTTCCCTGAGGTAAACTATTCTGAATAAGCGAAGAATTGGAGGTCGCACAAAGACAGACACCTTCAGTGAGAGGCCAGATCTCGGCATATGAGGTGCAGCATTGGAACGTATCATGATGCATGATGCATGTGCTCATGGCCTTTTGCAGATATTCCCCGAGGCATTATCTCTCATGCCTGAGCGTTCTGATGCTCCTACATGTGACAAGGGCAGCGATCGAGTGTCTCGGGGTAGATTGTTGCAGCATGCGGCTCCAAAATATGCTGCAACAATATCCAAGTCCTGGGCACGCTACCATGATGGCCTTGCGGACCGTGTGCATCAGATGCTGCCTCTTGTATGTGGAATCTTCGCACATATCCAATACACGCATTTTGTGCTTACTCATGCTGAGCGGGAAAGTCTGAGTAGCTAAGTTGCGTAGGTGTGGCTGGAGTTTGCCAGGTGGCAGGCGGCTGAGGGCGGCAGCGGCCCGGCCGCAGCCGCCTCAGTCCTCGGACAGGGCAGAAAGGTGACTGTCCTTTGTTATCCTTTCCTATTTTGGGGCATCCCTGACGCCTCAATCAGATACATTGGAGCATCTTCGCATCGTGTGTCACGGGAGCATTTCTGAACACAGCGCCATTTCTAGGAACGGTGATGGCCCACCATCATTGTCACAGCTGCAGTGATGGCATCGTCCAGGAATCTCCTCTCATTCCCTCAAACGTATGCCTCTCCCTTTGGCGTGGCCAGTTCTGGAAATTGCCCTGCATCCTGAATGTGTGCGCAAATTGCTCCCAGCTGCAGTAAGGGCAACTGCAGCTGCCAGGGATCATCTTTGCTTGTTGCAGTTGTTGCATCTCGGCAGAGTGTTTATGGTATCCCTCTGACTGTGAAGACCGAGGGCCTGTCTCCTGAGGGTGTGTGCATGCTGTGATCAGGCGCTGTTCAGCTGTCTGCTGCTCCACTTTGCGGCGGCAGATCTCGAGGAGTCCCGGGGGAGCACCGAAGCCGCGCGCCGCGTCTACGAGGACCTCGTGGCCGGCCTCGTGCCAAAAGAGGACGCCCCGCCAGACCAGGCGGCCAGCCCGCAGGTGCGCGCATGTGCCGCGCTGATGTCATCGGTGTGTGTCACTTGGTGTGTCCTGCATGGCCTGCGCATGGCGTGCACATGGGCCTTTGCTTCTGTCGCACCGCTGCAGCGCGTATGTGCCTTTGCTGACATCTTTGCCTCTGCATCTTCTACCTTCTCTTTGCCCTTACATTGCATTCACATGTACCCTGGTGTCAGACGCCGACAATCTCGGTATGACAAAGGTCTGTCATTTTTCATGTCAAGGTGGACGGCTGCCACTTCCTGAATGGAGCTGCCTATTTCACAGTGTTGCAGTTGGCTGGGACGGCTGGTATTGCTGATATTGAGCAGGCTGTAATGCCATAAATTTAGCAATGCTGTTCTGCCAAGCTGCTTATAAGAGCAGCACATCAGCATTCAGAAGCCAAGAGACATGCAGCATGCAAAGTCTGGCAGTTGCTATCACAAGTTCAAATTTTGTGTTGCACAATGTCAAAGTTTGCAGCCTGAGACGCAATCTCTCACCTGAAGCAGCTGCCAATCTTCCTGACATGATAATTTGCTGCCACAATGCAGGCAGCAACACTGCATCGGCAGCTGCAGCCCAATTTGCACTCTTCCTTTCTTTGAATGCTTGTCCACTGCTCAGGGCTGGGGCACGCAAGTCATTAGATATTTGATGATCAACTGTTGCTGTGTTGTACAGCTTTCGCCAGAGCTGGGCGGTCTGGCGTGGGTGCAGTATATGCGCTGGTCGCGGAGAGCCGAGAGCGTCAACGCAAGCCGCAAACTCTTCGTGCGCTGCAGAAAATGGCCCGAATGCCCCTGGCAGGTACATTTCCAGCTTTGCAAGACATGCTGTATTCATCACCAAACCTCTGATGCTTCGCATGCAGCTAGGGCCCTTGACAAGCACATGTACACTGCCAGGCGCGATTCTCAACATAGTAGTGGCAGGCGCAATGCTCTCACTATCAACATGTGTCCATTTCACGCACGCATACCTCTCTTGGATTCCCTGCAGAGCGGCCACTCTTGGGTGTGGACCCTTTGGACGTGGATGCAGCCTGCTTACCTCGATTTCTGTATTGAAGAGTTCAGCACAACTGTATAGGAGACAGATATCGGAATGTGTATGCTTTTTGCTTTTCTTAAGGTATGGCTTCAGGGTGCTGACAACTCAGGTGCTCTGATGTCCCCTGTCCTTGCTTGAGGCGCGACATCAGGCCGTCTCAAGTCTCAAAGGCCCTTTTTCTGGTCCTGCGACAACACAAAGTGCTTGGCTTCTGCTTAAGGAGGCGTTCAGTAACTAGCACTTGTCCGTCCAGCAGCTCATACACCCTTTATTGTTCTGTTGCATGGGGAGTTGAGTACAGCGATTTCTTGCCTTTGCAGGTCTACGCAGCGAACGCACTGATGGAATGGCAGTCGGAGAGATCAGACAAGATCCCACGCAACATTTTCGAGCTCGGGCTGAAGGCCTTCCTGGGCGAGGCAGGCTATGTGCTGGCCTACGCTGACTGGCTGCTCTCTATTGGTGACGCCGACAACGCAAAACAGCTTTTTGAGCGCGCTCTGGCGGCTGCGGCGGCGGCTGCGGCCGAGGGGGGGAATGACCAGGGGCTGCAGCAGCAGCTGTGGGACAGATACATCCAGGTGGGGGTTTAGCTTCATTCACCAGCGATTTTCAGAGTAAAAAGTGCAGATTAGAGGTCCCGGGGTCACGATAGTGCTGTTAGAAAAAGCCCATTGGGCTACTCTATTTGGCCGGCTGACACATTAACAAGACTTTTGTCAAGTTCTTCTCTTTGCGCTCCTCTCAGCGCGTTGCCAGGTTCTTCTCAACAAGAGTTTTCTGACTCCAGGATTCTGGCTCAATAGAGCGTCGCATGTGCACTTGAGGGATAGAAGTGGCCAAGTTAAGACACAAGAGTAGATGGGCTAGTTCGGTCACTGATCAATTCCAGTCCTGTCGCACCTGCTGTGTCCCGGATAGGACGTATACTGCGGCCCCCGACAATGGCGTATAGCCTGAAGAACATAAGTAGTCAAGAGCTCTTTGGCACATCACATGACATCAGAGGGTGAATAAATCACAGGTGGAGTACCAGATGGGCAAGTTTGGTGCGGTGGCTGAGCTGGAGCAGAGGCGGAGGGGCGCCCTCGGAGACCCGCCCCCAACCGACACAGTCCGCTTGGCGCTCCTCAAGTACAGGTAACTTCTTCAGTTTCTTGAGCACGACTTATGCTGCTTCTGTTTTTTATCTAGACTTTACTGTGATCATCCCATGCATATGGGTCCTTTGCTGTCCACTCCCTCAAAGCACAGGTCAGCTTTCTGCTTTTTGTCCCTGGGCTTTGCTCCAAGCAGTCCATGCAGACAGGTCATATAAAATCCACTTCAAGTGCTGCTCTGCTCTCTCCTTTCTTCTCACAGCATTGCACACACATTTGCATGTGAGATGCCCGCTGCCATAAAGCATTGCCTGCCTCAAAGTTTTCTAGCTGTGTCACTTTCTCTTGATCAAAGCAGCCAAATACTCCCCCTAATCAGCACTACTGTGCGTCCGGTGGCCTGCAACAAATGCCCTCAAGTGTCCTAACTTTAAGGCACGAGAGCCAACGGAGCCAGCTTGACCTCTGAGCGTGGCAAAAACGTGCAAGACATTTTGTCTAGGGGTGGAGATGTTGTGTTGGAGCCCAGAGGCAAGGGTGAAAAGAGGGGCTTTATGCGCAGGTACATGGACCTGTGGCCGTGCACAGACGGCGATCGGCAGCATCTGATTCAGTTGCTGGGGTTAGGGTCAAGCCCCCCGGCCTCTGGGGGCGTCGTGCCCGGCCAGCCGCCACTTCAGGCGCCGCCTGTGCATGTTCAGGCGACGGCGCCGGCTCCGGCGGCGTTCCCTCCTCCGGCGGCGGCGGTGATGCCAAATCAGGCAACGCCGCCGTTGCCTGGGGGACTCCGGCAGCCACCGGCAGGGGGGCCTCCCCCCGTCCTGGCGCCACCGCCGGGGGGGCCCCACCAGCCCATCACGCAGATCCCCCGCGAGCTCGGCAACCTCATGAACGCTCTGCCGCCTGTTCATGTAAGCATTTTCTGGTCTGTACGTTGCAAGAAAGTCTCACAAATCTTTGTGAAGCTCTTTTGGCTTGGTGTCAAAAGAGAAGAAGGGGTGTCTGAGAAGGCGTGCAGGGTGCGGATGCTCATGAACCTTAAGGACACCATGATGATGTGCCAATTTACAGTAGCTTCGAAATAGGAGTTGTGAGGGGAAGCAGCTATTGCCGAGATATGTGAGCCTGCAGGCATTGCAGGCAGTTGCCCAGTGACACTTCAGATCCTTTGGGGAGCAAATCTTGCAAGAGAGAGCAGTTGTCGCTGAGATATGTGACCCTGCAATCAGTCATGTGCACCCAAATTGGAGGCATACCTATGTGGCTCCTTCAATGTATTGCTCCGCAGCAGACCTGGCAAGGCAAACCACTTGATTCTGAAGTTCATTTGACAAATTTTGTAATGTATTGTCCTGCAGGCGTTGGAGGGGAACCCGGTGGACGTGGACGCGGTGATAGAGGTGCTGATGTCAGCGGACCTGTCTCCAGCGGCGTTGGCCGCCTCCGAGGCAGCCGCCCTCGGCCTGAGCTTCTCGCCACCTCCCCAACAGCAATCCTCGCTGCCACCTCCGCCAGGTGGACATCGCATGCATGCACGCATAACCTAAACCCTATAGTAGTATAGCTGTTCCAGTAGCATTGCAAGGAAATGTGACTTCAAGGGCCGGGGGCCACATAGATAGGGCACGTGCAGCCACCCCTGCAGGTCCGCTTGGCTCGCTGACGCCACCACTGATGTGTGCGCTGAGCATAACAATTTTGAGCACATTGGTGGCAGACTTCAATCCCAAAAGGCTGTAGATGCCCCTGCAGACCTGCCTAGCTCAATGTTCTCTGGGACATCGGACACTTTGCACTTTGCACTTGCAGCGCACTGTTTGGCAGGCGAGCAAGCCAGCGGGAGACCGAAGAGAGAGTGGCATGCTTTGCTGGGCGATCACTCTTGTTTCCTTTGGGGTGCTCTCAAAATGGTCGGCTTGCATATCCACCTGTGCCGGCGCATGACTTATCTCACATCCCGCGCTACATAGCTCAGCTCAGCTTCCTGGCAGCTTTGCAGCAGCACCCGCTTTAAGAAATGTTCTGGGTCTTCATGATGTCAGAAGATATATACCGCCGCTCACCCTTTCCCAAACGATAGAAAATACCCTTTTAGCGACGTTGCTGCTTACTGCAGTGCTGCGGCCACCGGATGCGGGCCCGGCAGATCCGCGCAAGCGGCCGTGGCCGGACGGCGCGGACGCGAATTCGAATTTGAAATTTGAGGCCGGTGGCGGCGAGGCAGGCAACAATCTGGCACCCGCTCATGACGTGTACCGGGCTCGGCGGAAGCAGCGAACGAAAGCCAGCCCGCTGCATGGCTGATGAGTCATGGCTGATGAGTCAGCAGTGATGACAGGGGCCAGCGGCCACCCCAATTGAATTTTGACTGAGGTCTCATCAGGCCGATCTAGATCTCTGATTAGATCTCGTTGTCATTTCGAAAGTGAGATGCACAGCTGAGTTGGAAAAGACAGATACACACTGTGCCTGGCAGGGCGCACTGTGGCCACAGCAGCATAAGAGTGACCGTTCATCTCAAGCTTTGATATTTTGCTGACGAACACCCAATCAAATTGATGCGCATGCTGCAACACTGTGCGGAGTGTGGTGATTGTAAAATGGGCGCATCTGCAGTTACATCCTTGACATTCAATTGGCTGGAATGGAAACTACAGAAAGTGACTAATCCGCCACGTCACCAATGTCAGCTCGAAAGTGAGATGGACAGCTGAGTAGTGAACTCAGTTCACCCCGACAAATTTCACGGTTCGTGAGCACACATGAGAAGCAACATCGGGAAGCGGCAGCAGACGTACAGCATGTCCAAGCTTCTAATGTAATGCATGCTCTGCTGGGCACTAGTGCGGTGACATTGCTTCTGTGCACTTCTTTTGTGCACTGCGTTTCTGCGACCTCTGCAGAAATTCTTCCACTTCCAAACCCAGAAAATGCTTTCACCTTTGACGACCCTCTCCAGGTGGGTCTCTTGGCCGTGGACAACGTGGGATGTACAGACGTTGGAATTCAGTCTTCATTTGCCAGGAAACGTACTGCTGTAGAAGTGCAGCGAACCATACTGCTCATATAATCTTAAACGTAAGATTTAGGACAGTAATGAGGCAACGAAGTTGAAAGACAATGCTGCGATGCGCAGGGTCTGGCGCACACGTTGAAGGAAGCTTTGTTGGAGCTGCAACACAAGAAATTGAAGCAGGTACGTGAGTCTTCGTCACAATGTTATCTAGAAATTTGCAATCGAATACATCAGGCAGACTGTGCAGGAGTAGCAGGTGAAGTGCAGTGTTCTTATCAGGGCATTCAAACTGTGAAGGTCGCATAGGTGGTATCAATACGCAATAAATCTTGTACAATTGTTTTTGTAGACTCTGTTGGACCCATCTGTCCATTTTCCTGTGCTCGCACTCTGACACAAACTGTTCACGGCCTGGTCTGCTTGCAAACAAACATCAAGTCAGGACAGTGAAAGAAAAGTTGCTCTTGTGCTCAGGTGACCACAACACCTTCGCCAGAATCGACAACTCCAGCGGCTGCTTTTGAGACATCCACCCCTGCACCCTCAACCCCGCCGCCAACCACCCCTACAACCCTAAGTACAACCGCGCTACCCCTGCCTACATCCACTCCAGCTCCCTCGACCAATCCCCCAACCACCCCACCAACGCCGACATCGTCAGCCGCTGCTGCCACAACAAGTGCAACCCAGCCGCAGACAAGCGCCGCACCTGTCACAACGCTAACACCCGTCCCGACATCCTCTGGAACCTGCATCGCCAGGGGCGAACTCTGTGGTTTTACAGGCCAGCCTTGCTGCAGCGGAACCTGCCGGAGCACTGGGAATGTCACTAGCCTGCCCCGGTGTATTTAGGATCGATCATGGTCTGCAGTCTGTGAGGTTGTGAGTGGGATGGCCGGCCCATGACAACTAGCTTGTTTTGTGATCGGCTTGTCACATCTAGGGTGCACTGCGCAATGTGAGAACTTGTGAACTTTGCGGGAGCGTCTTTGTGCGAATGATTGCCACGGTGGCCAAGGAACTTCCAGGGTCTTGTATATGGTCTCATAGTCTCCGCAATGTGCCACATACAGTGTACAATGTTTGATCATCATGATGCCATCATGATGATCAAACATGATGCGTGATGCGCAGATGCACAATTGGTTGAACTTCTACAAACAATGACATACATGGCATTGCCTCTTCATGGGGCCATCTTGAACTGTACAGCTCGGAGCCCTGAGAGCATTATGTCACCCAACAACTTGATCACAGGATCTGTGAGAAAATCAAAACTGCGCTTGCTCAGACGGACTTTCTGTGACTCAAAAATTAGATTTATGCCTCATCACCATGTTGTGCATCATGATCAATACCCTTTTGGCTTCAAGCTGATGTGCTGCTAGTGCTGCAATAAGAACAGGTCAACTTAAATGAAGGCAACCATGTCATGATGCCCTCTACGCCTTGCAAGAACAACGCATTCGAATCTGCATTCAATATGCATCAAATCTAGAACGATTGATCATTGATGACTTTGTCACCGCTCTTCAAGGATGTCCGACAGCACAACACTGGCTGCCCTCATTCGGATTATTCCCCTGTAAGCTTCCCGGGTGATCCCTCAAAAATATAAACATGATTATCAAATGCACATAATATAAACAAGCATCACAAAAGGTCCGCCTCGCTAAGCTCAATCCTCACCTCTGATCATACTCCAAACAGGAAGCAAACATCCAAATTCGACAGTGATGTCAAATAGGAATCTCTCAGCATAATTTATAGATATTTTTCTTCAGATGAGTAGGGCGCTCCTCCAATGTACCATTTTTGCCCCTTTTGCTATCTATTGTCCCTCTAACTAGAAGTCTATCTGCACATAAAGGCGCCCAGCTGGCTAGCCACCCTACTTGGGTGACCCTAGCCATGCCTGCAAACAGAGCTATGAGTCAACAGAAGAAGCTAATGGGCTACTGTCTATCCCTTTTATGATCTCAAATGAACATTATTGATCGTCACAAAAATTCCCATCATGATATCACTCACATAATGCTACAACAGCAAGTGGGCACGCTTGGGCCTCCATCACCCTGGATGCTATCCTCTCAACCCGTCAAATCCCCATCAAATTTTATTTCTAGTGGGGCTGCCCGCCGCTCACACCCTCCTTGGCATCAGCCTCCCTCAGTTGCAGCTGCCGTGTAGGGGCAGGTTTTACTACTCCTTGCTGCTCTCAGATGGATAGCATACTGGTCCCTCGTGGATACTAAAACCTGATCAGTCATCATTGCATCATATTGACTGACCCTGGTCAGTCACCTGTGCCATGCCTGAAGTGGCCCTGCATGTGGAAGCGCCAGGTGTGCTCGGGCGGCGCCCGGTCAGCAATCCAGGTATGGTTGACAGTGTAGTTGTAGAACGTGGACAGCGCCAGCTGGCCGTTAGTAAGCGTCGGCGCCGCACAAGTGGCGTCCGTGTGCAGCAGGTGCAGGCAGCGCAGGCCCTCCTGCGCGCGTAAGTAAACTTGCATTAAATCTCAAGACATCTAGTCACCAAGCAACACTGTGATGCGGACTCCAAAATGCTGTTCAAGGGGCAGAAAAACAAGCAACAGGCTTGGTCGTGCTGCTGTCCCGCTTGCTGCAGCGGGGCAAGGACTTTCAGCACAGCAGTCTGGAAAGCTCAGCTCAACAGGCTCAAGAGTCCAAAGACCGCAAAATTAGCCTGCAGGCTCGCCGCTTGCAAATGTTGAGTTAATTAATGCAAGTTGCAGAAGTGGGCAGAAGTGCTGAGCACATGCGTTGAGCACAAAAGTGCTTCAACGGATTGGATGCTGCACGCACAGCACAGCGCACATCTAGCTACAGGCATTTTTCAGGTCACCTAGCTACCGTCAAAGAATCAGCTCTGATCCACTGCATTCGCTTTTTGTTCCGTTCTGTTTCGCATGTGTGACCCTTGACTTTTGCACATGATGAGGGACGGGTGTATTTACCTGGGTGTACTGCGAGGGGTGGGTGCACTCGTCGATGGGGGGGACCTGCTGGGAGGTACGCTGTGACAGGCAGCACAGCGTGGGGGACCGCAGGGCAGGATCCAAGTAATCCCTCACTGCATGATCCCACTTGAATCCGATCATGGCCGATGTGCATCCCTCCATGTGACACAGCCGCCGGTCGTCGTACCATGACACATTGAACGCCTTCATCAGCGCTCCCACCATCATGTCTGCGTGCAGCAGTCACATGCCTGATTTCCTTGAATTCTTCATTTCTACATGTGTCTCCAATCCATGGGGATCAGGTGCGTCGGAGCAGCGCTGCTATGACGGCTTTCCAACCTGGAACGTCTGCGCGCTGCAAATGCACCGGGTTGATGAAAGGTTCTCATAGCCACTCAAGTGACACCAGGAGTCACAGAGGCCAGTTATCCCAGGTGCTGGATGTCTGCAGGCAGCAGGCTTGCATCCTTTTGAAGCGCAGCAAAACGCACAGGGGCCTTTGCACGATCTCAGTTGAAAGCAATTGTTTCCGTATTTGAGCCCTTGCACATGCCTTCCACTGAATGGCTGAGGCCGCATACACCTGAACGGATGCTGGCAGATTTGCCTATGCAGCACTCTTCTGCTCGGATATGGCGAGTGACAGAATACATTGACAGCATAAAGACGCAATGGTGGTGTGCACATGCTAAAGCAGTGTGCCTCCGGGGCCGCAGAGTTGCTGCAATGCCTGCATTCCCAAGATTGGCCTGCTTTGCGCAGGTGCTTGCAACGAACACATTCAAACGACCCAAAGACTGGTCTAGATGGTGCAGGCTCTGCACAGCATGACGATAACATGTCATCTGGGGAGGAAGGGGTTTAAACTTGGATTTGAATCTGAAGTTGAAACAGGAAGACTGCTAACCTTCGGGGCCGCCGAGCCGCGGCAGTATGCCGGCGCGCAGAATTCCGGAGGTGACTCGCCCGCGCAGCGCATAGAACGGCCCCTCCGCGTACCGGCTGTCAAATCAGAATTCGAATATGGTCATGAGAAGCTATTGCAAGAGAGACCCTTCATTGCACAGATCAATTGAGCAAGGCAAGCAAGCATGCACATGCACAGTATTGAATCCTGCACCCTGCCAGAGGAGGCGATTTTTTGGGATCATTTTCCTTGTAAAGGGTTTTCACAGCCCGAAAAAGGAAGTTCCTGGGATCTATCATTTGGCAGATGGATGAATGTCGGACCTGTTGTCCTCGGCAAAGATGGGGTGGTGCGGATCGTGCCACCGCGCAGAGGGATCCGAATTATTCTGTGCCCGGCCGCGCGACTTGAAGCACCCGATGTACTCTGCACGCAGCGCAGCGCAGCTCAGAAATCAGTGATATTAGTCATGTCTACGCAAGACCAACCCTCTCTATCGAGTCAAGTCTCCACTTCATTGGACAAGTGGTGAAAGACAAAGCTGCTGCAAAACAGCCTGGCTTGAACCAGCTAGCGGCACACAAGCAAGTGTAAGACAGGGGAGCACAGGGCAAGATAGCAATCGGTGCACCTTCCAGAACAACCTTTCACTGTAAGCTGACGCCACAACCTATCCATGCATGTGGAATAGGGATGAGCAACCTGGCGGGTGGCACATCCTTTCCAATTCAAGTAATGTGAAATATGCAGAGGAACACAGCCTACCTGCTCCCATGTCCGTCCACTGGTCGAGAGCGATCGCTAATCGGTCCAGTCGCACGTAGTTGTCATCGTCGATCTTGATTACGTAATCCGCCTCGAAGCGCTCCTCAGCCAGCCGCCACAGCGCCAGCGTCTTGTACGACAGCGCCGAGTAGTCATCCTGTAGTCACCCAGCTTGATAGTGCATGGGTTCAAAGATTCATAACCATGGTTGTGCCTGCCGTGGGTGACTCCAGCTCACAGTACGCAAGTTTGTGTGCAAACAGCACAAAAAATAAGTTGGCTTCTCCAAAATATCATGCGCAGAAGCTTCAGAACAGTCTGTTTGAACAGTGCAACACCTATCAACGACTGGTACCATGCTTCATATCTCTGATTTGCTAATGAAGGGACTCAGCCCTGCAGCTTGCAGTGGCCGCTCGGACAGGTATTGGTGGGCAAGGCTAGGCTGAGCGGAAGCACGTACCCTGAGTGGGATGTGCAGAAAGGCGCCATGCGCAGCTTGCTCCTCTGCTATTTGCTCCCGAGCCTCTTCTGGCGCCTCGCCCACTGCAAACCGCATGTGGATACCTGTTTCCTGCTCCAACCTGGGACATCACAAGCTGTGCTGTAACACTTGCTATCCTGGATCCCCATCAGCTGCTCTGTGCTTGTGCCCTACCAGCAGCTGACTTCCAAGAAGCAGCTAACGAGCAGCAATGCCAGTCTAAAATAATGCACTGGATGCTCGTGTGATCACACTCGCTACCTGTCCAGCTCCTGCTGCGTGCCAGGAAACCAGGTCTGGCGCAGATGCTGTCTCCTCTCGGAGTATTTCTCGCCAAAGCCGCTCTGCACGAACAGATCCAGATTTGAGTGACCGTACATATTAGAAGATTAATTGCAATGTCGAGATTGTGGCCACCCTGCTTGTTCCACAAAGACGGGCTCACCATCACTGCCACCAGTGCCTTGACTTTGTGTTTCCCAGCGCCCTGCTGCCCCAGGTGCGTCGAAGACGCCAACTGTCGGTGGTGATCCTTTTTAGGGTCTACACTAAACCCCTGAGCTATGCACAGTGCTGGAAAGAGCAGGAGAATGCAAAGGCTGGCCCTTCGCAAAGCTTCCCCTGCCGCCATCAGCCCCGTCCGTCTCGATTGCGCCAAGACCGGATTGTCCCGTCGGCACGCTGAAAAGAGCTCCAAATGTTAACTTCTACGGGAAAACAGCCTTGCAAGCGTCAGATGCGACTCGTTGTGTACCGGTCAGATACTACTATAAGGGTACAGCCCATCATCCGTGTACCGACAAGAGCGAACTCTTCCATCCAATCCAGCCCAAATCAAATGCAGATCTCGGATTCTAGATTGAAGACCTTTCTCTCGCAGCCCTTCAGCCACCAAGCAGGGCGAGTCTGGGCGCCGATCGACGATGCCCACCATTCTCGGACAGGACATCTGCATGCCGACGTGGCGTCGACGCCAAACTTGGCTGCTCTGCTGCTGTGCATTCAATCACTGATTGCCTTGCTCCGCAGCAACAGCACACGTGCTGAGGTGTTTGAAACAAGGAGCAGCACTGTATTATTTACATCGCAAGTCCGGCTGCTCGCACGAGTCAGCTCTTTACGTATTACACCTTATAGCTGCGTCGTGCTGCGAATTGAAAAGTGGGGCAAACCTCTTGAATGAAGCATCAGCGCGTCATTTGAGAGGTACGGGTGTATTCGAAATACATTCAATGCATTGTTCAAGACATTGCCATCGATAGATAAATAAGAGCAGTGAAGCTTTCGTTTTGGACTCTTAAGCGCAATAGGTAGTTGCCAACAAGTGTCCTCAATTCTGCCTCTCAGCAGCGTAATTAGTGAAATTAATGCGTCGATGCGTTGAAGTGCATATGAATTGTTTGCAAGGCGAAATTCATTCCTGACAGATATGGAGGAGTGTTTCGCTTATCTTGCAAGGTGGCTGGCACTGTAAACAGTGGAAGTATGCAGTCTTACGATATGTGAGGCGAATATTCTTCCACAGGTTTAAGGTGGTGCCAAGAATTTAGAAAGCAGCCTGAGATGTCTAAGCGTCCAACAGACCACCTCATCCCATCAGCCAAGAAGCGCTCTGGAGCCCGCCAGCTCAGCCGAGAGGAGCCTCCTTCAGACAGCGATGAAGAGGTGCGCAGAATCTCTACTCAATAGCATCCAGTGTGGCCCGATCTGCCAACTGTACCCTTCTTGCTGGCCAGCAAAATTGAGATTGTATCAGATAGCCAATCCTGTGTGACACAGAGCTGTTGCAGAGGGTTGCACTGCTGTGGGTAATCGGACGTCTCCTTGCTGCATATTGCCAATCAAGACGAGTGTTTAGGAGAGACTTCAGCAAGGTTGCACTTAATTACACTTTATCAGCAAAAGTAATCAAATTTTGGGCCCCCTCGAAAAGTTTCGTACCCATGCTGGGAAACAGCTTTCACACTTTCCTCGTCGCCACTCGGCGGCAGGGGAGAAGCTTCAATCGTGTGCAATGTTAAACAACCATTAAATCAAAAGCTCGCACGCGCAGGTGGTCGCTGGTGAGTTCAGGCGTGCAGACGAGGGGACACTGAAGCAGCGGCGCATCTTCAAGGCGCGCCGCGGCGCTGCCGCGGCCGTCGCGCCGAGCGCGCCGCCGCCACCGGCTGCAGCGGAGCCGGGCGCCGATGCCGGGCCGGCCACCACAGCCGCCGCGCCGGCCGCGGCGAGCAATCCCTTCGCGGGCATCTCCCTGACTGCGCCTGCTGCCGGAGGGAACCCCTTTGCAGGCGTGTCGCTTGTAGCGCCTGCTGCCTCCATGCCAGCCGCTGCGCCAGAGGTGTGTACTCTGCTGCAGCAGACCATTTGCATGCGCTCTGCGTTCAAGCAAGACTGTACTCATGCATGCTCACCTTTCGGATGTGAACTGCACATATACTGTAGACGGAAGCACTCTCCCCACTCAGTCTGTTGAGGGCAAAGTATGAGAATTGCTGCATTTTGGACGCTGGAGCTGACAGCCCACAAGTAAACAAAGTGGTATGCCAACGGACCTCTTGCTTCCCAAATTGCGTAGAAAGGACATGCAGTAGGACCTGTATAGATCAGCGGTGATGGGGCTTGCATGTGGCATGCAGACTGCAAAGGAGGAGCCGGCAAAGGAGGAGGCAGCAGCCGCAGCGGCAGAGGATGGGAAGACCGGGAAGGCAGAACAACCAGAGCCGGTGGCTGAAGCAAAGGAGGAAGGGGAGAAGCTTAGTGAGAAGGAGGCGGACGGTGCAGCAGCCAAGACATCTGGGGAGGCAGAGGGGGCAGAGGCTGCAGAGGCCCCAGCAAAGAAGGAAGGTGAGTGACTAATTCAATTGTGCAGCAGGCGGTCCGGCTGCAGTCACTGCAGAAAGACATGGCGTGCGCATGGCAGTCATACCAATACTTCATATGCCATTAGCACATCTCAATGCATGGATGCATGCCGGACCGACGGAACCTGCTCTGCAAGAATTTTTAGCGTTTGCTGACAACATTACACTGTCCACATCTGCCTGTTCATGGCAGCAGACAAGCAGGGTTATATATCTTTTGTTCTGATGAAGATGGACGCAAAGAGGGCGTCCTTGACAGGCAATTAACATTTTTTTTGCATACTCACGGGGAGTATAAGGTTCCTTCTTGTACCCACCCACCAGATGAGCATGCTGAAGCTCGTTTAAATCCCAGCATTCGCTCAATGAGTGTATCTTTGGCGCTCAGGCGAGACAGAGACGCCCGAGAAGCCGGGCGGCAGCAGCGCGTTTGCGACATTCGCATCGGCGAGCGGCTCCGGCTTTGGCGGTCTCGCGAGCGGCACCGCGGCCGCGGGCAACGGCTTTGGCGGATTCAGCGCCTCGGGGGGTTTTGGCGCGCTCGGGAACGGATCCTCTTTTGGCGCGCTCGGTGAGTCATCTTGTCTCTGTATGACGAAGACGATATTACAAAACAGAAGGTATCTTGAGCGCACTGCTTTATTGCTTGACTGGCATGCAAATTTTTGTGCTAGGCTAGCGTGCGGCTTGATTGAGCCAAAGGGTTGTCGCTGCAGCTGTTCTGACCGCCATGAGAGAGCTTGAAAGGTTGCGCAAAATGGAGCTGAAGGTTGTGGTGTCTGCTTCCAGGTTCCACCGGAGCGGCGCCTGCGTTTGGCACCGCCGAGGCCAGCACGCCAGCTTCCACCAGCTTCTCCTTCAACACAGGTGCAGTGCTCTGCTGCATGGCCCCAACTCTATATCTCAGGCTCTGCACTCATGTGTCACCCATCTACATGTATCATTTGGTAAGGGATTTCTCGTTGAACATGTCATTCTATGCCGGTAGTGAGCCATACTCTCTGACATGGAGCACTTAGCCATGTACCGTGCAGGATGCACAGGATTTGAAAAGATTAAAAATCGAAGAGTTTGGTCATATGCCTGCAGGTGCCAGCACAGGATCGAGCTTCACCTTCTCCACGACTCCGGCAGCTGCGAGCAGCTTCCCCAGTGTCCAGAATATATTTGGTGCAAACAACCTCCCGGCATCTTCGGTCTTTGGTGAGCCTTCCCTGCTGTTTGACTTGAGCTCTCTTTCTCATTTTGTTGCTTCGTTGAGCCGCCAGGCAAGCCTGTGGATATGCGGATTTTGATGTCGCTGCAGTAATGCCGCATTGATACCATGAGAAGGCTTCCTACCTGATACAGATTCTCTCATAGCCCCTGAATACAAATGAGAGCAAGCAGTGTTCTGTGTCAGGTGAGAGGTCTTGCATAGTATCATGCGGCACTTTATCTCCTGCTTTCATGGTACATAGTCATGGTCTTGGAACTGTTTTCAGGTGAGGCATCGCAATTGTCCTCCAAGGCTCAGATTGGGCCTCCATGTTCTGACTGGAGACGGCGCAATCTCACCAGCTACTAATGAGTACACGATGGGTTCTCTTGTGTTGTTTCTTAGTAAAAGATGACCACTGCGCAGGTGGCGGGCAGGAAACGCGGCCGGCGGTGTTGCCTCTGCCGGAGGCCGAGCCTCAGCGGGTGACTGGGGAGGAAGAGGAGCGCTGTGTCTTCTCAGGTGCGCAGACCAGGACTTTACACACTCTTTGTATCCCCGACCCTGCGTTTTATAGACACACTCAATCGCTGAGAGTTGCCCCATGAACTGAAACGAGGCTTCCCTTCGTCTTCTCTTTCACATCGCGTTCTAGCATTTTCGCTCATCTGGATTCCAGGGTCCACAGGTATAGATATGAAGGAAAAGGCTGTTACCCTGTGTGCTATTACAAGATGTATGCCCTGTGTGCTATCATGTCGCTTTTGTCAACAAGCAGACGCTTTGCAGGCGCGTCTGATTGCCGCTGGGCTTTATTGGAGCCAGTCGGCAGTGGGGAGACGAGCAAGGGGTGACTAATGCATGCCGGCATGTGGGCGCAGGCGACGGCGTGCTGTTCGAGTTCATCGACGCGCAGTGGCGCGAGCGCGGCCGGGGCGAGCTGAGGGTGAATGTGGCGGGTGGGGGGCAGGCTCGATTAGTCATGCGCCAGCGTGGCAACCTGCGCCTGCTGCTCAACGCCAACCTCTTCCCGGGCATGAAGCTCACTCCCATGGACGGCGGCAAGGTGGGGCGACTATTTCAGATTTTTATTTATGGCCTCAGTTAGGGGGGAATTACTCCAGGGTTGCTTACAGGGTCCTAATCTGGCTTGAACTACTCATCATGGCGGATGCTTGTTATTGGCTGATGTTCTTGAGAAGTTACTTGGTATGAGTATTGCTGGGGAAATCTGTGGGGACGTAGACATTCCTGCATTGGCCAGGGCATGTTTTGGGTCAGAGACTGCCTAATCTTGCAAAGAATGACATGGCAAACACCGCACCTTGCGAGCTTCGTTTATCAATTGGTCTCTTTTCACACAGGGCACTACGTTTGCCTGCGTGAATGCCGCAGCGAATTCAGATGCCACACCTGCAAAGAAGGACGAAGAAGGCAAGGAGGGTGGGGTAACAGCAAGCGGCCACCTTGGCACATTTGCTTTCAGGTGCGCGGAAGATTTGATCAATTCCTTTTGGCCTCTTGTTGCCGCCAGCAGACGGCAACGACACTAGTGTTTGATCTGGCTCTGGGTTCCGACACTGAAACATGCTGATGTGTCTGTTCAATCGCTCAACACTCACACTAAAAATGTCCTTGAGAGCTTTTGTGTATGCCTTCTCGTATTGCTGTATGCCTAGTTGCCACTAATTGTGCATGCTGTGAGGCCAGAGCAGCTTCAGATTTTGCTGTTTGGAACACTGTGATCGAAATCGAGACACATCACTTCGGCATGCTGCATACGGCATCACACATGCATATGCAGATTCACTGCCTGACACCAGATCACCTGTGCATGTGCAGGGTGAAGGTGCCAGGCAAGCTGGAGGAATTATTGGCAACAGCGCAGTCGCACATTCCAGCAGCAGATGCTCAGGCCCCTGGCAACGAAAACAATGTCTGAATCTGCGCGAATTAGAAATCACCGCACAGAGAGGGGGAATTGCTGCATTCCTGCCAGCCCAATAGGGGCTGATGAGATGTCAGCATTTCTATGCGCAAGAAAAATGCGACCACATGGAAATGGAAGCACTGCAGATCTGTCGGCCTTTTAGGGGCTGATGAGATGTAAGCATTCCTATGCGCAGGATAAAAAATGGCCACCCAAAGAGGGAATAGTTTCATCTCTGGTACCCCACAAGGGCTGCTCACATTAAGAAACATCTAGAGCGGCCATTTGTTTGTAACAACCCACAATCAACTGGTCATCTCAGTGCATTGCTGGGTCGCATTTAGTGCACGAGGTGTATTCTTCCCATCATGTCACAGGACATGACGGCTAGTGGTCTGCGCGGCTTTTATGGCATGCCGGAGACTCTCGTGTGATCTGAAGAACAAGAAACAAAAAGATTTGTTTGGTTTGGTGTGTCAGAGGGGTGTGTCAGTGGGGTGGGTCTCTCCTAGTGAGCGACTGGGATTGAGGCATCGATTGGAGGTGCACAGGTCCCGAACATTCACTTTTCACTGCTGGCGGCGAGGCAGAGCTTTGCTGCACAAGACACAGCCTGACACCATGCCTCACAGGCACTAAATTTTGTCGGCCATTTGTGTGAAAGAAGTGGTTCCTCTAGGAATTCTATGATGTGCTGCTAGCTTGGAGTTGACCCAATTTCGTGTCTCTTCAGTTGATTGTGATGCCCAGGGTGCGACCTGCTGCTCATGCAATAGCAGCAGGGTCTGACTTTCCTTGTCAGGGGAATAATCTTGGTCTTGCTCTGGAGCTCAGACGGCTTGTAGCAGGTTTCAAGAGACTCGCAGCATGTCAAACTTCATCTCAAGCAGCCTGTCTTTGTGTCCCATACTAATGTTGTAGTGCTAGTGCTAGCATTCCATGGTGAAGCCTTTTGCATCGCAATGCGTGTGGGCAAGCCATGCGTGACAGTGCTGCCTTGCATCTTTATGAATTGTTACATAAATGCATCATACTTGTACATGCCCGAAAGCCCTGAGACGTTCACAGAGGAGCTTCACAAGATATGGGTGCCACCACCATAGCAAACCTTCCCAACCAAAGTCAAAGAAAAATTGCAATGAAAGGATCTTTCTCAATGCCCGTCAATATTGTGTGCTCTGCACATGAGCCGCATCCGCATGTTCATTGGACATTCATCAAATCTGATGAACCTGGTCATGACATACAATATTCCTCCAGGCAAGAACACAGAAGACCTAAACCTACAAACACCAATTTCTGATGGTAATAAATAATTTAATGGTCGTTCTAAGACCACTATAGTATACCTAAGCGCAACTGAAATCAGCTGCTTACGCCATTTTTGGCACGATATTGTCTTATTGGACGTCCTGTCAGGCAGTGAAGAGTCATCTGTGCAGCGCTGATCTGTAAGCAACAAGAAAGAAATCTGTAAGCCACAGAAAGCAGACATGACAATGTGCCAAAATTGCCTCCGAGTTCTCTGGCTGCAAATAATGGATGAAGGCCAGCCAACAAATCTGCCTCGAATGGCAATCAGAATGAAATACAGCTCATCAGTCCATCTCAACATCACTGGCAAAAGTAACAAAACTGATCTCCAGAATCCCCAAACTCAAGAGACAAAAGCAATAATCAACTTGCCAGAATTCCCTGCTGTGAAGCCCAACTGAAATTTTGAACAGGCCTCACCGCGTCGCAATGACTCCTATCCCCTCACAAACAGTGAGTCATCTGGGTACTAACGACCAGAGGAATATAACAAACTGCAAATGCAAGGCACGCCACAACACAAGCCATGATTAAATCCTCTGCTGACTGAGTTCGGAGGGTATTTAGAATATGCAGGCCGCAGCTGAAGGGGTCCTTACTAACTATTTGCAATATCCGCGCTGCTGCCAGCGCAGTCAGACACTCACTCCTTGCGCTCGGGGGCGGCCATTGCATTGGGCCCCGGAGAACTGCGTAATCAAATGAGCCTGCCTGAGTCATAAGCAGAGTATAGTTTGCAGAACAAAATCCTACTTGAGCCTGTGAGGCGGACATGCAAGCAAAAAGGCAGATGACATGCAAATATCAGATCTCGGACTTTGTGCAGAGCCTCCTATTATCCATCGGTTGCACAGTCCAATCCATCCACAAGAAGGGGTGTCCTGCTTGGGATATACCGAGCGAACAACCGGAAATTTGAGTTTTCAAGCTTTTGGGAATGTGGCCGCTTTCAGAGCAGGCTACAACAGATAGGAGCAGTCAAATTCTACCTGTTCCAGTCGTCCCAGCCGCGCACCCAGTCCTTGCCCGGCTGTGACATTGCAGCGTTGTCCCTGTGAGCCGCTAGGCGCTCCTCTACGTTATGTTTCATGTCCTGCGCATCGCATGCGACTCCTGTGAGCCACTTCAATCGTGGAGCCCTTCAGCTACTGGCCATCCCAGATACATTCAAAGCCCCTGCCAGGTTTGGTTGAGGATCATGGCCGGACTGATGAAGGTGGCCTGCCATGACAAAGACATGCGCTCGAAGAGCACCACACCTCAGACATGATAGGTTGGATGCTTGACACTGCAAGAATTAGCAAAAATTGCTGGTTGAGGGCTGCCAATTTCTGATGGCAGCACCAACATGACCCTCTGCGTCAAGCCTCCCTAGCTGGCACAGCAAGAAATTCAGACATCCCTTCCAAGATGATGGAAACAGTTTCCCGCACAGAGTGCCCCGACAGGTGCTCACCACAAATGCTGGGTTGGCCTGCATGGCTTGGGGAGCCTCCTCCTGCCCAGTGAGCCACTTGAAGAGGTCAGGGTTCTCCTGGTCAAGAACGGTCTCCATGGCTGCCAGCTGTGAGTCATCCATGCTGGGCAGGTTCCTCTCTGCCCACAGGCCCACCAGTAGATCCATCTCAAGGAAGCCCCGCTGCTTGCTTCTGTACAGCAGCCTGTTCACCTGTGCGCACAAAATGCAGGGCTGATTTCGGCTGCATTGATTTGAATTATGGCGCTGTGACTGCCGAAGAAGGCAGTGTGTCTGCATACAATGTGTCATGAAAGCTGCCAGTTAATTGGACCTTTGGTGGACTTGCCAGTGGCACACAGCCCAGAGCTGCCTGGGGAAATTTCTTGCCAGTGTTGTGACCCAATGCTTTTGAGGTGTGAAAGTCTCTTGTTAGCCACTTTTCCAAGGTCACCCATCGACAGTGTCCTTCCACAAAGGGGTGGAAAAAAAACTCTGCCATGGATTACCATGAAGAGTGGCTGACAAGCGGAACCATAGAGCCTCACTGGTCCACCGTGCAGAGATGAAGCAAATTTTAAGCAGCAGTGGAGCTGCACGCCGTGCAATTCAAGGGGACAGAAGTTTGAATGCTCACCGCGGCTTTTCTCTGGACATCAGCAGAACCGGTTGCTGCACTGCTGGTGTTCTGATAGCGACCTGAGCAAGCGCAAGGCTCAACCTTTGCTGACAGATTCTGCAAAGAAACCTGCTCCAAGGGCAGGGCTCTGTACAAGGTCCTGACCAGCGGTATTGATGTTCGCAGCATACCTAATCTTTCTCTCCCTGCAGTCAGAACAGAGAACCTCTTCACAAGTGCGAACTCTGTTACAATGCTCGTTTTGCATCCAGAAGAAAGGGCAAAAATAGACTGAAAAGTTGATCGGATGACCCCTGGGAATGATCTAACAGAATGGGAATGTATGTCACAACATAAAGGGCACACCTGTCAACAGATCTTCTCAAAGCAATTTTCGATGGGAGCGGGTACAAACGAAACAAAGAAACACTTGTCAGAAGTTCGATGTACAGATTCGAATCTCGTCCTCTAGATATGAACAGCAGAGGAGTTGGATTCCGTTTGTGGCATTTGTGACACGACTGAGGGGCAAGCAGTGCAATCGAAAGGCGTTGTCCTTTTCTAGAGTGCCTTGGGGTCTATTTGAATGACGTTGATGCCTTGATCGGTTCGAACCTATTCGAAAAGTAAAAGTGCCGATCACTTTTGGTGTTGTGATTCGGTACAAGTGCCTATTTCGCAAACATCGACTGGTTTGCACTCAAAACTTTGACAAACCACTCCAAGTTGTCGATCAGATCTCAGGTAACCTTTGTACGGGGTATCCAGAAAGATCAGTGCCTGACGTTGAATACCAAAAATTTATTTCCAGATTGCATCGAGTGTTGCCAGCAATTGTACGCAAGACTTCATCAACCTTCAAATACGGGGTTCAGCGTATGTTGGCTACGCTGGTGGCTAGCTGGAAATCTCCGAACATTGATCTCAAATATACTGCACGAATAAGGAACAGAGAAGACGAAGAAATTCGAAGGCTGGTTTTTTGAGCGGATGCCGCATGGTGTTGGGGTGCAGGAGCAGCCATAGGTACCCTACTGGACACTCTAAAAGCCTTGGCCCTTTGGCAGCGGCCAGAAATGTCCTCAGACCCATGGACGAAGCTCGCTTACTTTATGCCCACTGGCACATTCCTCACATTCCAATTATTGGCGCCTCTGACAACCTTGGTGCCTGACAAGAACGGCACTTGCGGCATCATGCAATACGTGCGTCACGGTGCCCCACCTGCTCAGCACTTTGCAACAGTACAAAGTTGCTTCTCATTGCGTTGCAGTTTGCAGAGCAAACTCACGATTGCAGCCTGGCAATCATCATCACAGGCCTGCTTTATTGAATGATGGTGATGCCAAGCTCTGCATCTTGCTGCTCATCCTGAGTGATCATGACATCCTGGCTGCCGTGTTGTGCATGGCAGGTCCTTACTGGAGTGTTTCTGGGCATCATGGCGGCGTGCTGCTTCCTGATGTCCTTCACCGACAGCATCACTGATGCAGGAGGCAGGATTTGCTACGGCGTTGTCACCCGAAAGGGACTGTGGTGGGCAGGCGTTCGTCAGGAGTACGGCTATCCTCCTGGGGAACAACCCGTAACAGATGAAGAGCAAGCTCCAAACCGCAACGGACAGCCCCACGATGCACTGCTAGATGCACACCCAGTAGCCGCTGCTAGCGATAATAACATCCAACAGCCACCGTCCCCGTGGGATTCCAAGTACAAGAGGACTGGGGTCGACTGGGCTCACGCGTCAATCTCGGTCCTGACCTTTCTCACGTTGTCCATGCTGACGCCACCGGTGAGCACCTGCTTCTTTGGCGCTTGCCTACCTCCCAACATTGCCCTAGCGGTGCCAATCCTTGTGGGCATCCTGGCTTCCGTAATGTTCACTCTCATCGGAGCGCCGCGCAAAGGCATTGGCTTCCCGGGCCAGGACCTTGCGAAGTGACACTGGCAGCTGGTGCACGGCAATGACTATGGGATCAGCCTGCTGCACCGTTGTCAGGTGCAGCTGCCCGGGCAGATGCAGACCCTGCAGCAAAGTAAAGACACAGCCACTGCAGAAGGGGAGAGAACAAGTGAGTTGCTGATCAGCAGCTGTACGGCTGTGAGAGCGGCTCTGATCCAGTAATCTGTAGTGTGAGGGTTGATTTTGATTATATGGCACTTTGAGACCAGATTCATGCAGCACTTTCATGGCCAGTATATATTAGGCCACATAGCGCCTTCCATGATGCGAGCTGCCCCAAGCGTCAGAGTATGAGTAGGAGGCATTCGCTAGAATTGTGGGGATCTTTTTGAGAACCAGACATCACATCTTGGGGACTGACTCAGCCAGTTTTGGCCTTGCGTGCCAGCTAGGCACCAACGCCAGAACGTTCCTGCGAAAGCTTCATATCTGCACTGCATCATACTGCACTTGTGATCGAGTGCACTTGAAAAATTGCCGTCTTCAACAGCTACTAAGTGCTTGAAAATCTGGGTCCTTCAGATCAGCTAGAGACAGGAGCTGCAATTGTGCTGATTTGAGACTAATGCCAGGCCCATGCTCACGCTATAAATGCAGAGCGGCAGGCATAAGATGCTTGAACTAAAGTTGCAGCAGATTGATGTTGTGGTGAGGGCTCGACGCAATCTGATGTTGGCTTCCATCAGCTTCAACAAAAAGAATGCAGCAATTCAGCTCCCTTGCTATTTTTTTTTACTACCAGTAACGTATACAACAAATAGTTCGTATGTGTACTGGAGCTAATGGAGCGACGCGTCCTGGCATATCACCGTGCAGGGATGCCACCTGCTGGTTATTCGTGCCTGAAGGACCTTGCCAAAATCATAACAAATGCTTGCATACGTAAATCAGTAACAACCGTCGCAGATGGAAAATGTCTTTCGGAATTTGTGCAAAACATACTGAAATGTTCCGAGAAAGTGTTCGCCATTGGGTGACGGGTACAGTAGCCACAGAAATTCACATTGTGCATCGACCGTCCAAGTAAAATTGGATGCGCAGTCTTCACACTGAGACATTCGGAGTAGCTCAGTGGAAGAGTGGTGGGCCCATAACCCACAGGTCAGAGGATCGAAACCTCTCTCCGAAACTTCCCTTTTTGCACTTTTTTTCTTTTGCATGGATGCTTGTTTGCTCTTTCATGCAAAGTGCACTCTGCAAGATGAAGCCCACCACGAAATGGATCTTACCGTCAATGCTGTGTACGCAAGCAATTGCCACCGGCGGCCGCCCGCTCTGCCTGCCCCAGCCCACTGAGTGAGCCTTTTACGTGATCAAATGATACTTGTAAGGGCTGTGTTTAAATGATCATAATGATCGAGGAATAGTCCATGAGTTTTACAACATTCTTACAAGCTCACTTAGGTGAATGATTCACCGTGAATCAGACTGAGAATGGCTTGTTGCCCCGCGGGTGCCTCTGCTCTTGCGAGCCCTACCCATGCGAGCCCTGCCCATGACATACATGCATATAACTTGCCATTGTTAAAAGCTCCAGTATGTTTGACATGTCACTGCCACTGATTCACTGGTGCAACCTGATCGATCACTTAATGGAAGCTTTCTCTTGCCTTTCCACCATGTAAGATGAGCAACAACAACACTGCCTTCCAACAAGTAATGCAGCCATGTCAGAACAAATTTTGGGCATTGTCATTGCTTCTTGGAGTAGTCCCTCGCTCCAAAGATGGTGGACCCAACCCTCACATTTGTGCTGCCCATCTCAATCTGCACCCAAGCAGACAATCTCTCAGTGAGAGCCGCAAAGCTGCCCTATAGTACTGGCAAGCGCAAAACCCAAGGCAGAGCGCTTCCTGTGTTTCCCATCCCTATTTTGCTCGCAGTCTCAAGGACGGTGCCAGATGATTTAGATGATGGTTTAGAGTAGCAATAATTTCGACAGTATGGTGCCTGCGCAAATATATATATGTTCACCCTCACAGAAGCCCCTTCCGAGATAATATTCCCTGCCAGCATGGCAGCGCTGGTTGCAGCATGCGCAGCATGCACATCGCGCCATGCTGAGCTGGCCAAGAGCGCTTACATCAGCGCTGAGCTGGCGTTGGTGATTCAGGGGATTGCATGCAAACACCAATGACGTCTCACAGTCTCACAGTGCATGGAGGAGGGTGACTCACCGCTTGCTCAAAGTCGCCAGACATGCCCATGCTGAGCTCCACATCAGCAGGAGATAGGCCCAGCTCCTTGCAGACCTCATCTCTGCACGCCTCCAAACACTGCGCGCCGCCACACAAGCTAGATGGACTACCAGGGAGGACACTGCTTTAACGCTCCCCCCTACAGCTCCTGTATTGTCGAACTCCCCGATAGAGCTTATGCTACCGGGGACGCTGCAGTTTCAAGCTGCAGCTGTGACAAGGTGCAGCACAATTATAAGAGATCCCGTGACCTTGGGATCAGGACGGAGAGTTTGGCATCCCAGGCACTGGAAATTGCTCAGATGCAGCTGCAACTGGCATCTGGCATCACCTAAAGCCTCCAACCGCAACGCCAGAACATGACACAAACCTCAAAGCTCTGGAGCTTTATCTTGTGCGCTGGGCGACACACTCTGCCTAGAATACCCCCTCCAGAGCACTGTTAGCCTGATCATGCGCGAGCATTTGGGCCAGAAGTGAACACTCTGCCACGGAAACCTGATCTCGCATGCAGTGCTGCGCCTAGGTAGGACGCTGTGCCCACATGCGAAGAAGGAGCAAAAACAGTGCATTGATATGCGCCATCGACGGCGCTGCGCTACAGGGGCTCTTCGTGATTGGGATTGCGAGTTTTGAGAATAAGAGCCTGATCTGTCGCGGTGTGCAGCGCGCACCTGGAAATTCTCGGGGCGCGAGGAGTAGTCGGGCTGGCCAATGGTCATCAGCCCGGCGAATCGCAGGTGGCTGCACCTGTCGCTTATGTGCCTCGCCAGCGCCGTGCACTCGCTCGGCTCCACTCCATACTTGCTCTCCTCCCCACTTGTGTTCACCTTCGCAGCACAAGATCTTGTTTTATTAGAAGCTTTTGAGGCAAGACGTGAATGCGCCTGCAGACGAGCTGCATTTGACAGAAGGCTGCAGATTTCCTAAACCTTGTTGCACTTGCCAGACCCAAGCAAGAGCCAATATAAGCGTGGGCGTAATGCTCATTGTTTACACCGCAGGAAATACAGCGCATGAAACGCGACCAAGCAAGCCCTCTCCTCTTTGGGAGGAGTCAAAGGGGTGATGGAATCTATGGTGCAGTCTCCTGCGCTGGGAGCATGGGCCCCTAGAGCTCATTTCCGCTTTGGTGCGTAAAACCTTGCGTCAAGCAGCGGATGCAGCGCCTTCCAATATGGCATCTGAATATGGGGAGGCTGATGCACAAAGCCTCATTCAAGCTGCAGACGGGGCGGACCATGCTCTACGCCCGTTCAAAAAGAAGATTTTGCGAGGCTTTCGGGACTACGAGATCAGGATCGTTGCATGGCATGCATACCATGTTTATTGTGACACATCGGCTGGTTTTTGGCCGGCATTAACCCACCTGCACTAACACAGGCAGGGGCGCCCGCCCCAGCTGCTGTAGTGTGCTGTCCAGCTTGTTTGCCAGCTGCATTATGACAAATTCAATGACTTGAGAGACAGCATACATGTTGGGAAATACGTTTGCAGCTCATACAACAGTATGCATATAAAAGAAAATCATTATCTTCTTTAAATTCGGGTGAGAGGCCTTGCCCACAGAAACAGGCATGGACCTGGGAAACCTCCACAAACCTTTTCCGTGTCCACAGTCTCAAGCAGTGCAAGATTGGGCACTCCGTCTGCACATGGAAAATGTCAGCGCATGGATGCCGCAATTTTACAAGGATCCCTGAAAGGAAAGTGCCTGCTCTTTTTTATATAGGGCACCAGGAGATGCTCACCTAGCAATGTCTTGGCTTTGTTCGACTGTAAGTGCCCTACAAAATGCCACCTGATATCATCTGGAAGCTTTGGAGCCTTGTCCACTATTTCCTGCGGCAAAATGTTGGGTTGTCAGGTAGATTGTTTACCTGTGTCCTCCCCAATTGGACATTGGACTGTGCCCAAATTGTCAAGCGTGTCACAAGCCACTGCATCACCTGAACATAATTCTCCCCGAATATCCTGTGGCCAGAATCGTACGCCTCCTGTATCGCTTCCACAGGCTTTGTTTTGCTGATGGCCACTAATCTCGGCTGTACACAAACAGAGATTGGTTGTCAAGAAAGTCATCAGTTTGGGATTAAATCAAGAACAAATCACATACTGATGGGTTTTCATATCGAGATATGGCAACAGAGCGCAGGAGCATGGCCAAGTACTGCACGCTTCCAGAATGCCGATGTGTTTTGCCGAAGTCCGTGACAGGAAACGGGGAGTCATTGTGCGCAAGTAATTAGACCCTCCTTCTACCTGAGAATTCCTTCCGGATCGCTGTGCAGCGCTATCTACCCTTTCGAGAACGCTCTTTAGAGCTGTGGCCACTTGCCCAGGATTCCCAGCGGACATGTGTGTTGCACGGAGCGCAAGCGACGGACCTCTTAGCATGACAAGAAACCAGCTTTTTCTTGGATCTGCTGCTTTATATTTGTATATATTTGGAAATTCCTAGCCTTATGAAGAACAACATCACGTGCAAGCAGGAAGGAACCACGTGACATGTTAAGATCAGCTCCATGATGCCGCAACTTAGACTGTTTCGGCAAGATCCTTATTAGAAAGTACACAAACTCATAAGCGCAGAGTGAAACTTTCACTGTTCATGTTTGGGCACGGCAGGCCATTTGCATGCCAAGCTGCCGTTAACTCGCCCAACGTTGCCGTTAACGCTCACGACTCGTTGATTGTATGGTCTAGTCTCTTTGGAAGTACATGCAGCATGGCGGCTTTCATGCATCGGGGGCAGTTGACATCTGCTCTATCATTGCCAGACTACAGCGGTGCAGCAGTTCATCCACTTTCCTCAAATTTGACTTCAAAATCCAAGACTCCACGAACTCTTCCTGCATCTTCTCTGCTGCAAGCCGCCATGTTTCAGTCTCAGCACCGTAGTCCTCGCCTTTGAACATCTCAGCAGCTGACTCCAGGTTCTTGATCTGCGCCTCCATCTTTGCAATGCAGGCCCCAATCTTCTCGATGCCTCGGTCATATTGCTTGAGCCTTGGATCGTCCAAATTGAAACCTGGCGCGTCGGTGTCTTTCTGCACCTTGGGCTCCTGCAGCACCGGAGCACACTATCGAAAGTCATCAATCAACGTAAGTTTCAAACCGTTATGATCATAGCATTCCCATTTTTATTTACCTCGGACCGTGAAGCACCATGCCAGTCACAACTTATATGTACTAATATATATGGGCATAATTGAAATTTTATTTGAATTACACCAAGGTAGAATGCAAGTCAGAGAAGGCAGCGCCAATAGAGAGGATTGAATTTGAATAGCGGCTTCACCTTTGCAGACTCATCTCCTGACTCCGGCTGCAGCATCCCTCGCTCCTCTAGCTGTGCCATGCAGAACAGATGCAGCGCAGAAGGCGCCATAACTACAGCATCCAGATACTCTCCATGCGCCTCTGCGGGCAGGTCACGAGCCCACCCTACACCAGCAATCAAGCAGAATATATAATTATTGCATAGGGCATACACGCAGGGCGCCTGCAGCCACGTCTGCGGGGCCTACAAAAGTCTGCAGCCTGGTGTTGTGCCGGAACTCATCAAATCTCAAGTACCAAACCCTCCAGCACGTCCTGTACCAATAAATGCACCAGTGAAAGACCTGACTACAAAAGCATGCACAGCGCTCACCCGAGAGGAGCCGGTAGCTCAGCATTTGGATCCGCAGCAAGCTTTCCAGCGCGGGACGTCCTATGCTCTTCAAGACGGCTGGCAGCGGCACCGCATGGTGCGGAGAGCTCAAGATCTGCTTGATGACTGTACTATATTGCTGACCCGTCCATGCGCCGCATGCATGCAGAGCGAGGTGCATGTATGAGGAGAGAGGGCTCCACATTGAGACCAGATCTGCAGTGCCCAGGCGAGGTCATCAGGGCAACAGATATGGGTCAGAAGTTCAGTCTCTTGCCGGTTGAAAGCCGTGTAATCGGCAGCACTTGCAGCTCGTCTGCCCATGCGCTTTGCCTCTCCAGGACCCAAACAAAGGCGTGTACCATGACAACAGTTTCATTGTCGGCATGGCTGAATTCTCGCATGGAAGGATATCAGAAGCAATATAAAACAACAGGGCTGCACACCTTTGTCCCAATCTCCGTTGTATAAGGCAGCTGCACCCATCAGATTCCCTGCATTGCCTCCACATACCTGCACCCAAGACCCCAACATGATTGCACAGACACTTGCCATGCATGCCGCTCACAATATCTTTCTGCTTTCCAGATGACATTTATTCATAATACTTTCCAGACATTGCTGTCCCACAGGGCTTGCCACACAGGTGCATGCCATGAGCATCTGAGTCTCATTAGGTCAGGGACTCTAAATCAACCTGACATAGAGTCCCTTGGCTAGGTTGCTCCAGGTACTATAAAACACATCAGATGTATTCAGGGGATTTTCAAGGCCTGCTAGGTAGTACCCTGTGCACCCTCGCCCAATCTTCATCAGACACCGTCGGTGCTTTCCCGCTCCAAGGAAAGGCGCAGTCTGCCAGAAATCTGCGCGCCTCGTCCTCAGGAAAGTCTCCTATGACCTCTGTGTGGATGCTTCCAGGGCCAAGTTCTGAATCAGAGTTAAGCATGAGCCTTTCTCCAAGATTAACTGCAAATGATGCACTTCTGCCTTACAGAAATTAGCAGCTTCCACAACAGCAGGAAGCCAGCCATGGAAACTTCAGGGGCTGAGGAACATGTGGATATCTGCAAAGTGACTGGTAAAATATAAAGACTTACCAGTCTCAAGCCATTGCAGAAAAGCATAGTCTGACGTGACAAAAATCACATGTGCAGCATGATCCTGCCGTGTCACCTGCAAAGCCCCCAACAGATTGCTTCAAGAAACTCAAAAATGGCAGCTTCACTCTTAAATACTCTCTGCTGGCCGCAAGGAGACACCTGCATGCTTACCTTCACAAAATATGCAAGGAGCGCCCTCAGCGCCTCTTCTTTCTCAGGGCTGCCCGTGTCCTGCTCCTTCCCAATCCAAACATCCGCCGAGTCGATGCAGATCACCGGCCAGTTGGCGGCAGGAGATCTACCAGCCTTATACAGAGCGAAAAGTTCATCAAAGACTGACAGGGCATCAGTGAGGTGCTGGCTCTCCCAATTCAGAAAGATTGCCATATTGGCCATCTCTCTATCCCGGATCAGCTCTGATTCCTTGTCTGTAGAGAACACGTTGCAAATGCGCTCTAGGACATCTTTCACGGAAGCAGCCAGCAACGTTGCTGCCGTTGAACCTTTCCCCTGGAGGTTGTTGACCAACAAGCTGGTGTCCGACAGCTGCCATGACCTGCCATCGATGTAGATGGGGAGAAAATCGGTATTGTCTATTGCATTGTAGAGAACGGGTCGGAGCAGAGTAGTTTTCCCAACGCCTCGACTCCCCAGCAGCACCAGAATGTTGTTGGGTGGAATTCGAAGCCAGCGTTGCAAGGAACTGCTTTCTGCTTCTCGGCCGAAAACTTCTGACGCCTGCAGAACAAGTGACGCGTTGAGAATGGATCGTGCATGAAAGGTACTCGTTCGACTCTTAAGAAGCGTCTGCAACTCAACAGCAAGGGCGTGTATAGGAGGGCGATGAAATGGAAAGGAGCTTTTACCTTCATTTCAGCGCTGCAGAATATTTTTGATCCTCGTGACGATGCTGGCATGCGACGTTTAATCGTGCTTCGTGGTTTCACCCGCCCGCACAACCTTTGATAACGCGCCCGTATTTTTCATGTGTCGTCACATGATTGTGTGGTAGGTCCCTTAAGTATATTTGCAACCAAGCAAATCGGCTAGGTTTACCTGGAAGTCAAGAACATTTGGGCTCTGAAACAGTCCGTCTGACTCTGAGGAGCAAGGCGGCGTGGTCTGGAAGCGTTGATGAATCCCGTGCTGTGTTGATGAGCTGCTGTAATCATATTTGGGAGAAAGCCAAGCTTGTAATTAGCTAGCACCTAAACGGCGGGTACTGGCAACAATTATTCCTCCTCTGTGCACGTAAACCAACTCATCACACTTTCATGCGTTATACTGTCCCGCGCCGATTCTTGCCTTGTGAAGGCTCTTTTTCGCATCGGGTTTATGTGTTAATGCATCCATTCGTGCCCCTCGATGCAGTTGCAGTTGCATGAAGCCAGCACGTGACAGTCACATGCTGTAAACCCAGACGCTGAAGAGGCAATCGTCACGCAGGCTTGCCAATCATTGCTGCGCCTTATTGAGCTTGCAAGACTGCCAGACATTGACAAAGCTACAGGCGTATCGAAAACTGCACGTCCGTGATCTCTTCTCTACACCTTCACGTTCTCTTTAGCTCATAAAAGGAGTGATTGCCGACAGGCTGTTGGGACTGGGATACAGTCATCCATTATTGGAATCGGGTAAATAAATTTCTTAGCAAGACGGTTCTCTTTCAGCTCAGAAAACAGGAGCACTAGTATCACCATCACAGACAGACACAGGCACTTTATATGTATATTTGAAGCCTTGGGTGCTGAATTTCTGACTTTATTCATTTCAAAGCCGTTTAAAGTGTGCCTTCGCTGTTCGAGGCAGTTTGGCATCGTTAGGAAGCTTGCCAGGTCAGAGATGCTGAGCTTCATCGGAGATGCTCCTAGCCTTTGTGCATTGCAGCGCAGCTTTCATACGCACTATGCTTCATACAATTTCGTTGTTAAATGAAACTACAGCAGTATTTGAGTGCATTCCTGATGCAATAGTGACTTTGGTCGCGCAGATGAAGCTGTACTAGGTTCCAAGCAAACCAGCCTCAGCCATGCACCCGGTGGCGCTTGCAGCCCTGGGAGGCTTTGGTGTCATGGCCATATTCGTTGGGATCGCCATATGGGAGCTGCACCAGCAGGAGAGGGCGTACAGGGAATCTGCCTATTACTCTGGCCACCCATCCTACCCAGAATACCAGTATGTGAACAGCTCTGCAGAGCCTGCTGAGGAGGCACAAAATAGGTGTGCTCAACCCCTCTCGCTCTGCAGAACGAGTCCTGCAAAGGAGTTCTGTCTGTTTAAAAATGCTACACATTGTGCACACCACAAGCCATTTTAATTGACTGGCAGGCTGCGACTTGTTAGAAGGTGGCAAATGTGCTCAGTATGCCTGCATCACTTGCAGGATATGCAAGGACTGGTCCTGATCAAGCCTGCAAGATGTAGAAAGAACTTCTATAAAATTACAAATGTCTCCCCCCTACAGGGTGTTGGAGGGTGTCTACGCAGAGGCCAGAGAGGACCTGCGGAAAGTCAGCAGGATGCGCCCGGGAGATGATCGCAGGTGGGGGAGCACACCACAATCTTATTTGAGCAGTCCACAAGCACTTTGGTTTTCTTAATTTCGTGTTGGCGCATGAAAAGGAATGTTCCGACCGGGAGGGTTCATCCATGTTGAACTCCCTTGTGCACTTCGTCAGACAGCAATTGCAATAGCCAAAGGCGCTGCTGGGTGTGATCATGCAAGCTTGTCAAGCAGGACATATCAGCTGAGCATTGTGTGGCTTCAATTGACCTGCATGGGAGCTGTAAGAGCATTGAGAAGTCTTTCATGACGCGCAAGAAGTTTATGATCAATTTTGACGCAATCAGGCAGAAAAGCAGGAAAGCGGAGCTCCCATCAACTTTGTATCAGATAGGGATATTCAGAGAAGTGACATGGTGGTGTTTTCTGCAGGAGGGCTGTGAGAGCACTGAGGTCTCGCTATCATCCGGTCCGATATCCAGTCAGCCTGCGAGGCATCATGACAGAGGTGTCTGCCTTCATCAACGCACAGACAGAGCGCCTCCTCTGATGCAGGCGCTGAATCATGGGGAAGGTCTAGCAGTAAGGGTTGATGTGTGGTAAAACACTCACAGTGGCCATCAAGACAGTGTGCCATGCTGCCAGTATAGTTTGCTGTGGGCCCGAGAGAGCCTCAAGAGCAGCAGATGCACTTAAGAGCGTCCAGTGCAGTCTAAAAGCTCCGCATTTCAGGTTGCACAGATATCAGATCATGCAGGAGGTTTTGGGTTTTAGTGCATCTCCGGACTCACTGAGAGCAGTCAGCAAGGCAGGACATGAGCGAAGCAGGGGACCCCGCTGCCGGGCTTTGTGTCAAGCTTCTACAGCAGTCGGGAATCTAGGGGACCATGTTGTAGCCCTGCAGCGCTGCATCATAAAAGCAGCGTGAGCACTGCGGGCCACTAGCAACCATGGTGGCCACATTTGCGGAAGTTGAAGCCTGCTGTTTTGGGAAGGAGTGTCTGCCTCTTTAGGAACTCTTAAGGAACACCCCTGATATGTTGTTCGCATCAGCCTTGATACAATGTTCTCGTGCTGCCTTTCACATTTGAGAGGAAAGCCTGCTGTGGCTAAACTGGGATCATACTGCCCCTTCTACTACAGCTGCAGACTGTAGCTCTCCTTGGTAGAGCTGGAAGAAAGTTTACAGGAAACTAGTCAATAACGGAACTTTATTCTGACCTGTACTATCAGAACGTGAGGACACTGGCGTGCTTTTGTAGAGTAGATCGTGATGTACATTACGGCAGTTATGTGATGCTATACTTTGCACAATTGCAGTACTGTGTGTATGACCGGAAGGGATGCTATTGTCTGATAGGCATATCTTCAAAGGGAAACATTTAGACATTTTGCATTGGGAACAGAAGCATCATGCATGAGCAGTATTGACTGACCTTTGTCTGTCTATAGCAAAGTAACTTGAAAATGCCCTCCAGTGAAATGCGGCCAAAAGACAGCAGTGCACACAGGCAGACTCCATGACATACTCAATGCCATCGCTAAAATAAATCAGAACATGTTCTTATGTTTTCATGTGAATAACTCTAACAGCGCAGTTCGTAAGTTCATAGTCCACAGTTCATTGACAGCTGCCACAATTGTCTCTGTTCTTGCAAGGTCTCTGTTCCTCAGTATTTAAGGCCAGAGTTCCCACAGGCTTCACAATTGTTCCACGGCTAGCACAAGCATCCGTGCCTCAAGGCAATCTTTGGCAGGCCTGCAGCTCTCTGCCATCTGCTGCAGTCAACGCCCTGATCGCAGGAGCACACCCAGGACACATCTGGCACTGCCCTGGACTTGTCAATCCCAAAGCCGACTGCCACCAGTCCCTTCAAGGCCTCCTGAATCTCAGCAGCCTCGTCACTGCTGAGCACCGGGCGGCAAGGAAGCATGTCAGACGTGACCGCCAATGGCTGCATGCTGTACCTGGCCCCTCGTGCTTCCAATACCCTCTGCATCTCTTGTGCAGTAGGAGAGGTCACAGGTACCTCACCCGGACCGCAAAGGCAGACCTCTTCCATCCTTCCCATAAAAATGTCCATGGCATTGATCCGCAAACCAAAGTCAATCAAGCCCGTCAAGAAGAACTTGCGCGGCTGCATCATGCCAGTGATGGCCACATTGACGCTCTCGCCAAAGAGCGCTAATTCTTCTAGGCAGGGCATGGGCGCAGTAATTGCAATGCCCATTGGCCAGGGCCCGTTACCTGCAAAACAGCTGCCACCAATGCGCAGCACCCGAAGCCTAGAGAAGCTCTGGAGGAACAACAGAGGCACCCACTTTTCACTGTCCATGATGTGCATGGAAGTGCAGATCACATCTTGGCAGAACGATGGCGCCTTATCACTCTTAGACACCAGGTTGTATGCGCAATTTTCTGCAACAAGAGTGGCTGGTACGAACTGGCTGTCCAAGAAGACCGAGTGCAGCTTGAGGCACATGCGCAGGTCTAGTGCACGCTGCACATCCTGCTCAGGCTCTGAGACAGTGATATGAAACAGAGACAGAGTCTCCAAGCTCTGCAGAGCTGACAGGCTTTCCAATGCCACACTGTCCCAGGATGTGCGCCCCAGCACAAGATGCCTGAGATGGTCCAGGGCTGACAAATTCGGCAGGGTTAATGAGATCAAATGCAGCACTTCCAGATTTGCCAGTGAGCTGACAAACGAGGAAAGGCTTTCAGCCAACAGCTGGGCGCCTGAGTTGACAGACAAGCACTGCAGCTGCACTGGCCCTGCCCTCATGTCTGCATGCTCGAGCGTAGATTCCCAGCCCGTTCCTTGGACGTCCAGGGACATCATCTCAGCGCTGTGACAGTGCTTGATCAACCATCGCAGGGCCGGCCATTCGGACTCCTGTAGGCTGATGTTCAGCGGCTGAATGGCGTCGGTGGCTTTGCATGTTCCAGAACACCCTGCCCAGTCTCGTGTCGACAGGTACTGCGCAACAAGAGCCCATAGCTCTGACGGGAGGCCTCCTCTCATCTGGTCAACTTGGCTCTTCAGTCCTGCAAAGGACAGCAAGTGCTTAACAACACGCTCACTTGAAATGAGCAGCTTCTTCTGTAGCCTCGTAGATCTGCTTGCCACCTGAAATCTAAGGAAAGCAAGCACAAGACACAGATCTTACTATGTTCAACAGATGTGCATTTCGCATTGTCACTAGCGTGAGCATTTGCAGAAAGGCAAAAAGAAGTTTCGTCACACAGGAACGTACCCTAGCTCGCGACGGGCTCTTAAGAGTCAATGTCTTACGAGAGCTGCAAGGGATGCGAGTTAAACCCCCCCGTCAGGATGCCTTTTTTGCAAGGTCCGGGAGTGACAGGGGTTAAGGGCCAAGAGGTGCCAGAGATCCAGCTCAACACCCCGCAAATGCTCCAATGTGTGTATCACGACACAATGCAGATCTCTGTGTCAAAACGGTGAGCACTATGCAAGCACATGCTCTGTGTGGTAAAACTCCCTTTTCCAAGATTGGCACCAGTCACACTTTGTGTGAAGATTCTATTGACAAGATTTGCTGAGGTACAAACTGCTTTGTACTTCCAGAAACTGCACGAAACTTCAAATTGCTGCTGTATCCTCTGATCAAGAGCTCAGGCATGCATGTGAGCTGATCACATGTGCGGCTGTTTAACCTGCCGCCATTGCCAGGTCACCTATGGTAGCCACTGCCATAATGATGACTGGCTTCTTCGTCCTCATCATTGACCACACCGCTGCAAAGGCCAGAAGTATGCCTGCTCCCCCGTGCATTCAAAGTGATCTGCATTGCTTGCAAGACGGGATAGCTTGAAAGTGCGCCCCTGCTGCATATCTCCTCCAACTTTGCCACAGAGCTGTCCATGACACCGATCAACATGGTCACACTCTCCACGCCTGTCACAAAAAATCTTCTCAGCTGCTGCTTGCCACCATTGCCCGACCGGTGGATACCGACAGGATTTACGGATTTGTCTTGTGAAGCAAAATCTACACACTGCATCAGTGCGGTAGTCCAAGCACACATGGACTTTATTGCCGAAAAATGCCAACTCCTCTAGGCAGGGCATTGGGGCAAGGATTTCCACATGCCGTTCTGCATCCTTTGCAAAGTAGCTTCCCACTCATGCGCGGCACACGGAGCCTCCAAAACTTGTCAATGAACACGACTGGAAGCCAGTATGGAGCATCCTCGCTCCCGGTCATCATGCGTATGGAGGTGCAAGACACCTGTGCTGCGCTGCGAGGATATACAGGCGCACATTTGTCCACCAAACTTACGGCACAATCCTCTGGAACAAGTAAGGCTGGGACATACTGACAGTCCAAGAAGACCGAGTGGCATATGCAGCTTCTGGCACATGCGCAAGTAAAGCTGGCTTTGCGGTACCAAGTCTGAGACCGTGGCATTGAAGGAAGCCGGAGTCTCTAGGCTTTGAAGAGCCTTATATGTCAAAGATCTCCCTCCTAGAGGCAACATGCGTCAGCAGACAAGCTGCAGGTGAAGGCAGCCAAAATCCTATTCCTCGTTGGTCATAGCAGATCCAAGCGAGACCTTCTTAATCGCGGGTACGGGGCTCGGTGTTTATGCCGCGACCCGCCAGCCGAGGCCAAGGGTAATCTGCCGCTGGAAGATTTTCCTGGCAAAGGTTTTGTTCATTCCCCGCCTAGAAAGATTGCTTCAAGAACCTTGCACTCTCAGGGTGGGCTAGCTGGATGTGAGATGCAAGGTGAAGAGCAGGCTAGCTTGCTCACCGCACCCTGTGCTTCTGCCTTTAGTTCATATCTATGACAATGGCTCAAAGAGTGACGACCTACAGCTTTCAATCCTGCACCTCAGGCTTCGATCGGGATGCCGAGGAAATTCCAAAGAGATCCAAAGAGTACAGAGGTCCTTTCAAGGGTTCCATTATTTAACCTGCATGGGATATTAAGGAGAGTGCGTCCAACGCTTAGAATTATTCAGAGAAGAGAACACTGCCTCAACAAGTGTATGATCCTCAGTGTAGCTGCAAGTGTCGAGTCTGGCTATATGTAGTTGCTGTGCTCCGAAACTTCCCAGGCAAATATAAGGCAGTGCAAGTTATTACGGTGACAACCCCAAGGAAGTATATTTACTTTTCTTCGTCTCAATGCAATGACATGAACGAGGACACAACCCCACATTCGTGAGGTTTCTTTGAAGCATGCAACTTTACTGCACTGGTGGCGTTCTTAAGAACCCAAAGCAAGGTCTTCAAAACCGTGCGATTTTGAAAGCATGCTTGTTTGCTTGTCCAAACAACCTGTCGCGCTTGTGCGCATTTCCTGAGGAGCTCATCTCGATCGTGCACGTCACGTGCCCCACATCATGCGGGCCACATGCACGACATCGTTCCAAACTTAGCCTTGCCTCCTCCAAGAATGAGCAAGCCCTGCAAAATGATCACGTTGGCATATTGGAATCTAAAAGGAAATACATTTCAATCAAAAAGGTTATTTTTTTAAAACTGTAATCGATTGCGCGGAGTCTTTTGGGACAAAAGCAACAAATGTATGATCTGAAAAAGCAAGCAACATGACGGACGCACGGTCCGCCTCAGAGGATGAGATCAGCTGTGCGATGGCATTGCAAGGGGCTCTAGGTGATGGTGCGAGAAAGTTTGGGGCGGCAGATATTCGCAAGCTCGTCAAAAATGGCTACATCAATGACGGCGATCTGCAAGTCGCCACAAGAGAGGGACTGGAGAACTGTGATCTGTGTCCAGCGCACGTCGACTGGATCACAAACAGGGGCGCCACAGCAGGTGAGAGGATGCAACGTGCCTCATGAAGTTGAGTTGCATTGTGACTTGCAGGGAAGCAGTGCATCATAGCACGTCTGACTCACATTCTTCCCTTATATTGTTTTCTGCTGTGCACACCCCACACCTTCAGCAACACCCTCAGCTGTGCACCCCAGGAAGCAGCCGCGCACAGCTCTTGTCATTTACCCACCGTAAATATCAAATCCTTGGTCCTTTTAGCTCCTTTTTTCAGCGGCCTGAGATTGGACCTGATCCAGTTTGGGGCCCAGTAGAAATGTTACTCATGCAGACCCAAGCAAGAGCATCCAGATGCACACGCTGCCAATCCCGTACAGCTTCCTCAATCCCGCAGGACACATGCATGCATACAGCATTGATTGGCAAGCATGAAACATGCCAGATGCACCATACTAATGAACCGAAAAACCTCAATGGGATGCTGACTTGAGCATGTGCAGGCGCACATAGCCCGCAGAAGCCCCGAGTCCTCTGGGTGTCCCCCAAGAAGCACGCGCGAAACCGGCCCGGCCAACGCGGGACCGCAGTGCCCAAGAGAGTGCTGGTGGATCCTCAAGGCTATGTGCGCTACAACGACCTCGCTGCTGCCCTGGGATTCCACTGGACCAGCCCCCGGGTGAGTCCAGGGACTCTTGATCGCGAGCAGCAAGAAGAAGCAACCATGTAAAAAAATAAAGAATCATGCTCTCACCGTCTAGTCCATGCTTCGCCAGAGTGGTTTTTAGTTGATTGGGCACCGCTCCTTCAAGGAGGCTGAGGGCAGTGCTTGAGAGGGCTCCTACCCCGGGGCTCTCAACCTGAGCCAGTGCTCATAGAAGGAGGATATCAGAAAGGAAGTCTGCCCTGCTGCCAACAGCGCCTTCTGAGCAGGCTAGCTGTCAGCAGCTTTCTGCGATGGGGTGGCTTACACGGCATCCCTGCGATCAACACCACTATGCTTCCTTCTAGAAAAAAAACCGTTCATCGATGCGCATGCTGTGTAGTTCTCTCCCAGGCTTGAGAGACCTTCTGCATGGCACTGCTGAGTTTTGCTGAACCGGCCAGGCTTCCCAATACAGGTGATTTACCTGGGGGATGATCTAGTCGTGGCGAGCCGGCGGGGGGCGGAGGACATTTTGGTGCACATTGACTGGGAGCTGCTGAACAACATGGGGTGCGACATCAACAACCCCCATCGAACTCTCCTCCACCGGTGCGCGCGCCCCAGGGGCTATTGTTACAGCGACTTTGATCAATCACTACAACTAAGTACAACCACTTGATCACGCACCGCTCCTCTTGCAAGATGCGTCCACAGAAATGCTGCATGCGAAGGATGCCACAGACTCCGATCGGATCCAACCCTTTGATGGGCTTTATAGATCCACGCAAGCTCTTTGCGACGTAGTCTGATATGGCATTTACACTGTGGAGACATTTTCTGCGCATGCACATTGTGCTCCTCTGGTTACCAGTAATCAGACGACTTCTATATGGGGCACCCTGTTGCATCATGCCCAGCAGGGATGCATAAAAGACAAGCTTGGCTTGGGCAAAGGACTAGTGAGCAAACTGCCTGCGGTCAGTCAGATATGAAGGACACAATGTCTTTCTCATGGTGCGCAGAGCAGCCAATGGCCGTTCACAGCAAAGCACATGAAATGTCGCATGTGTTTGGTGCAAATTTTGTTTTTGAGCCCAGAGGCTGACGCTGCACATGATGCTTCGCCAATGGGCAATTTCCAAGTGGTATCTAGTGTGTCTCCATGCCACCTCTGGATACCCACTGGTGGTCAGAACACAAGGGGGTCGTTCAGTGTGGGTCTGGACATACTCTCTGATATGTTCCAACAGACTTTACCGGCAAGAAGGGTAAAGTTGCTGCCTCACACTATTGCCGGCTTTTGCTGGCTACCAGCATGGACATTATCGCCGACAACTTATCGGGGTGCAGTGAAGCTAGCTTTTGGGGTTTGTTGCTGACATGCGGGCGTGCCATGTCAGCATGTCATGCTGCAATCAGCTATAGACATGAATGTGTGGTGTTTTAGAGTTAAAAAGACAGCTACAATGGGGTCAGAAACCCTCCGTCATAACTGAGTTGTCTCTTTATTGGATCCAATGATGGCATGAATGCTAATGTGCCTGTGTATTGGTGCAGGCAGCTGGCTGAGCCTAGTGATGGAGTGGCAGACCTGGTTCCTGCTGGTGAGCGGGGGAGCGCTGACTCAGCTCATCCAGGGGTTCATGAACCGCGCGATGCTGCGCGTCTTCTGAGCATGCACTGCTTTGGAGCCGTACAGGGCCTCGCACTTGCGTGAGAAGTCATATATATTAAAATCTGGCAAGCGCCAATGCAGCTGCGGTGCTTGCGGAAGTCATGAAAGGGAACCCAGCATCTCGGGGACGCTGAGAAGCCGGGTTTGACATGGGTCCTAGAAACATCCAGGCCAGCCCCTACATAAGGCATGGGATGCCTTGGCAGCGACTGGCGTTTTGGGCATCCCAAGATGTGCTGAAGGAGATTTGCTGAGAGGCAGAATGGAGGCAGCTGTTGCTCACATTGCCTATAGAGGCAGAGGTTACACAGCATCTGGAGGGTGCTGCATGGCACGACAGCACCCATGCAGTAATGGATCTTACATTTGGCAGTCCTGCAATCACTGATGTAAGCATGTTAACCTGTTGCAAATGTGTGTGTCATCATGATTGGCAAGGTACGCAATAACTTTGTCGGCGCCTTGCTGATGAACATATTGACGCTCCCTCGTGATGGGGACTCAATCAGTTTACGGCACCAAATGGATAAAGTGTACTTAGCGCTGTCCTTGGGGCGGATCGGGTTTGGACTGGTCGGAGCGAAGATTGGAAGTATGGCATGTTGACGGTTGACGTGGAAGGTGGAGGAAGCTGCCATTATGTAACTGTGACTGATTTGACAGAAGGACAAACAATGTGAAGTCCAGCTTTCTCAATCACTCGCATGAGACTTGTAAAAGATCAATTTCTGTTAAGATATGCACTTAGATTAGCCACAGACGTTTGTGGGCCCACTTTCAGAAGCTGTTGTCCTGTGGTTTGTGATCGGCATGCCGAAGGTGAGAACGGCGAGCACGCAGGACGTGGAATTCAAGGTGTCTCCCTGGCAGACAAAAAAGAAGAAGAAAGGCGGTGAGGTCTCGGTAAAGTCGACATCAGAAGCCTCTGCGTCCCTCGTAGTTACAGAAGTATTCAGACAGGTCAGTCCTCCATCAACAATGTATCAGGCCACTATATCTCATTAGTCATACAATAATCGTATTGACGTCTTCTTTTTGCTGATTTAATCGCGAATATGCATGTACTATTATGTAGAATGTTACAGATGCTACCGATAATGTCTGAGGCATTCCCAGATCACAAACGAGGTCGGTGCAGAAGGTGCATTGTAATCTTCTTGCTCATTCAGCTGATGTAGTTCTAGCTAATATGCAGGACACTAACCCGCCAATTGCAGCAAGCACACCGGAAAAGGCAGAGCGCAGTGCCAGCCTGGCAGATGTGTCCAGCAGCAGCAAAGAGGCAGCTCTCACAGACGGTCTTCCAGGCACACCTTGTCAGGCAGAAGCGCTGCCAGAACAGCAAACCGCCTGGAACACGAGACAGAGGCCCACTGTATCAGCAGAGGCAAGCGCACCTGTGCCCCCAGCCCCCAGCGATGACCACCCTGTCCTACAAAGTCCCTTACCAGAACCAGCAGCATGTCACCAGCAGAATGGACACAGCAGGCAGAGCGCAGCAGAGGACACGGCCCTGCAGTATACTCATCAGCAGAGGGATGCAGCTCCAAGTGCTTCCTGCGCTGAGGGGCAGGCTCCACGGGTTTCAGAGCCGGGACTTTCATTAGAGGACGAAGCTGCAGAGGGGAGTGGGGCAGCAGACACAATCAGTGGCACTGGCTACCTCATCTGGCTGCCGGATGGCCGCCTGTCAGGTGCTGGACTGGCTCCTTCCCTATTGCAGGCTTCGTGCATGGTCAGGCTGTTAAATGCCGTACGCCGTTCCTGCCAAGAAAGGCAAGTCTGCTTCTGCAGACAAGCTGCATAAGCAGGCTGCCACACAACCTGCCCCTCCTTGCACTCCCCATACCATATACAAGGAAGATCCGATCATGTATGTGCGCATTGCTCAGTCTCTGCACCGCGCCTGCCCAGCCAGGGCCATTTGCACCACAGGAGAACTCTGCTACAGCGCCTTCACAGCTGGGATTTATCAGTCAGGGTTAAACGAGCATGTGATCGAATGCAGCTGAGGGGTGTAATACTTGTGCAGGGCACTTGATCAGCAGCGGGGTGACACTGGGCATCATGGGTCGGGAGATCCTGTCACAGAGGGAGTGCACCAGGGACGCTGAGTGGAAGCTCATGCATGTGACCCTGCTGAATCTGATCTCCGAGGCCGAGGTGAGTGGGGCATGCTGATGTTGCCTCCTTGCACGCACACCATGCACAAGCAAGTTTTTCAAGTTTTGCAGCACTGGAAAAGACTGGAACGCACGGTGAGGAGCCTCACGTCCAAAACTGCCCAGTTGCACTTCTTGCAGCATGCTCCAAAGCACTTCCTGGCATTTGGTCATCACTGGACTCTGTCAATAGCTTGAGACTGGAGATCCAATGCCATATGATACCACGAGGCCCTGTTGCAAGATAAGCAATTTTGTCAGCCTTGCAGTTTGTTTTCTACACACCGTGATTGATGCTATCAGACTGCTCTGAGAGCCCAAGTTCCCACCTTGTATGCTTTGGTGTTTGCGTGCCGGAAGAGCAAGAACCTGCAACCTGCAGCTATGCCAGTTGCCCGAGTACATATTCTCACATTTTGTAGCTAGTGTAGGCTACAGTAGGCCAGTGATGCATGTGTTGGCATGGCAGGTGGGGTGCTTGGCAGAGAAGACTGGGGAGGACAGCGCCCGGCTGAGAGCGCCCTTTGACCTGCACGGCTCAGAGGAGCACCTATTCGGAGAGACTGACCTGCCCAACGACACCACCCTGCAGCTGGAATTTGTTTGCGAGACAATCCTGGTGCGCTGCTATATTTTCTTGATGCGCCAAACTCCCGAGAAGCTGTAGATGGAACTCATTTTACCTAGTGTCGGCATTCCTGTTCATCTGAAGCATTGCCCGAGTGTGGGCTTCTCACTGGCGGCAGACTGTTTCTGCTCTTGGGAGTGATCAATCTTGTCTGCAGACTTTGCTGTATATTTTCAGTGCTGGGGTGCACGAGCGCATGTTGCTACTTGCATGCCATGAATGCTTCATTTGTGCGCCTGCTGAGAAGAAGGAAAAGGAGTGCCGCTGAGCTGAGAGATACTGGCTGCAGGCGGATGCGGCGGCAGAGAAGTATCTGGCGAGGTTTTCTCCCTCGCTCAGGGGACGCGGAGCGTTTGTGAATGTGGGCCATTTCACATGCGGAGGCGAGGCTTTGAAGAAATTGATGAGCACGCCTCATCAGGAACAGGTCCTGTTTGACCCAGATCTGGATGGGTAGGACTTTCGAATAATTGCCTAAATGGAGGGCAAGATAAAAAATCTTTAAACAAATGGACATGTGGGGGAGATTGTCATCCATGGATTGGCCAAAGATTACTAGCGGAAGGGGAAAATTTACATTTAAATTTACTAGGTCTCACGCATCTGCCCTTGAAACAAGAGCGGGCAGCACGGTTCCTGCTCTGTGGCGTGTGCTGGTTTATGACCGGCCACTGGAAATAAATTTCATCCATTCGATTGTACACTCGACAATCACATGAACGCACAGCATGCATGTTGACACAGATACGACTTCAGGGTTCATGACAATAAGCCGCCAGCAGTGGTGGCCACGAACTCAACGTGCAGATCCTGCCGGCAATTGGGCTGCCTGGCCGCCAGAGAGCCGACTGTCTCACTCTCCAGCACCGTGCTCGCAGCCACGCTCTGCTGCATGGTAAAACGCGCCAATTTAAAATTATTAATAATGTTATTTTCATTATTGTTAAACGTTTTTCCTGCCAAGAGGCAAGGTGCGTCCTGCAGACAAGCTGCATTTGAAGGCTGCCACAATCCTGCCCCTTGTTGGACTCGCCAGATCCAAGCAAGACCCAGTCAACCGTGGGCACGGTGCTCAGTATATATTGCGCCCCCCGCCAGCCGGGGCCAAGCCAAACCATTGCAAGCCTCAATATCATGCTTTCGCATCCGGGTGTATGCATGCTTGCCATGCTTAAATACCTTCACAGTAGCAAGGTCTCATCCTTCACTTGGTGCAAAACCTCAAATTCAATATTTGCATCAGTGTCCACATGTACAATGCCATTCTCACATAATCTGCAAAGGAGGTTGTTTACAGCAGATCAAGCGTAAGGGAGCGGTATTGAAGGTGCCATTGATAATGCAGTAGGCAGTAAAACTAAGAAGGGAAGATTGCAAAATGTGTTCAGGGGTACGCTGCAGACCTGGGAGGGATCGCGAACGCGGTAGAACACTTGGCGGCCGCGCAGGCTGACATGGCGCTGACTCAGCAGCTGACTCATCTGCCCAAATGTCAGCCCGGTCGGGCACAGCAGCGTGATGTCAGCCTCCTCTATCAGAGACGCCATCGACTGCTGCCTGTGCAGATGCACCTGCCAGCAATATGCACTTTTCAGCGCAAGATAGCTTCAAGGATGGTGTTGCATTGAGTGCAAAATGGTTCCCTGGTGCTGTGAGGGCTGCGCTGCCGAATGGTGATTCATTGTTGCTGTATGCTGCAAGAACACTCCTGAGCGCAATGCAAGCGCGGACACAGAAGGGCATCCTTTGAGATATGGACCAAGGCACAAGTCACTGCTCCATATCACAAGGCAAATAGCATCCAGCTGCTAAGCACGGCATGGCAGCATAACAGGCAAAGCATGCATAGCCATTCAGGCCATGCATGTGACACCGCAAAGCCATCACAATGTCTGTTGAACTGCGAAGGTATTTTAGAGGAACCACCTCCACCATGGGACTGGTGTGCTGTCGTTCGGCGGCCGCCGCGGAGGCCGCCGCAGCCGCAACCGACTTTGCTTCGCGCGCTGCCTTTCGCTCTGCGTCCGCCATATTCACCGGCGACGACGGCTGCTTGCTGCACGCACCCAGCACAAGATCAGAAAGTGCAATGCTGCATTGCTTATTTACTGCTGCTGACAATGCCTGTGCCGCCATCAGCGAAGCACCAACACTTTCCCTACATTGCTTCACCCGTTCGAGCTCAGCCTATTCCAAGAAGGGATCCGTCATAGTCAAAGGCAAAACACAAGGTTGTTTCCTTTGTTTCTTTTGCAATAGGAAGACTCCACTGAAGAAGAGCAACGGAGCGATTCGAACGGCCACTAGAGAGGCAGCCAAACAAAACCTTCTTGCGCCCCACTATCCTAGCTCATCGTCCCTCCAGAAACGCTCAGCCATGATGACGAGCCCCAAGAGGGGATCATTTCTTCTACAGGCTTGCGCCCCAGAAACGGCCAAGTGCTAGGATTCTGAAAGGGTTCGTGACAACAGAGACACATGTGCATGCCTCCTCTCTGGGGTCCTGTGCCTCACCCATTCTGAAGGGACTGAGCCGCACTAGCCAAAGCGAGAAACTTCAACGTTTGTCATTTTGCATGCCAGCATGCGGCGGCTGTGAAAAGGGATCGCACGAGGACAGAAGCACATGCCTGGGCTCTAGAGTCTTGTGCCTCATCCTCACCCACAATATCTAGGCTCTCTCTAGGAGAGCTGTGCCAGGATAGCCAAAACTTTAATCATCAAAAATCAGATCCCAAGGATAAGAGACATGCCTGGGTTCTGGCGTCTGCCCGGTGCGCTGCTTTTTGGGCTGTCCGCTGCTGCGCGCTGAAGAGGCCGCCCGCTTTCCCCCCTTTTCCTGCTTTGCTGTCGGCGGCGGCGGCTCGCTCCTGCTTGCAACTGCTGCAGACGCCGCTGCACCTGCGCATCCAAATTATACTTATCATGATCATGATTATGATTATTTATTATCATTATTCACGCTTTTTCTGCCAAGAGGCAAGGTGCAGTCTGCAGACAAGCTGCAGATAAAGGCTGCCACAATCCTACCCCTTGTTGTACTCGCCAGATCCAAGCAAGAGGCCCAATCAACCGTGGGCACCTAAGTCTGCCTGATACTGAAGAGGTGCTTGCCAACGTCAGGGCACCAGAAAATTGTGTGCCTGAATTGACATTAAATAGCAGATACGGAGCTGGAGAGCTTGAAACAAGAGCACTCCCCAGCTCGATACAGAAAAATGCATTAGACATGATCGAACAGATGCCTCTGCATGTCACTGAGACTCTGTAGTGATACTTAGAAATGGACAAAGTGGGCTGTCAGGGAAATCTCCAAGTCTGCTCCATCGCCCGACCGGTGGATTCCGACTGAATTTAAGGATTTGTGTTATGAAGGAAAATCTACACACTGCGTCAGTGCGGTGGTCCAAGGGCAGGGAGGATGGAGGGCTTAATCATGATCACAGGGTTGTCGTTGCAAAGCACAGTGTACATAGTGGTGAGACTCCTGTTTTATCCTGTGTCAAAGTCTCCTTCAGAGGTGACAAGCTCTAAAGCCTGAAGGGTGTGAAGATGCGTGGATTGCACCTCAAAATGGTTGAACAATTGAGTGTAAGCTTACAAATATACCATTATAAGTATATTTACCTGGCGCCGGTGAGGGACTGTCTGACCGAAGCTTGTCCGCCTCCTGAGCGCTGCGCTGCTGGCCCTTCACCACTGGATTCACCTGCAGCTTCAGCACAGCATCACTCACGGTTCACAGCTGCAAACTAAACAATCCAGGCTTTGGAATCCACACGCTCAACTCCAGAAGTTGCTGGAAACAGAGCACCAGGGCAGCTACATTTATTGATGGCGGGATGAATCAGACAGGCTGCAAGGACACTGCAAATGAGCAGGAATGATAAAGGCGTGGCCTAGTCTACTCAGTCCTCAGTACATGCAGCAATAAGCAGAAAATATGCAGGAGAGGCAGGAAAGGCATGCATGCTTTACCAACCTTGGGGATGTTGCTGCTGGGGGCTATCACAGCATAGGGCGAGTTGCCATCCGTGGCTGCATGCATGCCTCCAGTAGCCGCCTGCGATCCAGTAGCCGCCTGCGATCAGACAACAATCTGCCATCATAATAGTCTCCCAACGCTGCAGCAACTATGCTTCTCTGCAACAATGTGGTCGCTCGATCAGTCAGTTGTGTCAACCTGTGTCCCATGCTCGGTTGCCTCCGGCAGAACATAGGGCACAGAATGACACTATAGACACATCAATCAAGCGGCATTCTTACTCCAAACATTGAAAGCTGCATCCACACCGGGCGACAGGGCAGCCAAGGGCAGTCAGCATGCAGCGATGCAGCGACTGCTAACCACAAGTGCTTATGATCTGCCGCGCTCAAACATAGCAGCACGGGATCATGGCAACTTTTCCTTGCATGGCCGCTCTATCAATGCATGCTGGCTAGTCTCTCCAGTATGGCATTGACCGGGGAGCTGTCCATGGTGACAGCGCTGATGGCAACGCATGCTAGCATGTTTCTGCAGGATGTTTCAGGCAGGAGTGCTCCATGTGTTGGGTGATGATCCACGCAAAGTTACAGACAGCCGGGTGCACCTGCGGAGCGGCCGGCGGCCGGCGCTGCTTTCCGGCCGGCAAGACAGCAAATAATCCTGGCCGTTGTGTCTTGCATGGGCATGGAATTAAGTAATGTTCTCTGCAGGAAAGTGACTTCAGGGTTAGACAGCTAAATGCACCTGTGGGGCGGCCGGCGGCTTACGCTGCTTTGCCTGCTTTGCCGGCGCGCGCTTTGCACGCTGCGCAGCCGCAGCCGTCGCCAGCGCGTGGCCGGTCTTCCTTGCCTCCTGTAGTACTTCTGCCTTCGGATCGTACACCTGCCCCAGAACATTGCGCATGTTTATAAATACATGTCTCTATGCAGGTGCCAGGGGACATAAAAGCAATGAGTGTTCAATTGAGTCAATCAGAATCCCTGGTAACCATGCACCAGAAGTTCTCTCTGCCAAACGATGGCTCAGCAGATTCTTAATTGGGACAAGCCAACAGATTTATTTATTGACCTTCACAATTGGCTCTATTGCAAAAGGGTGCTCCCATATGATATACGCACGTAAAAGCTTGGCATTATAGCAGCGTCTGATTGAAGCTGCCTGCACTCATCAGACGAGTCCAATGCAGTTGGCCTGAGAGTGCTAGCAGCAGCCTGGCAGCATCTGCTTGGCAACTGTCAAGCGATGGATCTCCAAGCAGCTAAAGTGCGCTCAGCGGGCCTGCGAATCTCCTTGCAGCTAGGCAAATGGGAGGAAGAGATGTGCACCTGTGCCTCGTAGCTGCGCAGGTTTGTGTACAGCAGCTTTAGCAGGCGGTCAAAGCGCACGTCTCGTTTGCAGTCTCGCCTGCTCTGCATCTGCACCCGGCACTGGGGGCACGAAGGCTCGCTGCACACAGCAACAACCCCTTTCACCTTTTGTAGAATACCGTCAAAAGTAAAGAGCAGCAAATATAGCACCACAGGGGCAGCCACACACTCTCTCTTGTGTCCTGTGCTTCCAAGTCAGACACTCAGTGAGACAGTCAGTGAGTGACATGAACAGAAATGAGGCATCCGGCAAATTTTATGGGCGATCAGATGATTCTCAGAGTGAGCGCGCTAAGCATCACAACCAGAACAGTGCACCAGTGCTCTGGGCAGCAATGAGACACCACTGGTCCTCAGGCAAACTCGTGTAAGCTCACAGCTGTGTGTGTGTTGTAAGGCTGGAGGGAAGTCATGGCTGGCAGTCACCTGGCCACTCTAAGCCACTTCTCGATGCAGTCAGCGCAGAAGCGGTGCATGCAGCCCGAAACCAGGCGGCAGCTCTTGACGATCCCTGCACAGAGTAAGGGTTGAGGTGTCAGCTACATCTTAAAACTTAGCAGGAAGTAAGGGTGTCCTCGTCAAGAGCAAGGCGCTTAAATACATAACTCATGCAAACAGACTTGAGGCAACCAGTAGAATGCTCACCGAGGCAGACAGAACAGCGTGTCTCTGCTTCGAGGGAGGATAGATCGATGTCCATGACCCTGCTCCTTACAAGGATTTGGCGAAAACGTTTTGGCGGAAGACAGCAATAGATTGAGCTGGCTGCGCCTGATGAATATTATCCATGCATAGATGCAGTTCCTCAATTAAGTAGACTTTCAACATACCAAGAAACGACCAGCTGTGAAGCTGCCAAATCCATTTTGTTCACCACGATCTTTCTCTCGGAGCAGGTCTTCTATTTGCGGATCCCGACAAGTCAGTATTTTTAAAGTGCACTTATCTGTGACCTTTACATCAGAAAGGTTCACAACACTTGGAGCAACCTGTGCTTGAACTATGTCAGCGTGACTGTGCAGTTACGTCACCTTGCATGTTCGGAATGGCTCTGAATGTTTTCCCCTGAAAGCTATTGGATCCACGATCTGATGGCTGTCACTGCGAGGCCAGAATGCCAGCTGCTCCTGGTGCACATGTATTTGTAGTATTACTTGGTAGTTGCCCCAGCACCTTGTGGCATCGAAGCTGCGGCGTGGGTCAAACCGGCACTGGCATTTTCTGCAGGTTCCAAAAGTTGCCCCCATGGTGGCTTCCTCACCTTCTGCCGTTCTTGCAACGGGAATTGCATCAGAAGTGGTGGAGTAAGAACACATTTAAATTTAAACCTTAACTTAAGAAGGCGACCGCACAAGAGGGGCGCCAGCGTTTGTGGCCCGGCACTTCCAGGGCAAGGATCATGCATGCAAAGCTGAGGTGATTGTTGATCTGCGCATTCGAATATGATCGTATTGGACCACCTGCGGTGGGTCAAAAGAAATCCATGCATTCACCTGCACGTTATGAAACGCCTGCCACGATGAGTCACCGTTGTGGCAGGATGCGTTATTGCGCTCGCTGTGTTCTTCAATCCATTTCGTCGCCCATGCGATGGTACTTTATGTGAGATCATCCCCCAATTGCATCATTTGATATCGAATTACCGTATTACACCTTTCACGGGTGATATTTACATCGTCTTTACGCTAAGGATCAGGAATCGAGGAGGAGTCTTTAGTGAGGAATAGATTTGAGTCCTTGCAATCGAATTAATCCTACCAACAATGATACAAATAATCTTTTCTATTGAAAGTTGAAGTACTCCCAATGCATGTGACAGCAGCAATGCGGATGATGCCACGGCCAGGCAGGCCCTGTTACGGCATCTTTGGTGTAGCTGCACTGGTGCTTTGTCTCTTCCACATATCCGGAGCGTCACAGACGCCTGTGGTCGGGGATATATATTCGAACGCGGAGATGGCTGCGCATCTGGTGCAACCTACGGCATCGGGAACGGGCGCTTTGAGCATTCAGAGTGCCACCGCCGCGACCTCGGGCCCCACCTGCAACGGCGACTCCCAATGCCAAGCACTGTGTCCAACGGCAGATTTTACTAAGGCTCAGCCCGCTCTCACCGCAGCAGCCGTGCAACAGCAGGTGTGGGGCATCCCTCCCCAGGTCCTAAGAGATAACAAGGGTCCGCTGCGTGGGGCTGCTCGGTTTCTATGTAATGAAGAAATTTGACTAGCTTATACCCGTGGATATTGCTGACAAGTCTACTTCAATACATTGCAGATGTGCCACAGAGTCTCACAGGCTTTCTGAGCATCTGCAGATGTTCCAGGGGCTTGTTGGCATTTCGCATGAAAAACTTCAAGGTCTCCAAAACGCTAAAAGTCACCTGAGATTTTTGTTCGACCCTCTTGTGCCATGTGCCTGCAGCTAGCACAGTGCGCGAATGCCATTCGCACGTCCCCCGGCTCCTTTGCTGGAGTCATAAACGGCGTCTGCAACTATGCAGACTTCCAAATCGATGTCACCAAGCCGCCGCGGCCGCCCTGGGTGGTCAACCCAGTACTCAGGCGAGTCATCAAGTCTTTCTGACTTCCTAAGAGAGCTCCCAGCTGACAACCGCTGACTCATGAATGGCGAGCGCCTTATGTGAAGGCAACATAATTCAACGTTGGCCCTGGCTGGCGGAGGGCAGTACAAATCTTGCCCACCGTGCTCAAGGTTGATTCGATCATGCTTGGAGCTGTCGAGTCCATCAAGGGGTAGGGCGTATGGTAGCTTGTCTGCAGATGACCTTGCCTCTTGGCAGCCATATATTGGGGAAACCAGTGTGTCAGGGCATGGCACAAGAAACTCAGTGTAGCCAGAATCAGGGCCACATTTGGCGCCCACACCATAGTGTCAAATCTCAAAGTGTCGCATGTCAACCTGGGCTTACTGTTTCCTAACATCCAAGGGCAAAACCTGCATGTATACTTCAGCTGGTGTTTTCCTCCTGGAGTCTCCCTCAAGAATGCTCGTATATATTCCCTGATCCATTAACAAACTTAAATAATGGAGTGTCTGTGCGTGCAGTGCGGTGGCTGAGACCCACTCGAACGACATGGCCGCAACAAATTTCTTCAACCATTATTCCCAGAACAGCAGCAGCCCCTACGACCGCATCAAGAATGCATTTCCATCAGCAACCTTTGTCAGCGAACTCATCGCCGCCGGATGGACGGACGTGCGATCAGTCGTCGTGCAATTCATGTGGTGAGCTGCGCGATGACTCACCTACCGGTTGCTGGCCTGGATTGTACTATTTTTGGGTATTGTCACATGCGAGCAATGTTGCCATGTTGTCCTTACAAAAAGGGCCTAATTCAGGCCCTTTTTGCTCAAATCCAAACGGTCATATTTGCTCCTGCTCTTTGCATGCGCTCTCTTCCTCTCTGAAGCTCCCGTTCTTGCTTGATTACATAGAATTGAAAGGCCTAATGAGGGCAGATATTTGCCTGTGCCATGCTGTGCTGTGCAAGGGAAGCAGAATTATTAGTGTGCGCAAGTGAAAGTGCACATGGAAGAAATGCTGGTTTGGCATTAAGTGAGGCAGCTGCATGTGGGTGTCTGAGTAAGGTTGTTGTTTGTGTATGCAGCTCGGCGAAGCACAGGAACCTCTTCATGGTAAGTCAGTGCTGCCCAGGATATATGGCATCCGTCCACAGTCGCCCTTGCAGCATCTGCTGACATTCATATCTTTCGTCCAAATACTCTCCTGCATGCGCCTCATTTCGAGGAGTTTCTGCATTGAAAGCCTCAACAGACATGGAATTTACTTAAAGTATATCTTCAAAGGCTTGCAACTGCTGCTTGCTATGTCTCAAATGCATCATGAGCTGAAACTTCCAAATATGTGCATGATGCCATACTGAATGCTGTTATGTTGCTGCAGAGCTGCGCATATGACACGGTGGGATGGGGGATCGAGTACGCCGGGCAGCCGGGCGGCGCGGCTGTGAGCGCGCAGTGGCCGACTTATTTCACAGCCGACCTCGTGTGCAGCCTCGGCTCCACCTGCTCTTGCGACACAACGCCCCAGGTGTGCACCCCCCTTAGGGATGTAAATCCTTGATTTGGCGTGTGGCAGCCAGACTTTGAGGTTGCGTGGCTTAAACGGGGCTTCTAGGAATCGATCCCATTCCTCGTCATTTCTCATCCGTTTTTCGATAGCCTCAGGATCTTTGAGGCCCATCTTACCTTTAGCATAATCTATTAACAGAAGTCTATGTTCTGCCTTTTCCCCTTTTGTGAGCTCGGGGATTGTCTATCTTTCACCGCAAGCTGCCAGTAAATAGAAAGGGGCGGGATTTGGTCCTGCATGCCTCGGCTTTGCCTGCTCCAGCAACACAACTCCCCAGGTGCGCATACCTCTCAAAGGTGAAACTCCTAGATCTGGCGTGGCAGAATCAGAACTTGCATGGCTTGCATGGTTTCTTTAGAGTGCAGTGCATGCTTCCACCAAAAGTTTCTCAATGCGGCTCTGCCTCCTCCTGCGAGACAATTACCCAGGTGTGCATGACTCCTCAGGGGAACCAAAACCCTACACATTAAAACCCCGTCTGAAACCTGCCGCCTCGCGTAAAAAATCTAGAGCTTCCCCGGGTTGGATGGGCTGTTCTGGGGGCCTTTTCCATGCAGTGCCTGCTTCCAAAAATAGTCAGGATCGAATCCTGCATGTGTCAAAATTCCAAGGAAGTCACTACCTGCAGCCTTGAATGGAACTCAGAGCAAGCATGGGGTGTTCTAGGTGCTGGTCTAGGCTTTCCAGAATCATCATGTATCACTTGCATGCAGCAGTTGTCACATCGCCAGATTTACAAACTGCAAAATGGTATCTCTTTTGGGGCAAGGTGTTGGAGTCTCCGGGGGCGTTGCCTTCCCTGAGCACGCCCTACAGCAGCAGCCAGCCGCTTGTCTCCTTCACAGCCACCTTCACCAGCCTTCTCGCCAGCACCTTGAAGCCTGATCAGGTAACGCTTTCAAATTCAAAACTGACAGCTTCCAAATAAGCTGCGGCATACCTCAGACATCCTGCTGAATGGCCTCTTGGACACTGTATTGCATTTGCTTGTTGGCTCCCGGTTCTATCAATTCTTGTATAAATTAACATGGAGTGGCCTGCAGGAATCTCTTTCGGGGTAAAGCATACCTCTGGGCTCAAATGCATAAAAGGTTATCATTGTTATTATTACATGCTCTTCCTGCCAAGAGGCAAGCTTTAGTAAAAGGTTTAGTACAGTAGAAATGACAGCTGGAGGTGAATTATGCGCAGGTGTCCACTATTGCTTCAGATGTGATTGCAGCGATCCGGGCTTATGCTGCCCCCGTCGATGTCAACGTGACGTCCAGTCGTCTTGGTAGCAGTCCTAGCAGCCGCAGAAGGTAAGTCCCAAGATATTTTTATCCTCGTTTCAAGAATGACAATGACTCAATTGCTATGATAGACTGTTCCTGCCAGAAGACAGGGTGCGGCTGCAGCCAAGCTGCAGATGAAGGCTGCCAAAATTTACCCTACCCCTTGATGGACTACCCAGATCCTAGGAATACCCAATCAACCGTGGGCACGGTGCTCAGTATTTACACCGGCCCCTGCCAACCGGGGCAAACTGCGCATTTTCTACTCTGCTTATACCAGAGGGTTCAATGGCAAGTTGAGATATGCTTGGAATGCAATTGATTCATGTGCATACAGGCTGCTGCAGACGTCGCCAACTCAGCAGGCCACGGTCTCCTTCACACTGACGTTCCCTTCTGCATCCGCCAGCTCATCTGCCACCTCACTGCAGGCAGGCCACCTTCTCACTCCTGCATTGGAGTTCCTTTTCTGCCTTTTCTAATGCAAAGCCTATCAGAGAAGGGAACTCGCATATTCGTGTCCTTGAGAATCTGCTCTCCGATTGTCTTTTGCTATGTCATAATATAAGAATCTTAATGATGGCAAACTCAGAGCTCAGAGATCCATAAGGCACTTGTTGTGCATCTTTGTGCACTGCATTAGGCCTTCCTGTCTTGCTACTTGCACTATCTTCTAGACACACCACACTCTGCAAGGCCTTTGCTTTCCTGTATGATTCCCCGCAGCCTTCACTTGCAGCTTGTTTGCCAACACACCTTGCCTCTGGCGAGAACAGCCTGTGATATTTATCGTTGTTCTCGTTGGGCCAAAGTGGTTGGCAAGCTTCTAATGGAATCAAACTACATGAAATGTGTGCAACGTGGAGATGGACAGTGAGCAGACTACCTACAAGACCAATGAGCCCCAAGGGGCTTCTCTGAATGATAATGCCAGCGACAATTTTTTTTGTTGATATTTGGGAAAAATGCCCGCAGGCTGATCTGTCAGCGGCGCTGACATCACGGCTGGGATCCACCCCGGTGCAGATCACATACACCCCGGCAGCCGCCTCCGCGGGCCTTGCATTCTCTGTCTCCGTGCAGTTCCCTCCCAACAACCAGCTCTCAGACACGGTGCGCTTCATGAATCCCAATATTGCAATTCAAATGGCAGTTTGTTTCACTTGCAATCTCCTTGCAGACGAATATTTGAAAGCCAGTGCAGTTCCCTCCCAACAAGCAGCTGTCAGACACGGTGCGCTGATATGCACTTCAATATGGCAGCTCAGAATCAGGTTGCCTGCATATAAATGATTGAAGGAGTTGCTTCTTGCACCTGCTGCTGTCTGCAACAACAGCAAAGAACGTCTAGTTATGGGGTGTAAGGCATTTTGCTTGATTGCATACTTCACACTGCCTTGCTCATACAAGTCACTTATTCACGCCGATCTAAACCTCCCACCTGTGGCTTCAGGCAGTTTCTTTTTGCCATGACCTTGACCAGAAGATAATGTGAGTTTGGGTGTGGCGCAAATTTGGTGACTGTTCAGCTGCGCATGCAGGAGTCATACTCCACATCTCTTGCGTTGACCCTGGCGCAAGACCTGGAGCAGAACGCGAACACGTTGCTAAGCTCAGTCATCGCCAAGGACGGGCCCGTAACCGTTACGGACCTGCAGACATCCGACAAGATCGTGCAGGCAAGCTCTCATCAGGGTCTTCAAGATTGGGAGTTGCCATCAATTATTCATTCATCATTATGCATGCAATGCCCTGCAGCCACTGCGGCAGTGGGGCGTGTGGTGTGACTGGGGCCGCAATTCAGACTCGTTATTGACCATAAATGACTGTTGTCACTTTTGTACAAATCATCAAATTGGCGGGGACATGCCCAAATCAGGCACGCAGTATGTCACAGCACTGACACCAGTTTAAGCGTGGAACTGAGAGCTTATAGGAGCCGCGTGCTTGATACTCTGATTGATTTGTAACGCGCCGATGCAGGTTGTGGCAGGCTCGAATCTCTCACCGGCTCCGCCGCTGCCGCCACTTGTGCCCGCACCGGGCAGCCCGCCTGGCGCCTCCGGGCAGTCTCCGGGCAGCTCTCCGTCACCGTCCAGTCAGCCTCCGGTCAGCCCCATCAGTCCCCCTGCTGCTGCGGCCAGTAGTCCCCCCGCCGCTGCCACCCCCAGTCCCCCCGCTGCCCCCGCGGGCCCCCCGCCTGCTGCCCTCACGGGGGGCGCCACCAATGTGCAGGTGGCTGCTCCGTACACCACAGGTATGTGCTTGCTTGCCCCTGCCTCAAAATCAAAAGCATGGGTCTTTTTGTGTATTTCCTGACAACCAAGCCACACCAAAGACCTTCTGAAAGCAGAGCAAGGCATGCTCTGACTTAATCCATGACAACAAGTCAGCAGTACATTGTTTGCATGCATCGCTAAGACCAGGCGGACACAGGGCAAAGCCATCCTATGTCTTGCTCTGCTGCAAATCCTCAGGGTCGTTTCATACGTCTCAAATGTTGCTGTGTTTCAGAAATATGAACCCTCTTGCATGACAGAGATTTCTTCTCCTGTGCATGGTCCTCGGGTATGCGTTGGCCACAGTCGACTGGCTCCTTTTCAGATCTGTTGGCGTCCTTCCATAAGGGCATTTCTTCTTTTCGGCTAATTTGTCTCCCTGTCATTTTGTGCAGGGTCCTCGGGGACTCCTACTCTGCAGCCGACAGTGACTGCTACGGTGACGCTGACTAATGTTCTCTCCAGCACACCACCAGATTCCACGTGGGCGAGCGTGCTGGCGAGTGATGTCACCTCTTATGTCGGCGGCGCTCAGGTGGATTACTCATCTCAAGCGCTCTCATTCAATTTGTTACTGATACTAAGCTCAGATAATTTGAGGTTGGGCACCCCTTTTCGCATGGCATGCAAAGTTGGGATGCTTGAAGACAATCCTGGCTTAGTCTACGGGGCATTTTGAGTTCCAAGGGACAACACTTCGAAATCTGCACCAAACCTTCCCCGAGCAAGGCTTCTGTGTTCATGATCTAGCAGTTCGCCACTGGCTTCTGAGTTCAAGTTGAAATTTGGAGAGTCCCAGTCTCAGAATTTACTAATCGCCCACAATTGTTGTTGCGCCCAACGCGATGACGCACGGGAAAGTTCGAGGTGCTTAAATATTTGCTAACACTGTGTGTCATGACTGCGCAGCCATTAGTCAGCGCGGTGACTGACGCCTCGGGGCCCAACCTGGCGATTAACCTTACGGTGGTGTACCCCACCAACAGCCAGCTCACCGGCGCCACCGATGCCGGCTCTCTGCAGGTTTTTATATCTGTCTAGCCCCTACAATAATGTCTGGTGTCTGATGTCTGGTCTGATGTCTGGTGTACGGTGTAAATTGTTTATTTATGGTACAACAGAGCTTGAGTGCACATGCGAAGGATGCATAGTTCATGGGCAATGCTTAATGTGTGAATCAAGCTGTGGCATGGGTTGACGTGTCAATACTTGAAACGAGTGTAAGCATGATGTGTGCAAATAAAGAGTTGGGCTGTGTGCTGTTTATAGGCGGTCACATTGGCGTACGGTCTGCGGACATCACCGGCCAGTGTCTTCCTTGGGCTGGTCGCCAAGATGGGGGCCGTAAAAGTGTCCAACATCCAGACCATCACCAAGGTGCGCCCAGGGCTTCATTCCCAATGCCTCCATCTGAGCTGCTCATTTCCTTGCTCATCCAGACAATAAAAGACAAAAATCTCTTTTATTGACTGTTCCTGGCCAGCTACGACAAGAAGCAGCTGTCAGAATGGCTTTGTTTGCATTTCAGGCCGTATGTGCCTTGGACGTCCCTTTACGGGCTAAAGGCATAACATCATGCATCAAAAACATCTCAGCGTAGCGCGGCCCCCCTTTCTCTACATGAAAGATCTGGGTACTATGTAGAATTTTTGATACTATACATACATCATGTGAGATGTGTGCACTGCATTGGTCAGGTGGTCCAGTCAGGGGGTCCCTCCATTCCATCGGCGCCCCTTGTGGCGCAGACTCCGACGGCGACCCTGCCGCCGACCGCCAGCTCAGCAAGTCCAGTCAGCACACAGTCACCCAGTCTGGTCAGCAGTCAGTCACCGCAGCCGACGCCAGCCGCCACACCGTCGCCGGTGCCGACGTCGAGTCCAGTCAGCGCCCAGTCACCCTCACCCGCATCTTCTACACCCACCCCTGCAGCAGGGTGACTGATCTTATACTGCCACCTGACCATGTGCTTGCACATGCGCGTACCTCATCCAGAAGCGCTCAGCACTCGAGCATATTAGTGCAAGTGACGACATACTTGTGCACTGTGACTGGTTCCAATGATGTTGGCACTGCAACTGAGACGTCAGGATGCAAAGTAATTTTCCAAACATAGTTTTCTGCTGTCTGCAACATTGGGGCGGTTGCTGCGATCGTGATTCAAAGCTCTACGCACAAGCATATTATCCTGCATGCGAAGACAAGGGCATTTCGTTTCTCTCAGACTTTTTCAACAGATCACTGATCAGGCCATATGTGCATGACAGGCCAACACCGTCAAACGGAGGACCTGCGCTGCAGCCGTCAGTTATTTTCACACTGACATTCCCGGGCCTGGCACCGGCGTCCGTAAAGGACGCGCGCCCCATTGAGGTAGCCGTAGCGCAGGTCTGTTTCCTTTCTCCCTTCATCACTGAAGAATGCGTATCATTCCCTACTGCGTCATTTTACTAAAACTTGGTGCAATATCACTGGCAAAACCACGTCGTTGAGTTTGCCACAATTTCCTCATGCACTACTGTTCCTCCACAAGCTGCAATTCTCCAACCTCGCTGTCTTTTGCATACGAGAGGCACACACGAGGCACCTTTATGTGGGTGCTGACTCAGAGAATTCAGAGGAGGTATCGGATGAGCCCTGTCTTGAATGTGATCTATACCACCTTGTTTGCATGCGTTCTTGGGCCAGAACAGTATTGGGATTGCCAAGTTTCTGACGGAACGCAGACACATCATAAGTTTGTGATATGAAGATGCGCAGTGACAGGGTGCCTGCCAACAAGACCATTGAACCTCAGGTGGCTCCCAACAGGTCTCTAAATAATAAGAATAATAACAATAATAATCATTTCTTGTCGTAGAAATAACAATAATAATAATAAGTTATGTTAATAGTAATAATATTAGTAATATGTGGTTGACTGATTGACAGGACATAGAGGCCTACCTGGGCACTGACAGGCTGTCAAAGGTGACGGAGATGCCCCTAACCGGAGGCCAGAGCTGGGCGCTGAATGTGACTGTCAGCCTGGTGCCCAATGGCAACAACGAGGTGCGCAGATCTGCTAGATATGGCATCAGTCTGGAACTCTGAAGGGTCTCCAAAGATGCGAAGTCTGAGATATTGCCAACTATGTGGCGTTATGAAGGGCTTGAGAGTCTCGAAGTGCTACCTGCATCAAAGCGTGGGAGGGTCAAGGACAAAGTCCAACATACAACTTGCATGAGCTGCATGTAAACATAAGATCTACCCTTGCACTGAGCATTTGCAATTAAATTTTGCCAACAATGCTGCAATTAGTAATGATCAACCTGCATTCCGCTGCCAAGGGGGTGTTTGCCAAAATACACATCCTTTACTTTTGGTATAGCTCATTAACACTGAGCCCCAATAGAAGACAGCGTCAGAGCTTCAAACAAAGGCATGGCATCCCATGACAGCCACCTTCCGTTACTGTTGATTTTGCTAAGAAGAACTTGACAGAATTGGGTTATAGTGTACCGTTACTGATTTGTACTAACCTTTACTAACCGTACTTAACGTTACTAACCGCACCACTCGTTACTAAAAGCCATACTGCCGCAGGTGAGCCAGTCGACAGCATTGGCGCAGGCGTTTGCTGCTGCGCTGACGGACACGTCTCAGCCGGTGTTCAAGACGGCCGCCGCCAAATCCAACGCGCAGCCGACCGCCTCAGATGTCCAGGTGAGAGACAGCTGCTGTGTCCTGTGTCACACTGAGACCTGCTGCCCTGTACGCCTAAGCAAGTTGCCAGAAAATACACTCTTGCCTATGAGCGAAGCGGTGAGTTGTTGTAAGCCTGGTGCGCAAACATGTTCATGCATGCAATGGTGGAAGAAATCAGAGAACGGCCTTGCATGAGCAATGGATTGCTCAGACTTGACTGACAATCTCACACAATGCCTGGAGCAAGACGTGAAGGATTCTCCAGTCAGAGTCCACACAGTGCATGCAAATTGGTATTTGCTGCCTTGCAGACAATTGTGCGCGTTGTGGGGGGCGCCTACGGATCGGCTGAGTCAGCACCTCCCCCCGGCGGCTACACAAATTCACCCGGCTATGACACTGGTGCGAATAATTCTTGGATACAGTAGTGCTCATTTTAAACCCCGCAATAAACAAGTAATTTTGAATAAGACCTTATCTCCCATATATGAACCCTATGATAAGTTGAGACCAGATTTGAAGAGCTCTCGAAAGCCCAATCTGTTCAAGCATGACCCTGGTATTTTAGACATCAGGAAGGCCCCTAAATGTGTCTCGCACCGCCGGGGGTGCGGATTTTTGAATGAGCGGTACAACAATCCAATGCATGATGTTTACGATGTCCTTGGAGACAGGTAACAATTATGACGTGGACCTTGTAGTTATAAAGGATGGGTATTTGTGGCATTGAGAAGAAGGTGAGTCCATGATTGAAGCATAATTTTTTTTATTGTTTCACACGCCTTTTTTGCCAAAAGGCAAGGTACGTCCTGCAGACAAGCTGCAGTTTAAGGCTGCCGCGATTCCTTTGGACTCGTCAGATCCAAGCAAGACCCCAAGCAACCGTGGGCACGGTACCCAGTATTTATACCACCCCCCGTCAGCCAAGGCCTGATTTAATGATGGTTTGGGGGGTGTGATATGCTTGTGTGGGGTGTGTGCACTTGGGAAGACCCTGTGCTTGCTGACTTATGGATTGAGGGCGTAGGGCGACAAGAATGGAAAGTTGATGAGAAATATTATTGCTGACGTGACTAATGATTTTGTGGCACAGGATCGCCGGCTGCACTGTCATCGCCAGCTGCGCAGCAGTCACCCGCCACATCATCACCCACACCGGCACCAACATCACCCGCCACGTCCTCACCACCGGCAGGTGACTAAGCGTCCATGTCACACAAATCCAGTCACTTTTCAGACATGAATAAGCCACCTTGCATGAAGAAGCCAGATTGCCAGGTCCCCAAACCATCTGCATTTTGCGTGCTGATAATTTTGTTAGTCACTGGCAATTACTATCGACATAATTGAACGACTGTGATAATTGCTAGGCAAACAAACAAGTTAAACAATTGTTATGCAACTTAATCTCAAGTGTGTTGAGCAGTGCTGTTTAGTGAGATCCATTCCTGCTCCCCAAGTTGCATATCATACCTGCCAAGCTTGTCTTGGCTCGCAGAAAGAGCGGCATGCATCAGAATGCACAGCAGAAACAGTAGTTTCCTGCTATGTGTCTTGCAGTGGCCGTTCCTTCTTTGTTTGGTGCAGACATTTCAGAGACCATGCAGCATTTCATGCGGCAGTTAGACAGTATCACTGATGCACATTTCGTCACAGGTTCTTATGATCATTTGGAAGCTCTCAATATATTTAATCAGCCCTAGGCGGCTGGATGATGTGTAACCTTCCTTCCTTCCTTCCTGCAGTGACACCGGCTGTAGCTGTCACCGGTCCGCCGGTGGCACCCGGTCCCGCCTCTCAGCGGACGCTGCAAACAGTGACCTTCAGCCTGCTTCTGTCTGACATCAGCGCAACCGGCCACTCCGCAGATGTGCAGGTGCGGTCAGGGTTTCTGTTAGTGGCGTTCTGAAGCCAATGTGGCTCTCAACAAATAATCCAAGCAATTTTGTGGCGCATGAAGTGCCTGAGGTTGTCCTGGTTTGAAGCCACCGATTGGCTTCTAGAAATTAAATTACCGGTGCAAGAAGCCACTTTCCATCCATTTTCAGCAGAAATACGTCCAAAATTACTGATTCCAGGAGAAACTTTTAATACTTCCAGCTTTTAGCCACTTCTGTGGCTTCAAATTCTATAATCTAGCTTATGTGTGTTGCTTCCAGCCCAAAATCCTTATGCTGCATTGCAGGGCTATATCACGACGGATGTGAATGCATATGTCCGGAGCAAGCCGCTGGCCGTGATAAGCTACATGGAGGATGCTTCTGGCAAGAACCTGGTGCTCAATGTCTCAGTGGCGTTCCCCGGCGATCAACCCAGGACAAGCCAGGTCAGCGCCACCTCATCTAAAACTGCACAAGAGCAAATCATGATGTAGACAGAATGATAGCGTACGAGAGGGCTCCTGAACCCTAAATAACATTTGGAAAGCTCTAATAGACAACCCTGGTAGACATAAGAAGGGAGCGCTACTATGTACCTGTAAGTCCTGGAGACGTAGTGTTGCATGGGTGCTTCATCCACAATCATAGGACAAAAGGCGCCCAACACGCAACAATGATCTGTTCAGCTCCCGAGCTGGCATGCGCTGCAACGGGATTCTATTTTTAGCAAAAAGGCCTTCCATTAATCCACACAGAGAGAGACTCTTCTGCGTCTGGGATATCACTACAGTACTGCCACTGGTTATTTGATGCATGAGCTCGCTGGGTCTACTTAAGAATGACATGTGACGACTCTATCTCAGTCTCTGTGTCTCCAGTCAATGCAGGACAGCAGAGCAAGCTGCACCGCTGTCTCTTCTACCTTGTCAAGTCTGCCATTTGGGAATATTCAACCTGTCTACAGGCACCCCCATAAATATTACTTTTTCCCGGGGTGCAGGAATTTGCAGACGCGCAGCTCGCAGCAGAGGCGCTGGCAACGGCTATCAACAGCGACCCAGCCTCGGTCTTCAAGACTCTGATCGCGCAAAAAGTGCACGGCAAAGCTTACAACGTCGCCATTGCCGGGCCGAGTGCCGGGGCCCCCACAGGTGCGGCCAGTTGCATGCAAGGGATTTGAATTGCAAAATATTGAATTCAAATTCGTACCTGTCTAGGCTTGAAAAGATGAAAGCGCGATGTGGGGGCCGAGTGCCGAGGCTCCCACAGGTGTGGCAATTAAAATGCATGAGATCTCCAAGATGCTTGGCGGATGTCAGTATGTATATTTGAGTATGTCACAGAGAGACATCAAGACAAAGCCTGCAGTGGGGCCTTCAGTAGTATTTACTCAATGGGTGTCACTAGCAAGTGCCCTTTTTGGGCATGGCATTTGTAGTATATTGAAGCAGCTATCACTTGACCCGCATACTTTAGCCACTTAGAAAAGGTCTCCCGCACAAAGAACACATCTTTCTAAAGTAATTCGAGATCAATTGATCGAGACTATTTTACTCATGACAGCCTGACTGGTGCAGTGGTTGCGCCGCCTACTGTGGCACCGGCAACGGCGGTTGCTAATAAGCCACAAGCGCCAGCTCAGGCGCCAGGTGGCGCGCCGGCGTCCGGCCAGCTGGCGTTGACGTTTACGGTGGCGATCCCTGCCAGCGCCCAGTCAGCAGCGTTGAACTTGTCATCGGCGCTGCAAACGAACGCTGCTCAAATCCTTCAGCCTGTTTCTGTCAAGCACGGGCCCCTAACGATCACAGGTAGCATTTTCACTCAGAGTTCTGCGTTGAGAGCAAAATCTGGCACTGATTGAGGAGGATTTTTAGATTCGTTTATGTTTTGGTGGTGCTCAATGCTACTCCACAATGGCGGCTTGGATGGAAAGTGAAAATGATTGCAAATATAGAGAACATTGGTTTCTCCCTTTTTCATGCAGAGAGAATCTGATATTTTCTGGCACAACCTCCAGTGATGGCTGCTGTGACATCATTCTCGAATTCTTAGTCCTGCTTGGTTGCCGAAGCCTTGAACAGATGTCTTGTGCTCTGCTGCAGGGATTCTGGTGAGACAGAAAGCTACGGATCTGATACCAGAGGATTGAACAACTGTTTGTGCTCTGATGCAGGGGTGCTGGTAATGCAGAATGCGACAGATGCTGGCAGCGCTATAGAATCTTATGCCGGGCCGGCAGCGGGGCCTCTGCCTTACATAGCCATACCTTCCAGCACATATCCCTACCCGGTACCCTCTCAACACCGCCTTGCTGTATGCCCGCATGAACCTGGTTTTGAAGATATGTCATCTGCCCTGTGATTCAAGTGCATGCTAACGCATGTTGACACAAGTAGTGTGATGAACACCTTTTCACAGCGAGATTTTTGCACGGCAAGTCTTACCCAACATTCAAGGAACCTTGCATCACCCTATAATACGCACTGGCATGAGAGGCAGTGTGCAGCAAATTGGGTGCTGTTCAAAATATTGTGAATGTTGATGAACAATGCTGTGCATGCATGCAGGCCGGGATCGCCGCCTCCAACGCATCCTACAAGCAGGTGCAGGCAGGTGCCAACGCCACGTCAGCCGCCCAGCTGTACGCAATCAACATGCAGTTCAGCAACGGGCAGGCGCAGAGCGACAAGATCAACAACATGCTTCTGCTGTCGGCGGGAGGCAACAATAACGCAAACGGCGCGCCGGCACCGGAAAATTTTACAATCCAGACGTCACGCGGTGTAACTGCCGCTGTTACGGCGATTGTTCCGTACGCGCCGCAGCCGGACCTGTACCTCGTGCAGGTTTGCGCCCCTTTGTTCAGGGGTTTCTGATAGGGTTTATAGTAGGGCTCCAAAATTGCTGCAAGGACAAGTGCTGGGTTTTTTCTTTTGGGACCGTTTCTGGGTTTTGCAGTCCGTACTTGAGGGATCACGAAGCCTCGTTCAGAGGCTACACATGCAAGTGGTGGCCAATTTGGCCAGCAGGAATTAAGTGCTAGAAACACATTAAATCCCTCGTTTGTAGCCGCTGCTCCAGATATCATTCACATGAAGGCGCACTTGATTTTGCACCTCCTTTTTTGCATTTTCTTTGCGTGCTGCCTGCAGGTGTCCACCCCCGCTGATTACACCGGGCCTGTGACAGTTACATACAGCTCAGCGGCTGCCAGCACGTCGCTGTCTTTCACAATCATGATCCAGCTCGCGGTGAAGGTCACTGCATGCTCTTTCTCTGCTTGAACCTATGGAATACAATTCAGGCATTAGTCAGTGGTATGATAATGATTAGAGTGATTATTAGTCGCCGAGTCACCACAAGCACAAGAGGCAAATCCGGCGTTGGGGAAAGAATTGAGGCAGAGAATTACAACGAGAGTTAGAAGGCTGCCAAGTGTCCTGATTGTGCAGCAGTCAAAAGAAATATATTGGGCTTTGGAATGATAGGACGAATGAGCCGAAGTTTCTCCTTTTACACATGTTCAGGTTGAAAGGGAGGCATATCCTCTTTGAAATTAAAAGAGCCGCCGCCTTTAATGTCAGAGGAGCAACTTTTTTGCTATAAGACACATGACAAATGTGAAGACAGTCTGCAGATGCCTGTAACAGAACTGCTTGCTGTCGAGCTGTCAAGGGTGTTTGCAGTCCAACATTAATTTTAAAAACTTGCCATGATCATCATGATGATACAGAACGCTTGGGGAGTACTAACATTTTCCTCATAATTCTGCAGCCTTCTTTCAGCTAGGCTAATCTAGCCATGTGCATGCATGCCCGCATGCATGCATGCATGCATACATCCATAAGCTCCCGGACTCTCCACAGCGTGCTGATCCATGCAGAAAGCGGCATTAAAATCGCAGGTCCGGAAAACCTTCTACGGGAAATCTAGATGCTGTTCTGCAGACATGGCACCCTCAACACAACACGACCGCATGCTGCCCGTCTCAAAGCAGCAGATGCTCGGGATGCTGATGCCTCCTGCAAAGCTGCATGGCATCAAACAATCTCCCCTGCGTGGAATCTAGATGTCATCTACACGTCCAAGGTGTCTTTTCTGTGTCAGCGCAAGCACAGACAAGTCCTCAGCTGGTGCTCAGACCGGCCAACTGATTCGTCACAAGCTGTGACTCACAGCAGGACTTCAAATTCACAAACTGTGGCAGGGAGCAAAGCATTGCTTTTGCATCATATGGCCTTCTGCATGTTTGGCAACTTGCAGTGGTCATAGTGACACATGATACTGACTTGGTCTCCTAGGCCATCATGTCCAGCATACTGTCGCACTGGTAGCCATCTTGTTCAAGGCCAAACTAGCTCCGATAAAGCTTCATAGGATTCTCAAAGGCTGATGAATGAGTCCAACTTTTACATATACTCAGCAGGTACTTCTTAGTGAGTCTCCCGTTGGCGCCTGTCACTTTGGCACGGCAAATGGGTCAAAGGATTGAGCCCAAAGCAGGGTTGGTTTAAGGAAATCATCCAGCTGCCTCTCATATAGCGCAAACACCTGCATTGCAACAGGCGTACTGAGCTGACCAATCCATAGTAAACCTTGTAGTGAGATGATAATCCTCAAAAGCATGCAGCATCCTCGGGGGCATGGGTGAAGCATTGTTCTGGACGTCCACACCTTTGCAACCTTGTCATTGCCACCCGCTGCCATATTCCCAACCCTTTCCTCGATTCGCCAGATCCAAGACAACCCAACCAGCCGTGGGCATGGTGTAATATTGTATACAATCCCCAGCCAGCCGGGGCCCTCTGTTGTAATACTGCATTGTATTGCAATGATGTTTGTCTATATATTGTTTGCCTAAGTTTGCTGGGGCGTAGGTCGCACCCGGTCTTGCTGTGCTTGCACCTCATCAATGTTTTGTCGTTGGACCCTGCCGCAGGCTCTGTTGAAGGTGAACGACCTCTGGAAGAAGGGGTTGCCAGGCTCGTCCGCGTCACTCACAGGGAGGTTAACACACTTCACGAAATGCTTCGTCTCCGAACCCTCGTTCACAAAGGAGTCCTTCACGGTCACAGAGACCTGCACACACATTTCTTGAATTTTCTGAATGCACATTATTTTGCATAGCCCTCCCGCCGATCTGCTGAGCGCAGGTCTCTCATGACGTAATGCCATTGCACATGCAGAGCGCGCTTGAAGCAACAAGCTTATGTGGGTTTCCCCCCCCCCCCCCCCCCCCCAGTAGACCCTTTAAGCTCAAAGCCAAACCCCAAAGCAGCCGGTGGAGCCTGTGCATGTCTGGGGAATGGAGGACACCAAGTGCGCTTGTCTGAGACAGCAGGAAGCCTATCGCATGCATGCACTGGGATGTTTCAACATGGCCCCGAACAATTATCAGCGGCTGTGCAGCCAAGAGGTGAAACAAATCTGCAGCCACGGGTAGTAACATTCATGAAAGGCGTGGTGCACCCGGGCCTTCACTCACATCAAAGTCTCGGTAGTAGTAGTTGAAGTTTGCAAAGGGCTCCCTGCAAACACCGCAGTTGGCAGCCACAATGGTGACGGCTGCGCGCCGCTGGTTGATTGCGGCCTGCCGCGCAGCCGCAACGGCCGCCACATAACTCTTCGTTGCAGTCTGCACAAGCAGTCAATCTTTCTAAGCACGGCTGACAATGCGTTGGTAGAGCAGCAGGATTACTGCGCGGCAGAGAGCAAGAGCCCTGCTGTGGCCTAGGTTCCTTTTCAGCCAATATAGTGTCTTCAAGTACATAATGCAGGGCAGGGACTCACGCTGAGGGACTGGACATTGTTGGCGGCAATGTTTTCTGGGGGCGGTCTGCAGTAGGTGGACTCAAAATTGAGCGCCAGTTTTGAAAGCAGCGCCAGGCGTAGGCCCCCCAGTCCACCAGGTAGTTGAGGTACGCCGCAGCATCCCTACTGAAATCCGGCGTCTTGTTGCGAACCTGAGGCAGATACCTACGGAGCATGCACCATATGTGAGGTGCACTTCAAGTCACCAATGGAGCGGCCCTCACACGCCTCGAGATCCGGGGGCATCAAAGATCCCACCAGAATGCACCAAGATGGATGCTAAGAATGACTACATGGACACTTACAGACATGTGTTGGGACAAGCAAAGCCGAAGACATGAAAGTATGGGCAAAACCAAACCATGTGATGCCCCGCTATCTTCCCCTGCACGCTGGCCTCACAATGGCGGCGATGCATCCGATAGCCGCCAAACATGCCAGTTGTGCGCTAGCAGACTTGCGCACAAAGATATTTCATGCGTGCATCTGCTGCAGGTTGGGGCCATTGGGGCCAACTCCATAACCGCATGGTTAACTATATTCACAGCTGCCCCCGGCGCCAGCAAAATTTCCGGTCGAGCTACAACACTTGGATGCAGAAACACTTTGGTCATGGGGAGCCCTACATGCAAGCACTAGATCTCTAACCCCCTGGAATATGTAATTCTCTGGCCAGATGACAGGTGGGATTACATATCACAATATGCGCAGCAGGTATGTGCAAAAGGCAAGCCTGTCTCGGGCAAAAAGGCACCACAGTCATTTGATACAGAAAGAGAGTACGAAGGCAGAAATGCCATCAAGTGCACCCGAGCATATATTTTATTCGCACCCACCCTCGGCGCCGGCAAGGGTGCCGTCAAGCGCGGTTACTTGGATGTCATACTAGATCATTGGGCATTGCAAAGAGGAGCCCTACGTGACGAATATCTGGAATCTTCAACAAGCCCTACATAACCAAACCCTGGCTCATTTCTGAAACCCCTGGATTATTTCGTTCGCACCTGCCCTCGGCGCCGACAAGGGTGCCGTCAAGCGCGGTCACTCGGACGCCGTACTGCTCTCGGCGAGTCTCCGGGGCTGTGCCAGGGGGGCTGCAGGAGGTGAGCCCGTCGTAGACCTTCACCGCCTGCCAGCGCGCTCGGATGTCCGCCAGCTGTCTCTCCAGGTTCCTCTGGTCCTGTGGGTTTTTTGATTTGTAAAGTTTAGGGTCTAGGGATATAAATTCCAAAAAACGTCATTTAGGCTTACTTCAGGGGGCATTGCCCAGTTGGTTGCGCCCAGTTTAAAGAGCCTTTTCCTTAGTGGCAAATCCTTTCTATTTGGAGGGGGGATCTTGATGTTTCACCAGCAGCAATTGATGCTGTCCATTACTCTTTGAAATCTAAGTGGGGCTTGAAATTGCACCTCAACGCGGAGCAGGCTCTTCACAAGGTCCTTGGCCCGTGACTTGAGTGCTTCCCAGGTGCATGTAAGGTCGCAGGGCTCCTCTGGGGGCGGGTCTATCAGCGTCCCAAATAGATTCCTGCACGCAAACGAAAAGTCAGGATTTTGCCGTGCCCTCATTTCTGCCATAATCCTCACATTAGACCTCTCATCCCAGGTATGTGTTCACTATCAAGCCGGACAGCCCAAATAAAATAAGCAGACCAGCTATGATGTGTTATCACTTCTCAACACCACCCATGCATGCACCCAATCTGATGTGTTATCGATTCTCAGCACCACGCATGCATGCACCCACTCAACATGCATGGTGCAAGCACAACACTCTCGTGCAGGCATGCATTAAGAGTTACTTCAAAGGTACGCACCCAAGTACTTCGCCCACGATGGGCACGGGGATCTTGCTGAGTATGCCACTCACAGCGCCCTTAGCCACGCTCCTGATAAGCTCCTCGCCGAATCTCTGCGTGAATTTGGTCTCGATGAGCTTCTGCAGATTCTGAGTCACCTCCTTGTTGCTTCTTTCCAGCGTCTGGGCGGTCGACGGCGTTGCCTGCTGCAGCCGCCGCCCCGTTACGGATGGCGCCAGCGGCACTGCCAGGTCAGCTTCCACGTAGCCGTCGCCGTCCGGATCCTGCGTGGCAAATTAGTAATGATTATGTCTTGATCACTATTCTTCTGACTAATCTATGGCAGCAGAGTAGATGAGCTGTTGCCATACGGGTCCTGCCTGGCAGGCAAATACTTACAAATCCTCTTGTGGCTTGTTATAGCATTGCGTGCTGAGTATGTTGGAAGCAGAACCCAAAATTTGGACAAACAGAAAATCCCGGGATCAGGCCTTCTTGCCGGTAGCGTCAGGGCAGCGGCACAAACATTTCCCTAGGCAAAAGGAGGGCATGTATCTGTGATGGAGCAAGCTTGCAGCCGGCTTGTTCAAGAGGCAAGGGGTGCAAAAGAACAGGTGGGCGCGGCCAACCGAACAACCTTACAGTTGGCACAAGGGGGGGGGAAAGGTTATAGTGGCGACTTACTGGATATTGAGAATTTGGAGTGACAAAAAGAAACTTGCTCTGGCGAAGACAGGTAGCTGTGCAAATGGTTGATTGATGAGAAGCAAGCCGCAGGTACAAAAGCACCGCCTTGGAGTTCAAGGATGCACACTGGTGTTCTAGTCCGTCGCCTAACAATACCCCTGCGCATGCGCCTGGCATGTGCGCGCACCTGCTGTAGTGATGGCAGGTAGCTGCGCACAGTCTCCAGGTAGCTCTGCTCATCCTCTATTTGCAGCTCCAACACCCGCACGTCCAGCCTGTGTGTCTCTGAGTCAGCCGGTGACAGAGAACTCACATCAACGGCTTTCAAAGCCGCCAGTTTTGCCTGCATGCACACAAGGCCGCACTTCTGATTCTGCCTTACAGGTAAATTGGTAGGCATGATGGAGAGGTGCTAAACGAAGGGGCGGAGTGCAAAAAAAAAGCCTAGCACAGGAGCTTGAGGAGGACGGGTCACAAAGAGAATGGTGCACTCAAAGGCAGTCTGTCTTCAGTGGTTCTGCTGGACGCAGCTTCACTACAATGATTTGCTTCAAACACTGACAGGCAGGTCTGCCACTGCAAAGCTCTGGCAATATTCAGTCAGCAATCTGGCGCCTTGGTGCAATCTAGAAGCTTGACATGGGCCCAGAAAGTGCAGGCATGCAAGGGGCACCTGCATGCTGGTAATGGTCTCCAGTGCAGCTGTCTCCGCCGTCTTCTGAACAGACTGGATGGTCACATTTGCATCCGCGGCTGCACACACCACAAGATCACTCAGCTCCCAATGTTATGGGCCTTTTATCTTGTCATCACAGGCTTGTGACTGCACAAATTTTACACTCACACGTCACACTTCACAGCATGGACTTTTGTGTACCTCTGGACTCTGAAATCCAGCAGGGGGTAGTTGTCAATTACCCCTGACAATGAGAGGAGCGGGGGAATAATATCTATGAAAGCCGACTTTCATGACAGGAGCTCTTCATTTCAAAAGAGCTCTCTTATCTAGCAGACGAGCCCGGCTTGCAAATGGGGATACCGGCAGCGCTGCTAGCACTGAAGTGAGCAAGACATGGATCTTAGCAGTGCTAAGATCTCAAACCCTGAGTCGCGCACCCTCTGGCCCGGGGAATGAAGCGATGGCAGCATCGAGGGAGGAAGAATTGACCGGCAGCAGCGGCAGGTGAGCAAAAGAGCGTGCGATCTCCCGAATCTCAGCAGCAGAAATGTCTGCAGCGCAGGCAAACATGAGCTCAAATCTGAACCGTTAGCGTCTTAAATCTGAAACGTTAGCGGCTTTGTGACTTGCTGTTTGTTGGCCTAGCCATCCAATGAGTACATGCTGAGACAAGCATTGCTGTCTGCCAGCGTTCTTGACATTATGCATCTGGACACTGCCTTGCGCTGATCAGACCATATGATACCTTGCCGAACACCAAATGCAGTGGAACCTGCAGCAGGAAGTTTGTGTCTTCTTTGTGACATGCATGCTTAGCCACAGCCATGTGAGCCATGAGCAATCCTCCCATCAAGGTGTTCTGACAGACGGTCATCTCGACACGGCCTTACATGATCATGATAGGACAAAGATCTGCCTATGGCCGCTCTGCAGAATTGCTGTAGAGAGCTGAGACCTGCGCAACATGCTGCATGGAGGAAGCAAGTGCCTCTCACCTTGGTCACTGGGAGGTACTGGGGCGAAGCCGGGCTCCATGCTGATGGGCCCTGGTTGACTGTACGCCCCTGTGCGGCATCAGCAATCCTTAGAGTGGCCATGGCATCAAAACAACGCTGACTCTACCAGCTAAGGTCCAAATGTTGCAATCTCATGCGCACTGCTTGGGCGGCAACAGTGTCACGCAGATGGCACCTATTCGGCGCACGTGCAGGTGTTTGCTTGCGCAGCATGTGCAGACAAGGGAGCATTGTTTGCGGGGCCGAAAATGCCATTAGAGAATTGGCAGTATGCAATAGTAAAGCTTCTGTTGACAGCGTCGCAATCAGTCATAGTGCATTGCTTCACCCTGCATTGGCTGCTCCTGATTGTGCCTGCGTCGCATTTAATGGAGAAAATTCACTGGGAGGGCTCTGCTACTGACCTGCTGTGAAGGCAAAATCCAGGAGGAGCGTTGAGGGCGCATTGATGAGGCCTGCCGAGGATAAGAGCGTGTCTGCAAGGATGCCATTTTGAGTAACGAATTCAAATGCCGAGACCACGTCCCCGACATGTTCCTCTAGCAATGGGGCAAACACCACGAATGCTGTTGTGGACGCTGTGCTCTGTAAGGCATAACAAAGACTTGCTCACTGACATTCCCACCTTCTGCCACGCTGCCTTGTGGCCTTGAATCATACTAAATCCACTTTAAGCTCTAAAAAATAATATCACTGGGTTGAATTTGATCAAAACAAACAGACCAACAGAACGAAGTGCTGAGAGACAAGCTTGATTGCTTTGCAACCATTGTGCCACTAGTAGAAAAAGCTTGCAAGCCAGAGGTCACCGTATTTCCTTCGATGTAGTCGGAAATCGGCGAGCTCTTCATGTCTGCCAGCTAGATAGCTGACACTTCGCTCACGACTGTCTCACTGTAAAGGATGTCTTCGATGGCGTCAAGCAGACTTGACTGCTGCTCAGCAGACAGAGGGTAGTTGGGACCGTTGAGCCGCAGAGTAAGCGTCAAATATCCATTCGAGGAATTTTCTTCTGGAGTCCCTGTATTGCACGTGTGAGACGTGCTGGGACATGCTTGTTACATGACACCACAACGCACAGCAGCAACCACAGCAAGCCAGCAGCTGGTGCAGATGCACCCCGTACCTTTGAAATGGGCACTAGTGCTGTTTATGAAATCCTTTATCTCAATGATGGGGTCTTTGAGTGAAGCTCCTTGTGCTGAGCTGTGAAGACTTGTTGCCAGGGTCAGTGTTAGCAGACCCATAGCAAGAATATGTCCCCGAACCGTCAAAATAGCATTCATGCTATAATATATACTTTTTGTTCAAGTAATGGACTATGTTCTATCGTGGTCACGACATCGTGAAGGAGCTGCATTGCATCACGTCAGAAGCGACCTACGGCTCCCCGGTAAAAATAGGGCAAGCGAATGAAACAGGACGCTCAAAGAGTTCAAATCGGGGCCCTTAGCAGCACAGTGCGACAATTTGGCGACATGCGCAGGTTCCGAACGTCCCCTGGAACTGTCGGCAGTACATTTGAACGTCTTGGATCTCTGTTGTACTTGCCTAATCAGCAACATACGTAAACTTCACGTCATAAACATCTACCTGTGCAGATGCACCCTTCTACCCTTCCCTACAACGTAAACAAAGGTAATGATCTGCCAGGCCGCCATGGAGACAGCAGCACATTATGAAAAGTAGCATTGCCAAATGCTAGACATTCTCAATTCTGACAAACGCCTCTCATGCCTGACGGGCGCCGGCGCTTTACTTCCCATCGATTGCAGTTTTGTCAATTTGACAGCGCTGCAGCTTACTGCCTTCTTTGCTCTTGCTAGCTGGGGGGTCACCGGCAGGGGTCCACAATGTTATACCTCGGGCAGGCCATCACCAGTGCTTTCGCCACTGCAACACACAGCACACACTGTTTGCAAATGTCAACTTCACATGTATGCAACATCCGGACAATTGCGGCGCGCTGCACTGCCATTGCTAATGTGTGCGCCCCGACAGCGTGTTCTTAGCTGTGCATAGAAGCTGCATGCGGACAGCAATCTTTTGTGTCTTTGCATGAGAGGCGATGACAGCGTTTTGTGTATTTATAAGCTGTTGATATGAACAACAACTCGGCAGCGCTAGCAGGAGGAGCGCGTGCTGTCACCAGTCATGCAGGGTAAAATGTACGCATCCAGCCAGCGGAATATTATGCCTGTGCGCAGCCATATGCTGCAGACAGCATGTCTAGAGTATTTTTGAACTCCACCTTGACAGCAATATATGAGCAGCGCACCTAACGGGAACGCCTCCGGGCGCATGCCGAGCGCAGGCGCAGCCGAGGCGACGCGCACATCACAGCCGCATGTCTGCACAGCAATGAAGTGCTTGTCAGCTGATGCGCCACAGCCTTATCATAAAATGATATAGAGTAAATCTTACACAGGGGCCCTGCTGTAACCATGTCCAACAATGCATCCGCTGCCATGGCTGCATTGCTGACCTGGGGCTGAGGGCCCTCATTTTGGGCAATTCTAGAGAGCTAACACGAGCCCTGGCCGGTGCACTGGGCTGTCACATCAGCCAGCACTTGCTTGCATGTACTTCAATGCGCTTGTAAAAAAAGCGGCGCTGTCATGGGTGACTCACCTCGCTGACAAATTCGCGAGCATCCTCGCAGCACGCGTCGCTCGGCGTGGCTCCCAGCGCGACTGCCTGCCGGAACTCGGCATCGCCGTAAGCGGCCAGGCGCCCATAATCGGCCCGGAACGGGGCCAAAAAGTCAAAACATGCGCCGGTTACTAACCCCGCAGCCTGCTGTGTGCAGCCATTGCCTGCATGCGCAAATCAAAAATTGTATCACGCGACTTTCATGAGAGTTGTTGATTTATGCCCAATGCTTGGTAGCCATTTTGACCGTCAGAAAGCTTGAGAAGTGCATTGCAGGTCTGATTGACAGGAGCTGGTAAGCAGCGCCTTTGCAACAGCCAGGTGCCATGTCTGCACGTGCTGCCAGTGTCATGGAATATCTTACCTTCAGCAGGCGCTAAGGCGCTGAAGGAGGTGATTGCGGGGGCCGGCGCCCAAGCAGGCGCTTGTGCCAGCCCTGCAATTCAGAACAGCTTCAGGAACGCAGCATGCTTCCCGTCATCCACTTTCTTTCCATCAAGCATTTATAAATGATCTAGAATGCCTTAGGTGAAAAAATGATTAAGCAAGTAGTGATGAAATGAGACAATCGAGAGTGGAAATGTGCTGCCTGTTAGTCTTGCAGCAGCAACAAGCACAAAGAGAACGACCCACAGGAAAAGCCAGGCCAGCTTTTTGTCCAATACCTGGGCCACCGGTGGGAGCTGCAGTCTTCACTAGGTTGTCAAAGGATGTGTTTGGCTGGGTTTGCTGCTGCTGCTGTTGTCTCAGCAGCTGCTGCTGCTGCTGCTGCTGCGCTGCTGCAAAGCTTTGCTGCGGCCCCGGCTGGTTCAATTGTGGCAGGTACGCCTGCTGTTGCGCATTGTACGAGCCCAAGGCAGGCAGCGGCAGCAGTGGTGGCTGCTGTGGGCCCCCTGCGAGCCCAATTTTAACCCCCTTTGTCTCCAATCTTTCCTATCGGCAGATCCCCTGTTGCACACCTCTAAGGACCTTCTTGCTAGCTGTCATCGCCATGCGCACAACATGGCGGCCCACAGCACAGCGTATCACTACTTATGGGTACTGATAATTCAGCATCTCACTTTCATATGCAACACCGGCTACTCAACCAGCAGTGCTCCACAGGGATGCCCACCTTGGGTGAGGTGTCTTCTGCTGTCTGCGCACAGCCCTGGCGCTGCAAATTGGAAGAGTACCAGGAGGCTGAACGCCGTCCTTCGCATCTCAATCTGCATTGACGCTGCCTGGGCCTGGGCCAGGGCGTTGCCCAGATGTGCGCCTGGATGTCTGAAAGATCCTAGCTTAAATATCAGCTTTTCCTGCGCGCCTCTTCACGGTACCCTTGAAAGTGACAAAGGCAGGTGAGAACAATTGTACCTCAGTGCACTCTCAGGCTTATATTACTGTCTACCAACATTTCTTCCACAACAAGATGGCCATATTGCAAGTCTGCAACCTGGGGTTGAAACTCTGTACCTTCCTCTCGTACCCAATTTACTATGTTAAATTCTTTCTGTCTATCTTGCAAGTAAGATAGTCACCTGTACTCTGTGGCTTGTTTGGTAGTCCGTAAGATTCTTCAATCCCCTTGGCACGTTACGTGCTGTGCGACGTGAGAGCTCCAAAGATAAGCGTCAGCTTCTTGAGATATCACTCTGCCCTTCGTGTGTCCACCGTTAAATGGGATTTACACATAAAGTGCAGACCACGCAGCTTTGAAGTTTGTATTGGTTGTTGCCCGATCAGGCTACGATTAGCCGTCAAGGAACGCGACAGCAGACCGGCACCTGCACTCAGCTGCCCACTTCTTCCATGCAAATGCCCAAGAGATGCATTTCTAATACATTAAATCCTGCTGTGGTGGATCTGGATCTGGATCGGAGAGACTTCAGTTCTGCACAGAAGCATCGTGCCGTTCAGACAACGCTTGTGCTTGAGCATTGGTCTCACCCAATCCTTTCTGCACAAGAAACACAAAGCTTTATTGGGATCCTCCTAACATCAAAGCGTCACACCCTTTTTAGTATTCTTCGTCGGTAGACGTTGTGACACAGGATGGCTAGTGCTGCGAAGGCAGCTGTAGAGGCTGTCCAAGACGGCGTGAAGAAGCTTGCGGTGAAGGAAGGCTCGGTATGTCCAAAGATGGTCAACTATGATCCCCAAAATTATAATTTAACGTTTTACAATCATTAAATGTGTTTGCAAATGGCTAATGGTACCATGTGTACAACTGATCTGCTTAGATGGATGTTCCACCAGAACTGCAGTAGTCCCACCTTCCCTAATACTAATTAGAGTGTGAAAGTTCCCACGATTGCCTTTAATATATTGTTCTTCTATCTACAGGAAAGCAAGAAGAAAGATGCCAAGGCACCCCCAAGTGCCAAGGAGCTCTTCCGCGCTGCCATGGTGCGCAGTCACCCGCTGCTGCTTGTTCGTTGACAACCCATCTCAGCAACAACCTACCTCTATACGCGTGTTTGCTCGCTTCCTCCAGGTCACAACTTACCCTGCATCAACGAGCGGCGGTTTTTGGCCATGTCAGCATCTGAACGATCTGAGTTGTGGGGGCAGACAAATGTGCTGGAGAGACGGTTGTTCTTCATCCCCTCGTTCAAGATCTACGGCAGCGTGGCGGGCTTCTATGATTTCGGTCCCCCCGGATGCGCAATCAAGCAGAACGTCACACAGCTCTGGAGGCAACACTTCATCCTGGAGGAGTCCATGCTCGAGGTAATCAGGCAGCCCGTGCATGCACACCCAGTGAAAGTACTGTGAGGTGCACTGGATTCTGTCAGGCAGACATGCAAGCAACAGCATTTGACTCGATGTGCGGTGGCGCGGCAGATGGGGTGCCCTGATACATCAGCAAGCATGCAAGCACTGCAATGCCACGTTCAGGGTGTTGTGGGGTGGCATTACAAGGATAGCAGAGGGTCGGGATCTTCCTCCATGCCCATGGCTCATGGGGTCTTGCTTGGATCCAGTGAGTAGGAATGATAATGATGACGCTGGGTTAGCACATAGGTGGGGACCTACAAGGTGATTAAAAATATGTCATGGCATGGCAGGTGGAGTGCCCTGCGGTCACGCCCGAGGCGGTGCTGAAGGCGAGCGGCCACGTGGACCGCTTCACGGATTTTATGGTGACAGACGCAAAGACTGGCGACTGCCACAGGGCAGACCATCTGCTGAAGGCAGCGCTTGAAGCGCTGCTCGAAGACCCCAAGGCCGGCCTCATGCCAGAGAAGAAGTCGGTGCGTCCTTTGCCTCAGTCTTAGCATCCCTGTCTCAACGTCATGCCACAAGTACAGGGCTCCTCTGGATCCCCCATGTCCAAGATGATGTCGGTGCGTTGTGGGAATCAGAGATGATGGGCAACTTGTGGAAGCTTAAAACACAAAGAGCTGCAGTGCCAGGAACATGCACGGCACAAGCATGCGCTGTACCCAAAATGCTGAGAAACTTTCTTGTGGACCTCCCGTGGGGGGAGCCCATTGCTGTGTCTCATTTGGAATTTCTTGGAAGTGGTAGCATGCTGAATTCTTTTTATAATTGAGTGCCCACACAGAGTGGATACTGTACATGCTGTCAATGGGTTTCTTGTAGAAAGCTTGCATGGCAAGAGTTTCTAACAAGCAGACTTGGCCACCACTTCATAGGAATACAATGCAGCCTGCCTGAATTGCAGCCTGTAATGTAAGTGCACAGATGCTCCATAGTGCGCAGTAGAGGGACATCGTTGCAGTCCTCAGGGGGTTGAGCATACGGAAATATTCTTAGAAACGGACGAGACTTCAAGGCAGAGGGGTTTCGGTAATTTCCTTTAGTTTTTTGGTTTCTACCTGTCTTTTTTTGTGTTTCTAATTGTCTTAAACCATTCTGCATGCATGCAGGAGGCGGAGGATGTGCTGGCGCGCATAGACGAGCTGGACGGCCCCGGCCTGGGTGCAGCGCTGACAAAGTATGGCGTGAAGGCGCCCGAGACAAAGAATGACATCTCAGCGCCGTTTCCGTTCAACTTGATGTTCAAAACTTCCATAGGCCCCAAGGGCGACACCGTCGGCTACTTGCGGCCTGAGACCGCGCAGGGCATCTTTGTCAACTTCAAGTGCGCACCTTTTCTCTCACATTGCATTATCTTGCTGACAGCTCTAATTCTTTTGGCGGCCTGACATCCGGCAGGGCATTCTGTTTTCCTTCCTAGCATTCTTTGTTGCTGGTAGAACGTCTTTGTTTAGGGCGCACATTTACCACGCATGCCATCTTCAGCTGCATCTGTCATTTTGCCGTTTGCTCGAGTCGCTCAGGCGAAGGCTTTGCTTCAGTATTATGGCAAGCTGTGCGGAGAGCAAAGCCGCTTGTCATGATGAAAGCAAGGCATAGGGTCTTACCTTATTTGGGCAACACCGGCACAAGCAGTATCGATGACACAGGTCATTCAGGAATTAGCTGACTTGCTTGAGTTATGCTCCTGCAGGGACCTTCTGTACTACAACGGCGGCAAGCTGCCATTCGCAGCTGCGCAGATCGGCCAGTCGTACCGGAACGAGATTTCGCCGCGCGCCGGCCTCCTGCGCGTGCGCGAATTCACCCAGGCGGAGATCGAGCACTTTGTCAATCCCGATGACAAGGTGCGCCTTCTCAAGCAGTCACTCACTTGTGCCATTGCAGCATCAATGCAGCATCAGCACACAGCCTAGCACTGCTGGACACAATGTCATAAGCATAGAAAATGTCTTCCTCGGCCTCTATTGTGCCAGCATGAGATACTAGGCAATCTCTGAAGGGGGCCTTGATTGCTTGCCCCTACAAAAACTGGTGACAAGTCCTGTCAGGGAAGGGCTATATTGTGTTACTTCTGCTTCTCAGCACAGGCGATGTGTGCAGCGAGCCAAGCTGTGCAGACCAGCTTCTGCAAGACAAGCTCTTTTCTGCCGAGGAGGGACGCAGCACAGCACATGTGGCTCTTACCGCGCTTGTATCACCGAATAAAAGACGTGCCTGGTGTGCAGGACCACCCCAAATTCGCGAGCGTGCAGGACGTCACTCCGCTACTGTTCAGCTGTGCTCTGCAGACCAACGAGGCCAAGCGGCCAGAGGTGCGTCAACCTCCAGACCCAGTGCTGCACAACACCAGAAAAGAGTATTTCATAGTCTGTTAGTCGCACACTAGTCATCCATCTGTGGAGAGGCGCTTGAGGCATGACCACCAGGTTGTTCCAGGGGTTTGGTTGGCCGTGTACATATGTTGCTTCAGAATATTGTGACACAGGGTTGCTTCAGGATCAGGCAGGAGGCGTGGATGATTAGATGATGTAAATCTAGGGTTTACCTTTTTTATTTTTAATCCCTTTTCAAACCCTAAACCCTACACTCTAAGCCCTGAACCCATGTCTAAATGTGCCACACCTGTTACTGCAGGCAATGAGCCTGGGCGATGCAGTAGCGCAGAAGATTATCGCCAACCAGACACTGGCTTACTTCATAGGCCGCACCTACCTCTTCCTGGTGGGTCATTTGTAGTCCCGAAATGCTTCATGAGCCCTGTAATCTGCTGCAAGTGCCTCTCCCCAGCCAGCACCAAGGGAAGGAGTGCAGGCAGATCTTGATGTATGCAGATAGTGTTCTATAGCCGACAAGCTTGACTGGATTCGAGCGCATATTTGATGCTGCCTCCGAGACTGTTAGTAGTGTGTCATGAGAGAATACTTGAGGATCCTCTGCGTCTGAGCTATGGGGGGTGTGCACCATGCTGCCCTGACACCCTGTAGCCTGCAGGGGCCCTCACACGTATAGGCAAGCTGGCATGCAATTCAGAATCCGGCAAATCATGGGGGCAGCAATACTTATACTTGGGACCAGTGAGCTGCTGCAGGCATGTGCACACAGCTGTGCAGCAAGTCACCAGGCTTCATGTTGAGTCCTGCAGTTGGAATGCTTATGCTCTTCATCCTCACACTGCAAGTACTGTGGACGTACTAAGGCGGCCCGGCACATGCGCGCAGGTGGGCATAGGCATCGCCTCCGAGCGGCTGCGCTTCCGGCAGCACTTACCCAATGAGATGGCGCACTACGCAGAAGACTGCTGGGACGCTGAGGTGGAGTGCTCCTATGGCTGGGTTGAGTGCGTAGGCCTTGCAGACCGGTCAGCCTACGACCTGCGGGTGCGTGGCACATTCCCCTCTGCAACCCTTGTGAATCCTGAGCAATCACCCCGAACCCTACACCATCTGAAATACCATCACTTCAGACCCGTCAGCCTACGACCTGCGAGTGCATGGTACATTCCCCTCTGCATCTGTACATTCAAGGGAGTTTTAGGGATTGGGCTTTCGATTTTATCGTTTAATTTGCCCTCCGTCAATGACAAGGATCCTTACCAAATGCCTCGGCAGGTGTTGGTCAGTTCTGCATCAGCTGTGAGAGACAATTTTACTCTTGAAGAACGAACATTACGAGCAATATTTTAAATGTGAAATTGCAGGCGCACAGCGCAGCCAGCAAGACTCCGCTGGAAGCGTACGAGAAGTTTGCAGAGCCGCGATACGAACAGGTGGGCTTTTCACAGGTTGCTGACTTGCAGGTAGCAGGATCTTATAATTCTCATTTGTTTGAAACTTCTGACTGTGGCCACCATTCCTGGGCTTGGCATGCTTGCAGTACTGTGCTGTGCTGCTGCGCACCCTGACCTAATCTATTCCACAGCCGATGCAGCTCCAAGAAGTGTCTTGGCAACGCTTTGTATTTAATGGTATGGTATTTCCTATTGCTGATGTGGCTGCCATGCTGGCAGGTGCTGGTGGCCAAGCCCAACAAGGCGGCCATCGGCAAGCAGTTCAAGAAGGAGGGCAAGCCGCTGCAAGAATCCCTGGATGCTCTCACTCAGGAGGACGCTGCATGCATAAAGAAGAGGTACGACGTTGTGCCTGTGAAGTCAGAGATGCTCTGCACAAGCTTCGTGCTATCTTCAGAGTTTGCCAAGTTGCTCGCAGCGCCGCTGCAGGATTTCCTTGGAGGAACTGCTGCTGTGGTAGCGAGTGTGTCTGCAGATCAGATACTGTCAGGGGAAGCCTGCGATCAAATCTGCACTTGGAAAGGCTGCAAGAGAGTTTGGAACGTGAGAATTTGTAACATGGAGTGTATCTGCGGTGGTGTAAGTCTTGTGGGGGGAATCACAGCAATTCAGTGTGCATATAGATGGCTGTAGGAACCTTTTAAACCTCCAGTGTTTTGACAGCAAGTGTATCTGCGCTGCAATGTCCAACGAAGGCGAAGCTAGTAGCCCAGGCTGCAGATGGAAAGCTGCAGAGAGGACTCTGGTATGTCCAATGGGTGACAACAAGTGTATCTGCGCTGCAGTTTCGATGAGGGGAAGCCGGCGACGGTGTCGGCTGGCGGCCGGGACTTTGAGGTGACCCCTGCGCTGCTGGACATCAAGCAGGAGGAGCAGAAGCTGAGCGGCAGGTGCGCGCATCTCTTCCCTTTTACATTTTGAGGGTTTTGTGATTTTCTGGGCTACTCCCTGCTGCAGGACGCAGTAGCCACTCGCATGCTTTGTCTTGGAATGCAAGGATGCCGGGCTTTGTGTGCTGCAACTTCTGCCTGCTGCTGTATTTGAGAATCGCATGGCCACTCCTCAGATTGTGTTTGCCCTCTCACAAGGCCCTTGAAAGCCACTGATGCAGGTATGCTGCGCAAGCCCGGTTCTTGAGTCGCACTTATCTACCCTTGGCATTGCAACGATGTCTGCAGAGCAGAGTATGACACTCGAAAAATTATAAAGGCGCGGCTCTCTTTGTGTGCAGGAAATTCACCCCGTCCGTCATCGAGCCCTCGTTTGGCATCGGCAGGATCATCTACTGCATGTTTGAGCACGCCTACTATGCGCGCGAGAGCAACGAGGACAAGAGCGTCTTCAGGTGCGCGACGCACAGTACCATCTGACATCAGCATGCCTCTCGGCCTCACCTTGTGCTCTGTGCCGTCAAACACCCCTTTTGCATCCATCCTGGACCCTGACAGGCTGGATCCTAAAGAACCACAAGCTGAAGTGCTGCCAGTTGCTCTGTGGGGAGCCCACACTTTCTTGTCAGAATGCAGACAAGTCAATCAGCGCGGACAGAAATGATGATCAGCCGTCGCCTGTGGACAGAAGAGCAAACGTTTTTCTCTTTGGAAAAGCCACATTGTGTCTGTCATGTAGATTATGTAGCCAATGTGTTGGTGCTTACTAATCAATGCTAAAGCAATTTGTCATGTTGCGCAGGTTCAAGGCGGCTGTGGCACCCCTGAAGGCGGCGGTGTTCCCTCTGGTGCAGCAACCGGAGCTCAACGCGACCGCGCGCTCCATCTCGGCCGCACTAACGCGCGCAGGCCTCGCCAACACCGTCGACACCACAGGTGACATCCATTTCCTGGATCTTTCCCCCTGGCTCAAATCTTAGCACCATGCAGGGCCGAGTACTGCATGTGCACATGTGGCAGCTGCTGCTGATGCTTTCTGTGTCATGGCATCCCGTTATTGCTCGTCCTAAAAAGGCCCTTGCTAGGTCATGGACAGCATGCATGGGTTGCGCACTTGGAGTCCCCGCTTCCTTGCATTCAGGTGGAAGGGGGCAAGTCCCATTACTTGCAAACATGTTTGAGTCTGTGCGGAGTTGCCGACGCTTGAGGGAAGGTCTGCACACTCGTGCGATGCTGCTGCTTTCTCTGCGCAGGCACGACGATCGGCAAGAGGTACGCGCGCACAGACGAGCTCGGCGTGCCGTATGACATAACGGTTGACCGGACCACCATCGATGGCGATGGCAGCGTGACACTGCGCGAGCGCGACACTACCGCTCAGGTACATACGAGCCTTTCAGGCCAAGCATGGCAAGCAGCTAAGTGTCTAACACAAATCTCTTTAGAAGAGGGGAAGCAGCCAGATCACCATCACAGCAATGCTCCCGGGAGTCGTATTTGCACGGATCTTGTGACACATGAATGTGCATGTATCCTCGCGCAGTGCAGCTGGCTCCAGTCTTTCTTGTCTGGGGTCTCGCACTGATGCCTTAGCAAATCTGCTGATTGTAGGTCCGGACAACCGTGCGTACATCTTCAAGGGAGTGAAAGCCGTGTCTTGTGACTGCAGGTGAGGGTACACCAGGATGCAGTGGCAGAGCTGGTGCAGCAGCTGGTCACTGGCGCAGTGACATGGCAGATGGTGCTGGACACGCACCCAGCCCAGCAGCCAGCTGCAGAAGACAACACCTGATCTTCACGGCATTGCAGATATCACGAAAAGAAGGGATGCGAGCTCTACACTTGAATTATTAAAGGAATGAGCAGAGAAGCTGCGCAGGCGCTGCCACATGTAGGGCAGAAGCCGAATGCAGGTAGGACCAAGCTAATTGGTGTGTCCCTCCATTGAACGCTCCAGTGGGGTCCCAGGGATTGACCGAGCTTGTGTTCTGTTTTTGCAAACATTTGTACTCCCTGATTGGCATGTCAAGTTGTGTAGCGCTGAGATGCTTGGTTTTGAGACAGTTTGTAATCTCGATTATTTTAAATGCCACATCTCACAGCATCTCTGAGAAGGACAGTCCTTCCCCCTACGCTCATCAGGCCCCTAGGGGTACCCCGGTCGAAGAATTGTAGCAGTGCAGCTACATACTGCCTTAAACTGTCTGCAAAAGCTCACCAAAACATTCTGACAAAACATGAGTCCATCGTGCACGGGCGCTTCCACCAATAAGACAATGCACTGGACTTTACTAGCCTATGACTTATACATGCATGCATTCCCTGCAAAACGTGTAATACATATTCGATCCTGTTATATCACCTATTCGCTTCAAATAGAGCTGACATTTGACCATGCATGTGCGCATGGCAGCTGCATGGTACATGAATAAAAAGATGGAAAAGGTCTGGCAGCACTCATACACACAAGGTGTGAACGGCCACATTAATCCACGACGACCCAAATGTTTGATGGAGCCTAGAATGGGAAAATAAGCGTTTTAGTGTTGCCGCGACAAGCATTGCCGCGATCGTGTTGGCCACTCACCAGTCTTAACACAAAATTGTTCCCTCATGATCATGCCCAACCTTTGGCACAATCCAACCCCTTATAGAGCATGGCACCAGCCATAGGAAACAGGTTAGCGCTCCCGGCAAGGGCAGCAAGTCGACACTGGGCTGACAATAAAGGCTTTCAGGAGTTTGCGATTAGTTGGGTGCCAGTGTTCTGTGGCAATGGAGTGTTCCTTGCGCCGCTCAAGCGCCAAAGTAGTCTCCATTTAGCACCTGGGAACACATATCACAAGAAGTGATTGAATTCAAATGTGAGTTCTGGTAAATTCAACAGTTCTGTTGCAAAGGCAGCACACACGCCTGCAAGGGAGGCATAAAAGGAGACAATGCACAAAGGACACACCAACCTCTGCAAGAGTGAATGGGAGGCTCTCTGTCGCCATTGGTGGCTCCCGGTAATTCTGCTTGGCCACCTTCTTCTCCACTCTTAGCTGCTCCCAGAAGGGGTCAATCTACCCAAAGGCACACATCAGTCACAAGTCAACGATCCCAACATTGTAGATCAGTTGATTTGCAAACCACAGCACCTGGTAGGAGTTCAACTTACCTCTGCCCCCAGTGAACTCTTTCCACTTTCCAATTATGCATCCACTAAAGCCGCTATACTCATAAGTGACCATTATTGAATAATCAATTGCAAGGCATAGTAACCTTGCCGAAACCTTCATACCATGGGGTTCACCGTAATACAACATAGCTGCCAAAAACAAACCAACTGGAGCAAAATTCCTAACATGAGAACGTCATGTTATATAGGCCAGCCATTGCTACTAGAGGGCTTGATGTCCCTTAGAACTAGTGAATAGCAATCTCTCTCCTATTTGGCAGCAGCAGCAGAGCCAATGCCGTCAAAGTCAAAGTCCAGCACCTGGCGCACAAAAGCAGAAGCCTGTGAACCCCCGGCAGTCTCACAAAACCTTGTGTTCGATCCTAAACCTCACCAAGACAGGGAGGTAAGCAAGTGGTGAAGTAAATGTACCTGATCAAGTGTGTATGGACATGCATACGGCAGTGGCAGAGCACCTCCCCCAGCACCTCCCAGATTCACTGGTCGATTTACAGCGCTTGCGTAGAACTTGGCGGCTACTTCATAAAGAAACTGTTTGTCATCTTCGAGGTGCTCTCGGACACTCTCTGAATTTTCTAACTCGTGCTCAAGGTCATTTCTCCAGTCAAAGATCTACACCAAAGAACCCTCAGCAGGGCAATGCCTTACAAGAGTGTTCATAATGTGAATATTGAATGGGAGCTTGCATGCCTCTTTTGAACATCATTTGCAGAAATGCTCACCTGTGAGACCCACTTCTCTTTGTGCTCCGCCTTGGCAGCGCCCCAATAATCCAGCTTCAGCAGGCCTGTCATTATCTGCCCATTGGTCCAGCTTTAGATTGCCATGAAGATGAGCAGCAAATATGGACGCAGCGTCCGTAAAAACAAGGGGGCATCACCTCTGCGGCAAGACCTCTTGCTTTTGCCTTGCTGATGTTAGAAAAATCCTCAAGCGCCTCAGCCAGGAGCTCGCTGTTCACAGTGGCAAGGTTGCCTGCGCGCACTTGATGAGCTACAGCATCCAGCCACACGTTGTAGTCAGTCTCGTATAATTCATCAGGCACCCCTTGTAAGTGGCGTTCCTCCTGCACCTGTTGAGACAACTCAGCCCACTGAGAATGCGGTCAGTAGCAAAATTTACTGGTTCAAATCAACATAATTTCCTGAGGGTAACAATCATGTAGCAGAAGAATATGAGCACCTGTGATTTGACCTCAGCATGGAGAACCCATGCACGACCTTGACGCAAAGGAAAGGTGAGATGGCAACTCAATCCTGCCACACATCCAGGAGTATCACAGCTTCGCTGCATGGACATGGACGGTGATCTTCAATGCTCAATAAAGACATACCTGACTGTATCGGCCTCGAGACGTGCAGATTTGCAGACCTCACCAGAGACGCGTAAGCGACTGTAGGCTTTAAAGGGCACCTACTCTTCAGCATTGCCTAGGCCGAGATAGTGTGCAAAACCTTACTCCGCACACCTTTAAGCCGTAAGTCTACGACTCACGAAGTTTGGCTATTAGAACCTCGGTTCCAAGACTTTGGCTGAAATGACTATTACCGCAGTCTTGTCGGATTCTGACAGGCTGACAAGACTGCGAAGCTTATAAGTGTGTCCAGTCCGCTTGAGACCACCAAGCAAGGCTCCGAAGCTCTTTGATCGGTGTTGGGCCAGCGTTTCTGGGAATAAATCTTCCGAGATTAGCTTGAAGCGTATCCTGATCACACAAACTAGGTCACACATGATCGACCCCCACCGATCGGGGGCGTTGCCTGCCAGCGGCTGGTTGTGGATGAGAGGTGCCAGGCACCAGGCAAACCATTCTCCCCTTGCATCGGTTCAGGTCGTCCTGTGAAGTCTGCTACGATGCTGCCCGCCACTACCCTTAAGCCCACCTTCTCCGGGCCCCGCCTGCCGGTCGCCAAGGCTGGTCGCACACCAGTTAGCCGTGCTGCTCTGCGTGTGCGAGCAGGCCCTTACGATGAGGAGCTCATCGCCACCGCGGTGCGCCGCCCCGGCCTCAGTATAGATCTCGATCAGCCGCTGGCTATTTGCAATTTCATCAGTAGCAGCAGGCATTTTCAGGCAGCCAGCAGGCTGCGCTTTAGGGAAAGCATGGATAGGCCTGCCAGGAATATCACCTCAGAAAGTATCTGCGCTGGTGCACTTCCAACAGTGATAAGGAGATAGGGTGGTCTGCGGATCCCAGCATGCGATCACGCTTTCTATGTCACGCAGGGGAGAAGTTTAGGGCTTGATGATAAGCTTTACAGATGTTTCTGGTGGAAAGTTACAATATTACGGTCTATTGGGCGCCTTTGCATGATGCATGCCCCGTAATATTGTTTGCAAAGTAACAGGTTCGGTGGGGATGTTTTTGTAGTGCGGTTCACGGGCACCAGGGGTGTGTTAGGGTAGATGTCGGGAGCGCCCTAGTAAACCGGTTGTGTGACGGCTGCAGAGGAAAATCGCCAGCCCCGGCAAGGGGATTCTGGCTATGGACGAGTCCAACGCCACCTGCGGCAAGCGCCTGGAATCCATCAGCCTGGAGAACACCGAGACCAACCGCCAGGCATACCGCGAGCTGCTGGTGACCGCCCCAGGCCTGGGCCAGTACATCTCCGGCGCCATCCTGTTCGAGGAGACTCTGTTCCAGAAGACCTCCACCGGCAGCACCATGGTGGACGAGCTCAACAAGCAGGGCATCGTGCCAGGTTCGTTCCTGGCAAGGCCCATCGAACACCATGCTGGCCAATCTTCATATTAAAATTTGGAAGCAAGCATGGTAGATGTGTTCTTGTCTTCGCCAGGTATTCGTTTCTGTGAAAGTTCATCAATTCCTTTGCAGCCAGGCTTTCGCACCGGGGACCTGCTGGCACTTATCAATAAGAAGCCATCGTGCTGCCTACCAGCTGCCTTGACTTCTTTGCGTGTCCCCATGTCTGTCTTCCCTCTAAACAAATCGTCTGCAGGCAACCGCACAATTCATCAAGCACACTAATCCATGCTGTGTGCGCTGTGCAGGCATCAAGGTGGACAAGGGATTGGTCCCCATGGTGAACAGCAACAACGAGTCCTGGTGCCAGGGACTTGACGGCCTTGCGCAGCGCACCGCCGAGTACTACAAGGCCGGAGCCCGCTTCGCCAAGTGGCGCGGCGTGGTCTCCATCCCTGCCGGCCCATCCATGATCGCCCTGCGCGACACCGCCTACGGCCTCGCCCGCTACGCCGCCATCGCGCAGGTGGGCATCCTTCCACTCTCATACCTCTGCAGCATGTTGTGCGCGGCTGGTGGAGGGGTCTTCTCTGATATCTCCTGTTGCGAGGCAGCCGCTGGGGATTGTGGCAGCCATTATTGTGGCTCGGGAAATCTCATGCATTCCTGGGCGCCCTTTTCCGCACTTCTTTGGTGAGAGAGCCTGTGATGCAGTATGACTGGCGATGCATCATGAGATAGCTATTTTTATGGGCAATCTGTGGCGTCGAACGCACCTACGAAATGAAGTGTTGGTTAAGTCATTTCACAAGGAGTTATGACTCGTCTTATAACACGAGATGACTGATGTGATGAGAAATGTGGCCTGTAGGCGTCTGGCTTGGTCCCCATTGTGGAGCCGGAGGTGCTGCTGGACGGAGAGCACGACATCGACGCCACCCTCGAGGTCGCCGAGGCCATCTGGGCCGAGACCTTCAAGTACCTCGCCGACAACAAGGTGCGCCTGCTCTTCTCTCCAGGTGCAAGGGTTTTGGGCAGCTTACCGCTGTGTGACTCAGTGGCTGCTCTCATCCCACGCCGACAGATGGCGTGAAAATGGCACAGGCAAAGTAGCGCAGAGTGTTCCGATATATCTGTTTCTGGATCAATCGCGCACCCTGTCTCAAATGTGTGCACGCCAAAGCACCAGTGGTAACTGTCTGAAATACTACCTTCTAGGGCTGGTGAGGTGGAGGGTTCCTGTGGACCTTGACAAGACTCTGGAATGGCGTTAGGCAGTCGCGAGTCCTCTGGGCTGTCCAAATGTCCTTCCATTGTTCTGTCCAGGTCTATCTTTTTCACCATAGGCTGTTGCCACCATCTGAGCAAGTGCTCAGCTCTGCTAGTGCGCTCTTGTTGATGCAGGGTGGCTGATGTGATGATGCCGGGTCCTTTGCATCTGGTCAAGGAATTGAGGTGGTCTTTGGGCACCTCTGAGGTGGCAGCTGTCCAACAGATGCTTGATTCATGTCCCAGGTCCATCCTCGGAACCGGGAAGTCATGCCACAACGTCACCCTCAGCACTTCGTGGCGTACTCTTGTGTGTGCCAAGTAGCTGACGAGGTTTGGTTGCCATGCGCTGCGCAGGTGCTGTTTGAGGGTATCCTGCTGAAGCCTTCCATGGTGACCCCCGGCGCAGACTCCCCAAAGCGCGAGAAGCCGGAGGTCGTTGCCGACTACACCCTCAAGCTCCTCAAGCGCCGCGTGCCCCCCGCCGTGCCAGGTGGGCCCCTATTCAAACTCCCCTTGTTTATAAAGAAGGGTGCATACATGTAGGGCTTAGATGCTGCCCGGCGTGCGTCTGTATCAGCGCTCGCAAATGTGTTGCAAAGAACACGTGATCGCTCTCGCATGTGACCATCATGCAAAGAGTTGTTGAAGCCTTCCTTGTGAGGAAAGTTTGAATCAGCCAAGAGCCGGCGGCGGAGACTGGGTGATGTATGAGCAGTGTGCATTGGCGCTTGCCCCCTCCCAAGTATACACCTGTACATGGCGTGTTGCTTGCTGGCTTGTAGGGCCTGTACAGCATATGTGGTGCTCATCGTCCCCCCTTCGGCACTGTTGTTTTTGAATGCTGTTTGTCTGTGACCGCGCAGGCATCATGTTCCTGTCTGGTGGACAGTCTGAGCTGGAGTCGACCCTCAACCTCAACGCCATGAACCAGACCCCCAACCCGTGGCATGTGTCCTTCTCCTACGCGCGCGCCCTCCAGAACTCCGTGCTCAAGACATGGAAGGTGCGGCGCAGCCATCAGCCTTGAAATTCCTTCCGTTCACAGCTCTTTGCGATCCCTGGCATTCGAAGGCTCCTGGTAAGCCCAGACTGGCGTAGCATCCTACTGGGGGTTGGCGTCAATCTACCCCCAAGGCACACATCAGTCCCAAGTCAACAATCCCAACATTGTAGATCAGTAGATTTGAAAACCACAGCAGCTGGTAGGAGTTCGGGTTACACCTGTTCAAGATCAAATACTGGATCGCCCTCGAGGGATCCACTAGAGGTCACTGTTGGGCAGAGGCAGAGGCCTCTAATGAAATGACATCCAGGCCGGCCTCTGCCTCTACCCTCGCCCCCCAGTGATTTCTGGTTGATTCCTTGACAGCGGTCCAGTACTTGATCTTGAACAGGTGTAAGATGATCTTAAGATGATCTGCGTGGCATTATTTCGTTGCTATGCCCTGAGTGAAGCACACTGTTCCTGCAAATGCTTACAACTGATTAACAATTTGATCACGATGCAGATGTGTAGGTGGGTGCTTTCTGAGAGTATCTACTGCCGCATCAAGCTGTTTCAGCTCCAGGGATTCTTATTGAGAGCCCCTGTCCTGTACCAAGTGCACCAGCGCCTAAGAGTTTCCATTGCTCCCACAGGGCCAGCCGGAGAATGTTGACGCTGCAAAGCAGGCGCTGCTGAAGCGCGCCAAGGCCAACAGCGACGCGCAGCTCGGCAAGTACGACCCCTCCACCGAGTCCTCCGACGCCGGCGAGCGCACCTTCGAGAAGGGCTACGTCTACTGAGGCGCCCCCTCCGCCGGTGACATCACCGGTGAGTCATCGCTCCTGTAACTCATCTTTACCTGAGCACCTTTCAATGGCTGTGTCTATAATGAGGCGCCCCCCCCCCGCACCGGCTGCGTGACCGCCGCCGGTGAGTCATCGCTCACCTCAGCAACTCTGCTTCTTCATGCACACAACGTGTGTGGAGTGGTGTAGAAAACATGAACGCACGACTCTGCTGTGCTGTCCCTCCAGTAAATGCAGGTTTTCATGAAATGGTGCAATGCAATCTTAAGAGCGCAGTTTGTTGAAGTCTTCTGTGCGATAAGACAATTTCTTCCAGCACAAAAATGGCTGAGATTCTTCCTGTGCTGAGGGTGGTGCCTTCGGTGGTGCCTCTTCTTTTGCTCGGCAACAAAATGGGTCTCGATGCATGTGTGCTCGTGCCTGCAGGTCCTTGTGCTTTGACAAAGCAAATCTTGCCTCTGCCTCCGGCCGCTGCCTCACTGGTGAGCGCTGTGCAGCCTGTCAGGCATATCATGCGGGCAAGAGAGGTGCAGGTTGTGTGCATGCCTGCTGGCGACAGCGACTCGCACCAAGTCATTTGGCTGAGGCATGCAGAAGGGCAGTGTATTGACCGTCAGGTCAAACATTGCAGTGGCATGTCAATATCTAGGAGAAGATGATCAAGTTGGAAACGAGGAAGGCTCTTGTCCTGGAGTGCTGAAATCCACTGCAAGCCAGGGAGCCTGTAAGGTCTCGTCCATTCTGCAAATGCTGATCTAGTTTTGGGCCGAACAACCTTATGGCAGTACTGTAGGCGAACGCATCTGAGTGTTTCTGACACGAGGCGGCTAGCACTTTGGGGTGTTGGCAAGACAGACCATAATGGCAAGTGTCATTGATAAAGGAGTTCGAGTTTTGTGGTGGGCATTTTCCTGCAGCATACCTGAGACCTGACAAGTCAGCCATGGCTTCAACTGGCGGTGCCATCTCAGACACCAAGTCTATGGTGAATACGTATTGTGATATCTAAATTGACTGGTGGAAGCCAATCTAGCTATTCTGACCAAAGCCACTTGATCCTAGAACTCTAAACAAGGGGCTCAGTGAACCGCCCCTGAAAAGGTTGTGCATCTTTGCACATGACCATCTACCTCTCAAGCATTAGCATGCACGGGCTCACAAGGTCACCTTTGTATGTTGCATGACATCGCAATCTTCCCTGACATGTGCTTGCCAAGCACATATCAGGGAAGATCACAGCATATCAAGATGCACAGCATTTAAGATGCAGTGCATCTTGAATGCTGTGAATTCTTTTGCATCACTGGCCACACTATTCTTTTCATTGTCAGTTTTCCACCTGTTGATCTCTTGCACAATTGTCTCCGGTGTGTCTAAATCAGATAACTTATAAAACCAACTGCTTGACTGCACAGGCCACATTCTCTGCTGCAAGGTCTCCCCTGATTCGCTTCAAGGTCTGCCTTGTGTAGCTGCTGAACACATCCGGCGGGACCACAAAGGACAGCTGCACTGCCCGCTCTTCGGCTCGCATTGCAAGCACAGCATTGGCCAGCAGGCCCTTTGCATTGACCTGTGGTCTCCGGACACAGTGATCTGGAACAGCTTGTCTGGCTGGACGACTGCATCGATTGCTGGCAAGTTCTTGCTCCTGCCCCAGCCGTACACGCCGCTGCCAAGCTCTGTGGTGATGTTTTGGAGGTCCCACAAATCCACAGAGCTGCTGCATGGCTGGCTCAATCTCAAAGGGGCCAGCTTTCTGCGTCTTGCAGATCCCTGCAGCTGAAGCTCCCCCCGCGCTGCAGGGCCACATGCGCATAGCGCTCCCACAGCGCTCCCCTGAAGGCTGCAACAGTGGGCTCACCCCCTGATGCTGCCAGGAAGTGGTGCACCTCGTGCCGCCTGAACTGCAGACATCTGCTGATACCTCTCCCTGCACCCAGTCTGATGCGAACACCACCGGGGGGACCAATTGGAGTGGGAAAAGATGCAAGTGGAAAAGGTAGCACAAAAGAGCACAGGAGCAAGAGATACTTCAGTGAGGAGAGTGAGGCAGTCCACATTGACCTAAAAAATTTGTTCTCGCAGGCAGAGTTCTATAAGGAGCCCGGCTTTTCTCGGCCTCCCACCAGCACAAAGCACAGCTCCCTGCACGACCGGTACATCTCCATGCGCGTCATCACACTATGGGGACTTCGACTGAGAAATCATCAAGAAAAATCCAGAAGTTTATTTAGAACAGAGTTTTCTGAGAATAAATGCAGCAAGTTCTAAGCAACGCTCTCAGAACATTCTTGATCAAGTAAGCATGCATGATGCAATACTGATGAGCACCAGTCAGCAAGGGCTGATCATTGCGATTGGCCTTTAATCTATCGAAACGTCAAGGACGAGATGCGATCTGCGTCACCAAGTTCTTCGCTGCTGGTTTGTTGCCACTTGATTGATGTCCATGGCAAAGCTTTCGCCTGTCTTGCAATACAAGCTTCATGAGATTGCAGAATCCCAGCGCTGTGCGCGTTCTGTTTCTTGGAACAGCAATACCTAAGTCATGTGCACTGTGTTTGCTTTGAATGCTAGGTACTACTGCTTCTAGAGAGTGCTGGATCATCAATTGTTGGCATTCGCACATTCCAAAGCTGTGTAGTCCTCTTCATCCCAAGCAAGCACATGCCACGTCACACAACATTTTCCGTATATAACCATTACTCCACCCCGTGTTCAATGCTGCAGCCCTGCACAATTTGTATGCACAGCATCCACATCGTCCACTGCCAACAGCCGGTCCAGAATTGCCTCGTTGATTTCAAATGCCGCATCATCCACCTGTCAGGACAGCAATCTTGCATCCAATCAAGAACTATTCAACAATTCAAGAGGCCTTCACATGCAAAGCAGGTACAGCTCATGCTATACATCCTCGTGCTACCCAGTCTAGAAGCTTGCATGTGGAAGGACCCCGTAAGCTCCATTTTGCAATGCTTGCTTGGCGTTAGACAAAGAATGCGCTTCCGTTATCCCATGGGACTACAAAAGTCAGGGGTTTCTAGGGGCTCGGAGTCTGGGGCAGCACCTCCAAGGAGGTGAGAGGGGCGAACATGAGCCCTGAGCTGTCGTGGTCCACTTTGAGGCCCAGCTCCAGAATGAAGTCCCTCACAGATGCAAACTCCTCCTGTGACGTCAGCACCTGCGCGCACATGCCGGCAGCTCCCGCTATCAGTCTTCTGAAGCTTCTGTGCCTCACTGGTGCGTCAGGGACTCTGCTTGGCCTATGAACTATAGCGCCCAATCCTTCTCTGCATAATGAAGACCTTTGCAGACGGGCAAGGACGCGCCTCACATCAACCATGCGGGCAGAGCAAGCTTCTTTGTATGTGCAAGGAATATGTTACACTCATCATGTCTGACATCTGGTGATGCACACATACCTTATATCCCTCGACAGTCCCTTCCTCACCCTCGGCAGGCACCACATCATCTGCCCCCGCTTCCATAGCAGCATTCATGACCTGCCATAAAGAGAAAGAAAGCTATTTAGAGCGTGCTTTCGTTATTTTACTGCTCCTTGACCAACACTGAACGCCTGTCTTCGCATAGTGCAAAGTCTATTTTTGCTGGAGCAACAAAGTCAATCATACCATCCGTTCAGTAATCCGTGAATCTCAGTGCAAAAAGACTCCTACAGTTTGACTCCTGCTTGCTGCAAAGCTGCAGCTCATGGCAGAACGTCACCTCCTCTTCAGAGCTGCCTGTCACAAGCACCACCCCACAGCGCTGGAAGTTGAACAGCACCGATCCGCTGTCGGCCATTTTACCGCCGGCTTTGACTATCGCCGTGCGCACATCTGTTGCCGATCGGTTGACGTTGTCTGTCAGGCACTCCGCTATGAAGCCCGTACCTCCAGCCCCGTAAGCCTCGTAAGTCACCTGCGCGCATGCTGCAAGTGTCAAAGAGCAGCCCTGATTACAATCTTGAACGCCCATGAGGCAGGTACATGAAGTCATAGCTTGAGGGGTGCATATACATTCCAGTACAGCCCTATGCAGGTCGTAGCTTGAGAGGTGACATCACAAGCAGTGAACACCTACTTGAGGGCTGCCTAACATCTCAGATAATGTTATGGAGAGGTTTGTCTTTTCCGCTGCATTGCAAAGAAGCATGCCACGACCACGCACACTTCACAAAAGCTCTATCGAGTGGTCGTTTTCAGCGTTTAAAATCTTGGAGTAGGCGGTGCACAAAATATCATGCACACACAGAACAACGTTCCAAGGCAGCCCCTCAGCAACCAAAGGAGCATCCATTCTGTGGCGTACCTCCTGAAAGTCTGATTGGTTCTTCTCAGTTGCCTTCTTGAGGTTTCTGTCAATGATGTCCTTCGGCACCTCAACGGCTTTGCACGCCTTTATGATTTCGGCCAGCTTTGCATTTCCTGCCGGGTCTGCCCCGCCTGCTTTTGCTGCCTGCACTATCTTCTTGGCCAGCGTGCCCCATACCTTGGCCTTCTTAGCATCCTGAGCCCCCTGCACAGCAAATGCAAACAAAATCTGTCAAGCACAAGCTGTCGTGCATTCTTTTGGGCTCATGCCGAGTCCTGACAGCCCCGTGATCCACAGGCTGGAGTTCCTGATATGCTCTGCACTGTGTGTGATTAGCAGGGAACGTGGTGCCAGCAGCAATTGGCACCATCTTGGCTTCAAGAGCATTTCATAGCACCAGAACCATGCCATCCGATGCAAGGTAGTTGCAGCAGATATCGATGTTGAGAAGCATGTGCGATGCAACAAGGGTGCACCTTTCTTCCGGCAATTTTGGCGGAGCGCCGTCCCATGCAGACAGGCGGCATCAACCGGAAGCCCCTGCGCTGCATGCTGTGCGCGCTGCGCATTAGCTCGGCGCAGCTGCCAAGCAGCAGCTGCTGCGGCTTCCTCGAGGGCGCTAGCGCCTGGGAGCATGGGCCTTTAGCGCCATGCTGTCGGCAGCTGCTGGCGCCTCCTGCTGAGCGATTCATCGCATGTCGTGACGTCTGGATGCTGCAGGGAGACATAGATGCACCAAAGGGGCGGCAGCTGTGTGCTGTCAGTCGCAGGACATGCTGCCTGAGCAGCATGGTGCGGTGCCTGGGCATACGCAAAGGAGTGTCAGTTAGATGAGACTTCCTGCTTGACCTCATCTCAGATCATGCAAATAGAGCTGTAGCCTTGCTTATAGTCTAATAGATCGGTGCAATCAAATAATGTATGTTTCGTATCACAGATCATCCAGATCGGGGGAGCACCCACCAAGTACAGGACAGAGTCCGGCACGCCTTTTCAATTTACCAATTTTCAAAATACTTGTTTGTATAGCTTGCGAGGTGTCAGAAATAGGTTGTAAGCTTTGTTCGTCACACTGGCTGGGACTGCTTTCAGTGTTTATGAAACAAAGTCACAGCAAAATCCCAAGTTCACGCGTGCTATTATGTTCGCAAATAATTGTGTCGTAGATTTTGGCAGTGCAAAAGTAATGGTGTACACCACATTTGACGCGGATTGGTTCCGTCATCTCTATTCTTGTTCAGCGGCGGCCGCAGCTCCAGCCAGGTGCGCCACGACACACCCAAAATGTCATCAAACGTGTAGAGGACGTGAGGTGACTGGCTTTCAACTTTGGTTAAATACTCTACTGTCCGTGTTCAAGCTGAAGTGATTCGTCGCTGGCTACTCGTCAGGACATCGGCCATGCCGACTTCCGATGGGCATTGGATGAGGTCTCATTGTCTTACACCTAGCCATCAATGCAGTCTATGATTCCTTATCTCCAAGAGTAGGAATCTGGGGCCAATCACTATCGTGGGCCATCCACCACGATGTTGGTGCACTGCGGCATGTGCAGCAGCAGCAGCGTTGCAGGCTTTGTGAAATGCACCAGGCTGTGCGGTGCCCTAGAACTATGCTTTAAAAATAAGAACTGCCGGAATTCTCCACAGAGGAGGTAATGTCTGGCACAAGTTGCCTTGAAGACCCTGCCAGAACAGATGCTTCCCTGTGACCAAAGAAGTAGAGACACATACTCAACCAGGCTCTGCCGCACGTCGATCTTTCAACAATATCACATGTCCTGCAGAAAATCCTCAGCATACTGCAAGGCGAGTGCGCGTACTCTGGATGAAGCTGCCACAACAGGCGCCTTGGGCCCAGAGAGCCAGCAGCGCTCGCGCTCACACAAAACAGAAGTCGTGATCATTGGCAGCGGCCTTGGCGGCCTCTGCTGCGCAGCCATGCTGGCAAAATATGGCGTGAAGGTGCCTCGCTCACTTCTTTCTAATTGTGTCACTCTGCTTGAGGAGTTTCAGACTGACCTCGTCATTGTGAATCCACGAAAACTTTGCCGCCTTTGAATCTTGAACCCACGCCACATGCAGCCTGATCAGCTGAAGGTCGCTGTGACAAAGTTCCATGTGTGGCTGCATTGCCATGCAACGCATCGCACCCTTACCTAAGAAGCAAATCTACTCAACAAGCCTTGTGCAGGAACAGATCTGCAAGCATTGAAGTGGACTCCATGCTCCCTGCAAGAGGGGAGCCTGCTCGCATGCCACACAGCTTCATCAGCCATTATGCTTGCATGCAGGTGACGGTGTGTGAGAGCCACAGTATTCCGGGAGGCGCGGCGCATGCATGGGTGCAGGACGGGTACCATTTTGAGTCTGGTCCAAGCCTCTACTCCGGCATGGCGGCAAGGTACTGCAGGCGCATCTCACCGCAGTTTCTATGCTGATGCCTGCAATATACCTGTCCAGCAAGCTGGGCGCTGCGGCAGTATTGGATTTGCTGGGAGGTTGCAAGCAGTGCCACCCTCTTGGCATGTCAACCACCTGCACTTCTCTGGCACTCCAAGATGTGCGCAGCGCTCTGCTTGCTTGGGACTAAGGTTGTGGATGTTTCATTGCGCTCTGGCCCTTGGGGTTTCAAGCCTGTGATTCGAGCATTGTGGGGAAAAAGGGTGTCGTGCCAGGTTTTGGCTGAGGCAATGCTGGCCTGATCTGGCGCGCAGGGGGCGCGCAGCGAATCCTATCGCGCACGTGCTGCAGGCCATAGATGAGCCGCTGGATTTGCTAACCTACAACAAATGGAACGTTCTCCTGCCTGAGGGAGACTTCATGACGAAGGTTGGCGGCTCCGAGTTTGAGGACGTGCTGCAGCAAGTCAGTCCGAGCGCCATCCCAGAGTGGCGGGTACGCCCCCTGATTCCGCCTCCTTTTTCCTTGAATTTGGATTCGTGCTGTCAAACTGCAAGGGATTCTTTCAAAAGTTCCAAGCAGCACCATGCTGACACCATGCATGCATCATCACTTAAGAGACCAACTCTGACTCGGAGCCTCTGAGGGCACCAGTCACAGGATGACAGCATATACGGATCCCACGGGGATTTTATTTGTACGTAAAACACACATGCGCCAGGGACCCCTGGCCTTGGGGTTGATATTGAAAATGCTGGCGCCTCATCAGGAGTTGCAGAGGGTGATGAAGCCGCTGGCGGCCGCCGCGACGGCGCTACCGCCAGCGGCGCTGCGCGCGGACCCGGCCGTGGCCGTCACAATTGCGCGCTACCTGCCACAATTATTGCAGGTACCGCCATGCTTCGGACAATGTAATACTCAAACAGTCAAATGTTTTGGCCGTAACTTAGAGTAATATGCATATTCCCTGGCAGCCAGCGTCAGATACTTTACTGCCTTTGCGCGCTGCCTGCCGCAGCTGCTGCAGTTGCCATGACCTTCTTTACTTGTCTTTGCTCACTAGCTGTGAATTCTAGCTGTGATTGACAGTAGTAAGCTTCCATTCTTGAGCTGACAGTGTTGACTTAGCCCTTGCTTGCAGGCAAGTGCCCGCTCTGGCAGTGGGCAACATCTGTTGTTGAACAGCGAGCCTGATTGGTGCAGGGAGGCGGGGATATCAGGCGGCTGGTGGGGCCCTTCAGTGACATTGTAGATGGAGTTGTGAAGGACAAGTTTGTGCGCAACTGGCTGGACCTGCTATCCTTCCTCCTCTCAGGCAAGCGCCTCCGACCCAATTCAAAAAAGTCAACTTCTGTAGCTTCATACATAAGAATAATGGCACCCACGGCTGTGTCCCAATTTTTGGAGTTGCATTGGATTTCGGTTTCATAGCAGCATGGGCACTCTTGATGTTCACAATCGTCAGCTGCCAAACCAATGCAGCAATGTTGCATGAGACATGTCATTTAAGCAACACTCTCTGGCTCCTATGGACCTGGCAAAATGTTTTATGTGCCGCAATGCAGGTCTGCCAGCGGATGGCACCATAGCAGCTGAGGTGGCATTCATGTTCAACGAGTGGTACCAGCCGAACGCATGCCTTGAATTTCCCCGCGGCGGCAGCCAAGCTATCGTACAGGCGCTCATCAGGTGCTCACACAGTTGCAACCTGAGTTCTCCTTTCAGTTCTTCTCGTCAAAAATGACCTTTCTTGCAATGTGTTGACCCGAAATCATATTGGTCCAAGTTTTTTGCGAGCTTCAAGACTACTTAACACTGGGATAAGCATTTGGGCGATTTGTATTGAAGAGCTTTGCTCTGATATCGTTCTCTACAGCAATCAAGGTCTATTCCTACAGAAGTTCTCAGAACAACAAAGGGGTCTGTATGCCGAGTGCATGGAAAGGATGCAGATCTCCAAACCCAAGCCATCCCAAAGTTTTCCGGCGGTCTGTTCGGCAGAAGACACACCTCTAATGCCTTGGGGAAGGCATGCTACACTCCAGACTTACTGGCTGAGTGATGACTGCTGTTTTCTGTTGTCAGGGCAGGGGCATAAAGAAGCGGGGAGGCCGGGTAATGTTGAGCGCGCATGTGGATCAGATCATTCTAGAGGGTGGGCGTGCCAAGGGGGTTAGCCTCCGGGGCGGCAGCCGCGTGCTGGCTTCCAAGGCTGTTGTTTCAAATGCCTCTCTCTGGGATACCCAGAGTCTTCTGCCCGCCTCTGCTGTCACTCCGCAGATGCTCCAAAATGCAGCGGTGAGCTCTTTATTGTTCAACTCAAACTTCCAAAATAACCAATCCAATTAAACACGACATATATGTGAGATTGGCCCAGGTCTTTTTCTTGTATGGATATCAGACTCTGCAACCTCTGCCTTTGTCTATCGTGGCTGCCTTAACCACCACATATGCATGCAAAGCAATGTCCCTGTTGCATTTTGGCTTAGCATGATCATCATGCACTTGTGTGATGCTTAGAACATTGGGAAGTGTTTGTAGATGTTGTGTGTGACTGATGGAAAGCTGCAGGTCTGATGTGTGCAGCTAGAAAGTGGCTGGATTGACGCTGTCCACTGCTTGCAGGAGATCCCTTTGAACCGCAGCTTCATGCACCTTCACCTAGGGTTTGATGCAAGGGGATTGGAGGGTTTGGAGATGCACCACATCGTGGTCAACAGCTGGGAGGGCGGCGTCGACACAGAACAGGCAAGCCTCAAATTCAAAATGAATTGAACATTTTTGCTGCGATCCGAGTCTCTCAGTGTGGCGTGCGATCTCGAGGGCGCCTTTTCTGACAACCCCTTCTGATATGCCCTGCAGCCTGGGCAGGTACAGGAAAGGGGGACCAATCAACTTTTGTATTTAAATCCCTATTCATATCTCAATCTCTAAACCCCAACCCCATATGTTTCAAATACAAACAGTTGCATGTAAACCTCTGGCCTTGGTTTGATTAGGAGCGTATCCAGAGCAGATTTCTGGCAGGATGCATTCAAATGGCCTGCGCCGGTGACTTACATTCTTCTGTATGCAGAATGTTGTGCTTATTTCGATTCCCTCGGTGATGGATGCTGACCTGGCGCCAGCTGGCAAGCACACGCTTCACGCCTACCTGCCTGCCACAGAACCGTTTGCCCTCTGGAGTGGTGAGTCAACCCCTCAGGCGTGCCACTTGGCTTGTCCTTTTCTTGGTAAGAACGTGGATGTTTGGCAATGCTGAAACTGCACCATGGCAGAGCAAGTGTGGCTCTTGTGACTGTCCAAAATGAGAAAACAGCGTGTTTTCTTGCTGTCTTGCACGCTTGCAAAGCGCCTAGCTTGAAGTTTTGCCCATCTGCAAGGGCGCCAGAGAATCCTTAAGAGGGGCTGCTGTGATTCCTGTTTGCAGGGCTGGAGAGAGGCAGCCCCGAGTATGAGGCGCAGAAGCAGGAGCGGTCGCAGGTGCTGTGGAAGGCTGTGGAGAGGATCATTCCCGACATCAGACAGCGCACAGAGATCGAGATGGTGCGCTTGCTCTTCCATCCTGATGCTCATGGCCACATTCTAAACAAGAAGAATTGAAGGCATTGAAGCAGTGCGAGCCCCAGAGACAAGAGGAAGGGTTGCTTGGCGAGCGCCAGAGATAAGAGTAAGGGCTGCTTGGCGATTGAAAATCATGCAGCAACAAGAGAGCGACACACTTCTGTGACAGAAAACATCTCTGTTCACATGCTTGCCACATCGGTGTTCACTATTGGTACCTGACTGAGTGACTCCTAAGTTTTTACAGCATGCTCAAGCTCCTGCTCTTCAAGTTCCTGAGCTGCAGCAGTCTCTGGAGGGTGCATAACCAAAAGCCGCATGAAGTGAAGAAGTCCTTCGTTTTGGCTGCAGGTTGGAACGCCCCTGACCCACAGGCACTTCCTCAGGAGGCACAATGGAACGTATGGCCCCGCCATCAAGGCAGGCCAGGGAACTTTCCCAGGGCCAACCACTCCCATACCAGGTCAGACCCACCGATTAGTAACAACCGGCATGTGCGCGCAGGTGCTGGCACGCAACAACATAGACTGGCTCGTATGCTTGCTGCCCAGAACAGTACCTCGTGCCTAGAAGAAAGCCATCTCCTTACTGACCTAGCACGAGCTGACGTGTATCAGATCTGGAACATCAATGTCACAGTCCTTGAGGACTGGAAAACGTGTTATAATAATGGTAATAATAATGATAATCATAATGAAATCATTGTTTTCTCTGCGAGAATGAGCCATTCAGAGTATGCAAAAAAGGTTGCAGAAGGACCAGACGTCTGTATTGTGGGCGATCAACTGCAGTGGAAAATCATGTTGCATTGGATGTCAGACGTTGGGCATCGTAAAATCAAAGGTTTGCAACGCATGAAATCTAATTTATTGAATTGTCTGCAGGCCTGCTGTGCTGTGGCGACTCCACGTTCCCAGGCATCGGCGTGCCAGCTGTGGCTGCCAGCGGTGCAATTGTGGCAAACACCCTTGTGCCTGTTTGGGATCATTGGAAGCTTCTGGACAGGATTGGCACCTAGGTAGTTTCATTGTATAGCATTGGCAAGCCCGTGGGCATCAACTCAATTGGTGACATGGCAGATGTGGAATTTGGATACAATATATTGTATCTGCAAATTTCTTATTTTTGCCCTTTGTGTAAAAGGTTTACAAACATGCAGAGTATGAGATAATACCATGCATTGCTCTCCGTAGCTGCCCTGAAGCTCCAGCCAGGGGAGGAGGGAACTCCGATTAGTCGAACGACCCACTGTTTTGCAATACAGTGCCAGATAGTTGTGCTTGCGCAGCTTCAAATGTCCGTGGCATTACAATTGCATGTGCCCCTAATCACCTGCCTTTGTATCTGCTTGTTTGTGTATAGCGTGTATGATTGGGCATTTTTGCCAGAGCTTTTCATTGCGCGGCTGAGCTTTCCAATATATATCACGTTTGACTGTTGAGTGTGTATTTAAGCATTCGCACATTTGTTGGTCACCGCTGAATCAAATGTGGTGCAGACAACACCACATAACTTCGCACTAAAAACATCAGTCTAAAATAGGCCTGACTCTGTGTACCAATCCTTGGCGCCAGCAGCCATGAAAGCCTGGTATGATGAATAGCGGGGGGTCCACTGCAAGGCCCCTCGTGTGGTGCTGGCGTTTAACAGTTTCCCCTTGTTGCTGCTTTCGTTCCCCGTGAATTCCACGCTCCCCTCATACGCCCCTGAGGCTATGGTTGCATCCATCATCTCCTGCACACATTCACCAAATGGCAATGTCAAGCCTTACAGATTGCACACAGCTGAGATACCATCACATAGGCCAAACTAGAATGCATGTATGCAATATGATGGGAAGTGCTCCTGGGCCAGAAGATGTATCTTTTGTCCTCTGCACTCTGGATACACCTCAAGGCAGCCCTTTCGCCTACTTTGGCGCTTGCAATGCCTTCAAGTCTTGCATTCTCCCTTCTCTTTAAGGGGCACCCCAAACACATGCCCTCCAGACATGCCAGGTCATGGCTGTGCGATGCTTGCAAAGTATTACTACTAATACAGGCTTTTCCTGCCGAAGGCAAGGTGCGTATGCAGACAAGCTGCATGGAAAGGCTGTACGCCTTTTTGGAATCGCCAGATCCAAGCAAGACCTAATCAACCATGGGCACGGTGCTCAGTCTTTGTACCGCCCAGCCGGGGCTAAGTATGCACACCGTAAGTATGGTACAAAGAGCTGTGAGCAGCATAGCATGCGCCTGTGCTTGACTGTGGTCTGTAAGGTACGAGCAAAACAAAAACATACCTGAAAGGTCAGAGGCACCCCATCCGCGCCCAAAAACACCCTTCCTCTATAGAACTCACTCGCTCCGTCGCCCCTCAAAATCTGCAGCCAAATCAAGCATCCATGATTACATTGAGCTCTGATTCCATCTCAATCTCTCACCTCTGGTTTTCAGGCATTCTGCAGGATAGAGCAGGATGCCTGCATTGCATGCAAAGCCTGCACAGCTTCATCAGAAACACAAGGGGATCATGAAGACGACAGGAGAAAGAACGTCTTTGCAAGCCAATTGAGAATGCATGCATATTCAGGGTTGAAGGATATGTAAAAACAGGAACATAGGGTACCAACAAATAGAAAATAGTGCGAGGAGCCTGATCAGGACGCGCACCGCAGCCGCCAGCTCAGCGGCGTCCTCATAGTGGATGAGGTTGACCGTGTAGCCTGCCCACCTTCCGACCTTGGCCATCTTCAGGAAGAAGGTGTGCGCCCCCCTCTGCAGCAGACAAGCACCAGAAGAATATATTAACCTATCTGAGCAACAACACCATGCTGAAGGCGCCTCGATGGGCACATTCTCAGTGCCGCAGAACATTAATGACTGGCAGTGGCTTGCATGTAGCACCGCCCACATGTCATTGATGCCGTGCAGGTACTGCTAAGTAATGCAATGCAGGTACTGCTTATTTTAAGGCGCAGATTAAATGCTCGGAGCAGTCGAGCACAAAACCGTCTTTTCATTCTTTATCTTTCCTTGATTAACCTGCGTCAGAAAAATCATTTGCTGACCGGGAGAAGGTTTAGAAACCTTGACGAAGGCTCCCAAACAAAACAGTCTTTCAATGCTGCATCTTTGTTGCTTTGGAAAGCTCCCACCTGTGCATGGTAGAGTCCGGCCAGCCTCACAACGCAGCCTCCTGCGTCTAACACAGCCTCCTCCACCAAGATTTGTCTGGTCACACCACAAGGTTCTTGAGAAATATCCGCTTGTCTCAGTGCCTTGGGGCAGCAGATCACCACCACAGTGACTGCAGCCACAACACAAGATTTTGCAGATTTGTCCTGTCCAGAGAAAGAAAACAATGGCTGGAGCTCTGATCTTGTTGCCTTGATTTGCAGTGCTTGCTGCAGCAGCCACCTACAGGCCTTCCCAAAGAAAGGAGCAGATAAATCCCCTTGCTTCAGAGAGGGGTATCTAGCCCCGCCAAAAAGGCCCCGCAGACGTGGCTGCAGATGCCTTTCGTGTATGCCCTATGGCCCTTGGCTTTGGGTTCGCTGACCTGCAATGATAATAATCCAGCGCAGGCTGATTACCTGTCGGTGCGGTCGTCCTTGCCGAGTTGCGCAGTGGCGGAGCACTCGTTAACTTCTGAGCCGTCCTCCGTCGCGTAGATACCCGCGCTCCCCGTGTACAAAAACGTCCCCACCCCGTCCCACAGCTGCAGCGCAGCCTTCACCTGCATCGCATGACTCTTTTGAATACCTGCATTGTTCTCTTAAAGTGCCTGGCCAGGAGACGGCCTTGCGAGGCATGACAAGGCCGTCTTTGCGACGGGTGGCAAGTCTCCAATTACTGAGCCACAGCTGCTTGGTCTATCACGTTACCGTTTCTGCCTCAAAATGTAGAGCAAACCTGATCACAACGCCAAGGGGCTTGCATGGCCTGCCCTTCAAAAATTGCGATTGCACCCTGCTTGCCCTAAAAGAGAAGTGTCAGCAAAAATGTCGCTGCGGATAGAGATTTGAACCGGGGATCTGTGCTGGTGGCGCACCTCAGAGACGTAATCCGCGCTGCCGGAGGGCGGCGCAGAAAACACAACGAAGGGGAAGCGCTCGCTCCCTGCTGCGTCCTTTGTCCGCGGTGCAATGTTGAGCTTCCGCAGCCTGCACCAATGTTTTTATGCATCTCTTACATACAGTACAGGCAAGCAAGCCGATCGGCCCTGATGGCTGATTGATGGCGCAAAGGTTTAAAATGGCGATCTTGGGTGTGCAGTGGATGACCCATCACCCGAGAGACAGGGTACATACTAGAAGGTGGAGCTCAGATAAATGCTGCACAGTGCTCTCGAGTCCCATGTTGATAGTACAAATATCCTTGTTGCTCGCACCTGTCATGGCTGGTGTCTGAGTTTGTCTGGCCCACAACTTTTGCTGAGGGGAAGCGCTCCATCCAGACCTTGCCCAGATAGGACCCCAGCACTCCTGGCCCTGCCAGCATGCAGAGCACGCCTCAAATCGTGCCCCTTGTCAAACAAGCTACAGTGGTTTTGCTAAGGACCTGGCTAACAGCAATCATGGCACAACTCTGGCAAACCAAGCCCCTTGCATGCACTGTAGCAAGGACTAAAGAAGGAGCACTGCAAATCGTCCCCCTAAGCGAGGAGACACCGTAGCACTGGCGCTTGGCATGCAAACGTCACAGTGGTTCAAAATGGGTGGTTGCTCACCAACGATGAGCAGGTCTTTGGAGCCTTGCGTGACATCTGCAGCGCTCGTGCTGGCTTGGCAGACCATGCTGCGCCTTCGCCTGTGGCCCGTAGCTGCTGACTGCGTGCAGGAGAGCCCTGCTGTGTTGCTGCCTTGAGTTTTGCACTGAGCTCCTGCCCTTCTCACTGACGAGGTGGGCTGCGATCGCTGCTGGAAATGTTTATTGGGAAACCTGTGAGTGATGTCATTTTTTAGACTCTGACAGGGAGTATATATTTAGGAGAGGCCCTCTCATGGTCAGATCACGATGTGTGATCTCTGGATGAAAACTCAACGCACCAATGGAAAGATGCCGAGCAAGTGTCCGCGGATGGTATAGCTTGCAGCATTCCAGGTAATTTTCAATGATCAAGAGGACATCAACAGCAGGCTACCAAATCACGCAGAGACGTCGTCGGCACAGCTCACTCCAAGACTTCAAATCTCAACGAAGTAAATTCTACAGGCAACAGGAAATCTTTGCATTTACTTTTGCGTGTTTCAAATAGTGAAATGACACGTGCAATCCCTATCCACCGGGCTAAAGTTCTCCTTCGGCTATCCGCTTTATTCGTAATCGCCACGTGGGAATTTCCATGCGTATCTTTTCCGGATCCGAGGGCTTCGAGGGATGAAGAGGAGGTGAAAACTCATGATCCCTCATTCTCCAAGGTTCATGTCGAAAGGACGGTCCTTTCCGAGACTCTGTAAAGGCTAGGTGCATTTGTGCAGAAGAATAGAGGGATCAGCGCCCTGCGCGGGCGTCTTGAATAAAGCTCACCTTGGTATGGCACAAAGCGGACAAGGAAGTGCGATCGCAGCATGGGCAGTTTACGCAGAGTTTACGTCTTTCAACAAGTGTTCAAGGGAACTCTACTGACGAGGTAGCCTGCATTCAACTAGACGAAAATTTCCTCTGCTTTTCTGTTCAGAATCCTGCTCAGCTTCTCTGGGAGGGCGGGTTTACCTCATCCTCTGTGCATGCTAATTTTTGGAAGCGTGGTATTAGATACACTTGATGTGACATATTACGCAGCTTATTTGGGGTTGCCCACTTCTCTGCTGGCACACGTGGACCAATGGGATCATTCTGTCTATTGGAGGCTCCTGTGCCTAGGATCGTTTGCAGAGTGCCTGATGAATGTCCTGCCTCTAATGAGCACTTACAATAATCGCAAATGCATCCTGCATGTGCTGCCCTCTTGTCCAAGGAAAGGGTACTTGTTCTCCAACACCCATCCTTCTCTCCCGGACATCCGAAGTCAACAGCAGCCATCCATGGTTTGTTTCCAAGGGGGCCCCCTGTGTCTTGACTGCAGGTCCAAGAGTGAAGCCAACAGACCGTGAAAGCTTGGTAGTCTGGAGGAGAGCCTAGAAAGTTCAGATGTCCTGTGGGGTGCCTTTGCTCCCACCGATACAGCCTGGTTAGCACGGCATTCCACTCCGTTGACAGCAGCCAATATGGCTAGCAGTTGAAAGCCATTTCAAACAAGCAATTGGGGGCATTTGCCACTGGCGTTCTCAAGAGACAGACGGGAGAAAGACAGGCACTTGCAGAACAAGCAGGAAGGCGCATCACAGCAATAAGCGAAAGCAGCAGCCGTCACAGAGCAGTGGGAATCTCATTGCGGAAAAGGCCAACATTTGGAGCCCAAGAATAAGCGCGGCCTTGAAGCAAGGGAGCTCAGCCTTGAAACGACAGCAATTAGTACAGGCACCAGCAGCAGGCAATATGCCGCTCAAAGGGGCGCGCGGGGGCAGTGCAGCGCGCGCTGCCGCCCTATGCTTGTGCCTCCTCGGCTCATGTATTGCACAGCCTGGAGGTGAGACCCTCTTTGCAGCTGGCAGGCTGCCATATAGCCTATTTGATCCCGTTTTCGACCAGAAAGGGAGAAACGGAAATCAAGAATTGCGCATTCTGCAAGTCCTGCAGCCATGCATACATTGCGAGCTGTTTGACTGCAGAGGAAAGAGCGAGGCCTGTCTACATGCAGTCCTTGCCTTCCTGCCCTTGTTGGGCTCATCTCATAGTGCTGGTCCAGATGTGTCATAAAAGGGGTTACCAAATTGCCAGGCCGCTTCAGGCATGACTGCATGAACGCGGCTGCACCAAGCCAACTTTGCTTCCTTTGTTAAAACATGCGAAATTTGTGATATGAAGATGGGCAGTAACAGACTGCCGACAAGACCAATGAGCCTCAGGTGGCTGCCAAGAGTTCTCTAGAATGTAATATAACAACAACAATAATATGAACTCTGATGTCCCCGTTACGGATCCGCAGGCCTCCCTCCGCGTCCTTCTACGGTGCTGACACCGGCGCCGCTGCTGCTGGCGTCGCCGGATGACTGGATCGGGCTGACTCAGCCGGGCACGGGGCAGCCCGTCAACGCGGAGCAAACGCGCGTGCCTCCGGGCGCCACCGAGATTGAGCTGCAGGTGCGTGCATGCGACGACACATGTTATCTCTTGTGGTGAGATTTAGTCTGCACTTCCCTGCATTTCTACCACACAAAGTTGCTTGCCAAGCTCCTGTTGTCACATGCCATACATAGGGACAGGCTTTTTGTGTGCTCGTAGCACATTTACGATGCCCAGTCTTTGTCGAGCTGTACTGCGCTCGGCAGCGCCGCTGCGGGACTGCAGTACGCAGCTACCCTCACGTGCCCGGCCTTCTCATCATGATTGCTCGGCAGTCGATGCAACCCGCTCTTTGTTTGAGCTCTCTGGCAAAGCCACATTGTGGTCCTGGCAACAGAAGAGCCACACCAAGGGGTGTTTTGTGCCCAATTGGTGGAAATTTATGTGGTAAAACACTTGATAGACCAGACCATGACAATAGTTTGCATGCTTGCGCCTCGCAGTTGACAGGCCCAGAGGCGGTGGCGACGGATGACACAGTGGATCTGATGCGGTCAACCCTGGCAGAGGTGCTACCAGTGACGTACCAGGGGATCAACCCAGTCGCATACAAAAACGTGACCAGCTGTCCGGAATTGCCCGGGGAGGGCAGCCCGTCCGGCGCCCCTGCACCCAGCGGCGGCCGCCGGCTTCTCGCTGACTTCCCGGTGCGCATTTTTACATTTGATTGCGACAGTCCCTGGCATGTTGAACCTGTGAGTGAGCGCTAGGTGGGAGCTTGCAGCAGACCGGTCTTGCACTGGGGCAGTGAAGTTATTGCTTAAGACACGCAAGCTGCAAGTTGCGAGCAATATGGTGCACTACCTGCAACTCCGCTCCGCGCAAAGGATGGGGCAAAACAAATATGTTCCAGTTGGGTGCAACCTCTTAGGGAGATACACTCATGGACAGGACAATCATGCGCTCTGATGCAGGGCAAAGGGTGCTTACTTTTGCAACGCTGCTTGCTGCTTAGACGTCGTGTGATACATCACTCCACCTGCAGGGGTTGTTAATAACGGATTTATCATGCCGGCAGGTGCCGAGGCGCGCGCTGCGAGCGGAGCCGGCCTACGCGCCGCCGCCGGAGTCGGCCTGCGACCCGAAGATGCGCGCCGTTTTCCTGCTGACATTTCCCCCGGACATCAATGGCACGCAGGGCCAGGCGCTCATCAGGTGTGCATTCCCACCTGCTCTCAAGCTGACTGAGGCAGACATCAGAGCCCTCACAAGGGCAGGCCCTCACAGGCCTTACACGGGCAAAATGGATGGTTGTTAAGCAACTCCTTGGGGGAATTTGCAAAGACATCTATTGATCGCCTCCCCGCTCTTCCACCAAACATGAACTGAAGTCTGAGCTTCAGAACCAATTCTTCAGTAGCAAGTTTTCAGTCGAGCCGGGCGTGGCCACTTTGCTGGAGGGACCTTTGGAGAGCGGAGGCCTATCTGAGCAATGCCCTGCATTGATCTGTTTCTGAGGATGAGGGAGTAGCCAATACTGGGGGACTCTCCTTCAAGGAGGTTTAGCTGGAACCAGCTACAATGCCTGCCCCTGACCAGGAGCAACATGCCGCCAGGATGCAGACAGATGCTGGCCCTTCTGCCGTCACATGCATACTGCTCTGTTTCAGGATTGGCATGCATATTTCTCATTGTTGCTGTTCTGCAGGGACGTCGTGCACACCGGGGTGTATGCTGCGCGGCTCAAGCGGCGGAAGCTGGACATAGACAGAGTGGAGCTGCTGGCTTCCATGCGCGGTGACTCACCCGGCGACGCTTACACCGCCGCCGTCGCGCCCCCAGGTGACTGATGCCGGCAACGGGGCTCTCTGTATCTGACATGTGAGATCTTGCGACGTGGCGGAGAATTGATTGAAGGAAGTTTGTCAGGCAGCCGGATGGTCAGATGTCTGCTGCCCCTACATTGAAGGGGAAAAATCTCCTGGTGGCAACCAGCAAGAGCTTACATGGCCGAGTTGTGCACGCACACCAGTAATATTCTGGTGGTAATGCTTAGAAATTGCGAGGTCCAAGACCTTAATTCAGTCGTGCTTGCACCCATACCGCCAAGTCACTTGTCCTTTCCTGCTGATGTGTCCATTTCACAACCCGCATCCAGTCCCCATTGTTCATAAGCCGGCTCCAGCCAACCCCGTTTGCTTGCACAGGTGAGGACGCGCTGAAGAGCGAAGTTGTGAACTTGGCGCCTGCACCGGCCTTTGATCCAGCGGCGATGGCGAAATCACTTCCCAACGGCACGCAGACCAACGTGTATTTCACCCTCGTCCTCACCGGCTACGATGCAGTGGTGCGCGATTGCCCTCTGTTGACTGTACATGATGTTAATTTTTTGGATTTGATACAAATGGTCAGAGAATATGTATCCTACTTGAGCGTCTTTTTTTGTCTCACGTTGTGCTCGGTTCCTGCATGCTTCGCAAAAGAAAGCCATGCATGCAATGCACCAAGGGTTAGGTGGCCGGGACAAAGGGTACATCTTGATGTGGTCATCTGAGGCGCCAGTGCTGGAAGTATGAATCCTTTGTGAGCGCTGCAATTCCACGGTGCTTTAATGTGCTGTCAAGACTTGTGCACAGTCTGTCGTGGGACTTAGTAGTGCGTGCTGCGGGTGGGCAGGACACAAACGGTAACTTCCTGCTGGCTCTAACGCGGCTGCTGACGGATACTCTCAACACGGGGGACGTGGATTACCTCACCCCGGAGAACACTGCCGTCACCGACGTTTCAAATTTGAAACCGCTGGCGCTGCCGAGCGGCACCGGCCGCCGGCGGCTGCTGTCGGATTCGGGAGCGGCCGACGCGGCTGTGACTAGAAGAGGGCACCCCAAGATTGTGGGGGGATCCCGAGGTGAGGCACCTGCGCTTTCCAGGGTTCGCGGCAGAGACTGCCGGTCCTAATTATCGGCAATCGGGGGATCCTGAGGAAGGGCAATTGTCCATGCCAGGTTTGGCAGCAGAGTTTGCATGAAGCAGCAGTCTCAGATTAAAGCGAATTGATGGATTGGATGTTGCATGGGTCCCAATGTGAGGCGGAAGTGCCTCCCGAAAGATTTTGAACCCATTTGTGATTGCCAGGACGTCTGGCACTCGGCAGTAGTGTCTGTCTGTGAAAAATATCACAAGTAGGCTTCACAGCAAAAAATATCACAAGTAGGCTTCACAGCAAGCACCAAACGTCTTGACAATCGTACTGGGTGCTCCCTGCTGAGCTAGCAAAAGTGGCAACAAGTTACAAGGCGAGGCATGTGCTTGCTGTATCGATTTGTATTTTCTCTCATGGCAAAGGATGCAGATTAGACATAGGTGGTTCAACCTCTACCTGCTTGTCTGCAAAATGGCAATGCTACATTTGGTGCTGGAGACAAGTGTACATTCTACATATTGCTGAAAATGGCACTGAACGGTGCTCTGGTGGCATTTTGCAGCCGGCTCAGTGGCAGCAGCAGACGGCCGGCCGCGCAAGGGACAGGAGGGTTCAGAAGCAGCCATTGCAGCAGATTTCACCGCAGCAAATGGGCAGCCGCAGAAGGGTTGGTCCAAGGCTATTACCGCCGGCAAAGGGTTGCCGGGAATTGAGGGCAAGGGTTCAGGGGGCGCAAAGAAAACTGCGGGAGATTTGGTGGCCGCCAAGGGGTCGCAGCGAGTAAGCGCTGACCGGACGGTGACGAGACTCGGCCTCGTCAGAATCCGCGTGCCCGGGGCCGGCCAGCCTGATGTGAGCTTTCCTACACCAAAGACTATGCCGTCTTTTCCCTTACCCCTGTCATACAAGCTTTTACTGGGAAGCCGAGTGTGCCTTGCCTTCTCCACACTGGTACTCCGGTCTTCGCATGCAGTTGACAAGCTGCGAAGCAGCCTGACTGAAGGACCCGATCGTTGGATACAGAAGCCAGGCATTTGCCTTGACAATGGATGTCTGAAAGTGTCCGCCTCCGGAACCAAAGTAGCCACATAAGTGGTTACTGTTGCTTGGTTTCGGAGATTGCCCATGTAAAAATGGCTTTCTCTGCACCTGTGAGCTCGACTGTGGCTACTTCGGTTCCGGAGGCGGAAACTTTCGGACATCCATTGTCTGGAAGGTCGAAGTTCTCGAAACCTGCTGGTCTGTCATGCGGCGGCGAGGCTCAGGTGTTCTGACTGTATTTTGCGCGATGCAGGAAGAAGAGGAAATCCAGGTGGGGGCCAGTTGGCAGGTTGGGGAGGGTGAGTCACTGGGTGGCAGCCTAGAGGAGCAGCACCAGCACTGGAAAAGCCGCCTAGCTTCCAGGTGAGACCAAAGCAAGCTCTGTAATTTTATGACTGAATCCCGCTTGCTACCAAGACATGGAAGGCCCCAGTGCCCCAGCTTAATTCCTAGTACTTTACATCAAATTAAGCATATGCAGGTAGGGTGAACCAACAGGTTGCGAATGCATCCATGTCAGACTTGCATGGTCACCTGCTGAAGCGGTGTTGAAACTATTTAGAGATTGCTAGGCGGCACTTTCTTCTGACATAGCGATCAGACTGCTTTATACACCTTGCATGCACTTTTTGCTCAATGTGGGAATATTTCCTGAAGGGCCGGGGAGTTGTGCAATCTACGGGAAGGGGCGCGCGCCGCGGGCACGCACTGTCTCCGGCACCGTTCCCTGCTTCAGGCCCCCCAGGGGTCCCCCCCCGTTATCGCCCCCGCCCCGGGCCCCGTAAATCTTACAGATGACTTTGCGCTCGCCAATCTCGGGCCCGTGCCAACTCTGGCCGTCTCTTATGAAGTCTTTGCTGTTCCCTCGCCGGTGAGGCCTTCTTACCTATTCTGGATCAGCACTTCCTTTGAGCAGAACTGCTTCAATTCATGCCGTGCTGTAAGGTATATGCCACAGTTGCTGGGAAATCCTGAGAATTGTGGATGCGTGGGTGGTTTTCTGGGCAGATGTGGCACATGCATTATGCCTCGTATTTCTGCTGTGATTTTTCATTACTTCCGATTGGAGGAGTGTATGACGGTGGCATTAGGGGTAGAGGCAGACCATCAAGGAGCTGGAATGAGCATATGAGCATTGCCTTGATAGCACAGCACTTCTAGAGGATGTACAAGAACCAACAAGACCGGAAAGCAAGTTCCAAGGTGCTGCTTGACGCACCCAATCTTCAGGAACAGGACTGGGAAAACGAGTGATAAAAATCTAAGAGCATGACAGGGGAACTGTGTCGTGCGCAGGGGCCGGCGATAATAGCGGACAAGTTGTCCTACTTCATCCGAACGGGGCTGATGGTCAAACTGTTCCAGTCTCAGGGGTTCCGTATCGATTATGTGCAGCTCGCAAAATATTCACCCTCTCCCAACAGTGCAACTCCCCCGCCTGAAGCCGGCGTCGCCACCGCCGAAGCAGGTCAGCGCCCCTCAACTCCCCTGTTTTATATTAGGGATTTTGCCGATAATGGAATCTTTCGAGGCAATGTCAACCCCACGCTGATTTCAGGGGGCCCTGACTAAAAAAGGAGCTGTGGTTGTGTCATATGCGTGGGGGCTTTTTCCTATATTATTTTATTTGAGAGTTAAAGGTTAACATGACATAACAATTGAGGGGTTTACATGAGTATGGAACTATTCCGATGCAGACAATACTCATCATGCATGCCAACCTTAGGCCCGCCAAATTCATTTTCTGTCTTGCCCGCGGTACTCGTGACTCTGCATGTGGGGTTCCACACCCTGCACCTTGCCATTGCCCCGCCATACATTTCTTAATAAACAGTCGAAGCAAGGCTTTCCTGTGCGAGGTTGTGCAATTCTGATTGTGTGGCCTGTATTCCAGAGTTTTTATGGTTTTATGGTAAATATTCAAATCCCCAAAATCCTACTTAAAATAGGCCTAAGTAAGGGTGCACTCACAGGCTCGAGCGGGCTGGGGACTGCAAAGCTTGTGGGAGTGATCATCATTCCGATCGCAGTCGTGGCGATAGTAACCGCTGCCGTCTTCGCGTACCTCTTCTTCCGCAACAAGAAACGCTTCAGCACAGCGGTGCGCCCGAGTGCCTATATCAAATGAATTTATCCTTGCAAAGCTCACCTCATGCCGACCACACAATTACATTGTAGCAAAGGTCCCTTTCAAGCCTGGCCAAATTGGTCGTGCATGCGTGGTAATTCGTGGAAGAGCTGGCAAGAATGCTTTTCTGGAATTTTAAGCATCTCAGATATCTCCATGCCATCTAGCTGCCTCTCTCAGCGCTGTGCAGCTCATGATCAGGCATTGGCAGGCAATGAGAGGCATCACAGCAACTTAACGGGCAACAGAACTGTCAATGTACAATGCACAATGTACATTATGAACATGCATTGGCAAGCAACCGTAGTGGGACGCATGGGCCGCATGCTTCACGCCAGCGAGCGGCCGGTGAAGCTGTCTCGGAAACACGCAGAAAGTCCCCTACTTTGTAACACATTATCTTGGACGGCACCTGAGACACAATGATGTTGGCGCATGCGCAGGGAAGTGAGCGGCCGGTGAAGGACAGTGCGCAGAGCATGCACAGCGCGCGGTCGAGCGGCAAGAGCGACATGCGCACGTCGGGAAGCGGATCGACCACCGTCCGCTCCATGCTCGACACCCTCGTCTCCGGCCGAGGGGGCATCTCCGCACAGGTGGGACGTAATATGATCAGCGTTGTAGGTCCATCTAAAACTTCGTTGGTCTCGTCCGACGGTCCAGCTCGGTGCTGCTTGTTGGTCCATCTATTGCTTTGTGGTCTAGTCCAACGGTCCAGCTCGGTGCTGCTTGTTGGTCCATCTAATTCTTCGTGGTCTAGTCCAACGGTCCAGCTCGGTGCTGCTTGGTTTAGTGCATGGTCTATCTTTCGATCACGTTATGGTCCAGTATGCTCCATTATCTGGTGGGGCCATTCTTTACTGGTCACTGGTCCCATTTGGTGCAACATGCAAAGACTCCTGTAGGTTGTCTCTCCAGCGCTCACAATGGTACCTCTGTCTTTGGCACAGAAGGCGATGAGTGCAAGTTTTCCCAAGATTGACTTTGACCCAAGAATACCCGGCTAGAAATTAAATTCAGATTCAAACCTGAAGTAAGTGGGCATCTTCTCTGCCGGCAGGAGGCGCTGGCGCTGGCTTCAATGAGCAGGAAGTCATTGACGCTGCCAGGCATGAAGTCCGACTGGGAGATTGATCCGGACGAGCTTGAAATCTGCCGCCGCACCGACGGCTCCGAGTGGGAGCTGGGATCCGGCGCGTCCGCCCGGGTGAGGCTGCACGGAAAATACTTTCATTTGCTTCAGGCTCTGGCCTGCCTTCAGTGCTTTGCTGGGCTCACGTGTTTTGAGTGTTTCTGTCATCTGTTTGCTTGGGTTTGCTTCATATGGGGGGTCTTACCAATGCCTGAAGGGCAAAGAGTCATTTACTGTACCTTGTAATGTCTTACATGGCTGTGCATTGTCACTTTCTGTCTTCTGACAGCGTTCAACTTTTGCCGCCTGGATCTCGCGTGGTGGCTTATCTAGCGCACCGTGTGCCAATTTTTGTCTGATGCTCGATCCTGCATGTTTCCTGTATTGGCAGCTTGCCCGATTTGGCGTATCACCTAATCTTAGGTGATCTTGTGCGAACTCCAGGTGTACAAGGCGACGCGCACGGGCGTGCAGATTGTGGCGGTGAAGATATTTACGGACCAGGTGACTTGCTCAATCTCTTCCCCCCTGCACCATTGTTACAGCACCTCTTGTCCAGCAAACTTGTCTCGGGTGCACTTGTTTCTCATCATTCTGTTGTGCAGCCACATCTGCACTGTTCGCGCCAGTCTACAATATCAGCAATGATGCGAAAACAGTATATTTTGCATCTGAAAACGTGCAGGGTGTCATGGGATGACATGCACTGCTCACATGCTGCCTTTATTTTTTATTTTTTAGGGTTTAGGGTTTGGGGGTTCAGTGTATTTAGGGTTTAGGGTATAATTTGCTCACATGCTGCCATGCATGCCACAGGTGACGGCGGAGCACCAGCTTCGGTACGCAGAGGCGTTCAGGCGCGAGATATTCATTCTGCGCTCATGCCACGACCGCAACATCGTCCAGTTCATCGGGGCCTGCCTGCAGGTGCGCGCCTGCCAAGTCACTGCAATGTTGTTCAGTGGTGTGTGGTCGCTAGAAATGTCTGCTCCAAAGAGATGCTAGCATGCACGACAGTGTGTTTCCGACTGGCCGAAGGCTTTTCTGGAGCGCATGACGAGAGCAGAGAATGTGAAACCGGCTCTCATTTGCTGGGCGGCAAATTGTTTGCGGTGAAAGTGGCAATTGGAGGCATGGGCGCCGTTTGCAGCTTGTGATGTCTTCAGAATAGCCAAGGGCTGTCCAAATTCAAGAAGGGGTGCCCTCCTAAACAGGCCCCCTGAACAATTGTGTGGTGCACCGCTGAGATTTTCAGCTGGCCCCTGACCACAGGACGGCAGCTTGTCAACTGCCAGTTTGGGGCACTTAGCGCTTCTCCAACCCCCTTGGCACGCCATATTAAGAGTCTACCACGGAAAATACACCTGATAAAGTGCCCTGCGTTACATGCGCGCGCGCAGAAGGGCCGGCCAACCATGTTGCTGGAATACATGATAAACATTTCTCCCTAATTTTCCCTGATGTTTTGTTACAGCCCCCAAATAAACACCCCTGTTGGTTGTGCGCGCAGGAGGGCCAGACGATCCTGGTGCAGGAGTATATGGAGAACGGCGATTTGTTCCATGCCATCGCAGAGGACACCCACTCGCAGCGCTTCGGCTGGTACCGTCAGCGCCTGCCCACCGGCCGCCTCGCCCCCGCCACCGGCATGGCCAGAAGAATCGCCCTGGACATCGCTCGCGGCCTGTTCTTCCTCCACTCCCGCAAGTGCGCTGCTGTCTCACTGCCTCTTGGCCCTCTGTTTAACTCCCTGTCTTTCTTTAGATTACAACAAAACAGAAAATATACCATTGAAAGAGAACCCCGGCCGCCTCGCCCCCGCCACCGGCATGGTCAGAAGAATCGCCCTGGTTATCGCTTGCAGCCTCTTCCTCCTTCACTCCCGCAAGTGCGCCACCCATACCCCGTGCCCCTACCCTGAGCCCTGTTGAAAAAGGAAAGCAAAATGGCTTAAAGGATAAAGAAGCAAAATCGGCCGCCTCAGCCCGCCACCCGCATGGCGCGCCGCATCGCCCTGGACATCGCCCGGGGTCTCTTCTTCCTGCATTCTCGCAAGAGCACCGCGACACTTTGCAATTTGCTCCATGAACCCCGGCCAGTTAGGCTGATGTGTTTCCATCCGCCACATTTTGGACCCAGGAGTGTTAGCTTGATGCTTTGTGACTCTGCAGAATTTGAGCGCTCCGGTGGGCTGTCTCCCTTTGTTGACCACGTTGATATCTTCTGCCTTTCTTCAAGAGTATTTTTGAACTTTACTGGGGGCGTCAACGATTTTTTGGGTACTTCACTTTGTGTCTTTTTCTTGATATCAGTCGGACAGCGCAGTCGATAAGTGAACCTTGCAATGCTGCACAGTGGTAAACATTACTGAAGAAAGCTTGCTTTGGATTGAAAAAGGGACGTGTGAGATTGATCTGTTGCATTCAATTACACTGACCATCTTGGCAGAAACTTTGAAGCTAACCACTTTTGTCTCTGCCCTGCAGGGTGGTCCACTTTGATCTGAAGAGCGCCAACATTCTGCTGGCGCGCGATTGGACGGCCAAGATCGCGGACGTGGGCCTCGCCAAAATCCTCAAGGACGGCTGGCTCTCCACCCTGCGCGAGGTAAGACGCCGTTCCCTCCCTCTCCAGCCTGCGGTAACCTTGGTTGTGGTGGGCTGCTTGGCCCAAATTTGATGTTTGCCCCATTGAATATCCGTTACAGGAGTGAACTGGGTCTTCCGACAAACCTGCAATGCCAAAACTTGTGTGCCAAGGAGAGAGGTACACCGATGGCTGACAGAATCACTCCTCCGAACAATGGAGCGAGGTAGTCACCTGAGCGGATATGATGCCACGCTGTATTGAACACTTTTCTGGGCGAAGCATTGATGCATAATCTTTTCTGCCTGAATTTTCAGGCAGGAATTAACAGCGTTGCTCCTGTGTCACTCTGCGCAGGTGGGCACCTTTTCGTGGGCTGCCCCGGAGGTCTTGCTGGGGCGTCCATGCACAGAGAAGGTGGACATTTATTCCTTCGGCGTCGTGCTCTGGGAACTATCAGCGGGGGAGGCACCCCCCGGCCGCCACCTGCGACCCCTCAGGTGCGCTAGTAAGACATATCCAAGCCCGGCCGGGCCGGCACTGTTGTTTGCGGCACATCATGAGAAGGTCTTGAGATTCCGACCAGCAATTGCTTCTTGCAATGCAACTGCGCTTCCTGCATGACATCTGGCGCATTGAGTCTGTGCTGCACTTGGTCTTCACAGCAGCTGTGGGTAGTGCGCAACATCTGAGGCTGCTCTCGAGCCCCTGTTACCCTTGCATGCACTGTCTGAGACCTTCATGGCCTCTGTGCATGTCTTTGGGTCAGGATACTCTTCCAAAACACATTGTACAACACCTAATTCCAGATCGCCCGGCCCCTTCCATGTCAGATTGCCATAAAAGTTTCGGCTCTGTGCACGTCACCTTGACAGCATGTTTGGGCTCAATGATTTGGGTGAAAACAGGGTGTTTAATAGGATTTAGGTCTGAGTTCTGAAGGAGATTGTGAAAGTATCCTAGTATGGGTGCAGGGTCCCTGAGGAGTGCCCTGCTGACGTGGAGGCGATGATAGCGCGGTGCTTGGACAACGATCCCGACGCGCGGCCGAGCGCGCGCGAACTCGTCGACTTCATGGTCGAGCTCCCGCACGCCAGCAGCCGCGAAGACGGCTCAACCGGCGCCGCGTCTGCATCGACCGAGCTGTCTTGTTCAGGTGCGCGCCGTGTTGCTTTGCTTGAAGCCCCAAATTCTGTGTAGAGTCAAGGTGTCTTATATAAGTATCCTGCATGCGCACGTTTTTGAGAAGTCCCCGATGCCGCGGCCGCCTCCACAGGGCTGTCCTGCTCCAGCGTGCGCCATTTTGCGCTCTTTTTTCAGCGTTACTTCAATCTGCATGGCTGTCTTTGGCAGAGATCCGGCACAAATTGCGACAGATTATCCTCTTGTGGTGTTAAGCTCACTCGACATCACTGCATTGTGGACCTACTCGCTGCTCTTGAATCCCAATCAGGATGTGAAAATGTCATTCTGCTTTCTCGAGATCAAGCCAAGCGTGTGCCAGGTTTTCCTCGCAATATCCAACCCACACCAGACATTGAGCAGTATCTTAATCTGGTGGACAACCGGGATACCAAAGGCCGCCGGGGGGTGACGGCTGTGTGCAAGATGTGGGACTTGAGAAGGACAGTCAGGCATGCATGAGCCGAAGAGCCCTGAAAGCTAATCTCATGAGAGTGACCGCCTCTTTCGCGTGCGCAAAACAGGCGCGCTGGGCGAGCCAGAGCAATTACTGACGGCTGGCCGCAGCCTGGCGCCGGTGTCGCCAAAGCAGCCGCCGGCCGGAATGGTGCTTCCCAACACCTTCGGCCTGCTCTCCATGCAGTCCTTCCGACGCAACAACTCCTTCAAGCGCGCCAACTCCGGGCTGGCCCGCGCGCAGGTGGGTGCCCTGTTGAAAATCCTCGATCGAGTGAAACCTCCTGAAAGCTTAGATGGGGCGTCTATGCTGGTGCATGCAAGCAAGTCAGGAAGGGCACAATTTCTCGAATTTGAAAGTTTGACAGCGTCGCCGTGCGGCAGTGAGGAACACTTTGTGGGATAGAAAGGTGGAAAAAATTTGACAGCTACTGGAAAAGAACTCATACGAAGCCACCTAGCAAGCAATTGGGCAGTTCGGTTCAACGACTTGGAAACAGCCAGACAATAGATCTTGTGGCATAGAAACACTGGCATTTGCCCTCCTGCAAGCATGAATGAAATGTTGAAGGATTACTTGATCCTGGGTTGTGGCCTGTCGGGCTGCAGACTTCCTCAGCATTGTGATCAGTCTTATGAAAGCTCGTTAGAAAGCATCATTGCATGGAACCTACAGCTGGACCAGGCAGAGCCAATTGGCTCAGCAAGAGGTCAATGCGATCACATAATGCACGCACAAGATTTCCATGACGAAGAATCCCTGACTGCGCCCAAAGCTTCCTGTCTTGTATCGGTGCAGTAGAAGATGTATCGGCGCATGCCTACACTTATTGCAAACTGGCGACATATTCCGGGAGTGATGTATATTGCTGATCACACTGCAGTAGAGGCCCCAAAAAGAGCGCAATCATTTTTTCGCAGTCGGGCGAGGCGCCAGCAGCGAAGCAGGAGGGGCATGCCACGACGGCGCCCGGTGGGCAGGCCACAACATCGGCAGCCGACGAGAAGCCGCCGAAGCCGCAGAAGCGCTCGGGCGTGACTATTCCAAGCGCGTTCAAATACCTTACCTCCACCTCGTTCAAACGCGAGGCCCCGCCGCCGCCGCCTGGCGTTCCCTCCATCCCCGACGCCCCAGAAGAGGTCTGCTGCGACTTTCTGAAATCTGCTCATGAAAGGTATTTGAAATACTGTATTGAAAGGTGTGTATATGGTTCATAATTGCTTGGTGGCATCGTCCAGTGGAGAATGAACAGAGTGCATAAAGGTTACTGGAGTGCTGCAGCCACCTAGGACCTCGCAATGTACATCGTTACTCTGCTGACATGCTTCATATGTTTGCGTCTTGAAATGCAGAGTGCAATTCCGAGTGTTTACCGAGAGCATAAGAGTCTGGGAGTGATGCTGGCTCGTCCTATATTGGCAGGAGGTCATGGCTGATTGGTATTTTGTGGGTGTTCAGGAGCTGGAGGCGGCAGTGATGGAGAGCAACAAGAGCCTGAGCGCGGCAGCTGCCAAGGCGGCAGAGGCGGCAGTGAAGCAGGCCTTGCAGGAGCAGCAGGGGGTGTCTGAGCTGCCTCCCAGCGAGGCAATCGCCCCTGGGGGATACCCTGCCAAGGGCGATGCCCTCGGCGCCCCCAGAAAGACCGTCCACTTCAGCGACGCTGAGAATGCCCCGGCAGACGCGCGCAACAGGCAGCAGACAGCTTCAAGCTCTGCCGCTGCTGAGAGCAGAGGAGTGCCGGGCGGGGAAAATGCGCGGGGGAGCAGAGCCGAGGGTCAGGCAGGGTTCAGGGGAGGCGAGGAAGGTTTGGCGGAGCCGGCGTCACAGCGGACGAGGCCGGACACTGGGCAGCAGGAGAGAGGCAACACCGCGCGGCCGAATGGCAGCCCGGTGATGTCACCGTTCGCGGCAGCCGATGACGGGGCGTCGGCGGGCGGCCAGCCGCTGCGGGAAGCTCCCTCGGCAGCTTCTGGGGCAGCTGCGCGGCCTGCAGCGGTCGTCAGGAGCCCCTTTGCTTCGGACAATGACTCAGCGCCTGATCAGCCGACGCGGGAAGCTTCCTCGGCTGCTTCCAGGGCAGCTCCTCGGCCTGCTGCCGTCTTCAGAAGCCCCTTTGCGTCCGAGGATGACTCATCGCCTGATCAGGCGCCCCAGGAAGCTTCCACCACAGCTTCCTCAGCAGCTTCCAGGCAGGCTGTAAAAGTGAGGAGCCCTTTTGCTTCAGCGGATGGAGCAGAAATGCAGGAAACACCCGATGCAGCGCCAGCTGGCTTCAGCCCATTCGCAGCTGCGCAGCAGGGAAGTGATGTGTCAGCAGCGGCGCCTGCGAAGCCTTCACCCTCGAAGGGCCGGCCGCCTGTCATCAGAAGTGCCTTCGAAATGGAGTAACCCATGAGTCAACCCTGTTATATGTGACTGCTGTGGGCGTGGCAGTATGAAGTGCCAGACAGGGTGTTGTAAAGTGCTGTCTGCAGAATACGGTAGTATGCAAAGTTTGTGGGCTGAAGTGAAGTAAACATGCCAGCACTGATGCTGAAGGACAGAGTACAGCTGCAGATAAAGTGCTGCGAAGCCTTGAAGCTTGAAATTGGGCGAATGTCTGGGATAGCCGGCTGGAAAGTAGCATGAAAACTCCACATCTGGTATTTGCTTGTTTCTTTGCGCTCACATTGCCAGTTCCTCATAATCACCATAAGGTGTTTTCTTTGCTTATTTCAGAACTGACCTAGAATGTTTATTCAATTGCCCTTTGTAGGGCTCAATATGCCTCAGGCGCTTCGACTCGAAGGCATTGCAACTATGTAACATGTTCTTATTCTGCATTTTGTGAATATTGAGAGACAGGCTTGCTTCATTCAGACCTGTGGAGAATTCTTTGACTGTAACTATGGACCCATTTGGTTCAACGGTTCATAACTTCAACATGTTCTTTCCTCCTGATCAGTACATCCCTCAGCGGCAACACTTGGCTTATCTCTAAAAATGCATCAGACTCAAAGTGGGTTATGCAAACATTTCATATTTTAGGCAAAGTCCCCTTATAGGAGGTTTTGATGAAAATTGTGTCGCCGATTGCCTCTCGGATTGAGAGGATGGTAGTAATCCACTTGCACAAGCGTGCACTGCATGTTTTACAGCCCAGGATTCGACAGCCCGCTAGGGCCCTCCAAGGGATTGGCCAACCTGCTTCAGGGCTAGGAGCAAGAATTTAGGGCAACCTCGGAATAACAAAGAATATCAGACAAACTGGTGTCTCATCTGAACACAAATTTTCTCAATCCCATATCTGGAGCTTGGGATGGAATAATGCAGTCTGCCTTATACGCAGTTTTTCATTCTCCTTCAGAGATTCAGAAAAGTTACCCCGTGGGCACACCCACTGCCACTGGCAGTGCCAGCCCATTATTCACCCAACTCAGGTCGCTGCAAGTTTTCTCCATCTAAGCTGCAATCCAGCCTGGAACTTCAGGGTCCAAATCCAGTAAGTCTGTAAAATCACTGACCCCTCAGAACTAAGGAGCACGCATCGACACTGAACAGCAGCAGGGAGGTGCCCATGCATGCAATTTTCACTGCTGCATGGCATGCTTGGGTGCATGCTCGCTTCCATCATGCAAAAGCAGGCACCCCTGTCTCGCCCATTTCCCACAAGGGCATTCTCCCACACCCAATTCCTGTGTGCCAAGAAGCCATTCAAGAGACATGTAAAACACACATGTCTATCTTGGTCCGTATGCCACGAGCTTGCTGCCGCAGCCGATGAACACTTTCCCGCCGGCGACAGTGGGCGTCGCAAATTTTACCCAGTTTTTGCAGTCGGCACGGTCTCCCGGGGAGTTGCTGTTCCAGAGGGGCGCCAGGTCAGCGGCGTTCCATGCGTACAGAGTGTCATTCGAATCTATCTCCCACACTATCGCCTCGCTGGCATCAGTTGATACCTGCCAATTAGTCACTTAATCAGTCATTCTCTCCGTCATACTCACTTTGAGTCGCTTCCAGGCAAACTTGGGGCTGGATCCATTGCCTGACTCTGATGCTGAGAGTCATCATCCAGCATACATTATATCGATTTTCAGGATGATATTTGGCGAAGACCAAGACTTGTTGCAAGTCTCCACCGAGGGTGCACCAACTTACTACAAAAAGATGGGCGTCAAAGCTCATCACCATGAAGTCGGTGGGCAGATAGCGGGACACTGCATGTTCTAGAGCCTCACTATGAGCGTGGCAGAAAGCAAAAGAAAGAGTGCACCAAACAAGCAGCCTGAGGGTCAATCCGACTTCTTTGCCACTATTTCCATTCAATGCACAGCACTTGCCCCATGCTTCTACTCCCTTTTCTGAAAAAAGAAAAGAGAAAATGCCTCTCTCCAGATCTGTATCTCACCGCAGACACGATGGGCACTGAAGCGCGTCTGCTGAAGTTGCCCACGACAGCAGAGGAAGCTGCCAGCGTCAGTTTATCGCCTGCCCCGAACGCATACTTTTGCAGCGGCACACCGGCGCGCACACCATGCAGGTACAGCTGGCCATTGCCTGCAATCATGACGTAATGCTTAAAGGGAATATTGAGGTTCATACATTGTGAGACTCTATATTTCCTCCACTGGCTGCACTGAGTTGAGAGCTTGGCAGAGATCGGTGCTGACCGCGGCTGAAGACGGCAGCTGTCGGCTCTTGTGAGAATTTGATGAAGTGTGCTGCTGGTGGTTTGGAATTCAAGATGCTGCATGTTGAGACAAACTACACACAAAATCAACTCTGAAAGAGCATCCACATGTAAGCCTCCTGCATGAGTTTTGACGGTCCTTTGGCTTCTTACCTACAACCCAGTGATCATCTCCTCCATACAACGCCCACAGGGCGAATACGTACTGTTCTTATTGGCAGCTTCGGTTTTGGCCGTGCCATCACTGGTCGCCCTCAATTTAGCAGATAAGAGACCGTTAAAGGTTGCATCCCGAAAGGAAACATAGAGATTCAATGCTGGAAAAGCATCGACATGTGGGCCTACTGCAGACTTTTTACAGTCCATCGTCTTCCTTGCTTCTAGGTACACCGTATCTCTTGCAGATGGTCCACTGGTAGCTACCATCTGTTATTTTGCTTGCTTTCCTTGTTGCTGTACACAGGTGCTACAATTTACGGTGCCTGCTTTGCAAAGAACAGACTTGTTTGCTGAATGAAGGACAAGCACGCACCCACTGGCCAGTAGGCAGCCCCGCTGTAAATGCCACCGGCGCCGATGGAAACAGATTTATTACTGGCGGCCGCAGGGGGGATGGTCTGCCACGCGTTCCCGTTCCCGTTGTTGTTGTTCTTGTTATAGGCCCCCAGCGCATCAGCCTTCAGCAGATAGTAGGCTCCCTCCTTCCCGCCCGTGAACAAATACTTCCCCTGCACGAACATAGAACACATGGAAACATTTTTGTTTGCTGACACATTACAAGAATGCAGAGCCCTCTGTTGAATGCTCCTAATGGGACAGGAAGTTTCTGCTTGTAAGTGCATATGCCGGCGAGGCACTCCAAGACAGGCTGCCTGTCATAGGCATGCAGCATCAAACATGACCCTTCCCACACACAGTGCACGCGAGCAATTTTATGCGAGAATCATCGGCGCACATGAGGCAGAGCCGGGAATTTTCACTTTGGGTGCACGCATTAGAATTAAGGGCAGAGAGGTTAGCGCATGCACACCTTCACAGGTATGGCGGCGGCCGATCCCATATCCAGATCGTTTGCTTGCAGGTCCTCCTGGTTTGATGGCGAGAAGTAATCCACCACCTGTACATGACACCAGATTTTTTTTAAGGTTTAGGGTTTTTTTCTACGAGATTCCCCTCCCAAAATTGTCCAGTCACTCCCGGAATGTGGTCTGTCACTGATGACTTCAAAATCCACCACTCAACAAAAGCTCGCTTGCTGTGCAACATGCGATGCAACCTTGACAATGACACGTTTCTCTTAAGTCGAATTGTGATTGCACGACATACAGCGCCAATGTAAGAAGACTGGGGCGGGCTCCTTGCAAGGATCTACACACATACAGATCATTTGTGATGCACTGGAAGAGACTTTCACAGTGACAGCTCGGCTTTCTCTGATGCTTCATCAGATCTACAGGTGGATGGGGGTACACGCATTTAGGTCTGGGAGTGACACGCGGATGACGCAGTCGCCATAACTCCCCCTGGACACATCAAATTCGCCGTCCCCCGTCACAAGGAACATGCTGCCCTGCACAGAGCAGCACCAGGCGCTTCAAAACATCCCCTTCAAATTTAAGGGTCTCATGCTATCTGATCTGAATATGTCGCCCTAATCTTGCAGCCCTAACTCTGCACAGTAAGCAACTCCTATGGTCAAGTGTAGGGTCTTTGTAGGTGCACGCTGTGGCACCTGGCAGGTGCTTTCTCTAAGCCAGAGTGTGTCTTGCTGCTCTTGTCAAGCGATTGATATGAGCGACTGAAGCAGGGTGGCTTTTGCATCGACACTTATAGACTGGTGAGGGTAATTTTGGTGGGCAGCGCACATTGAAGAAGACCGGCCCTGCGCCGCCCTGCCAGATGCCGGGGCCCTTGCCTGGCTCTGTGTAAGGCATGGACAGCACCTGAACAGGCAAGCAAAACCAAGCCCATCAGAGACTGCTTGCTCTGTCCCATATATCCACCACTTGGAAAGAATGTGCCTTATTCTCACCACACTCCGCATACCCGCCTCGGCCTAGCCTTTTCGAAGCCTACCAACACATGTCACATACCCATGCACAGCCAAGCATGCCCTTTGCAAATGGCAGGACGAAGGCAACACAGAGGAATGCAAGAGAACTTGCAAGATTTACCAAGATCGCTAAGAGCCATAGCAGTCATATCAGGCAAGAACTGTTGCAGCGGAGTGCGCCACCATATAAAGATAGCAGAGCAGGCGGGCTGGCAGGGTGTGTACCTCCATGGGTTGCAGAGTGGTGGCGTTGAAAGCCATTACCCAGGCATAGTAGTTGGAGGCATCACAGCGCGAGCCGAACGCCACATACAGCCGGCCATTGTAGACCGAAAGCCCTGGCCGCTGCACCTACAACAGCCGCATTCACCCTCTACACTATATATAACATGGGGTTTGTATTTTAGGGTTACATTAATCCGTAGTACACCTTAATGGATAAATCATCTGGTTATTCATACCCAAAGTTTTAGCCATACACGGCTCAAAAGGAAGGATTGCGTACGGTGAATTGCAAAAGGACCAGGGACTCTCAATGAGGGCTTCATGTGGATATCTGCAGCTGAAGGGTAATTGACAGAGAAGCTAAAAAATATTCCAGAGGCATGACAAACACACCCTAAACTCCTCTAATCTTAATCCTGAGGGGGCAATGATACCTGTTGTTTGGCATCAAAGGTAGCGGTGCTGCCGTCCTGGAAGGTCTTGCTGGCAGAGATAGGGGGGGACGGACCCCCCAGCTTTTCCGCCCCTGTAATGAGATTCAGCGCATGTATCCTGCAATAATTACAAAGAAGACGTTTTTCAAATGATTGAATGATTAAACAAAAGACCGCTGCACTCTAATGGCTGCGTGTGTCCTGCAGGAATCCAAGTCAGGCCTGGCCATGAGCGCAAGAAGTCTTGCATTGCTGCTGCAAACTCAGGCCATCATTGCATGCATTTTGAGGAGCCTGCAAACGCTATTGACTCCTATGCTAGCTTGATCAGTACACTGTAGCCACATTCATTATATTCCAGGGTGGTACTTGATGTGACAACCGCACCTGTATACAAATTTTCCCCCTTCTTTGGTCCAGGGGACTACATATAGGGTATTGGAGTCGCGTTTGATGTAGGGGGTGGATGTAATGCCCCACTCAGGGGCGATGTCGTAACAGGGCGGGCTGAAATCTGTCGGGTAGATCGGGCTGTCCCCCAAAACATTCTTGCGCCAAATTAGGTCCCCAGACTCTGCAACGCAGAATCGCCACAATAGCATTACAGTAAGCATGCTCATGCAAGGTCTGTGTGATACTACACTGCGAATGCTTGCATTCAGGCATTCACAGTAGACACAGGAGCTCTGATCATTCAGAGGAAAAATTTCCCCTCTCACAAAAGTCTGCCAGATTCAGATGACTAGTCTGCAATCTCTCACATGGACAAGGTGCAACGATTATGTGTCATGGAGATACCCTCTCGTCACCAGAGGTTTTCCATGTTTTTGAGGTTTTTCCAAAACCAAGTGTAGTTACACTTGGTTTTGGAGAGCTGTGAGATGAGTTGAGCTCCACAATAACTCTCAAGCGTGCAAGGCTTGTCTCACCTGAGTTGAAGGCATAGACGGATGCATGCTCCGTGGCAGCATACACGAGGTTGACTATGTTGCCATTCAAGACCAGGTCTGGCACATACAGCGGCTGAGTATAGACCGCCCCATCCACTGTCCAGAATCTCAACTGCATGCACATCTTGATCCTTCAGGTGGAAGATCTTTTCCCGCCAATTGCTGGAGGACAAACTTAAGAAATCGCTGCAGCGCATGAGCTTTTGAGGGCTGGAACAAGCATGTGATGATTGCTGCGGCAGCGTGATCCCTGCAAGCTGCGGGCCAGTGTCTTTTTGGGGGATGAGAAATACTGAGAAAAGGATCACTCACCCTTCCAAAGCTCCCTTTGGTGACCTTTGACATGGGCAAATCCGGGTCTACTACGAAGCCTGCGCAGACACAAACACTGTTCAGTGGCACAACCAAAGATCACATTGCCAAAGACAGCCTACGCTTTGCACAAGTTGGATATCTGAACTGTTCCTTCGGCATTCAGGCGCTTTTGTCTCATGTGCAGCCCTGATTCAAAATTTAGAGTGAAGGGACATGCCTGTCCGCTCCGGGTTGTATCTGTTCTCATAAACTCCATTGGGAAACTGCACACCAGCAGCCAAAACACTTTGCAGATATCCTTGTGCTTCAAAAAACTTGCTGGCATTTTGAGGAGATTTACAGACGTTGATAGGCAGAGCGAGCGCCAGAGATGAGGAAAAGGGCTGCCTTGCAAGTGCCAATCATGCAGAATTATATACAATAATCCCCCTGCCCAGGAGAACTTAAACACCTCCAAGAAGCGTCAGTTTTTCTAATATGACTAATGTATTTGGGCGGACCTGGTTGAAGCAGGGGGTGAAACAGGACCGCCTGATCTGGCAGCCAGAGGCAGCACCGGTCTCAAATGTGCACCCTGTCACAGCACACCACACGCACCTCTCAACCACTAGTAACAGGTAAATCTGACTCAAAATACAAATCTTCACCCCTTCTTAGTCTCGCCAGATCAAGCAAAACCCGATAAACCACGGGCACGGTGCCGGTATTTGTACCGCCCCCGACCAGCGGGATCAAAATTAGCTTGCCCAACAACGCAGACTTTACATGAGAAACTATGCAATGTGATACCGTTGTTCATATGTGTAGAGATTGGTGCATGCACCTGTGAGGTTTGCATCGAAGGCTGTGACCAGGTCGTTGGTGTTGACGGCACATTTGGTTAGGCAACGCTGCAGTCTGGCCAGGTCCTGGGGAGGAACATCTTTGACTGTGGGCACCCGCTTGAAGGTGATCGGCTGACTAAGCGCCTGTGGCAGGAAGCCTGCCAGCAGCTGCAGCAGGAGCCAGGCTTGCCATGACCTGCAAGTACCTGCACGCACAAGCACAGGTAAGTTTGAATGAAGTATAGCTACCTCAGCACATGGCGCAAGGCTGGATCTGCAGTGAAGCTACAGCCAGTGCCACCAAAGCCTGAAGGGCATTCATGCAGGCATTTGCAAGTATGTACAAGGACAACCCGGTTGCTCTACACATCAGGCTGAAGAGAAATATCTTTGCCCACAAAGAGTGAAACAATTGCAGATATGCATCTCCCCGCCTGCCCAAGCTTTAGGCAAACCTATATGGTTTGGGCTGCCATGGTGCAACGAGTGTTAAAAGGTTGTGAGGAAAGGTGAGGTTTCATCTATCTATCTATCTCATCCCGAGCAGGCTGCCAACCAGACGTCCTAGGTTCAAAACTCAGCATATTTTTGCTGTGCGCCGCTTTCATTCATCCGCACCCCAAGCTTCAAAGATTGTGGAACTGTTCCAATGTGTCGTGGACAATCTGGCAATCATGTTCAAGAGATGTCTTCAATTCTCGCCTCAAGGCGAGATCGCTCCTAATACGGTCTGACTGCGTTCACTGGCAGAATCCTGACTTTCAAGTCGAGCTTTAGCCATCATCCATCGACAACATTTGCGCAGAGATACCCCCTGGCCAGGTGACGATACAGTGGAACAAGGTTGTAGCATTGGGCGATTGAATCAAGGTACCTTGCTGCCTCTTTCTCGAGCAAGGTTGCCACATCCCGCCGCTGCGATTCAATACTTCAAACGACCCGCTGGCATTCCGAGTCCCGATCTTGATTATTACGAATTGAAGACCCTGTGGTGGGCACATCAAGGTCGGGCACGTGTGTCCCACGGGTCGAACCGTCCAAGAAGTGTGGACCTTGGATCCAGGATGCAGCCTCTGACATGAGTATCTGTGCATGCTCTTTGAGAACAGCCATGAAGCAGTATTCAGTCTGTTGCCGTGGTGTTGCATCCACGGTCAAATACCAATGTCCGGCTCAGGTAATATTACGTGGCGATATACATGACTCATCGGAAGAGCACTCTATCAGCAACATCAGCGCCCCATAATATTGCAGTGATCACATAATCTGCACGAGGTCAGCCCACGTGCCTTCCCTTATCTCTAGGGTAATTACTTACTAGTTAATATATTAATCACCCCTATCATCTCCGATTTAAAAGCATTCGCCTTACAAGCATGCCACAGAGAGGGCTAATGAGGCAATATTCGGGCTGTAACAGATTCCTAAATGCAACGTCACAGATGAGAGGCCGATCGATCGGACCAATGTCATGAGTCATGACTGATCATTGGCAGTATCAGCTATGGCTACTGCGCAGTAGCCATAGCTGCAGCCGCAGCCATAGCTGCATGCACCGCTACGGGCTTCAAGCCATTGCTACCATTCAATCATTTCTTCTGCCCGCTGCTGCACCGCCCCAACTCTACTCTCTCTTGATGGGCCCCTTCTCGTTCTTAGATCTTAAACGAGGGAACAACCGCAGGCTGCTGCAGAGCTTCATGGCTTCCCCCTCGTTGGCCTTGCTCTGAAGCGCAAGCACATCAAGCAGTTGCTGTCTCAGGCAACTCACTCCTTTGGTTGCGCCGCGTACATGCGAACCTGGTGGCACATCACATTGATGTTGTCAGGATGAAAGCCGTTCCCCTTTTCTTCTTTCCCTCGTCTTTCCCTCTTATTCAAACAAGATGCACAGCATGGCAGCCACACCTCTAGAGTAGGGGTTATTGCATATCTAAGTGTATCTAAATTAGACTTGTGATTACCCCGACTCCAAAGATGTGCACACATGCACAATGACATGCCAACCCTTTTGACAAATTACCATGGCACTTGACCAATCTGCCTGCAATGCCCTGAGCATTGCTTTTGGACAGAAAGCTGATGCAGCGTGCACAAAGTCATTTTCCCTTCTGTGGCCATGACATGCCAAGCTAGAGCGGTCTGCACGCCGGCACTTGCTTTGAAGAAGTTCGGTCTATGCTCTTCATCTATATCAGACACCGCTGTTACCTCGAGCTCCCCCGCCCCTATATTTGCAGCTCGATTTGGATCTGGGCAGACCATAACAGTGTCGGCCACAACCTCTCTGGCGCTCCTCTAGACTGGCCCCTCTGCCACCACTCTCCATTTCCTTTGCAAAATCCACTCAAGCAATTTGCTTCCCACCACACTGCCAAAGTTGCCTACTCTGGCGGGCCTGGCGCCTCCTTTTGCAATTGCCAGACCCAAATCGTTGCTAGACCAATCGTTGCTAGACCAATTGTTGCTAGACCGATCGTTGCTAGACCGAGGTATCACCTGGGGCGGGCCAATTAAAGGCCACATTGAAAGGCAAGCACCCACCTTGAAGAGGCCCTTGGGAAAATTTCGCTGCAGGGCGCTGCCTCGCAGAGTGTATCCGGCGCGCTTCAACAGATCCAGGAGGTACGCGTCACTGCGAGTCACGCTGCTGTCCTCCTGCGCGCATGCATGCGATGCCAGTCTGACATCTGAGATATATCAAAATTTCAAGACTCCTACTGCTGGTTCTGCCACCCTTGGAGGCCAGGGCACAGGGGGTACTGAAGACCACGAGGGAGTGTCACATTTCTCCCAAGCACCGTCGAGCATATCTTGGCCCATGTCGGGCCCGAAGGTCTCGGAAGAAACAAAGTAGTTGTCTTCAGCCGTAGCCTGAGCTCTAATCTCAATCATCTAACAAGTGGTCTTGAGTATCCCCCGCAGGGCATGCATCAGGGGGTACTATATCTCAGTAATTGTTGTACTATCTACCCCCTGCATGCATCCACATGCCCTGGGCCTGATCCAGTGGGAAGAGTGCCTCGAACAGACAAACACTTTACCACATTGTATGCTCTCCTTTTCTGCCCATCACTTGTCTTTCAGAACTTGCAGTGATAGTATGCCCCATAGAGCGAGCAAGAACTGCCTCCAAGATTCCTGCTTTGGATGTCTTGTCATAAGGTGCCTTGGAATGGGGTGCCCATTCAGAGGTCGTCTGAGGCTTTTGGGTCCTTAGAAGAATAAATGTACAAGTCTCAGTGTTACAGGGGGATCAAGTGTCAAAGAGGAGCGTACCGGGTCGACGACAAAGCCATTTTCACAGACGTTCTCCTTGAATATCATCAAGCCCCCCGGCTTCAACCCACCCTTGCACCGCTCCAGCAACGCCAACAAATCATCTGCAGCGCCCACATGCAATTGAATTCTAAGCAATGCCATCACTATGTTTAGGCCTCAACATGGGGAGTCCAGACCTTACTTATCACCACAGCACAGATGTAGACCAGAAAGAAGAAGCACCATTTCGGTCCATGGAGCTTCCTTGAAATGTGAGACAACGCTGCAAACATGAAGCACTTTCTTTGCATGGGCTATAAGAGCAGCGCACCATCTGTCAAGTAGAGGAGCGCCCACTGTATCCAGATCAGGTCGTACCTGATCAAAACCAGGAAAAAAATAATCCCATCCCTTAGCTTCAAGCACATACAATACCTGCTGTTGGTCACATTTTGAGCCATTCCTCTGCTTATGTGAGGGATGACCTTGATGTTATTGGGCGTGCATATGTGTGGAGGAAGTACAAGACCCGAGAAGACTGGAAAGCCTATTCCAGGAATTGCTTGACGAATCCAGTCCTTCAGGACTGGAAATGCGTGATAATAATAACAGTAACTCCGCTTACATTAAATTCTGAGGCAGATACCAGTACAGGCTTGTGGCGCAAATATGAATCAAAAGTATGTGAGCAGAAGCCATCACTTTTGCCCAAACTCATCAACAGCATCCACTGGCTAGAACTTTGCATGGTCCCTGGGCGCACCTCTGGGGCTCTGGATTCCAGCCCTGCAGGCCGGTGTGCAGGAACGCAGCGGCACGGTGGCCGGCCGGATACGCTTTCGGCGCGGCCGAGGTGAGGTTGCGCTGAGCTGTCTCCAGCAGGTGCTTGGAGGGCTCCACTAGGTCCACCTCAGCGCAGTGATGCAGAAGCAGCTGCTCTGTTACCCGGCCCACTCCCGCCCCACAGTCTGCATGGGCACGATTAGTCTTAATTGATTATCGACATTATGACATATAAGAGACCTTTTGGGAGCCCCCTGGGATTGATGCATTATGTTCGTGCTAGGAGGCAAGTTGCGCCTGCAGACCAGCTGCAGGTAAAGGCTGCTACACTCCCTACATCTTGATGGACTTGCCATCTTCCTACCCCATGGGGAGCATAGGATGACAAAAGAAGAAGACTGGGCAATCTGGGCACTTTAAACTGGCAATAGGGGGCTGAAAGGGCCACCAGCAAAATTGCAGCAGCCGCAGATGTACCATTCCTCTCGGCAAGAAGTTTGCCACCACTGCATTGTGCTGCATCATATTTCTCAAACTACATGATTCTTGCAACAGAGATGCTCCAAGAAATCATGCCATCACGGCTGAACAGAGAGGGCCTGAGATGCTCACTGACTGTGATCAATGGTCATCTACAGTTGTAGATTCACCACTGTATCATCAGTTGAATGGAAAAGAGCTAAATTTGATTCTCCAGCAGGTGGCAAAAGGATGACTTGCCTGCTGCCACCAATCGCCTCCCTGTGCTTTCAGCAGCCTGCAGCTGCTGGTCGAAAACCTTCCTAATAAACTTCCTGCTGTCCGCTATATCATCCCCATTCAAGTGCCCCAGGCCTGCAGATGAAGCAAGGTTGGTCACGCAGTCAATGTGACATCTTCGGAGGTGCCCTTGTCTGCATAGCATCATGCTGCCCAGCAAGACTGTGCAAGGCGTTCAGAATCAGACTGGCCAGATTTAGGATAAGGGCAGGCCTCCACTGACCTGCCAATACGCCATCATAGGAGGCTGGCTGCTTGTCCCAGTATTCCACTGCTGGAGCATACCATGTCTTCTCCTTGTCGTCCTCCACGGTCTTCCAGAGCTCTTTAGGATTCTCAAAGACCTGTAATGGGGATCATATTCAATTGCACGCTATTGTTCAGAAATTTCGATGCACAACCAGTTCACTGAACACTCCAGGGATAGCATTGCGTTCCATTCACCGAATGACACGTGTGCATCTAGGTGAATTTCTGCACGAAATGAGTTGAGCAAGCTATACAATTACGATTACCTTTCCCTCAGGATGAAAACCAGTACAATCCATCACAATTGAGCTGCAATCTGCCCCAAAATCTACAGCCGGATTACATGCGTTGATCTCATGACTCTTAATGTATTTCTTCTTGATTTCTGGCGCAGTCACACGAGTTCTGGATGGATGTAATGAACACAGTAAATAGTCAGTATGATGCAACACGTCCTGCCGCAAGCCACCAAAAACTCCACGATGATGCCAGCACAAGCGCACGGAGGTTCACAAGACTATTTAATAATCTCAGAATCTCCTGAATTTGTGAGACAATCGTATGCTCGAAATTGTTCGAAAACTTTCAGGTGCTATCCGCACGTGCGAAGTTTGCTCAAGGGCGCTCCTTCCTGCGAGCTGCACAAATGCCCTAGAAGCCGCAAATTTAGCTTGCCACCTCTTCAAAGCACACGATCACAAGAAGATCCATAGTATAAAATTGTGCTTCATCAGCAGCGGTTGTGACCTGAAGATCAGCTATTTTCAACGCACCAAGAGCCTCTGAAGGAGACTGGCAATGCATGCCTGCTGTGATCGTAGGGTACCTTAAAACGACACCTGAAGTTAGCATTTGTTAAAAGTGAGCGGTACATGCGGGGAAGCCACAACTAAAACTTGGGTGACTATTCAGCAACGATGAGAACATCCGAAGTTTTAGAGCGCGATCGACCAAGTCACGGTGCCTATGTGTCCACACTAAGGTGATTACCTTATTTCTCTGGTTGTCACCCATCCTGATCGCCTGTGTGGACTGCTCATACTGAAGAAATTGGAGACTTCGCTGACCACCGAAGTCTCTCTTTGTCGAACTTGTTGCCTCCAGGTTGTCGCGCATACACTTCGTGCAATTGTCTTTCCTGTCTGCATCATGCATCCTTCCTGGTTTGCAGGGTGCTCTTGCGGCTCACAAACGCCCTGCTGGCGCTCTTGGGCCTGGCCATGCTGGGCTATGCAGTCTACATGTTTCTCAAGTTCAACAACACTGCCTTTCCCTCACCTGGTGGGGACACCCCTCCATCCCTCGCTCCACGTGTCCCCCCGCCAGGCCCCTCCCCACCACCGCCCTCACACAAGCTCAGCTTCCCATGGCGCGTTCCCTCCACTGCCCTTCCCATGCCCGGATTCCAATCCCGCGTCACCCCTACTTTCCCAACTGTTTATGGACGCATGTGCTGCCTTTGCACACTCCAGATAAGCGGACTTTACTGTCGAGTAGTGCGCTGCATTTCTAAACCTGCGCTGCATTTTCTAAACCTGCCCAACCTGACAGGAGTGCAGACTGTGAAGACTGTGTAGCGCGCTGCCTCACACCTTGCATGCACGGACGCTGGCCAATTGTGCTGCAAACGTCAATTTTTTAGGAGAGGATGCTTAGAAATTGCCTGGGCTGCACGCAGGTTCATCTTTGCGTTTGGCGGCGTGGGCCTATTCACATGCATCACAGCGGCGTCGGGGCTGGCAGGTGTTACGTGGAACAGCCGCGCGCTGCTGGGAATGTACTCTGTGCTGCTCGTGGTCATGCTGCTGGCGCAGGCCGTTGTCGCAGCCGCGCTGTTCACTGACAAGTCCTGGCGGCGCTACCTGCCGCCTGATGAGACCGGCGAGGTCAAGAAGGTGCAGATCCCACCTCTTTAAGGGTATCTGTAATGTTGAAAGACAACAGTAAGGCTAATCCACTTGATGTGTGCATACAAGATCCCACGCACAGTTTTGTGGGAGCAGGAGTGCAACAGATTCGTGTGTGCCTTAGACTGAGCTCTGGTTGCCACAGATATGTTCTTGAGCTTCAAGTACTGCCGAGGCAGTTGGCCATGTGAAGCCCTGCGCATAGATGGCCGGGAGTCATGATGCAATTTCTAAATTGGAAGGAATCTGTCTGCATCTGACAGGTGTTCTTTCTGCAATGCAGATCGAGCGCTTTGTGAAGAGCAAGCTGGATGTGTGCCGGTGGGTCGGCCTGGCAGTGCTGGTGGTGCAGCTGCTCAGCCTGGCGCTGGCATATGCCCTCAGCACCGCACAGCAGCGCCTGCTGGAAGTCAGGTGATGCGCAGCACTCTCTACAGCTCGTTCCCGTGCTCCACAGCTACCTTGCATCAGAGGTCTCCGTTGCCTACATGCGCTGCCTTTAGGCGCTGTCTTGAGGCATCCTCCTGACAGGACTGGAGGGTCCATATGCACTACCAGCATCTGAAGTGATTGTGCGTGTGTTGCAGTGATGATGACGAGGATGAGGTGTGGGGAAGGAGGCGGCCGCTGCTTAGCAGGTATCCTTTAGCGCCCAGCCAATCGAGTCTTCTGTACTAGAGTTTATCTGCAACTTCAGGGGCCATTATTTCCTAGGCACCTACTGTGTTCCTGCAAGTTCACAGCCGTCAAGTGAAAGGCACGGTATCTGTGGGGCTCTGCCTCACGCTTTCTTGATGTGGCACACAGCGAGCCAGAGTCGCCGATGGAGAGGGGGGATGCGCGGACAGACGCTTGGAGCGCGCGCATGCGGGACAAGTACGGCCTTGACACCTCGCGCTACACCTACAACCCCGACGACCGCCGCGCGTCCTCTGGCTCTGAGCTGCCGGCCGGCGCCGAAACGGCTGCCACCAGCCGCCGGTGTGCCGTCATGTGACGGCGTGCCGCTTTGCAATGCATGCAAAGCGCGGCCACAGAGTGTGCTATCGCTTGACGCAAATGTCGCGCACTGCATAGCTAATCCTGGGGCTGGGGCTAGTGCATTCATGTCAGCATGTCGCTCTGCTGCGCATGGAGCTGGCCATGGGACGTTGCTGATGTGCTGTTATGGAAAGCATGTGCCATTGCCGGTGCGCACGAAGATGGGTGAGTGCTGCCGGTGGTGTGCATTCATGTGGCAGTGCTGCTGCTGCTAGGGCAGTGCTTTTGGTTAATGTGCAAGCCACATACAGCCTGTACGATACATGCGTGGAATATGTACTTTAGAGGAGAGGCTGCCTAGTCTACCACTTTCTGTTATTCTGCAGTGAATTTGTCTGGTGTGTTGGTACCCATGACTGTTGGACATGAACAGATGCATGTATTTTTGGCGCTCGCTACTGCTTTGATGTCTGCTCACCATGTCCTCTAGAAAGGCGGCTTTCAAATTGCAGTATGACGATTGCTTGCCATGTTGTGACATTTCAGGAGTTTTCTGCAATCTCTGCATTCCGATCATATTCATATCTGTTGCTGCTCTGGACCCCTATGGCTGGCCGCATGCGTGATTTTTTTGGTGCACTAATATTATGTACATCTATGTATCATTGCTGGACTTTACCACTGATGAAATGTTTTGTCTCACAACATTGCGCATTGCATGCAAATGTTGCTTCATGGCTGGCGACATGTTGCAAGCTAAAAACGTGGGGAATGCAATGTTTGAGCGGTCTGGACTGGCTCTACACACCCCACGCGCATGCACATTGCTGAAAGGTGACATGAAATGTACATCCCATGCACGCCCTTTCGTCCCAGATGTGAACTTGATAATCTACCATTAATGGCTTACCATGACCATCTCTCAGAGCAATTTTATTTTGGTGACATGCCTTCGAATCACGTGTGCACAGGTCTGCCCTGCTTATCCTGTCCTGGCCAACATGATGCATCATGCTCAAGAAGTGATGTCCAACCACTCCACGGGCAGCTTCAGGGCAGGCTGATAGCAATGTAGCACCACAAGTGGCTGCGTGATTGTGTAATTTGATTGCCCCAGCTGGTTGGGAAAGTTGGCAGACATAAAAACGCTCATTCGCACAAGAACATAAATTTCAATGCCTCATAAGCCACCCCAGACATGCAAATCAAGCACCCTTCAGGTAGGCATCATCCAGCAGCTTCTGAGCCATCTGGGGGTCCTTGCCGTCCGTGCCATGCATGGCTGCTATGAAGGGCTGGGCGTCTGCTTCCCATGGCTTGTCCCGGCTGAGGCGCTCCAGCATCAGCGACAGCTGGTATATGTCGCTGCGCGCTGAGTAGGTGCCGTCCTTCTCCAGCGTGTTGCCGTCCCAGTCACGCATCTTGACACCACTCTCCGGCTTGGCCCCCAGCCGGCCTGCATACTGCAGGTCACACAGGACAACCGTTGTGCGGTCCGCATTCGTCGCCCATGCCACGTTGGACTCCCGTATGTCGTAGTGGCCAAAGTCCTTGTCATGCATCGTCCGCACGCCAACCAAGCAGCCCTTGGCGACCGCCTTGAATTCCTGCGGTGCAGTAAGAACACAATAAGCTTTGCGCCAGGAGAGCACATAAAAAGTGGGGAGATGTGTACTGGAGCTGCAAACTGAGGGTGAGAAAAGATCATTGCGATTGCTTCCCCACAGCTGCACCTCTAAAATGGTATTGGGATCACTGCTGCAGCAAAAATAGCCAAACACGTGCCCTGGTGGGACAAAGCAGGGGTGTACCCTTTGGGATGTTGGCGGCTCCACTTCAAGGTCAGGCCCCAGGAGGCGCATGCAGATGGTGTAGCTGTCGGCGTCGGTGTCCCCGATAGTCTTGACGACCTTGACGATGCCATTCCGGATGTCCCCCAGATCGTACACAGCCTTCAGGTCCTCATCCGATAAGCCCAGCATCATTCTGGCTTTCCTCTCCCCCTCCAGCTTGACCTTCTTCAAGAAGCTGCAGGACACATGCACTCAGATCAAATGGAGCTATATGCTTGTAGAGCGCTGTCTGCTGCCCACGATAAGCGCTGCAGCGCGAAAGAGCTGGGTTCAGGTCAATAGGGAGGGTTGAGGAGGGCTGGTGCTGATGGACACAAGCTCACAAATTTCACTCCGTGACCACCCAAATTAAGCACACATTTTTCTATATTATCATGCAGCAGAGCACCCACCCCCTGTCTCCCGATGCAAGGATGACACGTTTTGTTTTGTTGCCGTTCTCGCGTGAAACCCAAACGTTGTTTGGGACGCTCCCTGCCAGATCCGGCAGCTTCATGGAGGCGAAGAGCCGGTACACATTCACCACCAGCAGGAGGAGGCGCACACGGTGCATGCGGTTCTCCAAATGGAATTTGAACTCATTGCCCATGTCGTGCACCTGTGCACCATAACACAAAACAAATTTTTGACATATCTTTGTATGCATGAGAAGAAGGGAAATGGCCACAATGTAGCGCGGCTCAGGAATATTATTGCGCTGCAAGTGGTCAAGTAAACAGAAGCACACCTTTCCATCCAAATCCATCCAGTGAAATCCGATCGTCGTCCCGCATGCGGTGTAGGCAAGCAGGTACTTCACAGGGCCATAATGCGTTGGGTTCAGTGGGACGGCTTTCTTCACGAGGTCTCCTCGAGCCGCCTTGAGGCCCACACCCAGATCCTGCACAGACATTTCCATACTAGATGTGCATGCTCCTTCAATTATCCAAAATGGCAGCGGAAGTCACATTGCCTGCACATTATTGCCACGACATCCTTCTCATCAGAGAACAACCATGCGCACCATTTGAGGACATTGAGTCGAGCACCAGCAGCTTATAAGCTAATTAGAGCCTCGTGATACTTGTATATGTTTCAGCAGCCATTACACGCACCTTGTCTTCCCCAACGAGGACCAGTCGGAAGTCTAGGGTTGCATGGAAGTCAGGCTGGCAGTTCATCAGGAGGCTGATTGCGGATGTGGTATTACTTGTGCTTGTATCGCGGTCATACTCAAAGTTCACATGCCAGCCTGGTCCGCTGTTCTTCTTCAGGAAATGCAATACGTTGCCGATGAAATTCTGGGAGATAACCATTGTATTGTTTTCTGCTCCTCCAGGGAAGAATTCCTGCCTTCAGACAATGTCAGAAATGTGTCTTAAATGGAGGGGCAGCTAGGTCCATGATCCTGGTGTGGGCATGCGAGACAAGTCTGAATGGCAGGCTTCAGAGTGACAATTGGAGGTGCATGAAAGAACTCGAGCAGCACACATTTCCGAGCAGCGCAGAGAAGTAGGTGACCAGATTCCCCTCCGCAGGGGTAAGCAAGTCCTCAAAGCTGGAGTCTGATGCCAAGAATTCCCAAAAGACCTGTGGCACGACAGGTAACTTGCGACCTGCCATGTCAGTCAGGAAGAACGGCATGTTCTCGACTGGCACTGCATCTGGTCGCTCCCCCAACAGGGCAGCAAGGGCTTTGCTTTGTGAACGACACGGATCTGCAAAGCATACACAAGCCATCATGAGGAGGCTCATGCAAATATGATGTGTGTGAGAATCCCCTCCCTTCTTCCTAATGAAGGCATCATTTGCAAGCAGCATGCAAACACGAACCAGCAGATTGTACCTGTCCGGGCCTGCTTGAATTGGGGTTCTTCTTGAAACCCTGCATACACAGCTACCCTGAGTATAAGATTCTCTAAGTCGCCACAATTTGATGGCCGCACAGATATCTACTATTTTGGCAGCAGACACCCCAATTGAGGTTTCAATTACAGCAGATGTGACAACATTACTAAGAACGTGTGCATACCTTTCGGATTGAAGTGCTGCAGAAGAAGATTGATGACCGGGGGGCTCAAATCACCGCCCTCATTTGTCGTGAACACGCGCTCCCGAGCGACCTTCAAGTGAGCCTCTGATGAGATCCCCTCGCGCAGAAGAACGCCCAAATGGTAATCGGTGATAATGTCGGCCGTCTCGCCTAACCTCTGGATCATGAGCTGTCGCAAGTCTGTGATCGACATCCTTGTCCTGCACAAACAAAGGACGGTGAAAAGGGCAAGAGAAAAGTGGCATGCAGGGCACTATGACTTGGGTGTTGATATTCAATACATTTCAGTAATTTACAAACCAACAATGCGAGAGAAGGACAATTCGCTGTACGGAGAGTGTGAATGAGTGCATAAGTAAGCCCACTATAACCATCCTTGGAAAAGATGGCATTTAGGGACGTACCTCAAAGGCGTCAGCTCAGCACCGGTAGATGCATACTTATTCACCAAGGACCGTTTTAAAAATAGATCATCATTGCCTGCGTTGCCTTAGTGACCAAATGGCTGTACATTTTCAATGAACATTTCTACCTGTCGAATGATCATCGCAATGAACGCGTTCTGAACGAGGTTGTTTTCTTACTGGACACAGGTACACACAAATTCATTATTCTGCTGCACAGCTGCTGAAAATACATGCTGAAGGAGAGCGTGCAGAAGACATCACACAGCATCCTCTGAAACCCCCTAGGTCAATCCCCGGGTGGGGGTGGGGGGAACCTAATTCATAAATCCTACTCATCGCATCACGCAAACGGCCTGTCCAAGAATGGGATCCGATTCCGAAAGATTGTCCGCTGGCGTGCAGCAATTTTCTGAGCAGACCAAGGCAAGAATGACAGATGTATAGCAAGCTTTCAATCGTCACGTCTCCGATTGGCGATCGAAAATAGATCTTGTGCAAGCATCGGGCTTCATCGATAGCTTCCTCCTAAAGGTTCAAGGGCCAACTTGCTCTGATGGCGATGATAGACGCGTGATTTCCTGTACACTGCCTAGTAAGATGATGGGCATAAGCGTTTCGATCCTTTGTGCAAATGACGGTGGCTGTGGCCTGTGAATGACCTATGACGTCAAGACAATATGCACACTGCGTATTTCTTCTCCGATTGGCTGTGTTCGCCCATGGCGTATTTGGTAGAGATCTCCAAATAGCACGATCCTCTCAAGCGCCAGCACCACCCCTGGAGCGGGCACAATCATCTGAGAACAGCACTTACGAGAAGATAATGGTCTTCAAGGTACGCTGCTGTAGAGGAGGGAATCGCAGATTCTGCATTTGAAGAACGTCACCTTTATCGAGATCCTGTAAACTCATTTCGACCTGTGCAGGACTGGAATGCACTGAGGGAAGCCTGGCAAGCGTGTTCAGGAGATGGGCTGCTCAGGAGCAGCACAGATGCCCCTGCCATGGACACTCACAGCAATGTGACCTCCAAGCAGCATGCCAATAAATTGTTAAGTGCTGCTAACAAATCCAGCTGTCACATGCCTGGCGCATGCTCGAGATTGTACAGCACTTCTCTTCCAGGTAGTATGGCGACTTCCCTGCCAGCTGCATGGAGACATCACCGTCTCACGAAGCCAAAGTTGACAAGGCCCTGCATGCACACAGCACATGGATGTGCATCTCCTTGGATTGGTCTCCTGGAGCTAAGTCCAGGATGCTCCGCTGCGCAGGGCTGGCTGGCAGTTTCACAGCTGCCCAATACAAAGTCTTTCTGGAGTGCTTCAGCCAGGGAATTCAGTATCATGAGGATGACATGCAGGTGTGTAGTCTTGAAGCTTTCAGTGCCTGTCCCACTTGTCGACAACGGGCATATGTAAGTGGCTGGAACGAACATGGCGTGACTGACAGGCTGAGACAACAGCATGCATGCTGGATGAAAGCTTTGAAGCTCCCCTTCATCATGTGCTGTCAGCATGGGGTGATGCTTGCTTGGAATCAGTTTTTCTCCTAGGCACACCATAGGCAAGAAACGGTGGTGCAGGTCTTTAAGGCAGAGGGGCCAACGCCCACAGCTGCTGGTCACATGAAGCGCCGAGGCTTGAAGGACGAGGACTCCATCCCCATTGCCGACAAAACAATAACAGGTAAATGCGCTGTCAGCACACGCACGCACTTTCAACTGTGACAAGGCTCCAAGATCGATATGTGGCGCAAGAGGTAGCCCTTCCTCTTTGGTCTGGCTCTGCCTTGATGTCTGCAATCTTCTTGCCTATTAATTGTCTCTTTACACAGTGGTAGACAGGGTACAGCTGCTTGTGTTCACTTCTGCTTTGAAAGAGCTCAGGTATGGAAATGTTGGACTGAGACAAACATGACTTCTGTGCAGGGGAGTTGGCAGGTGTAGACAACACTGAGACGTCCACAAACTCGCCCCAGATGTTGGCTCTGGCGGCCCCTGTGCAGAAGGGAGCCGCCAGTCTGTTGACGTCAGGGATGCTGTCATCTTACTTCAATTCCGGTGTGATCTGAAGAGAGTCCCATCAAATTTGAATTCACAATCCTGTGTATAACGTGGTCCTGCAAACGCTAGTATAATATACGAGTCCATGTTAGCAAAGCAAGAACAGCTAGCAGCCAGGTCAATGCAGGGCTACCAAGCTGCCCTAGAGTGTTAGAGGCACCTTGTCCTGATGCTGATCCAAATCGAAATGTAGCAAAAGGGCTGCTCGTCAATTACCGGCATGTTTAGCCAGCCCTGTTTCTGTGCAAACACTGTGTCTATTTTTAAAAGGGAATACTGGATTGACCGGGTCGTGCCGAGCAGGGTCGGATGGGGCGCTAGTGGGAGTGGCGGGGGTGAAGCAACAGGTGCTGCAAAAGGCATCCTGGAATCTGGATAGGATCGATCAGCAGGACCCCACCCTGGATGGCATCTACAGGTGCTGCCCTCCTGCGTCCCTCTGCGGTATAAGTGATGCCCCGATCAGTGCTGTTATTTGCCTGTATTGAGGAATGATTAAGACACCTCTGCGGTGAGTGTTTCAAGTGCCAACTCCTATTGTTTCCTGCCTCTGTGGACACACAAAAAATCTGTTTAAATACAGATTTGCAGTGGTGGCTGACATGCCGAGGAAAGGCATGTCAGCGGTGAGTAGAAAGAGATGGGAGACCGAGCATATTCTTTACTGCTACCAGGTTTGGGAGGCAGAGCTCTGTGGGGACGGGGAAGGGAGTCACAATCTATACCATCGATTCAGGCGTCAGGCAGAGCCACCAGGAATTTCAGGCCTGGAACGGGGGCCACGGCCGCGCCTCCTATGGGTGTGCACTGCTGCCCTGCTTTGCAACATGTGTGTATGATAGATTGATGCCCTTGTTATGTTTATCCATGACAAGCAGTGTTGCATTAGCATGCCTTTTTAAAGGATCCTGAGCACGACGCAGCACTAGGAAGAGTCACCTTGTCGAGCGGGTAGTGTTCACTACCCAGGATCCTGATGCGTTCGCAATGTGATTGCATTGAGAATGCATTGGGTTTGCCTCATATACAGCAGGGCATTCTGCTGCTCCCCAGCTGCCAACAGGTCATTCTCCCTAATGCAGGGCAGTCTGCTTCAAGACTCTCAGTGGTTCACTCTATCTTAGCAGCACTGTGCAAAAGAGTGTCACTAAAGTGACGCCCCTTGAGAGTTCTGATGCACATTTGTGGCCATGGCCAATGCCTTGGGCTTTGCCAATTCAGGCGTAACTTTGCCGGTGGCAAGAATGACGGGGACGCGAGCGATTGCGACGGCCACGGCACGCACGTTGCCTCCACCGCCGCCGGCCGCACCGTGGGCGTTGCCAAAGAGGCCTCGGTCGTTGCACTGCGCGTTCTCGACTGCGCCGGCAGCGGCCGCATCAGCGACGTGGTGGCAGGTGCGCTCTTATTTCGAAGTTTACATGCATCACCCGAGCTCTGCAGCAGAGGAATGTGGTGGCTTGTTGCAGGTTCTGGCACATGCATTAGCATGCATGCGCCCAGCAAATTCCTGGTAGCTGGGGTGCAGCAGAGGCCTCGCACCCGTCCTACTTCCAGACATCAAGCAAGGGGAGCATCAGGGAGAGGAAGGGCTGCCTCGCAAGTGAACATAATTTTTTCTTTTTTTGAAACTAGCAGGCTTGAATTAAATGCAGTCAATTCAGTCGCTGTTGAGTGCCGGCATGATAGCTGCTTGATGCGACATTTATACATGACACGCCTTGTGCGCAGCGCTGGACTGGCTGGCGGCCAACCACGCATCGCCGGCGATAGCGACCCTTTCCCTAGGGGTTCCCGAGGGGAAATGGTCCAATGCGCTCAGTGACACTGTGAAGACACTGATTGAGGATCACTCGGTGAGTCACCACCCTGCCGCCTCCCACACATGTGCAGGAGGCATCAAGAGCGCTTAACTGCACAATGTGAGCCTAACCCAGAGATGTCTATTTGTATGTTCACGGTACATGTGGCATGCGCATGCCGGCGCAGTTGATGGTCTCAAGAATGCTCACGGAGCCTGTGACAGAAAGGGATCATCACTCGGCGCTGGTCTTCGTGCTCAAAGTCTCAGCCCTGCAAATAAGTGATCTCACAAGTTCTAACTGCATGTGCAGGTGACAGTGGTGGTGGCGGCAGGGAACTCAGCGGTAGACAGCTGCCTGATGTCACCCGGCAACGTCAACGGCACGCTCAATGTGGCGGCCTCGGACCTCGGCCCGCAGAAGTTCAACGGCCCGCAGACTTCCGCCGCTGACAGCATCTACGAGTACAGCAACACCGGCCGCTGCATTGACCTGTTTGCTCCGGGCGTCAACATCCTTGCAGCCTGTGGCGGCAGCGGTGAATCTCTCACCGTGAAAGGCTTTGTTGAGGTTTTGCTGCTGATGAGGAGCCAGGCTTTGCAGCATGCTTTCCTCAGCAACTAGCTGTCAAGTTCTAAATGGACACATTGAACACTTTGCCTAGAACTGGCCGCACATGCGCGCAGCATGTGTTCCTGGGCGTGCGTGTCAAAAGGCTCAAGCCAGATGTGCGTATCCAGTAACAAGCGCCTTGGCGTCACTCTACATTGCAGGGACGTAGCTCCTCATGTAACATTTGAGCCAAACTGCCAAGGAGAAGTGATGTGCTGCAGGGCGGTGCAAGCAGCTGAATGATAGCTCGTACGCATGGGCATCGGGCACTTCCATGGCGGTTCCCCACGCGGCCGGTGTGGCAGCCATCTACCTGTCAGACCACCCAAGCGCAACACCCGAGCAGGTCTGCTCCAAATCTCTTGATCCTTTCTCCCCTCAATGCACCATTACACGCCCCTGCCATGATAGAGAGCCATTGTTCTCAGTCCTTATGCAGTCATGGACTAGGTGCATGCCTTGGGAACTGGAAAACGTGAAGCTTTTTTAGTCGTAGTGCTATGTGCGGCAAGCAACACCTGGGTTACTGAAAGGTGCTTCATGGGAGCCTGAAATGAGCTGCATCTAAGCAGAGACGCGATTTCAAGCAAGGTTTGTTGACTTGTTCATTGAGTGGGAGAGGTCAAGTGTCAAGTTGTCGGTGCTCCGGTCCTGCTATTTCCTTGGCCATGAATGGCAAATTACTCTTGCAGGAGGTGCACCTCATCAAACAAGCCAGCGCAACCTGATCATCAGAGGTGCAGATAATGGAAAGTGACTGACCAAGATATGTTTCTGCAGGTGATCAAGGCCATCATAAGTGTGGCTGGCCAGGGCCGCATCAAGTCATCTGCTCTGCTACCGGGCACTCCAAATCTGCTGCTGAGCTCTGACCTGTACGGAGACTACCGCTCTCGAGTCACCGCCGCTTCCGGCCCCTGAAAAAGGGGTTGACACATCCTTTAGTAATGCGTTGAACAAAGGTGCCAGGTTGATCCGCTACACATGAGGGGACCTGGTAGGCAAGGCAGGGATGCAAAGCCCGGACATATATATATATATATATATATATAATATAGATATAAGTCCAGGATGGCCAAGACAGCGATTTGGGATGCCTCCAGGAATCCCCAGAGAGTCGATCTCTGCCTGGCACAAGTGCCGGCAAGCAAAAATGTTATGGGCGCACCAGGGCTGGAACCCAGAGACCCAGAACTTTCTGGCCAATCCCAGGAGGGATCTTGCACCCTGCAGATCAGATGGGCGCAGAAAGGGGGATATGTGACTGCTGAAGCAGTTTGCACGTTTGGAGAGAGTGTGATGGGCGTAATTGGCAGCGCACAGAGAGCCCATTCAGTGTTAGGCGCCAGGCTATGGGAAGGCCTGGGATGTTTGGATCCCTGATTGGATCTCTTGGTGATCACGGTGGCCCCCTACTTGTCTGTGGTTGACTTCAGTGCCCTTAGGAACCTTGTGCGGTTGCCTCTCCGCCGTCGAAATGCTTTGAGCGCCATGTGAAAACCCAGGGAAGCACTTAAGTGCCCAATATGCATCGACTAAAAGATGAGTAATTCTGTGGCCCCTGACGGCTTCTGAACAGCTGCAGCCCAAAAGGGTGGGACTGGCGTTTGCTAGGAATTGCAAATCTCTAAAGTCTGTATCACCAATCTGACGAATAACAGATATAGGAAAGCTCAACTTGTTGTTTTGGCATGTATCTGCTCATGGGAAAGGCACCATCAGGCATGTCAATGGGGCAGACAGCATGTTTGGTCCTGGTTTTGTGATTTCAGATTGTAGGGAGGCATAGCTATACTATAGTGCAGGGCGGTCAAGGAGGTTCTTAGCAGCTTTGAGGCCATTTATGGCCATCTTGCTGCAAAGGTATCTTCGGATTCCCTTGTGTGCCCACTTGGAACGCATGAAAAAGTCTGCAATGGATCTTTGACCATGCGGGAATTAGGCAACTCTTGGTTTTGAGTCCCTCACGAATGTTCTTTTGATGAAGAAAGAGCATCAGACCGGCAGTGGATGCCTTTCTTTTTCCAGCCTGTGCATGTTTAGGAAGGCATTTGCAGCTTTCACCTTCTTCTGTACATGTACATGCCTGCTGGTGCAGCAGTGCAGGTTTCATTTCGTCTTGCTGATAAGGCTAGGAGGCTACCTTAGAACTTCAAGTGGCAATGTCCAATTTTTGGGTGTGATGTCACATGTGTCGATAGTATGCTTTGCGCGCCGACCCTTGGCTTTTCTGGCATGATTGTCTTGTACCTTTAATCGCTCTGTCGATCACAACATCAATATCAATGTGAATATATTTCACAGCTCAGGATGAGAGCACCCAGCCTGAGATGATGGGCAGGCACACAAGACAGTAACTTCTTAAGGCTCCCCTGATTTAAAATTTGGAAGACCTCACTTGGGAGCATACATCTGTTTATAACGGTAGAATACACGTATTCGTATGCTAGTGAAGTGAGCTGCCATCAGGTGCGCTTGCAGGAATAATACTAGTTGTCACATGATTTATGTATGCCAAAAGCTCTGATGAGATCTGCAGAGCTGCTGACCTTGCCCAATATGGCACGCTCTGAACTCGAAGAGGATGTCCCCACCGTTCGCCAACTATAATGTAGCAACCGTGTGGTTTCACAATAATCACCATCATGAGTCATCAGTACTAATTTCCTGCCAGGACTCATGCCTCCTCTTCCAGATCCGCCTCATCAAGTGCCTGCACCACAAGATCAGAACGACTCAAACAAAACCACCTTTGCACCTGTCATTCGTGCTGTCCTGTCATCAATCACTCCAGGAGCATTTGTTCAGAGGCCACAGATATGAGAGGCCTACAATGTGCTGCCCTAAAAACGCATGTAAAAACAGAAGGGGAATCCAGACATGCAGGCAAAGCAAGTGCCAGAGATGCAGGAAGGGCTGTCTTGTGATTGAGCATCATAAACACATTTCCTAAACAGGCTGGATCTAGCATGCAGAGGGAGGGAACGCACGTCCTTGGCGACGCGGCCTAGGTAAAGGAGCGCAATGGCGGTGAAGCCGAGCGCAGCCGCCACCTGCCACGGCTCCACCGCGAGGCCCTCCCCACTGCCGTCCAACAGCGCCCGCCCGTAGCTGCCTGCGCAGCCACAAGAGCACCCATCAGATTGCAGCTTCTGCCGGCTATTTGCGTGGCGCAGCAACAATAGCGCCCTTTAACTGTGCTGCTTTCTGCTATTGCTTACGCGGAATTGCCGAGAGTGGTGCTGGTGCAGAGTGACAACCAGCCTTTGAATTGCAGTCATTTTGAAACTCTGCAGCGCCTGCCTTGGACACCAGAACATATTGGACCATTACCGAGACAAAGGTTCATCCAAGCAAGCTTGCTTGAGCCGCTGGTGCGTACACGGTTGTGCCAGAGGAGGCATACAACCTTCATTTCAAGCCCAGGTGGAAAACCCTACTGCGCAAACCCACTCATATACAAGGTCTTGCACCTCTTTGCAATCCACCTCTGTCCCAAACTCTCGATGGCGTCCCACACAAAAGCCATGCCAATGACTGGCCAGGACAGGTACACATCACAAGAGGCCTGCCCTGGCTTCCTTCAGCAGCAAACAAAACAGACAAAGAACAGAGAAAGGACAACGAGAGGAGAAAACCCGTCAACATCCACGAGGAGGACAGGTGCGTGCCTGCAGCCACGTAGGCGATGGTGCCGGGGAGCATGCCGGCCCAGGAGCCAGCCACGTAGGATGGCAGGTCGACACTGGTGAGGCCGTAGAGGTAGTTGCTGAGCGCCAGCGGCAGCAGCGGCGACAGCCGCAGCAGGGTGACCACCTTGAGCCCGTTGCGGCCGATCGCTCGGTCTATCGCCTTGAACCGCGCGTTCTTCTGCGCCAGCTCCAACACCCGCTCTCGCGCTGCGATTGTGACATCAGTCGTGCTTAGTGGCAGGGAATGACCTGATGTTCAGTCATGCTGAGTTTGCGCATTGCGACGACAATATCACTTTGCTTAGTGACCTGCTGGCAGGCGGCAATGATCTTCAATTTTGTCAAGCAGAGTCACCCAATTGAGCGCTGCAATAACGGCGGCGTACTTTATTCCCAGTCATCTGCAAGTTGGCAGCATGAAGTTTCTGCCAGTTTTCTTTTACCCTCCTGCAGCTGCCCTGAAAAAGATGCCCACTGCAGAATTTTGTGAATCCCAAATGTGTCACTCCTTCTGTTCCATGCCAGCATCCTATTACTGCTTGCGTATTTTTTGGAAACTTCATCAGTTGGGGGAAACGAAAAAATGCTGCAACACCCCATAGCCGTTTACTGCAGTTCAGCTTGCCGCAGAATGCTATCACCTTCAAAAGGTCACTCAGCAAGACCTGCAGAGGGTGTGGTGGCACGGGTGTAAGCGACAACTTGTCACACACCTGCATATCTGGCGATGAGGAAGGAGACAGTGGCGGCTGCAGTAGATGCAACAGAGACAACGCACACGCCGGGGCCCACGCCAAACAGCAGCCCGGCCGTCATTGTCAGCGGCACTGCCGGGAGCGCCAACACCTCCAGCGCTGCATAGACCAGCCCATAGGCAGGATACCTGCGCAAAAGAGAGTGACGTCACGAGCTGCGCAAGATGCGGACTTGTTTTGAGAACTGGGCCCAAGCCACGGATCTCACTGCTGTGAAGTGTTGACTATTGTGGGCCTGGGCTTGATGGCAATTGAATGTTAAGGACTGAGTGCACGGTAAGTGGGAGTGAAGTCTGAACACAGCACAGTGATATATTTTATCCGTGGGGGAGACTGGCCATGATGCAACAGATCCACTCTTCATTCATGATGCATGACAGGCCGGCACGAGCTGTCATGAAATGATGAACATAGGACAGTCATTCCTCATTTCAAGCCGATGAGAAAGGATCCCGGCACAGGCAGTGACAGTTTCCCACAGTTGGAGTTTTCCTTGGAGTTATGTGCACCTGAGCGGCCCCCATGTGTCCACCACCTCCACAAAGTAGTCGATGAACTCCTTCAGTTGTCCCTTGAACACAAAGCCTCCGCCCACAAGCAGCCCGAGCCCGATCACCACCGCTGCCGGCGCTAGGTAGGCTGTCCACTTTGCCACGTCAGCGTCCGCGTCATCGACTCCCGGGGATGCCCCATTCCCTGACGTGGATACCTGCTCCACTTCATCATTCCTGTTTGGACAACATATTCCTGGGGTTAACACAAATATACACTCCACCATGTCATCTGGTCACTAACTAGAGTGGTCCGCACGTATGCTTGCTTCAAGAATTCCGGGTCGTCAGCTTTCGCTTAGTATGTAATCTGCTGTTGTTTCGAGCTCCACAGCCCTTGCAATTCGATTGGGCAGGCCGTGAAAATGATGGCAACAAATTCTCAGGTGCTCCTCCAGATTGGGCGGGCTAATGACCAGAGGAAAACATGTGTGGTCCAGGAATGGGCCTTGCATACGAAGTCCAGCTGGGGTGTCTTTGTCGACACTCGTGGCGCCGTTCAGAGACCATGCATGCGGGCGCATGTGATCATAGAGCGCTTGGGAGCTTGCATAAGTGAAGGCATGAGGGTCAAGCTTGGCGACGCACGCTCTGCCGAAGGAAAGGGCTTGATGGAGGCCCCGCTCCTTCTCTTTTTGGTCTTGTGAAGTGGACACTGCCCTTCGTTCCTCTTTCTCGCTCTCCACTGCTGCGACGCATACGCCTGTCCCCCTGCTGCTGCCTCGTTGCCTACTGTGCTGTCTGGCAGGCGCAGCTCTCTGTCCATCAGAAGACATCTTCTTAGTAGGGCTGTCAGGCACCATGCGTACCCAGAGATGTGGGAACACCCCGCTTTGCATCCAACAATATAAGCAAAAATATGCTCAAAGGCCATGGGGTATTCCGCTTTGTCCAAAGCTGGCGTGATCTGGTAGAAGAACTAGTGTGGAAGCAGGTGAGTAGGACGAGCCCTAGATCAGATGATGGGAGTTGCCTTCTCCGTTCAAAGTCGTGAATACAATGGGATAAATCTGATAAACTCTGGGAAAAAAAAATTGAGGCATTAGCAGCCCAGATCATGATGGTACACATCAGGAGAGATGTATGGGATGGGCCCAGACCTTCCTGAGCCTCTGGCAATCGATGCTGTGGTTTGCAAGTCCCTTGTTCGTACAGGCGGCCTTCCCGAAAGGCTTTGCACTCCTAACTCTGCTGCTGCAGTGTGTCAATGGACTCGAGGGCCCCATGTTCATACTTTTCGACGAACCAGGCTGTCGAGAAGTCCACAAGCTGCTTGCAGAAGAAGCGCACAGGGAAGAGGTACAATGGGAAGTATTTTCACTCACAGATTGATAGGAACTCAATTGGAAGTAGGATGGAAGCAAGGATGTGTTCCAGCCATTGGGAGGGGATCAACAGATGCCTCGCAGCTCCACCTCCAACAGCCAAATCAGGACGTCTCCCGTGCAAACTCCGACATGAATTTCCGACATCAACGCCCAAGAGAAGTACCGATCGCCCTTGCTGTTGCTTCCTTCGATGATGATCGTTTCCTGGGCAAGGCCAGGGTGCTGTACTTAAATGGGGCGTAGCTGCAAAGGCAAGCAATTTTACTCTATTGATCTTGAAACTTTCTAGTACTTACCCCAGCGACGAGATGTTTTGCTATTCCGTTGCGATCAGGATTCATAAGATGCATTAAATTTATGATAATGTTGGGTTTGGCCTGCATTACAGAAATTCCGATCTCACTAGCAGGCTGTGGGTTCTTGCAGGGACATCACTGTTGTTCCTCGTAGCGGCTCTCTGCCTGTATCACGTCACAAAAGGGTACGAGGAAACTCTTGAAGATTCAGGTAAGATGTGTTCTGCGATCCGGGCTTTTAGCTGAAGATGACAGCTGTCCGAATATCCGATTTCCAAGAATGTGTCTCTGGCGCAGGGTTGCAATTGGCCGGACGCAGCCTGCTGGAAAAGGAGCTTCCAAATGGCACATTCAGTGTCTTTTCAGCCCTCCATGACCCCAAGTCAGGTATATCAGCACCACCTGGCCTGCACTTTCTTGCAGCAAAGAACTTGCCTTGCTATCAGAACCCAAGAGGGCCTTGCTGAAGAGAGAGCCATCGGCTGCACAAGATAAAAAGGCAGGGTGTGGAAGCAGTCATCATGCTCCTGCACAGGTGAAGCGCGCATTTATGCCGAGGTGCACCCGGACACAGTGTGCTATTCGGTCGCCGCCTGTCAATTCAGCGTGAGGGGCGAAAACAGGGAGACGATACGGGTGAAAGCCCGGGCCGAGGTGCCCTTTGCAGTGCTGAGCGACAAGCCGCAGCTGCGGGAGTGCTTCATCTTCTGCAACCTGCCCGGGCCGGGCAGCGATCTGGAGGAAGTCGCCATCGAGGATGCCGACGGGGAGGCCATGGTCACATGGCCTGTGGAGGTACGCCCACAAACAAATTACCCACACAACTTTCAGCTGGCCAGGGCTGGTACCATGAATCTCAAAAGGAATGGCACAATCGTTGCGGCAGGCACTAAAAAGCCAAAGTTTGATTGCATTCATGCGCATAGCTTGTCTTTTTCTGCACTTTGTCTGCGGACGCCCCGTGCCTCTGGAAGGAGGAGCGCAAATACAGAGGAAAAGTAGAGTCACACGTGACATCCTGCCAGCAGACGAGTCCGACTAAACAAGATAAAACTTTCTTTGAAATGAATCTTGACACGCTCTGCCCACATGCCTGCAGGAGGTGGAGCGGCTGCCAAAAGGGCAGGCCAAGGGGGTGGGAATGTGCGTGGGGCCCATTTTCTCAGAGACCCCCACATTCCTGGACTGGCTGCAGTACTATGCGGATCTGGGCGTGGATGGAATTCACATGTACGCGACAGTCGCAGAGTTCATACTGCACCGCGACGACTACATGCACATGCCCGGCAGCCGCCGCTCGGTGCAATTCCAAAGCCACCACCTGATCACATGGAGAGCCTTCCACCCCTCCAGATGGTCCCAGCACTACTACGGCCAGGTGCGCTGCGAGCTGCAGTGTCAGTGCTTGTCATTCATCTGCTCTTAACTCTGGTCTTTTTGGAATATTTGCTAGTCTGTGGTTGAAAGGAGGCTGAAAGAAATACATAAAGAGCATGCCCACCACTGCCAACTGTGGGCATCTTTTCTGCGCATCATGGAAGGGACTTGAGTGATTCTGGCCGCAGCCATCAGCTGCGACATCATGTTTGCGACCACGCCTTACATCTCAGCAGCGAATTTCACAAGTGCAATAGTTTTACTGGGGCTCTAATGTCACTGTGTCTTGAGCATTCGTCAGAATACATGATGAGCTGCGCGTCTGTGGTGCAGTGGCTAATCTTCAACGACTGCGTATTCCGGACGCGCAACATATTTGAGTTTGTCATGTTTCATGACCGGGACGAGTTCGTGCACATTGTTGGCATGGACAAACCACGTCAGGTAAAGCTGAAGACAACGAACGTTGTATGCATGCACCCATAGTGTGTGTGTGTGTATGGCAATATTCCAAAGGACCCTTACAAACCACTGAAAAGACAAAGATATGGTCAGCTTACTGAGGGGACCACTGCTGCCTGGCCATCCCACCGCAAGCATGCACCCTGCGCAATGTCCCTGTGCGGGGACAGTGCGATTGGCCCCTAGATATATGACAAAGATTTGTGCTGCAAGAAGCACGAGAGATGGCAATGACGTTGGTGCTGTCTGGCCAGGTGAAATTAAAGCAATTTTTTGAAAAGCAGTTTGGAGCGCCAGACGTGGCCTCGGTGGTGTACTGGGGAGGCCTGTATAAGATACACTGCCACATGGTCAAGGTAGGCCTAAGACTCCCTGCATTTGTGGTGCTCTAGAGCTCCTGACACGTCTGTGAAACCGGGAGTAGCGCCTATGGGTTTCCTTCACCAACTGCCGTTGCAGTTGAGAGGACACCTCTTTGATTGATGTAACTTGCCTAAAACACGTGCAATATATTGGGACAAAGCCTCATCTACAGGAAGCTGGCTGCTGGTGGACCTATCTGCTGTAACAAACATGTATCATGCGCAGGTGGGGAAGATTGGGTCAGGGGGTTTGGCGCACGGGGAGGTGGATTATCAGGCCTTCCAGGGGTATGATGTGTGGACTACGGATCCGCGCACGCCAAATTTTACGGGGTGCAACTGGAGAAACTGCCATCCCAAGAGCGTGGTGCGGCCTCTGGCGGTGGATATAATGAGCGTGCACCATGTGGGGCGAATTAGGGAGGGGTTTATACAGGGGGATCCGAAGCTGCTGCCACCCGAGGTGGTATTTATTAAACACCTGCGCTGCTCGATCCGAGTAAACACCTCTGACTGGGAGACGGATCTGAGCAAGTCCCTGTGCTCTGTGGAGGACATAGTGAAGCCGGACAACCGGTTTGGGGGCGTTCCTGTCTGCCCCCTGCATGAAATCGAAGCTGTACGCAATAGCAGCTTGACAGAAAAATTGCCGGCATGAGGCAAAGAAGACCCATAGAGAAAGTTGAGGAGCAGGTGATCAAAACTGCGCTTGATGTTCGACAGGAGACATCTCTTATGTTCAAATTGGAAGAATCCACTCGAATTTTTCACTTGCAAGGATATGTGGCGACATGCTCATCATGTGACATTGATTGCAGATGTGCCTGTTACCTTCTTGAATCATATGCCTTGTATGAAAAAGGGTGCTTAGAGGGACATTACCCGCTGTTCCACTGCAGCCAGCTTCTTGTCATGCAAGAAAGATGTGTGCAAGGTTGCTGACTGCCTAGATGGGAGAATGCACAATGGCCACTTACACACAGTAATTTACTGCATAAACAAGAACACTATTTGGATGGGCCACTGCGCAACAGTCAATCACTGCACACCTCAGACTTTCAAAATCGTGACCCATGCTGCTCAAGAGCGCATCTGTGCAACTCGGACCTCAACATGCACGCTGCTTCTAGCATGCAGTGGATCCGAAATGGCTCTTAGAAAGCATGCACATGCATGCAGAAAATAAAACAAAGCATGCAGACCTCAAACAAATTTTCCCTCCAGTGTAATCTGCCCTGTGAAAAAAAAAACCGTAGCAATTTGCTCCCTCCATACTACTGTCTTGAAACTCAAGGAGCTGCAATTGCATTCTGCCTCAATGCAGACCTCGGCCAAAATGGCTTGCAATTGCATTGGCCGACCTAGTTCCCCTGAAATCAACAGGGTCACTGCTACTTAATGGCAATTGCCATGCAGCAATTGAAAGATAAGGGTGTTGATGTTATAAAGGCGCTTGTCTTATTTCCAACTGGTGACAGTCAGCATACATGGCCTCTGGTACTTCTCCGTCAGATCGGATATGAGGCTCTCACTGTTCTTGAAAATGCAGTTGAATCACTGCAATGAGCTTTGGTCAGTTCTCTGACCCAAGCTCTGGGTCTGTATCAATTTGACCAATACTCTGGCCCATGCACGTGGCGCCTTGGCCCTAGCCAATGAACCAAAGCAGTGGCTACCAGCAAACAACTCAAGGCAGCCAGAAAGGCTGCCTAAAACTGGCCCCATGGACCAACACCTCGCCATGTAAGGCCATCACATCAAGGAAACACCCCTAAAGGGTAGTGTTATCTGCTGTGGCAATGCTGCTAGCACGAATGTGTGCGTCTATGTGCCGTTCTCAAATTCTGTGAAAGAGTCACCCTTCCAGATTGGATGCTGTTGCGCGATTGCACCCACAATCTCAATTGGCGGGTCTCCTATTTTGATAAGTATGCCGATGCTCATCTTTTGAATGCCTTGGCCACAATACTGGGTCCTGTCAACCAGTGGGCCGATGAAACTGCAGAAGCGTGCCTAGAGTCAAAGGCTCTAGCGCTCCATGGAGGCTGGGTATAAGCCACTGGTGGTCCAGTCACCCTCCGCACATGTAGTTGTACAGGATGGTGCTCCAAACATCTCGCGCATGCTGGCAGTAGTGGGTGCAATCTATCTCCCCCTCCTCTCGCCCGCGGCCGTATATGCCGTGGTGAAGATTGTGGGCGCCCAGCGAGGCCTGATCAACCACACTCAAATCTTAAAGGCGCTATGAAAGATAGATAAGGAGGTTTGCAAACACAACATGGCTCTCCCACAGCAAGTGGACATCTAAGGAGTACGGCACATGACAACCTTGGACTTTATGCCCGTGAGAGGGCTGCAAGCTCACCAAACTGTAACCTACAAACCAGGCTGCACTCTCATATTTACCCACTTTGTGCCGCAATCTTTGTCAATAAATAAACACCTGGGAATGAAGGCTGCTGCAATACAAAGGGCTGGAAGCAAGGTTTGAGGCAGTTCTCGTAATCACATTCTGACATTCAATTCAGTGACATACTGAACATTGTTGAAGATATGCAGGAAGCAGGGCTGCAGCCGCAGGGATCACCTCAAATAGGGGAAGAATACCAATGTGGGCGCAAGGCTGTCCGCAACTCTTCAGCATGTTGTGCATATGCTGGTCAAACCAGTACTCTCCTATTTTGGTGGGTTTGCATGCATCCAGCGGCGGGATTCTGTCTGGCAGCTCCTGTTGAACCTGCATGCACAAAAAGCCATCTTTTCACGTCCACACTTGACAACGAGACCCTCAGCCTGCTGGTCTGAGCCTTCTTGGCTGACGATGCGCAGACGCTAGCTCCCTTTCTCCTGAATCAAAGGCACTTGCATGTGCACAAACATCTCATGTGATTTCGCAGCAGAATCCCTTGTTGTCATAAAAAATTAGAAATACTGCAACAAGCACCCAAGAATTTCCCAATTGCCATCAGGCTTGGGCATTTGCGTCAACATGCATGCAAACAGTTGTGCACCCGCATGCATGCATATACAGTGATGAGAAGAGCATACCCCTGTGAAAGCACCCGTCTCGCCATCATAATGGAAGGTGGTATAGCCCTTCCAGATGACCTGCGCAGATGAAAGCTGCCTCAGGTGCTGCAGCAGCCGATAACAATACTTTACACCATCAGCCTCCTTTTGCAGTGATCTTTTGACCAAAGGAAGTCACAAGAGGTGCCTTGTATCACATGTGCAATCGAGAGCCAGTCTTGCATCCCTATCAATCCCAAGACAAGCTACGGCAGTTCGGTAGATCAGACGCAGGGTGTCTGAAGAACAAGGAAACCGATGCAGTCAGAGCCTTGCTGCTTGCCGCAATACATCAGGTCTCAGGCCTCTGCGGCCCTGCAAGGACTGACATAATGCCCTCAAAGGTTATGCATGGTGGGAACCCCCTGATGCCAAGTTACGCAGGTCGCAGCACAGCACAAGTTTTAGACATACAACATCGCAGAAAAGCTATTTTGTGCAAAAGTCATGCACGCACCTGCGCAGGGTAGTTTTTAAGACGCTCATGCAGCAGCTCATAGATGTCATGCTGCCAGGCCTGGTACTCCTTGGGGCCCTTGTCAAAGAAGAAGCGGTGGTACCAGGCACCGAAGTTGACTAGGATGGTGTCCCGCTTTGTGATGGGCTGCAGCTCGTCTATCACTTTGTCCCACAGCGTCAGGTTGAAGCGTCCAAAGCCGTAGAGCTTGAACTCGCCTCCCCCCTCTAGAAACATCTCCCCCGTCACCTGCACATCAGCGCATATTGTAAGGACGCTTGACAGCCATGGAGTTCTGGCACCTTGAAAGCATGCGTTAGCCATTGAAGACCTGTTTTGCAACTATGTGAAATTCAATACGTACTTGGCAGGCTCGATGCACACAACACACAGATCAGCGCGCGCTGGAGTACTTGCTCGTTTCCTGTAAGACCCTTCCTTTCCTTCCAGCGAAGCAGCATGCATGAGCCCTTTGAAGCCCCATGTATTTGCGCAGCTCTCCAAGCTCGATATGCATGTGACAGGTTCGATGGACACAACACACAAGAGAGCGCACATGCTTTTCAATCCTTGTCAGCAATATAAAAGCAAAGATACCACCCACCTGCTTTATGGCCTCCCCTCCCCTGGACATGTACTCAATGTTGTCGTGGATCTTGGTGATGTTAGAGACCTCCCACGGCATGTGCCGGCCGCTCTCAATTCGATTCCGCAGCAGGCACGCCAGCGAACTGAAGATCCCATTCATGGTCGAGTCGCCGATCATGATGAGCCGCCGGCCCGCAAGGCACTTGTCAAAGCCCCTGTCGCTGAAGGGCTGCAGCTCACACCTGCGGCAGCGAGACACCACAGCCCTCATCACACTGCCCCATTTGAGAGGATCTGGCAACAATAAAAGCCATGGCTGCACCATCATCGTCAAAATAATGCGCAGGAGGGTGAGCGCGCAGATGCTAAGGGGCCAAACCCTTGAAGAAGACAGGAGCACCTCACAGTAATCCAAACAACTCCCCATGCAGCTGGAAGTCTTACCGACAAGATAACAATCTGCATGATGGCTTCTTTGTCTGCAGCACTCATCGAGCATTGCAACTGATCAAGCATCTGCAGGGTGCGCAGCGAGGGCGCACTTGTACGGCTGGAAGACCTTGTTGAACTCGGTCTTTGCCAGTTCCTTGTTGCGGTGATACAACTCCCCGGCCCCCGTGGTGCAGTCAAAATCTTTTGCAAAGTGAGGGCACTCTCCATGCTCGTAGTCACCCGCCCATGCCGTGTCTGCGTGTGGCACCCACTCCCCCGGCAGCGACCCAGACTGTGAGAACATGTCCCTGGCGCGGCAGGCCGGCCGGTCCCCGGTCATTCCGTAGCCGCCGCCGCGGTGAGTAATGTGGTGGTGCTCGTGTGGGTGGGCTGTGTGGTGCGCTGCTGCAATGGCCGGCCGCAGAACCTTCTTTGGATGCATGGCCCCCGCCGTCAGCTGGTGCGTCGCATCGTCTGTCGCTGCAGCGCTGCCGTCCTCAGCGGAGGCCTAAATGGACATGCTCACGATTGCTTGTCTGGGTGGGTCGTGCGTTGCCCCGCTCAATGAGAAGCAACAAGTAGGGATCTCTCCTTTTGCGCACTGGAGAGTGTTGCGGAGGCCAGCTGTCGTAATGTATAATGAAGCAATGCGGAATGCGGAAGCCAGGAAATCAAAGCTGTTGATTGTGGCAATGCATATTTGCTTGAAGACTTTTGTGATCTGACCAGCAGACTGGGGTCTCCCTGACAAGGTTTGGGTCCTTCTATAGGAACGCACCACTTTGGAAACGGTATCTAAATCTTCTGGGTGCAGTCGATGAGATCGTTGGCCCGTTCGAACATGCTCCTCTGCAAGTACCACTGTGGTCTGCAAGATGCAGAGCAGGGTGGCCACGGCAGAGACCCAGGCCCAGCCTCTTCTGTGCCGCCGGGCAGTCATATGGGGATCGATAAAGAGTCTCACATGTCAAGTGCATCATCCCAGCCTTTTATGCCACGCCCTTCAGGGCTAACGACCATCATATGAAGAACAGGCGGATTGCTGTTTCTCGTGCTGCTGATCGTGCAGCCTGGTGGATATTAGAGCATCCGTTTAATCTAGTACTGCATACATTACACGGACAGTCCGACTTCAAACAACCCCGAACTTACCTCGCGACAGAAAGGAGTTTCCGCAATTAACGCGTTCGCAGGCGTTCCTTGCAATTGCACGCGGTTCCGGAACCACCGCAGCTGCGCCATGATCTCTGTTCATTCGTTGATAGCAAATTCTTTCTCCTTCTCGAAAAAGAGTGGCATTCGCTTTGCACATAACTTACCAGGTCGATATTGCGGCCAAGTATCCTGGCAAAATGGAGAAGGCTGGCTGCAGCTGCTCATTCCAGCAAGTTGGTAATATTATTCTGCCAATTAGGATCGTGCACCACCCCAACATGAGTCAAACAATTGCAAGAACGTTTTTGCACGCCAAACAAAGAGTAGAATGCAGACAATTGGCCAGCGGCAGACGCTGCAGGCGATACCTTCTGCGAGCAGCAGCCCCACCCGATGTGGAGGCTGAGCGTCCGTCAACCAGCGGTGTGTATCACATAGTTTATATACAGACAGTATAAAAGTATTCTGCGGTGTGACACTGAGCGGACATGGGCTTGATCTGAATCTGTTGTCCTCTATAGGGACTACAGAGATCGAGCTGCAAGGGAAGACATATCGTGTGCTCCAATTGGTGAGGCATTTCATGGCGTTATCGAGGACCTCAGTCAATGTGGCTTGTATACTTGCAACCTTGCAATCCACTTTCCAAGGACCCAACGTAAATAGCAGATCTCAACACTGCATCTTTGCCTGTCTTGGCAGGAGGGCTGCGAGTTTCTGATTCTCACTGATCCAGCAGGCAGGCTGGACCTGCGTGATGCCTTTGTACATGACTTGGAGCTGGACATATACGCACGGCCCACAGTCAGCGATAACATGCCCGAATCACCCGTGCGCTATGTGGATGTGCCCTGGGTTGTGAAGTACTCTGGTGACAGTGTATACGGCAAAAGTCCCTGGCAGCGGGTGAGCTATAGAGCCTTCCTAACCCTGCAACGCCGTGAGTCAAAGCATTGCATGCAGACCTTCCTTGCTTTCTTTCGAGCCTCCCCTGACAGAGCTCAGGCGAGTGTGAAAGGCCCTTGCCAGCCTGCCTGCAGATTGTTGATCCGGCTGTATTCATTGCTACTGCAGTCCGCGTCTTGACGTTCCCTAATAAAAGAATTTGAATGAGCAAGTCTTTCTGTGGCTGGCAGGTGGAGCGGGTGTATCTGGTAGAACTGAGGGATCCTGATGAGAGAGCAGACTTCTCCTTGAACCTGGAGAATGTCTTTGTGCTGGATCGGCAAACCAAGGAGCTAAGTCGCGGCCAGGTCATACGAAATGAGAGCATCAATGCGGACACAGATGTGACCACTCTCACATTGCGAATACGGTGGGTGGTTGCCTGACTCCTGCACTGGGGTCAAAAGCTTGTCTGACTGAACATCTACAAGACACGGGTGCCTTATTGGCATAAGAGGACAAGTTCAGCATTGTTTCAAATTGCTGCAGACACTCACAGGGAGAGCGCCATCGAGTGCAGGTTGCTCCTGGTGTTGGCTCTGCTGTGTTTTCAAATTGCTGCAGGCACTCATTGGAAGACTGCTGCTGGTGTAGCCGAGGGCATCCTGTGCTGACCGGCTGTGCTACGTTGCCAGTTAGACTTAGCTTTTGTTCCTGAAAATTTGCAGGAAGGATGGTTTATACCTGGACAGGTACGAGGACATGCCAGACATCGAGGAGATCGTTGGGAACGCAGAGTTGGAAGGTGAGTCAAGCAATACATCTTCCACACTCTTGGTGGGAATGTCCCAGTGAGGTGGAAGATCATGCTAGGGGGAGTGGATGGCGAGCTGAAGTTTCTTTTTGGCATAGAGCTGCACATTTCGGGATGGGTCTCCTCCCATGAGTGTTTACCACCCCCCTATACACCTGCATTGAGTTGAACAGCTCAAGCATCGTACTATCGCAAGCTCTGTAGATTCAGTCCCTTCTGGACCTAGCTGTTTGTGCACAGTTCAATCCCAGCTGCACTCGCGCAAAGCTGGCTTATTATGGATAGGGCATGCGCAAACTCAGATGTTTCCGCCTTCTGCCGGCAACAACAAGCTGGAAATTTACATGCGCAACTGGTGCAATTTGGGGCTAAGATTGAAAAGGTTTCCAGCTTTATATTTTGGAGGAAGACCAGACCCTACTATATGCCACTGTGTGGCGTGTGATTACGTGGGATGTATGCTTGTAGCGCTTAAAGAGCAACACTTAAAGTGGAGCGAAGTGCGGCAGTAGATGCCGCACCGGAGGGAACGCCGGAGGATCCCTGCACCTGCGTGACATGTCACCGGCATCTGTGCATGCAGCCAGTCAATAGAAATACCTAATCAAGACAAGTAATGAGTGATCAATATCACATGGCGCAGCGTGGGAAAGGGAGCAGAAGCGGGCGCGGGAGAAGACGGCAGCGAGTGTGGCGAGTCTTGTGGGCAGCGGGGGCAAGGATGATGGTCCTGACATTGTGCAGCCGTCCATGGGAGACGCAGATGAGCCGCAGGACCCAATTAACGCGATGTCCGACAATGACTTTGATGGCCCGGAGGACACGCCCGCTGTGGACTTGGGCTTTTGAGAGTGCGTCTCTCTTGTACTCTCGTTTGCTGGACGCACCTTGCCTCTTGGCAGGAAAAGCGTGTAATAATAAGAAAATAGCAAGTATGCAGCATCACATCTAAATGCCCCACCATGCAACCCCGAGAAGGGCCTGTTTGCCCCCTTTGTGGTTGTGCTAGGTGACATTGGGCCTGGTGCATCTAGCTCAGTTTGATCAAGTGATGCATGCACATGCATGTGTAATCGCCCCTAAATTAGAGATAGTGGTATGCTGAAATCAAGGCAGAGCTCTGAAGTTTGGCCTTTCGTTACCAACAGATTCTTCCAGCTATCCGCTGCGAGTTGATATGCTCAATGATATGCAATTGCCCCACTTCTGTCGATGATTGGGGGTCTGGAATTCCAGGCACGAATTCACGAGCTCACCCCACCTAGGACGGCACACGCAATGCACACACATGCCGAAAACATAGCAAGTCTTCAAAGATTCCACACAGATAAACACAAACTACTAAAATAAGCTTGATATGCAGCCACCATTGCACCTATCTCAAAACTTCTAATTATGCAAGAAATGCACACAGATGCCTCAAATTACCTCAGCACCTGACCTTATTAAGCATTGCAACACTGGCGTTTAATTAGCCTCTTGCAGAGGGCAATAGCAAGCACAATAAGGGGAGTAAGCACACAAAGAGAAGTCATGATCAATATTTCCATGTTTGCTATTCTTTCCTCAGACAGAGCCCTTCAATGTAATTTACTGTGCAGAGACCACCTGCCTCCACAAGTACAGAGCCTTGCAAGCATGCACCCAACACCCAAGCGGATCTTTTTTACTGATAAACTGAAAGAGAACACAGCGCAACACCAGATTGCCACACTGTGGAATTGCTGGCGCCACTGCCGGTCTAGGCTGTGGAGGTTGTCTTGGAAGCTGGCGTGCAGGTGTGGCAGGACAGGCGGCACGAGCTCATCATGTAGCCGGGGTTCTTCTTGCACTCGCCATCCGCCGCCCATCCCGAACACCGCTCGTCTGCGTCGATGCACTCACCCCTGCAGACATATAGAAGTTGTCAACACCCTTGCCTGCACTGCATACTGAACAAAATCTCCCACCCTCTGACAAGCACAGCTCCCAAGAACAACCACATCAAATTGCCACGCAAGCGTGCTGCTGTCCTGTCCAACAGCTTTTATCATTACAAGTTTGCACCCAAGCAAGAGTTGCTTTGCTAGAAGTTGAGGTTTGTTACAAGTTTGCACCCAAGCAAGAGTTGCTTTGCTAGAAGTTGAGGTTTGTTACAAGTTTGCACCTAAGCAAGAGTTGCTTTGCTAGAAGTTTAGGGACCTGGGAACTGCTGGCAAAAGAGCAAGAGGGGCAGTGTGCAAGGGTCCGCACCACTTGGCGCGTTGCTGCTCTGAAGAGCCTCCAAAGGGGCCGACGTGGATCCACTTGGTGGCGCTCCACTTTTCGCCCTTGGTGGTCGGACAGCTGCCGTGCAGGCTGGTCGGGTCCGTCTCACCGTTTGGCAGAAGGCTGCATATACAGAAAGCGACTTATGAGGAATACTTCAATTAATTCATGGAAGCCTGAGCTTAGATCTTTAAATTTGCTCCTCTCCATTTCCTCACACCAACTCAAAACAAATGGCATGTGACCGAAAGACTCAAAGAAGCTCAGCCTCTGGGCAGAGTTCAGGGAAATGAGCCTATAGGCATTCCATGGACATGTCGCTTCACGCATGAGAATGGCGTTCTAAAGGTAAGGCACAATCTGTGCAGAGGAGACATAGCCGCCGGGCAAACCAGCAGCGCACCTGTAGAAGAGCAGCGCATCGCCACGGCGCGATTTGACGGCAGCGCCGCCCCGCGCGCACTCAGACCACTGCGGCCCCGTCACCTTGTTCGCCGCCATTGGGAACACCGTCTCTCCGCCCTCCTCCGCCGTTGTCCTGGAACAATCAGACCCACATTTCAGGCTCCTTGCTATTTTCTGAACTGCATGGCGCTAGAAAATCTCAACGACACGCTGCCTGCACCTCTCCAGCGCACGCATCCAGCCAGGCAAGGACTCTAATACAGCGCTTACAAAGGAAGCCTCCCCCAGTTTCTCATATCATTCTGAATTGGTAGTTCAAAATAACATAGCGGAGATAAAATGAAGGCGTACAGGTACATGAGGACGGTGGCGATGCGCTGGCCGCCGTTCTCTGGGCGTGAGTTGAACTTGTCGTGGAAGAAGTCGTGGTGCGCCTCGTACTTCTGGCCGTCCTCGTAGTGCAGAATCTGCAGCCCCTCCCCATTCACCTCCGGCAGGTGCGTGATCATGCTGATGCGCCGCTCAATCCCCTGAATCACCTCATCCTCCTGAAAGAGCATGCGCCAACCCCTCAGGCGCCACTCAACACACTCGTATACTGTTGCAGGCCTGCCCACCCTGAGACTGCTCGCTCACACAGAACTCATTGGCTACTGGCCAGGGGAAGAATTTCTGAGGTGCAGAAAGCAAAGGCAGTCCTGGCAAATCTGGAACAATTGGCAGGTGCCTAAGTATTTGGGATGCTTGGAGGGACCTCACTCACTGCATGGATGACTAATCAATTGTAACATTTAATATTCGACTGTGTAGTGAGCACAAACAGCTCTGGTTGCATGTGTGGACAGGTCACGTACTTCTCGTCCGAAGAAGGTACCAGTAGAGGTGCGAACAGTCGAGTCAATGCTCTTCCCTGTATCATTGTCCACCACTGTTGACTTGACCATGCTTGGCTTTGCCTGCGCAGACCAGATGACAAATAAATTTCCGCTCCTCCCAGCCAATTGTCCGCCAAAACTTTTGGTCTATCTGGAAAATTGTTTCCAGCTTGTCTTCCAAACAGAGATGGAGAGGACAAAATGGCATTCTTGTTTGGGGAAGCCCCCATATGCGTGGCCTCACAATCGTGCTGTAAATTAGCCCAACACATGCAGTGCAGCTCCACATTGTATACGAGCTGACTTTAGCAGACCAATCTGTTTATCACTCCACACAGTGTTGCACACCTTACTGATCAGATGCTCGCACTCAGCTTCCTTCAGGAAGCCTTTCAGCAGAAACGCCCTCGGTGACCACGATACCTCTATCACCTCTCCCCGCCATTCCTCCTGCGGAACAGCAACATTTGTCCATAGTATATCACCTCCTTTGGGCTATCAGCGGGAAAAAGCAGGGAGATAATTTATAGCCTGGACCATGCTCCCTCTATACATGATGCAACACTGGCCTCTTTCCCAATCTGCAATATATCCTGAAGGGCACAGCTGCGGTCCCATTTGTCAGCCACGGAACTCCCAAATGGGGTGTACTGCTCAAGACAGGTGGGTATCATGAAAGTGCACCTTTCCGTCCGCGCCGAGTCCAATCGTCAGCAAGGGTGGGGCTGACGGATCCGAATCGTTGCTTTCCTTGAAGTCCATTATTGGCACTGGCAGCTCCCCCTTCCAGCCGGGGAAACGGTCAGTGTCCTCGATATACCTCTCTGACCTGCAAAGATCGCAGTGAGAGGTTGTTAGCAACGCCCCTTTCTCGCAAATGGTCAATAAGTGGCATACATGAATCAATAAGGTTTCACACTGTGGCGCAGGTCCAATGCTGCGGAGCAAGTTCTGCAAAGCACTGCAGGTCTGAAAGGCTCCAGTCCACTCCAGCAAGGACACCCAGCAATTATAAAACATGCACGATAATAGGCGACGCTATGCATTGCAACATGCAAGCAGGTGAAGCTGTACTAAGAAACAATCTGTGTTGGTTACTGGGCCTTGTGACAAATAGTGCGATGACCACCATACACCTTCCACACTAATTTCAACTACTAAAACAATGCCCTTACCCATCAGCGTGCGCAACACTGCAGCAGAGGGACAGGACCAGTAACGTCTTCCAAGCCACGTGTCGCTTCCTGTCTGAAAGCATCTACCCCCAAAGTCTCGCAGGGACGGTGCCTCCAGCAGATCTGGTACGTGCTATAGTACCAACTATGACCGCTCTTGGATAAAAGTCGATGGAGTGCCTTGCCGAGGTCTAGCAAAGACACATGTTTTGGGTATTCTGTCTGACTGACAAAACTTTGGCAGACTCAATATTCTTCACAGTGAGACTGAACGCGAAATCGCTTCCCAAGATATCACAACAGATGGATCATGCCTGCTTGGCAGCAATGTATAAATGCGAAGGGCGAAAGCGAGAAGATCCACTTCCTGTCAAGGAAACGCCCGTGATGATTGACAACGGAGCAACCGGCGCCTAGCTGCACACCGGCAGATTCACAGATGCAGCACGAGAGAGGATCGTCACAATCTCGTCGAAATGTTAATGAAAAGGCTGTTCGAGGCAGACATGGTTCTGAAATTAGTAAAGCGGGGGATTCGGAAGTTGCGCGGCCGCGGCCAGCGTTTGCCCTCCCCCAGTGGATCCGTTGCATGCGCATCTTCTGATCATATTGTCCATGCCTAATCACAGTTTTCGGTGGATCCACTCCGATCTAAATTGATTTGAAGTTTCTGTGAAAAGCGGGGTGACGACGAACGGGTAAACCTGACGTCATGACTTCGCTCTTCAGATGACATGGCCTGAAAGGGAGCATTGAACGCGTTGTACAAAATGTCGCATCACTTAGATGCGCTTGTGGGAAGCATGCAGAAAGATCAGCAGATCGACGCTGGTGTGCTACAAGCCCTGCTCGCCAGTTTGCACTCGCTTCTGCGCACAGGCAGCACGTCCAAAGACCAGAAAGACAGGATAGGTCAGCTAATATCCACAGTGGTCGTCAGGTATGGAACAAAAGAATATTTCAGTACAATAGATTCAGTTGTTTGGTGCGAAGCACGTAATCTGGTAGATTCGTTTATGTTCGGTTTATGCACATCTTATAGTCTGAGACCATAAGATCTCTTGTAGCACCTTCCATACGACACCGATTTGATGCAAATATGCCTCCAAGATGAATGATAATCGTTGCTAGGAGCACGAGCTAATCTTCAATCACTTTTTAATCGAGCAGGAGCCTAAAGGACTCGCCACCACCAAAGGCTTTGCAGGAGGCCCTGTCTAACCCAGACGTGCCGCTGCCTCTTTTGCCCAGCAATGCCTGTGCTATCCTGGATGCCATTGCCTCAGGTAACTAGGGGTTGGAAAGAGTTGGTGCTTCCCTGGAGATGAGGGATACAGGATGCGCGTGCTTTGCCAAACCACATGTACCAACTCTTGTTGTACCTCTTATGCAGGTCTACGGAAGAGGGAAGATGGTCTCCAACCTTTTGAGGTTCAAGTGGCAGTGCGCGCTCTACAGTCAGCAGCAGGCGCGCGTATTGATCTGAGTTCCCTCAGTGAGGTCTATGAAGCTTCACAAAGGTAACGTTCTGGAAAATATCTGGTCTGAGTGTGCACGGCACAAGGCAGTCCTGGCAAGATTTAAGCTTGCTATTACCTTCGCAGGGAATTGCAGGACATTCTAAGCAGCCTGTCAGCATTCAATCGGCCCAGCACCAACAATACGGTTGCAGCATTCCCCTCCCATGCACTTCTTACAGCCACTGCCGAGCTCAGTGCCCAGACAGCCCTTCTGCTAGCCTCAAAATGGTGTTGATTTCTTCTCATCTCCTATTTTGCCACTTCATAAACATGCAGCAACCCCTTACTCATGCGTATTCTGTTTAAGAAATTTGCCATTGAACTTTCTTTAAAGTAAGTGCTGCCGCGCAGGGGGAGTAAGGATGGGATCCTCTCGGACACCCTTGAGGATTTGCACGCTGTCGGAGATTCCCTCTTGTCATACATCCTTGCTCTTCGAGAAGGTAACTTGCACCCCTACGAACGCCACGGACGCCCCTGCTGATGACACAGGGTGCACAGAAGTCACCGTGGGGCAACACAGCCGAATTTTGGACAAGTGAAGCACATTTTTGGGGAGGTCCCTAGGTCATTTTGACAAGAATAACCATGATGTAGCTGAACTGACATTGTGCCGCCAGGTCAGCCTGCACGACTGGCTCTCCTGCAGCGCCTGCTGCCTGTGCTGGGGTCAATGCGCGGCTTGCAGCAAGCTGCGGTGCAAGCTGGGCGTCCGGCCAGCATGCAGAAGGTTGCCGCGCTCTCACGGGCTCAACTTGTCCGACTTGCAAAGGTTCCCTTGGCCAGGTGTGACTCTACCTTTGCATTTCTCTGTTTTAGATATACATCAGGTTGTGCTTATGACAAAGTACAGTATACCACGTACAGCAAATTTGTGCCGTAAGAGACCAGAACTGCCAACCTGGGTAGAGGATGCTTACAAATGATCCGAAAAAGCTGCAGTTGCAGCCTTGTCTTCTCACCGTTCCCGTGCATTCCGAGCATGAGATAGTATTTTTCTATATGACAGGCAACCGTGGCTGGGAATGGAACGCTGGAGACCCACATCTGGGAATCAGCCCCAAAGCGAGCAGGAGATGGGTCTGGCGGCGCTGAGGATTGCGGTGGGCGGCTTTGCCACATTCCTGGTGGCCGCATGGGAAGCTGGGCAGCGGGTCGTTGTGGAGTCCTCGCTTGCGGCGCTCCTAAACAACGCCTTCACTGTCGAGCCTGCTGTGGAGGCTGACTCAGCTGCCCAAGAGCAGCAGGCAAGATCTTCCCATAGATCTCCTACAACCTGGCCAAGGCAGTTTGTTTCATCATCATATCAGCAACAATGTACTGACTGTGTAGAATGCTGCTGTAAGAGAACAGAGGAAGAATGCTGGGCACATGTTGGAGTCACAAGTTATGTTTCCACAGACACGAGGCTGCTGAAATTTCTTCTGTGTATCTGTCGCAGGCAGCACTGTTGCTACTGGATGAGTTGATGGCACTGGGGGCCAATGATGAGGAGGTAGCGCAGCTTCTGTTCCCCATGCTCATGGTGAGGGAGCTGCGTGATGCAACTCCCCCGGTGAAGGCGACGGCAGCCTTGGTGCTCGGGCACTTTGGTTCTGCATGCGCGCAAGCAGGCAACATGTGAGTTATATTGCTGCGAACGCTCTCATCGCACTTGTCAAATGCCTCTGTAAAATCGAATCTGCTGATCATTGCCCAGTACATGTACATTGTAATCTCAAGAGGTGGCATAGTCTCTCCTTTACTCTCCGGGCATGTGATTGGGATGCTGCGATGCAGAATTATGAATAGGGTGTTGGGCAGGTGGGACTATGAGCGCTCAGCTGAGCTTCTCATCAGGCTCTTCAGGAGACCTGCGGAGCCTCTGCCATCGGCGCTGATGTGGCAGGGTCAGGGTGCAGCGAACAGTGGGACTGAAGCATCCCCTGCGGATTCGCACGTTGGTGCACTGGCAAACTCCTTGGCTGTCCTCGCCTCCGGCGCTGCCCTTGCCAGCAATGAGATCAAGTGCGCTAAAGATCTCTTGAATACCAATTTATTGTTTGTTTCCTTGCTGCTTACGTGCTTGGTCCTGTGGAAGAGAAGACAGCATTGCTAGAAAAGAGAGGGTTGCATGGTCCCACGCTATGTGTCACCTTGAAATGGACACTGAAAAATGGCTTGTTTTGCTGCACAGGCAGGACTGCTGCTCACGGCTGGTGGCGCTCTTTCTTGACAAGGCATTCGTGTTGGGGCCAGGCGCCGATCAGGGTGCACTGCGTGACCTTGGATCCTTGCTGCACCCCCTCTCAGTGGCTTGCGCATCGGTCAACAGCGTGGATGGTGGTGACATTGAGGACCAAAAGGTGCATATATACCTGAACCACCAGGCCTTCATGCAGCCAACTGGTTCATAATTCTTTATTGCAACGACTTTACCTCAACCTAGTGCTAAAGCTGAGATCGCGGGAAGTTGGATGCTGCAGCAAGTGTCATGGCCTGTGCTATTGGTCTTCTACAGGCTCTGCTCCTGGTGTGGCTATACATTGCGGTGCATGGCTTTGCGGCACCGTCAGGGGCAGCCAGCACCCAGAAGTGGCCGTCCAGCTGGCGAGAAGCTGCAGGGAGGCTAGCTGCGGAGGGAACGCCTGAAGCTGTGCTCAGCGGCGGCGATGACCTCGTCACAGCCAACATGTCTGCAGGTGCTAAGCTCGGCTTTCTCTCTTGTAAGACATTGCTGCTCTACGTTTACCTTGCCGGGCTCAGCAATACAGCGGAGAATTTAAAAACCTGGTTACCAATGACTCCAGTCCTTCTGTGCCACTGTGCATTACCCGACACTGCCATGTTACCTTATTGATGATTTCGCAAGACATGAATCGGACGATGTGCCGGACAAAACAGCCTTGTCTGGCTGAGTTCAATTGCTGTCATGCGGCTGACTAATGGGGTGCTGATGCAGAGCTGGAAGTGCGCCTAAATAAGCTTGGGAGCAAGGGGAGCGCTCCAAGCCTGGCATCAGCCCTGCTTCAGCTGTTGGGCCGCGGCAATGGCACAGCAGTGCCAGCTGGCAACTCGACAGCTGCCGCGCAGATGCTTGCTACAGCTGCGGCCAACATCGCGCGTGTCACCTACGGCCCTCTGCCTGGGCGAGATGACCCACAGCCAATGGACGCACTCCTGAATGGGCTGAAGGTAAGGGCAGCCTCCTTCTAGTAAATGGAACACATGGATATGCCCATATCTTCATTATAATGCACTCATGCCTGACAATAGATCAGGGCATCTCCACTTCAAAATGCATCAATGCTGGCAGCGCTCCTGTATTTCGGATGGTCTGGGACTTCTCGGCAAAATCTCACATTCTGGCATTCAGCAGATTTTGTGACTATAGTGTGGAATGCTGCAATGCAGGGCGTGGATCCTGCAGGCTGGCAAGCTAGGCTCCTTGAGAGCATTCTGGATGCAACTTTCCATTCCTACACCAGAAGGTTGCAGAGCCAGACATCAATACAGGTGAGACACCACCACCTCAGTGTGGCAAACAAAATTTGAGGTCAATATGTGTTTGCTGACGTGTACTGCTAGCCAATGTCCAATTTCCAAAAAGGATTAGAAACCTCACTTCACCCCACATTGCATCCCCAACATTGCAATTGTATCAACATATGACAATGCAAGGATTTTGTTTGTTTCCGCAGGGCGACACTCCTGAAGGGAGAAAGCATGCGGCAGAGTCTTTGGCTACCAGCCTTGTCGACTCAATGGTGTCTGGCACAGATCGAACCCAATCCATTTCTGGTGTGCACACGCACACCCAGTCTTTTTCATCCTGGTCAATGCTAAGCCACAGATTCCCTTGAATGTTCCTGTCAAGAATATCAGCTGACCTAACTGCAGAACACTGAATGACTACCTGGTGCACAGGGCGGCTATTGGGGCGCCAACTCCAGATCTTCTCTGGGATGAAGTGGTCGAAAAGGCTGCTGGGGTCCATATACTTCTCACTTGGCAATCTGGAAAGTTCAGATGACAGCCTGCATGCTAATCCGAGGGCAGCACTCACCGACAGATTGAAGCAGGTAATAGAAATAAGCATTGCATTTGGGCTCTATATTGTGCAGAAGAAATGCTGCATGCATATTCTGAGAGTGGTCAAATGCTTGTGTAGGCAATTACTTCTGCACGCAAAGCTGCTCTTTGCAAGCGCATTACTCCATACTCTGCAATCTGCAGGTGATTTTTGAAGGAGCAGTGCATGCTCCGAGCCACACAGAAGCTCTACTGCAGGAACTCTACATTGTGGGACAGGAGAGTCCGGCAGGCTATGCACCCGGTTTGTCAGCTGATCTGGCGGCTACATTGGCCTCAGGCCGCGCCGCATTCCCCATGGTTTCGCTGCTGCAGAGCCATTCCAGTGAGCGTCCTCACCCTTACTCATGGGTCTTCACTGGTTTCCAATGGTGATTTGAGATGGGGTTGTGCCTTAGAATGTCATTGCGCTATTGTGGTCCAAATTTACTATTCCCCAATTTTCTGGTCTGTTTAGGTTTGCACTTCTAATAGAAGTATTTCGTTATGTCACAGGCACGCTCACAGTCACCAGAAAAGCACACATTGCGGGGTTGATAGCGGGAGCTATGGGTGCAAATGGGAGCCTGGGGTCAGGACACAAAGCTGACCATCAGCTGCTGCAGCGGCAATTAGCCCATGACCTGGACGCTGCAGGACCATCTCTTGACGAGCCTGCCTTCTCAAACCGGCAAGTGGCATTATTTATTGACACGATATACCGTGCACAATCTCAACGCTAGGACTTCTGCGTCAGTGTCTGTTCAAGTTCACACGTGAACAGCATGTGCATGCAGGCATGCTTGAATTTACTCCATGCAGAAACAGCTGGAGGATCAATGGAAGGTTTCCAAGGGTTAATAGTCTCTCAAGAGACTTATTCGACTGCATGAATTGAGTGCAGGTGCTTCAGGGCTGCAGCTGCACTGATAGCTACAGCAGGCAGCCCGTCAACCAGTCAGCAAGAGCTGCTCCATGCCTTGTGCCATGGCTGCGCAGAGCCCCTGCGTCTGGACCGGCTTCGTGTGGCGCTTGTGTCCTGGCACTGGGTCGCAGCTGCTGCCCGCTCTCTTCAGGTATCGGCGCACAGCTGTGGCCGCAATTTTGTCGTTGTAGGTCTCCCTCAGAAAGAGTCCTAGTTGAGATGGCTCAGTGGATACTTAAGTGTTTGAAATCTCAGCGCTGCAATTTACTGAGTGTGCCAGACGCCTGTGCTCATATTTTGTGCACAGAAATGGATGAAGTCAAAGTTGGTCAGAATTAAAGACATGATGTTTGGGGCAGGTGGCACTGCTCTCACATGTGGCAGCGGAATGGCATGCGACTGCTGCTGCAAGAACTGGCCTCTTCGACACGAGTTTCGACGCCGGTACATTCCGGAACAGCACGGGCGCGCCGCCAGACCTGTCAGCGATGACCGACGCAATTGCTTGCCACCACCTCTGGCTCTCGTTCTTTCTGGAAGCATGGCAGGTAGGCAATGCTGCTGACCTGAACCCGTGCTTTGGAATCAAATGCCTTGGACGAGAAGCAAGTTGGTTTTATGCCTGACTCAATACCGTTCTTGGAGGTGGCCATGACTAGTGCAGTAGCTCTTGAAGGGAAATTCATCGACTGATGGTGTGAGCACTTGAATTGCAGATGGCCACTGAGGAATTTAGCTCTGCCGGAGGGACTGTGTTGAAGTCGTTGCACGAGGTTCTCCAGCGGTCTCTTGCGGACCCAGATGCTCTCTCACAGCATCCGGCGGCCCTTGGCGGACGCTTCAGGCTCTTGTTTCTGGGCCTCAAGCATGCTCGGTACCTGCAGGTTTGTTTGCTTGTCATCGGCAAGGGTCTTTGCTACATCATGATGAAATGCTCAACACTGCCACAAGCATATGCAATAAACATGAGAACCTGGTTGCCAATGACTCCAGTCGTTCTGTACCACTGTGCAATCGCGGACACTGCCATATTATGTTGCAAATTTTGTTCCGGCAGGAGACTGGCAGGCGGGACACAGCAGCTTTGTTGCATGAGAGTGTGCTGGTGTCAGCGCTTATGTGGTTCAGCCACCCTGTGGGATACTTCGGGGGCTGGAGTGCTGAAGAAGCTCGGTGAGTGTGACATATCTCCTTTATTTCCCCCCTCACACCCGACCTGTCAGTGACACTCGTTGATCACACCTGCAAAGGATGTGTCTGCGTATTGAATTTATGATCTTGCATTATGCAGGGAGCAAGCAGCTGCTGTGGACGACTTTGCCTCCCTCCTGGAGGCTGCTGTGCCTACCTGGCCGGCCCCAAGTGCCACAGGGCAGTCAAAGCAGGCTCCAGCCAAAAGCTCATCACAGGTCTCCTTCTCTGACATCACATCGTCCTGCATGACTTCATCCTGAGTTACACACAAAGCATCATACAACCAGAATTTCAGGATCTAAACCAGTGACTAAGATGACGTGTGGCTTGATGGTACACTGAAGAGGTGTGGGTATGTTCAGGTGTCGCTGCAGGACAGACTTGCACTGCTGCGCCTCCTGATGGAGCATGAGAGCGACCGTCTGCACACCTGGGCGGCACCTCTCGAGGCGCGCCAGAGGCGCCACAACCCAGGGCAATGGAGTGCACACTCGGCAGCTGCATGGGCCACCCACCCTAGACTCGCCCTTGCACTCCTTGACCGGTAAAGCCCATATCTTCAGTGCCACTCTGCAAGGAAGTTTTTGCTCAGGCTGACTTGTCAGGAACACAGGTGGCCTCTGAGGGCTCGTTTTGATGAATCATAAGCCTATTTGGAACCATAAATACTGAAAGCCGTACCTGATAGGAGGCGGTTTCGTCAGCATTACAAGGGTGCTCTGCTGTCCATGTGTACACCTCATGGGACTCGTGTCTGATATGACAGGTTCCCTGTGGAAGCGAGCTTGCGGCAACAAGTGGAGGTGCTAGTGGTACAGTGCTCGGCGCAGGCTCGGCTGCAGGCACTACCAGAGGCAGCAGCACTGCTGGCCACCCCTGCGGCTGCCAAGTCTGGCGACGGCGCACTGTCCAACCTGAAGCACTGGGCCCCTGCACCTTTACTACAGGTGCCTTTGGCCCCTCGATGCTCATTCTGCCACTCAGCCCTGGCACTCACCTCCTGGTAATTGGTTGACTGCATTGTAATAATGCTGCAGAAACACAATCCGCTAATCATCCCTGTGCAGAATTAGCGAGGCCAGGTGTACAGTCGGAAGCATGCAGCCGTGCATTCACAGAGTGTCATCAGTTGATGGTCAAGCAAGTGGCAGTTCACAAAATGCCATTACTATTCTGCTTGCACGTGCAGGCTCTGGTGATGATGGGCGGACCTGCAGGGCAGGCGGCGGCTGTGCGCACATACTCGCTGCGTTCCCTCCAGGGCTGTGCGCCTGAACAGGTGCGCAAATTTCTCCAGTCCAGTGATATCTCACCCTTCCGATGATACCACTCTACCATCCCTGTTCCTCTGCCAAGCCAGCATAGGCTCCTACGCAGGCTACTTGTGACTGTGGAATTCAGGCATGTTCCCTGTGTGCCAGGTGGCGTTCTTTCTGCCACAGCTGGTGCAGCAGCTGCGGCGCGATGAGGGCGGCCTGATCAGAAGCTTCTTGCTGGACGCTGCGCAGCGCTCCATGCTCTTTGCACACCACCTGGTGCGGCTCTGCCTGGATATGCTACAGATATATTGTTTGCGTATAGTCCACGGATGCAGATTCGTTTGCTGTGTCATCATGTCCTACACGTTACGGTAATTATGCAGTCTCCATTATTTCCTGGACATTCTGGCACTGTTCCAGTGTGATTGCGCTCACGAAATTGGTCCGAGAGTAGGGACAGGTGCGTTGCCTGGAGGATGTCGTCCAATATATGGGGAGAATGACATTTTTGGGATGTGGGATAAGGTTTTCAAACGTCCAACATCTTGCTTCCTGACAACAGGTGTGCACTCTGAGGAGCGAGGCAAAGCCGTCGGAAGAGGCGTTCTCTCCCGCAGTCAAGCGATCTGGCTGGCAGCCTCCCCAAGACACCGGCCTCTGGGACATTGCCGGCCAGGTCCAGGAGCAGGTGCGTACCCTTGTAAGCAGACGCATCCATGTGGCCATCTTGCATGGTTTTTGACGGGTTGAGATTTAGGCCACACTTATTCAAGCACCTAGTGATTGACTGATATTGTGGTGTGTACTTCTTCAAATGTCTGCGCATGCGCTCCCATGGTATGCTTCCCCTTGCATCATCCAGCTCTCTTCCATATTTGATGGTTAAATGCTATCTTTTGTGTATGCTGCAGGTGTTTGAGCAGATGCCGGAGGATGCGTTGGCGTTTCTGGAGGCCGAGCTGAGCTTCTTTGACGCCGTGACTGACATTAGCGGCTCGCTCTATCCTGTGCGAAAGGACGAGCGCAAGGCCGGGGCAGTCAGGCTTGCTCGCGAGGTGCGCTACTGATGCACTAATTGTACCATGGCTGCTGCATTTGCTTTGCACTTCATAATTCCGCAGTGTCTGGGAAATCTTTTTCTCCAGTGTGGAGGTCCTGCTGAAAGTTATGGTGAGAATGCTTGGTCCTGCTCCGACTTATGCTGACAATGTGCGCGATGTATTGTGCAGCTCAAGCTACAGCGGGATGACCTGTACCTGCCCACCAGCCCGCACTACCGCGTGAAGGGTGTCATCCCCGAGTCGGCCACTCCGATGCAGAGCGCTGCCAAAGTACCCATCCTGGTTGCGTTTCAGGTGCAACTCCTCGACTTCCTGTCTCCCATACAAATGCATGCATGTCCTTAACATCCATCATTGCCATTGCTGCAGCTTCAGCCCTCCGTGCTCATATTCTCTATCAAGTTATCTTGAGTAATTCTCCATCTACACTGCTATTGGCCCATTGGGTGCTCGCTCACAACTTGATTGAAGCGGGTAAAATCCAAATATTGAGTCAATCTTGCTCATCACATCTGAGGTCTGCAGCCTGTGGTTGCATGACAGGTGGAGGACATGGACCGGCAGGAGGAGGGTGCGCGGGTGCAGGCGTGCATCTTCAAGGTGGGCGACGACTGCCGGCAGGATGTCCTCGCGCTGCAAGTGGTGCGCCGCCTCCCTCATATCCAAAGTGCTCACTGTGGTGACCGCTGACAGTGCAGTATTGGTCAGAATACGTGTGACTTGGAAAGGTCTTGAGGACCATGTTTGATGAGGTGATGACGCTCGGTCGACACAATTTCGGGCACATGCAGCTCCGATGCTGTCCATGGGCCATGCAGGTTGTGTAAATCTCTTCTGAGAGGTTATGCTTGAGCACGCTTTGAGGGGCACGATTGCTGAGTGTCAGCAAAAATGAGAGCTTGCGTGCATGCGTGCAGGTGGGCCTGCTGAAGGATGCGCTGGCAAAGGCGGGGCTGCCGCTGTACCTGGCGCCTTACGGCGTCCTGCCCACTGCTTACGAGTGCGGCATCATCGAGGTGCGCACACCTTACAGCAAGATGAATCATATTTTCCATAGGCGCCTAAATTGGCACTACCTCCAGCTCACAGACCACCATACCCCTGGCTCACCCTGCTCCTGCGCTGATGCCCTATAGCCATAAGGCTGCTGTCCTAAATTCCTTTGTTTGTGCTCTAGGATGTTTGCCCAGGGACTCACACCTTGAACATGCTTTGCTGGCTCGGAATGCAGAGACTGACTAGGAACTTCAAACTGTAGGTGGTGCCCAACTGCAACTCGCGCAGCGGGCTGGGAGAGACAGCGGATGGGGGCCTTTACGATATATTCAGGCGCGAGTTTGGGGCACCAGGAACCCCTCGCTTTGAGGCTGCCCGCCAAAACTTCATCGTCTCCGAAGCTGGGTGCGTGTCTCACCCTCTCCAAAAGGCAGTCACATAAATAATGCTTGTTGTGATGGATGGTCCTTAATCCCTCACGTTCTTTAATTGGCACGGCATGCTGTATATTGCTTTTCTTCCGTCATGTTTCTTTGAACATCTTATTTTCTTAAAATCAACCATCAATGTCTGCTTACAGCCTGCAGCTTCTCTCTTCACCCTAACAGAGGTTTCTAACACAGCTGTGTGGTCTGGCGCGCAGTTACGCGATAGCGTGCTTCCTGCTGCAGGCGAAGGACCGCCACAACGGCAACATCTTGATCGATGTTGATGGGCATCTAGTGCACATCGACTTTGGATTCATCCTGGAGATCTCGCCCGGGGGCAACATGCGCTTCGAGTCGGCCGCCTTCAAGCTGTCTCACGAGATGACCCTGCTTGTCGACCCTGGCGGCAGCCGCGCGTCGCGCGAGTTCTGCCGGTTTGAGAACCTCTGCGTGCGCGGCTTCCTTGCGGTGGGCGCCCACTTCACTTTTCCTAGTTGCAACTCAAGATCAGTTCCTCCGATTTTCATTTTGTCCTCATCGTATGCGCAACCTGTTGGCGCATGACTCTAGGGTAATAAGAGCCTTAATGCTTCCTGCTGTATATTCTGGCACGGTGCAGGCTGTGAACACTGATGCCATAAGCTCATAAAGGAGGCTTCACAATTGAACTACGCACCTGGAAAATTTAGCGTGTTGCCCTGCCAGCAGTCCACAAGACTGTGTCTCATTGGATCTGTGTGGCAGAATGGGTGCTTCCTTGTGCAGGCTCGGGGCGTGGCAGAGGGGATCATAGCTACGGTGGCTCTGATGGCTGAGAGCGGGCTGCCCTGCTACGGGCGCGGTCGGCCGGTGGAGAATCTGAGGAAGCGCTTCCACCTGGAGATGAGCGACTCGCAGGCTGCTGCCTTCATGCAGGCCACCATCCGCGATGCCTATGACAAGGTGCGGTGCTGTTCCACCGCAATGCAGGCTTCTCTGAAGCTTGATGGAACGCTGTGGCGAGCGTGAAATCCTGAAGAGCCTTCATCTGCTCATACAGGTGTCTTTTATATGGCTGTGCAAGGGATCTTCAATCCTCAGATCTAGCTTATTTATATTTGTTGCTACCTTTTTCAGGAGCGTGCCATTGAGCACAATTGCTGACATCTGTTCGTTTGGTTGCAGTGGACCACCGGCTTCTACGACTATGTGCAGTATTTACAGAATGCCATTCCCAAGTAATGCGCCCACTAACGCATGTTGCACTGGAGAGGCGATGTACTTGTCATGCATAGAGTTGCTGTCTATTTCATCGACTTAAAACCCTGTAGCACTGTTGACACCAATCCTACAGAGAGAACATCGTGATGTCGAGATACATGCAGAGCAGGCATGTCCCCTTGAATACAGTGTTTGAACAACTTGAGCACCCTGCATATTACCAGGTGACATCAATGCTAGCCAGACTGGCATGCAAGTGCATGTGTGCAAAGGTAGAGAGGTAGCTAGAGCTGATGTTGACATTAACAGCACCGTTGCAGTTGCAGCATGTAAAATTGAAATCACTCAAATTGATGCACCCTTCAGGTAATTTGTGCCGAGTATGCTAGGCCCAACACGTGATTTTTTTATGATCATAAATTTCAGCCTCGAGGCCCGCATTCTCCCAGCTGTGGCCCACCTGGTGACATTAATGCACCTAATGCATCCTGCCATGCTTCACAAAGGACTAGTCTGGACACTCATAATGTTGCCTCATGCTGGGATAATTCTCCAGCCTTTACCAAATGCAAATTCTGACGGCCTGGACACTTGCACGGTGTTGTGCAGATCTCTGCTGGAATGTTACAATTGCAGTCATTCCCTGGTCTACAACAACTTGGCTAGGGAATCAAATGTCATTGCAACCATGCTGGCGCTAAGCGTCGGGCCGGCAAGACATATGAGAACCAGCTGAAAGAGCCCGCCGATGTGTACGGCGGTCAGGAACCCTTAACAGATGTTAAGGGCAGATTCAATCTGGACATCAGCACGCTAGATTAAGCGACAGCTAGTTCTGCGCCATTTGACAGGCTCTCTTCCACCTTCTCGGTGCCCTTCTTGACCTTGCTGTCATTGCTAATTTGTACCTGGACGGTGGCCGACACCTGCACCAGATACAGCACAATGAGGAAACTTCACACCGAGGGAGGGGAGGCTTGCCAGCAGAGCAGAATGTGACGGAGGATGGCCTACCTGTGACTTCTCTATGAGGCCCAAGTTCTGCAAAATTGAGACACTGGCGTTCTCGAGGTTGAGCGTGTACATGTGCAGGCCTGGCGTGCCGGCCTCCAGCAGGCGGCGGCACATCTGGGTGCCCAGCTCAATTCCATAGGCCTTCACTGCCTCATCGTTGTCCTTGATCTTCTCCAAGTGCTCGCTGATCTCGGAAGGGATGGCCGTCTTGCAGAAGGAGGTCATGCGTTTGAAACCGCCGTATGTCATGATGGGCATGATGCCTGCGCAGTTCACACCCCCAGTCAATTAAGAGTGAGGACGATTCGACAGACATGCTTGCTGTGAGCTGTGCATGCTGCTGAGCATACCTGGGATGATGGGGCAGGTGATGCCGAGGGACCGGACATCCTGCACGAATTTGAAGAAGCGGTCCACATCGTAGAAGAGCTGCGTCACAATGATCTCGCCACCAGCATCAATCTGCGCACGACACAACTGTCTTATTCAGGTGCCACTGCACAGAAAGCAACCCTGCTACGTGCCCACAGGATATTTAGCAAGCCCTGCTGAAGAAACTTTGAAAGCAAAACACACCTTCTCCTTCAGATAGTGGAGGTCAGCCCAGTATGCCTTGTCCATCTCCTCTGGGTTGCTGACAATGGCATCAGGGTGACCCTCTGGATAGCCTGCTACTGTGATGCCAAAGAAATCTCCGTATTTCGCCTTGATGTACTTGACTAGGTCCAGCGCACAGGAGAAGCCACCCTCCACCACTGTGAAGGTCTCCTGCCCCTTTGGTGGGTCACCCCTCAAGGCCAGGATGTTCTGGATGCCATAGCTCTTGACCTGCAACAACCAATGCAACATTCTGAATTCCTGCAAAGAACCTGCTTAGCGTAGCATTACCATGCAAATGATCAGACGCAGGTCTCTGGGACAAACGCACCTTGTCCAGAGCATTCTCCAGCTGACTCTCTGGCATGTTGGTGCACGTCAAATGCATCATGGTCTCAACACCCACCTGCATTCAAACGAAGGTTTGTGATGCTATTTTTAAGACGATCCACAATCCTGTGATCTTAAGTCTAGTGCTCATCAAAGGCGTTTACACACCGTATTCTGCATCTTAGCAGCGATGTCCAAGGTGAGGTCTGCTGTAGTGCCTCCAGCGCCCCACGTGATGTCGCAGAAGGTTGGACCATAGGCTGCCATGCGATGTTGGCGGCTATATAGATTCTCTACCCCCTGCATTCAAAGGAAAAAAGGTGTTCAGGGCACAGAGGGAGTTTTAGGCTAACACAACCTCATCAAGATTCTCCGTGAAAAAGGAATAGTATTGAAACAGATTGTCACCTCATCAGTCCTGGGTGGAAAGAATTCAAAGGAGAAAAAAGTCTTCCCCGCCTTTATAGACTCGTTCATTTTGTCTACAATCTTCATGGTGGCGATCTCTTTAATGTGTGATCTTCAATATATTTCGTCACATAACAGAACGAATACGCAAAGTTGTCACAACAAGAGGCGCTGCTGCGATGAAGAGAGCTCGATTCATGGCCGAACCGCCAGCAGGAGGGAATGCCACAGAGCTGGTGGGCTATCAGACACGTGGCTCGATCTGATCAGTGCTGTCCTTTCAGCATCTGCACTACAGAGCTGTTGGAAAATTAGCATCTTTGATGACCAGAATCTTGTTGAGTTTTAGCAGGGCCATTCATGATGTGGCTACGCGATCGATCGGCCGTACATGTAAAGAACGGTGGGCTGCAGTTAGCCATAGAGAAATTAGCTAGAGCCTACAGTACAACTGGAAATAGTCTCAAAATTATATGATGTGCAAATTGCTCAATATGGACTGTGCACACAAGGCAGCTGCCTGGCACCATGCAGAAAGTCCACTGGATATCACCTCTGTGATCCGCTCAATAGATTGGCGGCACCGAAATGACGATATCCGATGATGATCAAGTCGATCATAATGATGACACTGCAATGGCTTCGTTTTGGCCGTTGAGGTCTCATATCCTTTGCCTTGGGCATGATTTGACATTTGGGCTGCGCTACTTGGCATCACACTGTGAGTGTATAGCGCAGAAGCAGCAGTACATGTTACATGCCTTCAAGCTTCTATGATCTGTACATGAAATCCCCATCGCTGCACCACACCAGCTCTCGGCAGTGCCTGCATGGTAGAAGAGCTACGCCAATTCACAAGCCCTTGTCCTCATGAGAAAGACAAACGGAAGAGATCTCTGCCAGCTGAAGAAAGGCTGTCTCAGTGCAGAGTACATGACAGCGTTTGATGGCTAGATAGAAACAAAGTCTCCGCACACTTCATGATCTCAACCGGGCCCTTTCTGATGGAGCTTGCGATTAGATCTGTTGCACTGCTGACAACGCCTCCGCTGTTCGCCAAAATTTCAAGCATAGTTCAACCTGAAGATGTCTGCACAACAACAAGCCAACAGTTACTCTAGATTTCCACCATCCATATAGAAAATATATGCAGTAAAGCTACTGTGCCCAGACTTCCTGTACAAATTTTGGTGAGAAGCCAGAGGTCCAATGAATTCCTCTGCAGCAGGCATCAGAATCCTAGCAAATAGGTGCGGCTGACATGCTTTGAAAGGGAATGCATAAAACCGTAACATACCATTGGTGATGATGAAGGAGCCACCAGACGCAGCTAGGTGAAAGACCTGGCTAAACTTCAGAGGATTTGCCTCGCCATCCACCTGCACATCACATAAGGCAGTCTTCAGCATTGTATAAACCGAATGTAATCATTGCTATGTCGGCTCATGGCAGGCACTAGGCGAGCGAGTGGAGGGTGCGCACCAGCAGCTGGCCAGTGACAAACACGATGAGGCCATTGCTCAGCGAAGGCTGTGCGTCCACAGAAGAGATGTGATGCCTCACCTACCACAAGCACAGAATGGCTGAAGCCATGATCAATCTTCACCCGCCCAACTTGTAAACTTCCCCATTTGTGTCATCGCAGTATATCAAAACAGAAACCAACCAAAAACGTCCGATCTTGACATAATGCGTGCCACACATCACTTCAAATAAGCAAAGTAATTGTATTTCTCACCTGCTGAAATGGCAAAGAGGTAAGCTTGCCGATGACAGCAGCCTGGCCCTGGAATTTTTGGCCCTCGAAGCTCAAAATGGCGTTGTCCTGGTAAAGCGGTTGCAGAGCTGCCCTATTCTGGTCAAATGTCTTGTAGTAATGCTCCTGAAAAGCCTGCACGTAAGCGAAAATTGTTTTGGCACATCAGCACCTGGACATGCGTGATGGCAAAATATTATAACAGGAACGCCACGAGATCATTCACATACCTTCGCAACCTCTTCTGGAGAAGCCATCCTGTCTCGTCGAGGCAAAATTTTCCGCTGTAGGAACACGGAAAACCTGGCTCAGCAGGTCGGAGATGCTACAAAGAGGGAGCGCTCCTTTCACTTAAACAGGCAGCTGCGCCACGCACCACAGCAACCAGCGGGCCAGTCAGTAAATGCCAGCTCACAGCAAACAGTCTAGACCACTCAAATGAAGAATCTAGCGGCATGTTGGGATGGCAATGTGACTGGGCTACAGGGTAATCCCCTCGAGGTTAGTGATCACTTGGATAGGGTATTCATGAATACCCTATCCAAGTTCAAATGCAAGCTGTCTCCCATTTTTGGCTGTATGATCACACCTTTGTTGATTGCTTCGAGCTATATACCCCCAGCAGGCTCACGGCAATTGCAACCCTTAGACCTAACCAATCGGTTTACATGGGCTCAATGCACCGCTCCTTGCTGCTCGTGCTCAGGGCAGTGTGTTCCTGGCAGGAGATTTCAATGCTGGAGTGTGAAACTTGCTTGATTCTGATAGTCTTGATAGTGGCTTGAGGTTGCACTGATGAAGGGGTATGTGCTCATGGTGTGCGCCTGCTAGATCTTTGCAAAGACACCGGTACCGACATGCTCTTATGCACTGGCAGAGTGCCAGGGGACCTGGAGGCAGTGCCTACCTTTAAGGCTAAAACCCATACTATGGGATAGTACTCACGCAACTAGACCGGACCATATTCTCGTTTCGGTTGGCACGTTGCCCCTGATTTCTAGTGTTGTTGTGAATATTGGCAGGCGGGACTCTGATCATCACCCAACTAAGATGACCTTGCAAGTGAATGTGGTTGAGAACCATCACAGGATGATCCTGTGTCATGTGTTGGGCAGCCACCGTCCCGTGTGAGGTGGCAGCCAACAAGCAGGAATGCATTGATTGATGCTCTGCGCGTTGTTGCAAGTGCTAGCCTTGAGGCCTGCCAAGGGCTTGCAGTGACTGGGCCAGTTGATGCAATTTTCCAGACTCTTGATGCGGGTATTCGACAGGCGGCCGCCGCAAGGAATATGCACGCCTATCCTGGGCGCCAACGGCGGCCAGCGCGCGTCGATGCGCCTTCTGATGCGGAGTGGCGCCATCTCAAGAGGGACGTCCGCGCGGCTCTGATCATCACCCAACTAAGATGACCTTGCAAGTGAATGTGGTTGAGAACCATCACAGGATGATCCTGTGTCATGTGTTGGGCAGCCACCGTCCCGTGTGAGGTGGCAGCCAACAAGCAGGAATGCATTGATTGATGCTCTGCGCGTTGTTGCAAGTGCTAGCCTTGAGGCCTGCCAAGGGCTTGCAGTGACTGGGCCAGTTGATGCAATTTTCCAGACTCTTGATGCGGGTATTCGACAGGCGGCCGCCGCAAGGAATATGCACGCCTATCCTGGGCGCCAACGGCGGCCAGCGCGCGTCGATGCGCCTTCTGATGCGGAGTGGCGCCATCTCAAGAGGGACGTCCGCGCGGCGCGCCCGCGCCGCGCGCGGGCGCGACCCCTCCGACTTCATGCTCAGGAGCGTCTCTACCACAACACCGTCCGCACCAAACGGCGCGCTCACCGGCTCGCACACTTGCGGCGCCTGCTAGATGAATTGCACATTGACCCCCGTTCCTACTGGAAGCAGCTCTGGGCCCAGCCGTCTGGCATTCCCGAGCAGCTCAAGCTAGTCCAAATGTGGGATGGCTATTGTGCGAGGGTTGCAATTTGCAATCGCCCGAATTGCAGAGCTGCCCCAGCTGGAATACCCTGTGCAGCCATCCTGCCGTCCATGCTGATGCTTTGAATGCACCCTTCTTATTGGGGAAGTGCTAGATGGGCTTCAAAAATTGCATTGTGGCCGTGTCACAAGTGTCCAAGGTCTGCCTGCTGAGCTGTCACAGTATGCCATGGACGAGCCAGAGCCAGGCATGCCTCCTCCGGAGAGAGTCCTCGCCCCCGCTCTGGCTGCAGTTTTGAACTCTGCCTTTCAAGCAAATTTTTTGCTGGGCATGTCCCGTACTAAGTGAAACGGAGTGTGATCAACCTTCTGCACAAAAAAGGCAGCAAGCTTGACACTATGGGGACCAGAAACTTCACACATGCTTCCCAGGAACTTCACATCTGATGCCAGTGGTGAAGCGTTTGTGTTGTGATTGTGAAGTCAGGTGACGTGGACGTGAAGCCGTTGTTACAGTCACAAGGAAGGGGTTGGGACGCCGTCGTGAAGTTAGGCCACCAGCGGCCTAACTTCACAACCAAGTTTGAAATGCTGGTTGTGACCCTGTTGCGACGCGGTTGTGACGTCATTGTGACGCGTATATGGCTTTTTTACGGCCGCACCACTCACTTCCTATTGACTTCCCAGCCACGTGCAAGTTTGAGGGCACGTGTGAAGGACGTGTGAAGTGGCCATGACGTGATGGGGAATAACGCCGGATTCGGCAGGCATCCCGTGAAGATCTCAAAAGGTTCACAATTGGATCCGAAAAAGGTGCATGCTGATGTGGAAGGGAACTGGATGTGAAAAGGTAACCGCCGCGTGTGATGTCGTAATGGCTTCATTACAACTTCCCTACCAGTTCCCATACAATCAATTTGTGACCCCAATGTGAAGGGATCAGGAATTGCAACCGCGCGCGGTCTGCAGCATTCAGGCTTCACAAGAGTATCACAAGCGTGTCCTAAAACAACAATAAGCAATTCTCAACCAAGTCACAGTGAAGACAACGTGAAGCACTTGTGAATTCCGCCGCAGCGCAGAACTTCCTAGAAAGGTTCCACACTGTTCACCAACAACAAAATGTCCATGCCTACAACCACAGATATTCAGTCCATGCTCAACAAAAATATATTTACAACCATTCAGTTAACAGTATTCCACACTCATTCATATTCCTGCATTTTGTTCACCAATCTAGTTCCTTCTTGCATCCGCTGCTAAAGAGCCCGGCAGTGGCTGCGCTGCGCATGCTCAGTTCTCGCCCGGAGCATCCTCTAACTCAGAGTAGCTACCGAGCTGTCGGGATCCTCCAGACCCTCATGCGCTCTCCGTGTTGAGCATGCCTTTCGCAAGGCGCTTCACCTGCAAGCAGAGGGACAATCAAGCATTACTGTCAGCACGTTATACACCTTCCCAACTGCCAGAGCAGAAAATTCTGGGGTATCCAGCTATCTTTCTGCGCGGGACATGGAGCCTGCTAGCTAACACGCCTCCATAACCTGTGCAATAACTATATGAACTATATGAACCCATTCACGTGCAAGTCTGAGGGGCACGTGTGAAGGACATGGGAAGCGACCAGGAAGTTGCCATGAAGCACGCCGGAAGTCGACATGCATCACACAGAGATCCCACACGGGTCATATATAAGTTCAATGATGTTGCATGCCGATGTGGTAGAGCAGTGGTTGTGAACCTGTCATCCGCAGCGTGTGCCATCATAACCGGTTCTTGACAGGTTTTCAACCTGCTACCAAATTGTGAATCTGAGATTTGCCCTTTATATTTAGGAGTGTGAGGTTTAGCCAAGTTGAAATGGCCACAAGTGGGCAAGGGAGACCTTGTCCTAGTGCTACTCAGGCTCAAGGACTCTACTTGTGACACCGACTTGACATAAAAGTGGGGGCTTGGCCTCTGCAAGGCCCACAATACTTCAAGCATGGCTAGGCATGATGGTAGGATGATGATCAATGACCCATGGTGGGCCTTCCATGATGGTTAAGGCAATCATTGGAGGTGTGCCCCCTTGGCCCCACCCCCTTTGCATCCTTGTGGACCCCAATGAGCTCCAGGCATGCCCCCTACACCATGCCAGTCAAGTGAGAGGCTCTGCATAGCTCCAAGATACCTTGGTTTCCAATAGTCACTATTCTGGCCATGTTCAATAGTGACTATTGTAGGGTGAGGCATGCAATAGTCACTATTCTGGCACCCGTGAATAGTCACTATTCTGCCCAGCCCCCGAAGCATGAGAATTCGCCTAAGTGCTCACGAGGTTGCTTGCTAGGTCAGAATAGTCACTATCCTAGCCAAGCTTGGGAGAAACACAACAAAGTGCTCACCTTCATCTCAACAAGGAGGCTTCACCCCGAGTCGTTGTCGGGCTCCAAGGGCTTGGCAAATCCGGAGGACCTGTGACGGCCAGAATAGTGACTATTCAGGGATGCAGGTAAATAGTCACTATCCTTGGATCATCCTCAGGATAGTGACACCCCAGAATAGTCACTATCCTGAAAAAGAGGTGCTCCTAGCTAAGGCTTCCACAACACTTGGCCTCTTGTAGACTTTGCCTAGGGACCCCAAACATTGAAATGAAACTCTTGGCACTCCTAGATTCCATGATTCCATGAGCTGGCAATCAAAAGTTGGCCAAACTGGTGCAACATGACTCACCTTCTCCTCTTCCTTGTGGCCCTAGGGGGTGCATTGTTCTCCAGGTGTGTCCCCCAACTCAAGCAAGATGGCCTCACACACCATGGCTTGTTGGGGCAAGCATGGCAGCACTCATGTGCTGGTGAAGGTGGGTCCCCATGTGCCAGCCAACACGCCAGCCTGTGTACTCCAATCTTGATCCTTTGCTCATCTCTCTTGTCCACCCATTCCCACTTTCCCTTCACATGGACTCTCTCCTTGAACTTGTGTCTCCACTTGCCAAAGAGCAAGTATGGGTATCCTTCTTGGGAGACAGCCACTGGCCATGGTAGGTTCCCAGGGTTAACCCCCACACAGTGCTCCATGGGCTGCTTCATTGCTAGATCCTGGATGTCCAGGGGTTGATCCCATCCATGAGGATCAAGGATGCCATTGTAGGCTTTGGCCAATACCTTGCCCACTCCCTTGCTCAAAGGAGGGGTGGCAATGTCAAAGGTGGCCTTGCTCCACACTCCTGCCACAGCCGCTTGCTGCACAAGGTTCCCAAAGGTGTCATACAAGGTCATTGTTTGGCCATTTGCTAAAGATGGCTCTCTGATCAAAGCTACAATGTAGCTAAAGTCCCCCCAAGTGATCAAGGAGTTGGGGTCTAGTAATTGGTGCAAACCAATCCAAGGTAGATCCATAGGGTGGTGAGCAAAGGGGACTTGGTTGTATTGTAGCATGGATCACTAAGCTTGTTTGTCTTGCCAAAGGATTGCCTTGGCAAGTGTTCGACGCTCGGAGGTTCGTGTCGGAGTCGTTTGGGATGTTCCGGAAGCGTAACCGGTGACGAACTGCAGCTGAAAATAGTGACTATCCTGGATGGTGGCTGGCAGAATAGTCACTATCTTGGGTGATTCCTTGGTAGAATAGTGACTATGCTACAGGCGAGGATAGTCACTATTTTGGCTGGTGCTTGCTTAGAATAGTGACTATTTAATACGCCTTAGGATAGTGACTATTCTCCCGGAACCAATATTCCAAGATTCGTCCAAGTGCTGAAGGTAGACTTGATGCTGCCAAGTAGGATCTTGAACTCTGCCCATGTAGAATAGTGACTATTCTACTGGCAAGGATAGTCACTATTTTGGTTGGTGCCTGTGTACAATAGTGACTATTTTGCACGCTCACGATAGTGACTTTTCTCCCGGGACCGGGATCCAAAATTTGTCGAAGTGCTGAAGGCAAACTTGAAGCTATCTTGACCATCTTGAACTCTGCCCATGTAGAATAGTGACTATTCTACTTGCAAGGATAGTCACTATTTTGGTTGGTGCCTGTGTACAATAGTGACTATTTTGCACGCTCAGGATAGTGACTATTCTCCCGGGACCAGGATCCAAAATTTGTCCAAGTGCTGAAGGCAAACTTGAAGCTATCTTGACCATCTTGAACTCTGCCCATGTAGAATAGTGACTATGCTACAGGCGAGGATAGTCACTATTTTGGCTGGTGCTTGTGTACAATAGTGACTATCCTGGGTGATGCTCTGGTAGAATAATGACTATGCTACAGGCACAATAGTCACTATTTTGGCCGGTGCCTATGTACAATAGTGACTATCCCAGGTCATGCCCTGCAAGAATAGTGACTATGCTACCGGCAGGATAGTCACTATTTTGGCTGGTGCCTATGTACAATAGTGACTATCCTGTGTCATGCCCTGGTAGAATAGTGACTATGCTACAGGCAGGATAGTCACTATTGTGGCACCAATTTGCCTAGGATAGTGATTATCCTCTTCATGCACTCTAAGGATAGTGACTATTGCAACAACCTTCATACAGGTTGCTAAATCTCAACAATAGCCACCATGACTATCAAATTAATATACAAATGTTTATGAGAAGCTTGTGGATGTGAGCACTTGTGTTGCAAGGCCATTCTAGCTCCTATGGGATTCAGAGCTCTAGGAGTTGCCATGCATCCATATGTTGTGCACAAGGTGACTGAAACCGTGCCGCTCCCCTCCCAACCACTTGGTTGGACTAATTACAATATATGTTGACTTTAGAAACCATCATGGCCATGGGATCTTGCCAAAGACATAGTGGAACACTATACTAGCTCCTATGGGATTCCTGGCTCTAGGAATAACACTTGCACTCAATATGTTGAAGACAACATGGTAGACTGTGTTGAACTCTTGCCACCATGTGTGTACACTCAAATGGCACTATATTTAGGGTTTAG